TGTTGACGGCATCCTATGATGAAAGATGATGGTGCAGTGAAGAGGATCATGAGCTCCCGTGGTCAGACTTACTGACTGCCCAGACCATGACTCGGAATGTGCTGGCAGTCGCCGACAAGTCCCACGTCACCTTGGGCGGCAGTGCTTACCCACCAGGTTCCGGGTCGTTGAATCATGCGCCTGTGTCATGTTCGACTCGTTGCGACCAAGCAAGTGGGCGAGTCTGATGCTGTTGTTGGTTTCCAAGGATAGCAACGTCTCGAGCCGAGGCTCGACGAGTTCGCGCGCAGAGAGCTCTGTCAAATGAAGAGCTCCCAATTGTGGATTGACAGGTCAAGAGTCTCCTGGGGCCCTCCCTCAGAGCCCTTCTGCGCCGAAAGAGCGGTGTCCAGGGTCCAGAGCTCTCCTGCAGTCCTGCATTCCTGCCGTGCGCTGCACATGCAGCAATTTGAGTCTTCTGTTCGCCTCATTGTCTGCCTTCTTTTTCGTTTCTTCGACGCCGCATCTTGTTTACAGTGGAATTCGCTCGGCAAACGTCCCTGCAAAGCATCTTTCGGTGAGCGTCCAAGGCAGCAGCGGACCGGAAGCCGTGCCGCCCCTCGTCTGATCGGAAGAATGAGACACAAACAACGGCAGCGTGCAGCCGGGTCAGTGTGCGACATGCAGTGTGCAACGGGTCACGAGGCCCGTCTCTGGAACCCGTTGCTTCTCCCACTTTGGAGCAGTTCGAGCAGGCGAGCGACCGACCAGTGGCTGTGCCCTCGTCCAGCAGGAGGAGCGGTATGCAAGATTCTTGGCCAATTCCTTTTGCTCGACGTGTACTGCTGGTTACCTGATGGCGTCGTTTTCCCGTCACCGGTTTCAATCGGCCTCCCGCTGCCCATCTGTCCACTTCCATTATTACTTTCAAGCACGCCAACCTGCCTGCGCTGGGGCTCGAATAAACAGCAACCGCCGCTCAAGGCCCGAAACAGCCAAGTGCCGCTATGGAGCGGGGTCTCCTCACGTGGCGCGTATGAGCCGGCTGCGCGCAACGAACCCAACGGTGATCTTGGCTGGTCCTGGGGCCAATAGGGGCTCTTCCGCAGTGGTGGCCAGTCGTTGCCCACAACAGTAACGCACCGCACCACAGCAGCAAAACGCACACAATGCAGGACACACCCTGGCTCGCCGAGCTGGGCCTCGTTCGTTCCTCACACCGGTCTGCCGGAGCGTGGTCACATTGAATTATGGAGCACACCCGACGGAAACACGGCTGCCAGGGAACCAACAGCACTCGGCTCGGTCATCATGACTGGTCCATCACGCCATGCCCGCCCTGAGGATCAGATGGATCGAGGCTCCTCTTTCCACGATGCTCAGCGCGAGAGAGGCAGACAGACAGTGTTGCGGTCTACAAACCCACAACCAACAGGCCAGGAAGCAACAAAACCCCCCATGCTACGATTGATGACTGCACCTGTGCCTGACAATAATACTTGATGCCTGCAATCACGGTCCGTCATGTGCTCTCTCCCAAGCCACAGGGGCCGGGGGGAGGGAAGCGGGAAATGGCAATCTGCAGTCGTTCCGCTCGTGGGCTCCTTGGCGCCGCATCCCACGCATGGTCCCGGCGCCCATGTGGATGTTGTGCTGTGCCTCCCGGACCTAATTATGCTGTGCATGGGGAGTGCATGCAAATGCCAGAGATCAAGGCCAGGACGCAAGCCTCCTGGCCCCTCGCTGGCAAACGAGAGCCCGGCCCGAGTCCCAGCTGGCTGGGCCGCGCTAGCATTCGACGCGATGTCTGGCTCCTCTGCAGCCACGGTGATGGCCCCGTCGACCACGCTCCACTGGAGGGATGAAGGCGTAGGTGGCCCTTCCCTGGTTGGGAAGTCCCGTGGAACATGCGGAGAACCAGCACCTTGTTCCACGCCATGTCCTCTCGGCTCACTGACTTGGGCTCTCAAGACGTGCTGATGGGCTTTTGTCCATGGCGTTCTTTGTAGATGTTGTCTGGCCACCAGGCGGACGACATCGTTGCGGGCGCGGGATGCTCGGCTGGGACAGAGCAAGAGCTCCCACGGCAGGCGAATGGCTTGGACAAGCACCAGGGCTCCATCGCTCCCTTGAGCCCTCGAGGGTTCGCGGGACGGAGGCATTCTCCAGACCAGGAAGGGTTGGCCAATCAGAGCGCCCAGGTGGCTTGTGCCACCACGCATTGAAGAAAATGGGCCGAACAATGTCTCAAGCCTGTTCATTTTCGCTACGGGGTGATCAAAGTGCCCTGCCTGCTTGGTTATGGCTGCCTCGAAGTTTCTTGTTTGTGGATCCGCTGGTCCAGCAGTGACGCCCTCGCAGGAGAGCGATCGCCTGGCTCGGCTCCCACCCAGAGTGTCCAGCAGCGAACCCTCGCAACATGCACACGAACGGTTGTGTAAGCGATCCGGCGATGGAGTATCGATCCATGACTCATATGGTGCCTTGCGCTATGTACTGTCGTTGCACAAACCCAGCCTACCCTGGCTTGCCTCGGAGAGTGTATTTCGGCGCGAGACTTTGGGCGCGGCCGGTTCTCTTGATTTTGTCTTGCCTCGGGGGTGAGACATTGCTGCTACGGAGACGGACCAGTCGCCATAATTCCAATCCTCAACCGATCGCCTGCTCATTATTCTCGTTTGACTGCATCCTGACGTTTCGCCACTATGAACCACAAAGCAAGCAGTGTGTGGCCATCGCAATTTCTCAACAAGGCCGAAACCCAATGCTGGACGGCAGCCACGGAGCCTTGATCGACTCCCTGACGAAATGCACCAGGGAGGTCCCAACTTTTGAGTTTGCGCCGGTTAGTGGCTGTCCCTCCAGTCATGACTGGGCAATGCGCCCCTCGCCCCCCATGACTCCATGTGGCCGCGGACTCGCGCTGGCGGCGACGTCCCGGTCGTCGCAAGCTGGAGACTGTCCCTGGGCTAGCTGGACCGGCTGGCTGGAACCTAGTTCCGGACCTGCCGTCGACCAATCCACAGCTGGCGTGGAAGACTGCCGCTATCCCGGGGACGCGACCCGCCGTCATCTCCCCTGCGCTAGGATCCCGGCCCGGTGGTAAATTGGCGACTCGCTAGCCAGTGGCTGGGTGTCCAGGAGCGGCCAAGGTTTCGCCCATGGCCGGGCTCCATTGTGCTGGTGCCGCTGCTTGCCACCACCCAAGCGCCAGCATGACTTGCTTCATCATCACAGCCCGGGGCCCATCCGTGCTCGATCCCTCCAGGCCCTGTCCTGGCTAGTCACAGCACGGACAGTGGAGCGGCTTCTGCTCGGGGCGCCAGGGAGTCGAAACTCACGAGAAACGAGATGAGAGCCCCATCTTTCGAAGTTTCTGGTTCGCCGCCAAGCCCTTCTGTGACTTCCATCCGTGCCCACACGGGCCCAGCTGTCGGGCACGTCTGTCTGAGGTCATGGCTGCCGTGGAGAGAAGGAGATGTCCGTCAGTCAACCGCCCCGGGGGTTTCGCGAAGACGGACGACAGGGACGTCCGTGGCGACGTTGCCGATTAATTCTGGTACCATTGCCCTGGATCGCACACACGCGCAAGGCAGTGGCACTAACTAGCCGGTTTAACTCCTTTTGTGAATATGCAGCCGTTCGGAAAACGCACCCACCAACAAACTTTCCCATGCCGTCTCTCCCTTGCGTGAGCGGCCGCAGACCTTACCCACACGCATCAGCCACACGTCCTCCCTCGGCACATTTTTTTGGTCAAACACAAATGAAAGTGACCAGGCGAATGGCCTGGCACAATGCCTGCGCACAAGACAAACTGCGTGCGTAGAACAGACAATCCGACCTTGACTCGGTTGCTGACTGCACAGTCGCTTGCCAAGCAGCAGCGTACAAGTCAAATTAGGCCCGGCGGAGTGGCCCGCTTCGCCCCCAAAAGTCGAGCAAAATGGCCGCTGGGCAAGGAAGAAGCAAACAAGATAGGAAGAGATGGGCAGATGGGCGGCAGGACCAAACACCCAACACCAACCTTGATTTCCATGCTTTTGCTTTTTCCGAGGCTCTTGCCGCAACGGCTCATTTTGTTTTTGTTTTTGGCCTGCTTTGTCTCCTTGCTGCCTGCCTGCCTGCCTGTCTTGCCCTGGGGCTGTCTTTGCCAACGCACACGCCCCAAGCTTGCCCCTCCCTTTTTTCTTCTCCACACGCGCGTGCCTGTCGAAACCGGTGAAGGTAATGGAGGGTGTGGCGTTTCTCCAAAGCAATGTGACACCCCAAAACGATCGTCGAGCCGTCCCTGGACGCCTTTTGTGCCTCACTTGAGCCCGTATGCCGTATGTCCCTCATCGAGCTCGGAGCCAGATAATCGCCCGCTCTCACCTCCGAGCTGGTGCTCCGCAGCCGCCGAGTCGCATCGTGACTCTCGTCGTTGTCCTCACCGACTCAACAACGGCAACGACTAGCATCCTCGTGTCAGCAGAGAGTCATTTCGGTCCCGGATATCGCCCGTTCCGCTGCCTTACTTGAGCAGGCTTGTAGGCCGCTGCATATTGACCACCCTGTCCGCGCCTTGCCTATGAGCCAACCCACTGACTGCTCCTCCCCTGCTGTTTGGCCATCTCGATACCCACGTCCATCCGGCGTATTTACCCTAGCGGCATAACCCAATCGTTCCCGAAAGCATATCGCCAACGGGGGCCAGCCGCCAAGTCTTATTCAGAGTGTACCGAGCTTGCCTGCATTGCCCGTGCTAGATATGTATGCCCTGCATATGTACGGTGCAACCGGGACGGCACCGGCTGGGCTTCCCGTGCCAGTTTCAGAGAGAACTTTTGTGCGAGAGCTTGGTCAGTGTTTTGGCTTGAGGAGCCAATGCGCTTGTGAATATTGACAATGCGGAACGCCACAGCCATGTGATGTTTGTGAGCTCGCAATGACACCAGAACCCCCGGGCGATGGAGCTATGTGTTCGTTTGACCTCGGCAGCTGTTCCGCTGTGCTTTTGGCAAGCACGGCGACCCCGGAGACTAGACGGTGAGTCTGACAGTGATGGACTCTCGGGCCACGAGTGTGACAACAGCGTCATCGTTGCCAATCATCACCCTGCCCGCAGTCCCATGTATCAGTTCACGTCTGCCTCGTGTCAGCAAGCAGCCCTGGTACTCTATCCATCCATGAAAAGGGCAAATGAAGACATTTACTGTCTCCGAGCACTGTCTTTCGCGATCGATGCATCCGGAATGGCATGAATAATCAGCTGAACATGGCTCTGAGCCTCTCCCAGGGTACTTGCATATACCTGTCAAGAGCAGAGCGACTCAGCCACTCACCAACCTGGCGAACCTAGGCGAAGGGTCAGGTGTGTACTCCGCATAACGCCAACGACAATCAACAGAAGACCAGGGTCATGGTTCGCAGCCCGGTCCGCAGGTCTGACACCCTTGAAGACCGACATGGGAGCTGAACGCACAGGGCCAAACAGTCCGTGAGACATGGAGACGGCAGCAGAAGAGGCTCGTGGCACCCTGGTCGATCCAGAGTTGGTACTACCACCCATTTGTTCAGCTCGCAAAAGGTTCTGCTCTCAGGAAAATGATTCTACATCCACGACAACTGTGCGTGATTAGACGCGCAAGCCTCTGGGCACCTGACCAAGACAGGCAAGTTTCTTGGCCAGAGCAGCCCAGGACTTCTTGTGCGGTCAACGTCATACCATGCTAAACGCAGGCATCCTGCCAATGGTTTTCAGATAAGGGGCCGTTAACCGCCATGTTCACTTGGCACAGATTGAGTGGCGTTGCTACAATACGTGATTACCATAGTACGGTTGACTAGGATACGACTAAGGAAACCAAGTATACCGAGCACTGGACCGCAGATCACTCTACTGCGCTTCCTGGCGCGTGCTTGTGGCCCTTTGCTCTTGCAGATACATCCTTGAGGCACAAACACAACAATGAAGTCGTTCTGCAACGACGGCTCCTGTGGCCCGGCTCCTGCCGGCAACGGGCAAGCTAAAGCACAGCTGACAGGCTTGGCCTCCGCCCCCGGGACACCGGATGTAACATCCCCGAACCCTTGAGCGCAAGGATGGAGGGTGATAGTACTTTTCGTAATCTCGAGTATCTAGCCAAGACGTGGCCGTCAAATGCGTCTCGATACTCTCTGGTTGATCGACAGTGTGGAGCCACTTGTACTACGCAGGCAGATCCCGGAACTGTACCCGCGACGAGGCATGTGCCAGCACATTCTTGAGCCCCTTGCCATGTCCTGGCCTCAAGCTAAGTGCACTATCTGCTCAAGGCGGTGTACGAGGTCTTTGCTGAAAAGTCGGAAACGAAGCTGGCGAGGCGCGGCGTGGAATAACCGTTGTCAATGACTACAATTTGGGATCAGCATTCATCATTCCATGGTTGCTATGATGGCGTGTTTCGTCTGTGTTACCCTGGTCATATCATCCCCAAAACTAGCTAACCCATCCCAGACATCATCCTGGACTAGAGCCGTTACACAAGACTACGAAGGCAGCAAGGGGGGAACGGCAAATCCCACGCGGAAGCTAAGCCAACCTGAGCTACGCACAGCTTGGAAACTCTCAGGCTTGATTTTGAGTCAGATGATTCTCTTTGAGGTGGGATTCTCCGGCGCGCATGGAACGAATCGTACGAGTCGGTCGTCATCTTTCTCCGGCGAGTCTACCCTCTGCTGATATTCAGCCTATCGTATCATATGCCCCTTGGCATTGCCTACATTACCGAGTACGGGAATGGTGTCATTGTGGTAATGGCATTCACCTCTCCCAGCCAGTGCTATCCAGCGTCGCAATATTGCGGCACGAGGTAGATCCCCATAATCATGACGTATGGTAGTAGTGCACCTGGTGTGGTCTCTCGTCAATCTTGCGCTCTATCCCACATCTGCCGGAACCAACCACCAATCCCCCAACTGATATCTACGGAGCAAAACCCGCCCATGGAGATCTTTCCCCCTAGCTTGCACCAAGCCTGCTTGTGTGGCCCACTGCCTATTTTTGCTTTTTGTATATATGGAGTTCGTCCGTTTCCCATCACCCCATACCTGCCCAGCAGATCTGCGCGCGGCCCTAGCCGTACGCATGCATTAGGGTGCCAGCCAGTTGGTGCTGAACCCAACCGGCTTTACTGCTGTGACAGTGCAGAATGGCGCGGTCCAGGGCCAGCGGATAGCTCCCCGTGTCGCTGATGTCCGTGCCGAGCGGACAAGGGCATCCGGGCCCTGGCTGACTGCCTGGCCCATGCGCTGCCACTGACACTTTCAGGCCTCGGGCATTGGTTCCGTTCGAGAGCCTTGGGGCGCTCTGTCATGATTTGGTCCAGGCGGGCTCGGTTGGGCCGAAATGACCATTCACTCACTGGAAGCCCTGTCTGGCAAGCACATGTCTAGTGTTCTTCTCAACAGAGCACCTTGTCCTGCCCTGCCACAAGCACTTGATGAGTCAGCCTACAACTGTCTCGCAGTCTTCAGGGGACCTTTCAGCCTACATTGGGCCAGCTATGTCATCTGCAGAGGGCGTGCTTCGAGTGCTTCGAGCGGCAACACCTTGCCAGGCTACGGCGAGTGTTCTATAAACAGCGAGCTGCAGGAGGCAGCCCCCCTGCCAGAGCCAACAGAGGAACCCTTGGGCAGCCAGCCGCCCAGCCTTGCTCCCTGCGCCGCGTCCAGTTTCGGCCGACTGATCCCACTCTGCCGGGTTCCGCGCCCCCTGGGGGCTCGACGATCGCGCGGTTTCTGCCTAGGCTGCCTGTATTTACTGCAGTAGTGTCTGGTGTGACACCGAGAAGCCGTTTCCGTGGTGCCAATGTGACTTGGTGCCAATGTGACTTGATATTGGCCAACCTGACCGTAAACGCGCGGCATTCTCTGCAAAGATGCTAGGTAAAGGTCCTTGCTCGCCGGCATTCGGCCTGGAAAGGGGAACGATTGAGAGCCAGATGACAACAACAACAACAACAACGATGCGATGCGATGCGATGCTGACAGTGAATACCGTGTGCCATGGTCGACATGCACACGTTGCTCTTCGTGGTTCCTTGAAGCGAATCCCATCACGCTGAGCCTGCCTTCCGTGCCGATGCGGTACTTTTGAGTCACGACATGCAAGTCAGCTGCGACCGCGAAGAGGGACCCCCGGTCGTGTCTCCGGGGGCAGGCGAGCAAGAACGCAGACAATCACACCTTTGTTGGCTGTTGCCCCGGCGAGCTGCAGCCAGTAGCGCCAACATGGCCTCTGTTGGCTTGGCCCCGGTGCCGAATCTTGCCCAAGTACCGATGCCATCTGGCGTGTCGGACAGGCACAGTGCACTGAAGGCACAGGCTAGCTAGTCATGAAACGACTAGGTCCAGCAAACAACCTGACAGGGGCAACGGTCATGCCCAATTGTGCAGTGCCATCGCATCCAATGTGCCTAAACGAGTAAATGCAGTAGTAGCGTCTGGGGATGCCCGTCATGGCGCGCGGGAGACGTTCCATCGTGGACGTGCAGAGAGAGACGGATGCAGAGTGCGACCTTAAGGTAATTAATTAACTACCTAATAGCTCTCTTAGCTCAACTGCAACCAACAGCGGTCTCCACTCGGGCTCCTCCTAATAGTGCACTGCGCCTCTGAAGCCGGCCCGTGATTCTGCAATGAACAAACATGACTGCATAATGAGTGGCATTGGGAGAGCTCTTCATCCCACCCCCGGCCCCCAGCACAGCAGGCACTGAGCGGACCCGCGTGCACGAGACTGTGGGCTGCCAGGCTGGCCTTTGCCAATGCGCCCATGACGCAATCATGGGGCCGAGCATGATTCCAAAGCCCTTGTCCATGATCCCGCGACCGGTGAGGGCATATATATCGCCATTGCGGATGGGCAAGTGCAAACTGACGTGGCTCGGGAACCTCGAAACAAGCTAAGGCAAGGGCGCACAGCCTGGGCTTCGTGTAGTCCTCCGCCTGCAGGCCCGTGACAATGCGTCGGGCCAAGGGGCGCTGTGCAACCCGGGGGGGGGGGGGCTTTTGCCGCTCGCGATCTTTTTTTGTTTTCGGGGAAAAAGTCACGCGGCTGATGCTGACCGGTTCGCGGGGTGCGCAACGCAGAGGTCATCTGACGCAGCGTTGCATTGGGGTCTGCTGCTGCCCGGGCCCGAGAGCAGAGACGGAGACAGCGCCATGTGTGAGAGTGCCAGCGGTAAACCGCAAATGCAAGCGGTGAGAGAGGGGAAAGATGTGGAGGGTGTGGAAAATACCCAAAGCAGCCACCCTGTTGAACAGGGCTATCAGCTTGTTGTTCTACACACCACACACACATAAGCCAACGTGGCAGCGTGAGAGCGGGAATGGGGCGGCCCGGTAACGCAAATCTTGACTAGAGGTGTGGGCTTGCTGACCATAGTCTCTACAGCACTTGGGAGTTTGCCCGGCCAATAGAGCTCGTCTCTTGCTCTGTCCGAGCCGAGCCGAAGACAGCTACGATCATAAGCCCGCCTTTGCCGTCGCTTTCCGCACTCATGTTCGAACTTTGAAGTGGCGAGTCTGGTGGATCGTATAGTCTTGCCAGGATCACCACTCAGACACGATTCATTCTGCTCGCGCAAAGTCTCATCGACTACATCTCCCAAGCGGTTTTTTTATATTGTGCGAGTGTCAAGTCCATAGAAATATTGCTTTACTACATGCTTAATGAGGTGAAGGGCGAAAAGTCCGTCTTTACGAACTTTGTGAAAGACCACTGTAGGCCACCCCTCCCGGCCGTCCACCCTTTCCAGTGAGCGCCATGTGGTCGAAGGATGAAGGCTGAAGGAAGTAAAAGACCATGGGAATATAGCCTCACATGCAGAGAACGACGAGCTGGAACAAAAGCTTTCCCAGTCTGTCAAGCCACAAGGAATTTGCTTCAACAGCTATGGAGACTATTCAGAACAACGGTTGCAGAATTAGTGACCTGCATTGGCAAGCAAACGCACACGACAAATGCTGCGTCGGTAAGGTGCCTCCTTCTTGATGACCTGCCAATACATCAGCGGAAGCAGTCCTGCGCCTGGAGAGCACCGGGTAAAGACATATCTGTTGTTGGTTGCCAGCACTGTATGCAGTGCTTTTTCTACCTGTGCCTCTGGCTACCGGCGGCGTTGACAGCGAGACTCTGCGGGCACCCGCAGCAGCGAGGAGCATCAAACTCGCGGTCATGAGCACATGACCTCGAGCAGCAGCGGTGTGCCGTCTGACCGGCAGCGGCTGTGGCGCCTTTGCAACTGCACCCCCCCTCCATTACCTCCTCTCACGGCCACCGCCAACAACAACACCACCACCACCACCATTGGCAACTCTGCAGCCTCCGATTGAGCCTCGACGTCGCATCGAGGAAGCTTGTTGCTGGCGGCCGGCATCCTCAGCCCAGCTGTCCAAGGGCCGCAAGCATGCTGCCACGTCGTCAATACATCCCGGCTGCGGGGCCGACGCAGTCCATCGCCCACGACCCCGGCGACGACGATGTGCTTGACCTCACGGGCGATGAAATCCAGGCAGGCGTTGAGCGGCGGCTTCGTGAGCACCGCCAAAGGCTCAGCCAGCACAATGTGCCCGTCATCAGCATCGACGAGGACGCCGAGGCGAGCCTCGAGCAGCCAGAAAGCGCAGCTGAGATCTAGGACATCTCTGCTACCAACGCCACAACCGGCTCACCATCATCTCACAACGACCAGAGCGCCGACGAGTCTGACTTGCTCCGCTTCCGAAGCATAATCTACAAGCAGAAGCGGCATGGCGATACCCTGCTTCTGAGTTACCCGATCCAGAACCACGAGACCGTCTCGGCTGGCAACGTTGTCGAGCTGACCTGCCAGATCTCGTCATTCAAGCTGAACTTCCTCTTGGTTCAGCATGTCATACGCACTCAGTTTGGCGGTGTCCTCGTGGCAGGCACTCCGATTGGCCGGTCTCGCGTGATGAGAAGCTGGCTGCCTCCCAAGCCGCACGAGGCATGCTTAGTCTTCGAGACAGTTGATGGCCTCACTGCCACGACTGAGCAACAGGCACTCGTTGAGGTGCCCATAGATGAAGTCAAACGACGCCAGCGTGTCATTTTCACCAACGCGTCATATCCTAGCTTCCGTCAAGAGGCATTGCAGTCCAACGCTTTGATATGCCGCTGGACTTGTACCCTGAAGTACCCCAAGGCCACGGGACACGCGGGGACCAGGCAACAAGCGCGAGAAACTGTCCTGCAGACTATCGACCCATCACAAGCCTCCACCGGATACGCAGTCTCCAACAACAAGCGGCGCAGGGATTGGCGGGGCATTGAGAGCATTCGTGGAGGCACACACCGGCCCGTACCGACGAAGGATGGCATCGCAGTTGTCATACTTGACGACGACGACGACCATGCTATGAGCGCCACTTCTGACAGTGAGAGCTCAGCCAACGTATGGTCCCACAGTATCCCTGGCCAGATGTACACCTTTGGCGACATGTTCTGCGGCGCAGGTGGCACTTCCTGCGGCGCCCAGGCCGCTGGCTTTCATGTCCAGCTCGGTTGCGATGCGGATAGCATGGCTTGTGCCACATACAGGATGAATTATCCTCAGGCCAAGCTCTATCACGCCAATGTCGCCAATCTGATCACTTCCGCTCGGCGACATCGGGTAGACGTCCTACACCTTTCGCCCCCTTGCCAATTTTTCTCTCCAGCTCACACAAAACCTGGCCAGAACGACGATATGAACACGGCAGCGCTTTTCGCCTGCAGTGACTTGGTCAACAAGATCAGGCCCCGCATCTTCACTCTAGAGCAGACCTTCGGAATCACCCACGGTGGGCACGAAATGTACATGGCTAGTTTGATTCGTGGCTTTACGGAGCACGGGTACTCTATACGCTGGGGTGTGGTCCAACTGCTTGGCTGGGGCACATGTGCGCAACGCAGGCGACTCATCATCATCGGGTCCTGCCCAGGCGAAGCTCTGCCAACGTTGCCCGCCCCCACACACGCGGCATCAGCGGTTCGAGGTCGACAGCAGCGATTCATAACTGTCGCGGACGCCCTCTGTCGGCCCCCTCCCGTCATGACAGCATTGCACGACCCGCATCACGAGCCACGAGGGATGCGCAGACTGAACCTTGCCCCCTGGAACCCAAACCAGTTCCTGTCGAAGACGATCACAACGGGCGGCACCCAGGGAAACGACTGCCACTTTAGTGGCACTCGCAAGTTCACACCTCGAGAGATTGCGGTCCTTCAGGGCTTTCCGTGGACGTACAAGTTCAGCCCCAAAGGTGTAGTCAAACAAGCCGGAAATGCATTTCCACCCACAGCTGTCAAGACGCTGTACGATCATATTCGGAAGTGGCTTCTTAGAGTTGACAGGATTCATCCCTCACCCGCTCCAATTAGGAGTGAACAGCCCATCTCTACAGGTACATGACCTTGCCCGGGTCGCACGCCTTGCCGCAGATCATCGTGCTTGATGATGATGATGAGGAAGCTCATGTTCACCATAGCGATGACGAGGTTATTATCACCGATGCCTGGGGCCGCGAAGCAAATGGCGGCAGAAGCAGCAGCTGTATCAGCAGTGACGATGATGATGTGATCATGGTCGAGGACGATGATGAGGACCGTCTTTTCTCGCCTGTTGATGATCTTTCACGTGAGAGTTCACTCACTTTACCGGAACTTGACCAGGACGAAGAGCCAACACTGCGTACTGGCTTTGTAGTGCACCAGCTGAGTGACGGACATGACGACCTTGATATGGATGTTGTTGAGATTAGCACTTTACGTGCTACCCATACTACATAGCTAGGGACGTTAGGGCTTTGACCATTGTGTGACCATGTGGAGCACCGGACAAGCGACTTGATTCGGGACCAAAGAAGAGTTTGAGGGAACTACCCCGTGAGATATCCCGACAATCCCTATTCTGTTGGTGTAGGATAGTTCAGGATTCCAGTAATACAAGAGAAACTGCTGTTGGTAACGCCAAATTCCGTTGGTACATGCCGCCAATTGGTGGCTCATGTGTAAGATGCTTATCTGAACCAGGGTCCTTGATTCTTTGAGTTCTGACGCGACATTTCCAGCACTCTTTCAGTGACTTCACACCGCGTCCCTCTTGTAACCCTGTGCGTGCCAAGTCATGGCCAGATCTTGCATGCTCTCGAGCATTCGCAGGTGCTTATCGCCATACGTCTTCTCACGTAGGTCCATCAGTTCCAGCTCGAGCTTCTCTGCCGGCTCGATGTTGTCTTGGATCCCAGTAAGCGATGGCTAGTTAGAGTGTCCATAGTAGCAACGGTGTTGGGGATGGGCGTGAAAAAGCAGCTTCGGGCGGCGGTGCGCGTACCCTCTCCGTTCCCTCCGCTCCCTCCCTCCCATTAAAAGTTCTTCCACCGTTTCCCCATTCCTCCAAGGCGAGTTTATACAAATACTCAAAAGTACACAATTGTCGGCACCACAATCGTACAGGACAAGCCCGTGTCGCTCCCATCCCCCGAAGACAGGAACATCTTGCCCTCGCAGTCGAGAATATTAACCCTGCCCCCTTCGCCGTGCAGCGAGAACGCGCCCGTGTCGGCGTCCCTGCACGCGAACATGTGCCGGGCAGTCCCCACCCTGACGGCAGTAGCGGCAATATCACGACTGGTCATGCGTGGACGGACGGACTGGGTCTGCTGCTGCCCCGGCGGCGGCAAGTCAAAGACGGCCACTACCGGGTACACCCTGAAGCCGCCGGTGCTCTGGAATACGCCAGCTGGGCCAGCGAGCGTTGGGAGATTAAAGCTGCTGACTAAACGCGGTGCCTGCAGGTCTACCCAGACCAGCCGGCGCGTGATGGTGCTCATATCTTCCCAGTGTAGCTCGAGCCAGCGGAACATGCCGGCGTTCGCGCTGAGTATGCGGAGGGCAAAGGGCGCGTATTTCAAAGTGCACCGCTTGGTCACCACAGTAGCGGGTGGCAGGGCGGTCGCAGTCAGAGTCTGCGTCGTGGTGGTCGTGCTTGTCGCAGTGGTCAGGTCCGTCTGGGTCGTCGACGTGGTGGCTGTGGCAGACGACACGTCGAGCGAAATGGACGTGACTGTGGTCCACGTGGTGGTTGCCGAGGTTGTCAACGCAGGCCCAGTCTCGGTGACGGTTGTGGTAATGGTTGTGGTTGAGCTCGAGATGCCCAACCGGCCGCAGGCGGACGCATACGCGTCCCAGCCGGTACACGCGGCTGCCGCATAGGCGGGAATGGTCCCCGCTCGAGCATGCACTCCTCTTTTCAGCACCAAGACGCTTGTGTGCTGCAGTGATGTGGTCGTGGTTGGCTGCCCAACCGTGACGGTCTCCGTCGTCAGATCGGTGCTCAAGGACGTAACGACGTCAGCCACAAAGGCCGTGCTAGTGACTGTGATGGTATGAAGAGAAATCTCCGTGGTTGCCGGTCTCGTCGTGGGATGAACTTCGACGGCAGTGTTTTCCACGCTCTCAATGATCGTGGTGGTTAGAGTCTCAGTGACGGTGCTGGCTCTATTAATAAGCTACAACTCAGTTGTTCTTGCTCCCTCCGGGGGAGAGAAAGGGACAGCTCTACCCAGTCGTGATTGTTGTATCAAACAAAGATGCCGAACAGTCTGTTGAGGCAATCTGGCCCTGCGACTCAAGTGCTATGATTCATGCATATTCAGGACATGTTTTGCAACAGGAGAACAGCGCGAAGTCAAATCAAGGCGTTGACATACCTTGGAGACAGTAGTCCTCATCAACGGGGATGCTAGACGTGACTGGATACTTTGTCGTGGAACTGGAGTTACGTAGCTCAAAGTTGTGCTCGTGATAGTCGTAGAGCCAGCATCGGAGCTCTGGGCCGGGTTGCTGCTCCCCGTAGCATAGGTTGTCGTGCTCGAGGTAGAAGTGAATGTTGACAACACTGTCGAGGTCGCGTATGCCGTCAGCGACGACGATGCTCGTGTGCATGGCTTGGCATGGCCGAGCACGGCAAATGCCGCTACTAAGATGTGGCCGGACTTCACCATTTTCAACTCATGGGAGAGGCGATCACGACAGCAAAAGAAGCCCGTCTATAAAGAGTGACGACGAGGAACCACAGACCTGGCTTTCTGCCTGGGTCATTATGTGTCTTGTATAGCTGGCGTGCGATTGGTGTGGATACTCACAGCCAGCTCTTCAGCAATAGTGCCAGCGCTTTGACGGGACTAAAGACCCTGCCAAGACCAGTGGTGCCAAGATCAGGGGCAAGGAGACAACTAATCTCATGTCAAGAAGTTTATCCAGCGCTCGTTTCCAGGGACCATTGGAGATGATAGGGCTAGGAGCGGTCTTCAGGCGCCTGTTCTCACCGATTGAGCCCGTACCGCTCACTTGGCCTCTTCCCCAGTCGATGCTACGGTGCAAGATACTCGTTTCTCAAGCAAAAACGTCAAATCAACCCTAGCTTCCGACGGAACGCAGCCACCAGATGCGACTATTTCAAAGCACGCTACAGTAGCTGAAAATAGTTAGCCTAGTTAATTCAGTGGCGCCCTGCCGTCAAAGGACTCGATCCTAGCGTTGCTTGCTGTTCGTACGGCGTTAACCAAGCTGAACAATGCAGTCGCACTCGGGGTTGCTGTACAGTTATGACAAATAGGCTGATACGTCACAGGGTCGAGTGTCGCTGATCAGCACTGGCCAGCGGGATAATCTGATATACTCGAGAAATCCAGATACTCTGGATCAGCAGAAATGCGCCTAGTTAACAATGTATTATGTTGGATGCAGGGACTTTACTGAAAGGTAGAACACCTGGTGAAACGAAATATGTTGCATGTTGAAAGTCTGATTGCGGAGATCGATCCTCGTGCATAACAAGACAGAGTCAAGCCGGCCTGACGAGAGCCGTTGCGGATTTCCCGTTCTACCCTGCCTGACAGGCTCCATATATCTGCATTCCTCATTTACGCTATGTTTCTCAAACAAAGTGACCAGGTTTGGCATCGTCCAATAACGCCAGCTTTCCAGCATCGCCTGGCGCGAACGGGAACCTGCGCTCCAACTCCCTAATCAGCTGAACATGCTGCTCGCTCCTCGGCATAACCCGACACTCGAAATCCGTCGGGTGCGCCAGGACTCCAGGCTTGATGGAAACATGGTCCAAAGCCTCGACGCCGACCTCGTGCCCATCGCTGCCCAGTACTCTACTCATCCTAAACACAGCCAGCATCTGTGCCATATTTAAATACAGACTCGCCTCCGCGAAGAACCGGCCCGGGCATACCCTCCTGCCAAACCCAAACGCCTCATCCCTCGGGTCCGGCTCGAGCCGCGACTCCAGGAACCTCTTTGGCTCAAACTCGTGCGGGCGGGCGTACACGGCAGGATCGCGCAGCATGCAGAACACATTCGGCAGGATCACAGCCCCCTTGGGCATCCAGTAGTCCTTGTACTCGAACCCTTCCGTCACGGTGTGCGGGAATCCCATCGCCGCGACGGGCCACCAGCGCAGCGTCTCCTTGAGCAGGGCGTTGACATATGGCAGCTCCTCGCGGTCCTGGAAGCCCGGCAGGCGCGAGGACCCGACGACGCGGTCGATCTCGGCCTGCGCCCGGCTCTGGACGTGCGGGAACTTGATCATCGCGAACGTGAAGATGCGCATCGTCATGGCTGAGGTATCGGAGCCTGCGCCGAAGAGGGATGCCGCGGTCCAGATGATGGCATGTTCGTCTTCACGATCGAGGATTTCCTTACCAGACCTGTTGTCTTTGTCGCTGTTGATTTTGTCGTTACTGCGCTCGGACGAGACAGATGGGGAAGAGGAGAGCGTCTCGACAAGCTTAGACACGTACGACGACGGGCGCGTGCCTGGGCGCGAAGCCATCTGCGAGCGGACAAAGTTGTACGGAACGTAAGCCGAGGCTTGCGAGTTCTTGCGCCACTTGCGTGCCGATTGCTTGAACGAGGCACCAGGAAAGTTGTCAGGGAGATACTGCAGAGCCGGGATCAAGTCCACGGCCCAGAACATCGGGCTGGCCGCGAGCGAAAAGTCAAGAAGCGTCTGTTTGACCAGGGAGACGAGGGTATCGGGCTGGTCCGGCTGGATATTGTAGCCGTAAGTCATGCGGAGAATCATGGAGGTCGATGTGCTGTTTTTGCAGACACTGAGTAACAAGCACATTGGAGGCAGAGGAGGCGAGGATGACTTACGCGTCGTAGTGATCGTCCAGACGCCTAGGATCCTTGAGAACCCGCAAAAGCTGGCGCCCTACCTCGGCCTCCTGGACATCCTGGAACCGAGCCGAGGAGGTCTTGGTGCCGAGCTCCTGGTGCATCAGCCGACGATAGCGTCGAAAGATTGGGCCATCGCAAGTCAGACAGACGGCGATGAACTCGAAGCCGCACAGTTTGTTTGCCATGACCATCTCGGGCCGACCCGAGGTCCTCCGGGCGTTCTTGTCCAGCAGCTCGTGGGCGACCCGAGCATCGTGGACTAGGATTAGGGTCGCGCCGGCCACGGTCACGGAACTGATGGGTCCGTAGAGGTCTTTGTGCCTGCTCCAGTGCTCGTGCTCTGGGGTCCCTGGCGGCGGAAAGTCGCCGATGTTGCCCAGCAGAGGCCATGGTTTAGGGCCTGGGGGCAGCCCCTTGGTGTTCCTGGCCCTTTTCAGGCAGTACACGCCAAATGCTGCCAGGGAGGTACCCAAACACAACAGCCACTGCTTCATCCTGATATGGTTCTGCAAAACGAGAGCCGTGGTTGGAAGATGAGCTTTCCGACCTGGGGAGGCAAGAATGTCCAGACATTGCTTTGTCCAAAGTCCACTGCAGGTCATCCTTGATATAGGCCATATGTGCAAGTGCCCCGTGCTGTCAGCCAGAACACCCCGGCACGATCTGCTGAAACGCCTTCCAGATACGGCAGTCCTGACCAGGGTGGGCGATCAATGAATTGTTTGCTTCGGGTATGCTGACGACTCAGGGCCTCGGGCAACAAATTATCCGCATAAGTAGCGCCGAGATCTGCTCGGTGCCGTGTGCGATAGCTTGACTAGGCTGGCTTTGTTGCAGAATGTTTGCTTTGTCGTGGAGCGCGAGAACGCTATTGTGACCGAACAATTGGTGCGAATATTGACTGCAGGCAGGATTCCCCGCGACGCTAGACGACAGGGACTTTTGGTTCTAGCGAATAGTTCCGCCGCGTTTCCCAACGGCCAAGTACTGTAAAGCCTAGGGAGTAGTTCGCCAATCACCAAAAGTTCGTAGGTCTGTCGGTTAGGTACCATCTGAGCTTATCCCGGTACAGGCCACTATCCGCTCCTTGTGCTTCGGAACATACCCAGCCACTCAGCTGAGGATGCTCGTACGGATCTGGCCGTCATTGTCCAATCAGACTGCCACAGCTATGCGGCTCCAGCATCATCTGCACTTCTTCCACGCATGCCCGGGGACTGGGGTGAGTCGCTTTCCGCGACTGGGTGGGCCCCCCTTCCGCCGATGAAGATCAATGCTGCTTGCCGTTTGTGGCCAACCCTGACTGTGTGGACATGCTTTTTTGGCAGCTGACTTCAAAGACATCTCCTCCAGAACCGACGGCAGTCATAATTCACTCTGGCCACAACAACGCGCTATACAGTACCGCAGATGCCTCCCGGTCGGAATAAGAGTAGTAGATCATTTATTGTGCCCATAAGTGTATCGTCAAACAACAACGCTTGCTATGCCTGTCAGAAACGTGTCCCCCTTTACATCCATGCATACACGCTGATAAACACGCCTGCGAAGCCCACCCCCATCGCCGCGCCAGATACAAAACAGCGGCCAGCACCATTCTGGCCTCCACCACCACCACCGCCACCTCCTCCATCTGTCGGGGCTGGCGTCGGTGAAGACGTGGGCGACGGCGTCGGCGGAGCCCTGCCCTTGTCGCCGACCGCGAAACCCTTCTGTGCACCACCGAGGAACGTCGAGCCCAGCTCCGTCAGGCCGCCCTCGTCGTCAAAGAACGCAACGCCTACCCCTGTCCAGTTGTTTGCCTGCGCGGGGCGAAACGTGCCGAACCACGCATACTTGGCGATCCACGGCAGGTTGTCGAGGTATGGCAGCGTCTGGCTCATCATGGCGAGGTTGGCGTCCATCGGCGCCCCGGGGATGCCCAGTTCCCCCAGCCAGAACGGCAGCGCATTTGTATCGTCCCTGCCACTGCCACTACCACTACCACTACTACTACCACCACCACTTCCACTAGCTGCTGCGGCAGCGACGTACCCGGCCTCCGTGTACCACTTTCTCAGCTGGCCGAGCCACCCGGCAAGCCCGTCAAAGCCGCCGTACCAGTGTACGACGATGAAATCGGCAGGGCAGCCCTGCTTTGCGTCAATCTTGAAGCATGCGTCGTGGAACGCCATGAGCCAGTCGAATCCGCGCTGCGAGCCGGTCACGCTGGGGTGCGAGATGCGGAACCTCGAGCGCAGGGGCACGATGGAGCTGATGTATGCGGCCGCGGCCTCCTGGGGGCTGAGCTGGCTGCCGCCGTTGGCGGCGAGCTCGTCGGGCTCGTTGAAGCTGAAGAGGTGGGTCGAGGAGGCGTTGAGCTTGTCGAGGTCGGCAATGTCGGAGGCGAGCTTGCCCGTGCCGTGGATCGTCGGGACGAACTCGACATTGTCTCGGAAGCCCCAGGGGAAGACCTGGGCGGGGGGCCCCGGGCGAGGCGACCACGTGTAGTACCAGCCGACGGGGCCTCGGGCGGAGAGGAGGATGTCGTAGTCGGCGGCCGCAGTGTCGTTGTGGTACGAGACGCCGCGCTTCGAGGCGGGCAGCGAGCTCGATGATGGCGCCGGGAATGCTGCTGTTGTCGTCTGCTGCGCCGAGCCTGGCTGGATCAGACCCAGGAGGGGTGTCGCCACTGCAAGACTGGCGACGACAGCCCCCGCGGTGGACAAGAGGTTGCGCATTGTCCAGCGTCAGGGCATTGATTCAAATCGCAGCTGCAATAGAGGCGTGACGAGATGGAACGACCTGAAAGAAGACGGAAAGAATCGAGTAAACCAAGCAGAGACGAGAGGCGACGGGCAAAGAAAGACGTGTAGACGCGTGTGCCTGCAGGATTCAACCACCTCGTTTCATCCGAGATTGGTGCCAATCAGGCAGCCTTGTGAGGTGCTACTGCAAGGGCAACACCCCTGCTGGCACCGCCGAGATGCTGTTTCCTTGTTCTGGGCGCACCATACGGGCGGACGGTGCGGAGCCTAGGGCCGCACATCGAGACGATCGAGGATCACCACGGGATACTGCGGGCAGCCGCCTGGGAAGACGGCAGCAGGTGTTTTAACGTGCACTTCGGCCGGCCAGGTCACCATCAGGAGCAACTCGGCCCCGCATCTTTGTCCATGCCCGCGTCGCTGAATGATGAGGCATCTCGTCACCAGGCATACCACTAGATCCGGGGCAAGTGTTCATCACAATGACAGAGCGTGGACAGTAAACAAACACCTCGAAATGTGACCCAACGATATCGGCAAAGTCTAAAGTCGATCCCAAACAAACTTTAATGTAGCGCGGGGCTGCTGATCGGTGCCACCGCAGAACCCCAGACTAGAGCTAGAGGCCCGGGTCTCCCGGAGGAAAGCCTCCACAGCCCTGGCTCCAGCCTCTGCACAGGGCTCCAACGGCGCTACTGGAAGTTTGGCAGCATTTCTTCTCCCTAGCATAAAAGCAGGTACGGTTCGAGTCAACTACTTCTTCAACTGCACTACCCAACCCCGTCAAGCACGGTCATGATCAAAGCATTTCATTAACATTGAGTCTTCTATCCTCAGTACTCATGGACTGGTCGAAAACAGAGACAACGTTGGCCTACGCCATAACGCCAAAATTCCAAAGCATGCTGCCCACCAAATGAGCTCGTCGAGCTCGGGATCCCCGTTGCTCGGTGAATCGTGATATTGATACCACCAGAGAAAACGGCTCACCGAAAGAAGCAAGTAAATGTGTCGCCGTCTCCTGTCGCGGTGCTGCTGCCCGCGTCTTGGCCGTCGACATGTGAAAAAGGCGCGAAAATATGTCCACGAAAAGCTCGAAATATGCGATGCCAATGCCAACACGCCAAAGTGCGCGCACTGCAAGTAACCAAACACAACATAACCCAAAAAACAAGGCCCAGACCACCCGACCGACTAGTCGATAAGCCGCGCGGGCTTGTTCTCAATCGACTCGCGCTCGCTGACGGGCAACGTGTCATCGTCGTCGCTCTCGCCCTGCAGCGCAAAGGCCTCTGGGACGGGCGAGTACGGCGTCATCTCTGCCGCGGCAGGGACTGCAAGCACGGGGGCCACCATGGCCGCTGAAGCCAGACCGGCACCGGTGGTGGTACCACCTCCGCCCGCGGCCTTGTCCTTCCTGCCCACACCGAGCCAGTCGACCACCACGAGCCGGGCGAGCACGACAAAGTTGAGGTCCACGCTGCGCCAGAAGTAGTCCGCCATGGTCAGGCAGGCGATCTGCGTGACGACGTAGTAGAGCGCAAAGGCCCAGCCCGAAGACCAGCCCAGCGACTTCTCGGCATACGTCCAGAAGGGCCAGCCGATGGCCTGGGCCGCGGCGTTCTGCAGTAGGTAGAACGCATAGCTGATCTCTCCGAGGTACGAGAACGGCGCGATGGCCAGGGCGCGCTGCAGCAGGGGCAGCTGCTCGACGCCCCAGAGCAGGATGACGGAGCCGATGCCGCCGTACCACCAGATCCAGGCCGCGCTGGGCTCGGCGTGGTGGCCGACCCACGACTTGGGCAGCGTCCAGGACCAGAACATGTTGTACGGCCAGCCCTGGTCGGGATACTCCTCGGGCACGCTGCAGAACAGCAGGCCCACGGCCACGGCCAGGACGGCGAAGAAGGTGACGAGGTGCCGGTGCGGGCGGAGGCGGTCGGTCCGCAAGACGGAGGCGACGTCGTCGGCGATCGGGGCGAAGCGGCACTCGGCGACGAGGGAGCCTCCCAGGAAGGCAAAGACGTCCCAGCGGCGGTCGCAGTAGAAGCCCCAGACCATGACGGACAGGATGATGAGCTTGCGGGGGACGGCCGAGACGCGCGAGACGGACAGCGTCACGAGGAACAGCAGCAGGGAGAGGCGGTACTCGAAGCCGAGGGTCCAGGTCTGGCCGACGGGCACGGGCATGACATAGTCCCAGCGGTACGGGTTGAGGATGGGCACAATGTTGAGCCACACGGCGTACACCTGGCCAAAGACCGAGTCGGCCAGGGGCTTGTAGTTGTGCGCCCACCAGCAGTAGTACGTCTGCAGCGCCATCAGGAACACCACCACCAGCATGGGCCCAAACAGCCGGATCGCCCGCCGCAGCGTCGACGACGCCAGCGACGTCAGCATCTCGTCGCCGTAGCTCGCGGACCGGGGCCCCTTGGCGTTCATCTTGCGGGCCGGCGAGTACGCGAGCACGTAGCCCGACAGCGCAAAGAAGATGCACACCATGCCCTTGCCCGTGTGCACCGACCGAAACCAGGGCAGCTGCCAGAAGTGCTGGTTCGACGCGAGATCGGGCTCGTGGCTGCCGTACGGCCGGAAGATCCACGGCGCGTACGGGCCCATCACGAGGTGGTGGTTGAGCACGGCCCAACACGCCAGGCCGCGGATGCCGTTGAGATAGGTCGTCGCGTGCGTCGCCGGCAGCTTGCGATCTGTCAGGCCTAGTGGCGCCGCCAGGTAGAACGGCAGCAGGATCGACAAGTACTTGCGCAGACTGGGCGACCCGCATCCCAGGCGCCGCTTCTTGCTGTTCGCGGTGTGCCCAAAGTGCTCAACATCCTTCAGGTCTTCGTCCTCCGCGTCGTCGTCGTCATGGTCGTCGTCGGTTTGACGGCGGCCGGTAAGCGGCAGAGCAGCGAAGCGGTCCTCACGTTCCCGCCACGGCACTGCCGACTGGATTAACCTTGCGAGGCGGCTCATGATGGGCTGTGTCATGCCCTGACCGTAAATGTGCGTGTGTGTGCGTGTCGAACTCGCAAGCCACGCCTGGGTAGTGTGAAATGCGTACTATCGTCCCAAGCTGGTCGATTCGTGCTGTGCCGCTTCGTAAAGCGTGTGACAATGGTCGTGGAGAGCGTACAGACCTCCTCGTGCCCCGGTCTCGAGTCCCGAGGCTGCGCTGGCCGTCAACCGTACTCAAGAAGAAGCGATGGTTTGGGGCAGAAAGCAAACACGACCAAGAGGAAACTAAGCGGTCGAGAAGGAACGTCTGGAAAAGTCAAAGAAGCAACAGCCGCGAAAAAGAGAGGATCGACCCAAGGCGGGATAGGGCTAAGTTGAAAGCAGACAGAAATGTCAGCACGATCCTTCGGCCTCGGGTGCCAGAAAAAGACTCCGCCCCATATCGCAAAGCCAGGGGGGGCTTAACCAACACCCGCAACCCGGCCGCAAGCAGAAGGAGCGCGGCCCCCTGCTAACCCTGCTAGCAAATGACATAGGCTTGCCCTTGGCGGCTGGATCGCTAGTGGCTGTTACCTGGTTGGTCCAGGGGCAGAGCTGCCAGTTAGCCGGTCGAGCAGGGGTGGAGAGAGTGGGCTGAGGATACCCCTGAGTTCCCTGGGATGGCGGCAGGGAGCAGCAGCTCGCCCTCTAGGGACGTCTTTACAGCGCTGCTGCCTTGGCAGAGCGCCCTTGCGTCCTGCAAGAGAGAGCTCTCGCTCATTGTTCACTTATCAGTCAGTCTACAGCAAAGGAAGCCGACTGCACCAGCGCCAGAACGAGCTCCAGTCATCTACCCCAACTTCCATCACAGCTGCCCGAAAGGAGCTGATGATGTGACGGGAATCGAGCCCCGAGGTTCAGCTGAAGAGCTTCACGACGATCAGGGTTGGCACCATCTCCTCTGGATTGACGCGGGCTGCTGCCCCTGCGTCCTCCCCACCAGCGCCAATCCAGACTCGGCCTGGTCAGATTTAGGGTTATTCCTTGTCATGACAGGCACACTCGCCCGCCGCGGTAATTAAACACGGTACCATTGCGCACAAGAAAGCTTATCGGTCGTGCGCGAACACGGCTCACGCAATGGCACCGTTGGTGGCACCATCGACCAGCCCGCGTCAAAGCTCAAAAATCCTCATGACGTGCAGCTATCCTCGTGTCGCCCATCTGCCATGTGTATGGAGGGTGATGATCCCGTCCTGGTGTGCTCTCCGCCTGCTGAACAGACACGAGATGGGGACGAGAGCCAGGGAGCGCCAGGGGCGCCGCACGCGCATTGATTGTATGGCGTCCAGGGGTGGTGGAGGGGCACCGCCACGCCACAATGTGGCATGATCCAGTCGGCTTTGTTAATTTACTCTCGCGTTTTCAGCTGGCTACGGCTAGACTTGTCCCCTCGTGCAGAGCGCTCGACTCTAGCACTCGGGCTAGTCAATTATGACTCGGGGGACGCTTGTCGCATAGCGCGGAGACTTTAGGCCTGCTAGAGATAGTAGTTTACTTGCCAACAGCATGCACGATTCACACGTGGTCCCAGTGTCGGCGTGCCTGGCAGAGCAGCGCGCGAGAGACGAAGCTGTGGAACTCTGTGGCACGCAACAGGGACCACGACAAGACACATGACAACATCCTGCGTTATGCAGTACAGTAAGCCGCGTCCAACCTTAGAGTCAGCCAGGTGAGGCCATAATGGCCCACAGGTTCATCCACCCACAGACACACGAGCTGGTCAGCCGCGTGTGGGCCATCCGTCCAGGAGCCCGCCCGCCCGCCCGCTGGAGTGTTGATCCCATGCTCCACAAACGTCAAACTAACTGCTGGCATTTCAAGACCTGGCCTGCCGGTCTCAGCGCGCTTGAGCCTTGACATGGTCGCGCTTCTCTACGCAAAACACTCTTTCCTGCTTGGCCGGTCGCAAGACTTGCGATTCTAGTAGGTTTCCTTCCAGTTTCAAGGATCTGCCTGCGTCGTAATGTTTCGATGTGCGTATCAAGTCTTTTCGAAAGGTTCTTGCGCAGCCGCCAAAGGCAACGCGCTGGGAACCACTGTGCTGCGATGCGGCAACTCGCCTCAGGTTTAGTTCTTGGCTCGATGGACGACTGACACGGCGCGCACTACTGAAACTGCGGTTCTGCGGCAGAGATCCAGAAAACACGGCTTGGCTTGGTCGCCACGTCGTGTGCTGTGGCAGTGGCTGTCGTTGGCCACACATCCCAACAACGTGGCCCTGACCCATGAAGGTGATCGCCATCCGCAAGAGCACCGAGGCGGGCAGCAAGAGACACGCGCGAGCCATTTTGATGCCCGCAGAGACGTGACTGTCGCAGATGCCTCCCGAAACAAGCAGCCACTTGGCCCGTCCTTGGCTGACCTCACCCAGGACAGTTTCTACCCCGGCGGGCGGACGGCGTAGGGTCTGCAGGGGGCCGTGTGGCGGTGGAGAACAGCAAAGCCGCGCCCGCGCCGTGGCGCCGTGTATCCGGGCATCCACTGTTTCGAGACATGCACCTTGTCGCAAACATGGCCTTCGCCGATCGACGCTGCCGCCTGATCCGGATCGGCGCTGCCCTACGGCGCGGGCCATGAATAACGGGGCCTGGCAGGGCAGCTTAGGCTTGGTTTGAGTGTCACGGCAATCATTCTGGGCGGGAGCCCTCACTGCACGTATGAGCTTGTCGAGGGCATCTGCTCTCGCACTGCCCTGAGCTCGCCCTTCCGGATCCGGCCTCGTCGTGCTGCCCTCCCGCTCGAGACATTTCTCGAGACGGCCATCCAGCCTGTCTAACCACGCTTAGTACACGTAGGTGACCATCTCATTCTGTCTGGGCAACATGCGTAACGACTGTAACTGCGTGTGCTTGTTATTAGAAATAAAACTGCTATGGCGGGGCGGCAGTTCATTCTCACCCTCATTCTCAGTGCATCATCACAAATTGAGTGCGCTGAGCGTCTTTGCTTTGATTGCAGAGAGATAGTCTACATTATTCTACAACGGTCTGGGTTACATGTACCACAGTCAATGCCATGATTTTGCCAAATGATTCTTGCCACTTCTACATCAACACCCGGTCGTCCAGCACGCAGTCTTTGCTGCTGCATATCTAAAGTCACAGATGCAGTCCTCCTGCCATCAGCTCTGAGGCGCACAAAGAAATGTGCGCATTGTCTTGAGCCAGTGGGCATGGCATTGTCGAAAAGACCATTTCGGCACCGACGCGAAACACCGAGACACAGCCAGGCTCACTTCCACCTGCCAGAGGTGACCACCGAGGTCTCAGGCTCGGCAAGACACACACTAAAGCCGAGCGGTGCGTTTCACTCGGTGGATCCATATGGCATCGTTTGCTGCAAGTTGGCATGACTGATGATGCATGCCCGCTTTGCCAGTGCCAGGCTCTTGGGCACGCTGGGATGGGTTCAACGAACCACTGCTCACAATGCCTATGGACAATCAGACAAGATGCTTTGCAGGAAATATTTTGTGAATCTTCACGTAATAGTCTTATCACCACGAGCCAGCCCGTGCCAGACTTTGAGGTTCCGTGCAAGACCAATGCGGACTTGAGCGTTAGCAATGGCGCACGGCGCAGTCCTTCCTACGCCATGCGGGCTGACCACAGCGGCACGCTTGATGCTCGCCAGGCTCCCATCTCGGCTCGGACCTCTCCATACTTCCGGGTGCAAAACTAGGTATAGCGAACCGGAAGCGGCGCATGGGTGGCACTATATAGTATGCAAATGTGCGGTTGTGCCAGGGAGGACCAGAGACTTCGCTTGTCACTTATAGACAGAGACCGGGTTTAAATGCGCATCTTTCGCAGGCTTTCGGCTGTTGGTTTGGTTCAGGCTAGCGGCACAATTGGATGAGTCGTTGCCGGATGATCGTGTTACTTGTGATCTTCAGCGACTTGCCCCAGAACGGCCGACTTGTCGAGTGCGATTTTGGCGTAAGTCGATCGGTTGTTTGCCCTTGAATTTCGTCAAAGTCGGCACCGTCGGTTTTTCCAACGTGGCGAGTGTACGTGAACTTCCGCAACTCACTTCAAGTGTTGATTGCATGGCGCATGCAACTCTTGAATTGCAGTCCTTGATTGTCGCCATACAATTAAGGCCAGCTCCTGTCCAGTATTGCATACAGAAACCAACTCAAACAAGCAATTGATGCTGCTGCATATTGGAATACCCATCAAACTACCAGTTTAGCGACAACGGGTGTATTTTTATAACTTTCAGACCAGAATACAGACAACTCGAAACCCTAGACACAACATTGTGCTCGAATCCACACTGAGCGACTGGACGACAGTAACGCTCTCAAGCTGGACACTTTTCAAGGCTCAGTCTGCCCAGCGGTCTTGATATCATGCCGTGCTATGCTTGGTCATGAACGTTTGAAGCAGACTTACCCCTTTCGGACAACCAGGGGGAGGGCGGGCAGCTTCATCTGCCCGCCTGAGCCTCTCTTAGGTCCGCTGCGCCCATGTCACAGAGGGTCTCGTACGGGTGGTTAGCCGTACCGTGGCTAAAAATAATGCTAAACATACTGGTGCGCCACAATGCTGGCACCATATGCTCGAAGAGCCAGATTGAGGCTGGGCGCAAGGCGGAAAGACACGGCGTTCTCGTCACAAAGACCCACCAAGGTCACAAGCTTGGTATTGAGGTCTTGGGAGGTCTTTCTATGTTCAGGAATTAGATGACAATTCCCAGGCATCGCAACGGGCCATGCTGCCAGCTATTAAACCACTTTTACCTTGCACAGTCGAGAGTATCATGGCAGGACAAGCTCGTCTTTTGGTCGTGTCAAGATCTACACAAAAGTGTGGATGTGGCGTGGTCAGCGCACTTTGGCTTCATCCAGGCGCAGAGGATGATCCGGTTTGTCGACACAGCCACAAGCCCAGCCATCTGGGGATGAGGTCGCTATGATCCCACGAAAGCCTCACTCGTGCTGAAAAGTGGGATTGGCGAGAAAGAGCCCGTTGGTCACGATATGAGCTGTACTGCCCGGGCCAAGTTCGGCGAAGCGAAGCTCGCCTCCCAACGCTCGCTGCATAGGGGCCAACTTAGCATACTCTACTAAGCTCTCTGTTGTGAAAGGACGAGCCGATAATCGTTGCTGAAAATGGCACCGCAACCTGCAGATCCGAAGCACTATCAAGGCAAAGCACGCCACGCCCGAGATGGGCCAAGGGCATCCATCGATTCCACAGCGGTCTGCCATAGCTCTACGGCAGCTCCGCCCCGCCTCGCACTCGTCTTGCTAGGACTGACCAGTGCGGGTGCGAAAGGTCTTGGCATGTTCAAGGTAGAATTAAGGCGCATCGGTCCCGAGTCGCAAGGCTGAATTCGTTCCCCGGGGCATGCTGGTTTGTGTGGTCAGCGAGTCGCACTATCATCGTCTATGGTACCAATCACAAGCGACGCGGCTGTGGAGTCGGCGACCTTGCAGGTCGCTTCGGGTCGGGAGCTAGCTCGCCAGTCGTCTAACGTACCTATCACTAGCAATCACAGCTCGGACTCTGTGGACCTTCCTGCCGCGATCGGCAATGAGACTGACCCTGCCTCCGCAGCTTCTGGGTGCAGCCTAACGTCTTGTTGCTGCCAAGTTGAGGCAGCGGCGGCTTAGAGATCCTGGATGATCGGCATGCCTCATGCCCAGGATGGTCAGATTGTCTTTTCTTGCTTTAGTCTGGGGTTGAGCACAGCCCAATCCTTGGGCGCGCATTGAGCCTCTTTCGGTATAGACGATGGGCGACAACGACTGGCCTCAGCTGATTGGCTACAGTCGCTGCACCCCGTCGGACCCATGGACGGACAACATGATATTTTTGAAATTGAACGACGAGGCAGGCGTTTAGGGCAAATAGACATGATATATAAGTATTAGCCATATCTTCCTCTCATAGTGCGTTCGAGGGACGGCAGCATACATAGTATAAACAGGAGAGGCCGACCACCCTTCAGGCCTTGAGGAGTTTCAACTTTCAACTAACCATTCTCGAATCACCCTACCTTATCCACTTACACGAAACGCTCCACGGCTCATCATGGTCAAGTCATCACGACCACCGGCGAACGGCTTCGTCGCAGCGGCCCGCAAGGTGTACAACCCGCTTGGCTTCTCCAAGGGCTACAACTTTGTCCTCTTCTTCATCTTTGGGGTGGGCATGTTTGGCTTTGTGCTCGCCCGCTTCCCTTATCTCAACTTCCGGGGCATATACTGCAGTGGCAAAGGTGGTGCCACCATGGGCGCTCTGCCCGGCGAGTGCTACTACTACCTCAAGCCGGGCCGGTACCAGGTTGGCATCATCATGCACCTTGCCTGCGTGCTGCCCGCCACCGTGCTTGCGTTGCTGCAGTTCATCCCTGCCATCCGACACAAGGCTATGCTGTTCCACCGCATCAACGGCTACGTTACTATCGCACTATCTCTCGCGGGTACCGTCGGGGCGCTGCTCATCACCGACAAGGCCTTTGGCGGAGGACTCGACGTGCAGGCCGCCGCGGGCACGCTCGCGATCATGTTTACCACCGCACTAATCATGGCGTACATCAACATCAAGAAGCTCCAGATCGAGCAGCACCGAGCCTGGATGCTGCGGGCTTGGTATTATGTAAGTCTCTATTCTGCATTTCCAAGACGCCTGCTTGCACTTTCCTCGCACAGGAAGCACCAGCAGAAGCTGACAACTGTCGCGTGTCCTAGGCCGGCGTCATCCTCACCACCCGCATCATCCTCGTGCTGGGCGCCATGATAGGCAGCAGGGCCAATGACATGTATATTGGCATGCTGTGCGCCAAGGTCGACTTCATGATGCAGAGCAAGCCAGCCGTGCTGGCAGCGTTCCCGGGTTGTGCGCCCTTCTATTCAGGCCAGGATGCCGCCGTCCACGTTGCTGTCCATGCGGCCAACCCCGGAGCCAACGTCGCCGAGGTGACTGCCGCATTCAACGCTACGTTTGGAATGGCGCTCTGGCTGGCGCTGGTGCTGCATGCAGTCGGTATCGAGATTTATGTAGGTCGCCGTGTGCCAGTCACTCCCTCAATCCCTTTCAACAGACACAAGGCAGCTAACAAGAAGCCTCACAGCTTCACCTGACGCCTGCCGAGGCCCTCCGGCTCCGCAACATCTCGTATCAGCGGCAGATGGCTGCGGGCATGCGCAACCCCGGCAACGCAGGGCTCACAGCCCAGCGGCTGGGCGACGCGCCCGAGTACGTGCCCGACACGCAGCAAGAGCGGTCGTCGTCGGCAGACAAGTTTGAGCCCATGCGGTATAGCCCGCGTGACTACAGCCCCGTCCACACGGGCGTGTGAGCTCTGGTTGATAGGTGGCTGATGCTTCTGAAATGCAAACGTGAGCGCTGATCGACGTGTCATCTTTTGTCAACCAGGTCGTCGGTCCGGGATAAAGGATGGAGGTGAAGGAAAACACCTAGATGCTTGGATGAGAAGGAGGCTCGTGGTAGAGCCAGGATGCATATGGGGATTGCGATGCACCAGTTCACACTTTCAGTTACAAATCTGTAGCAGACACGCAACTATCCAGGTTCGATGCTTTTGCTCAGAAGCGGTACCTCGTGACATCATAAGTGCTGTCGAGTCCTCGACCTACCCTTAGAGTAGCTACCACATGATATGCTGCCATCGTCGGTGCATTCGATTGTAAACGCAGGGTCGGGAGCAATGGCCTAGTCTGGGATTAGGATTGGAGCTGGGCACTCAAAGCGAACATACGATCCCACAAACACACCGCTATGATGAGATACTCACGGGACCGAAAGTGGCCCGTGAGCACCTCAAAATAACCTTCCTGCTGGGGTTTGCCTTGCCAAGCATGCTCAACCCCGATTAGGTCGATTGCGCGCGCGCCGAGCCGCGCAGTGCTTACATGATCGACGGCACAACCACTAACCTCGTATGAGCTTGCTCATCTCCCAGGCAGCCAAAAGCGATTGAAGCTTTGGGGGGAAAAGCTGCCGCTGTTGACCATGATGTGCTGCTTTGGGCAGTGAGCGGGTGACCGATCGACAGTCGCGGTGACTGGCTGTTCCACATATTCTGCATATTCCCCCTTCGTCCTGGTATGCGCACATTCTTGGCGAGTACATCAGACTCTCACTGGAGTAATTAGCAATCATTTGGGAGGCAATTCAGTTTGCCTGCAACGCAATATTGAAGGAACATGTTTGATTTCGTTTTAACCCTTTGACCATTGGTGAAGTACTGGTTCGTTTGCAAGCAGGAAATCTCATGGCACGGAACCTGAACCGGCCACTCGAAAGACACAGAAGCCCTTGCGATGTTCGAAAACAGTAGAACTTTGAATGTTGAACACCCCAGCTTGCCCAGTGGACGAGACTGTAGCTAAACACTTCAAGCAAAGCACAACAACGAGACAACTTTGAACCGGAGAAACCATTAAGAGAATGTGCAATCTTGCTAAGAAACAGTACCCGCGCAAACGCCGATGCAGTCCAGCATGCTCAACTCCATCCCTCCTATCATATGCCGGCCCCCATATCCCCCAACCTCATGCTTTGAAAATCAGGCAGTACTACATGTCATAGATTCCAGCAACGGGGGAAGACAAAAGCCTATCCATGTTCGAAACCTCAAAGGGCAATCGCAAGTTCCTCGCCAACCCATATCTAATCGCACCAGACATGAACACCTCACCCGGAAGTGGCGGGAGCAGCACGAGCAGTAGCAGCAGCAGGCCTGCTGACAATCTTGAGATCCTTGCGGGGGCGGCTGCTCGCGTAGTGTCCGTTCTCGAACCGGAACACCTTCTGCTCCCTGTTGGCCTTGCGGGCCTCGGCGACGGCCGCGATGGCCGCCGGATCGAAGCTCATGCTGGTGAACGGGCTCGGGGACAGGGCACCGGCAGAGCAGGCCGGGTGGTGCTGCTGGTCGTTGTTCTCGGCGGCCCACCAAGCCTGGTCCGCGCACCAGTCGTAGACGCCGTCGATGTCGGCGTTGAGCTCCATCCGCGGGGTGCCGTCGCTGGGAGGGGTTGGTTGCTGAGACGCAGTGGTCGAGGAAGAGTTGCTGTTGCTGTTGCCCGAGATGCTGATCTTGTAGACCTTGTCGGTCACGTTGGCGGCGAGGAGGTTGTACCAGCTCATGCCCAGCATGCCGGGCTGGGAGAAGTCGAAGATGACATCGTCGTAGGCGGAGAGGATGGCGAGAATGGCCTGGTTGTTGTTGGGCGCCGTGGGCCCAGCTGAGAAGTGCTGCTGGCGCTGCGGGCTGATGGGCGAGCTCGGTGTGGCCGAGGGTTGCCAGACTGTGGGGATGACGAGCATGGAAGGCATGGTGGTGGTGGTTGTGGTGGTAGTGATGGAGGTGTGCTTCGTGATGGTGTGGTAATTTTCCTTGTACTTGTGTCAATGTTGGATGATGTGGTGGTCTGAGTCGAGCTCGAGTGGTAGAGAGTGCTTGTGGCGAGATCTTTCAACGGCCAAGTCGAGTGTGGGCAAGCTTATAAGGGAGACTCTCTGTTGACGGATCGTGCGTCAATGTCCGCTATTCTTACATCATGTTGCGACACCGCACAGAGCAGAGACAGTCCCGACCCGCCAAGGGATATTCGCTGCTCCGTAAGGCCCGTCTGAGAACACGGGGAGCGAGCGGCCCGCAAGCCGGCCGTTCTGGCGGCCGTGGAGGAGCCTAGACCAACGCCATCATCGGCAGTTCGGCATACCCATTTCCACAGAGACAGGCATGTCCGCTGGCGGGCGGAGCACAATGAGCAACCCCAACGAGCGCTCTGCTGCACCTGAAGCTCAAGGGAACGATTGCGAAAGTGGTGAGGTCGGCGCCGGGGTCAGCATGCCCAGTCGGCATAAGCGGGGCCGGACTTTTCGGCAGCGTGCTACATGCCGCGCCAGCACTAAGCACACGCGGCGCCGCGACCGTCTCCGACCAATGAACATTTTGTGGGAAAGCTATTCGCTTGTCAGTCGGGTGCGCATGTTGGATCCCCGTTCAGGCGGCCTCGTGATAGTCTGTCTACGCCAAGTGATCATTCTCCATACTTGGCCACGGTCTCTGTGGACACTAGATCGGGACTGCTGGCCTGCGTCACCAAGGTCAGGTCGAGCAGACATCTTAATCTTGGAGGCTGCGGACTGTTCCGTCCGGACAATGGCCTCATTCTTCACATGTGCTGTTCTGAAAGATCAATTCATTCATGCCCAGGGCTTGACACTATGAGAGCATGCATTATCACGACATGGCTGCGACCACCATCCTCTCTACGAGGACGCCGGAGTCCACAACGCATACACGTGGGATACATCAGTCTCAATACAATTGCGGCTTTACAACAGCTCCAAAACCCCTATGACGTAAATGCAACATCCAATGACCAGTGCCACCATTCTGACGCACACACAAAGTGATGACAGCTAACACTGAAGAACAAACTCGAAGCGATTGCTGAATTGAGAAATAACTATGAAACCCATCCCAACTCCACATGTTCCAAAAATCAAGCCAAAGTCACGCAAACGGGATACATTGGCCGCGGTCTATGCCCTCCTTCTATCCCAAACGTCCCCCGCACTGCCTCATATCACATGGTATCCCCTGTCTTACGGCCGGCCGCTTTAACCGCACAGATCTCGTGTCTGGGCATCAGATCCGCTGCCCAGCTCCGGGAGGGGGAGCATAATACTGCTGCTGCTGCTGCTGGCCCTGGGGAGGAGGGTAGGCGGGCGCGGAGCCGGCCGAGTCGTACGCGTACTGGGCGTTGGCGTTGTTGGCCTTCTCGTCGGCCTCAGCGCGGGCCTTGTTCTTGGAGCGCTTCTGTTTCGATGGGAAACAAAAGGACAAAGTCAGTACTCGCGTGCTTGTAATATAAGGCTGGGGACGTATGGAGAAAAGTGGAACACACGCGGAGGAGGGCGAAGAGTCCGATGCACATCTTGGCGAGGAAGCGGTGGTTGAGTCTGTGGTTTGGATGGGAGGGTCTGTCCGGCTGGGTTGATGATGAGATTTGCCAAGAAAAGTTGCAGTGCACGGGGCAGTAGTGGTTTGCAGTGTTGCTTGATCTGGATGACTTTTCTTTCCGACGGTTCTGGGGATGCCAAGACACCGTCTTATATATACAGGTTGGGGAGAGGATTCACTAGTGGCTGGTTTGCTGTGCCGCGTGGCTCCTGCAAAAAGCCCCACGGAGCTGTGTCACACACACACACAGGTGATGGTTTACTGCGATGTCTGTTCCCGGGCCACGCAAGCACGGACTTTGCGACAGTAATTGTTGCTGGTCCATTTGTCCCTCCCCCTGCCTGGGCGATTTCTGCAAAACCGTGCGAGATAGCAAAGTCGACAGGCCCTGGGACAATGGTCGGCCCTTGAACTCCACAATAAAGCTTGTTCTCTGGGGCGGGCGTGGCGCGCGCCGATCCGACTTACTACGCCCCTTGCGCTAGGGCTGACGACTTGCAGCAACAGGTCCAGGGACGGGACGCACACTGCGTACGCAGCCACATAAGGGCTGTGCCACTGCCGATGACTATGAACCGGGACGATCTGCACGGACACGTCGGTGCAAGCCAGTGCCGGGCACTGCTGTGCAACTCTGGCAGTGTGGCTGTCCTTATCTTGATAGTCCGGGGTCGAAGTCACATGTCATGGACGACGTGGGCAGCAGTATCGCATCTCCATTGATTTCCGACTGGGGCCCACAGTCCTGGACGGCAAAGCCATGCTGCAGACTGTGCTTTGTGTAGCTGCTCACATGGACTTGACTGTTTGATGAAATCTTGACTCAATCTGCCTGCTACACTACATGGTCGTGCAAGGCGCGGACCTCGTCCACGATGCCCTCAAGCTGCTGCCGGGTCGGAACGACCTGCCCACAATTCGGCGGCTTGGGCGCGAGCGCGAGCAGCTTTGTGGTGCGGCCAGCATCGACAAAGGCGTGGTGGTGTATGCTCCCTTCGCTTACAGTCGTCGCTGGCGACCCCTTGGACCCAAGCGGACTGCTCCCGTCGCTTACACTGCCGGCACCACGAACCCCGTGAAGCTGCTGCTGCTGGCTGTCTGTCCTCATTCCATGCCCCTGGGCTACTACTACATCACTGAGCATGGTCATCTCCTCAATCGTGCCCACAACCTCGCGCATGGCCGGTTGCACAATCTCATCGGCCGTATAATCGGCCCAGTACCCACCGACCCGCCACTCCTCTGGCGGTAGGCCGGGACACAGGGCTGGGCGCAGGACCTCTGGGCCCGGGTGCGCGGGCGAGTTGCGGGGCTCGTGGTCGAGCACGACGCCGTGCTCGGCCTCTACAATCCTCAGGCCCTTTTCGTACATGAGGTTGACGTCCCACAGGCTCTCCCGGGGCGCGCTGAGGAAGAGCATCAGCTGGAGGGCCTGGAGGCGGAGCTCGAGGTCGCGGCATTTCACGGCGATGAAGTAGAGGATGGGCGCGTAGCCCATCTCGAGCATGAACTTGAAGTGGTCCTTGGCAGCGTGCCACGCGGGGGGAAGGCTCGTGCGGAAGACGGAGCACTGGGCGATGCACCGGCCAAAGACGTCGAGGTAGCCGTCGTAGGCCGTCTCGGCCGGGTCGAAGGCGGTGGCGGCCCAGATCCGGCACACCTCGTACCGGACGCGTAGCATCGTGCGCGTTAGCTGCCGGGCCGGGTTGCTGTGGTCGGCGGCGGTGCGGGGGCGGGACTCGAGGTCGTGCCACAGGGCGTGCCAGTGGTCGAGGAAGGCGTGGGCCTGGCGCTGCAGAGCGAGCAGGTGGGCGGGGACGGGGACTTTTTGTTGATGTTCTTGTTGGTGTTGCTGGGGAATAAGAGCTGGAGGAAGAGGAGTGGATTCCGATGCCGAGGTGGTAGATGAGAAGGATAGGCGTGTTGTTGTTGGTGGTGGCGGTGACGATGCTGATGCTAGTGAGGATGGACTGGAAGCGAACACTCTCTGTCTATAAGGCTCCCCGAGACGGACGAGGTGCGCGGAAAGGATCATGCCGTCCCACAGCAGGTCCCGGGCGTCGGACAAGACAGCAAAGGAGAGGGGCAGGGGGTCCTCGAGGGGCAGGAGGCGCAAGGGGAAGTCGTCTGGGAACCTGCCAAAGAGGAGGGGGAGCAGTGTCATGCGGCGGAAGATGGGGATGAGGTACTCGCGGATCCAGCCGTGGCGGCCGGCAATGTCGTTGAGGAGGGCGATGCCGTGCTTGCAGTGCTGGACGGCGACGGCGGTGTTGTTCTGGAGGACCTCGATGCAGATGAAGAGGACGCAGGCGAGCACAATCAGGGGCTGGTTGTCGGAGCTGCGCAGCTGGCCGATGGCGGCGTTGTAGTGGTTGAGGGCGAGGCTGCTGTCCTCGAGGACGACCATCGGGCCCCGGGGGTTGCGCCGCAGCTTCTCGAACAGGGACGAGATGGCGACGACCGAGTGCCGCACCGCCGGCTCGAACGAGCTGAACTGGTACACGAGCCGGCTCCAGAAGTTGGGGTCGATGGCGCCCGACATGCCCGGCCCGGCCGCCGTGCAGTAGTACTGCAGCGCCCGCGCCTCGGCCGGGTCGTCCGCCGACGCCAGCAGGCTCCGCGGCCGGTGCCATCCGATCAGCGCCGGGTCCCCCGTGTGCCGCGCCGCGTAGCCCTCGCACGCCCGCCCGGCCCGCACGCACCGCTGGCACTCGGGCTTGGCCTCGTCGCACTTGACCTTGCGGGACCTGTCGAGGGGGTCAGAAGGCGATGGTTGTTAGCCGGGGAAAGCAGGGAGGAGAACGCAATGGCGGAGAGGGGCACTGACTTGCAGGTCAGACAGCCGGTGCGGACCTTTGAGCTGCCTTTGCGCACCATGGCTGGCGGATGCGCTGTCCTGTGTCAGGATCGCGAATGCCGGGGCCCAATGACACCATCCGCCGTTGTCGTGCCCGCGGCCCAGGAGGGAGAAACAGCAGGAGACAAGAGTCCCCGCAGAGTCCGAGGTCGTGCGTCCAGCCCCCTGCGCAGGTGTGTGTGTCCGGATGACGCGGAGAGGGGGGAGGGGGCCTGCAGAGCCAGACAGAGACCGCTGATCGGACGATAAGAGGCCGGTGGCAGCGTCGTCCCCAGGTTGGCGAGTCTGCCGGTCGCGTCCAGTTGTTGTTGTTGTTGTCGTCGCTGGTGACAACAGACGAGAGAGCGGTAGTGGATGCACTAATGGCAGCCAACGTTGAGCCCTACAGGGCGGGTTGGAAGTTGGAACCCACTACCAACGGCAAAACGTCCGAAGCCATCCGTCCAAGGCCATCCACTCACTAGATTGGAGCTACTCTAAGTAGGACGTAAGCACTCAACTGCCGGGCCTTATCGCCTCCACAAGTGGGCACCAGCCCCCAGGCTAATTTTAGAAGGGGGGGGGCAGGCTGTCCGTTGCCACCCCAGGTTCTGAAGTTATGCAAAGAAATGCTCTCCAAAATGATGTTTGCGGAGCGGGAGCAGACGAGTAAAGAGGACGAAGGGTGGGACAAAGTAAGAAAAACAATCGGGTCGAGATGAATCAGGAGCCTTATCGACGTCTTTGAGGCAGGCAAAAAGTGAGGTCGTACTGGGATTCGAACCCAGGTCGCCGGAAATCCCGCTCAAATCCCAGTAGGACCATGAGACATCAGAATCCGAAGTGATAACCAACTACACTATACAACCGACCATTGATGGAAGTTTGAGGCCCTTATTATGCTTTATAACTCTTTCACATGGCGGGTATGCATTCATCCATGCTATTGTCGGACTTGTTAAACATGACCTTGTCAACATGACCTCGGCAGAGATCTCCCATAGAGCACGACGCATGGCCCATGGCGAGTACGGAGACACAGCGCAGCGTCTTGAGCACAATAGCCGCCTTTTGATTCCCACGGGGCCAGTGAGAGTGAGAGCTGGCCCCAGTGACTACTGCGTAGCTGTCTGGAGCGCGTGGTGATCTGCAGTTGTGGGGAAATGCTGGACCTCGGATGACACCCCCTCATCTGGCCGGCCATGCCGCACTCATCGGGGAGGACAAAGGGCCGGTGGCCAGCATCAAGAAAAAAGCATCGACCACCCAAGAGGGTCGCGTCGATGCAACGCGGGAAGCCAAACAATCCCTGTGACGGACGGGATCCCGGTCGGCCCAGACACCCTGGTTGCATTTCCTAGGCCTGTCCCTGTCCCCGTCCTCCAGCGGTTGTTGCATGTGAAGCAAGCTGGGGAAGTCCTCGCATGCTCTCTACACAGCTCTTCTTCTTCTCTGTTCCCCAATAACTCATATTGCATCGGCGGCCATCAATCTCGGCGCTCTCGATTTGACTTATTTTTTTAGTCCCTCTACTGCCCACGCCAGGCCCACGCACCCGTCCAAAGACAGCCCTGCCCACCATGGTCATGCCCAAGAGCATCACCAAGCCCGAGTGGACGACCTTCGGGCACTCGGCCGTGTTCGACTCGAGCCGGGCCGAGCGCGTCGAGGACGAGGCCTTCTTCCGCACCATCCCCGCCTGCAACGAGCGCCTGAGCCGGCCGGGCGTGCGCACCTGGGCCCCCGCGACGAGCGACGTCTTCGCCATCACGCTCAACACGGACCTCGCGCTCAAGGGCTTCCTCGTGTACTGGGACGAGCCCGCGCGAGACGCCGCCGCCGCCAGCAACAACAACAGCCAAGACATATCAAAGTCCCCGGCGCAGAAAGTCGAGTACACCCCCGGCACGTCGCACCTGATCCCGGACGCGGACGAAGTGCCCCTCGTGCGCGAGGTGCACGCCCTGCTGCGCACGGAAATCGGCCTGCAGTCGTACCCGGGCCTCATGCAGGGCGGCATCGTGTCCGCCCTCATGGACGAGATCACCGGTCTGGCCACCGTGGTGAACCGCATCCGCGGCGTCAGAGGCTTCAAAGAGCACCTGTTCATGACCTCGAGCATCACGACGGCTTTTGCCAGGCCCGTGCCCACGCCCGCCACCCTCGTCGTCACTGCGCGGATCAAGGAGCTCAAGGGCAGGGTGGCCACTGTCGAAGGGGAGATTAGGAATTTCGAAAAGGGTGGCGAGACGGGCCCTGTGCTGGCCAAGGTGGATGCTGTGTGGGCTGGCATCAAGCTGCGGGACGGCAAGCCGGTGCAGTTCAAGTTGTGAGGGGCCTGTATTTTGTTTAATTTCCGTCTTTCTGGCCAGTGCCTTGTACATTCCTCGTTTTTCCCGTCATCCATTCCAGCAGGCTTGTTCTGACAGCCCGGACTTTGACCATCTTTGGCGCCGGAGCTGTTTGTGGGTTTTAGCGACGACGATGGAAGCCCAGTGCGTTCACAACATCTCGGCCATCAGCTTGATGGTTTCAAAGAGGGCAGTGCTATCTTGAGAGACTGCCTCGCCCCAGGAGGGCCCAGGTTCGTGAGCGCAGCACGCCCCGACTCAAGGGCAGCAGTGCTCAGAAAGTCAGGTTGGCAACAGATGCCAGGGCTGAGTACGTTCCCACGCCTGCACTCTCAAGTGAGCTGCCAGAGAGTTTTCAAGGACAGAGCTCGAGATATCTGATGGCCCTCGGGCTGGGTAACTATGGGCATGGCATGAGCTCATTGCGCCGCTCCTAGCGGTATGCTGTGGCATGAATGCAGCCATGCGCTTGTTTTGACGATTGTAGACGCACCAGACGGATCTTTGGCTCATACAACAACCTAGGAAGTCGCGAGTATCTTGTCTTCTTATAGACCGAACATAGATAATTGTGAGTCCTCCACTATATACATCAAGCGATACATCAAGCGGAATCCGACCCAAACTCTTTGGAATAGTGAATCTGCAGACCCTTATGGCCGCTCGCCACCCGCTGATGTTGCGGGTGCGCCGCCGCATCAAACCCCTTCGCGCCGGACACGACGTGCACGGTGTAGTCCACCACGACAGCCCTGTCCTCCTTCCGGGGGATCGCGGCAGTAGAGGAGTGCAAGTCCGCGGTACTGCCCACGGGCCCAGTACCCACGCCGGCCCCGCGCTGCGAGTCGTCGTCGTCGTCATCAGTCACATCGTCCATCAGATTGAACGTGGCCATGCTGAACACGTTGCTCGTCGCGCGGGATTTGTTGAAGCCAGTATCGCCCCCCGCGCCGCCGACGGCCCTGCTGTTGTAATACTGCACGCCCCCCTGGCCGTAGGTTGGGGCGGTGGTGTTGGTGGACAGACCGAGCTTGACAAGCACGATGCGGAACAGCGGCCGGAGCGTGGCGAAGCTGCCCGCTGCGATGGCGCGGCCGGCTTCGACTTGAGACCAGACAGCAATCGTGGTGGCAGACCCTGTTGGCGTGACGTAGGTTGTGTCAGAGAGGCAAGAGGAGGTAGATTGGCTGGTAAGTCGAGCTTACAGAGGAAGTCGGGATCTCTAAAGTCCCCGACGTGAGGCATGCAGATGACGATGGCGGCACTGGCACTATCAGAAAGATTACTCGGTCAGCGGGCGGATACTCTGAGTTACAAGTTCAACGTCAAACTCACATGCAAGCCATGCCAACGACTAATGTCAACGCCATCTTGGTCTTGAAGTCCATCTGCAGGTGGAAGACGAGCCAGGCGGGCAGCAGCGTGAGGGTAAAATCAGTAAAGATGGCGAGCGAGCTGGAGTGATGCTTCGAAGCCAGAAGAACCAACAAACTGTGCGACGGTCCAGATGCTACCGTAAGTAAGGGAAGATTTCTTTTAGAACTGCAGCGCAAAATCGACCATGAACTATTTCGCAAGGAGGAATGCAGTCAATCCAGGTATGGTAACTGCAATGCCCCATCCATATCTCTTCTTGGTCTTGATTATTCTTTTCCTGGCGCCTCTTGTGGCCCAAAGACCCATTGCATGCACAGGTCAGCGATTTCCAAACGCAAGTGTGAAGATGCGCGCTTTTTATCAGGGGTTGTGCCGATGAAGCGTTGCCATAATCCCCAAGTGCTCATTTAAATCATTTTCCTATGAGTCTTCTGGTGGATTCGGGTTTCAATTGCTCAAGTGACTTAGTCAAACTAAGAAAGGAGAATGGTGAGGAGTTGGCTGGTTGGTCCACTGTTGATAGAGATATCAGTTGTCCGCATCCTTGAAGCTGAGTACATGCAGAGCATATGTTGTGGTTGCAGTTGTTGGCTGGTATCTGTTTCAGGATATGGACTTCACGAATACATACGTTCCTGGATCTGAAGACTTTATCATGCTATCTAGGAAAAGCTGTCAAAGTGTACAGTGCTAAAAGGGGTCTAATTGGGCTTGCCGGAGGTTCCCTGTAAGCGAGCCTTGGCCCCCTAACAAACTTAAACCCCCTCTCCTGCTTTTTTGGACCCGGCCTGTTACATTTAACCTCTTGACCTCCAGGCACCAGCAATAGGGACAGTATTAGTCCCCCCCGGGCCTAGCGGCTCCATGCGACGCAAAGCCTATCCCAAGAACCGGGGAGGTTCTCCGATTGCAGGGCGTCCTTCTTCTTCTGCATGAACGAGACAACAAGCCAAGCGCCTGAGCACACCTTTTATCAAGCCAGTCGTTGAAGGCACGCGTCTCACCTACAAGGCTGTCGACGTGGCAGCCTCTGATCGCGGCGAGCCTGGCATGTATTAAGACGTTGTAGCTCGCTCCCCAGTCTGATTGACCGTTTCCTCTCGTCGCCAGCCACAATGGTGCGTGCGGTCGGGCATCTAGACAAACGAAAGCGTGCCTTCCGATGCCAGGCCTGTGTAAGAAGACGTATCCGGGTCAGTTCAACTCTGTTGTCGTCTGATCGAGCGGGATGGCTGACGGAACATCTATGTTGCAGTGTGACGGACAGATTCCATGCAGCACCTGTGCCCGCTTGAAGAAGTCCTGCCTACCACAAGGGCAGGATCAGCCACAGCATGTCAAGTTCGTGACCTTCGTGGCAGGTGTCGATCCAGACATGCTAGGACAAAGCGACATTCCCTTACCGATCAACTCGCCGCCCGATGTCCTCTTTACAGATCATTTCATTACTTTCCTCGCCACCTGCCAGCTTACGAAGCGGTTCAGCGCCCTGGCACCTGAATTCATCCACTTCATTCAATCGCCCGGGCCGTTGCGGGACATTGCGTTAGCCATCGGTGCTCTTGAGACCAGCAGGAAGGGCTCTATCCGAAGCTCGGGACGGCGAGAGAACACAGACTCGACTGCTTTGTCTCTGTATGGGAGGTCAATTCGTACTTTTAGCAAGGATATTGCAGCTCCCACCTTTCAGCCTGGCGAGGAGGCTTTGTGGACCACCTTCTTGTTGGGATTGTTCGAGGTAAGGCATCCGTCCCGCCGAAATTGACTACTACCCTATGGATGTGGAAACTTGTAGTTGACTATAATGAAGCTCATGTCCAAGGTCTCGTCTGCGGATGCCTGGTCTATGCATATGATCCAAGGCGTGAGCCAGATAATCAAGCACATACCCTCCTCAGCGCCGCTGACGCCGCTTGGCAATGAATTGCTGGAGGTATGTCGCTGCCTTGGAATTCACAGGGCAATACTTTACGGTGCAGATACCTCTCTGGAGATGCACAGAATTGTAGAGAAGGCAGACAGTTCTCAGTTTTCCGCAATGCGTTTATCTCTCGAGCTTATGCTTGGGGCATCACTTCTTAGCCAGCAGTAAGGACCTTGACCCCTTGACCTGATTGTCGAAGAGAGCAAATGACTTATATCTTGACATACAGAATGTTCGACGAACTTCAGAAGCCAGTACTTACTAGCGGTCAAAGTGATATCGCCACTTCGTGGGCTCTCAAAGGCGTTGCATTCCATGAGAGGCTCAGGAAAGCATTGGTCCCCATAAGCGAGCGCCTCCAAGTCTACGACCCATTCGAAAGACTTGCACTGGCTAACATTTGCGCTGTTACCTTATACTTCTGTCGAAACTTTAGCTTCTTTCCTTGTTTTGTTGGCCTGAGACCGCCACATCTCTCAGATGATGAAGTGGAAAGACTCGTCACCACGATTCTTGAAGAGCTTGAGAGAATTCTGGAAAGGTCAACAGTCGCTAATATGCTTCTTCTCTTTCCTCTTCGCGTTGCTGGAGCTGCTTCCAGGACGACCTCACACAAAGCTAGAGTCTGCAAGGCGCTCAAAGTCATATACAATCGAGGACTCGCCGTATCGGAATGGGTTCTCATGGACCTGCAGAAGCTCTGGGACTGGCAAGAAAGTACTCATATTATAGGATAAAACTATCATAAGCCGACTAATTCAAGGATCCTTCGCCAGGCGGTCTTCCAATCCAAGTCATGACCCAGGCCGTAGCTTCGAAGCCCTCGCTGAGTGTGTACCAATCAGCACTACGTCCTCTGCCCGGAATCGTTTAGGCTTTGATATTGTAGAAGCGGGTGGTGGCCCTCGTTCTCAGCTCGGGCGCAAAGTAATCGTAACCGACGAGCTTGTTATCGTTGTCGACGTAAGTGGTGACAGGAATGACTCCCTGGTACATGATGCTCCACTGTGGATTGATGCCATTGTCAGTTGACAATCTTCCTTGCGCATCTTGTCTAAGGCATAATCAAGGTATCTACTTACGGATGCAACGAGCCCGACGAAATCGCGATCTACCATTCCGGTATAGACCGCGCCAGATGTGATGAGCATGTCGTCTTGGAAGATTGGGAAGTTCGAATTGACGTAGCCTCTCCACACTTGAGGTTTGTCATTCGGGCGATAAGTCGTCAAGGTATTATCAACCAGTCCCTCCTTGGTGACGTTCTTGTAATCGAAGAAGGAGAGGGACAACCCGTCTTCGTTGGCCTGGTTGACCGCGACGAAACCCTTGGAGGCGGCGTTGGTGATATAACCCTGTGTAATATGCGAGAGGTTGACGTTCCTACAACCAATCAATCAGTCAATAAGTCAAGCACGAATCAGACACTGTGACCACGGCCATGAAGCGAAGCTTACCACTTATGCTGGACAAAGCTGGCTGTGAATTCGTGCTTAATTCTCGGCGGTTCAGGCTGCTTGAAGGTGGACGCGAACTCAATCTGGGAAGATTTGCAGGGGGCACAGCCGGAGTGTGAGGTAGCCGCTGCCAAAGGAGCGAGAACACTGCCGAAAATGGCCGAGAAATGCATTATGGCCTGTGATGTTGAAGGGTTGACGAGTCAAGATGGATGCGTTGAGAGTGCCACGTTGAATCTACCATGGACTGCTCTGCAGGATAGTCCAGACCTTTTATAGAGCTCGCTTATAGTCATTTTCCGTATCCGTTACTGATGGTAGATCGTTCCCAGCGCAGCCTGTCTAGGCAGCCGTTCAGTCTCGTTCAGCTATGGCGGTATTGCGATATGTCGAGACCCAGCAATCTTCGTCTCGACGATCTGGGCACGCGCTCGAATATTTCCCGACCGGGCAATTTGTGGATCGGCCTAGCGGTGTCCTCCAACAAAGTCCTGGTGGCGCAGCATGAGACGAACACGCCAGGATGGTTTAGGAGGGTTGTGGAACCCCTACGTTTTGCAATTAAGGTATGCTCCGAATTCACTAATCTTCAAGCCGCAGTGGGCCCTTGACGTTGCTCCTTACTTGCATTGGGGAGTCTTAGCTGGTGCACCCGATCCGATCCACCGAGAAGGCGCACAAGTACCTGGAAGTACCAAACAAACTGCACAATTTACCGCAGGTCACTGACACAGCTAATTTTGACGCTTGGTTATATATTGACATACGATTCCCCCGAACCATCAACAGCATCAGTGGTTTAGTGGTAAAATCCATCGTTGCCATCGATGGGCCCCGTGTTCGATTCACGGCTGATGCATCAGAATTTCCCTTTTGCCAGTGCTTGCAAGGGGTTGTCCTTTTTTTTGCATCTCACGATGCCGCGGGTCTGCTACTGTATTGCACAAAAAGATGTCGCTGTTTCAGCCAATCAGGATTCAGTCTAGATTCGTCTAGTGGTTAGGATACACACCACGTCCCATCCCTTTTTGCCCCTGTCAATTCTACCTGAACTCACGCAGTCAAGGCGAACTGCCCTGCACTTGGGCAGTTCCATGTATATGTGCCGTCCATGGAACCGGGCCGCTTTATACATAACGACGACGATCGCCTACATCATTCACCGCTAGAGAGTTCCCATCATCTATCTGCTAGTGCCCTAGATTGCATTGTATTTTGACTGTAGCTACGTAAAATTGGACTCCATGAATCCGCCATCGATGTCCCAGATGGCCTTGGTGACAAACTTGCTGTCGTCACCGAGCAGGAAACAAATAGAAGCGGCAATCTCCTCGGGCTCAGCCATGCGCCGAAACAGCTGAGGCAGCGTCTCGCCGGTCGAAATAAACTCGCTGCCATCCGGCAAGAAGAAGGGCTTCGAGGTCATCTCGGAGTTGATGCCTCCACTAGTGTCGTTCACTATCAGCTCCTGTGTCTGCAATCACTCTGGGGAAGGTCGATCAGAAGGGGTGATGCTGAACTTACGGATTGATGGCATTAACACGCATTCCTTTCGGCGCCGCCTCGAAGGCAGCAGCCTTGGTCAGGCCCATCAGGCCGTGCTTCGATGCAATGTACGCTCCCTGCCCATAGGACGCATATTTGCTGTTGACGCTGCCGACGTTGACGATGCTGCCGCCTGTCGAGACGACCTTGAGCTGCTCACGCAGGAGGTGGAACATGCCAGTCAGGTTGACGTCAACAATCTCCTTCCAGTCCTTGAGAGACATGTCGGTGAGAGGGCTGATATAGCGCTGCTCCTTGCCTGTTGGCACTGTCAGCACGGACGTTGACGCTGATGCTACTCGCATTGACGGACGTGTGTGTACTATGGCATGGGTCGTGAAGACATAAGGAGAACCTACCAGAAACGTTTGCGCACCCGTCAATGCGTCCAAAGTGCTTGAGCACGGCGTTGATCCACGTCTCGACCCGGTCCAACTTGGTAATATCGGCGACATGGTCATGGAGGCGATCTGATGCATCGGGGAACTCTTTGAGCAGAGATGCTTTGGCAGTCGCAATGTTGTCTGCTGAGGAGCTCGAAATGGAAACCGAAGCATCGCGGGCAAGGAGGTGCTTGGCCACAGCGAGACCGGTGCCACGGCTGCCGCCAGCTACAGTAAATACCTTGCCGGCAAATGTCTGCGGGAGCTCCGGGTCGCGTGCCGCGGGCATCTTTGAGTCAACAGGGGGAATCTTTTGGGATTTAGCTGGAGCGCAGACAGAACAGAGAGACTGGGACTTTTGCTGGGCACCAGAGTTCTTTTACCGGTGTGAGAGGAGAGACTTGGGGAAAGGTGAAGAATGCATGACCGCGGTAGACAATTTGCAGCATGATTCGCTTATCTGAGTGGCAGGCATTTGATGATGGATCAGGCTCGATATCGGCAACCCGGCCTGGCGCTACATCATTGAGCTGGTTGGACTTGCATGCAAGCTCTAGAGCGTACACAGTGAGAAGCCGTGGCTCGCTGAGCACACTGGGCATTGCTTCAACGGCCGCATTGTGTTTGCTTTGTTAAATGAGATCCAGTTATCATTTGGACGAGATAAGCGAGGAGCCCTCGAAAGGACTGGCCTCCTCGTCCGTCACAAGATCTTCATCCTGCTCCATTGACCAAGCTTACGACACAAGGGGTCAGAGGGCGACATCTTGTTGTCACATCCGGCCCCGCCAGCCGGAAATGTTGGCTGCAAGGTACACACCTTGGCCAGGGATTCTCTTACCCCAAACCGAACCAACACGTTTTGGGGTCTTGTGCGGCATCTCCCGGCTGGATGGCGGCCGCTGCAGCGCGTCTGCGACAGACCATTCTCTCTGTCCATGTTAGTAGCTAAGCTTTCAGACCAATGCTGTGCGCCATGGACAAAAATAAGTCCATGCCCATGGCTAAAAATGTGTCTGCCCGGCACGAAGATTAGCTTCCGCCTGCACTTGTTACGAGGCCCAAAATACTCGGTGTATCCAAGCTCAACCCCCCACGAGATAGTCAATACTTCCAGGGGCATGATGATCATTACTTTGGTTCATGTCCATAGTACATTTCCAAGGTTAGGCTGGCATGTGGTCCGGGTCACCAAGCTCATGCAGCGTGAATGTGATCAGAAGGCACGGTAGCATCCCTTGGGGGCTAAGGGTTTGTTGGTTTGGATTCTCGAGCAGATGCCCCCTTCATGCAACCACTACGCGCCTTAGGCCCCTGCTCCTCGGGACCAACATGCGCGTATCCAGGTACAACCCCTCAGTTCCATGGCGCCACTGAATGCAGATGTGGATGACAAAAGCGAGAATTTGAAAGTCTTCTGCAGCAGCATCGGACGAGAAGGTGATAGTATCTAGCAGTGGTTGTAACTCTCAATTCAGCAGGAACCGAAGCGAAGACAACGTCGGAGACGAGGGGGAGATGCTGTGGTCTCCTCATGGCGTCACAAAACAGGTGTGGAAGGGCAACCATGCCGGAACATCATAAAAACATGAAGACAACATCAGTCTGGACTCATGGGAGGAGCCTTTCGGCACCGGGAAGAGCACGCGGACAGTGATTCCAGCGGCAGCGGGCGTGCCTTGCCGGCGGGAGTCGTTGGACCCGCGTCCTCCATCGTCTGGAGGAGATAGTATTATTGTAACAAGGAAAACGGGAGGACGGGGAATGTAAGCGGAACCGCGGCAGCACATAGTCCTGTTTCAAGACACAGGATAATTCAATTTAAACAAGCCGGGATCAAGCAACCTTCTCTCAACAGCTTCTGACTCGCGAGAGTGCCTGGATTGGATAATCTTCCAAAATGCTTCCCAAAGAGAGCATGCCCAATAAATTCCATCTAATTGAATTCAAAGTGCTTATTCCAAATCAATATCTAATTCTTGAAAGGCTTGAGAAAGAAAGTCCAATGGCCAGGACCAGGTTTCACACGCCCCAGTATTTTCCACAACAATCCACTTTTGTTCCTCTATATATATGCGCTGACAACCCGACCGGCCTTCAACAAACTGAACCAAATCGGGCTGCTTCAAACAGACCGATCATCCCTTCAATGGGCACTTTGGCGGAGTGGTTAACGCGATGCCCTGCTAGTATATCCACTCTATTCCATCCGAATAGCTAGGGTTCTAACGTGAGGCATTTCCTTCGGGAGCGCAGGTTCGAATCCTGCAGGTGTCGAGCGCTATAAGCTCACTCAGCAGTAGCTGGGTTCTTTTTTTGGTCCCTGTAGGACGTGTGGTTGTTGTGTTGTGGATTTTCAAAGATTCGGGTGTAGGGGTGATGATTTTTGGTGTTTTGCGCGGATGTGGCTGCAATTCAGCGCAGTTGCCGTAATGTCGGCGTGCACAGCGTCATTCTACAGAGCTCCCTTGTGCAATCTGGTCCGTGGGACGCCTGGGGGCCTTTGGATAAAAAAAAAAGGCAATCGACCCGCCCTGTCCCCCATAGCCGCGCACTGGGCATATGCCCGCCAGTTCACTGATTCCCACTGAATGTAGCGCGGCTCGAGAAAGGTCTCTGGCACGACAGGTGGCTTCTGACATCCCTCAGGCCGTGGTGCGTGCCCCGTGGTCGAGAGTGTGTGCCTTGCGACAATTGCGGCTGGGTCCACATCCAGTTGGCCGGGCTCGGACAAGCCTCCGCAACGGGCAGTCAACCTTTATGGCACTGCCACGATTCGAGCCTATCATAGAGACAGGTCACAGGCAGTGACGACGCATGGCAGAGCTTTGTGACCAGCTTTTGGCGGGGTTGAGCAAGAAGGCCGGCACGACTTCAGCCTCAGCCCGACGTGGCGTGCATCGGATGCGTGCGCCGATCATTCCTCCGTAGCGCCTTGGCCATGGACATTTCCTTTCTGGGGGCGAGACACCGTGGTGATCGACCTCAGAGGCCTGGAAATGATGTAAGGACAACAGCCTCATTGGAAAAGTGCCGTTGAACCTACGCGACATATGCCCTCTGAAAGGAAGCATATTGGTTGGCCCTCTTGGAGCGCAGTTATGCACAGAGTGCTCCAGCTGTTCGGGAGATCGGCACCAGAGGCGCATCTCCATGACAGCGCGGTGCCTGGGCCTAGGTGTGTCCATTTCAGGTAATCCTTGGCCGTTCTATTCATGGTTCTGCCGCTGCAATTGACGAATGAACGCACGTGTGGTGCCAAAGGGCGTCAAGGTACGTTGTACTTCCGGCCTGACAACGTCATCGTCGCCTCTGCCACTTCGAAGTATATGAACCCAATCGGGCCCATGCAATCACCAAGTCTGTGCCTCACAACGAGACACTGACAACACAGCCCAACCACTCTCCAGGCCAAGACTGCCACGACGTCCTGCGCAAGATACAATCCAGACCAGCGACATGGGCAACACACAATCATCTGGGCGCGATGCGAACCTCTGCACAACGCCAGAATGCATTAGCATCGCCAATGGTATTCTCTCCAAGCTCGCCCCAAACTATCACGACCTGGACCCTTGTGAGATTTGACCAGTGTGCGTAGACCAAACCCTGCCTGAGAGATGTGTTTCATGCTCACATGGTTGCCAGATGCCTGTGGCGGCTACTACGAGACTACAGCTCTTGGCCTGACAGACCTTCTTAAAAGTGACCAGGGTGACCAATTGATTGACAACTCGGTCCTGATCAGTAACGTTCTCGAGAAGCCCTACGATTTATACGCAGTGAGTCCATGATGCTCTGGCGGAGGCAGGCCCGGTGTCCACTAACCGCAGTGATAACAACTAGACAAGCTCCCCGTCTCCGCTCGACGAGGCTTTCTTTATCAAGCTCCAGACAGCATATTTGACCTGTATGGACGAGGAAACCATCCTGGAGATCGGCACTGCTCCCTTAAACAAGCTCCTTGAAGGCTTTCTCGAGGTCTTCCCGCTCGGCGAGGATGACTATGCGAATCCCAAGAATCTGACCGAGGAGGACTACGAACTGACCCGTACGGCTTGGGCGGCACTGGCCAAGATGGGCGTGCCTGCCTTTTTCGTACCTCTTCCCCAACCTGACGCAGACGACGCATCGGTGTACATCCCCGGTATAAATATCGTCAAGCCAGGCACTGCCATTGCTTTACAGGCCAAAGAGTTGCTGCTGCCAACTCTGCAGCTTCTGCTTCCAAATTCGACGGCAAAGAGCGCCGAGGTGCTGGCGCTGGGCCTAGTCGAGCTCGACACGAAGCTCGCGTTGATTTACCCTGGCGACGGCTACAATGTCCCCTACAAAGTTAGTCGTCTCCTCACCGTTGTTTGTGTGAAGCACGATGCGCGGGCGTTATCGAAACTGACAATGTGCTGCCCCTGATGCAAACAGGAATTCTTCGCCACGATAACCTTTGATGAGGCCGCAAAGTTAGTGCCTGCACTGGACATTCCAGGTGCATTGGGTCAGATAAGCCCGGCCAGCAAGGAGAAGGGGCGCCTATCCTGGGGATTTCCAGAGGTCGCCGCCGCTACCAATGAGATCCTGCTCGGCACGACCAAGCCAGCCATCCAGGCCTACTTCATGTGGCAGATTATCCAGTCATTTCTCCCGGCTGTGAACAGCCCCGAACTGGCGCTGGTGAACCCAGTAAGAGGGCCCGATGGGATCTTTGTCAACTATCAGTACCATGCTGACGCAAAATCCCCTTGACAGCCCACCAAGGCTCGCCGAGAAATCTGCACCGCTGATCTGGGACAGAGGATTCCCTTTCTGGCCAGCAAGGTGTACCTTGACAAGGTCTACACTGACGAAGTGGACACAACCCTCAATCAACTCGTGAGCAACATCCACAGCGGTGTGCAGGCAGACATGGATAATCTCGAGTGGGCGTCCGAGGCGGCTCGCGCAGCTTTCAAGGACAAGCTCAGCAAGCTGGTGCCCAACGTCGGCTACTCGCGCTCGGTAAGCAGCAGCGGCCATACGTCGTCTCTGAAGTTTCTGAAGACAGAATACCCCTCGATGGCGATTGAATGCTAACCACGTCCACACAAAACCCCAGAAACCGAACAACAAGCTCGCGCAAGAGGTCGCTGAGTTTTACGAGCCCCTCAACGTGACCGACAATTACTTTGGCTTTGTCACAAACTCGAACGCCTTCAACGTCGTGCCGTATCTCACCACCATGCTCAACAATGGCGCCCCCGACCGGGAGCAGTGGAACTACCTCCTGACCACATACGGATCGGCCGAGACTGTCAACGCACAGTACCAAGCCTTGCTCAACGCCATATTCATCCCTTACGGCATGGCGCAGGCCAACCACTTCTCCCCGTCGGCGCCTGGGTACATCCAGTACGGCGGCATCGGCTACATCATTGCGCACGAGTTCATCCACTCGCTCGACACCAAGGGCAGCCAGGTCGGCCCCGACGGGAGCATCTACCCGGGCGGCGCAGAGCAGTGGATCGACGAGCCGACGCTCGCCGCGTACGGGGAGCGCGCCAAGTGCATCGCCGAGCAGTCGTCGAGCTGGACCGTACTCATCAACGGCACCGAGGAGATCCCGCAGAACGGCACGGACAAGCTCAACGAGGACCTCGCCGACAGCGGCGGCGTCAACGTCGCCTTCCGCGCGTGGCAGCGCCGGCAGGCGCACGACCAGGACCTGCCGGGCCTCCAGGACGAATTTACCCACGAGCAGCTGTTCTATCTGGCGAACGCGGGCCCGTGGTGCAGCGTCGCCACGGCGGCCGTCAATGCCTCGTATGTGGACGGCACGGACCACCACTCTATCGCGTATGCGCGGATCAATAACATGGTGCTCAACTCGAGGGGGTTCAGGGAGGCGTTTGGGTGTCCGGTCAAGGAGCCTACTTGCGAGCTTTTCTGATGGATCACGGGAAATCACCTCGCTTGGTGTGCAGTTTCACGGGGTACCTTTCTCGTGCGCCAGGGGCTGAATAATGGGATATGTATAACTAAGTATAACGTAATCCACGGGTGAGCGGGTCACACGGGTGAACGGGTCACTTTACTGCAATTTAATTGAGGTTCACTTCCTTCTCCTTTTTCTCCACCTCCAATCATGGGACGACAATCAATTGAAAGTGATTTGGTTCTAGCGTTAAATGCGCTCCAATCCGACCCAAAATTAAGCGTACGAAAGGCTGCGCAGATCTATAATGTATCTCGTACGACACTCCAGCAACGATACCACGGCCGAGCTGCGAAACACGACACCCGACCACCCTGCCAGAAATTAACCTCATACGAAGAGGAGAGTATCGTACGATACGTACTCGACCTAGATTCGCGTTCGTTTCCACCGCGGTTAAGTGGTGTTCGAGAAATGGCGGATCGACTCCTCCGCGTACGCGACGCGCCACGCTTTGGAACGAACTGGGCCTCAACCTTCGTACGACGACGACCTGAGCTCCGTACGCGTTTTAATCGAAGAATCGATTACCAGAGGGTCCTTTGCGAGGATCCGGACGCGTATCGCGCGTGGTTTGAGCTCGTACGAAACATAATCGCGAAATACGGGATCCACGATGACGATATCTATAACTTCGACGAAACGGGCTTCGCGATGGGCAAAATCTCCGCCGAAACTGTCGTTACGACCTCCGATCGACGCGGGAGGCCAAGAGCCGTACAACAAGGGAATCAGGAATGGGTTACAGTAATCCAGGGTATCGCGTCGTACGGCTATTCAATCCCGCCATATATCATCTTCGCCGGGAAGGTCCATCTCGACTCCTGGACCGCGAATAGCCCCCTACCGCCCGACTGGGTAATCGCGCTTTCAGAAAACGGTTGGACGACGAACGAGAGAGGCCTAGAATAGGTAAAACACTTCGATTTCCATACAAAGAGTCGTACGAAGGGTACCTACCGCCTCCTCATCCTCGACGGCCACGAGAGCCACCATTCCGTCGATTTCGAGCTCTACTGCAAAGAACAGAATATTGTTACCCTCTATATACCTGCTCATTCGTCGCATAAGCTCCAGCCTCTCGATGTTGGGTGTTTTGGACCTCTGAAACGGGCGTACGGTAAAGAAATCGAAGGTCTAATGCGGGCGCACGTAACCCACGTTTCAAAGGAGGACTTCCTCCCAGCCTTTTATAAGGCGTACGACGCTGTAATGACCAAATCAAACATCCAGGCAGGCTTCAGAGCGACAGGCCTAGTACCGTACGACCCGAATTATGTAATTTCACAGCTAGATGTGAAGTTTCATACGCCGACACCGCCAGGTTCCTCTGCTGGACTACCACCCCCATGGGTTTCAAAGACGCCGAACAACCCAATTGAGACCGAATCGCAGACGAAGTATATTGAAAATCGCATCGTACGACACCAGAATAGCTCACCGTCGTCCATTGTTGAGAGCGTACGGCAGCTAAGAAAAGGAGTCATAATGATGGTACACGAGCAGGACCTTATGCGCCAAGAGCTCGCCGAACTTCGAGATGCAAACGACCGCCTCAGCCGCCGTCGTCGTACGAAAAGAAAGCAGCTACAGAAAGGAGGGTCCCTCACGATTGATCAGGCAAAGGATTTGAAGGCTCAAATCGATGCGACGCAGCAGTTAATAGCGGAAACGAGTCAGAATAGTGGTCGTACGAGGAGGCCCGAAACGCGCGCGCGACGATGTGGCGTCTGCGGCGAGCCCGGGCATAATGCTCGTACGTGTCAGAAAGTTGTATCTGCCTCTGAAGAAGAGGATTCTGAATAGTTTCAATTGATTTAAGGCGTTGTGGTTGAATTCTCTTATACATTATCGTACGAGTACCCTGAAAGTGTCTCATTCACTTGTATGTCTCAGTCACTTGTGGATTACGTTATAACTAGTGCAATGAGTTGCTATGAAGCTCCTTGATCTCCAACATGGTCGCGTTTGCACGGTGGACGATTCAAAGAACTAGATGCGAGGAGCTACTTCCGGCTACGCTGCTGCAGCGTCCAGTGACTGCTTCTGACTGTGTAGTCAGACATTCTGCGTGCAGTAAGGTCGGGTTCCCATATTTGGGTCATGGGCTGTACTCCGGCAGGGCTTCCCTCTCCTCACCCATCCAGGAATCGCCAGTCATCCTCGGAATCAGCCTGCCAATCAATGGCTGGATGGGAGTAGCTGCTGCATTGGGGGACAGCGGCGGATGTACTGTGACGCGAAATGCCTTTTCTATGAGTTGCTCGCGGCCTAGTCCGCCGACGCGGATGTACCACTTTGTTCGGAGCATGTAGTGCTGGCTGATGCACGGTGTCTTCATGGTGCTGGCCAGGTCTCTCGTGATCGTGGAAAGCTCGACAATCTGCGTCCAGCCGTTGTTCTCCGTGAATGCAGCAGCATCCACAGAGCCGACGGCTGAAGCCGTGCTGCCTGTACTCCTGCTTCCGCTGCTGCGGCTATGCGAGCTTCCTTCGGCAGAGGATGAGTCTGGGCCAACTCCACCAGCACTTGACGGGATGAAGGTCTCCTTGGCCACAGAGTGCCTTGTGCAAGATATCGTCTGGACCTCTGACTCACGCATGAGAGGATGCAGATGCATACGCGCGTCAAGGAATGCCTGCACCTTGGCCTCCACCCGGACCAGCTCGACGGCCGGCAGCACGGGCGTGGTGGACCGGCTCTCGGACGGCTGGACCCGGATCTGCAGGACGAGGGACTGCCCGCGATGGATGTCCGCCGGGCACCTGACCTGCCAGCCGAGCACACAGACGGGTCTCGGCCCCAGCGAGTTGAGCAGCACGGCCGACGTCTTTGCGCGGAACCCTGCCTTGCGGCGGCCACTGGCTGCTGCCACATCATGCGGCGAGGCGAGATCGCGGTCCTTGACGACCACGTACGCGCCCCCGCTCTGCACGGGCTGCCCGAGCACAGGCTGGCTGGCCGCTGGTCGCTCGTAAAGGACCTCGGCGCCGCGGCATTCCGGGGCCGGGCGGCCGTTGACCACGACCGTGGGCGCGTCGGCGTAGTCGTCCCTCAGGACCACCTCGATCCCGGGCATCTCGAGCCGGCACGACACCTGGTACCGCACGGCGACCTGTATCACCTCGCTGCCAGCCTCGACCGTGTCGTTGCCGTTGGTGCTGCCGGTGGTGTTGCTTCCGCCGCCCGCCTGCTTGGGCCCGAACAGCGTCATCGAGGGCGGCAGTGGCTGGCGCGGATCGAGATCGAACTTGCTCGCCTCGCTGGCGTTGGACGTGATAGGCGAACTTGCGCGCAAACTGGCCCGCCTCCTCCTCGCCAATGGCTGCAGGGAGCCGCAGCTCAAAGGGAAGTTCGAGGCCGGCATGGTCGCGTGTGAGCCGCAACGCGCCGTCAAAGATGCAGGCCTCGGCGGCGGCGAAGAGCGGGACGCGCTCGTGCTCCGGGTACAGGTCCGCCGAGCCGATGCGAGGCTTCACGTCGACCTTGAGACAGCCCTGAAGCGCGACGTGCACCTTGCAAGGCCCAAAGAGCTCGCGGTCTGCAGCAGGCTGCTGCTGCTGCTGCTGGGTGTTGGGGATGTACGAGAGCCGCACGTGGCCGCGGACCGGCTCGGCGGATCCGTAATGGACGCGGCTCGGGTCCTGCAGGACGACGGTGGCTTCGAGCGCGCCCACGCGGCTGCGCGTCTTGAGCATGCCTTCGGATGTCGTTCTTCCTGGGGGTTTGGGGGATTTTGAGGGCAAGCCTGGCCGTCGATCGTAGATGTCTACGGCAGCAAGGTCTCTGGAGTAGGTAGCTCTTGGGATGCGCTGACTCTTATTAAGTGCTGTGTTATCAAAGTCTCAGATGGGGCCAGACTACATGTCCCCGCAGGCAGCCAGTATCGTGGTCCCGCATCCTCACGGGGACTACACAGGTGAATGGCGGAACTGAGGCTTCTGGCGGTGGCTGTGAGAGGCGCATGCAAGGGTATATAGGGGTTTGAAGATGGCCAAGCCCAAAGATGCAGTTCCGGAAGCTGACTCGGGGCTGACAGTCAAAATCCTAGGGGAACACTACTGTGGGGGGAGCTTGGCACCAACGGAGGCCTCAGCCACACGCATACATGTTGAATCAAAAACTCATCAAAGCCGACCACGATGGATGGATGCCATGGACACAGTCTCGCAAAGCCTTATTTAGCTTTGCATACTACGCACTCGTGCAGTGTAGGATAACCGCGCAGTTTCGACAGGAATGGGGCTTTGTGGCCACTGCGAGAAAAGGATGTCTGGCGATAAAGGTTTGCGCATCGCTCGGGTCTGGAGCTCTGTGTCGATCCCCGGGCAGAAAACATAGTCTGGCCCATTGACATCAAGGAAAGGCTAGTTTATGAAACTAACGCGCCGCGCCAAAGCAGCCTTTCACTCGATACGGAGGTCCGAACTTCTGGTGCCATTGGCCTGCCAGCCTCTATCAGTTTCAGCCGTTAGGCTGCTGGGTGCTGGCCCTGCGTGCTCCAGGGAGTGTGGTCGATCAGGAGAATCGGCGAGCGCGAAATTTCGAATTCTTGTGCGCCCGAATCTGCTACTTCGACACAAGAATGCAGATTTATGCTTCTTGAGCAGCTCGTCTACAGAACGCCTCAAATCCGACAGCTACCAGTGGCCCAGGATACTGCACAGCGATCACGAGATGCTACTGCATAGCGACACTGACCGGACTGTCAACATGTCTTGTAAAATCTTCAGACTTGGCCAAAGTCCTCGCCGATAGCTGTGGACTAAAACCAGAAATACGAGCGGCGAGCACCTAAGACAACTCTGGCTGGCCCACACTCGGATCGGGCTACCGACGACTTGGGAAAGCCCGCATCTGGTCCCTATGCCCATAGGTCCGCAGCTGCTTGTCTATGTCTGACCGCAATCTATCATTTGCCACGAGCTTGGTCAGCGAGAGGTAGTCATGATAGCATGGCTACCAAAAATAAGGTGTGATGTCACATTCCCCGCTGGAAAAGGTACGGACCCCTGTCGCTGTCATGCCCGCCCACAGCGAATAGAGAGGCTTGGTGGTCAGCAAGTGCGTCACTCAAGCGTAGAGGCTACAACGTATCTGCGCCGCACAAGCTGTCACGCATTAGACAGGGGTTTCGACTTTCGCTGGTTAGGCTGTTCGAGCAAGGCCTGGCCAGGAACAGGCCTCACAGAGCCCTGCTTTGTGCGTCCGATCCTCAAGGGATATTTGGAGAGTTATCGCTGCAATAGATTGCGGCTGGCTCGATCGCTTGCGTCGGAGCTCACGTAGGAGTGCATGGTAAGTCTCCGAAAAGCAGTATCGCTAGGACGTCATCGTTGCAGGGGGTTTGCCCCTGCGTGGCACCTTGGAGCAGCACCGTAACCCAAACACGGCCCCTACAGCCACCTGGACGCGAGACATCGAGATGTAATGACTGCCAGTCAGCCAGCGTTTTACTTTTGTGAGCCCGAGCGCTTGGCCCATCTCTTTCCACCTTCACTCCACTTTCGCTCCACTGGACCCTTTACCATTGAACGCAGACGACTATGATTGCGGTATAGTGTTTGGCGACTTCTACCGGCGCCATGTCTCAGGAGTCGGGAATCGACATTACTAGCCTGGAGCGCGACACAACCTTCAACAAACACCCAGCTTATCCCACCCTTCCCGCCGTCAGATATCCTTATCCAGGCCCGGCCATATCCCGCGCCCATCGCCAGATCCGGCTGCTGTACTTAGAAGGCCTGCCCACAACCAGCAGTCGTGACGTGCCGGATGGCTATGCACACCTCTACGGAGACCTCGTCTTGACAGACCTCGACCGATCTCCGCCTTACATTGCCCTGTCATATGTCTGGGGCGAGCATAACCACCTCGACCTGCAAACGATACGCATCCGACGGCCCGGCTCAGCAGACGATGACGCCGGCCAGATCCCCATTACAGAGAACGGCTACCAAGCGCTGTGGCATATTCGCAAGAACGCTCGTGGCCCTATCTGTATCTGGATCGACGCCGTGTGTATCAACCAGGACGACCACATTGAGTTGGGCCACCAGGTCCGGTACATGGGCGACATCTACAGCACGGCCCAGTGCGTCTATGTGTGGCTTGGACGTGGCGACGAGGGTACGGACCGTGCGATGCAGTACCTGCGCGCCGTTGGCAACTCGTCCGAGCGCATGCCGATTGCTGTCGAGCATGGGCAGGATGGGCCGAAGTGGAAGGCTTACAAGCCAGTGTTTGACAGAAAGCTGTGCTTGAGTAAGTCGATTACAATCCTCGACTGCTGAGGCTTGCAGGTTTTCGTTTTGGCTGACGGATGATAGGTCGGATTAGAAATTTCCCTTGGACATTCGGCGCACGGTTCTTCCAAAAGTCTGCGTCAAGGGGTGAGGGCAAGCTACTACGATTCCTGCTGCGAAACTGGGTCGTCGAGCCCGATGACCTCAAGCGCGTCCTCGACAACACGTGGTTGTCGAGATCATGGACTCTGCCCGAGTTCATTCTGGCCAGGGACTCGCTCCTCATCTACGGGGATGAGACGATCCCATGGCAGGAGTTCCTGGGCTGCATCTGGCGGGGCTCGTTACGGCGGCACGACAGCCAGACCGCGCACTGGCAAGCGCTTGCACAAGCGTGGCTCAGCCTTCCACGTGACGAGCTTGGCTCCGATGGCAGCAGATCCAGGTATACGATGCGAGAGCGGCTGCGCCCTTCCAAGACGACTCTGTTCCTCACAGACAAGAAGATTCTCTGGTACTTTGTGGTGCCTCTGATGATCATAGGGATCTGGGTCGGCGTACACGAGCGGTTCCAAGACAACATCCAGGGACCTGACGAGAACGATGCGTTGTGGTATCTACGGGTCGTCCTTCCTCCCGTGGCTCTCGCACTCATCACGGTGGTCTTGGTTTGGTTTGTCCTCAAGATCATGTACGGCGCGAACCGGGGCTCTGAGCTGCCGCTCAAGTCCTACGGAGATGACGAGCTGTTCAACATGATCAGCACCGCCATGCTCAACCGAAGGTGCACCAAGGTCCACGACAAGTGCTTCTCTCTCTACAGCGTGCTGGAGAGACATGGCATCAACATGGGCATCCCGGACTATGACCTCGACGCGCAGCAGGTCTACGTCAACTTCTTCGCCCGTCTCGTGCAGGAGAATCCCCAAGCACTTGCACTGCTCGTCGACGCCGCCCAGTACTCACCTGCTCCAGACTCTACGAGCAGCCTGGGCTCATCAACCACGCTAAACTCAGCAGACGCCACCACGCTGAGGCCATCCTGGGCACTCAACCTCGAAGCCCACGACCGCCCGCCCTGGCTCCCGAGAGAGTTCGTCCTGGGCGCCGCCAACACGACCAAGATCCCCAACGCCGTGATCTCGCCCCGCGTCTTCACCGACGTCGGCGTGCTGCGCGTGCCCGCGATCCCGCTGGGCATCATCACCTTCCGGACGGACCTGACGGCGCTGTACGAGCTGCACAGGGACACGGCGCGCGAGGTCGCCAAGGCCGCGCTCGCCGAGCTGATGCTGCTCCTCGAGCACACACAGGACATGTACAAGGCCCGGCCCCGCCTGCGAAGGAGCAAGGAGGCCAACCTGCGGTCCTCGCACTTCTTGTTCTTCCGCTCGGTCATGATGCCCGATGTCTGGCTCAAGTGGAACCACCAGCATCACTACTCGACCGCGGCGCCGCGCGAGCACCACCAGTCCAGCAGCAGGACAGAGCATTATGGCGGCGGCGGCCGTCGTGTCAATAGCACGGGCAGTCGCAGTGGCGGAAGCAGCAGCAGGTCCCGCAGTACCAGCAGCACGAGCAAAGGATTCCGAGCCAAGTCGGAACGCCGCCTGTGGGAGAGCAAGTCGACCTTCAACCAGCTCGCGCTCAAGTACAAGCGCTTCTTTATCCCCCTGCTGCGCATCATCCGCAAGCACCGCAAGTACCGCGACAAGGACATGCGCAAGGAGGAAGCCTCGCGCGGCACCAGGGACGAAGAGAAGAGTCGAGGGAGTCCTCCTGAATCGTCAATGGCAGTAGGACCAATCATGCTTGTGCGGTCTGTCGACCGGCTGTGGAAGGTAATCGAGAGCAAGAAGAAGCTGCTGAAGGCGTTGGACGAGTGGTGCATGAGCGTGGCGAGCAGCCAGCCGCGGTCGTTCTTTGCGACTGCCTCGGGATTTCCCGGGACTGGAGGGGTCGATATCCGTATTGGGGACTAGTTGTTCTATGTCCCTAATGCGCCTGCGCTCATGGTACTGCGCAAGAGGCAGTACGGTCCGGGATATCATGTTGTCGGACCGGCCAGTGGTCCGTTCAGGGCGAGAGGCGTCCACGCGGGAGTCGAGTTGCAATCAATAGATATATATTGAGTCCACCATAGGGCACGGAAGTTGATAATCAATTGAACAGATCAAGACAATCGACTGTTTGAATTGCAATGCAAGCTCAGATCTTACTGTTTGCAGCATTCGTTAAACTGTCATCCTGACGTGCAGGGCAGCCGGGTGAGCACTAGGAGAATATGGTTGGGCGCGAGACATCTGTGTTATGTCGCTGGTCTTAGAATGTGTCATCGCCATAAACCCACGTGGCCGTCGTTCAACATTGCTGCCTACACTAGCATGAAGATGGGAGGTGAAAAAGCTGCGGCTGAAGCCGGTAGGTTGTGCAGGCAGCACGCAGAAGTCTCACTTTCCCGGTGCGGCTGACATCAGATGTCAGTTCGCCAAGACACGGCTGAGGTTGCTTGCGAGGGGAAGGAAACCTCTTCATGTACGCGACTGCGCCTAATCAACCTCGATGTCATTCGCATAGCGACAACAAGCAACAAGCCTCGACCTCATCTTTGAACAGCTCCTGCTAGGGAAAGCATTTCACCTTCACCACGACCTAGGCAGCATGGCGTCGGCCACGACGGCAAAGGCATGGCGCTTCACCAGCACCGGGCAGCCATCCGAGATCCTTCGTCTGGAGGAGGTCCCCATGCCCACACTCCCGCCTCCACCTGCTCTGCTCTTCTCTAAAAAGAGGAACAATAAAGCATCCAGCGCCGACCGGGAGCAGGAGGAATGGCTGATCGTGCGGGTTGCTTACACAGCGCTCAACCCGGGGTCGCAGTTTCACTTCAACGTCATCCCCGCGTTTGCCCGTGCGCGGACCTGTACCCCAGAGCTCGACTTTTCAGGGACGGTGGTTGACGTGTGGAGACCCGACCAACACGACTCGGCAAGTCGGGGCGATCAAGGACCATCGAGAGGCTTCAGCAAGGGCGATGAGGTCATTGGCTTCATGCCCATCACATACACGTATCCGACTGGAGATGGCGCACTGACCAACTACATCCGCGTTCCCGCGCGGTACGTCATTCGCAAGCCCGAAAGCGTCACCCTCAAGGAAGGCGCCGGGCTGATGTGCGCGTCGTGTTCGGCGGTCATGCTGACCGACGAGGCGCATGTGAAGCGCGGGGACCGCGTGTTGATTGTCGGTGCGAGTGGCGGTATCGGGACGAGTGCTGTGCAGCTGGCGAAAAGTCTCGTTGCAGAGAGCGGAGGGGAAGGCCTGGTAGTTGCTGTGTGCTCTGGGAGGAACCAAGAATTAGTGCTAGGGCTTGGTGCTGATGAGGCGAGTCCCTTCTCGCTCGTGCAGAGAGATGTTCTCATCCCATGCTAACCTCTCGGGTTGCAGGTCATCGACTACACCAAGCATGAAGACCTCGCTGCGGAGCTCACCCGCCGTTTCGCTGACAAGCCTTTCGATGCCATCCTAGACGTTCACGGGAACCAAGCAGTATACGTGCAGTGTGCAAACTATCTCAAGGCCGGCGCAGATTACGTCGCTTGCAGTGCCCAGCTGGAGTCGTGGACGTTGGGCCACTTTCTGCGCACCTTCTGGCTCATCCAGTGCAACACATACTGGCCTCTGTCCTGTTGGCTGGGAGGAACGGGGCGGAAGTTCAAGCTCATCGCCATGATGGATCCTGGAAGGGCTTTGATGGAGAAGACAGCAAGTCTGGCAGAGGCCGGAACTCTAAAAGTCTGTGTCGACAGTGTTTGGGAATATGAGAATGCGCTGCAGGCGTACGAGATACTGATTTCAGGCAGGGCAAGAGGTAAGGTGCTGGTTAAATGGTGAGGTGACTTGGCAGACAACTTGTACCACTATTATGTAGTTGATTAAACTCCTCTCAAAATCCGCTGATCAAGCGCATTTAGTGTTTTAAATGCTGGAGAAAGGACCGCTGTGTAAGCTCGGTTTTTCTGCTACCACCACTTCATCTACGATCTTGTACATACCATTCAAACAATGTATGGGGTACGTGCCTGGCTTCTTTTGCCACGTTTTGAAGAAGGGATAGGTGAGCTCGGTACCTTGTGCAGCTCGACTACTGCTATCGAATCCAGATGGAGTCGGCGCACGAGCAAGTCCCCTCATGGCGCACATTCAACAAGTGTGCCCTTTCGTGTGCGTGCATTTCGAAGTAGCAGTTGCCGCGGGCACCAGATTGCTTTGTCTCACTGCTCTGGCTTGACATGGTCGACGACTAGATATGTGGGAGATGAGATGCCAGGATTGAGGGGCAAGTTGCACTGTGTCACACTATTCACGTATGGTCGAACCACTTGGCAAAGCTCTTCGTGCAGAGTGCACCGAAAACAGAAGAAAAAGCAGTTTCAAAAAGTCAAACAGAGCCTTCGATGCTTCTGAATTGGAAGTCAAAAAGAAGATTGCGATGCATCAGCCGTGAATCGAACACGGGGCCCATCGATGGCAACGATGGATTTTACCACTAAACCACTGATGCTGTTTCTTATTGGTTGGAAAAGACTTCGACTAATAAGCAATATGAATATTAATTCATTCCGCATATCACGCGTGCTTGCCCAAGTCTGCATTATTTGGACTAGCTACAGCTGAGCGGTTCCCGCACCTGGGTACGGAATAAAACGCTGTATCAATGCGTCGATTTCAGCTGTCCCATGCGCTGTCAATGGGTACTAGGAGATAAGTTACGTGAACTACGAGCTGTTCCAATCCGTCCGCTGTTTCGACTAAATCCATGTACAATAGGAAGTGCCAAAAATGCACTTCTATGCAGGAGAAACTCTGAGAGAGCTCGGTGAGAGCAAACGTTGGAGCCAAAAGCCTCTAGGCATCCTTCTGTGGGGTGCGGACATGGTCAATCAAGCAGTTAGCACAGGTATTCAGGGATTAACATCTTCCCATGCGGTAAGCTCGGATCGAAAGTGCATTTCTGCGATTCCATGAGGACAAGCGCTGCACGAATGCCCGGGGGGGTGTAAGCATATACGCTTGATGGGAGTCTTGTGAAGTGATGTGTGTAGAGCTTACAGCAGCGGTTGATCAATTTGATACCGGAGCATGCATGGCACACTCCAAACGGCACCTTCTTGATAAAACGTTCCAAATACCCAATCCACACAACATGTTCAAGTACGTGACTGCTGCGCTATCGCTCACGCCTCTGACTGCGGCCGTGCCAACATTATCCGCACGAGACGAGCTGCCAGACTTCAACAAGCTCCTAAGTCCTGAGGAACTCGCCGACGTCATCGCAAGCTCTGAGCCGGGCACGTTCGGCATACTTGGCACTTCGATCAACAACATCACCGATCCAAATCACCTCTTCAAGCGCGAACCAGGAACCTTCTGCAAACAGGACCTGGCGCAACTGTTCTGCGAGACCAGCGACGCGTCACCGTTTATCTTGGACTGCTTCTACATGTACAACCTCCTCATGTCTCGACAGGAAGAGTGGGACATTGCTGTCGCCATGGGCTCACGCACTTTTGCCTGGGCCAACTCTTGCTGCTTCGAGATGACGAATTTGGAATATCTCTACACCGCCTACGTCGGCGGCGGAGACGTAGCCAAGCTGGATGAGAGAATCATCAACACGTGTGGGTCGAATGGCAAGGTCGGCGGCTGGGGCAGGATTGGATGTCCTATCAGGGGAACTCCGAGTGGAGGTGTGGCGGTAAGTATCTGGCTTTATCTGTGGCTCTTTTTGAACACGTCATCTGCCCTTTTTATGCGGATCCGATGAAGAAGAGTACTGACCCTTTTATTTGCAGCTGAGCTACAGTTTCTACCACTGTTGAGTGGCTGGCGCATGGGCTGCTCTGCGTCTTCCAAGGCGCGATCAGACTCGTTGACCATTTTCACGTGTGCCGCAGTCTCTCCAAGATTCTGCTCTGATTGAGACAAGAGACAATAACGCTTGTGTTAGGTTACCGAGAAAGAGGAGGCAGCTCTGTTGCAGGATTATCCCAGATAGTGGTAAACAGAAGCTCATTTGACTGTGCTGTAATCTGGACGGGTTCGCTGTTGTTTGAATGCATTTCAATCTTTTGCTGACAAAGGTCTGCCGCCTACGCATCCAATATTTGGCGGAGCAGACTGATAAGAAATGGGACCGAGATATATTCAAGTGCCTTACAGCCTTTGGAGTGAAGGGCAGGTGGAGGATTGTAGCATAGATATATTGATGATGAAGCACTACCCTGCTATCCTCTGTGACAGTCCTCATGTTACGGCAGACCTAGCCAAATGTCCCAATTCTGAACAGATTCTATTCTAAGCAACGCACAGATAATGTAAAATCGACAAGAAAGCACCCCTTGTAACAGCCCTGCTACTTTTTCTTTTTTCAAGTTGAGCATTGCGAGCCGAGCATGCTGCGCACCGGCGCATTGACGCCTGGCTACGAGATCTACGTTTGTGCCTGTGCCCCTCCCCAATGTTGTCAAACTTCCTTTCAATTGCGACACGAGAGTGGAAGGCGTAGGATTGGAATTACCTCCAAGAAGGGGAAGAGTGGCCATGATCTCGCTCTCCACCTAGTCAGTCGGAAATGTCTCATTTTGATCCCACTTTCTCACTGTTAGCATTCATGATTCCATACGAAAGGTACTTTGGAGAGAAGTCTTCTAACATGTTCCGCGATGCAGCCACCCTCCCATCGGAAACGATCGACGACAGTACCAAAGGCGCTGCGGTAGTTCAACCAGCCCATGTTTCCACGGAATTTCGTGCCAAGGACTGTGATGTCTTGTGAAGCCCAGATTGGAGAGAGAATGCTCCAGGCAGAAGCAGAGCCATTCTGGGCAAGCGGGTTGTGGTTCTGCCGCCATGTGTTGGTCAGCACGACTTGCTCATTGTGATGCATGAACAAACGGGGTCAAGTCTCAACGCACAATGTAGTCCTCCACAATGAAAGTAAACGCTTCCGTGATGTTCTTCGTGACAATGAAAGCTTCGGCAAACTCGTTGAACCGGGCTTCAGTCTGACATTCTGATGGAGCCGGCGTTGCCCGCACACATGGTGGTGGCGCTTTCAAGTTGGGAGTCTGAGCATTGACAGCGGCGCCGTAGAGAGGCAGGAGGACAAAGATATTTGAGACACGCATGGTCAAATTGGTGGGCGATGGCTGACGTAGCTATAGGGTGTCTGAGAATTTGGGAACGACAACGAGTACGTTCTCGACGGTCTTTATGCTACATAGAGAAGACGATAGCCAGCAACAATTACAAAGCAAAGTGCCGAGGTAGTAATTCCACCGTAACATCCGGTCAGGATGGCCCTGGGAAGTAAAGTGACAATCAAACTCTGACGAAGCCATGTTTCTGGAAAGTCATGCCAGCTTTGGCATGGACCGTTACGGTCCGCGTCTGGCGGCATCAATGCCCAGCCGGCCCAAGCCAGAGTGTTAAGTGCCGAGCCAATCCCTGCACGGGATTTGGTTCGCCCGCCTCCACCTTCCACAACCTTTATTCCGTCCGACTAATGCACAATAGGCAGGCACAAGACCGACAGCGAGCATCGCCTTTTAATGTGCAAGGCTCCATGATAACAAGCAACGCGTACACACGCATGGGTATCAATTAGTGTTTTTCGATGAGGGAGGTCAAAAGGGGCTAAGGGAACCCATCAAGGTGCAAGCATTCCGAGATGCGCGGCATGTACAGAGTGCTGTAAGACATTGAAAGGAACCCAGCTGAATAACCACGGCAGCATCACACGTCTTCTGCCAGAGTAATGCCAGTCGCGCAGCCTCATTTGCGGCATATGCTGGAGATTGCCGAGAAGTCTAGCATGACCGCCTAGGTCGGGCTCATTTGACAGAGTTGATCCTCTGCCTCGAATGGCGAGGCTTGACCTCAAGGTCTCTTGGCCTCTTAATATGAGCCAAAACCCAATTCAGCCTGCCCGGGGTCGTCAAGGTGATCCGAAGTGGTGTAATGCAAGAGCCTACATTCCTGGCAACGGTTATGGCTTCATGATGCACAGGCCAATGCAGGGTCAATGACAAATTATAGACGAATCTGTAGACAAATATGAAGTGAGAGAAACAGAATTCAAGCTTCTGATTTTAAACGGCTATTTGAATTAGCCAGCCATCGTGCCATTTTATCTTGTGTCTGTGGCCTGGAAGGGGCTTGCGCTCCTTCACTTTGACCGCAGCCAGCTGTTGGCTGCTACCAACCACAGTTCTGAGAGGTCCGAGGCGTGAGAGACACCTCTTCCGCAGAGCTTGTTGGCAAATCGACATAGGCAAGCCGCGTCCTGAGATCAATAGTGTGTTCCGTACCTGCGCTAAAGCATCTCTCGATATTTGAGATCGTGCGCTACTTCAGCTTACGAGCAATAATTTGTGCAGCAAAATACCGCTCAATGACCAATGCCAGCCTTCAAGCAGAAAAGGGTCTTTGCATCAGTCACTCGTACTTCTGCACCATCAATGCCTGAGTTGACGTTGTTTCTCGACTGGCTTCATCTTGCATCTATCGATATTGAAACTGAAGACTCGAACAAATTGTGCACGGCGATACATACATCTGGCCACATTTCCCTGACTAGCTCAACACGAGGAGGCTACACTCCAATTTTCTCTCGAATACACAAATTTCTTTCAGTATTTTGTCCGCTGAATAATGGAGAGCCGCGCGGAGGCCACATATCTATATCTAGACTTCCGAGCTCAATACAGCAGCTTGTGGCTGGAGCAGAATGCATGTGGGGCGGCACGAGGCGGCGCGAGACATACGCGGCACCAACACCAGCAGCCACGACCACAACAAAGCAAACCAGCAAACAGCCTAAAAACCAGCAGGAGCCCACCACCAGCCTCCCGTCATCTGGAAACGTCAAACATGTCGTTCATATCACGGGTATGGAATCAGCTGGGGCGCCGTGCGTTGCGGCCACGCTCTTTTGCCAATCCAAACTTCACACGGCTACCTCCCGACCAAGGCATCGAGGAAGAGACACTGCCCGACTACCTCCCACAACGCTACTATCCCGTTCGCATCGGCGAGGTTTTCGCTGACCGCTATCAGGTAGTCGGGAAACTCGGTTACGGAGCCACCTCAACCGTATGGCTGGCGCGAGACTTGAGGTATGGTCCCTGCCCTCTGCGTTGACGGTCGATGGAACCCACCAGGCTTACTACCGAAAATATAGCCAGCGCCGCCATGTCGCTCTCAAGGTCTTCATACGTTCTCAAGCCCTTGGAGACCACTTGGAGAACGAGATGGCCATGTTCAAGCGAATAGAGCAGCGGCCGTCTGACCATCCAGGTCGAGACGCTGTCCGGACTCTGCTCGACTCGTTCCAAGTCAAGGGCCCAGACGGAGATCACCTGGTGCTCGCCCATCCTCCACTATGGCGAAGTATCGAAGCTATCATCAGGCGTACCAACCCACGCAGACTTCCACCGTCCGGCCTCCGCTATGTCTTGAAGGAGCTGTTCCTCGCCCTGGATTACTTGCACCGGGAGTGCAACATCATTCACACGGGCAAGATACTAACCCCAAGAGGACATTTGGCTTTGGAAAACTGACCATCTGCAACAGACATCAAGGCCGACAACATCATGTTCAGCATCTCAGACACTTCAGTCTTCACCGACTTCGAGGAGGCAGAAGTACGGGAACCGTCGCCCCGCAAGGAACTCGACGGCAGGACCATCTACCTCAGCCGAATCCTCAAGTCCACTGGCATGGTCGGCCCTCCCGTCCTCTGCGACTTTGGCTCTGCCGTCTTCGGTGACACTGAGCACCGCGAGTGCGTACAACCACACGTCTACCGAGCACCCGAGGTCACCCTGGAAGCCCTATGGGACTACAAGATCGACATATGGAACGTCGGTTGCATGGTATGCTCTCAATTTGCCCACTTGATCAACAACGCTCAGCACTTGTTACTAATTGAGAAATGTGTGTAAAGATTTGGGATATCTTCGAGGGGGCCCAGCTGTTCAATGGCATAGATCCGGAACATCACGCCTACCGAAGGAGGGCCCATCTCGCCGAGATAATCGCGCTCTTGGGGCCGCCGCCCAAGGACCTCCTCGCACGCGGCCACCTGGCGAGAAAGTTCTTTTCGGATGAAGGTGAAACAAACCAGCTCCAACCGGGCCCCTGCCGACAATGTCCCCCAAGGGTATTGACTGACCACTACTTTGCACAATCAGGTACCTACATTGGTGGACTTCAAGTTCCAGACCCGACGCCGCTCGAAAGCCTAGAGGAGCTTCTTGCAGGGGAGGACAAGAGACGGTTTTTGGAGTTCATGCAGAAGATGCTCCAATGGGATCCGGAAAAGCGCGCTTCTGCGGCGGAACTACAGCAAGATCCTTGGATTCAAGAGCCAATTGAGGGGCAACTCGCAGAAAGTCCTCGGGGTGTTGCAAAGGATGTGTCAAGAGGCTAGCTTCGCATGCCACAGCTGGTGCCTCCTGCTCAGTGGGCGCCAAACTTGAAGCGGAACAAATATTGTTGCACCACTGCGTTAGACTTTTAAATCAATGATTCTTTTGTGGTGGGCTAAAGTCTGATCAGCGCAATAAAATACATGTTACAGTGCTTGCCATCCCGTAAAGCGATGGCAGTGTCCAGGACGTGAAGCAGTCGCGCTCCCGAAGTGACGGTGAAACAGCCCAGCAATTCCACACTCCATGCACGACTTCACCAAGTCCACACAACCAAGGAGAACAAGCAAAGTTCACCCCTACTAAAGACTGATGGGTCCTGGGCAAACGACTCCATTCATCATGATTGTGCGAGTGACAAGGCAGGGATCTAAAGCTACGCCAAAGCAGCGACGAGCTAGCGGTCGGCGGTGTCATAGCCAGACTCCTTGCGCGCGGGGGCAGCGTCACCGTTGGTGCCAGCCTCAGCAACGGCAGCCTCTGCTGCGGCTCCGTCGAGCACCGGCTTCCCCGTCTCGCCGCCGCGAGGGACAAAGTCGAGGGCCTCGAACTTCATCAGAGCGCCGCAGGCGAGGGACAGCAGGCCGGCGGCGAAGACGATCCAGAAGAGGCGCACGATGACGGCCGTCACGGCCTCGACGACGACCAAAGCCAGGGCCGGGTTGGCCGAAGCCCGCTCGAGCAGGCCCGAGTTGACCCCGGTCAACAGCTCGAGGTACTCGTGGTCGGTGAAGGCTTCGCCGACGAGCTGGCGGCCGACGTTCTGATAGACGGCTCCGGCGATGGCCAGGGCGACGCCGACAGCGCCGAGCTGGGACATGTTGTACAGCATGGCGGCATCGAAGCTCATCGACTTGGGCAGGAGGACCGAGGCAATGGGCATGCCGAGCGACCAGATGAGACCGCAGCCTAGACCGATGAGTGCCTCGAAGCCGAGGACCTGGGACTCGGAGGTGTCTGGGCGGACGAGCTGCCACAGGCCGCTGCCGAGGACGAGCAGGACCGAGCCGGTGACATAAAAGACCATGTAGTAGCGGATCCTGGGCAGCAGGCCACCGGCGATGAAGATCATGACGATGAAGGGGCCGATGAATGGCAGGAGGCGGACGGCGGCCGAGACGGGGCTTTCGCCGCGCGTAAAGGCGAAATAGAGAGGCGTGTAGTAGAGCGTGACGCCGTAACTCATGGCGGCGCAGATGCTGCAGATCGTGACGAGGAGGACGACGGGCTTGGTGGTAAGGGCCGTGATGGGGAGGATTCGGCGCTCCGGAGTGGTCCCCAGGCTGAAGGTCTGCTGGGCCACATAGGCAACGAGCACGAGTCCAAAGACGACATAGATGGCAATAGAAGATCTGGAGCCCCATGGCCAGGTGGTGCCGCCGCCAATGCAGGCAAAGCCCAACAGGACGAGGGTGGCCATGTGCAGGACGCAGCCGAGCCAGTCAATCTCGCGCAGGTGCGTCGACGTCGACTTGGGACTGGGTATCTTGAAGCGTGGGTAAGCGGCAATGTTGATGCCGAGAGCCACCGCACCCATGACGACGACAATGTAGAAAGCCCAGCGCCAGGTAGCGTGTGGATTCTCGGTAAAGGCGCCTCCGATCAAGGGCCCCGTCAGCAGGCCGATGGCAAAGCAGGCGCCGACCATGGCCTGGACGATGCCGAGCTCGGCAGGCAAAGCAAAGATGACATTGTATGTCAAGATGACCTGGTACGAAAGGGAACCACCTACGCCCAGCAGAGCGCGGCCGACAATGATGGCTTCGATGTTCGGAGCGGCGCCTGTGAGCACGGCAGAGGCCATGACAAGCACTATCGCAACGAGGGACAGCATCTTGAGCTCGAAGATGTGCGTGAATTGACGGAACAGCGGGATGCACGCGGCATTGACCAGCGAGTACGCCAGAGATACCCATGGCAGCAGCTCGATCCGGCCAAAGGCCTCATAGATGGCCACCTGCGTGTTGGCGACGTTGGAAACATCGTAGCCTGCAAATTTCGACAACGGGAATATACTGTCAGCCGGACCAAGTACTTGAATGGTTTGAGGGTACTATATTGCACTGAGAAGATGTAGAGAGTGGAGAAGACTTACCATTGATGCCAGAAAGAAGAGCTCCAGCAACCAGCATCAGCTTCCATTTATACACTGGCAGCCCTGCTCGGGGGTGGCCGGCGGGGATGGCGACGGGTGCCTTGGGGGCTTTCGCCTCCTTCTCGTTCACGCTCATGGCGCTCTGGTCCCTGCGAGATAGGCAAGATGCGGCTGTGTTATTCTGTGGTTGTGGCTGTCATCTAACAGGAAGTTTACTACTCAGACAGACGCGCCGGGCAGGCGGGCAAGAGCAAGTGTTTATTGAACGCGGAACCCTGCAGCCTTTCTTCATTTCCCAGACCAACAGCGCGGCATAATACCAACGGTGTCTGTAATCTGTCTATGATAAAGGAGCAGGCTATGGGGGCGAAGCCTTAGCATCCTGTGGTGTTGGATGTCTGCATATTGGGTCTGACATGCAGGCATACGGCTGCAACGACCCAATGGCGGAGCATGTTGTCTTGCTCTGCCGTCACCCCTCGTCTCCACCAGCAACCAACCCGACCCTGCCGTGGCGGCCGCCTCGCAGGATGGCGCGTCGATGGGCATGCCCGACGTGGGATCTATACCGAGCCACCCCCAAGAAGTGCCGAGTTCAGTCGTGATTGGTGGCGGATTCCCAACCAAGCACAAGCTACACATACTTTACATGACCACGGTACCTTGGCAGGAGTACTCGCATCAGCGCCGCGCTGAGGTAAGGTTGATATTGTTATTGTTCCGATTGCCGTTGGTATACTCCTCCATTTAGCCTTGATGCGAGCTTCGCCTTTAACATTAGACTTGCGCATGTATGAGAAGCGACATCACCACTTGCAACTGCACTTTTCCTGCCAATCGCTGCCCAAATTGACGGTCGCGTCTTGACAGGGCCGCGGCGGTGCTCTGTCCCAATCCGGCCTTCATGCCCTATCCCTGCCAGCCGACCTGCGCTTAGCTACGCGCATGCATGTTGGCCCTGAATGCCAGAGCCACTGCGGTGTGAGTTACCAACAGGGTGATACACCCGGCTTGGGCTGCGCCCGAGGGGACTCATCCTAGCCATACATGTCTAGGCCCGCGATTGTCACCGTCACCTGTGTGGCATCACTCGAAAGCTAGTGCCGCGACACGTTGGCCCTGCGTCTCACTGTACTATCACGCAGATAAGCAGCTCCGTTGCATGCTGACCAACGGCGGCGGCTGTCACCTTGGCATGACGTAACCCAACCCCCGCCAACCCGTCTCCCCATTCACGGTTCAATCTCCTCGGCGCGCGCGGCCGCTTCGCAGGGCTTACCGTGCCAGTTTTAGCTCCCTGGGGCTTGGGGGTCGCGGAGGCACAGCCTAATCGGGACACGAATTTGATGAGGTTGTTGGCAGCCTATGTGGTAAGCATTCTTGCACTTGTGCAGTGCAGTCTGGTTTGCACTAATTAGCGTGCAGCCGGTGAGGACTGAGAAAGGGTGGACGAGTACGAGTCTGCTCTCAGCACGTAGTCCGCCTTGCGATATACACGCCTGCTGCCTCCAATTATGTGCGACGATGTGCTGACCCAATCTTCATTCGTGGGCATGGCCATCAGGCGCAAGTGCGTTGAGTATCGAGTCTAAGTTGTTCGCCTGGCAAGCAGGGGAGACAAGATGCATCTTCATGATCGCGGCTTGGGACGTGGCGGCGTTTCAGGTTCTACCTCTGTGGGTAGACATATGCAGGATCAGATACTATGGTACTTCCCTAGCTATACCCTAACCAGGATCCACCTCCATCGGCAGCTTGGAACCTCCTGACAAGGCCTGGTCTCGATGCATCTTATCATCTCGTTTTTTTTTTCTCTTCTTTTCTTTCCATTGCAGCGACTGAGCCGAGGCGTCCGGACACAGACCATTTATTGGGATGGCCTGCTCGTATCCGCAAATCCAACAATCTTCCACTGGCCCTCCAAGTTGAGGTTCCGAAAGACGTTGACGCCCCGGCTCCGTCAGGAGCCGCCTACAACCACCACAAACGGCGCCCAGACGACAGCCAAATCTCCGCAGACCCGCACTTCCACATCATGTATGTCCTCCGAGAAGGCGGCACTGGCCGGGAACGTCGCCACGACCGCCTTCAGCCTCTCTATCAGCGAGTCCACGCTGACAATCAGCGGCGGCCATGACCCCCGCCAGAGCGTGGCGCCCATGTCGGGATGAAGCACGGCGGCGAACGCATCCCAGTCCTGCCGGCTGAACGCGGCCAGCAGACCTCGCACAGGCTCCGCGGCCGCGACTGCGATTTCCGCTTCGGCGTCCCTGATGATCGGCGGCAACGGTTCCGTGATCTGGCGCGCCACCGTCGTCACGCCGGCAATCTTCCACCCCGCTTCTTGTTGTTGCTCCTGCTCCTGCAGGTCCGGGTGGTGCCGGAGCAGCGAGAAGACGTGCACGCCCCGCCGGGCGCCAGTGCCGCCGACCGACTGCTCCGACCCGGTCCACACGAACGCCAGGTTGTCGTGCACCCAGACTTCTGGCTCCGGGTCGGCAAACTTCTCGGCGATGCCCGGCGTCTCGCGGATGCGGTCCTCGAGGATGTCGAGCGTCTGGCTCATGGTGTAGAAGGACGGCGCCATGCCCCCGCCTGGGCGGATCACCCGGGTGGCCTCGCCGATGACCATTGCGCGCGCCGCAGTCAGCGGCGGAGGGGTGTTTGAGAGGGATTTGAAGTACTGCGTGAGTGCCGCGAGGACGGCTTCCTTGTCACCGTCCATTGTGTGTTTGTGTGTGTGTGTGTGTGAATGTGTCTACCTAATCAAAAGACTGCAGCATCCGCACAAGATGGGATAGAATGTGCTCAATGGTGCGCCGTGATATGGAACTTGGAAGAAACAAGAATGAATTGAGATGAAAGACGCCGCCCGAGGGCATTCAAGCTTTTGGCGACAACGGCTGGCCTTGTCAGCAAATTGTGGAGAGTCGCAGCCGGCTTATGCCACGAAGGAAGACGACCCCTCAGATCTGTGAGCGGCGTCGCAGGGCCGAGATCAGAGTACAGGGGCATGCAACGACTCAGAGAGCAACCGAATCCCCGCCAGGATCCGAGCCACGTGAACCAGCCACACTACTCTTGACAAAACCTTTGCCGGTATAATCGTATAGAAACAGGCAAGATTTCTTACATGGGATGGAGGAGCCCCTTTGGTAAGAAACAATGGTTGCGTACGTAATAAACGTGTTAGAGTGCGAGGTTTGCATGGGCTGTATAGTTATGGAATGGACGTTCAGAAGACATATTGCAAGAAATTGTCAGTGACCGAATTAATTCCTAAAGCTCTGTAGGTATGTTGCACACTCTTTTCCAGCCTGCTGCAGTACTGATGGTAACTTCTACGGGAACTCCAAGTAACGAGTTTCTGAAGGAGACTTTGACGTAGAAAACTTTGCCGGAAACAATTGACGCCGAAGACAAGCGAACCAGGGTCAGTGCATGAGGTATTGCAAATGCTCACTGCTGCTCAGCAGAGCTTGGCGTTCAGCCTGTGACGTAGCCGCAGCGCGGCTCTTCGGAAGTAAGCACCTTGCCCGTGTAAGAGTCTTGGCTCTCGTTGTGGGGAGGCATTGCCCAGGCTCACACAACGCGGCTGCCTGATACTATCACATATCTTACCAGCGTATCCCGCTGCCGATTTTCACCTTCGTATGGACCCGCGCCAGATAAATCTCCTTGGGTCGATCCAGTGCGGCGACTTTGTTAGATCGCCACCCGTTGCAGCCTTGTCATATAGTTGACGGAGTTTCTGCACAGCATGGCGCATCGTGGCACTCTAGAAGATGCTCCGTGGGATGACGACGCCGTGGTTCTCGCCTTTGAGGACGTCGCCGACTTCAATGAGGACAACATCCTTCCTCTGCCAGCGGACGAGCTTGCAGACGTTCGAGCATGGCTGCAGCCCACCAACTATGAAGGGGACGGCAGTGAGTTAGCCAAGCACGCAGCAGCACATCTCGGAGGCACGGGCGAGTGGCTCCTGAAGTCAGCTGCATATCGGGAGTGGCATGACAGAGACGGGAGCGACGTGCTTTGGATTCGAGGTAGGTGACAGTACTCATGAAGCACGGTGATTGTCAACGGGGCGCAAGACAGGCCGCTAAACAATTAACCATGAATCAATACAGGCATACCTGGGTCAGGCAAGTCTGTCCACGCCGCATCTCTGGTCCACCAGCTTCGCCAAGAGCAAGTCCCAGTCTTATTCTTCTTCTTCCGGCACATCATCGCAGCGAACCACCAGCCTGTTTCAGCGGTGCGAGACTGGCTCGCGCAGATTCTACCTTACAGCCCGCCTCTGCAGGCAAGGCTGAAGAGCTATGTGGCCGCCTGTCACACGCTAGACAGCACATCCTCGGTAGACCTCTGGCAGGACTTGCAGATGGCACTGCGGCAGATTCCGAGGGCATTTATCGTCGCCGACGCGCTCGACGAGATGGACCGCGGAGTCAACAACGGCGAGATGCACGCCTTCATGGACAAGATCGTGGAGCTGACCCGGCGTCGACCCGGGCGTACCAAGATGGTCATCACGTCCCGGCCGGTCGCGTACATTGAGTCAGCGCTGCGGCGGGCAGGCGGCTCTGTCGTCAACATACGGCTCAAGGAAGAACTTGTCGACCACGACATTGCGACATTTGTAGCGCACCATCTAGCTTCGTCGAGCATCAGTAACGATAACCAAGCACTCATCAAGGCGGCAGTGCCTGGCCGCGCCAACGGCTTGTTCCTCTATGCGAAACTGGCCATGGACGCTTTCATGCGCCCGGGGGCCGATGTCCAGGCTATCCTTGGAGGGCTTCCACGAGACCTCGACACCATGTACGCCGACATACTAAAGCAGCATGCCCTGCGGAGCGGTGTGGCCGAGGAGACGCAGGTCCTGATCTTGCAGCTCGTCACACATGCCACGCGGCCCCTCCGAGTGCTCGAGATTGCGAGCCTCATCAATGTCACGCAGTGCCCTTCCAAGATGCGGGATCTCAAGGCAGCGAAAGGTCTGGTGCGCTTGGCCTGTGGTCCGCTGATAGAGATCCTGCCTGATGAGTCCGTCAGCGTTGTACATCACTCGCTTACAGAATACCTCACTGGCGTTGACGATGATGCCGGCAGTGTTCATCATAACCATCCTATTCTCGAGGCTGGCGCCACGCATCAGAGACTTGCATTAGCCTGTCTGGAGTACTTGCAGTCTGAGAGTCTGATGAGCGATATTTCTAAGCCGTGGAAAAAACACGATACGTTTGCGCAGTATGCTGGGAAGAACTGGTTCGTCCACGCTCGCAAGGCTACGCTGGCCGGCCGCACTGAGCAGGCCCGGCTCAACCAGGTCTTGGACAACCTCTTTCAGTCAAAAGAGCACATTTGGGAGATCTTGTGGATGGCAGACGTCGGCGTGGCAGTCGGTTCAGGAATGGACGTGACCCCAGCCTACGCCGCGACCGCCCTCCGGCTGCATGAATACCTCGATATCGTGCTCTCGCGGGACCCCAAGCAGGCCCGTGTCGACCTGGGAGCCAGCCCGCGAACGTCCTCGATCTGCCTGGCCTCGCAAAAGGGGTACGTCGAAATCGTCGAGTCCCTGCTCAGAGCTGGGGGTGACCCGCGTGAAGTCAACATGGGCTCGTACACGCGCGAGACACCTTTACACTTTTCTGTGCAGAACAACCACCTCGAGATCACCAAGCTCCTCCTCGACGCCGGGGCGGATCTGATGGCCCTCAGGAACTTCCAGGATCCGTCCACTGGCCTCAACCAACGCGTGTCGCCGCTGCAGTGGGCAATTACGCACGGCTACACTGCGGTGCTCGACGCCATGCTGCCACACATGAAATCTGTCGAGACCGTCGGCCAGGCTCTGCTCTGGACAGCCTCCGCCAGTCGCGCCGACATGCTCGCCGCCGTGCTGGGCCATCCCCTCGCGGCTCGCCTGAGCAGTAGCGGCGATGACGGCCCCGGCCATCTTTCCAAAGCACTGGCCCAGGCCGCTGCCCGCCACAACGCCCCGATGGTGCGAACCCTCCTCGACGCCGGCGCCGAAGCGACGGCACTACTACACGCCCACGCCGCTGATGGCGAGGGGCAGACTGCAGGAGGCCTCGGGATGCTGCACGTCTGGGCGGCAGGGGACCCTGACGTCGACATCATGCCAGACGCCGCTCACATTTCCAACCTCCCGACCGTCGCCAGCAAGACATCAAGAGACCCAGAGGCCGCTGCCCGGGTGTTCCGGATGCTCGTCGCTGCCGGGGCCGACGTCCACCAGCGCACGTCCGATGAGCTGCACAGCACGCCGCTGCACTATGCGCGGGACGCGACTACGGCGCGGCTCCTCGTGGGCGAGGGCGGCGCCGACGTCGGTGCGGTCAACTCAGGCGGGGAGACGCTGCTCCGGCTGACGCGGGACCCGGCCACTGTCAAGTATATCCTCGAGGTGATGAGCACCGAAAAGCCGGAGGAGGCGGCGCTGGCGGGGACGACGACGACGACGACACCGGAGATTGTGGCTGCAATGCTGGAGCGCCTGAATTCCGACTGGTACCGCTGGAACCGGACGCTCTTCCTCGAGCAGGTCGAGGTCTTTCTTGACCACGGCGTCGATCCGACTACGGTTGTGGACGAGGACGGACAAACGCCACTTCACCTACTCGTACAGCTTGTCAGGACCAACGCTGATAGTGAAATACGTGGCTGTGGAGGTAGGCGGGGCCCTCGTGGTGATGGCGCTGGTGAGGTAAAGGACACCCGTGTGCCTCTGCTCCAGCGACTGCTACGACATCCCGGCATGGACGCCAACATGCGCAACGCACAGGGACAGGCGGCTCTACATCTGCTCAACATGACCCCGATAGAGGCATACAAGGGCAACATAGATCTCCTCGCAGCCCTGGTGGACGCCGGGGCGGACCTGGAGGCCCGCGATGGCCAAGGGCGTACTCCGCTCTTCTTCATGCTCGAGTCGGACGAGGCCCACGTCCGGCCCGACATGATGGTCACCGCGTGCAAGGAGATGTTCCAGGCAGGCAGCCGCCTCGACGCGCACGACGCCTCGGGCCGCACCATGCTCCACGCCGCGGTTGCCATAGGCAGTCGGGGGCCACTTGTCCAGTGGCTCCTTGACGCGGGAGCCGATCCGCGAGCGGTGGATCGTGAGGGCAACACGCTGTTCCACGAGGCACATGACAAAGGGCCGTGGCCATGGAGAGTCTACAAGGAGGGAGCGGGCGAGTTTGCCTTGTTTGACCAACTGGCCAGTCTCGGCGTCGACCCGACACAGCCAAACCACGCGGGGAAAACGCCGCTCCACCTGGCGAGCACCATCACGCCGGGGGCCTTTCACCACGACAAGCGGCCCGGGCAGCGCGAGTCGACGACGACGTTTGACTGGTTCCTCGGGAGGCATGGCCCTGGCAACGTCGACGTGGCGGACCCGGACGGCGTCACTCCCTTACATAACGCGGCCACCTTTTCCGAATACATGGCTCGGCGGCTGCTCGAGTATGGTGCCGACCCGCTCAGGATGACCAAGGAAGGGCTCAACGGTCTTCACCTTGCTGCTCGCGCACGGCAGGTGAATATCCTTGGCATGATGCTCGAAAGCGTCGCCGAGTCGGACCGTCGGGCCGGAGGACGCAACACCAGTACTCACCGCCACAGCCGGTCGCCTTTATTCTATGCGGTGGCGTCTGGGAAGCCGGAGAGCGTGAGGCTCCTCCTCGAGGCAGGCATGCCCTTGGTGACCCTACGGCCGCAGACAGAAGAGTATCAGGACTCGGTGCTGCAGGCAGTTGTCGAGTTTGAAGAGGAGCTTGCAAACTGGCCGCGACGGCCCGTTGGTGTCAAGCTCGGCAGCAGAGATGTCGGTAGCGTCTCTCTGGGCGACAGGTTCCGCATGCCCATGGCGCCAATGGCTCCCCCCTCGGAGCGTCTCGACGAGATACTCGACCTACTTTCCGAATACGGCTTGATCCCGAAGCACCACATCAGGATGGCGATCGTGGAGGCGGCCGAGAAGAAGGCAGCTTATACTCTGACATGTCTACTTCGAATCAGCGAGCAGCTCGGAATGGAGTCGTCAACCGAGGTTGATAATGGCTCGCTGAGTGCCTTGGTCGAAGCCAGGCAGGAGGTTGCAAAGCCCTTTGAGGAGGCCATCGCTGCAAGGGGAACACTGTCTACCGACGAATTTCACGAGGCTATGAAGGAACGTCTCTTTGATGTCGTTGCCAAGGGGTTGTCGACGCCCGACAGCGCTCTGCAGGTGCTCGAGACCAGCCGCGGGCGCCACGACTTCGGCACGACAATTCTACAGTATCTTGCAGCGGGGGGCCACGCGGCTCTCCTGGCAAAGGTCGCGAGCGCCGAATCTATTGCCAAACAGTCCCACGAGGGGGTCGAGCCTCTGCTCGTCACGGCCTGCAGGCGCGAGATCCCCAACATGGATGTTGTGAGGCTTCTCGTCGAGCATTTTGGCGTCGATGTCAACGACGTGGGCAAGGTCATGCCGTCTTACTGGAACACTGCCGGGACTGGCCCAAGTGGCACCTCGGCGCTGCACGCGCTCGCAGAGGGGGGACACTGGTGGCAGGCCGCCCAGGCCATCCCGTATCTGGTCGCTCACGGCGCCGACGTCAACATCCGGTCACAAAAGGGACAAGCGGGAAAGTTGACGACACCGCTCAATGTCGCGCTGAGGCCCCTCATGTGGCACTGCAACCTGAGCGTCAGCAAGCGTGCGGTCCAGGTCCTGCTCGAGCACGGTGCAGACGTGACAGCCGTCGACGACCAGGGCGTTTCACCCCTCGACCGGGGAATGCGGGATGTTGAGATCTGGGCCCTCCTGGTGGGCAAAGGAGCCAGGGTGTCGTCGCAGGACCTTATCGCCGCCATCGACAACGCAAATCCAGCGGCTCTAGAGGCGCTGCTCGCCGCCGGGGCGGATCCGAACGGACGGAGGAGCTCACCACCGCCCATCGAGAAGTTCGCGCGGGCCTCTGATATGTTCGGCCAACTCGACCTCACAAAGGAGCAAAGGTTCCCGCTCCATCACGCTCTAGTGACGAACTCCAACAAACCGGACGTGCAGGCCAGGATGGTCAGCTCGTTGCTCAAAAAAGGCGCTGACCCCTTTGCGAGATATGATAATTCCTCCCTGCTGCACCAGATCTTTGCGCGAAAGTCTTCCTGGGAACCAGACTCGTGCCTGCGCCAGATGCTCGAGACGGGAGCACTCCGAGGCCTAGACCCCAACAGCACAGATGCCCACGGCGTCACGCTCTTTCACCTGTCGTGCCGGCACGGGCCGGACAAGCACAAACCTGGGCAGAATGCACTACACCATGGTCCAGGCGAGCCCCCGACACCAGCGGCCATCATGCTCTCACTGGGCACAGTCGACGTCTACGCCAGGGACAAGGACCGGCGCAACTCGCTGCACCACCTCATCGCCGCGGGCGAGCCACGCGCCGACACCGAGATGATCCGCACGGTCAGCCGCTTGGCGCCCGAGCTCATCAACCAGTGGGCTTACGGCGGCGGGCGGACGCCCTTCCACGAGGCCGTCGCGCACTTGTCGTGGGCGGCGGGCACCGAGGTCGTCGACATCCTGCTCGACGCGGGCGCGGACCCCACGAAGGCCGATCGGGAGGGCAACACGCCGCTGCATATACTGCTGGGCGGGGAGTTCCGCGTCTCTTTGGATAACAACGGCTCCGACGACACCAAAACCACCAACAGGACCAGTAGCAGCGCCGTCGTGGTCCTCGACAGACTCCTGTCACAGCCTGGCGCGGACATCAATGCCGCCAACGGCGCCGGAGTGACGCCCTTGTTCGCCTATCTGCGCAGCGGCACCGCCAGGCCTGCAGACTACCAGCGGGGCATTACTTGGAAACAGGGAGAGGATTTGGCCGAGATCGAGAAGTGGGAGGTCGCCGTGCTTGCCATATTCGACGCGCTGGGCGCGGACTGGAGCGTGCGCTGCAGTAGTGGCAGCGGCAGCGGCAAGACGCTGCTGCATGCTGCCGTCGAGTGGCAGGCAGGGTATGCTGGGGGGCGGGCCGCGCGGGTAAAGTACCTCTTGGGTAAGAACGTCGATCCCGGCGCCGAGGATCAGACCCTCAGGACGGTGCTGGACTATGCTGCTGCTCTTGGGGCGAGGGATGTGTTGGAGTTGTTTGGCCGGACTGTTGAAGTTCCAAGATTTGGTACTGGGAATTCACGTGTAGCTGAGGATGAGGACGAGGATGATGACTGGTAGAGGGGGAGTAGCAAATATTCCCGACTACATAGGTTTTTATTATTATCTCATCCATCTATAACTTCCGCCTTGATCGTTAGCTTTCCCTATCCCTTTCAGGTGCGCCTGGCGTCTCAGATCACGGCTCCTGCGTGTTATACCGATGTCTTTGTTCAGACCACCGGGGTACGAGTTTCGTTAAGAAAATGCATAAAAGAGGACGATGGTCAACTGGTGCTCCTCGTTAACATTGAGTGTGTTTGGGTGCCCAGCTTATGGCATTTCTTGTGACCGTCATTTTGTTTATTACTTGCTGGCATTGGCACCACGGGACATGGATGTATGCATGCCAACCCTGCTGGCCAACATCGTCTAGCTGGGGCCGACAGCAAACAGTTATTTGTTGGTCACACCCATCCCGGTCTTAGAAGGCGCAGCCGCTGGACGGGAGGTGACCAACACGCAAATTCGCTTGGCAACCCAGAGCACTCGTGCGTGGGCTGGGCCAAAAGTGCAGATCCTCCAAGCTACGGTTGTGCTGCTCTGTCACGCATCTGATTCGCACGCTGAAATCTGTGTCTGACACTAGTCATTGTTGGGGTCCGGAATGTGCATTCCCCAGACGTCAGAAGCATGTTCCTTGGGCGTCCATAGGCCAACATTCATCCACGGATGAAGCTTTCTTTTTGCCTGCGGATTTTCCACTTCCAGCTTGTGTCCGCAGTGGCGCGGGCGGCTAGAATGTTGGACGTGCTGGGGCCGACTGACTCGAGTCATATATCATGTACCCGCGCCCTCATTTTCCTCAAGCGATCGCCTGCCCTCCCTTCGCCTCGTCTATTGTTAATACTGTCCACTTGATCGAATTCAAGCACCCTGAAATATCCTCGGCCATGGCTTACCTGATCACTCTTGTAGCCGCGATTAGCAGCTTGGTTCCTGTTGCTACATGCAAACGGGACACCAAAAACGAATGCGTCTGTATCACTCAGCCTTTTGCACCCTTATCCAGCCCGTGCGGAAGAATTCGCGCTGACGAGACGTTGGATTCGACAGTGCGCCGCGTTCCTCGCCGATCCATCGCTGCGGGACAAGGTTTTCCTGCCCGAGTCGTCCACCTATGCCGAGAGGCTGGCCGACTACTACTCCAAGAACGCTGCGCTCTCCCCGTCCTGCATGGTCTTGCCACTGAGCACTGGCGATGTTTCCGCCATTGCCGCAACCATTTATGAGAACGGGTGTCAGTTTGGGATCCGAAGCGGTGGTCACTCGGCGTACGCGGGTGCTAATAGTGTCGAGGGTGGCGTGACTGTCGACTTTGGTAGGTCCCTGTGCTGTTGGGAGCTTGCGGGCCCAAACTGATTGCTGATCTCTATCTCTTAGGCTATATGAATGCCACCTCGTACACACCCGGGTCCGGCTCGGTGGTCATTCCGGCTGGGTCCACGTGGGGCCAGGTTTACGAGACTCTTGACCCCTTGGGTGTGTCTGTGGCTGGCGGTAGGGCGTCTTCCGTCGGTGTCGGCGGCTTCACGACTGGCGGTGGCTACTCGTTCCATGCTAACGCGGTTGGCTGGGCCTGCGACACGGTCCGGAACTTTGAGGTTGTGCTCGCGAACGGCACCGTCATCAACGCCAACTCGGAGGAGAATGCAGACCTGTGGAAGGCGCAGAAGGGAGCGTCAGGTAATTTTGGCTTTGTCACACAGGTCGAGTTTGGTATGTGCTTTTGCAAGATCATTGACTGGCGGGCAGTAGGCTAATTTGCAACAGATGTTCAACCGACCAACAGGATCTGGGGCGGCTTCATCTTCTATCCTGCCGCGCAAGCCCTTGCTCTCTTCGAAGCTTATGTCGAGTTTGTGAACAACATGGACAAAGTAGGCTTTTCTTTACCTGCCCAAGCCCGCAACCAGCCACTGACACTTCCGCCCCATGATACAGAAACCGAACAGCCAAGCGCTGATGGGGATCATCGGCAACGAGACACCCAATGTCCAATATCTCGCACCGATTTCCGAGAACACTGGCGTTCCCGACCGAGCAGCCTTTGAAGGCTTATTCTCCATCTCAAACGCTACCAGCTCAGTCAAGGACCACACGTATGCAGACATTGCGCCTCTTGTCGTGGCCTTGACCCATCCCGGGTGGTAGTAAGTCCTAGACCTTTCTCCACGTCTGCAACCATGCCGCCCTTTGCTAACGCCAACCCTCACAGCTCAAACTGGATTGTCGAGCTGTACGCCAGCAACGTCGACATGCTATCCTCGATCAACGACTCCTTCCTCAAGACCCTGGCCAAGATGCGCGCGGCCGTCCCAAACCGCCAGTTCTCGTTCCTCGTGGAGCTGCAGCCAGTCACGCAGTCCATTGTGAAGCACAGCGCCGCCAGGGGCGGCAACGTGCTCGGCCTCGATAGTGTCGTGGCCGACGGCCCCGCGGTCATGTGCATGCTCTCGCTGACCGTCGAGATGACCGACCTGCAGGAGGCGCTGCTTCCCCTTGCCCTTGATCTCCGCGACGAGATCGTCGCGTACGCGGACGGGAAAGGGCTTAACAAGAACTGGCGCTATGCGCCATATGCCTGGGGAAATCAGGATCCGCTGGCGGATTATGGCACTGAGAACATCGCTTTGATCAAGGCTGCGGCGGGCAAGTATGATCCAGATGGGGTGTTTCAGACTCTGCGGGCATCGGGCTTCAAGATTCCTGTTTAGACAGTGGTGGCAAGCGGCCTACTTCACTTCTAGACCTAGCAAGATGCAAATGGACGAGCTGATCCATTGTAAAACTCCTTGCGCGGGGAGAGAATCAGAATACGTCATTGCGAGGAGAAAATTAGAACGTGAGCACGGCCTGAACAATGGGAAAACTATTGTTCGACCAATAGTAAGCAATTTCCCTCAACGTTTTCAGGGCAGCCTTTGCATACAGAGGATAACGCTACCTCATTACTTAGGGGAATGGAGTCGACGGAAGACTGGATTCTGAATATCAGCCCTATATATGCTCTCAGTCACAACGAGTCTGCTTTGCTACCCTAAAAGGTTCGTCCCCTCAAAGATAATTATGTGCTCGCGCGCCATTTTGTAGCGGCATGAGTGAGTAGAGACACTGTGAACAAAGTCGAGGCTCTCTGCCCCTCCCCTTTCCATCACAGCGTCCACGCCGCAGAAGCCGCACATTGCACACAACTGCGTCTAGGGACAATCATTGTACATTCATCAAAGGCGGGCCTGTACGTAGCTCGTGAAAGTAGAAATGCTTCGGCTTCGTTCTCACATCTCAGTACTCATCCGTGGAGAAATGGTTTCGCCTAGGAGTACAACATTCGTCAACATTCGATGAAATTGCCTACCGCTACCTAAGGCTTGACCCAGTCCTTGCCGGCTTCCGTCGCCTTCAGGAACGCTGTGGCCTGCGTGTCCTGTGCAATGGGCTCCTCGGCATGGGCTGCCGAGCTGCTGCCCTTCCTCTCGAGAGCCTTGAGCTGCTCAACCTGGGCGAGGTACTTGACATAGTTGGCCGCGAGGAATCTCGAGAACTTGGCCTTCTCGGAGATCTTGAACTCTGGCACCACCACGCCCGCCTTTTGCCACTCCCACCTCTCGTTCTCCTTGACCCAGACGCGCTTGAAATTCCTGAGAGCTTCCGGGTCGTACTTTTCCGGTCCCAGCTTCTTCATGCGGTATGCGACGGTCGGGTGGATCGACTCCTGCGTGTCGCCCAGCTGGTGCTGCTCTGTGCCTTTCGGAGTCTTGCAATACTCGCCTGGCGTGCGCGTGATGGAGCCCGTGGCCCTCATCTTGAGAGTGTAGCTGTCGACGATGGGGCCCTCGGCCCAGCCGCACACCGTGGACGGGGCAATCTGCTTGGTCTCTGCTTTGTACGCGCCGGTCCAGTCGAGGGCCTTCCAGAAGGGCTTGACCCAGGAGCCAAAGTCCTTGTTGCCGCCGGCCGAGATCTCGGCGAGCACGGGCACGATGAGGGCCATGCGGTCCCGGACGGAGCGCTTGCGCAGGCGCTCCTCGAAGCGCACAAACGGCTTGACCTGCTCGCACATCCAGGCGAACGAGATGAGGGCAATCTGCTCAAAGTCGCCGTCGCGGTCGCCGAGCACGTCGTCGCTGCCACCGCCAATGTTGATGTGCACGCCCGGGAACCAGACCTGCTGCAGGTTGGACGGGTGCAGCCGCGTGCACAGCTGCCGCATCTCGCAGTCGATCAGGTTGCCCCAGGCCGCGTCGACGCGCCTCTCGTACTCCTCCTCCTGCGACTCCTGGCCCTTGTCGAAGCGCGGTTTGTCGAAGTGCAGCTTCTCAAAGGCGTCGAGGGCTGCCTTGTGGGCGGCAGCCGGGTCAGTACCATTAACCTTGACCCCGTTGGTGCCGTTCGTGGTGGACATGCCGGGGAGGGGGGGAGGCAGATGCCACAGGGTGGGCGAGAAGGGCCCCCTGTGCTCGTCGAGGGCCATGGCGTGGAAGGCGTTGGCAATGTCTGCATTATCGGGTCTCGATTAGCATCGTGGAAACGATATTGACACAGGATGGCCACTTGGGACGACAACTCACATGGGCTCAGGTTGACGTTGTGGAAGCCAGGGCTCTCGCCTCCCCACCAGTAGTTGATGCCAGTCATGATGGCGTCGACCGTGAAGTACGGACTGTCCGGCACACCCAGACTGCCGACCGTGTCGAATACGCCGACGACTTCGACGAGCCGCGACTCCTCGGTCACGAGCGCGTGCGGGATCTGGTCCCACAGGGCGAGGCCTGTCGCCGGATCCTTGCGCTGCTTGCTGAGCACGCCCGCCTGCCACCTCCTGTACTCTCGCGACTTGCGGAAGCCGTGGCTGTCCCCGCCCTTGTACGACGAGTAGGCGGCGTAGAGCTCCGGGAAGTCCTGCATGTCGCGCGGGGAGATGACGCCAATGTCGTTGACCAGGCCCGCCACCGCCCGGGCCGTGTACGCGCCGCGCGAGAAGCCGAAGCAGTAGATCTTGTCACCCGGGTACCAGTTGAGGACGAGGAAGTTGTACGCCTCGATGACGTTGGCGACGAAGCCGTGCCCGAACCCGCCCTGGCGGTCCTTCTCGGCCTTGCTGATCTCGCCCGTGCCGATGCCCGCGTCGTAGTAGACTATCTGCTCCCACACCGTCTCCTTGCCCGACTTGTCGTCGGTCACGACATCCTCGCGGGCAAAAGAGCGGGCGAGGCGCGTCAAGTTGGACGGCACGTTCTTCTTGATGGTGACGGACGACTGCCACGTGCCGTCGCAGCAGACGATGAGGCGCTTGCGGGCACGGGGCTCGCTGGCTTCTGCTGTGGGGGAAGCTGAAGGCATTGCTAGTGTCTGTCTGCCTTGGCTGGTTCTGCTGGAAAGACTGGGATGCACCACAATTTCGCGGCACGTTGTTTTTATCAGACAACCCTGCCTGCGAGCTGTGAGACTTGCCTGCTCAGACGAGTAGGGGCCTTATATACATCTGGGGAAATCCACCTCCATGTGAGACAAATCGTCCCGTGTCTCACACGCTGGCATGCAGCCGCCCGCGTACGCACGAGGGGCACGCCGGGCTGAGCGAGCTGAAAAGCAGCCTGCAACACCAAGGGGTCTCGCCCAGGCAAGCCCGCTCTGGGCTACGAGCTACCTGAGCCTATCCCTGGACCCAGCCTGATCGAGCCCAGCTGGACCAGGGTGGTGGTCTCATGCACAGCTTAGTAGTAGTCTGCATATCGGAGCACGCGAATGACCCCCTGCTCAGGGGTCCTAGCCTTGTAAATTGACCCCACTAGGTTAAATAGTTTCCCCAGGCGGCCCGCCGGCGGGAGCTAGACACAGCTGATAGCGCGAGATGGCTGCGTGCTCTGGACCCAAACAGAGTTCGAGCCCAACCCCGGTGGCGGGCTGAAAATGCACGCCTGCATCCGGCCAATGCCGCAAAGTAGAGTCTTGGCTCGCCCCAGATGTCTTTGTTCCAAACCGCCTGGTCTCGGTAGGGTCAACCTTGGGTGACTCGATTGTGAATCAGCGGAAACACAAAGTGTGTGCTTGGCCAAGTATTACTTCAAAGCTAGTTCACTCCCACTGGCATGTAAACCTTAAGTCTTGGAGCACTCAGACAACGAAGCTTCGTCCGCTGGAAAAGGACTAGGTGGTCGTGCGATGCAAGTCTACAGTCCAGGCAGTGTCAGATATCCCATTGAGCGTTATGTCTCTCGCTCATGCGGAAGCCTTGGCGATTGTTTAGTGATGGTAGGTCTAGTTGGCATTCTCCCGTGCTCAAGTCGCCGGATTCGAGGGCCAGCATGTGCCTGATAAGATCGGGTATCAGATCGGCGGCACGCACGATAGATGCAGGACTGAATATGTCTGGACGATGCTGTTCAGAGACAACTGATGGAGGTCGCTGCCCGCTACCAGTGAAGAAGCTGAGACAGTATGGTTCGTGCAAGTCGTGCGAGTAGGACTGCTTTCCATGGCGCGAAGGTTGAGTTTGAAGATATTTACTTCTCTCCAGAGATGGTGCGATACTTCGTCGCTCGCCTGCTGATCATGTAGAGTGTACATGGTTTTCGAGTGACTTATGAGGTGGTCCCACGGCAGTGTCTTAGAGTGTGGCACGTTCGACCCCTGCTCGGGTAGTGATGTGCTGATGGTCGACGGAAAGGTCTGTTGGGTTTGCTGAAAAACTTTCGGGCTTGAACATCATCCCATACCTGTTGCTATTTTGCTACTTCTGGACTTGTTGTACGAACGGAGGAAATGGAGCTCCCGAATGTTTCTTTATGCCTCGATCCCCTGAACTATGAGCTAAATCTCTAGAGATGCCCGGGTAATGCTTACACTATCGTCATTCATGCTTCTGGAACAAACTGAACCTGGTGTGGCGCTTCACAAGTGGAGCATGCTGAGCAGCTGTCTCCAAGATGAAGTGATGAGAGCGGGCTGATGTGAGTTCGGTTGGATTTGACTCTGCGTCATGTATGCCTGCAAAGTGACTCTGGAGAATGTGAAGTGGTACTGTGATAACGTCCTTGTTTTGTGAAAGGGCCAAACATCGACTTCTTCTGGGGCGTTTATGCAGTCTATAGGCGGCAGCAGATTACAGAGAACCGTGGGTACAGTCAGATAGGCTATTTGACATTGACCTAGCAAGACTGGCATAGAAGCTCGCAGCCGCTCACGTCAGCAGCTTTACAGTCCTGAGATTGCGATCTAAGGTTGCACGACACCCCTGCCGACCATTCAGCGCCCCCAAAAATAGCCAGCCACAAATCCTTGGTGATCGACCCCGTTCTGGGAGCCAAGCAAGTCCTGCATATCTCCGCTGGGTGTTCAGGGATCCACCGCCTGTAGCACGCTGTCTGATGCGCCCGTCCGCAGTCGTCCTGTCAGACTGAGCCTTGTCAATTAACAGGGCGCAAGCATGCAGATTCTCCGCTAAGTAGCCGAAAACAAGCGGGTCTAGGTCGGCGCAGGCTTAGTGATGGCCAGATCTGGCACCGTAGGCAGTTTAACTGGGCCCAGCTTACAGCACGTTGGGACAAGCGAGGTTTGAGCTTAGCCTAACATCGTCCTTGCGCAGGGGGCTGTGAGGTACCACAGAGTTGTTGTTTGGTCGAGCAGCCGTAGGATCGCGGACAGCAGGACAAGACACACGAGGATGCGCCTGCAAGAATAGCAACGCCCAAATGATCTGCCTGAGCTGTCCTGGAACGCCCAGTGTGCACTGCTAAGGATATAAAGGCGCTGAAGAAGCCGCACCAGTTGGCTCGACTTTGATATCATCTTCCACAACATCAGTCGCAACATCAATTCTCTGCCCATTTCGACAATCAGAACCAAACCTCAAGATTTCCATCTTTCAAGTCTAGCTCACCTATCATCACTGCCAAAATGCGCTACTCTCCTCTCATCCTCGCTGGCCTTGTCTCCTTCGCTTCCGCCGCCCCGGCTGCCCGAGTTTCCCGTGCCGCTGATGGCGAGGACGTCCCGCAGTGGACAATCGAAAGCATGAAGCGCGAGTGCGATGCCGCCGATACTTCCTGTGCCTGGTCCTTCGGCATTCAGAACAACCGCGTTGCCGGCGCCGCCGCAGTGCCCTGCAATTTTACCGTCGTCGCCGGAGAGAAACCCGCCAGCCAGACCGATGTCGCAGGCATCCAGTGCGACTTCTTCACCGTGTCGGGGGGCTGGAGCGGCCAATTCGGCCCCGATGCAGGGTTCACCACGCTGAGCATCGCCAACTTTGACACCAAGCTTATTGCCTATCCTGCCTACACGGACAAGGAGCTGGCTGGCGGCCAGGTCGTGGTGCCTGACCGCTCCTACCAGCCTCAGCCTTTCTAAGCGAGCTCCCACTCGTTGCTTCAGCGCTTTTGGCGCGAGGGAAGACCGGACAACGAGGAGGAGAATGAGCATGCGAAGCCTTTCATTACAACCATTGCATACAATTACAGCATTTACATTGGCGTACGGGGAGCATCCAACCAGGCCCACCACGATCATCGTTCATTAGCATATCATATACATAATATTAGCATACAATACACGTGCATCACGCATTCAGTTCTAGCTTACTTCTGAGGCGCTAACCACACCTTGGACTAGTCGAGCGAGGGAATGTCCAATCGTAGAAAGCAGGCGCGTCGCCAATGATTCATTGTGTCGCATCTTCCAGCTCCTTCGATTGCATTTGAATTGAGTGGAATGAAGATACGGGCAGCATCGAGGCCTGAGTGATTCCGCCGACGCGGTGCGATTGGCATCCAGCAGTCTTTTGCGTCGTCACCGGTTCGGCGACCGATACCTGCACGTCAGGCCCAAAGATTTATTGGACAATGACAACGTGGCCAAGACGGACGGGGGCTCCATTATAACACGTCCACAGCATAGTCCGTTGCCACGGACCAAAGTCGTCAGCACCTCAGGGCCAGCCAGCACCAATCGGAATGGTTCCCTAAACTCAAGGTCCGGAGTTTCGGCCGAACCCTCCTCGCTACGCTACCTGTGCGGCGAGTCAGCAATGATTCAGCTGGCTGCCCCTCTTGGAACATGCGTTACTCAGTACCCAATTTGACGACGTGTTCAAAGCTCATGCTATAGCTCCATTGCCTAAGGGTGGATGTTTTGAACCTACAAGACACCTCACCTCGATCCTGCGTACACTGCGCGTCCTACCAGCATCTGTCTTGACAGAAGCCCAGAAGTAAAACACGATCCAAAACAATCCAGCCACAATGCCGACAGAGAAACTTGTCCGAATCACGACCCTAATCCCCCGCAAGAAGGGCATGTCGCAGGCCGACTTCTACAAGCACTGGAGCACCGTCCACGGGCCCATGGTGGTCGATTTCATGATGCGCCATGGCGTGGTCGAGTATCGTCAGGTGAGTCAAGTCTGGCTGCCACCACAACCACAATCCCCGAGACTTATGCATGCTCCGTCGTGCAGTACCACACCACTCCGGAAATGAAGGCCTTGGGCGAAGCCTTGGCCAAGGCTGCCGGGCGCCCGATGCTCGAGTACGACGGCATCAGCGACGCCTATGTCAGGGACTTTCAGGCGTTCCAGGAGTCCGCGTTCAAGGACCCGGAGTACACGGAGAAGATCCAGCCCGACGAGCTGAGGTTTATCGATGTCGAGAATATTCAGATGACGATCGGGTACGACTACTGGGTGATCGAGAACGGGAAGCCTGTCTTGGGGGGACAGGAGAGCGGTCTACCGAAATGACCAGTTAGAGGTCGCAATCTAAAGAACGTCCTGGTCAGTGATTCAATAACCAGGTGGGACTTTATCTGAAGTGCTTCAAGTGTGCATCCAAAGCTTTGCCAAGACATTATGGACCGAAGGAGAGCAACTAATGGGGCTGACTCAGCTGGGGTAGGCCGCTCGGCAAGGAGCTGCTTGGGCCTCGGCTAGTGTTGAGCTGTTGAGACCGGGTGATCATTACTTGCACCTGTCACTCGACAACTTCTACCTTCTGATGACACTATTCGCGTTGTGATGCGCCACGCTGCAGCATGTCCAGCACGGAACTATGTACCATTACTATCGCCCCTGAGCAAAGGGTGAGGGCGTCCACGACAACAGGACCGCCGGCGGCCATCTCGAGCCGTCGTTCAGCCGAGCCCGAGAGTCGAACAGCACAAAGCCACGAGCTCGCGCCGATTGACGGCGGAATCGCGGCTTGGAGGCTCCTAGGCACTGCTTTTGTCTTTGAGACATTACTTTGGGGTGAGCACTGTCGCGGGCCAAATCATGGATCCCCACCGTTTGCTGACAAGAACCTGTGGCTAAGGCTTTCCACTATCATTTGGTGTCTTTCAGGACTACTACTCCAGGATCCCAGAATTCGCCAATAACCCTTATATCGGCGTGGTCGGCACAATCGCGTCCGGGCTGGGCTACCTTGGCGCGCCCCTTGTCATGCCGTTCATCCAACGCCACCAGCGCTGGCGTCGACAAATGATCTGGGTTGGTTGTAGGTCTGATGATGCGATAGCAACTGTTTTGATGCATTGCTGACAATGACCAATCACAAATAGGGCCGATATGTATTGGAGGCCTTGTGGCAGGCTCATTCGCCACGACTCTCGAGGCCCTCATCCTGACCCAGGGTGTGGCGTACGGCCTCGGGTTCCTGATCTTGTACTATCCCATCCTGATCATGGTCAACGAGTACTGGATCGCGCGCCGGGGCATGGCCTACGGCGTCCTCTGTGGCGCGTCAGGTGTATCAGGGGCGGTCATGCCCTTCATGATCCAGGCCTTGCTGGCGAAATACGGCTACCAGACCACTCTCCGTGCCGTAGCCGTGGGCTTGGCCATTGTCACCGGGCCATTGATCCCTTTTTTAGATGGCCGCTTGCCACCCTCGCACCATGCAATCTCGCCGAAAATCAACTGGTCCTTCTTGAAAAATCCATTGTTCTGGTTCTACTCTATATCGAACCTGTTTCAAGGGTTCGGTTACTTTTTCCCCTCGCTGTACTTACCCTCCACTGCAACCTCGCTCGAGCTCGGTGAGAGATCGGGCGCCATCCTTCTTGCTACGATGAGCGTCTCACAAGTCGGCGGGCAGTTCGTCTTCGGCTACCTCTCAGATGGGAAGGTCCCGCTCGCCATCCTGGCCTGTACATCGACACTCGTGGCGGCGGTCACGTCACTGACCATGTGGCGAGTCGCTGACTCGTTGTCGTTGCTGCTCGGGTTCGCAGTGCTGTATGGGTTCTTCAGTGCCGGGTTCACCGCGATTTGGGGCCGGATGAGCACAGCCGTGACTGACGACGTCGTTGCCGGCCCGGTCGTCTTTGCGCTGCTTAACTTCGGCAAGGGCGTGGGCAATGTCCTCGCCGGCCCTATTGGCGGCTTGTTGGTCCGGCAAAGCAGTGTAACACAGCACCATGGGACGTCGCTGAGCACATCGTCGTACCGCTGGATCATTATTTTCACGGGGGTCTGCATGTTCGCGAGTACTTTGACAATTGCGTCGCGGGACCTGAATAGATGGATGCAGAAAATAACTAGGCTAGGACGCGATAATTGAAGACCGAATTGCCTTCTGCCGGACCATCCATCGCAGGACCACTCTTGTACTCCAACAGCTATGGATCGGCCTGGCTCTCCATATGCCAATAGTCATTTCGATCTTGTCGCGCAGCAGCCCTCTTTCTCTCGTCCTCCCGTCGGATGCTCTGCACATACACATATGAATGAAATTTATTCGTAATGTCCAGCACCCTCTGGAAATGTGACTGTCCCACAATGACCGTCATCTTCTCCGCGTCAAAGTCCGGATCCTCTTCGTGCTCCGCCTCCGCAAGCGTGATCGCCGTCTGCAGCGCGTTGCGGATATCACGCCCGTTCATCTGCGACTCGCCCGAGGCTGCGCGGTCAAGCACCCATTTCTTCGCGCCGGTTGAGATCTGGATCTTGCCGGCTTTCTCCTTGGCTAGCTTGCGGAAGAAGCCCTGCCAGATTTTGGCCCGGCTGTCAGGGGACAGAGCTTCATAGCCGATGGCCACGTGCACACGCGATATAAACGCATCATCGATTTGCCCGACGCGGTTGGTCGTGAGGAAGAGGAGACCTTTGAAGTATTCCATGCGTCGGAGGAAGGCTGTTGCCTAGTCATCAGTCTCCACCAGAAAATGGGCTTGAGACCGCAGCGAAATGCGGGAGATGAAGAATATAGTTTGCAAGAAGGAGAGAGGACGGGAATGATTTAACCTGGGTATTCATCTTTAAACATACCTGAAACCAGACCATTTCGAGCAAGGTCTCGATTCTGTCTGCGCTCCAAAAAGATGTCTGCCTCGTCGACCAGCAAGACTGCGTTCCATGCCTCAGCTAGAGAGAACCACTTAAGAAGCTCCCGCTCAACTCGAGTCTCGACTGTGCCAATATCGGCGACGGGGAGCGAGAGAAGCGGTCTATGGAGGTACTACGCAACGGCTTCAACAGTGTACGTCTTTCCCACTCCTGGCAGCCTATCCATGCGAGCATTAATATGGGGCTACGAGATGATGCTGTAGGCATTGACCGTGTACTTACCCGTGCAGAAGTATAATCTGTCCTGATCCTTTACCGACGACAAAGTCGGCAGCCCAAGTCTCGCGCTTGCTGTTCTGACGCCTTGCAAGCGCCTTGATAGTTGTCATCTCGTCGGTTTCGAGCACCAGATTGGTTAGTTGTTCAGATGAAGGAGCAATCTGGCGAATAAATTCTGGATAGAGGAGCACTGGGACAATCTGCGAGTCAGTCTCAAGTACACAAGTAGGCGCAACTATTGAATAACGTGATCTTTACCCCAAGATTTGGTCTTGAGCGAGAACGCTCGAATGGTGGGGTATAATAAGAGTAATTGGTGGTCAGTGAGTTGCTCCTTGGGTGTGGCGTATACTCGGTTCTTCGCACCAGGGGGACCTGTTGCCGCAGGTGTGTACGACGGCCGTGGCGCGGGCGCACTCTCGGCGCCCGTGCCTGGAATCCCGGCTGATGCAGTTGTTGACCAGTTCGAGACCCTTTGCCTCGTGACTACTGCGGAAACATTCGATTCGCTGTCTGATCCGCTCCCGCAATCATCATCATCCCCGCCTTCGTTGACTTGGATGGCTTCGTATTCATCGTAGACAGGCCTCTTTCGCGCCCAGGGTGGGAGGTTCGACGGTCAATACGCGATTGCTAGTTTTTCCGCTCTCGGATTCACCAGCGACCGCTCTCTTGCAGCTCGCATCGTGCGCACGGCTAATAGTCGCCTGCAAAAGCTCGACACCAACACTTTTGGCGACACCGACCCACCAGCCACGGGTACCTGTCCCATCTACTTCGACACGGCAGAAGCGATTGAGGGCTCCGGCTGTATATACATAAACACCGAGCTCAGCGCCGAGGGCGTGCTAAGCTTTAGTCGTGAGAACGTGCCGGCCTTCGTCGTGGATTGTCCAGTCAGCTTGGATTCGTCCTTTTTGCAGGTCTCTGGGGTTCTAGAAGCCGGATGTGCTGAGTACAGCATCGTGTACGAGGCGCCGTAAGATAGTGCTGGAGACGAGGGAGTGGTTCTATGTCGCTTCAAACTGCCAAATCTTGTTAGGCAGCACACTAGACTGAATTTGTGCGGCCACCAGCGTTTAAGCAAGACTTTCAATAGTCCACGGGCAAGATATTACTCACTTGTGTAACCAGCTTTGGCAATGTCAGTAGCTGAGCTTGCATTCTAGAATGTCTTCCCTCGCAGCCCACTTACTAGCGCCGCGAGCTCACAGCAATTTAGCCCTTTTATTACAAGAGTCTGCAAGTGGCCTGGATCTGGTTCTCGTGCCTCAGCAATGAGATTGACGCATTGTGCTCATCCACGCTGTCCGTATGGTGATTCTGCTCGGCCTGCAGCTGTGACGGGGAGGCTGAGGCCGAGGGACGGCCGAGTCAGCCCGCTCAAGTCCAACTCACGGTCCCAAATGGTAGAGCTGAGTAGTGAACGGTAGTGCAAGCCCCAAAAGCCTCCGCGCCTGTCCATATACGTGCTCCCCTTTTCCTGGATCCACCAGGCAATGCACCAGTCTGAGGCGCGCAAGGTGACCGGCACCTTGACTCTCTAGGACAAGCCGCCCTCGCGCGCGCGCAATATCACGATCGATTAAACTCTCGAGATGGATGTCGTCGCGTAGGACTGACGATTCACGAGCTGTTCGACACTCTGGCAGGGAGCCCGCTGTGCTGCGTGTACCCGCAGATGAGACGGGTGCCGGGAGGGTATTTTGTGTGTGGGCTGGGGTTGCGGCACGATCAGATGAACAGGCGATGAGCGTCACGATTGCCTCTGAATGTCCTGGAAAGACCACAAAACAGCCGGCGATGGACACGCGGGGGCACAGACAACGACCAGGATTGATATCCTCGGTCGGGTCAGTTGGCATGGTATAGGGACGCGATGGTTTTCCGGTGACACTCAGGACGAAGGCAAACTGCGCTTTTTACGAGCTTTCCCCTCTCATAATGGACATCTGAGCAAACGATAGTGTAGTGGGGGCGAATGCCTATTGCCATAGGCTACAACCTGTCACTTTGGTAGCTGCATTTCTCAGGCCATGTCGGATGTAAGAAATCCCATGTTGATGAACATGCTAACGCTATGCTATGAAAAGTGTTGTCGAGACAAAACCAACAAACTAGCGTATGCCAGTGCGCTATGATGAGGAAGTTGTAGCCTTTGCTCTTCAAGCTTAGAACAAGTTGTAAGCGACAGCCAAACCCAACACACCAGCACCAACGCTACCCGACAGGACACGCGCAGAGACAGCGCCAGCGACAGGGATGGAAGAGGTTGTCTGAGGAGCAGAGGTCGTGGCGTTGCCGGCGGTCGGATAGAAGACTGAGGAAGGCGTGCCAGTGGTAGTGACGACGACCTGCGACGAGGCGGTGGTGGTGACGGGGTAGTTGGTGATGGTGGTGGTGTAGCCAGTGACATCAGTGCTCTGTGGATATGATCAGAGGTTGTTAAAGGGCTGTTCTCCAGGTTCAAAGACAACGGGGCCTTGTATGTACGTACCACGTAAGTAACAGGATACGTCTCGCCCTCCGCCTCACCAGAGCCGTCGACCTTGACACCCGACTTGAAAACCGAGAAGGCGTTCTCGCCGCTACAGGTCACTGCATCAAAGCCAGGGCACGGGATGTTGCACTTGTCCTCAGAGACGAGCGCGCTGGCAGCAGGCACAGTATTGCCGCAGAGGCAGACAGAGCCCCGCGGGACGGCGATGGCGGCCCCCTGGGTGCGGCACACCTTGGCACACTGGCCGTGCGAGTTGAAAGGCTCTGTCTGCCCCTCAAACATGCCCTCATCAATGGCAGAGTAACAGCCTAGGTAGGTCTCGGGAGTCGAGTCCGAGGCCGAAGCGGCGATGGCGCTCGCTGCGCCTAGGGAAATGATGGCGAATGTGGACTTCATTGTGGCGGTCTTGGTGATGTTGTTGGTAAACTGCAAGCGAGCGGACTGGTTAAAGCGAGCGGACTGGTTGAAGTGAGTGGACTAGCGTTGTGAGCAATGGAGGAGAAGGTATGGGCAAGGTTGGACACATCTTGGGGCATTTATGGTTGGTGTTGGTCGCTGTTTTATCTAGAAGCCCCACGATGATCATGTGCTCTAGACAAGTCAACGGCTGGCTTGAGGTGCCAGAATGCTGGTGCCTACGCGCAGCGTCAGGGTCAGGGGCCACCGGGTTGATCCGCTGTGGCGCCGGGTTCCTGCATTCAAGTGGCCCGCCCTGGCATTCTGGTGGCCAGTGTGAGGTGCGTGTGAAACATCAGTGGAGCAGTTGAGCTGTATTCAGGCTCAGTCAAGCATACGGAGTACGCCGTAAGGACGTTCAAGGCACTTCAGTGGCCCGCGTCAGACACAGTGTAGAGACCGGGAGGAAAGACTGCCAGGTTGGGCGACCGGAACCCCTGCCTGGTCCATGTGGAGAAGCAGGCATTGATTTGCTTCATCCGTCGGCGGCTGCCGAGGCGGATATTCCGTCTGTCGTACGGGCGCCCCCTGGATGGAGGCTGGGCTGTAAAGTTTCATCGTCTCGTATCCTGCCTTACGAACCTGGGGTCTACCTTACGGCCCCGGGGTAGATCGGACTGGGATCTTGCAAGAGACACCATCGACTTTTAAATCTGCTTGACATTGATTTAATTTAGACTATTCACGCATGCGCATGGTCTGGTCATTAGTCCGCAATTCGCATTCGAGGTTTCCTAGATGAGTTCAAAAGGGCTCGATTCAAACGAGTCCCACACGACCCTGGCGCCTGTCAAAGCACCTACGCTTACAATCATTGCTCAGTCGGAAGTGGCACGGAGTTTTGACGATCGCAAGTACCTCGAAAAAGCTACTATTTCACGCAGCGAAAAGCACAGCCCCGAAAATGACAATCGTGTTGGCCCAGAATCCTGGATTTTCTCTACTATTTTTGTACTGGCGCCTTATTGGTCTGCGGAGAAAACCTGCTCTATGCGGCTACAAGCACCGCGTGTTGTCATATCCACGTCAGGCCTTGATCTCTTGTGATCCCGGACGAGATAGCCTCCAACTTTCCCCTATCCTTAAATACGCACGTATGCGTGCTAATATCATGTAGACGCTGGCTACGCCCAATGATGCTCATGCCCAAAGAGCGAGTTTAGAACAGGTTGTACACGACACCAAGACCCATGGCAGCGGCAACGCCGCCCAAGTAGGCACCCTCGGCGACGGCGCCGGCAGTGGGGATCACAGAGGTCGAGCTGGTGGCGGACGCGGAGGTGGTGGTGCTGCTGTGGACGCCAGTCGGGGCAGGGGTGGTGGAGTTGGCCGTGTAGTATGGCACGTCGGTCACGGAGCTCTGCTTGGTTCGAATCGTCGTTGTCAGTGACACGTCGGCGGCAATAGTTTTCCAGATGAGTGCGTGTATGCATGTAAGCGGGAGAGTTGACCCAGCGGCGACTCAGGGAGGAAAGGGGAAAGCAGAGGCTTACCTGGCTGGCCCCAGGGACAGTATCGATAATGGTCCAGGCGTTGGGCCCGCCGCAGATGTCGAGGGGATAGCCCGGGCAGGGCGTGTTGCACTCGTCATCGCCGACGAGGGCGCTGGCCGGGGGCAGGGCGGCGCCACAGGTGCACGTCTCGCCCTGGAGCGCAGAGTATGCAAAGGCTGCGCCCCTGCATTGCTCCCGGCAGGAGCCGTACGAGAGGAACGCGAAGGTGCTGTTGCTGCCCGTGCCAAAGTCGCCCTCGGCCAGGGACGAGTAGCAGTTGGGAGTGCCGGCAGCAGACGCCGCGCGGGCTGCCACAGCAGTAAGGACGGGGAGGACGGAGTTGGACTTCATAGTTCCGTGAGGCGTTCTGTAACGAGCGTTGCGATTCGGAGCGAGCGGACTGGTTTGGGTACTATTTGTTGCTTGAAGAGGTCGGGGAATAAACGAACGTGGATGTTGTTTTATGTGTTGCAAAAGGCTTGCGTGAGTTGAAATGAGGGATGGGGGAATAGGCGGCTGCCTGCCACAGGCTGTGACGACACAACAAAGCAAGTCCGTCCCCGCAAGCGCAGAAAACGCCCTGCGCCACAGCCGCTAGGCACGGATACTCGGATCAGCAGGATGGGCCCATGCCCATGCCCAGGCCTAGGAGCTGTCAGATGGGGCAATGTTTCCCGCTTTAGGGCGAGCAACCGTCTCAACTCCACAGCTGATGGATCCAGTGCCAGCCTCGCCTCGCCTCGCCTCGCGCGGGCCGCCTGAGTGCGATGACCCCTGGCGGGGATTTTCGCCGGCGTAGCGGGTGCTGCCGTCTGTCAAGAAGCTCCCTTTCAAGGAACGAGCTCATGTGGGGAAACGGGCGTGTCGCTCTACTCATGATGTTGTATGTAATTATGACAACTGGGCACAGCGAACAACCCTAGAAGATGCTCAGCTCGACCTGTCGGAACCGGGGCCGCCACTCCTCTTCGAAATTGAACAGCACGGGTCCTGCAAAGCCAACGCGCACGTACTCGTCGTCTGGCACATGGTCTCCCGCCAAGCTTGGCTGCCTGGGTCTCAGCAGCAGACACTCACACTCGTGATCCTGGTTGTGCCCGACCCCTTGCACAAACCTCCTCCCAAGTAACAGCAGCACATGCTCCCTCGTGCCATCCTCGGGAGGATACAACCAGTCATGGTCCGGGCCCGCGCTGCCGTACTTACCCACCCTTTCACCTCTGGGGGCGGTGAACAAGTTGACGACCTGCTCGCCGTGCCTGTTGAAGTCCATCGCCCACCACACGTCCATGACAAGCCCGGAGACTCGAACGTATCCGCCCACAGCAACAGCGCCCCTCGAGGGACTGTCTTCCGCAGTCGTGGTTTCCAGCGCGAGAACGGCAAAGTCGAGATCCATGTAGTCCACCCCGTTCTCGATCTCGGCCTTTGGATCCGGGTATTGCGCCCGTCGGACAGCTGCCCAGGACCATGACGGTGCTCTGTCATCATACTCGATGGCTGGTGCCTCAGTTGTCTGCCTTGCTCTTCGCCACGCAGCAAACCACAACAACCCTTCCCCCGCGAACTTGCGCCAGATCCCTGCATGATACTGCCCGAGTACGTCCGTCCCATACTGCGCTTCGAAGGCACTCGCCAGCGCCGCCATGGCGACGAGCTTGTCCCGTGGGTTGGTCAGCTTGCGCGCGCAGTACTCGCTCACCAGCCGGTTCCATATCGCTGCAAGGCTCGAGGGAAAGATACTGCCCGGCCAGGGGCCACTCGCGATCATTATGGACCTCTCGCCCTGGCTCATGCTGAGAAGCGGGTGCTCGGTCGGTGGGAGTCTTGTAGTACGCGTGGTCTTGTCGGTGAACGTGACGCGGGTTGTGAGGTAGATCGGCTCCAGGCGTGTGAGGTGGCGAGGAGACTCTTCTTCGTCTTCCTCTTCTACTTCCTTTCTTTCTTCGGCGGCTGCCGTCTCAGTCTCTCCCGGATCTGTCGATGGCATGTTCTTGTTGTTTTCCTCGAGAGTGTCTGAATCGTCTGAGGACTGCAAGGTGAGTCGGGAGAGTGATCGGTCGGCTGTTGACACGGGGTCCTCGTCTTGCTCCTGATCTGGTGCTCCATCGCCCGCTTCCACCCTGTCCTGAGACCCTTCTGCGTCATTCCGCGAGACCTCCTCAGCATTGCCCTGACCCTCCTCGATTTCCTCCACCCTCCCCTGCGGCTTCGCTGCTCTCCACCCCGCGCTTCTCTTATCCCTCTCCTCCTGGGTAAGGTTCAGCGTCAGAACAACACTCCCATTACCGCCAAACACCAGCTCCGGCCGATTCCCCAGCACCGCAAGCTTCCGCATAAAGTCGATCTGCACGAGCACCCGATCATTAAAGGGGACGTAGGCCACCCCGCTCGGGAACCCGTGCTCGGGGACATGAGGCTCTCCTTTCCCCAGACCGGCAAGCCGGCCGGTCTGCGGTCGCGCCCGCCGCCCCCGACCCGGGTGGGGAGGTGGTGGTTGACCTGCCCGTCGTGCTGGATGGTCCGGGAGTGGGTGCCCGAGTCGCAGGTGTACAGCATCCCGCCGCCCGAGGGGAAGACGAGCAGGCGCCGGCAGAGGTTTTCTTCCTGGAAGATCCAGCCGCGCGACGCGGAGACCTGGGAGTTGGCATCGTAGGGCCACGGCAGGGATGACTGTGGGATGACAAAGATGACGTCTCCCTGGGATTGCTCTTGTTGCTCGGACACTTGCCCCCCTTCACTCGCGTCCGGTTCACTGTCCTCGGGCTTCTTTTCCTTGATTTGGCGGGGCTGCTCGCCTTCCTCCCCCTGAAAGTGCTCATGGAGATAGGGCAGCCTCAGGAAGTCCCCCCCATCCGCAGACCCAGCGTGCAAAGCATCGTGCAGCATCTGCCCCACGGCAGAGTTCCTCGCCTCTCCCAGGAACGGCTCGTCCACAGACCTCGTCCCAGAAGTCTGCACCACGACTGTCGCCTCGCTGAAGTATCGGTGCATCTCGGAGAGCTCGGCCTTGAGATCGGCACTGTCGTCCTGCCATATGCACAGCGCGTCGATCCAGAGGTAGCGAATGCCCAGCTTCAAGGCGACGTGCGCGGCATCGACAAAGACTACGGGGAGCGGGGCATCGGATGGATGGCCCGTCTCTGTGGCAGAGTCGTCGTGCCGGAGAAGACTGCGGGCGAGCTGTGGGAAGTTGTGCCGCGTGTGAGGACCCCACGTGTACGAGAGGCAGATGTACTTGCCCCTCTGGCCTGGCACCGCTTCGCGGAGGACAATGGATGGTGCCTCTGGGTTCTCGGCATCGGGGCTGATTTCCAAGATGCGTGTGGGAAGAAGTGGAAGGCTTTCCTCGCGGCTTGGGGCTGCTTCATCTGTGCTGGGACTGGCTCCCCGTTGGTCGTGGCTCGACGTGCAGTAGTCGATCCACTCTCTCGCCAGCTTGTGGTTGAATTCCGAGTCCTTGTACATGGTTGCTCGAGGAGCAAGGAATACCTTGTCTGCTATGGAGTCTGTAGAAAATGGTCTCATCAGCGCCTGACTCTCAAAAGTTGGAGGACGCACATGTCCCCAGCGACACTGACCTGGTCTCGCGAGAACATTGAACCTCGCGCGAAACGGCGTGAACCCGCCCGCTCGGTCGGCAGTCAGCAGAACCCTGATTGCATTGATGCGCACGGGCCGGACCCCTTCTGGTGCGCAGAACTCGAGTGAGAAGCTGTATCCCGTGAACTCGGCCTGCTCCTTTGCGATGGCGGCGGTGGGCGGCAGTCCCAGCTGCTCCAGCAGCGCGGCGCACCACGCACACCGCTCCGCGTCGGCGTGGAACTGCTCGACGCTGAGCTCGTACGACAGTGAGCGGATCATGCTGGATTCTTCCCTCATCCATTTCAGATGCGTGCGGTACGTCTCGCGGGTGTGGAAGTCTTTCCAACCAGCTGCGCTCCAGGGACCAGTGGTTCTGCACGTGCTGCAGAGGGGCGATGTGCTCGCGGCTAGGGCGATGTCGGCTACCTCCATTTTCGGTCTGTGACCAGCCTTGAGTGCTGCATTTGTGGTGTCTTGCTAGAGAACAGCCAGAGGGACTCGTCAATCAGGGAAAGGTTTGGGATATATCCAGATAGCAACCGAGGCAGCCGCGCGCAGTATGTGCGATCGTCGCTTACGGGGACCCCACCAGGGAGGTCCAGGGTCATGAGGCTGTGTACACCGAGAAGTTGCCTTGCCGTAAGCAGTAGCGTTAGGCACCCTCGGACGCTTGGACACTGCTGCTGTCGCAGCCTCTTTTGATTAACCCCCAAGTCGGGAGAGGGACATGATGTCTGGGGCAAAGTATGCACTGTATCAGCCGGTAGACCTCGCCGCAATGAATTGCGTCGACATTGTGAGGCGCGTGAATTGATTGCCCAAGCCCCGGCCAGCAGCGTGTTTTGGCCATGTCAGCCTCATCGACGCATGTATATTTAGAAACGCATCGTGGGGTCTGCAGGAGCTTATCATGTTACCCATTCAAATCCATGTGATGTCCATAGGAAGCTGCGTCCTTTCAGTCGCTCGTGTGCTGGGTTGCTCGCACGGGTGACCAAATATGGGGAGCATTGCGAGACAACAATAGTACATGGTTGTCCAGGAAAGCTTGGCAGAAGCATTGTCAAATCATATGCTGTCCTTAATATGACTCTATATCTCCACGTAAGTGATCTGCGCTGTCATTTGCAGACTGCCGTGTCGTTATAATCGCAGCGCGACTGGAACACGTGACGCACCATCAACTAAGTTGCCCTTGTCCTGCACTTACTGGAGGAGACAAGGTTTGTGCTCACCACAACTTACTTGAAGCTGCAGCATCGTGCATCTGCTGAATCTTGATGCATTCATGCGACTGCCAAGTGCGGGGCAACCGTTTTCCACGACTACAATACCTGGAGTCCACTGGCGTTCCTCGAAGGTGTCTGTCCATCTCGCGGCTACGCACTCGAGCACATCTAAAATGTCACCCAGGCTCACACAGCCATTCCCGACGGAGTTCCGCCTGCCGAACCTTCGTTACAAACATCGGCGCCCACTTGATAAGCAACGCGTCCTGGAAATCGGCCGGTTTTAGGCGGAATACAGGGATTCGAATGTCGTCCATGAGCGCCGTACCAAGCGCACCAATACAATTGCTGCCCAACGTCGTAGCGGCACCGCTGCTTTCGACGACCACCCCCGGCAACTGACGTAGTGCGGTCCTCGTGACCTGACAGAGTGAGCGGAGCACCAGCTACCGGAAGTTACTGATCAATCTATGATCGACAGGGCTATACTGTCCAGCTCGAGCCAGGATTGGTGCTCTTGTTTGACGTTGCAGTTTCCATCCACACTATCGGCCCTGCTTTTGCTGGCCCACACAGAACGCATCGCATGATGCGCATTGCCGATTACCCCAGATTTTCGCTTGGCGGACGGGCTTTCTTTTGCACAAGTAATCAGCCCAAGTCCTGAGATTCTACGACCCCACAATACAAGAAACGGCGGGAATCACAAGCTTGTCTGTACCCTGGCCGCCATGCACATGCGGGCAGGTTGCATGGCAGGCACAAGTCGGGCAGCCAGGAACCAAGGTGGACGACTGCATACTCGGAAATTCAAGTGCCGAAGCTGCTCCCACGTGCAAGGCACTAGGGTCGTCTTGTTTACGACGCTGGCTACAGCAAGCCTATAAGATGCATACGTTCTCTGAACCAACTCTGTCAGTTCCCCTTTGTCGTCTTTCCGCTTCACGGCAGCACGCTGTAAGGACAGCGACAAGCGCGATGCTGTTCAAAACACTTGGGCTCACAGCCCTGCTATCCGCCTGCGCACAGGCAACACTGCAGATCGTCCCTGGTGCCACCTGGACCGCCGTGAGTCTTACTATGTAAATATCTGGCTCCATATAACCCGTTTGCTGACACCGCACACCCGGACCACAGACCAACACCGGCAAGCATGTCCAAGCCCACGGTGCAGGCATCATCAAGGTCGGCTCCACGTTCTACATGATCGGCGAGGACAAGACGGACGGCTCCGCTTTCCAAAACATCAACTGCTACTCGTCGACCAACCTCGTAGAGTGGACTTACGTCGGCGCACTTCTGTCCCGCACGGCTAGCGGCGACCTAGGTCCCAACCGCGTCGTGGAGCGTCCCAAGGTCATCTTCAACCAGTCCACGGGCAAGTATGTGCTGTACCTGCACATTGACAGCAGCGACTATGGCGAGGCCAAGGTCGGTGTTGCTACGGGCGACTCTGTGTGCGGAAAGTACAACTATCTCGGCAGCTGGCGCCCCTTGGGCTTTCAAAGCCGCGACCAAGGTCTGTTCCAGGACACAGATGGCAAGGCGTACCTTCTTACAGAGGACCGTGCGAACGGGCTGCGCATCAACGCATTGACGGCGGACTACCTCAACACCACGGGCACCAGCAGCGTGTACCTCTGGAACAGGAGCATTGAAAGCCCGGCGATCTTGAAGCAGGGTGGATATTATTTCATGTTTGGCAGTCTCCTCACAGGATGGGACCCTAACGACAATGTCTGTCTTTCCCAATCCTCCCCCTTGTGACTGCAAGTTTTATGAACTGACTCTGCTCCACCACCACAGGTCTACAGCTACGCCACTTCTCTCTCTGGCCCGTGGTCCGCATGGCAGAACTTTGCCCCCGCCGGTTCCAAGACCTTTACAAGCCAGACGACCTACATCCTGCCACTGAGCAGCACGACGGCAATCTACATGGGCGACCGCTGGGTCTCGACGAACCTCATGCGCAGCACATACGTCTGGCTCCCGCTCACCATCTCCGGGACGAGCGTGACCATGAGCGACCGCGTCAACTGGACGCCCAACGTGTCCGCGGTCCTCGCCAACGGCGCGGTGGTCATCTCGTGCACGGGATGCAGCGGCGGGTCGGCGGCGGGCTACATTGGCGGCTCCTCGGGCGGCAGCGTCACGTTCAGCAATGTCCGCGCCGATGTCACCGGCCGCACGACCATCCGGGTCAAGCATCTGAACGGCAACACCGTGCAGCGCTTCGCAGACGTCACTGTCAATGGCGTCACGCAGAGGGTCGCGTTCCTCCCGACGCAGGACGGGAACACGCCTGGCAGCAGTGTGGTCCATGCCAACTTGAATGCGGGCATTGCCAACACGATTGTCGTGAGAATCACGGACGGGAGCTACGGCCCGGATGTCGACCGGTTGATGATTCCGCTGAGCTGAGTAGACCACCAATGGTGCAATGGAGGTTCTGATGAGGATCCCTCGAGAAATTTGGCTGATTGATGGGCTGGCGGGGTGATGTGACGTGATGTAGCTTGTGAGTGATCAAGACGATGTTTGTGTACGTTGACAAACCAACATTCTTCGACTTTGGCACGCCGAAGGGACGGGTCTGCCTTCCCCGGTGTTGATTGTTGCCAAGTCGAGCAAACGCGGATGACGAGCAAGTCGTGTGTTCACCACGCCCGTGTGATGACCTCGCTGCACTGGCATGTTTGCCCGACGGCAACGTGCTAAAAGTGCTCGCCTTGGTTTCGTGACGTGTCGTGCCAAAACTAGCCACGCGTATTCTTGCCGAGGCATGCGGACAGCTGCAGCTCTTGTCTCGTTCACTACCTCACAATGTTGGCCAGCGACATGGTTTGCTTTCCACGTGCTCGATACGGGAGGGTCACAGAGACTTTCAGCCGAATCGTTTGATCTCCCAGACGCCCCGGCATGTAGAGAGCCCGGCGAGCCATCTCGTGCGCATACTTCTCACGCGAGAGTGGCATGTGATGATCCGCGTCCCCGACGTACTCATGATTCTCAGGCGTGTCTCTTTCACCCCTGTTCGCATGTTCAAAGGCCAAAGGGTTCTATGGATAGTTTGCCATCAGGCGGGCGGCGCGACCTATATGACCATATCCCCATTCCTCAACATTTCTGGAATCGGACCTAGGCACACTGAGCGTACGACAGCCTTTCACAATGCTTCGCACCAGCGGAGGCTGTGGTTTGGCCCATCTGTCTTTTCCTAACTATTGGCTGGCAGTCTTCTCCTCGCAAAGGGGGGAGGGGACCTTGGTAGTACTACCGAGCTACATACAAGGACAAGTTGGGCTTACCCTCGCCCACAAGAAACGTCAACACGATGACCTGCGTGAGGCACTCTCTGAGAGATGACAGAGAACGGCGATAGGTCTATTCAAATGATGACATGCTGTTGGGTATGACTTTTGGGCTCCCGCCAGCTGTGCACTCAACGGACTCCCTGTCGAGCTGGATGTCAGCCTATATAGGATTGTTTTTGTGCAACGACCACCACATACGACCATAGGATCGAGAGAATTGAGGGTCCCGTCCGCTCCCCTGTCCACAAGCTCGATACCGCCGGATCAGTAGTTGGGTCGGTGACGACCAGCGAATCCCTGGTGTTGTATGTTTTTGTCTTTTTTTTTTTTTTTTTTTTTTTTTTTGCAACTTTTGCGATGCCCGTGCTTCCATTCTGGCCTTCATCCCACGGCCAGGGGCACAGGGCCAGTCGGAGAGTCCATGCGCATGGAGGCGCAACAGAGTATTGCATGGTTTTATAATAAAATTACCGGCCACTGGTCCAGGACCAGATTCTTCAGCATATTCGTCCCTGGACCCAGCACTAGCCATCAACAAATACATGTGGGGGCTTGGTAACAGAAAATTGATGCCCCTATGGTTGATCCCTCGTTGACTCCCTCGAAATCCTTGGCCCCCATGTCCTCTATCGCGCAGCGCCAGCGGAATCAGAAATCTGTGCCTTCAGCTTGGCGTCGTCCCGCGCATATGCCAGGAAGTATGCCGAGGGAGCAGGAACCCCTTTGTCCCCCACCTTCCACTCCGGAAAACACACCAGGCAAGATCCCTTCCTGTACAAGTTGGGGTCGAGATTCTCCAGTCGCTTCTCGTCTTCCTCCCGCTTGATAAAGTATGCCTGGCCAGCGACGTTTGTGTCTGCAGGCACGCTCACCAAAACTTCGGATGAGCCTACTTGAAATATAGCGTATCCGCGTACATAGGCCGGGCGCAGGATAATTTCCTCTCCACTTCCGAGACCAAGCACGCTCTTCACGAACCTGGGCTCGGCTTGCTTGCCATAAAAGAACCACCATGTCGGCTCCCAGGGGACGTGGACGGGCTTGTAGGCAGCCTCAAGCCAGTTTGGCCCATGTGCCTTGTAAGCTGCTTCTAGGTTGGCCAAGTAGCTCGACGGCCGGTCGATGAATGGCCGAGGCTTATCTTCCGCCGATTTATGGCGGGCGCGTGACGAGACGGTTCCGTCAGCTGAGGTGTCGTTTTGGCCAGATGTGGAGGCCATCATATGTAAGACGTGTGGGTGCGATAAGGGAGGAAGGAGTAAGAGGATGGCGGCCTTGAGAAATATGGCTTGTCAAATGTGGCTGCGCATGGATTTGTAAATGTCGGAGGGCGAGACTTGGCTTTGAATTGTATGAAGGAGGGAAGACCACGCGACGCGCGCCCAGGATGTTGGCTGCAAGATATGGCGGGGCAGAGTCTACATCACGTGCCGCTTATACCATGGCGTGGCAAGCACTCATCGGCATTCTCTGATCAAAGTGAGCAAACAACGGCATGGAATGTTGGTCTCAAGTCTGATCATGTTTGTCCTCGCGAGGCTAGCATCAGTCCTGGTGCTTGCCTACGCCTTTTGCACGTCCGGTTCCGGCACATCAAGAAAGAGTATGGCATGCATGTAATTAAGCCAACATGCGGGCCAACCTAGAGGCTGCCACTGCACTTTGTTGACGCTCCACTTCTCTTTCACTTCCATGGCCACCAGTAGCATGGAGCCGCCAACATTGTTGCCAGTAAATACCTCTTGGATATGCCCAATTGGCTCTGCGGATCGTGCCTGTCCCTTTTTCTTTGTGACCCAGGGTCGATAAGCTTCACAAACTGGTTGGTCGTCAGCCAATTTTGCGGGAATTCCGAACGACACCACATTCTCATCTTTCACCCACGGGTCTGCCATCGCGTTGGTGTGATGAGGAAGAGCAGCACTGCTCGGCGCGCATGGCATGAGCCCCCTGTAAGCTGTTGCTAGCCGGGCATCTCTTTGATGCCCGAGTGGCAAGCTCCTCACCCCGGCCGCTGTACTGAAAGAGTCTCCCAGGCTCATCGAGACATGGGTTGTGGAAGAAAAGCTATAGTGATGCAGGCACATATAATAATAACACAGCAGTCGCTGTTCTGGGATTGATACGAGGTCAGGTCAAATCTTTTTCATAAAACCCCCTTTACGACTTTTCTGAGCCATCATCAGGAGGAGGCTACACATAGAGTCCCTGTATCGCGATGGCTTCCCGCAGCAGCAGGAGTGGGCCGTCTGATCGAACCCCAGCTCCTTCACCTGCACCAGCACCACCTGCACCACCAGCACCACCAGTGCCTACTCAGCCTCTAACGCACCGGCCGCACCCCTCGACCCAACCCTCTTCCAGTGGACAATCTCAATCACCCTTGCCTATTGGCGTTGTTGCTTTTGGGGTCGAAACGGAGTTCTTGCTGGGACCAAAGGTTGTTACTCCAATCTCCCCAAAAGAGCAGAAGTTTGTCGACTGGCTTCGGGGTGGACACTTCGGCCAATTCGTTCAAGGTCTGGCAGGTTTGCACAATGAGCGGGTTGAGGCAGCATACCCTCGAATGGAAACTAAATTGTTGCCGTCGGAAACTTCAGTGGCGCCACACACAACATGGAAGCTCACGACCGATCCATCAGTTGACACAAATCAAGCCCCTTGCAAGTCTGCCCCACACCTCAATGCTGCATCAAGAAGTTCGTGACGGGCTAACAGTATCTCAGGGGGTCTCGAGATGGTATCCCCCATTATACAATTGACGGAAAACGGCCTCTGGGTTCATCCGATCAAAGTGGTATGGAAATTCCTCGAGGAGGTGTGCGATGTGGGTGCCAATGACAGATGTAGCACTCACGTGCACCTCTCACTGCCGGAAACCTACTCTGTCATTCAAATGAAACGGCTGGCACAAGCTGTGATCTACTTCGAGGGTGCCGTTCCGCTTATTCTTCCCGAGTCCCGCCGCAGCAACCACTATGCCAGGAGCAACTGGAAAGACAACGAGTACTTCAAGGGCGACTCACGTGACCAGGCCATGGCGAAACTCGAGGGATGCACAACGATTGAGGCCGTCATCGAGATGATGAATCCCGGCAAGCACAAGCGATATTATGGCTGGAATTTCACGGCGTTCAAGAGTTACGGAACAGTCGAGTTCAGGCGCGGGGCGGGCAGCACGAACGCCCAACAGGTGCTGCAATGGATCACACTCTCCACAACCTTCCTGCGTGCCAGTCTCAGAATCGCCACCAGCGAGGATTTCAGGCATTACCCCGAGACTGTTGGTGGCTTGTACAGGTTCCTGTCATCAGTCCCACGCGCCCAGGACAATTGGAAGAAACTGTTTGACCACAAAGATTTCGACCAGTACCAGGAGCCCCAGAAGCTTGGGCAGCTCCGGCCCGCGGAGGAAGCAGCTTTCCAGAGGAAGTTTCGACATGACTCTGGGCCCAGCCTCATGCTCAACGCCATCGCTGAATATAAGAAGGCTCAGAAGAAGCATTAGGCTTCTTCCAAGGCACTGCTCTTCGCGCCACGTCGCTATGGACTGCGCCCAAGATATCGATGGATGAGAGATGCCAGTACACCATCGTATGCCACGTTATTCTTTGTCTTTCCTTTCTTTCCTGTCTTTCCTGTCTTTCCTGTCTTTCCTGTCTTTCCTGTCTTTCCTGTCTTTCCTGTCTTTCCTGTCTTTCCTGTCTTTCCTGTCTTTAATCTTGGGTTTGCGCCCAAGCTCGGGCCTGTTGGGTAATACAGAAATACGCTCCGTTCGGCTCTATGTTGAGTGGGTTTGCATCTGATTTCTTTCTGTCTCCTTTGATTGTTTTGGGGTTTCTGTTGCTTCAATCTTTGCGTCTGTCTGATTGCAGAACAATCTTTCCTGTCTTGCAATTTGTCGAATTGCGCAAGTTCTTGCTTCTGCGTGAAGCATACAATCGCTACCATTCAAGTCCAATCATCAATTCTTCTACGCGACCTTGTCTCCAATAGAATGAAGCAAATCGCTACTGAAACTTGTCGTTATGGATGTGAAATGCAAATCTCAAGTAACTGTGGCCAAAATAATGTGTAATCCAGAGGTAAGTGTGTTCGTGATATTGATGTCGGTGAGACTAACTGCTACAAAGCACAATAATCTCTTAACTCAGTTTACAATGGTTGACTCCGAAGTCCCAGCCCCTGCCCAATCATGCATCAGCGAGAATGTCCTGACTCGCCTTCTGGGCAATCATGACGGTCGGGAGCACGGGGAAACCGCCCGGGCTGATGGGGAACACGCTGGCATCGACGACGCGGAGGCCCCTGACGCCGCGGACGCGGAACTTGCTGTCGAGCACGGCGAGCCTGTCGCCCGCGGGGCCGATCTTGCAGGTGCCCACGACGTGGTGACCAAAGGTCTGCTCGTAGATCCACTGCCTGTCCTCCTCGGGCTGGCTGCAGTAACCCGTGGCACGGTCCCAGCCGCTCGGGCAAGGGGGCTCGATGATGGTCCCGACGGGCCCAAAGGGCGGGGCGAGCGCGGCCATGTTGCGACGCACCCAGGCGACGGCGTCCATCATGGCGCCGAGGTCGACGTCGCCGCCGGCGGGGGACTCATACTGGGCAATGTTGATCTCGGGGGTGTCGGTGGGGTCGCGCGACTTGATCTTTACGTAGCCGGCGTTGCTCTGGACGCTCATGTGCGCCAGGCTGCGCCACAAGGTGTTGGGCCGGTCGGTGAAGATGCCCAAGTCGGTCTGGTTGGTAGGAGGGAAGAAGCCGCGGAAGACACCGGGCGGGCTACGGGCAAGATGACCGAGGTTAGTTATCTGGGTTTGTATCGAGCAAGCGGCAGGGAACTTCGAGCAGCATAGACTCACCCAAAGGTAATGACATCACGCTTGCCATTGGGCGAGTGGTCAGTCTTGAGGAATGCACACTCGCTGTTGCCAGAGGGGGCGGCGTAGGGGCCTTGGCCGTTCTTCCACGCCTCGAGACAGGGGTCACCCGGGGCGCCGCGGGTGCAGGTCGCCCAGGCAGGATCGCCGCCGATAGTGGTGATGTTCTGTGGGCTCAGGCCGGCAACGGGCAGCTCCTGGTTGTCGCGGAGGTTCCGCCCGACACCGGGAAGGTCTGCGACAACCTTGATGCCGAGGCTCTTCAGATGCTTAGCGTCGCCGACACCGCTGAGCTGGAGGAGCTGGGGAGTGTTGAAGGCACCGCCGCTGACAATGACCTCCTTGCGAGCATAGGCGCGCTTGAGGACCCCCTGAGGTGGAGGGCGCTTAGCATACTGCCATGTGCCCTTGTAGACACCTTTGCCTTCGAGAAACTCGACACCCACAGCCCTGGGGGCAGCCGCGGTGTGGTCAAAGAGGATCTTGGTGGCGAGCGACTCGAGCTGGAGCTTGAGCCTGTGGCCTGCACCAACTGTCTCGAGAACCAGGTCGCGGGGTGACCACCGGCGACCAGCGTTGTTGTTGTGATTCGGCAGGCCGAAGCTGCCGACGGCAGTGTCTCGCGAGGCGCCCAGGTAGTTGCCATCGCGTTCGAGCTGTGCGAGGACCTGCTCCTCGGAGAGCTTCTCGCCTGCCAGGTCCGACGCGAGCTGGCCCAACAGAGCCAGGCGGCCAGGCTGCGTCTTGTAGAAGTCGGAGTCGCCGGAGCCAATGTCCATGAAGCCGTCGAAGCCATGGCCCGCCCTCGATTCGTTGCCCCTCAGGTAGCGGTTGCGCTCGACCCTGACAAAGATGTCACGCATGTGCTTGGGGCCCCAAGTCCGGTCGCCGGTGATGGCGGCGATCTCGGACCAGTCGGCGTCGTTGGGCAGGACAGATGCCATGGCGTTGACGAGCGCGCTGCCACCGAGCGAGGCTCCGCGAGGGTACCAGATGCCGTTCAGCTCAGCCCCCTGCGGTGCCTTGTCGGCACTTCCGACCCAGTAATCGCCGCTAGGCAGCGTCCATACCAGAAGGCGGTTCTTCTTTTCAACTTCCGGGTCGGTGTGGTGCTGGACAAAGAAGGACCACTTGAGAGCCGGGTCCGCCGGGTACTGCAGGGCCGGCAGGACAGTCCCCAGGTTGGCACTGTCGTCGCTGCCAGCCTCGATGAGCATGACCGAGTGGCCAGCTAGGGCGAGGTTGCTGGCGACGACGCCGCCGCCGGGACCGCTGCCAACGACAATGTAGTCGTAGACATCTTTGGTCGGGAAGGGCTTGGCCGAGACAAGAAGAGCCGCAGGAGACAGGATGAGGAGAGCGGCCTGATAGGCAACCACGACGGAGCGAGTCAGCCAGGAGGTGGAATACATCTTGACCGGGCGAGATGGCTGTGAGCACAGAGGAGTGACTGGAGGGAAGGGACCAGAAGCCGGCGATCAGACATGAAAGTAAATCGGAAGGAAGGCGAGCGCGACTTGTCTGAAGGTTACATAGAGTAGGTGCATTGCATCGTCAGGGGTAGCCTGCATCGTGGGCCAGCCCGCATGCAAGAGGCCATGGACTTGCAGCTTGGCCCTGACTCGGCATGCAATGCCATGCACACCGGTCGGAGCATCTCATTCCACCGTGCTTCTTAGAGGCAGGATTACCTGTTGCAATCGGGGCTGTGAGGATTGTTGGAATCCCCATGTAGCCAGGGGGGATGAGATGAAGATACAAATCCCTGTCGGTGCCAACTTCAAAGGGTCGCGGCGGTGACCCCAGGACACTTGCCGGCAGATCCCGTGGCGTGTTCCACAGCATGGATGGCTTCCACGACCACCATGAATCCGTGCGGCTCCGAGAGAGTGTTGCCCAATCACTGAGTTTCTATAGCAGTTGTCAAGATCCCGCTCCTGAGTTTTCCCTGCCCGGAAAAAGAAAGAGTAGATCTCGACGACGCCGAACCCGAGCCCTGTCCCATTCCTCCGCGCATTTCAGCCATGGCCGGATCCGACATTTGCCGGCGTTCGCCAAGCAGCAGCGACCAACAACACTCAGGCAGCATCAAAGCAAGGGTCCCCCTCCCCCGGCCCCTTCTCCAAATGTTGGGACCAGGGTCCGCGGAGACACGGAAGCTGCTCCGGCAGAACTGATGCGAGCTTGTGAAGATTCCCCACAAAGGCGGGCCGGGCCGGGGCAGTACTTTAGCAGAGACCGATATCGACTGCAGGAACAAAGACAAAACGGGCCTGCCAGGCTCTATTGCTACGAGTATGCGAGGACTGTCTTACAGGCACGATCGGCCAGCATGCACAGTAAATGAAGCAGGCTGGGTGGACATCCCGAACGCAGTCATACGGGACCTCTACCATACAAGGCGCCATGTATCCTGGCTTCCCATTTGGGCAGTCCAGGGGACCAGAACTCAATTGGGGCTTGGCTGCCATTTTCATGGCGAGGCGCCCAGTTTCCTAGTTGACGCCCCGGTCCAACTTCAGCTCGCCGTCTTGGCGGAACGCTGGGCGCCAGAACACCCAAGACCCCTTGCTCTTTTTGTTATCCTGCTAAGTTGTTGGTCCCCTGGCCCCGCCCGTTCGTGTTCGTTCCCTCTTCTTCGAGAGAGGAGTTCCCCACCATCCTTGGTCAAAACAGGTTCATTAGCAGACACTGCACATGCAGAAACTCGCCTTGTTCAAGCGGCCTCGAGTGTCTGTTGGTGACGACTGTGCCTTGGAACTGAAATCAGGGGCTACTCGCATTTCTGGCCGAACTTTGATGTGGTCAACGACATCTGTGATGGCTTTTCCTACACTGCGCAATTGCCACCCACCTAGCTGCCGACCAAAGCCCGCACTCCTGTACAGAGAGCTCAAGGTTATGTGCACGATTCCGATGATGTGCCGAACTGATTCTCTTGCAACTGCTGTTAGGGGGCGTGACGATCATTGGACCGCGCCTGTAAGCTTGCAATCTAAACATCCCTTGGCCTGAGCCAGAAGTGGCATGGAAAGCCGCTCACCGGTGTCATCGTGCAAGGAAGGGCGTTGTTGGTGCACACGTCGGATGCTGCGTCTCAAGGTAAGGACACCCCAGGCTGGTGGTCCATGCTTGACATGCATTGTCCACGCGCAGTGAAAGTGTCGCCCACACTTCAGCCCCGAACGATGACAGGGTTGTGTCCGCCGTACCCCTCGGCCCGCCCAGCGGACGCCTTTGCAGCGGACGCGACTTTCAACATGGATGCTACAGTACACTCGACAACATGGGATGGCAGAAACCTGGGCGTGGGTCTAAACCTTAATCCTTGTATCACGTTGCAGATTCTGGAACGGGAGGTTGAATGTTTGGTTCGGCCGAGAGGCACTTTCCAAATCTAGCCACCGTGTTATGCGTCTTGTGGGCGGTGGTGTGACACATGTTAACTATGACCAGCTCTGCCACTGCGTCAGGGTGAGGGCATTCCTGGTGTCGAACAGCACATCAAGCTCATATGTAGAGATTATTCCGCCAGCAGTCGCTTGCCGATCTGTATCCTCTGCCCTGACCTGGCACTTTGACCACCGTCACCGTACCTACCACATTCATTTGCGAGCAAGTCTGCGACGAGAAGACTCGGTGCATAGTTGCCATGGTGCTTGGGCCCGCGCTGTCGTGGCTGCACGCCCGTCTAGCGCCAGCGGCACAGGCGCTGCCACCACAATCTCTCGATCTGTCGACATATCCGACCACGCCCTGGCAGCAGTTCGGCCTCGCCATCGTTGTGCTTTTCCCGGTGCTTGCCGTCATGATAGTCGGCCTGCGTGTCTGTTGGCGTTTCAAGACCAAGGCGCTTGGAATCGACGATGCCTTCATCGTCGTAGCTACCGTGAGTGTACACTTGTTTCAGCCACACCGTGACGCAACGTTCCGTTGGTGGCCGGCTGTCTGATGGGGAGAACATTTACGGCAATTCCACATTGTTGGTACAGTTACTGACGGTGAGCGCAAACACGCTGCAGATCCTCGCCGTGGCCGAGGCTGGGGTATCCTATGTCATGGTCAAGCTCTCCTACATTGGCGTACACGTGGAGCAGCTCCCGCAGACCCCATACGACCCGACACTGGGCAGGATCTTCAACTACATCGTCGTCATGCTGTACAACCCGCAGCTGGGTCTCGTCAAGTCGTCCGTCCTCTTCTTCCTCCTCCGCCTGGAGGGAGAGCAGAAGCGGGGTGTCCGGCGCGCCATCCACTGGCTCAACTGGTCCAACATAGCCCTCTTGGTCGCCGTCCTGTTCGCCTCGATCTTCACCTGCGTCCCCGTCCACAAGTACTGGGACCGATCGGTCGAGGGCGTCTGCAACAACCAGCCTATGCAGTACCTCGTTACGTCGTCCATCACCGTCCTGACCGACGTCCTGGTCCTCACAATACCGATCTACCTCGTCGCCGGCCTCCAGATGCCCCGGAAACTCAAAATTGGCGCCATCGCAGTCCTGTGCGCGGGCGTTGTGTAAGTCGCTATCGTCCCTTACAGTCTGCCGTCTTCCGGCTTCCTGGCCATACAACGCTAATTCTCTAACGTCTTTTCTTCCTTGCTCTCTCATAGCGTCACCATCTTCAGCATCCTGCGCCTCCAGATGCTCGCCGACCTCTACTTTACGCCTCGCAGGGGCGACTGGTCCTATGGCATCGGCTTCGTCTACTCGACTGTGGAATGCAACGTCGCCATCATCTCCGCCTCGGTCCCCGCCTTGCACAACTTCTCGAGGCAGTGGGTGGCGCCGCGCAAGCTCAAGTTGAGCCACGGCGCAGACTCCCAAGAGGAGGGAGGAGAAGGCATGGCTTCCTCCGGTGGGAGCAGCGGCAAGAGTGCCCGTGTTGGTACAGATCGCTCCCAACCTAAAGCGGTCAGAGCGAACGGCGAGCCCGTCGCCCTCCGGGAATTGAAGGGCAGGCGTAGCAGCCGGGTTTATCACAACCGCCTCGAGAGTATGAACGAAAGCGAGGAGGAAATCCTTGCAGACCGCAAGATCACCAGGACGACGGAGATCGAGTTGCGATACGACAGTCGTGTATGATGAGGTGGACAAATCAAAATCAAAAGTGCTTAAATTCGTGCTGTTGCCTTTTTGATAAGTTAAGGCCGAAGCGAGCATGCGCCAGAGATATGCTGGAAATAAGATTCAACGATGCCCGTGCACCGAGATTCTAGGACTTTGTGTGATTACGAGTCCTCGCTGACTCCCACTCTCCCCGAAGTCCGAAGACGACTGAATCGGAACGCCGTCGCCATCTCAACTGCCTGGCTGAAGCTAGCTGTTTCCTTCCCAGGCGACTGAAGTAGGGTAGCTTGCCTACTTATGCAGCTCACCCACTTGTGGATTATGCTACTGGCATAGTGATAAATTATTAAGTAGTTTGTTAAAGAGGAAAGTACCAGCAATAACGACCAAGATGATATCACTCATTCTACGAAAGGACGGCAGTGAAGTTCGATAGTTGCAATCGCGACTTGATTCTGTTCTTCAGCGTTATCCAAGTACGCTTCTTATGTTCTCTATCCAATGACGTCGTTATCATCGCAGCAGGCGCTGAATGCATGGATCAGCAGTAACAACAAGCGGACCCTTCTCGACAGTCTCTCAAACTCAGTCCCGATCTATACGATCCTTAGTCAAACTTTGAAAACACACAAGTAACCACCGTCATCAGCAGCGCAAGCGATATACCCAGAGGAACGAAGGCATTGGACAGGTTGTCCCTATGGTTCGCGAGTTGATACTCGTCCATGGTCCCGTCCACTGGCGGCGATAGCCACTTGAAGAAGAACCACGTTGCAGGTATGAGCGGCGATGCGGCAAGGGCGATGTAGATGGCAGCCACGTAGAACGCCCGCTCTGTCCGTGCGACAATACCCCAAATCACGTCAATGCGTTTGTCTTGTCCCGAGTCGGAACCTCGGTCGAGCTTCTTCTTAGGAATTCGGACAACAACGCTTTCAGTCGAACACTGCTGGACGTCACAGTGGTTGCTCCAGTTCCAATAACCATCGCGGAACTCTTCCCAGCAGACTTGTGGTCTCAGCTCTTGTTTAAGATAGAGATATTCGTCAATGTTGTCGGGTAGACCTTCGACGGCCTCATGATACTTGTCCTTGCCGTAACGTTTGAACTGCAGTAGGGTACCATGTTAATGATCTTATGACCTGGGTAAAAGCATGGACGAGATACTTACCTGGTAGAAGTCACATCCTGCAAAAGTGTCAAGGCTGAATAAACTCTTCAGCCACCCTCGGTGTCTCCAGAACTCCCAACGCATGTTGTGATAGAATCTCTCGTCGCATAACTCTTTCGTGTGGATAACGCTCTGGCGCAGTCTGACATTCCACGGCAGAATGCTCGAATTATGGACCATGAAGAATATGGCTCTAGGCGCCGTGGCGGGCAACATCTGTCCATGCTGATTCGCGGCCGGCGGTGCGAGCCGCTCATCCTGATCTTCGTCTCGTTTGTCGTCTTGCTCTGTACCAAAGTCGGCCCATGCCTGCTGCCTGAGTCTGTTTGGTCTGTGTTTGGGCGCGGCAGTACCCCCCTGACGGGGTGTCGATGTTCCACCTGATTGTACGGCCATGATCTTGTTCGGCCTCGTGCGATTAGGTACGCTCTCAAGATCCGCTGCCGCATTTGCAATCACGCGCTCGAGTGCCTTGCCAAAGCGTCGCGCGACAACTTCGGTTCTCAATCGGCCGCAACGCTATGTCTGTTGTGAGCGGTTGCCCGTGGGTTTCATGTGAACTAGACTTACACATCGCCACTCGATCCGAACTTGCTTTTCAGAAAGGCTTTTCATCACTGGTGCGAGTGGCCACCAGTCCCACGCACCGCCTGTCATCGTCTCTACAGCCGACTTGAGAATGTCTGTATGACCTGGCTGCTTAGTATTGGCAAGGAGAACCGATGGCTGCGAATACATCATTTCGCTAAGGATCCTCTCCGCGTTCGGCTCACCCCGGCGAAGCCGAGGACACAAGCGCTGGAGCCTGGCTTTCAGCGACGGAAACCCATAGTCATAGATCTGATCGAGTAACTGTTGGAATGCATTGCTGGACCCCACAATCGATAAGAACTTGATCGGATCAATGGCTTCTGTATGCAGTCTGTCGGTTCCGTCATCGTCGTCGCTTTGATCTCCGTCCTGATCTTCCTCATATGTATGATCCTCTGACAAGTCGGACTCAGAGCTTGCTTCGCCCCCACGTTTCGACTCATCCTTCAAAGCAATAGAATGCCCCTTTCGAACGATTTCAGAAGCGAAAATTTGTGTTCTACCACGGAACAGTGCAGCCATGTCGGCGTCCTCGCTCGGGATTTCCACCTGTAGTACGTCCACGAAGCCTTTCAGCATGGATCTTATCCGCTGCTTGACAATAAAAGACTTTTCCTTGCCCAGTACTACAAGTATGGCTTGTGTGACATGCTTGTCCTGGAAGAGAAGATCGGTGAAGTTTAGATATATCGCGCCTAGATTGGAAACCTTGAACTCGGCTTCGGTAGGCACGGTAGAGGCGGAATACCGTGAGAACAGATCATCACAATCAGAGGCAGAATCTGAATCGAGGTCGGAACTTGTATCAGAGTTTGACTGGGGGCGTTCACTGATAGTGCCAAAGGTGACGTTCGGGAATTTCCGCACTGCGTCCATTGTGGCGAATGCTGAGTTGGGACCAGGCGATGTTGTTTTGGGCGACTCCGCCGTAGGTCGTGAGCGGGACGGTGGCGCAGATCTCTCAGCATATATACCGCCTGAACTGTCCTGTGTTGAATATGGACGTAAATGATCCAGCACCAGTCCTGATGATTGACCCTGATGTCGTATCATGTCAGATGGAGATGTGTAATTGCCGATGTGAGGCTCAAGTCGATATACATCCGACGTCATCGATTGCGTCTCAACGACCATCTCGCCAAACATCTGGTCCTCGGTCTCCCAATGGTCCTGTTCATCTGCCCAGTCGATCTGGACTGAAGACTGCTGCATCGATGCCGCCATGATCTCTGTTTCTTTCTGTATCTTGCGATGGCTCTGCTTGTCTTCCGGCTGCATAGACTGCATCTCGCCCCCATCACCTGTGCTGGGCCGCCTTCGTTTTCCATTTTGCTGCTGCTGCCTGTTTTGCTGGTCGCTCGTTGTTGCCGTAGCGTTTTCGAGCGCCCTCTGCGATTTTGCCAGATATCGGTTCAGCTGCATCTGTAGTGTAGCTTTACGTTTTCGACTATACTTCTTGGCGTATTCTTCCACAATTATGTCCCATATGTGTTCGCGATCGAGTCCCTCAAGTTCACACCTGAGGAGGTACAGGAACTTGTCTTGTTCACGGGCTTGATTGACGAAGGCGATCCTCTCCGAAAACTCGAACGGGTACTCATGCCCCGAGGCGAGCCCAGCCGAGCGACGAGTCGGCTGTCTGTTGGGAACGAATGCTGGGTACGGGCTCACGTGGCTCGTCAAGTGCTCGGGCGGCCACTCTTCCGTAGATGATTCATGTAGTCTTTGTATCTTTGCAGTTGCCCATGTTGACGCCTCGGAGTCTTGCAGGGGCTTGGGCTGGGACTGGGGCTCGGCCTGCCGAAAGGTGGGATATTCGCACCGCTGCCCGAGACGAAAGCACTGCGAACATCGAGGCCGATTCCCCTCGCATTCGTGCTTTCTGTGACATTGATGGGTCAGTAAAGTACCAGGCTGATCTAATCGGTGATAGAAAGCACATGTTGCTGGCGCGTCGTCACTCGCTGCGAAAGGAAAAGGAAAGTCGCATGCATATCCCTTCAGGGCGGCTCATGCCTCAATACCTCCCCAAAAACGAGGAGACGCAATTGGGAGTCCCCGGGGACTCACATTCGTTCGCAGTTCGAGCAGCAGTTTCTAGTGTATCCTTGACTTTCCTTCCCACCTGCCCGGCTAGGCATGCTCGTGCTCGCTTCGGCGCTCGAGCTCCGCCCTTTAAGCTCGGCATTGTCGGTGCTGTCGCTGCCAGGTGGATGGCTGTCGGCGGGCGCGATTGTATGAGACGAGTGCAGACAAGGCCGAGGCATGGGATTGTCTGTTGAGGACTGCGCTCTTGTCATCGTGTGGCACGTCTGGCGAATGTATCCGTCGGCTCTAGTTTGTAACTCTGATGACACTTGGGATGCTACTGGCGTTGAGATGGGGAAGGAGGAAACACGAGAAGCGGAACCTTTTGTGAAAAGAGCGAGCCTCTGAAAGGATCCAAGCTTGCCTCGAGCTCAGCCTCACGAATATGCAGATAATGCCTGGTGAGGCACCATTGCCTTATATGTGGCGCAGCCCGTGCGTGGGGGCCTCAGCCTCGCTGCTCAGCCTCTGCAGTATGCAATATGCAACATGCAACATGCTGTACGCTTCTGCTCATGTTGTGCTCGGGCTTCCTGAAAGTCAGCAGCCGGCAATCCAGCGGGCTGGTGCTCGAACTCGAACAGATAACGCGAAGGGAGGGGCGACGACCAAGCTGAGCTGACATGGCTTTCACTTGCCTGAGAAATGCACAGCGCATTACTCTCTATTCTTTGTGAGTTTCTCATACAATGAGAGTATGCAGTGCCGTGTTTGAGGCAAGGATGCGGCTATCGACTTCATCATCAGACGTAACACGGCTTGCACGAAACGGAGGTCTGCCGTGTGAATGAAGTCGTGGAAAGTATCAATACTATTTGATCTCAGCGGCTATCTTCCGCCAGAAATTGCAGCTCAGAGAGTGAATCATTGGAGTTTGGAGAGGCTCAGTGGTAGCTATTCACTACATGTATGGTTTTAGATCTTGGTATAGGCATTGTGCTCACTGAAAGCTGCTGATCTTTGGGTGCCCACGTCTGACCGTAATGCCACCGTAGCCGTGCCATCTTGAAAGGCCTGATAGCACACGATCCAGCCACACGTTCTCACGACTTCCACAACCCTACTCGTCTGTAGACGACACGCGCCGAGCACACACCCCTGCTTCAAAACTCATCCTCGCCAGGGAAGACAGTGCCGTTGTTCACAGCGCCGAGGTGCGCGCGTGCGACAGCACCGTAGGCAGGCATCCACCGGTCGAAGAAGGGAATCATCCTGGGGGCGTCGGGCGAGCGCCAGTCGCGGAGGAGGTCCGCAGCAATGGCGAACCAGGAGACGACATTGACGCCAGCGCGGGCCATGCGGTCGTTGGACAGAGAGCGGACGAACTCGGTCGTGGTGCCCGAGGCCTCGGCGTTGGCCCACACGCTGTAGCCAGCCTCCTTGAGGGACAAGGCTAGGAAGGTCGTGCCTGCTCGATGGGTGACGCGAGTAAGTTTATGGTTAGCCAAGGCAGCGGAAGTACGTCATTGTTTGTCAGAGTTCGAGTTTGCCCCAGGGCAAGAAAAGGTTCTGGGCAAACCAACGGGGGCCATTGTATCCCCGATTGGGTAGAAGCTCGTTGAACAAGGAAAAAGAAGCTGGCAGGGGTAACTGGCTGACAGGGATTGTTCTGCAGGTCCTCATCAAGACAGGGATTATCAAGCACTTACAAACATCGGTCGCGATACCCGCAATGATGATCTGCTTCTTGCCAGACTTTTCGACAGCTTCGCGGAACTCGGCATTATCCCAGGCATTGATCTCGCCGTTGCGTTGGATGACCTTGACGTCCGGGAACATGTCGAGAATCTCGCTGGACATGGGGCCGTTGGGTCCTTGACGACAAACTGTCAGCGTTCATGAACTCTACTGTGGAAGCCTCGGGTCTCAGAGGGATCACATGCGTACCAGACTGAGCAGAGGTAGTCAAGACTACAGGGAGGCCGAACGTCTTGGCGAGGTCTGCATGGGCGTGGATCGAGTTGCGGAAAGAGACAGGATCGAAGTCGCGGACCAGAGAGAACAGGCCGACCTGGACGTCGACGATGGCGACGAGCTGGAGATTGCGTGTGAGCAAGATGTCATTGGATGAGGTGTGATTTCACACCCGGAGGTCAACTGGTTGAACATACCGCATTCTCCTTATCAATCTGCTCCCAAGCACTGGCAAGTGCCACCAGAGGGATAAGAAGAGTCGAGACGGAGAAGTTCATGTTGGGCAAAGGCTTCGAATTGATATAGCGACGGTCCTGCAGGTACTCAAGGATGGAGCAAAGTCCAGAGCTTCCACTCGATGGTTCCGATGGCGTATGCTTTTATATTTTCGGGGAACCGAGAAAGCACCAATGCCTAGGCACGTATATTGTGGCGTGTTTTCAGGGATCTCAACGGGAGCTAGAAGCACGTCGATCTCCACCATGAACACGCTACCAGCCAAAGTACTTGTGGTCTTCAAGATACAAGTAATCGCGTTTTGAAAAGGGCGTTTACGCGTCTCCACCTAGGTACCTCGTCGGGCGCCGGTATAACGTGGGACTCCTAGGGGCCAGAGGGGTCTCGGCTCGGCGAGGGTACCATACTTTGCGTACCCATGTCAGGCCGGCAAGAATTTGCGAGACAAGCAGAGCGCCAAGCCGGGACATTCCTTGATCATCCAAGCAGAGCATTGACCTTGCCATGCGGTCCATCCCTATTGCAAAGCTTGACAAATTCGTCGTAGAGTTTGACAAACAAAGGTTTGCTTTTGTGTGGGTCTTCACATGATGCCTTTATATGATTACCAATGATATGTAAACACTGGAACTGGGCCGACGTCAGTGGAAATGGACAAGCAGGGATCTCACTGCCCCAGAAGGTGCCCACAGGTGATGAATGGCACAGAAGGCCCACAGTTGCTGACTGCTGATAACCAGAAACCGTGCCCTTGTGCGTTGTGTGAGAACCGTTGGAGATAGCCTATTGAGATAGAGCAAGACTATTCACGTGGAAAGGCAAGACTTATACGCTTAGCCTTCAGACGAAGTTGTCGGTCTGTTCATCAAAGATGTTGGGAAGCTTGCACGGACAGAACAAGTAGCTTGACACATCGTCGACATACCGATGAGCTTCCACCAACCCAATGCCATTTTGTGTTCATGCCTAAGACTGTAGGGCAGGTATCGTCCTCATATAAGCGTTATCTCACCCAGGACAAAGGCGTGGCTCTTCGAGCTCTCCAAGCGACCAACAGCTCATGAACACTGGCATCTCCGTAGCATGATGAAGACTCACTTGCCCACTCAAGTGCTGTTCTGTCAGTATCGTCCACTATATCCAATGCCGCTCCGTGCTCAAGCAAGATAACAGCGGTTTCTTTATTATGCCACTCGGTAGCGTAGGTCAGGGGTGTGCGACCTTGCTCATCCTGAGAATCAACCATAGACCCCGTGGCAAGCAGCAGTCTCACACAAGAGGCTACACCGACTTGGGCTGCCCAGCTCAATGGTGTTCTCCCATCATAGTCTCTGCTCTCGATCGGCGCGCCATAGTTCAGTAACGTCCCTACCACTGAGACGTTGACCCCGCGCGACATGACAAGTCGATGTAGCGGAGTGTAACCATAAGCGTCCGTGGTGCGGACATCAGCACCATGTTTTACCAACATCTCGACCACGTCAATGCGCCGTTCCTGCAGGGCGTAAGAAAGTGGCGTTCCACCAGATTGAGTGGTTCCATTGACATTTGCCCCGTGTTCGAGAAGTGCCCGCACAATACGAGACTGTCCGCGCCTGGCGGCACATGCGAGTGGTGAATCACCCTGTTGCTCACGAAAGCGTGGAGCGGACTTTGGAACTCTACTATGGGCTGGATTTGTCATTGCCAGTTTTGCTTCGTGCTCAAGCAGGAGAGACACCGTGGCGGCATGACCATTTTCCACCGCCCACCGAAGAGGGGTCCAGTTCATCGAAGGGTCTTCGGTACAAGTCGACGCGCCCCCTTGGAGGAGTTCACGGACGACTGCGGAGTGACCATTCTCAGATGCTCTAGACAGAGCGCTGCGGCCAAACATGTCGACAGCTTCATTCGACACGCCGTGCTCTTGGAGTCGTCGTGTCGCTTCACTGTGACCCTCGGTGGCTGCCTTGATCAACGGAGTAGCTTCAGTAACGTCAGCGGCGTCTCCCTCGGCACCGTGCTGGACCAGAAGTGTGATGACGTTCGCTCGCCCTTTCTCTGCTGCCCAGTGAAGTGGCGTGCGGCTCATATGATCCTTAGCATCAACGGCAGCTCCTCGGTCTAGGAGTAGTCGCACGGCATCCACCAAACCCCACCATGCAGTCCAGCTGAGCAGTGTACGTCCGTCTCTGTCGGAAGCCTCCACGTCGATATCGATGAGCCCAGACTGGAGAACACAACAAAACAGATATTGGTCTCCGTACTCTGCCAGATATGACAGAATGTGCCTATTTGTCGTGTATGAGAATCCATCCACAAAAAGCCGGGACACCCGTCCGTCCGCGATCTCCTCACTACCAGCAATCCGCCCATCCTCCGAGATCTCAGGGCGCATCGCCGAGGCAAACACTTTGATGGCATCGAAGCTCTGTGCTGCGAGTGCTGAAAATAGAGGATATCCATATCGCTCCCTCTCGACAACCAAACAGTCAAGGATTGAGGGATATATCTGGATCAAATTGTGCAGATTGTAGTCTGCCAAAATGTAAAGCAGGCTGACGTTGTCAGTGTAATATTGAACTCCTGCCAGCGCGTTCCGGTATGCTACCCAGTTTTGAAGCAAGCTCCTGAATTCGAGGAGGAATGCTCTCTGGTCAACACCATAAGCCTGAGCCTGGTCTGAGTGGTAGAGAATGTTTCGCATGCTGTACGACAAAAACGGAATCAAGGTGCCTGCGACTGCGCGATAAGAAAGACCGCTGGCGTTGTACTTGTTCGCCACCTTTTTGGGCAACATAAAGGCTGAGTCTTGTATGTAGCGGAAGCAGGTATGCTTGAGCCTATCGTGACTGAGGCTCGCCTCTTGGCCCGAAGTCTCGGGCCAAATCAGTGAAAAACCATTGCGCCTGAGAAAGAAGTCATTGACGGATTCGTGGATGAATTGTACTTTTGGATTCCATGATATGGTCACTTCAACCAGACCCTTTGAAGCAGACAGAATCGTTCTCTTGACCTGCTCCTCGGGAAAGGGCGCTTTGTCCATGTTGTTATGCAAATCGTGACTTTCGGTGGTCCCCAATTGTATCGCTAGATACAGCTCCTCGGGCCCAAGCGCACGTTGCGAGAACATGATCCATTGCACGCAGAGCAGCATTCTGCCCCTGTCCTCCTTGTCTCGCAGCAGTATATCGCGAAACACGGCGTGGAGATCCCCAGGGACCCGACGCAATTCCTCCTGGAGTGCGTGTGGGCCATATCCATGATCGTAGTGCCTGTTCAGGATGGATGTGACGAGAACGACCCACATGAAGACTCCAGCGGCCTTGTGTTTGAGTTCCGCCTGGACAGCAGAAACGATACTGCCACTACCGATATTGAGTTTGTCCTCGATGTAGCGACCGATATCATCCTCGTGTCCGGGTTGCCGATCGAGCAGCAGTTCAACACATTTGCGGACGGTAATATGAGGGTAGTGCCTGCTAGCGAAACAGACAAAAATGCGAAGGCCCTCTTGATATGCTGCGGCCCTGATATCCTCAAGGAAATAGACCATCGAGCGGATTTCGTCTTGGTCGCCCTCGTCCAACGCGTCAATGAGCAAGAATAAGGAATACCCCGCGGTGTCTCGCAGTGCCTTTTCGAGCAGCCCTTGCAGCAACGCCGTGTGCCACTTCGGAAGGGCATCAGTTGAGGTCGTCGGGACCCTTTCAAGAATCTCCTGGAGCTCAGGAATGCGCTCGAGAAGCTGTAGAAGTAGGGACTGGTACATTCCCTGCACTGTACGCTCCATGCTATCGCCTCGAGCATTGAAGAAGAATGAGATGACTTCTCGAGACGGTATCTTCTCCTCTTCCAGGATGTCGAGTAGGAACTTCATAATTGTCGATTTGCCCGCGCCAGGCTTTCCTTTGATCCAGAGCAGGCCATGGTGATCTTCGAGCTTGGACCCATCAAGCCAGTCCTGGTACGCTCGCGTCTTGAGCACCCATGTGCAGGTCTCGTTATGCGCTCGCCGAATTGTGTCCTTCCTGGAGCCCATCTGGTCAAATCGGAGTGACTTCATGAGTGCCTCAATCCTCGAGGTCGGCTGAACTGATCTTTCATTTGATGCATTCGCAGCCGCGCGTGCATTCAAACTCAACGAATAATCCAGATGCCCTATCATGTGCAAAGTGTCAATGATGAAGGTCATGGTTAGCAAAGTGGTGTGTCAGAAAACCCACCATAATTGGTTGAGCGGACGCCGAGTTGCAAGAAGGACAAGTACTCAGTGGCACAGGCTGCCGCCACCGCAGCAGCATATGGCTGCCAGTCCTTATTCTTGTGAAAGTCAGCATAGTCGCATATGCCGCGTATGACCAAGAATGGCACGTCGAGACCCTTCAAGGCAGCGCCCTCCATCTCTAGGCATAGCACGTTATGTCTGAGGCCGAGCTGATCCCTAGTCTGAGCGTCCTTGATGACCTGGTTGCCCGAAGCGATCGCGCCGAAGTGAACCTGAGGGTGTCGACTGGAGCGCGGCGACCGAGAGACATGCCGGTAGTCGCTGTCAAACAAGATGTCCTTCAGTCCTGTGCAGTCTGCATATCGATCCATCAGGGGATTTCGCTGCAGCATCTGCTGGAGAATGTCCGGGATCCGGCTGCCCCTTATGTCGTACTCGGCTCGTAACAGATTGACTGCCGACATCAGCCTTGTCGTCGGCGTATGAACTGCCGCAGTGCTCTGGAAGTGGCCGTCTTGCACCGTCTTTCCAAAGTCGTGCTGCACGACACTCAAGCCGACCACGACATCGCCAAGTCGCACATCGTTGACTGCCGTGGGGACTCCACCAGCGACTCCAACCAGTAGCTGCACACGTATTGCAGTGTATGTTCTGAGCATGTTGCTCGAAACGATCGCGGCATTGTTCATGCCCATCCCACCCGCCGGCAAGCAGGCCATGGCGACGTTGAAGCGGCCAATGCGTCCGAGCACGTAATGGTTGCTGTCATGGGGATCAGAGGGCAGCGTCTCATGGACATCCTCTAGAAGCGCCTGCGCGGCAGCGAACTCGACGTAGATGGCACTGACCCAGCCGATTTCGTAGTCGCGGTGTGTGAACTTGTGCGTCGCTGAGCTGTGAGATGTCCTCTGGCGCTTGTGATGACCAGGCTGTTGCCTGGCTGTGTCGTCGTCGTGGGATGCTGCCCGCTTCGAGGCGGAAGCCGCTTCTTCCATGGCCGCGGTGATGCTCTTCTAGGAACATTCACATAGTCGCCTCCAGGGCTTCGAACGAATACATGCTTTCAATGTCGCGAGAAGCCAACTTGGTCGTTGGCAGGCGAAGTTTCATTCTCAGAATGTCACAGCCTTGCGAGGCACTCAAACGAGGGGACTGCAGCGGCTGAGCCACCATCAGCAGTAATCACGTGCAGTGTGCATAATCGCAAGGTCGCATGCATAATCGTAGGGTCAATGAATGTAGATCACACGCGCGCGCGCGCACAAGTGGAGGCTTCGCACATGGCTTCTGGTAAGTTGCTTTCTGGGTATGATTGTATGGCTTGCAGGAAAACACTTCTAGCCCGGGCTCGCGCGTAAAAGTCCAAGATGCAATTTGCAGCATGCCGGTGTCAAGACTATCGTCTGACGTGTGGTGTGAACCACTAGTGTTGTATGCCATCACTGCCAACTTTTCAGCAAGCTGATCGCCGTTTATCCGAGAGTTCAGAGATACTGACCTTCCCACTCGCACATGTTTCGTGTGGCTTTGGCTTTGTAATGCCCGGGGTTGTATCTCGTGTAGGCCCAGGCAAGGATCGCGATGGCCCAGCAGATTGGTTCAGGTCCCTACTGGGCGGAGGGGAATTACCGGCTGAACCTGCGGTGATTCGTGTGTCAGGCACCACCTGGTCCGAGACGCTCGAGGATCCCTGGCCTGTGTAGGCGGTAATGCAGAGACTGACAATGAACATCTCCACGGCCCTTCGAGGAGATGGACACGGTGATTGTGCAGACCGTTCGAAGAAAACGATAAGGAAGGGGTCAACAAAAGTGGTGGACGAATTCGGAGCGAGGAAAGGGTCGGGCTGGATATTTGACGTCCTTATGTGCAGAGCTGCCAGGCCGGCTGAAAAAGGCAAGACTTTGGCCAAGCGCTGTGGCACGCCTGGGTCTTAATGGGTCAGCCGTGCGGTTCCAGATGTCTAGTTTTATCCATTTTGGGAAGCATACGAGACCTATAGTAAACCCAGTGTGTGATTAGTTGTCGCCAGTGATCCGTAACACGGCTCCTAATTGCTGCTGTTACGTTGGATGCCACTCCATTTAGTTTCCAGTTCCACCTTTTTGTCAACCCTAAGTTGAACCACAGCAATTTCCTGGTATTCCCAAGACAGAGTGGGTTAAATGATATATCATACATGCGAAAGGCGATGAAATACTAGGAGCGCCGTCGAATGCCTGTTTATTCATGCGCAATGCTGGTGGAAGCTGCAGATCTAACCCTCATATATTGCAGGCGTGCAACGACCAGCAACGTGGTCGTACTCCTAAAGATGTGTACTAGGCGCCGGCCACTCACTCTTTCGCCTTCACACAAGAAAACAACACTAGAGTCCTGACCGAGCCAGCTTACCACATCTCCGAAGAGTTCCCAAGTACTCATCTCCGATGCGTCCTGCCCATCGAAAGAGATATAAGCTCTATTCCGCTCTCTGTGCTTTGCGCTGCAGCTCGATTAATCCAGACCAAGCACATGTCCGTATCTGCAAACTTCTTAAGGATTATCACTTTGGGATCACCGCAACACAACAAACGTCTACCATCAGCGCTTCTGAATCTCGCTATTCCACTGCACCCTGCAAGACTGTCGTGCCCGCATCGCGAACGACCTTTCCATACCAAACCACACCGCTGCCAGCTTGGGAGCAGTGCACCTCGTGTACTGGGACACACAGCTAGCTCAGGCTCGAGTCTTCTGATCTGCAGACCTCCGCCGTGCCATCACGTAGCAATCACACGCAGTTGCGGTCAGGCTTCTCACTAGCACATCACGCGCTTCCAAAGCTCTAAACTTCGCCATTCACAAAAGGGCAAATCAATAGGACTACTACTAGCGAAACCGGCCTCAGGGATCGTGCCTTGTCCCGCCAAGACACACGACACCACAGGGCATCCACTTTAGCATCCACTCGACGCCTTGCAATTCCTCACGCGGAGTAACATTTCGTCAACTGGCCAAGGACATCCAAGGACAGCAACACTCCACTCGACGGCGCGGAGAAAAGCGACAGCCACGGAGACAATTACACGTCCAACTTCGGTGGCGCCCATTGCACATCGGACTCCCCTTCTCAATCACTGGCCTGTCCACAGCTATCAATAACAACGAGTCGCCTTCATCAAGTCAACACTGTCCCTTCTTGTCTTGGGAAAAGAGACCACAAGGCGGCAAGGGTGACAACCTACTAGACCGTGGTCGACATCAAAGCACAGCCACAACGCACACAAAGACTTTATCCACGAGTTGTACACGTCAAGAGGCGAGGATGGCGGACCAGCCCAAGCAAGGCATCACCGACGCCCACTTCTCGGCACGCAGCCTCCTGGGCCGAGGCCGCAACAAGACGAAGCAAACCTGGCAAGCAGTATGGGAGCCCCAGGCCCAGGCCGTGCTCGCGAGCATCGTCGCAGTCCCGCGCGCCGACGACGCAAACGACAGTGCGGCCAGCCACAGCCTGCGCATGTGGCACCTAGAACATAGCGGCAAGCGCCGTCTCAAAGAAGGTCGGAAACCAACAGCCAGAGCAGCAGGCACACACAGAGGACAACAATGGTAGCACCACCACCACCGTCACCACCAGCACTGCTCCCCGCGCTCCAAGCAGCAGCAGCAACAACATTAGCAGCAACAAGACAAACAAAACCGCCCTGCTCGCCCTCCCCGAGATCGTCATCGCCTGCATCAGCGACCACCTCGCCAGCAACCGGGACCGCAAGCAGCTGCGCCTCGCCTGCAGGGACCTGTCGTGCGCGGTCCGGCTGCGCATCCCCCGGGCCTACCTGTCTACCAACCCGCGCAACGTAGAGGTGCTGCTGGGCCTCGCGAACAACCCGTTCTACGCGTCCCGGGTGACCGAGCTGGTGTGGGACGACGCGCGGCTCGTGGGCAACGCGCGCGACGCCGAGGAGGTGCTTCTGGGCCGGACGGCCACGGGAAAGCGGTTTGGGGGATACTTGCGGACTCGCGAGGAGGCGAAGCAGGAGGAGCAGCAGCATGAGCAGGAGGAGGAGGAAGAGGAGCGCTGCCGCCGCCGCCGTGCTGGCAGCAATGCTGATGAGCAGCACCAGGGGTCCGCGTCGACATCCTCATCATCATCATCATCAGCAGCGGCACCACAAGAATCATCACGACCGACGTGGCCGTCGTGTGCGCCGGCGTGGTTCCGTGTAGCACGGGTGGGGAATAAACTGCAGCGCCTGCTGCTCGAGAAGAAGGCCGAGATCAATGCCCTCGGCGGCGCGGAGGCGTACTGGGCCCATCGTCGCTCCGAACAGCAGGAACAACAGCAGCAGCAACAGCAGCAGCAGGGGCGACAACAGCGGCGGCGTCGGCAGCACGAGGACGAAGACATGCCAGACTGGGCGGAGCAACAACATCAACAAGTAGAACAAGACCCTACGCTCCGGCCATTTACCCACGACAAGCACAACACGCAGCGCGACTGGGAGTACTACACTATGCTCCTCGATGCGCAGTACGAGATTGAGCAGACCGGCGCACACTTTGCCGCGTTCGCCGTGGCCCTCGAAAAGTTCACCAACCTGAAGACCGTCACCATCTCGTACACGGCCCACGGCCGGGCCGGTGCCGGGACCGCGGGACGCTATGAGACGCCCATGATCAGGGCCTTTCCCGAGGGCTTCAACTACCTTGTCCCACTGGGGTGGGAGGTGGACCGCGCGGCCGAGGAGCATGAACAGCTGGCCCGTGACGCTGAGGAGAAAGGCGAGCTGCCGGAGCCCCGAGCATCGCCACCACACAGCGGGGTACCTCGGCCGGCGGGGACGGACGCGCTGACGGCCGTGTTGCGCATCCTAGCGTCGCCGTTCCGGACGACCAGTGGCAACAGACCAACAGAGCTGCGCGTCGATGACGGTGGCTTGGGCTTGGGCGTCCACTTTGACAGCCTTCGGCCCCGGATCGATCTCAATGGCCACGTTGTCAGGGACGAGGACTACTACGACCAGACTGGCAGCAGCACCCACTACAGAGCACACTACCGGAGCAGACTGGACATGCTCGCACATGTCGTGGCCCAGCCCGGGTTCGACAAACTGTGCCTGCACCTGCGCTGGTTCACGGCCGACCACCAGGGCACCTACATTGAGAGCGGCTTCCTCGGGGAGGTGCTGGCCAGGGCCAACGGCGGCCGGGGCCTCCGGAGCTTGGAGCTCTCGTTGACCCCGGACCACAGCGAGCTGCCTCTGCGCGCCGGCCCCGCGCATACCATCGGTCCCTCGCGTGGCCCGCCGATGATCTCGCTGCCAAAGTTGCTCACCACGGACAACGCGGCCAGCCTGGAGCACCTGGCCCTGTCACACATGACGGTCGACGAGCACGAGCTGCTGGCCACGCTGAGCCTGCTCCCGCGGACCACCAAGACGATCAAGCTGTTCAATGTCGCCCTGCGCAGGCCTCTCCCAGGACACCTCCCGCACCATTCGAGCATCCCCTGGGACTACACGGACACTGACGGCAGGGGCTGGCGGGAGACGCTACAGCGAATTCGCGACCAGCTGGCAGCGGCATGGGCGACGTTCCCCACGAGGCCGGTGCTGAGCATCGGGACTCGCGCCGAGGGCTTCGTCGAGCTGATGATGGGGGCCCGGCGGGTGTGGGTGACCGACGAGGTGACGGCGTACCTGTACCACGACCACGACCACAACCACGACCAAGAGCACGACCATGACCACAATCATGACCAGATCGGGGCGATAGCGACGAACCCGCTAGGGCAACCATGGTCGATGGTGCAGAGAAACAGGCTGGAGATGGGATTGTGGCGGCAGCGGCAGCACGTGGACGAACTGCCCATCATTGCGCCGGGGGACGGGTATACGGACGATGCGCTAGGGGTAGAGGGCTGTAGGGAGCGGCACGAGGAGCTGCCGATTGAGGTCTTGCTGGATGCACAGGGGAGCGTCAACGGGGCTCGCATCCACGGGGTAGGGGTTACGACATGGTGACGGGATCGGGAATCGAGAGATGCCTTGCAAAAACGCGTGGGTACCAAGTAGCCGTGGATGATGGGGATCAGCGATGGGCACTAGCAAATGTCGATGGGGAGGATTGGGATGGGAGAATGACGAGACATGGGATTGTGGGGGAGACGGGTAGGTTGCCAGATGACGTACGGTGATTAGCTAAGCAGGCAGCAAATTTACAGTACAGTGCACCTAATCGGGGAAGATGCGGAAAATGCAGAATCGCATGCGCAAACGCAAGAGGGTCAGTCGCTCCTGCTGCTGCCCACAAAGATCGAGGCGTGGCGTGACGTCACAGGCACACACTCACACACTCGACGCCCCGTCAAGCAAAGTGCTGTGCCGGATGCCAATGTCCTGTCGTGGTGCTTTGCTTTTCGAGCAGTGACGGCGAGCTTCTTGTCCGTGTCTCTTCTGCTGCTCCGTATCTTTGCCAGACTAGGCACAAACCGAATGACTGAGGGACGGACCGACGACGACCTCTTGTCTTTCACAATGCTGATCATTCTCCTTCTTCCACCACCACCACAGACAACACCCATCAGCCTCAGCACCGACCCATTCCGCTGCTGATTCGCCCCCCGGCCCTTTCTCCGGTCCAGCAAGCTCACTCGTCCACCGTCTTCGTCTCTCGCACTTGCCACTCCCCGCAATTGCGAATGCCCTCGCCGCCGGCGCCCCCGCAATCCGCTCCTCTCGCCACCTCGACCCCCGCGACAACTCCCTCGTCTCATCCTCCGCCACAACCTCCTCCTCCGGCCGGCTCCTCATCACCAGACCCGGGCGCGGACCCGGTCCCAGCCCCGGGTCCCGTCCCGACCGCGGCGCTCGTCCTCGCTGGCGGGCCCGCCACCCGCATGGGCTACCCAAAACACCTCCTCAAGCTGCCCAACGGCCAGCCCCTCTACCTCTACGTTGCCGACCTCGTCTACCAAGCCTGCCCGCACCTCGACTGCGTCTACATCTCCCTCGCCGAGGGCTCCTACCTCGACGAGAACCTCCGCGCCCTCCTCACCGCCAATCCAGTCCGTCCCTCACAACAGCAACAACACCAGCCTTCTCGGCCGCCCATAACCACCATCAACGCCGACAACACCCCCGCCGACGCCGCCGTCATCGGCCTAGACCCGGATCGCACAAGAGCCCAGCATGGCGATGACACGGGCCACGGAGGCAGCAGCGGCGGCAACCACGCTGGGCCCCCGCCGCTCGAGGTCATCTGGGACAAGAAGATGCCCCTCCTGCACCCACCGCCCACCCGCGCCCAGCAGCGCCGCGAGGAGAAGAAGCGCGGCAGCAGGGAGCGCCCGGCCGAGATGAAGTCGCACAAGAACAGGTCCACGTCGAGCTCCAAGCGCAGGTCGGCAAACAGACTATCCGACGGGCCCCTCACGGCACCCACCACACCCGGCATCGACGACCCAGGCGGCGGCGGCGGGGGCACGACAACGCCACACCACTACCACGAAACAGACGTGGAACAGGACGGCGACATCGACGCGCTAGGCGGTATGCCCGGCACCACAACGGCAGGCGGCAGCGACGGATGGCCACCTTCCAGACACGGCAACGGACCCGGGGGGCCAATCCGGGGGTTTCTCGCAGCCCACGAGGCCCTCCCAGACGCGACGTGGCTCGTCATCGCGTGCGATTACCCGCGCCTGACCGTCAGCGCGATTCAGTACCTCGTCGAGGCGTACGAGCCACCCGTAACGTGCTTCCGCGGCGCGAGGAACAAGATGGAGCCACTCGTCAGCATCTGGAGCCCCGAGGCGCTCGCGCGGCTTAGGCAGAACAGCGACCCGGCCGGGGCTCCTGCGGACACGAAGCCTTACTCTTTCTCTTCCTCGTCCTCGTCCTCTGGGGCTGCGACTGCTGCGTCGCCAGTGGCCACGGTCGGGTCCAAGCTTACAGAGATGGATCTGTCCGGTGACGGGGCAGAAGCCGGGCCAGCACCACCAGCACCACCGACGCCTACGCTGGGGATCCTGGGCACAATACGGCAGCTGCACGGCAAGGCAGTCGAAGTGCCACCCGGCGGGATGGACGACATCTGGATGTACAACGTCAACACGCCGGGCAACTGGGACACGGCGCTGGAGCTGTATGATGAGTGAGCGACTGGGTTTTTCTTTTTCTTTATGTTGTTTGTTGCTCCTTCTTGGGAAATGGCGCCATGATTGCATTTCTAGATGTATCACTAAACTGGCGTATAGAGCGGTCAAAAGAGTTTTGACGTGGTTACGACGCAGGTTTGCATGGCTTTGTTGCTTTTCTTTTTTCTTTTTCTCCGGAGTACATAGCATTTGTATAGAGCGAGGAGAGACACTCATTCTTGGGAGGAAGCGGACGAGGACAGTGGCTTTAACGACCCCATCACGAATATACGCGAAATAGACAGGCGCGGATGCTACTAGGCATCGGGAACTGTATTTCTATCCATACACAAGACCATCAAGACCCACAAGCTGTGTTCTGTTCTGCATATAAGTGATGGTTGTGGGAACACACTTGTGCACAGAGTTCCGTCGGGTGTGGTGGATCAGAGACAAGCTAGTCCGCCACATTCCCGCGCTACTTAGTAGCCTGGCGGCCGAGTGCCGGCGCATCCAAAAAGATGCGGGGCACCAAGCCAAACGGAAAAACAGTGCAGGTTGTGCCCTCTTCCATTCGAGAGAAGACGTGTACCCCAGAAATCGAAATACTGCCAAAAAGACGGAGACGAAACAAAGCAAAAGGAAAGGTAAATTACTAGCGCCGTGGATCGAACACGGAACCTTCTCGGGAATTCTGCGAGGAATATTCACATGTAACAGATTGTGAACGAGAAATCATAACCATTAGACCACGCCAGCTTTTTTGTTTGTTTGTGTGGGGATGTTGGTACCAGTGGCGACCGCCGTGGAAGCCTCTTGAACCCTGTGAGCAGAGGAGCGAAATTTTCTGGTCATTGGAGGACCGGGACGGAGACGGGGGCGGACGTTGAGAAGTTGGCTGGGTTAGCAAAGCACAAACAGTGTGGCATGAGTAATGACAGACAGGGTTTGTAAGGTTAAATTCTTAAAATACCGCAAACTTCGAATAGTCGTGCGCGCGCGAGACATGGCAGCAGCTCCCATGCTCACGCTGGGTTAGTACAAGCCGACTTGACTCCTGCCGGACATAGGCCAGGACCCTTCTCAGCGTCCTTTGTACCGACAGGGCCGGCTCTCGTCGTCGTTCGGCATTGGTATGTAATAAGCTTTGGTCATGCATTTGGAGCTGAAATGGGGGAATACTGCGGCCCAGTCGAGTCAGATAGGCCGAGAGAGGACCCATTCGAGTCAAGAGAAAACGACTAGCATACACGAGCCGGCGTGTCTTGGCACAGCATATAAAATCGGAACAGAACACCGACAGATAAGCAGCAGTACATGGGAGCAGAGACCGGATAGAGTAGACAAAGAGAGACGGACGGGGACCCGGGCAAAAGACCCACCGCCGGTGACCACCAGAATGCCAGAGAGCTAGAGATAAGGTCCCGGCCTATCCCAGCCCCTCCGGCCCCCGGCCAGGCAGCCTGCCTAATACGCCGAGTTCCCCTCTCTTCGGGCGAGTGTGACGTAGCAGGCAGGCTGGGTGTCTCCAATATTCTATGGGGAAAGCTCCCCCATCTTCCCCCGCACCAGGTTGCGATGCGGGAAAAAAACAAGAGAGGAAAAGATACTGCCTGGCACGTTGAGACTTGAGTCACAGCCGCAGCCGCAGCAGCACCACACCGCAAGATGGAGATAGATACATGGCCCCCGGCAACACCTATCTCTATGCCGCGGCATGTTCCGTTCAGACAGCTGCCGGCATCCACACAGGACGTGTCGCGTGGTGGTCCACGACTAGCTCGCCGAGACCGCAGCGCATCCACAGCCGTCGGGGACTCGATTCATGGCCGTCCTATTGTATTGTATGTGATTCGGAACTCCGCAGCAGCAGCAGCAGGAGCGGACGATGTCGGCCGTGCCCGCCTCTCGTTGTTATCTTGATCTGGCCCGACGGGTTCTTACTCGCGTGGGCTGCCTGCATGACTGGGCTGTCTTGGCAAGCAACCCTCGTCCGAACATCAGTTGAACCATGGCCCCCACGAGTACCGGACCAGGCCAGGGCAGGCCACGGCCCCCAAGCATACAAGCACACAAGCACTATATAAAGGAGACCCTGTTGGGTGCCATCGTCGTCTGCTTTGGGCCGTCTGTCTGCCTGTCCCGTGCTGTCTGCCTGCCGTGCAAGCGTTGACGTGGTACTGTCCAGCTCTGCCAACATTTGCCGTCCCCGTCGTCTAAGTCCTCCTCCTCGTCCGCATCCCCGACCACATCATGTTCTCTGTCGCACTCCTCGCCGCGCTTCACGCCGGCCTCTCGGCCGCCCTGCCGGCGCCGGCTTCCTTCTTCCCAGAGCTCATGGTCCGGGAGGTCCAGCAGTACAACGCGAGCCTCCCCAACATCACCATCTACGCGACGGGCGGCACCATCGCGGGCAGCGCCGCGTCCAGCGACCAGACGACAGGGTACCAGGCGGGCGCGCTGGGCGTCGACATCCTGCTCCAGGCGGTGCCGCAGCTGTACAACGTGTCGAACCCGCGCGGCGTGCAGTTCGCCAACGTCGGCTCGACCGAGATCACGCCGGCCATCCTGGTCAACCTGACCCAGCACATCCAGAAGGAACTCGACAGCCCGTACTGCCAGGGCGTCGTGGTCACGCACGGCACCGACACGCTCGAGGAGACGGCCTTCTTCCTGGACCTGACGGTGCGGACTGAGAAGCCCATCGTCGTCGTCGGCGCCATGCGGCCCGCCACCGCCATCAGCGCCGACGGGCCCATCAACCTGCTCGAGGCCGTCACCCTGGCCGCCGACCCGGCCGCCCGGGGCCGCGGCGCCATGGTCGTCCTCAACGACCGCATCGCCAGCGCATACTACGTCACCAAGACCAACTCCAACTCGCTCGACACCTTCAAGGCCGTCGAGCAGGGGTACCTGGGCTTCTTCTACAACATCAAGCCCCGCTTCTTCTTCCAGCCGACCCTGCCCCTCGGCCGGCCGTACTTTGACGTCTCTGCCACCCCGATCGACGGCCTGCCCCAGGTTGACATCCTCTACGGCTACCAGGGGCTCAACCCGGCCCTGGCCAAGGGCGCCGTCGACGCCGGTGCCAAAGGTCTAGTCGTCGCGGGGCCCGGCGCCGGGTCCTGGACCCGACCTGGAACCGCGGCCATCCGCGAGGTCGCAGCCAAGGGGACCCCCGTCGTCTTCTCGAGGCGCTCCGAGAACGGCTTCGTCGGGGACCGCGCAAACAACACGTTCGGCGCGGGCCTGCTCAACCCGCAGAAGAGCCGCATCATGCTCCAGCTCGCGCTTAATGCCGGGTACGAGGAGGCGCAGCTGTCGACTCTGTTTGAGTTTTGAGCTGTTATTGCAGTGGAGAGGGAATAGATGGAAAAATATGTGATAGAATATGGGGAGTTAAGCCGAACGGGAGCCGTGGAAACTCGCTGGGATAACCCAAGACAGGTGCACAGTCTTATTGCCCCCCACAATGAATAATTAGCACGTAAAAATAATAGAAATAGACTCGTAGACAATGTCATTAGAGCCTTAAGCTCTGAAGCTCTTGGGGACGTGATGGTCTTAAAAGACTTCCCGGACATGTGAATATTGTGCCGGTGGAGAGAAAACGTACTTACTCATATCGCACTATTGTGTTCACCTTCCGTGTCGGTGGAGAGAGGATTGGGAGCTGGGTACTTCTCGGCGTAGCCAAAAGGTCTATTTATCCCTCCGTGCGTTGGCGGACGCGTCACCCCCCTGAGGTGCCATCCACTGGAATGTTCTTGGTCGCCTCGGCGATGAATGCAGTTGCGTGGGATGCGCGGTCAACCTGCGGGCGACCTGTGGACAAGCTCGGCAGCCGTGCTGAGGCGAAGGACGTCGGGGCGTTCGCGGTCTGGCTGTTCCTCGGCTGCTGAGCTGCCAATCTTTCGTGGAGGTTGTGAGACTTGCTGGTATTGTCGCGAGAGTAGTTGTGTAGGCGGAACGGAGAATGTCGAGCAGGTCGGCGTCTAGAGGCTTTCCATGCTTATACGTGGCTAGCAAGGCCTTCGAGAAGGCTCCGGCAGCGTCGGCATTTCTGTGGTTGAGATCCGCAACTGTCAGCTCGATTGCCGTGGTCGGTGTGGACGTGGACTGCTGCGGAGGCCATGTCGGCGACGACAGACCACTTGGAGGTTGGGCAATGGTTAAAAGAGAGTGCTCATGATGGGCCGATCCCCGCAGGGCTGAAGTCGGAGAGGAAAACCAATGTCATGGGATAGTGTTCATTGCCCTTGAAACGCCGTTGCCAGAGAAGGAGTCCATGTGATGATCACAAGCATCCGCTTGCGTAAGAAGTTGGGCCCATGCCATCAGGTGTTGGTGTTATTGGGGAACAATGCCCTCTCCCACACCATCATTCCGAGCCAGAAGCAATCGCAAAGGATATCCTGATTCAATGTATAATTACGCAAACCAGTTCAGCACGATCCAAATAACTACACCCCTGGGGTCGGACTCTACAGAAAGGAGCGGGCCAGTGTCGGGGCTAGCCGAGCTTCTCTGCGGGGCACAAAGGTGTTTGTGCATCTTGATTGGCGTGGCTATAGAAGCATTTCTCAGTTGCCGACAACGGGGTGATCTTCTCCACGCGGGGAACAACTCCCAAAGAACCATCTTTGAGGATTTGCTCAACCTGTACAACGCAGCAGCCCTTCTCTCCCCAGAAACCGCATTCACAACACCAAGATGGCGCCGTCAGCAACGACCACAGCCCGCGAGATGCCGCCAAAGAACGGCCCCGGCCACGGCTCTGTCCTCAACGCGGCCATCGACGACAGCTCCCCGTCCCAATCCTCGTCAGCGGCCCCAAGACGCCTCCACCACATCCCCTGGCCCGCGACCAAGGCGGCCCAGCGCCAGTGGCAGCTCGAGCAGATGGCCGGCGCGTTCCGCATCTTTGCCAAGCTGGGCTTCGCCGACGGCGGCAGCGGGCACATCAGCCTGCGCGACCCGGTCCGGCCAGACACGTTCTGGATCAACCCGTACGGGGTCCATTTCGCGCTGCTGCGCGTGTCCGACATGGTCCACGTCGACGAGGACGGGCGGCGCATCGGCGGCAACGACGCCCTCGTCAACACGGCCGGCTTCATCATCCACGCGGCCATCCACAAGCAGCGGCCCGACATCAACGCCGCGTGCCACATGCACTCGCCCTACGGCCGGGCGTGGAGCACCTTTGGCAAGCCCATCGACATGCTCAACCAGGACAGCTGCATGTTCTACGAGGACCTGGCCGTGTACGCCAATTTCGGGGGCGTCGTGCTGGCCAAGGAGGAAGGAGGGCGGCTCGCGGCGGCGCTGGGCCCAAGCAGCAAGAACATGATCCTCCAGAACCACGGCCTGCTGACGTGCGGCGGCACCGTCGCCGAGGCCGCGGCCTTCTTCATCGCGCTCGAGCGGTGCTGCCAGACGCAGCTCCTCGTCGAGGCGGCCGTGGCCAACGGGAACCTGGAAAAGACGTTTGTGGACGCCGAGGAGGCGAGGTACACCAAGGACGGGACGGGCACGCCTGAGGTCATGTACATGCAGTTCAAGCCCGAGTATGATTTGATTGTCAAAGAGACCGGGGGTGATTTCAAGGAGTAATTTCTACAGTGTAGGAAATGGAATCTGTTGGTCATTTCTTGGGATTCCTGGGAATACTCGACAGCCCGCACAATCAAATCCATGGCCCATACTGAGTCAGCCTGACCATTCTACAGGAAGCCTTCTTGCAAGCCCCGAGTAGAACCACAGGCCCATGGTATACACATCGTAGACGGGCACTCCCACGGCTCGCTGGATAGCCTCGGCAAAGGGCGGCATCTGCGTGCATTCCAGCACAAGCGCACCGACTCTTTCAGCGCCCATCTCCGCCCTCAGTGCCATCGCTTCCGCGACAAGCTCTGCCTGTAGCTTGCCGTGGCTATACTGTTCGCCACGAGCAACAACCCCGCGCAGGTGCCCGTCATCAGGACAGCCACGTATCCGCACTCGCGACGGGTCGATCCCGACTGCCCGGAGATGCGACTCGGTCAGCCTGCTGCCGTCGTATGTCAGGATCCCGACGAGCTTGTCTGGAGGGAGCAGGGCGGCTATGCTGGGTATCTGGACGAGAGCGGAGGTGCAAATCGGTATGGGCACACGTGCTGCCAGCCTGGACTCGGGAGAACAGCCGCCAGTTAGCTGGCCCAGTTGCTTATGAAAGTACAATGCACATCACAAGAGTTGTCAACGATAGCAATAAACCAAAGACCAAACGACTTGCCTCGGCTGCGCATTCGCAAGGAAGCCACAGCTAGTGATAACGCCCACGGCGCCTCTTTCTTTCAACCGGCATGCAGCCGCAACAACACGGTCTATGAACTCTTCATCGTACGGCGACGACGAGACGATGGTGGACTCTCCAGAACCCGGTACGAGCTCCTTGATCAGAGAAAACGGCCACGTGCGCTCATTGAAGGGGTCGCCAGGAGGTCTGTGGATGTCCACCTCGACGGCCAGGAACCCGAGGGGCGGTAATTTGGGCGGTGCTGGCGTGCTCATCGTGGTCAAATGGTGTCGGTCGTAGACCAGACGCGTGACTTGCTGGCTACCTTGACGCCTGACACGAGCAATGTTATGCCTGGCGAATTACATAACACGTCGATGGACTTTGACTTCCGTCATTGCCATGATCCGATGGATGATGGGTCGAGACTATCGAGTCACCCGGAGCCACGCTGCCGACGGGCATTGTCCATATCGACCAATCACGGGGGAAGCCGGGCGTGGCGTTGGGGAGGTCCTCGCCGGGCTCCACCGACCCCGGCCTTCTCCAAGGCGGCGGGTGCCGGTCTCGGCAGACCCTGGCTGAGGAGGCATGCCGATCGCTGTTGGGCTGAGGGGAAATTCCCGATGCCAAAAGGCGACAATTCAGAAAATTGGCTGGTGGTGGCGTCGTCTTCCAGGGCGAACCTAAGCAAGCTACTCTTTCCCTCGTACCTTGGGGGAATTCACTTCCAGTCGACATTGCAGCTGTAGACAGCATCATTTTTGTTCCTGTACCGTAATCTTTGCCCTCACTCCATACGCCATGCCGGCCACCTCCAAGCCGCACGTCGTGTGCCTCGGCGAGCCCAGGTTCGTGGGCGCCGACTACCTCGCCGACTTCACTCAGGACTTTGACTTTTCCGTCCTCGACGCGACCACCCACGACGAGACCAAGGCCAGACTGCCGGAGCTCATCGCCAAGAAGGGCCCCGTGGACGCCTTTGTCATCCGCATGGGCACCCCGCCCTACGAGCCCTTCTCAGAAGAACTGCTCGCACCTCTACTGCCGTCCTGCAAGATCATCACCTCCGCGTCAGCCGGGTTCAACGAATTCCCCGTAGAGTGGCTCGGCGGCAAGGGCATCGTCTTCACCAACACGGTCGACGCGGTGGCCGAGGCGACCGCCGACATGGCCATGTTCCTCACCATTGCGACCCTGAGGAACACCTCGGCCGCGGAGCGCAGCGTCCGCGCGGGCACGTGGAAGGCCGCGCCGGGGCTCGTGCCCGCGCGTGACCCGTCCGGTCTGACGCTGGGCATTGTCGGCATGGGCGCGATCGGCAAGGTGAGCAGTTGCAGCAACAGAGTTCAGCTCTCCTTTTTGGGAGGAGACTTTGGGATCATTTGCTAACCGAAATTATCAATGCCAGTACCTCGCCAAGAAAGCGCTCGCCTTCAACATGAAAATCAAGTACTACAACCGGCGCCAGCTCTCCCCCGATCTCGAGTCGAGATACAGCGCCACATACTGTGCCTCGCTCCACGAACTCCTCTCCTCGTCCGACGTCGTCTCCATCAACTGCCCCCTCAATGCCGAGACGACGGGCATGATCAGCACGGCCGAGTTCGCCGCCATGAAGGACGGCGTCTTCTTCGTCAACACGGCGCGCGGGGCCGTCGTCGACGAGGCCGCGCTCCAGCACGCGCTCGACTCTGGAAAAGTGTGCCGCGCGGGGCTGGACGTGCTGTGCGACGAGCCGAATGTGGACAAGTGGTTCCTGGACGAGGCGCAGCGGGACAAGGTCGTCCTGCAGCCGCACCTGGGCGGACTGACGGACATGGCGTTCCAGAGGGCCGAGAGGGAGTGCTTTGAGAACATCAAGGCGTTTTTTGCGAAGGGGGAGGCGAACAGCCCGGTGAATCTGCAGTATTTCAAGAAATAGAACTCTTCAAATAGCGAAGGAATCAAAACAAGCGTTTGGGTAATTGTTATTATGATCAAGACAATTTTCAAGGGTGTCGGTTGTGCTCTAGTGTTCTACCTAGTAAGCACCCGTCCTTACAAACGGAGTATAATGGCGAGAAGCGCTCTGATCAGGATACCCTCATTATGCTCGTTTGCCCATTGTCACAACTGCCACGCACGTACACGTCACTTGAAAAGATGCTCAAGGGTTCTGGCATTCTGCAATCAACGGTGTATCGCTTCTACGGGCTCACTCAAAAACTAAAACAACTGCACGCAACGGCTACTTCCACAACTGAACTTCACCCTCACCACAGGCAGACACTCACGGACTGAAATCCGCTCTGACAAACGGCCACAAAAAGTCCAGCGCCCGCTTCTCCTCCATCAGACAGAGCGTGTCTCGCTGGTAGCACTACCGCGAGTGTCCCCAGCCTTGGTGGTGATCCCATCCTCCCCAGCCTCGACATCTGCATCCTTGCTCGACGCCGCCTCCGAGTCCAGCACGACCGGTGCCGCCGCTGCCCCCGCGACCCGCCTCTCCTTCTGGAACCGGCGCGACTTGCTGTGGATCTCCCACCAGGGGCCCTCGAACAGCGCGTTGGTCGACTCGAGGCTGAGCCCCGTGGTCTCGGGCACCGCGAGGAAGATGTAGACGACGGCGACGAAGCACCAGCCCGCAAAGAAGATGAAGGCGCCCCAGTTGTCCATGCTGGTCAGCATCGAGGGGGTGCCCTTGTTGACGCCGAAGTAGAAGAGCCAGTGGAAGCACTGGGAGATGGCGCTGCCAAAGGAGCGCAGGTGGTTGGGCCACAGCTCGCCCGTGAAGACGTAGGGGAGCACGAGCAGGCCCACGGCGTAGCCGAAGCCGTGGATGAAAATGGCGGCCACGGCGGCGCTCGAGGCCGCGGGCGTGACGGTCGCGTACGTGTGCTGCCGGATGTACACGCCAATGTACACGTCCGAGAGCATCTGGGTGATGATGCCGATGAAGAGGGACTTGCGGCGGCCGAGCATGTCGATGAAGAAGAAGGACGCGATGAGCGTGTAGAAGAACTTGGCGAGCGAGTACATGGACGAGAGGAAGAGCGACTGCGTCGTGCCGCCGCCGATGCCCATCAGGCTGAGGATCGGGACGAGGTAGCTCGTTACCGAGTTGGCGCCGCTGAGCTGGGCTAGGGCGTACGAGATAAAGGCCTGCTGGACGCGGCGCAGGTTCGCGGGTACGAGGAACGTCTCGCGGACCACCGTCTTGAACGGGAGGCCGCCCTTGCCGGCACCGCCGCTGTGCTTGATGTCCTCCTCGACGTCGATGATCTCGCCGGCCACGCGCGGGTGGTCCGCCGGCAGGCCGCGGAGGGCGACCAGAGAGCGGACGGCCGCCTCGTTGTCGCCTGTGAGGAACAGCCAGCGCGGGGACTCGTGCATGCAGAAGAAGCTCAGGCCGATCGCGACGGCCATGACCAGCATCGGCACAAAGAAGATGATCTGGTACTGGAGGGGCCCGGCGGGGATGTGGAGGAACACGCCGTACACGGTCATGGTGCTGAGGAAGAGGCTGAGCAGCATGACCACGCTAAACCACACCGCGATGAGCCCACGGATCTCGGTCGGGGCGACCTCGACGAGCGTCATGGGTCCGATGACCGTCAGGGGTCCGATGCCCAGGCCAGAGACGATGCGAGCAGTGTAGAGGGCGCCTGTGTTGCCAGACGAGACGGTGGCGATGAGCTGGCCGATGATGTAGATGGCCATGTACAACCGCATTGACCAAAGACGGCCGAGCCGGTCATTGAGGAAGAAGGACAGGCCGGCACCCACGCCGGCGCCAATGTAGACAAACGACACAAAGTTGGAGATCTCGGTCGGGTTCGTGGCAGACGTGATGCCAAAAGCCTGGCTGAAGCCTGGCAACGAGGGAACCAGCGAGGACGAGCCCTGGTCCCATGCTGTGAAGGGGGGAGTAACAACAGACGTCAGCAATACGCTCTGATCTATTGTGATAGCCGCTTTGGATAAACCTACTGATCGCAAAGCCGGACCAGGCATAGCCTGCTGCGGTACAGAGCAGCGACTTGTTCAAGATGAGCTCGCGCGGAGAGTTCCTGATGTTGGCAACGTACTTGCCAAGCGTCGACTCCTGAAGGAAACCCATGTTGTCATCTACGCAACTGGCCGTGAAACACTATAGCGAAGTGATGCGTCTAGGCTCAGGCTCTGTGAAGCTCCCTCACGAATGTAAGAGGAATGCACTTCTGGGTCACAAGTCGAGATGAAGGTTGTGGGCCACTGCCGACTTATGAGCTTGCAATCAGCGCAGATGCACAAGTTACCAGGGCTTTGGGCACGTCTGCTGCGATACCCCAGACTTTGTTGAGTTCCACTACTGTGCTTGGAGAAAGAGATATGCTATCGTCTCCAGGGAGAGTCGTTCCGCTGGGAACAAGCATTGACCCAGGATGTCGCCATGTAACCTAGGCCACAGAAGGCATGGTGCCACGCGGTCAGTGACACTGAACGCGCCTGATAGGAGGTTACCGACCGCCACGAGGCCTGTGGAGCAGGAAGAAGCCGGTGGTGGCCAACTGGCGAGTCATGGTCCCGGGCCCACCAATGGATGGGTAAAGTGGTATCGTCCTCCGGAGTCGCAGTGCGATCCCAGACGGAAGGCTCCGTCATTGGCCAATCCTCCTCAACCCCAATTCCGCTATCTTGGCCCGCTGTCAAGGCACAAGGGCCTCCAGAAAGTGGTCAGCCTGCATGGTAGTGGACCCCATCCCATTTGGAGATCCCCGGAAAGTGTGTTCAGTTCGTGAGAGGCTCAACTGGCCGGTGCATGAGAACATTGCGTTGAGTTTTCAAACCCACGGTGATTGTGAATGCAGTCATTCGCTTCTTGACACAGACAATTTTCGCCGTTCGTCAGCAACAACAAAACTACCACAATGGCGGTCTCACCACGCAAGCAGAACAAGATTGTCATTGTCGGGGCAGGTGAGCACGCGGCAGCCTTTCCGTATTCTCTCAATCTCTTGTTCTACAAAGACTGTCACCACTGACACAACATCCGTCCAGGCATCTTCGGCCTCTCCACGGCCCTCCACCTCGCCAAGCGCGGATACACCGACGTCACCGTCCTCGACCGCCAGCCCTACCACAAGACCCTCTACTCGTACTTTGCCGGGTGCGACGGGGCGTCCGCCGACATCAACAAGATCATCCGCTCCGCGTACGGCAGCCAGACCGACTACCAGGAGCTCACCTTCCGCGCGATCGAGCAGTGGAAGGTATGGAACGAGGAGCTCGCGTCCGGGCAATGCGTCCCGCCAGGGATGACGAGGGACGACAGGGTGTTTTACAACACGGGATCGCTCTCCTTCAACGACACGCCGGAGCTGCCGGCCTGGGAAGTCGAGACCCTGACGGCCATGGACGCGCATGGACACGGACACACGCAGTTCGCCACGAGCGATCCGGCACGGGTGGCGCAGGCGGAGCGCGCGGGGCTCAACATTGATCCGTTCAAGCTGAGGGAGAGAGGAAGGGCGAGTCGGGCTGTCGGCATCCTCGACTCGAGCGGCGGCACGGCTGCGGCAGATAAAGCCTGCCGCTTCGCACTGCACAAGGCGGGGAGTCTCGGCGTCAAGTTCATCCTCGACCCCGTAGCGGGGTATTTTGAGTCATTATGCTCCGAGGGCGACAAGACAGATACCACTTCTCCTAGTGCGACGGGGAGGATAGCAGACACGGTCGTCACGGGTGTCCGCACGCGCGACGGCAAAACACACCCGGCCGCGCTCGTGATAATGGCTTGTGGCGGCTGGACGCCCACTCTTGTCCCCTCACTTGACGGCCTGGCAGAGGCCACAGGAGGATCCGTTGTGCTCATCAAGATCCCCCGAGACCGGCAGGATCTCTGGGCCCGGTTCGCGCCCGAGCGGTTCCCGTCGTGGATGTACAAGATGCGCGATGGCGCCGAGGGCGGTCTATACGGGTTTCCCCGTGACGATGAGGGATACGTCAAGATTGGGTATCGCGGAACAAAGTACACGAATCCTATCGCGAGTCAGGGCAATGGAGATGAGCGAGACGAAGAGAGGAGCACACCGGTCACACGATGGTCTTCGCCGTCGCTATCGCCGTCGACATCAGCCGACGACCAGAGCAGCCGGCTCACCCAGATCCCCGCACAAGCCATGCGCACGATGCAGCGCTTTGTGCACGACTTCCTCCCCGAGCTGGAGCCGTTCGGCATCGCGATGACACGGATGTGCTGGTACACCGACAGCTTCGACAACCACTTTGTCGTGGACCGCGTGCCGGCCACTAGGGGTCTGATGGTTGCGACTGCGGGGAGCGGGCACGCGTTCAAGTACCTGCCGATTCTTGGGGACTGGGTTGTCGACGTGGTGGAGGGAAAGAAGCAGAGAAGTGTTACTGAGTCGTGGAAGTGGCGCCGGCTTGGAGAGGGTGCCACCCCATACAACGTGTTGATGGAGGGTAGTGCTGGGCCGAGGGCGTTGAAGAATGTAGACCTCTATCCAGACGGGGAGGATCGGGCATTGCATGCCAGAGCAAAGCTGTGAGCATGTAAAGAAATGGATCAGGCAGCAGTGACTGTCCTATTTTATCGACAGTGTACCTGATAAAGCCAGCAAGCACCATCACGTTCGATACAGGTTAAAGCGAGAAAGTACTGTTCGCCGCGCCATTCCTGGTTAGTACCTGCCGCCATTTTAGGTGGCATGGACAGAGAGCCAACTGTGCATTGAGGTAGACAGTCCTTTGTGAAGGCTACGTCATTGTGCTCAAAATGGCTTGATCTACGCGTTCTCGTCCGCCCACGAACACTCCACATGGCTATAATCTAAGCTTCATTCAGTCCTTCACAAAAGAGTAACTTGAGAAAAGCTTTCAAGTACAGAAGCCGACTTCAAATCCCTCGCAGCATGAAAAACTCCGGAAACAGTTAAGAGGAAGTTAGCTTTTAAACGCCAGATTACGCAGACAGTACGAAGATCAATATTGCAGCAATACTTCGAAAGTGGAAGAGGTCAGTACAGGTTATTCCTCCTGAAGGTTGCACTCTATATTAACTTGATGCTAGTTGTTGCAAATACTCTTCTTCAGGCTACTGGAAAAACGCCATCGGCGTAGCCGACAAGGCTGTAGTTATGGACTTTCTCTACCGTCTTTGCGAAACCTATTGTACTAGGGCAAAGAGGGATGTGCCGATCAGTGAGGGAACAACCCGACCGCATAAACATCTCGGTACATGTATCCGGCGTGCCGGTGTTGCCGATCCCGATTGTGGTGGTCAACGTCACGATTGCGGTGGGTGCCCGTAATAAAAACAGTTTTCTAGGGGAGGGGGAGCCAACTTCAACAACAGGGGGCTTGGGGATCCGCTTGCATGAGGCATGAACTGATTGTATCGGTGAGGACAGTTTTTAGATGTTGCATCCTGGATTCTGGTATTTCTGGAAAATGTAGGGAGAGCGGGTGTTTCGTCGGTTTTCGCGATGCAGTTCTCTGGGGCTTTGTGCATCCCTTGCTTTTAGCTTGTAGCTTGAGAAGGCATACTTAGCTGTTCTTTCCATGAGGGGTTGACTGATCATACTAATTTGATTTGAACGGTATATCTCTGTGACAATCTAACTAACATGGGGTCAAGGAGAGAAGAACAGAGGACCATGTGGCCAGGCCAAATACAAGGGCGGGCCATGCTGACGCAACCATCAAGTAAGCACACGATGAGGGACAGCACGATAACCATTGCCAAGGAGAGTGATCATGCATACATGATAGCCATTCATTGATCCATGCATGATCGATCAGAAGGACTATCATGAGTAGTCACAATGGATATCGTGACCTAACTGAAGGACAAAGGATATAAGGATTAAAGGCTTCCATAGTTATCATGGTATGGCCTTTGTACTTCAGCGATCAATCTAAATATCATTTCTATTACAGCCGATCTAGTTAGTCAATCGTGCAGAGTGATATAGAGACACAATACAACTCAACCCGAGAGTTTACGATACACCACAACGTCAGTATTGTTCGAGTGTCTATTCATCCGATAAGACAAGAGCCAATTGTAAGATGTACCATAACACGGCAAGTTCTGGTGGGTAGGGCGGGGGGGGGGGGGGGGGCGCAACGGACTGGTGCACGGACATTATCCACGATATGTCATAAGCTGGCTCTAAAACGTCCATCATTGGCACAGTAGGATGTTGAATTCACTCAACAACATACTTAAATCGGAATACCATTATTTGACTACTATGTCCCTGCACTTTGCGTATAGAGCTTCAGGTTCCTGCCACAGAAAACCGTGCCTACGGAGAGGCTGGGTGAAAAACTGTGAGGAAGCTTGCCGCTTGTTAGTCGCTTGTCCGAAATGATTTGGCTTGTTGTATGACCTTTCTCTTACAGTCTCAGCACTTTCTAAGCAGCGCAAGTGACTCCAAGAGACTTGACTCCTTCCCCAACATCGTAACAGTCGTCGAGATTCGTAATTCTTCCCACTTCGGTGTTGCAATTGTCCCACTTGTACTTGACCACTGCAGGGGGTTCTATACTCAGTGGACATTCTTGAAGCTGGGCTCCGGGTCTGGAGCGGAAGATTGTGACTTACGGCGGCAGACGCCCTGCCTGTTCTGGATGCTCACTCCAATGTAGGCGGAATCAAGATTGATGCATGACCCTCTGTTGTAGCTCCTCGTGCCTCCGTATGACTTTTTGCATTGGTTGGAGTTCCAGAATTTGATCCCGATATCTGCAGCCATGACCTGGAAGTCTCCCTCGAGCTCAACGGGAATCTCAGCAGGGATCGCGCCACCAAGAACTGGAGCAGAGAGAAGAGTGAAGGCCGCAAGAACCGTGGTGGTGAGGTGGTTGAAGAGCATCTTGATAATGGTGGAGAGAAGGCTGTACAAGCTATTGATGTGTTGTGAGGATGAGGAAAAAGAATCCTGAGTACGAGGAATAGAGCTTCATATTTATACTTGATAGACTGACAAATGTCGGCTCTGGCCTTGGCGAGGAAACTGCGTCAAAGGCGCCATGGTCCGTCACGCACGTAACCCCAGCTCCATCTCACTCACTGTATCTCTTCTCTCAATGCTAATACATTGGGAATTTTATGCTTGCACGAAACGGGTTGCACTTCACGAAGCGCTATGTTTAGAGCAGAATGCGCCACTTTTGAATAGATGTATATCACATTTGCGGTGCATTCTGATCATAACTGGATCCAGTGATGTATTTATGTGGCGCAACCATCACTGGTGCAAGAGTATTCACCGCTCAAATGCCGCCAACCAATCCCAGCTGGATACCGTAGCCTAAGTCGTCACTGTCATAGCCCCCAATAGGCTTACCTCCAACCCTTGTTAGAACCGAGGTTTTCTGCAGATGTGGATCATATAGCGGCACATCATCCAGGATATATACGAACTATGCATGCTGGCAGCAAAGCTACTTGCCTGCGAATCCAATCAGAACTCGAGCTTGCTATAAACACGTAGCTGGACCACGACGCCACGGTTATTAGGGCTCCTTATGACGGTTCGAGCTTGCCAAGGTAGCAAGGGTGAACATTTCGCACATGGTTGCTTAGGCTAGGACTATGCGCCTTACAAGCAGCTTGGCAGGCAGCTTAAGCGGCTGCCTGCTGCCAAGCCGCATGAAGCGGGAGTGCCTAGGTCTTCATGTAACATTGCTTGTTTATCCTAGTGCCTTAGCCGCGGCTGACAACATCCTATTGTAAATGATGATGTGATAGGTTGCGGAGAGTGATTGAAATTTTTCGCGGCGGGGACTCGTAGTAGAAAGGAGGTGGCGAAGTGAAAGAACTGTAGGGCCTCAGCTAAAAGTTTCTTGTGTTAGAGAAGAATCTATGACAAGAGTGGTGAAGAGCGGGGTGGACGAAGGTCTATTTTAAGTACCAACTCGTGGCGCCGAATGAGGTATAGCGCGGAAGTGGAAACCACGCTGAGCCCGTCACAAAAGCCGCCAAATCCTGCGGGGACGACAGCACGTTCTCGATTACATGATAAAATGTGATTAGTCTCCTGTTATTGCAGTCTATGCGGCATATTTACAGTAACAGAGAGGAGCGCCATTCATTCCATTGTGAATTACATGTTCGGTCCATGTGTTCCGTCGTCATCAGCAGGAACAAAGTCCCGTATGCCCTGCAAAAGTCCCTGGACGAGCCACTCGGACTCGGGCGGCACATCCATCACCATCCCGTCAACATCCAGAAGGCCGAACCCAAACAGGTCATCTCCAAATCCACTCGCGTGCGGCGGTCCTGAACCAGAATCTGCACTCCCGCCACTCCCCAATGGCTCGATCCCATCATACGCAAAACCGCCTGCTCCCACCAAGAACGGAGCACCGGCAGTAGGCTCACCTGCCACATGCCCACACGAGTTCTCTATACTCCTTTCTCTTAATCCTCCTGCTCTTCTTGACAGTGGCGGGCCACTACCGCCTCCCACACGCTCACCACACAACATACTGATCGTCCGCTGCGACAGCGTCTCAAACAGATCCCGGTAGGCAGTAGCCTGGCTCCACCGCTCCGCAATGATGACGAGCACCGTGTTGCACGCCATGCTCGTGTTCATCACATCCCGCAAAAGCGCGCCACCACCACCACCACCACCTCCTCTTCCTCCTCCTCCGCCTCTCATCCGTGTCGCGGCAGCGGCAGCCTGCGACCGCCAGATGCAGTACAGGAACGTCAGCCCCGCGAGGAACAAGATGTGCAGCGAGCCCCACGTGAACTGGATGCTCGGGTTCTGGTACAGCCGGCGGTAGAGCAGGCAGACCTCCCTCGCGCGGCGGCAGCACTCGGCGACGGCCTGGTCCACTGCTGCTTCTTCCTCTTGCTCTTCGTCCCCTACGTCCTCATGGCCCTCGGCATCGGCACTGGCGGTAGCGGCGGTGGCGGTGGCGGCGGATGGCGATGACACGTTGGCGCTGCGGCTAGCCAGCAGTGGCCGGTTCAGGATGAGGATGGTGTGGTCGTATGCGAGCTGGAACCACTCGCGCGAGGCGAACACGGAGAGCGGCGGGTGCTTCTGCTGCTGCTGCTGCTCCGGGTCCTGGTCAGAGAAGTCCATAAAGTACGGGGTTGAGGCGTGCCACTGGTCAATCTCCTCGCGTAGCGATCTGATGGCTTCCCTTTGCGATGATGACGATGACGACAAAGATCCAGCTTGTGATCTCGGGCTATAGTGGTGGTATACCGTGTCGATGATCTTGGACCACAGGCGCCGCAGCTTGATGGCGTGGATGAAGCCCGTCACCGTGCGCACTGCCGTCGTCGTCGTGGCCCCTCGTATCTGGTCTCGGACGAGGCTACTACTGTTATTGCCGCCGCCGCCGTCACCGACGATGATGATCTTGTCATCGTCCACGTCCAGGGGCAGCTCCGCGGCAATGGCCGAGTCGGAGATCCCGACAGGCCTGCCGAGGATGAACGCCGCGACGCGGTCCAGGTCGTAGGCGACCCAGAAGCACCGCTTGGATATCTCGGCCGTTAGGGGGTTGGTGTGCCGACGCAGCGCGGTGCTGCGGTGGTATCCCAGCTCCACGCACTGGCGAATCGCCATTCCTGATAGCTTCCTGAGTACAGAAAAGTGTTTCAGTATTCGCGGCTTTCTATTATGGATCAGGTGCCCTAAGACACAGTCGGAAGCTCTTACCAGAGACTGACACCCACGGGCGAGCGAATCGAATACAGCGCGCAGCAGAGGATGCTCTGTATCGACTCGAGGCTGTCCATGTCCAATACAGGAGCCTGGTGGTCCATGGCCCGGAGATAATACGCCTCGGCGGCATCGAACTGGCCAGGCCCCATCGCCAATGATCCAATTGCATAAATCTGTCGAGGTCGTCAGTACTTCCGTGACGCCTCCCAGGGTCAAACACCATATCATGATCCTTCAAGCCAATCTGACGCACCATGAACACAAAGAACAGCTCCAGATCACCACAAGAACCCAGCTCTCCCGTCTGGCTCGCCGCGATGCACTTCTCCTCCCACGCCTGGAACGTCGGCCGATGCAGGAACGGATACTGGGGGTGTATGTTTGTAAAGTACGCCCGCGACAACGACCTGGCGAGCGACCGGGACGGGAACCGCAGCAGCAGCGGCGTCGATGTCCCGCTCCCGGGCCCGCCGCCAGCAGCAACGACTGCCGAGATTCCGGCAGCGGGACTGCTGCTGCTGCTGCTGCTGTGGGCAGGTGCGTCATCACTGACCACAGAGGTTCCGCCGCCACCCGCTTGGCGCCGCGATAATCCCATGGTCGTGCTCACGATCCTCGAAAAGGACACCGCGGAGGAGGGCCCGAAGTAGTGCGGCTCCCTGCCCGCGGCGCTGAGGCATAGCAGGGCGACCTCGTTGGAGAGCTCGTCGAGCTGGTCGTCGTCTGTGGCCGCGTCTCCTCCGTCGACAGACCCAAGACGTGCTGGCGGTTGCTGTGCTTGCGACTGCGACTGCTGAAGCTGTTGATTCTGCTGCTGCCGTTGCTGTTGCTGTTGTTGCTGCTGTTGTTGTCGCTGCTGAGCCGGGTGCAGAAACTCCTGGGCGATGCCGGCGGCGGCGCCTCCGTCGTCGAGGAGGTGATCTGTCGCGACGTCCGGCCGGGCCTGCTGGAGGAGAGACTCGAGGTACGCGACCCGCATCTCGAGGGACTGCATATAGTTCCTCGGCCGGTGGAGGCCGGTCGCCGGGTCCTCGACGAGGCATTCTGTAATTACATGAACCAAATCCCCGTCCAGTCAGCCCGTGGCCATCCAAGCAAATAAACCCGAGGCAGGACCAAGACAGACTCACCACGCGAGTTGCGGACGCAGTTCTGGCACTTTGGACTCTGCCCATCGCACTGTTTGATCCCGGATGATTTCCCCAGTGTCAGTCGTGGATACTTGGCGCTCAAATGATGAGATGGCAGCCACACGGCCTGCGGAAACTGGAGAATTTGGGTTGTGCTGTGCACAGTGGACCGACCTTGAGCTTCTTGTGCTTGCAGCCGATGCAGGCCAGCATTGTCCTCTCCCCGAGCCGCGCGCGTTTCGCCGATGGGGACTCCATTGGGACCGGCGTGAGTGGTGCCGTGCGTGCGTGCCCGAGTGGTGATTATGTCTCAGTGTCCACACCCATGGACACGATACGGGAAGTGCTCCGGCCACAAGGGGGAAGCGTGTGTGGAGAATAGTGCTCCGACGGCGTGGAGAGACGGGCAGTTGTCAGTACTAGTGGGTCTCCTTTCCGGCTCGGGGTGTCGTGTCGTGGCGGTAATCGCCGATATCGCATCTTGCGAGTTCAAGCGCTGGTTATCTCCGGAGCTTTTTAGACATCACTTTGTATGCGATCACGCTATGTGATGTGCCAATGCACGGCAATTTGAAATTGACTGGAATAGCATATGATGAAACCTGGTTCAATCCCTGGCAGAAAGCCCGAGGTCGTAAAGGAAGACAGTGACAGTGGTGGCGGTTCAGAAACATCCGCTTCGAAAACTCGCAAAGCATTCTGCTCATCTTGCACCACAAGGCCGTGCCTCTTGTCTCTCTGGCTGCGAGGAATCATACAATCACATTGAACAAGATCAGGCAGGCTGTGCGCATTCCAACAGTCGCTGCTCCTCGAGAAGCTCCTCGAACCCGGCCAGCCAGCCCTTGAGCTCTGCCCAGTCCCTGGCGTTCCTTCGATCTGCTGCCCTCTCGTCGCTCACGGCACAATCATACCCTATCTTCCTCAGCACCAGCGTTGCACAGCTCGGGCACGCACGCGCAGTCACATACGACCACGCACTCCGCCCGCCCTTGCACTTTACCGTGGCATCGCCCCCAGCATCGAGCAGGAACCGGAGGAGGTCGTGGTACTCGTCGCGGCCGCCGCAGTCCCCCTGCCGCCGAGGGCCATGGCGCCCAAAGTGAAGATGGCAGAGCAGTGCCGTGTAGCCCTCGACGACGGTCCTGCGCTCGAGGTCGGCGCCGCCGTTCTCGATGAGGATGCGCGCGGTCGCGGAGCGGCTTCCCACCAGCCCACCGCTGCAGTGGCCCGTGATTGCATGGTGGAGGGGCCAGAGCCCCCTCCTGGACGAGTATCCGTTGACGAGGTTGTCGAGACGCGCATCACCTCCCAGCTGGTCTTCGCCCTGGTGGCGGCACCTCTCCAAGTCCAGGAGAATCCTGGTGACTTCCGGGTGACTCCCGAGAACGGCATGCATCAACAAGCTCCAGGTGGGGCGATCACGTTCCTTGGGATCGGTGCGTGGGCCGAGCATGGAGGAGTCGGTGGACTGCTCGAGCAGCAGGCGACGTATCATTTCGACATCGCCCATGGTCACATATTTGTGCAGCGGTCTTGACTTCATGGACCACGGGATATCACGCAGGGGATCCGTCAAGTCCAGGTAAGCGAGGCCGCGGGCAAGCAGGAAGCACAGCTTCGCGAGCGCTGCGCCGTCGCCGGGGGAGGAGTCGACCTGCTCGGCAAGCCGAGTGGTTAGACAATTGTCCCGACTCTGCCAGGCGCTCAGCCCTGCGCCGTGGCTGTCGAGGAGGTCAAGCATGGTCTCAAAGGCCGCCTGCGAGGGGATGCCTGTGATCATGGTGAGGAACTCGTCCACCTCGTTCTTGTGCGGTTGCAGGGCACCGGGGTCGGCTCCGTGCTCCAGCAGCAGTCTGGCGACGTCGAAGTGAGCACTCCGGATGGCCAAGTGGAGCGGCGTCTTGTTACCCCAAGCATGGGTCCACGCAAGGCGGTGGTCGTCAAGGCCGTGGCCGTCGGCAGCCACGCCCGCCTCACTGAGCAGCATCTCGACCATCGGGCGATACCCGAGATGGGCCGCGACGTGCAGCAGCGTCAAGACCTTGTCGCACCTGCTGGACGATGAAGGGGGCAGGCGGCCGATGCTGCGTAGCAGGAGGCGGACGGCGGCGGGGTGGTTGAAAATGATGGCACAGCGGAGGGGAGACCAGGTCCAGTTGTTGGCGGCGTAGTGGTCCAGCACGCGCTGGCCGAACTCTGGGACAGACCAGCCAGGCTGCGAAGCGGTGGCAACTGTCGCGCGTGCCTTGTCCCGGGCGCTGCGGAAGGGCTCGTCGGGCCGGAGCTCTGCGGTGGCGCCGGCGCCGGCGGCGAGAGCGTGTTCGATGGTGGCCATGTTGCCGGAGAGGGCGCCGTGGAGCAGAGCCCAGCTCTCGGGCCCGGTTGGTGGCTGGCCGGGGACGCGGTCGTACCACGTCCCGGACGGGCGAAAGGCGACATCGACGCGCAAGATGTCCTCGCGGTAGAGCACAGGCGTCACGATGGCGTGGAGTGAGCTGTGGGCGCGGCAGAGGGTGCTCATGTCCTGGAGGCTGTCGAGCTGGCGGGCGACGAGGCCCACGAGCTCAGCAGGCAGAGCGAGCAGGGGCTGCGTTGTTGTCGTCGTCGCCATGGCGGATGGATGGACAGCGAGGCCATCACCAACCAGATGTGGCCGCCGGGTGCTGGAGGGAGATCATGTTGGGCGTGATGACACGAGGTCAGCTCCTCGACATCAGCAGCAGCCGCCGGCAGCCATGATTGGCTGGGCAGGCTGGCTGATCGAAGTGAGCAGGACGGAAAGCAGGATGGGAACCTTAGTTAATAGTACTTGACCAAAAGCAGGCAGACATGCACATCAGACAGGCAGGCACGACCGGGGGCTGGCCCAAGTGGAGCAGCCAATCGGCGCAGCCTCCGAAGATGCCCCACCCAGCCCCCGGCGCGGTTGCCCCGCGAACACAAACGGCCCTGGTCGCTTATCTAAGCACACTGTTTTGTCCAGAGACCTGCATGCACACACATCGGCGACCACCATCATCCGTGGATTATCATTATCACCACCAGCATCATCAATCTAACGGGCAATAACCCAAACAACAGTGTCGCTAAACAGCAACCAATGCACATGTGAGAGAGCAGCGACCCCGGTGGCAATGGACACGGCCGCCGTGCACCACTGGCTCTCGTCCATCCCAACACCCACAAAGACCCGACACCAACACCCACAGCAACATCCTCCGCCCTCCAAGAAACGGGCCCGCGGTCTCGTCTCGCCGCCAATGTCGACAGATCGCGACAGCTCCCCCCCCAAGCGGCGCCGCCAGGCCGACAACAGCGTCGACAACCGCGACGACCCGTTCTACGACGACCAAGCAGGCGCATTCCAAGAAGAGGCCACTCCACGCCCGGCCAGGTCCTTGCGCCTCTCGGCCAACGACGCACCCTCGATTGCCAGCTCGGCCTCGTCCGCCTCGCACACAACCTCGCGCTCCAGCTCGCCGCGGAAGCAGCTCGCCGGCCTGCGCACCCTCCCGGCAGCCCAGGGCGGCGCAGAGGTGTGCACCCTCGACATTGAAGACGACCGCATGCCCGCAGACCTCGCCGACCTCGTCCTCGCGCTCCAGTCCCGATCGCCGCTGCTCTGTGACTCGATGCGCGACCAGGTCCAAGCCCACTACAGAGACACGAGAGCTGCCCGTCAGTGGCGCGATCCGTCCCTCTTTGCGCCAGAGCGCAGGTCGCTGGGCCACACACCACAACCCGCTTTCGCCGACGATATTGTCCGCCAGGCCCGAGAGTGCGACCGGTACATGCTCGACGAGGCGGCCTGGTCCAGCATGGTGTACTACCCCTTGCTGAGAGAGATATTTGCGGCTACAAGGTCGTCCCAAGGCAAGAACGACAACGGGGACGCAACCACGAGTGCACAGCTTCTCGCAGACTTCGCCGTCGTCCCGTGCTCGTCGGCCTCCATCATCCCACGGTACCGCATGCTCGCAACGCCCTTTAAGAAGGTGGACTTTGCGGTAGCGTACCATCCGCGGGAGGAGCACATCAACAGAGAAGCCGCCCCACCGAGTGCTCCACGGCACGACAAGCTCAAGACGCTCATGCAGTCCACGCCTTCTCCAGACCAGAGTCTCAACCACACCAGTTATCCGGGCCTGTGCGACCGGCCGGTGGTCCTGTCGATCGAGGTCAAGCGCACCAACGACAGCGCCGACACGGCCAAGCTGCAGCTGCTCACCTGGCTCAGCGCCCAATGGAACAAGATGGACGAGCTGTGCCCCGATGCCTTGGAATCGTCGTCGTTGTCGTCGTCGTCGTCATCGCCAGCCGAGCCAACGAAGCCGACATATCTGCTTGCACTCCTGATACAAGGGCATGACTGGAGCTTGGTGGCGTCCTCGAGGGAACCCAAGGGAAAGAGAGTGGTGAGTTTGGTTGCATTCCCATGCATCTAAATATTGTGATGTGTAGTAGCTGACCATGGTTGCGTACCGCAGATATTATGGCACAAATTGCCCATAGGAGACACGCAGACGGCAATGGGCGTTTACAAGATTGTCCAGCAAGTCCAGCAGCTTGCATCTATCGCCATGGTCCCGTACTGCAGGTGGTTCCAAGCTCTTGGGGGATGAAGCACCATTCGAGAGAGGAAATGATTGATCGCTTGATCTCTCCATATTTACACTCGATCCCACTTCGCATGTGCTCCACGCCAGTCCCCATCGCCTAGCTTTACCACACACGGTGGACCACGATAAACTCGAGCAAAATAAAGCCCACGTATGCGGCCAACATGGCCCCGCCGGTCCAGCGGCACCACCTTCCGCCGAACCAGACCGTCGCCGTCATCCATAGCGTCGACCCGAGCAGCACGAGCAGTTCCGCGTCCGTGACGCTCCCCGCGTCCAGGGCACCCTTGCTGTCAACCATGATGATGCCCACGCACAGCGACAGCAGGAAGATGTTGCTCCCTACGCAGTTGGCCACGAGGATGCCCGTGTGGCCCGTGGCCCCGCGGCGCATGCTCATCAGCGCGACAAACTTCTCCGGGATCGTGGTCGCGACGGCCAGGACGATGACGCCAAACAGCACGTCCGACAGGCCCAGGGCGTCGGTGATGTTGGTCGCGGCCTGGGAGAGGATGTACCCCGCTAGGGAGATGGCGAGGAAGCCCAGGACGAGGTGGTACGTGTGCTGCAGGAGTTTGTTGTGGTGTCGTGTCTGCCTGGCGGCGTGCGCTGGGGCCGGTGGTAGAAGCGGTGTTTCCTCGTCGTCCGTGTTGTTGTTGTTGTTGTTGTTGTTGTTGTTGTTGTGGGCTGTCCTCTCGGGCTCGCCATGCACGCTGCTGTCGTCAGAGTCCGTGTCAGAGTCAGAGTCCGAGTCGGAATCCTCTGGTGCCGTCAGGACACCGCGCCCTATCGCAACGGCAACCACCGAGACATACACCCCAAAGCCCGCAATCAAGACCGAGCCGGCTACGGTCCAGACCAGAGACTCCCGAAAATGGACAATGCCAGCCGTGAAAGCGGTCAGGACGAGTAACACGAGCGAGTAGATCCGTGAGCTCCTGTCGAAGCGCACAACTTCCCCGTCGTCGTCGTTACCCGGGAGAAAGTGGTCATCACGGCGGTAGAACAACAGGCCCAGCGAAAACGCGCCGAGGATGTTTGATACCGCGGCGCCGACGACGTTGCCGAGCGCCAGGGAGGACCGGTTGCGTGCGAGCGAGGCGACGACTACCGCGAGCTGTTGTCGTGGTTGCAGGGGCACCGCTGAACAGTCAGTCAAGTCAAATAGCAAACAACCCGAAAAGCAGATTTCTCTCTAAGACCAGGCATGTACCATGCAATGACACGTGTGATCGGCTTGCAAGAATGGATATGCAAAATGTTATCTGATGTGACGTAGATGGGGCAGTCTGATATGCACGAGTGAATGAAACAAACCCAAGGAGAAAAGGAAACAAGGACATATCAGGAAACTGAAACTGGAGCTGAACTGACCTCTTCCCACTCGGCGCCCGCCGTCAACAGCCCGATGAGCGTCTCCGACAGGCCCGTGCGGCGCGCGACCGCGGCCGTGTGGTCGATGAACTTGTCCGCGCCGGACTCGAGGAGGAACAGGCTGGCGACAAAGGCCGCAGCGTTGAACGCGATGGCGTTGTTGTGCAGCATGATCTTCTTTGTGTGTGTGTGTGTGTGTGTGTGTGTGTGTGTGTGTGTGTGTGTGTGTGTGCGAGGTCCTTCCCAGCAGGATGGATGATGATGGGTTCTCTTTACGGCCTGAGGACAAGGCCGGGGCTCGTGAATTCCTCGAAGGCTAGGATGACCGCATTAAGCCACGTCCCCGGATTAGAGCGATTGGGCGAATTGGACGCAGATCACGACACTTGGGCTCTGGTGAAGATAGGAGACGCGGTGAGTCGGTCGTGTGGACCGTCCGTTCGTGTTTTTAGGGGGTCCTCGGATTATGTCATCGCTCTCTCTGGTGAGAACTGATTACGACGACAGTGTTACTTTAGCGTCTGGGTCTGGTTTTGCTAGTGTATAGCATAGCATTTAAAGCACTAAAAGGTCGTGTCGTGGTGATAGCAGTGCAGCACTAAAATTGTTTGCTCGCGGACCTTTGACGTGAGGACGCAAATAAGAGTTTTTTCATTGGAGTAAGTGACCATTAGTGTACCATGCTATGCACTTTTGTGGAAAATATGGTGTAGTGTTTTCCAGGCGTCCCAGAACCAAGATGGTATACCTGCACCTGCCCCGACCTGTCCTCAAAGTCTAAGGTTCGAAAAACTGGCATCCGTATACAAGATGGATGCGTCCCATGTAAAGTCGACTCTTTGTGCAATAACTCTGTACTTCCTGCACACTCACTGAGCGCCACCCCCCGCAGCCAGCGGCAGCAGAAACAACACAGCCATCCACAAGCACCACAGCTTCCACACAAGCTCGTCCGTCCCCTGGTCCCGCCTGCTCCCGTTCACCACCGTCAGCCCGGCCATGAATCCGCCCAGCAGGACCGGCGGCATCCAGCAGATCCCCAGCGGCACCACCCAGAAGCGCAGGCACACCACGGACCACGTGACAAGGCCGGCCGCGAGCGCCCAGCGGCTCGGCATCTGCCCGTAGACGAGCGGCATGGTCCTGCGCCCGCGCTCCCGGTCGCCCTCGAGGTCCGGGAAGTCCTGCGCGTGGATGGTCGTGGCGACGATGAGCGCGATGAGCAGCGTCCATCTCTGCAGCAGCAGCGTGCCGGTGCCTAGTGCTCGACCGTCAACACCGCCGGGAGCACTACTACTACTAGTGGTATGAGGGCCGCCGTCGTCCAAGAGCCCGCTCGTGTCGCCCATCGTCATCGTGCTGGGCACGAGCGCGCCGAGAGCACCCCACCCGAAACATGCGAGCCCGGCGGCGTTAAGCAGGTTGCGCTGCAAAGGGCCCGCCGAGCTGCCGTCCAGGTCGTTGTACACCCACATCAGGCAGATCAGCACGCCCGCGGGGGCGACGTTACCCAGGACGACGCTCAGCACGAGGCCCGCCGGCACGCCGAAGCGAAGGAGGCGCTGAGATTGGGAAGGGGTGATCCGGCCGGCTGGGAGGGGCCGCCAGGGCTTGTTGAGCGAGTCTTCGAGGATCGAGGACGGGAGGCGCTGGTTGGCGATGCTCTCGAGGAGGACGTGCAAGTAGAGCCATGCCAGCATGAGGAGGGTGCGGGTTGGGGTGATGCTTGGCAGGGTGGAGGGACGGATCGGGGACGGGTCACCAGAGGCAGGAGTTGGCAGGCATGACGATGCTGCGGCCAGGGCAAAGACGGCCTGGGGGACGATAACAGTCTTGACGTCGCTCTTGTTGAAGAGGAAGAGGGTGTGGAGGTGGTAGAGGAGAGATTCATCCTTGTTGCTGCCGGTCGTTGTATTTGTGGTAGGGGATTTTGGCGAAGTTGTCATCGTAGTGGAATTTTGAATCATACCGTGTTCGGCGTTCGCCAGCGGTCGTTTCTCAGAAGTGGTATCCATGGTCAGGGTGGCCACTGACGAAGCAACGTCGTTAGAAAGAGACAAGTATACTGGGAGAGCAGGTGGTGTGTCATGAAGTTGTGGTATGAGATCGTGTTCAGATTGGGTGTTGTTGGACATTTATATCAATGTATCAGGCATCACTTTCCAGACCAGAGTACGGTCAGCCTCGGCCGGCTCTGAGGAAACACTATCAAAAGAGACGCATGCCCAAGACGCTCGTCAGGGACTCTAGCTGTCACGAGTACAAGGTTTGCGTGCAAGGCACCTATGTTTGGACTGGTCTGCCGTCGTCAGCTGGGGCATCTCCCTATTCGCGTAACCGTTGTCTCGCGTCTACTGCTTCTGCCGGCCCCCATCATCCCTGCCTGTCAAGTTGATGGCCCAGCAGATGCAGCACAGCCCAGCACGCTGTGACCATGTCTTATCGCCGAAAATGGGGAACGAGCGCCTCGGTGCTGATACAGAAGTCCGAAAACTCATGCAGGCCAAGGGTCCTCGCACGGCAGAGAACAGTCGCAGGCGGGATGGAACCAAGGCGTTGTTGCTAAGCGCCACGCAGATGTGGTACGACGCTAAGGTAGTTGGAGGTCCACATACTCGGGGCCCACCGTCAAGTTTGCACTTTTCGTGGCGTCACTAAATGCGTCTTGGCCAAAGGTGACGTGACTGCTGTTTCTGCCAAGGGGCTCAGGCCTTTGCTTTGAAGGTCTGCTACGCAGGCGACACGCGCGCTCGATTCGTCTGGAAAACAACTCCCGCCATGTAAGCCCGGGCAGGGCATGCCAAGTCGCTGTTTTGGTCAGCAATCACCATTGGAAATCGTTCAGAAGACTCACCAGATTGGCATGTTGCAGGGATTGTCGCGTTCCTGCCAAAGAAAACGCAATTCAGCACGGCATGACTATACCTGTATGCGAGCCTTCATTCGTCGGTGCAACGCTCCTCCTAAACCCCCTACCCTGGCACCATCGGCCGCATGCAATATCTCGGGCCTCCCCAACTTCACGGAGCCCACAAGGCTGCAATGCAAAGCTGTCCCACGTCATATTGGCGCTCATCGAAGGACCTCGATAATTTCTGTTTAAGTAGATATGGCAAGGAACTGTGACGGTCGCAAGTACTTCGAAAACGCTGCTTTGCCGTGCAATGAATAAAGTATCTCCAAACATAACTGGTCGGATTGACTCAGATCCCTGTATTTCCTCCACTGTTTTCTCACCGGAGCCTCATTGGCTCTGAGAAGATACGACGTCGTCACCCTTACCCTTTCCCTTATCTCTTCTGGTGATTTATTTCTAGCGTTTTGCTGCTGCAGAAAAGCGGGGTGACTTGTATGTCAGCGGGGATGACACAGTCCCGTGGAATGTTCCTGCAGGACGCCCCCTGCCATATAGAGCCGGGTTGCCGCGAGACTAGGCAGAAGTTTGTGGTAAATTTTCTCCCTTTTTTCTCGGATGCTAAAATCTTGGGTGGTTTGAAAACGGGCAAAAACGGCAACAGCATTGATGTTGCCATGCTCACCAGAAACATTTCCCGTGCACAGTGATTGCAATTGGGAAGGCTCAAATCATGCGTTGTAAGGGCCTGGTTTGGATCCGAGCCACTGCAGTCCTTTGATAGACAATCAGCTGCGCTCAACTCTTTTCAAGGATTATAATTCGTCAAAAACAGGGTAGTATTGTCCATGCATGGCTAGACGTAGAGAATTTCCGTCCGATAGAGTGACTGCGTCGCTCAATGTCGAGGTCGACTTTCCTCTCTCGTTTAAGCATTGCAGATCTTGAACTTGGGCAACGATGTGCTGCGGCTGGTTCAAGAGACGCGTCGTATGGTCGGTCCGTAGCCAAGGAACAAACAACTTTCGATTATCGTGATCGTTTTCCACTGGTAAAGATGACTCCGAAAGAAAATAGGTTTCTGCCACCACGCGCATCGACTTTAGAGCGTTTCGGGACATTCGAAAACGATTTCTCATGACCTCCATTACCATCATTCTTGAGAAGCCTCAATCGAACTCGAATGGCACATTTTCAACAAGTGGGCCAGGAACGAAGCACAATCTGGACGAGCACGATTTTGCATGATTGACTCATTTTCTGTTCCATTCAAGCACGTATTCACGCTACGTTCATCACCCGTTACGCTAAAATGACAAATGTTTACCTCCGTGTTTTCCTTCCCCAACTCCCACATGAATGCCCACTACTTGCTGACCGTCAGGCCCTCACCAAGGCCAAGCAAAATGTCGTTGACCTCGGTCGCCCGCTCCATGCCGACCCAATGGCCCGCCTCGAGCAGGTGCTCCTCGAGGCCCTGCGTGGCAACGGGCTCGGTGAGCAGCCTCATGTACATGGCCGGGGAGATGGTGTCCTGGGTCCCGCCGATGAGCGTGACGGGCACGTTGAGCACCTTGTCCTGGAGGGCGATGGCGTTGTTGTCGTCGGAGACGTCGGTGCCGCGCATGGCCCGGCGGTACGGGTTCAGGCTGGCCGCCACGGCGTTGGGCTGGGTGTACAGCTCGAACCAGGTCGCCTTGTGGGCGGGCGAGTCCCAGGACGCGAGCTCGGTGGTCTTGTTGGCGGTCAGCCAGGCCCGGGCGGCGCCGAGGTGGGCGAGCTCCTTGCCCTGCGAGGCGCTGTCGGGAGTGTAGGCGGCGCTGTAGAAGGACTCGAGCTGTTGGGGTTCATTTACGTCAGTTCTCGGCTCTTTCGAGTATATAGTAATGTTTTAACGCCCTCGCCAGTAGTGGTCTAAGGGCAAGACCTGGGCAGACAAGGTCGACAAAGACAAGGGCAGGTAGGTTGAGGAAGCGCGTGGGATGAAAGAAGAGGAGAAACTTACGTGATCCGAGATGAGCTGCTCTGCGCTAAAATGGTTGAAGAAGTACCAGTATCCATACTGCGCCAGCTGGCCCTCGCTCGCGAGCAGCGTCTGCGCGTTGAACGCATCGACATCGATGAACCCGCTGGGGTACAGGTACCCGACAGAATGAAGACCAGGTGTGAGAACCGGTCGGAGTTGTAGTTGTAGGCCCGGCCGAGGGCAGACGTACCCCAGTCGTGGCCGACGCCGATGACGGTGTCAACAGCCTCGGCGTCAAGCAGCTCGCCAATGTGGCCAGACTGGCGGCGCCAGGAGTACAGGGCAAGGTTCTCCGGGTCGGGCTTGTCGGTTTCGCCGAAACCCAGAAGGTCCGGGGCGATGACGCCGTAGCCGGCGGCCGTCAGGGCTTCCACCTGAGCGGCCCAGTCGTGGCGGCTCGAAGGGAAGCCGTGGAAGAAGAGGAAGGTGGGCTTGGTGGTGTTGGTGGCCCCGTCGTCGACTGTGGCAGCGGCAGAGTGGTCGTAGGTGTACCGCGTGCCGTCAGAGGTGGTGAACTCCTTGGTGGAGAGGGCGAGCGTGGCGGAGGTGAATGCGCCGGCCATGACGGCGACGGCGAGGTTGATGGAAGTCCTCATGATGGTGGCGAGCTTAACGAGAGTCGGAGCTTAAAGAGAGTAACTGTTGGTAGGCTGCTGCTGGTGCTCTTGGCCAATGCTGGAGGGGGCTTACAATGCTTTGCACGGCATTGCCGTCGTCTTATATACATCTCCGATGCGCGGAAGATCGTCGTCGCCCGCACTAGCTTATGCTAATCTCGTCCGAAGCTGGGGTGTCACCCTTGGCGTCAGGACAGCCACCCAGCCGGCAATGGCGACTTTCAGGGGACTTGTTCCCTGTAGTGGCGCCTTGTCCACCGCTTCAGGCCCGGTCGACATCCACTCGCAGGCCCACGCTTGCCTGGCTTCGCCCAACTCTGACAGAGCCTCAAGGGGCCCGAATTCACAAGCCGGATCTTAAACGTCAGTTGAGGGGGCCAAGCATACACTCTGGGAAAGCCTGTCGCCGCAGCCCCTGCATGTCAGGTGCGGGACGTTATGCGCATGGCCGCGCAGCCACACCTTGGCAGGGACGTCGCAAATTGCTGCGTTGCATTCCACGGCGCACACGTGGAGCTGCGGATCACAAGCTGCAAACGTCAGTCGTCCGCCGGCAACTGGCTTCCCCATAAGGGCCACATTCTCCGGCCGGGCCCCTGCTAGGCACGGAGCGATGCGTCCACTAGCTCCGGAGTATACCTCCCAAAGTCGATCATGGACGTGGAGCCGCTCCAGAAAACACCGCAGCAGACAGCGGAGTATGGTCCGGCTTCTGGAAACTACAGAAGGTCCACGACCAGCTTCTCTGATGCCCGCCACCACGTGCGAGGATTGGAGCGCACTAGCGCCTCCACCTGAGCTATAGGAGGTTTAATCCTGCCCCTTGTCTTCCTATGCTTTCAATAGTGACAGAGGACCGCCGCAGGATTGCAAGTGCCAGATCCACACCAGCTTTGGAGGCAAAAGGTCCTCAGCAAGGCAGCTGCCCTCTCTAGTTCCGTCGGATCTCCCACCATATCTGATAGCATGTTGCCGAGGTACTCTCGTCTGGGTCGTGGCTAACACTTGGTCGAACAACAGGTGCATTCACTCAACAGAGACAAAGGTGCTTGGTGCGCGACACTCTAGTCTGGTCATTGGAAATCTCAGTCCCGCATCTCGAAATTGTTCCACCCAACACCTTGTTGCGGTTGTCGCATTACGAAACCTCTGATTTCATGCGCAAGACTCGATGCCTCGTGGATGCGACCTTGCCATCTATGCGAGCGGGGTCCAGACCACTAAATTAGCTCCTGTCCAACTTTACATACCACCCTTATCCACCCGTGCCCTTGTCCGCATTCCCTCAGGCACGGTTGGGGGAACGATGATCTCTCAGCCCGTACCCAGTAAGTCTTTTTGGTCGAGGGTCACGTCAACAACTCAAACATGCCGTCTCCGCTAGCATCACGGACAGGCCAACTTCGGCTGATGATCCGAGAACTCCGGTTTGTCATACCCGCTGTTCCCCACAAGCAGCCGCCGTCGGACGAGAAAGCTGAGACAGCTGCAGCACCACTGTGCACCACGGGAGACCAGCATCACCCTAGTCCTATGACACTACTCTAGGATAGTTATGTGCTACTGCTACCGCCGCTCTAAGAACGATAAAGACAGGGTGGATAAACAATGACAGCGTTACCAGGGCTATGGGAAGTCCGAACCTTAGAAGGACAATGGCCGTCGTTTGTGGTGTTAGGTCTTTCTCTGCCTCCCGGTCTCTCCCGTTTGCTTGTTGGTGCAATTTAATCAAGTGATCTTCAATAGCAATTTGCGGAACGTGCTGGATTGACTTCCCCACAGTTGAGTACTTGCAATTGACCGGTCGGGGGAAGCCGATGTCACATACTTAACATAGCAACGACGTTTGAGCATTACGTGAGGCGATTGTCCCGTGTCCAGTCACGTCGCTCATCTTTCCAGCTGTGAATCTTACTTTCATTTTCATAGATTCTACTTACTAGGACGCCTACGTGTAGCCGTAGACATACCACTCGACGAGTGTCTTGGTAGGTCTCCGTGGAAGTGCGAACCCAGAGACAGTCGTTTTTTGGTTTGCTCTTTCCATGTTTTAAGATATGACACTCCCGAAGGTTTTGATGGACAGGCAGACGGGCCCTTTGCCGCGCCAGGCACAGACATGCGGACTGTGGTTGGCTGACTACCCGCCAGGCAGCGAGCCGCCCGGAATGTTTCGGCACTTGCCGCGCCAGACAAGCTTTGCTCACGCATCCACACGGGCCTGCTCACTTTCGCACTCGTCAACATTGTTTCCGAAGCCAACTATTTGCGGATAAGCGACCGGTCGCCATGTATTTCAGGCAGACGCGTGGTCTGCTGGCGGTTTCCCGTTCTCTTTGTCCTGGTCGCCTGCTTTACCCCTTGCCATGGGGTCCAGGCACATTCATGACAGTACAACATCGCGCTTTCGCTTCATTATCCAAGCCGGCCTTGCCGCCGCGCCAGTTTCCTTCCAGCGGGTTTGAGATCGTCGACCCGTCAATCGAGCTTGAAGAGGAGTGGTTGCCTTACTACAACAAGGATGCGTTCTATCCTGTCCGTATCGGCGAAGTCCTCGGTGAGCGGTACCAGGTGATTACCAAGCTGGGCTGGGGCACGACGTCGACAGTATGGCTTGGTCACGACCTGTGGTAAGAAATGCCAAGTCGTCTCTGGTCGTTCGGTGCTGACTTATTGATCCAGCGATGATCGCTATGTGACACTCAAGGTGCACGCCTACCCGATGCTTTCGACGCACGAACTTGAGATCAACAAGCACATCGACACAGTCAAGGCAGAACATGGAGGCCGTAATATCATCCGAATGATCAGACACAAATTTGACCTCCAAGGCACCCTGGGCATACACCAAGTCTTTGTCTTCCCGCCTCTCGGTGTCAGCCTGTATCTACTGCAGGAAGCACTGCCGAGCGAGACCAAGACCTTTATTCCCCGTTCTTTCGCCATGGCCCTCCAGCGCGTCCTCGCTGCCCTCAACTTTCTCCATGAGTATGCCAACATTACTCACACAGGTCAGTTCACCCGTACGGACTCCGAACCATACCGAACGTCTTGCTGAAAAATTAACATGGCGAGAATCAACAGACGTTCACTCTGGCAACCTCCTCGCTGGCGTTGCGGATGAGTCAAAGCTCGAGGCGTTTGTTACACGCGAGATCACCAGGCCCTCAGCGAGAAAGATCGTCGACGGCGCCACGATTCACAGCTCGCAGTGCATGATTCACGACGTAGGGCCGCTTTACCTCTGCGATATGGGCGAGGCACGTATTGGAGACGAGCATACCGGCAAGGTCATGCCTTTGCCCCATCGTGCGCCCGAAGTCATCCTCGACATGCCCTGGGGCCATGCGATTGATATGTGGAGCGTGGGACTGCTGGTATGGCGCGCTGAGTCCTGATATCGCGTTTATCTTCCGAGGATCAGACTCCAGATGTCTAACGCGATGATGCTACGCTCCAGGCTTGGGATCTCCTTCAGCCGAAAGGCCTATTGCAGATATACGACATGGACGACCTCGAGAACAACGACGACCATCATCTCGCCAATCTGACCGCACTCCTCGGACCACCGCCAAGCGACTTTCTCCAGAAAAGTCCCAGGGCGAATAAATTCTGGGACAATCAAGGTCTTGGCTCTCTTTCTCTCTCTCTCTCTCTCTTTTGTGGCCTCTTGTGTTTTGCTCTCCGCACCAGCTTTTGGCCTCGCTCCATCGTTTATTCCACCATCGCCTTCACCCTCCTGCTCTTCTCCCATACCAGGCTCGTGTTCTCCTTGCGGACCCAATAGAGTGACACTCACCTCTCACAACCCCCTCCACTAGCTCTCACTGCTTTTTAAGCCCCCAAACTGGTCAACAATGCATTGCCGTCTCCCCTTGATTGTTGCATGCTTGGCTTTCTGTCAGCTCTGATGCCTGTTTTCCAAAGCACGCCGAGTCTTCCCCCGTCCCCTCCCCCTCTGTATAACGAGTGTCCTCCCTTGCCACACACAAAACTACGTGATCTGACACTCTCTTATTCTTCCAAAAACGCAGGCAATTGGATCGGCACAGTCCCTATCCCCGAAGAGCGGACCCTCGAGTCGCTGGAGACGATGCTTCAGGGCGAAGAACGGGAACAGTTCCTGGACCTGATTCGGGGCCTGCTGTGCTGGCGGCCGGAGGAGCGGCTCAGTTCTGTGGAGGCGTTCGCGCATCCGTGGATGTCCAACGCGATCTCCGGAGAGACGTGAACATGATTTGGTGTGAGTTTGGGGCGTAGACGGCCCGAGAAGAAGGTACCGAAACAGACACGAAAAAGAATCTTACCGGACGGAGTACGAGAGGACTATGAGGATAGGATATTGCATGCGGTCATTTGGGCGCCGTTCTTTGTTTAGAGATGTACGTGCTGGGGGACCTCACGTCTTGCATCGCTTGTATCAGACCATCGCCTCTCTTCAAATAGAATGTTCGTTTTGGGCAAAGGAGTCATGAAGAGCGTGCAGCCCGCAACGGTCATTGAGCCTCGCAGGATACGTCGTATAGCTGGGCTGCATAAAATCTATACGCCAGTCCGCACCTACAGACCGTGGTGTAGGGCACTGTCTGCCTTCACCTGGGGTGACGCGCTGCCCCTGCCGTGGCTTATCAGTGGGCAAGGGCTTAAGCATACCCATGCCCTGATCATCTGTAATTTGACCAGGTACCTCCTAGGCGGTGGTACCCTACGCAGGGCTCAAAAAGACGGCCAAGCGTGATGGCTGCAACCTGTTGGCTACTTGGAACCCAAATTGGTCGCCTCTTGTATGCGGCCTTATGGACGGCGCCAGGAAGCAGCCGGGGGGAACTTGGGACGGTAATTATGCAAGATCTTGCAGATGGCGAGCAAAGTCGAAGGGATGACGCACCATGCGGCTGTGGGTGGTGCCGGGCACAGCATGACATGGGTGTGTGTAGTTACTAAGTATGTACATGAAGCTTTTACCCGTCGCCAGGGTCCTGATCAGCAGATGCATAGCTGGACCGAGCCAACCTCGCTCACAACGAGCTGAATTGTCGTTGATTGGTGGGACACGGGGCACAAAAACGAGTTATGCATTACGGGTGCCCGAGACGGCGAACAATGACCCGAACTCCGACGTGCATAAAAACGGCACGGCCCACTGGGCGGAACTTCCAGACTCCGGGGGCGGCGGGGAGTTGTGCAAGCTAATACCTCGCCCCAGATGATCCCAGAGTGACCCCAAGACTGGGGAGGGCTTCCTAGATTGGCTGGTGGTAAAGGAGATCGTCCCGTCCCATGGGAGGTTCTGTGAAGAGGCGGCAACGCAATAATGCTGGGCATGGCTGTGCTCAGTTCGAGGCTCGTGTCTCGCACAATCAAGGACGTACGATACCAATGTCCAAGTCTCATCTCATGTAACCCACGAACCGAACTGCTGGTGAACTGGCTGCCCCAGTGTCTACCGTGGGAATGTAAACACTCTGCGAGCCTGATGATGAATGGGCGTAAAGCACCCTGCCCCCGGCAACCCCCGCATCCCGGCGATTGCATAACTCCATGTCAATCCCGTCCTTTCTAGCTGGTTGGGCTCTCAGTCACCACTTTGCGGTCTCGGAGCTGGGATGCCCACCTCATCTGAACCCCGTCATTTGGTGGCTTCCAGTCTCTGTCCCACGGAACTCCGCGAGATCCACAGATTGTTGCGACTCTCCTTTCGCACCCCTAAAATAACGATATCGTCGTCAGTCGTCTTTGGACCCTCTCCCCGTGTTGGTCTGCAAAGCATCACGTATCAGATCCATCAGCTTTTCCCACAACACGACGAGGTCTGCCTTGTGGTTTGTGTTTGTTAAGCACCCAAAGCTTGGCTAGACGCGCCGGCTCGGATCCCCAAGCCCGCGCCAAGCCACCACAACAAGAGCAGCAAGCCGGCGACGGCCCGCGACCACAGCACGAACGCCACAACCGCAAACCATAGCCGCAATGGAGAGCACAGGGCAAGCGGAAGCCAAGGCTGTTGCTTCATCAAGCAGGACGCCCAGCATTGCCTCGGCATCACCAGGCAGGCAGCATCAAGATGATCACGACTCGGCTTCCACGGCAGAGTCGGATGACCTCGACCTCCACCGCAAGATCAGCCAGGCGTACGAGGAGGGCCACGATGCCGACGTTGTCGGTTCTGCACTGGGGCCGGTGCGCAGCCATGGCCGGAGACCTTCCTTGGCCATGTCCCGCGCATCAGCAAGGCGCACCTCCAACGTCAATCGGGTAGATGCCGCTGATCTCGAAAAGGGGACAGGGGATGATGATGAACCTGGCACCGCCGGAGACGACGCGACAGCCGACGAGTCTCTGGAAGTGTGGTGGGACAGCGACGACGACCCAACCAATCCATTCAACTGGCCCCAGTGGCAGAAAGTCCTCAACACCACTTGCATCAGTGTCATGACCTTTGTCACACCATTAGGCTCTTGTAAGTCTGCTGTTCATTCCTGGTCGCGAGAACAGGCTTTAGCTCTCGCTTAACGCACGCTAATCACCTCTTCCCTCGCGCAGCAATCTTTGCCCCTGGCGTGCCAGAAGTCATGAACGAGTTCCAGTCCGGCTCGCTGCTACTAGCCTCGTTCGTCGTCTCCGTGTACCTGCTTGGCTTCGCCTTTGGCCCCCTGCTCATCGCGCCCCTGTCCGAGATCTATGGGCGTGTCATTGTCTACCACGTCACCAATGTCGGCTTCACCATCTTCTGCGTCGCCTGTGCGCTCTCGCCGAGCCTCAACGCGCTCATCGTCTTTCGCTTCTTCTGTGGTATATTTGGCTGTGCTTCCGTCACGAATGGCGGAGGCACCATCGCCGACATGATTCGCCAGGAGAGCCGCGGTGTGGCCATGTCTTTGTACAGTGTTCGTCACTCCCCGCCTCCCGTCTCCGAGAAGTAAGAGAACGGTTCTCGCTGACATTGATCAATTCACAGATCGGGCCCCTGCTTGGTCCTATCGTCGGGCCAGTAGCCGGCGGCTTCATCTCGCAGTCCCTGGGGTGGCGCTGGGCGTTCTGGGTCCTCGCCATCATCGGCGGCGTCGTGACCGTAGCGAGCTTCTTCGTCCTGAAAGAGTCGTTCGCGTACGTCATCCTCCAGCGCAAGACGAACCGCCTGCGCAAGGAGACCGGCAACCCGCTCCTGCGCTCCCGCCTCGACGCCGGACTGGGGCAGGCCGACTTTTTCAAGCGCGGCATCATCCGCCCGGTCAAGATGTTCATCAAGTCCCCCATCGTCGTCGTCACGTCGCTCTACATGTCCCTCATCTACGGGTACCTGTACCTCATGTTCACCACCATGACTACCGTCTTCCAGGGCGCCTACGGCTTCTCGACGGGCATCACGGGCCTGGCGTTCCTCGGCCTCGGCGTGGGCAACCTCGCCGGCCTGGCCATCTTCAGCGCCACCTCGGACAAGTACATCCAGCGCAAGGCCGCCGAGGCCGACGCGCTCGCCGAGACGACCGGCGCGGCCAAGGAAGGCATGAAGCCCGAGTACCGCCTCCCCTTGCTCCCCGTGGGCGCGTTCCTCGTGCCCATCGGTCTCTTCATCTACGGCTGGACCGCGCAGTACCACGTGCACTGGATCGTGCCCATCATCTCGCACGTCTTTATCGGCATCGGCAACCTCGTCGTCTTCATGGCCCTCCAGACGTACCTGGTCGACTGCTTCACTATCTACGCGGCTAGCGCCATCGCCACGAACACGGTGGTCAGGTCCGTCGTGGGCGCCCTGCTGCCGCTGGCTGGGTTGCCCATGTTCGAGTCGCTGGGGCTGGGCTGGGGCAACAGCTTACTGGGCTTCATTGCCGTGGCCACGATCCCGATCTCGTTTGTGCTGATCAGGTGGGGAGAGTCGCTGAGGAAGCGGTACCCGGTGAGGAACTTGTAGCTGGTGAAGCAGAGGTCGTGTTCAGGGGGTAATCTGTATGGAAGAACCGGTTGCCCAGTGTTTTGTGTATGGTCTCATCTCGACCAGGGTGTCAGTGCGAAGGAAGATTTCATTGTCTGGGATGAACAGAACAGCATCATATAACCATAGATCTCATTGTAATCATTAATAAAGTATACTAGAACTGTTCACCTCATCTTCAACGACTCTCACATCGCTCACGATGTATCAGCTTGCGACATCAGGTCCTGCAAGTATATCATTCGTTGGATTCGACTCCGGCTCCGAAGCTACACACACTCAGCTTCTCACCACCTTCGACAAGAAACTAACTGGCCACAGCTATCTGAGATCGTGCTCTACGGAATGCACTGCGAGTAAAAGTCGTTCTGCTTCTTGCAGGACCCAGAGGCACACGTCGTGCAACCCGTGTAGCTCTGACCACCACACTGCCCGTACGCTGCAACAGTGCAGCCGGTCGGAGCCGAGCCACCGCCGCCGGTAGTAGTACTGCTCGCACCGCCGCCGTTGCCGCCGCCGCCAGTAGTCGACGTCGGCGAGGTGGTGCCGCCTCCCCCGATGGTGCCCGTCGGCCCGCTGCCGGGCTTGCAGGTCGACTCGCACGCGGCGCAGCCCGACCCGGCGACCTTGACGCTGCCGCCCGAGTACACGGCCGGGCCGGGAGCGGTGTAGCCGGCCATCGGGGCGTGGATGTTGACGAGGATGCCCGGGTCCGAGGCCTTGTATGCTCCGGGCAGGCTTACACCGGCTGGCTTGGCGGACCCAGAGCCCGACACGGTGATCTGGAAGCACGTCATGTAGAACTGGGCGCCGCCCGAGCTGCCGGCCGTGTGCAGGGCCAGAGCCTCGGCGCGCAGCAGGTAGTCGCCGGGCGCAATGTCCGAGGGGATCTTGACGTTCATGAGGCCGCAGCACTTGTTGAGGTCCTTGGTGCCCCAGAAGTCGTCGTCCCCGGAGCCGCCGGCCGAGTTCTTGGCCCAGGTGTCGGCAAAGATCTTGAACCAGGACGAGCTGCCGTCGGCCTTGGTGGCGTCGGACACGGACGACAGGTACACCTGGACGGGGCCGTAGTGGGCGCCGCCGATGGCCTCGTTGCTGCACGAACGGTCACCGTTCTGCTGGTGCATCTCCACCGTCACGGTCGAACCCGCGGGCACGGGGCATTTCTTGGACACTGCGACATTCGGAGCGTTGCAGCGGATGTCGTTGGACGCGACGTTGGTGACGGGGCTGTTGCTCGACGGGAGGCGGGCACACTGAGCTCCGTGCTGGGAAGGTCAGTCTTTGCTCCGTCGTGACTGAAAGTAGTTGCTTAAGAACGAGGGACACTTATATAATCAACACCGTTCACCCACAAGTTCTGGAACGTGGCATGAGCCGCGACTTGGGTGGCTCCAAGAGCACAACCGAGAGCTCGGATATAAGTCGATCTCATGGTGATGGCCTGTCTTTGATAATGTCTGATGTCTTGCCAAGAGAAGACAATGGTGATCATACACGAAAGCAGACATCGAGGCCACTTTGGGATCGCCTTTTATACATAAAACAGAGGCTGCATGCCATCGTAGCATTATTACAGGCCATGGTCAAGGTCGCTGACGACGTTTCCACGCGGGGTACAGCAGCTTTCGCGGGGAAGTGGCCATCACCAAGGCAAATCTTTCGCTCTGGTTCCACGCGGAACGTTGTATTTCCTGGGGAGTCGCATTCGCCGCCCAGTATGGATGATTAGTGTCATGTGCTAGGAGCTACGCCCTGGATATGGGTTCCGGGCTTACGCAGTCCACGTGAGAAATGTTCCTTTCCCGCAGCCGCAGAAGTAGATTGCGCGGATGCTGATTCGTTGTTAACCCTGGCCGGTAATATCAACTGCGTGCTATCGACGGCAGCGCATCCTCCTTGTTTCCCGATTCGGACTTCCGGCGCTGTACAAGCGGGACAGTGTGACCGCGCTAACGGATGGACGGCTGTGATTGCCAGTTGCTCGGCTGTCGGGCGTTGCCGAATACAGAGCATCGAGATCAGCCTATGTCAAATCATGAAATCGTATCTTGCACCGGCTATCGCATAAGGCTCTGGCTGAAGCCCCAACGAAGATGCAAGAGAACCCAGCATCACTAGATCCTATCTAGTCCGGTGACATTCGCACGTTCCAAAAGTCTTCTGGAGGACTCACCTGTCCGTCTCCTCGTGCCACCTGGTCGTGTGAAAACGAAACTGCACCAAAGCATGTCCGATTGATTTCTATCAACTCCCAACCGTCCTGGCCTCGCCCTTCGCAGAACTTCCTCCCTTGACGTTCGGTATGAGCTCGAGCCTGCCGAAAGGTCAGACGCTACCCACGTTGACTAAACATCTGCCCACGCATCTTGGAAGCGTATAATTTATCGCTATTTCAACGCTTTCCTGCGGCAGCGGCTATCGTGCTTGATCTGTGCACAATGACCACGGCTCGACCAGTCTAGGTAGGCCGCTGGGAGAAGTCGGCCCATAGCGTTGTGCAAGAGGTTTCATGCTTGTGGTAGTTATGGTGCTCACGATACTGGTATTTGGTCAAGATGGACCCACTGCATGTGCGCTCTCCAATAGCGCATTCCAACGGCGCATTCCCAGTCCTAACCGCGATGCGCACAAGTCTGCGGGAGGCGAGGCTGTTTGCACCAGATATGGATCGCGCTCTACTGTCTGCGGAGCATCCATGCGCGACATCTCAAAAGACATTCGACACCATGATGTATAGGTCTGTGATTTGGTTACCTGCGTATGATCGGATTGGATGCATTCATCATTGCCTCCCCCGGGAGGCCCAACGCCTCTGTATGACTCCTAAGTGTGGCCAAGGGCTGTCTGTTCCGTGCCATTCCATAGACTGGAACTCCGGGGCATTGCACCCATACTGATTAAAGCTCTCCATGAGTGTGACGAGTTCCGTCAGACCGTACTCTTTCGCCATTGTCAGCGCAGATTTTGTCCGCCCAGGTTGAAAGTTAGGATCAGCTTTCCCGATCTCCAACAGTAGGTGGCAAATGTGCCAGTAGGTCTTGTAACTGTTCCAACGGCAGAGCTTGACGGCCAGCTGAAGAGCGGCCAAGCCGCCGCATTTCCCACGAGCGGGATCAATGCCTGGAATAGCGAGCACAGCTTGCACGATCATAGGATTTCCTGAGCGCACGGCGCGGATGAGTGCAGTCTGCCCGGAGTTGTCCACGATATTGGCATCAATTCTGGCCTTTGGAAATGTGGTCAAAGTCTGAACCATGAGCGCCATTTCATCGTCTGCCACTGCTGCAGCCCACGACAGTGCAGTACGGCCGTATCTGTCCACAGCATTGACGTTATTATCCGGATGCTCGCTCAAGTGGCAAAAAGAGCTGCGATCGTCCAGTCGAATGGCAAATGTCAAGGGGCCTCCCGTCGTGACGTCTTCCATGAGCATACTTCGGCTGGCATAGTCTCGATCCTTCCGAGCAGCCAGGATCAGCTTCATGTAGGTCTTGCGCCCCTCCGTAGTTGCACAGCGAAGTACATCTGATATCATCTGGCGAACGTTCTTTTGGCTCCGATGGAGCTCAGCCAACAAGGCTTCGAATACTTGCTCGTTATCCGGATTTTCAATGCTCCTCGAGAGTAAGCCATCACAGAAGCTTTCGGGCAGTTGCAACCCAGATTCGAACAGAAGCGGGATAACGGCAGACCGATCGGTCTGGTTCCCTGAAGCGCCGACTGCGAACCAGAGGGCCCATTGGAGTTCCTGAAAGTCCGCAGCCTTGTAGCACACCTTCACTATGTCCTTAAATCCTTTCCTCGCAGCCCACTGAAGGGGGCTGAGCCAAAGGCCGCCGAGCCAAAGGCCGCCGCATTCCCAATGCTTCTTATTTGTGATTTGTTCGAACAAATCGTTTTTAGACTTGGTTGAATTTCGTTGCAGGCAATCGAGACTGGAAACCTTTCGTTCCCTCTTCAGCGATAGGATGTCAAAGAACCCCCTCCGAGCCAGCAATTCCACCACTGCCTCTGACGAGCATGCTTGGATGCAGGCAGCGGCCGTCTCAGAGTCGATAAGAACCCCAAGATTGAGCGCAGCTTCGATTAGCACAATGTCGCCGTACTGGCAAAGGACTGGGATAACACTCGGTGTTCTCGTCGCGACTAGTTCCTGATTGACGCCGGTCAACGTAGCCTTGGAGTCAAGCAGAAAGTCACCAGTAGGTGAAGGTAGTCCTAAAAGCGCGTATGCTGCTTCGACATGGCCGCGCCATAGTGCACAAGCGACTGGAAATTGGCCTGCCCCCATACATCTCTTAAGTTCCACCAGTGTGACAGCATCGCCTCCCGGCTTAAGCAGGCGTATTAGCGCGGCGTGTCCAGCTGCAGCTAAGCAATATACGAGATGGACTCGCGGAGCGGGCGATGTTTGATTTCGTTCCCCTTGCGCTTCCAAGAAGATATTCAATTGGAACTCGGTTTCCAAAAACGTGCCCTGATTCAAGCCGAGTTCGTGTGCGCTGTTGGCGTGGGACAACACATGGTTGAGAGCGTATCCTTTCAATGGGTAGCAATAATGACTCATCAGCGACGGCCGGCAGGCCGAGCTAAAACAGGCATCGTTACACCTGAGATGTAAGAAGCATAGTCGTTTGAGTGTCTCATGAGATTGGGCTTCGAAATTGCTGGACGTTGAGAACAACTGATGCAGCCAATCACTTTTTTCCAGGAAATCTCGGACCGATTCATGGATGAACTGCACAGTCGGATGGCTGGAAATCGTAATCTCGGCCAAGCCTTTGGAGATATCAATTATGCGTCTTCGCTGGGTTGTAGCATCGTCAGACCTTGGCCCAGGCTGCGGTAATGTACCGTTCAATTCTGTTTCAATCTCGACCGCAGACAACAGCTCTGTTGGCGTGAGAGGCCGGGCGGCAAACAGGACAAAACGAACGCAACACAACAGCTCGTTGGTGTTCTCACCATCTCTGGTGAGCATGCCCCGAAATAGCTCATGCAACCCCGCTGGTATCTCGTGCAACTTCTGCTTCAGCGCTTTGAGACGGCCCTTGTCGTAAGCTTTGTTCAGCATGGGAACGACCAGAGCAACCCAAAGGAAAATCCCAGAGGACTTGCGTATGAGATCGATTTTGATGTCATCGGTAACAACGCTGTTTCCAACGGTAAGGTTTGTGTCGATATAAAGACGAATATCGTCCGAGTGGCTCGGGTTAAGCTCCAGTGTGATTTGTAGACCGGTCCGAATAGTGATCTCGGGGTAATGCCGGCTCGAGAAGCATACCCGAATCTCGGCTGACTTTTCAAGCCGGCCCACCTCCTCAAAGAACGCCACCATGCTGCGAATTTCGTCCTCTGGGCATTCGTCTAGTGCATCGACGAAACAGACCACACACTTATTGCTGGCAAGAGATTGGACCGCCAGGCGCAGAACGTCTTTGAGGCATTCGTCCTGCCAACCAATATCCTTGACCAGGGAATAAAGGGTGCCATCGTGAGCTTCGAGCGATGATTGAGTCTCGGGGGCCTTCTCAAGGAGCTGAAGCAACAGCGAGCGATAAAGACCCAGTGTCGACTTCTCCAGGGTTTCTCCACGGGCATTGAAGAAGAATGGTAGAACCAGAGATTTCTTCATAGTTCGACGTGCTTCACCAACGAGGTACTTCATCATCACCGATTTGCCCGTTCCTGGTTTTCCCTTGATCCAGAAGAAGCCGTGGTGCCCATGGAGGGAGTTCGAGTTTATCCAATCTTGGTACAAGGGTGTTTGGACAAGCCAGTGACATGTCCTCGTCTGTGCACTTCTCAGCGTCAAGAGCCGTGCATCCATTTGCTTGAATCGTAAGGTCGTCATCATTTCCTCCCGCTGGTTCTTGGTGAGCCTGCTTTGCGGGGCGGCAAGACTGGCAGGCCGCCTGTATGGCTGGTCGCAATTGGCGGATGATGAGAGAAAATGGTGTTCGGGCACTGATAGGACGGGCGGAACTCTGACACTTCCTGTCGATTCCCACCTCTGAAGAAACGCCTTTATGCAGGCTGCGGCAGCTGCGGCGGCGTAGGGCTGCCATCGCTTATTCTTGTGGCTGTCGCTATAGTCACACACCCCCTTGATAACCAGGCAAGGGAATATGTCCCAGACACCTGCGCTCTCCATTTCGAACGCAATAACACCAGTCGACTGGCTGATCATATCTCTGTACTCTCCGGATTTGATGACACTGTCCCCCGACGCGACTGGACCAATGCGGACTTGTGGCACATGTACATCTGGTATACTGTTGGACGGAACCTCAGAGGGCGGGCGTTGGCGCAGAACGACATTGACGGGGTCACAGCCCACATCAGTGCAACTCGCCACCCGCGCCTCATCGCAGACATAGCCAGCACCAGAGGCTCTATCGCAGGTACTGCACTCGGAATTTCGATGTTTGTGCACGTACGCAGCCCGAAATAGTAGGTCGCTCCTTTCGCCGGGATAGTGTGCTAGCAACTCTGCCTGCGAGCTCAAAAGACTCATGTATTCTTGCAGGTCCCTGCGAAGTGCCGCCTTTTCTTCGAAAGTTCGAAGCTTGTTCAACAGAGCGCGAATCTTGAGGTTCGGTCTTGAGAGTGATCCGGCGAGGTCTGTCTTGGGCACGAGCCGATCGCCGTAATGCCGCCCGAAATCGTATTGCAGGACGCTATCGCTGATGATGACATCGCCGAGGAACGTGTCGCCTTGACACTGAGGAACACCGCCGCAGACCCCGACTACGAGCACAAGTTGGATATTTGGGAAGCTTTGTTGACACGCTTGGGCAGCTATCGCACTGAATGCCGAGTGAATTAGCAAGAATCACATTGGATTGGCCGCTCATTGACCAGATGGGGAGATGCGTACGCGGGATTGTTTCCCATCTGAGCAAGATGGATGAGTACTACATTGTGCCCGCTCATGAGGCCAGTCGTGTATGCATTGGGATCGAAGGGAGCATTGCCAAAACCTGCTGGCCAGCAGTGGTCAAACAACGCTCTCACAGCGGCAGCCTCGTGTGGTAAGGCGCAGACGATCGCAATCTCGAACGAAGTTCGGTCCCTAGGCGGAGCTGTCGCTGGTGCTCGAGGTTAGAACGTGTGCATAGATCGGGGATGAGGGATGTCGGCTGGGGAGCCGAAAACGGGGAAGTTACCAGCGTTCATGGTTCTCAGACGTTGAGGTGACTAGAAATCTATGTCAAGGCGTTCGATTGGATCGAGTGAAGTCCATGCCGTAACCGCTGTCGTCTCGATATGACCGCAAGGTAGCGCGACGTGGATCACACCACGATGTTGTGATGGCTGTTAAGGCAGTCGCGAGACAGATGGTTCGAGGCAGAATTGTTGGCCCTTTGGCTGATCTACCCCTCCTCCAACCAGGCCTCACGTGAAGGTCGCATGGTTGGCAGCAGACTCTGGCCAATCGCGGCTGCCATCGCGAAGCGCGCGCTACGAACGTGTTGGCCAATGACATCTAAAAAGCATGGCAAGGCAGACCCAACGGAAATACGCGTGATGATTGTCGAAAGGGATCTGGGACTGACTAGGACGAGGAATCGCTCCGTGCATCACTTTCGTCATGTTTGCTGACAGTTTAAGCTCACTTTAGGCAAATGTGCCACAGTCTGATTCCAAGTTTAATGCATCCGTTGCTTAAATGAGGTTATACCGGCCACCATTGTGAATGATCATGCAGTTGTGTCTGCATGTCATGTCTCTCTTGGACGATGGGCCGTCTTGGAGATCTTGTGCCTATGAAATCCAGTGCTCTTCCCTTGTTATGCTTTTTGGACAGAGGCCTCCTCTTTGGTTCAGGCACAGCAAACTCACCCTGGACGAATCCCGGAAGATTTTGCAGCCATGCGCCGAGCACTAGACGGAGCCACTGCTCGCGGCTGTTGCGGCCGAACATTCGTATTCCCCCTCTTCTCGAGCGGCAACACCTTTGACCGAGCTACCCTCAGCATCGATGACGGCTTGTTCTGCTTGCATGGCTGCGAACTCTTCGCGTTTCGCGCTTCGAAGTAGAGATAGATGCTGCATCAGCGGTTATGTTGAAAACAGGTTGCACCAGAGACAGGTATAATTCTCCAGGCAGAGTGTAGAAGACCGGGATCATACGTACCGGAAGTACTTGGCGTCTGCCACATGTAGCACGAAAACCATGGTAGCGGCCAACAGCATGAGAACGGCGGATACTTTCCAGCCAACCCGGTCTATCAGATGAAATCTCAATGTCAACTATTTTCATCATACTCTCAAGATATTGCCCTTCCTCGAGCGCAGACATGGGCTGGTCTTACAGTAAGGAGCCTCTGTGGCAGGCCACATGAGAGAATTGGACCACGCTTGGACGGCATAGTCGGCGGCGATGGCCACACCAACGACGAGGGCTCTGACTTCGGGATCCTGGGGTATGCTGCAGCAAAGTAAAGAGGTGTCAGCTTGGATGGTCCCGCCATTGACAATAGTAAGTGGACGGTGTGAAAAAGGCGCCTACATGTCTGCCAGCCAGGAGAACAACAAGGGCGCCGTTCCCAATACTATAAAATTAAGGAAGAAACCTGCGTAGGCCGTGGTATCGGACATCTGAGACGGGAGAGCACTCCAGATGCTCATCATGAGAGTGGGAACTAGCGCCAGTGTGCACTGCGCCACAATAAGCTGCCACCGGATCTGCATACAGTCGGAGATGATAGCCCAGATCCATACAAAAGCAATTTGAATCGCTCTTCCTCCCATGGGAATGGCGTTGACCTCGGCGGTGGTCCATCGCTGCGAGCCATCGGCATTTGGCCGGCTCTTGAGGAATAGCTCAAAGTATTGGACACCGTAATTGCCAATGACCGTACAACAGTAAAGGAATGGAATGATGACTGTGATCCATGACCTCAAGGTGCGCCTGGTGAACAACTCTCGAGTCAGTCTCTTCTGCAGAATTCTGCTGTGTGCCAGAGATTGCAAAACTTACTTGACGCCGGCCCAAGTGACTGGAGAAGGTTTGCCCCGTCCATGCCGCGCAAGTCTCTCCAAAGAGAGTTCTGCGTGTTGCTTGGTGAACCACACGGCTCGTGGATTCGGATCATTAGGATAATCAGGCAGCATGACGAGGCCAATGGCTCCAACCACAACAGTCATGACGCCATTGACGATGAAGAGCCATCTCCAGCCAGACATGCCGTAGGCTCCACGCAATGTAGTGCTGACACTGGCTTGCAGTGCGCCAGAGAACAGCCCTCCCAAGGCTTGGCAGGAGTGGAAGAACCCCATCCGTTTGGCCAGTTCCATGGGTGTGTACCAGTGCACTGAGGTCAAGGCGTCAGATTTGCTCATGCTGGTGCTGCAGTGAATGCTCAAAAGGGTCGGACGCGCTAACTCACTAAGCAGCGTCATCATGCCAGGCCAAGCACTGCTTTCGCAGAGCCCGAGAAAGACACGAATGGCATAGACCTGGTTTGCACTGGTGACGATGGCCAGGAGACCAGTCAGAACTCCCCAGGTGATTTCCAAGCCAGGCAACCAGTAGCTTGGCCGCACGTGCGTCAATATGATTTGCGAGGGGATGAGCATGATGCAGTAGCCAATATTGAAATAGGTAGTGAAGCTGTGCAGATAAGACGGGGTCACTATTATTGAGCTTCCAAGGTGCCTTATCTTTTGTACTTACTAATTGAGCTCCAATCCAAACAGCTGTAGCTCTTCCTTCATTCCAGACACGTACGCGTTCTGGATATTAGTCTGGTCAAGATATCTGCCCAGTCCATGCGTGGTCAGCCCCAGTGAGAGAAAAGGAGCTTACATTTGGACATACTTTATGACTATTGTGAGGCAAAGATGGTTAGCTGATTGGCAGGACGTACGGTGACCCGAGTAGCAAATCAAACCTTACCCTGGGAGATACAGCCAAACGTGAGCAGGAACATGTCAAGTCGCTGCACAAGAGACTTTCCAGTCACCGACCGGACTGCTGGGACACCGGTGGCATCATTTCGAGAGAAAGGCCACATGATTGAGTACAGGCTAGGAGGCGTCAGAATTAAGGTCAGGAGCTGCAACGCGTCGGCTAAGCAAGACGGTGGTGGCCGGGCGAAGGACCCATGAATATATAGATGAGGCTGATACACATTCTTCCCAGATCACCGCCCGCGGTTCGTGAGGGGAAGTTTGTGTTCGTCCCTATCCCATGCTCCTGTGTTGCGAGCCAACTTTCCAACATCAAATTAGCGGCCCGCAGTAGCGCACCTAGAAGGTTTGTGAGGGCAGCCGCACTTGGTGCCGCGCGGCATACACTATGCGGACTTCCCCGCATAATCAACGGCCCGCACAATCATAGCCGCAGCAAGCTTAGTGTCTAGCCACACACCCACTGAGGGCAGCTATTCACGGTCTTCTATCAATGAGAGAGATTACCAATAGCCCCATCAACTGGTGAGAGCTTCACACCTCGCGGTCCAGGTACGGAGGAGCAGGGGCATATTCATATGCGGAGGCCACACCCGCATAGAGTATTGTATGCGGACTGCTTGAGCCCGCGAACACTGGATCTGTTTAGCATCAGGAGTCTTGTGTGAAATATCACAACTACTTAACGGTATGGGAATAGACAATAACATCGATAGTTTCTCTATGTCCACATCGTATGATCTCATTGTGTAACTCACAATATTCCTTCTCACTTGCTTGACAGCCGTTTTCCCGACATGCAGCACTCACTCCCCGTTCCCGGGTCCACCCTGTCGCACTGGCATCAAACGACGCGATCTTGGCCACACCTGAACGCCAACCAAGACAGTCCCGTCCCATCTTCCACCAGATACTTGATTGTTGGTGCCGGTATCTCAGGCGCTCTCACGGCCTGGGAGCTTGTCAATCATGGTGTTGACGGCAAAGACATTCTCATTGTCGAGGCGAGAGAAGCAGTATCTGGCGCCACGGGTAGGAATGCTGGCCACATCCGTCCTGGTACGTTGTAGACATCTGGTCAATCACAAAATCCTGCCGCAACTCTATGATCCCTCGTCTCCAACTCCTGCAGCTCCTCCATCTGACTGCTACCGATCCTAAACAGACGCATTTCGAGGCTTTCTTGGCCTGGCGGCCGCCCACGGCTCGGAACAAGCGCGAAAGGTACTCGAAGATGAGAAAGCTGTGCTAGCCAAAGCCAAGGAATTCGTCGAGTCCAATAATATCGACTGCAACTTCCGGTACACTACCACTCTGGAGGTCTGCCTCGAGTCCGAATACGCTGTTGAATTGGCCGAGTCCCTCGAGGCATTTCGCGCTGCGGGTGGCGACACATCCCATGTCAGACTCCACGAAGGCAGTGCGGCCCAGGACAAAAGCAGAATGTCGCATGCCGTTTGCGCTTACGAGTGGCCTGCCGCGTCGAATCATCCGGTCAAGTTGACCCAGTGGATACTTGAAGATGCTATCGGCCGCGGCGTCAAGTTGTGGACTCATTGCCCCGCCGTCGATATTCAAAGACATGAAGGCCAAGCTTCTGGGCTGAAGAGATGGGACGTGCATACGCCTAGGGGCGTCGTCAGTGCAGACACCATTGTGCACTGCACCAACGCTTACGCAGCCCATCTGCTTCCCGGGCTGGTGCAACTGATCAGGCCGCGGAGAGCTCAGGGCCACTCGTATGTCCCGCCGGCATCCCTGGCGGGGGATAAAGTCCTCCAGAGCACAATGTCGCTGCGGTATGGCGCGAAGCATTACTTCTCCGTCAATCAACTGACAGATGGCACCATGATATTTGGCGGCCAGGCGACTCGGGACGACAAGGACAGGGACATGCCAGAATACACGCAGAGCCGATTCACATTCGACGACGCGACTCACAACCCATACATGATGAAGAACAGCGTGAAGGAGTTCTCTACCCTGGCCAACGGCGGCCTCGAGAATGAGTGCAACGTTGCCGAAACGAAATCACCAATGCGCCCTGGAGAGGGCCTCACGCACGTCTGGACTGGCCTCGTGGCTGAAACGCCGGACCATCTCCCTTACATAGGCCCAATCGAGGGGCTGGATGGACAGTGGATTGCTGCTGGATATAATGGACACGGTGAGTCCCCGGCTTGACTTCCTGTCAACCTCACGATCCTGCCATCTGCTTGAGGTTGCAAAGAGTTGGCGTCAACTGACACGAGTACTGAAACAGGAATGGCTCGTGTCTTCACATGTATACCTGGGCTTGTCAAGCTCATCATGGGCAGCACCTGGAGTGAGACGGGACTTCCAGAATGTTACGCCTTCGGGGCGGATAGAATGAGGCGTTTAGCGGAGGTCAATGTTCAGAGTTGAATGCCAAATGTAGATGCTTTAAGGTGGCTAATAAGCGCCTGTCAGTTGGGACGTTGCGTAAATCGATGAGGAGAATGGCAACTTCAAGCCATCATCAAACCCTGAAGGGCTATGTCAAAGCTGCAAGAGGCTTACCACCGTAGTTAAAGTCGGATATTTTTATTGCAGTAACAATATTTGATTGTGCCTAGAGCCTAAGCCGTGTCCATTGCGCGCCATTTTGTGTATATCCGTGTTGCTCGCAACAACGAGCGAGGCAGCGCGGTCCTGGGGTGCTCTGTCCAGCGGCGGCCAGGCTACACGAGCGGGGCATAGCAGACGCTATCTCCGTCCTCTGGCGGGGCTGCTGCGTTGGATCGGGCCATTTGTAGAGGCAAGTTAGCGCTACATCCAAACATCATTCCTACCCACTGTCTTTTCGACCACCCGGTGCCCCATCAGCCCCGGCGAGACGCCAACATGACGGCCTGCGTACGATGCCGTCTGAAGAAGAGGCGATGTGACCAGCAGAGACCGGTAAGTGCCGTCCTCCGAGCCCCAACGTGAGCTGCTCTTCCTCCGGCGCCACAGATGATCCTGACGACGAGTTATCCCCAGACGTGCCGGCTCTGCAAGCTTGCTGGCGTCGAATGCCTCGAGTTGGACAACGCGAGTCGGCAACCAGTGTCGAGGAGGTGCGTCACCCGGGGACTCATGCAGTCTCAGCCCTATGCTGAACTCGGCCGCCGCCCATAGACCTGCTCTGACGCACTTACTTTGTCTTCGAAGTCATATCCCTAGTCTGGAACGACGCATTGCGTTCTTGGAATCTAAGCTGGCTAAGAACGAAGTCGGAGATGCCTCCCGTGATGCAGAGTCTATCAGTGCACAACAGTCGCCATTGGATCTGTCTCCCACAGCAGTCCGTTCTCTGCATGGTGTGACGGATCCTATTGCTTCCAACCAATCAGGCCAGCTGCCAGCGCAGGCTGCGGATAGCGTTGTCAACAGCGTTGACCGGAGCCGGAGAGGATCTGGACAGAACGGTTCCTTCTCCCAAATCCTCCTGGCTGAATTGATGAAGTCCACGGATCATCCACGAGGGCTTGGTGACTTGCAAGACGACAAGGACGCCTGGGGGTTGCCAAATCCCCCTGACGTGGCCGATGATCAGAACACAGGGCCAGTCACACTCCCAAAACGAAAGACGGCCGAGACCTTGACCAAAGCATACTTCCACTTCACCACCTGCAATTTGCCGCTCCTGCATCGCCCAACTTTCCTTCAAATGATGGAGCTGGTATACTCGACGCCACAAGTCCTTCAATCCGGATGGCAGCCCGGGAATGTCTCTCGAGATGTCAACATTGCAATCTTCTTTGTTCTCGAAGTTTTGGCCATCACTCTCCTGCACATGCAGCGACAGGATCCCTCTCGAATGTCCATGTGGTTGGGGGGCCGTTACCACAAGCTGGCTTTGCAGTCCCTCAATGCGGCCTCTCTGCCAGACACCGTGGAGGGCGTACAAGCTCTCCTCCTCATCGCGCAGTATTCGTACTACCACCCAACCTTCTTCTCTGCGTGGAGAGCGGTGGGTGCCGCGCTTCGTCTCGCCGCAGAATTAGGGCTGCACTTGGATGACACTGCAACCGAGCTGGATCCTCTCACACGCGACATCAGGAGAAGGGTCTTCTGGGTGGCGTATTCCATGGATCGAAATCTTTCTACTACCATGTCTACCCCGACAGGCTTGTCGGACGGTGCTATTTCGGTAGAGGTAGGTATTCACGAATTCAGCTCGCTGGGACGTGAAGAACGACTCGCTGACCACAAGATGGCTTATTTCTCTCCAGTTTCCTGCTGAGGCTGCCGACGAGTGCATAACCCATGACGGAATTCTACCAGGTGAAGCACCCTGGGACAAGCGCTTTGCCCTCCACATGTTCCGCTACCGCCAGATCCAGTCAGAACTGCGCACAATGCTCTGGGAGCGCTTCCCGTCTTGCGTCCAAGTGGACCTACGAGCCTGGCAGGAGCAGATGCGCGACCGCATTGATACCTGGTACCAGAGCACCCCGCTCGGCAACGATCTCGACGCAGCAGAGCAGAAGATCCTCGAGACCCTCGAGGTCACACACCGCACAGCCATATTTCACCTGTACCGCCCGTCTCCAAACATCCCGTCCCCTGACGGGCAGCAGGGCGTCGCCATGGCGCAGGCGGCGATCAAGGTGGTTGAGCTGTACGAGCGGTACTTCCGGCGGCATATGCTTTCGATATACTGGCGGTCGATAGAGAACATCTTCTTGGCAGGCACCGGATTGTTGCTGGCGTATGCGCAGTTTCCGGCGGTCCGGGAGGTCATAGACTTTGCCTCCCTGGAAGCTCACGTGCATACCTGCGCATCGCTTCTGTGGGGAATGGTTGAGAGATTCCCCTCGTTCCAGGGAAAACGCGATGCCTTTGACGAGACGGCCAAGAAGGTGTTAGAAGAACTTAGGAAGGCACGGACTGAAGTCGAGACTGGTGATTTTGGTGCTGGAAGGAGCACCGACTTAGACATTGGGCCATCGACATTCCAGGCTGGTCTCGATGACCACGGGGGCATCAACCATGGCCACATGGATCAGAGTGATCACCACCATCTGACAGCGCCGTGGCTTCAAGGCGTCGGGCTTGATGACCACCTGACGCCTTTCTACCCAAGTCAAGGAGATCTCTTCTCGTTCCAAGATTTCGATATTATGGACTTCATGGACAACTCTTTCGTCACGGACTCAAACCCAGATGCACACTTCTCGACTCGTTGAGAACGATGGGAAGCGGTGCTAGCTCAATCTACTACTATCGGGGATTTGATCATGATCTGGGGTTGTATACTCGAAGGGGATGGACAACATGCCGTATTGAACCGCTGATTGTGCACTCACTGTGTCATTTTGTCCGCAACCAAGCCAATGATATGTCCGTCTGCGATCATGACATGAGAAGCGAATCACAAGGCTGATAGAGAAAGCGACAGCATTTTTTTCCGCAGGTGTCCGCGGCAACTGACGCCAGTGCTCAAGCACTATCCCTCCAGCAATGCCCGAAATGAAACACAGGAATCCTTGTGATCAGGCATTGCTGATGTCAAGAGAGAAGCACGCTTATTATTTACAGCAGCCGGGTGGCTCGGACCGCGGCTGCCCACTTTCAGCGCACGTACGCGCCGGGTACTCCGAACCAGATGGAAGGGCGCCGTTTCGGGGGAACGCGCCGATGAAAGCGCAGGGCTGGATAAGGCACACGCTAGGGTCAAAATGTTCTCGAATCAGGGCGTGCAGCAAGTGGGCCAAGGTCCGTGTGGTTTTTGACTTTGCTGCGACAGGGGCACCCTTGTCAGGCAGCGAGTTGGTTGTGTTCCTTGCGGGGGACATTTCAGCTGGTCTATGAACATGCTCCGGTAGCGTACGGTTCTGATTTCACGGTAGGACGATATGGTCGCATGTACGGCAGCCTTTGCCATTCCAGGAACGTACTCCTACGTATGGACCGCCACATACGACGAGAGCGTCAGCCATTGAGGCAGTTCCCAAGTTAGCTAGCGTGCCTTACGACAAGCCCGCTAAGGATGCAGGACTCTGCACGAGATGAGGCCATCGACAGGGGCTATCCATGTCGGGGCTCAGCCCGCCTCAGGGGCTCCATAATACTGGATGTCAACTGTCATCCAGCGCGGACCCTTGGCGGTCCGTCCCAGGACAAATGTGCAGTTCTGGTGCCTGAAGTCAGACCTGCATGGATAAGGATCCCTGTTATCTGTCACAATCACGGCAAACCAGGCGAGGTCAGCGTTGTCTGACACCCCCACTCCTGATTCCTGTTCCCACCAGGGTCCGGTGTCCCTGACGCTCTGCGACCCTTTATGAGCCGTCGTTGTCCGTCCAGGTCACGCTCGCGTCACCTCTGTGATTGTTTTCTTGGACTTTTGCTAGCCGCCAACCTCCGACCACCAGTCATTCCTTTGTATTCTCCTGTGGCGGAACCGGGAAGCCCAGATCACGCTCTCTTCGCTGTCGTCCTTGCGCGTGCCTTTGGACAAACAAACATGTTGTTCTCAAATGCCCTCTCGCGAACCCTGCGACTCGCGGTGATCGCGATCGGCACTGTCCCCTCAACGACGGCCCTTCCCCAGCCGATCCTCACAAATCCAACCACCACGACCACCACAACACGATCGGCCATCCAACCCCGCAGTCAAGGCATATGGGAGACAGAACTGCACCAGATCCCCCGCGGGCCGCGACAGGGCCACGCCGTCACGGCCCTGGGCCTCGAAGTAGTCCTCCTCGGCGGCACCACCCTCTCCGGGGGCAAAGACACGACGCCCGCACCCCTCGTCGAGGCCTACGCTCCCCTGACGGACAGCTGGCGCCGCCTCGCGGACCTGCCGACGGCCATGACGCACACAAACGCCGCCTCGGTGCACGGCAAGCTCTACGTGCTCGGCGGGATGACGGGCACCAAGGGCGTGCTGAGCCCCACGAGCGACTCGTACAAGTTCAGCCCGTTTGCGAACCGCTGGGAGCGGATCCCGGACCTGCCGCCCGCGACGAGGCGGGGCGCGGCCGCGGTGGCGGCGTGGAAGGACATGATTGTCGTGGCGGGCGGGGTCAAACACCTCAACATCTTCACGGGCGCGCAGACCACATCGAACAAGGTCTCGGCGTACAACACCATCACCAAGGCGTGGCTCGCGTACCCGGACCTGCCGGACGGCGGCAGAGATCATGCCGGCGGCGCGGTGTGGAACAACACGTTCTACCTCGTCGGCGGCCGCATGGGCGGGAGGAGCAATGTCAAGGCGGATGTCTTTGCGCTCGACCTGAAGACACCCGAGGCCGGGTGGAAGAAGAAGGCGAGCATGCCGACTGCCCGTGGGGCTTTCGCGCTGGTCGAGCTGAACGACAAGCTGTACGCTTTCGGCGGTGAGGTATCCAAGGGCGATAGGGATGCCCAAACGGAGGCGTTTGGGTCCATCGAGGTGTACGATCCGCAGACGGACGAGTGGGAGGTGCTGGACGAGATGCCCTTGCCCAGGCATAGCACAGGGGCGGGAGTGGTACTGGGGGAAATCTACATCCCAGGGGGTGCAGACGCCGTTGGTCCCGGGACAGCGACGAAGACGATGCAGGGATATATGCCCGGAGGCAGGGTGAACGGCGAGCTGTAGTTCATGCTCGGGGAGATATTCGTGCTATGGATAATGATAATGTGACTCAAGGCAAAAATGACTTTCTTATTGCACCGTTATGTGCCGGTCCCAAGCTCACAAAGACGCTCTGACACTCGTTTGGGTCTACACAAATTGCTACGCCACAAAGCTAACAGCCACATACCCTTCCATCGGCAGTCTCCTATTCGCACAACTCTAGAGTCTGCGCATAGTACGGCTTGAGCCATTTCTTGGTCAGCTCTTCACTCCCACGCCTGACCTTGACCCCTCGTGGCGCTGCAATTTTCTCCTCGATACGATCCAACCACTCCTTCTCAAAGACGCCCACAAACTCGAGCGCGTTCAAGCTGGGACACAAGGGCACTACGTCCTCCAAGAAACCCAGCAACCCAGGCTGCGCAAAGTACAGCGCCATCTCATGATCCCGTCTCGGCAAGAAAGAACCATAATCGCTGGTCTGCAGCACAATCTGCATCACCTCGAGCTCACCCAGCATGGAAAACGCCGCGCGATAACCAGGATTCCCGTCTCGGATCAGCGGCCAGGCCAACAGCAGACACGCAGGGCTGCATCTCTGATCCCTCGAGCACGACCGGCGTATTTCACGCATGTGCCACGTCATGCGCACGCTCTTCACACTCCCGTCGCACTGGAGGTACGTGGGCATGGCAGTGCGCACAAGGGCACTGGCCACGTCGATATCCTCGCGAGACTCAAGGTATGGGTGGATCCAGTCGTTGATATGGACTGATATGGTCTGGCGAAGGAAAGGCAAGACCTCTTTATAGATTGTGTGACACGTCAGGGCTAGCGGTGGCGTTGGCAAGTTCCTGCACTGCGAGGACGGAATATATGGCCTGTCACTGCCAGAGGAGCAGCGTGGCGCTTGCCGTTGCTTTCGGTGGTGGTTGTGTTTCCTGGCGACGACTTTGAGCGGAAGCACGCCTCGTTGGATCCAGATGTGCGCGTAGATGTCGTAAATCATGCAGCGAATCTCCGGAGGCAGGCGGAGGAAAGAGAAAGACGCCGGTTGCAGAGCATAGGAGTTTTGGTCCTGGTACGTGCGCTGGGACTGTTCCAGTTTTGGAGACCCCCGTGTTGAGTACGCTGGGACGGGCATGTTGGCTGGCTTGTTGTTTTCGCGAACACTTCCGAACACGCACGTCAATGTTACCGATGAGATGCATGTCACTGGCTGATTCGACGAAGGATATAGAGTCCTACTTGACTTTCGATCTATGTTACAGTCCGCAATCTAAGGCATCGTTTGCTGCCTGATCGTTTTGCCTAGATGTGCAAAGTGTTTGGGTTTGCTAATATCGTTCGTGTCATATTGCAACATCTTGAGGCAATCTGCGGAGGTCTGGGGCATTTCTGTCTACAGTTCATGTCCTTGCATGCTGCGTGAAGGATGGAAAAATCTTCCACTGCTAGGTGAATCCAAACCAGCTAAGGACGCAGGACTGCAGCTCACCTCCATGGATGTTCATCAGACATATCATTCCTCACTGATTGGATGCCTTCCCGACAAGAAGGACCGTTAATGCATCGAAAGATGTAATTTCACCTAAGTCATCATGTTTGACCAGCGGTTTGCTGAATTTTCGTAGATTCAAGAAGGCCCTATGTCCTAAACCCCCAAGCTCCAGTACTTGTTTGTGGTAGCCATCTTCATAACGTTTGCAACGTTTTATGCAGCATATCACTCCCACAGAAACGACAGCAAGCTCACCATTCCAACCGGACAGCCCCCGCCACCACCTGAAAACTCCAGTCGTCTTCGGTGAGACACGGGACATTTGTTCAACAGGTACGCACACCGACTGGCATCGCTTGTCTACGTTCGACAGACGCACTAACCCCCCATGACGATGGCATCTGCGTGGCCATGTTCGACAAGCCGGGCTGCACAGCGCATACATATGAAGATTTGTAGCAGTGCCTTTTCGGTTGCCTGCAGCTGCAGGAGCTGCTCAAACTTGGATCCTCGAAGGGCGTAGATCCATTTGTCAGCTCGAGGGTCGCCACACTCGGAGTAGGCTGGCAAGGCTTCAACAGATATGTGGAATGACGAGTCTCCGGGGAAGGGGTAGAATGGGGAGATGCGAAAACCACCAGCCCTCGAGGAGTCAGTTAGGAAACCTTGGTCTTCGGAATGACCACAAGCCGCCGGGATTTTGGCACGATACAGCCCCCTGATGGCATCGTTCATGCTCAACCTCGAGCTTCGTTGGGTATCAAGTCCAACTGACGTCTGGATGACAATGGCGAACTCTATCAGGTCTGCAGACATGAATGCTCTCAGTGGCCCCGGTTGGTAATGGGGCGTGATCAGAGTGCCAGGTGCGACTTTGGCCGTCGTTCCCAATCTGTCAAGTTTGATGCCAGTCGCCTGGAGGTGCTGCCTCCTCTGCACTTCCAAGATCAAGTGTCGCAACGATCCTCCTATGCTTGCCCTGCCCGAGGCAATAGTAATTGCGCGGCCTAGATCGTCGAAGCAATCATCCTGGAGTAAAGAAGTGTAAAAACCAGTATAGCTACCTCCAGAAACGCCAAGAATATTGTACTCGGTGCTTCCGTTAATCTGTCCGAGGCCAACGAAATCGTTGTTGTTGCATAATAGTCGAGCAAACTTCGTGAACAAGGGATCGCTAAAAGTGGAGGGAACCTCGATCTCCTTGGCAAAGTCATCCGAGCTTGAGAGCCTGTGAATGCCCCATGCGCTAATCCAGGTGGTCTCTGCGTTATAGCAACACCGTGCCAAATACCACACTAGAGCTGAGAAGCTATTGATGATGCGTCCGACCTTGAGGCAAAGGCAGTCGTTCTCGGTCATGATAGCAGTGCCTATATCATCATCAGGCAGCTTGTCGCCGCTCGACTCATGCTTCTCGAACCCATGAATGGAACACATGGATTGAAGGGTCAATGCTGCCCCCGTACCAACATATTTCAGCGCGGGATGTGGCCACCGCTGAACTTGTTTGGTCGTGTACGCTCTCGCCTTGTCGATGTCACCTTTGATGCCAATGCTCTGCAGTGTCTGCTTTAGCGCCTTGAAAGGATTGAACATGTCCAAGCTTGAATCTTGTGGCCGTGGCCCATATTGCTTCTTTTTCTGGATGCAGCGGGCGGATAGCCGCACAATAGCATCATGAATTGACTGTTGAGTCTCCGGCCCAATTTCCGGTAGAAAGCCTAGCTCGGCCTCTAGGGCGTCTCGGAGCAGATACTCCACGTCCACGCGTTTGCGCCTTTCTCGGCTTGTCGGCGCCATTAACAAAAGACTACCGCTCCGGTTGCTGCAAGCCATTGCTGTACTGTCCGAGCCCTGTGGCGCTACCTGCAGAGTCACCTTGCCGTTATCACCGCCGCTTGCCCATAGGATGTGATCGTCACAGACCAGCTCGACCGACATGCCTAGCAGATGACTCGCAAAAGCCGCCAGCCAGGCGCCTCGCTGCTGTGGTACTAGGTAAAGGGTCTCGGCCCTCTCCGATGTAAAAACGAGTTGCCTGATAGCACTCGCCAGTGTCTGCGGATCACCAATAGAAGTGAGATCGACCGGAATCTTCTTCCTGAGCCTGACAACCTCGTGGGACGCAGAAGTCGTAATATGCTGGAGAACTTTTACGAACCCGAGTTCGTGGACCATCGGGGCAATATAGACTATCATGGTCTTGAGGACGTCGACGTTGGCTAGCTGGTCTGCTGCGCAACCATAGATGGTTAAAAGTTCCGAGAGGCACTGTGCGGCGTGGAACCTGGAAACGCCTGACGCGAGGGCACCGATGAGGAGGAGGGCGTTGGCGCCGGCCTTTGTCCGCGACATTTCGACGGCGATGCCAGCGTGGCCCCACCCGATACTCAGTACCTTTGCCAGGAACCCATTAGCACCCGGCATGGCCTTTAGTTGTGCGTGTACGGTGGTCTGCAGTGCACTGCGAAAGGGCAGCTGTTTGCTGAGCCAGATGGAGGCGGTGACTGCGTAGAGGTCGACGCCGCCATCGCTGAGCGCCTTGAGGATGCGGCCGGTCAGGAGGTGCGCGAGGCTGGCTGTGCTGACAACGTCGGCCTGGAACCCAAAGCCCACTTGGTTGTCGCTTGAAGACATTGTCGGCTTGCTTGAGTGGGGTGGCTGCTGTTCAACTTGTTGGCTCAAATGAAACCACTGTGGCAACGCGTTAGATTGCCAGCAGGATGAGATGAAAGGCATATAGGCAAGGCATATAGACAAGGCATCCTGTGGAGGTCTTTGCCAAAGATATGTTCCTCACACCGCTCGACGCACCGACTCCATGCAAACGACCAACACCAAAGCGAGGCATCATTTCCCCCGTTGTTGCAGCGCAAGACATAACCCACAGGAAAAGGTGTCTCTCTGGTGAGACACCGATGGATAAAGACGGCGACGCAGACACGCGAGCATGCAGCTACCCTTAACGGGACCACCGGCTGCGTATCTGTGGCATTTGTTGCCAGTGCCATGATTGAAACTCGTTCCTGCAGTGTTTGTACTCTATGTGGAAGCTACAAACGCCGCAATACAGGACTTGAGTTTCTGTTAGGCTGCAAAAAGCTGTCTTCCTTTCTCGGCAGTGTGGCATTCTGTGGTGAAGGAATCATTCAAGCCTCGCTGGAGAAGATCTCAAGAGGTCATATAGGCCCTCGAAACCTTATACCCAAGGCGAAGGTAGAAAAAAGACAATCTCTCCATCAGGGAGGAATCTGTATTTCTCCAGCTCTCATATGCCTCCAGGGCTGTCTCGATATGCCAATGGACCAGGGAGGAACAATGTCACCCATCTTCTTGTGTCCGAGCTCGATACTACAGGGGTCCATATGTGGACCTCAGCTCGCCTAAAGTCGACCAAAACTCGTTGACAAAATCCTCTTGCTGCTTCTGGCCCGTCCGTCTGCCACTGACTTCGCCCAGGGCTGGTCTGACAGCAAGGTACCGCCTGTTATCAACTGGCGGCTGCCAACCTCCTGGGTGCCCGTCGACCATGATCCCACCGGCTTCCTCGAGTATGCACCACGCCGCCGCCACATCCCAGGCCCAGCATCCACACTCCCAAAACGCCTCCTGCTGTCCCGAGGCTACTCTACAGATGGCCAGAGCCGCACTGCCGACACAACGCAGAGAATTCACAAAGAGCCCGCCCGTATGTTGTGTGCGCGCCAGAGTCGTGAACACTTTTAGATTCATGTCGAAGTTCGGCCCCTGCCGGTCGCTGCCGAACTCGATGCCGATACAAGCGCCGCGAAGGCCGTCTGCAGAGAACGGCGCCGGGAAACGGGGCAACTTCACTGCTTGTGCCTCGTGGCATATGTCGGTGTTGTCCTTACCATCTTGGACCCTCGCGTGGGTGCGGGAGTAGTATGCGCCGTTGCCCTTGATGGCTGTCCATAGCTCTCCGGTGAAGGGATTGTGCACAACGCCAACCGTGGGCTTACGGCTGACCACAAGGCCGATCGACACACAGACCTCGGGCAGACCGTGGACGAAGTTCGATGTGCCGTCGATGGGGTCTACCACAAAGGTCGGCGCGTTGGTGATGCGGTCGAGACCAGCCTTGAATGATTCTTCGCCGATGAACTTGATGCTTGGGTACCATTCTAACAAATACCAGCGAATAAGCTCTTCGGAAGCTTGGTGGGTCTCGGTCACAATATCGGCAGCTGCCAGAACTTGGAGTCAGTACTGAAACTGCTTGGACGTCATTTGCAGGGACTGCTCTCCAGTAATTTCGATGCAGTTTACACTGACTGTTCTTCTTGCATGTGATCGCACTGGTTTGCCGGTTGTCGAGTCCAGTCGTTCGTGCATTTCGGATGAGGCCGCCTGCCTTCAGCGCAACCTTTGTCAGGTTGGCGCAAAGTTCGTGCAAGTCGAGCGTAGCTGCCATCTCCATGACGAAAATCCTTGGCTTGACAGCTAGCCCGCCATCCTGAAATCGAAGTTATCATAAGGGATATTTATTCGTAGACTGAAACATGCTTCTAGCGTCTAGAGAACTCGACAACGTGCTGGTCAGGGGGCCTGCCCGTGTTCGGGCAGAGGTTAATCTTTGGCGCTCGCTTCGCTCGGCTAAAGGGGATATTGGTCCGCTATGGTGGAGCCACACCTTGTTCTCCGTGCGGAAGAAAACTGACCTGGAGTGGACCTCCGCTGCTCGCTTTCCTCGCCTCCCTCGCCTGATGCCCCTGCCCTGCACATGCGTCTATTCAACTCCAGTTGTGCTTCACCGCGGATGGATCGATTGCGAACACCGGGATGGAGCAGTCAACGCAGTCTGCCGTGCCTGGACAGCCCTACCGGGGACGAGTCAGGAGCGGCTGCTTGACCTGCCGATCTCGCAAGGTCAAGTGCGACGAGGGGAAGCCCGTGTGCGCAAAGTGCAAGCGATTGGACCGCCAGTGCGTCTACAAGCCTCGAAAGGCTCAGATACGCGAACACACCGACATATCGGCCCGACAAAGTGCGGACGGGGACGACCTCACGATCGCGGCGGCTGAGGAAGGCAACACAGCGCAGGCCCTCTTGTCGTTGCACCATCACGTCGAGGAACAAAGTCTCAGCTTGGCCACGCCGCCCTCGATTCGGACTATTATTCAGGACTACACAGCCAGTCCAGCCTCGACAGCCGGAGCTGATTCAGTCACAACATCCCAGAGCAGCCGCACACAGTCCAGCACCCACCACCGCGATCCCCCTTTACTTGCCAGTCCATCGTCGTCCCATGTCACTGCGCAGCTCGAACAAGCGCTTTGGCGCAACCGCCAGGATGTCCGCGCCCGGAGATTCCCCTCCGGGACCGACGGTCCCCATGGCGATATCGAGTCTCCATCGGCCCTGATCTCGCGGGACATTGAGCTCACGACCACGATGGATCTCATCACTGCCCGGGGAATATCGGACGCAGCTGGATCAAAGTTGACCATCCGATCCCCTTCGACAGACTTCTTCCTCCGGCATGTGGACTGTCCGGGAATCACGCCGTTCGACCCAGTAAATTGGGCAGCTGCGAAACGTCGTGCCGTCAAGATGGCCGAGACATCACATGTGGCAGCCGAGGCCATTGCAGCAGTCTGTGCAGTCTACAGAGCACAGCTCTATGCCGTCTCCATCCCTGGCGCAAAGCCGCTCTACGAATCGGCAAGGCAGCTACTACGTAGCATGGTCGCGGGCAGCCCAGCATCTGCAGCACACCACGACGAAGTACTCATGGTCTCGTTCTTGTTGTGCCTCGCGGAGCTTGTCCACAACGAAGGGCCATTTGAAGAGCAGAGTGGCCCGGTATTGAAGGTGTGCGATATCCTTGCAGCGAGGCTCGAGGGATGGTTAGAGAGCGGCAGCCCCATTGCCTTGACACCGCTCTCGACGAGGCTAGTGGCGTGGCTGCGCATCATACATCGCATTACCCTGCGGGGAGGTGGGACAGGGCTCATTTCTGACCGTGTTTATGGCGTGCTGTGTAGATTACATGGTGAAGAAGGCCCTGTACATCAGCATGGGCCAGTTCATTCAGAAGCGGGAACCGACGCGCTCATGCGTCAGACAATTTCTTCAACCCTCCCTTCGCCTCACCTGATTCTGCCAAACCTCGAAGCAGACGATGACACTTCCCCCGAAGACATGCTGCACCAGGCTCTCAGTGGGCCATTATTCGAGTTCTACTACCGCCTACAGCTCCTCTCCGGTCACGTTGCCCGGCTCACGCACTATCACCGGTCCCGCATCACCGCCGACGACCAGGATGCTGTCGCCGCCTGCATCGCGTCGATCAGGGTCCGCCTTCACAATCTCTGGGCGACGACACGCACGGGTGACATCGGCAAGATGACCACCTGCGGCCTCGACGCACAAGCGCTGCGTTCCCAGCTGGCGCCAGACGTAGGCGCGCGGCTCGTGCTGCTGATGCGCCTGTGTGAGGCGGCGTATCATGCCGAGATTGTAGAGCTCGATCGCGTCCTGGGAGATCCGGTGCAGATGTACAGTAGCGAGTCGAGGGCCTCTGTGAAGGCAATCATGGCGCTGGTGAGTGCTGCCATGGAAGAGGCACAGAGCGGCTTTCGCTATCATGGGTCCATCCGCGTGTGCCAGGATGGAGCGCACGGCAGATATCTGACTTTAGCCGAGCAACGGCCTGATATCGTGGAAGATAGCAAGGCGCGACTGAGTGCCGGCTTTCTGCGGCCCCTGTTTCTGTGCGCCATCGAAACCATCGACGATGCCGGACAGACGGCGCAGGCCGTGAAGAGGATGTCTGAGATTGGCGACCCTGTCTATCGGAGCGACTTCTTCGCTGCTTTTGGTCAGGCGTTGGCTGAGACTCAGCAGCGCAAGGACAGAAGAGTCACGTCTCGGTACTTTTGTCTTTGGTTCTTTGGCATATCGCCGCCGTTCATGTAGTCCAGTTTTGGCCAAAGTAATTAGTGACTCTTGTATGCTGGAGAACCCTAGTGCGAACGCCACGCACCCTTTTGTTCATCGTTGAGCCCTCAAGTCGAAACCCCGCCATCAAGTGGGCGTTCTAGCTTGGTAAAGCCTCCCTGCCTGTCTTATCTTGAGCCGACGCCATATCTGGAAGCGAGCGGCGGATTTCCTCCACACCAGGTAGTCGGTAGTCTCCACACATCGCCCCTGGGGATCCCCCTCAAAACCCTAGCGCATCAACATAAAAGCCAAACGACACGGGCAGGTCGAGGATGAAGTGATGACAGGGACAACCGCCACTCATATGCGCCTCAGATTGCTTCTGCTTCTCTATTCTCTGCACACCATCGACACTCTCACTGTAGCCTCCTGAAGCCCGAGCCTTGCCGTCTCCCTAGGCCCGCATACCTATTCACGCCCTCCTCTCCATAATGGGATCGGTAGCAGAAAATCCAGAGCGGCCAGCGTACCCCACCGGCGTGCCCATCAAATTCACCCCAGAAGGCGAAGCAGTCCGCTACCCTGGCAACACCACCGTCTGCCACATTGCGCCCGATTCACCCTTGCAGCCAGCTCTCCAGCTGGTCCACGACACCATTGCCACGCACCCGACCCTCTTCAGAATCTTCCGCCTCCTGCCCCCAGAGTCGTGGCACATGACCGTCTTTGACGGCGTGCGCGAGATCGAGTGCGAGCCCAACATGTGGCCAGTGGGCAAAGGCAAGCTCCCCGTGGACGAGTGCACGGCCATCTTCGCGCCCAAGCTCCGTGCGCTAGGTACGCAGCTGGAGAGGGAAGGCCTGGCGCCGCCCTACCGGATGCGCGCGCGCGGGTTTCTGGATGTCGAGGCCGTTTCGGGCCTGGGGTTTGCCATCTACGGCGCGACAGAGGAAGAGGAGAAGAGGGTAAGGCGGCTCAGGAACATGCTGGCGGACACGCTCGGTTTCCGGGCGCCGAATCACTACATATACCCGTTTCACGTGTCTGTCGCGTACATGCTGCGGTGGGCGGAGGGCGACGATAGGCAGGAGATGTTCAGAGTGCTTGATGACTTGGCCGTGAGGACAGAGGTCGAGTTTGAGCTGGGTGCTGTCGAATTCAACACGTTTGAGACGATGCTTGCGTATCCGAGGCTGTTCTTCCTCGGCGAAGCTGAATAGAAAACTTATCTTTGTCGGCTTGAGTCCCTGTTCCGCAGCCACATATTCAGTGTTGACTCTGTGCGGCACTCCCATGTGTTGATCATCAGTAAATTGTGTAATCTGGTGATGAGATGTGCGGCTGCGGGCATATCGACCACGCTGTCAGGAGCCGCTGGTCCCGCCACTAATGACACACGACAACACGGCGTGCAAGCTGCCAGGGCCGTCAAGCATACGTCTAGTTATCGGCCGGCTTTCCGGTGCATCTTCAGCTTGTTCATACCTCCACGGTTGAGTTAGTCATATGCAATTTGAAATGATCAGACCAGGAACTTGTTCTCTGGCATAGCTTGTTATCGGATCGAGATGCCGGCGTGGGCAAAAGCCGCAGGTTGGCTAGTGTGGGACGCACCGGAGACTCTCTGGTTCAATTTTGGAACTACACTTCGGCACCCCGCGCGGAACCCAAGGGCGGGGACATCGCAGGCCGATTACGGCACGGCATTCAGCTTGTGCTTGGGGACCGCTGCCGATGCCTGTCCTCGTGGCAAGCTCTTGTCGGACCGAGGCGTGAAGCAGTGAATTACCAAAGGAGCCTGGACGACCGGTTCGCTTCCAGATAAGCCCGCACGATGCGCTCGGCTATAGATAAGACGCCACCGTTCACCCGACGGCCGGACCAGCTTCCCCAGAAAAGCTTGTCAGGCACGGGGTCGAAGCCGGGGCCGTGAGTGGCCCGTCTGGGGATTCCAGAACTGCTCCACGAATTGGGGGCGTCCCTCAGCCAATGCGGCTTAACGATCCGTCCGCAAGGGGAACCCTTGCCGTTCGACGTGCACAGTGCACATGACGACGGCTTGCACGCAGATGGCCAGACTTCACGATCGGTATATATAGAGTATCTCGCGACATGCCCTTTCACTCGGAAATAGCCAGCCAGCACCGCCAGCCTCAGCACGACCAACCAGCACAACTATCACCAGCCCGCCGATGCCAGTCCCGGAAATCACATCTTCCAGCACCGGCCCAGACATGACCACGGCCACGGCAGATAAGGACGACGTGGCCATGGTGGCCTCCCATGTCTCCGATGCTCCCCAACCGCGTGAGGCTGCCGTCATCCTAACCGATGCGCAGGAAGCCGCGGTCGAGGAGAAGCAGATGACCCTGCGCGAGGGTCTGCGTGTCTGCCCCAAGGCCATCTTCTGGAGCCTTGCCATGTCGACGTGCATCGTCATGGAAGGCTACGATACTTTTCTGCTCGGCAACCTGTACGGCCAGCCAGCGTTCCGCAAGCAGTTTGGCGTCCTCATCTCAGCGGCCACAGATACGTACGAGATCCCTGCCCAGTGGCAGGCTGGGCTAGGTAACGGCTCGTCTTGCGGCCAGCTTATTGGTCTTCTGCTCGGCGGTTACTGCAGCGAGCGGTTTGGTTTCCACCGCACGGCAATCGGTAGTCTGGCAGTCATCACGTGCCTGATTTTCATGCAGTTCTTCGCACCAAGCCTGCCAGTACTTCTTGCGGGCATTGTCCTCTTTGGTGAGTGTCTCGCAAGTCCATATCTGGGGCCTGGCGCCAGTGCCAGGGTCTCCAAGGAAACCAGAGCATTTTTACTGATTTGTCTTTTCATGCGTGCTTAGGCATTCCACTCGGTATGCTGCAGACGACTCCAATCATTTACGCCCAAGAGGTGGCTCCCGCTGTGCTTCGACCATACTTGACAACCTACGTCAATATGTTCTGGGTAAGAAAGAACTCGTCGCTGTCATTATGGCTAGAACCGTACTGAACAAAGCATCGTCCAGGCCATTGGCAAGCTGGTCGGCTCAGGTGTCCTTCGCGGTACTCTTGCCATACAAGGCGATCTCTCCTGGCGCATTACTTTTGCAATCCAGTCAGTCTTACTCCATCACTCAGGATCCATTTAATTAAGTGCATTGGTTCCCTGGCCGCAAGCTCTGACAAGTAACAGATGGCTCTGGCCTGCAATTCTCATCCCACTTCTATGTTTTGCTCCCGAGTCACCATGGTGGCTCGTCCGCAAGGGCCGCCTAGCTGACGCACGCGGCGTGCTCGAGCGGCTCACGACCAACACGAGCAGGGATGATGCATCCGGTCAGAGCACCCACAAGGCTGTGGCCTTCAACCTGGACAAACAGGTAGCCCTCATGCTCGCCACGACCGAGCACGAGCGCGCAGTCCTCGCCCAGACATCCTACGCAGCGTGCTTCAAGGGCGCCAACCTGCGCCGCACACTCATTGTGATTGGCATCTACTGCGTGCAGGTCCTCAGCGGCAACAATCTGCGCTCCAACTCGACATATTTCCTCCAGCAGGCTGGTCTCCCGACATCCATGTCGTTCAACATGACCATTGTCAACAATGCGCTTGCTCTCACTGGAGGTCTCTGCACTGTAGGTCACGTCTCTATCTCCTTTAGCCTGGCTGCCTTTCTCCCCCCGGTTTCTCCGTACCACAACCATGTTAAACATTGAGATCTAGTGGATATTAATCCCCATCTGGGGCCGCCGCCCGATCTACCTCTACTCACTCGTCATGATGTTTGTCATCATGATCCTGATCGGCGGCCTGGGTGTGCCCCAAGCCCCCCCCCGACAAACACCAACATGTCTTACTCATGGGCCATCGGCGCGCTCCTGATCGCCTCGAGCTTCCTGTACAACTGCTCCATGGGCACGCTGACCAACACGCTGTGCACCGAGATCCCGTCGACGCTGCTGCGCTCCAAGTCGGTCGTGCTGGCCCGGTGGTGCTACTCGGTCATGGCCATCGCGGGGGGGTCCCTCACGCCGTACCAGCTCAACAAGTCGGCGTGGAACTGGGGCGCCAAGACGGGCTTCTTCTGGGCCGGCGGGTGCCTGCTCGGGGCAGTGTTTGCGTTCTTCTTTGTCCCCGAGACCAAAGGCCGGCCGGCCGCGGAGATTGATGTGCTGTTTGAGAACAATGTGTCTCCTAGGCGGTTCTCTGAGACGCCGGTGCGGATCGCGGAGGCGCTGGACGAGGGGGATATCGTCAAGGCGGTGTGAGCCCGTCTACAGAGTTGGGCAACGGGACATCGTCTTTTGTCTGAGAAGAATTGGAGGGCAGGGAGGACGGGAATGGGGGAAGCCATGGGAGCTTGCAATGCCCGGTGCCTCGACATGTCGTTACATTACCTTTGACACTCGACAAGATTTTCACACTTGCTCAAAGTATAGACCGGGGGGTAGGGGTACGATTGGAATCGTCCCGACTCTGTACTATTCTCGTCAAAACATAGACCAGCAGATGAACGCCACAAGACCTCTCGGAGACATATCAGCTCAAGTCACGGCGTGCTGACAAACTACCCTAAGCCACTTACGGCAACTCGTAAAAGAGCTGAAAACATGCACATTGATCAATGCCTCCCCCCACGTGGCGATCCTCCACAGAATGGTAAGCTCACTGTCGCTGGCAAGCGGGTGCTGCATCCCACGTCATCTTTGAACCTCCCCCACACCTGAATAGGGTATGCTTGCGGCGCGTAATTGGCCCGTTTTGGGGATGCCTGTCAATCTCGATATCCAAGGAACGTCCAAGGACTGTAATCCTGAATTACCCCACCAGGGATTTTGTGAGAGCGGAATTATGCAGTCCTGGGTTCCACTCGCGCGCGGGTGCAGGATCCCAGAGCATGTAGACAGCCTTACAGGGCCTGCCTGCTTGTGCCATGGCAGGGAGGAAGCCCCCCCCTTCCCCTCGACCCTCAGGTAACCACTCTGCGTCTACTATTCGACACACGCGCATGCGAGCATGTGTCAGCGCCCTCTCACGCGGGCTGAGGCTGTGAATACCAGAAACGGCAGGGCGTCAGCGTTTGGACATGGTGCGTCTGTGTTGCAGCGGGTGGTTCGAGCGGTCCGCGGGGGGGATTCTTGGCGAGGTGTGTGCGCGTGTTGGGCGGCCGAATTGGGAAGCAATTCTCCGCCTGAGCGGCCCGCGAGGGATGAGGTGGCATGTCACATGCCATCCTTAGGACGAGCTGGCTGTTTCTGCGCCAAGTCACCCCCTGGCCGGATGAGGGCTGAGGATTCTAGAATTGTTGTTTGTGCCAATCTGACTGGAACGTGCATCTCGTTGATGTAGAGGCCGTAGATAATGTGGCCGACTGTGGGCATTGAGACGTGAGAAGAACGGGGACTTCTGTCGGGCTGGGAGGGACTCAGGGTCGATGGCCTCAGAGGCCAGAGTCGACAACGACAAAGTCCCGCCATGAGATGCCAATTGTAGCGGTTAATCCCCTTGATTTCATCATGGGTTATCTGGTGATAATTGAAGTGTTCGGAGATCGTATCTGCGGCAACCAATGGGGCCAAAAGGGCCTAGCATGAAACGGGGCAAAAGGTCTGGGGACTGGCGGCAGGATGGTTGCACCGGAGGCGCTTGCGGGCGTCCAATCCCACGACTCGCCTTAGCAAACCATCTCGGCAGTCCTGCTCGGGACATGGTCTCATCCCTGCAGACCGCGGCTGGCTACTGCCGGCCAGGGTGGTGGGGGCTGTTGGCTGCTGACCGCATGGTTCCTGGGCGGAACGTCGGCTCTACTCCACAGCACAGCAACACTACCAAGATATGCCGTCGCTGGGTCTAATCAAAAGTTTTCATGGCTGCCTAAAGTTCAATCTTGAAAAAATCTTTCTATTACACGTCCTGATACTACCAGTACAAGGTTCGGTCCGGGAAACTGCACAAACAACGCGGGACAATGACTCATACCACACCACCTTGCCCCGACCTGTCAGACTAGCAACAAATTTGGCACAACAAAGCAGCACATTCATCGGTACGGCTGAACCTGTTCCTCCATCCACGCCCAGTACTGGTGGGCGAGCTCTGGGTCCTGGAGGTCCTTGCGCGCCGCTTCGATCTTGCCATACGGGGCGACTACAAACACATGAGGCATGTCGAGTCAGCACACATATGGTCGCCAGCAAGCGTGGGCCAATGATTTGCCTCGAGAGACATTTCGAGGCTAGAGAAGGAGAGAAAGAAAGGAGGGGAAACCGTGGGGTCGAAGACTTACTCCAACAGCCCTTGTGCTGCATTGTGATTGACTTGTCTAGCCCGGCAAAGAGCTCGGTGTACGCGCCCTTGATGGCATCGGAGGCGATACATTTCTGGCGAGGGCAACGGGGGTCAGTATACGGGCGCTGATATCGAGAGCTCAACTGCCACGAAGGAAAAGGAAAGCCGGTGACTTACAAAGAATGCGCCCATGAAGGGCGTAAAGTTTTGCTGCAAGTTGGTGACCAAGAACCCCGGGTGCATTGCCTACACAAATAGAATGACTCGTTAGCAGCCGTCCGTGTCTAATTCAGAGCATTGAGAGAGCGAGAGAGAAATCGCTAGTGAAAAAGAGTCAACTTACCACGACAAGCACTCCATCCTTCTCCCACCTCCGCGCCGCTTCGAGGGCATGCAGCGTCTGGCCGGCCTTGCTGCGGCGGTACTGGGTTTCGACGGGCTCGGGCCGGTGGTAGTCCATGTTGTCGAACTGGATTGCCGGCTTAGGCGCCTCGTCCGCGGCGGCGCTAGCGACAATGACGACCCTCACGGACCCGAGCGGCACCCCGGGGGTCTGCGCGGTACGCACCAGCACGGGCTTGAGCAGCTCCGTCAGCAGGAAGTGACCCAGCACGTTGGTGCCGAGCTGCAGCTCATACCCCTGCTTCGACTGGCTCCCCTGGGGCGGCTGCATGACGCCGGCATTGGCCCACAGCACGTCGAGCCGGCTCTCGAGGCTGAGAAACTCGCGCGCCGTGGCGGCAATGGTGGTCAGGTCGTCGAGCTGCAGGGACAGGAAGATGAGCTGGCCGCGGGAGGACGGGTAGGCGGCGCGGATCTCCGCAATGGCCTCCTCGGCGCGCTGGCGGGAGCGCGTGGCAATGTAAATCTTGGCGTTGTGCGAATAGAGGATACCGCAGAGGGCCTTGCCAACGCCAGAGTTGCCGCCGGTCACGAGGAAGACCTTGCCAGACTGGTCGGGCAGGTTCTTCTCGGTGAGGGTGGGGTGGGCAGGGATGACGGTTGTCTTGCGCATTTTGGAATATGTATTGGGCTTGAAGATGGGTCGACAAGGCGATGGAAAGGGTGAGTGGGGGAGCAGTGGAGTGAGTCCTTGCCGGCAGAGAGTGATGTTGGGTGGTGATGGTTATGGGTTATGTTGAGTAATGATGCGTTATCGTGATGCGTTACGTTGATGCCTAGGACAAGCTGGCCTTGGAACATGTCCCGTGTCCTCTTATAATTCTTTCACCTGCAGCGCGGGGGCGTGTCTTGGTGGCTGGACACTGACCGGAGATAGTTGACGTGAAGCTTGAGGCCCGGGTCTTACATGCAGCTCCATGAGTCTAAATCTATTGATAGTGATTCATCGGAAGTTCCATGCAGGCGGGTTGGGCTCAGCCCCCAGAGCTCACGTATGCCGGCAGCATGACGCTCGGAGGTGCCGCTTAGGTAACGGTACCCCAGGTAGGGCTGATGTATGTGCCGGAGATAGCGACAGTGGAGTTAGGCGAGGGTCGGTGCTCTGATAGGGGGAGTTACGGAAGCAGAAAGAGTCCGGCAGAGGCTGACTGCAGGAATGACGATGGGCTGACTGTCCCTCCGCAGAGGACTATGTGCTGCCAAGACGGCAGGGAGTGGCCTGCCGGTGGAACGTGCCGGTGGGCCTCGACGGTCCGCTCAGGCAGCAGAATTCTGGCAAATGGGCGGCGAGCTGCCATTGGCGCCCAGTCCGAGATGGACCCTGATCCGGTGCTCTCGCAGTATAGGAGTGGTGGCCCCAGGGCGCTTGGCACGCGGGCGGAGCCCCTGAAGCCCACGGCGAGAGTGGCCTCGAGATGCCCGCTGAGTCAGCGGCATGTCGGCTCGCAACTCTCATAAACATTGCGTCGTCTGCCCGCGCTTTCTCGATTCGAGTCGGGGCCGAGAGGCGCGCACCGTATGCCAGAATAGCCTTCAACCCCGACCAGTTGCCACCAACTCCGACAATAAGCCTCAGCCAGCCACTGTTCGAGTTCCCCCGCCGACATGACACAGCAGCGCCGAGCCTGTGACAGCTGCTCTCGTAAAAAGGTACGTCTGTCTGCCTGCCTGTCCGTGCGTGTGTGTGTGGTATCTCTGTGTGAGTGAGTGTGTCTAGTTTGGGCGTCTCGGCAGCGGTAGCCGGTGCCTGCCCGGATGCCGCCTCCGCATCTGGTAGCGACGCCCGAAACAAGTGCACACTGCAGGCAACTGTTTCCTGGCATTGTCCACGGGGCCTTATTAGCTGACCTGTACGACGGCGTGGGGCAGATCCTGTGCGATGGCGACGAGGGCGCCTGCGACTGGTGCCGCCACCACGGGCTGAAATGCACCTATGACCGGCCCCTGAAGAAGCGCATGGCGTCAGCTGCGGGCTACGCGTCGACCTCGAGCTTCAAGCGGCGCATCGAACGCCTCGAGATTGCCCTCAACGAGGCCCAGAGCCGCCTTGGCACAATCCACGACGGCGGCTCCGGGGGCCCCGGCCTCGCTCCGAACTCCGGGCCCGGCATGCAGCCGCGTCACCACCAGCAGCCCCTGGACCACGACGACCACGGCCACGGGTCCCGGTCCGGCAGCGCCTGGTCCTTTCAAAACAGCGCCCAGATCTTCAATCTCGGCCGCTTCCACCTCGCCGGCCACCATATTGGCGCCATCAGCTCGACCAGCTGCCTCCCCGTCTTCTCTGCCGTCGGCCAGGAGTGGGTGTATGCTGCCACCGGCCAAGTCCCTTCCTTTGACAAGCTCCGTGCCTACGAGGCCGAGTGGAACAACAGGAGTCGCGATGATGCGGCCAGTTCCCCTCCCGCCGCTGCCAGGCGAACCGCGTTTCCGCCGCGCGACCTTGTCGAGGCGCTGTTCCACACGTACTGCACGTCCGGAGTCTATCCCATCTTCCCTGTCGTCGATCCTGTGCGGTTCCAGCAGATGATCGAGTATACATATGAACCTGTGGGGCCCACGAGATGCCGCCTGGCCCGGGAGATTGCCCGGGCCAGCGTGCTTGCCTTCGCCGCCATGGCCACGCTCATGAACGACTCTGTGGATTTCCCCCTGGTTCCCGGCACCGAAAATCTCGATGCAGAGGCCTTTGGGCTCATGGCATCCGACTACTTGCCGTATCTGCTGCAAGAGCCTGGCGTGGACCAGTGCAGCACGCTGCTCTCGCTGGTAAGTCACCTCGCCTAACCCACCAAGACGGAGCGAACTAAACCAGCTAACACACAAGAAATTGCCTTTTTCCAGACCACCTTCCACGTCCTGTCCGGCCATGAATATCAGGGCGCCATGCTGCTCTCCCTGGCCTGCCGCTCGCTTCTCGTGCTCAACGCGCAAACGGTCCGGCCCAACATCCCCATGGGCACCCCAGGCGACGGCACCAGCACGGAGGATCACCACTGCCGCAAGCACCTCCGGCAGCTCTTCTGGCTTGCCCACTCCATGGACAAGGAGATGTCTCTGCGTACCGGCCATGGCCCGGCTTTTTCAGACGAGTTCTGCGACCTCACGCCGCCCCGGATCCCCGGGTTCCCGGCCACAGCCTACCCTCGCCAGATGTGCTCTCAGGAGCACCACCACGATGGCCAGCCGCCCGAGTCGGATGCGCGCTTCATCCCGCCCTCGCTCGCCATGTCGCTCATGAAGTCTCGCATCTGCCGCATTCTCTACTCCGAGGCCGCCCTGCACAAGACGGGCGTCGAGACGCTCTATGACATCCGCCTGCTTGATGATGAGCTCGAGCAGTGGCGCCTCTCGATGCCCCCGGACTGGCGGCCCAGCCTGGTCCAGACAAACTCCTCTGCTTCCCCTGCGTCCTCCCCGCCGAGATCGACATCGCTCGGCTACTCGTCTACGCCATCGCCCGGTCCATCATCGTCGATGAACTCGCCGGGTCGATCAGACGGCATGAACGCGCAGCAACGAGACGACCCCCAGAATAACCAAATAAACAACAACAATAACAACAGGGAACACAGCAGCAACAACAACAGCAACAACAACACCCACGACACGACAAGCGCCGCCTTCATCGCATCCCTAGACCCAGTCGCCAGTGTGACTGCCCAATCGCCGCACGCAGTCATCTCCAAGCTGATTTACTACCACCTTCTCAGCGTCGTCCACCGCGCCAGCGGCCGGTGCCGCGCGGTCACCGAGAACGATAACATCACCAACAACACCGGCAACTCCCCACGGAAACAGGCGGCGCCGCAGGGGCAGCGGCGCGACTCGCATGACTACAATGACGCAGAACTCGATGCTGGCGCGGTGGCCGAAAGACAGGCGGCCGCGGGGCTCGGCGCGGGCATCAGCTCGAGCCTCGCCATCTCGGTGCAGGCGAGCCGGATGACTATCTGCTGCTTGCGGGACTGGTGGCAGTGTACTTCTACCTACGCCTTTTGGTACGTTTTTTTCTTCTCGATCCTACCTTGATATTTTTCTCGCCAGACGCCTCGTAAAGAGGGAGTGCACTTGACCACCTGCTACTACTATTCCCGTCACCACCTACCACCACTCGACGATTCCTGAAAAACGGAACCCGCTAACCACCCTTTCCCCCTCTCCTCTACAGGGTCCTCGTCTTCTACCCGATCTCCGCCGTCCTCGCCATCTTCTGCCACATCCTGCTCGACCCCGTGAGTCCCACCGTGCAGGAGGACCTCGCGCTGATAGGCTGCGTCCCGGGCATCGTGCGCAGCCTGGGCGAGCGCAGGCGGCGCCCGCACCCGCGCGACTCGGTCTTCTACAACATGGTCGACGAGCTGTGCGCCGAGCTCATACGGCTGGGCAACTGTGCCGTGTACAGGGCCGTCGAGAAGCAGATGTGCGAGCTCATGTCGTGATTGTTGGGGCGTTGGCAGCTTGGGGTAGGGGTCGAAAAGAAGCGGTAAAGGGCAACGCGCCTCTGATTCGATGGCTACGTTGGAGAATGGAAATCAGAGGGCAGGGTGGGAATCATGTTTCAGTATAACGTAACCCACGGGTGACCCGCCCACACGGGTGACCCGCCCACTTTCCCAATCTTTCTGTACAAGCTATCTTCAATCCCATATTCCTCCACCAAAAATCATGCCACAGCAATCGAATGAAGGCGACATTATTCTAGCGCTAAACGCGCTTCAATCCGATCCAAAATTAAGCGTACGAAAGGCTGCGCAGATCTACAAAGTCCCTCGTACGACACTTCGCGACCGAAAACGCGGCGCACAGCAAAAACGCGATACCCGACCACCCTGCCAGAAATTGACTTCGTACGAAGAGGAGAGTATTATACGATACGTAACCGACCTAGGTTCGCGATCATTTCCACCGCGACTTAGTGGTGTTCGAGAAATGGCGGATCGACTCCTCGCCGTACGCGACGCGCCGCGTGTCGGAACGAACTGGGCCTCAACCTTCGTACGACGACGATCAGAGCTCCGTACGCGTTTTAATCGAAGAATCGACTACCAGAGAGTCCTCTGCGAAGATCCAGACGCGTATCGCGCGTGGTTTGAGCTCGTACAAAACATAATCGCGAAATACGGGATCCACGATGACGATATCTACAACTTCGACGAAACGGGCTTCGCGATGGGCAAAATCTCCGCCGAAACTGTTGTTACGACCTCCGATCGACGCGGGAGGCCAAGAGCCGTACAACAAGGTAATCAGGAATGGGTTACAGTAATCCAGGGTATCGCGTCGTACGGCTATTCAATCCCGCCGTACATTATCTTCGCCGGGAAGGTCCACCTCGACTCCTGGACCGCGAATAGCCCTCTACCGGCCGACTGGGTAATCGCGCTTTCAGAAAACGGTTGGACGACGAACGAGAGAGGCCTAGAATGGGTAAAACACTTTGATTTCCATACAAAGAGTCGTACGAAGGGTACTTACCGCCTCCTTATCCTCGACGGCCACGAGAGCCACCATTCCGTCGATTTCGAGCTCTACTGCAAGGAACAGAATATTATCACGCTCTGTATGCCTGCTCATTCGTCGCATAAGCTCCAGCCTCTCGATGTTGGGTGTTTTGGACCTCTGAAACGGGCGTACGGTAAAGAAATCGAAGGTCTAATGCGGGCGCACGTAACCCACGTTTCAAAGGAGGACTTCCTCCCAGCCTTTTATAAGGCGTACGACGCTGCAATGACCAAATCAAACATCCAGGCAGGCTTTAGAGCGACAGGCCTAGTACCGTACGACCCGAATTATGTGATTTCGCAGCTAGATATGAAGTTTCATACGCCGACACCACCTGGTTCCTCTGCTGGACTACCACCCCCATGGGTTTCAAAGACGCCGAACAACCCAATTGAGACCGAATCGCAGACGAAGTATATTAAAAATCGCATCATACGACACCAGAATAGCTCACCGTCGTCCATTGTTGAGAGCCTACGGCAGCTGGAAAAAGGAGTTATAATGATGGTACACGAGCAGGACCTTATACGCCAAGAGCTCGCCGAACTTCGAGATGCAAATGACCGCCTTAGCCGCCGTCGTCGTACGAAAAGAAAGCAGCTACAGAAAGGAGGGTCCCTCACGATTGATCAGGCAAAGGATTTGAAGGCTCAAATCGATGTGACGCAGCAGTTAATAGCGGAAACGAGTCAGAATAGTGGTCGTACGAGGAGGCCCGAAACGCGCGCGCGACGATGTGGCGTCTGCAGCGAGCCCGGTCATAATGCTCGTACGTGTCAGAAAGTTGTATCTGCCTCTGAAGAAGAGGATTCTGAATAGTTTCAATTGATTTGAGGCGTTATGGTTGAATTGACTTATATATTGTCGGACGATAGCCCGGAAAGTGGGCGGGTCACCCGTGTGGGCGGGTCACCCGTGGGTTACGTTAGCGACTTTGTTTTTTAAATGTAATATTGATGAACGATGATCATCACGAGAACGAAACGAAGCAAGTCGAGCCAACGCTGTCTGCATCCCGGCCGGGGTGTTTGGCATGCCCTCTGAAGACCTAGTCGAACCCGTACTCTCTCCTCATGTCAATCTCGCCCATGCTCGCAAAGGACACCAGCCTCTTTTCCCCACCACCACCGCCACCACCACTGCGAGTATCCGTGGTCAGCTGCTCGTCGGTCAGGGCCACAGAACCGGCGTACACCTGCGCGAGCGTGGCACGCCGCTGCTCCTCCGAACCGTAAAAGTTGGTGTCCCGGATGCTCAGCGCGTCTTTCGTCTCGACAAAATTGTCCGTCGGGCTGCGATACGCCCGGCCCAGACCGGCGTCGCCACCACCACCAGCACCTCCGCCAGGCAAGGGCGGATAAAAGGGCGCCTCGTTCTCCGCGGACTGATACGCGAGACACCCCTTGAAGGCGACCTGGGGAAAAGAGTCGAAGAACGCGTCGTAGCGCGGGTCCATGGCCTGCTCGAACGACGATATCTTGTTGCCACCGTTACCCCCCGAGCCGGAGCCGGGACCGGGACCAGGGCCGAGTCTCGGGCCTTTACCTGGCATATCCCTGGGCACGTCGAACACGGCCCAGGGGTCACGGCATGATCCCTTCTCGCACGACTTGGTCACCATGAGCAGCGCGTTGAGCCGCGACTTTGCGCGCCGGTGCACCGGGTCCGTCGAGTTGGCGAGGTTGTCGAGCTCGAACGGGTCCGCCGAGGTGTGGTACAGCTCGGCGTCGCCGGTGCACCATTTAGTGTAGAGCCACCCGTTGCCACTGCTGCTGCTGGCGCTGCCGCTCTCCCCATCAGCGTCACTGCCCAGGATCCGCACCGTCTTGTACGAGTTGCTCCGGAACGGCCCGCCCAGCTCCTTAACGTTGGGCGCCTCGACGGTGCACTGGCCCCAGAACTCGATATTCAGGGCCTCTCTGGCGGTCCCCTTGCCGCTGATGGTCTGGGGGGCGCCGTGCCCGCCGTGGCCGCCGCGCGGGTCCCTCCACTGCGGGAGCAGGCTTGCCCCGTCGAAGAAGACGGGCTGCTCGTGCGGCGGCACCCCCGCGAGCTCGAGGAACGTCGGGGCCAGGTCGACGTGCGTGCTCGGCAGGGCCGACTTGACGCCCTGCGGGATGCCCGGCCCGCGGACGGCAAACGGGAGGTTGGTGTCCTCGGCGTAGAAGAGGGCCTTGCCGCCGGGGACGCGGTTCTGGCCGATGTGATATCCGTTATCAGATGTGTAGACGACTGGAGAGAAAGGGGTGAGAACTGTCAGCTACTTTGTGGTACTTTGGGGACAAAAGGGGGATAGTCGGCTTGCGCGCTGTGGGAAAGGGGATTTTCTGGCCCCCCGGGGACATTTTAATGCTTACTATATGTGTTATCCTGGAGCTGCTTGTCCTCGAGCATCTGCACCACGTCCTCGATGATCTCGTCCACACCCTGCAGCGCCTGCGCACGCGAGCGGTACGTGTAGTCGGCGAACTCAATCACCGAGTCGTTCATGAGGGGCAGGCCCCGCAGCCAGCTGCCCTTCTTGAGCTGGAACTCATCTGCAGGGTTCCAGTTTGGCTTTCTTGGCGCTTTGGCCTCCGGGAAGAGCTCCATGTGCCGCTTCAGCGGGATCGGCCGGGCCGCGTTGTTCTGCACGTGCGGCGCGTACGGCGCGACCGTGAGGTAAAATGGCTGGTCTTGGTTTGCTAAATATTCGAGCCGGTCGAGTCTGTTTTTTCGTTTCCCGCGAGTTAGCCGAATCGCGGAGTCTGAGGGTATTAGGCATGGATGGAGAAGGTTTTTCATACGCCTTGACGCGGATCACATCGGTCTGGTGGAAGCCCTTGTACCAGACTGGCCGCTCGCCGTTCTGGGACATGACTGGTACATTGTAGAACGTGGTGTACGGGTCAATCTTGGTTGAGTCAGTAATCAAGTAGAAGACTCGCCATAAAGGATGAACCGGGCGACTTACCAAGGCGTCCACCCAGTCCCAGCTCTTGGGCGCGCTCGCGTAGTTGGCGGTGTTGTAGCCATTGAGAAACTTCCCGACGTCTTGAAAGCCGAGTCAGTCGTTTTTGTTCTACAGGTGAGTTCTCCTATTGGTCAGAGAGCAGCAACACTTACACTCCGTGCGATAGCCCGCCTTCTTGAGCCAGACGGGCAGATAGTCCAGGTCCTGCTTCGAGGCAAGCCACTTGTCGTAATTGCCACTGAAGTGATTCCCAATCAGCGGAGGCATTCTTCACAAACTCGGTAGAATAATGAGCTCACCCGGGACCATTAACATGTGTGATGTTTGTGTTGTGCGAAAACTGGCCACGGAGGATGCTGGCGCGGGCAGGACAGCACTGGGCAGTGGTGCCAAAGTGGTTCGTGAATTCGGTGCCCTTGTCGAGGATTCCGCGGCGCAGAACCGACTGGAAGTCTGTTGAGCCTAGCAGCCTGTCCTGGTCATCGGAAAAGATGAAGACAATGTTTGGCTTCTTTGGGGCTGGGGGCTTGGCCGCACATCCCAGCACCAGGGCTGTGAGCAGTAATGAGTGCCACATTTCTGACACGTTGGATTGCGAGATCTAGTTCACAGATTCTGGTCAATTCGAGAACCCCCCGCCTTTGGATCGAAATGAGGGAGAATCATGATAATAAATAGTTGGACACGGAGGTCACCAATGCATCTGTTTTGCGCTACATTCTTCCGCTAATCTCGAAATCCCAGGGGTATTCTGTGGGGGATTTTGCGGGGAACGTTGCGCGATGTACCCACAGGATGACGAATACCTGTACCTTGCAGAGTCTTCTCTCGGCATCATCAGACGGGACTTGCTCCCCGAGAGGTGACGGCTCCGGGGGTTCACGAACGGCTGCTGTGTGGCTGGTGCGGCAAGCCCCCAATGGGTCCGACGCGGGACGTTCCGCTTCGCCCCCGAAAAGCTCGGGGCCAGACCCGGGGGTGGGGCCGGGCATTTGCCCACCAGGCGTTGATCCCATGGCGCTGGGACAGGCTACAGCTGGTATCATGGTTGGAGTTCGTGGACTAGCCGAAACAGCACAATCAAGTGGGCGTCCCGGACCGCGTGAATACATTGGCAGGCTGCAGATTCAGCGACCACATGGCGGCCTGAGCGGGAACGAATTGCTCGTCCGCGTGTTGCTAGTGCACCACAATGATCCGAATTGGTCGTTCCTCATCCTTTCGAAGCGCTCTTGCCCACATTCGTGCATCGGCCCGTCTAGATGTGAGCCGGCACAGTGGGTACCGTATTCTCCCGCACGATACACAGCGCCAGACAACCATCCGCAAGTTTAATGGGAGCCGGATATTGTGAAATTGAGGTTCCTGCGTTATATCACCTATCTACTTTCGAACATCATGCTGGCTGAGCTCTTGCCATGTCTGGGTGACCTTTGCCCCGGATAACACGTCCTCAGTTGCGTGGCGCTCCAATCAACGATCAGAATCAGTCATGTCTCGCTAGTACTCTCGTCCACACAGCTCAGGAGCCATCGTTTGCGTCAAGCAGTTCGCTTGGCTCTGCAGGTCTCAGCGGACTTGTCTCTGCCGAGCTGCGCTGCGGACTACTCTATGTGGTTGCCGACATGTGCCCAGGCGGCGCTGACTGGGGCCAAGGTATTCTGGTCCTCTGGATGACGTTGGGCGTAAGTACAGATGGGCTTGGCGCGTGCTCTCTTAACCTGTGCCCGGAATTTGCCTGATCCAAATGGCAGCCAGGCTCACCAGGCAACCCTAGTGTGCCTCGAACAAATGAGTTGAGTTTGAGATTATGCAGTAAGGTCGGTTGTTCACTTTGATCTGAGTTGTCCTGGCCCAGGCAGGATCGGCAATTTCCTTCATGGCCCTCGCATCGTGACGCTTGCGCCACACAGCAAAATGGTAGCTCTGGAGTGACCAATGTGGCCCAACACTAGAGAAAGCTATTCATCTTGCACCACTGAAGCATTGTCAACACCGGTTGGAAGCGGACTCAAAGATGACTTCGCGCATTCACGCAAATACTGTCTAATCGCTGCGCCGGGCCTCCAGCAGATGCGAAGAAAGCCCATCGAAGCAGTAAAAGATTGCCCACTGCCGATCTTTGAAGCAGAACAGGGCAGCGTGTCTCACAGATGACGTCGGCTGGCGCCAAGACAGTATCTTAATAGAACGGTGCTGCGTGATATGGCGTGAGCACGGGAGCTCTAATGCCCATCCCAGTAGAGCAAGAGCATCTATCCAGCTTACGTCTAGAATTCATCTATGTGGATCGGGAGAACAACCTGACTTACACAAATGCCCGGGTTATGTTATGAGGCCCAGGAGAACAGTTCCAAGGCGGAGCAAATATAGATTGTATACAGAATAATTGAGGCACAGGCTACGGGCAGAAACAAAACATTAGGCATTTCCAAGAAAATAGTGTCCCCAGCAATAGCAGTATTACCCAAGTCGACAACTAGTTGGTCTCGCTCTAAAGCAGCGTCCATGCTTCCAGGCACGAAACCACGGTTCCATTATCCAATTCTTTTGCCGATGCGAGCAGGCGAGCCTTCAACCTTCCAGGCTGTGGCAGCTTCGCGTCCGAGAGCGCGCTCCTCGCTCTCACGCCTTCATACCTGCGCAGCGTCTCGGCCAGTTCCTGTCCTCCATCATCCTCTTCCGCGATCCTCACCAGCGCCAACGCCCTATGCCACAGCGCCAGCCCCGCGAGGTTTACATCCCCCGCCTCTAGCGCATCGAGGTCTAGTAGCCCGATTGCGAGCAGCATGCGGCGCGCATACTTGACGATCTTGGTCCGGTCTTGCGTCTCGTGCACAATGTACTTGTAGCAGTCGTGCGCGAGCTCGATGGGGATCGAGGCGCGCAGGTCGCCGCCGTAGAAACCCTTCACCTCGGGCGGGAGTGCGAAGGTATGTGACGGGTCCGGGTCGAGTGCGAGCAACCACTTATCGACGAGCGAGGGCGGCACGGTATCGCTAAAGTGGTCAATCGCGACCATGTCCCGGAGCGTGGTTTCTTTGTGCTGATTGTAGAGGGCGACACGGACCTCCAAGGAGGTTCGTGTGGTGCATGTTTTAGAGGCCTGGTCTGATTGTGCACCGGGACTGGGCTTCACTGCCATGATTCCGATTTTGTGGTAGTGTCTAAAGAAAGATGTTCTGCTGCAGTGCAGGCCATGGAGAAGAAGACAGCGTGCAGCAGGGCTCTCTGGCTGGGCGCTAAGGGAGGCTGTGTCACCATGAAAGTAGTCCACAGCCATCAGCCACCCACTTGGGTCAAAAGGCTATGTCAGCCTTGAGGATTTGTCTGATGAGGACCTGATCAGCGCCAATTGACTTAGTACATCAAAGACGAGCACGCAGCAAGCAGAGATCGCGTCTGAGAGTAGAGCCTATGTCTTAGTATTCGGGATGTTTGACCAACAGATGATGTAATGATTCAGACTCTCAAACCGCCTTATGAGTGCAGAAGACGCCAGGCGAGTCCGAGACGGGTACCAGGCTTATACAAAAACACGTTTTGGCTGCGGACACATCAAGCCTAAGCATAGTAAGGCACCAGGAAGAACAATTGTCGCTGTCGATCAAATGCTCTGCGCGTGCGACAAGCCCGGCCCTCTTCTCCCTCCTTGCACTATCCTTCAACGCGTCTGGACGAGAGAAACCTATATCACTACCATGCCCGCACACGTTGCAGCCTCGAGCCTGTGACCTAGGATCAAACACCAGGCGTTCCACAGCCGAGATCGGCTCCCATGACCACAAATAAGAGCATTGCTCCAACTCTGCAGGGCGCGTGCTGAGGTGGACGAGGGCACAGCCACGCTCTGTCCCGTGCGTTTGCCTGGCTTGCCGAACAAACGGCTGGCCAACAATTGGATACGGTTGAGCGACGTAATGGATTTTCAATGTCGATTTTCACACTAGGGACTTCCTACTACTTCATGATAGCCTCCTCATCGCTATGCTTTGCACTCTCCCATTCGTTTTGGTGCCGGCTTCCAGAGCTAGACTTGTCGTCCCGCCTTGGCGCATTGTCAAAGAACTCGAGCTCGTCAATGGTGTCGAACATGCGTCTCTTTGGCTGAGAGCTTCCGAATGTGCCCAAGGCATATCTCATGGTACCGAACCATTTCTTGGCCTCAGGTGGCTTGTTGTCGCTGCTGCGTGCTGAGGGGGAATGCGACGAGTCTCGAAGCACCCAGGGCGCGACGCGGTCAAGGAAGATGCGGAAAGTCGGGAGCGTGCCGCAGATGATGATGAGGTTGGCCTCTACAACGAGCCACAGCGTGCCCTGCGCCAGCACATATGTCGTGTCGGCGTTTTTCAGGCTGGGCACCAGGATGATGAGCCGCGCAAAGGCTGCGCCTAAGGTGAGCAAGCCCGTGCCGAACCACGCCAGGAGCGCGGCCTTCTGCTTCCACGACATCTGCAGCCTGAATATGATTGGCAAGGGCAGCACCATGAGCATAAGGTCCGTGACGCCGCCCATGACAGCCTGCAGCATGTACACTGGCGGGCGGTCGATGCAGTTTGTCCCCGTGTACAAGCGCAGGTTCCACGCGGCTTCTATGGGCTTGCATGCGAACTGGACCGAGAACCATACTGCAGTGAATGTTGCGATCGTTACGAAAGCTGTGAACGCGATGGCGTGGCGGTACCATGTGATTGGAGACAGGCGGTGGTAAAAGACACAGAGAACGAGTTTCGAGAGGACCGTGCCAGGTATGACAGTCAGAGTAGTGGCATGAATAAGCTGCAAGGCGCGAGGCAAATATTAGCAAATGCCCGTTTCAATGTTCTATGGGCGAAATCCTGCTTCCGGCGGACTGACCGTGGTCTCCCAGATAGCGTCGTCAAGCGAAATCTCCCAGATGTGGACGCCAAGGACGTTGTTGGTCAAGCAGGACAGGACCAAGCACTGAGCTACTGTCGTCAAGACCCAGGCAAACAAAAGCATCGCTACGACGGAACACGTCAGTTTTGGAGTGAAAGGCAACGTGCAAAACTTCTTCACCCCGGCCAGAAAGTAGTGGTGAGCTTACTGTCGTCGATCCTCCACTTTCGGAGGATGAAGGCCGCTGTGTAGACGCGCTGGGACAAGAACAGGACTGCAACGGGAAACATGATCCCGAAGGCCACGTATGTCGAAATGATAGTAGCAGAGTCTCGACTCGGGTTCGCAAAGTCGACTTCATAGCCAGCAGGTGGAGGAAGCAGCACCTCTGTGCCATCAATGATGGGAAACGCCATATTCTGTGGTTTTTCAAAGAAAATGAAAGTCTTGAAATGAGTGTTAAGGACTAGGAGGTCGGAAGGAGAAAGAGAGATGTGCAAGGGACTGTTGGCTGAGACCGACTACTTATGACGAGGCGGTTCTTCGTTGATGTCAGAGGTGAAGGAGCGCCTGTACAGCACGTCGTCTGTGATAATAATGGCAGAGTGTTCATGGTGTGAACGTGGCATAGACGTTGACTTATTTACTGGAGGAAGTGTCCAGGTTTACTACAACAAGCGTCGGGCGATGTTGGCATGATCCTTCCATCCTGGACCAGGACGGCCATTAGTGAGTACTATAGTACATTAGTGAGTACATAGTATGAGAAGGTGTGAGAAGTCCTCTGGTGTTGTTGGTCCCAGCTTCCCCAGTCGTGACAACAGCCCTTGTGTCTTGGCAATGTGATCAACATCACCTCCATCGTCACCTCAACATGGATACTTATTACATCTGACAAAAGTTCTCGAACCAATGAAAGGCAGCCTGCGGACTGCTTGCGATACTGTGGTAATGAGACACAAGCAGATGTATCCTGTCGCAATCGTCACGCTGTCTGACACTAAAAGCGTTAACGCGTGACGCCAAAAAATGGAAAAGCTAGGCAATGCAGCATCTCCCACTACTATGTGCAGCGGACCGAGGGCAAACATTTCTTGCTCGGGCCGACGCCTGCCAAGAGATGTTGGTTGACAATTTGTGGCACAGCCCCTTGAACCTGCAGCCAGTGCAACGATGTCCTCATTTCGGCTTCAAGGGATACTGGTTCCGATGCTTGGCGGTTGTTGGTCCTGCAAAGTGGCAAACTTTTATGCGTACCAAGATGAGTCGTCCTGCCATGATCGGACATTTGATATGCACCACGAGCTGTGATGGCCTGACGTACGAGAGAATCGGTAGGCCGGCCCTGAATCTTGGTCATGCTTCGTTCCATTCATCGTTCTATGTAGTAGTATCTTTCCCTCTGGCTTGCATGGTGAATCGGCCAGCAAGAAACCCTAACTCAAACCCTTGCAAATTGACCCAGGGTCCCTAGGGCGGCAATCCTTCCGACGTGACATCGTCGCCACTCGACCAGGGTTGAGCCGGCATGAGATAGCAATCAAGCATGCAGGTTGACTTTGTCCAAATACTATCTCGGGGAATCGCGCTCTCCCCGAGCTCGACCGAATGAGACCTTCTCCCGACCAAAGTTGTCACTTTGCCAACGCGTATTGTCCTTCAGCCGCCAATCATGCTTACTTGCGTGCATCAATTGCTCGCAATGTCTTGTGTCACTGCGACAGCGTTGGCAGCTTCTTGTGATAGTGGAAGTGCCAAGTTCTGTGTAAGTTCTCAGCCATGATTCGTCCCAGCACCGCATCAACCTCTATGCCCGAATATCCACTAACATCATGTGGTTCTGCAATCACAGTGCACTGTACTCGAACAAGCTGGCCTCCGCGTCCTCCGCCCTGGAAGTGAGGCATACGCGGAGCGGGACGCATCCTACTTCTCCTTGTCTGCACAGCAGGCTCCTTACTGCATTGTGCAGCCAGCAAAAGCAACAGAGGTTGCAACAGCTATTACCACGCTGACGGAAAAGACCACATGCAATTGGGCTGTTCGCGCCGGTGGCCATATGACGTGGGCCAATGCTTCAAACAGTGAGTTCGCCATTCAGTACTGTCGCCGCTTCTATTCAATGATGTGAACTCATCCATCACGGCCTCGAGGCAATGAGCACCGGGTCATCCCTTAGCATTTCTTTGCTGACCATTTCTCTGCACTAAGTCCACGATGGCGTGACGATCGAACTTGGGCTCATGGCCGATATTAAATACTCTCCATCAACCACACATGTCAGCATCGGTGCTGGCGCCCTTTGGCGTGACGTGTACGCGGCCCTCGAGCCGTACGGCGTCACCGCACCGGGTGGCCGCACCTCGACCGTTGGAGTCGCAGGTTTTGTCCTCGGCGGCGGCAACAATTTCTTCAGCTCGAACGTCGGCCTGGGCTGCGACAATGTGGTCAATTTCGAAGTCGTCCTTGCTGACGGGCGTATCATCAACGCTAACCGAGACGAGCACGCAGACCTGCACAAGGTCCTCAAGGGCGGTTCCAGCAACTTTGGCATCGTCACCCGCATCGACATGCAGACGGTGCCCACGGGTGGTCTCTGGGGCGGCCAGATTGTCTATCCCCTCTCCACCACGAACGCACACATCGACGCGTACGTGCACTGGGTGGCCAACATCTCGTCCTACCCAGCCGGATCAGCCGTGACTTTCTGGGCATACACACCCGCGTCGGGCATAATCGTCTCTGCCGCCCTGCACGACACTTCCGGCGCGGAGTGGTCTTCCCCCGCCTATGACGATTTTCGCACCATCGGGCCGCAGGTGCAGGACACGCTGCGCCGCGACAGCCACCTCAACTTCACGGTCGAGCTCGAGGAGCCCACGGGGTACCGACAGATCTGGATCACCCTGACAAGCCGGAACGACGCACGGTTTATCCGCGCCGCGGTCGACGCGCAGGCCGAGTTCATCGCCGCGTGGAAGGACGCGCACGACGCTACGCAGCCGGATTTCCTGAACTACATCACGTTCCAGGCCATGCCGCGCTTGCTGTTCCAGCATTCGGTCGAGAAAGGCGGGAACATTATCGGCATGGACCGCGAGACCGAGGAGAAAGGCGATGCCATCTTGTTCCAGATGCAGCATATGGTCAGGTCGGCGGAGGAAGAGGTCGAGGCTAGAGCGCAACTCCTGGCGATGCGTCGCACGCTCAAGGAGCAGAGTGCTTCGCTGAGGCTGGATATGGAGTGGGAGTATCTGGGCTACGCGGATGGCGGACAGGATCCGTTAAGCACGTATGGGGCCGAGAACATTGCGTTGATGAAGAGGGTCGCGGCAGATTATGATCCGCAGGGTATATTTCAGACCAGGATGCCGGGAGGGTTCAAGATCTCCAAAGTCGTCTAGTTGACACAATACCGGTGGTAGCCAGCAAGTAGTCCACCGTAACAGCGCCTAGCCAAGCTGCCCGCATATCTCATGAAGCTGGGGCGACCTCTTCTTGTTCGGCCCTAGCTGCCTGCGCATGACCTGGATCTGCTTCGGTGCCAACCTTTCTGCTGTCACGTCCAGCCACTTTCTGCCCAGGGTTCCGACGAATTCGATAGACCGCACTGAACGGCTGAAGGCGCACAGTTCATCCACGAGGACATCCAGCACAGGTTCCAAGGCCCAGCCTAGAAAACGAAACCCGGCAAAGGGGCTTGCTTTGGGCACCAGCGGCTCAGCAAAGACCTCGGGCACGACGAAGTGCACGCGGACCGATGTGAGTGCCGTTAGAGAGGGCAGCCCCTCCTCCTTCCCGCCGTCCACGCCTTCCACATCTCCGTCAGGGCTCTCCCGGAAGAGCGCACGGATATGCGCGAGACAGTCCTGCATGTTGCGCTTTTTGACTGGCAGCGAGCTCTCAGGCAGGATGACTCTCGGATTCAACCGCCATTCGATCTGCAGGTTCTTCACGGCCGCCGTCGTTTCCTGCGTAGCCAAGCAGCGCTCTGGCAGAGACAGCGTGGCCTCTCGCGGCGACGCCGCGCTTATGGTCGAGCTGCTACCAATGACGAAGCGCAAGTGCCTCGATGCGACGGGACCCAGCTCCTGCGCAATCTGCCTACAGGTGCGCATGAGTGGCGGGCTGTCTTGCGTCTCGCTCTCGAACATGATCAGCTGGTCATCGGCAGAGACGGCTTCGTCGACGTCGCCCCAGTGTCCGGTCTTGGTGACGGTTCGCGGGGCTTCAGGTAAGTAGGCAAGCATGTAGATGTCGTAGATCTGGCAGCGGATCTCGACGGGCAGGCGCGCGAGGAACGGACTCGGGCTTTGGTGAGGGTCATTTTGGTTGTTGCTGAGGCTCATCTTGCAATTGATTTGCTGTGCCTGACTCAAGTCGGAAAAATGCTGCGTTAGAGGTGCGATTGGGTAATGAGCAAGGAGTCATTCAGCATAGATTGCAGCGGTATATCTGTTTTGTAAGGGTGAGCACACTGCCCATAGGCACAATGAGCACAAATCGACGCCGTCACAGATACCACTTTGCTGTAGCCTACCTCTCGTCCAGGAGTGGCGAACCATAAGCGTAATGATTGGGGGTAGTGGAGTATTTCTGGTTAGCCTCATTGGTAGGTGTAAGGAACTCGCATGTTTGGTCTCCTTTGGTCAGCCCGTCTTAGTCACGCCGAATGACGGGCCCGGCCCTCGTGTCTCTTTGCGAAGGATGCAAGGCATCTTGCTCGGCATCCCTGGATTGCATGTCGCGGAGACTATTCTCGGAGAAAGGATCGATCGTATCTGTTTCAGTCCAAGTCCCCTAGCACCGCCAGTTGTCAAGTCGGGGCTCACATGACTCCGTCCCACGAAAATGGCGTGATAAAGTTGCAGGCTATCCCACTTCCTAGCTCCGCAGTGGTCCGTGAAATGCCACGCGTGGAGTGGATCTCGGATAGGGCTGGGGGACGACGACCTGCCCGTCCTGCCTGTCAGACTTTTGACCTCGTGGCGGGATGCTACGGAGCCATGTGCAACGAGGAGGCCTTATTGGCCTGGACATCTGACAACCCCAAGGCATGCGACCGACAAAGCAGCCTGCCGTTTTTGTTTCAGGCTCGGACCATCTTGGGTGAAATGCTACCCTCCCCACACAGCGAGTCGTACTGCTGGATTTACCCCTGCATGCCCCCCATCCAGTGCTGTTTTCGGAGGCGGCCAGTCCTCCACGCAGGTTCTGATGGGTGTTACAGCACTGCGCGCCACGTTTCAGCCCCTGCACAATGGAAAACACCTTGGCAATCAGAGATGAACGGGGAGGGCGCAGACGGGACTATCCCAACCCGGAGCGCCTGGATTGATGTTTAATGATATTAATGATATGCGCAAGGCCTCCTCGCTGAGGGCACTATCGTGACCGAGCTTCTCCTCATCTCGACTGGGCGTCATCAGTGTCCCACGCAGCACTCGCGACCGAAAACGACTGACAGCGCCACAATGGCAACGCGGCGCAACCTGGGCCCGCTCACCACAACTTGGGAGCCGCGGGCAGACTGCTCGCTGCTCATCGCCGAGTGCGACTCATGCAACGGCGCAAAGCAGGCACAGTTCTGCGGGCAGGACGCGCGGAGGACGGACAATGGCGACTGCTGGCCGCCGCGCGCGGCCAATGCGCCGTCGTCCTCGTTCCCCTTCAACGGATGGGGGTTTTATTCGCCGGGACTGGCGTGTCCGACGGGCTACGCGCCTGCCTGCATGCAAACGGCGGGGGGCACTTTGGATGAAGGATTCGATTTTCAGTTTCCACTGGCAGCCCAAGAGACGGCTGTTGGTTGTTGTCCAAGGTCAGAAGGTGTTTTTACATTATCTGGGCTCGAGCTGGAGAGATTGCGCAAGACTTCAGAAGTACTGACGAGCAACGACACGAACCAGCGGATACACATGCGCCTACGTTAGCAACGGGGCACAGACCTGCCAGTCCGTAGCATCGAACAGAGCCGTCGTGACCACAGGTACATGTAACCTGAACCGCGACAACATCGCCTTCAGCCCAAAGACGATACCTTTCCTCGCGACCATCACAGCTGCTCAACAACAACCCGTGCTTGCCACCGTCACAACGTACACGCTGCAGGCTCCTCTGTTCCAGCTGGTATATCGCTCCTCAGACTCCGCCTCATTCCCAGCTATAACGCCCCCATCGCAGCAGACGGACTTGCTTGGCGGACTGCCAACGCCGACAACGTTACCTGGAGGCGGTGGCATTCAAGGTCCCGCCACCTCGAGCAATGCGGGCCCAAGGATATCGCTTGGCGCGGCCGTGGGCATCGGTATCGGCGCGACGGCACTGGTGCTGGTTGTTGTCGTGATGTTGTTCCTCGTCGTCCGCTCAAGACGGAAAGGTCCCGGCGCTACAGGATCCAGTATAGAAAAGCCATCTATAACTGGTCCCAAGCTGATCCAAGACAATCCCTTCGATGGCCAGGACATGTCATATATCTCCGACGGAGCGGAGCTGGGCACCGCTGGCGCCCCTCTCAACCGATACGGCGGTGGTGCAGGCCAGCCAGGGACTAGTGGCTGGGTTAGTGAAGTCCCTGGCAGCTCGGGATACGGACGTGTTGCCAAGGATGGGGCCATAGTGAGGAGCAACGAGTATGCGTACGCCGAGCCCTACACGAATATGCGTCCGGACGGGAATGACATGGTAGCTGTCAACGGGAGTCAATCTGCGGAGCTAGGCTGGTCGCGACCGCCAGCAGCAGAGGATGCGAGGCGGCCAGCCGCGAAGGACGTGCCACCACCAGGGTATTTCTGAGTATATCATTTACAGGAGAGTCAGAATTCAGAGTCCCTCTGCATGCTCCCAGGGCAAGCATCACGGCCCGCAGCACGTGAATGCTACACAGCTTGGTGGTCGCTATCTGCGAATCGAAGTGAAGCCAAGCAAACGACACACTCCACACCAAGCTGAGTCGTCTAGCGAGGCGCTATACTGCGCTCGTGAGACACAGAGCTAATGGCTTATCCAGCCTGCCCTGTCGTTACAGAATGCATATGTACCCAAGCTCGCTCGCTTGCACTTTGTCGAGTGTGCCTCGGGAAATTTAGGTCTACCACTAGCACTAGCCGCCTCCCTATGCGAACGGTTGTGAGGTGGCCAAGGCACGAGACGAATGGGAAGCCCGCGAGCTGTAAGGAAGCTGACGCGGCCCGTGGATCACGAGTCTCTGTACATGCAATTCGCAGTATATTCCAGCGCCAGCTCCATCCCATGCCAATGACTTGCATGCGTATTCTGCCAGCACGGCCAACTAGACTTCCCAGCCGCAGACGCCAGACCAAGTCCAGGCGGAGAGTCCCCGCCGTTATAGCCGAGCGGGAAAAGCTTATGTGTTCTAGAGCCGCGCCTTACCCGCAGAGCTGAAAATTGGAACAGCACGTTAGTACACTCGGCTCCGGTACGCCTCGGTCAGCAACCAATCAGCCTCCAGCGCAACCCTACAACCTCAAGGCAGACTTGACAACCTAGTCCTCAACTCTGCAATCCAAGCTTCACCGTTTGCACGGGCTAAAGCTTGGCGCAGCCACATGGATGCTTGAAGGATCACGATGCAAGATTTTCTGGTTATACGGCAACACAATTCTAGCAGATTATGTGCGCTTGACTGACTCGATCTGGCTTCCTGTGTACAGAAGCTTTGCACTTTTGTGCTCGTGCCTCGATTGGTTATATATACGACAATCTCCCACTGGAACAGCCACATGGACTCGTACATGTACTAGGACTGTATTCCAAAATCACCAGCTACGCACGAACAAACTTCACATCATGAACAACACTCCAAATGCAATGCCAATGCCACAGGCAGAGGCACTACGACCGGCTCCGCGTAAGGCCGGGCAAGAGCATGTCCTCACCTACCCACCCGGCTTCGTTGCTGTGCGTGCCATACAGCTCGTATCTGCCATCGTAGTGCTTGGTACCGCTGGCTATATACTTGGTGAAAAACCCTGGCGTGGTACCCCACCACCAGGCTTTGGCCTGAGCCTCTTCGCGGTACGTGGTCCAACCCGCTGTAGTCCACAGCTTTGCGCTTGACAGACGAGGCCCGCGAGATGATGTCGCTAACGAGCCCCCTTCTTGCTGCAGGCCCTATCGACAATCATTTGCGTAGTGTATTACATCGTGGCACAATACGGCTTGCCGGCCGCCTACAAATACTGGGCAATTCTCGCGCACGACATCTTTCTTCTCGTGCTGTGGCTGATATCCTACCCACTGGTGGGAGTTGCCATGGCAGATCTCGGGAGCCATAATCTCTCCAGTTACGACGAGTCAATCTTTTCCGCTGGCTGCGCTGCAGCAGGGTTCGGTGCCATTTGTTTGTAAGTCCTTTATCATTCAGGGACATGGCGTAGGCCAAACATTGAAGGGCAGTCCTGTGAATTGGCGCCTGGCTGACCTTTGTCTTGTTCATCCCGCAGCATCCTCTTCTGTGTGTCCCTCGGCATCCACGGCGCCGCTCTCCACCGCCACCGTGCCGCAGGAGGCCACTGGAAGACCCCGGCAAGCCCTGCCGCCCCTGTTCATCAACAAGCAGGCGGATATCCTGCCCCGAATCAAGCAGTGGCGGCTGGAAACTTCCAGAGCAAGCAGCAAGGACAGTTCGCCACGACCATACAGATGCAGGAACAGATGCCCCCAATGCATTACCAGCAGATGCCCGCCAATATGCCCACGCAATACCAGCAGATACCCCCCGCCAACATGCACGTGTAGCAACAGCAGATGCCAGCGAGCATGCCAATGCAGCACCAGCCAGTGCAATGGCAGCAGCAGCCACAAGAGGTGTACACGCCTACAGCCGGAACGCCTGTCCCACAGGGCAGCCCGGCACCCCACATCGCGCACGCGGTGCCCTACTATCAACAAGGACCACCGCCGCAGGACGCAATGCAGAAACAGTAGTGACGTGAGATAGGGACCCCTTGACTTTTTTGCATTTCTGTCGAAAGTGGCGATGAGTTCGCAGCGGAGAGTCAGAGGGAAGTAGCTGGGAGTGTGGAAGTTGGGCAAATTATTGAGTCTGAGGATTGGGGAAAGCACTGAGAGGCGCCATATGTCCAATGTAGTAATGTTTACTGAAAGTCTGCTTTAGTGACAAGCAAATGGCTACGTATTGCACTGTCTGTCTCGGTATCCTACTCATCTACCGTCACTGATATGGCCTCATGTGCCGCTGCGTGGCTCTAGAATGCAAAACCGTCGGCAACATAGCACATCCCCATTGGAGCACAACGATGTTGAGCTGTGCAGCACCTCTCTCTCCATGAGATAGTAACAATGAGCCTTTCATCTGGGTATTGACAACCACAGCACAGCCATGGCGTATCCGAGCAGCACAGCCCACAATGCCGGCCTTGGAGCCACTGCACTCCCGCCTTGCGGCCCCACCGGCGGCGGCTTCGTGTTGGCCGGAAGCTTCGCGCACGCCAGCGCGACCTGCACCTTCGAACCCTTTCTCGACTTGGCGGCCTGGGGACCGATGGACCTGTCGAGGGACTGGTACCGCGCGATGACGGAGATGGCCGCGTAGTCGAGCTGCTCGCGGAAGGCCCGGCTCGGGCGCAGCGTCCGGCTCCACGCAGCGGAGGAGTTGCCCGGCGGGGGGATCTGATATTTACCATAGAGGCCGGCGAGATTGGAGTTGGTGTTGTACTGGATGACGAATTCTGCAACAGGTACGACGAGATCAGAACCAATCCCGCCTGCGAAACAGGTCTGCTTGTGGAGGGCAAGAGAACAAAAAGTAACCACTTACCCTTATCAAAGTCCCCCGCGCCGCCATAATTCAGAGACTCGCGCTCAATGCCCACCGGACAGCCCACGATGTTGCCCCACTGCTTCGCGTCGTCCAGCTTGTCGAGGGGCTTGACGACATCGTCGAACGCCAGGTACTCGACTCGGTTCCTGATCGAATCGGCGCACATGCTCCCCAGGAGCCCGTCGCAGCCGCCGTTGCCGCCCCCCGTGGCTGCGCTGGGGAGCTTTGTAAAGTACACCTTGTAAGCCGTCTCCACCGTGAAGTTGGTCTTGTCGGCGAGGGCGACGTCCTCGAGGTCGTAGTCGAACCAGTACGCCACCATGGACGAGTCGCGCAGGCCGGTGTTGCCGAGCGTGATATCGTACTGGATCGCCTCGTCCGGGCCGAGGGCGTCGATGGCGTAGTAGAAGAGCACCGAGTCCGTGAACAGAGGCGGCAGGGCGAAGGTGGCTTCGGCGGGCTTTACATAGCTCGTGTCGATGCAGAGGTTCGTCGTGGCCAGAGAGGCGTCCTTGTAGGAACAGCTGCTGCTGCTCCCGCCAGACTGTGCTGTGGTACTTCGTGCGGCGACGAAGATGCCCAGAGTGAGGGCGCGCATGGCCCGCGCTGGACTAAGTCGAGGCTGCATCTTGATAGCGTGAGCTTGTCGCGTGGGGCCTGGGTAAGGTCTGTTGTGCATATCACTAGCGTGGCGCCATGTTTGTCAGAAGCTCGGGACGTTTGAGTATAAGGCCATCCGTGTATCCCCTCCCCGCCGGATCATTGTCCCTCCGCGTCAGGCTGTAGGCTTATATTCCTGCACGTCATGTTGGCTCCGCGGATTCAGCTGACAGGGACACTTGCAGCGCCAAGGTTGCCAGAACCAGGATGTAACCAAGCAATACCCTTGACAACTGAGGGCAGCATGCCGCGGCCCGCCAATCAGCAAGTCAACAGCGGTAAGGTTCACCAGAGTAGGGGAGTATACTGCGTATGTGTCATTTGTCATCGGGGAAATATTTGTCTTGACCCTCGTATGGCCAGCCCCCTGACTAGGGCGCAGCTTTTTTGACTTGCTCCTCTTCTAAGTTGTTTCGCATGATATAGACAACGTGTAGACGGATTATTCAGCCGGCACAACAAGACAGTTCCGGCTTTCTGCTCATGGCTTTATTATATACCGCCATACATGTCTATCTATGAAATATCGTAAAACATCAAAAGAACGGTCAGAAATCCCTAAAACTCCCAGGCCGATTATCCAACGCCTTGACCGCATGCTCCAGGACCTCGACAAACCGGTCCTTGGGCACAATGACGTCCTCAACGTGGAAGTCCTCCTTCTTCTCCACCACGGGGACATGCATCTTGTAGTACCCTAGCCCACGGTCCCTCGCCATCGCTCGGAAGCACCGCAGCTCAAACCCTTCCGGGAAGATCTCCACCAGCGCGCCCATGTCCTGCCTCATGAACAGGGTGTGCGTCAGGCCCGCGCCGTGCACGCCGACCAGGATGTCCGTCTCCCGCGCTAGTGCAATCTGCTCGCGGAAGGAGAGCGTGGCGAAGTCGACGGCGCGGATGTGCACGTTGGCTTTTGCCAGGGCGGTGCGCGCGTGGGCGAGCAGCTGCGGCGTGTCCTGCACGCGGCGGGTTTCTTTGCGGTCGATAAAGGTGATGCGAAGAGCCCCGGGCTTTGGCGGGGCGACTTCTTCTGCTTCTTCTTCACGTTTGCCGTTGTCGTCTGAGGCGGTGGACGCGGCAGCGACGGGCTTCTCCTTGTTTGGTGCGAGTTTATTCGCGGCAGCTGTATCATCGGGAGTGTTGTCCTCGCGGGTGCCGGTCTCGTTGCCGTCCTCCAGTGCCCGCTTCCTCCGTCTGTCCGGCCCATCGACCTTCTTCGCGACAGGCTCGTCCGGCGGGAACCCAAAGAAGTCGAGCACTCTCCTGACAAACACGGTCCTCAGCTCATTGACACAGTCCCACCTCTCCCAGTCGTCGTGCCACACCGGATTCGACCCGCCGGCAAAGCCGACAATCACATTGTCGAGCGGGCGGGTGAGCCATGTCGTGCTATCGTCCTGCGCGGCTACCTCTCTCGCGAGAGCCGTCTCGGCAGTAGTGTTGTTGTTGTTGTTCTTACTATTCCCACCACTCTCCCCGGTCAGGCCCAACTCGCCGCTGGTTCCTGCATCTTCTCTCTTCTTCTTGCTCCTCCTCATCTTCCTCCTTCCCCTGCTCTGCCCTATCTGGTCCGGGCTGACCAGCTCCACGATCCTCTTGGGGTGCCGGCCCGAGAACAGCCTCCACAGGTCAAAGTACGGCCCGTCATTGTGCCCATCGGTGATGACGATCTGCGTGTTGGCGACGTCCTGCGGGGTAACGAAGAAGGGCTGGCCCGTGGCCGGGTCGCGCGTCGTGCGCAGCGCGTCAAAGGTCTGCGTCATGGACATGATCTCGTGCAGGCAGTGGAAGATGTTGCCCGAGCCTTCGCGCTTGAGGAGGTACGTGAATGTGCGCGGGGCCTGGGCCGACGCGGCGAGGGCGGCCCCCTCGAGGGCCTTGGACTCCGGGGACAGCAGGACCCCCGAGGTCGAGTCTGAGGAGTCTTGTGCTGGTGCCGGCGCTGGGGAGCGGCGGGTGTTGTCTTGATTCTCGCCCACGTCTCGCTCGGTTGGTCGTCCTGGCAAGTCTGGTTCACGGTCGTGTTGCGGTTGCTGCGCCGGGGAGGCTGGCCTTGCCACGCCGCCACCACCGCTCATGACCACGGGCCCCTTGATCGGGGCGTGCTTGATCATCCCGGCCCTGTCCTCCAGAGTGATCCACCTCCAGAAGATCGGCCCCGGGCCCGTCTCGTACCAGTACTGGTGGAAGGTCCAGGGGGACGCGGGGACTCCAGGGGGCACGTGCTTGGTGAGGGGGCAGTCGAGAGTGAACGTGTCGCGGCGGGAGTCGAAGACGACATTCTGCGCGATGCAGAACGTGTCGATGTGCTGGTCGTTGTGGAATTCGGGCGGCGTGTGGAAGCAGTGCAGCCGCGAGGCCGCGCTGTCGAGGCAGTACTGCGTGTGGCCTGCGCGGACCACGTCGAACCACTTGGTGGTGAAGCGGGCCGCGCAGAACTCTGATGTCGGGTCGTGGGCAGCGTACTCGTCGGGGAGGGGGAGGTTCATGCTGGTGGTGTCCGGCTCTGAAGATGGAGGGAGCAACTCAGGCGGCGGTACACCCGCTGGCGGCACCCCTGGGACATCCTTGGAGGTCCCATGGGAAGCAATATTGCCCTGCAGAATATCATCTTGCACCAGTGCAGCTGGACTACCGCCGTGCTCGGGGGGTGCATTCTGAGCTGGCTGCTTGCCGGCCGTGGTCGTCTTCGAGGAGACCTGCCAGTATCGGTAGACTGTGAAGACGACGAGCAGGGCCAAGCCCGCCCTGAGCAGGTGCAGCGATCGGGCCGGATACGGGACCAACATGTTGTCGCTGCTGTCATGAAGACATATCGTGGAGGAAACCTAGGTCTGGGCGGGACAATGGGCGGACGGATCGTGACCCGTTACACGGCCATGCACAACTTAGATGCCCAGGCAAGATGTGAGAGACGGGGAGGGAGGGGCAATGGATTTCCAGAGGCAGGAGACAGTCTAAATGCGTAGCGAAGGTCTCACCTAGCACAGCTTGGGTGCACATTGAGCGCCGGCAGCCCCGTCCGACCAGGCCCTCCCGTGGTCGAGGAGCCACCGCCCTCCAACATGTGGTAATTACTACATATGCTAGTATGTAGGACTGGCTGCGGGCATCCACCTCTGTGTCCCCCATCCCCGCCCGGATCTATGCCTGTCCAACATTCATCTGGTCTGCGTGGCGGCCAATCCACGCGGACGGTCAGCTAAGCCACAAACGTCCTGAGTCGTCGCCAGCACCAAGCTGAAGAAGGCGTGGACGGCCCGCTAGCCCACGATTAGGCTGGCCCTTGACTGAGACCGGGGGGCCTAGCGTGCAATCCCCTGCATTCTCATTCCGCGTGCTGACCGGACGCAGGCCAAATTTGCCGGCAGTGGTGCTGAAGTTAGCAGACTCAGCCAGCGGAACCCCCCCATGTCTTGCGCAAGCCGAATGCGTCATGCGCCGACCAGATGCGTCGACACCATGACTACGCCAAGGGTTGCATGGAGCTTTGTCCGGCAGGATTTATCCTTTGATGCGATTAGCACAGTTCCGGCTGCATTTCTGTGTTCCAGCACGCGCGTGACGTGGCCTACGTACAGAGTACTTAAGCACCCATCCGGCCGGCCAGCAAGCAGACGGCAGAAATGCCCCTTCTCACCCAGGGTGACATTTGCGGAACCGCCAGCTCCTGAGCCTTTGTACATAGCATGCTTGGCGCTGTCAGCTGGGGTCTGGACCCCTGACCAGCATCGTATCTTGGGGCCTCAGGGTTCATTTCCAGGGGGCCTAGATCTCAGCAACGCTATTTGCGGCACGACAGCAGCCCTGCACGGGCGTGGAGCTCGTCTGCACTGGGCCGGCTTCGTCCGAGGTGCGGCTGGGTGCCAGATGGAATCAAATCCCCCCTGCTCCAGCGGAATGGCCCCCCACTACTTCTGACAACGACATCCATCGGGATTGCTTGGCAAGAACTCCCGTCATCAAAATAGCCTACTTGGTACTAGTGCTTGCAACCTGCCCTTGCTAGCAAAGAGGCACTTCAGAGCAACAAGGACTGGGTGAGCAGGCTCACTCGGCGTGAGTTTCGACAATCCAGCGCTTTGACTGCTCCAGTGAAATGTCTCTCGCATGATCCTACGATCAGACGCAGTTTGTATGGCTCACCACCCGGCAAGAGATCGGCAGTGCACACTTTATCAAAACTAGGGAGTCTTCAAGCACGACGGAGCGCCCTTTTGGTGTGCCGTGTCCCGGATCACGATCAAATCGCCCGCCTGGTATCATCCGTGTGAGTATGATCCCCAAGAGCCTCGGGTATCAGTGTCAATCGTGGGCTGTCCAGTAAATTTTAACCTTGCCCCTGCGGTGACGGGGGCGTATCATGGTTTGCGTATCCGCGCCGCAAGCGTATGATTTGGCTTCGCCGACTTTAAACTTCGCCACAAGTCAATCAGCACGCTGCCTGGGCAAGAGATTGCACATGCCAGGGCGGGGCTGCTGACGATTCATCGGATGATGTATCGTAGCTCAAGATAAGTTTGGGTGCATTTATTAGCATGGGATAGACACTATGCTCCCTTCATGGGCACATCGTGTGCGTTCAGTACGGCAACCAAGGGGACACCGCTAGGGAGACGATTAGTATCGGTTGGCATGGTTTTGTAGGCTTTTTTGATGCGATGTCAGCTCGGCTAGGCTATTTACAGCGCGGCAACTGGGGCTTACCATAACTTTTGAGGCGTTTCAGACATTATATCCCCTTGTCTTGGATTGGTGACTGGCCCGTCTAGGCAGCTGTGCGCTTCCATTTTCGGCTTGTATGGCTGCTAACTAGTTGACAGGCGGCCAGTGTAAGCTGCTGCCATGCTGTGGCAAAGCTGACCGACCAGGCGGCCGCGTTTCCTTGGCGCACTGATCTTGCAGGGCTGGACACTTTCACCTGAGCAAAGTGGCATGTTGCACGATCGCGCAGAGTGTCTCGAGTGGCACGCGAGTGCCAGACCTGTTAATTGTCCACGGGTCTAGACTCGGCAGCTCGCTTCCCGGCAGTGCCTCAGCGGAAACCTTGGTCCCAAATATAATTGCTGTGAGGCTGGCCCTCGTTCTCGGTCCTTATCCACCTCCGGCCCCGGCCCCGGCCGACACTCCATTCCTTGTTCAATGGCGGCTCGCCCATGCGTGTTTCGGACGCAGCAATAAGCCGCGGCAGGCCGTCCAAACATCCATCTTCCACCTCCAGCGAATCTCCCCTTGCATGACATGTCCGCCTTGTCCTGTTGAGTGTCCACCTCCACACTATCGACATGACGCCTCCGGAAGTTCGAGAGACGGACGAGGTCAACCAGTTGGCACTTCTCGCGCTGTGGTGCGCCACGGCGGTGGCCATCGTGTTCAGCATTTTCCGGTTCTACGTCCGGGTGTTCATGCTGAGGGCATATAGCTACGATGACCACGTCTATAGCATAGCACTGGTAAGTTACCATAGGATCTCCAGGCTCCACACCCAGATGATCCAACACAGCACACGAAACATACGATACTGACAACCACCTCGGCTTGCCACTCTGTCTAGCTTCCACTCATCATCTCCACCGCGATGCTCACATTCAGCACCTCATACAACTGGGGCACCGCCTACGACGACTCGTCCTCTCCCGCTCTGCCCAACGGCGACAGCCGTGATGACAGACCACCCCCGTTCCCCGGCATGGCCTCCCCGCAGCTCGTTTCCACGATAGCCCAGGGGGTCCTCGCGCTCGGCTCGGCGCTCGCCAAGGTTTCCGTGGGCATGTTCCAGCTGCGCTTCGTGACTGCGCGCTGGCAGCGCGCGAGCATATACCTGTGGATGCTGGCCGTGCTGAGCCTCGCGGTGGCGGTCAATGTCGCGACGTACACGAGCTGCACCCCCGCGGCGTACTTTTGGGACACGACCATCACTGACGGGACCTGCGCCTTTGATTTCCTGAGGCTGTTTTTTGGTCTAATAGGTGAGCAATCTTGTTGAGAGGAGGTGGACGGAAAGAGACCGGGATCGGCCGGGCACGAGGAAGACCTCAAGCTGACACCACCGTGCCTCGATTTCTCGCGTAGTGACCTGGATCATCGTCGATTTCTACTACGCCATCCTGCCGTGGGTGTACGTGCGACGTCTCAACATGCCGCACAAGGAAAAGGTCATTGTGCTGTCGAGCATGAGTCTGGGAATCCTGTGAGTCCTTGCGGTCTCGTCCTGCTCCTTACTGGGGGGGAAAGCGAAGGGGACAAGCATTCCAGAGCTTGCTAACCGGAATTCCCGTATGTTTTCTAGGGCGAGTGGCGTAGGCATCGCAAGAGCTGTCGTCCTCATGCGTCTAAAACCTAGCGACGACACGAGTAAGTACTGCTTCATTGTGACCGATGGCAGCTTGCTACCCCCCCACCCCCCCCAACACGAATTCCCACCACAGAGCGTTTCGTGCTGTCCTTTCCTCCTTTTTGCCTTTTCCAATCTGAGCGTTGACTTATATCATTTCCGCAACTTGCAACAGACACCGACATCCACCCGTTCGTCCTCGACACGAGCGAGTACGCCATCACCATGATCTGCGTGTGCATCCCCGTGTGCAACCCGCTCTGGATCAGCTGGGCCCGGAAGCTCTTCTCGTCGTGCTCGCGGAGGAACCGGGTGAGCAGCGGCAGCAGCGGCAGCGGCAGCAATAATAGCAAACTCTGCATCGGGGCCTGGTTGCGGCAGGGGAAAAAGTGCAGGCGGGAGCGGCAGCAGTCTCAGTGGCAGCATCAGCAGCTCGCCCATGGCAACGACCACGTGCACGAGGCCGGCGGCATCAGGATACAGATTGGCGGTCCGGGCGGGCGGGTGATCTGGTTCAAAGACGCGGCTGGCGGTGTTCAAGCAGAAGTAAGGGGTAACGGAGGTGATCAGCAGCTGCACAAGCAGGTCGGAAGTCTGAGCCGGCAGTTTTATGCCACGCACACGATCGGGGGCAGCGAGTTGGCCCCTCAGAATTCTGAGCAGGGCAGATCCGCCCAATCTTCGGGCACCTCGGCAAGTAGTGGCGAGATAAACATTTGCAGAAGAGTGCAGGTGACGGTCGAGAAAGCACTGGTGGCCCACCACGACGGCCGGCAACAGCATGGACCAAGGGTCGTTTTGATAAGATGATGCTCGGCTCGTGGGGAAGTGGTAGTGAGGAAGGGCAGGTGTTTGAGATTGAGTTGCCGGTGGGTGAGAGTGAGGGCGATGGGAGCAGGGTCCCGGACCGCAGTAACACTCCAGCCGCGGAGGTAGACGAGCAATGGGTGCATGAACTGGAGGCTGGCATCGAACCTGAAAGGGGGCGGACCACGTCTAGAGGTCGAAGAAGGGGCAGATGATCCTGTCAGGACGGTCTCATTTTTATTTAATAACAGCAAGCGTTGGTATTCTTAGACTACAAAATAGCATCATCCATCTTTGGAAAGCGACTCCTGAAACTATACGACGTCCTTGAACACCGTGCCATTCGTCCTCCTTCCTTGAATCTTGTATTCTTCATTGTCAATCAATCGCTGGACTGTCCAGTGCAGATGTGGCCTGGTCTCTCGCACCGCGCGGTGCCGGCCCAAGTTCAAGCGGACCTTCTTGGCCCAGGCGGTCTTGTTCTGCACGAGTACGCGGATCTTTACCGGCCAGATCTCGACGATCCACCACATCCTCTTCTTTCTGAGCATGTCGCACGGCTCTTGTCGCGAGTCAAAGTAGTCCTCCGCCACCTCCGACGGGAGGATGTACTGTGCCTTGTCCATGACCGCTGCCTGGTCTTCCACGGTCTGCTTGGGAGCAGACTTCCCGTCATCCTTCCTCCCTTCACGCTCAATATTCAGCACTGCAGACCGCCAGTCCAGCGGCGCCAGCGTCTCCTGCTTGTACTTGCGCATCAGCCGCTGGTCAGGCTGACCTCCACCGCGATCGAGCTCGGAACGATCGAGCTTCTGGTACTTTGGGTAGAGCCCGTGGACATCGAGCCCCAGCTGCGCCAGCCGCTCCGTGTCGAACAGTATCCCCGTGTTGCACTCGAAGCACTGCCGGATCATCCACCGCAGCGGGATCCGCGAGAGCATGTGCCGCGCCTCGTTCTCCACCGAGCCGCCGCCCACGTCCGCGTGCGCGCCCTTGAACCACACCTCGAGCACGTCCGTGTCGAAGTCGTGGCGGTGGCGGCAGTCCTCGTCGTGCCGGCGGGCGAGGGAGTTCATGGTGTCGTTGTCGCTGCACGAGGCGTTGTCACCCTGTTTCTCTCCTTTGGTGGCTTGTAGCGTTGTGCTCTTGCCATGGAGCGGCCCGGTTCGTGCTTTGCGTTGCAGCCGGGCCAGCTTGGCTCTGGCGCCGCCGCCTGCCGATGGATGATGTTTTGTGCCGTTCCCGGCCTCACACGATGCTGAAGGTAACCCGGCTGGCGCGCCCGGGTCGTCCTGGTTCCACTGGCACACTTTGAACTTGGCCCTGCGCTCGTCCAGAGCCATGGCATGCCTGACGAACCGTACCGTGTTGGCGGGGGGGCTCTTGCTCAGGGGCAGCTTCCTTGGGAAGAAGCCAACACTTGCGACGCAGTCCCAGAGACCCAGGAAGTAGACGTCCACGTGCGTGCAAAAGGTGTGCTTGAACCCCTCGGCGAGCTTCTTGCCCTCGTCTGTCTCGTCCTTGTAGAAGTCGTACGCGAAGTTCACCTGGGACCGGTTGCTCGCGGGCAGCAGACCGACCTTGTGCAACATCCCGGCCAGGCATCGCACGGTGTATGCGCCACGAGAGAAGCCGAGCAGGCAGATCTTGTCGCCATGGCGGTAGTTCTGCATGAGGAAGCGGTACGCGTCCTTGATGTGGGTGCCTGTATTTATCAAGAGGGCGTGTCAGTCAGTCAGTCAGTCAGTTCCTGGTGGTGGTGGAATGTGCCGCCCTGTAGAGGATTTTGTCAGAGGAGAAGGCTGCAAACTCACCCAGACCACTCCCGACGGCCATGTCCAACCCGGCAGCGATCCCATTCTGCAGGCCACCGCTGTCGTACGTCCCGATTCCAGATTGGTAATACGTAACCTGCTGCGCTGGAGAGTGCTTGATCAAGCAGGCGACGAACGCGACAATGTTGCTGTTGTCGCCGTCGAACTGGTCGCCCGTGCCATCGAGACAGATGACCAGCGTCCTGCCAGAAGAACGCCGCTGGTGGCTGTTCTCGTCTTCAGGCAAGGCTTGCTTCACCGCTCGGAGCGTCTCTGGCAGCGGTCGCGAGTAGTCCGCGGTCGAGCCGTGCGTGTTGTGCCCGCCATTTGCATCGCTTGCGTCTTGCTGGGAAGATGTGTTGGCAATAACTGAGGATGAAGAAGACGCGGAAGAGTGAGAACGGTTATCTGTATGGTTCTTCTCCATTTTGCCTACGGAGCTGACTGAGCAGTTCTCTTGAGTGATGCCGAAGGGCATAGAAGGGGAATATGAAGCTAGCACCGTGACCGCTGTCCTGGTCCAGGTCAGTGTCTTTGGAAATCCACTTGGAGAGTCTCTGCTGGACAATGTTTTACCGACGCGAGAGCTTTCTGAATCTGCTAAGAGCGGGCGGAACCAGCGCCCTCTGTTTATAGGAGGCCCGTGCCGACGTCATCCTGCTGCCCGCCGCGAAATCTGCGATCACGGACATTTGGATTGCGCTAGTGACTGCCGGGGCGAGGGAGCAACTGCAGATCGACGGATGCTGGGCACCAATCACGTACCATGGCTTGAGACATCTGTCTCAAGGCGGCAGGGTTCGTGCCAGTGTGCTCCCTGTGCACGTCGTTCATCCAAATCTCGGACGCGGGTCAGCCCGGAAGCTTAATTCGATGTGACAGCTGGCAGTATGTCGGGCACACTGGCAGGCTGTTTCGCAGCTCCAGTCATGTGCAATCACATGTCCACTTCCCTTAACTTCCACGGTGGGAGCGATGAATGGTGCTTCATCTCTGGCAGCAAACACAGCAGACAGGGCAGGGCATGTTGTCTCAACCCTGGGCTGCCCGCTTTGATACATTATCCAAGACCGGTTAGCGATCGGTGACACGGTTGAGACAAGCCAATTGTATCTGTTTGTCATATTCAGCAGCTCCAGAAGATGTTCGGGGGCTGGGTCTTAGCACATGCATTAGCGGCTGATCTCCCACGGCTTATCCCACTAGTTTATTGTGCTTGGACTAGCACTACGTCTCCATAAGGAAACTGCCGGCGCCGCTGCAGACAACCTGTGGTTGCGCGCTTTTGTTGTACTGTTGCGAACCAATCCTGTGCTGCTCCGTATCCCTGGAAAAAGAGGGGGGCGGCAAATGAGTATCGACGGTGACGTATTGGCGTAGGCTTCTCGCTTGTGCAATGCGGAAGGCATCCAGGCAAAACCTTTCAGCTCGCTAAGGCTGACCAGCGAATCATCCTCGGCCAATAAAGCTCTCCCCAGTAAAAGACCCTTGTTCATACCAACTTCTTCATATCTTTTTCTTCCGCGAATACGAAACAGTTCTGTTGACAATTAGGTTTAGTTTTGCAGAAGTCATCAACGTCGATGCCAAAACATATTATGATGGCTCGCACGATTCCCTTGAGTGGCAAATTCCCGAAACCTTTCCTGAAATCACTCAACGCGGCATCACACCAATTGGCCGTCTCACCCATCGCCACGGCAAACAGTCAGTTGATTGGATAGTCGACAAGGCCATTGCTCTATGGCAATTTGAGCATGGTGCCTGCGGCGGGCATTTATCCAACAACTTGATTGGCGGTGGAGAGAACAACGAGGTTGTTGTTATTGTCGGTGCTGACTCTAAGGCTCAAATACTGTGTCTTCACCACCTTGTACTCGGCAGGGCGGCCTGACTGTTGAAGGGCTCGACTTCTTCTGAGACGATGAGCGACTTTCGACCGTTCACGCCGAAATGGCTGGATGTCAGGTTCGGCGAGGATCCGGCTCTTTCAGCGAGGATGTTGCGTGTGCTAAGAAGCTGTCGGGAAAATATGACCGTCACAAAACAAAGGCGCGAGTTCTCCGGCTCCTCCTCTACATTTCGATTCCTCGTCATCCTCGCTCCCCGTTCTCCACGGCTTTTGCAGGTAAACACCGACAAAGCCTGTCGGTGATAGGCCCCACCTTCGGGGTTTACAGCTGGCCAACGCAGCCAATTCCAAGTTCTTCACCATCCATTTGTGGGGACACTCGCGTCGTATGGTACCAAGCATGGATCTTGACAACGGCTATTTGCGGCCGATGACGAAATCAGAGCTACATAATGAGGCTGGACATAGACCGGGATTTGTCTTCGTGAATGCTATAAAAGATTGTCAATCAGATGACACCTGCTCACCTGAATCAGGCAAAGGCTCTTCAAGACCCGGCATAGGTACTCTGAGATACCGATCAGGCCATTCACCAAAGTCACGACAGCAGCCATGGCGCCCAGATACAACAACAAAACCAAGGGCTCCGACCTTGCCGCCGAGCTCGCGGACAACATCAAGGGCAAGACCGTACTTGTCACGGGTGCCTCGCCTGGAGGCATCGGTGCCTTGTACGCGAAGGCGATCGCCCGCGCCTCGCCAGCTCAGATCATCCTGACTGGTCGGACAACCGCGTCGATCGAGGCGACCGCCAAGTGGGTAGCAGAAGCCAACTCGGCGGTCAAGACAACCATGATCGAGATGAGCCTGGACTCTCTCTCCAGTGTGCGCGGCGCGGCCCGTGAGGTGATGGACAGTGCCGAGGTGTCTCATATCGACGTTCTAGTCCTCAACGCGGGCATCATGGCAGTTCCTTACGGCAAGACCAAGGACGGATTCGAGATGCAGTTTGGCGTCAACCATCTCGGCCATTTTGTCTTTGCCAACTTGGTCATGCCCAAAGTCCTTGAGGCTGCTTTCTCCCCGGGTAGTAGTCGTGAGCAGTGATGGACACAGGCTGAGTCCGATCCGGTGGGCAGATGTCGGGTTCCAGGTATGATGGCTTCCAGCATGGCTGGATCGTCTCTCTAATGCAGTGGATGCTGACTGTCATTGTGACTCACCCCCACAGGACGGCAAGGTCTATGAAAAGTGGTCGGCCTACGGCCAGTCCAAGACTGGAAACAACCTCTTCGCCCTCTCTCTAGCCACTAAACTGGGCAGCAGAGGCCTACAAGCTTTCTCGCTTCACCCGGGCGTTTACATGAGCAATCTGACCCGGGATGTGGATTTTTCTGAAGGAGGGGATGGTCCTACATCGCTACGTACGTAGTATTCTTCCCCCACCATTTTCGAGGACTCCATCTCAAAGCAGCTTGCCTAACAGTTACGTGTAATAGGCCAGGCGGATGAGAGACTGGGCAACCCCCTCTCCCTGCCCAACTCCCAGTTCGACTTCTGCGACGAAGAGACGATTGTGGCAACACACATCTTCACGTCCTTCAGCGACGATATACGCCGTAAGTTGTGCCCCCCTTGACCACCACTGCTGCTGCTCGGGAAAGAGTGGGATGCTAATGAGTACAATTACAGCCTTTAACGGACAGCACTTTACGGCGTGCAATGTGGCCCAGCAGGACCGCGACGAGGTCTGGCCGTGGGCAAACAACGCCGTCGAGGCGGAGAGGCTGTGGCGGCTGAGCGAGGACATGGTTGGGGAAAGATTTGCGTACTGAGTGCCACCGTTCTGGCCAGTCACAACTTCTGGGTGACAAGCATGACAGGTAGTGCAGAAGTGCATGTGGAATTCTGGCTGTCGCAGCATCTCTGTCTGGCAGCCATGCCTTGAAGACGACTGTCTGATCAGGAATAGGTCGTTATTGCAGCTTCCGACAGTACATATATTGCCCCAGCATGGGCTTTCAATGATAGTCGATGCGCGCTGAAGGATAACCTTAGCATAGGCTAAATATCCTCCATGGAGAGCCATTCTGTTTTATAAACACCAACAGTACAAGAGCGTCTTTTCCAAAATCTGGTAATCTACCGCCACCAGTCTGAATCTGCGCATACTCAAGGGTACCGCGGCTTTTTGAACGTGTTGCCAAGCCGAGATGCGGTCGCCGTCGGAGCGGAGGCAGACAAGACCGAGTTTCTCCTCCCATTGACTAAGCGGAGCAAAATGGCTTTTCTCCTGATTTCTGGGTCCAAACAAAACAGGCATATTTCCGAGTTTGAACAAGTTCGCTGACATGAGGACGTCGGCGACCTCGGAAAGGCTACCTGCAGGCCACTTTCCGGGCAGTGCCTGCAAGATCCTCGCCCGAGCATCGCTTGGCTTTCCGGGCTGGCTGGTGTGGGGGGCCAGCGAAGGGGCTAGGCCGCTTTCGACCAATTTGACGACGACGTCCTTCATGGCCATCCATGCCCCGATGGCCATGATTAACTGGCGTTCCTTCAACCGGCAAAACTGCCCCTCGCGTGAAGGGGGGTATGATTTCCGCTGACGGGCACTAACGTTGGGAAGCTGCCTGATGTTTTGGGTATCCTCCCACTATATAAAGCTCAAGTCCGCCGATAGTATCTTCCAAGTCCTCTATAACCACATCAACGCCCATCTGTAGCCAGCTTCTAAGTTCAATCAGCTACCCTTGTACTTCACCTAGCCGACCCTTTCCATTACGACAGATTTTCCTCTCCGGCAAAGATGGAGTCTGCCTTTCCTATGGTTTGTGCCCTGGGATCAAGAGGTCCCCCCCTTCGTCCCGATCCACACGTGCATGGGAATTAATTGATGAATAGGCCACATGGCGCACCGCGCCATACCCGGCGATATCTCCTTCCCGCCCCGAGCTGTCCCAGGCCGGACGAACAGTCCTCGTCTGCGGCGCCTCGACAGGCATCGGCTACTCTATCGCCAAGGCATTCTGCGCCGCCAAGGCCGGCAAGGTCGTGATGCTCGGCCGCCGCCAGGACGTGCTGGACAAGGCGGCGCAGGGCCTGGCGGGCGCGCACCCGGACACGCAGGTGGCCCCGCGGGTCTGCGACATCTTTGACGAGGACGCCGCCGGCAAGCTGTGGGCCGAGTTCGAGGCCGAGGGCACGGTCGTCGACGTGCTGGTGTGGAGCGGGGTGCACTTTCCCGCGTTCGCGAGCATCTTGAAGCAGGGTGTCAAGAGGCTGTGGGAGGATCTCGAGAGCAATGTCCGCATGCCTCTTCTCTGGGTGGAGAAGCTGTATAACCAGCCCGGCGGCGCGGATCGGCAGAAGGTAAGTTCTTCCGTTGGGGGGCCCGGGTTGTGTCACACACAGCCAAGGAACCTTTCCGACACCAGCAGCCACGCCGCCTGTTGCTTGATCTTCGACTGACTCATCCTTTCGCTCGTTTAGAGCAGCATCTACGTCACCACCAAGGACATTGCCAGGTGGGGTGACACGGAGGGCATGCCGGGCTACCAGCTGTCCAAGTCGGCGGGGACGTGCGCGATGCAGCAGGTTGCGCGCGACGTGCCGGTGGCCGAGTTGCAGATGGTCAGCATGCACCCGGGCGTGATCTTCACCGAGGCGTGCGAGGCTGCGGGATACACGCGTGACACCTTGCCGTGGGCTCATGGTATGTTTGAAGCCCGAGTGGGCGCCTATCGGCCTTCGCAACTGCTGGGATGCTGGAGTGCTTACCGTCAATTTGCGTGATAGATGATCTCCCGGGCCACTTTGCGGTCTGGGCCGCGTCGCCCGAGGCTGAGTTCCTGCATGGTCGTTATGTCTGGGTCAACTGGGATGTTGAGGATCTTCAGAAGGGCGAGATCAGAGACAAGCTTGATGCGGATCCGTGGTATCTCAAGGTCGGCATTAAGGGTCTGTGAGGGCGGTCATGCAAAGGTGACGGGTTCCGCGGGCGACTATACGATTCTCAGCCCGTTTAGGTAGTCGTTTCTCTGGTTCAAAGAGAGCGCATGATGGATATGCCTTGGGTTATTGACTGGTCCAGTTTTGAGACGTGTTCACGTCACCCGGCTAGGAATCGAGAACAGGACTCTCGACAAGTGCCAACCGATCAATCCCTGATTTAGTTTAGAGCTTTGGTTCTCGAATCTGCCAGCCGCCAGCACAATACACATCTTGACGCTCTATTTGTAGAATCTGCTTATGATATAATAGCGTCACAATCGTTGCCTACTCTCTCATTGGCGTTCGTGGTACGTCGGTGGCCCTTTCCTGGGGTTTCCTCAGGTAATGCACCAATCATCCATCGATCTAAACTATACAGAGACAGCGTATGTCATCCCCCCTGCTCTGTTGCTTGGAACTAGCCATCGTCAACCTTGGGCGAGGCATTTCATTCCACAGCCTTGTGAAAGTTCCATTCAGCACGCCGCTCGTAGCCAGCCCTTCGCCAAAGGCCACCGATAGGTATCATCTGGTCATACCTACGAGCAACGACTGGTCGTTTGGGAACAGCCCATATCGGGTGGCAGGTAACCAGTACTTCATTGCCAGAAAATATCTTACAGGTACTGCGCGTGAAAGATAAGGTGGAGAAGTTCTGAACGACAGATTCTCCGCGCAGGGCCAAATCCGATGCCCCGAAAGAGATCTATGCGGATTGGCGACGTGCGTCAGGTCTCACTTCCACCTTACATGGGCGTTCCTGACCTTTGTATTGCGCCCAGAACTGTGCGACTGCCCGTGGCTGGTGGTGTGCTCGAAAGGTCCATCGCGAGCACGCACACAGCCCGCCTCGTTCGCGTCGCAACGCATTCAATATCAAGGCTGCCAAAACGCCGCGGCGTTTCCAACTGCTCGACCAAAGTGCATCTGCTTGCTGTATGTGTGTCGACCGTGTCCAGTGTTGGCCGGCATGTCTCATCAGAAAAATTCTTGCAGTACCCCTGAGCAGATGGGTGGATGGGAGAGAGGCCCGGGTTCGTGTTTCTTGGTCCCGGGTCATTTGTTTCGCAAGAAAACGCAGCTTGTTCGTCGTCTCGTCGCTTTCCCGTCCCTTGTTCGTGTTCGTCGTTGCATTCGTCTGGTCCGGGGGGCGCTAGTTCACTTGTTGTCGTCGCTGCGCCAGTTGAGCATCGTCTCGTCAATGAGCCTGCGCTGCGCCTGTGTAGCCTCGCGCAGGCTCTGGTCCATGGCTCGCAGCCGCTCCACGATGTGCCGCGTGTCGTCGTCCACAGGATTCCTCCCCGCGCTGTTGCCGCCACTGCCCGCGGGCCCACTGTCTGCTTGATATGGGGCCTGGTAATGGCCATGCGGTGACTGTTGTTGCTGGCTCGAGCTGCGATAGTACGGGCTGCTCACGCTGCTGCTCCGGCGGTGTAGGTATGGCGCGCTGTAGCTGTTGTAACTGCTGCTGCGGCTCGCGGTGCTGTGATCGGTCTGGCTGCCGCTGCTGACGCTGGGCCGGCCGTGGTAGGGTTGACCGCCGGGGGCGGCGCTGCTGCTGGTGCTGCCACGGGGAGGCATGTCGGCGGCCGTGTCGGCCAGGGCGGAGGCGATGGACATTGGGTTCAGCAGTTCTCGGGGGGAGACGAGCGGCGGTCTGAGAAATGCGGACTGCTGTAGAGGCGGTAGTGGTAGAGAGGATGGGCGGCTGCCGCTGTTGGTGCTCGGAGAAAAGTAGCCGGTGTTGTTGTTTGGTTGCTGCTCCTCGACCTCGCTGTTGGAAGAGTCTGTTTCATGACGTAATGGCGGCGGGCGGAACGTGGCGGGCGGCCGCTTCCTGGGGGCACGAGAAACATCAAAAAGTTAGCCCTGTTTGTCTTGTTGAAAGGTCCATGGGGGGGGGGGGGATTTGGTTGGGGACGCACTGCGTGACTGGCACTGGGCGGTTCATCCTCCACAGACTCGAGCACCTCGCAAAGTGCCCGCTTCGCCTGGTGCTGCTAACTTATACGGATCGGGGAGTGGCCGTGAGCGGGCCGCCGGGGGGTGGTTGTTCTGACCTCCGCAGAGGTGGCGTGCGAGGTCGTCGCCAGGGCGAACAAGACAAAGCCAGACGGCCGAGTGACGGGGGGCGCAGTGCGGACAGGATGCGCGGGCGGGCGTCGATCCGCGCGGCACTGCGCGTGGAGATGCGGATGAGACCTATATACGGCTCAGGAATTAGGGTTTCCCCCCTTCGGACAAGACCGTTTCGACGATCGTGATAGGCAGCGCCGTTTCCCCCCCTTTGGGGTCCTGCTGGGCGGTGGTGGTGGTGGTGGTGGCAGGCGCAAAAAGGGCCCAGACCACGCGAGGGGCCCGACGGTCTAGAACTCTAGCTGTGCATCCGGCTCTTCGGTGGTGGCTCCGCCCCTTTGCCCTTTGGTACCGCTTCTCGTCGCTGTCAGTCGTGGAGGGTGGGACCTGTCAGTCACCTCCCTTGGGGCCTCGCTGCGATCGTGGTGCCGGCTCAGCTTCCTCGTCCTGTCTCTGCGTGTGTCGGCGATGCAAGTATGTACGCTGGCGAGATATCCCGTGGCCGTGTCGAGGGTTTGCGATGCTTCAAGGCGTAGATCGAATGGACAGCCAGAGACGGAGTGCTCCAGTCACGACTGCCGACAAGTGTCAGGGGCCCCTCGCGCCTTTAAATGCTGACCCTCGCGCTGCAGCGCAGGTCGATCGATCCCCTGGTCCCTTGAATTCCAGGTTGTTCCAGCCCAGCAAGCACGATGACCAGGGCAGTGGCCTGACAGCCCGACGCGCAGCAACCATCGCGGTCGGTCATCCTCCGTGCAGGATGAACCCTGGATGATGCTGCAACCACCGCCATGTGTGACGGGTTCTTCCATCATGTACATCATCCGCTGTGCTCTTGGACCCCCCACAGGACGTACAAAAGTTCAGGCCGGGGTGGCCGCGATCTCGATGCCACAACTATTATGTGCTGGAGGGCACGCCCTGGATTGCACAAAACGTCTTTGCTCGAACCACCACCCGTCCACTTTTCGGCAGCCCCGTCAGCCATCCAACCAGGCCAGGCCCTCTCCCACAGGCAGACAGCAGGCCCCTCTTGGCTGTGGGTTTTGGGGCCTTGTTTTCTCTTCCTGGTGCTGTCCAACGAATGACAGGGCCTCCTTCAGGCTTCGGACGCAGCGCCGCTTGTACCACCTGCCCGCCCTCCCTCCCTTCCTGCTTGCTGGTGCGGGTGCTGCCAGGGGCCCATGCCCGCACGCCAATGGAATGCGCAGGGCTGCACCTCTGGAACACTAATCTTCAAATAAATGCCCAGAGCCGGAGGGGGGCTTTGGGTCCAGACCCAGCAGAGACCAGCTGGCTGCAAAACAACCACTCAAGTACACCACCTGGCGAGAGCTGGGGCGCAAGGTCCACTGAATCTAAGCCGGCGGCGGCGGCGCCTAGGCGGCTGGTGGCTGGACTTCTGGGCAGCGAAGTTGATAAGAGCTGATTAATGACGTGGCATGAAACGTTCGCCCGCGATTAAGGTTCAGCTTGGGCAACGAAGCCGGGCCCAGCGAAATCCTTGGGCCCGTACAACGTCATGGGCAATCTCCAAGAAGGAACGCATGGCGAACCCCTCGAGCCACTGCCCACGCAACCCTGGAATACTTTATTTTCGGGGTGCGCTCCAATCAGCCTGTCTCCCTCCCGCTGGCTGGAGGCGTGGTTAAGATCAGCGGCTTGATCATAGGTGTTTGGGGAGTTGGGCTGCGATCGCTCCAATGAAAAAGCGAGGGCAATGCTGATCAGGCGGGAACCATCGATCGATCCTGAAATTCCGAACAAGACCCCGAAGCCCCTGACCGTGCTCATTCCGAAGATGGGAGGGGTTGCCCACGACAGGCACAGTCGTGCGTGCATGGAACCACACGGGCAGTTCATCGGGGATCCAAAGGTCGCCATAGCCCGCGCTCGCCGGTCATGCTTGGGCTGGCGAACGGCGAATGGCGCGTGCGTGGCGCGTGGCACGCCTCACCGCGCGTCCCTCCTGGCTGGTCCAGTGCAGCAAGGAAGACGATGGAAAGCTGCAAGCCGCCTGGTCCAGGCAATTTTGATGATGTTCACCGCACGGAGAACAATCACACTTCCGCGTCTTTTTGGCAGAAGGAGGCTAATTCTGGACGCCAGCGAGTAGCTTGCCCGAACGAGGCAAACGTGCAGAGGCTGTGGTACACTAGTTAGGCCTCCACGGTCAAGTTTCATATTTCGCAGCGCAGTGGGTTAGACATCAAAGTCCACAAGCGCAAGCCATGTTTCTCTATGACCAGTCCTTTTGTCCTTCTAGCTCGAAAATAATAGCACTTTGGTGGTTCTTTCTAGAAGCCCGCCACGGTTCTTGGCTCGGCTCAGGAGGGTGGTGGATACACCTGATTCTACGCCACGCGTCGCTGGCACTGTCTGCTCTAGCGCGCAATTAAGCGATGGCGGCACTGTGAAGGTCTACTAGGCGAGCTAGGCTGGCGACTCATGCTTGCGTGGGATGAAGATCCGCTGGTAGGCACATGACACCAATTTCCCCTTCTCTGCAACAAAGTGGCCTGATGCTGGGTCCGGTAAGGTTCTGCCCGTAAATCCAGGCACTAGGAAGGCCCATCTGCGCCTCGTCTGCGCAATTGGATCACCGGAATCTGCTCCGGAGGCCAACCAGACATTGTATGGCCCGAGTACGAAGCTGACATAGAAGGATGATCGTTGTTGCACCAACAGAAGCCCCGGTCCGTTTCTGGGACGGAAGCACACCGCGTATCAGCGCGTCGTGATCACAAGCCCGACTGGTCAGAGCTGACAAAGATCAGAGACAATCTGATCGACCAGACGCCAACAACAGCGGTGAACCACTGAATCAACACCCAGAGGCTCATCGGGCGTGTGCCCAACATGTCTGAAGGGAGGGACACGTGCGCCAGGGGCTCCATGTATCCATTAATTCGGTACTTCGGTGAATCGGCAGAAGCCGCTCGGTTAAGTCACTGACGACAGGTGAGCTTATCTGGTACCAACCACGTCACAGATTCCCGTTACAGGGAGCTCTGGTCACACGAGCCAAACCCCTTGGAAGGACTACATCAACACTTTGAGGATAATATTGACGCTCGCTGCGTGCTTGCGGGTGATCAACATGGTGTTTGTGCGACGACAGATGGACCTGGTCCTTTTCGTAAGCAGGCACTGACCTGTGTCTCGTTCGGGAGCACCGGAGGATTGTACCACTTGGCATCGTGCTTTGCCCTGTCATGCATGAACCCTGACTCTTCTGCGTAACGGGGCAAATGGTAACAAACAGCGTTACCATGTAATTAGGCCCTAAGGCAAGCCAAAGCCTTGACTCGCACACCGGCCGGCCAGCTCTAAAACACGTGGCAGACATGGTCCCATGCTCAGTGGATGATACTCTCTACACTGTAACTGAGCTCGGCAATACATTGATGGGCCGCCCGTGGCGTGACACTCGGGGCTTGGGGCTTGTGTGGGACAACAATCCATGCCAGCCACTAGTTTTGTGGTCTGCCTTTGCTTGGCTTGCCCGGGCTGACCTTTGTGCTTGTGATGCCGCCGGAGCCGAGTGGGAAAACTTGAGGGGTGAAAACGTCCGGTTCGTGATTGACGCAAGTATCAGAGATGGACGGGAGCATCAGTGCTTTTGTGTCGGGTGGATGTATGAAGGAGGCGCTGGTTCTTGACTGGGCGGAATAATTCACAAAGCCAGCAGCCAACGCTGCGCAAGATGGTCGTGAAGCACTTCAACCAAGCACAGCATAATAGTTATTGTTTCTCTGAGGACGCCCCCAAACCCGTCCTCAGCTCCCCCCCACCAACAGTTGTTTACTGATATGGACGACCAGCGGCTAGTCTCCAAAACTAGAAATCACTCGGCCGAAACCATGTACCAGTAAACGCTACCTGACATACTAACCTGCTAGTTGATGAGCCAAGTGCACAGTTACTGCCGACTGCCGGCTCGCATGGCCGACGATGCAGCTACAGAGAAGAGCCTGCAAATTGTGGAAGACTGTTTCCTGCCTGGGCAGATCACTCATCAAGCAGACCCTGTCGACTGTCGGACCGGGGTGCAAGGGTCACAACAGGGGTCATTACTCAATACCCTGGTCAGTCACATGGCTGTTGACTCGCCCGACCCCGAACAAAGGATCCTCCTTCGCTACGCAGGACATCGTGATGGGCTCGGTCTGTCGGCTCACTGGGTCATTTAACCCCAAGCTTTATTCCGTGCCAAGCGGTCCCTGAACCTGCTTTTGACCGTGAGCAATACGTTTTGGGCACGGCTACGTCACCCCTCCTACCGTTCAAGATCAACGGAGCCTGCCCCCTGTGACAGTGATCGGCCATGCCCGTTTATGCAGGGACGCGAGACCCTGGCGCGTGCTGACCAGGCCAGGGCCGAAGGGGGGGGTTCCGTTCATATGTGCTGGCGGTGTGCGTGCTGATGACCCAGTGCTACCTACCTGGTGCTGCGGTTGATTCCACATCATCCATTGGGGCTGCCAACATTGAATTGTCCACATAAACAACGTCACTTCCAGGCAAGGCCAAGCTAGTTTGCCTTGAGAATGCTGTAGCAAGCCTGGCTGCATCGATTCCTGTGCCTTGGCCAGAGCAAGATGAAAGCGCCTGAACGCGTCATTTGAAAAACAATCATGAGAAACGAGGGGAGGGGTCAACACCAAGAACTCCCCTTCTGCCGTGCACGTTTGGCGTGTCGGCCACGTTCGCCTGCCCCGGGAGATGAAGACTGAGCCAGCATCCGCTACTTTCGCGGTGACTTGCCGTCAAAGCCTTTTTACCTCTGTGCTGCGTGTGGCACAGACTTAAGCCTGCAAATAAAGGTCGATACATGAACCCCAAGATTTAAGCGCTTGTGAAATCAGGTGGCAGCGTTTGTCGGGTCGAGTTGATCACAGCGCGCGCCGCTTGTGCCCCGACCTCTTGCAGTTCCAGATCCATCAGACCTTGAATATCTCCGACAAGCGCCTTCTTCGACAGTGATAAGAACCTTGTGGTTTAGTTACATCCTGCGCGAGACTTGGTCGCCGTGCAGAACGCGGGGCGGCCAGCGGCGTCATCAGGGGGCCCCCCAGAAGCAGACTGTGCAGTTTGTCTCGGGGCTCTGGTCGTCGATCAAGGACGCCCCAGACCGTTTCTCGTAGCTGTCGCGTGGGGGGATGTCGCGGGCAGTGAGTGCCCTGTAGATGGACGGGGTACCGGGATGCGCACAGGCTATTGTATCGTCCGGGTAGACGTATGCGCCGAGCTCGTTGTTCCAGAGCCGCGTATCGATGGCCTTCAGGAGAGATTCAAGGTACCCTTGGTGAATCCCCGCATCGGGCCCAACATCTGCCTTTCAGAAGCTTGGCAGTCTCCTGGACAGAATAGGCGTACAGGACATTAGACTCGGTGGTGAATTCCGGCCTGTGCAGTGTTGAAGTAGTTTCAGCACCCCCTCCCCCTTTCCACACCCCTCCATACCTCCCTCTGAATGAGGGCTCGGCGAAGTGGAAAAAGTGGGTGGGCGGAAGCGGAGATCGTGACCAGTCAAGCATCTTCACCACCTCAAGCAACCACTCAGGAGCAAAGTTTACGTCGTTGGTGTGCGTAAATGGGTGGGCGACGGCTGTCAACAAGGTCCACGGACAACTGAACCGCCTGGTGAGAGCGAGGGTCATCGGGGTCGAAGCAGCATGCGAGCTCTTCGCGGTTGGCACCAACAAATTTGTTGTGCCCTGCAACCGGAAGAGCTCAAATGTGCCAAAGTAAACTCGAGGCCATACGTGCGGGCGTGAGCAGCAGCACCATCGATGCGCAGCTCTCAAGTCTTAGGCGACACGATCCCGACAAGTGTCATCCACTGAAGTGTTGAGAAGGTTCTTGCCCACCAAGACCGAAACAGCCCTTGCCAGTGAAATGGTGTAACTAGATGGTAGCGCCTCCAGCATCTGCCATGAAAAATACCCGTGAAGATGGCACGTTAGGTGAAAGACGAACAAATGCCTTACGCCCCAAAGAATTTGATGATTCGTAACGGAGCGAGGATCGAGCTTCCCTCGAAAATAACAGTGATTCTGCTCATAGCCACCTCGATATATACCTCGTGCCAGGACAATGGTAGTATCGGACGGGACACTTCGTAATAAGAGTTGTCTCGGCTGTGGCCGGTCAAAAGCGGCTCTCATAACCGCGGTTACGTCAACTGAGATGGATATGCCCTAGTTCAGAGTGTGAAATAGCACGAAGATGCTGAAGCTACCACCCAGAGGTTTAACCTCGAATCTAGGGTTGTATGGTAGATGCAGAAGCTGCAACGAGGCCGCCGCCCAGGCGGTGAGTCCAACTTATCAACAACCACGCCCTTCGCTTGAGACTTTCTGAAACGCGAGGACCGAGTCCTTAAGGATCTTGTCCAGTTGGATCGTGCCAGTTGGATCGTGCCAGTATCTGCGGACCAGATCACGTTCAGATCGTGGCGTGAGCTCGTGAAAGACCTAGCGAGATTAGCAAAGGGAGGAGTGCGGATAATCGGGACCACACCGACGTCGGGTATCTTTAGGGCAATTGCGGGCATCTCTTCGTGCACGAGATCTTCCCATAATTGCTGCGCTGCTCATGGTGCTCCTTGGAAGGACATTCTTCTATCGTCTGTGTCGGAGACCTGAGCACGATGTCAGGGGAAGCAACAAGAGCAGCATCGGTGCCGAAATGTTGGCGAAGGGGAACTGCAACAGTGTGGAGATGTATTTTCAGAATAAAGATGGCCGAAGAGTAGGCGTCCCTAGTCATATCTACAAAAATCTGATAGCCTGCATTCATTCTGCCAGCGTCGTTTAGCTTTGTTTGGCTCTACTCGAGGCCACTGGGCTGGGCAAATCGGACACAGAAGCAAAGGCAACCGCTTTCGCCATTTTCAACCCAGGGACTGTCCAGGTAGATGTTTCCTCGTGCTAAGACAAATCTGCGTGTCCGTTCTCGTCAATCTGTGCGTCCAGGGCTCCCGCAATAAAGTCCAGCAGGCAGGCTGCTAACAGCAGTGGAACTGTTATACACATCCTGCTCCACACGACAAGATCGATCCAGATCTATCTTGCTGAGCCTAGTAGCCATAGAGATAGCTGCGGGATGTTCCCCAAGGTGAAGTGAAGTCGATCCGTTGGCCAGTGGCGGTGCGAGCATGGTGTTTGTTGCGACACTTTACCTCATAGAGTAGACGAGTCAGTTGTGAGCGATGTGGACTGCCATTAGGAGCTGTAGCCACGGGGGTGCTCCGCCGACTAACGGTGGTCAGAATGGGTTGAGGGAAGAAGGATTTAGCCCGGGAAGAGTGCCAGGCACCTTGATTTTCGTACTTTGCACTTCTCGCCGCGCGGGTATAAATTTTTCCCCGCACTGAGAAGAGATATTGGCGTGGATGTGCAGGAGACGTGCATGCCGAGAAGGAAACCCCGACAGAGAGTAACCGGACAGGGGATAAGGGTAGGCTACTACGGGCAACCCGCATAGAGACTAACCTGATCGGCGCTTACTATATATAAGTCTGCCGCCTTGCTCCCGCTTCGTATTGGCGCGGCACCTGATGCGGGAGAGGCTGTTGAGCTGGGGTGGCGTCTGTCTGCTGCAAGGGCCGATCTGGAGAAGAGAAGCCGTCGGAGCCGCCAATGCTTAGCGCAAGGGAGCTTAATCACCAGGGTAGTTCAAGGGTCCGTTCCTCTGCCGGGATCCGACTCTAGGGCGATACGAATGCTACTTTGGAACGACGTTGCCTCTAGTTGTTTCATCTGAGAGCCATAGGAGGCCATGGCTACCTGGAATTCAGGAGCTCGCACGGGCTGTCCCATTTGCCGACGGGCTAGTTCTCGAGTGGACACTCCAAGAAAGCTCAGAGTAGCCGCGCACAGCAGGACAAGGCTCAAACAATCGACGGGATGGGCCAGCAGACACCGAACTGTCAGCGAGGCATGGTGGGGACTGGGGTTGCTCGTGTAAATGGCCAAGGTAAGCCTAGCTCGCCGGCTGACGCCTTTGGTGGAATTCGGTAAGGCTGGCCCCGGAGACTTAAGGTTCGAGGGGTGGCTTCTTGGCGTTATCCCTTCTCCATCCAATCCAGTCCAAATCCGCAGTCTTGTCATCTCCATTGTGAGCACTGCACCGCCAATCCGTAATCTAACGGCACGCTTTGTTGCCAATCATCCCTCACCTACATGACATCGCCCCCGCGGCACGTCAAGGATAAAGATTGGCATCGGTCTCACGCCCTCCCGTCCGATCGAGTCAGCAGTCCCGCCTTCGCGCCAATGCTGGCCATGCGGCTCAACCTCGATGATCACCACACCACCCGGGGCGAAGAAGCCAGTCGCGGGAGGCGCCGTGCTTCAGCCCCGCGCAGCCGCTCCGGATGCCAGACATGCAAGCAGCGGCATATTCGCTGCGACGAGACTCGGCCGACGTGGTGCGTGGGAACCCTTGGCCGCCCAATCAGGGTGGCTACCCCTTCCGGCTTTGGCCTTTTACACGAGCTCTGCGGCGGTATTGTGGACCGTCGGCCGCCCGACACTCGGTTCCTCATCACCCCTCATTCTGCCTGCATGCTTGACTATACCACTCAAGGCTCTTGGACATCACTTCTGACTTTGTGGCCGTCTTCCAAATAGCAATGCCTGTGTGAAAGCAGCCCAGGCATGCATCTACACGGCACCAGCAGTCCCCCTGCGGGATAGGCGCAAACTCAGATCCGAGTTCTTGCCCGGGCAGCTGCAGCCATGGGTCGCCAGCGGCGCGCTTCCCGCTTTTACCACAAGCATGGCTCTCAGCAAGGCCACAGCCGTTGATCCCTTTGACGCCCTGCCATGCAAAATGCCATACAACTCGAAGCAACTTCTGTTCTACTGTAACTCCACCCAGATCATACCCCCCGGCACAATGACCCAGTGGGATGCTGATCGAGGACATTCACCATGTAGTCCACCATGCCAACGACATGCTGTGCGACGTCAAAAAGGCCCGACTCGACGACTGGTAAGCCACGCGCCGGGTCTGAGGGAAAAGCATGAGCCCTTTCATCCCACACTGCTAATATTCATGACGCCCCTAGTCTGGAACTCGCAGGCCTGGACACGTACGCTCTCCGTGGCGCCTTGCTCATCGCTACTCTCCACTACACGTGGACGACGGGGGACACAGACACTTACCAGGCCGCCGCAACCTACCACAAGGTCGAAGGCATCCGCACGCTCAACCGGCGTCTTGAGCAGTATGGCACTGTTGACGGTGTCCACGACGTCAGGCTCATATGTACGTTAGCCATGGCCGAGGTGAGTACACCCCGATCCGAGGTGTTGCACGACGACAGCGGGTAGAACCGATACTGACTAGGCACAGGCTTGTTTGGGCAACGTGGCGGCGGCGGAGACGCACATCAACGGCCTCCTGGCTGCTTTCCAGATGGACGATCTGCACAGAGGGAAATCCTCCAGCCTCGAGCACGACATCACAGAAAGATACGTCATGCAGTATGTCATCCTTGACTTGCTCAGCCTCCTGCTTTTCTATTTTCCAGTTTTGCCTAGCGTTAACCACGGAACATGAAGATCGGCGTTCTTCGTGACAAGCTTCCTGCAGAGAGTCAGGGACGGAGCCGCTGAGGCAGAAGCCATGAAATACGGCCGACCCATGACGGAACAGACACCACCACCAGCCGTTTCCTCGTCCGAGAGTGTCGACCTCGCACTGATCCGGCAGGGCCACAAGTCCGAGAGCGAAGGTCTCCGGCGGCGCCTCCAGACGTTCCGGATGATACCATACTTCTTCGCGCCGCTGCCTCCGCACGTCACCCGCCTGGCTCGCATCGATGCTCGGCGGTGCGTCGACTCGCTTAGGTCCCTGACCCGAGATGTGGAGGTGCTGCATGCGACACCCGGTGCGTCGCGGACCGCGATGCTGTGGGACAAAGGCACCTCAACGGATATGTGGTGTGCGCTTGTCGAGGCGCATGTATGGAATCTATCCGGGTCAGCCGATGATGCTGGGCGTGGCAGCACTTCGCCGTCTTCGCGACGACGACAAGAGCGGAGGAAGAATAAGAATGGAACAGCAGCTGGGGACAGCACTTCGACATCGAGGGGCTCTTCCGTTGAGGATACGACGCACAGCAACTCGCTGCTGCCGACGTGGCCGTCTCACTGGGTGCCCCTCACAGCTGCAGCGGGGGCCTACATGTACGGCGTGCTCGAGATTGCCCAGTGTGACGTCCGCATAATGCACAGAGTTGCTCTCAACATTGCCGACAATACGTACCTCGACGAGGACGTTGGGAGCCGCGACACCACGAGCAGCAGTCCTGGCAATGCCTGCGTACGGACAAGTGCGGTCCCAGACATTTTCACTACAGTGATAGCAACATCCGTGGACCGGACACTAAGTCCAGGAGAGAAGGAGACTGTCAAGACACCCCGCAGCAATGGCACTGATCGCTGTCCTTCTCAAAGCACAGAAGCGAATGATCTGCACCTCTGGACCGCGTTCATGGGGATCCTGGCCGTTCGCAGGGTCAAGTCGTGCACCACAGAACCTCTTGCTCCAAAGCTGGCGGTAGCAGCGAGGCCTCAGCTTGACAGTCTCGAGATCATGTTGGGGGACCGCATTCGTGCCATCTCGGATAGAGAACAAGTCGTCTGTGATGGCATGGGCGTGGCTGGGTGCCACCCTTCCTCGGCGGGCTTGGCCGAGGAGACTTTCGCCGAAGGGAGTCAGACAGGGTATATGACATGGGATGAAGCTCAAATCCGACTGGGGCGGGTGGCCTGGCCGAGAGGGACTACTGCGGGGTGGATTCAGCAGGCTTGGAATGAGGCGGTGTTGCGGGCGTGCTGTGAGTGCGGACTTTGTGGAAGAATCGCACCGCTATGAGATATCAGGGAGGAATACACCCTCAAGAGCACGGCGATAGCACTAGACGTGTGCTCAACGAGGATTGCAGGGACTTTTCCGAGCCTAGCTTCGTTACTTGCATGGTCAAGCCGATACTCAAAAGACCAGGAAGGCTGTTGCTATTCTTGCCCTGTCTCACCAATATTGGTCTCGTGGATTCCTCGAGGCGTGCGAATGGTACACATTAGCTGCCTGTCTACCTATTTGGCGCACGAATCAAAACAGCAGATGGGTTTGGAGCCCCCTCCCGGACGATAATCTAGTGCACGCACTTTTGAATAGCACTAGTTTAGCCTGGACTCCTGCTCGAATGCTCAAAATCCTCCGCCATTATTTCAAGCTGCTGGTCATCCCTACACGATGCCGGGTGAATCCGATTCCGCCACTGCATTCAGCTGAGCTCTCACGTTACATTGCGAGCCTCCAGCTGAAAGAATCACCCCGCTCTTATGATCATCCGTTATGCGTAGCACAATGCCTGTCGATCGATAGACTTCTCTTCCACCAATGAGACTGAGCCAGAGCTCCGCCAAGACAGGCGGGGGTCTGAAGAATCTGGGGTAGTCCCGCTCTGATATGCGTAAACAAGGCAACTGCCGGCTAGAAATATGGCCGATCCTTACTCGAGCGATACGGCAGAGATCTTGACACACCCAGCTGCATGACGGGCCTCGTACAGCATCGGCAATAGAGTGAGGGTAGCGTACCCTGCTTCGTATGGCTCCTTGTGCCGAAACTCATATATATCACTGTGGCCAAATGGCTGTTGTAATTGACGCGCACAGTCACGCCATCCGCAGCTTTCTGTTTCCTTTCATCATAAGTCTATCTTCCTGTTTTCAAAGGGCGTCAGGCTCAAACCAATAAGATGCAGATCTCTTTCCTCGCTGTCCTGGCCACTGCTGCCAGCCTCGCCACAGCTCTGCCCGAGTTCTCGCCGAGTGGAGACACATCCGTGCTGGTGCGCTGCTTCTGGAACAATGTCAACTGGCGAGAGAGATCCTGTTACTGACACTGGACAACTTGACGGACAGCAAGCACGAGCCTGCGTCGACAATCTAACCTGCGAGCGGGTCTGCTGCAAGGAGAAAGGCGACTGCGGATATCTAAACTGGAATTGTGCCTACTCTCGGGTGAGTGATTGATCTCGGTGGTAGATTGGTTGTCCTAAGAGCATCTACTGACTCTTTGCGTCCATAGTGTGGCTGCACCGGCCCTGGCTGCACCTACTGGACTTGCCTGTGCGACTGTCGGCGGATCTGATGAGTCCTACCAGCTGTGATGGGAGTGGCTCATGTCAAACTTGTATGGAAACAATTGAGCTCTGGCTTTGAGAAAAGTCAACAGAAGATCACTTGACGTGATTGTTGTCTGAAGCGAGTAGACTTCGTATGGGTATCAATTTTGCGCAACGTGCTATGAGACTGATGTAGAAAGACGGTATCATCTTGATCATGATCCTTCACTCCTTCTCACCTCCAAGAACATTCTCGGAAACCCTGGCCCTGCTCATCAAATCATCCAGCTCTTGCAAGACATGCTCCTGGCTGTTCACACCTCCCTCCTCGCCGCCCTCCGAGCCCCTCTGAAGTGCATATCCCGGCGATGACAAGCTGTTGTGCAGCACGGCCTGCACTTGCTCGAGCCCGAGATCCTCGCCGTCCACGGCGTGCGCGTACGTGTACGCGACGCGGACATAGTTCTTGATGTCGCGCCCGTTGAGCTGGATCCGTCCCAGCGTCTCGTACATCTCCTCGGTCCAGAGGGAGCGCTCCTTGTTGTCGCGCGTCGCGCGCTGCAGGTGGTGGCGCCAGATGTTGGTGCGCGAGGCCACGTCGAGCTCATTGTACTTGAGGGTGACGTGGATGCGGTTCTGTTCGGGAATGATTCTCAATCGTCAGCCAATGTCTACGACGAATCATACATTCAGCACAGAGGGTAGGGTGCGGGCGGGCCTCACAAAGAAGGCATCGTCAAAGTCGTCGCGGCGGTTCGTGGTGAGAAACAACATGCCCCGGTAGTACTCGAGCATACGCAAGAAGACTGTGCAGGTGTGGATGTGTTAGCATGAGACATATCCGAGGCCAAAGTGTTGGGTCGACGGGCGAATCTCACCAGCAACGACCGAGTTGCGTTCCAGGTTATCCGTGGTCCGCTGGCTCATCAGGACGTCGGCCTCGTCTAAGAGCACCACAGCATCCCACCTCGCACCCATCTTGAAGATGGTCTGCAGCTCGCTCTCTAGGACGCTGACCTTGGTGCTCAGTTCGCCGGCACTGATGTGGTACAGCGGTCGCTCTGCCACTTCAGCAACACTCTCTGTCGTCCGCCAGGTCAGTGTTAGCCTTGACAATGCCACGAGAATGTGCTGGGCAACTCACCGGCTGTCAGGGTCTTTCCCAGGCCGGGCGGACCATAGAGGAGAAAGATCAGGCCTCTTCCCTTGCCCTCTATGACGTCATCGTATGATCCGTCTTTGCTCCTCCTGAAGCCCTCGACCAGTCTGCGGATGAATTGCTTCTTGTGCGACGGCATTTGGAGTGACAAGAACGGATCTCCATTGTATTCGATCTTGGATAGGTGGTTGACCTTGACCATCTTGACCCAGAGTTTCTGCTTGAGCGCAAACGCAGCCGTGACGTTGCGGCAGATCATGTAGTCGTCATCCTCTAGCACTATGTTCTTTGGCTGTTTGTAGGCTGTCGTGTCAATGTCGCCCCAGACACCAGTCTTCTGGATCCAGTTTGCCGGTACGAGGCCTGGTTGGAACGGGCCAGTCTCTTTCTTTGCTGGGGCTTTGCTCTTGCCTGCAGCCTCGCTGGGAGTGCCGTCGCTCTTGGTGGGGAGGAGCGGCGCAGGTTTCGGCAGGGCATCTTTGAGGCAGTACGCGACGATGCTGCCTCTGTCATCGCTGACATCACCAATGCTGCTCTGCTTGAGTCGATCAACAATGACGCGCTCGTCAAGCTGGGCCACCTCGAGTTAGCCATCGACCACATGCTGTGCTCTCGCAGAAAACTCGTGTACTCACATCAATGACCTTTTTCGCAAACTGCTCTCTAATCTCCTCGCCCTTTCCAGAATTCAGCAGGTACGCCGGGCCTTTTGCTTTCCAGACGGTGTACGGCTGTTTGCACATTTCAATGTAATCTTTCCCCCTGCGGATCAGGGCCTCCCGGATCGAATGCTGGCTCCGCGCCTCGAGGAACCGCAGCGGGACGAACTTCAAGTTGGGGTCGGTCAGCTCTCGCAAGCCCTCAAAGTACTCAATCTTCTTGACCTTGGTCTTGACTCTGTAGTTGCTGCCGTTGTGCGTGCCGAACAGGAGAATGAGCTCCCAGGACGGCTTGCCGCCGCGCCCGCCGTCATAGTCGGGCGTGATGGACTCCAGGATGAAGCACTGGCTGTCCTCGACCGCCTGGCCCGGGCGGATCCGCACAACGGGCTCGTAGGGGCGGAAGATCATCCACAGCATGAAGAACGAGATCCTCCCCTGCTTCACCACCTGGGTCTCGTACGTCTCGATCTCGCGCTCGTGGCACATGGGCGAGCGGATGAAGCGCACCAGCTGTGTGAGCCCGATGCGCGTGTTTGCGGTCATTGAGGCGTCGTCGCCGCCGCCGCCGCGCTGCACGCGCTGCTCCAGCTCGTCCTTGAGGAAGAACAGGCAGCGGAAGGGGTGCTCGATGGTGAGGACAGTGGTCGTCAGGTCGAGCTCCTTGTGGTTGTGCGCGATCTCGCGGAAGACGTTGACGATCCCGGCATTCTGGATCTCGAGCCGCCACACGAGGCTCTTGCCGCTGCCGATGACGGCCTTGAGGAGCACAGGGTATGCGCGGAAAGGGTCCGACTCCTCCTCCGCGGCGTTGCCGTTCTCATCGCCGTCCTCCTTGTCAAAGGAGTAGCTCTGGAACTCTATCACGTGCTTGCTGCCCTTTGGGTCCTTGAACTGGATCACAGTCTTGAGCTCCGGGACCGACGTGGAAGTGCCGTCCGCGCCGTAGCTTGCGTAGGGGTCGTCGCCGTCGTTCTGTGTCGTGGCGAACGGCTGAGCGCTCGTGTCTGCGGTGCGGATGGCATCCACTGACTCGGGGATGAAGCGTCCGCTGAGCACCCTGTTGTAAAGGGCAGCTGTTTTCTCGGTTGACCTGCCCATTGTCATCGTGGCTCCTGTACCCCAGACTGGTTCGAATGGATTAATCTGTGACGTACGTCTAGGACGAGGGCACTTGACGGAGCGAGCTATGGGGCATCTAGCAAGATATCAGATGACACTCGATCTCTTTCTAGCCCCAGGCCTAACCCGTGGGTCTCTCTCTCCATGGGAGGCCCATAATGTTCTGAGGGCGGGGCGGCAAGCGGCCTCTGGACAAGAGGAAAATCCCCCCTGCTGCAGAAACCCCCAAGCTACTGCAGTCAGCATCAGCTGAAACCAATGAGGCCTGCAGGTTCTCGGCTGAGGACCCCTGCAACAGGGCTGAGCAACTACCATATAGTCCGGGATGGGCCGCTACCGCTACCCGCCCTTCCCCAAATAGCTGTCGAAGCGGTTCAGGGTCCAGGTGTTGGACCGCAGTGCAGTGGCTATGGCCGCGCCTGGACGCTGACCCCCGCGTTTTGAGGGACAGGATGCCTCAGCTGTGCACGCTCATTCCTGCCCAACTCTGTATTTTGCCCCCTGTATGACAAACCAGCCGTGGAGGCCGCAGCAATAGCGGGCTGCCTCGAAGTGAGACGTCGGACCTTGACACCTGACCTGGACAAGCTGGTTACCTGATAAGCTTCCCGGGTGGCCGCCCTGTAATAACTCGTACTTGCCCGATGCCCATCTGTTTTGACCAGGCAGTTTAACGCCGTCTATCTTTGCCAAGAGAATCCAGCTTCGTTGTCCTCGTCGACCGATTATCGTAGCTCGTCATGGTAAAACCAAAACGCAGAGCGTACGCCGCCTTTGGGGCGGACTCCCCGGTCAAAAATGCGCAAGAGAAAGGTAGCAACACGAGCGAGTCCTCGGACTCACAACCCATCCAGCAGGACGCTCAGCAGTTCCCCGCGACGGTCACACTGCAGACGAGCAAGAAAGCCGTGCTCAAGTTTGCCTATGCTCACAACGAGGACAAGGCCTACACCAAAGAGAAGAAGACGACCACGGCGACGATCCACAAGCTCGACGATATCACGGCCTATGACATCTCGGACCAGGAAGAGGGCGCGCTCTGGGACATTGAGATCGAGCGGCTGCTCAAGGCGGTCGGGACCCGCGAGGCCATGGCCACGAACTATGCCAAGGTCGTCGAGTTTCCCGAGCCCGCCACCGAGCGGTCTTTCGACAGCCTGGCCAACCTGGCGGACCAGCTGCTCATCAACCTGCACATCTGCCGTGTCGACAACGGGACCGTGCTGTACGAGCTGTCCAACGAGGACCACAACGACCAGGAGTACCAGAACAGCTTCCGGATCCTGTCGGACCGGCAGGAGGCCGACTCCAAGGACAAGCCGGCGGCCGAGGCGCGCGTGAGCGACACAGACCTCGTGCAGTACTGCGCGCTCGTGGACACGGCGACGCTCGTGTGCTGCCGGATGGCGGTGGCCGGGTTCGAGGACAAGGACTGGCACGCGCTGGTCATTGCGTCGCTGGCAAAGTACTCGGCCAAGCTGAAAGTGCTGGCCATGGACCCCGGCCGGTTCACGCAGCGGAGCATCAACATGGCCGGTCGGTCGAAGCAGTACAAGACGATGCTGGACGGGATCGGCAACACCCTCCGGCGGATGCAGGAGCGCTCCAGCCAGTGGAAGTCGGCGGGCGGCAAGAGGAGGAAGAAGAAGGACGGCGGAGACAAGGGAGACAGCAACGATGCGGACAACAAGGACGACGACGATGACGATGATGATGACGACGACGACTACTACTACGGATACGACTACGAAGCTGGCATGGGCGCAGGGTACGGATACTATGGCCATCATCTGCCCTACGGCGGTGCCATCGACGGGCCCATCAACCTGGGCCTGGGGATGGGACCTGGCGGAGGCCGGATGGGCATGGGCCTGGGGATGGGTGGGATGCACCACAACAACTTCATGGGAATGCCGATGGGCCCGCGTATGAACAACTACATGGGCATCGGCGGTGGGCCAATGATTGGCGGCTGGTATGGTGCTGGAAAGTCACTGTACAGCGACGCCCGGCTCAAGGAGATGGAGGCCTTCACCAAGAAGAAGATGCAGAGGGAGGGCGTCTCCTACTTTGCCTACATGACGCTCATCAACAGCTGGACCTCGTCGACGCTGCTCTTCATCTTTCAGCAGCTCAAGGGCAGCTTCGTGAGCGACCTACCGAGCGACGGCTTCGACCTGTGCTCGGTCCTGTACGAAGCTGGCACGATCGACTGCACTGTTCCCGTGCTGCTGCATCAGGACCGAGGCGCCGAGCTGGCAGGCACCAACGACCTCAGCCTGATCCAGTACTCCTATATGGGCTACTGGCTGGCCCACAGAGCAGCGGCCAGCTTCAAGGAGGACGCCAGGAGCAGCACTGGCAGTGTGGCCAAGGGGGGGCCCGGCTCGTCATCGGGCACCACCATTCGGGTCGAGATCAACCACGAGAGCACCGAGGGTCGCCAGTACTCGCAGCAGCGCGGTGACAATTTGCCGCCCGTGGAGCGCGACAGCCCTGACACCATCGAGGTCCGCCCGCAGAACATGTCGCAGGTGCTCTCGGTCATGATCCCGCTGCTGTGCACATCGCCCGACTTTGGCTCGACGCTCAACTACTCAGTGCAAGGGCTGCGCAAGCTCTTCTCCATCGACGTCCAGGACCACCAGCTGCCGAAGCCCCCTCGCTTTACGGGGATTGTCTCGATCCGCACCCCGGCGTTCGAGGCCCGGAGCCTGGGCTGCCTCCCGCACTCGGACTTCAAGTCGCTGTCGTGGTCGATCCTGGCCGAGCGGGACCGACACTCGACACTCGCCCTGAAGCACACGACGACACAGACCTGGGAGAAGACGGGGGCCTACCAGCGGCAACAGCAGGTCCAAGACCTACGCGTGCGGCAGCTGCAGTTGGCGAGGGACGCGAGCCAGTGGGTGTTTGAGGAGGCGGCGATCCGGGTCGACTGCGCGGGCTACGTGTACACGGTGCTCGCCATCTGCGGAACCATCGCGCTGGGCGGGCTGATGCTGGGCATCTTCCTGGGCACCTTTGTGCGGGACAGCATCGTGCTCCAGGGGGTCGACCCGTTTGGCTTCACGAGCTACAGCTGGCTCATTGCCGCGTTCATCATGCTCATTGCCAAGTCGACGCGGGTCAACGAGTGGCCGTGGCGGGATTTCCTGCTGCGGCGCGTGACCTGCCGGTCCCTGAGCGAGCTGCACGCCGTCACGGGCGTCGACGAGCAGGACCTGCTCGCGTACCTCCTGACCATGGAGTACGAGAACGTCCTGCGCACCTCGGGCCCGCACAACTCGGTCTTTATGCGCCGCGCCGGCCCCGCCGAGGGCTTCTCGATCGACGTCAAGCCCCAGATGCGCACGCTGCTCGGCGCCGGCCTCATCTTTGTCAAGGTCCTCCTCCGCAAGGAGCCCACGCTCGTCTGCCTCGACTTCCGCGCAGGGCTCAAGGAGGGCCGCAGCTCCATCCGCCACAAGGGCACCCTCGAGCACACCGACATCCACTGCCGCTATCCCCCCGGCGCCGGCGATCGTGTCCAGGACGTCGTGCTGAACCAGCAGCCGCGCCATCTCGACCTGCACGGCCAGCAGTGGGACCGCATCTTGGGGATATATCACGACTGGGATCGGATGGTGCGGTGATGTTGCGTTGGCCTGTTCTTGATAATGGGGACTTCATGTGCTCCGAGTATTTTCTTTTTTTAATGATATTCAGTGGATTGATTGTAAATCTGCCCAATCTTTGACTATTGTTTCTCCATTCTTGTCGAATAGGTGCCCTGTGATCAGAATCGTCCTCGTGATCGCTTTCAGGAACCGTCTTGGTGCCTTCCCGCACGCGCCCTTCTCGGAAACCTCCCATCGTAGCTTCGTCTCAGTTACTTAGTCCAAATAATTACGGGCTTGAAACTTGGGCATTGACGGTGACTGGATTTATGTCATGACTGCTTGACAGGATTTGGAAAGTTGGTGTAGGTTTGTTATCATCTTCATCCATGCCGATATGCACTTTGGCAAATCTTAGTCCCAAACTAAAATAATTGTCTTCGATGGTCGTTGCCATGCGCTGCTGGTGGGAGCGATTGTGGATTGAATTATCCAAGCACCGCAGGTTCTATTCTATTTTAAGCTCTGGCTTCTTCAACAAATCACAACACACATCGGTCCGATGGTCTAGTGGTATGATTCTCGCTTAGGGTACACCCTTAGTACATCACCAAGCCCAGCTTGGTCTGATTTGCGAGAGGCCCCGGGTTCGAATCCCGGTCGGACCCGATCAAGCCCAAGAAATCATTCTGGGGGTTTCTTTTTGCAGGTTTTTGGGCCATTGGCCCGTGGGGTCACGGATGAGAGTCAATGGTATCGATTGTTTTCAGCGGAAGGGTCATTTTGGGAAGTTGAGCAAACGTTGTATGAGTGACATCGTCACGCCCTAATTGTCAGCACGTTCGCCCCTGTGAGAACTGTGTAATCCACTATTTACACTCGAGATCCGTCGATAGGTACGCTGCTTTGGTGCTTACAAACCTCCTGCATGTTACAGTCACAAGTTCGGCAGTGTCAAGTCGTCCTCTGTACCTAATTCTGAATTCCTAATTATCTGGTCGGTGGGAAGGGCGCGACGTTGCATTGGCCTGATGATTCACAGTCCCTGGGCTGCATGCTGGTTGCCCCTGAACGGTCCAATAATCAGCCGCCCACAAATTGCGTACAGGCTCAGCAAGTCACTACCGGGCGAGTGCTCCGCATTGCATGGCTGCCGGCCACCAGTAAGTGCCCTCCATGTCAGACGCGGGGCCCCGGGCGGCGGGCTCCGGTGCAAGCTCTGCCGAGTTACTCATACTCATCCTGCGGGGTCACGCCGGGCCCGGCCATCCCGCGCGGGCTGGGGTGGCGGCAGCACTTTGGCTGGGCATCAACTTTGACGCGGCTCTGCTTGACCTTGTGTAAGACACATTGGCTTTGCTGGTCTCGAGCATGGCCGTATATAAGCACAACAAGTAACATTAGATTCTCTGTCTGGTCACGAGAGCAGTTCCCCAGCATCAATTGCTTTCCCGGTACTATTCTTATCAAATCACAAAATCTCGAAGCCATGGCCTCCAACGCGAACTCAACCACAGACGCCCCGGCCGCCGTCCCGGAGCACCTCAAGGACCGCGTCAAGGCATCCTACGACGCCATCGCGACCGAGTACAACGACTGGACAAAGGATCACTGGCACATCAAGACCCAGTACCTAGACAAGCTGCTGGGCCACCTCGAGAGCGCTCCTCCCGCCAAGGGCGACAGCACCCCGGCCCAGCCCCGGCGCTACCTCGAGCTCGGCTGCGGCGCCGGCGTGCCCATCCTCGACACCCTGCTCGCCCGCGACCCGGCCACCACCGTCGTCGCCAACGATCTGTCCACCGCGCAGATCGACCTCGCGCGCAGCCACCTCGCCAAGCACGGCGCCGGCCGCGTCGAGTACGCGCCGGGGGACATGCTGGCCCTCGACTTCCCCGCTAACTCGTTCGACGCCGTCATCGCGCTCTACAGCATCTGCCACCTCCCGCCCGCCGAGCAGGTCGACATGTTCCGCAAGCTGGGCGGCTGGGTCAAGCCCGGCGGCGGGGTCCTCGTCAACGTCACCAACGAGGTGAACAAGGGCCTGACGCTGGACACGTGGCTCGCCGACGACAAAGGCTGGATGTACTGGAGCGGCCTGGGGCCCGAGGAGACGCTGAAAGTGGTCCGGGAGCAGGCCGGGCTGGACGTGGTCGAGACGGCGGTCGACGGCGGCGTGGACGATACCTTCTTCTGGATTATCGCGAGGAAGGGCGGGGGCGTGTCTACTTGAGCGCGAGGGGTTGGTTCTCTGTTGAAGAGGTGGTGGTTGGTCAAAAATGGTGAACTTGGCAGACTGGGACCGCATTTTCTTTTTGCTTTTTTTCTTCTTCTTCCTCTTTTTGGTTGGAATGTCGAAGGTTTATTGCCAACACGAACTCGCATGCATAATCTTTTGCTGGGATTTTCTCCAAACAGGACAACAGACGTACAAACTAGAGATGCAGGAAGGTTGCGACTGAAAAATAGGAACCAGGTTGGACGTCAAAGGTTATGCATTTCGTTTCTCAGTGTTTGAATGGAGGCACTACAGGTAGTCTTGTTCTACTGCTACAATCATGTCCGGACAGCTCCGCGATGCTGCCCATCGAGACTCCTTGCATCAAAGTTCCCTGGGGTCTTAGTTGAGGGGTCGCGGAGGGCGGACTGGATCTTCAAACACGATAACACGATAACACGGTACTATCCCGCCTCTATTAGCGAGAAGTCGTGGGTCGTACACACACAAACACGAGGCCCGATGCTGTCATTCATGATAGTCCTCCCCCATTGAGGCCGTTGTACCGGCGGTGTCTGATGCAAACCGGCCGAGGCTCGGACCGACCTCGTCGGACCTCTGCCAGCTCTTTCCGCCGCCGGATTCAAGCGCGGCATAATACCCTTCCCATGCCCAGCGTCGGCCCCATCGCGATCAAGAGTCAATTTACCCCAGATCTGGCTCAAACTTTTGCTACTTGCTCAAGCAGCACACGGCATGTAAGAATTTCGCCTTGCCCGTTGTTCTCACAGTTTCGTAAGAGACAATGCACGGCGAGAGCAGAGTCGTGGCCCAGCAGCAACTTTTTGTCCCGGAACCGACGTCACCGTCCAGTGAGTTTTCCATGGAAACTCATATATGGCAACGGGATGGCGACTCGCTTAACGACCACCGCCCTGGGCGAGGCTCAACGTCTTGCCCACATCGTCGTGGACGACCACGGCAGCCGCGTAAAAGGTGCCGCCGAGGACGCACGTAGGGTCCTGGACCTGCAGCGCCAGCGAGCAGATGGACGGGTCCCGGGCGCCAGGGCCCTGGACCATGTTGCGGTACGGCAGCTTGATCGTGACCTTTTCGCCCGCGGCCAGGCCGGTGAAGACGAGGTCGAGCGTGGCGTCGGCGGGGATGTCGTTGCAGGGGGCCGGGTAGGCGAGGTTGACGTACGGCGCGTTCTCGACCAGGCCCGTCTTGGCCTGCAGGTCCGCGGCGTCGAGGGGAAAAGTCAGGCCGTGGGTGCCCGAGTCGACGAGGCAGTCTGGGATGACGCCGCTCGGGGGCGTGAAGATGTCGATGGCCTGCGACTCGGCGGCCGGGTCGTCGATGCGGGTCCCGCGGACCTCGGGCAGCGCCGCGTAGTAGAAGCCGCCCTCGGGCTGCGTCTGGTTGACCGTCACCAGGCTGCCCGTGTAGTGGGACGCGTCCGGGACGGCCCCGAAGAGCAGGGTGCCCGTCTGCGGGTCGTTGACGTCGCCGGGCAGGGCGTCGAACCACATGGAGAAGACTGTGTCGGTCACGAGGCCGTCGGCGAGCAGGTTGTCGCGGAAGCGCGGGCCGTTGCCCACGTAGGGCGAGAGGCCGAGGATGCTCTTGTCATAATAGATCTCGCACGAGCGGTCCTTGATGATGGCGTAGTCGCAGATGCTGACCTGCTGGTTGGGCATCGGCGGGTAGTCGGTGCTGCTGCCGAAGCCCAGCGTGTCGTTGAGCCCAAAGGGGCACGCGATGATCTTGCCGTTGCCGCCGTACGCATAGGTGGCGCGCCCCGTCGTCTGGTTCGTGTGCGTCGATGACGCCGGCCAGTCGAAAAAGGGCTCTGCGGTGCGGTTGCATGGGCCCGGGACAAAGAGGTACGGCGAGCCGCTGTTGACCGTGGCATTGGGGCCCCAGACCCAGAAGCCCGGGCTGCCCGTGTCGATGACGGTCTGGATGGGGCCGGACGCAGGCGTGCCCCAGGTAAAGTTGGCAAGCACCTGTGTGCTGACATACGGCTCGTAGTATACGGGCATCGAGACCGTATTGGCCGCGGCGGCCGCGACGGCGGGAAGTGCGACGGCGACCATTGTGGATGGCTGCTGTAAGAGTGAGCGACAGTGAGCGGAAACGTTGGGACAGGCAGACAATAACAACAAGCGGAGGGACGTGTGAGGACGTCAATGCCGAGAATCAAAAGCCCGACACAGCTAGCTGGCTAGCATGGATGAAGTGAGTGAGCCTTGATTTATACTGCGTACTGCAAGACGCTTGACTCGGGTTTCTTGAGGCCACCGCGGGAGCAGCCAGCGCATGGCGTGCAATTACACTTCCCTGCCAGGGATCGGCGGTGGTGCTGGGGTGGCCAGTGTAATTACCTCGTGTCCAGGATAAGTCCCACAACGCCGGCACGGCAGGGCTGCAACACGAGCGAACGGTGCAGGGTTCTCGGGCATCGAGCGCGGCACGGGCCCCTGATCTCGCTGCTTGACAGGCGTCGCAACAAGGAAGGTCGGGGCGCCTCTGCCAGATTGCAGCGTCATGGGCACACGGCAATCTGCGATGCGCCAAAATGCCATCCCTGCCATGCCACTGCCGTCCGATCCCCAGTATAACTGCCGTCTGGGCAGGTCCACCAAAAGCTTCTTAAATCAACGTGCTCGGCCGCCCAGGCGGCGTCGGCCACCCGAGAGTGTCTGGTCTCGCCTGCCTGCGGGATCAATCCTGTGTTCGACTACTCTTTCTTTGCTTGAGGGTGATCCGTCACCTATACCTACCCTCATCATGTGGTCCAGCATTTCCCTTGTCCTCGCAATCCTGGCCTTGCCAGGCCACGGGGCGTCGCTGCCGCCATCAGCGTCGCCAGTGCTCGTTGTCCACGAACGGGCAGCCATCCCGGAGGCATGGACTCGTGTGCGCGCCGCCGACGATGACGAGGTCCTGTCGCTGCGTATCGCAGTCAAGCAGCACCGAGCCCTCGATGAGGCTGACATTCTCGCCCGCAGCAACCCGGCCTCGCCCCTCTACGGCCAGTATCTCGGTGCCCGGGACCTGCGCCAGCTGCTGGACGATGCCACGACCCACGATGCTCGAAAGTTGTCGTGGGCTGTCGTCGAGCGCTGGGTGGCCGACAACGCCATTGCCGTCGTGCGCCGCAGCTCCAGCAGCATCCACGTCGAGATGACGGCTCGCCAGGCTCGCAGCGCCCTGGTGGCCTCCTTCTCGCTCTACACCAACAGCCGTGACGAGGACGGGGCCGTCCACGCCCGCACCGAGCAGTACTCGCTGCCCTCGCACGTCAGCCGCCACGTCGACTACGTCTATCCCACTGTCCACTTCTTTGGCGCGCGGTCTACAAAGGACGCCCCCAAGACACTCGAGGCCCGGCAGCGTTTGCCCGAGGGCCCCTTTGACTGCACCAAGTACAACTGTCCCCGTAACATCTCGGAGCGCTACGCCATAGATTATACACCTGCCTCACGGTCAGCCAGCACTCTCGCCATTGCTGGCTTCCTCGAGCAGTACCCCAGCCACGAGGACTGGTCCTCCTTCATGACCAAGTTTGTCGGTACCACCCAAGAACGCTACAGCACCGTCACGCTCGACGGCGGCCTCGATCCGGACACAGTGGAGGCTTCAGGTTCGGAGGCCATGCTGGATCTTGAGTACTCGACCCCGTTCACGGGGCCCCTGGCTGTTACTTACTACTCTGTCGGCGGACGGGCTCCGACCCTCGGGCAGCCCGGCAACGTGACCGTACCTGCGGACGAGTCCGAGAACGAGCCGTTCCTCGACTTCTTCGACCACCTCCTTGCCCAGGAGACTGTCCCCCAGGTCATCACCATGTCCTACACGGACGACGAGCAGACGGTCCCCTACAGCTATGCCGTCGAGGTATGTGAGCGAATCTCCCAGCTCGCCCTTCGCGGTGTCACCGTCCTCGCCGCCAGCGGCGATGCCGGCACCCAGGGCACGCGGAGGAGCGACTGCAAGGGACCCGACAACGAGGACCGCTTCGTCCCGACCTTCCCGGCCTCTTGCCCGTGGGTCACCACCGTCGGCGCCACGGCGGCCTACGGCGGGCCCGCGTCCTACTCGTCTGGCGGCTTCTCCAACTACTTTGCGCGCCCGGCCTGGCAGCAGGACGCCGTGCAGGGGTACCTGGACCTCATGGCTGACGGCACCGTAGCCCAGCCCAACACGACGTGGTTCAACAGCTCCGGCCGGGGGTACCCGGACCTCTCGCTCCTCGGCAATGACTACCTCGTCGTGTGGCGTGGCTTCGCCCAGCCTCTCAAGGGCACCTCGGCCTCGACCCCCGTCGTCGCCTCCATGGTCGCCCTCCTCAACGACCTGCGCCTCGCGCAGGGCAAGCCCGTCCTCGGCTTCCTCAACCCGCGCCTCTACGCGGCGGCCGCGAGTGTCTCCAACAACACCGCGGCATTCATAGATGTGTTGGATGGGCGCATCAATGGGTGTGCCAGCGCCGAGCACGCGGAGCCGGGGTTCGAGGCTGCGGCGGGCTGGGACGCGGCCTCGGGGCTTGGAGAGCCGCTATTCAAGCAGCTACGGGCGCTTCTTGTATGAAACGTGGGGCCATATACACAAGTCTACATACATAAATACACATGACCTATAAACACATCTACAAACACACATACACATGTACGACGTGACACCGGCGGGGCGGCTTATCGCCAGCGATGTCGGTTTGATAGTACCCAAGACCAAAGTGCTCGTTTCGTGTTAAGAAACTGAGTTGGGTTTCGCCAACAGAAGAATACGGCCTGCGTGGAAGAATCCGATTGATGAGTGGTTTTCGTCATTGGCGTGTCTCCAGACGATGTCGTTGCCTGTGCTTGGAAGTTGACCGAGGCACTGGTGGATTGCACTATTACAGAAAGCAGTAGGAGTAAGGGAAAGTCTCACTTCCGTCTGCTAATCCTGCTCCACCAGCGGGAAGATCAAAAGGATTAGGGCAACGCGGCGCGTGTCTGGTTCGCGGATCATGCAAAAGGTATTGAATCAGCGTTGAGAGACACTCTTTGGCACTCCTATACATCATTTTGGGGATCGCTGATGGAAGTTGCTCAATGATGGCTGCCCATGCTGAGGTGACGAATGTTGCCATGGACATCGAACGGTGTTTTGCCCCAGGATCACAACCTGCTGCGCGCACACGGAGGCATGTGCAACAGCTTGCGAGAATTCTGACCAGTAGCTGAAAATCCAGCCTAAAAGAGTCGTCTGGGGCCAAGCTATCGCGATTCCACGCCCTGAAAAAGATATGGGAGAGTTTGGAGGGTTCCCGAGTTTGGCTGAATGCCGTGGATCGAGGTACTGTACATGCGCACGAGTGTTAACACGGTGTACTGCTCAATCACAATCAACTAGTAGGTATTGTGACATGTATGGTGGACGAATCGGGGAGAAGGGCCCGTGATAGCCGTTCGAAGGGCGTATGCCTATCCCGAGATGGCAATTGGTCACGCCCCTGTCCTGCGACGTCGAACAAGAGTCAAGACACGCACGCAATCTACATGCACAACAGCGGTAAGCATTCTAGGCCGTTCTAGATTACCGCTAGCCCCTGCAAGGAACGATGGCACGTTCGTCGAGTACTATAAAAAGACGCCTGATACTAACCGGGAATGCCGCAACCCCGGCTCGTTCCGTATTTTGTTGGCAGCATCTCCGTCGACAACCTCTTTGGGTATTGACGGTCTTGCGGCAGTCCGGAAACCATGGCCAGGAACTCTCCATGAGCCCGTAAGCTGCTAGTGCTGGGCTGGCATCATCTGAGTGTCCAGCAATTCGCGTATCGAATTTTCATAGCCTGAATTGTCGAGGCTGCCAACGGAAAACGCCGTCAGCGTAGTGGTAAGTCATTTACACGTCACCCGTCACCCGTCACCCGTCACTCAGAAGTCGGCCAAGCTGCCGGAACACGAATGGGAACAAGTTCTCCGCGCCTGGCCAGCTCCACGCAACTCGTGCGCCAGCCACGGCAGTTCCACATCGTCTCATCGAGAAAAGGGGGAGCTGGCCGCGGAGGAATAGAATGGAGCAGCGGCACGAATCCCCATGGAACGTTGCTCGCGCGCGTACATACAGACGGCTCTGCCCAGCCCGCACCGCACCGCAACCGCACCGGGCCACGTGCGCGCTCGGACTGAAACAGGATGCATATCCCAAGCGCCCACCAGGAGCCTCCTCAACCCGCATTTGCCTAAATCGGCTAGTCCGACGACTTTTTCCGATCTGGTTCTAGGCCACTCGCTCTCCTTGCAGCCGTTGTACGATCCAAGGACAAGGAAGAGGCAAGCCAGCCTTTCCCCATACGTTGGGCGGCTGATAGTCAGGATCAGACCAGGCCCACGAGGATCGGGAGAACCAGAGGACGTGGATCTTGCCGTTTGGCGAGTTCCATTTGTGGGCAGCCTGGGCAGCTCCCCCGCAGAACTTTGTGTCTGTGCGTGTAACATGGTGATATGTAGTTGTCGGCCCCTTTTTGGTGAAATTGAAGACTATTGGTTCCCGCGATGCATAGAGAATTCCCGGGTGTTTCTTGTTGGTCGAGCGGACGACGTCCCGACCACGGCATTTCCCGCCTGGCGCGCGGGTGAGTGATGCACGTCCTTGGCTTCATCCATGTCAGCCCATGCCCCGACGAGATGGATGGATACCTGCCCCGAACCCTGCATGCACACTTTGGAGTAGCATCGATCAGAGGTGTCCGACAAAACGGGCTTGGCGTCCGTCTTCTGGAAGAGATGGGAACGGAGGACCCCAATCGGTGTGCGTCCTCCAGGCGGAGCCCAGTCCGGACCTCGCTGGCCAAGCCGTGAGAGGTGGGAACATACGAGCCACACTCCCGGGGACGCTGTGGCCATTTCGCTCCTGCGCTCCGTCTCATCACCGGCAAGTCCCGTGGCCAGAGGCAGCGCTTGAAGTCACATGCATTGTGCTCGTTCAAGCACGTCCGCCCTGGGGTGTCAAGTGCGAGAATGCGACTAGGACGCCGAAGCTAGTAGGCACATGGCGCCGAGCTCTCTCTCTCTCTCTCTCTCTAGATGCCCTGGATTCCCGGTCTTGTCCGTGAAGGTGACGGGACGCCGATCTCTGCCGCGCATCAGAGCCTCTACATGTACAGTGGTGGGGACAAGGGGATGCGTAAGCCGCGCTTGCAAAGGCATCAGAATCAGCAAGGAGCAGCGCGGAGGATCACATGAGCGACGGGCAGAGGAGCAGACTGGGTGGTGGGGTTTCCCCGATGGACAGGACAGGACAGGTCAAGTCCCATCTCACAGCGCGAGATGCTAGCGTCACAGGGCCCCATTGGCGCGGGCCTGAGCGTCCGACGGCTGTCTTCTGACTGGCTGGGCTTCGGGCAAAGACCCTGCAGCAGGCCAGGCAGGGTGGTGCTAAGGTTTGGACTTGACATGGGTGGGCAGGGGCTGCCCCTGGCTGCCACGGGGCATCTCGTCCTGAGCGCTGGGGGGGGGCTGACCAGACTGGCACTGACCACCAACGCTGTTGCTGGCCGTGTTCTAGGCGCTCCCTCTCTCCAGGGCACGATGCAGGAATCGCCTGATGTTCAAATAGTCCCGGCCATGGGGTACGGCAGCAGCCGTGTACTTGCAGATCAGAGGGCTCAGGGGCTTCCTACCGGACAACCTAGTGGGCGAGAGCAACCGCCAGCACAAGACTGCCGACCGTGTCACGGCCCGAAAAGAGGAGCGGGCCTCAGCTGGTCGGCAATAATTGACAAGCCAGCATGCGGGCAGCAGTGCGCCGATCGCCTGCCAAAAGTGGTTCAGACGTGCTGGGGCATGGTCACACAGAGCGACTGCCGCTCAGGGTCTTGCAGGAGTTGGCTCCGGGACCGCCAGCAAGCATATGGAATCATCCTCTGTTCGGGGCTCCCAGGCTGGGCCACAGCCTCGCAGTCGCTCGCCTTACTTGTCATTTAGTCAGCGTGCCGCCGTTCCAAACAGACGCGGCATGACCAAGGACCCCCCGCGGGGCCGTCTGCATCCTGGCTAGCAGTTTTGGGCACAGATACATCGTGACCTTGGTTCGCGAAGCCAAGCCCTGCTAGCTCATTGCCCGCTGGCGGCAGCGACTGTGCTGCCAGCTCCCACTCACTGTGAGCGGAGCATTTCGGCCGAGACCCTGGTCCCCCTGCGGGAATTGCTTCCCTCAGAATCTCCCGCCTGCCCCCCTCGAGGCCCTCCTCTCTACTCGAGTTCACGCTGTGCTTGCCCCGATTCCCTCCCCGCTGCCCATGTCCGCACCAGAGACGGTTCTTTCGCCGGGGCTAGAGTGCAATAGCCACGTGATTGGGAACTCTGGTGTCCAAGTGCCCATCGGCGGCTGTTCACGGGAGGACCCCAAGGGAACAATGTAATGGCCAATGTAATGGAGAAGCAGGGGGCCTACGTAATCACTGGTTGCAACGAGCAGCAGCCGTCCTGTCTATCGGCCTCGGCGATGCCGTCCCGCTGCCGGCCAAGTGTCTGCTAGCCCGTGTCTGCCCACCCACCACCCATCACTGCCGTTCTGTGTGACCAGCCGGCAGGAGGAGTGGAGAGTCCGTGTCCCCATCAAAGCCCACCACCACCACCTTTTCCTGTCGTCCTGTCCGGCGCAGCAAGTACAAAGGGCCCTGTGCCCCAGCGGACCTCCCTGACCGGAGGGACCCACGGTCTGGACCCTGCGCCCGCCATGGTCCGTCCGCCTCTGGTACAAAGCCCGCTGGCCTCCCCTTCGCGGCCGTCCATGCCCAAAGCGTCACTTTATATCTGTTTCCCATGATTGCCATAGAGACGTCACAATCCCATCGTCTGTGTGGCCGCCCGGTGTCCTCGCCGTCTCCCCGTCCTTCATACAGAACATTGCCCACACAAACATTCCAACACCGCAGTCGACGCCCGGCGCAGTCAGTCTTGACAACCAGCCCATTGTTATCCTCAGGCCGTGCCAGTTTCTCGCCTCTCCGCACTTGCTTTGATCGCCATCGCTTGCAGACACGCTACCGCTCCCGCAGCAGAACTGGGATCCTTTGACACCCTGGGCAACTAGCCTACCCCAATTCTGGATGCGCGCGTCTTGATATTATGCTCAGGTACAATTCCGACTTTTTCTTTTTCCATGGGGGTGTCTCCCATTGCCAGCAAACGCAAACTGACTTGCCAATCACCAACCAAAGTATCGAGCCCGGGTCTAGCACTCGACGACACAATCCCCTTGCCCACAAGCGCAAAGTATCCCTCGCATACCGGCCTCGCGCGATCGCCATCAGCTACAACAAGATCGCCATGACCAGCATCTCGTTCAATCCGGATGCCGCCATCACGGCGGCCGGCAAGGCAGACACCACAGGCCCCTCGACGGCATCGACGCAGCTCAGCCCGTCCCTCACGACCATCACCGTCAACGAGATTGCCCACGGCAGCGACTCGACAGGGCCGTCGTCGCCAGAGAGCTACCACCACCACAACAGCAGCGATGCCATCGCACACAGCAGCCCGCCGTCTCCAATCGCAGCCACCACCACCACCACCACCACCACAACAACAACAGCCACTAGAAAACAGAAGCAGCACCCGCACCTCCTCCTCAACACCAGCCTGCACTCGCAGCACAACCCCCACGCCGCCACAGCAGCCGGCGAAACATCCGCAGAAACCAGCATGGTCGTGCAGATGGCCGTCGACGAGCTGCGCGCCATGGGCGAGACACTGCGCATCGCAAACAAGCAGCAGCAGCGCATGATTGAGGAGACCATGAGTCAGTGGCGGCTCCAGCAGCAGCAACAGCAACAACCCCAGCACCAGCACCAACAGCAGCAGCAGTACGGCGCGGGCCAGATGTCTCACGCCCACGCACACACGACTGCCACCACGACGGCACCAGTGGTGGGCGCCACAATGGCACCGTCTCAGTAGAAAAAAGGCACAGCTACCCTGTCGCTGTCGATTCATTGCGGGAAAACCCCCGCCATCGCGAAATGACCGCGGTTATTTCTTGCTAAGGGTACACACCGTCGTGTTGATCGAAACTCGTACTTTGGATTCAAAAATCGAATTTGAGACCATTGGGGGGACGGGCAATAAGGCCCCATGCGCCAAAGCTGTTTTAGCAGCGATGCGACCGCTCCCCCACGCCCCCCCTGCCTTTGCCCGAGACAAAGTTCCAGCTGTGGGAAGCCATGAACGCCGCATGCGCGTGTTCAGGACATGGCCGGCACCTTGCCATTACCACGAGGGCGGCGATATGTTGCTTTGGTGTCGCGCGCGGGCGGATGCGGTCTCGTCGCTCCAGTACAAGCGTCAGCAGACCCGTACAACCATGGCTCAAGTGTACCTCTCGATCCGCGTTGCAAGATGTTTGCTGGGCCGGCGCGAACGGGAACTTGTGTGTGCGCCAGTGCATATCAATAGAGATGTGGCACACAGACAAAAAAGTCCGACAGCGGGAGGCGCGAGAAACAGCCACATTCATAAACCCCGAAGCCCCGACTGGGACTGGCACGAAACGAGCGCCTGGTCCGAACTGCCTGGCATGAGCGGTCCAAGAAGCCATGACTAGGCACGCCCTCAGTGGCGGAGGACAAGAGCGCCAGCGGCGGTTTGAGGTTTTGCAATCTGTCGCAGGGCTCGGCGTCCGCCTCTGATATACAGACATGGGCGGTGGCATGTACGGCATCGCGCGTTGCTCCATCACGTGACAGCTGTCCGTACAAAAGCCTTTGTGGAGGCAATGGTGCTATTGAGCGCTCAGCTGGTCTTTTGGGAGAGGTGCGAGCACACTCTGAGCAGCGTTGCTTCGTTGGGTTGTAGGATAACAATGACGCTCCGAGTAGCGGTCAGGTTATTCCTGTGTGCGGTCCGGAGGTGTTTTATCACTGTGCGGTTTCCGTGGCAAAGTGCTCGCTTTCATGGATCATTTCTGAAATGTCCCGATGGCTTTTATGCCAGTGATTTTGGAGCGCAAGCAAGCGAATTAGCGGATGATAGACTTGTTTTTTATGAATACCATTTGCTATTGCATCTTTTAATGTCCACTCTTCCTGGTAACACTCCCCAGCTAGGCAAAGCGAAGCGGGAAATACTCAATATAAACACCGCCTAGCAGACGATGGCTGTGTATCGCTGATATATCTGGCCTGGCCACTATGCGGAGGGGTAGTATCCTATATAGTCTACTTTTATGTTGCCGGCCAGTTCAATCAGCAGTTGCCTATACCGAGCATCTGCAGTGTACCGTTCCTCACAAGACAGTAGGCTCCAGCAGCCCAAACAGATCCCTCTCCGAGTCGAGCACGGCCATGACATCGTAGGGCAGCGTGACCATGGGGGTGGTGTGCCCAAAGTCGACGCCAAACAAGATGGGAAAGTCCCTGCCCAGCACGTCCACCAGCCTGCCCTCGCACAGCAACTCCCTGATCACGCGCTTATACTCGCCCCTCTGCTCCGCCGAGTCGTACCCGTACGGCCTGCCCACCACCAGCCCGGCCGCCTCGTCAAACACGCCCTGCGCCACGAGGTCCGCGATCGCGGCCTGCACTCTGGGGAGGGGGTTCCCGCCGTCCTCGTCGTCCCCCATCGCCGTCTCGAGGAACACGATCCGGCCCTTCCAGTCCGGCACGATGGCCCTCACGGCCCCGACCCGCGCCACCACCGTCAGGCACCCGCCAAACAGGCGGCCCTCGGCTCTGCCCCCGCGGATCCACTCCCAGCCAAACGTGTTGGGCGCCAGCGCGGGCGGGACGTGCGCGTGGGAGTCGCCCTTGCTCCAGAACGCATCACCCCGGGGCGCATAGTGCATCGCGCGGGGGAACGCCGGCACGACGCTCCTCCCCAGGGGCGTGATGACCCGGAACAGGTTGTCCTCGCAGAACTTGACGGGTGAGTTGTCCGCATCCCCGCCTGGCAGGTCCGCCGTGGGTATGACGGCCTGACCCAGCTCCGGGATGATGCACGGGCCGTAGAACGTGCGCAGGCCCGTGAACGCGTGCAGGAACCAGTGGAAGCCCGTGATGTCCGAGTAGCCCACAAAGATCTTTGGGTTCTCGCGAATCGCGGCGTGCAGGGCCGTGTCGGCGACCAGCGCGGGCAGCAGCTCCGTGAAGGTGGGCCCGCCGATGGTGCAGACCACGGCGTCGATGGACGGGTCGGTAAAGGCCGTGCGGATCTCGGCCAGGCGGTTCTGGATGCCCGACTGGATGCTCGTGTCGCGCGTGTAGAGCTCGCGCACCTTGTACCCGCGCGAGGTGAGCAGCGCGAGGCCCCGGGACACCACGGATGGGTAGATGTGATTGAGTCGGGCAGAGGGGGAGATTATGCCAATGGTAGACCCTGGCTCGAGAGCCTTAGGGGTAATTGGGGACGGGGACATTGTGGGGTGGGTGCTGTCGTGCGTGTTGTTGCTCGGCCTGCTGTGTTGGTCAAAGTTGACGATGGGAAAAGGGAACAACAGCTGCGAGTTGTGCAGCTGCTTTATATGCTCGGACTTCCCCGTCACGAGAACCTCATGGCCTCGGAAACAATGGGCTCTGTCTGGCTGAAGCAATCGTGGCAGCCCCCGGCCGGCGAGGTCGTTTAAGGTTCTGACAGTGACGGCGTTTAGCCGGCTCGTGGTGGGATGGACCCCTGCTTCAAGTGGGATGACTAGGGGTCTCGGGGTCCGTGGGCGATGGCGTGCCAAGCCTTAGTAGTGAAGCCTTAGTCGCCGTAATTGATTCCCACCTCATTGTGCCTGTCCCTTTGTCTCAGCCCCCGTGCTTGTGCCACCCAAGGACCGAGGGAACGCCCGCCTTATCGTGCTGGTCGCGCTCTAGATATCAGTTGCAGAAATACAGGACGTGTCCTGTATAGCCAAGTTTAATGGCCAGCAGGGCATACAAGGGACATCACCGCGTGTTTATCTACCCAGAGACGTGGCCCGCTGAGGCTTCAGGAATCTCGCAGACCGAGACTGATTCAACGCTAGAGTAGGCGACAACGGGGTATCCGAACAATCACAAACGATAATTCTCTCAGTGTTGGACCGCAGTGAGGCGGGAGCAAACGCGTCAATCTATTGGGTGCCAGTCCAGCTGTTTGCGGTCTTCAGGATGGCACAGAGCAGCACAGGGCAGCAGGCAATATTAGCACGAGTGATGTAGCAGGAGAGTCGGTCACGATGGGAGATAGATTGTACCTCTATATCTCGAGACTGACTGATGGATTAGAGGGGGATCAGTCGTGCTTTCAGGCTGGCCCTATAGCTCAGAGAATATATAGAGCTTCGGTCGCTGTTCGCGAGGTCTTGATAATCAAGCCTGTGGCGACGACCTCATGTCTCTTGTGCAATTCGGGACGGTGTGTCGTACTCAATCGATGTCGACATCGTCAAACGCATCGAGAAGTTCCTGGAGTTGTAGCTCCGCTGCATTACCCGTCCGATCAATGAGCGGGTTTGGCAGCAGCGCAGCCACGGCGTGATGCATCAGCCCGTCCTTCCTGTGCCTGATCATTTCAAAGTATCTGTCCATGTATGCAGGCACCAGTATCTTGGAGCGCTTGAATGCAGCGCGGATCCCGCTCAGCACGTCGGTCGCCAAGGGCAGGGAGACACGCATCTCATGGAGGCACTGGCACGCGCGGACCAGAGTGTCCATGTGGATAGGATCGTTCTTGCTGGCTTCCTGCAAGACAATGAACGCCCCAGTCCCCAAGGGATGCGTGAGCCAGTACTCGAAGCGTAAGTGGGCAAAGGCGCGGAACGTCCAGATGGCCGACATCATGCTTGCAACGTGTGCGAAGCATTTCTCCCGGGGATCGAATCTGCCAAACTGCTCTTTTGTCATCTGGCAAAACGGTCGCAAGATGGATACCAGCATGAGCTCGAGACTTACGCTGGAGAAATGAAACAGTTGACCGCTGTTAGCGCCATGTAGCAGCGTCTGGGGATGATAGATGAGGCGACTCACTGAAGCAGGATTTCGCTGGGTAGAGTGGCTTCCTCCAAGCGGAGCCGTGTGGGCAGGGAAAACTTCCACTGGACCAAGGCGTCGTATATCTCTAGAGCGAGCTGTGGGTTGGCCGTTGGCGGATATCCACCTTCATCTGGGTAAACGAAGTCTACTGCTCGCTCTGCCAGGGCTGAGAGCGCCACATCTGCTTCCCGAATCTCGACCTGCAACGATCTCTGGGGATCAAAGGACATCGGGTAGGGAAACCACCAATAGGCGACGCAGTCTTCTCGCCGCAGCGCAAACTCTGGCTTCTGCCACTCTTTCTCCACTTTTGGCTTTCGAGCACACTTTCTCATGCCCAAAGCGTGGGATCCTCGCCTGAAAAATGTTAGGAGGGCCCATGAAATAGGCTGAACAGGCGATATTGTTCTCTGGACTTACCACTCACAGCAATAGAACCCCCACATGCACCAGGAGATGGCCTGCCTCTCTCGCTCGAGGCGCGCCTGGGCCACGTCATGGCGGCGTTGTGGCAGAGGATTCACTACGTTGAGTGCTCTGTAGACATCCATGGCCCGCATGAAGTAAGGCAATGACTTTTCTCCACTGCCAAGATTACCTTCGTAGACGAACATGGCAAGCAGGCCCTGCAGCAGCGGGATAGAGGGGCGCGAGATTTCTCGCAACAATTCCTCGGCCTCATCAGCCCATCGCCTGCCTCTACTCTGCTTGTCTCCGAGGTACTTGAAGGTTAAAGGTTCCCGAGTGTATAGCTGAATCGCGGTCAGCACGAGAGTATCGTGTATCAGCAAGAAAGGCTTACACAGCTGGCCGCGAGTAGGGCATTGATCAAGAACCGAGAGCAGAATCGGCCAGCTTCTATGTCCGAGAAGAACGATTCCGCAGTCGCGATGTCTTCTTCCAGTATAGGTCGATAGACAGTTCGCTCTACAATATTGTCCCAGGTGAAGAACAACCGCAGCAGATGGTTCATGATTCGGTCATCGGTCGAGACTGTCGTCCATCGCGAAAGGGGCAGGTCTTGCGTCGCTATGTCGATGAAGACGTCCTTTTCCAGGTATCTTTCCCGTGGCGAAGTCATGTATCCTCTTTCGAACATGAAGCGGGCATCATCATAACTGCGACAAGCAAGTCAGCAGAGAGCCTCTCGCAGTAGAAACTGAAGGGACCCTGACGGAGACATAAGCCGTTGCCTCTCGCGCAGCGGCGACGGCGTCGTTGTGTGGATCCCTCGGCCTTCTGGAGCCGGCTGGCGGAACGGAGAGTCCGTCTCATGGGATGCCAAGGGGAGGCCGAGAAGCAGCTGCGCTTCTGCCAGAGAACTGACGGCTTCTTCGGCATTGTCTGCCTCCCGGATCCTCTTCAGTGCCTGTGCAGAGTTGGTTCCGCTGCCTCGAGTCAGGAGGTCTATGACGGACTGGTTCCGCGCTGCTAGCTCCTTCTCTGCTCGTTGTTTCTTGAGCTCTTCCAGCTTCACGAACTTGCATTCTGCGCGCGCCTTTACACACCGAGTACATCGTGGCCGAGCGTCGTCGCACTATTGTGGAACACACGTCATGTTTAATCTCTTGAGCTGTGTACAGAGCCCATGCCAAAGCCACCTTACCTTTTGCTTTCTCTGCCTACATCCTAGTGGCCTGTGAGCTTTCTAGTGTATGAAGCGATTCCGGTGCGGCGTGGACTGGTCTTACGATCGCACGCCCCGTCGCCATGTCGACTGCGTCCTAGTGAACCCTGGGATTCTAGCCGTCCCGCAGGCCCCGACGAGCTGGAAGGCTTTGGGAGAAGCTGCCGTGGCACCTGCTTGGTTCCAGCCATTTGCGATTGCTAACGAGGCGATAGCCTCTGAACGTTGGTCGACCCCGAACTCGCCGCCAGCTCCGGGATAATAGGTTGATAGTGCAAAGGACGGGCGGTGGTAGGGCTGCAAGTTGTGCCGAGGGTCCCCGTGCCACAAGACATTGGCGAAAGGTGAGCTCGCGCTGTTGAATAGTCGACGCGTAGGGCGCGTCACGTCAAAGTAGGCATGTAATTCGCAGCCACCTTCGCAGTAGTGGTCTTGCCAGTGGCGACTTGCATACCTAAACCATGCTGCGCCACTACGTCACCAACCTGGTATTCATGTGGCTTGTGCGCCACCCAATTTGTAGCTCCACCGACGGTGCATCGTAAGGCTGACATAGCTATTTTCAGTATGTAGTCAAAGTGGACACCGACATCGAAGTCGACTCTATGGCCCAACCGTGTCTTACATGAGTCCAATATCGGATGCACTTTGGTATTTGGCCTCCAGAAAGATCATGCCAGGCAGATCGACAATAATGAGATGGGGTTGATCAGGCCCCGAGATCTCTAGGTAGAGCAGGTCTCTAGTGAAGGAGGTCTCCAAGTGAAGGAGTTGCCATGGATGGAGATCTTTACAGTTTGGCACCGATAACAGAGCGCTATACCACTAGGGCAAGAAATCAGGAAATAATCACCATGGTTGGCAATTACCTACGTAGGTGCTTCCAGTACCTTATACAGTGCCACCCATATCCAGACCGTATCAGAGATGCCCAACGCGAATTTTGCAGCTGTATTTACCCAGCCTCTGTTCACAAAAGCACAAAGGCAAGGGCAATCTGTGATATGACAAGAAGCACGCAGAGAGGCTAGTTGACAGCGACCTACAGACAGACAGGGCTGAGGCTGCGATTGAAGCGTGTGCATGGACAAGTTTTGGTGCCTTGTATCGGCCAGGCAGCAGTAGCCAGGGGGCTGCCCCTGACCTGGCGGGAGAAAGGATCTCAACCGCGGATCTCCTTGCTCTTGACAATCTCTCAAGCTCACGGCCAACTTGATCAGCAGTGTATCGTACTGTGGACAGGATGGAGCAACTCGTGGTGTGCGGCGCAAGACGCGCCAGCCTGTGCACGCTGCCCCTCGAGCTATTTGACTACATCGTCAGCATCTCATACGATCTCGACCCAGCATCGGTGTTGACCCTGCGCCTTGCGGGCACGCGCCGGGACGATCTCATTGTGCGTCACCTGTTTCGACGTGTTGGCTTGTCCGCGCTCAAGTCCTCGCGCGAGGCATTTCTTGGAATCACCTCTCGACCACACCTGGCCCGACATGTCCGCGAGCTCATCTGGTACGACCTGCCATACACCAGCCTCGACGCGCACTGGGAGAGGCTGGGCAGGGAGGATAATATCCCCAGGGAGCCTCCGACTGAGCCGCCCAGTCCCCGGAAACCATTTGGTGCCAGTCCCAGACCCTTACCCGATGTGTACCCGAAACAGCTACAGCTGCACGCGCTGCTGGCGGAGGCGTGCTGGATGCACAACCTGCCCGTGGACAGCGCGTACGACATGCCGGGACACTGGCAGGCAGTCTTTGACGAGTTTCGCGAATGGTTTTTGTCCGCTCTCCAGGCGCCCCCGTTGCTAGACACAGTCACCACTCGCGTGCTCTGGTATTACGGGCCACCTGCGCGTGACTTTATCAAGCCGCCGTCGTGCCTCGTGGGGCGCGACCCCGCGATCAAGACCATCATGGAGTGCGGAGGCTTGATTGCAGTGGTCTCTGCGCAGTCGGACAAGTTCATCGAGTTCATCACGTGGGCAGCCCAGGCGAGGATATGCGCGGCCAAGACTGAAGCACCGGGCAGCGCACCACGCAAAGCTCAGTCCCGGGCCAATATCTGCCAGACATTCAGGGGCTGGCCAAGGCATACCGTCTCGTCCAGGACGTGTATCGGCAGCATCAGAGAGGATGCTGTGCCAGGCAGCAAGCGGGCGGACGTTCGATTCCACGAGCTGGATGAGTCCGCTGTGACCGAGCTCGTTTCGCTGTTGTGCACACCTGCCGTCGTAGACAAGCTGTAGACGCTGAGGCTGTCTTACGTGCTTTCTGGCCCGGCGAAAAGGAGCAAGCCATCTAGCCGCGCTTTCGGCGGTGATCGTGCCGCCGTCGCCTTGTTCAAGCAGTGCCAGGCGCGCGGTCTGCGCTGGCCGCGCCTTGCTGAGCTCCGACTCACGAATATGGTCATTACCGAGACGGAGCTCGCCATGATCGTCTGTCAACACTCCGAGTCGATGACGAAGCTCATGCTAGTGAACTGTGGCATCACACTCGGTCATCTCGAAGGGCTTGCCGGCATTGAATGGTGCCCCACCTTGAGCCAGGTAGACATCTTCATACCCGAGCCGAACAACAGTGAGCAACGGCCACAACATCTCGTCTCTAGCGAAGACCTCCGCGCCGCGCTGCTGGGCGGCAAGGACGACTCCGCGTGGCTGCGGGCATTTCCGTGCCCGGATATGCCCAAGCAGACACTGGTCACTACTCTAGATGCCATATCATCACGGTATGCAATAACGGAGCTGTGCAGGTATACCGGGAACCAAATCGAGGTCAGCATGTACTCGAGGCCATATCGATTCTCAGACGCCGACTTTTCGCGGCGGTGGATGTGGGGTCGGATCGACGGCCGAGGCGCGGCCTACTACTGGCCTGTCGACGAGGCTGGCAAGGGCGAGCCAACGACAGTGTGGCGGTTCACGCACAAGAGAAAAAGGGCTGGCGGTGGAGAAAAGGAGGAGGAGGAGGAGGAGGAGGAGGAGGAGGAGGAGGAGGAGGAGGAGGAGGAGGAGGAGGAGGAGGAGGAGGAGGAGGTGCGGTATGGGGAGGACCCGAGGTTGTTCTGGGACGACTGGGACGAGGACCAGCCTGGCGACACGGCCGAGCCGACGCCATTCAGCGGCAACTTTGAGAAGTTCGTTCGGCGGGAGTGGACGGGCTGGAACTGCCTGTTCAACCAGAGCAGGCATGTGCCCAAGACTGCCACTGTCTTGACAGAGAGCACGAGAAGGCAGTTGGTTGCGCAGGGCCTCTGGCAAGACGGCGCTGTTCCCGCCTTTGCAGACCCTGGGCGTGCTCCAGCGACGGATCGTCGCGCGACTCAACTCAAAGAGGCTCCAATCTTCCGCTTGTTATTCCTCCCGCTCAGCTCTCAGCCTTCCGACTAAGCTACTCGTGCCTACTTGTCCTCCTGCATCAACACTCACACACCCTATGCTAAAATGCACACCTCATTCCTCCATCGCAGCGCTCCCGCGTGGTCACGCCCATCCATGCATTTCTTTGTTTAATTCTCCGTCCCAAGCCCCATGTCAAGAGCTCAGCCGTCCTGCACCGCTGCCCTGGCTACGCAAACGGAATGAGCGTCCAGCTCCGCGCCTTGTACTGGACAAAGTCCTGCCCGTAAACCATCCCGAGCTGGGCCTCCTCCTTCCTGATCCTCCCCAGCACGTACGCATAGGTGAAGCACACGATCGCGGGCATCAAAAAGATGAAGACCACGGGTTCTGTGAGAACATTGAAATGTATCAAAGCCCTGCGAAGACATTTTCTTCAACTCTGACGAAAATGAAAAGATCCACTTCTGTTCGTCCAATAGGTCCTCGCTGACGCTGTTCGTATTTATGGCTGGATCGAGCCTACGGACGATGATTTGTCCCGGTCCTGGTGATGGTCTGTCAGATGCAAGCCCCAGCGAAGAAAGAAAGAATGGAATTGCAAAGTTAAAGAAACGAGGCCGAAGATCACGGCGCGTAGAAACAAGGCAAGAAACGGGGGGATGGACGGTTACAGCTCCAGGGAACAATACCTCCGACTCCCATTCGGCCTCTGGTGACTGACTGGTGGGGGCAAGCTAAATGCCATCTCTCCTCTGCTCGCTAACCACTTTGGATATGCTTCCGAGATCCACAAATCTGCTCTCCAATATGCAATGCCCCACCGTGGTGCCAACCCGTCCCCATGAAGAGACGTCCGACCTGTACTTCGGCAGGACATGCGGGCAAGCTCGAGTTACTGGTCTAAGATCTTGTGCTTAGGCCGGGCCGTCAAAGCCGCCGATGGACCCGACCATCACGACTAGAACGAGCCGAGGTCAGAAGAGCCAATCTCGATGGCATATCGGTGGCACGCCTGGTCGTGGGGGATGGCTCGAAATCGGCCAGGTCCGGGGCCCGCCGCGGACTTGAAGTTGCCATCTCGATCTCAGTGCATCGGACGGCGAGGAACTTTGTTGCTACCATGGCTTCCTGCTGCAATTATTGCACAGATGCTTAGCCCCCGCCTCTGCTGTGGTTAGGATCGAGTTCTGTGTCACCCTGGTCCTTGTCATTGTCCTGGAGCATGCTTTGCTGGCACGTGCCCATGGCTCCCCAAACTTCGGAACAAAAGGCGGCGACCGGCTGTGCCTGACAGCGGCGCTTCCCTGGTTCAGCCGCACCCACACGGTTGTCGTGCCCGGTGCCGTCGGATGATTTTGGGCGCTAGGGGATCCGGTGGCGCCGGCTCCGTTAGACGAGGCACCCAGGCCTCATTTTCTAGGAACAGCGGTCGAGCTAAGCAGACGGGCGGACAATGTGATGACAGGACGCATCTTGGACCATCTCGCATGCCAACTCTACATCTCACTCGGCCTGGACAGTCGGAGGTAATGCCATGGGTACGGCATCATTGTGAGAATATGGGCAGTCGGAACGCGAGACTCATGCTGGTTCACAATGGCGCAGCTCCAGTTCACAATCCTTGTCGACCATGCGCCTGTCATGTCACGGGGTGGAGACCCCCCACGAGAATAACGGTCTGAGGATCCCATTGTGGTCAGGTCATCCGAAGTCTCAGCTGGCACTGCTGGCACCGGCGAGCCTGCAACAATGGACAACCTTGCCAGGATTCATTTCCACACGTGGTGAACCATGTCCCCGGGCCCAGCAGCACCGCTAGCACCAGCCCAACCCTGGCCAGCTGCTTATCTTCAGCTTGTTTCCTTGCTAGCCTGTCCCGCTTACCCAGTATGCGGCGGTAGAAGTACCCGCATCGTCTGGGCCACCTCATCCAAGCCCTGAAAAGAGCTGAGCGCGTCTGACCGTAGCCTGGGCATTCCCTGCCTGGTTCCAACTCACCTGGCTGGAGCCTTGTCTACGGGGTCCGAAACCTCGGCTCGGCTGGCCGTGACGAGTCCGGAAAAGAGGTGCCCTTGTGTACATATATGCCGGCTGGGATCCGTCTTATCACAGCTCCGGCCGATGTCTGCTTCCCCGACCATCGTTGTTTATTTCGTCTGTCACTAATTTGCTTGCTCGGAGTTTCTGCCGAGCGTCCTTTCGTTTAGACAACCCCATCTGGACAACACTGACGATCCAAGATGCAACTTATCGTCCTTGCCCTGGCCGTGCTCCAGGCAGGTGGCGCCCTCGCCGCACCGGCTACCACTGCGCTGACTCTTCCTGTCAGTGGCCGGACCGTGACTCTGGCCAGCCGTGCCAGCCATGCCGGTGCTATGGGCATGCCTCACCCCGAGCACAAGCGCCGCGGGGCATCTGCCGAGCCGCCCAAGTACAAGGAGCACAACGTGTGCTGGCCCAAGGGCTCGTACGGCGGCGAGTATCTGGACTGGCGGCACTACAAGGCCAACGGCGCCAACCTAGGCTCGTGGCTGTGGAAGGAGAAGACACACGATCCGCTGCTGTGGCGTGCCCAGGAGCCCGCCGCTGCCGCGACGGCTGACGAGTGGAACCTATGCCTGGCCCTTGGTGACAGGTGCGGCCCCGTCCTCGAGGAGCGGTACGAGTCGTTCCTCAACACCAGCACCATCGACCAGCTCGCAAGCGTTGGCATCAACACGCTCCGCATCCCGACCTCGTACGCCGCTTGGGTCGACGTGCCAGGCTCTGCCCTCTACCATGGCAACCAGAAGGAGCACCTGCGCCGCATTGCCAACTACGCCATTGACAAGTACCATATGCACGTCATTGTTGGCCTCCACTCGTTGCCTGGCGGCGTCAACCCGCTCGACATTGGTGAAGGGTACGGCCACATTGGCTGGTTCCAGAACGCCACCAACCTCGACTGGTCCCTCAAGGCCTGGGGCGAGCTTATCGACTTTGTCGTCACCTCCGACCGGCCCAACTCCTTCTCCATCTCCCCCATCAACGAGGCTGCCGACAACATGCAGAACTTCGGCACCGCCAAGGGTCTCAGCGAGGCCAACACCAATTGGGTCCTCACCTACATCGACGCCTGCATCGAGATGGTCGAGGAGGTCGACCGCCGCATCCCCATCGTGCTACAGGACAGCTTCAAGTCCGTCGGCTTCTGGGAGCCCCTGTTCGACGTGTCCACGAACCTCGTCATGAGCCCCCACCTGTACTACTTCTCCCAGGAGGATCTGTACGCCGGCTACGTCAACTACACCATGTGCGGCACCGCGCAGTGGGTCGGCACCTTCAAGAAGTTCCCCGTCATGGTCGGCGAGTGGTCCATCCAGGTGCACTACAACAACACCTTTGCGGACCGCAAGGCCCTCTTCGACACGCAGAAGTACGCCTACAGCCACTACTCGAACGGCGCCACCTTCTGGACCGCCGTGTCCTACGCCGAGGCCGTGGTCTCGGGCGAGGGGACTCAGCGCGACTACTGGAGCTACATCGACCTCATCAATGCCGGTGTGGCCACCAAGCACATTGACCGGAGCTACTGCTGAGCGGGAGGTTGTGCATGGGATAGGGGGCCTGGCATGTACTAATTATAAGCGGTGGATTTTACTCGAGCCGCTACTCTGGCTACGAGATGAGAAGAAGACGTCCGAGGTTTTGGTAATTGCAGCATTGCTCTGGTAACTGCTGCCAATGGTCATGGCCTTGAAGTCACCACAGACTTGTGCGCGTTGCCACTCATTCCAGCCCACACGCATACTGGACTGTGCTGCGCCCTTAAGATAACACATACACTCTATACTTCTAATGTCTATATTGTAGTACAAGGAACTCCTCTAGAGTAGTTGCAACGACTCTTCATCCCAGCCCTATGTCAAGAGTTTGGCTTCCTGCACCGCTGCCCCGGCTCACGCAAACGGAATGAGTGTCCAACTCCGTGCCTTGTACTCGACAAACGCCTGCCCATAGACCGTCTCGAGCCGCGCCTCCTCCTTCCTGATTCTCCCCAGGACGTGCGCATAGGTGAAGCACACGATCGCGGGCATCGAAAAGATAAAGACGACGGGCTACGGGTCCACCAGCCCCCAGGGCATCATGAGGTTGCTGCCCACCGTCCATAGCAGCAGGCCCAGGTAGTCTGGGTGCCGGAGGAGCCGGTAGATGCCCCTTGTGACGAGGGGCACCCGCGCGGGCTTGTCCTTGTTCCATCGCGGCGGCAGTAGCGGCGGGTTCGCTGCGTTGCAGTCGTCCCGGCTCTCATCATCATCGTCTGCTCGTCGTACTGCGGAGGACGCGGAGAGCAGGGCCAGCGTGCGGAGGAGCTGGCCTGCGAACACGAGGCGGAAGCCGATGGGGCAGAGGACGATTATAGCGGGGTCAGTCTGGCTGAGGACGTGTAGGGAGCGCAGGACGGCCTCGGCTGCTGGGCCGAGGCGGGCTGCCAGGTAGAAAGGCCAGTGCTCGATGTTGGAGAGGAAAGGTCTTATGGGTGACCAGGATGTTTGGTGCTGGTGATGCTGGCGCTGCGAATCAAAAAGGGTTGTGCGATGGCGAGCTGCGATGCAGACCTCGAGGAGGTGCTGGGCGGCGACGGAGGCGAGGTATGCCGGCACACGCCACTCCGGCATGGCCGGGCAGTTCATCGTCGACTTCATCAGCACGCGGATGAGGATGGCGACGGTCGACAGGATCGCCACCGCCATGGCCAAGAATGTGGCTGTAACGGCACTGCGAGATAGGAACAGGCGCCGGGCCCAACCCGTCAGCAACGAGGGCGGCGTCGAGTTGCTGGACAGAGGTGGTTGGCCTGGTTAACTCGTGATGTTGGCGGCGACTGTAGAGGATCGTTCGGGGGTTTTCCTACACTCACCTGCTCGTGCTCGGGAGTTGCGCGTCTAAAGTCCTGTGCAGGCCCAGCTCGGCATATTTGGCTGCTTCCTCCATGGCGGCAAAAATTGGGCGAGGCACGGGGACGCGAGCCGATGAGGGCGAGCGAGCGGCGCAGCAGCTATGCTCCCTTCTCGTGGTCCTCGCCAAATGGCCGTGGTGGCTAGAGGCAGAAAGGATCGCCCTGATGCCTGGCCCGCAACAACAGGGCTTGCAGTCCCCGGCAATTTCCGCAAGGGTCAGAAAAGCTTCGCGCGCCTCGCCATTAGGGGTGTTGGTTGTTCCTGACCATGTAAGTGGGTATCCAATCTGCCCGCGGTTTCGTTGCACTGTAACTCAGCAATTAAGTTTGTATACGTATGCAGGCAAGCGTTGTGCTCCACAGGGATGCACAACCCTGTGAATCAGATCAGATCAAACACTCGTAGACTTGCTCGTTGGACAAAGACATCCATTACAAAGCATCTTGTATGCTTCGGGACATTCTTGCATGATTTCAGACGCCATCTGTGTTTTAAAGGGCGCTGTGGCACGCCTCAGCTGCCCTTCAAAAGGCTTCCAGCCGACAAAAAACAGGTAGAATGGCTGCATAAATCATACACTTATGTGAGGTCAGCAGACATGAGGGTACTTAACAGGAGATGTCACGGCTGAGATCTTGCAACTACGATCATGGGCAGATGTGGATCTGGTATTTTTCAGCAGCGACAAAAGCTTGAGTTAGCAGAATAACTTTAGTTCGTAGAAGCGCGCGAAAGTCAGAGGACTAAACTAGGAAAGGCGAATACGGACTGAATTTAAAGGAACCAAGTAGGACATTGTTCCTGGAGGATAAATGCGTAGTGCGACTTTTAATTGTGAGTTCGAATATTTTGTGGCCGGTGAAGCGTATCGGTGCACATTTGGACGCGTGGTCCTATCATGTCATTTCACAGCAGAGGCCAAACACCGGAACACATGAGGAAAATGGAAAGGTGCTGCCCAAAGATCCATATGATCATCTGGCCTGGGCGGCGCGTGGATCCAGGCCATCTGTGTTGGAGCTCGTTTCATCATCTTTAACAGGTACAACCGAGCACATGAAACTTGACAGGCTGACAGATGCAGGCAGCCTTTCATCACCTATTCGGCAATGCAGCACTCCCAACAACATTGCTGTCAAAACAAGAGTGCCGATGCTCCACAAAACTCTCGACGATCCTGCGCATGTCCTCAAACAACAGACACTAGCGCACATGACCCTGAGCAACTCATGGCTTTGAGTCGAAAAGATGCAGCTCGAGCAGAGCACAGGAAGCCTGAGACAGTCCCCGATGCCTCGTGTATCAACTGGCTTGCCTCTCCGCATGTTGAGTACGTGCGCATGCATATCGCCGATGATCTACTTGACCTGTTTGCGCAGAACCTTACAGTGTCTGGGCACGTGCGCTGGCAGACGCGCAAGCTCACCGAGCCTTTGACTGTGTTGTGGATGTTCAGCTGGAAACGGACGTTGCTTCGGTGCGGCACTGTGATGTCAGTCCTGTCACCTCAACGGGTTTGGCCAACGAACAGTCGAGCAGAGGACTAAGAAATCGAGCCTATACGGTAGAGATTCGAGCCCAATAAGGCCACGGGTATGCCTACCACCCTTCGAGCCGGTCAAAGCTGCATGTTTTGGTTTTACCCTACGTGCGTGACGATTATCAAAGGCATATGCAGCCACTAGGATACATCCTCTGGAGTCTTACATCTAATACAAACACAATGGGTCCACACCAGCAGGAGCCATGTGAAAAAGGGCCCGGTCCACTTGCGCATGCTTACTGTCCGTGATGCGCAGTGAAGGCTGAGGATCCGGGTGACTATCCCAAGAAAGAAATGCTTGACTGGTAACAGCTCGTGGCGATCGACCCGCAACAGCACTGGTGGGGATTATGATCTAGACCCGGGGAAGACTTGGCTAGTGTTATTGCTCTGGAATGGTACAGATGTGCGATGTCTCCTGTACCAACGATGGTGTAGGTCGTATTAGGAGTCGTTATTGCGTTGTTCTTTGCGGTCTCAAAGGCGAATTTCTTGATGCACGTTCGTGACTGGTAGTCCTTTCGCCTGGGCTCTCCCACAGCTGAGCTGTGGCCAACGGTTACCTTCTGCATTTGCACTATTCGCGATTGCTCCCCCAGATCGCGTCATTGCGCCAAGGCCACCTAAACCACGGGGAGCGACAGAGAAGGGCCGCAAAAGCAGCAATTCATGACAAACATTTTCATGGGCCCCACGGCCACGCCGCCGTCCTTTTTGCCGCATCCTCCAGTGCCAGACCCGCCCCCCAAGGACTCCCACGGGTCCAAGGCAACGACCGCCTCCACTTGGCGCATTCGGAAACGGGGCCGTCCGCCGTTCCAGAGAACGAAGTTTTTTCTTCCATGCATGCCCGGCCGCCAAGGAGTCCATGCGGCTCCGGCCGGGCCCTCCTCTCGGTGAGGGAAGACTGCATATGGCCAACACCCCTGACGGCGGCTTCCTCTTCCAGCAACACGAACCACGATTCGCCCATATCGCGCCATCGCAGCGTGCTCGAGGGGATTGCGAGACCAATCTCACGTCTGACGTGCGGTTCTTGGTCTTCTTGGCTGCTCTCCCTAAGCCACGGCTAACCGGACCACCAGCATCGCCACGTCTAGACCGGCTCTCATTCATAAACAACACTGCGCGCTCCCCATTTTTTCTTCGTGGCCGTCTCTCCTCCGGCAGCATGTCTGTACGATCCACGGACTCGCCTCGAGCACTCATGGCCAACAAGCACGACGACACGCCCAAGTCGGGCAGCCTGCACAATGTTGCTGACGCCGAGGGCAGCGACAACATTGTTGTCGGTATGTCACACTCTCTCCCTGGTGCACGCGTTTGTCCAAGATGTGCATATCCTAACTCATCCCAGGCCAGATCGCCGAGGCCCGTGAGGCCAAGCGCCAGATTGGCATCCCCACTGCCGTGTTCCTCATTGTGAACCGCATCATCGGCACGGGCATCTTCGCAACTCCAGGCACGATTCTTGCTCTGTCTGGCAGCGTGGGCCTGTCCATGATCATCTGGGTCGTCGGCCTGATCATCGCGGTTGCAGGCACGCTCGTCTATGTCGAATGGGGCACCGGCATCCCCAAGAACGGCGGCGAAAAGAACTACCTCGAGTTCGTCTACACCAAGCCGCGCTTCCTCGTTACTGGCCTGTACGCCGGCTACGTCATCCTCCTCGGCTGGGCGTCAGGCAATAGCGTCGTCTTTGGCGAGTACATTCTGCACGCCGCCAACGTCACGGTGGACCGCTGGAACCAGCGTGCCATCGGCGTGGCCTGCCTGACCTTCTGCTTCCTCCTGCACGGCACCGCCCTGAAATGGGGTCTGCGCCTGCAGAACGTGCTCGGCTCTCTCAAGCTCATCATCGTCGTCATCATGATCATCGGCGGCTGGGTCGCACTGGGCGGCCACGTCAAGCTCGACACCAAGCCCGACAACTTCACCAACGCCTTCGAAGGCACCGAGAACGCAACCGCGTACGGCGTCGTGACCTCCCTGTACTACGTCATCTGGTCGTTCATCGGGTACTCGAACGCAAACTACGCGCTCAGCGAGACGCGCAACCCGGTCCGCACTCTCAAGATCGCCGCGCCTCTTGCCGTCACCGTCATCGGCGTGCTGTACATCCTCGTCAACGTCTCGTACTTTGCCGCCGTGCCCAAGGAGGAGATGCTCGCGGCGAAGCGCCTCGTCGCGGCCTCCCTGTTCCGCAACGTCTTTGGCGAGACGGCCGAGCGCGCCTTGTCCGTCTTTGTCGCGCTGTCCGCCCTGGGCAACGTGTTGAGCGTCATCTTCTCGCAGGGCAGACTGGTGCAGGAGCTCGGCCGCGAGGGCATCCTGCCCTTCTCCCGCTTCTGGGCCAGCAACCGTCCCTTCAACGCCCCGCTGACCGGCCTGGGCTGGCACTGGCTGATCTGCATCATTACTGTGCTTGCACCGCCCCCTGGTGATGCATATAACTTTATTTCCAAGTAAGACTCTCTCCCCAAGTTCTCCATATCTGGACATTCCCCTCCCCGGGCCTGCCCCTACCTAGCAGCAACCGAGACCACAGAAGCTAACCCATGCGCCGTATCACAGCCTCATCTCTTACCCCCTCGCCATCGTCAACACCTTCACCGCCGCCGGTCTCGTACACCTATACCTCAATCGCGCCGCGTGGAAGTGGAACCCGCCATTCAGCGCCACCCTGCCCGTGGTGGTCTTCTTCATGCTGTCCAACATCTACCTCGTCATCGCGCCCTTTGTCCCGCCCGAGGAGGACGGCAGCGTGTACGAGGAGCTCCCCTACTGGATCCACTGCGTCGTCGGCTTCGGCATCATCTTCGCCGGCGGCGTGTACTGGCTGATCTGGGCGGTGGTGCTGCCCAAGCTGGGTGGATACAGGCTCGAGCGGGAGGTTGTCGTGGACGACATTGACGGGTGGGAGAGGAACCTCTTTATCAAGAGGGCAGATTAGAAGGGCGGGTTGGTTAGAGGGCGTGGTGATATGACTAGTGGAAGAGGGCTTAAGGAGCATGCGGATGACCACATGTGTCCAGGGGCGTGCGAAGTTCAACACTTGTTTGCTCGAGATACCCAACCGTAATACACAAAGCGTACGCGCAAATAATATCATTTGGCTTGAATCATATTCTTCGCCAGAGGCTTTGTTTATGAAAACGTGCCGCCCCAGTTATGCCCGCAACGACTCACCTTAAATATGTTGTTCAGGTAGTGGGGATGGGAGATGGACAACCCCTGGACTCTAAGCTGGCGCCCCATTGGGTATCGTTTCTAGTGTGGCGCCGACGCTAGACCTTCAGCTCTGCCTGTAAAGACAGCTGCCTACTTTATCTGACTCATCTTGAACGTCTTTAATATTCTGCTTCACGTCCGCCACTTTTTGTTTTTACCAGTATCCATCACGCAGAATCCAAGATTTCCAACGAAAAAGAAAGCCCAGAGTCAACTGCAATGGAGAGCACCGCCCCGCCTCTGCCACGGGATATCCCCGCCGCACACTTCTCAGCCGAGCCGTTCAAGCTTGCCCCGCGAGCCTTCCTGGAGCGCCATTTCTCGGGCCCGGCGGCGATACCACAGACCGCCTCCTCTGGGGCACAGGCACCGAATGTGCTGGGCACGGGGGCCATCGTGTTTGACCAGCCCTTCCCCCACTACAGCCCCGTCTCCAACACCAGCAAAGCGGCAGCAGCACCGTCCTCCCCATCGCCGAGGGTGCTTCTCGTGCAGCGCGCCCCGCACGACTCGATGCCGCTGAGGTGGGAAGTCCCCGGGGGCGGATGCGACGAAGAGGACCCGAGCATCTTGTACTCGTGCGCGCGGGAGCTCTTTGAGGAGACGGGCCTCAAGGCTGTTGGGGTCGGGCCGCTGGTGCGGTGCCGGAACTACCACGATCGAGTGGATCAAGGATCTGGAAACCTCGGAGGAGGAGGAGGGGGGCAGCAGCAGCGGCAGAAGCACCCGGCGTTAGCGGAGGGCTGGGCGGACAGTTCTTCCGCAGCCGCAGCGGGAAGTTGGTGTGCAAGTTCCAGTTCGTCGTTGCGGTGGATCTAGATGCTGGGCTAAGAGTCAAACTGGATCCAAATGAGCATTTCGCGTATATCTGGGCGACGGAGGAGGAGGTTAGGAGGAAGGAGGTGGACATGGGTACGAATAAAGAAGGGATTGTGAGGGCCGACGGGAGCAGGCCCGAGGAGACGACGCTCGAGTTTGCGTCGCAGGAGCAATGGGACATCGTGCTTGACGCATTCAAGCTGTGGAGGACATCGGATCATCTTGCTTGAAGTCAGACGGGACCATGACACTACTGGTAAAAGACATGGAATTACGCATAGAGCTCTTTCAATAAAAATCACAATAATTACAGAATCCGTTTTCCGTTGATCCCTCTGTCACATCGATACACCATCGCACGAAATTGCAACAAATTGCGTCAACGCAAGCCAATGTGCAGATGAATGTGGTTCACTGCACATACCGAGTCCAGTGAAAAGAAAAGAGAGGCACCTTGAACAGTCTACTTAGAGCCAACACCTGCAGGCTCACGCTCTCGATTACGTCTCGATCGTGGCGGCCCTGGAGATAGAGCCTCAACAGATCGAGCACGCTTCCCCCTTCGCGCCGAAGTGGCCCCTCTCATCTGCGTAAGTAGATACTTGGCGTAGGCCGCCGCCGTGGCTGCCGCGTACTCCTGCCAGACATCGGACTTGTGGCCGTCGGCATAGTCGCAGATTCCTCTGATCACCAAGCAGTCCATCTCCGTCGCGATTCCGGCCGCCTCCATCTCTATGCAGATCGCATTGTACTGGCTTGCAAGTGCATCCCGGTCCGAAGCGTCCTTGATCACCAGGTCTCCAGATGCTATCGTCCCGTAATGGATTTTTGGCCCTGGCGACGACCGTGGGGGCCTATCCTGCACTTGTGGACAACGACAGTTCTGAGGAGAAGTATCGCAATTGTTCGTCGGATCGTAATTGGCCTCAAACAAGATATCTTTCTCGTTTCCTGGACTTCTGTATTCACAGTATTTCTCCACGATCTGATTTATGTGCGGGAGAAGCGGTTGGGCCGGGGGAGTCGGGTGAGACACCATTATACCGACTACCTTCTTCACATCAATCGGAGGCGGCCGTAAAGACTGACGTTTGATCTCGAAGACGCCGTTCCGGATCTTGCCTGCACGATACTGGACGACTCCGTCGTAGTTGGGGTTCGGTGATAGACCAACCGCGACGTCCCCAAGACGGATATCGGTGTGGCTTGAAGGGATACCGCCACCGATTCCGACGAGCAGTGTGAATCGCAAGTCGGGAAAGCTTTGTGCTAGACGCCCAGCAGCAAATGCAGCTACGTTGGTGCCATAGTCTCCAAATGGCAGAACAGCCATGGCAACACTGAAACCCCCCAGATGGCCTAGGACGATCCTGTTCGAGGCATTGCCTTGCTCGTAAAAGCAATCGAGGAGTGTCCAGACGGCCTTGAGTTCCTTTGGTAAGGCACAAACAATGCCAATCTCTGGCTCGATCGCCCTTTCGCTGCTGGAGGCCTCGGCCAGAGATGAGTACCCGCTGTCAGACCGAGGGGCGCGGACGTACGGGGACTCTCCCGCCGTGTGCGGATCCCCTCGTTTGGGATTCCCGAAGTCTTCGAAAATCCAGCTGAAAGTTCGGCTGTGTCCGATAATGATAGCTCCATTGTGGCCTGAAGGTTTTTTTATGAGTTCAGTGAGCGGGAAATCCTCCGAGATACCTCTTGGCAGCAAGACTTGAACGTAATCATCATGCTCTGGATGGTTCGCGCAAGTGTCACTTGATCTGGGGTCTGAACAGTGGCAAGGTTCAAAAACCTTCCTGCTGGGATTGTGCCAAACAAGCATCGATCCGACGTGAGTCGTGTATGTCCCCGCTTTTACATCAAGCACTTGAACCAGACCTTGGATGTCACGGACCAGAGCCGTAAGATAGTAAGAGTGCCGCGGGACTTGGGCCCAACGGCATGAACTCACCATCTCACCGAAGCCCAGGTTTTGAGGTGGTTCTCGATGCTGGATCAGGTCTCCAAAGCCTCTTCCCAGGAAGACTACTCCACTTGTACTTTGTTGGAAATCCATCCAATGCCTCCCTTCCATGGGAAGCGTCGCAACGCGGGGCACTAGAGGATCGTTGCCTTCCACGAACTCGGAGAAATCCCAACCTTCCAAGAATCGGCGTGCTCGCTCGTTGGTGCGCTCTGTGGGGGCCGGGGTGCATTGATGGCTGTTTGCCTCGTGGTACGCGATCATTTGCTCTATGATGTTGCAGAAACGGTCGACCTGGTCCTGGAAGGTACTCTTCTCGTTTTGATAGAGTGGCAGCTCTAAATTCTTCTTATGCATGAGAAGATCGACGGCGGACTTTGCCAAATAGGGAATTTTGGCCTCGATGAAACATCCGGGCTCCAGGAGAAAGTATGAACCAAAGTCGCTGGCTCTCTCATGTTCGATCCAGGCGCGGAGGAGGTGCAGTAAAGCACTGACGCCGTCGACAAGCCAGCCTCTTTTGTCTTGCTCATCCCAGAAGACCACTTTTTGACTTTGCAGCCACTGCAAGCGTCGTCGATGTTCGTCTTCGCCGAGGCGGCTGACCCAGGCCGGGGTGTCTTTGGCACCAGTCTGGAGTGATTCTACTTCAAGGAATCTGCCGTGCACCACGGCTGTTTCATAGAGAAGGCAATCCTCATGGGCTTCCGGAAGCAATGAGAACTCAACCGAGTATTCTGCGTCAAAAGCCCCTGCGCCAAAAAAAACTCTCAGCATGAGGCAGATATTTCGGGTTTTGCTGGTGTCCTTCCAAAGCAACTCACCTGCGAAGAGCCGTGCGTCTCTGCACCACCCGAGAAAATGGCGGTGGCCAGGTTGAACAAGCCGCATCAGATCCAAGGAAGGCGCAAAACACGACAATCCCCTCGCAAACGACATATATCTCGCGTCGACGTTGTAGATGAGATGCCAGGTCGTGGAAGCGTGTTTCTGCCGTGTCGGATATAACAGAGTACTAAAGCCTTTGATCATGGGCGTCTTATGGAACGAATTCAAGAACTGTGCTTTTGTCAGGCTAGCCATCATCGGCAATGTGATTTCAAGTCCAAATCCAGGCCTGTCGTCTTCTAAACGCTCGGGGATCGGATAGCCGCGCACCACAACTGCGTTGCGAAAGAGACCATGCCAACATTGACCATAGCTGCGCTTGGTGTCCGGATCAAAGTCTCTGAACAGGTAGTTGACCCGAAAGCTGTAAGAGACGTCGTGTGGCAGGTTCCTTGCTTCAGAAGTTGGCTTTGGCGTCTGGACAATCGGCTCCGAGTGGCAGAGAGACTCTGATGACTTTGGGTTATCTTGCAATGCTGCGCCAAGCCAAGCCAGTTGCTCACTGATTTCACTCACGAAAGCCTTAGTTCCGTGTATCTCGCCGACCACTTTGCGATCTTTGATTCGCAGTTCGAGGGAAGAACCTGGGACCTTGACGACTAGATGTTTATTACTACAATGGCATGGTGTAAAGGCTTGGGCTTGTAACTTACAGGCTACCCGAGACACGTTGCTGCGGAGGCACTCAACGAAGCACTGCATGGTATATTCTCCGGTGGATGGCCATGTCTGCATCAGATACTTTTCACAGGTCGTGGCTTGGGCGTCCTGGTCTGAGCCAATAACGACGATCGCTTGACCAGCAACCTGGTGAGGTGATTGCTTGTACCGTTGCCTCTCAAAGAAGTCGAGTGCATCCCACTCCAATTCGATCTGCACGTCGTACTCCGGGGGGTTATGGCGCCGACTGACCCTTTGTCGGGGCAGCGAATCGATGAGTTGTCGCCTGATTTGACCTTGAAGGTCAGGTTCAGTCTGTCGCAGTGATATGTCTCGCCTCAGATTTGCCAGTAACCACTTGTATGCTTCTGAGCTGTTGAGAACCTTGGCATAGCACTCGTGTGCCGGTGTTTGAGAATTGTCCGCCTGCTCTTTGCCCAATTCTTCCGCATCATGAGGTAGGTCGTCCGCAGCTGATGATGTTTGGAATGTGGTCGCATCCATACTGGCCATTTCTTGCGCCCAGTGTTCGGTCCGAGAGTATTTCTCTTGGTCAAGATCAGGATCTTTGTATAAGTTGAAGCGACTGTCGTCCGGCTCTTCTTCATTGTTCTCCCGCAACGTATGAAGAAGGGACCACGCAATCCGCCTGTGTCCATACCTCTATCAGTACTCATAACACTTGCGTATGCTTGCTTGAGGCAGTGGTCACTTACTCTGCGTTTTTATACACGTAGTACATGGTATCCCGTCCAAACTGGCCAGCGGTGTCCTGTGCGATGTGGATCGCAAAGTCCTTGAACTTCTCAGCAAGCGTGAGCTGCAGCCTTTCTGCGCTTTGGACACTGATGGTTTCTGCACCAAGATCGGCTCTGATTTTGGCTGCAAGCTTCGTGGAAAGCGTTTCCTCATGGGAGGCCAAGCTCCCAGAGTCAGAGAACTCCGTCATTGTCTCCATGAAATCCTCCTCGTGCTCATCAATGACAACGAGTCTGGAACTTTGGCCAGCCCCGCCTCCCACTGTTGGCCGCGATGGATGGGGCTTGTCGGATATCGCCATAGCGTCAAGAGCCGGAAGACTGACCGAGTTTGTTCCATAGCCCGAGTCTGGGTGTGCCGTCCCCGGGGTTACTACAGAAATCGTATCAAGCTCGGCTGAGACTCGACTGATATTGTCCGTGTCGCTCATTGTCTCGTATCCGTCCGGAATGAATATAAATGACGATTCCAGCTCGAAGGCGAAACTTCCGGAATCCGAAGCAGAAGCTGCCACATTCTTCTCAGAGTCTGTGGTCGACGTTTCATGTTCTAGATCTAGTTGCATGAGAGCCTCCGATGAAGTGTCGACCGTGTCGTCCACCATGTGCCTATTCGAGACTCGGGATAGTGCTTGTAGATCCAATGCCGGAGCTGTAAAAGGTATGTCCGTGCTAGACGTCGAAATGTCATCGGCTTGAGCTATATCTCCGAACACGTTACTCCTCTCGTCGATGAGCCTCCCAGCTTCCGAAATGATTTCAATGCAGCGCTGTATGCTGTCTTTTCTTTGTTGGAGGAGTGCGAGCTGCGCGGCAACAGAATCGGGGATCTTTTCGCCCGGATGAGTAGTATCCACTTGTTTTGCTGTTATAACGTCTTGAGTTTGAGGGTGGGACACAGGAGGTTGATAAGAGTGCCTGATTTCACCATGCTTTTGTGCGGAAAGTGGGCCGGGGAATTCTGGGATTTTCGTTGACGGTATCTCGGACTGCGGGACGTGATCTGATGGTTGGGGATCCGCCTGGACACCGTGCTGAATGCTTTCGTTCCCTCGCAGAACGGCTGGCCGCTCTGACACGGTCTCGTCATTGTCGACTGGATCACCATTTCTGAGTTGTTCGATTTTCTGATTAATGTCCTGCATGCAGGTGTTCAAATTATCTGTCGTATCCGAGACCATGACTTTATAGGTCTCGAGGATTTGGGGGTTTACCGCGCCGACTCGTCTGAGACTATATGTCAGAAAGGCAGGGAACAATGTAGTTAACAGCTGGAATCACTTGCAAGTTTGCAGTTGCTAAGGCGATGTTGATGGTCGATTTATAGGCGGCGATACTTGACCTGAAGTCATTGATGTCCCATTGTGGAGACTCCAGCTTTAGTCGAGAATTCAGCCATCGTACACTTGGAGGCTTATGCTTCAATTCTTTCGTGGACCGCTCGATTCGTTCACGATACTCGTCGCATGCGTCTGCGCACCGCCGAAGCGGCGGCTCCAGTGGCAACAGGTTTAGTGTCGGACTGGCCGAAATGGCATGTATAAGTGAGGTCAAAACTGCAGTCAATTCGTCGACTTCCGTCAGGAGAGCCCGGGCCTCGTTGTCATGGCTTCCAATGCCTCGGATTGAACTGAACAGCTTTGTGACGGACGTCTGTGCAGTGAGGGCTGCTATCAGAACACTTGTTAGGCCGAGTGGATCCATACTTCCACATTATACGGCGCTAGCATGTGTTGATGGTGATGAAGATGCATCGAGGTAATAGAATACGGCAGGACGAGTTGGGATAAGGCTTATGCATCCTTATCGTCGTTGGTGCGGCTGACTGCGGGGTCGAGCCCAGCCACATCGCCACGTCAGGCTCTGAGCTCTTGCATATGGGTGGGAAGATCCCTGCCAGGTCAGCACTGCGCATGGGGAAATTATGCACTTATGAATTGCATAAATCCCAGCAGCGAGGCCATGCATTATCTCATGTTACACCTACTGAATAAGTGAAAATCGCTCTTGTGCTTCTGCAGGTTGCCCTTCTGAGTGTGAGAAGTCGCCCAGACTCGGCAAATGTGGTTTTGTGGCAAGTGGAAGGTGTTTGGGCATCTTTCTCTATATTCCCTGGCTAGGCGCTTTTTAATGGGAAATACTCACAAGCGTAGCGCTTGCAATGTCTTGCGCACATTTCCTGATGCCAGCCTAGTACGTGGAGCAATGTGAGTTCTCCGTCTAAAGGCCCAAAAGACCTCGCCCAAGGCCAGGCCCCGAATGACTTGGTATATTTATACCAGGGGCAGTAGAATATGCCGTACCAACTTGGCCATTTGATGACACTTGGCATTTGGGGTTTTGTACTTGATTGTCGACAAGGATCTCCTCTCTGGACTTTGAAGTGTACTCAGTGGGCATTGGAGGTAGGCAGCGGGGCAGAACTGCAGGTCGAGCACGGAGGCTCAGTACATTGGCTGCGAGGGATTACAAACACAAGGGTACCTCCTATTGCATGAAACTGCCCACATGCTCAGTCTTGGGACGGAGGAATATGAATCTGGACCACTGCAGGAATTTAGTGCATGCCTGCCTGCCTGCCTGCCTGCCTGCCCCTATCTCCAGGATCGTCTACGCCTTGTGGGAAGTATCAACTGTCTATGCTCTGCAGGCGCACCCGGTATAATTCTAATCTCGTAGATCAGTGCGAGACCAGACCTCAGAAAAGAACACCGCTTTGGAGGCTTTCCATCTTGAAGCAAGCTCCCCACGCGACTACTCGAGAGTCCACAGAATACCTCAACCTAAATAAACGCTCAAGGAAAAGAAAGCGAACGATATGCGAATCGACTCGCACCAAACTTGTTGTTGATTAAATTGTCTATTTCCCGCTTGGGGCAATCTTTGCTGCATCACCAGTATGCAAAATGACAAAATCAGTTTCAACAAAAACTACGCCGATACCTTCCGCTTCACGGCTTTGCCCCCAATTCAGATGGTTTCGTCTACTCATCAAGCTCTGCCAGGCCTCCACTCCTAATATACCAGCTCTGCTCCCCCGCCTTAGTAAGCCCATAGCCCGCGAGGTGGTTGGACTTAGGGGCAGCCGGATACTATATTATCAGGGCTCTGGAGACCTTAGAGGAGGAAAAGTAGTACTAGTAGCAGCTAGCGTTAGCGACGGGCTTAACGGATAATTCCTCCGTAGCCATAGCGGGAAGCTAGTACATAAGTTTTAGTTCGTCGTAGTAGATCTCACTATCAGGTTAAGAGTTAAGCTAGACCCGAATAAGTATTTCGCGTACATCTAGGTAACAGAGACGGAGGTCAAGAGGAAAGAGGTGGACGTAGGTACGAATAAAACGGGGATTGTAAGGGCAGACGGGGGTAAGCCTAAGAGGATAGCACTCGAGTTTACGTTAAGGAGTGATGGGATATAGTACTCGACGCCTTCGAGCTATGGAGAACTTAGGCCAGGATTAACCACGTAGAGAGATATTTCAAAGTCGAAACGCTTTGCAATTCACGACGTTGCCGGTAGTTCACCATACGGGACCGTGGAATTGCAAAACCCTGTAAATTCAGCCCGTCAACCCGCGTTGCGGGAGCTAACTGTTACACCTGGACCATATCGTCCAAGGTACTCGGGGGAGACTCGGGAGTCCGAGGCGGAATCTGGCGTGTTTTTCTCGGTGTCTCTGGTCGACTTCAAGTGTTCTAGATCCAGATTCGTGAGAGCCTCGATCGATTTGACGACCGTATCATCCGTTACCTGTCCTCCAAAATGTCTGGATCGCCCTTTAAGGACCAACCTCCGAGCTGTAACAAGGTCGTTTACGGTCGACACGGAAAACGCATAGCTATTATCGGCCAGAGTTATGTCTTCAAACACATTGCTCCTCTCGTCCACGAGTTTCCCCGCTTCTGAAACGATTTCAATGCACTGATGTATGCTGTCCTTTGTTTGTTGAAGCAGTGCCAGCTGCTCGGCAATGGAATCGGAGAGCGATTCATCCAGAGACATTGTATCCACTTGTTTTCTGATGGTAGCTTCATGAGCTTGGAGGCGGGACACAAGAGATTGGATAGAGTTACTGATCTCGCCCAGACCGGTTTTCATATGCTTGTGCGCGGAAAGCCTCCCGGAAAACTGTGGGTGCTCCTTTGAAGTTATTTCGAACTGCAGGATGTAGTTCGACAGTTGAGCGCACATCTGGAGACCTTGCTGAGTGCTTTCTTTCTCTTCCAGCATGGCCTGCCACTCTAATGCGATGTCGTTAATGGCAGCCGGATCACCATTTTTGAGCCGTTCGATTTTCTGGTTGATGTCCTGCATCCGGTTGTTGAGATCACTTGTGGTATCAGAGATCAGATCTTTGTAATCCTCGAGGACTTCGGGTGGTACAGCAGCGATCCGTCTGAGGCCAGATGTCAGAAAGGCAGTGATGGATGTGGTCAATAGCTTGGTGCCACTTACAAGTTTGCATTTGCTAAGGCAATATTGATGGTCGATTTATGGGCGGCTATCATCGACCTGAAGTCATTGATGTCCCCTTGTAGATACTTCTGCGAGATCCAGTCTCTGAAACTCCGTGAATTCTCGCTGGAGTGTTTCATACAACGCTCAATGAGCTGGCGGTACTCATCACATGCATTCCCACACCGCTGGAGCGGGCGCTCTAAGGCCCGTAGATCGAGTTGCGGAGTCGTCGTAATAGTTTCGAGCAGCGAGGTTAAGACGGCGGCCAAATCGTTGACTTCAGACTTCAGGGCCCGAGCATCCTTATTTTGGCTTCGAAACTCTCGGATAACACTGAGCAATCCTAGGGCAGATTTCAGCGTGACGCCGCCCACTGCCACGATACTTGCTGATATGCTGAGTGGATCCATCCTTCGATGCCGTACGGTGCCGAAGTGTGTTGATGGCGATGAAGACGCCGTCGAGGCAACAGAGTTCGGCCTGGTGGGTGATGATGACGCTTATGCGTCCTTTATCGTCGTTGGCGGGGCACACTCCACTTCATGAGCCCAAAGGCGGGGTCACGGGCGCTTGGCTAGGAGCTCCTGCTTTTTGGGCAAGCGGATCCAATCCCTGCTAGCTCAAGGCTGACAACAACCTGGTGCTGGTGTGAGGCAGGGACAGGGACATGCGTGCACAGCAATTTATGGCACTGCCCACGTTCAAGGGATGGACTATAGGTCGTGTTTTTTCGTGAAAGTAGTGGCAAAAAGTCGACAAATGTATGTTGGTGACATGGTGGAGTGTGTTCAGCCATTTACTCTATAACCTTTCGCCAGGCGCCCAGTGCCGGACAAGACTCACAGGCGTATGGCTTGAAGTGTTTCTAGACACATTTCCTGATGCCACTTAACACCTCGGGTGGTCTGATTTCTCAATCTGGAGACCTGACTATAACCCATCTGCCAGGTTCAGAATGACTTGGTGCATTTATGCCAGGAGTCGTAGAAGTCGCCGTCTGAACTTGGGCAATTAATGACGTTTGGGGTTTTGGACACTTAATCTTTGGCGACGATCTTACCTGAGCCTTGACCTGTTGTCGGTGGGCACTACGGGCTTGTTTGGCTTGACAAGCACCTGTTTCAAAGAACGTCTCTGTCTCTTGGGCGCTATAGACCGTCTTTTCTCTGCGGGCGTGCATGATATTATTTGAATAAGGGTGTCTGTTCCCTGATGAGGCTATTCCCCCTGGGGCAGCCATGCAAAATATGCAAATACTTGATTACAATGGGAACCACAACAATCACTTCGTTTCACGTCTTTGATCCCAATTCAGACGGCTTCGTCTGCTCATCAAGCTCTGCCAGGCCTCCACCACCATTACGCCAGCTCTGATCCCCTGCCTCGGCAAGTCCATGTCCCGCAGGATGGTTGGTCTCGTAAAGAGCCGGGTACCACATGCCATCTTGGTGACTGTACGCGTCCGCACCAGCGCTCTGATGCAGACCACCGGCAACATATCCCACTGTTGACCACGAGTGTCCCGACCACACCCGCGGCGTCGAGTTCACTGCAGTCCCGCTCCATAGCTCTGACGGCGTGCGAGTATGGGACGGCGAGGTCCACGATGAGTCTGGCCCCGGACTCCGCCCCGAAACCATGTCGGGCATCACAGGACCATTCCCGTAAGCCGAAATCCCCTGATGAGTCGCAGCATCTGCCGCTGCAGTCCTACCCATCTTCCGCCTGCGCAACAGGCACCATACTCCGAGCGCCAGCAGTACCACCACCACACATCCCACGCCTACGCCAATGCCTATCAGCGCCTGCGTGCTAAGGCCGCCTGAAGATTGATCAGCACTGGATCCGGCGCCCGCAAAACCACCAACGCCAGGTGTACCCGTGATAGTGACGGTATGTGTGCTCGTGACGAGTACGGCCGAACGTGCTGTCTTGAGCACGGTTTCGACGACCGTGGATGGCAGGGTGACTATTCCGAGGTTCGTGCTGGTCAGCGTGACGATGGTGACGGAGCGCGTCGTCGTCGTCGACACCACAATGAAGCGTGTCGCGATGAACTCTGTCACGGTTGTCGCCTGGCGCGGGGCGGGTGGAGCGATCTCTAGATCATCAAGGTCGTGGTATTGATGTCTCTTCTCTTGGCTCTTGTGGGTGGTGGGCTGGCTCTTGGTTGCAAGCTTCGCGCCAGTCTGGCCTGGCGGGGGGCAGTGGTGGTGACAGTTGTTGTGACTGTGCTCGTCTCTCCCGCTGCGGTGAACGTTGTGAGCTGTGTCTCGAGGTCCCATGCCGTGCTCTCCGTGGTGATGGTTGTCCTGGCAATGACACTGACGGTTGTTTGCCAGATGTAGTAGCCCGTAGAAGTCAGCGTAACTTCGGTGAAGGCGACTTGTCGGGCATCGAGCGGAAGCTCCTGGGACCGCGAAGCCTCTGGAGTCACGCTTGTAAGCTCATCGGTTGTAGTTGGTCTGGCGTAGACCTGATATGTCAACAATGGGAGGAGCCGTAGCCATGATCTCGCTCGTGCGAGCATTGGTTTCGAACTCCAATTCTTTGCTTCACAGCACAAGAAGCTGGAGAGAAAAGAGCGCTGCAGGAGAGATGGAGAAGCATCGAGGTGCGTCAAAACAGGTGCCCACCGCTGTCACGGCACGATCTGGGTCCATGCATGATGCAAGCCTACAAGCAGTGACTGCCCAACATCCCGCACAGCTGGCAGAGCTGTGACCAACAGCCAAGGCGTGTGAGCTGCGTCTTCCCTCTTCTGAACCCCATTTTCGTTTGGGTTGTCTCGGCCTTTCTCGGCCTTGTGACCAGGGCGGCGGCCGATTTTCGAGGCCCACAGGCAGGCATTATCCCGGTGTTGTGTGGACTCTCATGCAGTTGGTCGTGCCCGTCTGAACCAACAGTGGCGGGGTCGCACGCTGTGCTGGAGACGTTTGCAAACTTGATGGCTCTGCGTGACTCGCCAAAGACAAGCAAGCGATGTCGGGAAGGCAGGTGGACGAATCCCTTGGACCAACGGTCGACAGGCGTCGAAAGAGTGCATAGCCGAATCAGGCTGGCAGTAGGTCTTCCAAACCGCACACAGCCACCATGTGCCTTATCTCATAGGGAGTAGTTTGTCTAACGAACCAGGCGTTTAAAGGGCGACCACATCCCATGTCCACTGAAGATGCTCAGGGGCCATTTTTCCGCAAGGCTGCATGACCGGACATGCCTACCCTCAAACCTCGTGCTTGTTGCAGATTGCCGATAACCACATCGCCACTCTAATCAGCAGATCCCTTGGCGGAGAAGCGGGGATCATGACCAGCCAACCTCTTCTGATCTGCATCCGGTGCACGATTGTTTTAGTCCTGCCACAAAGGTCAGGTCAGTCGAATCAACCATGCCAGCAGAAAGACCATCATTCCTGTACACACCACTGGAGACCGGCGAGATCCGACTCCTTTATGCTTCTATCGACGAAGCAGGCGAGGTTGTATGGAGCCTGAAGTCATCTCAGCTTCTCGACGGATCCAACAACTCGGTACCTGAGTTCGACGCACTCTCATATGCCTGGGGCGACCTCGATCTCGCCTACCAATTCGTGTGCAACGACCAAGAACTGCAAATCCATCACAATCTATATGAAGCACTACCATACCTCGCCCGTCGTCGCTCCAGCCTGCCGTTATGGATAGACGCCATTTGCATCAATCAGCAGGATGAAGTCGAGAAGAGAACTCAGATCAAACTCATGTCCAAGATATACCGTTGTGCTGACACGGTTTGGGCATGGATCGGAATACACGACGTGGCTGGTCTGGCATTCCTCGATGAGATTGCCCAAGTCGGGGCAAAACTAGCAGAACACGAAGGACAATCGGATCTGTCCAGTGCTTCATTCAGCATGAGCCAACCAGCAGAATATGGCTTGCCGTCACTTTCATCACCCCTGTGGGAGAAGGCCAGGCTGATCCTTTGCAGCAGCTGGCTCTCGCGCCTGTGGGTGATTCAAGAGGCTGTCCTCGCAAGGCAGCTCACTTTCCTGTCTGGCCTCGTTGAGGTTTCCACACATACTTTCCAATCTGCTCTATATGGTTGGCGCCTGATGAGAATTATCCTGACAGAGGTAGTTGAGGGTGAAACGCCACCACAAGCACTGGCCCGAGCAGGAGAGCAGGCAGTCTTTGTGCTTCGAGAACACTTGAACCAGGGTCGGGAGGAGGGCGGCTTTGATTGGCCCTTTCCCCTACTGGCAACTCTGCGTATGACTGCTCGCACTCACAAATGCAGCGACCCGTATGACCGTGTCCGGGGTATTACTGGGCTGGTCGACGAGTCATTCATCGAAAGGCTCGGCGTGCTTGAAGACCGGACGATAGAAGAAGGCTACACCCGATTCACATACGCAATCCTTACAAACTCTATTCCTGGAGTATTTTGGTGGTGGATCTTCAGCAGCGCCACTGCACCTGGAAAGAGGGCCGGCTTCCCAAGCTGGGTCCCCGAATACTCTCGGCTTCATGAGGACGACATCGGTGGTTACCACAACATCTCATTATTTACATATGGTGCGCATCACGATATTCGAGCGAGCCGGAGGACCAGCGTTCCCGAACAGATCGGGAACTTTGGGACCTTCGTCGTCAAGGGTCTGCTGTTTGATAGAATTCAGGAGGTATTCCCCGAGTTGCCACACAGAGAAGAGTGGATTATGAACCCGGATCCACGCCAACTATTCCAGGATATCGATCGACACTTGGCCACGATGTACAACTGGGAGCGAGATATGGCTTCTAGGGTCTTTGGCCCTTCTTGTTTACCATCTGAACAGTTCGCCAGAGATGCAGGGGACAGTCCTCCGAGGCACATCACTGCCGACGCGTATTGGAGCACTTTAACGTCAGGTCACAAAAGCGCCCCATCGGCTCCTAGCGTCGAGGACTTTTATGCTTTCAGAGCCAGCATGGACCGAGTAGCCCAGAAAGTGGTATGGGCGACTCGCAGCGACGTCGACAATTTGCAGTAGGTAATTCTTGACTCTGACACCCAACAACAATCTAATAAGGAATCTCAACTAGCGACGAACGCGAGAGGCAAGGCCTCGCGAACCAAGAGGGTCCCACATCTAGCGAAGACCCCGGTGTGGTATTCACGTGGCGCATCAGCCTGACCTTTGGCTGCCGGCGTCTCTTTACCACGGTTGGCGGGCGAATCGGCTATGGCCCGCTGACCATGGAGGTTGGTGATGCTGTATGCGTTCTCAATAACGCGATCGTGCCACATGTGCTGCGTAAGATCGATAGCAGTCCTCGCGAATCTGCTTACACGCTTGTTGGAGAAGCATATGTTTATGACATGATGGACGGAGAGGTTGAAGGGCTTGGCCTAGAAGAGCAGGACTTTTGGCTTGAGTAGAGGCCAAATAACTGGATCCGATGAGCTTCTGATCAAAGAACGACCTTTGATCGCAACCCGAAACCTTCTGGAGCATAATTTGTAAGAGTGCATCATTCCAGAGGACTCCCATCTTTTGTAGGCCCATCGAGGGGTTGAAGAATCACGGCAGAATAGGATGCTCAAACTTCAAAATAAAACTTAGAGGGAACTCAAACGCATGCCACGTAACTCAGATCCTTTCAGCTTCTCCTAAAGCATCCTATATGGCTAATATAGAGAACGCGGTCAACCCACTCCAGAGCCATTTCAAATTCTGGACTCACACCCCGATCTTGAATCCACCAGGCATCAAACGCTGGAATACGCGCTCCGGGTCATACTTGCGCGACACCTCACGGAGCCTCGCCTCGTTCTCGGCGCCATACCCGGCATAGATGCTCTGGAAACCGGCCGCATCGCCCATGTACTTGAACGCATCGTACAAGCCCGCGGCACGGGTGGCCTCCTCGATCACCCGCGTCGTGTTGACGATCCACTCATGCACAGGGTCATAGTACTCGTCACCGATCCACTCGACGACCTCCGCCCAGGCCAGGTACGTGCCCTTGGCCTCGACGTCCAGACCGAGCGCGTTGCCGACCGGGTTTGCAGCCCTGGAGGCAGCGGCCCACAGCGTGCCGATGGGCTGCCAGTCGATGCTGACCAGGCTGAGCTTCTCGACGGGGATGACGGCGTGCAGTTTTGGCAGTTCCCTGAAGAAGACCTCGTTGGTGATCTGGATTCCCCGCAGGAGGTCTTCGTAGGTCTTGCCCACGGTGGTGCCGGCGATGAACATGTCGTTTATCCCGTCGACCACCAGAGCTCCCGTCTCGACGGCGAACTCGCCCAGGGTCTTGACCGAGACCGAGTTGGCGAGCGCGGGGATCTTGAAGAACTCGGCGAAGCACTCGGGCGCGGGCGTCTCGGCAGAGTCGTAGTACAGGATGACGGCGGCGGCGGCGGGAGTGGTTGGATCGGGACCCGCGACGGTCATGGGCACGATATGTGAGAGCGGGTCGGTGTTGTACGCGGCGTAGTGGGCGATGGCCTAGATAATAATAGCAATGGTGTCAGTTATACAAAGAGCCGCGTAGTGACTCGAGTAGAGCACGTCGAGGATGAAGCTGTGGGGTGGAAGGGGCAGGTTATACCACAAAGAAAGCATCCAGGTGCTCGGCCGACACTGTGTAAGTGCCGGCAAGCACCTTGCCGTCAGTGCCAGACTTGAACGTGCGCAGCCTGAACTTGGTGACGATGCCAAAGTTGCTGCTGCCGCCCTTGAGCGCCCAGAACAGGTCCGGGTTCTCCACCGCCGAGACGGTGGCAATCTCGCCCGAGGCCAGCACGACCTCGTACTCGAGCACATTGTCCGCAGACCAGCCGTGCTGGTTGCCATGAAAGTTGACGCCGCCAGCGAGGAGCAGGCCGGGGACGCCGACGGGCGCGAGGCGGCCGCCCGCCACGGTCAGCCCGTGCTTGTCGAGCTCCGTGTAGACCTCGCCCCAGTCGTGGCTGGGGCCGACCTCGACGCTGAGCTTGTCCTCGGCGAGCGACAAGGTCGTCAAGTTGGACATGACCATCAGCACGCCGTTGTCGATGCTATTGGCTCCCTGTTTCGTGGTGTGTCAGCATCGTTGTGTCGCATTCAAACACCGAATACGTTGCAGAAGCAGGGAGCGAGAATACCTTGATCCCCATGTGCCCTCCTCCACGCACAGCGAACTGCGTGCAGTCCTCCTTGAGTGTTATGACGGCAGCCGCCACATCCTGTGCAGTCTCCGGGCGGAACACACACTTGGGGCTCAGGATCTCGTGGTTCGACCAGAAGTTGGTCTTCTCAAAGGCGTACACCTCTTGGCCCGGGAAGAAGGTCTTGCTGGGGAACGCCTCGCTTAGCGACGCACAGCCCACCGTGGCATCGTTGATGGTGCACTTGCTGCATGACGGGGCGACGGCGTTGACAAGCACGCCTGACGCGAGGGCGCCCAGCACATTCAGCGTGGATGACACCATGATGACGTTTGACTCCCTGGTGCTAGTGAGTGATACCGACTGCGTAGTAAGAGGCAGCTCATCAGTTCTCGAGCTATATCGGTGGTGTAGCCCAACCGATTGTTTTATTGACAGATCGCAATGTCGCGAGGAACTGCTCTAGTCGTCCTTAGGGTGTCCGCAGGGGTGGCTCTGTTTCCTCGGCGCTTTCATGCAGGTGGGGGACCAGGGATCTTGCATGAAGAAGACCCAGAAGGAACCGGCATTGTGGGCGGCGGTGTCTGGTTTGCTGGCAGCGGAATCCGCCTGGTCTGCGGAGAAGCGGCAATGGCAAGGGGAGCTGCGATTGGGTTGCCAAGATGGGTCAAAGTGCCCGGCAATAGGTAGACAAGAACTTGGCCCGTGGAGGGACAGGGGCCATGGGACCCTGACGACCTACCAGATCATAGGCTCGTGTGAGAGCTCGGCGGAGATCACTGTCATCGGCATGTCAACGGCGCCACGTGGACCTTGCGTGAAGCAAGGTTTCATTGCTACAGCTGGTCTTATTTGCATACTGGTCTTGCTGTTAGGGGACCCTAGGATCTCACGAAAGCTGTGGACTGCATGCTGGACGGCATGGACAGCACGGCCTGTCGATGGGCATTGTCCACGGAGCTGACTTTGCAGAAACTTCCACGACATATTCTCTGATCCCGGCACGCGTGTGGCGCCCCTGTAAGGTGCCCTTGCATGACGGAGATGTTTTCAAGCTGGCCTTGTGCCTTGTGATGTCCACAGTCACGGGATACGCATCGCAAAGCCCTTCTCCCGCCATCGCTTAGCCGGAGGGTCGCACGAACAAGCTGCAACGATGGGCTGCAGTCAGGCCTGGCTGTTAATGACCTAGCTAGACTAGTCACCTTGGCGCGCGGAACGGCGGCGCGGCGTCACGGGAATGCAACGGCGTGGCGCCTGCCATCGGCAAGTGTTCCGATGAGTCTCTCTCCTCCCTCTCTGCCTCCGCCTTCCTGGCCTCGGGTGGCCATACGAGCGAGTGCAGCTCGCGCGGGCAGGACATGTTCTCTGGTGTTGCGAGAAAAGATTTTCGGTGGCGTAAAAACGAGGTGCCACCTACGTGCATCCCCGATACAGCAGATCTTTTGAGCCTGCTACTACGATCGTCGCATTGCATGAATCCTCTCCAGCTACAGCTAATTGGTTCTACTGGTGCTGGACGGAAGTGTCCGAGGAGGAGATGCTTCTTATTCCTGTTGATGGGACACTGCTATGGTCCCGACAAGGATGGGCGTCACCGCCAGGAGAAGTTTTGGTTCTGGGGAGACGCCCCACGCCCCACCAGCACATGGCTGGTAATCCGCTCAGCATGTCGATCTACATTTCGCTTACCCCGTCTAGTCCGCAGACTTGGGTCGAAAGGTATCCACGTGTGTACCAAATATTTCTTCTCGGTCTGATGAGCAGCCAGCGCGGTCAAACATTTTGTCTCGTGAGCCGAAGGTCACGGACACAGCGAGGCGACTTGCCAAGCGACCTTGCGTGGAAGATACAGGCAGTGAGGACTGGCGTGCTTTGGAGGCTTTTCGCGCACGAGTCGCCTTGCTACTTGGTCAGTGCAAGCATTTGGGTCACAGGATGGCAGGAATGTTTTCCGATGCGGCATTGTTCCGCACGGTGACGGGATCTGCCTCGGTTTCCGCTTGCAAGGGTTGTGTACTGTTCCCATCGCCTCGCCGTAGAATGTCCAGCTCGACCGGATGACAAGGATCATTTGCACCTGGAGAGCCATACAAGGTTAATTCCACGTGTGGTGGATGGCAAATGCGGCGCGTGGTTGGCGAGCATGGAGAGATCGGCCAGGGTGTCACTCCCTGGCCCTCATGGATATTTCGATTGACAGCTACATCGGAACCTGCAGGAAGCAGGGCATCCCTGGTCTTCGTCAACCTCACCGACCACATCGATGCGTGGACAGTGCTGATCGTGTATGGCGCACCATTGCCGCCTTTTCGCATTTCTTTGGTTGATGACAATGGTCAGGAAGTTGATCAAGACTTTGACGAGTTGACACATTGGGAGTCGTGTGTGCTCCTTCTGCCAGTGTTCTGGGTATTTAAAGTTCGCAGCATCGATGCAGACATGCAAACTACTCCTGGAAATGAAAGGACAGAGCCATCAATGCCAATAGTCGAATCATTGCACTGCAGCCATAGTACAAGATTGGCGTCGGTAACTGTCACAAGCTTCCGCGTGTATGACTACAAGCGATGGCATTTTCCTACAGGCAGATGTTCGAGAGATCGGCATGCCTCGTGTGCGGACATTTCTTCGCTGCACCCTGCCTCTAACTTCGGCTTCTTGAGACTTTCTGCGACTCCCGTACCTCTCCATATCCTGCTCGATCAGGTTAGTCCATGAATGGGCCATGGTAGGGTCTACTCCACCAATGTTGCTAGCTGCAGCCACACTCGCTGCTGGTGTCCCTGGCCCCTGTAGAACTATCGTTGCGTGCGTCCACCTGCGTGGTACACAAGTCGGGAAAGTAAGGCAAGGGTTACCCAGAAGTCTCGTCATCATCTGATGCCCTGTATGATAGGCAGTCCAGGGAAGCCCCAGACAGGCAACGAGGACCGTGCTGGACGTGCACGGCCAAAGTATGCTCGTACCCCGGATATTAACACGAGGGCGCCCTGCTCTTCACCTCGTGCGACACGTTTACGGCCTGGCCGCTTCGACGTCGACACGTAGAAACTCCACGTTGAGCCGTCGAACTGCTCCTGAAGATTGCCGCTTTCAGGTTCTCCTTCGACCTTCCCTTTCCATCCAGGTCACCACGAAAGGCCTTGCCTGCTTTTAATTCCCGAAACGCTTAAGAGAAGTTTAATTTCGCCGGTGCAGGTAGTCGACAGCCAGGCAAAAGCACCACCATAAGCATCGCGCCCACATGCTTCCTCCTGCGTCTCGTCAACTCTCAACCGGCCAAAGATGTCCCTCTTCGACGGCGTCCTCTTTGCGGCAGCACCGCCACAAGATGCCATCCCCAACAGGAACGCGCCTTACGAGGCCTCTGGGCTGCTCGGAGTCATTGGTGTCTTCCTACCCATCACAAGTGTTGTCATCGGCATCCGTATCTACAGCAGAGTAGTACTCTCTGGCAAATTCGCTCTTGATGACTGTGAGTACCATGTGATCTCGTCCTCGGCACTTCCGCCAGAGTATTTGCTGACACAAGTTCTACAGACCTGATGGCAGTGGCTTTCTTGCTAGGACTGATCATGATCGGCTTTATCCTGGACAGTATGTCGAAGCATGCCTCAGCACTTTATTTCGAGAGCTGACGCGAAACTGCAGTGCTGAATTGGGGGCTGGGAAAGCACATGTGGGATGTCCCGCTACAACCAGACTTGAGTGAGTACAGGCACACACTCGTGAACTCCTCTACGAACATCCAAAACTGATCACATCAACCACGACAACAGTGCCCAACTGGAGCTTCGACAACCTCATCGCAGCCATAATGTTCTGCGCCGCCACCGGCTTCGCCAAGGGGTCTATCCTGCTCTTCTACCTGCGCATATTTCCGACACGCCGCATGCGCTGGGCCGTCTGGCTGGCCTTTGCCTTCGTCATGGGCTTCTCCGCGGCCTCCGTGTTTGTCAACATCTTCAGCTGCAACCCCGTCTCTGGCTCGTGGGACCTCGTTGCATCCGCAAAGGCAGTGTGCATCGACAGGCCGTTGTTCTATTTCGCGCAGGCCGGGCTGGGAATATTTGCGGATATCTTGACTCTGGTGTTGCCGTTGCCAATGCTCAGCACCTTGCAGCTCCCGTTCAAGCAGAAGGTCGGGGTGGCGGTAGTGCTCACCATGGGCGGGTTCGTGTGCGTGGTCAGCATTGTCCGGCTGCAGACCCTGAATGTGTTGATGACGGATACAGACCTGACGAGTAAGTCGAGCATCCACTCCCCTTTTACAAACGACCCAGTGTTTCCTCTCCATTCTCCTCCGTACCATCCGTAGGACTTCCACCTTCTCTTGCTCGACGCTAATGACGTTTGTCTCCCGCACAGGAAACACGGCAACAGCACTAGCATGGTGTGTCGTCGAGCTCCTCCTGAGCATCATCGGCGGCTCCATCCCGGCCCTGAAGCCCTTTGTCAGGCGCTTCTTCCCCCGCATCCTAGGCTCCACGCGCAGCCGAGGTCGCTTCGCCGGGGGCAGCCGAGGCCGGGGGAGCAAGGCGTACTTTGGCGGTGCGCGGAGCCCGTACTACTACGGCGCCGGCAGCGGCTATGGCCCCAACTCGAAGCGCCGGTCCGGAATGAAGCCGCTGCCCTCGCCGACGATGCCAGAGTTTATCCTCGAGACGGTCAGTGTCAATGTCACGACTTGTGGCGAGGAGTGTTGCTGCGACGCCTGTCGTCGCGGGATGGGCGGTGGTGGCGGTGGTGGTGTTGGAAGGATCCCGCCGGCCCAGCTGTCTCCGGGCTTGAAGAGGAGTGGCGACTTGTCGGACAATGACAGCGAGGATATGATTCTCCATACTCATGTTGGAGGATCTGTCTCTATCACTCGGCTGGACACGCCGCGTGATGCCCAGCATCGCCACTTGGGCCATAAGTACAGCATTCAGGGGCCAGGACGAATGCCGAGTCCGCCGCTCGTCATGGGCTCGGGGACTAATGGAATCGGGAAGAAGGAGTGGCAGAGCCTGAGGTGAAGTTCTGCAAACGCAACGCAAAGACGTACTTTGGGGTGTAGTGTACGTAGCGTACTTAATGATGGGATTGGTGAATCAGAGATATATGGCATTTCCATCACTCGGTCGTTCATGTCATTGGACGGTTCTTACTACTGTTGTTCTCTTCGCTAGTGCTAAGATAGTGCCCATGTCGGAACATAACGCAGTCCACAAGAGACTGGCATATATGTACGAACAAGTGGCTTTCCTGCTGCGATGTACTTCAGAATAGATACGCATAGAGGGACTGGATTGAGATATCATGTCACATAATTTGCGCTCCTGGCGCAGGCGGTGGAAGTGCTCTCTGCTTGGTGGTTCTCACTGAAGACGTTCCCAGAGTATTCGGGGTTTAATTCGCCTAGTCTCTGTCTACTGCTATTGATGCAAGTGTACTTGCCTGGGACTTGCACTTTGCGTTCACGGCCGGGGCGAATAGTCACTACCAGCTCGTACGCCAATCCTGGCTGCGCACAAGTACCCCGTGATCAACTAGTGAATGCAGCACATTCCCCGGGCTATTTCACATGGAGCGGCTTTATTAAGTAAACCAGGAATCCCCACAGGCGAATCTCCGGCGAGAATCACAAAAGTACTGTTGACACATCCTGTACTTTCCCGGATATATCATAGTGTAGGTGCCGTTCACATGTATAGCTCCATCGCTTATAAACTACGCCTCTTAAGCTACGCCTAAATAGCAAACAGGGGGAGCTCACGAGCGGCCATTATAGAGCAATTGCTGCTCAGTCATGTTATCGTTTTCCTCAGCGAAGTAGAGAGGCTTACTTGCCCAGGCAAACTCTAAGAAATGAGCACAACAACCGCAAACGACACGAGAAGCATTTTGAATCGTCCAATACTTTCTATGGCAGCAACAGAGACCACAGGAATCGATGGAGTGCTGCTGGGTGCCTGCGTGGGCGGCGTGCTTGGCTCTGCCACGCCTTCAGGACAATGCCAGTGATCGCCATGTGGAGTACATTCCCCATTGGAGGTTGCCTCATGGCCATCGTCGGACCCGGCGCCGGCAGGAGGTGGTGTGCTGGGCTCCGCGACGCCTTCGGGGCAGTGCCAGTGGTCGTCGTGCGGTATGCACTGCCCAGTTCCTACGCCTCCCTCGTCAAACTCTGAGCTGGAACCGGAGCCTGCAGTAGGCGGAGCAGTCGGCTCTGGAACCCCCGGCGGACAGTGCCAGTGATCCCCATGAGCCTCGCATCCCCCAGCACCGTTGGCAGAGTCTGTACTACTGCCGCCTCCGCTCACAGGAGGCGAAGTGGGCTCGGCAACGCCAGGAGGACAGTGCCAATGGTCGCCGTGAGGTTCACATTCTCCTGATGCTTCACCAGAGCCGAGATCAGTGCCCGAACCGCCATCACTACCGTTCGAGGGTGGTGGTGTGGTCGGCTCAGGGACACCGGGCGGACAATGCCAGTGATCCCCGTGAGGCTCACATTCTCCAGAGCCGCCAGAGTTGTGGTCACCTCCATCATCGTCATGACCACCAGAGCCACTGCCCCCGCCGCTGGATGGAGGAGGAGTGCTCGGCTCTGGAACACCGGGAGGGCAATGCCAGTGATCGCCGTGGGGTTCACAGTCTTCTTGTCCCCCACTATCGTCTCCGCCACCTGGACTGTTTGTCGGTGAGGGAGTGCCGATACCCCCATCGGTCGGCGGGGCCGCTGGGGGCTCAGGGACACCGGAAGGGCAATGCCAGCGGTCTCCGTGAGGCTCGCACTCTCCGACGTCAGCGGTGCTGGTAGTGCTGGTTGTTGATGGCTGCGAAGGAGGGGTGATAGGTGCTGTGGCCGGAGGAGTCGTGGGTTCTGGAACGCCGGAAGGGCAGTGCCAGTGGTCGCCATGTGGTTCGCATTCGCCATCGTCGTCGGCATCATCGCCGGGGATGGAGGACGTTGAGGTCGGGAGAGAGTCGCAATGCCCTACCGATATGACGCTTAGCTGCTGTACCCTCCTTTTGATCTGGCTTTCTGGTCTAGGCATATGGCCTTTGACATGGAAAGAAGACAGCACTTACAGTGATCACCATGGGGACTACAGACAGACCCAGTGGGCGAGGGAGGCAGAGTCGGCGTAGTGGTGGGGCATCTGGTCGTCGTAAACGGCTTTGTGATGACACTATGGCCAGCACTCAAGAGCGCATTGGAATCATAGTAGTAGGTCGCGGTGTACGGCACACCATTCAGGCCAACCGTGGGCGTGGTGTAATACGGGACCCTGACGCCGGACCACGACACACCAGATGTGGAGAACTGGCTGTTCAAGGACGAGCGGAAGCTTGTCAGGTCGGTGACTGTCGTGGCCAGAGCGTACGAGGTCGAAGTGACGGTGCTGCATGCTGGAGCACAATCCCAATGGTCGATATGGAAACTTCTCATGAGGACGTTGTCAGCCATGAGCTTTTCCATTGGCGTACACGTGCAGAAAAACCTACGTGCATTCTGCCCCAGTAGGCGACGGGCCAGACTCTTGTGGGCGCGGGAGAGCCAGAGTCTGGCCAAAACCAAGCAGCAGGATCATCCAGTTCTTCAAAGCCATTGTAGCGAGGGTCTGGTACAGGACTGGGGACGGAATCTGGCTGCTGCTTACGGAGCGCCTTTGATGTTGGCCATGCGTGCATCTACGTCCACCTTTATACACCGCCTCACAAGTCGCGACTCTGTACGATACTGCGGCTCGAATCCGAGCCTCGCTCTGGGTCACCCGGTTGACAGACTCTACGCCCAACACATCATGTATGCCGCTTGGTCTGCGGGAGCCACGCGCCATGTGACGAGCAAGGAACCAGACTAATCACCTGATATTGACTGTCCTATCAGATCGTTCTCTTGCTCTAGCTTCCTTGTTCTTCTGCCCGGCACAGCCTAAGTGGCGCAAACATGTTTCATTCTTTTTCTGAATGTTCCCGCCGATGTGCAAATTCGTGGTGTGTGAGAATGCCGCACCCTGGAAAGCTAGCCACACGGGTGTCCCGAAAGCCGCAACCAGCCCAGGGTCAGAGTCGAATCTGGCAGCCAAGAGCAGAGCCAAGACTGAAGCCAAGACCAGAGGCAGTCAGCTGCGGCGTATTTGTATTTGATATTCCTTGTCGAGGACCCGTGTGGCCATGTGCTTTCCCCAGGTGATCGCTTGTTTTTGCGCACTTGACGGTAAGAAGAACGATTGACAACCCTGCAGGTCACGAAGCCGCTTTGGATGTATTTCAGGTGCCAAGAACTGCGGTGTCAAGCTGTATTCTGATTGTCTTGTAGTTGCAAAGCTGACATTTACCAGGCTGCACGGCCATCAAGGTTCTCAGTAAGAAGGCCAATGTTCATGTCTGGCGAAAGCTGTTTCTTTTTTTACCGAGTCCCTTGCAGGAATCTCCTGCGTGGCAGCTTCACGGCAGGCAGCCTGGGGACGATTCCAGCGTTGGCTGTTCAATGCTGTGATAGGCCGTGAAACATCGTCATTTAGAGCCCCTAAAAATTCCGTAGCGACGTTCTGCTTTAGGAAGATAAGGTAAATAGTTCAGGGGCAGTATATAAATGGTGGGAATGCCCTCCGAAGAACACTCCAACATCCACAGAACCAACAACTCCATTCATCATCTTCTTCAGTATCCACTACTCTACAACGTCTAAAGGGGGCCGTCGATGACCATGGTCAGAATCCTCGCCCTGCTCCTCCTAGGAGCCGCTGCGGCTTCTGCTGCTCCGATGCAGGGCCCTGATGCGCCTACGCTCATCTTCCGTCGCGACTGTCCCAACATCCAGGACTTTTCTGACGGCCTGGGATGCGGAATATGGTCAGCCTCTGATTGCGAAATTTGCTGCGCTTCAGCGACGAACCCTGGCAGCTCCTGTCACGCCGGCCACGACTCGCCTAGTCCCTGCCCAAGTGGGCAGAAGCAGTGGCACTGCGAAGCTCACTGATCTTGCGATCCATGCGTTTGTTGGCCCCCCTGTTTCATGATTTCGTCTTGGAACTCAAAACTGATTATGCTTAGACAGGACAGTTGTGCTGTTTTGCTATGGGTCAACGGCGGATGGCGAGGTGGTTGGACGGAGATTAAAGTCGTAAATTTCACTCAGCGATGGAATTGTAGAGGCTCGTTACGATGTAAAGACTGTAGTGGATCTGTCTCATAGTAAACAGGGATAAATATGCAGTCAGACTTCGGACAACCAGTCCGATGGAATGCCACCATCATGGTGAACGCCACACGTGACAAGCCACAACCAATGCCCGACTGTGTTGGTCTCAAAAGCGCAATGCGATTAGTGCATAAGCGAGATCGGCGCGTCTAGTACTTAGACTGTCGCCAGCAACCTGTTGTGAGAACCTTTGTAGTCCTCCAACCTCCACCTGGACCCTGTGGGACTGGCCGCGCGGGTTGTTTCTTCAAGAGTGGGACTGATTGAGAACCCGTCGGGATGCCTGCACGTACAAATATGATTCATGGCCTATTACTTGGTACTACTTCACGCGATTTTCCGGACTTTTCTACGGGAATTATTCTTCGACAAAGACATGAGGACGAGGACGTTGAGCGTATTGAGGTCTCGCGCGTATGCACGAACTATCATCGTGCTACTGATCCTTGTTGCTTCCGTTCTACAACTGTGGAAGTATATAGACTTCAGGAGCTCGTCCGCAACGGATGTCCTGCAGAAGTCCGAGGCGACAGGAACGCCTCATGCTCGCATAGGCCATCTGCTACTGAGCCCAACGCCGGTTACAGAAGGGGAACATGATCACTGCCATTTTCATGCCAGCATAGAGTGAGTCTCGACACCAAAATCTGGTAGACCACAAGGAGTCTGAATTGACATCACTCAGACATTGTGCTGGCCCCTCTCACGGCATGCCTTCGACAGGGAGTCATTGTGAAAAGGTTGATCGAGACTATGATATCCCAACGAGGCTTATTGCTGTCGTTATTGTACTCATTGGGAGCGCCACAGGTTAGTGCTTCGCTCTTTTTCTGCATCCGGCGGCAGACATTCCACGCCAGGCTGCCGTGATCAAAGAAAAAAAGAAAGAGCTGACGGAAGATGGGGTGCGTGTCCAAGGAGTCTTCTTACCGATGATTCTGCAGCCATCAGCCACGACCACGCACCACCCTAGTCGCCTCACCATTGCACTCAAGCAATGTGGCACAGGCGTTATCATCTCCACCGCTTTTGTACATGTGAGTCGCAGGTAGTGAAAGTTTTCCGGGCCTGTGCCATGTGCTGACCACTGCGGTACCTAGCTGTTCACGCACGCCAACCTGATGTTTACGAACGAATGCCTCGCCGACTTCAATTTCTTCGAGGGCACGACTGCTACCATATTCATGGGTGGGATATTCATCTCGTTTCTCGTAGACCTTGTGGCCCACTCTAGGTCGCACAGACGCGGCACGAATTCAGTCTCGCGGTCTGCTGCCAAACTCAAGGACGAGGCTTTGAAGAATGTGATTTTGCTCGAAGCAGGTATCATTTTTCACTCGATCTGTAAGTGTCCAACGAGTGCTTATCCAGAGATGATCTTTCTTCGGCAGGACTAACAAAATGATTTGCAGTGATCGGCATCACGCTTGTCGTCGCTGCGGACGGATACTTCATTACTCTCGCTGCAGTGATCACCCTGCATCAGATGTTCGAAGGCCTGGCGCTCGGAACACGACTCGCATCCATGAAAGGCGCATCAGGAAGCGATGACAGACCCCAGCCCATCAGGAATGACCCTACCGAGCCTCTTCTACCTTCCAACGATAAAGTCGCCAGCAGATGGAGGGGACCTGGCAGCTTTCAATCGGATACAGGTGTCCTATCTCATGCAAGAAACCTTGCAGGACGGCTGCAAGGCAAGTTCCTCCTTGCAACGTGTTTCGCCCTCGTCACTCCGCTGGGCATGTTGCTCGGTATCGCCCTGCTGGGCACGTTCAACGGGAATGATCCAGGCACGATCATTGCCATCGGCACCCTGGACGCCCTGTCTGCAGGGATCCTGGCGTGGTTTGGGATGGTCGAGATGTGGGCGCATGACTGGCTGCTGGATGGGGCCGAAATGGCTGGACAGAGCTGGGGCACCATTGTGCTTGGGCTGGGGTCGTTGGTGCTGGGGATGGCCATGATGAGCGTTTTGGGATTATGGGCTTGAGAGGGTCGGCACGTGCACTTGGACTACGGCTCCTTAGCTTGGCTTCAGGTGGGCGAATGGCTTGCGTCTCGATAGACCAGAACATTACAATCTTCTCTTCACGAGTGAATGGCATGGCAACTTTGCTGTTGGCCATCACGACTTCTCAAAGCTAAGATGCCTTGCCTTAAGCATACGCCCACCAGTCAGTGAACGGCATTGACGCCGAGATAGAAGGAGGTAGTGATATAACAGGTGGACACGAATCAACACAGTTGCAGGGAAAATCACGTCGCGAATAATTACTGACACATGTTACCAAGCATCGTTTGCAGGTCGGGGCAGACTTTCAGCGCCGCCGATCGAAATTATGAGACGGATCGTTCTGGTACATGGTGACAGCAGAGCTCTCTAGACATACGTGATCCAGCTGGCAGACAGTTCAGATAGTCTCCGAGATGAAGATCTTTAGCCGTTAACGATGAGTCGCATCAGGCTGCTCGTCCCTATCGACCCAGCTGGACAGCTGCGGACTAGCACGGACACACTTCCAGCAAGGACATCTCTATGACAGCCCATGAAACACTCGCCACTTCCCAAGGCACTCGAGGATGACGGAAAATCGTACGTTGCCCTACACCCATCTTCAGGCTTCGCGCAGAAGGTATATGGCGCGAGGTGTATTATCAAACGTTTGTGGACCTGCTGGCGTGGGGTCGAAACAGCTTGGACGTCGCGTCTGAAACGGACAAGGTTGCAGCCGCCGTCCACGCAGTGGAGACCACCAGGCTCAGCGGCGGAATGTATGCCCGCAGTACAAGTTCTAGGTGCACGAAACGGAGGACACCCTTGGCAAGACCTGGCAAAATTCCTAAGGCACCGAAGGAATCGCCCCAAGATTCTTACAGAACTATATTTTTCTGTAGGAAGGCTCGCATAAGGGTTGACGCCCCTCAGGGTATTTCTGCCAAGTTGCCGCGCGTCACCAAAGACGAACACTTGGCCTGACGGTGATGCGGATCTTGGCAAGACCCCTGCCCTGTCAAAAAATCGGAGCTTCGGCGCCTGCCGAGCGTTTTTCGAGCGAGGCTTTACTCGATCTGATGGAAGGAACCCACTTGAGAGTTTCCGCTCGAAACATGCTGCGATCTTGGCATGACCTTTCCTGGTTGTGCGGCCGCGCGGGCGACTGTAGCTTCCCGTCAAGGCTAGACACATGGCAATATACCTTGAGCTTGATATTGCCCCGAGGTCCTGGGGGCAGACAACGCGTCCCCCCTTGTTATGCCGTATCCACCATGTTCCATGCAGCATCGCAACTGGGTATGCCCGAATCACACGAGAACGTGCCGGGGCAAGATCGGATGCAATCCAAGATGGGCGCAAACCAACGACATCCATGCCCACCCTTCCGCGCGTGACGATGAGGGCCCATACCAAGATGTGACAAGACCTTGGTGTTACAGGTGCGCCAACGAAGTGTGGTGGGCTGGGCCAAATCCTCATGCGGGCGGCTCCATCATATAACCAAAGACGCCTCTTGCTACTCCCTTCTCTCACTCCGGTTCCGCTGGCCTGGTGTTGCTTTCTCTTGTCCGCTTGCCCGTGCTGCTGGTCTCACATCCACGTCCACGTTCTTTCTGTCGCCTCTTTCGATTCTCACCAACGCCGCTGCGCGGTGTATCGTTGATTGATTAATTCTTCAAGCTTTTTTCGTTCTTTTGCGTCTCAAACCGCGAGACTTTTCGCCGTTTTAGTTGTACAACACCACCACCACCATGTATACCCTTTCAAACGTTTCGCCTGGCCAAGTGGCAGCTTCGCTGCTCGGCCTCGCAGCTGTTGCTTCTGCCCGGCCTTCAAATCTGCAGCCACGCTTCTCTGGTCCGATCTACGAGGCACGCTCGCCGGTTGTCCACGATGGATCAGGTACTTGCATCCAGCACACGATGATTGCAGGAAAACCAAGGTCTTACAGTGACTGACATTGTGCTCTTGTGTATACAGCTGCCGCCGTCGGCGCGCTAGCGTCGCGTCTGATCCCCGTCGTTGTGGGTGGACCACAGGACACGTTCGTGCCGAACCTGATCCGCGCCTCGGTTGGCGACATTGTGCAGTTCCAGTTCAGCTCGGGGAACCACACGGTCACACAGAGTGCCGAGGGCGCGCCGTGCGTCGCCCTGCAGGCTACCGACCCGACGGCCATCCACAGCGGCCACATCCCGTACCAGGCGGGCCAGGCTGACGTCGGCACCTTCAATATGCCCATCACCTCGACGGCGCCCATGTTCTTGTTCTGCGCGACAGGGCCGCATTGCCAGTCTGGACAGGTCATGGTCATCAACCCGTACGTTTCCACAGATGATCCCAGAGGACTCAGCGGGCTGCAGCAGCCTTGACCTGGTCTCGGCTCTTTACACTTGATGAACGACCACTAACACCGCTCTCCCTCATCTAGCGTCAACGACCAGCAGCTCCTCGACTACGCCAAACTCGCAGCCAGCGCCGGCAAGACCGTGGACGGCACCACCGTCGTCGGTGGCCAAGTGGCCTCGGTCCCCATCGGTGCCGCCGCCTTTGTCCCCGCTCCGCCTGAGCAGGGCGGCCCTCCCGGTGGTGGTGGTGGTGCTCCTCCTGCCGCGCCACCAGCTGCTGCTCCTCCCGCTGCTTCTTCGTCGACCTCCTCCGCCGCGGCAGCCCCGGCAGCTTCCACGACTTCGGACCCCGCGGCGGTCGCTCCGGCTCCTTCTGCAACCCCCGATCCGGCCGCCGCACCGGTTCCTGTCCCGCCAGCTGCCGACGCTGCTGTCCCGCCTGTCGCCGCGCCTCCCGTCGAAGCCGTCCCGGTCGTCGAAGCTCCTCCTGCCCCGGCTGCGCCGACTCAGGAGGCGATCGTCGCTCCTGCTCCTGCTCCTGCTGCTCCGTCTGGCCCGAAGACAACACTGACGTTGTTTGCTCGTGGGGCCAAGGCCACCGCTGCTGCTGCAGTGTAGGCCGCCTAGAGATTGGTGATTGCTAGCTGATGGAGGGGGATACAAGGACTGGAATTTCACGTTAGGTGAACCGAAATAGACACATGGTACACATGAATGATCTGCCGCACCGCATTATCTTAACCTTTTGTTTTTTGCCATCGCCGTACTACGCAGTGCTCGCATCTCTATTTCGTGATTGAGACAACCGTAGTAACGTTTGACTCGAGGAGTGCTGGTCCAATGGGTTTGTGTCCTTCATGGTAGACCACCTTCCCACCCGAGTCTTGTCGTCTATGCCGCTGCTGCACTCGTCGAGACCTTCACATCGCCCTCCTCGGCGTCTACAAACTCAGTCGCAGCCTCCTCCACAGCGGCCTGCACCGCCCTAACTCGCTCGGTGAACACGAGCTCGAGCTTGCCGTTGATCAGGGTGAACATGTCCTTGGATTCTTCGAGCAGGTCTCTGCCCGTCTCTCCAGGTGCCAGGCGCACGTCAAAGTTGAGCAGGACCTTGGAGATGACGGTGCGGAGCTCGTTGAGGGCCAGCTGTTTGCCAATGCCTGGAGGATTTGTGGTCGCGCGCATATGGTCAGCAAGCCCTCTTGATGCAGTGAGGAGGGTTTCTCCTGAGAGTAGACAAAACTTGACTTACATGAGAATTTGCCGATGGAGAACGGGAACCAGGCGTTCTTGTTGAGGACCAGCTCTGGCCGGGTGGTCCAGCGCTCGGGGATGAACTTGAGCGGCTCGACGAATGCTTTCGGTGCTGTGCAGCAAGTAGGAAAGTCAGAAGCCACTTCTCTTCATGTCCTGTCTTTTGTTTTGTTCCTTCTTCTTTCTTCCCGTTAGGCCATATCTGCGGGTTCTTTCGGGGGGCGAGAATGAAAAGCAACTCACAGCGCTGGATAGTATGATGCGGGCCGACAATCTTGACACCGCCCGGCAGCTTGTGCCCGTTGACGACAACTCCCTCCTTGGGCGTATGCCGGTACACGCCGCCCGGGACCGGAGGATGCAGGCGCAACGTCTCGTTGATGACGGCATTCATGAACGGCAGATTCTGCAGCGCCGTGACGCTGACATCCTCGTCCCCGTGGATGCCGTGCTCGGCCAGCTCGGCCCGGACCTGTTCCGCAAAGCCCGGGTTCGCCGCGAGGTTGTAGAACGCGTAGACGAGCGTCGAGGCCGTGGTGTCGCTGCCCGCGACGATGAGAAGCCGCGCGTCGCCGACGAGCAGCAGGTCGTTGCGCCTTGGGCTCGGGTAGAACGCGCCGGCGTCGAGGAGGTGCGACATGACGTCTGGCTCCGCCGGGGCGGTGCCGCTACGGCGGTCCCGCATGGCTTTCTCGGCGAAGATGCTGAGCTTGGCGAGCGGATTCAGGGCCGAGGGGACGAGCGTCGAGAGCTGGATCGCCCAGGGCACGCTGGTCAGCGAGCCGCCCGAGGCGCCGGCGGCGTGCATGATTTCAATGTACAGATGCGACCGGGCTTTCGCGAGGTTGTCGAAGGATCGGCCAAAGGCAAGGTCGCCTAACCGAGAATTCAGAGATTAGCAATACATTCTTTAGGGTATTGGAGATGGCTTTGGCTTGTCGTGGTCACCCAAACTGCGCCTAGGGTCAGGCAAGACAAGACTCTACATACCCATCACGTCAAAGCCATACCAGAGAAACCAGTCCGTCGCGTTGACAACCTGGCCCGACCGCTTGCGGAGCTGCCCGATGAGCAGGTCGGCGTACTTGACCACGCGCGAGTCGTACGCGCGCAGCGATTTGGTCGTGAACGCCTTGTCCCAGCCTGCACGCCGCCGCTTGTCGTGCTCGGCGCGGTCGCGCATCTGGTGCAGGCTCGTCGTCGGGTGTCCGGCGTCGTACCCTGGCGCGATGGTGCACATGATAAGCCACGATGTCACCCAGAGGTCAAGTTTTCACGCTCGTTCTACTCACACTCTGCCTTGGTAAACTTGGTGTGCGTATTATGGATCGGCTCCACGAGATCCGGGTCCGAGACAGAAAGCAGGTTCGGCCCGACGCGGACATATTCGCCGTACTGCGCGTGCAGCCGGTCGAGATGTCGGAAGTTGTCCGTCTTGGGCGCGGTCTTCAGGACACCCCAGAACTGCGAGAACTTGGCCCAGAAAGGGCCTGGGAAGTGCCGCAGTGGGTGGAACATGCTGCGGTACACCATCATGCTCGCGTACAGGGCGGTGAAGTACGATATCCATCCCACTGCAGTGGCGGCGAGAGCCCGCCGGCCAGAAAACCGGAGGAAACGGACCAGCGTGATGGCAATCGCACACGGCGTGGTCAGGGAGACGAGGAAATACTGCGGGGCGGCCTTGAGGTGCTCTCCGCGGATAAAGACGAGCCAGTGGGACAGCAGGCCTAGGATTATGCCGGGAACTGCGATTTCCCTCAGAGGTGCATCTTTGGCTGTCAGTAGGGCCAGGCCGATTCGGAACTTGACTTCGTTCAGAGTCGGCATGGCTGTGGGAGGATAACGGCGCGATTCGGGAAAGCTGGGAGATTGAATTATGGAGGGCGAAGGCACATTTCCCCTCTACAATACATTCTAAGCTTGCGAGAACAACAAGAAGGCCTTGCGGTCAGGTATTGAAAGGCAGGCCGTTGGAGATATATCGAATGGCTCGCAAGGTGCACCTCTGATGGCTGCAGCGGCTGCAGCCACGAGGCCTGAGAGCTGGCAGTCCCACCCGACCCTCGGCTCCGATATCCAGCCAGCCAGGAGCCATGCCAGAATCCCTAGGGCACGGGTTATTTGACAGGCGAACTGATAGTAAGATTCTAGCTCAACAAGTGACAAGGCACGAACTCAGCCCAATCACACTCAAAGATGTGCAGACCTATGCGGCCCTTCCTCCAAACCATTCTGCCTATCAGACCAACGAGAGCAGAAGGGACTACTGCAAAGAATCGGGCAGAAGCCGAGCCTTTTCCAAATGCGTGAGAGTTTCCTGCCCTCCACCGCGCGCCAACCAATAATCCAGATAGGAGCGGCATGGGGTCCTGGCACCTCGACCTCGGCACCTTGACGACCTGCTACGAGGTGCATTCCCCAAATCGGCACTGACCCTGGTCACGAGGCTCCACCCCCGCAAAAGCCACAGCAGGCATGTTCCTCTTCTCCCAGACTTGTGTCAGGCTGGCTGCCTACCTGCTGTGAGACCCTCCCACTCCCTCGAGCTTCAGCTGGACCGTGGCACACAAGCTCTGCCCCGCGCAGTAGTACTATTGGTCAACCACGAAATCATACGACGGACCCCTGGCCCGGACCCTCCATCTGCCGTGCTTAGGCATTTTGACACGCAATGCGGGGCGCAGATCGCTCTCTCGACAGGGCTCGCTAAACGACAAGACGCATGATGAGATGCCAGGGCGATGGCAAGACGAGTACGGGACTGTTCCCCTACGATGTAGATGTAACTATGCCACAATAGTACCAGAAACTGGCTCCAAAAGCGGAATCAATTCAAAGTTCCAGGCGACTTTCTCGATCTAGGCTCCCAGTACTTAGGGAAACCAAACCCGAATACGAATAAGAATTTAGCTGTACATTAGATCAAGTGCCTCTTCGATGATTCTGCCCACGGCGATAACGTTAACTGCACTGGCGCAATATTCTAGACTTATCTTCACTATGCTCCATGCCAAAGTCCCCAGGATCAATGCCGAGAGTGTGAAGCGCGTTATGCCAGCGCAATCAGTGACAAAGCGCGAACTCGGGAAAATCACTTCAATGTGAAGCCGGAAGCGAGACTATCACTAATTCGTGTGGTTTCATTCTCATCATCCTTGGTTCTTCTGCGCCATATTATTTGCCCGTGGCACTCGGTCACTCTGTTGGCTGCAAGTCCAGACTTGCAGCGTGTCCCTGCAGCTGGAGATGACTGCCAGGTATCTAGCAAGAGCCTTCGAACACTTCTGGGCGAGTGCGCGACGTGGACTAGAGCAGTACTTGTTAACGCGAACTTTGCCGTGTAAGTTATCTTGTAGCCACCAATTTCACGCTAGCTCGACCATGATAGCATCGCAAGTACCTTCTAAACCCTCTGCAGCACCATCCAAATACCTATCAGTTCATGCACCTGATATCGACATAGTTCTACCCAGACCTACAGATCAGTCATTCGTTTGCTCTAATGCATCATTTCGCCACTTAAACTCCAGTGCACCAGAAGAGTGTCTTAAAAGTCTACATTCTGCTTGATTAGCATCAGGGCTGCGGCCTCACGCGGGCAAGGTTCAAGGATGTGCTCGACCTGTGCCGGCCAATTATCAATCCATTGGAAGTCTGCAAAGCAGCAAGCATACTCCCAATAGCTCGGGTACCAGCCAGCGTCCTCCCAGTCAAGGACAGCAGTGATATTGTATCTGCTTCTGCCGCTTAGCTGCTCGACACTGTCAGGTAGTTTGGTGACCATGATGTTCTTGCGCTGGAAATCCGCGTGGGTGAAAACGCTCGGGATGTCGGTGCCGGGGAGCAGTTGCGGCAAATGGCGGGCGAGGTACTCGGCGAACCAGCCGCGACAAGACGCATCCTCCCATGCTTTCAAAGAGCGTCGAGCCAGCGCCTTGACCACTTGCTCGTCATTATCGAAGGGACCATTGACCTCGGGATCTGGCTGGCCCCACATGAAGAATCGGTGGCGGAGTGGTCCACCACTGGCATTGGCGTATCGAGGGCCCGTCGACGGCGGCGGAAGACCTCGCAGTTGAGCGAACATTTTGTGAAGCTGAGACACCACAGAAGAGATTTCGTTCTGATCCAGTTCGTCCCACACCTCAGCGAGCTGACGTCCTGGCTTGCGCTCCAGCACAAGGTAGAGCTTCTCGTTCTCGCGATACATGGCATAGAGGCGGGGAACCCAGTCGACTGCGTGCTTCTCCAGTAGGAGGAGCGCATGACCTTCGTTCTCTTGCACGAACTGGCCGTATTTGACCACAAAGTCGTTGCCGACAAGCACGTTCCGCCTAGTATCTGGCGCGTATATAGAGGGTAGGTCTTTGGTGGAGGATTCGATCTCGCGGGTGGTAGGTAGAGGTGCTGGAAGCGCAACGGCGCTGCAGAAGTATGGAAGCTTCGTGGACGGCTCCATTGGTGGCCAATTTGCCCTTCACAGATAGTGACGGGCGAGTTGTGAGTGAGAGGGTGTTGATCATTTGGACATGGTGTGAAGCAACGGTTATTGGTTGGTCGGTTGGCGGGTCGACCGCTGATCCGCAACGAGGACGCGGCGTGGGGGGTAGTTTGCTTGCCATGCCGTGCCAATTGCAGCTTTATGCCATCAGGTAAGCAGTGCACCTGTATTCTCCTGGGTTCCTCCGACAAGTGCCCGCGAGTTTCTACGGTCACACTGGCATTACATTGTGAGGGAGCACAAGAGAATTTGTAGAAACTTGATTCCATCGTGGCGACTTTTCGTCAACGACAAGGGCAGAGTCGACCAGTATGAGTAGTACACGCGTCAGCCTGCTATATGCAACATCTTGGATTACTATCAATCATACTTTCAGGGTGAGCGTAGGTATAAGAACAACATCCCTTCACACCAATAGTCAAGTGTCTTACAAGCACCGCAGGGAGTGGGTGTCAATTCCGGAGATACTTAGATCGCAGCGGTGATCTGACGAGGGTCCTGGTCTCCCACTCCCTGCAAGCTTCCAGGCTTGAGTCGAACGTGCAAAGCCCAATCCGGTGTCATGTCACGAAGCCCCACACGGCGCAATCTTACTCCGCGTATATCAACACCAGGGCGCGGGGACTAGTCCGCAACATCCTCTACCCTCGACAGTGTCATCTCTTGCTTGTTTCCGTTCCCAACATTGCACAAAATTCAACCTCTCGACTCGAACGCCCCGAGCCCAGGGTCTCAAACATATTCCCAGCACAAGTACACCTCCAGAGCCACAATGGTCTCTCTAAGCACGCATGTCTACGCCACGCGGCCCAACAATCTCGCCATCGAATGCGACATATACTCGCTACGTTCTCCCCGCCGTCCTGATCCCGCCATTGCTACCGGCAGCACAGACACCCTCGAACATGGCCAAGCCGCACCACCAGAAACAGTGTTCCTGTACTTCCACGCCGGCGGACTCGTCAACGGGTCCCGGGACCGCCTCCCGCCGTGGCTCGTGCAGGCTTGCGTCGTAGAGAGAGGTTGGCACCTGATGAGCGCCGACTACCGCATGCTCCCGCAGGTCGGCGGCAGAGAGCTGCTCGAGGACGCGATGGCTGCGTATCAGTTCGCGCGGTCGTGGTCATCATTCGGGTCGTTCGATGTGCCAAGTGCTGCTCCACGGCGTGAGAACCGGGTCGTCGCAGGCGGTGGCAGTGCAGGTAGGTGATATTATTCCCTCCCCATCTCTCCGGTCCAGGAGAAAGTAGTGACCGACTGCCAATGTAATATTATGTATGCAGGCTTTTTCCTTGCCACTCTTCTCGCGCATCATGCCTCAGCCTATTCTGTCCCGCCTCCAGCGGCGCTTCTCAGCCTGACAGGCATCATCACCCACCGGCACGACTTCTTCAACTCGTCCGTACAGCTCTTCCCCCGCGAGATCACGCACGAGGAGGTGGCACCCTTCTTCGCCGAGCCCGTGCAGGTCGGCAGCATGACGCGTGGTCACAAGGTGTATTTCTGCCCCGACATGCTTGAGGCCGAGACGGGCTTGCGCAACAGAGCATACAAAGCTCCTGAAGCCCCTTCAGCTCCGCTCGGCGACAATAGCAGTGGTGCAGCAGATCCAGAGGTGGGAAGGGGAGAGCTATATGACTACCTGCTTTTCAACAACCGATACCTCGACCTCATCGGGCGAGATATAGACGTCGGCTTTGCCTGGGCGGATCCCAAAAACGGAACCACTCGTGACGAGAAACTCGCCGCATGGCCGCCGACGATCATCATCGCCGCGGACGCAGACACCGACGTCAGCCCTGCCGTGACGACAGACATCACTGCTCTTCTGGGGCCGAGCAAAGCACAGGTCTTCACTGCGCAAGGGATGTGGCATTTATTCATGGCGGACTGGTTCCTCGATGATTTTGATCGCCTCGCAAGTGGTGAAACAGAGGGTGGTGACGAAGCGGAGAAGAGGAGGAATAAGAGTGGTGTTGCGGCTGTCAGAGATGCGATGGCGGCGCTGGATGAGGTTCTTCGCGCATAGTGTTTAGTCATGATCTGAGGAAGAGCTCGGGTGGCGGACCTCGGTCGTCACAGCAGCATATACAGCTGTTTAGCCAACGTTATATCGATGATTTGTCGGTGTGTAGATCCAGAGCTCCAGAGGTCCTGAGGTGACTGCTAAGGTAACGGATCGAATGGTGCGGGTGCAACCAACCTCGCAATGCGTTATTCTAGTACTTGCAATCAGTACAGTTACTTGCCACATCCGCTTGAACCATGGATCATCTAGGTACTTCAACGAGTACCATGATAAGGTAGGACGCCTTAATACCGGAGCCTTACCGGCTCTGTGAGATACACCAGTCCCCTGACCATCGTCATGCACATTGCTGGCCAATCACTGCCATGTAAACAGCATGCGAGCGACGTGGGGTTCAGCGCGCGGGGCTGGGGTAGGACTTCCCGTAAACACTGGGCTATCTGGTCCTGCCACCAAGCCTTAAGTTGGGTCGCAGCCCATCCTGGGCAACGGCCGTGAATGCGCTCGTCAACAACACCAAGATGACGACTCGTTCCCGAACACACGGCATATACACGGTCGGCTGGGTCTGCGCTCTGCCCAAGGAGCAGACGGCGGCAACGGCGATGCTCGACGAGCGACACCCAGACCTCCCCAAACCAAACAGCGACCCAAACTCGTACACGCTCGGGTCCATCAGCGGCCACAATATCGTGATCGCCTGCTTGCCCAAGGGCAAGATCGGCACGAGCTCCGCTGCAAAAGTTTCAAGTCACTTGATCAGCACCTTCCCAGCCATCCGATTTGGGCTGATGGTCGGGATCGGCGGCGGCGTCCCTCCCAAGGTACGACTCGGCGATGTGGCCGTCAGTGTACCTGCCGATCAGCATCCTGGCGTTGTGCAATGGGACATGGGCAAGGCCGAGCAAGGCGGAACGTTCCGACGAACGGGCGTCCTGAACAACCCACCAACGTTGCTATTAGCTACGTTGACCAAGTTGGAAACAGCTCACGAATTGGAAGGCAGCAAGATTCCACAGTACCTGCAGGAGCTACAAGAACGATACCCAAGGCTGGCGGCCAAATACCTGCGGTCAGATTCAATGCAGGACGTCTTGTTCAAGGCAAGCTACAACCACGAGGTTAAGCAAGGTAGAGGCGGCGCAAACAAGGGAGAAGACGAGGAGGAAGCAGAGAGCGACGCTGAAGAAACCTGCCAGAATTGCGACGTGGCTCAGATTCTGAAGAGAACGCCGCGGGAGATGCGTGTACACTATGGACTGATCGCATCTGGCAACCAGGTGATCAAAGATGCCTGGTTCCGGGACGAGTTGGTGAAAGGACTGGGGAAGGTCCTCTGCATTGAGATGGAGGCCGCGGGGCTGATGGACAGCTTTCCGTGCCTTGTGATCAGGGGGATCTGCGACTATGCGGACTCGCACAAGAACAAGGTATGGCAGGAGCATGCTGCTGCAGTTGCGGCGGCCTTCGCAAAGGAGCTGCTGAGCTACGTCATGGTGGACGATGTGCAGGGAGAGAAACCGATCAAGGCCATTCTTTCTGACCGTCAGTACCACGCTTTTCCTGTCTAAGCAGCACTTCAGTTATATCTCCTCCGTGACTAAGAATATGCAGTATCCGAAAACGTCACTTCTATTCGGGAAGAAACCTCAAGAAACACGCGTATACTTCACAAGAGGCAAGACATGGAGATACTCGACTGGCTCTCAACTCACCATTATGGCCCTCAGCAGAGCGACACCCTACAGCGATGGCACCCGAAGACTGGCCAGTGGTTTCTCAGTTCAGCAATCTACCAGGACTGGCTTCGGACAGGAAGCAGAACTTTGTACTGTCCCGGTAATCCCGGTGCAGGAAAGACAGTCATGGCTTCAGCCGCGATCCGCGATATCGATCATCGCTTCTCAACCGATGCCAATATCGGTCTGGCTTATATTTACTTTACGTTCTCGCGACAACGGGATCAGACCGTTGAGCACGTGCTAGCCAGTCTTCTGGTACAATTCCTTCGTCAAAAAGTCACCCTTCCGGATCACATTCGCGATCTGTCCGAGCGGCACCAGAAGAAAGGAACACTACCAACGCATGACGATCTGATGCAAGCATTTCATCGGGTCGTCTCCGCATTTCATCGGGTGTACATTGTGTTGGACGCTCTCGACGAATGTGCGGCAGAGAGCCAGCGTCGAGCCAAGATCATGACGGACTTGTCGGAAATCCAAGCCAGGGCCGATGTGAATATTCTCGCCACATCGCGGATAAATGGCGACATCGCGAGTCTAGTGACCCGTCAGAACACTGCAACCCTGCCCATCGTTACTCAGGATCAAGACATGGTCAACATGCTTCGAGATCGGCTCGGCGCATTTGATCGACAGCTTTACAGCGACGATTTTGCTGACCTCGTCGTCACTAAAGTAGCCAGAGCATCGAGGGACATGTAAGCTTGGGCACAATCCATATATGTTCAGTATCAGAGTTGCTGAAACAATAATGACAGGTTTCTTCTAGCGGACTTGCACGTTAACGCTTTAGCTGCATTGCCAACAAAAGGAGATGTCCTCGACGCTTTGGACAAAATTGATCAAGGGTCAGATCGTCTTCACACAGTCTACGAAACTGCCATGGGCCGGATACAGAGTCAGGGTAGCGGTCTCGCACAGCTGGCCAAGAAAACTCTCCTGTGGGTTGTGCACGGAAGGCGACAGATGACCAGTACAGAAGTCCGGCATGCACTCGCCATACGGCCGAATACGAAGGCAATCGACACCAACTACTGCCCCAGCATCAAACGCGTCACATCTATCTGTGCCGGGCTGGTCATCGTGGACAAGGAAAGCGACACAGTTCGGCTGGTTCACTACACGACTCAGGAATACTTTGAGAAAATGGGCCAGAAATGGTTCACTGATGCGCAAGAAGAGATTGCCAACAGCTGTATCACGTATCTTTCCTACGAAGTCTTTAGCAGCTACTGCGAAACAAGGGAAGACTTACAGAGGCGGCTTGTTGCCTACCCGTTCTACAGCTACGCAGCCTGCGAGTGGTCCCACCATGCCGGCGCAGCTTGTGACGGCCCAGCTGCGATAGAGTTGCTCAAGGACCAACGTCAGGTTGAAGCATCATGGCAGGCACGATTGTCCACCAACGGAATCCATCATGATTTCCGGGACGGGAAATACATTGCGAATAACATCAATGGATTACACTTGGCTTCGATCCTTGGCTTATCGGCTGCGGTGAGGCGCTTGTTGGGCATCTACGAGGCTGATTGCCGTGACAGCCTGGGACGTACACCATTGCTATTCGCGGCCGTGAGTAGACATACCGAGGTAGTCAAGCTGCTTCTGAAGACCAACCAAGTAGACGTCGACGCTAAAGATACTTACGGTCAGACACCGCTAGTTTTAGTGGCTGGTTTGGGATATACAGAGGTAGCCAGGCTGCTTCTTGAGATCGGGCAAGCAGACGTCAATCACAGACATGGGCTAAGTGAACGGACACCGCTATCGATAGCGGCTGTGAACGGACATACCGAAGTAGTCAAGCTGCTTCTTGAGAGCGGGCAAGCAGACATCAACACCGAAGATCACTGGGACTCTACACCGCTCCTATTGGCGGCTGACAACAATCATACAGAGGTAGTGAAGCTGCTTGTCGAGGCTAAGCAATGCAATATCGATAACAACGATAAGGACGGCCGGATACCACTATCGCGAGCGGCCGAGATTGAGCATATAGAGGTGGTGAAGCTACTTCTCGAGGCCAGGCAAGTGGACTTCGAGCCTGAAAATCTTGGTGAATGCGAGGAACAGCTGCTATGGATGGCTGGGCATGGAAATAGAAACGTGGTTATGCTGCTTCTTGAGGCCATGCTACTGGACAACGAGGCCAAAGACGATCACGGCCAGACCCCACGATGATAGGCAGCAAAACCATGAAGTGGATTTGTTCTAGCCATCCGAGCGTGGGAGATTGATTTGTGCTCAGTGCTATCCAGTTTGCCGGTTTTGGTCACGATGCTGTGGAAGAGCTACTCGTTTCGGCTCATTGTCCTGTCAGCGCTGTGGATTACAGCTCAGGACGGACTCGTGCAGCCATTCCCGTGTGACGTGGTGCGCTACATGCTTCCGACGCAAAATGAAGGCGCCGAGGCCTCTTCAGCTTGCTCTTCGCAAATAGTCAGCACTTCAGGAGAGCCGGGATGATGAACATTGGTGCGCGCAGATGTCTACAGCTGCACTGCTGCCCAGCTGGCAGCTGCCCTGCAGCTTCGCTACGAAGTTGGAGGGTGGGCATCGATCGTCCTGCATGCAGTTGACACGGAGTTATGTATGAGTCTGATGAGGGTCTCTCAGTTGAAAGTGGCAGCTGAAAGTCGCAAGTCTTCCGATAGTACGATGCTAACGGCTCTTGAATCAAGCTGCGCTACACGCCTGCCGAGTCTGCAAGATTACGAGCCACCTCAACGCGCAGATTGAAGGCCATGGCAGGATCAACAGATGCAAAGAGTGCAGTAAAATGGCTGTCTCCGACGTGTAGGATGTGGAAATTTCAATACTTTGTCATCACCGTGAAGCGACGATGGTCATTGCCTTAGCAGCCACATCTGCTTCCGGCTTACTCTCACAGCGCAGCCCACGACGTGCGCCCCCCTCCCATCATCCTTACGTTTGGCTGCTCTCCAGGTCCTATCCTGCCTCGTCACATGAGCGCCCCATCCGGACAATGCCACCAGTCCTGCTCGAACCTGGCCCAGCCGCCGCCCTCGGGCTCCTCGCTCATCCTGACCTCGTGCACCACCATGTCGTACGATCCGCGGGCCGGCGTCTTGCCCGCACAGACATTCCCGCCCATCGCGACATTCATGATGACACACCAGTCGTCGATGCTTCGCGTCCCCTCGGGCATCAGGTTCTTCATCACCGGCCTCCCATCGATATACCACATGAACCTGCCCGGCGCTTTGCCCGCCGTGGCCACGCAGTCCCAGGCAAAGTCAAATCTGATCGGCCTCCCGGTTGCCATGTCCGGGATCTTGGTGCCCCGGACGAGGTGCTTGTTGTGGTCCTCGGGCGTGTAGAACCCCCAGTGCAGGCAGGAGTGGTTCTCGCAGTCGCCGTTCCACGTCTCGGCAATGTCGACCTCGCCGTCGTGGGGCCACGTCATGGGCTCCCTGGGCAGCAGCCAGAAGGCGGGCCAGATGCCCTCGGCGCAGGGGAGGGAGAGCCAGGTGGTCAGGACGCCGCGGTGGCGGGCTAGGGTCTGGCGCGAGACGAGGCGGGCCGAGGTGTAGCACTGGGCCGGGTCCGGGTGGTCGGGCTGGGCGACGGCGCGGAGGACGAGCTTGTGGTCGGGCGTGTGGAACGCGTTGGCGGCCGAGGCGGTGTAGTGCTCGAGCTCGGCGTTGCCCCAGCCGTTGTTGTTGCCCGTCTCGTGGTGCCAGTCCTGCGAGACGGGGACGGCCACGTCAAAGTTTGCGCGCCAGTAGTCGGCGCCGGGAGGCGGTGCCTGGGCCGCCGGCGGGGTGGGTGCCGGCCGGGACGATGCGGCGGGCGGAGGAGGTGGAGGGCTGGGATCACCGGGCCGGGAGTGCGTGGGGACCGGCGGTGGTGGCCGGTCATAGCCCGGTTGGCCCGGGTAGGGCTGGCCTTGCTGGGGAGGGGGGGACCCCCATTGCGGCGGCTGCTGACCCTGCTGGGGCGGCGGGTAGTAGTGTTGCTGCTGCTGCTGCTGGTAAGGCTGCTGGTACTGCTGCGGTGCCTGGCCTGGGTACTGTTGGTTGGGATAGTAGGGCTGCTGCTGTTGTTGTTGTTGATGAGGAGGAGGCGGATGGTAGCCCTGGTTGTGGTTCTGGTTCTGGTTCTGGCCAAAGGGGAGGATGTTGTGCTGGCGGTTGAGGTCCTCGAGCTTGTGCTTGACCTGGTTGAACGCGTCCCGGAGCGGCATGTTGTGAGAGGGAAGAGTGGCTGGACCTGTATTGTCCTTTCCTGTCCTCGTCTTGTATTTGTCTTTGTGTGGACGCTGGATGTGGCTGATGGCCAGCCTGTTGTCTGCCTGCTCCCCCGTGAATGTGAGTTGTTGACGGCAGTGGGAATCGTGACGTGACGTCGTGTCGCCTGGCTCCCACCCCCACTAAAGCCATCCTTGGGTCCTTGAATTGCCCACTAGCAACGGACACAAGTGTGGCGCTTTCCGCTCGTCCCTTAGTCAGCCACAGTCGCCAGGCATTTTCCCGCCGTGTGGAGGTGCGAGTCATGGCCAAAGTCCTCCAGTAGCACTCTGTAGATCATCCTTGACAGAGCCAACACATCATCCGCTCACGATGCAGCTATCACGGGACGGATAGAATGCTCACATGACGCGCGACCATCAAGTCCGCGTGGCTAGAATGCCACAGAGAAAGCCCCAGATCGGGTGGTCAGAACAGATGCTGTATTAAGACCTCACCGCACAGGGCGATAAGTTGGAGAAAGCGGCGTCCCACAATCAAAAGCATCACCTTCAGTAACCCAGCCTAAACAACAATGTGCATCTTCTTCACTCCCTCACCCATCAAATCTTTACCTGTCTCTTGGCCTGCTGCTTGCTGAGCTTGATGGCCTCGCGGACGCCCAAGTCAATGAGCACATCTTCGGACCCGCCGGGCACGATGAAGCCCTTTACAGCACGCGAGAAGGCCTCGACGCGTGCACCCTGGCCCGTCTTGGTCAGGCCGAGCCCGCCAAAAATCTTGACCGTCTCGTTGGCAACGTACTGTGCCACTATGCCCGCCTCGACCTTGAGCAGGGCAGTGACGCCGCCAAGGACGCGTGCGGCTATTACACGTTATTCAAATAGTTAGCACACTGCCCTCTCCGTTGGGGGAAGCAACGAGGTAGGATAAATGAGCACACGCTCACCCTCCAGATCACTCAGATGCTCCAGCTCATACACGACCTGCTCGGTCCACGCATGCAGCGCGTCCACCTTCCTCGCCATGTTGCCAAACTTCCACCGCACGACGGGCTGCTGGATGAGCGTCTGCCCAAACGCCTCGCGCTTCTGCGCCCACTCCATCGCGTCCAACATGCTAACCCGGCACCCACGCAGGGCCTGGAACGTGATCCACAGCCGCTCGTGGTTGAAGTTGGTCATCGTGTACATGAACCCCAGGCCCTCCTCGCCGATGAGGTACTCGGCGGGCACCTTGACGTCCTCGAAGACGACGTAGGTCGTGGCGGACAGGGACCCCGCGCCGATCTCGATCTTGCGAGTGCGGATGCCCTCGCTGCGCGGGATCAGGAGCATCGAGATGCCTGTCGCGCCTTCGCCGCCGGTGCGGACTGCCGTCTGTTTCGGTGTCGCTCGCGTTAGCGGTCAGCAGGAGTAGCAGCAGCAGCCGGGGTCGCATCTCGGGTATGCAATGAAGCCTATTGGGTCACGCCATGAGGCAGATCGCGACTCACCATGAAGTAGTCTGAGAACATGCCGTTTGTAATCCTGGTCATTTCTTTACGTGAGACGATCGCCGCCTGGGAAGGGGGGAAGTTCAGTTCGGACCTACCATTTCTTCTCACCATTGACAATATAGTGCTTGCCATCGGGCGTCTTCTCAGCCGTGGTCGTGATGTTGCGCACATCCGAGCCGGCCGACGGCTCCGTGATGGCGAGGCAGATCCGCTTCTGCCCAGAGAGCACTTCGGGGAGAATCCTGTAACAGCAGCCAGAACCATCAGTAAATGAACGGACCACCACCGCCGTCTCTCCACCAGACGAGTCCGCGACGCACTTGCTCTTGAGAAAGTCGCTGCCAAAGTACCTCAGCGGCGGCGCGCCGACGACCAGGCCGATGAAGAGATTCGCAATGTTGCCGCCGCGGGTGAGCTCGTCCCAGAGGATGAAGTCGTGGAAGCCGTCCCATTCCTCGGCCCCGATGCCCGCGATGATGCCGTACCTGGCCCAGTCCGCGGGAATCGACTTGCCCGACGCGATGGGCACCAGCAGGCCGGCCTCGGCGCACTTGTTGTACAGCTCTGGCGGCACGGCGCCCGCCGCCTCCCACTCTTCGGAGCTCGAGGCGAAGTTGTCGTCGACCCAGGCGCGCAGGTGGTCGCGCAGCTTGCGATGCGAGTCGTTGTAGTACGGCGACGGGCGGCCCGTGTACCACGTCGGCTCGGCCCAGGGGGTCGTGCTGCCAAAGGGCCTGGTGAGTGACATTGTTGGTGTTGTCTGATGTTTGTCGGGGGACGATTTGTTGGTCCTCTTTCGGCGGAAGCAGATGCAGCGAGAGAGGACTTTTATGTTGAAGCCGACGTCCGGCTTGAGGTGGCCAGACCAAGACGTATGTCTGGTTGTGTATTGATTCGTCGCAGGCGTTTACTTGCGCGAGCTTACGGCCCCTGGCTGGCCTTTTACCAAGGTACCCCAACTTGGGGTCGAGTTCCAGGGTCTTCCTCGGCACCCGCCCACTGCCTCAAGCTCCGAGGCTCGACAGGGTTTTGGACCTCAACCCCGCATTTTGCCAACTCCATACCTCGCCCCCGCGTGGAACCTTATCGTCCAGGTGACGTTGAGTGATGATGTCGTCCAGAGCCTATCGTCGCGTGTAAGTGAAGACTTGGCAAATAGAAATGCTCAACCACGAGGATGCATAGAAAAAAAACACACCCTAAATCTCTAAAGCGAAGCACAACATCCGTTGGCGATCGTCCAGATCGTTCACGGTCACGGCGAAACCCATATATCGCGGAACGACAGCATAATTCATTGACAGAATAATTGAACACAATTGAATTGAGTGCTCTTCTTGACATATTAAGTTTCAGGTCTGACAATTTGCCAAGGCGACCTGAATAATGTCGAAAAGATAATAAACTAGGAAAGTTAACAAATACCAAAAAAAAAAAATTTCAACCAAGCGACATCCTGGATCGTGATCATACATCGTCCTTCCCCCACTCATAGCTCCTCATCCTCCTCACTGCCATTACCGCTCAACAACTCCCAGTGCTTGAAACCCTCAATGTCGAGCAAGTCTTCCGAGCTCTCAGCCTTGCCCCCGCCGAAACCACCAAGGTTCCAGCGCTCAACACCCTCAAACCCACTCAGGCTCTCGCTGTACTCGCGGAACACATCAGCGTTGAGCCGCTCGTACTCCTTGTAGTCCTTGGGCCAAGCACCCAGCCTCTCGACTGCGAGCTTGAGGAGCTTGAAGTGCAGCCGAATCCTCTCGCCGTCGCTCATACCGGGGTCACTCAGAGACAGGGCATCGCCATCGCTGACAGCCCCGCCAAGCAGACCAACACCCACCCCACTGAACCGGTGCTGCTGTTGTTGGTGGTGGTGATGGTGGTGGAAGTAACCGCTGCCCCTGCTACTAGACATGCCGCTGAACGTCGACTGGCCGTCGTCAAAGTGCAGGCTCCCGTCCAGCCCGCCCTCCATCTCGGCGTACGCAGGGTCGCTGAATATGCGGAGGATGTTCTCATGCACGGCCGCGCTCTTCTTGTAGTACCGCGCCGCCATGTCCTTGCCGCCCGGCAAGACGCCGTTCTTGCCGTCCTTGCCACCGCCAGCAGCGGCAGAGTTGTGATACCTCTGCGCGATGCCCGTGTACAGCTGCGTGAGGAAGACGCTCATGTCGAGCGTCCGGGGGTGCCGGTTCCCGTGCACGCGCCGGCAGTTGTACACAATGTCCTCGGCCAGCCTGACCGCGGCCGTCGTGTCGCCCACGAGGTACCGCGCCATGATGTACCGCCGGCCGAGCGCGAGGGTGACGCTGCCGGGCCAGCTGCGCTGCGCCTCGCGCGACTCCCACAGGATGGTCAGCAGCCAGGACAGGCTCGCGTAGTCGCGCTGCGCGCCGAGCACGCCGATCAGCAGGTTCAGGTGCACGAGCGAGATGCCCTCGAGGTTGATCTTCATGTCGCCGAGGACGCCCAGGACGGAGCCTGTGATGGGCTTGGACGCCTCGAGCAGCTTTGCCCGGGGGCCCTCGTCGAGCTTCCGGCTTGCGGGGCGGATCGCGGGCCCGGGAGGGGTGCCTGGCTTGGCAGAGGAGAGCAGGCGAGGAGAGGAGCCGTTGCCTTGGGGAAACATGGAAGGGTACGATGAAGACACCAGGTCGTTGTATTTCAGCCCGCTGCCTTCGGCGAGGGTCAGGCCCAAGACGAGTACAAGCTTGGCGACGTCAGGATCAGTACGGTACGCGTCCTGGGAGGAAATGAACGCAAAGGTAGCAGATGCCAGGTCGATGGCAGCATCATACTTGCGCTGCTTCAGCAAGTTCTCGACGCCACGAGTGCCACTGATGCCAACAGATCGCACAAAGCTCTGGGAGCGATACGTGCTAAAGTACTGGAGAAGGTTGTGCAGCAGCGCGTGTACCTGCGACGGCTTGGCCAGCTTGGCTGACTTGCCCTCGGTGCTGTGGTGCATAAAGTAGTCCACGAGCTCGCGGAACACGCCCTGTGCAGCATCCGTGCGGTCGCAAGAGAGTAGGAAGGTATGCAGCCGGGCAGCTGAGCCAACGACTGTGCTGAGAGACACGGTCGTGGTGGACTTGGTCTTTGTCAGGCTGCGGAACTCTTCAAAGTAGACGTACTGCGTCGTCAGCTCCGCGAGGATGTCGGTAACAGTCACGCTGTGATGGCGGCGGGCAAGCGAGTGCTCGAATTGAGCGAGGAAGACTAGACTCTCGCGTCCGCGCGAGGTCAAGTCAAACCCATAAGTCGAGGTCTGCGAAGTGTCCTTGGTCATGATCTGACGGTAGAGCTCGTGCTTGATCTCCGTAGCCTTCTGGACCTGATGGGCCTGCATATAGCTGGAGGCGATCGTCGATGCTGCGGCGATGAGTCGAGTCGATGACGTCTCCTGGGTCAAGATATGGGTGGTTGCCGTCTTGAGCTCGGTCAGAATCATCTCGGAGCGAGTAGTCTCCTCCTGGGACGAACTCGTCTGCTGGCAGCTGTAGAACCGAACCAGCTCAGACAGTTTCGACAGCGACTCCTCGTGTGCCCAGCCGTGCGTCTCGGGGATGGTTGTGACGCGCTTGCGGAGCACCTTGATGGCGCGCTGGGCCTGCTCAGAAGAAAGGGTCTGGGAGCGGCTGCCAGATGTGGCAGTCGCCAAGTCGACCTGTTCCTCGTAGATCGAGTCAAGAATGGCGCTGATCTCGGTATGATCGATCTCATCACTCTGGATCTTGAGCAGCTCTTCGTACAGAGCAACCGCCTCGAGTTCGTACCGCTTCGACTCCTGGCAGATCTTGGCAAGCTGCAGGGTGGCCCGGATCGTGATGGAGGCATTCATGCCGAACACGGTCTTGCACTGCGTCTGGTATTCGACTGTTACGCGGTGAATCAGGGTGAAGTCGCTGCGCACGCTGCGCAGGCAGTGTGTGTACTGTTCAAACATTGACTTGACGAAGCCCGGCTCGGAGAGCTTGGGGTTCGTCTTGGCCTGGCGGAGGAACGTGATGAAGATTGCCTTGTAATACGGCACGGCGTCGCTGAACTGGCCCTTGTTATATAGCTCAGTCGCCACAGTCACGTACGGCTCGAATGCTTCGGGGGTGATTGTGGAATCAGTGCTGTTGGGACGGTGCAGAGCTTTGATGATCTTTCGGTAGTAGTCGAGGAAGATGGGATGCGGGCGAGTCAACTCGGCCAGCTCCCACAGCATCTTGATCACGGTAGGGTGCTCGCTACCGTAGTGTGCGGTGTAGTCGTCGAGCATTTCCTGACGGACCGTGATCAACAGCTCATTGTGCTCGTCGGTCCGGCGTAGATGCTGTACGAGGTCCCGCGTCACTCTCTCGCGCAGCTTGTCGTCGACCTTGCGAGATGAACGCATCGCCCGGTACACCCGGATGCGAATATCTTCTTCCTTGGCGCGGCGGCGGCGGGCATGGTAGCAGTCAGCCAAGCGCTCGGCCAGCTCGACAGCGTCCTCGACGTGCTTGGTCGGTGCCACCACGTCCTGCACGTTGGACGAGAAGAGGGAAGGCCAGACGTTTCGGAGGATCTGCTTCAGCAGGCGGGTGCTGTCGCGCCAGCGGTGCTGCACAATGTAAAGCCTCACGAGGCTCTGGGTCGCCGTGAACGTGCTCTGTTCGACAGTGACTGACGAGCTGCTCTGCTCGAGGACCATCTCTTCGAGCATCGTCTCGGACACGGTCGTGGAGCTCGAGCTGCTCGCCGACTTGACAATCTCCCGCGAGGTGCTGCTGATGCTCTGCTGCAGCGCCTTGTACGCCGAAGATGACGTGTTGTTCGTGCTGTGGTAGTACTGCGAGCAGTGCTTCATCAGCGCCAGCGATTCGGTCACCATCCCGACTGACTTCATCATGGTGGACATCTCGAGGTACATTGCCGAAGTGCTCTCAGTCATGACGCTCTGCGACGACGAGTACCTGTACTCCTCCCACGCAGTGCACAGGACGCTACGCGCGTGCTCGGTCCTCTTGTGCTGCATGAGAAAGCGCGAGTAGCAGACGACGCTCTTCATCTTGCGCTCCTCCCAGAGCGCGGAGTGCGTGGCGCGGTACTCGCGGGTCACGCGCTCCCAGATCTCGATGTACGTCTTCTCTGCGAGCTCGGTGCGGCCCTCGGCGAGGTAGCGCTCCGCCTTGACGAGGAAGAACTCAAAGTCGTACGCGGCGCCCGTGCCCCGGCCCTCGATGACCTCGTCCTGCTCCTCAGTGTCGAGCGTCAGGACCACACCGCTGCCCGCGTGACCACCGTGCGTGTCTTTGCGGCCGTGGAGGTGGACGTGTAGATCTCCATCAAGGGTATCATTCTTGTCGCCGATTGTCGTGGTCGTGGTCTCGCCGCCAAACTCGGTAGTGGTGCTGATGGCCCGAATCTTGGTGATCATTTGCTGAGCCTTAGTCTCGTCCTTTACTGTGCGGTAGTGCTCGACCAACAGCTTCAGCGTCGTCAGGACATACTCGGACTTCTGCCCATACTGTATCTTGTAGCACTCGGTCAAGATCAGCAGGACCTGCTCGCGATGGGTCATGATGACGTCCGTCTTTGACGTGGTCACACGAGTGCTGGTCAGCTCGGTGAAGATCTTGGCGAGCTCCATTGTGATGGAACTCTTGCTTGTGAGCACGTTGTTGGACACTGTTGTGGCCTCATAGAAGAGGGTGGTCGCATCCGGAGTGAATTCGATCCGGCGATAGATTTGTGCCAAGAAGATGATGGACTGTAGCGTGATGGTGCTTTTTGTCGTGAGCAGCTGGCGGGTGATGCTGGTTATCATGGTGTGGTACTTGAGCTGGTTCGGGAGAGGCTGGTGCTGCCAGAGCGCCGCCTGCAGTAGGTAGACAGTGAGGTTCTTGGGAACGACCTTGGACACGAGCTTGGCAGCATCGGACTCGCTGGTTTCGGGCTTCAGGAAGGCAAAGCTCTTGCGAAGGTGCAGCGGCCAGTAACTGATAGCAAACTCGAGCAGAGTGTGTCGGCTCGTGAGTTGCTGCACCGAATGGCTGTCCAGAACTGTCAAAGTGGGCTCGCGCGGATCAGTGACAGTCGAGTTAATGTAGATGAGCAGGCGTGTGGCCAAGTCGCCGTGGCGGTCCTTGATTGACCCCTTCGTCTCGTTGAGACACTCTGTAGCGGCCTTGCGAATGACATCGTGACGCAGGTAAGTCAGCCCATCTTGCATAAAAACAAGCGAGTTTACAGGCCTCAGCGTGCTCATGACGTCAATCTTGTGGTCATGTTCGATGCTCTGCTTCTCCACGTTGATGGATGCCAGAGTGGCCAACTCGTTGGTGCTCAGGGGTCGCTCTGCAGTGACAAGCCAGGTCAGCAGCAGACGCGTCTGGTGAGTGACCTCGGGTGCGGTAAGAGTCCGATGCACGAACTCGCCGATGCTGCAGTTGGCAATCTTCTCCAAACTCGAAAAGAGCTCCTTGACCGTGGTCTCACGACGAAGCTGCTTGCAGGCCTGCTTCGCCCAGACGAAAGAACCCTTGGAGGCCGTGGCAATCCCTGCCACAAGCGCCTCGCGCTCCATCTCGCTCATCGAGATGTACAGCTTCGATGTCTCAAAGTAGTTGCGCACAACAGCCATGATGTCATCGAAGATGAGGTCCTCGTTGATCTGCAAGTTTTGGACACCCTGCTGAGGCTTGGTACCCAGCGTGATGAGCTTCAAAGTGCTTGCGCCCTTGGTGTTTGCAACACTCTGAAGACGTTTGAACAGGGCTTCTTCCCCTGCTGAGCACTCATCTAGACCGTCTATGACGAAGACAAGGTCCTTGGCGCCCGGGAGGTTGGCCGTTACAGCACGCTCAACGGTCTGCCACAGGATGTTATCGTACTCGTCCTCGGTCGTCATCCGAACGGTGCGCTCAAAGGCCTCTGTCAAGATGTTGAGCAGCTGCACGTTGCCCGTGCGCTTCTGATACAGCTGGTACAGCAACGACTTGGCGACTGCACGAGGAGTCGTCTCGCCAGGGACGCGGCCATCTATGATACTTGTCAGTATTTCGTGTTCAGACAAAGGGGACTGGCAGGATGATGCTTACTGATTGGTACAAACAGGGCGCTGTAGGTCACACCGGCAATGGGATGCTGCAGGTAGTCGAAGATGACAGAAGCCAGTACCGTCTTTCCGGACCCGGGAGGACCACTCAAGGCCATAGTCTTGTGCGAACCCTTCAGAAACCGGGTCAGGTAGGCCCCGATGTAGAGGCAGGTCAGTTCTTCACGGTCATGGGCCAATTGCGAAGTCGAGTTGACAACGCGTGACAGCACCTGGTCCTCCGGAGCAATCCAGGCCTTGATCGCCCGGATTTGAGAGACTGCCATGAAAAAATAAAGTCAGGTCAAGTTCTGGTGGCGTTCGGTGCGTGGGGCTTGAACCTACCTCTGCTCTCTGTGACTCCCTCCTTCATAAGCTGGTGCTGCCACATCAGCTCGGCCGTCTTGTCGCATCGTTCCAGGAAAGTCCTAATCTGAGTCGGAAAGGTGGAGTAGATATTGACCGAGACTGATGTGGTGGTCTCTCCAATGGCTTTGTGGAAATACGTAGCAACGCTTGCAACCAGGGACACGAGATCGGACAGCGCGAGCACGAGCTGCTCGCGAATCTCTTGGGAGACACTGAAGAGTTCGATGCGTTCGAGCAGGTTTAGAAGCGGAACGGACATGCTGTAGAAGAACCCAAAAGAGATCATCAGAGCACGGGCATTCTCCTTTCCGAGCTATGGAGCCAGATCTGTTAGTCACACCGTGAGACCTCTACTCTAGCATTCGTAGACGCGTACCTCGAGAAGGAGTGAACAGTATCCATAAGCAAGCTGGGCAGCGAGATAGCTGTCTCCGGCAAACTCCTGAATAGCATACTCAAAGGAGTGAAGGCGGTTGGCGAAAAGCTGAGCCCATGCGAGGACCTTGTCATAGCTGCTACCCTCTGGAGGCAGATCACTCATGCGCTGGGCGCTGATCCACTCGAGTAGAGACTCGTGCGTGGCGCTAAAGAGTCGCGCCGAGATGTTGGACCCCAGCTCCTCGGAGCTGCGTCTTTTGATCGAATACACGACATTGGAAATGTTGGAGACATTGAGCATTGAGCTCTTGCGAGAGAAGAACCGCTGGCTCATAGCTCGCTGGCGGCTCTCGACCGTCTCGGATGAGTACTCTTCATCATGATGCTGGTTGTAGACAGCGCTGGCATTGCGGCTGGTCTTGGAGGAAGCGGAGCCAGTAGCGAGGGCGTAGGGCGCGGAGGGCAGCTGAGGAGAAAGCGTTCCGGGGGCCATCTTCTCTGGTGAGGTTCGCACCAATCACTACAAGTAGAGGTCGCTGTGCTGGCTGATGGGATTTATTATCGCGGCGACGATATTTTGGGGGATGCTGATGTATCACCCCTGGCTGTCTTCGATATGTGCTCACTGTTTGACCACAGCTGGTTATATCAGTCGTCGTGAGAGCTCGGGCTGCCTGTTTAGACCATCAGTCAGTATGAGCTGGCCTCTATGATGTCTGTGTCGTGGAGCAGCGAGGACGTACTCAAGCAGTATATTGGTGAGTTTGAGAGCCACGGGTATTGGATAAAAAGTAGAGAAAATGGCGAGCCACGGCCAGGAAGTGATCGTGTAGGTAATCTGAGTGCCGAAGGGATCAAGACCTCGGTATACACATTTTCATCTGAAATCGATGAGCCTGCATGGACGGGACACGCAAAGCAGGGTACATCGATTTATATGCTTCTGCTCTCGCCCGTCACCATGTACCAACACGGGATGCGAGGCCTACAAACGTCCTTACCCTTTCGGTGACATGCCCAAAACCGGCATGGGTGGTTGGCGATCGGAGGCCTGTGACGTTGATGCGGAGAATGACCTAAGTAGGTACACATATGCAGTGCCTTATTCGGATCAAAGTCGCGTGCTAGCGCCATGCTGATTTCCATTGCAGTGCAGATATTCCCTCATGCATACGAGCTGAGTGCTCGCTGCTACCAGGAGACCTTAGCGAATGGATCACTTCGGCGGCTCCGGGCGATCTCCCGGGCCTCATGCGTATGCCGAGCATGTCTTACCCAATCACTCCCTCGATGGAATGATCTGCACGGATGACAAGCGTTCCGCAACGCAGTCTTGAGAAGCCCAACCGTGCCCGAATCGAGACTGTTTGTGAGTTGCCCTGGCTTTACAACTACTTCCGGCGTTGTGCAACGTCAACAAGCTCTAAATCGCCACCATGAAGTAAACGGAAATTTAGGCACGGAAAAAGCGTAGGACAGCAGTGAACGCCCAGGGCGTCGAGTGAGAGATTACTCGGGCGATGTGGCACCATTCCCAACTGATTTGGCTTTGGACGGTGGGAATGAATGAGTAGACCTCTAGTCATCGAGATTGGCCCTTGTTGGCGACCTGAAACGGAAGCAAGCACGACGAGCAGAACAAGTTCTGTGGCGTTTACTTCGTTGCCGTGCCCTGTGAAGTTGGGACGGTAGAAACTGTATGTAGTCTCTAGTGAAGCTCAAGCTAACCAGCACCAATCGGACGACCCGACAGCTCTATCATGAGACAAGAGGGGAAAATAACGCTCCGCAGTGGACAGGTGCACTCTCGAATCGATGATGGCCAAGAAATGTCGCGGCACGCTAGTGCTGTTCGCGGCAGAGACTTCCGCGCTTACGCATACAGTGCCGCCGTGAAGCTTCAACTCTGCATAGCCCAGGCATTTCTGCAATGGAGATCTATTGAGCCTTCTTCGGGAACAAGGAGGGGTTTCTGCATTGCGGAGGACGCTTGCGCGCATCGTATGTAAGAGATGATAGGTCAACGGGCACCATGGCCGTGCTTGTGGCCGCGGACGGCTGGTCGGCCATGTCTCTCATGTCATGCTGGGGCTTGGGCAGCTGAAAGCTGCATTTGCTACTTTGAGCAAGGCACCATGGCAAGCTCGTCCCATGCCTCCGCACTTCTGGCTTATACAATTATAAATCTTCCGGTGCACGCCGTGCGATTCCACCACTCTCTTCTCGGCACGCGACATCTTAGTCCTGTTTAGCGACAAATATCCTCCACGGGCCTTATCATCGGGGAACGTCAAGAGCCCGCTAGCTTGACACTACCAGAGGCCAGAAAGCATGCACAGGTGTCAAAAAGAATTAGCCGACATGCTAGATTCTTAGAGGCAGGGGCATGTATCGACTGCCGGTGCCAAGCCCATGTTAGCCTCCACCGAGTCCCGGCAAATGGAGCGATAATCACTGCGGAAGAAGAGCTGCAAAGCTTGTTGACGATCAGCGGCTCGTGCCGAGCAGCTGCCCCACACCAAGAGACCTATCAAGAATGCGACGAGACCAGCTAGGAAACTATCCAAGCTCCATCTGGAGCCAATGACGTTGGCAACCATGGATGTTCGTCGCGCGAGTTGCATGTCAGGACTGCGAGTCATGGATGCTTGTTGACCACATCGCTATATTCTGCAAGCTGCAAGCTGTAACAAAACCCTGTGACGAGGTGGCTGTGGTTGTTCTTGGCGCGCCATACCAGCCATCAGCTCGTGCAATCGAGGCTGGCTGATGCATGCCGGTATTGGAGCTCTCGGCATTCATCGTGCGGCAATGCCGATGCAGCATCGAATGACAGCAATTTGCCGCAGATGAGCTATCACGGACTCTGAAAATCATCTCCGACCCTTTATGGACGCCAAGATGTAGGGCAAAACGGAGAGCCCGCCAACGAGGGCACGGAACTGGAGGACAATGGGAACGCAAGTCTCACAGTTTCGCAGAAACCCGCAAAGTGTTCGCAGATATGATGTCAGCTGGCACCCCACGCGTACGCAAGCATGACAGGATCAACGTCCCAGCACGGTGGGAGCCCTGAGACAGGTCCTGGGGGCAGTGAAACCACTCCCTTCTCATCGGGGAAAACGCCAAGGTGAAGAAGGTGAGACTGGAGACTGGGAGATATAGTGCTGGACCATAACGGCTAGTACTCTCCGCTTTGGGCAAACAGGGTATAGCTCCATGATTGCGTGAATTAAGTGATGTGCAGAAACGAGTCGATAGTTCCAGACACTGAGACCAGTCAGAGGCAAAACACCTGCAGTCTAGTGGGCCGGTGAGACATACAACGCGCCGACCCGTGCATCTGCATACGGCCGTGCCAGAGCATTGGATGCCGCTGCGGGCGGACGGGGCATCCCGTCACGGCGCTAATGCAAACGCATCACAGACATACACCATCTTTCTTGCGTCACCGTGCCAGGAGAAGCGATACCCCGCACTCTGTAGCTTCATCCAGCCGCTTGCTAATGCACACGTCACGCCATTGACACTCTCAGGGGAATGCGAGACATTGGAGAAGAGTGCTGACCACAGACATGAAATTGTTGAGTTTGAGGCAAATGCTACAGTGCCTATGTGGGACGGGACGGAACAGAGATCATTCCTTCTCTGCTCTGGTTCCAGCATGACCCCTGCCATTTTGCATCGCTAAATACGTTGGGGCCGGTAAATTCAAGAGGAGGGGACAAGAATCTGAGCCGCACCTAGCAGCGGTTGACGATTGTGTTCCAGCCTCGGTCAGTGGAAAAGATCTGCAATGCAAATTGTCAGCCACCACTTTTCCCCAGGTAGCATGCAGGCGGCAAACAAATCCTTACCTGTCCCCGCACCACGTCGTTGTTCTGGCACTTGATCATCACCTCGACAGCATTGCTATTGGACGGGGCAGAGTTAGCAAGAGAAGTAACCATATTGCCCGCTGCGGACTTGGGGTCTTCTTGCACTCACTCTGCCACGAGTCGGCACGGCACGTGGAGCTGGAAGTTGTAGTCGTTGCACAGCCAGACGGACGACTCGCCCGCGCAGCCAGTGTTACTGCACCCGCCTGCGCCTGGCCTTCCTGGGGGTGCAGCACAGTCACCATTGCCAATACTATAGAGATATCTGATGACAGCGGCGGTGTTGAGAGCGCTGACCCAGGTGCCGTAGTTGCACGTGTAATCCTGGTGAATTTGCAAAGTCGTCAGCACTTTGTCCCTCCATGAGTCCGATCCTTTCACCTGCAGGTGACTTACGCTTGAAGTTGGTGCGCGTGCGTTGAGAAGAGCCAAGTTCTCCAAGTTCTGCTCTGTGGTAAGAGAGTTCTGACTATTGATGCCAAGCTCGCTGTCGTAGTTGGGGTTAATCGCTGTGATGTTGTGGTAGATCTCCTGCAAGCAACTGTGAGCTTCCTTCGAAAGGGCTTGGACTAGGCGCACAAACCTCGGCAGTCCCGGTCAAGACAATGGGCAGCTGGCCTAACTGCACTTGGCCTGTCCATGTGAGAGCATCTGTAATGCTGCCTGAGGCCCCCTCACTGGTCGGCAGCGCCTAACGGGCATCAATCAGTTAGTGTTGCCTCGATTTAGCCCAGTGTCCAACATGGAGAGAACTTACCGAGACGACGGTCAGCCCCGCCACGAAACTCAACGATGCGATGCTCTTCATTTTCTTAAGTCGAGGTGCGTGAGAGAGTAATGACTTGAAATTTACAACAGCAAAGACTTGTAGAGCTTACCGCAGCCCTCCATTTAATAGAGACAATCTGACACTGCACTTTGTTCGCTCTACTGTCCAGCCCGTCTGGCTGTGTGACGACAGCTCAAGAATGGAACCATCATGGTGCCTGCTAGCCGCCTGTCTTGTGTCATCCCGTGTGTCCGTGCCATATGAGCCCGTGATGCCACCAGCTGGTGACCGTACTCGTAGGTGTTCTACAACTGTCGGTAGATGTGACTTGTAAGGTAACGTTGCTGCATTCGGACCCATGCATAAACCCTGCATGTACCCTGGGGGACGAGCCAAGGCCATGGTACTCGTCCGTACGAGGCCTGGGCACACCCATCGGGCCTCAGCTCGGCGCTTCCACGCGAACTCTGCCAACAAAAGCGTGCGGCATTGATGGACTCAGTCCATTTGAGGCATAAAAGCATCAGCCGAATACAGGCGAATTGGTCATGAACATTCGACGACCTGTGTCGATCCCCTGTCGCTGCGTGGACGGCCTGCGGGACCTGAAGCAACGTCATACTTGCCGCTGACTGGGCCCCGGATGCTTGACAGGGATGCATGCAGTCAGAATCTCACGACACGTGCCACGACGGGGCTTACATGTCCACCTTCCGGAGGATTACTCAACTATCAAGAACTGGTTCATACTGCTGCAGGTGACGTTGAGTCATCCACTAGATGGACAGGTCTAGGTATAATGGCGTAGAGTTGATAGGATTCAATTGTTACTCATCCAGCAAGGCACCATCGCCAAGTGCTCGTTGCAGTGAAAGCCAATCTCGAGAAGCATACTTTGATCATAGGTATAAGTGCGTGCTTTGATACGGATTGCTTCACCGTCTAAATTCTATTTCACCACTCCAACGCTTACCCCTTAATTTTGAGCACGGATCTGCCCATAACTCGGCAAGGACCAGCTCCAGGTGGTGTACAATCATCTCCTACAATCACCGCCCAGCATGCTCCTCTCCACGGTACTAGCCACCCTTTTGGCGTCTGTGCCAGCTCTTGTGCAAGCCTACCCCCAGCCGGGCGCTTGCACCGGATACTGTTTCACTCACGACCCAGCTCTCTACCGCCGTCCCGACGGCAAGTACTTCCGCTTCTCGACGTTGCGTGGTATTGAGATTGTCACGGCCAACAACATTGCCGGTCCATGGACCAAGGTTGGCAGCGTCCTTCCCAATGGCAGCATCATCAACATGCCTGGGAACAAGGAGCTCTGGGTGAGAGACCATCGATCCAACCACCTTTGCACCAAACATGCCTCCGCTAACTCATAGCTCATGCAAAGGCTCCTGATGTGGCCTACATCCAAGGCCAATACTACCTCTTCTACTCCGTCTCGACCTCTGGCTCGCAGACTTCTGCCATCGGTTACGCAACCTCTCCCAACATGGAGCCAGGCAGCTGGACTGACCAGGGCTCGATTCTGACCTCCGCCCCTGGCCAGACGCCATACAACGCTATCGACGCCAACCTCGTGCCCCACGCCAACGGCCGCGACTTCTACCTCCAGTGGGGCTCGTACTGGGACCAGATCTACCAGGCCCAGCTGTCCATCAACGGCCCCTACGTGTTCGCCTCGGGCAACCACAACCGCATCGCGCACGACCCGCGCCGGTCCTCAATGGAGGGCCCCACAATCTTCTACAAGAAGGGGTACTACTGGCTGTTCCTCAGCGTCGGCGCTTGCTGCACGTACACCCCGAAGCCGGCGGACGAGTACCACGTCAACCTGTGCCGCAGCACGAGTCCCTCGGGCCCGTTCGTGGACAAGGCGGGCAAGTCTTGCCAGGATGGCGGCGGCACCAACTTTATCCACACGCATGATCGCGTGTACGCTGCTGGTGGACAGGGAGTGTTCACTGATCCGACGCTCGGAGACGTGTTCTACTATCATTACCGTAAGCGTTCACTCAGCTCTCTTTCGCATGGGACAGCCATGAGAACTAACAAGATCATTTCGCTCGCCCAGTGGACCCGGATGCGGTGGACTACAACAGCGCCAAGTTTGGCTGGAACGTCATCAACTGGAGCGCGGACTGGCCGACCATTTGAGGTGGAGGCCTCGTTGTCGAGAGACCCATTTTTTACACCACAGGTGCTTGTCCCCAGAAGACTATTTTATTGTATATATTTGTCGAAGCAGCTTTCCATGCTAAGAGAGTCCATGATGTTGCCTAAGAATCTCGCATTCGTCTCTGAATATGGCGAATCTCTATCATAAAGCAGTCTCCCGCTATCTAAAGCCGAGCTGATATAAGCAGACCGGTCTATTTGTTCAACGGATGACAAGCAATGCCATGAACGCTAAGAAGCAAGCTGGTGCCGAGGAAAGTCCCCCAACGACAAGGCCGGGATCTCCTTTTTCATCCTCTCCACAAAGGGCCGCATCATGTCTCCGAGACTACAAGCATGCAGCAAGCAGTGCTCGTCCGCCACCTCTCCCACTGTCGTGATCTCGCGTGGCCCGCGCCATGACAAGTGCGGCAGGCCTTCCGTGACGGCGGCGTCGAGCTTCCTCGCGCTGATGCCGTAGAAAGGGCGGTTCGGCTGGCCGTTGCTGCTGAAGACATCCATACCGAGCTGATTAACTAGGAAGCGCACGAGCTGACCGAGCAGTATCGAGGAGCACTGGGCGCTGAGGTGTGGCTGGGCTGGACACTGCCAGGCCGGGTCGACCAGGGAGTCGCGCAGCAGGAGGGTGTTGTCCAGGAAATCCTCTATCGCTTTGTGCCTGGCGTTGTCGATGGCGTCTGAGTCGGACAGAGCAGCCGGGGTCATCAGCATTCACATGGTATCAAACATGTACTGGAGGTGGTCAATCAGACTTACAGACAAAAGCACCGGGGAAGGGCAGCGACATCCTCTCCATCGGGCCTTCAGACATGTACATCGCAAGGGCAGCTAGGCTGGTGAATGTCTCGGCCCTGGCGAAGACCCATGCGACAAACAGCCACATGACGCTTTCTCTTCCGTGGTGTGCGGGCGGTTGAGTGGCCGGGTCCTTCTCCAGGGCGTTGATCCAGGCGGACACGACACTGTTCGTCGCCTCGTGGCACTTGTAGTGGTGGACCAGGACCGCAATCTGGGTCAGCGTGTCGAGTGTGACCTGCTGTGGTATGTTGTCGCTGCGCCCGTGCAGTATGCTGAGCAGTATGAAGACCGCTGTGGCATCCCATTTGTGCTGCTCGATCTCGAGCCTTGCCCCTTGATTACGTGGGAGCTGCCTCCGTGGCCCGTTGAACGTCCGGCTCCAGAGTGGCGACGCGGCGCTCAGACATCGCGACGAGACTCGGAATTGGTACTCGTCCTTGGCCTCCTTTCTGTCATTTACAGGATCTATCTTTTGGCGGGGGTTAGTCTGGCCGCTGCACCCTGATCTATTACTTGGAAGGTCCCTGACCTGGTCTTCGCCGTGCCAGGGTGCCTGTACCCGCCTCTGCGGGCCAGACGTATTGCTGCCTGTTTGTGGTCTTTAGAATGAAGTCGACGTCGCCATTGGGATCGATCTCAATGCGCGAAGTGCTGGGTTCGAATTGGGGGAAACCCGGTGTCTGCGCATCAATGGCGTCGAGCATCATCAGGTTGCCTGTGGTTGCTGATGTGGTGCGGGGGTTATGACGAGATTGTGGATGCACATGTGGCAGGGAGATTCGCTCCAGGCTTGAGGAGCTGCTTACGGTAGCAAGGCGGGTTGAAAAATAATTCGCGCGCTGGTACTGAAGGTTGGCATGTTCCAGCTGGGGAAATGCGCGAACCTTTTTTGCAGACTATTTCGCTTAGTGAGCGTAGCCTAGCTGCCGAGGGAGGCCTGCCAGGCGCAGGGGCGGGACAGGCCATCGGGCCACTTGGTCCGGTTACACCATCGAGCGTGTTGTAATCTGGTCACAGCGAGTGGAGCCTCAAGCCTGGCCTCAGGGGCACATCCGTCTATTGAATGGCGTGCATCGTGGGTTGTCATTCAGATCATCGCTGCGTCATCTGAACGGCATTTCCCATGGGCGGGCGCCTCAGAGCTGCTCCCAGGCTTGTCAGTGTCCCTTCGTTGCCCAGGCAAAATTCCTTGGGCATGCTGTGGTTTTCCTCCGGTTCGTCATACCTGTCCGGTGCCTCCCAGCCTTTGTCCACAAGGAGGCTCAGGTCGCTCTCAACAACCCTGGCCCATTGCCCGTGTCTGGAAAGCCCTGGCGGCCAGACAACAGGCAAGCGCAGGCTTGGTCAAGACGGGCAGCGACGCCGAGTGGATACGAGTTCGGGGTCTGATAAGAGTTCGGGGTCTGGGAGGGCTGACAGTGTGGGAGCTTACCATGGTCACGGAGCCATTGCTCGTGTAGCTGCTGGCCAAAGAATTCGCTGCTCAAAGGAAGCCACCCTGCCTGTCTTGGTAATCCCGACGGATGTCCCCAGCGGGTATTGGTGGCCCAAATACGGAGTACGAATGGGGAGCTGGTCGTATCAGTAGTGGCGTCAGCCCTAGTCTGGGGTATCCTGGTTTCCCGGCAGTTTGGACTCATCAGTCACTGCGGCAAGGCTCTTGACTTCAAGGGCTTTGTCCAGGCCCACCGTCGCCACGCTCCACCCATCTGCCGAAAACTCGCCAGGCAGTGCACAGGCCCGAACACCGACAGATGACAAACCTTTGGAAGCTCAGCGACACCCTACCGAGACAGTTTTAGAGTTGGCGGCGTGCGGCCTGTGGCTGCCAGGCGCGAGTGCGCCCTGTGAAAGCGTCCCAGAGCAGGATAGCTGAGCCATAAATTGTCGTTGAGGCTGTCGGTGTTGCCACCGAACTGTCGACCTATCATGCAGGAGCACCACCGACCTGTTGCCGGGCTCGCTCCTGACAGTAGCCTATCTTGGCTCACATGGGAATTTTCACAGAGAATACCCCGTGACGAAGGCTATCGGCAGAAATCCTGACCGCTATGGAACCCCCGCCTGCCAGCCGCGTCATGCCATCAGCCCTAACTCTGCTCGTGTCTTTCGGGGTTTGCGTCTGGCGTCAGCCGCTCGACCCCATCGCCATATAAGCGCGGCCATGACAACCTCGGCGTGGCGGTGGATTGACATGAGACACTGTCGGCGAAATGCTTGCGGGGTCAGTGCAACAACGGCGCAACCCCGCCCCTCGCAGAGATGGTCGCCGATGGTTACTTAAAGTTCTTGGAGCTCCTTCCGTTTGGGCTTCTCCTCCCTGCATCTCTTTTCCGTCCAAGACTGCCGGAGCTATTGGACTTGAAGCATTCCGCGATGGAGAGCCTCACGCTGACAAGCAGCGGCATAGCCGCTCTGGTTGCTACTGGAGGAGTAGTCCTCCTGCTCGGGCAGGTGAGTAGCAGCTTGGAGATGCAATAGACAAAAGTCTTACCAGGAGTTATCACCAACCTCATGGCTGACACGACCGCTTTCATCAGAAGTTGTACGAGGCATATGTCGGGCCGCTGTCAAAGATCCCAGGGCCGTGGTACGCGCCATGGACGGATCTTGTGAACACCTACTGCGCCCTGACTGCGCAGAAGCACCTTTACGCACTCCGACTGCATGAGAAATATGGTCCATCTGCCTCTTTCCGCTCCGTTATCCACAGGTGCAAGCTGCTAACGTGTGACTCCCTGCAGGCCCCGTCGTCCGCATCGGCCCCAACGAGCTCCTTGTCAACAGTGCCGCGGGCGCCGCGACCATCCACCAAGTCAAGCGCCCTTTCCTCAAGAGCGCATGGTACAAGAAGTTCCTCCCGGGCGTCGAGAACGTCTTCAACACGATAAATCCAGAGTTTCACCGTCGCCACCGTCGCCTGCTCGCCGCTCCGCTGTCAGAAAGCTCCCTGCAGACCGTGTTCCTCCCGCGCATCGAGGCGCACTTTGACCTTGCCATCTCCAAGATGCGGCACGACATCGACACCCAGGGCTCCACGGACGTTGCCAAGTGGTTCCTGTTCCTGACCACCGATGTGATCGGCGAGCTGTCCTTTGGCGACTCCTTCCACATGCTCGAGCGCAACGAGGTGAACCAGTACATCCGCGACCTACAAGGACACAAGGTCGTCAGGGGCCTGCGCCTCGCGTTTGGATCGATAGCATCGTCGCCGCTGTCGAGGTTCCTTCCCGGCTTCAGTGCGCTGCGTAAGGTCAACGAGCGCAACCGCATGTACGCCACGCAATCGATTGAGCGGCACAAGGCGCTTGTCGAGAAGCAGCAGCAGCAGCAGGATCCCGAGAAGGCCGGCAGTGATACGGGAGCCAAGGCAACGGGGGTCTACCCGACGCTGTTCCAGAAGATGTACAAGGCCAACGACGAGGACGGGGAGACGCTGACATCCAAAGAGCTCGTGGACGACGCGGGCATATTCATCATCGCGGGCAGCGACACGTCGTCCACCACGCTGACCTTCTTGGTCTGGGCAGTGTGTCGACACCCAGAGATCCAGAAGGCGCTGGTCGACGAGCTGGCCGCCCTGCCGGAGAGTTACACGCAGCAGGACCTCAAAGACTTGAAGTTCTTGAACCTGGTGATCCAGGAGACGTTGCGGCTCTATGCGGCCGCGCCGAGTGCGCTGCCCAGGGTTGTCCCGCCGTCCGGGGTCGAGATTGACGGGTACTCGCTCCCCGGGGGCAGCGTGGTCAACACCACGACGTATGCGCTTCACCGGGATGAAATGATCTTTCCAGACCCGAACAAGTTCAATCCTTGGCGGTGGGAGAACCCGACCAAGGAGATGAAGGCTGCATGGATGCCATTTGGAGGTGGCACGCGGAGTAAGTTTGTGTGGCGCCAAGCCCCCCTGGCGTGGCCATCACAGGCATGTGATCATGCTCAGTCTGAAAGAATTGTGCTGACAAGCGGGCTCGTCACATAGCATGCGTCGGAATCCATCTGGCTTACATTGAGATCCGGCTGGGTGTAGCCAGGTTCTTCCGCGAGTTCCCCCACGCCAGAATCTCGACGCGCGAGGGCATGTCGGACGACGACATGAAGGAAGTGGTGTTTTTCCTGTTGTCGCCAAAAGGCAAGCGGTGTCTTGTCGAGGCATGAGGTGCAATCCGTCCTTTGTAGCATGCTGGTTGCATGAGGTCTTTGTGTACAAGAAAACACAGGAGCGGACACTGATGATGAGATTTTGTGGCGGTTTTGGGTTCAATGTGAAGATTCATAAGCATTGCACGTTGGATAGTTAATTAGGCCATGTTTGAAAGAGGCCGGCCTGGCCTCATGAACCTTCTCTTTTCCTTAGCATTATGATTGATGTCTTGCGATGGCTGTGCCTAAAAGTCGTGATAGTGCCCCTGGTGTGTAGTGTCGGAAGCGAGGTGAAGGCACTTGTCCTATTGAGCCGCTTGGGCCTGTGAGTGCACCTATCAAAAACCGTGTCTCATACAACAATATGATGACTGGCCTGCTGAACGGAACCCCTGCCGCACAGCATTCGTTGCCTCCTGAACTCTGTGCCAGCCCTAAGGATCATGACAGCCCAGGTCCTCAGGACACAAGGCTGACTGCCGATAGACTACATTAGTGTGCTGCACCACGATGACGCACCCGACGCACTGCAGTAGCGGGGGCCGTACCCGGCCGACAGCCGCAAATCCCCCTGACGCTTCCTGTCATCCCTGTGCCGGGCTTGACCCCATTCGCGCGCTCTGATGCCTGCCTACACCAGACCTCGCCGTGTCGCTACTTTTGGCCTGTGATGGCGAGGACCCTCAGATCGTGCCTCTGTCTCCCCTTCCACGTCCTAAATCGTCATCCTCGTACGGCAAGGCTAGCAGTGGCACAAACACCTATGCCTTTGGTCGCATCGGTCACCACAATATCGCTCTCACCTTGCTGCCCGGGATGGGCAAGGTGAATGCTGTCGGCACTGTCATGGACATCAAGGCTAGGCTGTCCACATCTCCAACTGGTCCTGCTCCCAGCGATATGCGGAGGGGTCCCACGCGTCCGCAACAGCAAGCTTGAGAGTTTGCTTGGGGATGTCCTCATCGCCGATGGCATCCTTCAGTATGATCTTGGCAGGCAGTATCCCGATGGTTTTGTCGCGCGCGCTACCTACGGAGGCCGCCTGGCGTGACTAAATCGCGAGGTCAGACCCTTTTTGAGCACGCTGGGTTCACAGCTGGGGATGGAGAAGCTGCGAGAGGTTACGTGCAATTTCCTTCGCGACGTGCAGAGCGCAGCAAAAACCCGTGGTCGGCGGCCGTGTGTCTATCCCGGAGCAGCGCACGATAAGCTGGACAGGTCTGACGATCGACATCGGCACCACCGTGGAGCGCCGAATTGCATATGTCATGGCTGTCGACAGGCTTTGGATCCTGTCTGCGACGAGAACCTTGTCTCGCCCTGCACCCAGACGAATTGCAGCGACGAGGCCCTCGTTCAGCGACACCGGCTCGAGTTGAGAAACCTCCTCGAGAGTAAAGAAGTATGCACAGACATTCAGCAGTTTGCCGTTTTCATGGATCGCTTTATGTCGGGAGACACTGATAACGTCTGCGGAGAACCGCGTCCGGATCGCGGCGGCGGGGCAACTCATCGCATTCGAGCTGGAGGCTTCTGGTCTCTGGGATGAGGTGCCTTGTATCGTTCTCAAGGGGGTCTCCAACTACGCTGACAGCCGGAGGCAGACACTCTTGGCTGACAGGCAATGCACACTTATTCAGACCTCGCGCTCCCGAAACATGCGGTGGGATACTATCTAGTCCCCGCGAGCGAGGACCGCGACGTGTTCGGCACCCCAGACAATTTTCTAGCCATGGTCGAGTACTTCTACAGCAAGAACCTGTTGGAATTCGTCCTAACGGACATCCAGGATGGTGGCCTGCTGCCTTCCCTCGTGACCTTCGAGCGCAGCTCCTCCTTCCATGCCCTCATGGAGATTGCGGGCATTGATTGGGATCAGATGCTGCAGGAAGTATCGTTGTCTTACTTTGACTATGCGTGCCATTGCTGGCTCTTGGCTTACGAAAAGGTGTAGAGGCGGCGGATGATTTTCCAGATTCCCCGAACTGGATGTCTACGATCCAGATAACCTGAGTGGGACTGGCAGCTGCATGGTTACTTATTTTCACAATCCATGGTGGCGATATGGTGGTGCGCTACGCTCTTGTGCATCCGGCCCGAGGAAAACCAGCTCTTTGTTAGTATGTGGAAGTCTGCCTGGCAGAGTGCGCACTGCTTTACCTTGAGGTATCCTCAAATCTCTACATTTCTGCCCAAGTCACTAGCTATTCGAACGAGGGTACACTGTTCTTGTGCACCTCTGCGATTTCCATCGTTCGGCCCTGCCCAGCTGTCTTGTCCCTGTACTCTGCAGTGCTGTTTTCTTGCTGGATTAATGATATACATCTCCTCCAGTCGACTTCCCGTGGTGCATTGAGTGACCAATCTGGTAAGGCTCAGGTCTCAAAGACCGGATTAAGGTGTGCATATCCAGTGATAACATTCCGTTTTTCCTCAAGCGTGACCTATAGCAACACAGCCCTACCATCAGCTGACTTGCGTAACCATATACTTTCTCTTCGAAGCGTACCTTTCCCCAAAGTTTGAAAAGCTGAGCTGTCATGGTGAGGCCTCTGTCTCAGCCCAGATCCAACCTTGCCCACGTGTAGCGGCTGCTCCGGGACTAGCGCCCGCCTTGGACGACTGAGGGGGGCTGCCGGAACTCAAATACTAGTGCGTTGCACACGCGGCACTACCGTTGTGGTTGCTCAGCTGTGCATCAGCATCATGGCTGTCATTTGTGGAAGACATGAGAAACTCGAGACACGTCGCAGCTCTTGCAGCTGCCCATCTGCGGAGTAGAGATGAGCTTCCCCGGCAGGGGCAACACTGTGTTATGTGCATGGATGTCTAGGTATATGAAGACGCATCTCGCCTCCGCCTTTGAGCACAACCCAAACCGCAAGGCAACTTGTGAATTCTGCCTCATACGCTCTCACATATAGCTACCAACATGACTACTCCGTTCAACTTCAACACCTCGCAGCAGGTCTACTGCCTGTCCGCGGCGTCGAACGCCGTCGGCTCCAAGCAGGGCACGGAGGCAGACCTCCAGCAGGCCATGGACGACGCTCTGGCCAGTAAGCTGCCCCAAGTCACCGGTGACTGGGAAGTATCTTGGGGTCCAAAGGTGTACAAACCCATGCCCGAAGAGTCTGGGCCTGTCGAGAATGTCTGGTTCGCTGCAGTTAGCGAGAGCCAGAAGCTCGTCGTCGTCGCCGTGTCGGGCACCGCTCCTCCCTCCATCAAGGACTGGCTCGACGACATCGACGTTGAGCGCGTGGTCAATTTTGGCACGTGGGTCGGTTCGTGGTCAACGTCGACGGGTGTTCCCGTCCCCGTGGTCGACAAGAGCCCCGACACCACGGCGAACGCGTACATTGCCAATGGGACCGCGACGGGGGTGTACAACATCCTCAGCAACACGGATCCCAAGACCAACACGTATCTCTGGCAGTACCTCCAGACCATCACTCCAGACTACAATGTCATCTTCACGGGCCACTCCATGGGCGGCGCCATTTCACCGACGCTTGCCCTAGGCCTCAAGCAAGCCGGGATGATTAGTGCTGGCCAGGCCTACGCGATGCCCTCGGCCGGTCCCTCGCCGGGCAACGCCAACTTTGTCGCGCTCTACCGTAAGCTCTTCCCCGTGACCGTCCCCCCTCAGGGCGGCGTGCCCGACTACGGCACACTCAACACCGACTTCTACAACACGGACGACATTGTGCCGCAGGCGTGGTCCATCCTGCCCACGGACGACCGCAACCTGAACAACATCACGAGCCAGATCTACACCTGGGCCAAGCTGGACACGGACTGGCTCGTGTACCTCACGGCGGTCGGGCTCGTGGGGCAGGCGACGCGGTGCTCGGCGGCGAGCAAGGTCGCGTACGCTCCGATCCCGGGCACCGCGTTCACGTCGCCGATTGACGGCGGGGTGCCGCAGATCAGCTCGTTTGCGGACCTGGGGGGCTCGATCCTGCGGAACCACACGAGCGACTACTGGACGTACATTGGGGTGCAGGCCTTTGTGGACGAGTTTGACGACAAGGTGGTCCAGCAGCCCGGGGTCGAGCCGCTGCCGGAGACGCCGATTGTCGCGGCGCCGGACAGTGCTGCTGGTGGGGCTACCGGCGTGCTGCCCGTCAAGGCCAAGGCCGGTGCGGGCTCGCTGGTCACGGTGCTAGAGCACTTGGTTGAGCCTTGAGCGGACCTGATGTGCTGAGATGTGGCAGGGGGAGGGGAGGGGGCGTGTGCTGGAGGGTATTGCAGCATATCATTCTATCCTTGGGCAGCAGTTGAACCAATTGAGTCACCATGAAAACACCAATGACGCTCTGGGTGGGGGAGTGTTGCTGTCCCAAGGGTAACATCTTGAACGATTCGAGAATGTTGTAGGATTTAGCAGTGCTGCCTGTCCAGCACTTGATGGGGACGATGAAATCCAGACCTCGACCAAGTCCGATTTGATGACGGAGAAGAGAGCCTCAGAGACCATCGAGACTGCCCCACCTGTGGTACAAAGGAGGCTCTCCAAGCTGGCACCAAGAGGGGAAGGGCTTCCTTGGACACAGCTCACGATCCGGGCGGTTCAGATCGGGTCAGGCCCATCCACCTACGCCATTACTCCGGCAGGCACGGACCCGGTTGACCGCCTCCTCGGCATGAAGCCGTTTTGGTCGCGATGCAAGCAGCACCAGCGCGGCATGTGTCAGCAGTGTCTGAGAATTTCACGACCCGCAACAGGGCACTGTGCAAAGTAAGCTGTGCCAACGGGGACACCCGCTTCCGAGGGCAGAAAAAGCCGGACGAGTCAAGACCCATGCTGTAGTGCAACCATTGCGGTTTTTTCTGTCCACCACCCTCCACACGGCACCATTGCACAGTCCGGGACCGCCTCCTGCTCCACCTTAGCTCCGATCATCACGTCAATGGTGGCGCAGGTATTGGCCAATTGCCACCCAGAGTTGTGCCATGCGGAGCCCAAGCTCGAGCTGTGCCTGGAGCTCGACCCCGCGATCTGACGTGGTCCTCGAGGTCCTCCTGCCCGCTCTGCGCCTGCTTTCAGGCCAGGGCAGGCCAAGTCAGCCCTCTCGAGGCACCGGGTCAGTCCCCCCAGCCGAAAACGTTGCATAAAAGACCCTGTGCCCCGCCCCTTGCCGCCCCTGATCTCCCGGCCGGCATCTTCTCCTCACATCCCATCTCTCCCCTTCAAACCAGAAATCAGCAATCACAGTCACAATGGCGAGACCCCAGGTTTACTTTGATATCTCCATCGGCGGTAAGCACTCCCAGACTTCCCTGGCTGCCCATGGCAGACTCCCCACGCCGTTTCCGGTGCCGGAATCGGCTCTGTTCTAGAGTGTCCCCTTGCTGACGACCCCTCTTTCGTGACAAATCAGGCCAGCCCACCGGCCGCCTCACCTTTGAGCTCTTCAGCGACATTGTCCCCAAGACGGCCGAGAACTTCCGCGCCCTGGCCACTGGCGAGCAGGGCTACGGCTACGCCGGTTCCGGCTTCCACCGCGTCATCAACGGCTTTATGGCCCAGGGCGGTGACTTCACCAAGCACAACGGTACTGGCGGCAGGTCCATCTACGGTGACAAGTTTGCCGACGAGAACTTCCAGGCCAAGCACACCAAGCGTGGCCAGCTCTCCATGGCCAATGCCGGCCCGGGCACCAATGGCTCCCAGTTCTTCATCACCTTTGATGCCACCCCTCACCTCAACGGCAAGCACGTTGTCTTCGGCGAGATTGTCGGCGCCGAGTCCGCGTCAGTCCTTGACAAGATTGAGCGGAACCCGACCGAGCGCAATGACAAGCCCGTCAAGGCGGTCAAGATCGAGGCGTCTGGCCAGCTCTAAGTCCCCCCTTACCGTTCAAAGGCTTCACCGTGCTGAAACATCGCCGGACCTGGTCATTGGCTACCTCAGAAGAAGGAAAAAAATTCAGGTGTGATTACGATGGAAAAGACGTGGCAAATTTCTAGGTCGTAGAAATCCTCAATACCAAGGACCATCATCGCCAAACTTCACCGCCTCTCGATTTGTTTCGATGCTCACATACCCTCAAAACTTCAAGCAAGACTAATGTGGAATCCGATGTCACCCCCATGCGTTTGAAATTTGAAAACATGACTGATCCTGTACCTTTGGCTGTGATTCCCAACTCACAATTATACTAGTATTCCACACGTCATCCAGTACTCCGTCATGAGCTTTGGGGAAAAGATTAGAACTGCGCCCAGGAAGATTGCGCCTCGCTCGAAATTCGAGATTGTAATAAAGTCCAATGCGATATAATTCATAGGGTTGTAGGATAGACATCGCTGAGCTGAACACGTAAAAGCCAGGCACAATGTGCGTAGGCGAGTCAATGCCAACGTCGTTAAGCGCCATACGGGCCGCGCCGGCGCCTGGCTGCATGCCGCCCTCAATCAGCCGCTTGGTCAACCGCGTCCACCATATATGGGGGTTGCTGCCTTTCCAGCCTCCCCAGGCTGACTCGTGACTGTCAAAAGCACAAACAGTGGGCACACAGAGGGGGGATTGCAAAGTGGCAGCCCCCTGGGAGCCTGCAGATAAGCGCCAGCGAATCCTGGCCCGCGTGCATGCGAGCCCCCAGCGACATCTGCCAGCGTCCAATCTCTAGCCGCCAGGGCCGGGCATGACAAGGGTAGAGTGCACCAGGCCAACGAATGAATGCTGGCCTTGAGCATGGATCTTTCCGTTGCCAACCAACACGGCGCGTCCCGTGTGTGCGCATGTTGGTTGTAGGTGCACCGAAAACCATGTTACTTGAGCTGATCAAGCCCAATCTTTTGATCTTTGCGGGAGATCTGGATCACCACTTCTCTGTGTCTCGTGCCTCACTCTTTCTTCAACGACAACACCCACACGATTCGGAGACGCAGAAGCTGCCTACCCCGTGGTTATGCTTCATTCGAGAACCAAACTCAATTATTGATTGGGTCCTTACCGAATCAATATCCAGACACCGCCATGCTGGGATCATGGCTCGCCGTCGCATGCCTCGCTGGGCTAGCGAAGGCAGAGGCGGACTGGGACGACATCACCAACAACCTCTTCAATGACCTAGCGCCGTGAGTCTGATGTCTGGACGCTCCTCTTTTGGAATGCCATGAGGCACAGGATGCTAATGTCCCTATAGAATTCTTGCCCTGTTCGGCGAGCGAGTCACAATGCAGTTCATGAGCCATGCTATTGGATGGGAGGATTGTGCCATGCTCGCGATGGCGCCGCTGGGAATCCTCACGATCATCATCAGCGCGATCCGGGTCGGCGGACCCATGTGGATGAAGGCGCTTATAGGACGTGCGAGAGAGAACATCGCAGCCGCCGAGATAGATCTCATGTCTTCAACGTCGAGAGATGTATGCGAGCTGAACAATGGAAAAGGCATCGTCAGGTGTCAGGGTTCTGCACCGGTGTGGGAGTTTATTATTCTGCTACCCGGAGACACCAGTCGAAACGACGACGCAGTACCACATACCGAATGCGAATTTGAGTTTATGACTCTGTCGGAAGCGGTCGAAGCTGGCAAGCTCGTCCAGAAAGGTGCGAAGCGGCGTAGTAGCAGTACACATGCAGCAAATTTGGTCACAGCTGACGACAATTTCGCAGAACCACGCCACTACTTTTCACGCTTCAGATCCAAGCCACGGTACCATCCATCCCAAAAGCTTCCAAGTGATTTCAGCCCTGTCGATGGCCTTAGGACGGTTCAAAGCACGGGCCAGAGGACCAATACAAGGCCGCCCTGGCTTCACAATCGTTGTTAGTTAAGACTTGTCCACCCATAGGCCTCATCTCGCTTACTATGTGCACATAGCTTCCCGAAGGCCCCTCAATGACGAAGAGAGGAATACCGTTGACAGAAAGACTCAGCCAACAATCGAAATGAGCCAGAAACCAGCATCTTCAGCATCCCCCATCACAGTCGTCTACGATACAAGAGAGGAAGCACCGAATGTGTCTTTGAATCTGCAGAACTCGACTGATCGCACAGAGATTCGAACATTTGCAATATTTGGGGTCGGACTTCAACTTGGCGCCCTAGCTTTCTTCGCTGCCATGACCTTCCACCCTACCTTTAGCTTGTCATTCACGATAGATGGCAATCCGGCTCCCGCTTATGCTTTTCCCTTGGCGGCTGGAGGCACAATACTCCTTGTGCTCGGGCTGCTTCTTTGTGCCCATGTCGTCGAGAGCAGCACAGACAAAGAGATCTACGCGCTGGCGAACGGGTCTTCACGCATGCGGATCTACTGGCTGCAGCAAGAACAGACAGTCTCAGATCAGGCTTTTGAGGCAATCGCAACGCAGCCATCGTCAGATCGATCCAATATCATCATGTCGCGACGTGGTCACGCGCACTATAGAAACTCAAGACTGGAGACGAAAACCTCGATCGGCGCGGTGATATCGATATTTGGTTTCGTTTTCCAGTTTGTTGGGTTTCGTGGCATGCATTCTGCCGCACCAATCGGCCAGCTTGTGGCTGTTGCGATCATGGCGGCCTCCCGCGCTTGGCTGAGACGCAATCTGGCACGAGGTCTTCGCCAAACCCGTCTGACGCCCGGCCATGAAGTCGACTGGTTGGCAATAGAGCTGGAACGTTTGTCACGAAACTTGCACAAGCGCGGTTGCACCGATGAGTCCGACACGTCCTTTGTTGACAAACGGGGCAATCCAGTACTAGGCACATGGTCTATTGATCCAAGCTTTTCCTGCACGTACAGCAACGCAACAGAGCGGCATGGAACCGAGAAGCAGAAAGAGTTCTTCGGCAACAATTCGAGTTCCGAAGGTCCCTGCCATAGCTGGCAGCCACCCTGCGATGAGAAAAATGCCCGTGAATATCCACTGCCTTCATCATCAGTCTCAAGAGTTCTCGAGTTGCGGCGTGGTCTGGCCAGTCTTGCCCAGATCCGAGGCGCAATGTCGCAAGACGCCGTCAGCTTAGCGAGCACCATAAGCAAGACCATGGATGTCTTGTTGGATTCCATGGAACCTGGGGAAGAGAGTCAAACACTGCGAGCTCAACTTTATCGGCCATGGCTCCTGCCGGCAGAGTTTCGGATACCTGAATCTCGTTCGTGCGGGCGGAAGGAGATGGCTGTCGTCATTGAAGATACCATCAATGGCCACACACGTTACTCGACCTTGGCTGAACAACTAGACGCAATACTCTCACTGTGGCTGTACTCGACAGCGGTGTCTCGAACCACAACAAGCCAACGACAGCCTTCTAAGTGGACAGTGGGCCAGGACGATGCATACAACCCGCAACAGTACGACGACTGGCTGCGCGGTTCACTGGCACCCCCGGGGTTCATGGTGATTGCTCAAACCACAAGGCAAGCCGTTTGGCCGTTGATATACGAGTCCTTATGCTGGGCACCACAGGGCCTGCAGAGGTTACTGCTGGTGTCCAGGAACGAGAGTAACCACCCAGGCCTCATATCACGCGTTCAGCGTTCGCATCTGCCAGCCTTTGATGATTGGGCAGTACAGCAGCACGCGCTAAATGAGACAAGACCACCAATCTCGGCCTATTGCTTCCAAGACGTTTCCGTCTCTACCGCGAAAGACGAGCTACAGCGCTTTTCTGCTGCTGGAGGCACTGCGTTGTTTGACGATACAGCCGGGAAGGATATCGTCAGTCTCGTTGTCTCGTGCCAAGACCGACCTGGAAAGCTATACTCACGGGTGCTCTTCCAACATTTCCTTCACTGCGTGGCTCGGCGCCTTCCCGACCAGCTCAAAGGCAAAACTCAGAAGCGGAATCCGGCCACTGGGTGGGCGGGCCCCACGCTCACACATCTCGGAAACGACTACATTGACGCGCTAGTGACCGTCATGGTGCAGAGCGGGTACGGAAGCCAGCAAGAGGCATATCTTGCGCTGGTTTCAGCTTTCTGGCTAAGCGGAGCGCTCCCATTCCCTGAACAAATCTTTGACGATGCCTGGGACCGAGTACTCGGGCGTGATGGTACTGCTACTTCAGGTCGACATGATGCCGTCACCTTGGAGGCAATCGCGACCATCAAGAATGCGGAGAAGCTGCATGATTTCTTCCTCCTGACAACGAGCCATATGTATGGCAACAAACACTTTCTCAGGAAAGGTCTGGGATTCATGTTCCAAGTTTTGTACATGATTGACGACAAGACACGTAAGGAGGGCTATCCACACAAGGGAGAATTTCTTCCGTCGATCATTCGGACGAACTTCGATAAGCCAGGAAGGCTGAACAAACATATGGTGTGGCTTGATGAGGAATACGGCCAGCGCCAAAGACGGAAGTTTTTGAAGTTTTTCGCAGAGTTCATAGGAGAGCCGGGTCGGGCACCTTCTTACCCTGCTCGGAGGCGAGCGAAGCGGCATGACCCCAAGCTTTGCCCACCGTAAGTTTGCCTTCCTGTCATGAGACCACGCAGAAGCTCAATACTGACTACGAGGGTGGTAGATCCCACCACTTGGCGCATGAGGATGGTCCATATTACAACGGCGCCTGGGACAGCTCGCATGGTCGTGCACAAGACGGTGGCGACATTTTTGGATGGGGCGAGCTGCATTATATCGCCGTCAATTGTGCCTGTAATCCTGCGGATGCCATTCTCGGTGTTGACGGGTCAGCCTTCCAGCAGAGAGACCCTCGAGGCTACACCCCTCTGCACTTCGCGGCGCAAGCAGGGAACCTTTCGGCAGTGAACGCATTCATCGCAGCAGGCGCACTCGTAGACTCTGCGAGTGTGGACGGAATGACACCCTTGCATGTTGCCGCGCAACACGGATGGGTCAACATCGTTCGCACTCTTGATGGGGCTCGTGGAGCACAAACCGACACGCCACTGCGCCATCTCAAGGACGATTTAGGCTGGCGGCCAGTCGAATGGGCCGTCCTTGGCAACCACAACAAAGCGGCCCAAATCCTCCTCAGGAGGGTCAATGATCAGCCTGAAGAATTAACTCTCGCCACGGATGTAGCTGTTTACGAGCACAGCCTGCCCTTGATTGACGTCCTTTTCGGCCGCGACAACGGGGCTGACATGCGAGAGTTTGTGATGCTCAGAAACAAATACGTCCCGCGAGCCTGCAGAGACAGACATTGGTCAGCGGTAGTTCGCCTGGTCAATCAAGTCGGCAAATCCTCTTGGGCACCTCAAATCCGCATACACGACGTGTGGAATGCCATAGCTAGATATGATCTTCCACCTGGGTTAGCTCGGATGATGCTCACCGGAACGAAGACTGATCTCTACGAGTGCGGGTCATTTGGCGAGTGGGAAATGGCCCTGGCAAGGGCTGCAAAGTTCCGGAGTCCAACGCGGTTGAAGATCATCCTCGACTCCGTCCTCCTCGAGGGTCGCTATGACAAAGCGGAATGGGACTTCGGACAAGAAAAAGCTCAACAATTCCTCGTCAACAACGTGCGCCCTTCTCAGCAGCCATCCGGTGGAGCTCTGGAATGGTTCGTGGATGGAAGAGATCCACCACCACTTACGGAAGCTGTTCTAGCGTTAAGAACCAACAACATAGAGGTCTTGCTGAAATCCGGCGCCGCGCCAGACAGGCCATCGTCCGAGTTCGGAACGGCCTTGCAATCGTTGCAGACACTCGCCGGCAAACCGGTCAGAGAAACAAGAGTTCTGGCCGTCGTTAAGCTGCTCGTCGCACACGGCGCTGCGATTCGGGATAAGAACGGACTGCCGCCAAAAGGACTAGAGGTATTTCCTCAGGTTTGGCAGTACCTCCTCAATGCTCAGGAGGCGAGAGACGGGCCCTCGGTCGAGTCTACACCAGAGCAACAGGGGGAAGCTTTCCAAAGGGGGGCGACTTGACCATGCGAAAAGTCAAGAGTCGACATTTGAGAGAGACGAAAGTATGACTATGCAATAAGGGCGCTGTCCAACGCTATTTGTTGAATTCTCTGAAAGCGTTACAGATTCCAGCTGGTTAATGGAGTCGTTAATTTTGGTGGCAAATCGCGTAACACTTCCCTTGCATACCCTCAAAGCACAAGCAGTTGAACAACAGTTGGTGGCATCCCTCGCCAATCAGGGTTTAGATCATGTCGCTATGTAATGAAGCTGTCAATGTTGATTCCAGCAACTCGATTTCGTTCCCAAGACTAGCGAGGCTGTAGGCAGAAACAAAGCGACCAGCGGTACAGCGACCTGTCCAACCTCTCGTCGGCACTAGTGCGGGGGAATCGGGATATGGTTGTGCCTCTCCACGGGAACAGAGCTGTCTCCCGACCTGAAGCCTTAAACAAGGTCCCCCAATCGGGGTCAGAAGTTTCCCCGATGTTTTCCCAGCAGCCTCCAACTATTCCCTGTCGTCGAGGACCCGGCAAGATGGAGATCGGCAGCTGCGAAAGCAACCCCCGCTTGCCCCTGACCAATCGCGAACTGCATTGTGCGGATGCTTCCCCGCAAAAGTGGCTGAGGTTTTCTCCGCTTCATTCCTTTGGGTGGAGAGGGGACAGGGTAAAAGCGCATGACGCACTGGTTTGTAATTGAGCATGCGGGTGCTCTGTTTTTCGCTCAGTCGTCTCGTTCAGGCTGCCCACAACCTGAATGCATGCCGCTTTTGCAGTCTTTGAGGCACCGAGAAGGCCCGATGCTGCCTCTAGGACATGGTGTAGAAACTGACGGCCCGACAGTCCTTCAATGCTACTGTGACACCCCGACTGTCTTGTTATGACGCCCTCAAGCGCCAGAGCGCCGTAAGAGACCTGCCGGGTCCTCCTCATCAAGACCCGTCCAAGTTTCCAGTATTGTGAACCCGAGTGGAGAGTAATTGCCCCAAAGCTCGCTTCGGTTGCTTTCTATCCATGACAGCCTTGGATCATCATATATGCAAGCTTGTTTCTTTCTTCTGCGCCGACTATTCCATCCCACGTGAAAGCGGCCCAAAATCCCCGCATCAACAAGGTCGGCCTCGGCGGTGGGGTTCTTTCTGAAAAGGCAACCGGGCACTTTGTGCCGAAACTTGCTAAGGCTGTCACCGCCGGAAGCCGCCACTTCCCCACACGTCATCACCTTAACTCAGAGCATGTTCCGTCGGCTCTTTCTGGGCGAAGGAGGGGAAGAGACCCCGGTACCCCGAGTCATTATTCCCCACGTTCCCCAAGTCGCATTGGCAACGGCCCGATTAACGGTTTGCGCTAGACCGGGGTCTCGTCTGGAGAAATAGAGTATCGTCACTACCTTTTAGTCTGCTCTCAAGGGCTTTTGCCTTGCACTGTTGTGGGGAAGGACCTGCGGACCCAGTTTGTCGGAACTTGTCATCACGAGGACCGGTACTTGTGTAGATCACAGCTGCCGATGGCATTAACCACGCAGGCGTCTTGGCACACTATATAACGTGACGTAGGGCACTCCGTTGGCTTTGCTAGTCGTCCCTTTTGATCTGTGTGCCGTTGCTGCCAGAGCATCTTTCCCTTTGAGAAAATCCTTGAGCACAACACACGGGACACAATGGCTCCCCTCCAGACTCTGCTGGCGTCCGCCCTAGCGGGTCTGGCCACGTTCGGCTCGTCCACGGCGATCCTGTCCACAAGACGCCATGACGCCGACCCGACCGTTCAGATCAAGAATGGCACGTACCGGGGCGTGCACTCGGCGCAGTACAACCAGGACTTCTTCCTCGGCATCCCTTACGCCCAGCCGCCTGTCGGCAACTTGCGATTCCGCCAGGCCCATTCACTCAACGAGACGTGGGACGGCGTGCGCGATGCCGTCGAGTACTCGAAGGAGTGTGTTGGCTACGGAGTAAGTGAAAACGGCACGGCCGTATAGTGCTCCCTCAAAACAGCAGGCTGACAATCATATCTCCCAGTCCGACCAATGGCCGTACGAGGTCTCGGAGGACTGCCTGACTCTCAACGTGATCCGCCCTGCTGGCTGCTCCGAGGACGAGAAGCTGCCTGTGGCGCTGTGGATCCACGGCGGTGGTTTCTACATGGGTGGAAACCCAGACCAGCGGTACAACACGTCCTTCATCATCCAGCAGTCCGTCGAGCTCGGCAAGCCCATCATGACGGTCGCCATTAACTACCGCCTCAGCGCCTGGGGCTTCCTCGCAGGCGACGACCTGCTCGGCCAGGGTCTGCTCAACATGGGCCTGCGTGACCAGCGCCTTGCCCTGCATTGGGTCCAGGAGAACATTGCCGCTTTCGGTGGTGACCCGGAGAGGGTGACGATCTGGGGTGAATCTGCCGGTGCTGCCTCTGTTGGCTTTCAGGTAAGTTAACTCGATGTTGCGAGCTTCCCCTGATCAATGGGGGCTTCATCGACGACAACATAGAAGACCAACTGACAAGGCTCGCTTCCACGATACAGATCCAAGCATATGGCGGCCGAGACGACAAGCTCTTCAGCGCCGCGATCGCCCAGTCGGGTGGCCCGATCCACTACGGCGCGCTGCGCGGCACGCAGGCCTTCCAGCAGTCCTACAATGCAGTCGTGAACGCAACCAATTGCACCGACTCCTTTGACAAGGTCCAGTGCCTCCGTGAAGTGCCCTTCGAGACCCTCAACACCATTTTCAACGGCACGCTAGGCAACAGCTTCGGCCCAAGCCTCGATGGTGACTTTGTCCAGAACTACGGCTCCATCCAGCTCGAGCGCGGCGACTTTGTCAAAGTCCCGCTGCTCATTGGCGCCAACACCAACGAGGGCCGTGGCTTCCTGGGCCCCATCAAGGTCAACACGACCCAGGACTTCCGCAACGTGATCGGCTCCGGCACCGGCGCGGCCAGCGGCGCCGACGTGCCCAGCGGCTTCAAGGACCTCCTCGTCGAGGCGTATCCGAACAACTGGACCGAGCTGGCCATCGTGGACCCGGCCGAGACCTGGATCGGCGACTCGCGCGGCGCCAACTTTGTCCGCGCGGCCGCCTACCAGGGCGACTACTCGTTCACCGGCCCGCGCCGCGGCGCCAATGAGATGTGGGCCAAATGGGGGATCAAGTCGTACGCGTACCGCTTCAATGCGATCGCCACGCTGCTGAACAACGGCATCGGGCACTTCACCGAGGTCATCTACGTCTTCAACAACCTCGACGCCGTCGGTTACCAGAGCGTCGCGGGCACCTTCAAGGGCCTGCCAGAGTCGCACAAGGAGCTGTCGACGTTCATGGCGCGCAGCTGGATCGGCTTCTTCACGGAGCGCGACCCGAACGCGTGGGCTGGCCGCGACGCCGGCGTGGATGCCTGGCCCGTGTATAGTCTCGAGACCCCGGAGGACTTTGTCTTTGACGCGAACGTCACGAGCCATGTCGAGCCGGATACCTTCCGCAAGGAGGGCATCAAGCTGATCAACGACAATGCCGCGGGTATTTACCACCGATAGGTCTTGGAGAAAATTAGTAAAAGTGCGATGAGAATCCTAGGGGTTTATTTCCTCACAATTTCCCTTCGTAGTACCATAGTAACGAAATCTTACGAATAACTGAGATATGATCTGGAGTATTCCAATTATTACGGATTCACCACTAGTCGTTGAAATACGCTATATTAGAATGCGGTTCAAGGAAGCATTTGCATTGATTAAGCTTAACCACTAGTGTGTAGTGCTATAATATGTATATGCCTATGCCTCGTGTCGTTTGGAGTGTCTCGCGAATAATACGCTTCCTTGTTGCTGAATGAACTTTTCTCGGCATACAAGAGACCCTGTCAAATCTGAATATCGTATAGAGGTCTGGGCCATCTAAAGCATCTTCACAAGAAAACAAGAGAATGTGCTGTTGGTGCCACTACTTCGTGCGGCCTCGACAGAATGGACCGATGTACACTGTAACCCACAAGTCAAGTCCACGGCCTCCATAGCCTCTCGAGAAGTACCCTCATGATCGACTCTGTGCACTCTGTATTTCTCTGGCCGCTGATCTCAGGGTAAACGGTGTTCGACTTGTCCTAGTTTTGGCACAAGTATCTCGGACCCAAAGGGCACACCTGCTTGTTTGGTACCAAATCAACATTTAATAAACGATGGCGACTCTTGTATCACGACGGATGTTGGGACAGTTTCTATCGTAAGGCTCATCACCGATGCATATGCTATGATCACGCAGTGACAAACTGAGTTTTTCGTCTATGGTACTTCTACTTCTCCCGACATTACAAAAGGTTGTCGCCACGTCTTCACCATTATCCCCCTCCTCGTTGTCCATTGAGAGCCGCAGCCGACTCAAGCGGATAATGATCTACTGCTTGTAGCAAGAGGTGCGGAACTGAGCGTTCCAGCCACTGACAGTGGCGTACTTTCCACCGGCGGCGCAGGCGGTACCAACCTCGAGAGGGTTGTTTGGGTTGGTCGCACCATCGGCGCGGTGGGCGTTTGTGCACCAGCGCTGGCAGTCGAGGTTGCCAATCGCGGGGTCCTAGCGGATGAGAAATAAGCCAAATTAGCATTCAATACGTCTTTTGCCTTTGTTTCGTTCTTCAGGGGGGCTTCTCACCGAGTAAACGCAGCAGTGCGAGCCGTCCTGGAAGAGGCACTGGCAGAATTGGGCGGCTTGGGCGGTGATGGCGCTGGCGACTAGAAGAGAGACGAGGGAGAAGATGCGAACCATTTTGGCGGTTGTGAGAAGTGTGAACTAGTAGAAGGTTGTGGAGTGAAGGAGTGAAGTGGATTGAGGATCGGAGTTTCGCTGCTGCACAAACAAGAACCCCAATCCAAAAACTGGGTGGTGCTCTGAGGTTTATATATCCGTAAGGTGATATAGGTATCAATCTTCTATGTACTTTTACCCACACTATTGATTGCGTGTAGCGGCTGGCCCAGCGACGCGTCTCCCCAGACTGAAGTCACAGGTCAGCCACGTGTCGCGAGCCAACGTCCAGCGACGTCGGCATGCAAGCGTCGAATGAACTGACTCGCAAGTCTTCCGAATCGCAATCTCCCCTGCCGAGACCCAAGCTTGTTAAATTCGCTCAAACCACGGTCGGTATAGCAGCGAGGGATCAAGGATCAAACGTGGGTGGCTCAGATATGTGCTCACAGGTCACTATGAACCCGCTACCTCTGTGAACGTCGTTCGGTGAGGGGGAAAGTCCATCTCAGCGGGCCTGCCCCGGGCCCGAGTGGTTGGATCTAGATGATGCAGTGGAGCTGGCCCCGCCCTGTCTCTTTCGACCGCAGGCTATATGGGTGTCTGTGAGGTCCGGGGGTATCTGTGGGTGCCGGTGTGTAACTTTCCGTGACAGCTCCCGTGACCCAGCTTGCCGGGTGACACCCTACAAAACAGGTTGGACCCTGCAGCCGGCTGTCGGTATATGACTCGAGTAACGACAAATCCCTCAACCTGCATTCTGCCGACAGTTTCTCCAAGTAGGCCAGAGGTGTGGGGAGCAGCATACGCACCCCGCAATACGGGCGGGCCGACAATCTGGCAGAGGCCAGGGGCCAGGAATCCAGGGGCAAGACGTGCCGTAACGCTATCGCCCATGCGTCAAACCGTTTGCGCTAGCTTGCTCATCGAGACTCAAGATTGACTGCGAGTCGCGTCCCTGGCCCTGGCAGTGACTGACAACCGTATCCCGGCATTCTGGATTGGATCAGTAACCAAAAGGCGCCTGGAAGTCTGACCAAAATTACGCGCTCGATTACACACGACTCAGGCTGCTCCCCACTCTATTCTCGCGCGCCTGAGATGCATCACCATAAGCAACTAATGAGAATGCTGACTATCGGACAGACCATGATGCAAACACGAGGGAACTGGGCAATCTTTTGGTTCGCATTCGTGAAGTCGACCCTGACGATCAATTTCCCCCTTTCGGACAATGAATGACAAGAGTCACGCTGAAACAAAGTGCTCGGTCTAATTATCTGTGCGCTGTTCTGAGCTGCTGGGACATGGGTTGAACGGCGTGGCATGAAGACACTTGTGGTAAAGTGTCTGGTGCAATGGAAGCTGCGGTAAAGCTGTTCACGTTTTTGCGCCCCACAATGGAGTCGGCCGTGCGATTTATCTGCTGCTTTAGCTAACCATAGAAACGCATTTGTGATGGAATATCATACGCTTGTCGTCTTTATAAAGCTGCAGCAGCCCTCCTAAAAGCCCATCACAGCAGGTCCATCAACCCCTCGTGCACAAAAACCACCTCATCGCTCACAAGTCTTACCAACCTTGTATTTTCACTCAACTACAAATCGACCTCCAACAACGACAAAATGGTCCGGCTCTCTGTCTTTGCGGTCATCTTCGCCGCCGTTACTTCCGTGGCTGCTGACGGATACTGCCAATGCCTCTTCTCGGATGGCTCCCACTGCTGCGTTACTGTGAGTCAATTATAACCTCGGCAAACTTAATTGAGATACACAAGCAACCAAGTCTAACATGGACTAGCAATACGGCATCAATAAGAACTGCCAGGAGCGTTGCCTGAACAACGGGAGCTACAAACACCAGTGCAACGCTGGTGGGAAGTACTCGGACGTGAGCGGGTGGAACGCACAGTTTCGCCTGTCCTGCGAGGACTTCACGATCGGCTAAGCGTTATGGGCGAATAGTGGTTGGGAGGGCTTGCACAGGAAAGAGCAGTAGACAAACTATTAGCTGGGTTGTGTCCTGAGTACAGACACCAGCAGTCCTTTTCCATAGACTTTACACATACATCGCATGTCACGCACAAATTCAGAACTATTTGCTTCCCCTAATTTTAATCTATCAAATCCCGTCACGCTCATCACAGTGATCAGATAAGGGTTTCTCTCTTGTGCACACAGCCCATTAGTCGATGTTGGCTATACTGACTCCCAAGTACGATTGGAGCAATTACGTACGCGGGCTGCATCGTGGCCTGCCCCATTATCCCTACAGGCGAATGATACAGTCACCGTCTCGTAGCGGTGGAGACCACTCTGGCGGCCATGGCTGATGGGCGTTTGCCTGCCCTAATACACTAGCCCCCATCTTCACTGCAACAGCACGGTTCATTCGTGGTTTGGTGGAGACCTCGGTGTCGAGTCGATACCTTGACGTCCAGTGGCACAGAGGTGGCGCGTCGATATGATCTGTGCATAGTCCCTGACACTACGTGGCGCAACGCCTGAACGTTCTTTATCCTGCAGGCAACCGTGCTCACCACATCGGGTATCGCGGCAGCCATTCGTGCTCCTAATGACCTCGATATCTGATACTGAGTGTTTTCTATACGAGATGTACTATTCCGACCTTTCTCAGATAGGGCTAAACCTAAACCCTATTTTATTACCACGTCACAATGCACTTATTGCTGGCTTCATTTCTCTTTCGATGCTTGACTCAGCATTGAGCCGCAACTGACTCGATGAGACCCACTCAGCCTGAAGTAGTTAATGACGGGGGCAGCCTGGCTGGAGACAGGGGCCTGGCTCGCCTTGTCAGCGGCGGCAGTTACCGTTGGCAGCTCCGCAATTTGAAACGCTCGTGGTGTTTAGCCCTAATTATCTAGCGCGCTCTGGCCCGTTGCGCATGTTGGCACCTTGGTGGTTGAAGCAGGGTCCGTGGGTTGGTAAGGTTCCAGGCCTGCCCGAGGTCCCTGTCTCTCAGCCGACTGATGTCGATGGGGCTGCAATGCTTGACCCCCCTGAGCTGGCGGAAGCTGTCACGGCTAACGGCGCGCACGTGGCTTCAGTCAAGCTCTGCCAAGCTCTGATAAGCTCTGCTGAGCTCTGCAATGGGAAAGGGATCGTCCCTTCCCCGGCTTATCTTGGAACATCCCCAAGGGTCAGCACAAGGGTCGGGCTGCCGTTCTCTGCAATATACTTGGCCCTAGTAACGCGCGATTCATGCGGCCTTTACCGTCAGGGTGGCCGTCGTTCAGATAGTGCCACAAACCTTCGTATCGGCCTGACTGATTCCACGGAGGCTAGCGCCTCGTTATTGTCATGACGAAGAGCCTTCCCAAAGCAACACAAGCGTATTCTTCTAGGCCACGTGGGCTCGCTCACAGGTTGTGTAGATCTCAGTGCAGACCCCTTCGTGAAGTCGCGCAAATCCGTATATGACTCGTCTCAAGTGGTCTTTTGGTCTCTTAGTGTGTTGCACTTTATAAGGATGGAGTGTCCTCTCATCATTCTGCTGGAGCCGTTATAGATAACCATTTCCACGTCATTCATACTCACAAGCCCACATTTTCAATCCAACCACATCGTACTCATCAGCGCCAAACATGGTCTCCTTCCTCACCATTTGCACCGTACTCGTTGCTAGTGTAGGCAGCGTTGCTGCTTCATACTGCCAGTGTCTTTACCCAGATGGCAGCCACTGCTGCGTTATTGTACGTTGTTCTCATGTGTCACTTCAAACTCCAGCTTGACCTACTCACCATTATGGCGTTTCTAGGACAACCAGGTCAATGATTGCACGAGAATGTGCTTGAAAGCGTCTCCGGACCATACAACCGCGTCGCAGTGCAACGCTGGTGGAAAATTCTCGAACGTGAGCTCGTGGAACGCCCAGCACCGCCATCAGTGCGAACCGCCCTTCATCTTCTAAACCCCGCAATGCATTTGCACCACCGACAAGACTTGTGCGAAGGCGTTTTCTATACATAATTCCATCGAAGAAAGACCGACAGTAGGCTTTTCTGGGTCCAGGAGGCGTATCGACGAGATTACTTAAGTGTGGAGAAAGGCCATGATCTGATGTGATAGGATATCTTGTAGTTGGTTGAATGAGCAGTCGGGGCTTGTTGAAAGTATTTTAATGGCCCTGCCAGGCTCTGCGAGTCATGTGATTGTTTTCTTTTTGGGGGAGCCTGTTGTGGAAGCAGTGCTGGGTATTATATGACTTCTACTCTGCAAGCTCCCAGCTGCAGTAATGACATCAGTGCAGATCAGAAATGAAGGATTGGCATTTCGGCAGGCACCTGGAACGGCTGCATCGATCTCTGCGAGGCGCTACATACCTTCTAAGCCCTCCCCTGGAACCCCAGAACCGGCTTCTGCCGTTGCTTCGCCGGCGCTCATGGGATTCGCCCTACTGGCGACGACGTAGCCGCCATCCTCCGACGTGCTTCGTGCTCCGTCGTCGTAGATCATACGAGTCTTGTCCGACAGGAAACCCTTTTTCAATCCGAGTGAGGATACTGCTACAACGACCAGAATCACAGTTGCTCTCTGCTGAACTCGCCATGTTGTCGTTCTGTCGGACTGTTGGCTCGTTTTCACGAATAACTAGTACGCCGAGGCAGAGAGGAGCAACGATGGATTGTTCGCGTAGCTCCACGATAACGGTCTGGAAGACAAGCTGGGACTAGATCTTGAGTGGACAGTGATCGAAGACCGCGCGGTCCTCGAGAATTCCCCCAAAGATGCTGTCCAAGCGCGTTTTCTCGAGTGGGTGAACGACCGCTCTGTCGAGCTGGACGGTGAAGGGGCGGACGCACCTTGGCTTGTCGAAGACCTGCCTAGATTCAGATACTGCCTCTACGTCGACGAGGTGTGCTTCAATAACCTTACTGCCTTTCCACCAGCTGGGACAGTGGACGCGCAATGGTGCCTTCATGGAGGAGAAGTCATCATGATTGACGGCACCTATGAACACGACGATGCTGGAGATGGCGGCTATGAACCAGTCGAAGGCAACATGGACTACCATGTCGGATGGGCAAAAATAAATGTTATCGGCCTCGCTGAGTTATGCTCGCTTCTGTCGTGCAGCTCTGGCAATGAGATGTGGATGGTGGTGTATCGCGGACATCGTCCAGACACTCAAACCAAACTTGACATAACGTGTGGCAAACCGCTTCCAGTGGTTCGAACCATTTGGCGTACCGTACGGCAAACGGATGAAGGGAAACGCCGAGGTGTAGACACTGAGCAGTCCTCGGGCAAGGCTTTCAAGCAGCAGAGGTGCAGCAGAGTTTAGCATCAGCATGGAGTAGCCTCGTGCTATCAAGTTGCCATTTGTCCATTTCAAGCACATCGTAGCACTGCTTTCGTCCATAGCCAGCTCAGCAATTGAAAATCTCCAACCCGAGCCACTGCCTAGAATTTCGTGCCGGGCATGAGGTCGGATTTATGCAGGCAGGGCCATGGCAACTTCGGCGCTAAGCGGGGATGCGAGCTTCGCAATACGAGGGCCGGATCCGACTCCTCTTTAATCCGGGGTATGGTGCCAACGGCGAACGGAGCCGACGTCAACTCGTGCAGCACTAGAATCTAATCTTATCAGATCGCCGAGAAGACCATACCCCAGAGCTCGGAGGAGATTATCTGGGCAGTCTGACATGCATCTTATCTCCTTACGGCGTATGCGTGATAGGCCCCATGAACCCCTGTTCACCACCATGACCACCCCTGCACCGCCAATTGGAATGCCTGCGTGCGGCTTCGGCTTCGGCTTCAACGGGGTGGGAGATAATTCATATAACTTGCTGTCGCCCAGCAGAACCTTTCTGCTGTTGAAATGGGAAACTAGCTTGGCTCATTCTTATTGTCCATCATTTAGCGATATTTTCAATCTTTGTATTTCTGAGCTGCCGTCTAGCACCATCGCACGACTGGGCAGGCGACACACAACCATACAAGGGTTGTGCCGGCGTCAAGACATTACGATTTGTTAATGGCAGAGCCCAGCATGAAAGAGACAATCACAGCATCCAGTTCAGATGTGGAGTCCGCGCTGCCCAAACCTCCAGGTGGCGAGCCGGATCAGCCGCGCCAGGGTAAGGAGAAGGTTCGTTGCCCCAGCGAAGCCGCGGAAACACGGTAGCTTACCAAGTTGTCTGACAATGTGGCCGATAGCAACCCGTCGTCTCGTCATGGACTACCAGCCCCTACAACCCATACACATGGCCGACATCTCGCAAAGTCACAATCATCCTCATTGTCTCGCTCAGCCACCTCGCCACGACCATGTCCGCCAGCATGATGGCTGCATCGCTTGAGCAGATCGCTGCAGAGCTCCATATGGACCCAGCGACGACCCTCCTGGCCTCAAGCATCTTCCTGCTCGGACTTGGGTTCGGCCCCTTCCTCGTCGGCCCAATGTCCGAGCTCTATGGCCGGCGACCTGTGTGGCTCCTGTGCAATTGCTGGTATCTCCTCTGGAACTCCCTTTGCCCGGTGGGCAGGTCGTCAGGTATGCTCATTGCGAGTCGACTAATGGCTGGCTTTGGAGCATCATGTGGTATAGGGGTACGTTTGCCGTGCCGATCTCTGCAACACGTACACAATTCAGGGTGTGATACTGACCTATGTTGGGGGAAACAGCTTCTCGGCCCTGTCTCTGCAGACATGTATGGGGCATCAGAGCGTGGCAAGTCCATCGCCATCGCCACCTTTCTCCCGTACATCGGACCCGCACTCGGCCCCATTGTTGGCGGCCTGGCTTCCGAACACATTCACTGGTCCTGGACGTTCTGGATCTTGTCCATCTTCAATGCAGTCGCCACTGCAGCAGGCTTCTTCCTCATCAAAGAATCGTATGGTCCAATCGTGCAAGAGCGACACGGGTTCCTTTTATCGAGCCCCTCCAACCTCACCATTGGCCAGAAGATCAAGAACAATCTCCTCCGCCCAGTGCGAATGCTCATCTTCCGCCCCGTCATCCTCTTCGTCTCGTTCAATATGGCCCTCGACTTCGCTGTGTACTTCCTCGTACTCTCCACCTTTGCCACGCTCTGGATCGAGGAGTACAACCAGTCCGAAAGCACTAGCAGTCTACACTACATCGCCATCACGCTCGGTGCGACTGTGGCAACTCAGATTGGAGGACGGTTGATGGACGCGACATACAAGACACTATCTACACGTGCGCAAACGAAAGCACGAGCAGCTCAAGAACCAGAGTCGGGAGATAGCCATACCCAGAGAGAAGAAGAAGAAGAAGTAGTAGCACACATAAACCCCGAGTTCCGCATCCCGTTCGTCATTCCCAGCCTTATCCTCACCCCCGTGGGGCTACTGTGGTACGCGTGGACCGCGGAACGGCACGTCCACTGGGCGGTCGTCGACCTGGGCATCGCCGTGTTCACCCTGGCGAATTTCATGTTCAGCGCGGGCTTCCAGGCGTACATGCTCGACGAGTTCAGCGGTGGTGGTGGTGGTGGTGCCTCAGCGGGGAGTGGTAGTGGTGGGAACACAGCGGCCTCGGCGACGGCGGCGGTCAAGCTGCTGTCGTATATCCTGGCTTTTGTGTTCCCGCTGTTCGCGCCTAGGATGTACGAGGTGCTGGGGTACGGATGGGGAAACACCCTGCTGGCGCTGCTGTTTGCCGGGTTGGCTGTGCCCTCGGCTCTGGTGGCGTGGATTTGGGGTGAGAAGTTGAGGGCGCTGGGAAGGGAGAGGGTTTAAGCTCGACAGCGATGCTAATGCCGAGGGTTCGGGGCGGAACTGGATCGTGTGCTTTCTTCACAGGCAATGACGAGCCGTAGTCTGGTAGTGGTGCATGGTTGCGTTGCATTAAGATGCAGTTTAGAGGACTCCAGAAAGTCTTCAATTATCTCGTACTGCAAGTTTCGTGGCGGAAGTGGCGCGGAAGCCTGCCTTCGTCCGTCGCGACAAGACAGCCGTGAGGATGGGGGACTTCACATCTGCTAATATGGAACTCGTAGGCTTCCCTCCAACATCGGCTCGTGTTGTGCGCCCGAGACAAATTGTCGGCTTGCTTGAGTGCCAGATATTGGAAGACAACCCATTTCTGGCCCAGTATCTTGTGCATGCAGGCATCAGCAAAGTGTCAAAAATCGAGAGATCCGCGATCATAAACATGTTTCGTCGCCCGACATTCTCCCTGCACTTTACAGAGAATCGTAATAGGGGACCGTCAGAATTAAGGCCCAAATGAGTCTGCGGGAAATTCCGCAGCAACAGTGTGTCAAGAGGTCGCTACCCGTTGTTACTTGATTCCGATTTTAAAATCAAAGGTTCAGTACTTTCCACTCCAAACGACGTTAGATCTCGCCCGAAAGATGAGTTCAATTGAGATGACGCGACCTTCTCTCAAAGCGAACATGATCTACGCCGGGAGGAATCTTGTTTTTGCCTTTCTCTAGGGGCCAGGGAGTGGGGTGTGATCGACACCGTTCCCATCTCCGTGGCTGCTGTCACTCTGACTGAAGGAGGGTCGTATGCTTCCAGAGGTTGCGCATGCTATGCTCTCCACGACGGCTGTGGACCTGATCGGAGCTTCCTTACACAGCAGTGCGGTGTACCGATCTCAAGGTCCCGATCCAAGTTTCTCCCCTTCGCATCATTCTCCGGGATGGTCGGTGGTCCAGGGCACAGACTTTTCACATCTCAGGTGTCGTGAAAGGTTCAGAGCCTGTCTCATTTACCCGGAAGTATGATTCTCTCGCGTAACGTTCTGCATTTCCAGATGCCTTCGATATCGCCAGTCAGACATTCTCGTGTTCTAGATTTCGGACTGTCGGGCGGATAGATCGATCCATCTCCTATATCAGCGAGACCCTGCAAACCTGTCTCTAATCGTGTCTCGTGCGGAGCCAAGACACGCCACACCAACTGCCCCGCGCAGAATACTCTCACGCTCTTGTCCTCTGCAGCCTCACTCTAACTTTTGACGTGCCCCCCACCGTCGAGGGCTCACAACAGGCCTGCCTTGTGAGGGGCTATGGCTGCTCTGGATCCGCTGTGATCTACCCGCCTGACTCCTCTCCCTTGCATGCACGTTGACGTGCATCACACTGCACATGCTTGATGTCTCGCACCGACGGCTGAACCCGCTGCGGAAATGCAGCAACAGAACATGCATCCACTCTCCGTCGTGGCTTGAGACTAAGACTGACAATGTGGTTCTTCATGGCCTCAACTCATAGGCTTAGATTTTCGCCTAGGGTGCCTAGTGCCATGGTCAACGGACGTCAACTTTGTGCCGTTAGCACCTTGCCCCCCCCCCCCCCCCTTTCTCGGATCAAGCCGAACTGTGGACCCTTACTGGTTGGAGCCATCTCCAAAGGGCAGGTTCCAGGTTCCAGACCGTGGTGCGACACTCGATACGGAGGCAAGGCGATGGAGGCGAGAAGAGGAAGTGGGGCCATATTAGAGGGAAGGCTCGCGAGCACGTCGGTCATCAAGGAGCATCAGGACCGAGGCGGACACTGATGATGTGCAGTACGCCATCGGGATGAGTCTGTTATGTCATCATGAAGCCTGGCAGGCTGTGTCTCGGCCCCAGAAGCGGCTGAGGAGATCAGGACCTTGTCCTTTTGGCCTTGAACCTAAGACACCAGACACCGCCACGATTCCTTGACAGCTCGCCCTTTCTTGGTGAGCCGACCTAACAAAGGTTACGACCTAACAAAGGTTATGTGGACCTGCCACGTAGGCTAGCTCGGGCGAAAATGGTACAGCTCTATTACGAAAAGTCCATTCTTTGCCCATGGGTAGGATAGTTCCGGTCCGAGCAGTTTGCCTCCACCATGGTATATCCCCCAAAGCGGTCGAAGGTTTGTCTTAGCCCCACAGAGGGCGGCTGTCAATGTCAGACACGGATCGTGCCGATTGGCGGAACTCAATCTGGCTTGAACTCTACAAGCGAGCTTGGTCACGATCCGGACGAATAAACAGGCAGGGCGGATGCTGATCACCGGGGAGTTCTTGTCTTGCGGAACAAGCACGGCGCAGACACCACCCTTTGAGACGCTTGGGCTCTGCAACATGCTCGCCGTGTTCTGGACCCTTTTCCCCGACACCGGATCTTTCCGTTAGAACACATGAAACTTCCCACTCCGGCGAACACCATCGAGCTTCTTGACCCGTACTTGCATGTCATGTACGAGCTGTCATATCTGTCAAAGTAGCTCGTCATCATGAATGCCCGTGGTCTGGCCAGTTGCGTGGCCTGTGACTGCATGTGCCCAGCATTCGCCACACGCCGGCGCGTCGTCTTTGACAAAGTAGCGAAACAAGTCCTCACGCTTTAGCACCAGAGAGGAGCCATGGTGTCCGCCTCTTTGTCCGCCACGAGCATGTCTGCGTAGCGTGGAGCCCTATATAGGACATCTCGGCTGATATCATTCTCGCCACCATCCAGCTAAAAGGCAGGCGGAAGTGACTTTCGAGGTCGCCAAGCCACCCAGGGCCTTGACCTCAACAGGCCCTTGGCAAAGGTCCGCTCCCTTGTCTCACGGCCCAATCAAGACATGACTCGGCCACCCGGGTGCCGGTGTGGCCGCCTCATAGCGGAAGGCTAACGTCCTCGAGGCGTCCGTGGCGGACCCTGCGAAGCACCCGGAGCGCGGAGTGTTGGCGGGGCGCGCATCTGCGATGGAAGAAGACCTATAGCCGCGAAAGTCATCGCCATGGCGGATACAAAAAGATCCGACCATCCTCTCAGCTCGGCAAGGTTGTTGGTCAGGTAACGCAACATCAATCCCTCCATTGGACGTACGTCGGCGTACACATCCCACCACCACAATGCGTGCCATATCAAATATCGTCCCAATCCTTCTGCCACTCGCAGCCTATGCTGCTCCGGCGCCGGCCGTCGAAGAGAGAGGTCTACTGGACCCAGTCGTCTGTCTCCTCAACAATCTGCTAGTTGGGCTGCGCAACGACCCGCTTGCAACCCCCTACTGTTCCAGCGTGCTGGGCATCCGGCCGCTCACAGCGTGAGTCGAGGCACCTTGTGGCAGTGATCAATATGGCGATGCTGACACATCATCCCAGGTCTGCGTCTGTGGCCGTCACCGTTCGTCCGACAATCACGTCCACCGTCAGCATTGGTGGAGGCACGGTGACTTTCACCGTAGGAAGGCAGGATACTACTCAGGTCACAACCACTGCTACTGCCACAAGCGTGAGTACACCATGACCGATAGACCGACCTGCGACTCTTTTTTTTAACTTACACTCCACTGCAGACCATCACGAGCACCGTGACGAGCACGACGTCCATCTCCACAGTAACATGTCTGGACGCCGCGTACACCGCCTCCGTGGGTCGTCGCGACGCTCCCATTGACCCGCCCGCGCTAGACAAGCGTCAAGTTAGTGTTTCTGCTTCTGCGGCTGTGACACCTACGATTATCCCACCCAGCGCCCAGCCCGGCAACATCCAGACTGCCTGCTCCTGCCTGGGGCTGACGACCAACACCATCACCATCACTCCTACGGTGACTGCTGGTGCTGGCGTTACCAACTTTGCCACTGTCAACCTCGGTGCACAGGTCTCACTGTAAGCAGCATCAACAATTCTGTCAAAGCAGTCTCGCATCTTGCTAACTCCGCACGTCAACAGCACGATTACACTCAACGAGTTGGTTACTGGCACGACAACGGTAACCACGACGGTCACAACCACCACAACCTCGACACAGGGGGTAGTCGGCACCTTCCTTGCCAACCCGGACGGTCTCAGGTTCAAGAAGTATCAGCACCAGTTCAGCGCTGACAATAATCCCGGCGCCTTCAACGTCGAATACTTCAAGAACACTGGTTTCGACTTCGCCGGATCCATCAGGTCTCCGCGGTTCAGTAGCCCCGATTGGCCATATGGCGATAGCAGTATGACCATGGGTGGGCAGACTTTCGATTCGGCGTTCGCCGCGGTCGTTGTGCAAGGCTTCTACGTCGCACGGGCGACTGGTGTCCATACCTTCAGCTCCAGCGGTGACTACGTCGACAACTGGGGATACCTATGGACGGGGGACAAATCTTACAGCGCGTACGATTCATCCAACACCGACTTCAAGTCTATCCGCACGGCAGGGGGGCCTTATGTCGGCGGCACCAAGCAGTTACAGATGAATGTTGGCGACGCCATCCCGTTCACTTGGCTGTGGTCCAACGGCGGTGGCGTTGGAAACAGTGACCTCACCATCACTGTCCCCAGCGGCGGATTTTCGGGTGGTGAGGGCAACTTTGTCCCTGCCTGCAGCGCCAATACTTTCAGCTAATGGAGTGAGATTGCCCATCATTCTCGTAACATTTCTTCTATCTTCCCTCCTTTAATAGTTGTCTGCCATCATCATCATACATCTGGATGGGTGGGACTCACGAAAAATTGATGACAAAACTACGACATCGCACCTTTACATTCTCTTCCAGCCCCTAGCAGTGTACGCAGTAACTAGGCTCAACTGTCACAATAAAATTCATTCTCTCAGCTTAACTTGCACACGCTTTGCATACGCTTGCCGCAAGAGATGAAATGTACACCTGTCCTTTAACATTCACTGTAGGCTAAGCAAAGTGCACAGAGAAACTGACTTCATCCCGAGTCATTAGGCGGCATCTGCAAGGCGAGCAAAGTTCCACACTTCCAACTCTACCATTCTGCGTTTCTCTCCAGTAGTGACTATCCACGTGTATCTCAGTACCTCGCCGGGCTCGGGGTGTTACAACCAGCCCGCCATACCTACGACTATTCCCAGCACAGCTGACCAGGACAAAAGTCCACTTTGCCCTTCACCCCACATTCGCCTAGCACCAGCAACCGCGACCGGCGGCGCATTCCTCGACGGCTGCGCCGGGCTCTCTGGGGCCAGCGGCGCGCTGCCGCCACCACTGCCACTGCCGGTCGCCGGGGTGGACGATGCTGCCGGCGCGAGGCCTGCCGGCACTCCACCTGCTCCACCCGGAGGAAGAATGACCGGGTCTGGCGGTTCAAGAAAAGCACCACCGGGGATTGGAATCTGGGGCAGAGTGGCTGGATCGCCGCTTGGCGCGGCCTCAGGAGGACTGACAACGACAGGAGGCGTGATGGTAACAGGGGGGCTGATGACTTCTGGAGGAACGATGGCAACAGGAGGACTTGTGGGAGCAGTCGTCGTTGGGCTGGGCTTGGGGCTGCTGGTGGGTGGTGTTGGACTAGCATCTGGGATCTCAGAGACACGTACTGGGTCAGATGGCTCTGCAGGCGGGCTTGTGGGTGACGTCGTCTCTACAGGTCGCGCGGCGTCTGGCTCAGACGTCGCGGTTGTCACAAGAGACGACGAGGACGATGAGGACGCCGGTGGTGGGATGGCTATGGGACTAGCCGTTGTCGTGGGAGGTGTCTGGGTTGTTGTTGTGGCTGGTGGGACGGTGATTGCCGGAACCTCAGGAGCGGCGGTATTGAAGTTGCATTGCTCAATCAGTTTCGCCACAGCTGCAAGTCTTGTCAGTGACTGGCAATGAGTAGAGATTGTGTTTGGTATTGTTGTCAGGCAGGCCTTACACCTTTGTCCCCTGTCCTCACGGGAGTTGCTGGCATCATCGGTGACTTCGGAGGCGGTGTCCTCGATCTCCTCTTCGTTTTGTGATGCTCTACGCTCCCTCCTCTGTCTCTTGCCTGGTTGGATATTTGAAGATCGCAAACTCCTCGGCCTCCTCAAAACCACTGTCGGCGCGGCCGTTGTTGCCGCAGTTCCACCGCCCGTCTCGAGGCAGGTCAGGCACTGCTGCAGCAGCGCTCTCGCGTTCGGCGCGGTGCACACGCACAGCAGGAAATCGTCCTTTCTGCGGTTCTGGTCGTCGCAACTAAGCGTCTGCTCTAGCGTAAACTGGCACAGCGTCGTGCAGGTCGCGGGGACCTCGTCCGCGTCGAGAACAGTCTTGCGCGCCGCCCGGGTGGTGCCAGCGGCGAGCACACCCAGGGCCAAGTATTTTGTAGTGCGCATCTCTGTTGAATGCGACGGAATTAGAGTAGACCGTGCGGTCTAAAAAAGGGTATATATGTCACAACTTGGGGCAGAAGAGACCGGCTCCCGGAGAATGAAAACGGATTTGCCAGCGTGCAAACCACAAAATCAGAGCAGGACTCGAGGATCTCGAATCGCAGCAGCAAAAAGCAATAAAGCCACGAACTGGTTCACTAGTTTGCTCTTTATCCAGAAAACACAGATCTGCCTTGGGTGCCAGATCGGGGTTTGCATGAATGACCTGATCGCCACATGGGTGGTGTAGGGTGGGATCGCATGACAGGAAACGCGGAACAGTTTCAGTAGTGCGACACGTTTCGGGGGCCCAACCACGTGCGAGTCAATCGTGCCCCGACATGCCACTATATCTGTACGGTGGCGTTTATAGCGCTGGCTTGACAAGAAAACAACTGCTCCATCTGTCCATGCCTTTCAGCATATCTCTGATTCCAGACATATAAGGAGGGTCGCGGGTTGCCAATAATCCCAACCCGGGAACAAGTGACTGTGATGCAAATGAAAGCCCGTATGTGCTGGCGTCCAGGTTGACCTGTGGCCCACATCACAAGGTGATTCTCTCGAAATGGCAACATCTTCACAGTGTTTCGCATCATCACCGTCTCCTGAGGCGCAGTGGGTGGGCTCATGACATCCACTCGGGGAGTTCAACGTGGGGTATAAATCTATGCACTAAGGAGTTAAGCTTAAGCCGCCCGCTATTGTCGTCCGCGGAGAACCACTCGCACTGGAGAGCAGACAGGCGGCTGCCCAGATGTTCCCTGCAAGCCAGGACAAAAGTCCAAAACTCGGGGTCGGTGGCTGTGTTGACACATGAAACCTCCTGGTGCTCCCCCACAGCCACATCGAACATGTCAGAGTTGTCGAAGCCTGCCCAATCCCTGCCGGTCCCCCACCGGAGCCCGCCCCTGCCGAAGCAGGGAAGATCCCCACAGCAAAACGCAGATCCAACCATGTCTCTCTCCCCTAGCATCGCACACCAATTGTGTTTTTCTTTCCGTGACTGACGGTATGGCCAAATCACGCAAGCTTGACTGGCGCGTAGCTCTGGTCTGGGCTCACCACCCGGGCCCCCGCGAGCTGCTTGTCCGTGTACGCCGGCCACACGATGTTCCTAGTCTGGCTGTTCACCACACTGAGCGTGGTGAAGCCGTTACCAGGGCCAAAAGCCCCGCTCCACCCTGCCCCGACAGTGTACACGCCACACTTGAAACCCGCGCCGCCCGTCTGGCTCGCGGGCTTGCCCTTAATGGTGAACGAGCACTGGGTCGCAGGGGCGCCAGACTTGTCATTGATCCGGAAGGACCACTTGCATGACGTGTCGGCCGGGTTGCAGGCCCGCTGGAGGACCTCGATTGTCCATTGCGGGGCGGCGGGCATCATGGAGATCTCTCGGGGCGCGATGGCTGCTGCGCCAGGCGTCCCAGGGAGCACCGTGGGGGAGCCGAAGCCAAGGACTGACAGTGCGCTGGTGAAGATGAGGGTGGAGAAACGCATGTTGTAAAATGTGGTGACTATGATTCTGAGGAGTATGTGTTTGAGTGGAGGTAGATGCTTATGGTTGTTTGTATTCGCAATGCCTTAAATGTGCGGTGCATTTATTGTGAGCATGAACGAGTCTGGTTTGGAGGGCTTGAACAGGTTATGTACATCATTGGAATCGACATCTACGGGTCTCTAGACTCTACTCGTCGTCGTATTACTGAGAGGCAACATCAATCCGGCGTAGATATTCTCAGCCACTGTTTGAGGCGCTCACCATGTCATTCAAACTTGTCCTATCTCTCAGCGATGGGAGAGCTCTCAAAGTAGAGGATCGACCAGCCATCCACCTCCGCCCCCGAGATTTGGTCTAGATCAGTGCCGCAAGGAGCCAAAGCCCCGCGGGGATACAGTCTGAGTCCAGCGTGGTCTCGCATGCTGTGGCTGTCCTCAGCTAAAGGAGGTTTCTGTCTTGGGATGAAGCCGCATGAGGAAACCGACGACCCTGCTTCAGGGTCTGGATCGTGAACCGCATCAAGCTTTCCCCGTGTATTTGAAACCATAATTCGACAATCGGACGATATGGATGTTCCCTGTGTGGACTAGAATCGTGCTCGGTGGCAGGTATTGGCGCGACCTTGTCGCCCACGTGGCCAAAGACCGTCATGTGTGGATGGCCTTTCTCATTCCCTGCGAAGAAATTCAGCCACGGAGAGATTTCGATTCTATCTTTCCACAGGAATGTGCTGTAACCAAGAATAGCTTGGCCTAAGCTATGCTGCATCAGTCATCTGGCCGCCCAGCAGACTCACCAAAGGCAAGACTTGGACCACGCCACTCATGCCCCCTCCTGCAGTCTCGTGTTCGGTGTCCTCCTCATTCCACATCAAGGTGGAGGACTACACTATATGCCTGTCCCTAATCCTGCACGAGAGGCGTATTCTAGGCACAATGAAGGCTCTCCCGCATAACATGCTTCTGTTCGACGCACGGTTCGCGATGCATTTTAACTCGCTGATTTGCCCGGGGAAGCCTCCTAGACGATCGTCCACGTGGCAGCTCGGTCTGGCAGGCTGCTCACAACCCCCGCAGTCGTCCCAAGCACGGAACGAGCGTCTACTGGACCTTCTGTCTCAAATGCAATTTTCTCGAAGGCGTAAGCTGATCTTGGGGGGGGAGCGCATCCGCATTCCCCATCCGTCATGTGGTCCACCAGGGAAGTGAGACCTCAAGCCGCAAACTGGAATGCAGTGATCCGGCTTGGATCTCCCAATTGACCTGTCGGACCCGGATTCTTGCAAGGCGCCGTGAACGCAGAATGCCTAAGAGCGTTCCAGCACCAGAAAAATGCACTGCGCTGATGATCTCGAGCCGACACAGATGCGCGTCAGCCTGGATTTGGCAAGGACCGTGATCTGTGCACCACACACGTGGGCATTGATCTCGCCTATTTTGGCAAATGTCGCGGATCCAGACGCCGCCCGGTGACCGCCATTGCCCTGGAAGGGGAAAGCCAAATACCAGAAAACATGACTGCCTCCGTTGTCGCTTAGTTGGTGTGCGTGCTTCGTGTGAGACGGAACTGCTTTATTCCCCACGTGGTTGTCCGCCATTGGGAAGATCAGTCATGAATTCGCATTGACCCGCTAGCAGTCTGCATCCACCACGGCCGACATTCCGATCCGTAAGGGGGATCATGAAGCGAAAAATACTCTACGCAGGCTGGTCAGGTGGGACCAAATTGTGATGGAAATGTCGAGAAGCTGCCATCAGGGTTCGTCAGGGATGCATGGAATTGTTCCGTTGCGGTGTCAGTCATCTAATTATTTCTTCAGGCGGCGCCAGCTGGGCACTGGGCGCACCACCGCCGCAAATGACAAGACACATGTCGCAGCAAAGGCGTATGGCGTCGCCAGGGTGCGTGCGCGTGGTGAATGTGGGCCGCCGCCCTTTTGGGGGGGCCGACCTCGGGGCCCCGTCCTTTGGACTTAGGGTTTTTCTGGGGGAAGATGGAGTGGCTCAGCTGGCCGACTTGATTTGCCCTTGCCTACGCCCGACTTTGACAAGCAAGATGCAGGCCGCTCGTTTCGTGCTGGTGCTTTGTGGCTGCACTGGTATTGGGGAAAGTGACCGCAGGATGTGCTGACAAACTCTACTGCCCGGCCCAGTGAACCTTTCCGTGGCTGGAGAGCAGCCAATACGATGAGACATTGCCAGCACCGGTGTAGAGGACCAGGTTTGTCAGCTTGCTGCTGACATACCACTGCAATGTTGCAATTAGGGCTGAGAGCGCCTGGCAGGAGGGTGCTGTTACACGGGCAGCTTGGCTTGCAGCACGAGGGCTGCTCTTCTCGCATTCGTCTTGCTTTCGCCGCGGGCGGCAGGGGTTGGCTGCCTTCACTCCGACGCGTCTCTCCGAGGCTGCGATCCGACGGGACTGCAAAGCCCAGGTTCGTGGGCCCCGTTTCCGACGGATAGTGTTCACGCTGCCGATGCTCCGGGGGAGCGATGGCGGACCCCTGCGAGCCATGACCAGGCCCAAGGATGACCCGGGACGACTGCCGTGTTTGCATTATGCTGCTGTATGACATGCTCTGCCGGGGCCGGCGCCATCACGCGGAGTCGATGATGGGGGTGGGCTGCTCGACATGGGCCACGGAAGGGCGCAGGCTAAACCACAGCAGACCCGTCTGCGCCAAGTGTGTGCTGAATGACAAGTCTCCACAATTGTGTGAATCACCCTCCAGCAGCGGCGCCTGGGGCTGATGGGCTGGACATGCACGCCCTGCAGCTGGTGGTGCTCGTGTAGTGAGAAGGCGTGCTTTGGTTGTCATGCGCTAGACCTAGCGTTGCTTATGTGAGGTACCTCCACGCGGACCCTTTCAACCGACTACATCATGATGTTTGTGGAAGGACGTCTGTCGGAAGTTGTATAAAGATTTCTCGGTTCCCACGCATTCTTCCATGATTTGAGAGGAGCATCTCAAAACAGTTCCAACAGTCGAGCAGCATCAAAGCTTCCACTTCAAGAACAACAGTTCCCAAAACCCCCAAGCCCACAATCATCAAACACATACCATCAAGCTGCCAACCAAAATCACAATCATCAACACCAACAACACAACCACCATGTCTTCCCGCGCCAGCTCCGTTTCCTACGCCGACTCCGTCTACGACGCCAAGGAGGCCCAGCACGCAGAGCCCAAGACCTACAACGGCGGCTCCCGCTTCAAGCTCGTCCCTCGCTCCAGCTCTAGCGGCGGCAACACATCCTCATCCTCATCCTCCAACGAGAAGGCCAGCAAGAGCAACAAGAAGCCGCGCCACCCCGTGATCGAGTCCGTCGTCAAGGCGTGGAAGGAGCACCACGAGAGCGTCAACGCCGCATACGAGACCTACTACGGCATGGGCGTCCGCCGATGAAGCGACTCAGTAGCATTCACTGTACTTGCTGTTTTTTCTTTTGGCTCGCTTTCACCGCGATGCATGGCTTAAAAGCGATCTCCTTTCATGCCTTGGTTGACTCGGCGTCGTCGACCAGTTTTCATTTGACGGTTTCGGGACGTTTCTCGGAGATAGGAGTTTGAATTTCTTGCAACATACCAGTTAGACTACTTTGTTTCCTACAATTATAATTAAACAAATTCGTAAAATCATTCTCGGCGCGCGTATCAAATGGTGACACGATTGAACTTTGTTTTGAGTGGCACAATCTTTTTAAACGTTGTTGCAGGCGCGGACACGCGTCCTCGTATCATGCCTCGTATGATAGCTAGCTCGACACAGTCAGCCGGCACAGTCAGCTCGCACGGTCACTTGATGTTGGTGAATTTAGGCACAGGCCAGGCGATTCCGGTCCCAAATCATGAAAGACCGTTATGCTGAGCTTTTAAGGTGCCATTACTTCTCGCTAACAGTCGTGGTGGGTTCCACAGCTTCACGGTTCGTATTTGGGGAACAAGGGGAAAGCAGTTGCTCTAGGACAGTCTTGGGGAAATATTGTTCCAGCTTATGACGATTACAACTCCAGGGCGCCTTGACTTGCCCTTTTGAGCTGTGGCTCATGTGACCTATCGACCTACCCACTTCATACTTTTCTTCGTGAATTTCTCAGCGTCCAAAGTCTCCGACGAGGTGATCAACTCAAACGCGCAGCACACCATTGGCGTTGGATCCTCGATAAAGTTGCCTATTGAGGCAGCAGGACAATAGAACTCCCAGACGAGGACTGCCGTTTCTAGCTCTCACACGTCTCGCGAGGTCGAGTAACGTAATATCCAGCTGTGATGCGCGATGAGCATGTCGTTCACCTCTACTTGAGCTCTCGAAAGTGCAGAAAGTGAAGTCCGACCGGCAGGCGTGTCCTAAAGCCTGCTTAGTGCCCGAAACCCAGCCCAAATGAATCGAAGTGATGCGCTTCGACATGGTCTTAACTGGAGTTCATAGTCAGCACTCATCTACACGGCATCCAGCGTCTCAGCTGGGAAGACGCCGGTTTGGAGAGGGTGGTCTGATTGTAGGGGGCATCAGCCCCTGTCATGATTACACGTGCGGCCGCTGGAAATATGGAGGAACAGCGGCTATGGCACAAAGATGTGCTGCAGCGAGGGCCAGGTCAGCTTTTTGGGACATGCATCATGATGCACCAATTACCCAATCCAAGCGAAGTCTTGAGTCTAGGAAGCGAGGAACGACCCAATTACCACTCAATTGAGCCAGTCATTTCACAGAGACGGAATTGAAATTTGTCGATTTCTTTTAATGGTGTTTTTTTATTGATTAAGCCATTATGTAGTCTATAAGCCCGATCTCCTCCTCTGTCTCTCTCCTTCTACTTGGAAATGAAATGGTATATAACTTTTGTGGGTGGGGTTGGGAAAATCTCTAAAGGGAAGCCAAGTTGGGATATCATGTAATGCTGAATGCTCGCGGTGAAGGTGTTTGTTTTTTTCCTCTCAAAAGATGCTGTTTGTATCTCTTTTGAGAAGAGGAAGATGCTGCTCTTTCATCGTGGGTATCTCTGGTTTTTTTAATTGTGGGTGTAATTAAGAATCCGCATGGCCAGCTTGCGACTCCCGCTCCGGTTTGGTTTGTTTTGAGGCGTGTGTGTGTGTGTGTGTCAAGTGTATTATCGTGGTCTCGTAGGCATTGCGTGCAGATGAGAAAGCAGAATGCAGTTTGTTGTTGTTGATTTTTCAAAGTGCAGCTGGTGCTTCAGTGAGGACCACACACGTTTAGACGTGCACACCCATGCCGTAGTAGGACTGGTAGGCGGCGTTGGTGGACTTGTGGTGCTTCTTGGCGGCCTTGATGGCGCGGTCGAAGTAGCTGGGGCGCTCGTTGCCGGCAGCGTGGACAAAGGGAGCCGGAGCGGCGGCCTCGGCCACGGGGGTGGTGCCGACGGCGGAGCTCTTGCGGGACTGGGCCGGGGTGGAGTCGCGGCTGCTGTCGGGCGTGACGGAGCCGTAGTAGGCGTTGAAGGCAGCGTTGACGGAGCGGTGGTGCTCCTTCATGTGGTTGACGATCCAGGCCTTGGCGCCAGAGGCGGACTTGACCGAGGTGATGCTGTTGTTGCGAGACATGGTGATGATTTTGGTGGGGTGTGGTTTGTGTAAGTGCTCGAAGCGCTTTGATCGTGTGTGAAGAAGGTGGAGGGATGTGTGTGTAAGTGGGAAGAGTGGATGCTGCTGTGATGCTGCTGTGATGCTGCTGTGTTGCTGTGTGCTGATGATGGCTTCTCAAAAACGGGGACAACTGAGAGTGGGAACCATCATCTCTTTATACAGACTTGACACATCGTGAGAATCGCCGGCGACTAGGTCACTACGTACACATTCCTGCTTCATCACGCCAGCGTCACGCGCAGTGGTGAAAAGATTTCTGGGCAGACTTTGCAGCTATGACAAACGAGACTCCACGTGGAGTCATCTCGAGCCTTCGCAAGGGCGTGTGGGAGCCCCTGCACGGTTGTGCCGTTGGCAAAAAAAATACTGGGCCGCCGTCAGTAGCCGCAGCCCTCCAGCGTCCTGCCAGCACGCCCTGTCCTGTCCTGGAAACACTCCCGCCGGTGTGGGTGTCACGGGGCGTGCTTCGTGGAGCCCCTTGCTGGAAAACTCTGGAAAGACTTTTGCCCTGGCCAGGGAGCCTGCTTCAGGGGCCCCGTCGCTTGTTAGGTAAGAAACGCCCAATTGTCAGCGCACCACGCCTTGTCAAGCCGCGCCCTGCACTTGTCAACACAGCCAACGCTGACTGGTGACGTGACCTGTAGTGCTGTGCCCGAAGGCGGCTTAGCCCCCTAAAGCAGCGGCTGGTCAGCGCCTACAGTACTCCCTCAGCCCTTGAGCTTTGGTAATCACCACCGCTCTCTGCAACAACAGCATCGCTTTGTCAGCTGCACAGCGACATCGCTGGTCAAGGCCATCACAGCGGATTACAAATGACGCAAGCCAGACGTGAGCCAGTCACTTTTCCATGCCCCTGGGGGACTTTCTCGACAGCCCAAACAAATGAATTCCTGTCTCTCGCGTCCGCCGAAAATCCTGTTCTCACGTGGACCAAACTATTGGATCGCTGGACGTGCCATCAAGGCCACGAAACGTCGCAAGGAGCAACCACAGCGCACCACATTAAACGGGCCTCCTTCGGCGGAGCACAGGCGTGCCTGGATCGCCTGGATCGCGGTCCCGGGCCCGGAGTGGACTGCCGCGGGCACGCCCAGCCAAGCAGAGCCGCAGGCGTTCCATTTTCTTAGGTAAGAACAACTCGGGATGCCCACAGAAAAAACTTAGCCGGCGGAGCCTCATTACGCCCATCTTGTCATCCGCACGCCATCACATCTCACGATGTTTTTTTTTCTTTGCTCGTGTTCCATGCTGTCGCCAGCCGTGTTCCCCCTTCACACCACGCCCATACGTACGCACGTACACACGCCAGCATCCCGCAATTCCTCTTCCAGCACTGGCTCCGCCTTTCCCCGGCGTCACCCGTCTCCAGCCGCGCGCCTTCTCGTGATTGTTTCATTTTTATTTTTGCATCGCCCCAGCAAGCAACACGCACGTCTTCCTCTTCGAGACAGACCGCTGCTTGTTCCAGCGGCCCGCTAGCCTCGATCCGATCTGCCGTTTAACGCCTCAGCGGCAGGTCCAGGTACGTACATGCAGGAATTTTGAGCCTCATGCTGCCACGCACGCCTCCCTCCAGCCCTGCTGCTACCTGCAGCCACTGTCGTTGGCCCACACTTTTCCGACGGCCCAGCTACATACAACAACCCTTGTCTTGCGTGTCTAAATCGAGCTCTCCCGCCTCCCGCCATTATGTAAATTTGCGACGCCCCAGGTCACGAAGCTGTTCAGAGTTTTTATTTTCGCTGGTATTACGCGTGCGTGCAGACACGATCGTGAGATTCTCTTGCGTGGCGGTCAGGGGTGACTTTTGCCCAAGTATACGTGTGGATGCCCGCCCGGCTTGCAGCGGCCGCCCTGGCTGCTCTTCTTTGTGGCATTGCACGCAACAAGGCGGACACTTTGCACCATCGCTGCTGGATCGTGCTCACGAGGTTGTGAGACGACCGACAATGGCGTCATAAGCTCTGAACATGTTATTGCATGCAGGCGCCATCAGCTTACATGATGGCGACCTGGGCAGTGAGATATTATTGCTGCGTGCGCAACCGTCTCAATGGCGCAGTTCCCCGAACGACTTGCTTCACGAGCACCATAGGCAGGCAGAACGTCCCAACATCCCATGCTCATGTCGCAGGGTCTGGCGATCGTGAGATGTTGGCGGCCACAGACTACGTAGCATGCCGTGCCGTCCATGCAGGTCCCCAAGCCAAGGTTCTCGCACTCATCCCGGTACTTGCCTGCCTGCGTGCCTGCCCTACCTGCTTGGCGCGTGCGGGAGTTGTCCAGCCAGGTTGCATGAGAGCCAGGCAAAGGCCAAGGTGACGGGGTGACAAGGGTGATGAGATACGTACCCGTGTTCCCGCTTCCCGTGTTTCCCGTCCTTTGCCCTTAACGGCACTTGCATGCGAGCTCTTTTGGGCAACTGCGCTCTCCCAACTCTACACGCCTTGTCAAAAACTGACATGCCCAGACGCTGACGCAGGGCGGTGGTGGTGGCGGGGCGAGCCAGCCGCGGTGTGGGACCCTTGCCTGGCTGTTACGTACAAGTATCCCTCTTTTCGCTGTGCTTTGCGCACTGCCGGGGAAAATTTTAGCGTCAAGGGAGGGAGAGAGGGCGCAACGAGATCCACTGTCTTGTCACACGTGCAGGCGCCGAGAATCACTCAATTCGCGTGGACGTGCTTCTAATGGCATGTTGCGCGATGACACGACAAGGTATTTACGTCAGAAGTACGTGAAAAAGATGGCGAAACAAGTTCTGGTCTGGGGCTCGGTGTGAAAAGTGCAGCAGCATGATCAAGCAATTTTCCCCCCTTCCTCCCAGCGTGGTCCTGAGCGACTCTGGCGGGCAGGGAGCAGAACCACAACGCACAGGATGCAGTGGTGCAACTCGTGTTCGAGGCCGTCATTTCATCTGGCGGGCGGCGGTGGCGGCGATCAGCGGAGCCCGCCGGATCAGGCAAAACTCCGACGACTGAATTTCAACGACAAGCTTTTCGCTGGTAGTTGTAGATCATCGCATCGGGCGCCATTTCGACTACACTCTTTCTCATGGCGATAATCGCAGCTAGAACAATGATGGCATTTACAAAATGCCATCTAGATCTTAAGCTCGAGCATTACATGCAGAACAACCACACCTCTGTATGCCTGCAATGAATTCAATGTCAGGCTGCGCGGGGTTACCTGTGCACGCCTTGCCTTGCTGTCGGCCGAACCCGTCAATGAAGCCATCGTGACCCTCCCTGCATTTTCCCCGCATGTTCACGGCTATCCGCGGCGGGCAAGCTGGAAAAGTCATCACCATAGGCGGAAGCGGGTCAATAAAAAAAGCCTAGATCATCCACAATTGCAATTTAGCACCCTCCACAGCTGCTTCTTGCGCATCCACTCTAAGGCTCCTCTCTATTGCAAGTGATTGTGGGTTCGTGCGTTTGAGGAGAGCCTCACGTCCAGCTCGGTGGGTGATGATGGGGCCACGCCTATTCGGGCTCCTCCTCCGCAACCAGCTTTCATTTTCCACCCATGCCTGCCTCCACTGGCTCCAGGCCCTATGCTTTTCGTCCGGCAGCTGTAAAATATTGCATCGGCAGTATCGAGCGGGGCTCCGAAGTCCCGTCTCCGTACAAGGGCGGCTCTTCCGCTCCGGTCCGACGAACGACCTCCGTCCCTGTGTACTCGGCAACCGACGGCATGGTGAAGATTGTCTGTGGGTCAACAGTCATAATTCCCCACGACTTTTTTGTCTATTCACAAACTGCCTGTATTTTGTCACTCTAGAGCGTCTCGAGCTGATTGCATGTGTTACTGATTGGTGAGTACCGTATTTACCACCGGCTTAAACTTCGCATTCTGGGGGCTGAGCACAGATTATGGCTGGGGAGTTTGATGCTAGTATTAGCCAGGGATGCAGTATTGTCTGGATGTAAAGGTAAATATGTTTCGCCTTCGCCACGTGCACGTTTGCTCACACCATCACTGTACCTACAGAGTGAGAAAGACGGGAAGCTCTGATTGTCCAGCGTGCTCAGTAAAACCATATGTGCCAAGCCCAATCTCAACCTTCTTTTGGCAAGCACGCTAGGATTGGAAACAAGCAGCCAGGTCTTGCGTTGTACGTCTTGCACCGTCGTGACTTTGAACACCGTGATGTCTACTCGCATTGAGACCGATTGATCGGGGAAGGAAAGCGCCCCTGGGTTTACGATTATTTTGTTAACACTAAACCAAATGCTTCATTGCGTCGATGCAAGGCTCTGTTGACATTATTACTTTTATACAGCACTGCGGCTTACCTTGTAGGGCTCGCCGTTGCATCCTGAACTAATTAACCGCCCTCAGTCCACCAGACGTTTGCTATGTTGAAAGAAGGTCGCGTCCAAAAAGATACTATGATTTTGTTGAAATTATCCAGTATAGGGACTTGCCCGGGGTAGTCATATGTGACATCTCTATTTTTATTCTAGTCCCGATTTCTTGCTGGTTCGACCGGGCCTGATGACTGAGACCGTGTTGAGCATCCTGTTGGTGTTAGAAACTTACCCATTGCAGGCAATGCATTCACACCAAGCGCCAGAGGATGACCCAATAACACTGCCTCCATAGTGACGAGCCGTCTTCATGATGGCGGCGCGAAGGATTTCAATGGGAGGCCGCCACGTCTGCCAGAATACTTCTTACACTTCCAGTTCTCCCTCGTCAAGATGGTGGTGACGACTCCAAGCCGAACCAACAACCACTGGTTTCAGGGGTGGCCCCCGTCAGGGTCACAACCAACAACAGAACCCCCGGGCTGAAGAGCTGCGCCCCAGCCTGGCACCACGGCTTAAGACATCATCCAAGCAGCACAGCGGATAATGGGAAAATAGAAAAGGTGCTGCAAACAATAGATCTTGACTGATCTGCATGCAGAGATCACCCCACAATGACTTTCCAGCTACTCGGGCGGAATGATCTTGTCGTTCAACCTGCATCCTGAAACCAGTAAGCGCTGAGCGGGCCGCAAACGATGCAGCCTGCACGCTGCCGTCATCCACGCCGTCCGCGATGCCGGACGGGCGCGGGCCGCGATAAGGCAGTGGCAGTGAAGATGTTGGTTGACCCCGGATATGCAGGGGCACAGAGGCGCACTAGCAGGCGGACTCTCTGGCTGTGGTGCTGCGCCCTGCATCATGGGGTGAGGTTCCCAGCCATCAGTAAAGCAAGGGTGGCTCAGGTGACCTTGTTGTCTGCCGGGAGAGATGCTTGTTGGTCGTGGTCAACGACATGATCATGGGAAATAAAGAGCGGCGGTGTCGACTTGCAAGCATCCTCAGTCGAGATTGTCCATGTTCAAAAAGCATATGCGAGACGACCTTACGACGATTGACACTTACAGAATCGCTGCTCTGATCACCAAAGCGACGACTCCAGGCATCACAGCAACTGACAGCCATCATGCCATCATCACCCACGCCCTCCCCACGTGCTGGAGGGCCATCACGTACACAATCACCCTGTCCCGTTCGCACACCTCCTTCTCCAAGCGCAGTATGGCAATTGCCGCGACCTCAGCAGCCGCAAGGACACCGCAGGATCGTGTCGACAGGCTCCATCCCCCACAGTCAGGACCCGTTCGCGGACACGCCCGACCACGCCGCCGAACCACCACCGCTGAGCAGAGCACCCGTATCTTACCCAGTCCTGCCTACGCGGTCTGATTACACTTCACTCGCCACCACCAGCAGCCCGGGTGTGGCCGAGTTCATCAGCGCCCGCAGCACTCCCTTCCTTGGCAGGACAGCACACAGGCACAACAGCAACACGTCGACACCAGCAGCAAACCCTACTCCAACCCGCGCGCCGCAAAGATTACAAGCCCGGAGAATGCCGACTCCCCGGCGGACCAAGTCCAAGAAGAGCCTCGCCACCGGAGGAAGTAGCAGCCCTGAGAAGTGGACCTCGTTCATCGTCGACGACGAGATCACAAGGTTCATCCGCAGCCGTCTTCCCGAGCGGGAGCGCGCCGAGACGGGCGTCGGGGAGAACTACATTTTCGAGGCCGAGCTCGAGCTGCCAACATCTCCGTCGCCGTCGCCCCCTTCCTCGCCAGCAGCAGCAGCAGCTTCTTCTTCTACTCCCACCACCTCCACCTCCACTTTCACCTCCATCTCCGCCCCGCCGCCGTCCCCATTCATCAAAGCCGAGAGCGAGGATCACCCGGCAGGCTTGACCAACATCAGCAGCAGCAGCAGCAGGGCGGAGACAAAGACGAGGATGCGACTGCTCAAGATCGGCGTGACCGAGAAGACCCGACACACACGCATGGCCCAGATCAGCCGGGCATGTCATCTCGAGCTCTCCCTCAACCCCGTCCGACCCCGAGCCGCGGCCGCGGCCGCAGCCACGACGGGATCAGCGGGACCTGCGGTACAGCAGCCGCCCCCACACTTCCGCGCCGCTGCTGTTGCAGAGACGGACTACTCATCATCAGAGCCGGGATCGAGGATGATGGGGCCGACGACGGCGGAAGAAGAGACACAGCCGGTGCGCCTGTTCCGGCGGGTCGAGAAGCTTGTCCACGCCGAGCTCCGGGCGTACCAGTACAAGTTCCCGTGCGGGGGCTGCAAGCGTGAGCACCAGGAGTACTTTGAAGTCGACCCTGAGCTCGCGGCGGCCGTGCAGCGCCGGTGGTGCGCGTGGGTCGCGCAGGAGCCGTACGACAAGCACGGGAACCTGTACCCTTTCTGGGAGATGCGGCTGCGGCAGAGGAGGAGGCCGTTCAGTCCGGAGGGGCAGACACCGGGCGAGATTGCTACTGCTTCTGTGGGTAATGGCGACGACGACGAGGGTGCAGAACGGGACAAGGCGAGGCGGCTGGAGAGGCAGCGGCGGTGGGAGCGGAGGTGGGACGAGTTTGCCCATCCGCACTGGTTCGAATGGGTCTGGTATGACTGCGGTGTCGTGGCGGAGAAGTTTTGGCGGCTCCGGTGGCAGTTCGGGGCATTCGCCCAGAGTCTGGCCCTCGTGTGGGTGTGCTATCCCTCTTCCCGCGCATTTGTTTGCTCCGTGTGTGTGACTTTGGGCATCATTGTCGAGCTCGAGTTCCAGGAGCGGCTGTACTCGCTTGGCAGGCTGTGTGGGGTGCGGGACTGGTTGCTGGCGCACTTGTCATGATTCAGAGATGCCATCGTGGTGTTTGTGGGGTGGAATATTCGTGGAAGAGTTCGATAACCGCCAGGACATATTCCCTATAACTAGATTTCTTTTCGGTGTATTTACGGTTTAGTAGAAGGTATGAGAGCGTAACTCAGATGTGCAACATGACAGATTACTGAAAGCACGGCAACGTCACTAAGTTGTCGTTCCATATGTTTGCTGTGACGGTGGTCTTACTCAAACAATTCAACAGCAAATTGCGTGCAAACTCAACAAACAGCATACGCTCCCAGGGTCAACACACGGACGTCAAACCCACACCCACACCCACACGACAAACCATCAAGACACCGGCGGCAGTGGCGGCATCCCCCTCACGAAATGCGTCGGGCACTGGTATCCATACGGGTTGTCCGTCAGGTACTCCTGATGCATGCCCTCGGCGTCGTACCACTTGCCCGCGGGGACGATCTGGGTGGTGATGTCCTCGGGCACGACGACGCCCATCCTGTTCCGGCGCATGAACCACCGGGCGTCCTTGACCTGCTGGGTGACCTCCCTCGCGATCCTGTCCTGCTCGGCGGAGTGTGTGAAGATGGCGCTGCGGTACTGGGTACCGTGGTCGTTGCCCTGGGCGTTCTTGGTGGTCGGGTCGTGGATCCGGTAGAAGAACTCGATCAGCTCGCGGTAGGTTATGCGCGAGGGGTTGTAGATTAGCTGGAGGGCCTCGGCGTCTTTTGTTTTTGTCCGTGTTAGCTTCCACGTAGTTCAATTCAACATGAATTTTGTATACAATCTTATGCCAGGCATTCAGCAACAAGCAGCACAAGGATTCAATAAAAGAAGTGACGAACACAGAAACATGCAAGACTGTCCCGGTGTGGCATGAAGTAAAACACTTACGCCCCGTCGTGCCCGAGCAGACCTGCCGATAGCTCGGGTTGCTCTTGTCGCCGCCCGTGTACCCCACGCGGGCGTCGTACAGCCCGCCGCCGTCCTTGGCGTCTTTAAAGTGCTTGCGGAAGATGTGCTCGACGCCCCAGAAGCAGCCGGCCGCGAGGGTCGCCTTCTCCGCGCCTTCTGGGATGTTGGACGGCGGGGCCTTCGCAGGTCGGGCGGTGGATGCGGAGAGGCCCATTGCGCAGTGTAGTGTGTCGCTGGCACTGTGTTTACGTAGTGGGAGATACGATGTTATTCTTTTGTCTGTGTAGGTGACGATTACCTGATACTGCTTGTTGTCCCGTGATGCGCTGTGCTGTTTGCTTCTGGGGATGTCTAATGATGCCCAGGTGATGACGACGTCGACAGTGGTGGCAATGGTGCTGACGCAGCAGGACTGCAGGGGTCCCACGAGGCACAAAGTGGGGGAAAGCGTTCGGAGCGGCAGCTTCTGGAAGAGTCTCTGGCGCAAACTCTATTATTCCCTGCAGATGCACCTCAGTGTGTGGACGGACGGGTCACAGAACGTGAGACACCGGCAACCCTGCCCCCTCCTCCCAAGATCGGCGTCGATTCCGATTCGTGATTTCATTCACAGAGGCAGAGTACAGCAAGCAGCACGATGATGCTTCGTTGAAAGTAATGTCAATTCGCTTTTACTCTACCCTGATGGAGAACAAGGTAGTCGGTCACTCTTTTCCTCTTGGTCTCCCCCGAATCCTCACGCAATCTTGTACACGAGCTTCTCCACCCGGACCTTGCCCTCGCTATGCATCCGGAATCCCTCGGGGATGGCCTCGAGCCCGCCGAGGATGGTGACCTTGTTGGTCTTGAGCTTGCCCGAGCCGAGCCACTCGGGCAGGTGCTTGAGCTGGCCCTCCCAGAACCGGCGGTCCTCGGTGGTCACGCCGCCCTGGTTGTCAAACGACCCGTACCCCTCGAGCGGCTTCTCAAACACGCTGTACGCGATGGTCGACTCGATCTTGACCCGCCTCCCCACGTCGGTGCCCTCGAGGTTGGCCTTTGCGGACTTGACGGGCAGCAGGCACACCACGTGGCCGCCCTTGGTGGTCGACATGGCGCTGGCGACCTTCTCAATGGTGCCGCCCTCGGAGATGGTGTCGAGGGCGTGCTGTAGGTTGTCGTTGGTGAGGCTGCGCACCGTCTCGACCCAGTTGCTGTCGTTGTAGTCGACCGTCTCGTCGGCGCCTAGTGACTTTAGGAGCGAGTGGTTCTTGGCGGACCCGGTCGCGATGACGTATAGCCCGGCCATGCGGGCGAGCTGCACGGCGTAGAGGCCGACCGAGGAGGTGCCGCCGTAGATGAGCACGGGGATCTTGTTCTTGTTGTCCGATGAAGATGAAGAAGAAGACCCGGGTTGTGGGAGCTGGAGACGCTGGAACAACGCCTGGACTGCCGTGGCCACGGCCAGGCTCACCGTCGAGGCCGCCTCGAGGCTGACGTTGTCGGGCACGGGGAACACGAGCGAGGGCTCCGTGGTGAGATACTCGGCAAAGGCGCCCCGCGGCGGGTCGACTGTGTTGCCGTGCACCCAGCCGGCGACTCGCTGGCCGACCGGCCACATGGACGTGCCGTTGGCGTCGGCGACGGTGCCTGCAAAGTCGCACCCCAGTACTTTGCCGGCCTTGGCGCCGACCATGCCCTTCCAGTCCGTCGGGTTCTGTGCCGCATAGTGCACCTTGACCAGGATCTCGCCAGGCCGGGGCTTGGGGATGGGCACGTCGGTCTTGACGACGGCCGTCTTCTCTCCCGTGGTGACGAGGGCCTTCATCGACATGATGGTGGTGATGTTTTCTCTGCTGTGTTGCAGTGGCGGTGGTTGTGGTTGTGGGGGATGGGTGGTGTTGCGGTGATAAGTGAGAAGGTGAGTGAGTGGTAGATGGTTGTGTTGTTGATACTTCGTCAGGTTCCACCTCAGTGCGGTGTATGAACTATGTGAGCTCGGTGAGGCCCGGTAATGTCCTCAAAGTGACATCATTATCGATCTCACGAGGGTCTCAAGACCTTATATGGTTTGGCTCTCGGGCAGCGACAGGGGGGGGACAAAGTTGTTACTGGCTTACCAACCATGGCATTACAAAACATCTTGCGGAACGAACCGGGCCCCGCAGGAGGGGCCACAGTTCCCTCAGCATGTGCTTCTGTGCCTGTGCTGCCGCCATGTCTCTCTCACGCACACTGTCGGCGCCCACGTGGCATGTCCAGAGACGAACCAATGTGGGCATCGCGACAGTGCTTTAGTAATGGGCCCTATGCTCCACCACCCTGCCCATGCAGCGACAATGACGTTCGGCCCACGCGAAGTGCCGACGCTAACGTTGGACGAAGATCAGCCATTTGCTGGCGCGATCGTCGACAGAGCGAAGACGCCTTAGTCAGCCGCGGCGGTATGAGCAGCAGTGCTAATGTGGCAGCAGACACATCGCAAAGCGCTGCAGAAGCACATCAAGACTCTAAATTATGCCGAAACACAGCAGAAGTATATCATGACCGCCTGCAGAGGATGGCCTTGGGGGAGGAATCTTTGACGGTAAAGTGGAACCATGATTGAGGCTTCTCCACCCCAGGAACTATCGACCCCACACCTCCACGTGTGCTCAGTCTCCCATCGCTCTCTGGTTGTTAGTCTTTTGTAGCACAGGGCGGGGATCGCGGACTGGGGAGACTTGGGGACTGCAGAAGCATTGACAAGCCATATTTCTGCAAGTCATCCTTCTACATGGTCGATATGTTGCCACGTGTAGTCGTGCTGGAGGATCACCAAAAACCTTAGATGCCCACTCCACAACGCACTCGCGCTTCAACGTTCATGCATTAGTGACCTGTCCGTATCTCCCCAACGTAGCCTCCAGTATCCGCCTCCTCATCTCGTCCGCAGCCGTTGTATCTTCTGTAGTAGATCCAGATGGGGAGAGCGTCTCGGGCCTGTCCGGCCGGGTAGCGGCGCCCGCACCCGGGAGCACAACCGATGTCGGCACGGCCCCGAACCGGCTGTTGTACCGGTCCCCGGACAGCTTCTGCAATGAGGCGTCGTCCATGGAGCCGACCAGCTGCGCCGAGTTCCTGCCGGCCATGACCTTCTTGACGTTCCACAGGTCTGCCAGGGTCGTGACCACCACCTGGTCGCAGTCCTCGTCGGCGACGACCTCTCCGACAACGTGGATCTTCTGGCTCGACAGGCTCGAGGCCAGATTGCACACCTCGAGGCACTGCTTGGACATGGCAATGTCCTCCTGCAGCCGCGCCCGCTCCCTGTCCGGATCGCCACCGCTGGTGGCATCCAGCACAACCCCAAGCCGCTGCTGCAGGCGGCTGATCGTATCCGCCAGTCTGAGCTGGCTCTCGGCCAGAGCCGTCGCGGTCATGACTTGTGCCTGGAACTGCTCCTGGAACCGCCCGCCACCATCATCACCGCCAGCGCCTCTCTCGGTGCTGCCCGACGCGGGCAGTGGCGACTGATGCGTCTCCCCCGCCGCCGGTCTGTTCCCCGGCTGCTCCGCCTGCAAGCGCTGCAGGACAGCCTGGGCCTCCTCGCAGATCCTGAGACACTGTTCTGTCACGGCCTTTTCGTCAGTCAGGTCGACGGTCACGGTGGGGTCCGGGCTGGTGACGGTCTCCAGGGCGTCCATCTTGTCCTGTATGCGCTGCAGCTGCGTCTCGAGGTTGTACGCGGTATCCTGGACCAGCTCGTTGTACTTTTCCAGAACAGCATGCGTCTGTGTCGTTTTGCGCCTAGTTTCAATAGATGATTTGTCACCAGTCAGCGGTCGTGTCTCTCTTACAGTCAAGCAGGGCTGAAGCACCCCAGGAAAACCCGGGGAGGATTAGGGGCAACGGGCGGCGCGCGGGGCACAAACATTACAATGGTGCCCAGCCCGATCTGCAGCGTGGACTTGTAGCTCGCGAGGGTGTCAGTGAACTCGTTGAGCGTGCCCTTCTTGAACTCCATCCTGGCCCAGTCTCTGCGCGACATGGAAGACGACGACGGCGAGCCCTTCTTGTAGAAGTCGTCCAAGGTGTCGCGGAACTCGGTGCAGATCTTGGTGCAGTGCTCGATCGGCCCGCGGACGAGGGCCAGGCCGGCGGGATCGAGGGCGGCCGTGTCGTGCGCGGCGGCCAGCATGGCGAGCAGCTCGCCCAGCTCGGCCGACAGCTGGGCCATGGCCTTGTCGCGGCCCTTGTACCGCTCGACGGCGTCGTGGACCAGCTTGACTGCCTGGAGGGCGACCGCGACGACGCCGATGACCGAGGCGGCCGTGCTGACGGGGTCCGCCATGGCTAGGGGCAGGGGCAGGGGAGGGCAGGGCCTTGGGTCTGGTCAGTGTGTCTGCTGCTGCTGCCGCTTTGTTTGCTACGCCAGGGGAGCGGCGAGGGTGGTTTTGATGCTGTGCAACTCGAGATTGTGTCCTCGAGGTGTCCAGTTGCGGCCCGATGGTGCTGCCCCTGATCTTTGTTCCCGGTACGGCACCAGCCAACATCACTGCCAACATCAGGCTGAGCAGGTGCGGGGCTGCAAACCCCGCGCGGCAGCAGTGTTGGGCCAACAAGTTGCTTGTTCCTGGCAGGGGTTCCCCATGTGGAAAATGACAGCGCTCGGCGTAGAGGAACACAACAGAACAGGTCTTGAACAGGTCAGTCTACGGCATACCTACCTGCTTTTCTTGTAGACCAGAGGTATGATTTGGGATTATTCAAGATTGCACTTTGGAAGACCCGCCAAGTTAGCGTCATAGCTGGTTCATCTCTCTAGATAGAGCGGGTAAGCCCAAAATCAGAAACCATGCAAAAGCTCGTCATGGTCCTCTTGTGGAGCCGAGAAGAGAACGGCCAGGCATGTGCAACATAGCAGTGATGATCGTGCCCCTGTGTCCAGCATGTTGTTGTGTACAGACAGACCTGCGCTGCGCATGTCAGCCGACGCTGTGGGACACCGGAGGTACGGCGAACATGCCACTCCTAACGTCAATGTAGGACGGACTATTCGAAAAGATATGGAACAAGATCTGGAATCTAGACTCGCAGGTAGTAGCGGATATTGACCCGGGCCGTTTCACCCAGACAGTCGGCGCAGTGTGCGTAGTCCAGGGTATAATAATATATGGCAGCTCAACCACTTGTCGACCGTGGTACCGACGCGAGGCTGTTCTCTCAGCTCTACGCCTGGGGTTGCCGCCGTCAGGCCGCCAAAGCAATCCCACAACTACACAAGAGTCTGCATTGGCGACCTTGTACAGCCTTCAAAGCTGACATGAACCCTCCTACGCGCCAGCTCCGAACTTCTGCCATCACAGCACCAATGTAGCCACATAATCGCTCTGCCTCCGTTCACGCGAGAGAGATTCTTACCTTTTCTTTGCTCTCGCGCAGGAGTTGAGGAAAATCCCACCCCATCAGTCGCCATGAGGCTCCTCGAGGCCCGCCCTGGCAGACCACGAAGTCCCCCCGTACGCCATCTTGTCGTACACCTGGGTCCACGGCCATGAGGTGGTATACGAACTTCTCGTGAACACAAGCTCGAAGAGCCCGGGCCGCGGCCGAGTCAAGCCCGGAAGCCACCACAACAACCACAACAGCAACAACGGCAGCAGGAAGAACAAGAACAGTGTCTCCTCCGCCAACAAACCAAGGCAGCAGCCGAAACTGAAGTGGGACGAGGTGACCAACCTCTGGGGCTACTGCAAGATTGACTTTTGCGCCGGCGAAGCGGCCCGCGACGGCCTGCAGCACTTCTGGATCGACACGTGCTGCATCGACAAGGCCAACGACGCTGGGCGCCACGGCGCCATCAGCAGCATATACGGCTGGTACCACGGCGCGACCGTGTGCTACGCGTTCCTGACCGACGTGACGGGACTCGCCGACCTGCCGCGGAGCAAGTGGTGGGCGCGAGGGTGGACGCTGCAGGCGAGAAATCCAGCCGCCTTTGCACCAGCTTAGCCACAGGCTTTATACCGTTCCGTTTCAGAGGGCCCACTTTCAATGGAAGGCCGGACACGGCTTAACGACGCACCCGGGTCCCGTTTACTGTCTTCCGGATAACACTGCAGGGCCAATTAAATGAAGGCTTAAGTGCGAGCGAGTCCCTAGTGTCACGATCCTGCCTCCGGGGTCAACCGTCTGGCAGGGCGCTGGGGTTGCTGTTCTGCAGATAGGTAAAGCCTGCGCAAGATCAACTAACACTCTGCTGTCGTTCTCTCTCTTTGGGTTGTCGTTCGTGTCTCTTGGAAGAGATACCAGTCTCGGCAATTGAGTGACTAGTTCAAGTGTGGGTGAAACTGATACTTAGATTGATCGCTGAAGTACAAAGGTAATGACTGTCTACAAGGAGATCCTCCGTACTCTATATATCCTTTGTCCTTCATCGTGGTCATGACTCTGAGCCCGATGGTCGCGGCCAGGTCATGAATCTGGTCCTGATGGTCATGCATATATTGGTGACCATCCTCCTTGGCGTGGTGTCGGTCATGCAGATATGCATGACCGGTACGTACCTTCCTTATCGCCCTTTATCGTGCTTACATAAGAAACCTGTGACGGCACTGCCACATGATCCGCCCTTGTCCTTGGCCTGATCCTGCGGCCTAGTTGTTTGGACTCTTCCGTGCCCAAACAACCGTCCCCTGTTGGTTGGCCGTTACACCTAGCCCGAAGCTAGGGGCAAATCGGCTCGAGGGAGAAGGGGAATTAGTAACCTAATAAGTAGTACCCCATAGTATAGCGCAGTCTGCACTTCCAGCGTTCTAACACCATACCACACTCACTAACAAGAGTCACCTACCTATATTACCGCAGCCCTCCGGCGTAACATAGCGTTTAGAGCCTCGTACCGCCTCTCTGTTTTACCTTAAGCCTTAAAACCCGCGAGCCGAGAAAGTTGTTAACCACGACGAGTGAACACCTATGGACTATAGTCAACGGAGGTGTGACGACCCGACCAACAGGTCGCAAGATCGGGCCAAGGACAAGGGCAGGTCATGCACGCGGGGCGACCACACCCCTGGTTACGTAAGCATCTCATTATGTCAGCAAAGAAAGGATATGTTGGATCAATCGGAATCCAACATATCCAGACATATCCAGTTGGATATGTTGGATCAGGCGGATCGCTGCATATCCCGCATATCCAGGGCGATCCAACGGGAACGCACGATGAAGGACAAAGGATATATAGCACCAGGAGGATCTCCTTGTAGACAGTCGTTACCTTTGTACTTCAGCGATCAATCTAAGTATCACTCTCACCCTTCACTTGGCCTAGTCACTCAATTGATCCGAGTGTGATATCTCGCAAGAGACACGAACGACAACCCCCGAGACACGACAAGCACGGAGTCAGTATTGCATGAGGTTGCTATCTGCCTTATTCAGAACATAAACCCCGCCGCGCCGATCAGACGGTTGACCCCGGAGATCGGATCGTGACAATCATCTACTTATATGTAAGAACGGAGCCCTATAACCGCTCGACCAATAGACCAAAAGATCTAGCAGTACGCCGCACGGCGTACTTAGGGCTTCCAGTACCTTATATAGGACCGTTGAGGCCTCTGGCCTTACATTATACGACATACCTAGGTTTGGATATACAAGGATTCGAGCGTAGCCAATAACGTAAAGTTATCGTGCACCAATCCGTTAATACCATTATCGGCATAGGCGGGGTCAAGAACAATCTAGTTATCTTCAAGTAAATATAGCACGGTGGTCTCAATAAGGCGATAAAGAAGGTTAGAGAGCGGCACCAGGCAGATGTAGTCAAACCCCGTATAGCGAGGACAGTGGACGGCTGTGAAAAGACGCTACCTTCTCAATGTTCCACACGAATATGGACGCCTTTAAGCGATTAATCCATAAGGTACTAGCCCATTTGTAACATTGGCACAGGTTCCTTTAGTAAGGGAGAAAAAGTAGTCAACATCGATACGGAAAACCTGATTACGGTCAAAAATCTGAAACCGCCGATTGACCACAAAGAACTAGAGAGGTAGAAGGTCGCCAACAAGAGAAGTTAATATTCACTCGAAGCTTTCTCACGCAAGTCTCATCACACTAACCGTCTATAGGAATACTAACCTTTTATTCTAGTCCTATATCATCGAAATCCTAGGGAGCCGGGGATTAGGAACCTGGCAGGCAGCCAAAGATCTTTATGCCACTAATACATAGCACCGTCGACCACTTATTAAGCCATAATAATCCGGCTAATAATAATGTGAAGTGCCAAATACAGAACGGAGAGATTACGGAACAGGCACTTTGTCAGATCTTATGGGCTCTTAACTATCTTACTCGTAAAAATATCATTCATTGCGATGTCAAGCCAGCAAACATCCTATATTCAGCAATTCCCGATTTCTGGCATCTCAAGCTCGGGGACTTTGGTTTATCGAACCATCTTGACATTGCTCACGCCTATCTTGGAAGTCCACTCTACCAGGTGCCTAAGATTTGGACTCCAAAGAATAAGGATAATTGTGAACAGACATCCAAGGTAGATATTGTAGGCTCTCGGTATCACCACCTCATACATCTTAGACCTTTGCGGACTACGAACGGCGAAGAAATATCTTAGCGACAGCCTCAAGAACGTCCCACAAGTTCTCGCGCGAATGTTGCGACCGGATTCTCCAGAACGTGCATCAGCTACAGAGATGCTTCATCTACTCAGCCGGCCGTCCGAGAAGATATCGCCTAGACCGCAGATCAACAAGTCAGTGGTTAGTCCAAATAGGAGAATTCCCAAGCTGAGACGCCGCGATAAGCCTTACCGGACTTTCTAACCAGAGCGCAATTGGTACGCTCTTGGTGAGATCCGGATGATCAGTCAGTTACCCCGTAGGGCATCCGGGAGTACTCAAAAGTTCTTGTCGAGGCAATGTAGGCATATGTGGTCTCAGATTTTACACATTTTGACGGGCACAACTTGTACACATTCCGGATCGCATCAGTGGAAAGAACAACCCCAGTCTAATGTATTATTGACTACCACTAAGATGCGGCTCCGTCAGGTGATTACAGCTCACGAAAATTTGCGGTTCTTGATACCCAACCCCTCCTTCAGAAAAAGGGATGAGGGTTCACGGTGGGCGTGTCCGGAACCTGCTGCAGGACGTCCCAGTGCTCGATGATGCACGACCCCTGAGTGCGGTACACGTCCATGACGCTGAAAACGCCCTGCCCCTCGAGCGTCGCCTTGATGTGGATGGTGGTGTACTCGGGCCCAACCATGACTCTTGCAATCTGTATCACGTGAGGAAGAAATGAGAAATGGTCAGCGGTCGTTCTGGTGGATGAAATTCCCCAACAGCTGTGCACCCTCTCTCAGCAGAAAACGTGTGCAAAGATTTCATGCGTACCTCGAAGTTGTTCCCCGGCGATCCAGCTACCGGCCTGAGCCCTGCCAGGGCAGCGTCCCGGCCGTCGGCAATGTCCGGGTTGTGCTGCACATAGTTACTTGCGACATACTTGAGGAATGCCCCCTCGACGTCCCCCTGCGTGTAGAAGAGGTAGGCAAACTCGTTCATGGCCGCCTGGAGCTGCTTCTGGGACAGGTTCGAGCACGTTGTCTTGGGGCAGTCGAAGTGCTTAACCGTATTGGTGTCGATGCCGGGGATGTGTACCTGCGCTGGCGGGGCTGCTGCTCTGGGTGCTACCCCTGCCGCCGCCGAGGGGAGAAAGCATCCGTTAAAGCTGCTCAGAAGGATGCCAGTGGCAGCGAGAGTCCGGAGGCGAGTCATGGTAGTGTTTGTAATGATTCCGTCGAACAAGTATGCGCGCCTGATTGATAGATGGCAGCTACAGATCTCTGATGAAGAAAAAAAAAAATCCAAGATGAATCTAGGCCCAAGTGCGACTTTTATATTTCGCCTTCAATGGCCGGAATATCAGTCGTGATATACATCGGCACGGACTCAAAACTAGAGCCCAAGCTTAGAGTTTCGAGGTGCATCTTGGCGATGTCGAGTGCAATTTCTTTGATAAACAGGGGTCTTTAAACCAGCACAAGAGGCCATTGCAAACTGCCGTAGTGGACCATGGAGCTTGGCGCGCCCCGTTCCGATAAAGTCGACGCGTGGACATACCCACATCTCTAGCCGCGGGCTTAGCCGTGGGGCCAGGCGCGACCATCGGCTTCGTGAAGTGAGGGACAGGAGGATTACAAAACTCCACGGGTAGTGTGGCTGGCACGGCTTAGTATGCTTAGTCACGCGCGCAACAGGGCAACGGGAAACGGGGAACGGGCAACATGGGGCCGTGCTCAGGACCGCGCATGACAAGCAATATCCAGTGCGGCGACTCGTGTACATTCGCGGTATTCATGCAAGGATCAAGAGGTAGTGAGCAGACAAAGGCTTCTTGATCGCGGGCAGATTGAGATGTGCAGGGACGGCAACAATTATACACCCAGGGAGACATTCATCAACAAAGCTCTTTCCGGTCATTCACAGGCCCATAGCGTCATACATCTCTGACCCGCCCCTAGGCATGACCGCATGGCATGACAGCACCACGACCTGTGCTCGCTCTGCCATCAGCGAACGGCCATTGGATCCTCCAGAAGCGATTCTTGGCAGCAAACATACGTACTCCACCCATCCCGCAAAATTGGGTCCCTTGCACTATTTTCCCCCGCCAAGGCGCCTGCCTAAAAAGAAACACGCGTCCGGCCTCCGCCACACCCACGATCCACCTCCCACACAGCCGTCGCGCCCACGCCGGCGCACCCCGACGGTGTCACCATGGGCAAGACCCAGGACCCGGAGACCATGTTCAACATTACCTACAGCTGCATTGGCGGTTTCGTCGGGCTCTTTAGCCTCGTGTCGTACCTGCTCAAGGAGAGCTTCTTCATGTCAGAGCCCCTAGTCGCCCTCTCCGCCGGAGTCGCCTTGTTACCCTATGGCCTTAACGTCGTGCGCCCTATCGAGCTCGCGACCTCGGCTAAGGTAGTCGAGATGGCTACGCTCTACTTGACGCGCCTCGTGCTCGGCGTGTAGGTCCTTATCGCCGGAGTCCGCTTGCCTAGCCAGTACCCGAAGAAGGAGTGGCGGTCGCTCGCGGTGCTCCCGGGCCCGGGCATGCTGGGTATGTGGCTCGCTACTAGCCTGCTCGTTTGGGCGGTGGTCCGGACATTGATATCGTCAGCAGCTTTGTCATCGGCGCGAGCATGACGGCTCCCAATAGGCGCACGGGTGCCCGTGCGTATAATATTACACGGGTACCCGTGCAGATTCTGCTTACAGCTTAGCGTGTCTTAATTCCCGCCGACATCGCAATCCTGGATCCATATCCGGGGTGCACCCATATCAGCAGAAAAGGTCTGTCTTGACCTTCGCTAGTGACCTCAGGTGCTGTTTGACCTCCGATCACAGTATGTGCGTTGCCTTACACGTATAACGTATTTGACTTAACCTTTAACTATAATACACTCATCATCATCCCGGTGAAGAACTTGCTGCTCCTCACAGTCCTGTGCCGCCCTCCTCCACACATCACCCATACCTCTTCGATTAGCTAGACCGCTTGTCGACTCCTGGGCAACCTGAACATCGATTCGCTCCGTCTCAGACCGATCCCAGTCCAAATATGCCATCATTTCTTCCCTTGTCCAGGCCCGTTCACCCTCTCGCGTTAAGCAACGCCTCGTCATTTGCTTATGGTCTAAGCACCAATCGTACTGCGCTTTACTATACCGTAATGGTAAACCCATTGCCTGCCGGTACATCTGGTTGCTCGCATAGGTACCCGGGAGTAGGGACTTCTTCCAGATCTCTCGCGTAGCGACGTATCTTTGGTAAATCGCTTTTGGGTCACTGTATTTTAAAGGCTGCTCCGGAGCTTGCTGGTGTTCTTCGGCGTACTCTGAGACGGGTTCTTTAGCTCGTCGTAAGGGCTGGTCGTTTTCTGAGAGCCGAGCTTCGATCTCTTCTAAGATCTGTTCCGTAATCCCTTCTTGGGCCGACGAGTTATTAAGAAGTTCGGGAATTGGCGACTCATGTTGAGGTCTGCACGTCGATAATTCAATCGTAGCTTCAGGTATCGACGTGTCGGCCGGCGGCTCTGGTGTTATTCGTAGCTGTTGCGATGCCGCCTCTACTCGAAGTTGTAGCTCTGCGTACTTTAGGGGGCATAATCGAGACGTCCTTGAATGACCTAGACGGTGACATCTAGTACAGGTTGAAGGTCCCTTTCGCTTAGCCGCGACTTCAACAGCTTCAAAGCCGCTAGGCTCCCTTCGGTTACTTGATCGCGGTAAAGAAGTGTTGGTACTAGTCATATCAATACGTTGGCGAGGCTCTTGGAGAAAAGGTTTCGCGCCGCTCCGGATTAGGTGCCAATGCGAATGGAAGTCTCCTAGGCAAAGGGCTTTTCCTTCGGACAACAAAGCCTCAAGTTTGTGAACGCATGGTAGGCCTTGCGACCGAGAGAATATGCCTGTACAGCGTTGTAGCGGACTGCTCGTCTGGAGAAGCTTCCGCTGCTCTTCAACCTTTCGAAGAGCCTCGTGTGATACCCAACCCCGTACTACACCATAAAGTGGACCGGAAAGTTCGATCGGAGACCGAATCTGCTGTTTTGCCTGGTTGGACCTCAGCTCCCCAAGTTGGTTTATTAGCGCATGCTTAATAGCCCTCCAGGCCTCAAACAAATCGAGTGTCGACGTTTTCAGATGACTTTTAAGAAGCGCATGGACACCTTCGACGCGCGAAGTAACAACATTACCGAAATGAGGGTAGCTGTCAACCCAGGCCTTTACAAGCTTTTCCTTATACAGGTCAAGCCATGTCTCTTTAATGTAGGCCACGTCCCGTACATGCGTTGTAATATAGCGTTGTTCAAATGTCGACATACGGATGTCGAATATTGCCTCGGTGGGAGAACGAATAATTTGGTGCCAGTGCTGGTAAAAGTCATGCCACTCTTTCAGTCTCGCAGATTTGTCGGCTTCGGAGTCCTGGAGTTGTAGCTGGATAGCGAATGAAGGCTGACAGTATCGAAGGACGGCTTTGTTCGCATGCCAAAGGCATAGCAATGAAGCAGTAGAAGGAAAGCATACTGCGATTGCGTTGATACAAGCAAGACATCGATCGGTAAGAATAACTGAAGGTAGGCGGGATTTGCTAATTTCGTAGAGTGACCGGAGGCGCTCTAGAGCCCAAACGAAATCTTCCTCGCTTTCTCCACTAAGAAATGCGAATGCGATACAGAAGGATCGTTGAGAAGCGTCTACTCCGATTATATCTAGGAGCGGCATTCCGTATTTGTTCGTTTTGTAGGTACAGTCGAGGATTAAAGCATCCGGATAAGCTTGAAGATAGCTTAGCGACTCTGGATGGGCGAAAAGCACAGCCTTTACGCGGTTCTCCGAATCAAGTTGTAAACGGCTCCAGAAACCTTCATGGTCAAGCCGGTTAGCTAGGGCATTGATCGTGCTCTGCCCTTCGTACATCTCGCGCCTACTGTCCGCGATTCGGTTGTAGATATCTTGCTGCGTTGCAATCGAACTCGTGTTTTGGTGTATGTACGTTCGAATCTCCTTAGGTGCGACGCCAGCATTTGCGAGGCTAGATAGACGAGTGATCGTTTCCGTATCGAGTGCGCGATGCTTAGGATGGGCGGATGGGTGTAAACTTGGCTCGTGGTTGTGTTGGGCAAACTGCGGGTCGGGTCGGTGTCGTATTGTCCATGTGCCGCTGTCTCGTGACTCTTTTGCTAGTACAGAGAACGGACAGTTGGTACTTCGCGTAGATGTTTTTCGCTGGCGCGGTCTTCCAGAGGCGTAGTCGCGACATGATCGATCACATGCATATACGACTGAGAGCCTGCCTGTCTTTTCCTTTGTTGACCTTTTCGTAACAAAGGCGTAGCCTCTTGTGTACGCCCACTCGTTGATAGCTTTAAATAAGGTATCTCGGGACTCGTAGGTGCCTTCCGGAGGGAGACTGTCATCGGGAAATGAATGGTGGGTACTACTAGTAGCTGCCATCGGGAGACAAATCTGAGGCTAGTAATGGTAATAAAAGAAATACACGAAAGCACCTCAGCGCGCTTTGTAGCGCGTAAAGTATTGTATGCTGACAGCACCTGAGATCACCAGCGAAGGTCAAGACAGACCTTTTCTGCTGATATGGGTGCACCCCGGATATGGATCCAGGATTGCGATGTCGGCGGGAATTAAGACACGCTAAGCTGTAAGCAGAATCTGCACGGGTACCCGTGTAATATTATACGCACGGGTACCCGTGCGCCTATTGGGAGCCGAGCATGACGCTTATGAACTCCGTCCTGCCTAATTCAATCGTCCACGGGCCCTTTGCTGAAAAGCACATGCCCGAGCCCTTGCGGATGATTATCGTCGGCGAGTCAGGCGCTAACGGCGGGCTAGGGTGTTCGTTCCTGTTCTTGCTCCTATACCTAGTCCAGCATTCCCGGGATGACGCAGGAAGTCGGGCGGGTAGTACGCTCCTGGCCTTTCTCTCCGCCACGTTGGGACGCGAGGTCTTGCTTAGCATCGCATATGGGGGAAGTCTTGCCTACCTCGGCGACGTCATGGGTGCGCGGGGCGATGCATTTCTCCTAGTGTAGCGACCGCTCTGCCTTGGTCTCAAACGTGTTCTGGCAGTGGGCGCTAGTGGCCTGCCGCTACACGGCAAAAAAGTCGGCGTCCGCCGGGCTGGAGGGGCGGCTGCTGATCTTGGGAAGACTTCAGAAACCTCTCAAGGCTCTCAAATCTGTTGTGAATTTCGAGAAGGCCGTCGGCGAGCGTGTGATGGGCTTCTATGCCCTCATTGTAGGCGTCACAAAGGTTGTCGTGGACGGTGGCCAGGTTATTGTAGGCGTTGGTGTTGCCTTCGCAAGCTTGCGCGAGGTGATCTGCGATGCCCTGGTGTGTGTCCAGCCTCTTGCTAGTTGCCAAATTTCTCTGGTCTGGTAGGTGCCTCCTCGTTTTCGGCGGGGTAGGCACTCACGGTGCGAGAGACCTCGCGGAGGTTGTCGGTGGTCATGCGCCGAGTAGAGTCCTAGGCCTTGTAGTCGCCCTTCTTGCGGCTGCTCTGTTTGGCGCCCTTCAGCGTATTGGAGCCTTGTTAGTTGGTGTCTTGGCTCGACTTTCACAATGCTGTCGACAGAGAATTGGGGTCGAAGCGAGCCACGGATGGGAAGCCATCCGGAATCGTTATTCCGATATCGTCGGCCGGGTTGTCTCCAAGACTTCCGGACACGGGATCGTCGTCGTCGGGTTGTGTGTGTGTATGCCAGGGCTACTGTGGCTAGGCGGTAGATTTTTGTGAACCATGATGAATGTGGTGTGCGTATGGACAGGATGATGCGAAAGGGTTGTCAACGGCTCGCATGTACCCAAGTTCTGCTGTCCTTATTTGGTACAGGGTGGATATCCAGGGCTACCTAAGTTCGCGCTGACTCAGGAAACATTATCGGCTGCGTCGTTGCCGTTGCCGTACCCAAGTTTGGGCAACAGAAGGACCATGTAAGAGTGGTGCGGGTACTGGCCTCGCCGAGTAACTCACGACAGCGTCTTTGCGGGGCCATAGTCTGATCGCGTGGATTCCTATATACGACTTACTGCTCGCTTGACTGATAGATTGCACTATCGTGATTATACCGGCTTAGTGTTGAGGTAGTCGCTCAAGGCTACCGAGTAAGCGTAACTGAAGACCCGCTATGCTCGGTAGTGGAGTGTTAGGCTACACGTTTGACACGTTGCCCACGTGGGGCGCGCTAACAGTGATTCGCTCCTGAAGAGTCGAGTCGAAGTTGCCGGCGAAGCCGTGGATAGCGCGAGCGCAATGTCCGCCGCTTCGCAGCTGCGGGCGGCCATGATAATGGCGACGGCTTTTTCGCCCGCGGCGTTACTGCTGGTGATCTGCGGCACCGAGGCGATCTCGAGCAGTATATCCAACATCGGCTGGAGGAACTGGACAACGAGGCTGGGACTGACGATGATTTCACCGTTGACTTGATCGACGAAGGGACAGAAGTTATTTTCAGGGCCTATTCTCCAGAAGATGACCCTCTCGTGGCGTTTCCTTACAGCGCATAAGTGAATGAACTCGAGCTTCCACAGCCAGGTTTCTAAGATTTCGACGAATGGTGGTCGCAGCCCTTTCAAGTTGGCGCTGAGCAGACGGAGTTGCACCTACGGGGCGTGCCAGGCAACAACCACTTTGATGATGACGGGGGCGAACCCACACAGCCGGTCCGCAATTAGCTGTCTAATGCCGTCCCAAGCAAGCGTCTGAAGTCCGAGCTACTGCCGGTTGTTTGACAATCTGGCCTCTAAGCCCATGGGCCTAGTTAAAGATTAGCTGTTAAATACTCCACCAGGTGAGCCTTGCACCTTTTCTTATAGACAGATTGGGCATCCTCCTGGCCTCTGCCGGGGCGCTCTACCATCTGCCTTGAATCCTTGAATATGCAAAACATTGGGGTACATGAATCACTAATCTTTCTATGATCTAGATTCTACCCCCGAAAGCGGATCGCTATATATATTGCAAGAGCACATGGAGGACTTGTTGGGGGTGATCTCACGATAATCAAGGTTTTATTTGATTACACTACTTGGTTCGTTGGCCGATTCGCGTGTCATACGGGGAGTGAAGACATCTCCATGTTAATCTCGTGTCCGCCAATGAGTCGGCTGCTGTTAGTTATGAACGCATGAGAGTTGTGCTATAGTCTTATACATTGCCTACACCATCACCACTTCTTGAGATGTGTGCTAGAAGTGGCGGGTGAAGGAAGTAGACGGTGGTGATACCCAATTGTAGGCTTAGCAAGAATGACTAAGCTGCGTCGTGGGCAGAGAGGGCTGACCGCCCTGGATTCTGCCGGGACTGGGGCTGTGTTTGTGCCTTGCCAGGCAGGCAGGCAGGGGAGTCGAATGACCTCAGCGCAAGCCACGCCCATTCTTAGCTCCATGGCCCTGCCCAACTCGCAGCATGTGATGGTCAGCCACTATCAGACAACGCCCATCCACGTACCCCAGCTTCGCCCTTGGCCACAACACGGACAGACAGACAGAGCACAACCACAACATCCAGTGTCTCGTGCCTCAGGACAAGACAAGACCAGCTCTCCAGGATGGCGCCTCCAGAGTCGTCGCAGGACCCCTCACAGAGCGACGGGCAGCAGGCCTCGTCGTCGTCGTCGGCGGCCCCGGCCAACCCGGAGGTCCAGTCGGCCTACAACGACCTGCGCCGGCTGATTCCCATGCTCGCCTCGGAGCTCGACCAGCTCAGGGCGGCCCTGCGCGAGCACAACCTCTGGCTCCAGCGCTACGGCCACTCGGCCGCCGCCCCCTCTCAGGACCCCTTCACAGCCAACAACAACAACAACAACACCCAGACAGGACCACCATCAGGGGGGGATCATCATCCAGCTGCCGTGTCTCCATCAGAGTTAAATACAACTACAGCCACAAGTGCGTCTACCAACACCGCTATATCATCATCAACAGCAACAACAGCAACAACACCACAAACGCCAGCCGCCTCAGACCTCCCCAGCTACTCCGGCGTCCCCGAACTCCCGGGCTACTCGGCCTCCGACGTGCCCCCCTACACGGGCGGGCCCAACTCGGTCTCCCTCATGGCCTCCTCGGCCTCGACCTCGACCCGCGAGGAGGTCGAGCACCGCCGCGACGAGCTGACCAACTGGCTGGCCGAGGGCGAGGACACGCTGCGCGAGTACTCGGCCCGCTTCGCCCAGCTCGGCGAGGAGCTCGGCGTCAGCCCCCCCGAGGACGTCCTCGGCACCTGGAACGAGGCCAGCCCGGACAACGCCCTCCCCGACTACGCGCAGGTCGAGACCCGCGAGGAGCTCATGGTCGGCGGCGTCGGCGAGGTGCCCCCGCCATACGTACGCGGCATGGCGCTGGAGAAGGTGGCCAGCTGAAAGTATGGTATGGTTACGGCATAGATTGCGGCGGCTTTCAACGAAAGGCAATGATTTCTTCACTTAGCATAGATCTACACCTTGGTTGGCATGGCTATACAGCCGAGACTTTTGGCAAGTCCCTTTATTTAACATGAGACGAGTATCCTAGCTCAAGCGAGAGTAACCCCGAATGCAATACCAGCTTCTGCAAACAGCCCGGCCAGCTCCTCTGCCCCGTACACCAGGTGTCCCGCTTGATACTCTTTCTGCCCAGCAGGGTCAGGAGCATCACCTTTATACTCCAGTAATGGCCGGTCCACACACACAGACATGCTCTCCAGCCGCGGATGCGTCACCCGGCACACGTCCGCAAAACGCCGCAACGCCAGCGGGAGGAGCGCCTTGTGCGCCAGCTCGCAGCCCGGAGACGGCGGGCCCAGCTCTATGGCGAGCCGGGCATGCTCGTCCGGCGGGCGCAGGAAGTCCCCGAGGTGCTCCTGCTCCGCAGCGGCAATCTTCTCCAGCCTCGCCAGCGTTCTACGGGGCATGATGCAGGGGACATTCTCGTCCGTCTCAGCACCACCTGCGCCATCGCCGTCACCACCACCACCGCCATTGTCAGGGACCGCCACCAGCTGCTGTGTGAAGTCCGGGATCCCGTTGCCGGAGCCATACTCGCCGTGTCTTGCCAGGTATGCGCTCTCCGGGACGTCGACTGAGTCTGTGATACATAGTCTCTTGATGGAAGCCGGGATGCTCCGCAGGAACGGCAGATCCCACTCCCACCCGGCGGCGCCCTGTCCCGCTGGTCCATTCTCACCACCAGTACCACCACCACCACCACCAGTACCGCCAGTGAAACCAGCACGATCAAGAACCGCAGCCCTCATCTCCGTCCGCTCCCCGTCCGGTGTCGAACCCCCCAGCACCTCATGCACAGCAGCCGTGAGCCTCGCCATGCCCTCCACCGCAGCAGCAGCAGCCGGCGACGAGGCATCATAATCATCACCACCAGCGCCGGCCATGAGAAGGTAGAACCGCCACAGCTCCCGATTCGTTGCGACCAAGGGCAGCGCGATGCTCAGCTCCTCAAGCCCGGTAAGCAAGGGGAGCACGCGCAGTGGCCTGGCCGAGCACCCGCCGCCGCCGAGGTTCCAGCACCTGCCAAGGTCCAGCCTGCGCAGGGACTGTGCGTGTTGCGAGAGGCCCCGGTCCAAGATGCTCAGGCTGAGGGGCTGGGCTGTTGTCGTTGTTGTTGTTGCTGATGATGTAAGAGTAGGAGCAGTAGAAATAGTCATGGATGTCGGTTCTAGTTCTGGTTCTAGCTCTGATGATGAAGAGGAAGAAAATGATTCTGATAATGACGATGGGAATGATTCCTGCGGCATCCAAGGCAGGGGCTGCGCGATGGCAATGTCCCGCATTGTGTCGTCCCGGCCCTGCAGGCGCGGCAGGTCGTCGAACGCGCCGAGCCGGAAGAGCGCAAGCAGCTCGTGGTCCAGGCTGGGACTGCTGACGTGCACTCTTGTGAGGCCCGCCGAAGTCGCCCTGTCCGGTGTTGTTATCGTTGCCGTTGTTGTCATTGTCGTGGCCGGCGTCGTTGCCGCTGTCTCAAGCTCTGCACTGCTGCTTCCGCCGCTGGATGACCGGTCGTGGGGATTACCATCCTGCTGCATGAAGTCATACCAGCCGCCTTTTGTCCCGTGCGTGGCAATCTCGACCACGCCCGGAGCGTACGTGAGGGCCGGACAGACGTCTCCGCGTGCGACATACGACCCCGGGCACGGATCGTCGCTGTAGCAGAGCTCCTCCTCCTCGTAGTTTGCGCTGCAGGCTCTCAGCCCGGCCATCCCGGTAAACGTCACGCTGTGCAGCTTTTGCAGCGGCGATGCTGTGTCTTCGTCGTTTTCCTCCCCAGCGTGGTTGCGCTCGACAAGACGCAATCGGCTGTCACCCTTCCACGCCTCCCGCAGCAGGCTGTCGAGGACTACATACCGCATCGGCTCGGTCATGCCCGGCACCGAGGCAGACGAGTGCCACGGCGGGCAGATCATTTGGAGGTGCTGCAGATTCGTGCAGAGAATCAGGATCGCGGCCACGACGCGCTCGGGGATGCCGTATCGGACCGGCTCCTGGTTCATGCTCCTACCGCTGGTGCTGGTGCTGGTGCTGGTGCTTAACCCGACATGTTTAAGAATCCTTGCCGCAAGGGATTCAGGGGGTGGGTGCTTGATCGTGGGTGCGATCCGGTTCCAGCTGGCCATGATGCCTTCCGGGTCGATGATGGTCCCGCCGCTGCCGTTGCCGCGGCCATTGTCTTGCCCGTACAGGAACTGCTGCCAGAGAAGCACGTAGCACTTGATGCTGCTGATTTGCCGCCTCAGCCGGCCGCCGCCGTCTTCGAGCAGCGTCCGGAGCAGTAGCGCCGGGGTGTCGACAGAGACCACGTGGTGGCTCGTCTCGTCATATACGAGGGAAGTGTCCGAGTGGAGGATTGGTCGGAATGGCCGCAGCATCGTGCGACGGCTGAGCACGATGCGGTGGTAGAGATGCGGCCTGGCGAGCCCTGCCAGAGTCCTGCAGGACCGACAGAGACTGGCAAGAGCGCGGCGACTTCGCTTGTCCCTGGCGATCCCGTCGGGGTCGTTCGTTTCCCTGTGGTTCCCTGCGTGATCAGATCTTGCCGGTGCTGGCGACGCGAGATGATCATCGCAAAGGTAGTCGACTATATGGTCGAGCACTTCTGGTGGAAGCGATAGAATACCTGCGACTGACTGGGTGGCTTCTAATCTGTGAGTCATCATGGTCTCCGGGGCGACGGAGTAAAAGCCACAAAGAGCTCTTGCTGGAATGAGACGAAGCCCTTGAAAAAGCGCAAACCGATGCTCTATACAATGTCGCTGTGCCCGCCGGATCAATGCACAGAGAGAATCGTGGAACTGCTGGAGGACAAAGACGTGATAGACGCGAATACAGTTGCAGCCCACCGGACATCAGGCACAAGAGACGTCGAGTCAACGTGAAAACTCCCAATATTGCTGGACTCCAAACGAGGGAGCGACACCGTCGTGAACATGCACAGAAAGGGGCGAGCCACAGAGAACGAGAAAGACCCGATTCAGAAAGACCCGAGGCGCCGGGTCACAGGTCAGTCACGAGTCAAGTCGCAAACTCTAAGGCTGTAGCAGTTAGCCGCGCCCGCCGGGCTTTCTGACCCGAGCGGATGGCGCCAAACCTTACAGCCGCCATATGTCAGTGCATTTTAGCCAACCATAACCCGCGCAGCTTCGGGCGTGCGGCGGTTGCCGCACTCATTTCGTCGGACGGCCCACCCGCTCTGTTCGGAAGACGGTTTGCGGTGATGAAGGCGATCGGGAAAGTATGGGTTCTCTACATAGCTCCGCTCTATAGGTATGCTACAAGGTTGTCTGTTCCAGGCGGATGTATATTGGTACCCCATCTCTGACACTCTCCAGATGGACGATCCCTTAATGCTCAGTCCCTCTAGTACGAGTAGCACAGCTCGCCGTAGGTGTCGATGACTTCCCGGACAGTCAGCTCGCGCTCGACGAGGCCGTACATGGGCAGGACGTCGTCGAGGCTGACCTCGCGCGAGCCCTCCTCGTTGAAGTGAAATGCGGGGCCGTTGTACTCAGTAAGGCGCTTGCTGGTGTCCTCCTGCTGCCACAGCCACCAGAGGTGGTCGATTTGGGCATGGTGAAGGAAGAAGAGCGGTCTGGTTCCTGTCCGTTAGCACTCGTTCGCTGCTCATAGCCACGCCGGGAGAGGTTCCTGGGGATGGGAGACACAGAGAGGAGGGGTGTACTCACTCGTTGGGAGAGGTCGTCGGGTTCATCTCGCCACCGAGGGACGCGTGGATCACACCGTGCGGCCCGCCCTCGAGCGCCCAGGCGTACGTCGACCAGTTGCCGGACGCCTGCACGTTCGACAGGGCCGGCTCGATGATGGAGCCCTCCATCATCTTCTTGAACGCCTCCGGCTCCGACACCTCGGGCAGCTTGCGGAACAGGCAGTGCCCGCCAGCCTTCATCTCCTTAGGGGTGATAGCGACGTAGTAAGGGCGGATGTTGGCAAGGGGCCCGTCGCTGACGCAGCGGAACGGGCGTTTGTCTTTGGGGTCCGCGTTGGGCTCGGTGCGCGTGTCGCTGCCGTCGCCGCCGAAGCCGTTCTCGGCAGCCATCACGGGCGAAAAGCGCAGGCCGTCCGTGTCGAGGGTCCAGTCCCAGTAGCTAGGGGCATCATGTCAATGGCCATGTTTGGTATGATTCCAGGGGGAGCAGGAGAACCGAGGTCAGACGTACGTGCCGGGCCCAACATAGCCACACTCGGCCAGGGCGTCAAAGTAGACGTGGGTAAAGTATCTGTGCCACGGCAGGAAGGGAGCGCCGCCGTGGACTGTCACTCGCCGTTAGAATATTTCCGCAGATTTGAGAACGTCTTTGGTACGTACTGTAGTTGTTGAGCTGGAAGTGAACGTAAGGGAAGTCGTCATAGAGAGTCGAGGCAGGCTCAATACCCAGCCGGGAGGGCTTGGTCTTGAGACACTTGACAGCATTGAGGTAGCTCTGCTGGTTGGCGGCGCCAAGTTGGCGCCATTCGATGCGCTTCGAAGGGGCGACGCAGGTCGAAGCCGTGATATTGACAGTAGGCAGAGCCGAAGCGGCACCGGCCAGGAGGACGGGGATGATAGTCGACTTCATCGTCGATTAATTATAGTTTTTCAGGGAGGCAGGTAGAAGTGTAGCGAGCGTGTTCTGAACGAATGTGATGCTGTTGGTAACGAGGAGAAGCGTGGCCCAGTGGATCAGCAGATTGAACTGGTCCTGGACATTGCCCCGACTTTATAACATCTGCGACACATGCCTGATCCGCAGCCTATCTGATCTGTTGCCCGTCTGTCCTGCTGTCAACATGACCCGTCGTGCTCTGAGACCCTTTGCGGAGGCCGGCTCGTGGGGCTGTAATGGGGCACGGGGCACCGACGCCCACCAGCGCCAATCGAGACCTTCTAGAATACGAGGGGATCGTCGTGCGGCAGACTTGTTGCAGCTAGCGTGCAACCCACGAGGCCCTGGCGCATGAGGGACGGCCCCGAGGGCACTATTTCGGCATCACGAACCCCTGGATGACTGGCCGCAAGCACGCAAAAAATAGGCGGCTCCATCTCAACTGCCGGCATCCCCGGCACGGCAATGCCCGTCACGGCAATCCCCATCACGAGTTTCAAGACGAGACGACAGCGGCCCGCCTTCCTCCACTCACTCCGCTCGAGTTCCGGCCAGGAATAGTTATCCCAACCCTCACAGCAGAACACCCATCACAATCTCCTCGACAATCGAGCCGGCCTCGTCGTCTGCCCGCCGCCGCCGCTCCCGCTCCACCACGGCCGTCATCAGGATCTCCTCGCGCTGCTCCGCACTGAGCCCGTCGACGAGCATCTCGACCTTGTCCTCGCGATACTCGCCGATCCCGGCCTTGAAGACCTGCTTCAGGCCTGCCGCGACTCCGCTACTCGTACCACCACGGCCGCAATTGCTGCTGCTGCTCCTCGGCGTCAGAGACTCGCGCACCCTCACACCGCCCATACTGCCGGAGCTACGATACACGGCAACCCGCACACCGTCTGCGAGAAGCTTCTTGTCGATGCTCGCGCAGTGACTGCAGCTGCTGCTGCTGGTGCGGCCGTGACAGCGCGTACCCCTACTCCCACTTTCATCGTGGCCCTCACTATCACTCGCGCGACCTATGTCAGGGGCCGCATTCCGCGTGCAATGCGCTACGAGGTAAAAGTCCTTCCTCACGTCGCCCCCATCGGCCCTTTTTCTGCTGCTGCTGCTGCTGTTGTCGCCGCTGTCCCGTTTGTCTGTCTTGGCCCCCCGCACCCAGCGGCACCAGCCTAGCCCCGTGACCGACTTGAACGTCTTCTTGAACTTGAGCTCGTGGTTGTTGTACATGACCAGATCGACCTTCGACGTCGTTAGATCGTGGAATCTCGCAGTGCCCAGCTGCTCCAGGTGCGCGTGTTGTGCGAGCAAGTCCGGCCGGGTCTTGTCCTGCGTCTTGTCCTGCGTCTTGCCCTGCGTCTTGTCCTGCTCCTTGTCGCTACCGTTGCTGTTTGCGGTACTGCTAGCGCCGGCGCCACCGCGGGCCAAGCCGCCGCGGAAGAAGGTCATGTCGGGTTGCGAGAAGGCGAGGGTGGACTTGAGCACGGCCGTCAGGACGGGCGGCACAGGCGCCGTGACCTGGCCGGGTCCATCCGTAGTAGTAGTAGTAGCAGCAGCAGCAGCAGCGCGGGTGAACACGATCGTCTTGCCGTCCCTGATGATACGGATGGTCTCCAGGGGTCGTGTCCCAACCGTGTCCGGCTCCTCGTGACTAGTGCCCGTGGTGGGCGATCTCTTGATCCCCATTTGGGTAAGGGGTGATGAAGGGATACGATGAGATCTGCAGATTGTCGTTGTGGTTCAGGTTTTTTTCCCTCTCGTATCGCGATATGACTTGATCGTCCGTGTTGGGGGATCTAGCTTATAGGTGTTGGTGCCGTCTTTAATGTTGCAAGACGTAGGTTTATTTTAAATGAATACGTCGATTGTGTCCGGTACCCGCGGGTCGACGACGTGGCTGTCGATCGCCTCCATCCCAAGAGGGGAAGACTTGCCTCGCGTCTTGGCTGTCAGCCTGCACCGGCAGGTCTCAGATGACAGATGAGGTCGTGGTGTATGCGCGTTGTCTAGGCTAGGCAGCACTTAAATCTTGGGGTGGAAAATCTCTTGGTGCCTAGCCAAAGGATGCCGAGGCGATTGACATGCGAGAAATCAATGAAAGTGAGCTGTGCCCAGACAGAGACTTGTTAAGGATTGGCCGCCAGCTCGGACTCCGCGCAGGCCGTATGTGCCAAGCAGAAGGCGCATGGTCTTGGCCGATCCTTCTTGGTGGAAGCTGGTTGGCACAGCCATCACAACGCGTCAGTATCAATTGACCAATTAGGTCCTTGAATGAGCTTGCAGCACAGTATCGCCACGTCTAAGGCTTCTTCCTGCGATCAATATGGAGAACGTCAAACGCATTGGGGGAGATTGGCCAGGCCCATCAATAGGTTAACAATGAGAAACGCTTCTGCGACAATAACGTCGTCAATTCGTGGTTCCTACTCGTAACAATATGTATCCTGCACTATATACATGGACTGGACAATCAAAGGCGGAAGCAGGAAAAGCTTAGTAATGCAGGTGATCTTTTGGATGCGCGTCAGCTTCCGCCCCCCATTTTTACTACCAACTGTCAAGACTCATCCCCACGCCGCTCCCGGAATGAGGGAGTGCCGGCCTATGATTAGCATACGCGATGACTTATGCGTAAGCAGCGATGGCCGTGTTGAAGCTGGCGTCAAAGTTGTTGATGTAGCCCTGGGCGATGCTCTTGGCGGCAGTGGGGACCTTGGTGAGGAGGACGACGCCGAAGTTGTCAATGGCGGCCTTCTGGTCGAGGAGGGTCTGGTGGACCTCGGCGGTGAGGCCGAGAGAGTCAACCTGGGGCTTCTTGCTGACGACAACGTCCAGGGTAGAGTCGAGGGTCTGCTGGAGTGAGGAAACGGTCGAGGCGAAGCCGAGCACGTCGAGGAGGGTCAGGGCCGGGCTGGCCTGGACAACGGCGGTGGCAGCGTTGACTGTTGCTCAGGTTAGATACTGGCCAGGTCTCTGGAATAGCAGCTAGTGAAGAGACTCCGGAAGGAATACGTACTGGAGTTAAGGAGCGAGGCGCTCTGGGCACGGAGAGTGGTGACCTCGTTGGGGTCAGTGCCGGTGGCAGCGGCAAAGGTGTCGCGGAGCGTGATGGTCTGCGCCTGGGCGGCCAGAAGGGCAGTCTTGATGGCAGAAGCCTGACGGGGGAGGACAGACTTCTCGGCGACGCCGACGGGGCTGGCAGCGGCGAAGCCGAAGAGCGCGGTGGCAGCAACGAAGACGTTCTTGAAGAGCATTTTGGCGGTTGTAAAGGGATAAATCTTGGGAGACGTGAGAGGCTTGCTGAGGACTGTTGGGGTCGGTAGGGTTTGTTAGTGATCAGGTGGCGTGACAGTGATGATAGATCCCAAGGTAAGAGGGAGTTCTCCTCACCTTTGAGCTGACTTTGGGAGTTTTGTTGCTGGTGCTGAGGCAAGAAATGAATACTCTGTCCGGTGGGAATGTCCTCGACATTTATACACGTCGAGCTTTTCGACCTATCCGGGGGCCCAATGGTCATCATGGCTCCTTTCGGAAGGCCATCAGATCGATCTCAGAGGCCTGCAAGCATGGATATTCGTGCCAGCATGAATCTGAGTACTTTTGCCATCGTGACCTCTCAAGTGAGCTGGCATTCCCCACACGATAGGGTGGTATTGACAAACGACATTGCCCCGGCCACTTCCGTGCCCTGGCGAGCCCCTCCTCGGGGGGATGCATCTCGAGTGTTGCTGCCGCGGCTGTCTGACGGAGCTTGTGAAGAAAAGTCAGGCACAAGGACCAAAGTTGGCTTGTGACGGAGACCGTCTCAGTACTTCTAGGGTTTATTTGGCAGCAAAGGTACAAGGCAGGCAAGCATCTGGAGGGTCACCCCTCTCTCCGCTTCTCAGTCGGCCCCGGCCCTGGAGCGTAGCATTGCGTTTCTTCTTCCATGTCATTCTGACTGGACAACCTGGCCAATCATTAAAGGCGGGCGTGTGACAATTGGCGGCCACTTGTTGTGCTGGCGGGGCTCGTGCCGCTTCGAGCGAGGGTTAGGCTTTGGGGATCGCGCAATTATCATATCGCGTGCGGTGTTATAGCTTCAAGAGACGGGGGTCTCCCCGTGGGGTTCTGGCTGACCTGTGCTTGTTTGTGTCGGAGGCCCTTTGTAGTACTGCTAATGGATCCCGGGGAAACTTTCCAGTCTACTGCCAAACTAGAACGCGTGTGACGGACTAGTCTTGGTCTCTCCGTGGCCTTTTGGCACAATCCAGTCGTCCATTGACTCTTAGAGACTTTCCCCAGGGCGTCGCGGTCGATCAGGGCACGGGTGATTCCCAGGGGGATCACCCGCCCGCTACTGCTGATCCTTCCTGCCTGCATTTCAAGCAAGGGTCTTTTTATGCAGGCGCCTCTCCTGGCTGAACACAGTCACAGTGACTTCCAGATGCTCGACAGCCAGCAGACTGTTGAGGGGGGGAAGACAAAACAAGCCTCGGCGGAACAAGCCTACAAGCGGGGAACTAGCCAGGGGCGTGGTCTGGCGGCAAGGAATTGAGCAAGAAATCACGGACGGGGAACCCTGCAGAATCCGGGGTGCTGCATGAGGGGAGCCCACGAAATGACCACTCAAGATTGCTGCTAATGCGCCCTGTTCCCGCCTCGCCAGCTCTCTCGCCAATAGCTGTGCCGCATGATGTGTCCCTTTCCCGGGCGGCATTGCGAGCAAGGTGTGCGTGATCCTGCTGTGCAGGCATAGGACGGGGGCGGCAACATGCGAGGACGAATGTGCCCTTGTCTTCAGGCAGTCCTATCCGCCCCAACGGTTTCCATCCTCTCGCCGTTTTTGCCAGGGTAAGCTGACCTGGTCCCCTTCTTCCGGGGAGTCCGCCAAGCATTTCCCCGTGGGGAGAGAGTGGAGCATGTGATTCGACCCCGTCCCCTTCCCGCGATTGCCAAGGAGGTGGTGGGCTTGCTAAGCTGCCCACAGAGATGTTCTCATTACTGTCCTACTAGGTGCAGATCGGTCATTGCCAGATGATGTTCGCTCTCGGCCGAGCAATTCGCGAATGACATGATGTTGAGTAATTATCGCGACGGCTGTGCTTAGAGCACGACACTTTCGACAAACCCTGGTCGATCGCTGAATCATGAGCGGGACCTTGGTGCACGTGGTACCTGCTTTCTCTGGCTGCTTTTACGACGAGAAGGTCTGGCGTTGCACGAAACAAGGCGGAGCAGGACCTGAACCTCCGGTCTCTGGGGACTGACAAGAGTGCAGCTTGTCATTGCGCGGCTATGGCTTTGTAGTGTTATTCGTCACAAACCCCCGGTTCGGATCAGTACGAAAGGATCAGGCGTCTCAGTAGAAGTGGAGTGCCGTCGCTGTTTTTCTCACGCCGCCCAGAGTCGCAGTCCGAAACTCCCTCTTTCCCATCGCCATGCAAACCTCTCCCGCAGAATGGCACGCTCTCCACGTTCTCCTCCCCAGCCGTGCTTTCGTAGCATCCCGCTCGACTTTTTCTCCCCGAAACCTGTTCTGCCTGCATAGCGAAGACGCCACACAAGCTCTTTGGGCCGCCGGCTGGCCGCCGAGGTGCTTTATTTGGGGACGACGATGGGGTGAAACACGTGCGATCTGCTGTCATTCTCGACAAATCGCCCTGGCGAGGTTGCACTTGGCAATTTGCCGCAGGCCGCCGCATGTGAAAAAGAGGAGTCGAGGCACGGACATTCCGGGGGCACCCAGGCACGACGCATGCGTCTGTCAAACTCGCAGATGGCGTTTTAGAGTCGGAAACGCAGCGACGTTGGCCCTTCGTGGAAGGAGAGGGGAGTCGACGGGTCATTGCATTCCATTTTACACGATTGATAAGTTTGAAACGCCCTCGAGCATTTATGCTCCGAGTTGAGCCAGAAGCGTACTTTTCGACTTGACACTGCTCAATGTTATTGGTGCCTTCCGGTGTATCCGGAGTGATAGCAAGGCCTCTGCTGCTCCTCAAGTGAGGCCCTGTCCCCGGCTTTCTAGTGCTCTAAACGTTGACATCTTCGGCCGTTCATAAACCTCGATAACACGGACGTCACAAAATGTTGTGGTGTGATTTCACAATATCTGTAAGACAGGTTGCGGACGGGGTTCTCAGAGCTGCTGAGATCACATGACGAACGCAAGATCCAAGCTGCTCTCCTTGCCCAAACAGGCACAGTGCATTATACGGACGGAAGGATGCACAAAGTGCCTCTCAGCACGCTGTGTCCAGCCACATGTGGCAGGGCGACTAACAACGCCACGGAATTATATACACCGTCAACTCACAAGCAACAGGGCACGCGTCCTCATCAAATCTCGTGGCAAAATCCTGATTACATAAGCACTCCCAAACGAGAGGGATGTATGCACTTGTGGTTGCTACGGCTGAGCCGCATACAGCGCCATATACTAAATGTAGCCATTGAAGTGCGCCACTGTATTTGCGTCTCCCACCACGCATTTCAGCCGCCGTTGATACAAGTGGGCTCCTCGCATGTCAGCAAGCGAAGCAACCTGCTATCACTGCGGCAAGCTTAGTGCGCAAAGCGGAAGTCGAGCCGGTTCGTCGCCTGGCCCCGGACCTTGTCCGCGTCGCGGTAGTACTCTCGCCTCTCCTCCTCAGTCATCGCCGCCCACTTGCGGTCGCGGCGGCGGTTCTCCCAGACGTAGTATGCCTTGGCAAACAGGAACAGCAGGATCGCGAGGATGTTGATGGCCAGCAGGTTCGTGTTGCCCTTGCGGTACAGCGGCTTGTCGGCCTCGACGTAGATGTTGTTGGATATGACGTTGCCGAGCTGGACCATCATCTATTTCAAGGGGGAGGGCCGTCAATAAGAGGAATATATACGGAGCTTCTCAGCCTGAGAGGCTGTTAGGGAAGGGGAGATTACATTATACAAAGCTGCCGAGACAGATCGGTTGCCAACGTTGTTGGAGTTGCGCGACGTCCAGGCGACGAGAATTGCATCTGTTGCCGATCTTGTTAGCTTCTCACATGCAATACAGGTCACTAATCTCTCGGGCGAGATCCAAGGGCCAGAGGAGCTAGGTACTCACGGGTGTACGGATATGATAGCAGTGTGGTCACAAGGGCGAAAGTACCCCAGGGATTGACCATCGTGCCGGGCCAGAAGCGCAGGGCAATGATGCACGGCAGCGTCCAGATGGACTGCAATATGCCAACCAAAGCGCGCTGGTCGACCTTGACAGACAGCCAAGTCAAAGCGAGGAGTGTGATGATATGCATCACGGACTGCGAGCCGTGTTAGTGTCACAAAAAACTCGGCCTGCCAGAGAAAAGGGCAGGAAAAAGGTAAACTCACGGCCGGGATAGTCAGCAAGTTGGTCGTCATCGTGTCGAACCCCAAGCTGCGGAGGATAAGAGTCATGTACGTCTTGGGCGGTGCCTGCGGGATGAAGCACACGAGTCCGAGAGCATAAATGGGCCACAGGTGGTAGTCCTTCAGGCAGTTCCAGAGTCTCCTGGGCGTGATGGCCTGGCGGTTGTGCATGTCTCCCTTGGACGGGTCGTCACGCAGCACACGGTTGACTACTATCAGGACTTCACGCTCGCTGAACCACCCATTCGGCCGGAACCAGGTCTTTGTCTGAACGGCCGAGGCAGGCATATAGAAGAAGGAGGCGATGCCGACCTGTGCACACATGAAAAGTCAGCAATGGGAGCGATAGAATGGCTCCGCAAACGAAGACATGAGATGTGGAAGCCGCCAAGGCCGACAAGAGGTGTCGTTTGTACTTACACACAATGTGATCAGACCCTCGACCAAGAACAGCCATCTCCATCCGGCATGTCCCAGAATGCCGCGCATACGCAGAAGACCAAACGCTGCGAGGGAAGTTGCAATATCCGTCACGGACAGCGCCGTCCAGAAGAAGCTGCACACGTCAGTCGACCACGTTGAAAGCAAGATTCTTTTGGGCCAGCGACATACCTCAAACGGATTGGTAGTTCCTTTGAAGTGTAGAAGTAGCTCAACCACAGGATGATGTCCGGAATGAAGCCGCCCTCGAGCATGCCGATGAGCGCTCTCGTAGCGAGGAAGCTGGATCTGCCCGAAAGCCAAAACTGAGAAGTTGCGACAATGGACCACAACGTAATCTGCATTGGAATCCACCGATCGGGGCCGAGCTTCTTGGAGATGAGTTGCGAAGGCAGCTCGGCGAGAAGGAAGGAAAGCAGGAAGACAATGTTGCCGAGGTTGAAATCTATACAGAGGGCTTGCGTGTCAGCGATAGCACCCTGGCGGCACTCAGTACCAATGAAAAGCGTAGACAGACCATTCGTGTTCATCCCTAGGTCGTCGAGCATGTTGTCCGAGACTGCCTGACTGAGGTTGCCGCGATCGACTTGGAGACCGAAGAACATGATGCACTACACGATGCTGTCAGTATGCATCACGCCACGCATCACTCAGAGAGGAGACTCACCGCCCAAAGGCAGACCCTCCAGTCCATCCTGCGAATGAGCTTCTTCTCCTCCTCCTCGGTCCACTCCAGCGTCGGGTCGAATGCGTGGCGACATTCATACTGCGCTTTTTCGTACACGTCCTTCCAGTACGCGGCCACCTGTGGTTTTGCAAACGGGTTTGTTTCAATTTCGCTGTCCGAGTCGGAGTCTGAAGGCACGTCAGACTTGGTGGCGGGCGAGACCGCGTCTTGAATCTCTTGCGTCAAGCGGGCCTTGGAGTCGGTCTCCAGCGGCCCCGGGGCCGCACGATCGGTCGCCATCTGAGAAGTTGGTTGTGCTGGATGAGGAACGATCACGTTGGTGTAGTGATGTGCGATTGTCTTCCGTCGGAAGTCAGTTCCTGGTCCAACTTGAAGATCTCCTGCTGTGAAAGGTGTCTGCATAGTCAATGGCCGCCAGACACTTATAACAAGCCCCAGGGATCTCCGTTGGCTGTAGCTTGTCTGTAGCTTGTCAGTTTTCTCCAATTGCTACTTGGGGGCTTGCGATTGCACCATAGTCACCTTATCTTGAGGCGCATGGCCCATGCTCGCAGGCTTGCGGCCAGACCCGGCAGCGCGGATCGAGCCAGAGACTCCATTTCCACGGGTAGAGCCGCCACGCGAACCGATTTGCGCTTATCACCCCAGTTCATGGCTTCAAGACGTGCTGCTGCTGTTCTTCAGCCACTGCTGTGCAGCTGAGCGCGTGTTCGACATCGCCACGCGTGGGGGTGTTGGCTTGGCCTGGGTCGAGATGCATGTGTCTCCGCACGCATCTATCACGACTTCGCTGGCGAAAGGTAAGGATGGGATTGCGTATTGGCCGACTCGGAGCACGCTCTGCAGGAGTCGAGGCGCCATCATTGGTGCGAGCGCCAGAGAGTGTGCTGGGACGGCACGCAGAGGCCCCACGAAAACCGCGACACCGTGACATGACGTGATGAGCACACCATATTGCACCAAGCTTCTTCTCCAAATTCCGCGACACATGCGCGCATGTTGCCAGCACCCAAAGAGCCGCTACCCGGGCTCTTATCGCGCAGCCAATTACAAACCCGGGCTTGGCAAACCATCAGTAACTATTCACGAATCGAGCAAGCAGGTGTATGAGTACGGCGGGCAGCGAGTGTCCGTGGCGCCGTGCAGCTCAGAGGATAAATTCTCGGAGCTCTGAAGCAGCCCGGGTCTTAGGAATCACGCCTTGTTCAGCTCGTCTGAGATGCATGACATCCGATGTAAAATCCCTGTCGGCAGGCTCTACAAACTTCTTCGAGTTCTAAGCTGAGGATCTCTCTCACGTTCTAGGTACGGAGAAAACAAGACTGTTGGTCCTTGGGAGCTGCCTGCCTCCAGGTCTCACACAATATCAATGCTGCCATAATCCAGGCCCGCAGCTGCCTCTCCTTGCATTATGCCCTGGATGTAAGCTTCTCCGATGAGCACCCACGGACCGCCTTGCTGCTCCGCGCCGCTTCGCAGGCGATCTTGCACTTCGATCAGCCTGGCGTCCAGCTCTACCTTGGCTGCTGTCCACAGGAGGTCCTCACCATCCCCGGATCCCACGTGCGTGAGCCGCTCTTTGATCCTCGCCTCTTCCCTCTGCAAGTCTGCCGCCTCTCGCGTAAAAATGAACGGCACAGAGACACCCGGCAATAACATTATGCTATCGCCCTCATCGGCCCAGAGGGGCGCCAGCAGCACATAGCCCTGGCGCGTGAGGCAAATCCTACGCCATGATAGAGCGTCGATATACGCCTCCTCGAAAGTACGGCACTCGTCCGAGACGAGCCGGCGAAAACTGCCTTTGCAGTCCATCTCCCACATGTTGAGGCGGTCGTACACGTCGTTCATGGCCTCGGTTGCGCGCAGCTTGGCCCGGTCTAGCGCCGCCCGGATGCTACTGCTCGACTTGGTATCAATGGATCTCTTCTCCAGCAGCTCCTCAAGTTCCTTCTCCTTGGAGTTCCTCCTCTCCAACCTGGCGCGCTCCAGGTCGTGCTCCCTGGCTATCACGCCAATCGGCTTCTCCGGCCATCTGAGGTGTGAGTATTTGGCCCTGAGCGCCGTGAGCTCCGCCGCCGCCCCCTTCACCAGCTCGAGCCCTTGCTCGATACTCTGTGTGCAGACTCGCCACTTCCTTGCAGCGGTATCGTCCTCTGCCGTCTTGAGATAGTCGATGCCATGGCCCTTCTTCTGAGCCTTGGTCACGAGCCCCTTCTGGATATGCTGGTCGTCGGTGATGCCGCGCTGCGTCTCCGCAACGAGCTCTCCGACCTTGGACTCGATCGACTCGCACAGCCACACGCCGGCCTGGGCCGGTGTCACTGGCTGCCCGGCGACATGCCCGGCCGCCATGGCGCATGCAACTGCCTCTAGGAGACACGGGCCGGCATTTTTATCGTCGCCGCCCGCGTGATTGTCGTAGACGCTCGGCGAGGTGGCCAGGAAGCGCATCAGCTTCCGGAGCTCGGTATACTGCAGCGGTCGGTCCTTTTCATATTCGAGCGAGGCCACCTCGTCGAACACTGCGGCAGGGAGGGCCAGAGTCGCGCCGTCGGCGGATATCGCAGGCCGGCTTGGAGGAGAAGGGGAGGACGCGGAGCCACTGTGAGGGTCGACAGTGGCTGCCCGGGGGCACGCTGAGAATGGGTTGTCGGCTCCTGGAGGGACCAGGTTCACAGTGAGACGAGACTAGACCACGTGGACAAATCAGTACATCTGGTTTGACACAATCTGTGAAAGCTGCGGCTCTGGCGACACGGCATGATGCGTAGCCTTTTCTCTGTCCTCGAGGGAAGGTTTGTGACATACCGTCCACGACCCTATCGCTGGCACCCAAGAAGGCAGGCCCGAGAACGCCTTGAGCTCGTGGGGCTGGAGTCGCACGCGGTCCCTAAAACGATGCTTGTCGCGTAGCCGGGAAGAGATCCTGAGCAGCTCTTCGACACCGGCATGCGTCATCAGACAAGCTGATGCGTTGACAAAGACCTCGGCATCCGAAGCTTCATAGTTGGGGTGCAGTTTTACCCAGAGGCCCTTGGGTGTCAGGCTCTGCTTCTTTGGCTGTACCAACGTTGGAGGTGCGCCCGGTGGTGGCTGGGCGGTGGTCGCTGCTAGAGCGCTGCCCGTCTTGTAAGTCACAGGCTGGAGCTCTTGGTCAATCGTCAGTTGATCTACGCGGACGAGCGAGAGCCCACCAAAGACATAATCCTTGGCGACGGACGCCAATCTGCCATTGCAAGCCTGGAGCCACTCGAGCAGCGTCCACTTGTTTCCCTTGGCAAACTCGTTCCGTGCATTCAACGTCGTCGGGAGGAACTGTATGTGTGACACGTAGTAGGGCGCCAGGATCAACTGCACGTAATCGGCATCCTCGCGCGCAGAGCCACTGTCGATACACCACGCGCACGCCGCCAGAAGTGTCGAGAGGCTGATCTCGTGCTTCCCGTGCAGGTACGTGACTTCGCGGGCGAGGCAGAGTTCCTGGACCACCCAGACGCGCTTGAAATACGAGCGCTGTGTCAGATGGTAGGCTGCCATCGCCGCTGAGTTCATCTTCCAATCTTCTGCTGCAGTTGCGCCGATTGCGGTGTTGTACATCGGGTTCTCAGGCAGCGGTTCGCCTGACTGGGCCAGTTCCTCGAACGTCTTGAGCCCCCTTTCGGCCAGGCCGGTGAAAGGCCCCAACCACACGACGACGAGCTGTGCGGATTGGTAAATGCGACCCATGATCTGAATCTGGGCAACGAGCTCGGTCGAGTCGCTTGATGAGTGGGTTAGACATTTATGTCCACCAGTGTTGCCATCCCCAAGACGGGATCTGTAGGATGCCAGCTTCAACGTACCTCTGATTCATACAGACCGCGTCGATCCAGAACCACTCGCCAGGCCTGTTTCTGCGCAACTGCTTGAGCGCCTCGTACAGGTTCTCAAACACCTTCATTGTGCGTCCGTTACAAGTCACTTTCCGGCTGGCTCTGAGCTCCTCCTCGTCCGCGTCTGGGAGTTCGTAGTGGACTGGCTTCTCTTTCAAGAGCTCCGCCAGCGACTCGTAGCCCCATCGGGTCCATGTACCTAAGCTCGAGCGCTGCTGGCGCCACGTGTATGACAGGGCAGTGAACTGCGGGTTGCGATCGAGCTCCGCTTGCGCCATGGTGAAGTGCACGTCGTCGTCGTCATCGTGAGCATCACCACTAAGGGTCTTCCCAGCCTTCTGGGCCTTCTGCATCTCCCTGGAAGGCTCGAGCTTGAGGAGACGTATAGTAGTGGGAGTGGCCAACGGCTCGTATGGGAAGGGCTCGACGCTAGCCCATTCCTGGTGACGGAGACTAGAGTGTTCAGCAAGCATCCCTTCCGCCGTACGGGAAGCGGACGACTCTGACTCACCTGGTATGCGCTCTTCGACTTCTGGACCACCTCGAGCTCGCTGAACGACTTCGTAGCCGAATCAGCAGCGTTCAGCAACGCCCCTGTTGCCTGGAGCATGCGCCTCATCGCTATTTTCCAGCGGGCCGCTACCGCTCTGGCGACTGACTCGATCTTGTTACCTTAAGCAGTGGTGGAGGAAGCTCTCGATGCACAACCTATCGCGACACGAGCCAAGATGTCGTTGCTGACGGTCGAAAAGTGCCGTGTCAGCTTGGTCCCTTGCCCCGCAGGAACCCCTCATGCAAGACGATGCGGGATGGGATGGATGGCGCCAGCTTGCTGACCGGCCCCCCCCCCCCCCCCCCTCCTCTTCTTTTTTTCTGGGATACCATACACGCAGTCTCATGCGGCTCATCTCAGCTGGGACACATTGCACGTGATTGGAATATCTACGTCAGGGACAAGAGGCTTGACATGATTCTGATCGGATGATTGCAGAGCAGATGAAGGAGTGGCCTTGGATCATTGGATGGGTAGTCCACAATAGAATGTTTGTTGCACGCACGCCAAAAATTCCGAATAACCAGTGCAGAATGTCCCACGCGCATATATTTCCAGGAGGAGGGCGCGATACCACGGCAGAGCCACCACTGTTGCATCCTCAAGGTTGGCCACCCACAGGCTCAGGGGTCTTCTGACTCGTGCGGATCAAATCATCGAACAATCTATGTACTCGTGCACCTGGCTGGCGTCTCCGAGAGGCGGAAAATTACGAGCATGCCGCCCCGCAGTTTGAGTACGGAGATGACGGCCGAGAGGGTGCTCGTCGGTCCGCGTCTCGAGATGTTGCTGCCCATACGCAAATGCCGGCCAGCCAGTCGTCGGGCCCGATCGGCCCCGATACGCGGGGCACACTGACCCCGATGCGCTTTGTAGCAGTATCACGGAAATAGCAACCGACCAGCTTTCGCCAGTTACCAGTCTGCAAAAGACGGAATAGGGAGTCTCGGAGCTTCGCGTATGAGCAGCATCGGTACGTGCGACAAGGTTATCGGGAGCAAATCGTGGGGTCCAAGCGGGTAGTGGACCATGCCCGGCTCCGCTCTCTCGCCCTCATCATCGTCAAGCATGTGATTGACCATGACCCCATGCCGGAAACAGGTCAGTGACCAGGAACAGAGGCGGCTGTGGGGTCGATGCAGGTCGGCACGAGTGTGAGTGTTTGTGTGAGTATCCCCGAGACATCTGACGTGAGGCGCGGCTCAATGCTTAGATTGATTATTGCGCTTGGCAAGACGCGGTGAGCACATGGGCCCACGAGAGTAATGCCGAGCAGGGAGTCGATTTTGCTGGGTTCATGATACACGCCTATACGCTAGTTAACACTCGACGGAGACATCCACCTAGACCCGTTCTGCCAAGTGTTCTGGGTGTGCAGTCCAGGACCTCGATTATTGGTGCCGTGTACGATGCAATCCATAACGTGGGGGACAACAGTGGTTTCCCAGAAAGACGAAGCCTTGTGCGCGCAGTGTAGGGGGGGCCACGCGTGGTCTCATGCAAGACTGTCGAAAAGACGGTTCAGGAGTCTACATTAGTCGCAGTATCCAGAGTTCGAAGCTTCTTAGACAACAGTCGGACGATAAGAGGGAGCCTTGACGCGCCGGCCTTGCTATAATCAGCGCGCTGGATGTCAAAAAATCCTTCAACGTCCGTATGATGCTGTCGGGGGATCCCGTGCACCCACAACTTAAACCACGTGTCATGGGCTGGCGTTGTGTCAGCAAGTAAGCAGGGGATGTCGACTTTGAACCAAACATGCTGGCACGATACTCCACCATGCAACTCACCCGGTGCTGGCAACTTCAAAAGCTACGGCTACAGATTCTGGGCTCAAGTGCCGAAGGTCACGTTGGACTTGCTCTCCTAATGAAACGTTCTAGTGAAAGCGATCCGTTTGGAAAGGATTGAGACAGTCTACTTCTTGTGCGTCGTAAGGAAAGAACGGTAGCTACGGGGACGCACGGAAAGAAGAAGTCCCATCGTACTCAGAAACAAGCACGAAGGTTTCCAGATGGCCCCCAAGCCATATGTAGGCCATGTCTGGCACGAAGGCGGCCCAACCAATCGGGCGTCCCGAAGAACGTCGAGGACATTGCCGGTGAGCCTCATTGAGTAATCATGGCACAATGCTGGCGCCATGCATCCCTGCTACATAGACGATGGGATCCTCTACTGCACCTAAACGAGCCTGGAAGATGCCGTTGCTACCCTGGCCGCCATGCCGCTTCTGTGTATAGCAACCATGGGACCCACCGAAGAGCCGCCGAGAGGATCTTTATGCGGGGTTTCGACGCCATGCAGGGGTCATACACTCAGTTGCTCCTCTTGGAAATGGCTACGTGCAACATATCTATGTGCCGAGGCCGGGAAGGTGCGGATATACGCGTAGGCCATGTGACGCGAAAAAGTGGAAGATGAATTAGAGGCTACAGTCGATTTCCAGTCCCAGGGCTGAGCTGATCAGAATTCAGTCTAATGGGTGCCGTCATCCACGGCGGATAGCCCAGCAGATGTGGCGCGGCTTAGACTGGCATCTAGACCTTGGCGATCACTAGGAAACAGAACCACAGTATGGTTAAAGCGGGATCAGCGGTAGTGTCCGGCCACGTAGGATACTCCTTTTCCCACCAGACCACTTTACAGGCCACTGGGCGGGCAGCACTAGTCGTGTGGTCGTGCGTCAACAACACAATGGCCTTGCCCGTGGTGGCATTGTCGAAAGCCATGGCCTCGATTAGGCACAAGGAGCTCGTATGGGAGATAGCAACCACGGTTAGCTAATCCGTAACCGCCGAGATGGGATCGGCGGCGCTTGGCAGGGCATCCTGTTCAAGCACTTGCTGGAGGCGCAGCAGGCGATCGGGAGTGTATGAGCTTGGCGCACCCACGCGGATGGGCTGCCCTCCACAGGAAGGATTGCCATCCTCACCCCTGACCGTCTACGCCAAACAAAGGCTGCCACTAATCCTGGCTCGCGCTACACCATCAGTGACCCAGTTCGGTAACGGCCGCTCGGCTCAAGGAACGTTGCACGATTCTTCCTTCGTCCCCTGTGCATTTTAGTCATGAGAACGACCCACACTCATCGTACCCGTCATGCCTTGCATGGACCCTTGTGCAGCCAAACTCTAGCGCGCTCGACTATACCAAACGACGGCCTTTGTGCATCTTCTCGGCCCTGATTAGCACGCCAGGAACGCAAACAGGCATGGTGCCAGTGCCTGGGGTTGCTAGCGGGGGCAGAGGGGCGAGCAACGCGCCATTGACCCAACGTACGAGTCGACCACAACCCCCTTGTTGCCTTTCTTCCAAAGCATAGCTGCTGTGGACAGTCGTAACGTCAGTAACAAGCTCCCAGTGTAACCGTAGCTGACGCATGTGCCGGCCTGCAGCCGAGACGCATGGCATTTGCTGAGTAAGTTGCACCCCATCAAGCACGTTGGCATCGGATTCAAGGGCACGAGCTTGATGCGACCGTGCTGACAGGAAGATATAAAGTCGTCCTCGAGGACGCCTTCCGTCTCGAGATTCTTACGGAGACCACAAGCTTCACGCTCATACAGAGCACCGTCAGCCAAGATGTTCGCTCGATTCCGCTCCAGCCTCCTTGCCGCAGCTGCAGTACTTGCGGCTGTGTCCAATGCCTCGCCTTACGGTGTCCCAGCCGAGCGGGCTGTATCGTCAGACCGTCTCGTGGCATGCCACTTCATGGTACGCCTAGAGCTTCCCTTTCCCAATCATCGCCATTCTCAGTACTGACGCACTTGGGTCAAACCGCAGATGGGAATCGTGTCGGGCCGCACCAGTGCTCGGGACTATGACCTCGACATGCAACTTGCGCGAGACGCCGGCATTGATGCCTTCGCGCTCAACATTGGCACCGATTCCTTTACGGACCAGCAGCTCGACTATGCCTACCAGTCGGCGGCCGACAACGGTATGAAGGTCTTCATCTCGTTCGACTTCAACTGGTACAATTCTGGTCAGGCCGCGCAGGTCGGACAGAAGATTGCCAAGTATGGCGGCAGACCCGGTCAATTGATTATGGATGGACGCATCTTTGCTTCCACGTTTGCGAGTGGGAATCCAATGGTTGATAGTGCCATTATCAAGAGCGCCGCTGGATCCAACGTGTACTGGATACCCAACTTCTACCCTGGACAAAGCCTAAACTCCGTCGATGGTGCCTTCAACTGGATGGTAAGCCGTTTACGATGATGTCTAGAGCGTCGTGCCACATGCTGACTATTCCCATAGGCATGGCCCAACGATGGAAACAACAAGGCGCCTAAGCCTGGCCGGTCTGTGAGCGTCGAAGACGGGGACAACACCTATCTCAACTGGCTCGGTGGCAGGCCTTATATGGCTCGTATGTCAATTCTTCATACCCCACACTCGGTCGTGTGGCAGAAACTGACCCTCGCACAGCTGTTTCTCCCTGGTTCTTCACGCACTATGGCCCAGTAAGTTTTGACAGTCATGTGCGCCCTGTGGTCATCTTGGCACTGACAGGTGTGATTAGGAGGTTTCTTACAGCAAGAACTGGGTCTTCCCTAGCGGCTCTCTTCTTTTTGACCGCTGGAACACGGTGCTGGCCAGAGGTTTCCCCATGGTTGAGATCATCACCTGGAACGACTATGGCGAGTCGCACTACATTGGGCCTCTCCGCTCCAAGCACTACGACGATGGCAATTCGAAATGGGTCAACGACATGTGAGTGATCAAACTCTGCTTCCGCGATGTGCAACATGCTGATAAACGGTTGACTTTCCAGGCCCCACAACGGCTGGCTCGAACTCTCGAAGCCTTTCATCGCCGCCTACAAGGCCAAGGCGACCTCGGTCAACAACTACATCACGGACGAAAAGGTGATCTACTGGTACCGCCGCAACCTCAAGTCCACCAACTGCGACGCCACCGATACGACTGCCGGACGCCCAGCCAACAATGATTCGGGCAACTACTTCATGGGCCGGCCCGACGGCTACAACACGATGGATGACGTCGTGTACGTCGCGACGCTGCTCAAATCGGCTGGCACCATCACCGTCACATCCGGCAACACCGTCGTCACTCGCAACGTGCCCGCCGGTGCCAGCTTGATCCAGGTGCCTGCGGGACTGGGCAAGCAGAAGTTCTCCCTGACGCGCAACAACGCCGTTGTCCTCGAGGGCACGTCGCTCATGGATATCAGCAATGAGTGCCCCTGCGGCCTGTACAACTACAACGCTTACGTCGGCACTCTGCCTCCGGGCCCCAATGACCCTCTGGGCGCTGATGGGCTGTCGATGCTAACTGCAGGACTCCGCGTCACCACCTGCCAGCCCACTCCGTCCCTGGGCACGAACCCGCCCGTGGCCACAGGCCCTACCTCTCCTACCACGACTACCGTGCCCCCGGGCCCGTCCCCTACCGGTATGTGTAGACTTTTCCTTGAACCCGCCGTGGCGTAGATTCGCACATGGCCTCCCTCGTACTTCCCCTTTCGTGATTCATAACTCCGGGCCTCGAGAGGAGCAGCTGCTAACTACAAGATTCCAAAACAAACAGGAACATGCAACGCCGGAACCAACGCCGACGGCGAGTCGGGCAACTTCAGCGGCCTCTGCAGCTTCACCTGCAGCTACGGGTACTGCCCCCCCGGTCCTTGCAAGTGCACCAGCTACGGCACCCCCGGCACCCCTCCCGCGTCCAACGGCCGGGACGGCTGCCCCGCCGCGGGCCTGCCCGACTCGTACAAGGGCCTGTGCAGCTACACCTGCAACCACGGCTACTGTCCCGAGGGAGCCTGCCGGTACTGCTAAGTCGACACGCGGCCGTCGTTTGAGATTCTATCATGTGAGCCGAGAGGGTCAGAGATTGTAGATATCTTGTGAAGGATTGGGGTTGTGCGGGGGGGTTAGTTGACTTTTGTCGTGTGGCTCGCATGTGGTCAACAGAGAGAGGGGCATTTTGTGCAGGCAGGCACGCAGTTATACTTCAGTTCATGAACCAAGATGTGGTATAGATCAAGGGGGTTTACTTGTAGATAGTTTCAGAACAGTTTGGTGTACTCCAGAAACGAATGAATGCAATACCTTTTATTGTCAATGGTCTAATCCCGGACTTCCATGAGAGTTCAGCGGTTTCGCGCGGGTTTTGTGAGAAGCCCCACAGACTGCTGATTCATATAGTTTACAGCACTAATGTAGAGGAGGAATTGGTTTTTGAAGTAGAGCTTTGAATTTGGTGAAATAGAAAAAGAATACCTAGGTATGAAAAGCTATTATCAAGAAGTGAAGAAGGAACGAGGGACATGTTTTTGGTCTTTTATGCTCTGAATCTGGACCGTTCTTCTAGCGAAACCAGGAAGCAGTACCAAGGAGGAGAAAAGAAACATGATCGTGATTGGGGCACTCCGAAGATGAGCAGATTAATCCATGGAGAGGAAACAGCTGTCCACAACATTGCTCGCGACTTTCGGCGTGAGCATCAAATTGTGGAGGTCGAGGTAGAACTTGAGAAAGATCGATGACCAGCACCGATCTGGATCTGGGATGTTGGGCAGGGCGGGCGTTGGTTCAGCGATATTGGCTTCTTCCTAGATGATAATAGACAGGGTATTGAGGATGTCGACGACACCCTGGAGGATGCCGGCTTTGATCAAGGCCTGGATGTCGGTCGGGTTGACGGCAGCCTTGAGCGAGTCGGCCAGAGTGGTGAATGGCCCGGTAAAGGCGGCGATGGCGGTCTGCAGTGCCTGAATCTCGGCGCTGATGGCAGCGTCAAGGTTGCCTTTGTATGTGTTGGTGAGGAAGGTAACAGTGGCCTTGACGGAGTTGACAAGATCCTGGGCCTGGTTAACAGCCAGTCTCGCCTGAGTGATCTCCTGCATGATGGTATTCGAGGTGCTGCCCTGGAGGGCGGCCGCGGCTGTCTGCGCACTCTGTGTGAGCTTGGCGGCACTGGCCTGGAATGCGGCGGCGGTGTCTCTGAGGTTGGCAACGACCATGGCTACAATCTTCTGAGTCGTCTGCGTGTGGTTCGCGACGGCCTCCGCAAGAGTGCCTTGCAGGATAGCACCGTTGGCGGTGGCCGTGGTCCGGACTGTGCCGATAGCCGCGGTCACACCGTCGATCAGGATGCCTCTGCCGGCAAGGTCTGTGGTCTCCTGCTCCTGGACCAAGGCAGGGGCGGCAAGAGCGACCGAGGCAATGCTGAGAATCTGGAGGAACTTCATTGTGGCGGGTTGGAGACTAGCGAAGACGAGCGATGAGCTGCGTGATGAAATGTGGAAAAAGTTGTGGAGGAGGAGATATTGTGAGTGGCAGGGAGTCTTGATTGTGGATGCCGATGATGAGCTGAGAGAAAAGGCGAAACCAAGGGCGATATCTGGACCATCTTTATAGGAAATGGAAATGTCAGATTATCGCACAGGTTGCCTGTTCTTAGTGGGCATGTTCCCGCGCCATCTTTGCTTGTGTTGCTGCTCCGTTGTCCCCATAACCAGCAGAAGAAGGTGGGTATCATACAGCACGTACTCACCGATCTCCAATATGGCCGCTGACAATTACCTCATTGCGCCAACGTCGTGTAGTCGAATGTTATTTCTGGGTCGGGGCCGTCTCTACGCGTCTAGATTGCCGTTACAGCGGGCGAGAATCGCCCAGCTCCGCCGCGCCTCTGCCTGGTGAGACACAAAAACCTTCTTCGGAAAATACCCCGTAGCTTGTGCAGAGAGTCATGCCAGGATTGCATGAGGCTCAAGCGAGCCACTGTCCAAGGGAATAGAAGTCGAGCCGGCCACATGTATCAGCGATTCAGCCATCCCTGTCAAGTCCCGATTCAGTGAGTGAGAAGGTTGTTCTTTTTAGCTAGGTGACCCTGGAAATGCTGATCGCGACGTGAATCCCCAGTCGAAACCCCGCTGCTACAGGCTGACGATTCAAGACACGGTAGGGATCATTTGTACCAGCATCACTTGTGATCGTGGAGGGCAATCGTGCTCATGACTTGCCTGATGGCGAAAGGACGCCCACGCTTCGGTCATGGAGCTCCTGCGCCACATCGGCACTCTCGGGTGCATGGTACAGCATTGTGACAGTAGCCACACTGATGTGAGGGTCCCACATGTTATGTAGCACAGCACTTTGAGCAATGAGACTAAGCCGTTCAGGGTGTCTGAGCCAGGCGGGAAAGGCAAGATCCTGTGTCTCTCCTCTAACTCTACTCCCGTAAGCTTCCGCAAGCGCCGGTCTTGGCAGGACGGCTCCCATGTCTCATTGGCCGCCCCGAACTTGTCAAAACTGACAGGCTTCCCCCCTTCGGTGCCGACCGACGCCGTCAAGCTTAATCGTAGTCCATCTTGAGCCCTTGACTGGCTCGGTACGCGGCAAGGCCAAAGCTCCAGCTGTTATAAGGCCTGCTAAGCCAATCCCGGAGCATGGGGAAACAGCTACTGCAATTGTCTAGACCGAGTAATACTCCCCAGGAGCCACCACTTGGTGCCTGTCGAGACATGGCTTCAATTCTGAAACCATAATATTGTATCTACGGGGCTTCTGGGCGCCACGGCGCCTGCGGGCCGCCCGCCTGTCTCTCCCTGGCCGGGGCGATGCCTGGCGGGGACCTGTACAGGCCTGGCTTCCGCACAGCTGTCGGGGCTCAGTCAAGCCCTCCCCCGCAGCCACCAAGGCCATAGCTTCGAGCCAAGCACTGTGCTGATATCAGAGCTGTCATTGTCTACAGCGAGCTCTACAGAAGTATGAGCTGTCCTTGATTTGGCGCGGCATTCCCGGCTTCCGCACTTGTGGCGGTGGCGGCCCGTCATAGCACTGACCTGAGGTTGCACTGACCCAGGTCAGCTGCATCCATAGTGTGCTCATACATTGTGTTCTACTCGGCTATTTGGCATCGCACAACTTCTGGGTACTCACAAGACTTGAGCAGCTGGTCTGGCGAGCACTGATCCCTAACGTTTAGTTCTAGGAAGAAGTGTCTCGACGTGGTCTAGAATGACGCTGCTGTCTCACGTAGTCAGCATCCCATGGCCAACACGTACTCCTGTCGATCTCGAACAAATGATCTGCAGCAACGAGAAGCATCCAGCCATAACGGCAAGGGGAGAGTGGCTACCTTCCCTGGGCTGTGTCGGAGCGACTGAGCCGGGCTTCGGGGCTGCCAGAAACAAGGTTCAGAGAGCGCGAGGCAGCTTCCGAAGCATCGTGAGCTCATCGGCACTAGTGGACCGCCCTGAGCCGTGAGGCCCATTCCGGGGCTTGACAGACACCGCGTTTTTGAAGCATCACGATTGGTCGGGGTGCGAGCGACGGGCCGCGCGGCTAGAGTCGCCCCGGCATGGCGTTGGGACGTGGTCTTAGACAGAGACGTTGTGATGAAACAGAGACATCTCAAGTCAAAATTCTGGTGGTGCACACATGCCTGCAATGGTGGATTATAAGTCGAATTCTCCAAGTACCTGGAATGTGAGTGAGATTGCACGGGCGTGCTATGACGTTGCCTGCCCCGGAGAAGAGCTGGAACAGGTACAACGCGGCACGGAGCGTGGAAGAACCTCCGATGCAACGCTCCATGCTGCTGCATGAAGTCTTGCGTGGATCCACGCGTGGATGTGTGCTTTACCGTTTCGCGGCCGTTGCCGATACTTCCCAATCTTGGCAGCCTTGAGATTCCGCCCAGTCAATTTACTTGCTCAGTCATGCTGGGCTCAAAATAAGCTCGGGATCTGGCAACTGCCAAGGCCGGGTAATTGCCCGACCTTGACAGTACTACGCGAGTCGAGACCCTGCTAGCCGCGTGAGGTCATAAAAAGCACGATATTCCGCTGTGTGTCACGCTAGCCAAGCCTCGATCTGCTCTGCTGGTCTAGTGGACAAAGAGAGGCGGGAGCAAAGCATGGTAAGCCCGGTGCTACCTGGATCCGGGGATCCAAGACAACTCTATTCTCTTGAGGTTGGGCCAGGTTGGGGGCGGCCACTGTTGCCCCGCGTAGGGCTACACCAAAATTCAAAAACTGTGCCCTTGATTTCAAGGCACATACGCGCACCCTGTGATCGTCCCGATGAATTGCTTGACGTTGATCTGATAATCTCATATGAGGGAGTGCGGCAAATGCGGGGAGGCGTTCGTGATACTAGCAAAGTCAATGGCGACCTGGAGGCATTTGTCATCCTCATCCCATCGCAACCGGCTTTTCGCCTCCACCGGAAACCAAGATCAAGGTGAATTCACGGCAATAGTTGCTATTACCTGACGTCTTGGGACATTGGAAAATGTTGATGAGTCGTTTCCTGTCACGCCCCTCACACTATAAGCGAAGGGTGGCTTCATTCTTCCCCAGGAAGGGCCTGATCTCGAACATGAAGTGCTTCTAACCCTTGACAACACGTTCGTGGCGCACGCCGTGATAGGCACCACACCGTGGCCGCGATTCATGCCGTATGTACATTTTCAGCATACGCAAGGCACGCCCATGACTCGCGCCATGCTCAGTCGCGATCAGCGCCCCGCAAGCGTCTGTCACAGCCCGCCCGCGCCTTGCCCAGGCACGCAGCCTAAAGCGGGATCTACAGGTACACAGCAGGGTCCTGGCTGGCCGCAAGCTTAGAGTTGCAGATCGGCAAGGGTTAGGCGGCGAGACTGCTCGGCACGTACATCGTTCTCAGAAACAACCCGCCGCAGTCCCGGCCCGGCTGGCGTCGCTCTCATAAAGCTTTGGTTTGTAGACCACAAAAGCAAGCCATATCACCGGTGTTCATGATAGAATCTACCGCGTTGAATATGAATAATGTAGCAGGCAGGAGTTGGGCCCAGACCTTGTCATATACTGTATGTATTTGTCATGAATGCATCAGCCGTGTAAGATGGTTCACTGTCGCGCAGTGAAATATTAGCACGATTACAAATCTCGTTACCAATCCCTTCTGCTCTGTCAGCACTTCTCCAAACACGTCTGCATGCTGCGAGACGTTCGAAAGCAGAGTGCTTTAAGGACTAGCATTGGCTATTCCCCCTTTGTTCGGCCGCGTTTCGTCCGTCGAAGCGCAAGTTGCACGGGTATCAGAAGGATAATGTGGATGGCACCAATAGCCGGAGACTGGGGCATCGGCAACTGGGAAGAGTTGCTATTGGCCAGAGTGAGATAGGGCCAGACAAGCCTGCTTGACATTTTACAAGACGAAAAAGTGAACCTGGAAAAAGAGTGGAGAGGGTCAAATGTGGTCCTTGTGAAGGGCATGACCGGGCCAGCCTCGCGAGCAGCCCGTCACTCGCGTTGTTGCATCGAATTGGTCGCGGCAGCCACGCGACCCTTGCCCGAGTCCCATAGACGCGCCTCGGAACCCCATTCAGAGCGTCGTCTGTGCCCTGCCAACTACCGGTCCATGGACATCACGGAGATGACACTTTAAATCCGGCGCCAAGCAAATCCCCCCCAAAGTCTGCATGCATGGATCTTATTCCCGAAAAGCCCGCAATGGTGCGTCTCCAAGCACTCAGCTACCATGTGTCTGGGAAGGGTTTGCCATGCGCACTTGCTTCACGCTAATCGGGGTTAGCGGGCTCCATAACCTGCCGAGCTGCACGATGAGGTGTAGATTGTACTTGGAGGATCTCGTTCTCGTGCAGCGAAGTCAAGCCGCTGTGTAGCCCCCACACTGGCTGTCCTCGGGTTGTCAAGAAGGCTGAGGGCAAGGTGAGAAGCAATGAGGAATTCCTTGTATGCAAAACAGTGCAGCGCAGTGCCATGTTAACCGGCACATCGTGGAGTCACCCTTCTACAACCTGGACTGTGATCCTCGCCTGGCAACATTACCAAGGGTCGGGCTAACCCCGCCTCCAAAAAAAGTATAAGAGTTGGTCCGCGCAGGTCGAACATTGCTCAATTGGTCCGTCTGCCCTCCATATCGAGCAGTATCTCAGAATCAAGACACACTTCTAGCACCAGCTCTGCCATTACCACAACATGAGTCTTCCACCCACAGCTCTCCGCCAGCTCGGCAGGAATGGGCCTTTGATCCCCGTCATCGGCCTGGGCCTGATGGGCGCCAGTGTCGGCTACGGCGCGGCCCTGTACGCAAATACTGCTCTTTCTGTACCTCGCGTTGCGGCATAAGTCGAACATCAGGCTAACATCTCGGCCCACCCTTCCAGCTCTGACGACAACCGTCTGGCCTTTCTGGACCGTGCCTGGCAGATAGGCGCGCGCAACTGGGACACGTCGGACGCTTATGGCGACAGCGAGGCGCTGTTGGGCAAGTGGTTCCGCCTGCACCCCGAGAGGCGCAAGGACATCTTTCTCGCGACAAAGTTTGGGATAGTGATGCCAGGGAATGGTAACCTCACAGAGGTCAAGATCGACTCCTCGCCCGAGTATGCGACCACGGCGCTCGAGAAGAGCCTACAAACGCTGGGTGTCGATTACGTGGACTTGTACTATGTCCATCGAATCAATTCGGACACGCCGATTGAGAAGACCATGGAGGCGATGGCGTCTGCAGTCAAGTATGTTTTGCTTCCCGTCCGGATACCTTCATTTGCGTTTATCAGGCTGCGGCTGACGAGCACAAAAGATCTGGCAAGGTCAAGTATGTGGGCTTGTCCGAAGCCTCGTCGGCCACTGTCCGCCGCGCCCACGCCGTATATCCGCTCTCTGCCGTCCAGAGCGAGTACAACCCTTGGACGCGCGACATTGAGGGCGAGGCAGGCACTCACCTCCTCGACACCTGCAAGGAGCTGGGCATCGCCATCGTCGCGTACTCCCCGCTGGGCCGTGGCGTGCTGACAGGCGCATATCGCTCCGGCGCGAGCTTTGGCGAAGGCGACGTCCGTGCCCATATGTCCCGATTCAGTGAGGACAACATGGCCAAGAACGACGCCTGTCTGGACAAGATTGGTGCGATAGCTGAGCGGAAGGGCTGCACTCCGGCGCAGCTTAGCCTGGCGTGGTTGATTGCGCAGGCCGACAATGTGTTTGTGATCCCAGGGACCAAAAAGATCAAGTACCTCGAGCAGAACTTCGCTGCGGGTCAAGTGCAGCTGACTGAGGCGGAGAGCAAGGAGCTTCGGCAGATTGTGAGCGAGGTTGACATTGCGGGTGACCGGGATCCTTTCTTTGGGGCCTTCGTAGACACCGTGCCGCTGGCTTGAGAAGCTTGGGGGAGAATGGGGGAACTGGAAGCGGCCCAGACGGAAGAGTGGCAACGAGTAAGGAAGTGGAAAGAGGACACACAAGTCGATATGTACACTGTTCTCTATATAGGTCTACTGGCAATCGTCCCGCACACGCTTATATCTGCGGTTTCACAAGATAGGCGCAACTAAATCGATATGGCCGTTAACGCCGAGTGATTCGGGTGGGACACTGGTGTATGAGCGGGCCAGGGTCGCGCATTGAGTGCACCCGGAACTCCGAGTGCCCCCAATCTGGCTCCAATTATTATGGCGCCCGGAATCCCGACCTCCTCTTGCGATGCTTTTCATACCACAAGAAGCAGGAGCTTTTTAGCAATAAATCGTAGCCGATGTCGGTAAGTAAACCAAGTTGCCCGCGGTGCGGAAAGCACTTCACCCGAGGTACGTCTTTCACCAAGGACACGTTGGCATATACTCAGGAAGCACCCGGATCTTGGGAGACACTAACAAGCCCAGTATCATCACGCAATCGACACAGCGCGCGGTGTCTACAAGGATGGACGGCTCCAGCCCGCCGCAAGGCCTGCTTAACCTGTGCCACATCCAAATTGCGCTGCGGATTGGAACGTCCTGGCTGCGCGCGATGTCGTTCAAGGAACGTGAGATGCGTATACGCCTCACCCTCCGTGGTTGAGCACGGCCGGGCAGAATCTATTAGTGTTGAAGAGAACCCTGCAGGCCACGTGTCCGGCGAGAGCACCACCGCAGGAGGTAATACGGGTTCTGTACCGTCTGTGACTAGCCACCGCGCAACCCCAGAGTCACAAGACGATTCAAGTCGCCAGTCAGCGAGGCCTGCAACCTCGCCGCCCGGCAGTCCGGATCTGGCGTACCTCACAGATGACGCTATTCCACAAATCTACGGGCGAAACGGGGGCGCCTTGCGCTTCGTACAGGCGCGGGCTGCCGCGCACAGCCTCGCTGCTGAGCACACGGCCCATCTCACTAGCCGCATGTTCAGATCCTGGGTTCGCGTCATGGCTGACTACAATGCGACGGAGCAGAGGCTGCCCCCATTCATACACCCGGTACAGACATCAGGCCGCTCGATCAAGGCCTTGCCTGCGGCCCTCCTCGACTGCTCTTCGCTGGCGAAGATGTGGCTGGCCTCGGGCGATGACTCTCGGGAAGCTGTCGACAGGATCATAAGCAGCGAGATCAAGCGGCTTTTCTGCGTTGTGAGTTCACAAGACCCTTCTGCAAATGCATGTTTAAAGTGTTGTTATTGGGAGGTTCTAAGGCTCACAAATTCCTATCACGTATCTCTGTACTGCGCAGGGAAGATCTGTTTCAGGCCTAGATCTCCTAGCAACCTGCCAGTCACTAGTCATCCTGCTCACCATCATCCTCACGAACCCGGACACATTTCCGGGCTCTCGGGCCTCTAATCCTGGAACAGCGATTCCCAGGAAAGACGAGCAATCCAAGCTGATCCTAGAGCTGTGGGAGATGACAGAGACTCTGGTGCACACGATAAACGCGGACGGAAACACGCCATCCTCGTCCCCGGTCCCTCCTGATGTGCCACTGCATGTATCGACAATCCAGGCTCTAGACACAGAAGTGTCAGCCCTGCAGCTGTCGCCGACAGTCAAGCCAACGAGCCATGATCAGGCCAGCCAGGGTTATCACAACAGCCCGTTCTCCGCCTCAAGTTCACAAAGCTGGCACGCGTGGGCAGTCGCTGCCGCCACAACACGCACAATCTTCGCCATGCACGCGCTCGAGCATGCATGGTCCATCATCCACGGGTTACCCCTCATGTCATGCTTCGGCATGAGCCAGATGCCGATGCCTGAGGCCGGGAAACTATGGCGCGCCCGGAGCCAGGAGGAGTGGGAGCCGCTGTATGAAGGGTGGCAGCGCCGGTGGTGTGGTTCCGACTGCTCACCGACGACAGGATCGTTGCCAGCACTGTCTTCCGACAAGGGTGATGGAGACTTGGTGGTGGAGGAGAGGAGAAGTGACAGCGGCGGCTCTTCGGGGAGCTTCAAGGTCTCCGAGTGGCTCAATATCAGGCCGGGTCGCGGGCTGGATGAGAGAGCGGAGCGGTGGCTTGCAGAGGCAGATGAGTTTGGGGTCATGTTGATGGCTGGCAGTAGGTCTCTCAATCCTCCGCCCCCTATTCACTCTGACCTTCTCAACTTTCGAGATCTGGTTGCTTTTCTCAGCGCTATCACCCCGTTTGCCATTGTCTCGACCAGTTTACTGACAAACGCCGAAGTCAGCGCGGTACACGACATATAGCCAGTGGCTAGGCCGTCAGCTAAACAGTGCTCGGATCTCTTGAAAGTATCCTGGCCGAAATGTACACGGCCGGAACACGCAGACTGGTTTTTCGAAAACAGCACATCAAGCAGTATCGAGTTGTCAAGGCGGCGCCGAGTCGCTTCGCCGATCCTCGTGATGGATCGCGCGAGATTCATCCTCCTCGTCATCGCTGTCGAATGCGCAAGCCTCGCAAGCTTGTATCGAACGCGTAGTCGCAACTTGCTCCTCCTCGTCCTCTGGAAGCCACCACGACCTCGGTGGCCCGGCTGGTTCCGTCGTAACCACCGTTGTCGTGGTTTGCACGATGACGCCCTGGGGAATATGGCTTCCTGATATCAAGGCTTTCTCGTCGGCACCGAAGTCGTTGAAGCTCGTGATATCCAGGCTGTCGCTTCCTACTCCTCGTCCGCAGGCGTCCGCTGCACCGCCACTTTGTCCGTGGCTCTGGTGTGTGAGCTCGTCCGCGATATCGCCGCCGTCGACATCGCCAGCACGATGGCTTCTCGCGATCCGCTGCTTACGCCGGCTGTGCGGCACACCATCTCCGCAACCACCGCCACCCCGGCTGGCTGAGACTTCAGTGACGGCCGCCTTGCGCTGCATGTGATGGTGTGTGCCTACGTCGTCGTATTCCCCCGCAGCAGCACCACCGATCGTCCCAGTCTGGGTATTTCCGAACCTCTCCAGGGCTTGCGAGAAGGAGTCTGCCCCGCCCTGCCGTGCCAGGATGGCCTGCATCTCGTCGGCTGTCGTGCCCCCCGTGTCGGTGTAGCCGTTGGCTATCGTGTTGATCCGGTTGTCCTCGCGGACAATTTTGGCGATCAGGTCGGCCATGAACAGCTCTATGAGGAGCTTCACGAGAAACTGCAGAGGGTGGAACTGGGCGTATCTGCCAGTGGAGGGAACAGGATAGTTAGCCAAAGGACCCATGATGGGCGGGAGTAGTGCATTCGAAGAAACGTACATCACTTGGCTGCGCAAAGACATTGCTCCCAGGACCAGAATCTGTGCAACGCCCACGCAACTTGTTAGCAATTTGGCATCCCCTTTCCGTCCGATGCACAAAAGGCAGGTTGACATACGTCCGTCCCCACCGACACGCACGCCATCGCAATGTTGGCGTACAGCAGCTTCTTGTATTTGGTCAGGCCCATCTGGATCAGCTTTGTGCGGACGTGGTACATGAAGTAGCCATTCAGCGCAATGTCGACGAGCGCGTAGAGCACCTTCTCTGAGCGGTCCCACCAGAAATTGATGACCGCCCAGTGCGGCGTGAGCTGGAGCCGGGCGGGTATCCAGATCGGGTAGCCAGATATGTTGATGGCGCTGGCGATGGCGAAGACGACGAGCCGGATGCGCCGGACCTGCGTCGGGTTGGCGACGATGAGGGCGACGCGATTGATGATAATTTGCAGGATGCACTGCATCTGGATTTGGAGACGGGGAGTTGGGGTTAGGTGACTTGTGCCTCGAAAGTTGTAATGTCAGATATCGGGGGTTCGTGCATACCAACACTGCCCACAAGGAGACTGCATTTGGGGGCCTCGGCGTCAGTCTTTGGGGGTTCTTCAATCAGATGTTGTTTTCTGATGTAGTTCAGGGTTGGGGCTCACTCATGGTGAAGAATGTCCAGAAGCTGGGTGGCACAATCCCGGTGAGAAACAGGTAGCTCACTGCCGCCAGGGCGACGGCTGCGGCCCATTCGGCCCAGCACATGATGACAAAGGGCGTAAAGGACTTGCGCCGCTCGTATATCGACTGGGTCTGCATCCCATTTTTGACAAAAGTGAAGACGGCAAGAGGCTAGAATTCGGGTAAGATGGTCAGCGTCTGGCATTCAGAAAAGACGTGTCTCTGGTGGCCTGCTCACTATCGTCGCCCCGAGCACGAGGCTGGCATCGTTGAGCTCGGAGCGGTTTGGAGTCTCGCTCTGATACCATGGCGGTATCAAGAGCCCCATTGCGACCCGCAGGGATGGGCCCTGCCGAGCTCTGACGGCGTTCCTACCTGCTACCGGTCGAGATATGCCGCTGGCCCCCCTGCGAGGATTGCCCGAAATGCTGCGACGGTCACTCGTTCAGTCGATGTCTCGTCCGAGCGTCTCCAAGCACTTCTCTCCGATGAAAAGCGAAATTCGTCGTCTGGCGTGGCATCCTCTCAAGAGGTGTGAATTTGCGCGCCGGGAATCACGGCAATGCGCAATGACGTGGAAAACTTAAAGCTAGAGTCACAACCGGTTCATGACATGCCAAGCTGATGGCGACTCGGTGTCTATTTGTCGTTCTTCATGCGCGGCACAGGTGTGACGCGCGGATGGATGATGGAAAGACGTGGTTGAATGAAGCAAGGACGGAGAGAGGCGCCTCTGTGTGGCCCAGGCAAAAGGGGCCTCTGGAGACTGCCAGCCGGCCGGCGTAGCAGCCGAATGGAAAAAGGAAGCAAGCACATAGACCTCCAAGTGACTGGTACGCATATGTCTTAGAGAGCGTGCATATCGGTTGCGGAGCTATGAGCCACTAACTACGCAAGGGAAAGTCTTAGCTGCCATGCAGCAGATCGCCCCTCAAATGGCTGTTTGTGCCGTCTGGGGCCGTGGTGCTGGGGAGAGGGGTCCCGTTGGTTCGCCATCTGGCCCCAGGCATAAGCTCCATGCAATTCAACGTCACAGGCGAGGCCGCGCGGTGCTATGATGATCAGCTAGTCAATGCTCCGTCCCCAGGTTCTGCATGCTGGGATGGGCATGGCCGGGCTGGCTTAAAGGTGCCGGAGAGACACTAGACACACCCATGACACGGACCGCACACAACGCAATCCCATGCCTGGCGAGTGCAGCCAAGACTACTGCGGGATGGCTCTACCACTTTGGCAGCTCGGCTGCACGGGCAAGCATCACTTGCTTTCTGCGGCAGCACGACTCTTGCTGGATCAAACCCAGTCCGTGGCGGTTGCGGAGAGTACTCTTTGCGCCAGACGAGTTGTGCATCATCCCGTGCCTCGCACGTGCCGCCCTACGAGGTTCCCCCGGACGGCTTGAAGGAAGCCCCACAACCCGCCGACGGTCAGCCTGGATAGACTGGAGTTTTAGCGTCAAACTTGGGTGCCCCAAGCTGAACCTTGTGGCATGTTTTGCCGGCCACCGTAGGCTGGCGCCAGAAGCGGTCGGAGAGAATGGCCAGACTCCAAGACCCATCAAACAATGAGGGCAGTGGCCCATGCAGGGCAAGCACAGATTTCCAGGAACCATATCTACTGGCACTTAGCCCCCAACCAACCTACCGAGATTGGCAAGGCAATTAAATTAAACCTTGCACTGAGACACTTCTCGGTCCAATATCCGATGCCGCAGTGCGTGCAAAGCCAGTGAGACACTACAGGGATTCCGTCCCTGATTTGGGTTCCATCATTGCTTATTCGAGATCTCGATTTCGTAATGACAAGAGCCCATGCAGCATATCGACACCACATTCCACCCTCGGAGAGTACTCCGATACAGCGCAACAAATAAGCTAATCGATCTAGAAACTAAGCTTGGATGCTCGCTGCGACGACTCCGACCATGGCATTGACCGGGTGGCATACACACGGCTGGCTGAGGTGTTTCCGAGGCCATCGGACCGAGGAGTCGGGGCTGTTTGATCCGTGCAGTCGGCCCGCGAACTTCAGCGAAGCCGACGTTCCCGCGAGATCAATCGCCACTTTGGGCATGCTAGCACGCTGGATCACGGCTACCTGCAATGCAGTCGAACATGGCATTCCAACAATGCCAAAGCTGCTTAACATTCCATACATGGCACACATGTCTCGCACAGGCCAGCGGAGGATCATGCAGGGTTTGTGACTCAGATCTGGCAGCTAGCGCGGACCACGCGCCACTTTCCTCCGACCGTCTGGCCAACGCATCGGGCCAAGCAGAAGGGCAGACCGAGAGCGGAAATAAAGGCATCGCAGGTACACTGAGTGATATTCCCATCTAGAACGCTCGAAAAGGTATGGTTCGCTAACGATCTAGAATCAATCTACCAAGCCGCGATGCCCTCTACACACACAGAGCCAGCGTCCTCGGATGACCACCAGCCTCATCTGGCTCCAACTGGACCTCATCATCAAGCCGCCGTATCGTCGATCCACGATTTGCCCTCCTCCTCCTGCCTCTTGCGCCACTCGCTCTCGAGCATCCCAAACTCGACGAAGTCGTGCCATTTCCCGCGGAACCAGACCTCCTCGCGCCGGCGGCCCTCGACCACGAAGCCGAGCTTCTCATAGAGGTGCAGCGCCCGCGCGTTGAACCCGAACGCCTCGATCCCGACGCGGTGCAGGCCCGCCATCTCGAAGCCGTACCCCAGGATCCACCTGATCGCCTCGGAGCCGTAGCCGCGGTTCTGGTACTGGCGGACTATGCTCAGGCCGATCGAGCTTGCTCGGCCTGCGGGGACGCGGCGTTAGTGATGAGCAACCGACTGCCTCCCGGCCTTTGGCGGTTATTCTGCTTGAGCAGGACAGCTCCTTGGTTTTGTCCGGCAGCGTGGCCTAAAAAAGCCAGCAAGCATGAAAATGTCAAGTCGGGACGGGCAACGTACTGTGTGAGGATTTCCCTTCGGATAGCTTCAGGCAAATGAACCCTATCGGGACTGCCTCGGCCGTGGTGTTCAAGTCTGTTCCTGGGTTGAGGCAGATGATGACTCCCAGGAGACAGCCGTCCCGCAGGAACTCGCCGAGCTTCTTGCTCTGGACCTTGTTCTGTGGAGCGAGCAGGTTGCGCGTGTTGACCGACAGGGCCTCGATGTCGAGCTGTACCGAGTGCAGGAACGTGTTGTCGTCGTCCGCGTCCTCCATCGCGCGGTAGGTGAGACGGGCCGAGTGGAAGGGGTCGAACGCCATGGCTGGTGACTGTGGACTGCCGGTTGAAGCTTAGGTTTCACTGGAGACGAGAGAGGGGCAAAGGCGAACTATATGTGTGAAAAGGGGACCAGGCTCGATGATTATCGTGAACTGCAACGTTCTGCTGACGACAAGGGCATCGTTCGTGCAGGGGTGCCTGTCAGCGTCTCTTCCCCGCAGTGCTTATCGGTCTGAGCCCGCGTGACTGTTCCACGCAATTTTGGCTGCCCGTTCTCTGCTATACGAGCCCCGAATCCACGCTGACGTTAGATTAGTATTAACCCCTGTCATTTTACATATGGAGCAATGAAGGCAAAGTGTGAATTCCCAAGTAAAGTCCTTCCATTTCACGACCGTAGCGCACCTGAATGTCGAAGCCATGCAGCTGAGCTTGGGGAGACAAGTGCTGATATCGTGGGGGTCAAAGTAAGCTTCTCTCGTGGCCTCGCCAGTGGCTACTCTGACTGTAGGCCGGCGGACGCCGTCGCCACGTGTATGTGAGATCAGGAGCCCTGGTGACGCATAGCGACCTGTCTGAGAGGCTCCAAATACGTGTCTTCGCGTCCCTAGCCGTACATTTGATTTGGCCGCCATGCTATTTGTGCGCCATTACGCGCGTTTATATCTCAATATTAATCCAGTCCGCAGCTGCAAGCCCTAGGCATGCTACGCCTCTCCGCGGTATCCCACCGCAGCATGTCGTGCATCACCTTAGGGAAGCTCTCTTGACGTTGACCGTCCAGACGTGATTCGATTATGCGTAATATTATTGGGTTGGCTGGCTCTGATTTTGCTTGCAAAGTCCCCTGATGCCATGTGAGGTACTGGTTCGGGCTTGCGTAGGGTTGAACAATAACTGCCGGGGTATCCATGCCGCAAGGTCGAAATCTGGCCATCAAACACCAGTTTCCGCGAAGAACCTCTTCTTTGGAGCTTCTGTGGCAAGCAGACTTTCTGGTGATGGTCCTGGGAAAGTCATTATCTGCTAGACTGCGTACAGTGATCGCGTGATATCCTTCAAATATATTCCGGACCTTTCATCATTTTCAAAGCGGCTGGCAGTGCACAATCGACCAAGTTCCCAGACAATCGCGTGACAAGAACATTAATCGGACTCTAAGCCTTCTTTGTGTACAACTGAGAGAATCAGATTCACACCCATGTTTCGTCATGTCCACCCATCACCCACCAGGGCTCGTCACTCAGATCTATGTCGTCTCCTACTGCATCGATGTGGCGCCGCCAATCTCCACGATTTATGTGCATAACAAGCTGCAGCTTGCGCACAGGTGGCCCGCACCAGACGACACCTAGAAGTTCAGCCCGCCTTCGACCGTTTGCCAACATGTCTTCGTCGCGAAGCTTGAGCAGCTCGTTATCCACCCTCTGCCACCATATCTTCGCCCAGTGGGCGAAAGCAAAATTGGTCATTTCCCACACGTTGCTTCCCTCGGTCGCCAGAAGAAATTGCGATGGGTTTGGGCGGTGGAGGAAATACCCCTTTACGGTGTCTGTGAAATCGTGAACTATCTCCGCAAAGATAGCCTCCAAGCGTGGATCGATATCATCTTCCACATTGGAAGGAGATGAGTTCTCACACGATTTCCAACGTTTCCCGACCTCGTCGTAGTACCAACAAGTATGAACCAGCCAGAGGGAGGCAAAAGTCATGATACGTAGGGCAGACAGCATTTGCTCCAAAGTGATGATGTCTGCAACACCGCTCAACAGTAGGCAAAACTGGTAAGCGTAAAACTTTGGAGACTCTTGCTGCTCAAACAGACAGCACAGGAGGTGCTCGAATGGTGTTTGGCCTTGTGGGGGTAAGCTAAAGGGTCGGTCAGTTCGCTGCAGACAAATGTTCAGCGCCTAAAACGCTTACTATCGATCAAGGACCGCCGATAACAAATGGCAAGCTCTAACTTGCCATGCACGCCGGGAGGAAACCGGGCCGTCCACTGCGCTTGTGAGTGCTTGTTGCCAGACATCAGTAAGTCTATCATCAGCGGCAACTCTGCCTTACCCAATTGTAAAATTGCAGGCTCCAGTGGATGGCTGTCTAGTACATCAGCACCATCACGCGTACAGGGAAGCCTTATTGACACGACGTGAGTATCTGTTGGCCATATTGAGTACTGACCCTTTGCCAGATGAGAGTGTGCCTGGATGGGCGCCGTAAGCGAGTAGCAACTTCACTACACTAGACACCGGTACCAAGACTTCCCATACACCACTTGAAGTATGGTCATATAGATTGTCCGTGGCCTTGTCTTATAAGATGGAGACAGTTAGCCGGCGTGAAATTCACCAGGCTTAGTTCGCTACTTACGAGGATCGCAGTAATCATAGAATTGCCGGCGGCATCAACAACAGTTGCAAGGTAGGGTCTTTTCTCGAGCATTTGGCGCATTCTTTGGAGCGCGTATTCGCTCATTGCTTTATATTCGTCCTCTTCGACACGATAACATGAGAATTCATGCATGTAGTTGATGATCCGCCATATCGGATGAGTTTCAACCCGCACACGGGTCTGATACTGCAGCGCGAAAGTTGGACTGACACTGAGCACGCCGCCTGCGATGAGATTACCCAAGGAGATCCCGAAAGAAGCCTCTACGATGGCATTAACTGTTGTCCACCGAGATGCGACAGTGTGCGTCGTTGATGTCTTGTTCAAAGCTTTCGACTTTGAGAATTCGCAACTCGGGCGGTGCCGGAACGTCTCGATCCTGCTGATGTAAAAACCAATAGCAGATCCCAGCGGTTGCCATTTTTTGACATTTCGATACGAACGACACTCGCACAGCCCAAGACCACCCAGGGCCGACATGGGCTGCAGGTCGCTGCGTGTGGGTGACTGTGCAAGATATTTGCGCGACACGCCTGCGACCCTAGTCTCCCTTGTCATTGCCCTTTGTGACACGACGATTCGGGTTTCGGCCTCTCTGCCAGCCGGCAGGCGCGAGTCCAGCTCTTGTAACAGGGCCTGGCACTGCATGCTCACATGCAGCATGATTGCCGCGGAATTCTGGTCGATTTTCGCGGCCGTCTCGGCGTGTGCCTTCTTGACAAGATCGGTTTGATCCAACGAGATGTTGCTAGACACACCGCACGAAGGTCAGCCATGAGGTCATAACAGGAGAGCTTGGAGCTCAACACGCACATCCCGAGATTCTGCAACGCCACTTGCAAAGTGCTGTTGACACTGTTCATCCTGTGCTCCATCTCGGCCTTCTTTTCGCTGTGGAGGGCATAAGTCAACTTCTTGAAGACTCTGCGGCAGCTCTCGCGGAAAGTCGGGTTCGAGAGCGGCACCCCCGCGAGGTCGTCAACGAGACTCTCGAGCGCGCGCAGATCGGCTTCGCAAGACTTTATGCACGCTCCCACCGAAGAGACTGACAGCGAAGTCGTGATGGTGTCTTGGGACGCTTTCTCTGTCTCGACCATGGCGGTAGAAGGCTGCATGGTGGACAGAGCTGTATTCGTTTGTGACGGCCCTGTGTCCGAGGCAGTCGATGAGACATGCCTGTTGATGGTCTCCTGGGCAATACGAAGATTGCGATCGAGGTTCGTGGCGAGGTTGCTCAGGGATTTCACGTCGCCGGAGTAGCTGCTGACGGCGTCTGCGTACGTGATGATGCCTTTGCAGACAGTGATGCCCAGGGATACCACGCCCAAGGCGAGGCCTGCCATGTCGGCCATTTTGATGGTGGTTTTTACAAAAGTTGGATCAGGCTGTTCGTTGTCATCTTGACAAAGTTGCAGAGAATGGGGGAAGCTAAAGGGAACAATGGCCATGATCGCAGTGACACGGGCAAAGAGGGGGACACGGGTGCCAAGACTTGTTGGTTGCTGCCACTCTGATCAACGGGACTTGCAGCCCAACGCAAAGCAGCGGAGCCGTGAGGCAGCCTATCACACACTGCATTGCATGCCCGCATGCACCCGTCCGCTGCAGGAAGCAGCATGGACGTGCCACTGCGCCTTCACACAGCCTCTTTGGCACTCTCATTAATGGCGATGATTATTCAATCAGTCGCCCTCAGCCACGTCAGGCGGCCTACACCCATCTCCGCAAGACTCGTCTGCTCCGATGGCACCCCTAGGCCTAATTCGACCGGGTCTGCATTCTGCGCGTGATCACAGACATCAGCGGTTGTAGCCGTGTCCAAGTGTACAATAAACCACTGGTGAGTATCTGGGGCGGAAGTTACCGGCATGCTAGCCACAAAGACTTCACTTAAATCTACGTGAAAATACACTCTACGTACAAATAAGAAAACAGTAAGTGTCAGAAGTGCTGACATCTGATTGCCATGAGATAGAAAGCCCCCTCGTTCACTCCAAAACCCAAGGCCTGCCAGCAAAGAACTCCTCCAGCGTAGTCAACTTCCCCCTGGCCTGCTTGACAGCCCACTCGACCTCCTTCTCCGACTCGGCGCCAAAGTACCCAGTCACCGCATACGCCGCGTACGCGTCGACAAAGATGTCCCCCAGGTTGAGCGGGAGCATCTTGAGGCTCTCGGCGAACTCGTCGAGCGAGATCTGCTCGTACACAATCTTCTTGCCCGTGGCAGCGCTCGCGATCCGCACAATCTCGTCAAAGCTGTACATCGCCGTGGCCGCGCACAGGGTCCTCCCGCGGCCGTCGGGCTCGGCCGCGCCTGTGGTGGTGGCGTATTTGTCCGGCTCGGCGAGGATGGCGCCGACAAACTTTCCCACGTCCGCCTTTGCTGCGATGAGCGGCAGCGCGGCTGTCGACTCGCACGGGCGGGAGAGCACCCACTCTTCTTCTCCGGTGGTGGTGACCCGCTTGCGCGGCGCGAGGAACGCCTGGTCCGCAAAGTTCTCCATGTACGAACCCGCCGAGAAAAACGAGGCCCGGAATTTCCCCTGCGCCGCCAGGCCGCGGATGTACTTCTCCGCCAGGGCCTTGGCGTCAAACGCCGTGACGCGGGTGTACTTGCCGCCCGAGGCCTCGCTGAAGTTGGTGAGGGTCGACCAGATGAAGTGCTGCACGCCCTGCTCGGCGGCGACGTCGGCGATCACGGACGCGGTGGCGAGCTCCGTCTCGAGGGCCAGGGGACCGAAGGTCGGGGTGGTGACGGAGAAGACGGTGTGCGCGCTGCGGAAGGCGGTGGTGAGGGAGTCGCGCGAGGTGACGTCGGCTTGGATGAGCTCGATGTTGTTGTTGGTTCTGGCAAGCAAGGCCTGGGATGAGGCGGAGGAGGGGTCGCGGGTGAGCGCTCGGATGGAGTATTCGGCAGACAGGACTGGGTCGTTGAGGACGAAATCGATGACGGAGCCGCCCTGGTGGCCGGTCGCACCGAGGACGGCGAGGATCTTTTTGGTGTTGGCAGACATGGTGGCGGATGTTTCTGCGGTTGTTGGGGAAGTGTAATGGAGCGTTGGCTGCAATGGGTGCTGAACCTGAATGAGATGATGGTCTCTCTTTTCACAGGGAGATTTGGAAGAGGAGCGGAGTTATATCTAGTCAAACCAAACGCCCAAGAAGTCTGTTATCGAGGGCTGTGTCGGTCAATGCATGGCCTCGGAAAGAGTGGGACTCGCCGCTTTGTCAGATGCCCGCAACTCTTCCGCAACTTCTCCGCAGCATTCCCACCACTTCTCCTCCACACGGAAACCTTGCGGGACCCTGACAAAGACAGGCATGCAGGGCCGATGCAGGGAACAGCACTGAGCCAATCATGTCATAAAATATGCGATGTCAGCATCAAGGTCTAGTATGTGTAAGCGGAACTTTTTTCCCATTGCAAACGGCCGGGCCGAAGCTCCAGGGAAGCCTGCAATGGCATGCACTGCACGGAAATCTACAAAGCCTCTACAATTCACATAGCCAAGTACAAATTCCCGCATGGCCAGCCCATAGGTACCAAAGGAAATGTCCACGGCAGATGGGGCCACCCATGGGTACCCATCGGTAATTGGGACTGTGAATGGAAATTGGTTTGAAGAGTTCGTTACAATTTTGACTAATTTCTTTCGTTCTTTTTAGCCCACGAATCCCTATGGTCAGCTGTGAGCTTTCATAATTGCGTGGGCAGGTGGTTTTTCCCCGTCTACAGGCAAGTGTCATGATCGCGATCTCTCTATGTCACGGCAAACAGAGCCTTACTCTACCAGTTCGATCAGCGACCACCGCTCCGATCAACCCAGCTCTGCAACTTATCCCTCCCGACAATAAAAGTCCAGCACATGATGGAAAAGTCGTCCACATCCCCCGCCGAGCACTGCGCCATGACCTCCTCGGGCCTGAGCGCTGGCACCAGCAACGGCACCTCATTCCCGCTGCTCTTACCCTTACCCGTAATGACCTCGGCCCACCTGACTGCATTCTCAGCCTCCCAGGCGCCCCTCCGCCCCGTGAACGACAGCCCGCCCTGGCACTCTGACCACCCCTGGGTCATGATCTGGTACACGTTGACGACGGTGTCGACGACGGTATACGTCCGGCGCACGCTCTCGGTGATTATCCAGGCGCGCCACAACTCAGCGCGGGCGTCGTCGTCCAGCTCGGCAGCCAGAGTGGAGGAATTAAAATGCCAGATGACGCGTGGAGGGCGATGCGGTGGCCCCTGCTGCCGCGGGAGGAGGGACAGGTCCAGCTCCCCGTTTGTGCTTGTTGGTATGGTACTTTCAGGGACGGGATTGAGTAGGTCGTCGCCATTGTAGCGCTGGGCGAAGGTGTACATGTCGAGCACCCACTCGCGGAGCAGAGGGAGGTGTTTTTCTGCTTTGCTGCGCTGCCGGACGGAGCCGTCGAAGAGGTGGATGAAGAGGTGCACGAACAGGGCCTGCACGCGGGACAGGTGGCGAATCACGTCCTTCGCTGTGCTGCTGCTGCTGCTGCTTTGTCCACTGCCGTTACCATTGAGGGCGGGATTGTCCTGGCCTGTCTCGCGGGCGAGGAGAGCGGCCATCTTGGACTCTGCGATCTGGACGACGAGGTCCCGTGTCTCTGAGGTGCGGTGGGTATAGGCTGACAATGTGGCGTAGGCGTCTTGCAGGCAGTCTGGGAGGGGCCCGGTGGAGTAGAGCTTGCGGTGGATGAAGGGGCTGTGGCCGTGGGTGAGCCAGCCTTGGAGCATGTGCTTGATGTGCTCGATGGAGGGCTCGAGCTCGATGTCAGAGACGCAGCCCGGGTCGTGGTTGCTGTGGTGGGTTGTCCACGAGTGCGGCTGGAGGAACCATGGCAACGTGGTGGCCAAGGAGGAAGGTGACGCTGACGAGGGGAAACCAGAGTCTGGCGTGTCCAGGCTTATCATGTCTGTCGTGCTCAGAGGATCGGGTGGGCTCGTCGAGGACAGGTGCTGAGACTGCGAAGACAAGGCCCAGTCGTTGAGCAAGACGGCGCTGGGGTCCAACCCGACCAGCTCAGCACTGGCTGGGACAGACACAGGCTGCCCTGATGCTCCAACAGCCGTGGCATTGACGGCCGCTGTGGGCACAGGCTGTGCCGCTGCCGGCAGGTCTCTGCGCCGGCGCTTGGGCTGCGGGTAGCGGCAGTCGACATCGCGGTCCAGGCAGCGCTGGCACTCGGGCAGAGCCTTGTCACAGCGTCGCTTTGCATCCGCGCACGGGACGCAGGCCTTTTGCTTGTCGAAGCGCGAAGGCATCCTCGACAGGACGTCCCAGGCACGTGCTGACGGAGAGTACTGACCGGTGCAAGTGGGCGCTGTCCCGCGTCTGCATTGTCGAAGTGGCCTGTGCTGACTAATACAGCGTCGGATTCGGTTTGGCCTGGCCAACTGCAGCTCTGCTCAGCACTCTAAACACTTGCACTTCAAGCTCATTAGTACCACCTTTGGAAGCTTCGCTAGTGGTGATCCAATCGAGAGCCCGTCGCAGCCTTTCAACAGGGCAGCAACTTGTACGCGTAGTCAGCCAATCTGGCAGGGCGGGTCGTGGAGAACCACCTTCTCATACATGTAGTGTATGATAAGCCATCCTACATGGCTTCGTATCCCAGATTGCATTTCATCACGACGGCCTCACAGCGACTTCCCCTCGTTCCTCCTCTAGATGAGAATCTGAGCTGCCAGAGCATGTCACGCATCCGAGGTTGACAGGCATGAATGACTTGCAGCTGTGGGGATGCGTCCCCAGCGGTATATGAGCTGGATGAGCCTCACGCCTACTACATGGAGTATTGTTCCCCAGTAATCCGCTCGTGTCCTGCAAGTGAAACCCCACAACGCGTACGGCCTCTGACCTTAACTAACAACTTCCTCACGAGGCACTCTGCCCGTTCCACCTTTGACTGTCCCCACCCCATGCAACGCTGGGTGCTGCCTTCTCTTCTTACATGGTCGCCTTCTGTCCCAAACCGCAACCTCTCTTTGCTTGGAAAGGAAGGAGTAATACCCTGCACCTTCCTTGAGCCTCTTGGCCCATCTGCCCGTCCAGTCAACTCACGGCGGCTTCATCGCCACACCTCAACCAATATACAAGTTCTACCATGGCGGCAATCACCCTTAACAGCCTGCCCGACGAGGTTCTGCAGTCAATCCTTCTGGGCTCGGCCAAAAAGCGCAAGGACCTCACGTCTGTGCGATTGGTTTCCGGGCGGTTTCACAACATTGTCAACCCCGAATACTGGCGAACCATCGTCCTTCAGCCCGGTAGGACGATGCCGCAGCTCCAAGCACTCGTTAGCGCTCTGCAGCAGAATCCATCTTGTGGCCTGCTTGTCCGTACTCTTGTCCTCCAGAAGGGGGGCTTTCTCAGTCGACACATGGTGGCTGAACGAACCTGGGGCTGGCGATATCAATCTCGCACGTAGCCTCGACTGGATGCGTCAAGCCTACTCTCAAGAATTTTCGACCTGGCTGCAACGACAATTCTGCGACAGATGGGTGCATTCATACCGTATCTTGGTTCTGCTCATCGCACACTTGCCCCAGCTCGAGCACATCTCATGTTTCATGAGCGATCGGCATGATCAGCGACTTCTACTCGACCTCTTCGATCAATGTCGGCCGGCAAGGCTCCTTCAACTGGGCATTGCCCGCCCCGCTGGTTCTTCCGATCGAACACCTTTGATGCGCCTGAGCAAGGTCAGCTTGCGTAACAGTTCCAGCCTCGCAGGCCTCGTGCAGCAGACGCCCGTCATGCAGTTTCCCCTGGTCGATTTGCAAGTCAGCTCGTGTCCGACGGGGCTGTTCAGGCTCGCGAAAATTCAGCCACGTCTTGAATCTTTGGAGCTCAAAGACATCGCCTTCATGGAGAACACGGTCCGGCTGGTCCTTGTCGCTTTCCCATGCCTCAAGCATTTAACTTACGGGGCACTGAGGTCTTACGAGTCCAACACCGACGTGGAGATTGTGAATGTCGACCCTGCAGGCCAAGCGATCCGCGAGCTTGGCAAAAACCTCACACACATCAACTTCCACGTCTATTGTGACGGAGAAGCTGGAGACTTTGCACTCGTGGGTTCTCTTGGACCTCTGTGCAGTCTGACCGGGCTAAAGACGCTTGTGACCATGCCCGGTGCTCTGTTGCGCGAGAACAGTTACCGCACACTGGGGGACATGCTGCCGACCTCGATCGAGATGCTCACGTTGGCGACTTCGGATGACGGCTTGTCTGGTTGCGGCCAGACTGATGTCGAAGCGGGGCTTCCGAATCTACTTACACAGTCACGGCGCTTCCCACACTTGGCTGGCGTCAGACTTGGCTGGATTCCGACGAGTGATTGGCAGGGTCATCACTGGGACGTGGAAGGATGGGATCGGGGAATCGCCACTGGAGACTCTTGGGTGTGGCTTGCCCGCACTGCAGCTAGAAAGCGCATCGTCAGGCAGCTGGCTGCTCGGGACATGCAGCTGTGCTTTGATGACCCGAGCGCGGCTTGGGATGATGGCGAGCATGAGGATCAGGTCGTGTTCAAGTCGCTCAGCCAAGTCTCCTGAGCATCGTGTCCGTGCCTTGTTACAAAACGCAGAATATAACCAATGGCGGCCCGCCAGAGATAAGGCTCCAGCGCTGCGTGGGCATAGTGCTGGAAACAAATTGGACGTGCAGCCTGCCGCAACTTGTGTTTCACCCAACTAGTTGTGGCCAAGATTGAAGGTATTGGAGAATAGCCGTCAATGAAGAATGTAATAGCAAGAATTCGACCTCACCAGAATAGGTTTTCTGCGAGTGAACAATGCTGAGCCTAATCTATGATATGAGAACACGCCTGGCGGCAACATAATAACCATGTGCATCAAATCACAAACATTGTTTAGCCACGGGTAGTTGCAGGCTATGCTGCGTGAACTTGGTTTTGGTTCCGTTTGCTCTCTGGCGTCCCTCAGTGCATTCTGGAACGGTCTCGGAGAAACATTTATGCGAGCCTTTTAGGCACTTGTGGTGTTACTAAAGGCCGCACCTCGTAAACCTATTGATACCTTGGTTTCTTGCTGCCAGGCAGCCAGTGACTTACACGTATTTATATACCTTGCCTGCTGGCATTCATACCTTTCATGTTTTTCTCCTCTCTCCAAACTCACTTTGGATCACGGTGGATAGCTGGCTTGCATTCTTCTGCCATCATTCACCTCATTCGCTCGGACGCGAGTCCTGCCCTGCAACGCTGGTTGTTGAGAACGCAAGAAAGCTACTGCACTGCAGCATCCTTCTAAGTTATCACAACACCGTCACGCCGTGATCATCCTACGAAATGGCAGCATCCCGCCTCAGCGAGCTACCCGACGAGATCCTGCGTCCTATTCTCCTGGGCGCGGCCGGCAAGCGCGCTGACCTGGCACCTCTGCGACTCGTGTCAAAGAGGTTTGACGAGCTCGTCAATGCTGAGCTCTGGAGAACAGTGGCTGTCAAGAATAAGAGCAGACTCTTAACCTTTGTCAAGGCTTTGCAGAAGACCCCGGCAATCGGAGCCTTCGTGCGTACGCTCACCATCGACACTGGCTATGAATGGGAGATCAATCCAAATCTCAGCGACCTCAAGGTCGACCAAAGTGTGGACTGGCTGGCAGAGAACTATTCCCCAACCTTTGTGGCTTGGTTTTCAGGACTGTTCGGTACGGGCGAACGTTCAATCCAACACGCCATAATCCTCAGCATCGCCCACTTGCCCAAGCTCGAGCACCTCGCGTGCTCGCTCCGCAATAGACAGGAGCAGCGGCTTCTGCTCAACCTTTTCAACCGTTGCAAGACTGCGCGCTTACGGGAACTCGGCCTGGCTGGCTCAAACTCAGCTACCGCAAAGGAACAAACTCCCCTAATGCATCTCACGCGAGCGGGCTTGTTCAACAAGCACGTCCAAGAACCTTTGAGCAAGCACAGCTCGATCATTCTCTTTCCCCTGGACAAGCTTCAGATTCACAGACCAGCCCCGCAGCTCTTCATGCAGCGTCTGCAGCCTGACCTCCAAGACCTTGAGATCAAGAACATGATCTTCCATTCGGGTACCCTGGGCAACATTCTGACAGCTTTCCCGAGCCTCAAACGGCTCACCTATGGCGCGTGGGTCATGCCTCTGTTCGAGCAGACCGGATCAGTCCTCGACCTCGATGCCGCGGGTAACACACTTCGTCAGCTGGGCCGGAACCTGAGACACCTCAACCTGTTCATCTTACTCGAGGACGATGATCCAAGAATTCTCAGAGGCTCCATCGGCTCGTTGCAGGAGTTAGAATCTCTTTGGCGCTCGCGGCAAGGGCTCGCTCCGGAACATGCTGCCGGCGTCGCTCGAGATGCTCGCCCTCACTACCTGGGAAGATGCAATGTACGACTGCGGCTGGGCACTGTCCAAATGCGAGACTGGAGTCCGCCACCTTCTCGTCAACGGCCAGGATTTCCCCAGCCTGGTTGGTGTCAGGATCGACTGGATTCCCGAGAAGCTGTGGCGGGTCAGTGGCTGGGACCGTGGGATGGACGAAGAGTGGATGTGGTTCACACGCAGTGGCGCTGGTTCTCGTGCTGCGGACCGCCTGAATGGCTCGGACATGATGATCCGCCCGGACCCGTCGGAGGATTGGGGTGCGGAGTATGAAGACCAGCAGGCCCTCCGTGCTGCAAGCCGCGCTTCCTGAAGGCTAGGAGATCATCCTCATCGCACGAGCGAAGAACTGTGAAAAGGGCAAAGAAGTCAGTGGGGCAGCATGGGCAACGCGACGGCCGATGATGGCGAGTACTGTACAACGTAGAGTCGTTGAGGAGCAGACTAGCCATTTCCCCGTAGTTTATGCGAAGAAGCAGATCAATCTTGATGGTGTCGATTGATTGTTAGATCAGATGAAACTGTTATGCTCGGTGAGCGCAAGTCGGAGTATGATAACAGAGTAAAGTGGCGATTGGCATTCAAGGAGAAAGACGAGATAGGACCTAGTAGTAACGCCGACGCCAAACTCCAAAAGTACAGCCCCGATTTCCTCTGCACGCCTTGACCACTGTGATCAGAGAGTGTCTATAATCAGCAACAAATCCAGGCACCTCGTCCTCCGATTACCAGATCCCTATGCCAAGTCCCACCACCACTCCGTTCAACCCAAACAATGAATCTTGACCAAAAGCAACCCAGAGCCTCCGGTTACCTATCGAGCTGACACACCCTAATCCTTCTTCTGCTGCTTGCGCCAGCTGACCAAGACGTCGTCGCACATGCGCGACATGGGATACGTGTCGGACATGACCTTGATGACGGACACGTCGACGCCCATCTCGCGCAGCATCCACTCGCGGATGCGGATCGCCACGAGCGAGTCGACGCCCAGGCTGGCGACGGGGCGGGCCGGGTCGATCGCGTCCGGGTCCATGTCGAGCAGCCTGCCCAGGGCGACGGCGAAGGCCTTCTCCAGCACCGCCCTCTGCTTGGCCGTGGTATCGTTGTCGCCGGCAGCGGCGGTGCCAACCTCGGCTAGCTGTGCCTGCACGCTCATCGCCGCTGCTCCCGCACCACCACGCGCTGCTGCGCTGGCGTCTCCGTCATCGTCGGCCTCGTCTCTGAGATAGCGTGCGAAACGAGGGTCTTGGGCCTGCTGCTTCTCGCCGTCGAACACGGTGCGCAGGCCCGTGATGAGCTCACCACCGCCACTACTGTCATCGTCGCGGACACGGCCACTGACGACAGCCTCGGCCAGCATCGCGTGCAGATCGGGCTCGGCCTGGTTATTGTACCGCGTCCGGAGGGCCCGGTTCATGGTCTCGGCGTGCGCGGCGTCGCTGCGGTGGATGTACCCAAAGCCCGTCAGGATGGCAATGTGCAGCACCGACGCGGCCAGCCCCCTACGGCGCCGCTGCCGCACCAGGCCCGTCATGTACTGGTTCGCGGCGGCATAGGCCGACTGCCCCACGTTGCCGGCGATGGACGTGATGGACGAGAGGCAGATGAAGAAGTCGAGCGGCTGCTGTTTATCCCCTTGCTCTTCGTCCTCGCTCAGGACGGCGTCCAGGTTGCGCGACCCGGCGACCTTGGGCCCCAGCACGGCGGCGAAGTCGTCCCACGGCATGTTCTGGAAGAGCCGGTCGCGCAGGATCATGGCCCCGTTCATGACCCCGCCGATCGGGGGCATGTTGTTGTCGTCGGCCTTGATGGACGCCACGGCGGCCCGCAGGCCGGCGAGGTTGGTGATGTCGACAGCCATGGGGCGCACCTCGGCGCCGAACCTGCTGGCCATGTGGCCCAGGATGCGAGGCGAGATGCTCGGGTTCCGGCTCATGAGCACCACGTGGCGGGCGCCGTGCTCGACCATCCACAGGCACACCGAGATGCCCATGTCGCCCGTCATGCCGCACAGGAGGTACGTCTTGTCGGCGGAGAACAGCCCGGCGTGCTCTAGTGGCGAGACGGCGGCGGTGACGGTTTCGGCTGCGCACCAGTCCACGACAGCGGTGGGTGAGAGCTGCTGCTCGACGGGCAGTAGGCCGGCCGAAACCTGCTCAAGCGTCACTAAGTTGCTCTCGCCGGAGCTGCCACTGTTCTTGACGAGGTCATGGCCCTTGGCGAGATGGTTTAGATCGTGGATCTCGAAGCCGGCCATCAGATCAGCCCAGTCAACCTGCTTGACCGCGACCGAGCGGGCAGAGCACATGGCCTTGGCGGCAGCACCACTCTGACTTGTAGAGAGATTGACAAAAGTCCGCAGGCCCTCGGGCAGCGGGAGACCGAGCAAGTCATCCTCCCGCGCGTAAGGGTGCACAAACGTCGCCGTCGCCACGCCTGCTGCGCTGGCGGCCGACGTGGTCTGGAAGACGGCGATGCCCTTCTCGCGGACCACCACGTCGAGAGCCTCGCCGAGCTGCCCCGGAGCGCCGTGGATCCACGCAGGCCCGTGGACGCCAAGAAGCAGGCGGCTGGCACACGCCCGCGCGAGGAACGTCTGCAGCCATGCCGCGTCGTTGTCGTTGTCCGCGTCCCCTTTGTCAGACTGTGGCCAGCGCCGCAGGACGTGGTGTTCCCTGGCTACGGAGACGAGGGAGCCGTTTACTTGGGACAGGGCGACGACCTTCTCGCCGGATGCCACGTCTCGGCCGACGCAGACATAGCACAATGCTGCTGAAGCCGAGCCGGCATCGCTGCAAGTGAATCGCTGCAGGGAAGATGCGATTACCTGCACGCGCACTACCACTCCCTTGCCCTCATTCAGAGTGACTTGCAGCGGCTCGGCTGTCTTGAGCTCCCATGACGCCGCCTCCTGACCGCGCTCTAGCACGACAGCCGGGCCCGGAGACGGGGACGGAGACGGGGACGACGGAGAAGGCAAGACGACCTGTTGCGTCACCCTGCGTCGGCGCGCGGCGTTCCGCTGGTTTGGCCCGTCGAGCGCCAGCACGCGGGGGATGTAGAGCGCGCCCGCCTCGCTCAGGCCCAGCTCGGGCTCCTGCGTCCAGAGCACGTCCTCCCGGCTTTTTGCCGGGTCGAAGATGGCGAGACGGAGGAGCATCGTGGTCAGCAAGGCCGGGCCCCCATGCGATAACGACGACGACGACGACGACTCAAGCAGGACCGAGGGCTTCTCGACATCGAGGAACTGCAGCCGGAGTGACGAGCCGCGTTCTGCCCGCAGCGTGCTGCCCATGCCGACGACCATGTTGGCGCAGGGGTCGCGGCCGGAGCGGGCGCCCGTCGTCACCCACAGGACGGACCCGGCCGTCGCCATCAGTTGCTGCAGTCCGCGGAAACGCTGCGCCACAACCACAGCATCATCGCCCTCTTGGTCGTCGGCGGCGCCGGTCTGAGAGAAGACGGGACAGTCCAGCTCGGCCAGGCACAGCACGGTCGAGCCCGGGGTGATGTTGTGGGTCGTGTTCACGGCCTCGAGACCGGGAATGATGGTGACGACTGCCGTCTTGGAAGAAGACGTGGTGATGGCGGCCTGCAAGATATCCTGACACTGGGCTGCGAGACTGGAAGTGACGGCACCACCACCACCGCCGCCAGCCCCAGTCACGATGAAGACGTCACTGCCGCCAAGCGACGGTGCCAAAGCCTCGGGCGCGGCGGCAAGCGGCTCCCGCAGGAGCTGGACCGTGTCGTCGACGGCGTGCGCCACAATCACGGAGCAGTACGAGACGGTCCTCGTGCTGGTCCTGTCGGCGCCCGCGAACCCCGTCTCCCGGAGGAGCTGGTCCCAGCGCTCGAGGTCGACGGTGGGACCGTTGACGCGGCCGTCGTCGAGGCCGACAAAGAAGTCGGGCAGGGCCAGCTTGACAATCTGCGACATGAGGAAGTCGTCGGTGGGCTCGAGCAGGATCAGCTGGCCCCCCGGGCGGAGCATCTGGCGGCACCGGCGCAGCGCGTCCGGCAGGGACTTGAGCTTGTGGAGGATCTTGGAAGCGATGACGAGGTCGAAGCTCCCGTCGGGGAAACCCTGCGCGGCCGGGTCCTTGTCGATGTCGAGCTTTTTGAAGGTCACGTTCCTGTGGTGGCCGTGCAGGACGCGGGCCCGGTCGAGGACGTCGGCCGAGATGTCGGTGTAGTTGTAGGCCGCGTACGGCAGCAGCTGCTCCTGGAGGGCCCGGAGCACGGCACCCGAGGTGCCGCCGGTGCCGGCGCCGACGTCGACAATGTTGAGGCGCGGGAACCGGTGGGCGAGCTGGGCGACGAGCGTGGCCGCGTCGCGGTTGGCGGCGCTGTAGCCGATGCCGTCGGCGTACACCCACTCGAGCTGGTGGCTTGTCCAGATGCGCACCCAGGGCGTCATGCTGCGGACGACCGAGATGAGCTTGTCCCCGACAGACCGCAGGAAGTCCCAGTGCATCTCGCAGTGGTACCGCTCCTCGTCGCTCTTCTGGCTGCCGATGCTCTCCTGCCGCAGCGCCTCGATCATCTCGGGCGTGTCGTCCTTCCACTCTTGCTTGAACCCCGGCAGGCCCGAGTGCTTGCCGGCCTCGATCTGCGGCAGCAGGACCTCGAGCGCCCACGCCACGTTGCGCCTGTACGACTTGCTCATGATGAGCATCTCCTGGGGCAGGATGGTGCGGAACTGCCGCAGGTAGAAGTAGGACGCCCGGGACAGCACCTCGTACTGCACGTTGAGCTCGTCCGACAGCGTCGCCGCCCGCTCCGGCTCGATGCCCGAGTCGGCGTCTCGCACCCACCGCGTCCCCGCGTACAGCCAGGCGTCACGCTGCTGCTGGCCGACCGCGGTCAGGCAGATGCCGCGGATCTGCACCTTGACCTCGTCGGCCGCGTTGAACACGTCAATGTCACCCACAATGGTGGAGCCGGCCGTCGAGGTCACCGTTGCGTCGGCAGTGAGCTGTTGCTGCTGCTGCTCCTGGTCCTCATCAAAGTTCTCAGTGCTGCTCGCGCTCGCAGACGTAGACAATCGGCTGTTGGGGGGCACGATCCGGACACAGTCGACCCGTGTGGGCAGGTACAGAGTCGACAGGCGGTCATCGCCCGGGAATGAGAAGGCGGCGAGCAGCCCCTGGGCAGCCGTGTCGACGGGTGCGGGATGCATGCAGGCATGGAGGGCAGAGGCTTTAGGCGGCGAAGACAACGTCACCGTGGCTCGATGGAGCCGCCGCAACATGGCCTTGGCCTTGAAGGGGCTCGCGTACTGCAGGCCAACCTCGGCCAGGCTCGAGTAGAGCTGCTCCATGTCGAGTGCGTCCATCGGTAAGGGTCTGGCATCCTCCCCAGCCCGGCGCGGCAGCACTTCCTTCTCCTCCTCCTCCTGGTCGGCCCCGGCCCCGGATACGGACGCGGACCGGCCGAGCCAGAGCCGGACTCCTCCGGTAAAGTGGGCAGAAAGTGCCGTCTGCGGCATGTCCAGCGGCAGCGGCGCGTCCACGGGTCCGCTGTAGCATGCCACCTGTGCGGAGATGCAGTCGTCCGACTGGCCCGTCACGCGGACGGTCAGCACCACTTCCAGCCCAGAGTCCTGCTCGAGGCGCATGGCCCGCACAATGTCGACATCATGGAGCTCGACGAGCCGGACCGGCCTCTGCTTCTTATTGTTGTTGCCGTCGTCGTTGTCGTCGACGGCGACAAGCTGGAGAGCAGCCTCGTACGCCATGGACAGGTAGCCCGACGCCGGGAACAAGACTTCTCCCTGGATGACATGTCCCGCGAGCCAGGGAAGCTCCTGCAGCCTGAGCACCTGCTTCCAGTGCACCTCTCGCTTGGTGTCGCGTACACCGCCACCACCATACACGACAGGGTGGCCCAGGAGCTCGTGCCGGCGGTGGCCACGGCGAGCGCCGACGCGGAAGAGCCGCGAGGCCCGCGACTCCTTCCAGATGGGGCTGGCATGATTCCACGAGTAGGGCGGCAGACCTTTGAGGACTCTCAGCTCGTCCATGTCCATGTCGGCGGTTGGGGAATCCTGTCGCAGGGCCCGACGCACGCCCTCAAAGGTGATGACGGGCTTTCCACCGGGCGGCGCCGGGAACAGAGACCAGAGAGTCCCCAGGGCTTCCGTGAAGGACTCGACGGCATTCTGGCCTCGCTTCAAGGCGCTGGCGTAGGGCAGCGAGACCGCTCCGCCGGTCGACGTCTTGACCGTCTCCAAGGCCGGACCCTTGAGCGCCGGGTGCGGTCCGACCTCGAGCGCCAGATCAAAGACATGGTCCTCGTCCAGCGCCCGCGCCAGTGCCTGGCTGAATTTCACCGGCCGCGTGAGGTTGTCGACCCAGTATTGGCCCTCAAGCAGCCGACTGCTGTCAACCGCCTGGTGGTCGTCGTTGTCCCAGACACTCGAGTACCACTTGCATCGCTGTTTCTGCTTCTCCAGCGTCGGTGGCGTCTGCACCTTGACACCGCATTCCTTGAGCGACTCGAGATAAGGGCCGGCACAGGGCAGCATGTGATGCGAGTGGTACGCCGTGTCGACCTGGAGCACCCGCGCAAACGTGCCCTCCTGCTGCAGCCTCGCAGCAGCCTTGTCGACGATCTCGGCATCCCCTGCCAGGGTGCAGCTCGTCGGCGAGTTGCTCGCCGCGGCAACCAGGGCTCCGTCAAACTCAACCTCGGTGCAAAAGGCGGCCGCCTGCTCCCAGCCCATCCCCACGGCCATCATCTTGCCGCGACTCGCACCCGGTCCCTGGGCACGGCGGGCGTGCAGACCGCGGTAGTATGCCACGCGGATCGCATCCCCCGCGGTGAGGTAGCCCGCCGTGTAGGCCGCCGCGATCTCGCCAGACGAGTGCCCGACCACGGCGGCGAAGTCGACCCCCGCGGCCCGGAGGGTGTCCACCAGGGCGATCTGGAGCGCCGTGCACAGGGGCTGCGAGACGGCGGCCTCGCCCACGCGCGAGATCTCTCCCTCGGCGAGCAGCTGGTCCGCCAGCCGCCAGGTCGGGCGGTCCTCGGGGAAAGGCAGGGCGTCCAGGCTCCGCTGCATGTCGTCGATGGCGGCGCGGAACGGGGCCGACGTTGCCGACCCCCTGCCCCCGTGGTACAGCTCCCGGCCCATGGTCGCCCACTGCGCGCCCTGGCCCGTGAAGATGCCCAGGATCCGTGGCGGCAAGGACTCGGGAAATACCGAGGTGACCGCCGGCCGGCGCTCCAGCGACTTGGTGGCCTCCTCGAGCTTGGAGGCGAGCTGCGCGGGCGCAGAGCAGGCCGGGAACGCGGCGCGGAAGGAGAACGGGGTGCGCCGGAACAGCGTGTGTGCCAGAGCCGTGAGGTCCATCTTGTCCGCGTGGGCATCGGCGGCGGCGGCGGCGCGCAGATGGCGGGCGAGGGCGCTGGCATTTGCGGCCAGCGCGGCACTCGAGTGTGCCGACAGGACAAAGGGTCCGGCCGCAGCCTCCTCCTCCGCCCCCTGGGCTTCTTTGAGCTTGAGGCCGTGGTCGGCGAGACCGTCTTCATCGGCCAGCGAGGAGGTCGAGGCAGTGTCAAAGCCGGAGTCGGAGCCATCGGCCCCGGAAGGTCCGGCACCGCCGATTCTGCCCTCGTAGCTCTCGAGGATGGCGTGGGCATTCGTGCCGCCGAAGCCGAAGCTGTTGACACTGACTCGCCGCACGCCTCCCTGAGGGACGCTGGGCCAGTCGACCGTCTCGGTCGGGATGCGTAGGTTGGTGTAGTACGGCTGGATCTTGGGGTTGAGCTCCTTGAAGTGCAGGTTCGCCGGGATGCGGCCGTGCCGCAGGGCCAACGACGCCTTGAGCACCCCCGCGACACCGGCCGTGCCCTCTGTGTGGCCGATGATGGTCTTGATGCTACCCACCATGAGCTCGCGGTGGTCGTTTTGATCGACGTCAGTGTCGCCGCCGTCATGGGGGAAGAAGACGCTCTGGATCGCTCGGGCTTCGATGGCTAAGGCAGTGAAACGGGAGGATTGGTTTGTCAGTACTAGGCATCCCACCGACTATCAGAGTTTGACAAAAGAAAAATCTCGGTGACTTACGGTCGCCCGCCGGCGTGCCGGTGCCGTGAGCCTCAAAATATTGTGGGCGATCGGATGCCCGCGACGGGTCGAGTCCGCATCGGGCGTATGTGTCCCGGATGAGCCGCGCCTGCGACTCGTGGCTCGGCATCGTGATGCCCGGCGTCTTGCCGTCCGAGTTGACGCCTGTCTCGCGGATGACGCACTCGATGTGGTCGCCGTCGGCGATGGCCTGGCTCAGCGTCTTGAGCAAGACCACGCCAAAGCCCTCGCCACGCGTGTACCCATCTGCCTGCGAGTCCCACATGAATGATCTCCCATTCGGCGACAGCATGTTGAGCTAATGTACAGACGCGTCAGTTCTTGGCCTCGGCAAGTGATGTCAAGAATTCGTGTGGCTGGTGGGTTGCAGGCGACAGGATGGTATGGTCACAAACCTTGGACTCGCTGATGAAGGGTTCGGGGCCCAGAATCAGATTCGAGCCGGCCGCAACAGCCATGTTAGCCTCGCCGCTCCGGAGAGCACAGACTGCCTGATGCAGGGCGACCAGACTCGATGAACAGGCCGTGTCCAGGGTCACTGATGGGCCGCGCCAGTCGTAAAAGTACGACACCCGATTGGACAAGATCGATGACCCGGTTCCTGTCGCGTGGTACTGGGGCAGGCTGTCGATACCCCGGACCGCTGTGTACTGGTAGTCGTAGAACATACAGCCGACAAATACGGCTGTAGACGAGCCTCGGAGCTGCTGCATCGAGTATCCGGCCGATTCGATGCCTTCGTACACCGTCTCGAGGAGCTGTCGTTGCTGGGGGTCCATGGCCTCGGCCTCCTTGGGGTTAATCGAGAAGAAGTCGCGATCGAAGCCGCGGGGATCTTCATCAAGGAGGTATGCGTGCTTGACGTTTGTGCTCTGAACTTCTGATTAGATATTTTCTCGGTTCGCATACATAAATCACCCAAGAGAAGCGACAGGAGCTTACTCCATGGTGCTGGCTGTCTGCATGGTAGAATGCTTCCGTGTTGAAGCGGCTTGCTGGTATTTGCTGCACCACGTTGCGAGGCGTCTCCAGGAGTTCCCACAGCCGGGACGGCGAGTTCGCGCCACCTGGGAGACGGCAGCTGCTGCCCACAATGGCGATGGGCTCGCTTGGGAACATCTCGGGCCGACTACCCATGTTGACGGACGAGGGATCAGCGAGATGGATGACAGGCGGACGAATCTTGAGACTCTGGGGACCGAATCTCTTGCTTGGATTCAGGTGAAGCGCTGTATATGAGTTGGTCTGGTTCGAGACTGTTTCCCCGGTCCTCGAATACTCTATAAAGGTGATACTGCGGCGGCGTCAAGCACGAGGATTGAGCTGTACTATATCAAGCCGAGGGAGTGGACTTTTGGCAGACTGGGTTGCAAACAAGACGTGTAATAGCCTTGGCTCCTCCGCTTGATCGGCCTTCACTTGCAACTGTGGCGATATGACCGTGACGACTCCGATTCCGGTCCGACAAAATTCAAGGGACGCAGAAAGCCCCAAGACGGAACACAGCGGCGGTCGTTGTGCGGATTGCAACCGGTACAGCTAATGCGCCTTGCCTCAGCGAATGCGGCGTTTACCGCTGACGCTCCCGATTGGTGCCGATGTGCACTTTCCACCGGTGTTACCACGCCGGCCCGATCGGAAATTCCGGTCACTCTGATGTGACCTCGGGACTATACGCAATGCAGCAGGGCTGTTGCTGCACTGTTTGAGTCGTAACTCTTGTGTTTGAACTGCGTCCCACAAATCCGTAACACGGACGAGAAATCTAGGGCGAAGTTGGCTTCACGACATATACATGAACTCGAAGATTCTCAACTTTCGATTCTCGATTCTGACTTTTTCTTTTGGTAAAATTTCGTGAGCCTCGGCCTACGTATCAATCCCAATGTCAGACACTATGAGAGCTCTTGTAGGCGCCGACACAGGCAGCGGCTACCACCTTGCCCAAGATGCCCCAATCCCCGTCCCGCCACCCGGCATGTTGCTTGTCCGCGTCCACTCCGTTGGTTTCAACCCACCCGATGCCCACAAGACGGTCGACTACCTCCCCTCCAATGCTGCTGCTCCAAGTCCAGCTGGCGGCGGCTGTGGCTTCGCTGGCACCGTCGCCGGGCTGGGCGAGGGCGTGACGCGGTTCCAGGTGGGCGACCGCGTCCTCGTCTGCTCGTTTGGCCCAGTCGACACCGACATGAGCAATGGAGGCGCCTTTGCAGAGTTCGCACTCGCCGAGCAAGACAGCAGCTACCGCGTGCCCGATACGATGGACTTTGCCGAGGCATGTTCGATCGCCATGGGGCTCGCGGCTATCGATCAGCTGTCGATGATGCACGGCGGCGACAACAACAACACCACCACTGTACTCGTCTCCGGCGGTACAACGCCAACCGGCATCATGGCCACTCAGCTCCTCAAGATGGCCGGCTACACCCCGATCGTGACCTGCGCGCCCGCCGACAACGCCCTGTGCCAAGAATACGGCGCCGCCGCGTGCTTCGACAGCCACTCGCCGGCCTGCGGTGCCGACGCCCGCGTGCACACCGACAACAGCCTGCTCTACGCGCTCGACTTCATCGCCGACGACATCTCAATGAAGATGTGCTACGAGGCCGTCGGCTCCGGCTCGTCGTACTACTATGGCCTCAAGAAGCCCGCTAATGCCATCGCCATCAAGTACACGCGGCGGGATGTGCGTGCCGACTGGAGGCTGGCTGGCGGTGTTCAAATTTTGGGCGGCGGGCTTGACAATTTGCCCGCGGCCTTGGAGGACTTGAAGACGGGGAGTATGCATAATGCGAAGACGCTGATTGTGCCGCTCATGGCGTAGTCCGAGGTATCTAAGTAGTCAGTAGATGGACTATGGGCTGTATACAGACATCACCTGGGGTAACTAAATCGAACTAAATCTTGGCTTGAATATTCGCAAGATGATTTTGTTTATCTGCCTGCTATTAAACAAGGTTACCCCATCCGCAGAAGAGTTCAACTTCATACACACTACTGCAATGCTTCCACATTTGATATAACAAGCTGGGTCCGCCTAAAATCTGTGATTCCTGAGGATCATCTCGCATTCCTGAAGCTCAGAGTATAATTCAACGGCAAGGTAGCCTACCTTTTGTCCGTCGCTCGAAAAGTCGACACCGTACCTGATGATTGCTGCATCTCCAAGTCGGAGGCCGCCTGATAACGCAAGCCGGAATCTACAATCACCGACTCAGCATACCGGTGCCGGCCCGACGTGAATTAACCCCGATGACGCCTCATTTGCAAGTTCCAACATGGTTCGGTTCGGCCCGATCGGTCACCTACGGAGGCGGCACAGTCAGCAACTTCCCTTCCCGGTAACATCTCAGACCCTGCGCTCGGGCGCCGACTTACATCGTCGGTCGACCGCCTCTACAGTCGGCACACAATGACCTCCGCATTCAGGTTCAAATTGATTCTCTCATTTCGTTAACTTAACCCAATGACTAGCCCATACATTTTCAATATAATCCAGCTGGCTGTAAGGTCTTTCATTGTGGAGGTTGTCAACATTGCCCTGCACTCATCTGCATCATCTTCCCAGGTCATTTTGTTCTTCTCCCGTCGCAACGAACAAGCAAAATGGGGGACTATGGTTTAACGCGCCTTGATGCCGATATCAGAACTCTGGACGGCGTTACGCTGCGCGGATGGCTGTTTCCCGCTGTCTCGCGTGGCCCGGCCATGATAATGACGCCAGGGGTAACTACCTTCCGAACCTTTTGCCTACTTCCTCGCTGTTTCCCGCTCCATAAACCTGTTGGTGAAGAAAATGGGAGGAAACTAATGCATGACTTGCGTGCCTGGCCCTTCTCTAGTTCAACTTCCCCAAGGATGCCAATCTGCCCGACATTGCAAGGTGGTTCCAGGAACACGGCATCACCGTTCTTCTCTATGATCCGCGCGGTGTAGGCGCAAGCGACGGAGAGCCCAGAAATGAGGTAAATTTCAGTGTCCTTTCTGGAGCTGATTGTTCTTCTTCTCCGGAAAAACCCCCGCAAGCTTTCAACGTCTTTCATGTCCGCTGACATTTTGTGATTAACTTCTTCTCCTTGCGCGAGCAGGTCGACCCTCGTCAGCAGATCGAGGATCTCCATGACGCCGTGACCTGGATCAAGCAGCATCCTCTGGTCGACGAGACCAAGATCGCACTGTGGGGATTATGTTGGGGAGGGAACGTCACTCTTGCGGCGACTGCATTTGAGTACGTGTGGGCTGCCTTTCCGGTTTCGCGCGCGATGAATTTCGCCCAGACGCGCCGTGACGCCCCCTCGAAGCTAATTCACACTTCCTTTTTAGCAAGCGTGTGGCGGCCACCATAGCAATGGCACCCATGATCAACACTGACGGCAGCGCCGAGAGGCGCAAGCCTCTGCTGGAGCTGGCCATGCACGACCGTGAGAGCCGGCTGCTGCAGGCAGGCCAAAGCCCCATGTACCTGCCCTACATTGACGAGGACGGCAACATGCCCAACGGGCAGGAGATGGCGCCCGAGATCGTCCCCGCGCTCGAGCGGCTCGGCATCGCCCTCGAGAACCGCATCTCAGTGCAGACGTACTACAAGTGCCTGGGGTGGAGCCTGCTCCACGTCGTCAAGTACGTCGCGCCCACGCCGGCCATGATGGTCACGCCCGAGCTCGACGAGACGAGTCCCCTGGACAGCCAGCTTCATTGCTTCACCCAGATGGGGTACCCCAAGGAGTTGGACATCTTGAAGGGGAGTGGCCATTTGGACTGGATGTTCAAGGATCTAGAGCATATTCTGAGCAGGCAGTTTGATTTTCTGAAGAGACACATGAAGTTCTGAGGGGATTTTATTACTACGTATAGAATAGGGAGCCGCCGTCTATGCGGTTCTAAAACTTTCTGTTGAAACTCTATAGCCGCAGGTCTACAATGTCAGCCATCTCGCGACCTCTAGTGTATCTCCGCATGGTCCATTTCCGCCTGCAGTTGTTGAATAATGCGCCTCAGTCTCTCGCGCTCACTGGGTATGTTTTCGACAATATCTTGCACATGCTCGAGCAGGCCACTACGGCGTGGCGTCGATTGGTGGGCTGATGTGGCCGACGAGGCGGTAGACTGGTCGGGGCCAATGTCGATTGCATAGTCGTCGGTGGCCATGGCACTGCCATCGAGCATGGCCGCGGGTGCGATAAACTGGCTCTCCTGCTCAGCCGTCGTGTTCGATATCTCCAAGATGCGGCCCATGCGACTGATGAGATGCATCAGCAATTGCAGCACCATGACGAACTGGGCGACATTGAGAGGCCCCACGCCGCTGTTGTCTCGGGTGGTGTGTTGTAGTTGTTGTTCTTGCTGTTGTTCCCGCTCTTCCTTCTTGGCCTGCAGTCTACCCTTTATGGCATCGCAGATGGCTTCGAAGAGCGTCATGAGGTTTTGGTGGCAAGCTAGAGCCGAGATGGCCAGTCCGGTGCTATCGGTCGTGGTCATTGACTCGTCGCATCCTGCTGTCGCTACCACATTCATAATTTCGTTGACGGTGCTTATCAGCGTGTTCGTGTCCTCCAAAGCCTCGGTCACCTCAGGCGACGACACCATCAAGGTAGTCGCGCCTGCTCCTGTGCCAGAGCGGGAAAGACGGCGGGCTGTCCGCATGGCCCTTTGGCTTACGGCCGTCAGTTGGGAGAACAAGAAGCTCCTAGCATCGTCGTGGTCAGCGTCGGTCTCCATGATTGGAACTTCGGCGGTGGCGTCGTAAAAGGACATCCCCGGCATGCATGAAGCAGATACAGCATCTGCTAGCAAGTTTGCCAGTGACTCTCGCGAAGCAGGGGGCATTTGAAGTGCCATTAGGTCGTGCTCGGCGTTCGGCGCACCAAAGCCGCCGGCGGCCGTCTCGCTTCCGTCAATGTGCAGGTCAGAAGAAGCGTGACCCATCAACGCTGTCATGACGTGGGAGGGGCCAGCCGACGACCTGGGCGTCCCATCGACATGACCAAAGGCTGACCCGAGGTCGAAGAGGTCTGTGCTTCTCATTTCGCTCGGTGAGCGAACAGAACAGCGTCGGCGCTGGCCTCGCTGTTTCTCTGTGAGCGATTGGTCAGCTTGTTGGGTTTCATCGTCTGTTGGTCCGCCCTGGCCCCCATCCCGCGGTCCGTACCACTCTTTCTCCCCCGCCAAGTAATGTTACTGGAGGACTAAAAGCATGTGCGGTTGGTTCCTTAATGAAAAAGCATGAAGCATACCACTGTACCTGCATTCCGCTCCTGCTTTAGCACAGCGGTCGCACAACAGGGAAGCGGAAACCGGGCCAGGTCCTGGGATAGAGAGATTGTTGTCTCGCAAGCACCTGACTTTCTGCTGACGACAACGGTCGCAGGACTGGCGGTGTGCAGGCGGCATAGTATGCCAAAGACAGGGCGGCCGGAGATGAAGATTGAGTGAGGATCGGCTAAAAGAAGCACTTATTTCCGGTAAAGAGTAGCGATGGGGGAGAATGGCCCTTTTGCTGAAGCGGTTGCACGGGGACCAGCTTTAACCACGAAATCCGCTTCGTTTTCACTCGGCGCCACCAACTATGTATTTTTCCTGCAGTGCAACGCTCGTAGTTTCCTTAGATCCGCTTCGGTTTCCCTATTCATCCGCGGCTGACTGACAGCGCTGGACTTCGATGATGATGTGCTCTTGTTCGCACCTAGCCATGTTCACATCAAGCCATGATATGCGGTCAGCAAATCCTCTGCGACGTTGGCTAGTATAAGGTGCATAGGTATTGCGCCATCCGTGCGATTGTGCGCTGAAGAAAAGTCCCTTGCAGCACTGATTTAATGTTCAAGAACACCTTTCCTGTGACTGACGGGAAACACCGGACTCAGCCGCACGCACTGGTGCAGGCAATGGAACCAGCCGGCAGTTTCCAAGAGGGCTTGGCGCGTCTTATCCGCCACCAACATGTCCCTTTGTTGACATTGCTCCACACTACCACATTGTGGAAACTCAAGCAGCTTCATTCCATGCCCCGGAGAGGAAATCGTATTGCAGTTGCCGAGGTAGGCAGTAGAATGATCTTGTCAAAGTGCAGTGCTAATCAGTTGGGGGTGCGCTAAAGTCCTGGGAAACCATCTCGATAGCTGCAGCTTACACGACGCGCTCTCATTATTGGCCATGGGCTAGCAAGCGCCCAGGGTCGCAGCGTGATAAGCCTTTCGAGGTTGCAGGACATGTTAGTGGTGGGTAGCATTGTGGACGAAATGGGTCAAGTTCTATCCGGGAGCACAAGCCGGGCCCTGGTGTAACCCCACGAGGCGTGCAGATCCTGGCTTTTTCCGTGCTGCTCTGTTTGCTTGTTCAAAGAACCATGCACGGGACCCCTTTCATTTTCAAAGTACCATGCATAGGACTCAGTCCGGCGCAAGCCGTCATGTAGTATCTGCCTCGAATTTGTAAGCGAGCGAGGTTATCTGCTATGTTGTCTCGAATTAATAAGCGCGTGAGCTCGCGTACATGCCGTCAAAAGAAACAAGCAAAATTTGAGAAAAACTGAGCAAGGCTTCCTCCAGCTACTTTACAGCTCCGTCACCACAACGCCGTCACCAACTCATCTCCTTGTTTACTCTTCTCAAAATTCTTTGCCTCTGACTCCTTCAGTGATCAGTCCTCGCTCCCCAAATAAGTCACCGCAAGCAGGAGACCATGTCTTCAGAAAAGGCTGTCCCAACCGACAGCGACACCGTGCAGGGGGGTTCACAAACCGCCGACGAATCACAGCTGTCTCATGGTTCTGACAAGCCAGATAACGAGGTCCAGCTGCAAGTTGACGGCCCTCCCGATGGTGGCACCGGCGCCTGGCTCGCTGTTCTAGGCGCTTGGTGCTGCTCCTTCAATAGCTTCGGCTGGATGAACAGTAAGCGTTGCCCAAGCTTTGCCTAAGCTTCGCCGGCCCGTCCCGAAGCTGACATGGCGCATTTACCCGGCCCCCGACTTGTTCTTGGCGTGCAAGCCCTAACTCTTCTTGGCAGGCGTGGGCGTTTTTCAGAGCTATTACGAATTCGGTCCTCTCAAGGACTACGACAGCAGCACCATTGCATGGATCCCGTCGCTCGAGATCTTTTTCCTTTTTTTTATGGGGCCTGCCGTCGGCTTTCTGTTTGACAAGTATGGCCCAACGCCGCTCATTCTGGTCGGCACGTTCTTGCATGTGTTTGGGCTCATGATGGCGTCCCTGGCGACCGAGTACTACCAGTTCCTCTTGGCCCAGGGTGTTTGCAGTGCAATCGGTCTGAGTTTTTTGTACTCGCCCGGTAGGTTCCACCCTTGACCTCACCCGGGAAACCTCGATTTCCTTGCTGACAACACCTCCACAACAGCGATTTCCACTATTGCAACATGGTTTCACAAAAAGAGAGGCCTAGCGATGGGCGTCATGGTGACCGGCTCGTCTCTTGGCGGCGTCGTCTTCCCCATCATGATCAACCGCCTGATTGAGAATCCCAGTACCGGATATCCCTGGGCCATGCGCATCTCCGCCTTTCTCATCTTGGCCCTGCAAATCGTCGCAATTTTCACCCTCCGGACGAGAACAGCACCAGCTCCCAAGAAGACGCAGGCCGTAACCCTGGCCGCTCCCTTCAAGGAGTTCCCTTTCGTCATGATGTTGCTGGGAATGTTCATCCTAATGTACGGCATCTTCATTCCTGTCAACTTCTTGGCCTTGCAGGGTTTGGAGCAGGCCCACGTGTCCGAATCCATGTCGCTTTACTTGGTGGCCATCTTCAATGGTGCGAGGTGAGTTTAAGCTTCCCGCCCCCAAACACTGCGATTCGCTTGAGATGATGGCTGACCTTGCTTACATTACAAAGTCTCTTCGGGCGTTTGGGCTCTGGATACTGGTCTGACATCGCCGGCCGATGGAACGTGTTCATCATCGCCGGCGCCGCCTCGGGCATCATCGAGCTGGCCCTCTGGATCCCGGCCACATACGAGGCCGCCACCATTGGCTTCGCTGTCGCGTTCGGCTTCCTCTCAGGCGCCTTCGTCAGTCTCCTCGCGGCCCTGCCGGCGACCGTGTCCCCTCTGCCCGAGATCGGCTACCGCATCGGCGTTGTCATGCTCATCCTCTCGCTTCCCGCGCTCACCATGGCGCCCATCGGCGGGAGCATCTTGCAGAGCGCGAGTTCTGTAGACGACGGCTGGCTGCACGTCAAGATCTTTGGAGGTGTCATGTCCCTGGCTGGTTCGGCAGTCGTCTTCTATGCCAAGACTCTCTACACTAAGAAGTTCTGGGCGGTGTTTTAAAGACAGTGAAGGTGACGCACACAAGCACACAAGCACACAAGCGCCCACCAAGTCAATTTCGCATGGGCGCGTTGAGAAGGCGGGATTATTGGTCTGCCACCTATAGTGCTTCACCACAGCAGCATGGGATCAATTGACGATACTGGTGAAGGGCATCAGGCGTCAGGGAATAGGGGGTAGAAACGTTTTGTCACAGCATAATCGTTCGCGCAGATTGCTTTGCTCTTAGAGACACGAGGCCGTCGTGCCACGGCCTGTGTTCAGGAACCCTAAAGTCAAGAGAATGCCAAAGCTTGCAGTCAAATTGTCTCCTTCCTAAATTTCAGCCGGGGCCTAAGGAGCTGCATAAACATAGTACAGTGTGCCACCCATGTGATAGTGGCAAGGCTTTTAGTATGGTTCATTTTAAGCCTGCAGATTGTGGCTTGCCGCAAGGGGGCTGGATCTCCGCGTCGTGCAGCTATGCCCACGCTGGGCGGAGTTGCCGCTGCGCCACGGAAAACTGCCCTGCTCGGCTGGCATTTACGGTAGAGCTACGCGCAGGCTTGTAGGGCGATATACTCTCTTGCTTATTGTGTATAATTCGAAATGAGAACCCCCACTTTCTGTCCGGCCGAGCTGCACATCTATCAGTCAACAGACAGAGGGGAAGCAAGAACCCTGGTTACGTCACATGCCAGGCGTTTCTTCATGATACCGTAGCATCAGTCTGCTTCCGTGATGGAACGCTTCTGAACCATAATCCACGTTGACCGATTCGACGACAGATCGGTAGATAGCCCGGACGATTGCCAAGGCCTGCCCGACCGGAGCGGCAGACTGGTCTAGACCCTGCTCGAGTATGTGACCCAGATCCCTGCTCAACGAGCCGTCCCCGTGCACCCCTGCCCCTGCCCCTGTCCGCTGGGGTACAATGATACGCTGCTCGGCTCGGTGGACTGTTTTCCGCCGATGCCGGGAACCTCGGTGTTCGCACCTTGCCTTTGTTTTTCTGCTGATAGTGCAGCTCGGCGTCGGCATCCGGTTCGGTCCGCACGTCGGTGTTTCATGGTCTGCATGCCGGACGTCCTGCTCATCAAAGTGATCGACCATGTGGCGCACATATTGATGCAAGATAACATATTCGACAGCAACCACTTCATCATGTCTGCCGCCCTCCGCGGAGAAGCCGCAACAATGCTGACGCCACTCTCCAGGTTATTACATCTGCTGCAACATCACGCCCCGCCCTCTTTGTCACCGGTATTGGCGACAAACGCTTTTTTAACAGCGCGCAAACCCGGATAGGCTGCTGCCCAGGTTGCAATCACTCTCGGCGGGCTCCCGGGCCAGACAAGGGAGTGTTCCAGGCCTGTCCGAGCCAGTGATAGGCGAACCTGGCAAACGCCTTATGTCACCGGGAGAGCTCGGCGTCCTGAAAAGGGTCTTGTACCAAAGCCCGATGCTCGCTCTGCAGAAATAAGCAGGTCAATGCGGAATAGACATACGGAATGATTCCTAACTCAAGTGCTGTCCAGTGTTGTCCAACTTGGGGCCCGTGGTTCTAGTACCCGCGTCTCTTCCCGCGGCCGCTTCTTCCCCGCTGGCGAATCCTCTCGGTACCCAGGCCTCTGTCACGTGGCACTTGAGGGTTCGTTGCTCGTCACACAATTCACGACCGTGTTCACGTTGTCTTAGGATATCTAGGAGACGGAATTGACTTCTGATACAACCTTCAATTTACAGGAAATGCTTTCTTGAGTACAATGCGCCTTGGAGTGGCTTGACATTCAGGTGGCCATGTATCCAGCGATCGTCCCACAGATACTACCACAAAAGACTTGTAGCTTGCACAAAAGCAAACCAGAGGCAGAATAAAATATAGAAGACGCTATGATGTCTTCGCCAAGGACTCAGAGTGAGATGAAGACGCCAGTAACTCTGAAGCCAGCCCTGCGTCGTGTCAGATCCCTGGAGCATCCTACCAGCCCATAAGCTCGGCCTCGACTTTGTAGGTCTCCGAGTAGTGGTCCAGGATATCCTGCTTGCTGCGTCCCGGCCTCAGTTTCAGCGAGACATCGAGGTGCTTGGGGTGGAAAGTGATGAGCCCCTGCACAAAGCCCGTCTCGACGTTCAGATCCAGCTCCTCCCCTGCCTGGGCTGGCAGCACGTCAAACGCCCACAAGATCTTGGCCAGCCCCAGCATCAGGCTCTGCTTGGCCAGCAGCATCCCAGGACATACCCGGCGCCCAAACCCAAACGAGTACGTGGCGCGGGCGCTCGCCGTCGCAGAGCCCGCCGATGCGTCCATGGTGGTTGGGTCGTGCGCCGCGCCCGGCCGCATCCCGAAGGGGTGGCGTAGGAACCGCTCCGGATCGAACTTTTCCGGCGACTCGTAGTCCTCCGGAGAGTGGTGGATGTGCCACACGTTGGCGTACACCGCAGTGTGCTTGGGAATCTGGTATCCGTCGTACACGTCTTCTTGAGCGGGAGCGTGTGGAATGCCCTGGGGGGCTACCGGCCTCCACCGATTGACCTGTGTATCGTCATTTGTTAACGCAAGTCCCCCAAATCTCTTTCTCGTGTCAGCATCTATTTTGTTTCTCAGAGTCGCTTACCTCATGCCAGAATGCCTCCGTGTACATCAAGCGGGCAACGTCAGTGGACTTCAATGGCGCCCCGTCGCCGCCCGACACTTGCAGCACCTCTTCCCTGATGCGTTGCTGCACCTCTGGGTACTTGGCCACGATCATCAGCATGGTGGAAAAGGTGGCAAGCGACGTGTACATGGCTGCCGCAACAATGTTCCACGCCGAAAGGCCTAGGTCCGTCCACACGTCCTTGTCTCTGTTCTCTCGCTGCTCCCGCAGCATCTTGGCCCCTAGGCTCTCATAGAGCCCTTCGGTTCCGTTGTTGTTGTTGTTGAGACCTTTTCCGGCGGCGGCGGCAGCGTCCAGCGCCGCCCGGTGCTCCTTGGCCGCGCTGAGGAACTGGTCTTTGATCTCAAACACTTCCTTCGCGACGGCCTGAGACTTGGCCCTCCAGCGGGCCATGCCAAACTTGCCGGGGAGGTGCCTGAGCACCGGGATCCGGTCCATTAGGTCGGGCTTGTGGAGCATCATGTAGCCGGCGGTCCGGCGCCGGAAGACGTCCATTTCAAAGCCGTGGTGGGCCATGGCGTCGGGCCGCCGCCCGACCACGGCGATGCACGGCACGCTCGTGACCCAGCTCAGGATCATGTCCTCGAGGTCGGCGCGCCGGGCGGCCGGGCCGGCCTCGAGCAGCGCGACCAGCACGCGGGCCGTCTCGGCGTCGTTCATCGGGTGCAGGCGCGCGACGGCGGCCGCGCTGCCGAGGGCCCCGTTGAACTCCTTGCGCCACCGCGTCAGCCAGGGCCCGCTGTCGTGGAAGAGCGAGGCTGGCACCTGGTGCGTCTGGAACTTCCACTTCTCGTCCTCGCCGTTCGGCCGCGGCCGGTCGCTGTAGATGGCCCCGCGCCGCTCAAACAGGTCGCGCACCATCCGCGCACTGTTGAGCACCACGATGTTGGTGCTGCCCAGCTTGACGCCCATGGGCTTGTCTTGGCCGTACTTGAGCGCCCAGGCGCTGTAGGTCAAGGCAGGGATCGACTTGTTGATCTGGTAGAGGTTGCCGAGGCCTGGGAGACCAGGCGGGCCAGGGGGGAAACCCTTTGGGCGGCGAGAAAGTAGAAAGAAGACGGCATTGCCGGCGACAAGAAGAGCAGCCGTAATGAGGACGTTCGGAGCCAGGATGAAGGCACTTATGGCCGTCATGGCACTCGAATCCGTGGAAATCATTTTGAAGGTGCTGACTTCGAAGGTTTGTGGGGTAAAGGGGGCTTGCTGAGGATGCTAGGTTGAGCAGTATTCTGACATGCACGATGCCTGTCCAAAGCGGCATATAAACTGTGGTTCATGGTGGACTAGATAGACCATCGGGCCTAACTTAACTTTCTAAAAACATTTTGCAATGCTTTAGACCGGATTCCTAGCTGACAAATGCCCTCCGAATAAAGCAATGTCTTTGACGTGCTCGGAGTTGACCTATTGGCCGGCGCGATAACAGATTCCTCGGACCGCAATTTGACAGACGGCGGTACAGTTTCGGTGGCTGGACGAATGCCGTTCGTCGGGTCCGATCGCATTCCTCCCGGTCGGTGGTGTGCCTCCCAAGTCCGTCGGTGGGTCGGTGTTTCGCTTCAAGTCGGTCCGAGTTGTCGGCTCTTATTGGCATGCATCGAGTAAGACTACCCAGAAAGGTATTTTGTTGAGTTCTTAGTGGTCAGACCGGGGCCAAGCCACGAATGATTTGCATCCGGTGTCAAGCGCACCGTAAAACCGCGAGGAAAGGTCGGGAGCATGATCGTCTCGCAAACTCGGTCTAACACGGAACGGAGCCGGAAGTGGTCGGCAGTTACTGGCCCAGTTCATTTGGCCTCCGTCCACACCCTTCACGAGAGGCGCGAGTTGTGATTAAAGTACAGAGGAACTGGTTCAGGCATAGCGGATCGCCGAGCTTGGGCCGTCTCGGTAACACCTGCGCCGCCGCTGGCGACGGCCGTTGCGCGGGCCTTCTGCGTCAAGATGCAAAAGCCATGCTCTTACAGCTCGTGCTAGGGGCCGGCGGGCAAGTTCAACAAAGATCCGGTAGACTGTGACAAGCACGGAGATCTACATGACATGGGAAAAGATGAGGATGCCATAATGCGCTTCAGTATCTTGCCGTTTGCCACAGTGAATGAGCCATATTGCTATAGAGCGCCTCCGGTTAGTAGACGAGGGTCTTACCATGCTTGCACATCTTCGTGTTTGGCTGTTTGGTAGATAACTGCTTACCCTTGATGATTCCGACCCGGTCGCCGCCACAGATCGTGCGGCTCTCATTATGCCACAACACCCCTAAAGGTTTAGATTGCAGTGCAGTTCGGCGGACTGATAACCCCTGGAATTCGCTGGCTCCTTTCCCCAATTTGGTTGGCGTTGGGAATGAATACATTCCCGAGATGGTCTGGCAGGTCAACCCCTGGAAACGTGCGTGGGATGGACCACCGGATGTATTTCACGTATAGCGGAGGCAATCCTCGGATTCTCGATCAGCTGACCGACTCGGACTTGAGGATTTGTCCTGCGATTAAATGATCTGGATGCGGAGTAGAACGTCTGGCAGATCCTCAGAGCTGCAAGCAGTGCTTCCTGAGGGCCACGAGATATCGTGCTGCTAACCACAAGCGATGAACTGGGGAAGGACAAGGGACGCCAGAAGGGCTTATGGACAAGACGTGGAAGAGATACGTCGTGCATAACGAATCTTGTCCATGAGGTCTGTAGTAATAAGTGCTTCCTTTCACGGCAAGATGATTGGATGGCAAAGTGACCAACATCGTCCCTGGCGATCACACAATGATGAACGGTTTGTGCATGGCTTGCCTGCCTTCACTGCTGACCTGGACAGATCACAATGGGCATTCTCCTCTCCCCGACCGAGACGTCACATTTCTGAGTACCTTTGTACAACACTCACTAATTTTGGGATGGTTGGAGAACACCAACTGCGGAGGAATTCGGATAACTGCACGCAGACAGACGCCAAAGTTGCTTTGGGGCGGCGGGATTCGACGAGGCCCTGCATCATATGGCTGTTGTGACAGGGTAGGCTCTTTTTCATCTCAACAGGCATAATTTGCTGGGCTGCATGCATTTGGCGACAAACAGTGCTGGCGTGGTGCTCCCCTGTATTTACAAGCTCCAAGGCCCGCGGTTGCTATGACGTCGGTGCTCCAGTGGACACGGCGCTACGCGGCACGGATAGCGGCACCCGTGCGAGTCACGGCTGCTCCGCCTGGGGGCAGTCCAGGCACATCTCTGCGGGCCCTGTCATGACAGCACCCTCTAGGGCTCCAGGGGTGGACCAGAGGCTCCGGGCTGCTCGTGCCCTCGAAACCAAGAAGCCTTGTGTCTTTTGGGGGTAGAGAGTGCAAACCCCTTGGTTGACGATGACGCTTCGAAAAAGCGCGGAACATGCTGTGTGCAGCGTCAAGGATGCAAGGTAGCCCCCTTAATTACCTACGCTGCACTCCCAAGGGTTACCGAAAGCGTCTGCAGACACTGTGCCCGCAAACGCGCAGCCTAGCACAAACTTTTACTTTTAAGCATGATCCCCTCCCCCGTCAACGCCAGCACATTACAATTCAAGCTTGACGCACAAGCTTAAGCAAAGATGCCAATGACAAGCACCAAGCCCAGAGCAGCCAAGGACGAGTACCGCTTGGGGAGGGCTGTGTGCCGTAGTGCCGACAAGGGCCAGGGTATGGTTGGCTGGCGGAAACAAGCCTTTGCCAAGCCTGCCAAGTTTGCCAAGTTCCCCCGGTCAGGATGACGTTGGGCCTTGTGTTTCTTCCCTTTGCTTGTTTGTCTCTGCCAGGCCTCCACCCAACCACACGTGTTCGGGACCGGACCTTTTGTCCCCACACATCACGATGATGGTGCGGCCCAGAGCACTCCAGCTGCGTGCTAAAGCGGGGGGAACGTCAGCGGCAGGGTCGATCAAGGGCTGAAACAAGCCCACCCAGCCGAAATGGCGTGCCCCCAGGCCCTCGCTGGCCATCGTCACGGCAGGATCGTGCCGTTGTTGGAGACGCATGTCATTTCTGATATCGGCAGTGTAGCACAATCGGCTGCTCGTGAATGCCATGACGTCAAGCACCAGGGAGAGGCCGCCAGGAACCCTCAACCAAGCATAATAAGGGTGCAGGACGGCTCCCTTTGACAGCGTGATGGGTCTTTGAGCAGCTCACACTTGCAATCACGAACACCCCTTCGTGCAGCAGCGAACTTGCGACCAGTGTCGACGACCTATCGGCGACCAAGTCAGTGGCAGCATCAACCCTTGGACCTCTACACCACCATCTGGACCCGACTTGATCCCTCGCGTCTTCCACAATGGGTATCATGGACCGCTTCCGGCGAGAGCCTGCCGCCACGACCGGCCCCGACCGGCACATCAACAACAACGGCAACCACCACAACGGCCGCCACCATGCCGCCCGTCACGAGAAGAAGCACGGCCACTCCCACCACGACCGGCACCAGGCCAACATGTACACCATGGCCTCCCGTCCGACCTTTGGCCAGTGGCTCAAGCACACCTGGCTCGACATCCTCACTATGGCCGCCATGGGTGCCATCGGCCTCGGCGTCTACATGGCCCACCCGGCCGCCAACCGGTCCTTCCCCGTCACCTTTTCCGACGGCGAGGTCGTCTACCCGCAGTTCGCCTACCCGCTGCGCAAGGAGATCATCCCCATAGTCGCTGCCGCCGTCATGGCCGCCCTGATCCCCATCGCCATCATCCTGCTCATGCAGATCCGCGTGCGCTCCTTCTGGGACGTCAACAACGGCGTCCTGGGCCTGCTGTACTCGCTCATCACGGCCGCCGTGTTCCAGGTCTTTGTCAAGTGGCTCATCGGCGGCCTGCGCCCGCATTTCCTCGACGTGTGCAAGCCGGACCCGAGCAGGCTTACCGGCCAGCAGCGCGACATCTACGACGCCACTGGCTACCTGAACCTGTACTACACCAAGGACATCTGCACGGGCGACCCGGACGAGATTGACGACTCGCTCGAGTCGATGCCCTCTGGCCACACCACCGCCGCGTTTGCCGGCTTCGTCTACCTGTACCTGTACCTGAACGCCAAGCTCAAGGTCTTTGGCAACCACGTAAGTGCATGCGCCTCCTGTTTCCACACTCTCTCGTCCTACCTTTCTTCGCTTTTGTCTTCAAAATAATAGAAAAAAACGAAGCCCCTGCTAACGCACGACGCAAACACACAGCATCCCGCGATGTGGAAGCTCATCATCATCTACATGCCCATCCTCGGCGCGTGCCTGATCGGCGGCGCCCTCACCATCGACGAGTACCACAACTGGTACGACGTCTTCGCGGGCGCCGTCATCGGCACCGTCATGGCCTTCTCGGCCTACCGCATGGTCTACGCTGCCATCTGGGACTGGCGCTTCAACCACATCCCCCTGCACCGCAACATGCCCTTCCGCTACGACGGGTCCGACGACCTGTCGGACGCCGTGTTCACGCACAAGGCTGGCTGGGGCGAGAATGTTGGTGTCGGCACTGGTGCTGCCAGTGGTGCTGCTGCCGGTGGTGCCGGGGGATATCAGACGGGTGCGAGCAGCGGGTATGCTGCCAACAACGGCGCGGGTAATGGTTACTCGAATGGATATGAGACTGGACACCACCATGGCCACCACGGCAGCGGTATGAACCGTGTTCCCGTTGGCGGAAGACGCAGCCAGGATATTGTTTAAGAGTTGTCACGACTAGGACAGCCCTGAAGCACGCCCAGGCATGACTATGTTATTAAGACTCAGATTGGGAGTGCAGACAATGTAGCCATCAATTGTTGGCTAAGTAGGGGAGGGCCTCACTTGGCTTTGGTGATTAGGAGGGGTTTGTTTCGACGAGGATGTCAAGATCGATATGCATGGATACCCATATAACATAAGTAATGTATGATACATGATGAACTGTTACGATTATGAAACACATTCCCATATTTCCATACCACATCAGATTGTGTGCTAGTCGCTGAGCGTGTCCCCGGGTGTGATGTCGCCGCATCACTGGTGGCCACCAACTGAGCAAACATCCGTCATGGCAATCCCCCGCTTGTCCCCAAATCATCCAAGCGGTCTACCAAGGCTCTCATCCTAGCATGCCACTCTGTCACGCATTTTGGCCGCTTTTGTTACTCTCCTTGTTCCCTTTCTCATTTCCCCCATCGCCCTTCTGCCCCTCCTCCCCCGGCCCCTCGACCTCCTCCACATCAGTTCCAACATGTCTGAACCACATCCACAGTCCCAAACCATAGACCCCGAACCCTAATACCACAACCGCAATCCACCACCTGCCCAGCACGCCCACGACTTTCCAGGTCTCCCGTGCGACCCACCGCACCGCGGGCGTCACCAGCGCCCGCCGTTCCTCCTCGAGGTCCGGGTTCAGCGTGATGAGCACTGCGACCAGGCACACGAGGTTGAGCGCGATGATGAGCGCGGACAGGATCTCGAGCCACAGCAGGACCACGGCGATGTTCTTGGTCGTGTCGAGAACCTGGAAGCCCTCGGCCACCAGGGGGGTGACCTGGTCAAAGGCCAAGTTTATCTGTTTCGAGTAGGGGATGCCCATTTTTCTTCTTTATGATACGATGGTTTATTTCTCCCGCGGCTTGGTTGTGATATTTTAGGCCTTGGGAGAGAGGCAGAGTGGCTGGAGTGCTCTCAAATTGAAGTGGTTATTTTCGCAGGTGTTCCTCATGTGGGTGGCTCTTCAAGCCGGCTGCAGGCGTTTGGCAGGAGAGCGACCCCTTCTTGCCCCGTACAATTGTGTCTCATGAGTCAAGGCGAGAAACAATTGGGAATAAGGGAGCATGAACACTGCAGATGTATGAAGTTGTGCGAGAATGACGTCAGCAGCACTACAGCGAAACCTGCTTCTGCATGCTCAGCTTACAGCTGTCTGGTTTGTGGTTGGGCAAGACCCCTGTCTCGTAGCTAGGGGTGGTGCATATCGAGATCTGGGGAAGATCTCGCATCGTGAACATGTGTGGAGAGTGACCACTTCCGATTGATGCATCCGAAGATCAAAAGCTACTATGGATTTGTCATAATGGAAAATGCCAACATAGACTCTATTTCAGTTTCGAAGCCGATGCACCCTCCCATGAATTATGCATTCTAACAGGAAATCTGCGACCCTTCCAGGGTATCGCAAATGACAGTTGAAATGCCAATTTAAAATTGCACGGTCCTGGATATATCTGGACCACAAGCATACCACGTCTCCAAGCAGCTCAGGCCACTCGTTGACTCCGCAGCGAGTTACAAGGCCCCTCGGCTCAAGCCTTCTTACTCCTCCCAAAGCCCAACAGCCACGCCCGGAAAGTGTTGTACACCATGGTGAAGATGAACCTGGATTGGCTCTTGTCGTAGTGCTGCGCGCGGTCGCCGACATCGCACATCTCGCAGACAATCTCGACGAGCGGGTTCGGAAAGTGCGGCGACTGTCTGCAGTATGCGGCGACGAGGTCGTTGCCGTTCGTGATGCCGCCTGTGCCAGCAAGTGGAAAGTGTTAGCCACTATCATTGGGTCAAAGGAAGATAAACCGAGATGGTAAGGAGGAAATAAGCTACGGGTTGTGCGCAACAACACGATCCAACGTGAGAACCCTGGAAAGAGAAAAAGACGGGAACCTACCGCTCGACCAGAACCTCCCGTCCTGCCACCACCTGACCTTCTCCCCGATCAGCTCCTTGACCCCAAATCCCGTACCGCCCTCTTGCTCCATGATGAACTTGCGCAGCCCCCTCGGCCCGCACGCAACCTTGCCCCTCAGCAGGCCGGCCGCGCCGCACCACATGATGCCCGTGCACACGCACAGCACATCAGTCCTCTCGCAGGCCCCCTGGCCCGCCAGCCACTTGGCCGCCGCCCCGCCGTCCATCTGGTAATCCGTGGCGAGCGGGTCCGGCCCGGGGACGAGAACAATGTCCAGCTGTCCCGCGGCCACGGCCGGGTCGGTGTAGTGGTGCGTGCAGGTGATGCTCATCCCGGACGTCAGGCCGATGGGCTGCTCCACGGGCACGGAGCCGATGTAGTAGAACTTTATGGCGGGCGCGAGGTCCCGGACCGAGGGCGGCACCACGGAGGCAACCTGGGACATGTACTCTGCGGACATGGTGCCGATGATGTCGACGCATGATAGGTCGAGGACCTGGGCGTCGGCAGGGATGAAGACGCCCACGTGCAGGGTCTTGGCTGGTGGAGGGAGGGTATCGGTCGGAGATGTCATGTTGGACAGACACGTTGTCTTTTCGGCGTCGAGGGAGAGATTATTGCTTTGCGAGGACGTGTGTAATTCACTTGGTCAAAGGTGACGCGGAGCTTGGCACGGAGCAAGGTTTGAGACGGTGTTCATATGCCGATTTGATGCACAATATAATTCATGATAATTTCTGGACTGGCTTGCAGGTCTTTATACTATATCTCTCAACCAGGCAGCCGTCTGAGTATTAGCCCCACGCCCCTTTAAGTCGTCCAGCATCGTTTGGGGTCCGAAGAGCACCGGAGGCGAGCTTGCTACTGCCGCTCACGGTCGGAAGATGGTGGGCCGCCAGGGCCCCTTGATCGCTGCTATACCTTGGCTAGCGCCGCTTTGGGGAGGCTGCTGTCCTAAGCTCCGATGCAACTCGGAAGTTAGTGCGCGTCTCGCTTCGGCGTTGATTTATGCTGGAGGGATTGGCCAATGATGGTATCGAGAGCCGTAACAAAGTTGCCTGGTCGGTCGCACGCACCACACATGAGACAGACTACATCCTTAATCACGAGAGTATTGTACCGCATCGCTGCACAGGACGGTGGTTGAACATGATTAAATTTCTACTCAGGTCATCCCGTCACATAAATTTGCATCTGCCAAAGTCTGCCACACATTAATCAGTCGGCAGTCCCCTCCGGCAGGATCGAGATATAGTCCAGCGGCGCCGGCTCCTTGCCATCCGGGCGGCCCACAATCTTGAGCTCGACGCCCTTCTGCACCTGCACGCCCTTGAACGTCTTGCGGATCGCCGTCTGCCCGTCAATGTAGATGGTCGCCGCCTTGCCGACGCTGTACTCAAAGTCGCCCTTCCACTGCCCCACCGTCTCGTCACCCAGGTACAGCGTCCAGGTCGAGTTGCCGATCGCCTGGTCAAAGTAGTTGACCGCGACGTCGTATTTCCCCGTCTCGACCTTGTCCAGGGTGTACCGGGCGGTGCCCTGCGTGGCGTTGGTGGCCGTGACAATCGCCCACCCCCTGGACGCGGACTCGAACGGCTTGACCTGGTACTTGACATAGCCGTCGAGCTGCATGTCCTCGGCCTCGACGCGGTACTTGTAGTTGCCGACGCGGCCCAGCTCGTCGGGGATGCCGGACTTGTTGTAGTAGAAGTTGGTGATGCTGTCGCGCCACACGAGCGAGTGGCCCGCCTGGTACACGAGGCGGAACAGCTGCTCCTCGTACCGCTGGGCATCGATCTTGTCCTTGATGCCCTCCCAGAGCGTCACAAAGGTCTGCGCGACCGCGCTGCCCCGGTAGTGCGCGTCGTAGAAGTGCTGGATCACCGTGGACCCGGACTTGAGGCGGTACGTGTAGGGCAGGTGGTGGAACCACAGCAGCAGGTTGTCCGGCGTCGTCTCCGGGTCCTCGTACGTGGCGGCCACCTCGGCCGGGTACTGCGCCGCGTTGCCGGTGCCGTTCTTGAGCGTGCGGTCCATGCCGATGCTGAAGCCGTCCGCCCGCGTCCACTGGCCCCACGGGTTGCCGTCCTGCGACGCAGGGTTCGGCCCGTAGTGCCCGTTGAGGATGTCGGTGAGCGTCTGCACGCCCAGGTTGCCCGAGTAGTCCTCGTACGCGGGCCACGAGGCCATCGAGATCTCGCGCACCGTGTCGACGACGGCCTGGTCGTGGCTGAAGGTCAGCCGCGTCCACGCGTCGAGCAGCTCCTCGGCCGAGCTCTCCGGGTCCCACGCGAGCTTGCCGTACGCGTACAGGTTCGACAGCGACAGGTGGCTGCCCAGCCACGTGCTGTTGAGGCCCGCGTTAACCACGGCCGCGTAGCCCCCGCGGCCCGTGTTCCAGCGCTGCCCGTTGATGATGTTCTTGACCGCCGACGGCTTCCCGTCGATCCGCATGTCAAAGTCGAGCGTCTCCTTCCACATGGGCGCCAGGTACACCACGTGCGCCTGCTGCCCGAGGTACTCCTGGCTGACCTGGAGCTCGACGGCGCTGGGCGTCTGCCGGAGGTGCGAGAACAAGGGCGACACGGGCTCGCGGACCTGGAAGTCGATCGGGCCGTACTTGATCTGCACCACGACGTTGTCGGCAAACTCGGTGTCGAGCCCCTCAAAGAACTCGACCGCCGCGTTGGCCCGGTCCGCTTTCCAGTCGAGCGTCTGGTTGAGCGTCTTGGAGTCGTACACGAACGCCCGGAACAGCACGATGCCGCCGTACGGCTTGACCGTGCGGGCAAACAGGTTCGCCCCGTCGGCGAGGGTGCGGTTGTACGTCAGCGGTCCGGGCTGGCCCTCGGAGCTCGCCTTGGACAGGTAGCCCGCGAAGTCGGGGACGCGCGCGTAGATTTTGTCGGTGATGTCGTGCCACCACTGGATCACGCGCTCGTCCAAGGGGTCGAACGTGCTGAGCCCGCCGTACGACTGCGGGGACGAGAAGAGCAGCGACAGGCCGATGCGGATGCCGTAGGGGCGGAAGATGTCGGCGATGCGCTTGAGGCCGTCGAGGTTGTTCTCGTTGAAGAGACTCGCGTTGGCATTGACATTGTTGAGCACGATTCCGTTGATGCCCACACTCGCGAGGATGCGCGCGTACTGGTGCACCCGTGTCAGGTCCTCGCGGACGACGCCCGCCCAGAAGAACATGGACACGCCGCCGTATCCTCGCTCGATGCTGCCGTGTGTCCCGCCCTCGTTCATGTTGTCCCACTGGTTCACCCATCGGATTGGCGCGTCAGGGTTCGACGCAAAGGACGCGGGGGCGACGTTGCCCTGACCGAGCCTGTTCAGGTATTCGAATGCGCCATAGAGCGCACCACGCTCATTCTGCCCGATAATGAGGACTCGCCTGGGCGTGATGTCGAGGAAGTAGCCGTCCTCGATCAGCTCGGGGACCCTGACGCCGTGCGCCTTGGCATCATAGCTGGAGAGAGTGCCGACAATTAGGTGCTTGCCGGGGCAAGTCGTGTAGTGCAGAGCGTCCTGATACTCGACAGACGCCTGCAGGTCGTAGATGCTCTTGAGGCCCAGCGCAAGCTCAGTGCCCGCCGTGTAGACGGGGCTTGTGGTGGTCGTGTTGAGCGCAAAGATCGTCTGCGGCAGAAAAGCCTTGTGCCCAGCTGCGCCGGGGTACGGTGCGTAGCGCAGCCATGCGTCGATGCCCGTCTCCGCGACGACGAAGACGGGCGCGAGCAGGAGAATGAGGAAGCGGAAAAGCGTCGCCATCGTCAAAACAGGCCGTCTGAAGGCTGCGTAGCACACACTTCAGTGTACGTCAGGAGACCGAGTGACGTTGCCTCTGCAGGAGTGAAGGTGAGACAGGGACCGCCGGGGTTACTTGGTCTTATTCTGTCGAGCATCATAGGCGATCTTCGTGTGCCATTGGCGTCGCAATCTTGGGAAAACGGCAATGCTCGCCGATTCGTGGAACTCGGCCCATGCTCATCCGACGGATTATCTTGTGGACATTTTGCCAGGGCCATGGAGTAGACCATGACGCCTAGCCCTGCGATCTGCATCCCAGATCGCGTCTGCCGAGGAATGCACTGGTTCTTCCAGCCAATAGCGAGTCATGACAGCGTCAAATAGCGCGGAAACCGGGGCCTTTCGCACCGCGGCGGTGGGTAGATGGGCCGTGGCCGCTATTTAGCCTGATTCCAGCCCTCCTGGTTCACAAGTCCCGACGGGCGCCCCCGCAAGAAATCAAAACGGGCCCCGTGGGGAAAGGCACAGTGCCGGGGTGCTTGGCCTGCGGGGGAGGCGCGAGTAGAGGCTGAATGCCCGTGCTGGGACCATGAACCGAGAGTATGGTCATATGTACCAAGATTATGGCCACCAGCGCCTGGACTATGGGTCGCGCCCGATCGGCTCACCAAGCCGGGTGAACTGCTGAATCCTGACAATGCTGCCTGCAGGTCGCAGGCTCGTCTGCACGGTGGAAATTGCTCCAGTCGAGGATATTGTAACCTCAGCCGGCGGCGTTCTCCATTACCACTACCACATACTACCGAGACCCTGGGGAACTGCATAACTAGGCCTTTCAATGGCAGGGGTTCTTGGCGCGTGGCAGGCGCTGACGTTCCTTGTGGTCCGACCTGGCAACCAACCATTGTTACCCCAAGCACATTTGCTGCTCCCCTCGTCCGCGAACAGCCCCATTAGCCGAACTTCATGGCTCATATTCACAGCCTCATTGTCCAGGTGTCTCACCGCCAAGTCCGGGACAGACCACAAACACCTCGTCCTCACTTTCCATCAGCAACGGCAGCTGTGAATGTCCAAACACTCTCCTTCTCAAATGCCCCATCTTCTTCGTCTCGTCCACGTTCTCGATGCCCGCAAACACCTCGTCCCTCGTCCCTTCTCTCCACCAAAACCCTTTCCCGTCATCACCATCACCGCCGCCGCCCTTCCCGCGCACCGAGATCTTGTATCTCCTCCCGGCAACCATGCTCTGCACTCTAGGCCGTGCATAGCCCGGATCTCCAGCTTTTGGTCGCCCCCTTTTCTGCTCTTCCGTAAGCGGGTAAGGGAGTTTGACTTCGCGCATGACACTGTCTCCTGGATACAGCGTGAGAAATTGCTCATCAGTAGGCCTGATCCGCTGCCCTTGCGGATGGGTGCACCGGACTTGCTCGACCAGGTCCTCCCCCGAAGTGGTGTCGATGATGCGGAAGTTGCTCAGGTGTGGGATCCTGCCGAATATCGGGCTCGATATGTCAGGGACGATGGGCCTAGGCTTGAGCTTTTCCGAGGCGGACAGCTTGTGGCGGGTGAGGTGGCATTGGGAGCCGTAGAGCTGGACCGTGATGGGCTTGCCTGGCACCGGCGGGTTTGACGGCGGCGGATTCGGGTAAGTCGTCGTTACGCGGAGATCGTAGTTTATGTCCTGGTCCGTGGCCGGCTGTGCATCATGCTCGTCATGCTGCTTGGTATCGTGGCTGTGTGAAGGCTGTGGAACAGGCCTCGCGACAAGTGAGAGCCTCACCTGCAGCACTGGCGGGATGGGCAGTCTTTCCACTACGCGGAAGCGTATCGCACCCGAGTTCAGCTGTGAGAAGACAAGACCTCTTGTTATGGGCTTTGGTGGAGGGAGGTCTGCGAGTGCAAATGTCTGCCTAGCGCTGCTAGCGCTGCTGCTGTTGTCTATATTGCCCTTGAGATCACGCAGGATTGACTCGCCGTCTCCCCAGCTCCACCACAGGACGCCCATGTCGCTGGTCGTGCTGGGCATCTCGAGTTTGTACTTTCTGCCTGGCTGGACGAATGGCCCCAGCGCTGCGGTCAAGTCCCATGTGGCTGTCACAACCTTGGTCACTGCCTTAGGCATCTCAGGTGCTGGGACTGTGATGAACGAAGCGGCTGTGAACTGTGCGGTGGTCGAATTACTGCGTGTCTGTTGCTGCTGATGTAGCTCGTGTGGCGCGAGTTTCGGGTCTTGCACGACAACCCACGGCTCCGAGTCCTCGCCGTCAAACCGCTCGAGAGTGTCTTCAGTGGTGTCGACCGTCTTCTGAGCTCCCCTGTCTGTCTCGTCCACGAGCTTCACAAGCCCTCTACTAATGGCATGCGGCAGGTCGAAATGCGAGTCGGCGAGCAGGAGTGTCAGCGGTTGTCCTGCTTTCGGGGTTTGCAGTCCGTCGTTGCCGGTATCGTCATCGCTAGGTCGTAGTCGCTGCTTGATCGTCACGTGCACCCGGTACGGGATGTTGCTGGAGAGGTCGAAGACCGAAGTGTCCTGGTACTCGTTGTATGCTGTGAAAATGCATGACGCGGCTGCATGCTTGTGGCTCTTGAAAGACATGCTCTATACCACCACTGAGCCGATACAGAGGATGAGAAAGGGACACACCTGCAGAGATCTGGATGGTCATTACGGATTTGTGGACTGGTAGTGCCCGATCGTCCATCTGTCCCCACTCACATGTCGGCCACACGATGACTCAAAGGGGCGGATTTGTGAAGCTTGGTAGTGACGTGTATCAACTATGCTGATTCCCCATTGGTGGGAGTTATGTATCCAGGTCGGTCCTCAATACAAGATGCTATGGTCTTTGTTTGCAATTCCTTCAGCTTTCGATTATCATGAGGTATGAGCAAATCATACACACACCGGGCTATTTCTGGTGTGGTGGAATCAGTCTTTTCAAGCGAGACGAGACCTCTGAATCACTTTTCAGCTTCACTGTCACGGCTGAGCAGCTACTTTTCACCCTAACAATGCAGCAGCAAAACCGCGAAACACGCTGGCTCCGTCGCCACCACCATCAACAGCGCCTTCCTGCCCTATAGCGTCGTCGACAGAGGCCAACACCTTTTTCAGCATCCCCTGGAACACTGTAATGTTCGCCTCAAGGTACGCAATGTTCGCCCGGGCCAGTGCATTATCAGGAGCGCCTTGGTCATCAGAAATGGCCGTGCTGAGCGCCGACACTCGGAGCAGATCGTCTAGCATCTTCTGGCCGGTCTGCCGGACTGCCATGACGAGAGCCGTGGCGCGCGAGACTATCGATGTAGCTAGGAGTGCGCGTAGGGCTGTGCTGTCGGACAGTGAGATGGCGTGGTCTCCGTACAGGAGCTTTTGTGCTGACCGGCCGTCGGGATAGACATTGGGATTGCTCGGCGGCGGGTGCATGTCCTCGTGCCCGGATGCCTCGGTAGCCACCGCCGGCGTCCAGCTGTCCGAGTTGAGCAAGCTCTGGGAGATGTGGGTGAAGCACGGCATCGCCTCCTGCAGGGCCGACATGATGTGCAACAGGTCCGTGCAGCGCAGGGTCTCGGTCTTGCAGTTCAAGACCTTTTGTGCCTGATCAATCACAGTAGCGGTGACGGCAAAGACTTTGTCCAGCCGGGGTGGTGGAAGCGTGGATGTTTGGCCGATATCGTCGAGAGGTGGCTGTTGCATGATGCGGGCAATCTTTTTCACGCAAAGCATGAGGTCTCCACGACAAGAGCACGACAATGTTAGTCTGCTCTGGGACGAGACTGATGTGACAGCAGGGGACCGGCTAGTCGCGGATTGTGATGCTGACGAGCGGTCATCTTGGCCATCGGGATCTGAAGCGTCGTGTTTGCTGCTAATCGTTTGGCATTGGTCAGTGCCATGCGCAGGCCTGACTTGTGTCTGAAGAGAGCTCGATATCCCAGGCGCCCAATTTGAACACCGCTTTTCCACGAAATCGCTCGCTAGATCGTCGTTGTCGGTGGCGGCATTAGGCGAGTTCTGGGCCATTAGTATCTGTTGCTCAAGATGGTTGCCAGATAGAAAGGATTGCCGCTTTGCGTCGCAGAAGTCCTGTCAGTGCTCCATGGCTTTAGAAAGTGGCAAAGTTGGTGATGTCCACTTACGGAACTCTCGGCTGCGGTCCCAACCGAAGGCGAAGGTGCGAAAGCCGTCGTCGAGGTAGGACTGGCAGCAACTGCTGACCACGTACAGTTGAGGCCGCGGACAGCACAACGCCTGCAGTCTCTCGGGCTGCCACTAAAAGCAGCATCAACCTTGCATCGAGTCTTTGCACTGCGACAGTTGCTGCATGCAGTTGCTGGTCGGCGTATCAAGGCCGGGCCCTGTGGATGCACCGTGGCGTGATTGCCTGGCGCTTGTCGCCATTTGATGATGAAGGCTTCTGGGACGCCGCTTCTGCCCGATCGCGATGGAGGCATGACTCGATGCCACTACGAGAGGGCTTCTTAGGGTAGTACTACACACAATGTTGAGGAATGACGAACTTCAAACCAAGAAATAGGTCTGCTTACCAAACCTGCCGGAGAACCAAGGCCCATTTTGAGCAAAAACGCGGGGTTTTCTTGCCCCTTTGGGAACTGCATAATCCCGGCGCTAGGCCTCCAAAGGAAACAACGGGCAGTCAGGGGGACAGCCATCCCATCGGGACGCCCAGATCTGGCAATTCTGGCCCAGCCATATGCCGTCGTCCCTAGGCAAGTTGGGTAGTAGCATGCATAGCCGTGGTAATTGCTGAGAAAGCAAACTCTTGCGGCCTCATGCTGGTTCAAGATTCTCTTGCCGGGTACTTATATCTCTATATCTTACCTGGCTTGAACGACTTGCTGCAACTTTCGGCAGGAGGATGATTGAGAATCGTATTACAAGACGTGACATGACCTATTATTGCTCACAATGTCTCTCTCACACGACACAGACTCTACCCACACGGTTGCGAAAATCCCCCGAACGAATCGAAATGATGACAACGTCGAGCTTGCCAACAACAATACTCAAATGAATCCAAAAGACATTGATAGCGAGAAGGCCGAACAGCAGTCCGAGCCTGAGAAACCGCCTAGAGACATCTCGGGTTGGAAATGGACAGTTACGGCCTTTTCGTTGTGTTTTTCCATCTTCCTCTACTCGCTGGACACCACTGTTGTCGCCGTAATCCAGGCCTCGATCGTCACCGACTTTGACGCTCTCAGCAACCTCGCGTGGATCAACGTCGGTTTTCTTCTGGGCGGCACGGCCTTCACCATGATCTGGGGCCAGGTCTACGGCCAATTCAACTCAAAATGGGTCTACCTTTCCAATGTGCTGCTCTTCGAGGCCGGCTCAGCCCTTTGTGGCGCTGCCCCTAACATGAATGCCCACATTGTCGGCCGCGTCATCTGCGGTATTGGTGGCTCGGGTCTTTACAGCGGCGTCTTCACGTTAATTGCTCAGACGACAACTATGGCCGAGCGCCCCCTCTACATCTCCTGGACAGGGCTGACCTGGGGCATCGGTATCGTCCTCGGCCCTGTCGTGGGCGGAGCCTTCAATCAGTCCTATCTGGGCTGGCGGTGGGCCTTCTACATCAATCTCTTTATCGGCGCCCTCTGTGCTCCAGTGTGGTTTCTCCTGCTACCTAGCAAGGACCCCCGGCCAGGCATTCCGACTCGGGTGAAGCTCCGCGAACTCGACTATGCAGGCATGGTCCTTCTGGTGGGCAGCCTCATCTGCCTCACTTTTGCCATCAACTTTGGCGGCGTGACCTACCCCTGGAACTCAGGGACCACCATCGGGCTGCTAGTCACCTTTGCCGTCCTCCTCGCGCTCCTCGCCATCCAGCAGATTCGCACTATCCTCGTCACCCTCCCGCGACGATTAGTCCCCGTCCAGCTCGCCCGCCAACCGATCATGCTGGTCCTCTTCATCTGTACCTCCGCGTCCTCTGCCGTCTTCATCCCAATCTTCTTCGTCCCTTTACTCTTCCAGCTGACCCGTGGCGACACCGGTCTCGACGCTGGCGTCCGCCTGCTCCCCTTGATCATCACCCTCGTCTTCGCCATTGCCGTCAACGGCGCCCTGATGGCCCGCTTCGGGTACTACATGCCGTGGTACCTCGGCGGGGGCATCCTCTGCGTCGTCGGCGGCGCGCTCATGTACACGAGCACCAGCAGCACGGGCATTGGCACCACCTCGGACAACACCACGACCACCCCTGCAGCCGCGATCTACGGATACACCGTGCTCATCGGGCTGGGCGTTGGGTCCTGGATCCAGGCGTCGTTCAGCGTCGCGCAGGCCAAAGCTGAGCCGGCGAACGTGCCCGCCGCGATCGGGCTCATGACGCTCGCGCAGTTCCTGGGCATCACGACGGGGATGGCGATTGCGAGCTCGGTGTTTCTGAATCTGGCGCAGCAGAAGGTGGTAGATATTCTGGGAGGAGGAGGAGGAGGAGGAGAAGGCGGCGTGTCGAGGCATGAGGTCGAGGTGGCGATCATGTTTGCAGGCAGTAGCAGCGGTGGCGGGCTAGCAGGCCAGACGGAGGAGGTGAGGAAGATGGTTGTCGGGGCTATTGTCCAGTCTATCGGGTCGACTTATGTGCTTGTCGTCACCGCTGGGGCGATGGTTGCGGTGTTGAGCTTGTTCATGAAGCGCGAGAGGTTGTTCATCTCGGCTACCGCGGGAGGTGGTTAGACTTTCCGATGAAGAGACGAACACATCCAAAAATTGAGGAGAAAGGCGAAACCATTCCTAGGGCTTGGTTTGAGTCATAAGGAGGAATGGGGTAGCGGAACATTACAGTCGAGGCTAGGATCACAGTTCGAGACGGTGAGGAAGACTTTCTTGTCTGACCTCCCAACGGCCCCATGATTCCCACGGCTGGTATTTCGATGATCTTTCCTGAAACGACAAGCCGCTGCACGATTTCCGATACCCGAAACCCTTCTCAACAAGATGTCGTGCCTTTTATGTTTCCTGTGACGCTGCCCAGCCCCGCCGGCAGTTACTGACTAAGTAGCAATATCCATACTAAGTAGCAATATGCGTACTAAGTAGTGTTACAAAGTTATAACAAGGCGATTGTCGGTGTTTCACCCGATACTGGTGTTCGTCTGGGCTCAGCTGCCTCGCTTCCACAATCTTTCTCTGCCGCACATCAACCACAATAATGATCGGTTCTTCAACAAGGGTCTCTGCCACTTCATAGCGATCATAATACTTCATGTTGCCCACGACATACACTTCGACCTCGAGCAAGATCTCGACGCTGCTGGCCATCGCGCGCAGCTCCCCGAGCTCCCGCTTCTCTGCATCCTCGCGAGTCTCGCCCGGCCTGACGACCAAGCCGTCCTCAAGGTCCGGGTCGTAAACTGCCAGATCATACTGGTCGTCCATGTCCCACTCATCTCCAGTCAAAGGGTCTTCAAATTCGATCGGTGCCGGAAATGCCACCGGGTCAACCAGCCTGCTCAACCAGCCGCCTTTGCCGTGGCGCGCGACTGTCGCAATGAGCGCGTCCGCTGAGCACTGCCGCAGCGCGAGCAAATACGCAGTCCGCTCTACTCCAGAAATGCCACGGTACCACGAGGCTGCTTTCTCGACCGCAGTGTATGTGTCCAAGGCCGGCCAAACAACTGGTGGCGCCAGGTCCGGATCTGATGCTGCGCTCTGAGCCGTGGCCAGCGGCCACAAGACGTGGACCTCATCCGCCTGGGCGATCACGAACTCCCGCAGGCGCGGAAAGCGGTGCAGCTTGACCGGTCGTGTCGGCAGCCCCCAAATCGCAAGCTCGCGATCGTAGTCAAAGCAGGCCATGTACCAGACGACCCTGCGGATGTGCTGCCGCTGCTGGGGGTCCGGCAGTCTGCCATGCTGGTAGGGCCCGGTGGCTTCGCGCGACAGGTGCAGCACCAGGTGCCGCCATATTGCGGGCCATGCCTCCTCGCGAAACTGTTTGCAGGCATATGTCGGGGCGAGGTTGATGGAGTGGTTGGTGACCACGTGGCCTCCTTCCCCGTCGAGGTAGCGTATCCACGGTGGGCTGACGGAGGAGTAGAAGATGTCCCATACTTGGGCGCGCAGCTCGGGCGGTAGGCGTAGGATCGGAGGAGTGTACGGGATGGCGACCGTCGGAGGCGCTGAGATCTGGGCCATGACTGATTGTTTCTCAAATCTGTTGCGGTAGTCGGAGAGAGAAATTGTGCTCGCTCTGGCTTATCGCAGCGTTGCTTTTCAAGGGGGCTCATGAGTCAGACATGGAAATCTCATGAGCTGCTATATTTAGTATTCCGCAGGGGATTTGGTCCCGTTGTCGTCGCCCCACCATCTGGATTCATGATATATTACAATAAAGATCGTGAGCAGGGACCTGGTCGCAGCTGTGTCTTTGCTAAGGTATCTCGAAGACCAAAGGTTGCGATTGTACCTCCTAGCCTACGTCCTCACCCAGTTCCCGCACAGCCCGTTGCTCACAGCCCACTTGCTGTTGATATTCACCGAGCCCTGGAACACCCCAAACACCGCCGCGGGCTGCTCGGGCGCGCACGTCCCGCCACGGATCCGGGCCGCCTTGCACTGGTTGTTTGTCCACGCCGTGCCGGCACAGGTGGCGTTTGCCTGCGTGATGCACGCCACGCAGCACTCGTATGGCGTCCGCGGCCCTTGCAGCGTAAAAGTACCGGCACTGCCCCAGTCGAGCTTGCTCACGTACCGCCCGTTGATGTCGGCGAGGATGTAAGCCGGCCCGCAGCCCGCATAGAAGGTGGGCGTTGGGTTGGGCACTGTGGTCGTCGAGGTTGTGGTTACTGTGGTTGTGGTGAGGGTAATTATAGTCGTGGTGGTGGTGAGGGTCGATGTGGACGAATAGCTGAGCGTGGTGCTCGCGGGCGTGTCGAGTGACGTGGTCTCTGTTGTGATTGTGCTTGTCGTGGTCGACACGAGAGTTTCCACGGCGAGGGTGGTCGAGGTGGTCGAGGTTATCGTCGTGGACACTACGACGGTGGAGATGCTGGTGGACGTGCACGGGATTGTTTCGTGGTACGTCATCGAGGTGTGTATGCCATTGTTGTTCCGCGCAGGAAGTACAAAGAGCTTCGGCACTCTCGTCAAAGCCTCGAAGTCTGCTGATCTCCGCCGTCCAGGGGCTGTGTCGGGATATTGTGACTTGATGGGGATGAGACCCGCCGGAGCTGGTGCTGTCACCATCGCTGACGTCGCCGTGGCTGTGATCGTTGACGTCGCTGTTGCAGTGCTCGTCGACGTGGTCGTGTCAGTCTCCGTGAGGAGGTCTGTCGAGGTCGTGCTGAATGTCAGCGTCTCGCGCGTGACGAGAGTAATCGTCGTGGTCTCAAACTCGGTCGTCGATGTCGTGATTGGGTCTGGCGTGATTGTCGACACGTAAACCACCGTGTATGTCTCGGTGACTGTCGTCAAGGCTGTGCATGTCGTCCCAGCTGGTGCGATAACGGTGCTGGAGCTTGTTGTCTCCGACGACAGACTGCTCGACGTTGTGCTGCCGGATGTTGCTATTGAGCTGTGTAGGCCGGTGCTTGAGCTGGCAATGCTTGACCCGCTGCTGGAATTCGACAGAGTCGAGCTGGTCGTCGCAGCAGGAGGGCTGCCGCACTTGTGGTGCTTCCTCGTCAGTAGGCCATGGTGGTTGTGGCCCGCCGGGCTGGCCGCGATGCGCGAGGCAGCGACCGCAAGCCAGAGAGCAGCAGATCCGGCCGCGATCTTCATTGCCAATGCCTCTGAAGTGCAGATGGACCTTCCCCGCTGTTGATCTGGCAGATCAGAAACACAAAACCGCAACAAGCAAACAAGCTTGAGGGTTTTCCTGCAGATACACGATTCCAGCGAGCCGATCATGCTGGCACGATATGCAATTTGCCCAGGGTGTGATGCATGTTCATCCTTCAATCTCATGAAACACGGATCGATCTCACGTTCCGAGGCAGGCCGGCCGTCTGATTCCTTGTTTCTGTAGTGTCCAAGACCGGGACCCCCTGCCAAGAGCAGTCGATGGTGGAGAGAAGCAGGGGTGATCATGCAGGTTTCCCGGATGGTTTGCTCCAACCGGACCAAGGCATCATGCCGACCCCGGTGCATTTAAAATGAGATGGCATTTGTTCCTCGCAGTCGTGGCAGAAGCGCGGTCGGCCGCCTCACAAAGTATTCCGAGTTGGGACTTGCCTCGTCGTAACTTTTGCCAGCCGTAGGGCCGTACACATGCCGTGCCAGGTTCCAGCTCCTGGGCCCAGCCGCCGGGACATCGAGGCCCCATTCCGGCTGCTCAGTAATTAAGAGTTGAGTGATTACGGACGACGGCTTAACTGCCACCATTATAGCTCACTGTTGCTGTCAGCCAATGGTAGCCTAATGTACAGAAGCACCCAGTCACTGTTCAAGCAAAATCAAGTCATATTAGACTTCTGCGTCACGAGACCCCATTCAAGACATGTTATGCGGGAAAGACTTCATTGTTCTAGGTCTAGTACAACACCAGCACAGACGAACCCCAAGGGCTATGCTAGAAAACGGAAATGGAAGTGAACAAACAATGGTATATAGCATCGCGCGTGATGTTTGGCGCCACGCTGGAAATTGCGCCGGGAAGCAAGGGATTGTATCTATACAGAAGCATGATCTAGATGTTGGATATGTCGAGGTCCTTGATCAATCGCCAGCCATCATGGCTGAATCAAACAAGCCTGAGCCTGCTTCTGCAGAGCAACAGGCATTATACAGGAGACTTGCCACCATACGCAGTAGCCTTGTGGAAGCCAGCCTGGTCCCACTGTGACGAGTTGCCTGACCGGGGACCCTCGGTGACCTGATACAGGGTGTGCACGACGACGGAGCCGTCCGTGGGCTGCTTGCCGCCGACCGAGGCGCCGACGACACCGGCTGAGTGCGTGCTGTTGATGGGACTCTTGTTGATGATGGACTCCTCGCTGCCCGTGTAGTCGTTGCCGTGCTTGGAGTGGCTGTGGACGCTGGGGGCGAGCTCATAAGGGCCGTGGGGAGCAGTCGAGCGCGTGCCACCTGCGCCAGTTGTGGTGACGCCCTTGGTGCCGCCGCCGCTGCTGAAGGGGATGCCGGTCCAGAAGGCTTTACTGAACAGCGGGCGCAGGATGGGGGCGTTGACGGCGATGATACCGACAATGGTCTCGCGGACACCCCAGCGGTTGATGTTGAGCGCACTGGGCGCCGAGCCGAGGGTAATGACGATGCGGATGATGGCGGCAGTGATGACGAAGACACCGGACGACAGCAGAATGCCGATGACGATCTTCTGGCGGTTTGGTACCTGCAGAGTCCACAACAGGGGCAAGGGGATCGAGAGAATCGCAGCGTCGGTGAGGACATTGAGGACGGTCATGACGATGAAGTTTTGGGGCTTCAGCGTGCACTTGGCTACAGGAGATGAGAGTGATGGTCAGTCACTGGACTCCGGTGGTCGTTGTGGAGGACGTCAGTGAGACTTACTGCCAGGATCGGGAGTCACTTGGAAGTTGCCGCCATACGGCCAGCAGCCAAAGGTGATCTGTTCATCCCTGTGTTAGTGCGTGACACGCAAGAGATAAAAGCGACGCTCCGCTGAGCACTCACAGTAAGCTCAACGGCCACATAAGTGACGATGCAAGCATAGCCGATCCAGACCACTGACTTGCGGTTGGCGACACCAGTGGTCATGCGCATGAAGAAGCACACCATCGTGCCCTTCAAGCACCACACCAGACTTGAGTATGAGTACCAGGCGAGGAGCTGTTGCTTGCTGCCCTCCTCAAGTTGGGCGAGCTCGGCGTCCGAGAGTGCTGTTCACAGAACATGGAAAGTCAGCTCCCCGATCCTCCAGCCTTGGCAACTGAGATCTATCTACTTACGCCTCTGAGACTCGAGGAACACACCCTCGACATTTGATCCGGCATGGTCTAAGTGGATTTTCTAGTTAGCGGAAGTCCTCTACTCCGTGCTGGAATCGATAATGATGACTTACAGACGATGTGCACAGTGGCCGCGTCGATCGTGTAGAAAACAGTAACAAGAAGAGCAAACAAGTCGTCCCACTTGAGGCCACGGATACCGACAGTCTTCAAACGAATGACGAACCGGAGGGCCAGAATAAGCATGCCAAAGATGTACAGCCCCCATACCTCTCTCAGGAACTAATGGACAGTCAGCACTTGTCCCTGACACAGCGCGTACATACAGCCAGGGCGATACATACGCTGTCATCGCGCTCGCTAAGCTCAATGTACCCCATGGCGACCCGAGTATCTGGTTAAGCTCCGATCTGATTGTGCAGCCTCGCTCTGCAGGGGTTTGGATTGGCCCGAGCCGTTGTCGTTCGAAAACTGTCGTTTGCCTGGGGAAAGCGGATACTCTGTCGAATAGAGCTGTTGGAGAAATCGAACGACAATCATTCGATTTTGCTCGCAGGCTCCGTGCTCGAGCGGAGATCCTGGATCTCTTATAACGCACGTCGATGGATCAGGAACCGCCATCCCGTCCCCTACCTGCACAACGCCTCCACAGACAAAGTATTTGCATCTGGCTGGGTCCTTGCCCCATACTGGGCGCTCCGGACTAGCGTCTTGCGCTTGTGTGGCGTCAGACACTTAGTAGTCTCGTGCGGACACGCTGTGCCTTTTCTAGTGTCACACACCACCGGGATTTCAGGAACCACATTGGTTAGAGTTCGACGATGGTCGAGGTGTGCATAGTGGCGGGTCGCAATGCCAGGGTCATGGGGCAGCAAGACAACCTGACAGCTCTACAAATCATGAGCCGTAGAGCAGCAAAGGCAGCTTCGATCCCCTGAGCCGTTGCTCGGGGTCCCTTGTATAGCGTCGGCCACCGGTTCCCAGCGCCGCGGCCGACTAAGTGGCCGCTAACTACCGCTGCGGCAAAGCCAAGACCTAGTCATGCATGGGGATGCCTGCCTGATCCGTACGGCTGGGCGGCCAGAGGGAGGAACCAAGAGGGCACAGACGAGTCAGATGTGCGTGCTTTGGTGAGGATGCTGCCCCGTCCGCCCGGTCCTCGTCTTCTGGGCGGTAACAGGCTAAACTTGCGACCAGTGATCGACAGTGAGCCGCTCGGTCCACGTGCACATCGTTGGCGATAGTCACAGCGCGAAAGATCGCTTGGTTGTCCCTAGTCTCGGAGACCAGATCTTCCCATCGAGGGTCTCGAACACTTAGGCCTATTGTCGGGGATCGGGACTTGAAAGAGCTTGGCGATGCACTTTTCCTGAGCAGGGCAGAAACCCGCCCGAAGACGCCGGCCCCCGGAGCTGATCATCTCTCAATATCGGTCGTGGTGCACGCGTGCTTGGTGTATCGCACGGATCGAGCTTGTACATTGTGCGGCCGCCGCCTAGCCCAGGATCACCCCTGCTTCCGCAATTGCTTTATCGAGATCCAATGCCACCCCAAACGATCACTGCAGATCCCTCGTCGCAGAGCAAGGGTAGCTCATGCATCTGCCCTGTCCCTTATCAAGGTTGTCGCAGAACACGCCTGGTGCTTTTCATGTGCGCTTCATAATCCCGTGATACGCACGCGAACAATGTCCATGCCCAGTAACAATCACAAAGAGCCATAGCGTTGGGGCCCCTGGCCAGACATAATCAGGGTTCGTGGTGTCTTGCTGTGCCCTACGGATGCACGACGACGCCATCAACCAAGGGATCTAGACCATGAACCTCCAAGCCACGCGTTTGAAGCGTGGTGAGCTGCATCAAAGCATGCACGGAAGGCTGTCTGAGCATGAGATCGGGAGGCACACTTCTCCTAGCTTCGGGCATCCAAGTGCGCCACGTCGTACGAGCCGCCGCAGAACTACTGCTAGACCATAGGCTCTATTCAAGGCTGTGCCACTGACTAAGGCGATAGTCTGACTGGGAGACTTGCTGAAAGCGGTTCGGGGAATAGGAAGTATGCTGCCCAAGTTTTTCTTTTCTTGCAGTCTAGAAGCCACACCACGTGTTAATGACAGCCGGGCTAGGACGCGTCAGTCGGCCGGATAGGTGTGCGTAATTTTCACATGATATCAGTCATCAGTCTGCTGTCCGTCGGCTTTTCCGAGTCTTGAAATGCAACCAATCCACAATCACGAAGTGGGCAGCACGCTGAAATAGTGCATGAATAGTTGGCAGCGACCAAGATTTGGTAATCCACGCCAGTCGGCTTGCATGGAAGCAGCCTGCCATACGGGAGAAAAATGAAACTCCGGACACTCAGGGACACCAAACGCCGCCCCCCGAGCCAAGTCGCCCTCTTTTTCCGTCGAGGCTGCAAGCCACGCCATTGAGGGCCACTCCCAGCGAGGACAGATCCTCGTGTGCCTAGCGGATTGCGCAACAATTGCAACGCGTAACGACCTCTAGTCTTGTCGGGAAAAGTGGTCGCGTCATCCAGGTCCAGGCGTGGGCCCGAGGGACAGGTCAGCCGGGGACGAGCAAGCCACAGCCTAGTCCGATCTGGCTACGACTTCGCCAACTGTCTGTGCAGACCACGCATGCCACGAGTAACTCGCCAGTGGTGACATCGGCGAGAACCTGGAAAGCAGCCATGCACCTCTGGCGCAGGACGGCCGAAACACAAGACTGCAGCCACACTCCTGACCACGGCCAGTGGCATCGTGAAGCACAGTCAGCTTTTACGTACTGGTGCCAGGTCTAGACAATCTCAGGGGCGCGCGAGACGAGTCCATCGCCTCCACTAAAGCTAGCAGAGCCTTCTGGCTCGCGCCCCCCACTCCCGGAGACGCATTGCCACGACCACGACTCAGTCAAGTGCGCCGAATCCACGCTAGAACCCCTCCGACCGATCGGCTCTGGTTGCAAATCCTGACAGCTGCCATCTCCCTCTGAGGTGCACTTTCTCAAGTGGGGACAGGACTTTTTTCTATGCTAAGGGGAAGGCGGCGGGCGCCCCCAAAAATCTGCCGACGGCCTCGACCGTCATACTGACGCACTTGGCCGGCTGTCAGAAAGGACCCCTGAAAGGAACTGGGTTTCATCGCCAGTCCCGCAATACCTCAGCGACCAAATTGTGCTTAAGCTTGCCTTGATTGGGGTTTTGCGTGCGGCCTTGGTGCGGACGTGTGGACCACGGCAACGACTCGTGGGGATGATCTGCAGCGCTTCAAGGAGAGAGCGGGACTACCTGAGGTTGGTGCCTAGCAGCCCGGTTCTTGGGATGCTCGTATGGTAGCAGTGGAATCTGAGGCCTTCATGGAGGGCGGCCTCTTGGGATGTTTCGACTGTAGCAGAGGCTCAACGAAATGAGGTGGTTTGGGAGTCGAGACTACTGGCGATGCTCTATCTTCAGCAGCCTCCCACGGTCATGCTCAAAGCCGTGAAGAGCAGCAGATTGGGAAGCCTCGAAAAGCTCGGCTATCAATGTAATCAGCAAAGTCTCTTAGGCCGGACTCTGTTCCGTCGGCTATGGGGCGGCAGCAGCCGATCTGTCCCCGGCGGTAGACTTGTCACCCAGGGCACGTGGTTTCCGTGAAAATGCATGCAGGTCGAGACGAGCCCGACGGCTACGAACCATCGCGAATAAGCAGAAGCCACAAAATGCCAACTACGTGGCGCTGGTCTAGCACGCGCTTTTAGCGCGGGGAACCGGCTCCGAAACCACACAGGAGCCGGCGGGAATCTGGTCCAACAGCTGATGGCGGATCAGTAAGCAGCGGGTTTGTCCGTGCACACGAGCATGGTCGATGAGCCGACGGGCTGGGCGAACGCCGAATCGGTCAATGATTCCAAATGTGCGAGCCTATCGCGCCCTGCGACCTAATCGTTCTACCATCGGCAACCTGGATCCCGCCACTACTTGGATAGTGCAATCGAGGGAGGGGAAGCATTCCGCACAGATCCCCGGGGCCGGAACTCATCTCCGCGCCCCAGGCGGAGGTGGAGACGGCGGAGATGAGGCAGATCGACGGACGAAAAGCGGACTTTTGCCAAAACAGGATGATATGTACATGCGTGTGTTGGCTTACGAGAAGCACCCTCGGACAGAATCCGTGGAGATCAGGCCGGCCAAACCCCAGAAAGGTATGAGTTCTGTATTATCCACACTCTCGTCAGTTGCGATACCATGGTGCTGGACAAGGGGCAGCTGATGGTGACCCGCCATCTGATCTTTTCGAATAGCCCCTTGAACCCTGCCGAGGCTGTCAGTGTCAAATGTGGTGCAGTGCGCCAGTCCAGGTGACGGAACCACATTCAGAGCATGGACCAGCCGTTCATGCAGGTGGAACCACGACTGTCCAAGAGCCAGACGTGGATCTGACAAGCGTAGAAGGGTTAGGAAGGGGTCCACGGATCAGCCATCTCTCCAACCTGATTCGCGGGTGTATGAGATCTTCAGTTGAGACTTCAATGTAACCGGGGTCGAGAGGCAAGGAATGGAGTTCTGACGCCCGAGATCCACGTATGAGGCATATGGTTGGTACTTAGCCACCTCTCTATCTCTTGATTATCTGTCCCGATGAGCCGCTGAGATAGACGTCAGGTCCTGCAAAAGCCTGTCAGCACCTTGCAACAGGACACGCTCGCTTACTTGCCACGGCCATTTTGTCGAAACCCTCACATCAGCTTTAGGGGGCTGATGGGCATTACACAACAGCTAGGCGCTGTGGCAAGCACAGCATTTGTAAGCTGACTTGACTTCTACCTGCAGAGGATCGAATATAGGCCTTGAAATCGGCCGCGTTGCCCATAGTTGCATGATCCCTGAGCCCGCAGCTTCCCTTCTGAGGTCGTGTGCTCGCACATCAATCTCTCTTGAGACCTACTAGTCGGCTGTTTCTGCCACCGGTATCTCCGATGTCCCAAATGAGCCGGAATTGCCGTTCTCTGATTGTTACTGGAATGTCATAAATTCCAGGGGCTAAGATTCTGTCTTCCGCTACATATGGAAAGGTAAAGCTGGCGGCTGGGAAATGAAGTTAAAGGCTGACGGTCCTAGAGAGTAATTCAACGTTGACGTGACCTGACTGAGGGCACATACTCATCTACTATTTCTCTCAGGACACATGGTAGACACTGTTCTGATACATTATTTCGTCGATAAGTCTCTAGCAAGGAAGCACCGGGGCGACTGTCTCACGCTCTCTCTCTCACACCATCCCATGCTCTCTATTTTGGAGGTCAAGAAGAGCCAGCCTCGCCGCCAGGCTGCTGTCCACTACCGAACTGCTGTCCCTTACCACGCCGTCTACGTCTTCGGCCTCACCGATCTCCATACGTCGTTGTCGGCGCCTCCACCGCCGCCGCCGCTGCTGTTCCTCGATCCGATCGCCAAATTCGTCTTGCCATGCCTGGCCCAACGCAAGCCTCCACGGCTTGTCCGGCTTGTACAAGTTCTTGTCACCTATGATGGCAGCCGCCCGCTCGTAGCCCATCTTGGCGAGCACGACCCTTATGCAGGCATAGCACTGGCAGTGAGCGGCACAATACAGCACCCTATGCCACTCTTGGTCCGGGGACGGAGCTATTGGATTGTTCGTCGCGAGGTCGATGCTCCTATCGAGCAGCAACTGAACCGTCTGAGCACACCCGGCTCCGTGAGGGTGCCCATACCCTTCTTTTCGGCGGAGTATAGCGTGGCGACCGTGGAACAGAAGACACTCGAGCGGCGTCATAAGCCTAACGCCCGTGGTCCTGCAGTCGACGAGGTCGCTCACGGTCCCCGAGCTGTGTCGGCGGCCGGCATGCTCAAGTATGAGCCCAACCATGGTGACCAACGTCTTGTCCGGTCCTCGCATGGCGATGTGCAGCGCCGTCCAGCCTGCGTAGCCATACGGGGCGACTGCCCTGGCTGCCGGGTCCGGGCCATGCTCGAGGAGATATCGCACAATATCGACTTGGCCGTTCCATAAGGCGGTGTGGAGCGCTCTAAGCATCCACGGCGTCGTAGTGTCCGGTTCTCGTACCCTCTGGTCTGTCCCGGAAGCCGACATCGCCCCGGACTCGACGATAAACCGCACTTTTACGAGATTGCCTGCTGCGGCAGGCGCTACTGCGAGAGGCCACTCATACAAGTTCGCGCCGTGTGCAACAAGCGTCTTTATTAACGCTTCGAAGAGGTCTTGATCAGCGCGATGGAGCTCACGGACGAGGTCGTTGGAGAACCACCCGAGCCAGTGCCTCGTGCGGGCCTCGGCCTCGGCGAGGAGCCCCTCCGTCTCAGAGCCGTTCTCGAGGAGGAGCTCCACGACATCGACGTGCCGCCCACGCAAGGCGAGATATAGCGGCGTGTCGCACGAGCCGACCTCGCCGGATCCCGTGCTACCAACACTGCACGCTTCGAGGCCGCCGGGCGCTGCGAGCAGCATGGCCACCGTATCCCGCTGACCCAGCATCGCCGCTATGTGCAGCACCGGCGGGGCGATGGTGACCCTGGCACCGCGCGCCAGCAGCAGCCGGACGACTTGCGGGCTGTCGTATGCCACCGCGAAGCCTAGCGGTGTGTACTTCAGCAACACGCCGCGGTGGTAGTCGCAGCGAGCGTGCTTCGCGTCACCCCTCCGTGGTGCCATGCGGAGGCCGTGGCGTTGCCGGGCCACATCCAACCTCTTGTCGGTGTAGGTAAATGACGTCTCGATGTCCGCGCCGCCGTCATCCAGCGCTCTCTCGACGGTGGCTGCGTTGCCGGTCATGGCGCCATACGCTAGAGCATACCCGCCGTCGTGCTGGATGCTGAGGCGGTACAGGCAAGAGTTCAGGATCTGGTACAGCGCACTGTGAGTTCGGCAGAGCGCATTCATGTCTCGAGAGTGCCGTCCGAGCTGGCTGGCGATGGAGAGAATCAGCTCGGACGGCAGCTCGAGGAGTCTTGATACTTTCGGGGTTGTTGTTGTCGCCATCATGTCGCGTATGTTCCGATGAGCAGGGAACAACTGGAGGAAAACAAACACGGAATCATGGTACTCTCGTTCAATATCACCACCTCAGCCAGGTATTTATTTGAATGTATGGTCAGAGATAAAGGGGTACAAAGTTAGGATTCATATCGACGTGACAACCAACCAACACGGATGACTCATCATGCCGAGTTCTCAGAACCAACATTATCCACTCATGCTCGGAAGCGCCCCTGTCGTGACCCCTGGCAACCCCCGACTCAGCATGTCTATAGATTAAATTCAGTGCTCCGCGCGTCGGTGTCTGACATCCGCTTTGAGGAATCAGTCCGGCGTGAACCAACAACTTCACCAACATGAGTCTCGAACTATCAAATGATGGTTTCACAACTGAAGCCCAAATTTTGCCAAACATGGGTTCCGTCACGTTGGGACATGACTGTTTTGATGGGCTGGCAGCTACGAACTGAAGATGATCTTGAACTTGGCTGGTGTATGGAAAACGGAATTCCAGTGTGGGCGTTGTCTTCACTATTTCCCATGCATTTCTTCCTTTTTTTTTTCCTTTTTTTTCTTTTTTTTTTTTCTTTCTTGTTCTTTCAATTTTTCTCTCTCGTCTTTGTCCTCACACGGTCACGGACCAACCCGCAATGAAAATCACCAAGACCGAAATTAATAGCTGCATACTCCGCAATAATCGACGTGGACATTAAAAGGGTGTCCTGCTTCAGCCTGGGGACAACAAGATGTTGATATTCAGTACTTAGGAGCCAGCAAACCTGTGGGGTACTGCGGTGAGGGGGATGGACAGTATGTCTTGTGCGACACGGGCTAACTGCGCACCTTCAGTTTCATGGCAGGATCAACTGTAGAGAAATTAACCAAGTTCTTGACGGTCTGAAAATAACCTAACATAAGCTTCAGGACATGAGGTGTACGACCAAGAGTCCCGACGGGGTTGAGGGCTGAGACCCGGGCGAGTCAGGAACATCCTTGCCGGGTAGGTCATGGGAGCATCCACCTTGACATTCATTACATTCAGCTAGTCGAATGAGTTCTCCGTGCGAAGTGGAGATCCACAGTTGGAGGTCCTTCCAGCTCGCACACACGTCCCCCAAAGCTGGGCTTCTAGAAGAAGACATGGTGCAGCAGCGGCAGACACAGATGCTGCACGGGGACAAGCCGGATGGCTGATGCAGCTGTTGTTGTGCAGGAGCAGCTCGTGGACTTGGGACGATGGTGGCATGATGCGGGGAAAATTGCAAAGCCGCTGGTAGGCCTGGGCACAGGTCTGGGCTGAGAGGGGTCTACCGGAACAGTGTTTATCCCGGGCCGTGTTTCTTTTCCCCGCGCGGCCGAGGACGGCAGCCGTGCCCAGCGATGAGGGGAAAGGCAGCCCCTGTGAGGGCCGGGAAGTACTGACGGCGGCACCTCGACTCCACAGGAGCCCTGGCAGCAGACAGCCTGGCCAGTCAGGGCCTGTGGCTCTGAACTTTGACGACTTCCCCAGGTTTCGCCCCCTCACGCGGTGCCGCAGCGGCACTACATTTCTCCCGCCCAGGCCCAATGTTTGGCCCAATCGCTACCAGCCCTTTGGTCAAACTCCCGGCCCAGCACGGATGGCGGGGTCCCCCACGGTTCGGTAGCTAGCTTGCTCTGCTCTGGTCGCTGGAATACTTGAAGGGAGCTGATTCCACTCCTCTGGGCCGCTCGAGTCGACCTCTCTCCTGTCCTTCTTCTTGCTCGTCTTCTCCTTGTCCTGTGATACCCCCCCTAAAACCTCTGGCTTGACATTGCCAGCCACGCCTTGCTCCAACACAATACGTCCCACCATTATCACTTAGCTTGCTCCTCCCCTCCAACCACACCCTCACAATGGCTACCAACGGCACACCCTCTGCGGCGAACGGCGGCTCCGCGAAGCCCAAGTTCGACCCCAACTTTACCGACCACGTCATTGGCCTCATGCAGCCCGAGACCAAGCCCCGCCACCGCGAGATCTTTGCCTCCCTCATCCGCCACATGCACGACTTCTGCCGCGAGGTCGAGCTCACCCAGGACGAGTGGATCATTGGCGTCAACTACGTCAACTCGATCGGCCAGGCCTACAAGAAGAACCGCAACGAGGCGTGGCGTGTCTGCGACATTCTCGGCATCGAGTCGTGAGTAGCCTCATTCACAAGTCTCTCTACATGCTATTCCCAAGTTCAGGCTGCTAACTTCTAGTGACTACAACACAGCCTCGTCGACGAGATCAACCACAAGATTGTCACCGACAAGGGCCTCGAGCCCACCTCGTCGGCCATCCTGGGCCCCTTCTGGTCGCCCGAGACGCCCTTCCGCGAGAACGGCGACAGCGTCGTGCTCAACATGCCCAAGGACGGCCAGTACACGCTGTTCCACGGCGTCATCAAGGACGTCGAGACGGGCAAGGGCATCCCCGGCGCCGTCTTTGACATGTGGCAGGCCAGCACCAACGGCAAGTACGACGTCTTCGACCCGGAGAACCAGGAGCGCCACAACCTGCGCGGCAAGTTCCGCACCGACTCCGAGGGCCGCTTCTGGTTCTACTGCCTCAAGCCCACCGAGTACGCCATCGACACCTCGGGCCCCTCGGCCGACATCCTCAAGCTCATGGGCCGCCACCCTTACCGCCCGGGCCACATCCACATGATGGTCACCCACGACGACTACATTGGCGTCACCGCCCAGCTCTACTCGCGCGACGACCAGTACCTCGAGACCGACACCGTCTCGGCCGTCAAGGACGACCTCCTCCTCGACTTCATCCCCGTCACCGGCGAGAAGAACGGCGCCGTCCTCGACTGCGAGTACGACGTCAAGCTCCTCCACCGCAGGTACAAGCCCGACGCCAAGATGCTGACGACCAACGCCAACGGCGACAAGACCGTCGACGAGGCCCTCGAGAAACCCGCCGATGCGTAGAGTGCAGTTGTCCAGCCACATGATGTGTGTGTGTGCGCGCGTCTTGTGTAGTTGAGGATTGAGGAGGGCATTTCTTTGGAATTCATCATCATGAGGGTTGTATCGGCGCATGGTCCATTTTTTCTGTTTGGATATCTTTATTCAACATTGACCAATTATCTCGAAAAAAGACTGGGAGCAGACGTGTTTCCTCGCGTGTATATAGCGGTTGCATACTGTTTTTTATTTCACGGTCGTACGGCCAATGTCACAAATATCCTTCAATGCAATGCATGATACATGAATCTCAAACATCCGACAGTGCAACCGCAATCTGGACATTAGATAGAATCTCGCTTAGGTGGACTCAAAGCCTGCTACGTACGATGGATTGTGGGAATACTGTGCAGCGGCGCTGTTGGTCGGTCCCCGGCCCGGATGATCAAGTACTTTGGCCGACCGGCAGGATGTCGCTGGCTTTTAAGACATATACACGCGAGCAGAACGGTTGCGACCCTGACAGCAGCCTTGTAACGAAATCATTGCCAGGAGACGGCGTCACCGTCACCCTCTGCCTCTTGATAACAGGGCGGTCCTCCCCACAGCATCGGATGAGACATCGTATGTCGGCGCTCCCTTCAGCGCTCCTGCCCCTTTCATACACGGACGGCCGTACGTCGCTATGCCCGCCGAGTTCGCCGTACCTGATCCACTCGCCGTCCTGACCACAGACCTCTCTATGCGTCCATACCCACCGGGTCTCTAACTCATTGAGATCAAAGCTGAAGGCCACAATCGACGAGACTTTGGGCTCAGTCAGAGGCCGAGAGGCGAGCTCGTGCCACGTGCCACCACCACCACCACCACCACCACCACCATGGCGGGTGTGAAGAACGGCTCGAGATCCTCGTCGACATACGTCATGCGGGCGACGGAGATGCACGTCGGGAATTCGTCACGGAGGGGCGAGATTAGGCGGGACACGGAGTCGGCAAAGCGGAGGACGGAGTTACGGGCTCGGCCCTCCTCGAGCGCTTCCCATGAGAGATATGGGGGTTGCTTTCGTGGACATGCCATCGGTCATAGTATACGGCCTGGTCCCCTAGTCGTCTCGTTGAATTGTACTCGTGAGGGGCTGGATCAGCCGGGACTACCTCCGAATGCCCCAGCAACAGCAACAAGGAAGCTTTCCCGCGCTCGGTTCGGCATCGCGCGTTGCGCATCCCGTGCGTACGTGCCGGGCAATCTGCACCGAACTCGGGGGTTGGGGTGGGCTCCACCCCTGCCGAGCTACGTGGAACAGGACCCGACCCGTGGATCCCCTCGCTGGGCAGGGGGGTTCATGCAGCGGGGTATATTTGTCCCGCTCCAGCTTGCCCGTTGAAGCCTGTGTCGAGATGTCGAGGGCTGTTTTAGGTTTATGTGATTGCGCGGACAGCGAGCCCCTTGCTGCGATCTGGCAACAGATCGCAGAAGATTTGGGATTGAACTTGCAGAGCTCGGGCAGGCTCAGATGGTCATGGCCAATGCATTGCTGGTGGTGTCGTGGGCGAGGGAGGTGCGTATCCTTGCCATTGGCCAGACACTGTACACGGACATGGTAGACATGTCAGGAGTTTGGCAAACGGTGATCAAAACTTGTCATGGTGCAACATGCCAAAGTTATGTGACGGCTCCAGGGCCATTGGCTGTCTAATAATACATATTGACGTGTCGCAGGTCACAGAGATCAGTTCTGCGTGCTGAACATTGGTTGCTCTGACCGTTGCGCGAAATCAATGAATCTGTGCATGCCCTGATCATACTCACTCCCTGTCTACATCCAGCTCAAAATTCTCGGACACCGAGCTCAATCGATGATCTCGATATCCTCGGTGAAACCCACCGGTCCTGAACCTCTAGATCATGGGGTCGTCAAGAACCTTGGAGGGAGATACCCGCCCACCAAGAGTCGCTGATTATCCATATACTCGAGCTCCGTAGCACTCGCGAGATATCGATACTGGTCGAACGTGTCACAAAGTGGCCTGCCGCCCGCGGTCGACCAAACGAAGCCCTTGGGTCCACTGGCCGCCTCTTCTGACACCGGGCATCCATAATCTAGCCCCGTCTGAGGCATGGTGCTGTCTCTCGCAGCCTTTCTGAAAACCCCCCGGAGCCGGGAGTTGAGAAAGTCTGCGCTGCCTTCGAACCACTGGGACGACCAGAACCAGGAGTGAGCTGCCGTATGCTTGACGACGGAAAGGTTGTAAGCCGCACACTGTGCTCGCTCAGCATTGGTCGAGCATCGGTGGGTGATGGGCTCGGATGTGGAGAAGGTCGGATGCCCACGCTCGAGGTCGTCCAACATGCTGAGTAGTGGCTGCTGCATCGCAGATATCAAAGCCTTGCTCTCGTTGGAGATGATATCTAGACACAAGTGGACTTTCGGTTAGTATGCCCCTGATACTTGGTTTTCGTGGGAGAATCAGTGGTACCTGACAGGTTGGGCACGAACGTCTCGCAGAGAGCCATGGGCTTGTGCAGGTCAGTATCGAACCAGCTAAAGTGCTTGACCATAGCAGTTATGCTGGCCTGATAGAGCTTGGCGTTTCCTAGAAGGTAGGCAATACAGCTAATCTGCGCAGACGACGAGCTCAAAGATGCGGCGGATGTCGCCTGATTTGCTGGTGTTGATTGGCCCGTAGAACTTGAAGTCGCCATGCATGGCGCTGAGCAGCTGCTCTATGGTGCCAGCGTCATCGACAGGAAGCTCGGCGGTCCAGTTGCTTGTAGCTGCACTCGCTTCCGGCCGTGACTCGAGCCAGCCGCCGTAAAGCATCGTTTCGAAGACTGGTGACGAACGAGCAAGCGCCCTGGAGCAGACGAGGAAGGAACATGGCGTACTGGTTTTGGATTTTGCCTCCATGCCGACTCGCAGGCAGAGGTCGCCGCGCTTATCGAGGATGTGAAGCGGCATGTCTGTGACACTGAGAGCGGCGATCTTATGGAGCTCAGCCATGGCGCTGGTTGATGGTGTCAAGGCATGCGACGATGGAAGAAGGTGTGTGGTTGAGGCTGGGAGAGGGAGAGGGAGTGGAGGAGGAGTCGGGTTTGGCAGATGGGTGAGGTGTGGTACTTCTTGAGCCTTTGTTGTGATGATGTTGATCTGAGAGCGCAGTGAAGTAGCTGGATGTCTGCCCCAGGCACACCTAGACCTCCGTAGACAACAACGCCTGCCGTGCCTCAGGCACCTTGTCCAGAGCAACTATTGATTCGCGGGCAGCGAATGGCCCTGGACTTCCCACCAGCTGGCCTGCCTGGTCACGCTGTAAGGCAAGGACGGGCAAATTCCCAGTGAGGCATCAATGTCAGATCTCTCATACGCTACAGCCAAAGCGGCTGTGAAAAGTACCATCGGGACATGGACTTCAGAAGACGAGGTTCCTGGGCTGGCCCCCTCTACGTACAGGATTCCTCTTCTCACGGACATAGAGCAGAACAGAGGATTGTCCGTAGCACATTCTACGAAGTTTCCATGGAGTGAAATAGTGTCTGCACAAATACACATCTGCTGCTTCTTCAACCAGTCTTCCTCTTTTCTCGAAATAACCTTGGGCCAAAGATGAGCCATAAGACACCATGACGAAGCTTCAACCAATAACTCGAACATGTATTAGTTGCTCCCATCGTAATCCCGCCTCCAGCGCCGATGCTGGCTGGAGGGACCTTCTTGCTCTTGCTTTGCTGGTAGGTACGCTTCTTTGCAACATATGCTCCATAAACGGGGCGTCGATATATGCCAGCAGGAACAACACGACAATGTTGTCACAATTTGTACGACCACCGGGTGTTGAGCAGTCGTCTCTGGCGCGCCATGAAACGGAGCTCGCCTGTGCTCAAAGTGCACTCAAAGCGATCATACTCCTCTTCAAAGGCGAATCCATCACTATTTGTCCATGGGCATGAGCCGCACTCTGATTCTTGTACCGGGCAGTGGAACTCAAACTCTCCAGCTGGTCCCGAGTCGCTCGGGCGGCCATCGCGGAAAACATCCTTGAGACTCGCCGCAATGACACCGGGCAAGCGGTGCGCATCTGCAGGGCTTGGCAAGGGCCAGAGGTTATAGTGCTGCAGCCAGTGAAGCATGACGGCGTGGTTGCGCGATGCGCATTCTGCCTCCTCGTCCTCGGTGTTGCATTCGTGCGTCATGACATGGGCAGTCGGAAATTCCGGGTCGCCGTTCTCGAGTTCAAAGACCATGTCTTGTGCAGGCTCAAGCACCGCGGTAAGCAGCGCTCTGCGATGGCTCTTGATGATATCTGATCTGAAGGGTCAGCGCGTCCTAGTTTCGGGTCGTTCTAGATGCCTTACCCTTGAGATCAGGAATGAACGCTTCACAGCGTGCAAAATACAGCGTCGCTTTGCGACTGTAAAGGGGGTAGCAGTCCGCCATGTAAAGCATAACTCTAGAGTAAACTTCGGTGCTGCCGAGCATGTAGGTGATGGCAGCCATCATGGGGTAGATCTCGGCATCACGGTCGTTTAAACTGCACAATCGATGAATTGAGCCCCAGCTTCGGCTTTTGACCATACCACTACAAGCGGCAATCCACGAGGCTGACCAAGGACCCAACACTGCGAGGCAGACATACTTGTCGGCATGCTCGATAGTAAGATAGATGATCTCGACCTGCGACGGCTGTCTCATATCGATGAAGCCTGCACAGCCGAAGTCGCCGTGCATCGCCCGGAGTAGACATTCCATAATTTCGGGCTTGTCCTCTGGGAGGCGGATAATCCATTCTTTGTTGGGGCATTCTGTCGGAGGCTTTGACTCGGCCCACCCACCAAAAAGCATCGTCTTGAATACTGGTGACGATCGGGCAACGGTCCGGGAGCAGACGCGAAACGCCCAGGGTGGGCTCGGGTTCTCTTCAGTCTGCAGCCCCTCGCCAACGAGAAACCAAAGATCGCCGAGCTCGTCGAGTACGTGAACTGGTCCAGTGTGGTCGCTGAGGCCGCCGGAACCTGCGCTCGTAGCTTGCTGAGGTGTGTCGGCCATGTTCGTCGCTGAATCGTAACGAAGGCTGCAGCTGAGGCTCAGAGTTTGCTTGAGAGATGGCGAACGAGATGGCAAACGAGGTGGCGAGGGTGGTTTTGGCGATTGTTGTGTTTGTGATGGTGTGGTGAAGTGCCTAGCCGCGTTGCGTAAGGGACGAAGTGCGAGCACGGCACGCCAGGTTTGGCTGCCTGACGTGCTTTTCGCTGTGGCAATCAGTTTTCCATGGGTTGCTGCAGTAATAATGTCTGACGCTCTGAACCGCCTGCCTGCCTGGTAATAACGAGCACAATTCCTGAGGCACGCCTCGGATCGCGCCAGCTTATATTCTGCTTTCAATCCAACCTCGTGTGCTGGCCTTCTTCCCATTGTGCTCTGCACCTTGAGCTGTCGCAAAACTCCCCAAGAGCCACCGACGCAAACAACTTTCAGCTCAGGCCAGCTACGATGGCCATCGAAACTCACTCCATCGACAACCATGGCGACCTCTGGCTCATCGTCGGCGAACAAGTCGAACGGGATGAAGATCCGGCCTGCAAGCTGCGCGTCTGCTCCCGCACAATCGCTCGAGCCTCGCCCGTCTTCCATGCCATGCTCTACGGCAACTGGCGCGAGTCAGCCAAGCCCAACGATGGCAGCGACTGGATCGTGAACCTCCCTTTCGACAGTGGCACCTCCATGCGAGATCTTCTGGGCGTCATCCACGGTGACTCAAAGGCCTTCGCCACCATCGGAGCTCAAGACTCCAAGGACTTTAGCCGCATGTGGGGTGTCCTCACGGCCGCCGATAAGTACAGCTGCCTTGGGGTTCTGGGTCTCTGGGCGCCATCATGGATCAATGCCTGCAGCCAACACGTTCCCCAGGAGGACCCCAACTGGGACAGGACCAAGGAAGAGCTCAATGCAGAGTTATACCCAATGCTGGCAGCAATTCTTTACATGCTGGGCAGTTCCGACGGCTACAAGAAGACTGTGAACTTAATGGTGCGTCGCTTCAAGGCGTGCCATGCAAGGAATTCCTCCTACTTCTCCCCATTCGAGGTATACCTCGAGGGCCTCGGCGGTAAGTAACAAAGCTCTCCTTAAGGATTCTCCACCATGAACACGGTGTGCTCTGAGAGCTGACCTTTGAGACGATAGAAAGGATCCATGCCGACCAGCTGGCCTTGAAGAAAGTCTACCTTAAGACCACCAATGATATCATGAGGTCACTTTGGGCAGGTAACCCAGCAGCCCCAAGCCTTGTGCCGCGACCGCACCTCTGCAACACCCCGGAGGAGAGGTCCCGTTGCGCGAGACAGTGCTTTGACAACCTCGTCATCGCTCTCCAAAACAGGAAACTGTGGCCGTTGCCGAAGCCAGAATCCATCAAGGAGAGCCCTGAGGAGCTGCGATGGGCGATCAGGAAAGCCCACTGGGGTCGCCAACGGTGCGTGGTGGCTGATGCACCCGACCAGTGGGGACATCCCAAGTGGGAGACCATAGAGGCTTTCTACGTGGATGGGAGGTCTTATGCATACAAACTGACGCCAGAGGAGAAGAAGGCTTTGGAGAAGAACAAGTCGATCATCGACGCAGGCTGTGTGTACACCAAGTGACATTTCACGTAATGTCAGAATGAGCGGATTTCACATTTCATCTCATGGTCGTTCATTCCTAACCATCAGGGCAACAAATCCCGCTTGCCTCGGAGAGCCTAGCGGTGCCTGAAGGAAATCTCGATTGCATAGATCACCTGCAAAAGCACGAAGTGTCCTCGCTTCGGCACTCAGGCCAGAGCCGTCCAGCATTTAGAGTAGACTAGTATTCATATTCGATCATTCAGCGATATCACCCTCGTCTCTCTTCCCGTTGCCGTAAATGACGCAGCACTTGACGCCGCTTGGACCAGGGCACCGACCACTAGCAAAGTCGAATTGAATCTTCGGGTTAGCCAAGATTACACACCAGGACGGGGTTCCAGAGTCCAGCGGGTAGCGTGCAGAGGGCACTGGGGTGGCAAAAATAGAGCTTCAATTACCTGACAAACTGTCCCAGATTTTGAGAACAGTGCCGCTGCTCTGTGTTGGAGCAGTATGCAAGCTGCAAGGGGGCGCCGTCGCCACAGAGCTTGGACAGGCAGCACTTAATGTCAATGGAGTCTGCTCACCAGGTGAACGTCAGCATCTTGTGTTCAAGTCCAGGCAGGAATGGGGTGAGCTGTGCACGTTTTTCTAGGAGAGAGGATGGCAAAGGGGAGCGCACCATTCGGGCACAGGCTGTCCACGTAGAACTTGTTGTTTGCCGCGCAGTTCGCACGCCGCTGGCAGGATCCGCGGATGCCCTGGGAAGTCGATCAGCAGTCTTGTTTGCCTAATTACCTGAAAAGGCATAACGGCTGAGCCAGGACGAAGATTACTCACATTGAAGGTACACACGTCACCAATAGCGGCGCTAGCAATGCCGAAACCGCCAGCCAGGGAGGCGACGACGGTTGTGAGTTTCATAATGTCGGTAGTGTCAAGCGACGCACAACGTGACTGATGTTGTGTTGAAAACGTGATTATGAGATACGTACACTGTAAGGTCACAAGTGTCAACGAAAACGCCTGGAGAGCCAAGACTTGCTTTATACAGCAACGTCTTTAAGCTCGACGAGCTTATCACAGTCTTCAAAGCTGCCATTGACAGATCGATCTAGACGTTATTCATCCCGGGACATACAGGAAACCGGGGGCCAGCGTACAGAAACAAAAAGACCAGGGCCTCGTAAGGAGAGCGCCGGCTCTTCATCTATCCCGGTGAACCTCGAAGGATAAAATCTGATTGGCAGGCTGTACATCAGCGCTTCTGTAATAGGCTTGCCCATGCGGGCATGTACGTGCGGCTGAGCCCGTCGTGTCCACTCTAATATTGAAAACTTCCCCGCAGCCCTGGGTGTCGTGCAGCTTCGACCGGATGCGACTCCTTGGGAAGCGGGCGCTCCGGCCTGAAGGGGATACACGAGTGATGTGACCTTCCCCATCTGGTGTAGCTGGATGTGCAGTCTCTCCGACCAGGCTGAACCTCAGCTGCAGCTCGCTGCTTGCAATATTGGCTCGAGTCGCACAGTCAAGGACTGGTCGACTGCTTTGGAGGGGGTCAAGTTGGAATTGCCGTTGGAGCATGTCTTGCCATCATCGACAAAGTCACTAATGTGAGCCGCAGAACGTGTCACGTTCTCATCGTTCTTCGTAGTCGAAGTGGGGTTCCAGATGCGTTGGATACATCGTTGTGTGATCTTCGTAAATGCCTTCGCTCCAGTCTACGGTCCAGTCTGTACTCAAGCCTGGTAAATCAATCACCGAAGGTGACATATAACTGAAATCATACGGAAGATCAGGTTGCAGATCATACACGGGAAGCTACATTGTTATAATGTGGTTAATAGAATTTGAGAATAGCAGGACTGGCGCTGCGAACTCATTTGCTTACTAGTGATGATGGATTGGTCACTTGTCCACTTGGGGAAAGCGCTTCGACGCGAACGGGCCGCGACTGATACTCGGCACTCAGCATATCTGGTAAAACCTCTGCTCCAACGTTGGTGTTTCGTCAATGCCACGGTCAAGAAGGATATTTGCGCGAGAAGCAGACTTAACACTATACGCTGATCTTTCTCCAGATAACATACGCACGGAAATTGCAGACGAGAGTGAGGGGGGTTTCCTCGAAGGAATTACAAGCCGGGGCAATTCACGGTCAGGAAAGAGACTTGCGCGAGGGTCAGGCCAATCTCGCCCCTTTGACTTTTCTCCTGTTACCTCGTCATTAACAGGAGTAGCATCTGGAGAGAGGTTTTTCGGAGTAGGATCACGCCGTTGAGGCTGCATCATCCGCCTGCATCGCGGCATGACTTGATGATGCTTGTTCATATGTCTGGTCAATGCCTTCCGTGAAGTAAATACCAGGTACTGACAGCCTGAAACCTCACACTTCAGGCGGACATCGTGTGAGGCCTCATGTTCCCGACACTTTTCCAGCGAATCAAAGCCTCGGGAAGCATATGGGCATAATGGCGAGCGGCACGTGAATGCTGTCGTGCGAAATTGTGCTTTGAATGATTCGAAATGCTCGGAGGAGACACCAGGGAAGTATTGCTCGACAAGCAGCTTGCGAATCGTTGTCTTGTAGGAGTCGAGGGTCGACTCGATTCCACCTGTAGGTGGAGGTGCATGAGACTGAAGAATGACTTCGCTAGAATCTACGAAACATGAGCGTCAATTCAAGGCGTAGTTCGTGTCAATGTAGATAGCTTGCATGTTGTGCCACCAAACGAGGGATCTGTGCGGTCGAAGGACCTCCTTGTCTCTTCATGGGAGATATGAGCGTGGACATTTGGCCAGCGGGACAGAACCTGGCGGGCCAAATCAGGTTCGAGTTGGATTTCGGCGGAAGTCCCGGGCAAAAGAAACTTGGCGAGCTGTCCTTCTAGGATCTCCACTAGGTTAAACAAACTCGGGTCATGTTTCGCCGGTTCAACCTGGAGCAAGTACTCTTGCAGATAGTCCGCCCAGTATTCAGTGGCATAGATGAGAAATCCGTGAAGACCCTTAATTACCGATAGAGATTTCTCGTAGCTCTCTGTGCCAGGAAGGGACATGATGCTGTGTATCAAACACGACGAAACTACCTGTGTGTGTTCGAGGGCGGCCTCGGTGGAACTGATTCGCAACGTGCTAGAGGAAGACTGTAAGAATCTAATATAATTGTTAGTTCAGATCTCGACAGGCTCCTTGCAAAAATCCATGACCCACTCTTGAAGCGAGACATGGACAAAAGCGAACGTGTTATTGGGCTTCTCGGCAATAAGTGGCTCGCAAATCGCTAGAATATGAGAAGGAGCAAGATTGGTGACGTACGGTGCTTGAAAGCGAAAAGAGAGAGCCGATAACAGTTCATGCTTTCGCAATGGACGTTTGGCATACGAGATCCAGCTGCAAATTGATCGCAGGCGCGTGGTCGACCGATCATCGAGATGGATCAGAATTTGCGACAGGATTTTCTTATAGCTGAAAGCGTGGTGTCAGCACTACAGACCTTACGTCATAAGTCAATAGACCACGCCTTACAAGTCGACAATCTTTTCAGGCAGCTCGTTCACGGAAGTCATAATCTCTGCGGTATTGTAGATTATGTTGTGGGTTAAATAGTCAACGACAAGCTTTGCGTACAAGAACATTCCTAAAAGCTGTGTAAGGAGCAGTAGCTATTACAGCAACGCGGAGTAGACACTAACCGTCTGATTTGCGGACCATCGACAGCTCGATTGCCTCTATTTCTGCTTGTGTTGAACCAAATTCACCTAGGCGTTCGTATACAGGGAGCAAGCGTCTTGTTACGTAGTCGCCTATCGCTTGGTTGATTTTGTCGCTTCTTGAGCCTAGCGACATTATATGGCTCTTCTTCAGCAAACGAGCCAGCGTTGATGTGTGACGGCTGGAAACCATGATCTTGAAGGTAGTGGTCGTGCATGTCCTAACGAACTGGTTTCAATTTCAGCATCGTGTTTTCAACATGGAGACTGTCTCTTGATCTGGTAGAGCGTGCACTGGAACAAGCATCCATCTCGAGCGTCCGATTTGACGGCAAAGTTGCTCAAAAAGATCGTCAGCCTATCATCAATAAGTTCCAGAGTGATCCCGGCATTCGAGTGATGCTACTCACTTTGTCGTGCGGCGCAGTCGGGTAAGTCAAACTCCGAGGTCCTATCCTAGTAAACCCTCGAACTGATCAAGCCACCTGACCAGCTTGACGTTGACCGCTGCCTCTCGTGCTTATCTACTTGAACCACACTGGTAAGTCGATTCTTCTGCTTTTAGTGGACGATATCCCCTCAGGGTGACCCCCTAGCTCAAGAAAGCAAGCTCACTGCCGACTATAGGAATCCCACACTCGAAGATCAAGCTCTTGCCAGGGTTCATCGCCTGGGACAAGAACGGCCAGTGACAACGATTCGTCTGTACATGCGTGATTCGTTTGAAGAGGTAAAGCTCTTGTCTTAGTGGTGTTTCTGGAAACGCGGGAAAGAAAAAAAGAACTGGCATCACAATATTGACGCTGGGACTGACATGTACGGTAGGAAGTCATGAAAATACAGGAATCCAAGTGGGACTTGGCCGGCATCCTTCTGTCACCCCATGATGGGACTCAGAGTGATACTAGTCTGGCAAACCTCGAGGTAACTATCAATCTTAACGTGCTCGCTCCGAATGAGGGAGAGATCGGCTAACGATGACTTATTGTACAATCACAGCGCTTGCGATCACTGCTTTGAAGGACCTCAATCTCTGGAGGGTGCTGTCGAATATGGTCCGATATTCTGTGCTTGCTCTCGGTGTCTCTGTCGTGTGGATAAGACTGAGCTAGAAGCCTTCGCCAATCCATTGTCTATGATATCTGGAACGCATTGAGATATCGAGAAATCCCTTCTATTTAGAGTACATATCATGGCTCAGTGGCGTGCTATAGATGGTTTCTAAGCCCAGGGAAAGGAATGCGCGAGAAGAAAGTCCGCAGCTCATTTGCTATTTCTCCGCAAAAACAATGCAACGACGGCACGTGGGGAAAGGAGTCCCGACATTGTCTCGACACCACATGCGGCCCAAATTTGAGGCTCAGCCGACGGGACGGCGGTCCGCCGCAGACCGAAGGAACGTTCCCTGAAGATCCCTCGGCGGGTAAAGTCTGTACTTAAGAGTAGGGTGTCCCACGAGACTGGGGGCTCAGTCATGGTGACAGGCATTAACTAGCAAACGTCCTAGCTCGACTGCCCACCGCTGCTAAAGCAAGAAGCACCCCTGTCGGGGCCTGCCGCCAAGCTTTTCGTGAAGCTTTTTGCGATCCACATGGCCGGCCACGACCCGCGAATCGGGCAAGATTGGCGAGAGCTTAATCTGCTGCTTAGACACTGGGAAATAAGGGGTCTAGCCAGAGCCGGGAACACTTCCGGAGGCAGCCAATCACCATGCGCGGCAACGGCGAGTAGCGGAAAGCCAAACCCGTAGCCAGCCAGTAACCTGTCGCCGCCCACGACATCCCGCGCGATCCCACGGGCAACGTTTCTCACACATGGGCTGACGCGTCGATGCATCTGGGCTAGGCTGTTCCAGGGTCACAGGCGCCATGGCGGCGACGGGGCGGACAGCGGGGGGTGAAACCTGCTTCCGAGCTGGCCTCCGGTCTGCAGCAAATGCCGCAAGAGTAATACAGTCACAAGCCAATGTGACAGAGTGAGATTGTTCTTAGGATAGCCCGCAGACCAGAATAAAGGACGGTGGCACCTTCAAGACAACGTGCTTGTGACGGGACTTCTTACCTTTTCGCTCACCTCTTATTCCCCCTGACATCGCTCTCAAGCACGCACAATGTCATCCGAGACTCCAGCTGCCGAGAACGATGCGGAGGCGGCCGAGCGCGGCCTGCCTGGCCAGCAGCGCATCACCTTCCGCGCCGATGAACGACCGCCAGTCGAGCGTGGGCGCGAGACTGGCCGCCGCGACAGTCTTGTCCGTTCTACCAGCCGGGCGTCCAGCCGCAGCTCGATGCGCCGTCGCCTGCCTCCCTCGTCCCCCGAGCTGGGCGTTCGTATCGAATACCGCACGCTCTCGATCCAAGTGTCCGAGTCTCGCCAGGTCGAGCGCGTCACTTCGAGGAAGTCGACGGAGGGAAAGTCGTCGGGCAAGCCTGAGAACCCCAACCTCGACTATTTCGCCAACATGACGTACCATGAGCTCGACACGGCGCAGATCTGCCAGCAGCTTAACGTGTCTGCCGAGCAGGGCCTCTCCGAGAGCGCCGTTACCCGCCGCCTCGAGCGTGACGGGAAGAACGTCCTACCGCGCCCCAAGACCAATTACATCCGCAAGCTGCTCACCTACACCTTCGGGGGCTTTTGCTCAGTCTTGTGGGTGGGTGTGATTGTATTCTTTATCTGCTGGCAGCCTCTGAGCAACCCGCCGTCGCCGACTAACCTCGCCTTGGCCATCCTGATCCTCATTGTCATCTTCCTTCAAGCCGGCTTCTCTGCATTCCAGGACTGGTCGACCTCGCGCACCATGAACTCAATCATGAACCTGATCCCTTCAGAGACGCTTGTCATGCGTGATGGCAAGCTTACAAGCATCCGCACTTCGGAGCTTGTGGCGGGCGATATCGTCCACCTCAAGACAGGCAACAAGGTACCCGCAGACATGCGCCTGCTTAGTCACACGGGCGACATCCGCTTCGACAGGGCGATTCTCACTGGCGAGTCGGACGAGATCGAGGGCAGCATTGACTGTACGGACCCAAATTTCCTCGAGTCACACAACATTGCGCTCATGGGCACACTGGTCGTCAATGGCGGCGGCACGGGCGTCGTTATCCTTACCGGCAACCGGTCTGTCATGGGTCGTATCGCACAGGCCATGTCGGATGTCAAGGAGAAGCTCACGCTGATCCAGCAAGAAATTTGGCGCTTCGTATACATCATTGTCGCCTTCACGATTACTCTGGCGCTGCTCATCGTTATTGCCTGGGCTGCCTGGCTACGCCGTGACCACCCAGACTACATGGGCGTCGTGGCCATGCTGAACAATGTCATGGGCTGTGTGGTTGCTTTCATCCCGGAGGGTATGCCAATCGGTGTGTCGCTCACCCTGATGCTCATTGCCAGTCGCATGAAGGCAGTCAATGTCCTGCCCAAGAGTCTCGGCACAGTCGAGACGCTCGGCTGCGTTAATGTCATCTGCTCCGACAAGACGGGAACCCTGACGGAGAACCGCATGACTGTCAGCTCGGTGGCTTTCATCGATGGCAAGGCCAGTGTCGAGGATGTCCAGCAGGCGTGGGCTTCTGGTGCGTCACGTGGAGGCAAGGCGATGAAGAAGCTCCACGATGCGTCCACTCTCTGCAACGACGCCTCGTTCGATCCCACTGATGCTCATCTGCCTGTTGCAGAGAGGGCGGTCCAGGGCAACGCCACTGACGCTGCCGTCCTGCGCTTCTCTGCTGTCGAACTTGGGGAGAAGGAGGAGAAGACTTCTCAGGCTCCCGCCAAGGTCTTCCAAATTCCCTTCAATTCCAAGAATAAGTGGATGCTTACCATGTACCCGGACGCTGCCACCGACACCTCTGCCGTCATTCAGCCCGAGAAGCCCACATACCAAGTCTACGTCAAGGGTGCTCCTGACGTTCTCTTCCCAGCATGCACCCACTACTGGTCCTCGTCCTCGAACACAACCGTCCCTCTCGACGACGCCACCCGCACCGCTTTCAAGACGTTCCAGGACTCCATGTCCGCTAATGCGGAGCGTGTCATTGTGCTCTGCGAGCGACAGATATGCCCACGGGGAGTTCATGGCACCAACGCCTTCGGCGAGGAGATTCGCGAGTCTGCGATCGAGAACCTCACCATCATCGGCATCTACGGCATCGTCGATCCCCCGCGGCCCGAGGCCATCACAACCGTTGCCGAGGCCCGCCGCTCCGGCGCACGATTCTTCATGGTCACTGGTGATTACGGCCTCACTGGTGCTGCCATTGCGAGAAACATTGGCATCTTCACGAGTGAGCAGAAGCCTGACAGTGTTGCCTCGATGCGCGACCTCGCCGCGTCTGGATCCATTACAGCGACGGAGCTGCACAAGCAGCGCCTCGAGAATGAGGGAAGAAGCCTTTTGATCGAGGGTCCACAGATGATCTCTCTTTCCGACGAGGAATGGGACCTCATCGCCGAGTATCAGGAAATCGTCTTTGCTCGCACTACGCCCGAGCAGAAGCTGCGCATCGTGACTGAGCTACAGGCACGCCACAATGTTGTCGCGGTCACCGGAGACGGCGTCAACGATGCCCCTGCCATGCGTGCCGCAGATATCGGTGTCGCCGTGGCTACTGGCTCCGATGTTGCCATCGAGGCTGCCGACCTGGTCCTGCTCGACAAGTTCGACAGCATTATCGAGGGCATCCGCCTCGGCCGCCTCGTCTTCCAGAACCTGCAAAAGGTCATCTCGTACCTCCTCCCCGCCGGCTCCTGGTCCGAGATCTGGCCCGTGTTGGTAAATGTCTTCTTTGGCGTCCCGCTCCCGCTTAGCTCGTTCCTCATGATCATCATCTGCGTCTTCACCGACCTGTTCCTGTCCATGTCGCTCATCATGGAGAAGGCCGAGTTCGATCTGCTCTCCCTCAAGCCGCGCGACGTCCGCAGGGACCACCTCATCACGGCGCGCATCTACGGCCAGGCGTACCTCCTCACGGGCTGCATGGAGACCGTTATCGCGCACTCCATGTTCTTCCTGTACATGTGGCGTTACGCGGGCATGCCCATCAGCGAGCTCTTCTTCCTGTTCGAGGGCTACAGCGACGGCTACCGCGGCTACACGATGGACGAGCTCGTCGCGTTCAACAACACCGGCCAGTGCGTCTACTTTGTCTGCCTGGTCATCCTGCAGTGGGGAAACATCCTCGCCGTGCGCAACCGCCGCATGAGCATCCTCCAGGCCGACCCTGTCACCAAGGCGCGCAGGAACCCGTGGCTGGTGCTGAGTGTCATCATCTCCCTCGCTATCGCCGTCTTTGTCACCGAGGTGCCCGGTATCCAGAATCTGTTCGGCACGGCGTCCGTCCCGATCGAGTTCTGGCTAATCCCGATCCCGCTGGCCCTGGCCATCCTGTTTGTGGACGAGATCCGCAAGTTACTGGTCAGACTGTTTCCCAAGGGCCCTATTGCTTGGATTGCGTGGTAAAATTTCAATACGGGTGTTTTGCAGTTGCTTGGGATTTTGGCATAAGATTTAACACGACCATAGAACGTAATTTTATGGAACACCCATTGCAGTATTGTGAGCTTGTTGCGTAGTCGAGACTTTTTCGTGATGGGAAGAATCGAGTTCTTGGTCCATCCTGACCTTCTGGCGTCTTGAATCACGTTCTTCATCTGCCGCCCCCTAGACTGTACGCTGAGTTCTGACAAAGTTCTTGAATAACGAATCCACTCGTGAGGGCTCGAAAGACTGCATTTCCTCTTAGAACACGCAACGACCGATTATTCAACTTTATATAACCTCATCAAGCGCAGATCGATTCGCCGCAATCACAAGATCGTAAAGCCGGCCCACATCAACGGCTGGGAGCGCTTCACCCATCTTGCGTGCCGCTACTGCGCGCTCGACAACTGCTGGACAGTCTTCTCTTTGACGCGCCCACTCTGCTCCGGCCAACTTGGACCCAAATGTGTTGGTGGCTATATATCGCCAGCCGCGACAGGCGTTGAGGACGCTGTTGGCCGAGGTGAGCTCATTTGCTCTGTGCCACTCAAGAGAGTCGGCGATTGCCTCGAGTGTCCAGCGGCGGGGGATAGGCGCGAAGACGTCAGCCACAGCAGGACCATGGAGTGAGCGACCGGAGGCGCTTCCCATGGCAATATCGAGCAGGAACCAGTGGCTTGACTCGCCTTCTGGATCGAGACACACGTGGTCAGGCTCGTGGGGCCCCGTGTTGAGATTGATTTCGAATCGGGGGTGGCGGCTGGCTGGGTTAACGCTGCCCCGCGCATAGACGACGAACTCGAGCTTTCTGGCCGGGCATGGCAGGACTTGCTGGGTGAGGCGTTGTATGATGGCCTGTTTTTCGCCAGGAGTGAGGGGCTCCTCGACTACCGCCTGAACGTCGAGATCGCTCCGACCGGGCTCGTACGCGGAGGTGCTCGCCGAGCCGAAGAGGTAGACGCCCACGAGTCTGGATCCTAGGTTGCCTGTGAGCCGTGTGACGAGTTCGCCCAGGTAAGCTTCTTCTTCTCTCGGCAAGACAGTAGTCATTGTTCTTGATGGGCTGATGGATTGTCCGCCCTCACCGGATGTGTCGGTTGATGGAGGAGTGCGGGCATGCAGCGTGGTAACAGCTCAGCATGGCCAAGATCCCACCACTTTTCCCCACTCTACGCCCTCTTGTGCCAAGCCTATCCCGCCCTCGTGTGTGTTCCTCGTGCGAACACGCACGCACACGGTATGCCGCAATGACTCAGCGGAGGGCGGTCTTTAGACGAACCTGGTGTTGTTTCTCTCGGATTACACATTTCTTCGAAGACAGCATCGTCTGGGCTGGGACAGGGAACGTCTTGAAATCGGTAATATGAAGCGGATCACCGGTCTATACACCGGTTGATAGATTCGATGGCCAGCTTCGGCTCGCCCGACTTCCACGTGTTGCTGTTGTAGAGGGAGTAGCCGCCGTCCGGGACAGGCATTGAGAACACTGTGTGCTGAGGAGAATAGACACTTGAGTTGAAAGTATTGGAGAAGCTCGGACGAATAACGACTGACTACATCAAAAACTCTGCCATATATACATGACCATGCACAAGCCCACACGCTCGCGAATACCCACACACACAGATGATCACCTCTACCACCAAAAACAAAAGGAATCAAAAGGGACTTGGAAATGAATTTGCGGACTGGCCCTCGCGACGAGGCTTCTTATGATTACCCCTCTCAACACGATCTGGACCTGTTGACTTCGTTCAAAGCTCGTCGTGAGACTCGGACTCGCTAAGGCTGCCAGCCTGAGCGTAGTGGGCCACGTACGCGACCTCCATCATGCTGCCGTAGCCGTCGAGAGTGTTGCCATCTGGGTAGCCAGGCCCTGGAACTAGTAAGTACCGCGATTTGAATTGCCAACAGATGTTAAATCCGCGACAGCAAGAGATAGAAGGGGAGCAAAGAGCTTACAGTTACCCCCAACGGCCATGTTGAGAATGAAGTAGAAGGGGCTGTGGGCGAGGCTGTTCCACACGTTTTGGTTGCCGATGCGGCTACCAGTCAAGGTCTGATATACGTTGCCATCCATGGACCAGCGAATCGCTTCGGTCTGCCAGTTGTTACTGGTGCGGTCCCACTCAAGCCTCCACTGCTCACAACTTAGATCAGTCCTGTTCCATGGAAGGGTGAAGCCAAGAACCAAAGACTCGTCGACTAACCGTATGCCAGCTCTGATCAGGGATCCCGATGCTGGAGCCAATACCATTGCCTTCGTTGCAGATACCGCCGGGGTAGACATCACAGTGCACCGTCCCATAGCCGGTCAACCTTCCGCTGACTGTCTCAAGAATATCCAGCTCGCCACATGCAGGCCAGCCGGTGCCCTGGCGTAGAGCCTGCCCCAACATCCAGAAGGCGGGCCACATGCCCTGCTTACGGGACGGGTCGTTGGTGCCAAACCTGACCTGAGCCTCTACCCTCGTCACCCTTCCGGCATCCGGAGTGACGGTGTACTTGCTCTCAATGCGGCCCGAGGTCCAGCCGCCGCTGACGGAACCGTCGCGCCATGGCACCAGCTGCACCGTGTTGCCGCCTGAGATCTGGACGTTGCGCGAGGAGGAACTGTACGTCTCCAGCTCATTATTGACGCCCAGGTTGCCCGTGATGATGTTCCAGTTTGACGGATTTGGAGATGAGCCCGCCGCACCGCCGAATCCGTCGGACCAGCGCAGGGTGAAGCCGTTGTAGCTGGGAGGCGTCACGGCTCGTGCGACTAGAGGTAGGGAAAGGAGGTAAAGGGTTGACGAGTGCATCGTGGGCGATGTTAGAATGCTTGCGTACGTATATGATTCTGTGTATGGTTTGAGTCGAAGGAATGAGGTCTTCGAAAGGCTGCTACATATACCTATGGCTGTGGAATGTAGAGGTCAACGGGGATCCTGCCTTGGTAGGCCATGTGTACCAATGTTACATTACGCAAGAGCAGTTGGTCAAAGCGACGACGTCAGTCATTCGCACAGACCTCGAGGGGTTCCAGACGAACCATTAAGGGACGGCGAGGGCGAGGAGATAGTTCGTTAGGCCACGCCTCCTACTATCTCCTAGATGTTGTTGAAGTACAGTCAAGTCATCTGCTCCCACCATGAAGATCGAGTCCCGTGGCGCAATCCGGGTCGAGCCGCCCAGAACGGCATTTTGCATGCACCTGTCGGTGAAGCTGTGGGGTAACTAGAGCGTACCCCTGTTCACGATGTGATGTGGGGGCATGACGCCCAGAATGCAACGCTAGAGCCCCCATCAAAACCGGTCTCGAGGCATCAGGCGAGTGGATCATGGGACGAACATTAGAGCATACATAGGAGGTCACCCGCACCCCGGCCGCACGCCGCTTTCGTGGCCTCAACCATCCCCTTTTATCAGTGCACTTTATAATGACGGTATACACGTCACTTCATTCGCCCGGAGTAGCGATGGGATGTATCAATGGCAGCATAAACAAAAGAAGCAAACGATATGAAGCCCCATGATATACAATCAATACCCGGGCACATGTATTTATTCATGAATACGTACTAATCTGACCACCAGACTAGGTCAACCTCATCTGACCGAGGTCCCGAGCCCAGAGTCCCGGCAGTCCAGCAACGACACGCGCACCCTGTATCAAAGCCCATATCACATGGAGATGCCCCAACATACAACCGAGGCGATCTCCGGTGCACCCTTTCCAAACACCCACCATATGAATCATCGCTCGCTTCATCCCGTACCGGTAACCTGACCTGACGAATGGTTGCACAAACTCCTGGTTGGCGACAACGAGTTTGGATCCTAGGCAGTCTGTGGGCTGAATGACAAGCTCGCCCGCGTGGGCTTGTTCTTCTTTCGGCAAGATTATGGTCGCTCTCATTAATGGGCTATAGATCGTCCGCCCCGAGTGGATGTGTCGGTTGATGGAGGAGTGCAGGCATGGAGTCCAACGAGAGCCCCAAAGCTCAGCATGGGTTTCATTCCTCACTACTTGGAAAGAGTCAATTTCCAGCATCAAACAACAATGACTGGTAGGACATGTGACATGAGTTCACCGAATTTCCCAAAGTTTGCTTGTTGGTCACGAAACTTGATTGATTTTCATGTCTGTTATTCTAGTAGACCGGCCGCTCTTTTAATAGTGCAAGACACTCACTCCTGCAGCAAAATCACCGGCTTCGCACACTTGACGCCCTTCTCCTTGAGATCTGTAAGAGCGGCGTCGATCGCCGCCAGGCCTTTGCCCACAATCTTGACCTCGGGACTTGGGCGGATCTTTCCATCGGCCAGCTTCTCCCGCAGATACACATTAAACCATCCCGCATACTGCTTCTCGCGCTCGTCATCACCCTCCCTGGGAGAAATGAACTTGACCTCCACACCGTCGACAGTCTTAGCGTCGGCTGGAACAAGGGGCGCGTGGGCGATGAATGCACCACCTTGGTCGCCGTTCAGCTCCTTCAAGATGGCCTGTGGACCAGCGAGATCTCCTGCTCCGAGGAAGCAGTATCGCATCTTCATCCACTGCGTCCCCTGCACAAACCCGACCACGCTCTTTTGCGCAGCTTCGATGTCGTGATAGTCAAACACCACATCCGCACCAAGACCCCTCAGGTACTCGTGATTGGCCTCGCTCGCGGTCGCGACGACAGTGTACCCCATAAGCTTGGCGGTCTGCACCGCCATGGTCCCGATGCTGGTCGCAGCACCCCAGACCAGAATGGCCTCGTTCTTGCCTCCCGCAGTGGGCGAGAGGTAGTCCAGCCCGCACATGTCCCACGCCGCCAGCGCGACGTAGATGTTCATGGGCAGGCTCGCCGCCTCTGGCCAGTCCATGCCGTCGGGGATCGGCGAGACCGAAGCTGCCGGGACCAGGACGAGCTCCTGGAAGGCGCCGTAGTCGGGGTTCCCATGCTCGAAAAAGGCGCTGGCGAACGTGGTCACGCGGGTCCCCGGCTTGCTGAGGTACTCGGGCACACCCGAGGGTCCAGCAGATACGATTGTCCCGCCAATGTCCGAGCCCAGGACCGACGGATAAGTGTCCACGTGAAAGCCAATGTCGCGCTGGATTGTGTCGACAATGTTGAGCGCCACGGCGCTGGGGCGGATGAGGACTTGCCCTGGCCCCGGGGTAGGTGTTGGCCGTGAGGAGACGGACAAAGGAGTGCCCTTGTCTGTGCACTGGGCGGCGAGGTGCGTCTTGCTGCCGCCGTTGGTAGTTATGGAAGACATGATAGCAGAAGGTTGAGTCTAGTTGGGTCGTTTGATGATTGGATTGCTTGTATTTTCTAGCGAGAGATCGCGATGCTGAGGTTGATTTGCAGATATTCGAGGATAAAGATTGATTACCACGGGTACGATATATATACTGCTGCCGCCGGTTGCCTCATCCAGGTAGCATGCCCACCTGTTCGCTCTCAGACGCGGCCATTAGGCCCATCTGAACCAAGCTTTCGGCCATTTTCTGCACATTGCGTTATCTCCCGTTTCGTAAGTACTGTAATTAGGTCCCCGAAGCGGAAGTTGTGCATGCTAGCAGTGGATGAGGTCCACTTGACTTTTACTTACCTCCGCCAGAACCTAATCCTGTTCTAGAAGCGACTAACTCCGGTGGGATCTACCGCCGCCAGCGTCGGCATGCTAGCTAATGAGGTTCGTACTCAGCAAGCATGCAAAGGGTATCTTTGCCAATATTGGCTGAGACTGCATCAGGCTAAAGGGAAACTTGATCTTTGGAGCGGCGATACTGTGCTCCGTGATCACGCTCTGGGACCGGGTGTATCCGGCTGGGCATAAACCCAATCGTCTCTGGTTTTCCCACGGCTTGCTTCAAACACTGATAAGTCGGGGCGCACAACTCAGGCCTTGAAGTTAGCTTTCATTTGCAATTCACAGTCAGTGAGAATATAGATGATTATTATGAAGTGCACAAGCTTGTGTTGTGATCCATATGCCTGTGCCAGACTGCTGGCTTGTAACTCTCTCAAACAATCAAGCAGTATGCTCACAAACTCTCCAAGTGCCCGTACGCGCGGCTTGTAGACTGAATCACCCGCCCATCTGCTGCTCCGGTGGACCTCATGTGAAATCTTTCTTTAAGGGTACACGACAAGCGGCAGCTCCTCGGGCTCTGAATGGCAAGGCTTAACTCCCGCCCCTTGCTCGCCTAGGCTGACTCATGCACTCGGAGTTAATGCTGCAGCCACAACCCCCGGAGGTAAAAAGCTAAGCAAGCAAGCCAAGCCAGAGGTGAGAAGCTTAGCTTCCAGGGCATGACACCCCTTCGAGTCTCGCGTCCAATGTGAAGGACGTGTCTATCATTAGCTATTTTTGAACTTGAACTTCCATTTGCACGCTACATCTGCGTTCGCAGGACGTCAGTTGGAGTTCGCTTGTGGCGACAAGCCACGCTGCGTTAATCATCGGTGTCAAGGTGGGATAATGGCCACCCAGTCCAGTCTGGCGGTCGGGGAAAAACTTGCGCTCTGTCCTTTGCATCATCACTTGCTGCTCATATCCACGTGTCTCTCGCATTCGCAAAACAAAGTGGTGGGTCGGTTGGTCGCTCGGGCATAGCGGAAGAATGTCAACTCTTTCATCCTTGGCCCTGTACCAAGCAAATTTGTACCGCCATCTTAGCCCACCCCGCCTGACCACAGTCACTAACTCCGGCGTCCCACTAAATGTCGGGCCGAAGCCGACAAGTCTCTCTTCGCGACCTCAGCGGCGCGACCTTTGTGATGTCATCAGCAATGTCATCAAGGAGAGTACCAACCTCAGGGTTGACCACGTGGCTGTCATGGGGCAGAGCGGTTTCTTCCGCGGGAAGTTAACAAGATCTGGGTCAGATTCGACTTGACGATCGTCTGTGATGGCAGCAATGAGGCCGACTGCAAGATCATACGGGCGGGTTTAAGATGAGACAGAATGCGTACGATTGGAGTGGGATTTATCTCCTTAAATAGCATCTACCGCCTGTTCATATGTAGCAATTTTTCCGTATGTAGGAGTAAATCGGGTCCCGCAGCTAAACGACATTGATCCAGAGCGGCGATCAATCACTTCGCTAGGCTAGAGCCTTGATCCCGGTCGCAGAGCCAATGCATGTTCTCTCATATCTACAAGTCGGCCTACATGAGTATGGATCGGTAGGACATAGAGACATGACGAACTTGGCTGTGCCGCATCACATCAGAATCAGCTCATGGCAGCTCATAAGCCGACATGGAGATCAAAATAGGCACATGGTCTTTATGTTATAATTGAATTGACCTGAAGAAAGCAAATTTATTTTGGGGTATCATCGCAAACGAGTAACAGCTGTGCTGACTTGCTTGCAGCCTGCTGCGTGTCTACATTAGGATTATGGTCCTTGCCCTGCTCCAAGGTGAACTGCAAGGCCAGTGTAAAACCAGTCTTGAACGAGTACTGGCGTATTTTTGGGCTTCCGGTGAGCGACGAGTATTGCTCGTCGAATGATCTGATAAAGAGAGACGGGTAATTGCGGTGCTGGCAATACCACGAGTTGGTATACCCGTTCAGGGCAGCGCAGTTGCGCGGAGCGATGTAGTCGATAATTCGAATGTGTGGTAAAGAGTGTCATGAGTCTAGCATTCTTGACTCGAGAAGATGTGGTAGGAAAAGAGCGGTGGTATTGTTGCTTGTGGTTCGCTGATGGCGATGTAGCTCGCTTAAGAGCCAGATGTGGTGTTTGTGGTCGAGGACGCCCCCGGCGCGTGTTGGGCCGTGACGTTCGTTTCTCATGAATTCATCGGTACGTGGATGTGGAAACGAGGTGTCATCAGCCCTGGATACGCCGGTGAAAGATGCAGCCCTACTAAGGGAAAAAGGAAAGAGGAAAAAAGGAGAGGGACAACGACAGAGACAGGGAATGGCCGAGCGCGAGCCAGCCTACTTGCTGGCAGCGGCAGCCTCCTCGTCAGTCATGCCGCCGGCATGCTTGGCCAACGCCTCCTCAAGCTTCTTCTTCTTCTCGAGGTTGCGCTTGCGCTGAGCCTCCTCGCGGTTCTGCCGGCGCTTCTCCCGCTTCTCGCTGATAAGCCACGGGATCGCTGCGATGGCGGAGAAGAAGCCCTTGAAGCCCTTGGCGAGGTGGGTGAAGCCCTCCTTGAAGTGGCTCTTGGTGTTGTTGAAGTTGGCACGGGCGAGAGCGACCTTTTTGCGGGTGATGTATGCCTTCTCGGCGCGCTGGGCCTTGATGAAGTTCTCGTTGGCCTCCTCGCGGGACTTGAGCAAGAGGTTGGCGGTGCCTGATGTGCCCGGGCGGACGACGGACTCGCGCTTCTCGGCCGCCTTCTTCTCCTTCTCGGCCTTTCTCTTGTTCTTCTTCTCCTGCTTGGAGTCGGCGGGAGCGTCCTCGACGGGCTTCTCGTCGGTGGCGGATGAGAACAAAGCCATTGTATATGTCGGTGGTATTAATGAGGGTGTGGGTCGGTGGCTCGCAATATTAGGGGATTATTATACGGAAGAGAGCGTGGTTGATTCAGAGAAGCAAAACCAGTGTCACCAGGAATCCTCGAGGAATCTGCACAGCTTTATGTATGAAGTCGGCCGTGACGCTAAGATAATCCATCATGCCTCTTGGTAGCATTCACGCGACGAGCGCGTCGCACGCATGGCACGCGATGGCACATTTTTGTCGCCAGATAAATGTTGCCTGAGACCACACTATAAAAGTTTATGCGGCGAGGGCCGTGGTATGCTACCCTGCCAGGGATTGCAATAGGGGTGACTTCGTCCCTGGACCCTAAATTCCTTGCGCTAGCTCTAGGCAGCTAAAGAAGTGGACCGCCAACGAGAGACAGGCTGTCCGAGTCCTTTTTTTCAGGGCCGTGCATTTGCATCTTGAAGTGCCCGGTGCTAGGCCAGCCTGGTGGAGACCAGACGTGTTTGGCGTCCCTCTCGCTTGAAACACAATATTGGGGTCTTGCCAGGGTATCCCTGGACACTACCGTCCATCATGCCGACACGCATTGAGATCATCTGGCCGTGAAAACTGCCCGACATGCTTGGGGAGCGGCTGGGTTTGTGTACGAATGGGAATCAGTTGCTGACAAGTGCAGCCACTATTATGATGGAGAGGTGCACATCCGGGCCGTGAAATGCAAATAGATACTCCCGAGCGTAAACACGTACACAAAGGGGAGTCTTGCACGCAAGCGAGGAAACACGCCAGATCTTGTGTCAGACCCTGGTCCTGGTTGTGGTGCTCAATCATGCGCATGAAATGCCATGCCATAAATGGACTTAGGGCTGCATGAACATCCAACTCTTCTCCGCATCTTCTGGAAGTTGTCCCGAGCGTCGCACGGCACGTTGGTAGCGCGGGATCTGATTTGGCCCTCAAGGAGTTCTTCCTGGTGCGGATCAACCGAGCACACGGAAACATTCCTGTCAAAATTGCGAAATGCCACGACGCTGGCAAGTCTGTGCCTAATCTTAAAAGAATTTGACATCTTGGAGCGCATCACTTGATTCTAGTGCACTGCGAACAGCGACGACGCACTGTGATTTCTCTCCTCGACGAGGGCCCGTCTCAAAAACATTTTTGTTGTACATTATGTTTGGATCGTCGGAGCGCTGCCTGACCACATGCGCCGGCGCCAAGTCACAGGCTGGGAGTAGCTGCTGGAATAGAATGATCTTGGCCCAGGGCCGGATCGATCCATGTAGCTGATAATTGAAGGTCGACTGCTCAGAGGGACTGGGAGACTGACTTCCGCCCTGCGATTTGGAGAAATGACGCCCCGTGGAGTATGACCTTGAGCTCTGAGTGCCTGAACCAACCCTGATGTGGTTCTGCCTCCAGCGCACCCATGACGACGGTTGCAGAGGATCACTGCATCATGCTTGGGCAGGATGGGACCATCTCCAGAGATCCTGAGTGCTTGGAGACGCTGCCGCTCAGAGGATTTATTGTCCTTGGTCCATCTTATGAATGTCCAGCTATCTCAAACCATTTCAGATCAAATTTCTCTATAAACACCATCGCTAGGAGCAAATGGCGTAGCTCACCACAGACCGGTAGCTCAACTTCAGGAGGAGATTTCGACTTTAGCTCCAAATAGTTCACAGGATTACAAAATGGTGGGAGGAACCGTCGGCCCACTCCGAAAAGTGCCTGCCTCTTCTGGGCTCTGTCCTAAGCACCACGGCGCGCGGCGAATGATGGCCGTCCATCCCCAGGGCGGCGAAGCTCCACCTCCAGAATCACCCGCTGATAACGGAGTGCGCGAGCGACAGGGGTTCCAGGGACGATCAGAGCGATGTCGGCTCGCGTGGTGCTCCGGCTGTCGCCTATCTCGTCCTAATCTCAGTTGTTCCTAAGGGCACCAGGATAATCAAGCTTGGCACACACGTTCGTTGCATCATCACGCGGAATCATGTCCGCCATAGCCCGTTGGCTGGAATCGCATTCTCTGCGGTTGGCCGGGGAGAAAAATTATCGGCAACAAACCACAAGCTGGAGACACACTGCAGGATTTCGAGAGCTATCGCCGCCAAGCTCAACGCTCCACGTATCGGGCCAGGAGTTCCGGCGAGCGTTCGTGACTGTGATTAAGCATTCTGTTTCCCCAACCGTCGCCGGCCCACCTCTCGTCCCGCCAGCCATTGGGGACGCCACGAGGGCCCCCTTGGCCGCCATCTCCAACATGCGGGGAGATCAACTGCGTCACAAGCCCCATTGGGCAGGGCCACCCGGGCGGCGCTGTGCCCCACGGAAGCTTATCAGGCGCCTCCTCCTCCTCCCCCATTCATCCTCGCGCCCCCTCACTTGGCTTTATCTAGTGGATGCCGACGGGTGACCGTCGCGTGGAGGAATTAAGGTGACTAGCTAGGGTAAAGTGTAAACTTCCCCGGTTGTCGGCTGTACAGATATCCCCGGCGGACACCTTCCGATGCTCCTGCTATCATCCGTCGGCCCACCGGCGACAACTCATGCAGTCGCGCCTCTGGAGGTCGTTCAAATCGCCCTATCAGGGGGTCAGCAGCCCAGAAGGTCGGGGCAGATTAACCGACCCTGCTGATCGGCGTTCAAGGTCGTAGTTCGGCATTTAGGCGTGGTGCCGTGAAGGTTGGCTCCTCCTTAAGACACAAAAGTGACACTTTCCCCCCTCCACTCCCACTTTGACCGAACGTCCCAAGTCTCGCTACGCGACGACTCATTCAAACCACGCCCAGCGCGTCTTTTTGAACCCGAGACGGTCGATAATACAGCCGCAGCCAATATGGATCCCGAGAAGAACTACCCGACCAAGCCGTCGGTGGCGGACAAGGATGCCGATGAGGCGCTCAAGTTCATCGTGGCCGGCGAGGTCATCAGCATGACCCCGGAAGAGGAGAAGAAGCTCGTCAGCAAGATTGACTGGACGGTGCTGCCGTTGTTGTGTATGTGCCCCGCTTTGGCGATGTTTTGCGACATCTTCTTTTTTCTTTCTTCCGTCCACACCACAGCTAACCAGCATGCAACAGTCGGCTGTTACTTTCTTCAATATCTCGATAAAACCCTAATCAATTATTCTGCCGTGATGGGAATGCGCAAGGACACAAATATCACCGGAGATCAGTATTCGCAGCTTGCGATGCTGTTTTATGTGACGTATCTGGCTTTCGGTGGGTTTTTCCCTCTTTTGGATGGGGAGCTGGGAGACACTCTAACAATTGGCACAGAATTTCCTGGGGCATATCTAGTTCAAAGGCTGCCTACAGCAAAGTTCCTGAGCTTCATCGTGTGTGCCTGGGGCCTCATGGTTGCCTGCAACGCCGCTGCGTACAACTGGGGCGGGCTCGCCTCGCTTCGCGTCCTGCTTGGCGTATTCGAGGCTTCTGTCGCCCCTTGCCTTATGCTCATCACGACCATGTGGTACAAGCGCTCTGAGCAGCCGTCCCGTGTCGGCTTGTGGTACGTTGGCACCGGCATCGGCAAGATGGTCGGGGCCCTGACCTCGTTCGGCTTTCAGCACTACGTTGGCCAGTCATTCAAGTCATGGCAGATCATGTTCCTGGTCTGGGGTCTTGTCACCATCTCCTGGGGTATCCTTGTCTTTTTGTTCCTGCCCAACAACCCCATGACTTCTCGCTTCACCGAGACGGAGAGGCGCTGGGCCGTCGAGCGCCTGCGGAGCAACATGACTGGTGTCGAGAACAAGCACTGGAAGTGGTATCAGCTGGTCGAGATGCTCAAGGACCCGCAGTCGTATCTCCTCGGCCTTATAGTCTTAACCAGCAACATTCCGAATGGTTTTATTTCCAGCTACCAGGCCACCGTCATCGAGAGCTTCGGCTGGACGCCCAAGGAGACGGCTCTCCTTTCGATCCCCTCCGGGGCGATCGCCTGTATCTGTACGCTCAGCGCGACGTGGTTTGCCGGCCGCTTCGGCATGCGCGGTCCGGCCATTATCATCCTTCTCACCCTCGGCTTCACCGGCAGCTGCCTCATGGCCTTTATGCCCGACGAGGGCAACGTGGCGGGCAAGATGGTCGGCAACTATCTTGCCAACTGCATCGGCTCGTCCCTGCCTCTCATGTACTCGTACGCGGGCGCCAACTACGCGGGACACACCAAGAAGACGACCTCGTCGGCGATGGTGCTCATCATGTTCTGTAAGTCACCACCACCGCTACTACCACCAAACATGGCCAGACGCCACAAAGACAACCGACACGACTCTGCTAGGAACCAGCCGCAACTAACCAACCCTCCCAGGCATCGGCAACATCATCGGGCCCCTGACCTTCCGCGCGGCTGACGCGCCCCAGTACATCCCCGCCAAGATCTGCATGGTGGTCACCACCGCCACGGCGGCCATCCTGACGGGTGTGCTGATGCTGTACTACCGGTGGGAGAACAAGCGCCGGGACCGGGTCTACGCGGACCACGTGCACCAGGAGAACAGCGAGTTCTTTGACCTGACGGACCGGGAGAACCCCGAGTTCAGGGTAAGTTTTGGTCTCTCACCCCCCCACCCTGGCTGCAATGTCAAGGTCAAGTTGATTGCGGTCAGTGTGCAGAAAGCTAACGGATCTTTCTACAGTATGTATTTTAAGAGGAAGAATGCATGGCTTTGTTGGGTTGCGGAGGATCCTGTTACCGTGGAAGTTGCAGGAGCAAATGAGATGCCCGGTGCACGGCCAATCAAAGGCCATTAGAGTTAGCGCAATACCATATTATATAAGAACCAGATATCGGCTGCTCTCACCCGTAGACTGTCCCTAGTCGACTTGGTGACATAAATCTGAGGTGCAAGAACTATGTACATTAATGCCTAGTGTATATAGGAGGCCATGATGCCGTTCGACCTCGAGGAAAGCAACACAGGAAGCTGCATATGTCGGCCTAGATCTGTCGCCCAACTTTCCAAGTCTCTTTACTAGTCAATCCAAGCATGTTGCGACTTATTGGCTCTGCCTCGAGCCTTCAGGTGCATCTGAGCAGGGATGATGGTCTCGATGTGCCAACTGGGCGTTGGCCGAGGTTGTGGTGTCCTTGTTTCCTGTCAGCCCGCAGAGAAAGTCAGAATAGCACTCTCTGGGCCGACTGGATGGCTAATTTGGTCGTGTCTGGACTGTTGAAGCCTTTGTGCCCTTGAAGGAGACGCAATGCGATGGCTGGTCTGTGGGTGCCTCGCAAGGCCACAACTCACGGTGGAATCAACTGGCAGTCACGACCTGCCTCCTCCTGCTGCTGCTCCTGCCCTTCATGGCCAGCCAGCGTCCGCCTTTTCACATCGCCTTCTCGACCTCGCTGCTTCACCACCTCGTTCTTCTCTCCCCAGGCCTCAACACCACACAGCCTCAATCATCACAACACGACTAACCCACGGTAGCACTGCTCCCACTGCATCAACATGACGACGGGCCTCGCGTCCCTGCCGCTCGAGCTCCTGCTCTGTGTCAACGAGCACCTCGGTGTCCGCGACCAGGCCCGCCTCGCCGCCTCCAGCCGCGCCCTCTACGCGCTCCTCCTGCCCGTCGTCTGCCGCCACGCCATCCAGCGCTGGCCGTACCTCCTCCACTGGGCTTCCCAGGTTGGCCACGCGAACCTCGTCTCCCGCTTCCTCGCCGCGGGCGCCGATGCCGAGGCACTCTGCTTGGTCCAGTCCTGGATGAAGTACCGCCACGCCGCCTCTGCTGACGTTCTCGTTGGCATGTACAAGCACAACTCGTTCCACGACGATGGGCCAGCCTCGATGAGGCGCCCCGATTCTGCCGACTTGGACTTGGACTCGGACTCGGACTTCTGCGGGTGTGAATCTTGCCGCAACCAGCTGATGGACGAATGGCAAGACACCTGGTCCGACTACTTTCCCAACCGCGCCGCCCGCTCCATCGCCAGCGAGCCTCTGGGCAGTGATGTTCATGACTCGGACCACGAATGCTCCTTCCCCAGCACCCCCGGCAGCGACGTCTGGAGCAGCTGGGAGAACACACACAATGCAGGCTTCCAGCCACTCCATGCGGCATGCGCAAAGGGCCACCTCCACATCGTCGAGCTACTCGTCAATCACGGCGCCAAGATCGCCAGCATGTGCTTTGGACTCTGCAACTGTCCCTTGCCCATACTTCCCGGCGATCGCTGTGCCGAGTGCAAGACGCCCAGTCTCCACCACAACACCCCTCTGCAGCTTGCCATCTGCCGCGGCCATACTGCGGTTGCCGAATACCTCCTGTCGCGCTTCACCACGGTCGACCCTCCTGTTGCACCCTACGCCGATGATGCGCTCATGGCTGCCGTAGCCACAAAGAACCATCGCCTCGTCGCTGCTCTGCTCCAGGCGCCACACAATGCCATTGTCATCGCACACGATTCCATGGGCTGGATGCCACTAGCCTATGGGGTCCTCCGTCGCAGCTCACCAGCCACCATTGACGTCCTGCTTCGTGCGGGCGCGGATCCCGATCAAGAACTCGGCGATGGTGCCACTCCTCTAACTGTCGCTTGCTGGGACGGACAGTACGGATCTGCTGCCTTACTGGCAGCTCATACCAAAGTGCCGGATCAGAGATGGTGGAGCCCACCCATGAATCGTCTTCCACGGCGCAAGATCAAAACTGGCCGACCGGCCTTCTTGAATATCAGCGCAGGCGCGGATCGACCCCTCGACTTAGCGGCCGGGGGCAGCATGCGAGTGTTGTGTCGGATCGCACCACTGCACGCGGCTAAATTCCCGGATCAAAATATCTCCCAATTCGACCGCGATGAAATTGAAGAGGAGTTCGAATGTCTCCGCGAAGCAGAATACAACAGGGCGGAACTGGCAAGGCAGCTCATCAAGAACGGCGCCAGATTTATCCCAGCCCCTACAGACAAGCACGCTCCCATGACGCTTGCCGCCCACTCGCATGCTCCTCTCGTAATCGACGTACTCGTCGAGGCAGGAGCAGACGTCGACCTGGAGGACCAGTCGGGCCTCTTCCCGCTGCTCGCCGCCGCGTCCAGCCGCTTCAGCACGTGGCAGATTGTACGCAACACATACATACTAGACACGCTGCGGTGCTTGGCCAAGCATGGCGCAGACCCGAACCAGACCAGCAGCGTCACCGGCCAGAGCGCGCTGATGGTCCTGTGCGAGCGTGTCGGCCAGGATGCCGATGTCACGTGGGGATGCATCGATTTGCTCCTCGAGGCTGGCGCCGACATCAATGCCCGAGACGGGCAAGGCAAGACGCCGCTGGCGACTGCACTCCAGTACAACAACCACAAGACGGCTCGTAAGCTGATCAAGCGCGGTGCCGTGTGAGATGGTGGCGATATGCAACGTGGGGAACTGACAAAGAGGATGATGTTGCCGCTAGAGACAGAGGTTGTGCGCAAGAGACGTCAATTTGCATGAACAGTAATGTAATTTGTTTAAGATTGTAGGTGCTGGGAGACTGGGAGATTGACAACGTCTTACTTCTACATATTGCTCGAACGGAATTCAACAACAGCGTAGCTTGAATCATGATATAGCATCATGATATAGCACTGTCAAAACCGGTCTGAACTGAGATGTTGAACCCAGCTAGTTTCTTGAAGTCCCACCGCTGCATGCCTTCGTGTGCTGCCCAAGGTATTAATTCCAAAAGCATTTCATGGAAAGGCGAGCAGCCGCATTTGCTCATTCAAAGCGTGCAAAGAAGAATCAGTATTTGCATTACTGTCGAGTACCTTGAAAACCTGGCAATTTTTCAACAAGCTATCCCCAAACCTACAGACGGCAACTTCCAATCTGTGTACTTCATGGCCCGGACCGGGACCTCCATTCACAAGCCCCCTCAAGCAAACCCAGCACCAACGACAAACGTGACATCATCATTGAACAGGGACGGCGAGTCAAACACGTGCACACCCCCATTGCTCGCAATCTCGCCCAGGTTGTTGTAGTGGCGGATATACCTAGTCGGATACCCCCAGGCACGGAACGAGCTGCCACCACCGGCACTCCCAAGTCCCGTCTGGGGACAGAAGGTCGCGTCCTCGCGGAACTGCTTGGACCCGTCGTTGGCAGCGACCTGCAGGTCGAAGTTGTAGTGCCGGATAAACGACCCGGGGGTGTCGACCGACTCGAACGACACGCACCCGCTGTACCCGAGCCCGGCCCTGACGGTCCAGGTGGCCTGCTGCCGGAGCGCGGCGGCGCTGCTGCTAGTCACTACCTGCGTGTTTACCGTGCCGCCCGAGTGGGCTATGTAGCGCGTGGTGCAGCAGCTCGTGGTGGCGCGGAGCGAGACTTTGGACCCGATGCTCAGCGCGGGCCCGGACACGAGGCTCGTCACGGCGTACCTCGCCGCGGCGATGTTGGCCTGGACGGCGTTCTCGGTCGCGTCGGAAGGGTACCCCGTCGTCATGACGCCCTCGTAGAAGGTGCCCTGCGCGCCGATGCTGTTGTCCCCGCCGATGCCCAGGATGATGGCGCCCTCCTTGCTCATCGGGTTATACCCGGACACGCTGGGCCGGGCACCGGAATAGTAGGTTGTCAGGCTGCCTCCGGTAGAGGTGGCGTCGGCGCCGCGAAGGGCCCACAGGTTCGCCGTGCCTTTTACCGCGGCGGTGAAGAAGCGCGCCGAGATGCTCGGGTCGGCCGGGTTGTTCTTTGGGTTCGCCCCGGAGAACAGCCCGTTCTCCAGGTCAGCCATGAGCCAGGGCCCGGAGCCGGAGCCGGACCCCCAGACCGTGTTGTCGCCAAAGTAGATGGCCTCCATGTGCCCGTTGCCCGTGTCGGTGCTGCTCGTCTCGGCATTGCCATAGTCGAAGCAGCAGCCGCCGTTGTAGTGCGTCCCGTCGAGCACCGCGTACATGCCCTCGGCCTGGTCGCCCTTGGCCGAGCCGGACACGGCGTTGTTGCGGTACCCCGTGCCGGGGGAGACGAAGACCCCGTAGGCCTTCTGGCCGTTGAGCGTGACGGGGGCGCCGATGGCCGAGGCGAGGTTGTCGTACCCGTTGGCCTCCGGGCCGCGGAAGGCGCCCCCGGGGGCCTGGGTCAGGTGGTTGTTGCGCCCGGACTGGTCGTAGATGATGGTGATGAGGCAGGTCGTGCTGGCGCAGAACGAGTCCTGGGCGCCCGCGTTGGCCACGCCCCCGGCAGAGAGGGGGCCGATGTTGAGCGTGGTGTTGTCGGAGCCGCGCTTGACCTGGTACAGAGAGCCCGAGAAGGACGAGTACAAGGCCCGGGTCGTGCTGTGGGCGGCTATGCATGGGGTGCCGCCGGACGCGTAGATGTCGCAAGGTCCGGCGGACACGATGGATGTCGTGGTGGCGGCCAACAGGCCGAGGAAGCTCAGTTTGGAAGCCATGACGACGATGATTCGTATTCTGGGACAGGGATAGAGGCAATGGCTTGGCTTGGCTTGGACTTGGCCGTGGCCGGGGAAGTCTTCTGATGATGATGCACCTGGGTGGACACCGGGTAGATCAAAGCTTGTCTGTTCTCCCGAGTGCTTGGCAAGTCTTTATATATACCAACAACTGGATGCAACTGGGTGCATCCTCGAGCTTTGCCATTCGTCCGCTTCATGTTTCCTGCCGAGGTTTTGTGGCCCAACATGAAGAAGCCAGGAACCGCAACGCCTTTTTCCGGGCATGTGCCTACACGCGCTGTGTCATCCTCGAACGTCCTCGTCACCATCAGCACATCGCCGCATAACTCTTCGGTCAGCACTAACCCGGGCATAGGTCCGGTTGGGGTTTCTCTGCCACTGGCTCCCTGCCCGTCGAACCTGTGATCGTCTGGCCGGCTTTTGGGCCCAAGCACATGGCCCTGCTCGCGGAAAATACGACACTGGCAGAGAAGCAGAGGCAATAGACCAAGCAATGAAGGCCTCTGATTGGCGCGCAAAGCAACCCCCCGAACGGAGGATCTTCGATTTACGTATGCACGAGACCACTTGACGGGCCACGGGCCTGCATACGTTACCCCACAAAGTGCCCGACTCATGCTTGATTTTAGGGTAGCACTGGACACGAGGAAGATGCCTCCAACTCGTAGCCAACTGCCGTGTCGGGAACGTCAAAGTGGACATTGCGTTTCCAGTAGTGCCCTTTGTTCCCCCGCTGCTAGCTAGCGCGTGTGTACACTTTATGCACTGCAAAAGGTCCGATGTGTCTTCCCCACGGCGGCATGGTGGGAAAAATGCAACGCTAGCACACATACACACACGTAAGCGGCTTTCCGGCTCATCAGCATGCTATGTTCACCGGGACGCGGAGCTAGGCGTTCCACCACCTGCCTTGGGGTACCTTTTCGTGCCGTTGACTGTGGTCGACAGTCGCGGGTACTCAATCGCACCAAGCTTTGCAGGTAAGCCGCGCCCTAGCGGGCTGGGCCGTCTTGCTTAATTCAGATTGGACAGCGGCGGCGCGACTCAGTAAGCCATGCTCAGCCGATCAGAGAAGTTTGTGCGAGGACAAGTGGCGCGGTCATCCGAACTAGCAGCATGGTGGATGACGGTTGGGTGCATGTATGGATGGACGAAGAAGCTGCGGGGAAAACAGAGGCGGCGACGCGACCCCTGGGCGTGATCATGAGCTCGACCCAGTGGAGGCTGGTGGAGATGGATGGATGCCCGAGGTCGTGGGTGATCGGCATGGCGCGCACGCGCGCTGGTCCTGGTCCTTTGCGGTCCACACAGAGCGCGAAGCAGCACGACTTACTACTGATGATACTACTGATTGGGTGCCATCACCAGCAACAAAGCGGTCCGGCCTGGTTCACTCCTCACGCTTCGATGAGAAGCGTCTTGATCCGACTGGTGCGATTCGCGCTGCGGGGAGGATCTCGGTTGCCGACGCTGCTGGGTGCATCATGCTTGCCCTTAGCCGCATTGTCGAAGTCGTTTTCTGCCCCTGGCTGGAATCAGTCACGTTCTTGAGCATGCCCGTTTCCCCTCTTGCGGCCTGTCTACAAGTTCAGCAATGACTCTGCACGCTGTTTTGGGGAAACGGAACTGGCCATTATCTGCTTGGTGAATTGAATGAGACCCAAACCCCTGCATCATGTGGTGGACCACTGTGTCGTCCAATTGTCCCTCGGCCTCTTGGCAGTCGTTCTGCCCTGGTTGAGCAGCGATACCTGTAACATCGGGCGGTGGACCACCAATTTGCGTTGCATCGCCATCCGATGGATGGAACTTGTTGTGGCCAGCCGCAATTGGGTCCACGATCCTGCTCGTGGGTGTTTCCCATAGGGCCCATAGGGCAGCTCCTCCGCTACCACGGTCTTCTGGTATGATGAATTATGACATTGTTGTGTGGATTGACTTGCTACCAGCGTGGGGGCTGCGGTATAAATGGGTTGTGGCAGGAGTCAGTGCACCTCAGCTTGGCACCACTATCTTCATTGGACTCTCTTGTGTGCCTTGAATCGCACAAAGTCAGCCACCAAAGGATGCCCGAAACGCATCCGTGCTCGGCACAAAGATCTGGGCCCAGGAAAAACCTGACGATAGGCCTATCTTTACCCCGGGTCGGTGGGCGGGCACAAAATGTAACAAGACTCAGCAGCTGACCCGACCCAGACGAAGGAGAGGATTGTCTTGGCTCTGGCAGCGGCGTGTGCTCATTCCACGTGCAAGCAGCGGTGGGCGCGCACGCTATAAATATCACCCCCAGTCCCGCCCCAGGTGAGTCGGGCTGTCCGGGGTCCCAGGGGTTTCATCGCGCCCGCCAAGACGATAGCCTCCCCCAGATAGTTTAACCCCGGCCTGGGCAAGCCGGTGCAGATATGCTTAATTCCCCCCAAAAATCCCTCTTGGCCTTGGCAGTGTATCATGGCTGAAACACTGCGTGGGCTGGAACATCTTCTCTCGCCTGCCCTTGCGCCAGAGCCTACAACAACGCGTGTTTCACCTGCCCTCGATGGGCCGACCCAAATCTGGGCACTTGGTGTGCACTTGAGCAAGGGGTGGCCCAGTGGGAATCAATAAAACCACTGCTCTAGTCCCGCGACGGGCCATCTGGGTTGCCAACCGACTATTCTCTTGTCCATAGTATATCCTTCTCCACGATTTGCTGGACACACGCGTGGGCACGGGCAAGATGACGTCCTTTCTGAGCACGATGCTGAGGAAGCCCTCCTTTTCAATAAACACCAAGGACACATCGTCCAAGTCCAGCCTCCAAAATGCAGCGGGCCCTCTGACACCCTCCACGGTCCCTCTGACCAAGACCATGTCGGCCACATCCACCGCGTCGACGTCGTCGCCGACGGGTCTGGAGCGGACGACGACGGCGGCGAGCACGACCGCCGCCATCGCCGCCGCTTCTGCCACGCCCAGAAAGCCCCGGAAACCAGAGATCACGACCCAGCGCTTCATGCCGCTCGACTTCAACATCTACAGCGCGCCCTCGGCCGCGCACCGGACCATCTCCAGCTTCGCGAGCCCCTTGACCCCCAAGTCTAGCACTCCACTTGTGAAAACCGGTGGTGCCAACACGAACAGCAGCGGCAACACCCTCGCTGCCCCGGCTAACACTACCACCGCTTCCGGCAGCAGCAAAACGAAGCCCCTTGAGCCGACGCACTACCTCGGCCCGCACCGCAAGGACCGGCTCTTTGGCATCACCGACAAGCACAACTCGCTCCGTGCCCGGCCGGGCCCGTTCCTGGTGCTGCACGACGGGCTCCAGAGCACCGACGCGGCGCTGGGCGTCGTGACCAACACGTACTCTGTCGGGGCGGAGGAAGAAAAAGCGCGCAAGGAGCGAGAGGCCGCCAAGGAGAAGAAGAAGGTCGACAAGGCCAAGCAGAAGGAGGAAGACGTGCTCAACAAGACCAAGTCCCGAGAGGACCGGGCGCAGCTGAAAGCGGACGAGGCGCAGCGGAAAAAGGCCGAGAAGGAGGACAAGGAGCGGCGGCGGGAGCAGCAGCGGCTCACGATGATCCAGACGAGCGGGTTCTGGGACGCGTATACCATCAGCGTCATGGCTTACGGCGAGGACGTGAGCGGGCTGTTTGTCACCGAGAACCTGCGCGCCCTGCAGGTCGGCACGAGGCTCGAGCCCCGGACCGTGCTGCGGTTCGCGATGGACGCGACGGCCGCGTTCGCGCCCGACTGTGCGGTGCTCAGACGCTTGCAGAAGAAACAGTCCAAGAGTGGCGATGGGGCCGGCGTCGTGCCGTCGTCATCGACGTTGACGTTGCCAAGGCAAGAGTTTGAGTGGTACGAGGCCTTCACGCCAGTGCCCGGACCAGGCTTCGAGCCTCAGAGCGAAGGCTGGCGGCTGGTTGCGCGGGGCAGGGATGATTCACGGGGTGAGCCCCTGGCAATGTGCGTGCCAAACAGCCGCTCGCGGAACAAGGCTCTGCACTTTGAGTTTGTGGGCGAGGGCAAAGTGGCGGGCAAGTATGGCGTCTCGTGGGAGCTGATGGCCATCATGTCAGGCATGGTCTTGTGCCATCGGCTAGTCGAGATTGGGGGAAGCAGTGGCTAAGCATGTCGTGTGCTTGGGTTGTACATTAACTAGCGAAAAACAGCATTTGCTTTTTTGAAGCACGCATGATCACAAAATTTCATCATTGTTTTGAGCCCCTAGCATGTCCTTGCGAGTCTTGCGTGTCTGTCTGTGGTGTTTCTCGCTGTAGGTGAAATAAGCAGCTATATCGAGCCCTCTCCTATCACGATCTCGTGATTCCCCTCGATTTCCCCCCTAAAGAGCACCGAATAAGGAGAGGCCCCTGACCCCGACCCCTGAATGCCGCCAGCTACACAAACAAGCCGCACAATAGCACTCGATGATATCAAACCCGTGCGCAGGCTCTGGCCAGTTCCCCACAAACGTCGTCCATGTAGAGTTGTGCCTTGGCGACACCGACCATGTGCATAAACGGGTGTGGTACGCCGGTGTACCTACGCATGGAAACGCGGACGCCGTTCCCAGCCAGCCGCCGGGCGTACTCCTCGCCCTCGTCGCACAGCGGATCCAGTTCGGCCGTGGCGACAAACGTGTCGCACAAATTCGCTAGGCTGATGCTGTGCCTGATATCCTCCTTGTCCTGGCTCTTGTTCGGTGCACGCCCACCGCCTCTTCCGAACAAGGGGCTTGCGATGGCCGGTTGTTTAGAGAAGAGGACGTCGCGCTCCTGAGCGGTTTTTGGCACGTAGTGGTTCCGGAAGAAGAACAGGCGCGCCCAGTCGAGGCAGGGCGCGTGCTGGTTCGTGGTCATGGAAGGGAAGGGTGAGTCGGTGGGCTGCAAGTAGTCGCCGTGCCAAACTGTCGCAGGGACTGCCAGGATTGCTGTAGGCGGGTTGCAGTGTCGCAATGTGTCAGTACGGAGATGGATCAGTTGTAAATGGGAAGCCCACGGAACTCTCAAGGGAAAGACTGATGAGCGCAGGATTGTGTCAGGCACCTACCGAGGCTCAGTGGGATACCAGCATCGCGTGCCATTTGTTGCAGCGCAGCACAGATGTGGCCACCAGCAGATATGCCACCTATGGAGATTGCGTCACTTCGAACATTGAGACTAGGGCCGTGGTCATGAATCTGTTGGCCAGGGAAAGAAGAGTCAGCTCTGCTCATGTGTCTCTAAGGCGATTGCTAGCAAAGAGGAAAAGTCATGGGCTTACCCATCGAAGAGCTGCGAACGCATCGTCATGCCCCTCACCAAAGGCATGCTCTGCCCGCAGGCGAGGAAAGGTCAGATTGCAGCGCTCAGTATCGAAGACATTCTGACATACCTGGGGACATTCTGTAATCCACATCGGCAACCATGATGCCCAGCCTGTTTCGAATTGACAAGCACAGCGCAGCATCGCCTGTGAGGTCGCCATAGACCCAGCCGCCGCCTGCCACGATATTGATATCAGCATCACAACACAATCCTGACAGCTCACGAGACTTGACATACCATGGAAATTGATATAGATCGGGTATGGCCCATGGCCGTATGGAGAGGACTCCGCATCAGGAGTGTACAGACGCACGGTGAACTCGTGCCCATCGTCCGCCTTGATCGCGATGTCCCGGACAAAGTCCTCGCCGCTCAAGTCCCGGTTCCACACGGCATGGTACTTTGCCGGATTGGCGCGGACGTCCGCGACAGTGACGCCATGAGTTGCCGGCTTGGTTGCAATGAATTCTTTCCAGTACGCGATGAAGTCTGCATCAAGCCTGTCTACCATGTCGGGGTGCAATTTGGGGAGCAAGGGGTTCGACTGGCCATTTTGCTCCTTGTCGCTCGGCGGTTCTGGGATGGTGGTTGCTGATGGGGCCATGTTGATCGTGTCTCTGTGTCCTTGTTGGTGTACAGGTGTCGTGTACACACATCAAACTGTGCCTGATGCGAAGTTATGTACCCATGTGAACCAGTGGCACGCCAATATCTAGTGGCACGCCTGGGGCTGTTTGTGACTACCACAACCAGCCTCCCCCAGTTAGGGTCGGCTGCCATCGGGAGAGCCGACCACCAATATCGGATCCCCTATCTCCCGAGGCCAAGCTGAAAGAGAAGCCGATCTTTCATCACTGTCACTGCCATAATTGGTGTCCGAGATCCATAGCAGGAGGCTCAACCTGGCCGAGGACGCCAGCGTCCGTGCTCTGCTCGACAAGGCCACTGTACGACCAGCCACCTGCTAGTGACGCCCAGACAGAGTGCAGGGTCTCGTGCTTAGCCATGGGGTCCGTGGCGATCATGCGGATCGAGGCACACAGGTGCGGCACCCCAAAGTCTATTAGGAACCCATCCCCAGGACCAGGCCGGTAGTCGCTTTCGTCATCGGCGGCGGCGTCGTCGTCATCTTGTCGTCTATCCTCGCCGTCATCTGCGTTCATCCCAGACTCGCCGGTTTCAGGGGAGGCTGTAGGCTCATCAGGGACAAGGCCGAAGTACGCGGCGCGATACGTCAGCCGCATCATGCGGAGCGAGGCAAGCCACTGGCGGGCAGCGCTCCAAGTGTCTGTCCACGCCTCAACCGTTGAGCATATCGCGTCGAAAGACTGCTCTGCATGCCGGACCGTGTCCGAGTCCGCGTACTCTGGGTCCCGCGCGTACTGCACCCACAGCAGCGGGTTGGCTGCCGCGAGGACCGCCATGGCAACCCAGACAGACTGGAGGAGGTGTCGGTTGTGGTGGTGGTGGCCCTGAGCAAGCAACAGGCTCAGCATGTCCCCCACAGCAAGGGCATTGGCGACACACGTGGCGACAAGGGTCGCCTCACGATGAAGCAGAGACCAGCCGGCAGCGTCAACAGCGTCGAGCAGGATGGACGAGCCGTCGAGCTGGGGCAGGTAGCACTGGTGGGCGACACAGAGCGCACTGCGCAGGAGAAGGTGCATCGCCACAAAGGTCGGCCCCTGGCCATGACCGAGGCCCTCGAAGCTCGCGAGATTCTCTGCGGACCAGAGCAGTCCCTCGGGTAGTGCGGTCGCCCACTGATTCACGGCTGCGGTGCGCCGGGCGAACTCACTGCGCGGGTCTGTCGGAGGCAGACCGTCCCGGAGCCGGCGGTGGAAAATGTCCAACTCAGCCATGTCGCTCCACAGCCGGGCCGTCCGCAGCCAGAACGGCGCGAGGCCCAAGTCGGACGGGCGGCTGGTACCGTCCCTTATTCTGGCCTCGAGCATCTCGACGACGCCCTGGGTCTCCTCGCGGTAGGCGAGAGAGGCGTCCGTGCTAGGCAGGGCGATGCCGAAAGACATGGCGGGAATGGTGCGCGGCTTGCTGAGCAGAAACGCGAGCAACTGGTCCAGCTGCATGCAGGCCCAGAATGTACGCCGTCGACACTCGCGCTCCCGCAGACCGTGTCGCTGGTGATACTCTTTGTTGAGCCGCATCGCCTGTCCCATCCGGATCGCCGTCCCGGCGTACATCCAGTGCCGCGATCCGGAGTTGCTGAGCAGCTCTGCGAGGGCCAGGACGAGGTGGCCCTGCGTGTTGCTCACTGCTTTCGCATTAGCTTGGACTGGGCAGCGATAAGACAGGGCATGGATGGAAGGGGGGCTGAACCTACCGCTCGGCTGATCCGACGACTGCCTCGCCATGGCCCGGGCCATGGGCACGTAACGAGCCAGAATGTCCTCCCCTGAGGCCAAGCCAAAGTCTCGCTGTGCTTCTTGTGGCGTTAGATAACGGGCGCACAGAGCAACAATGGCCAAGACGAGGAATTGATGCTGTGAGTAGTTCTCCTCAAAGCCCGGGCGGTACAGGAACGAGCAGAAGTCGCTGCAAAGATGCCGTTCGTAGAAGAGAGAGAAACAGCGGTCCAGTGCTCTCCTGGCCGGCAGTTCCGGGCTTGTGGCCACGACGATGTTGCTCGATGCCGGCGTTGCTGCTGCATAGACTGCCCCCGGTGCAGGCGCCGACGGACTCGTGGCCACGAATTCATCTGGTCCGTCAATACTGGGGGTTGGATATGGCCAGCTGCAGAGAACACCCTTGGCCTTGCAGTACCGGCAGCGTGGGCGCGACCCATCGCATTTCGTCTTGCGTCGCCGGCAAGTCGTACATGCCTGCGGGGTCCGTCTCGTCGGGGCCGACGGGTTAGTGGTTCCGGCCATGATTGCAGGTGAAAGCTTGCCTGAGTCCACTTCGAGTGTCAACGCGCAGTCAAGTAGTTGAGACAGGGAACAAGAGTGATTTGGAACGGATGAACACATAGGTCAAGGCATCGGCTTCGTGGAGGTGGCTCAACGGGACGATTTCGGCTTATCCGATCTCACTGGGTTCGAGCCTATCTCTCTAGTCTGGGGTAAAACGGGTCCCAACCCAGTGGGAAAGGCCCTCGTCCTGGGCGCCTGGAGACGCTAGGCAAGCCACAACCAAGGAGCACTCAACGACATAAAGTCCACTCTGACCATCGATGAAGGGATTTGTTGCTTCAACCGTGCAGCATGAATTTTGTTGCGTCGCACTTGGAAAAGACAACTTCAGATTCCCAACCTTGAAACATGGAGAGCCAACGCAAATCACCCGAAAAGGGCCTCGAGCTTCAGGACACGTCCGCAAGTGTCGGCGGCGGCGGCATGGATCAGGTTGCGGACCCGGCGGCTGTTCGTTCTCTCAAACGCAAGGCTGACTGGATCCTCCTGCCCATTCTGAGTTTTGCGTATTTGTGCAAGTATGTCGCTCTTGCGTATTCGTCCAAAATCGGGGAATGCCTTTTCCGCTAACGGCGTGCTCTCCACACAGCTCCTTGGATCGCTCTAACATTTCCAATGCTCACACAGCCGGTTTGGAAGCAGATGTTGGTCTCGTGGGCAACCAATTCAATCAGTGAGCTCCTCTGTTGCTATCGGGCGTGGCGTTCATCGGCGTGCCAACTGCTGACCGCACAAACATAAAGACTCCTCACCTATTACCAGATCGCATTTGTTCTCCTAGGTCCTGTGGTCTCCCTGGCTACGAAGCTGCTTGGTGCAAAGTACACCATCTCGGGTATGCTGTTTGTCTTTGGAATCGCCTCTCTTGCCACGGGGTGGGCCAGGACCTTCCAGACGCTCGTCGTGTGCCGAGTCTTTGTGGGCGCGTTCGAGGCCGGATTCCTCGGGTCGTAAGTCTGAGAATGACTCCCCGCCACGACTGATGTCCAAAGAAACTGGTATCTGGGAAGCTGACATGCACCAACTAATATGTACAGCGTCATCTACTATCTCTCGGTGTGGTACACCAGAAAGGAGCTGGGCAGCCGCCTGGGCATCTTTTATGGGTCGCTGGTTGCCTCATCCGCCTTTGGCGGCCTGCTGGCTTACGGCATGTTCCAAGTCAAACCTGGGCCCGGCTACTTCCGGTGGTCATACCTCTTCTTCCTCGAGGGCGGAATGACCACCTTGTGGGCTGTTGTGTGCTTCTTTCTCGTGCCCTCGGATACTCAATCGGCATGGTTCCTCAACGAGGCCGAGAAGCAGGCGGCCAAAGCAAGGCTGCAGAAAGACTCTGTCGAGACCTCCGAGGGCAACTTCAACCTCGGGCAGGCGCTCTCCGAGTTTAAAACCCCCCATGGCTGGATACGCATCGTGATTGTATTCGTTGCCGGCACGGTGCTGACTTCCAACGCTAATTTCCTGGCCATGGTTGTCACGCGGCTCGGGCTCAGTGTCATCCAGACCAATTTGGTAAGTTGGCTGTCCGGTCCTCTTGCAATTCTCCCGTCGGCTCTTAAAAGATACAAAACCTAGTCCTTACGCAAGTTTGATCCACCTAGTACACCGTCGCCCCAGCGCTGACCGGCGCTGTTGTTCTCATCGCATACTGCAAGTCGTCCGACCACTTCCGCGAGCGTGGCGACCACATGGCAGGCTCCTTCGTGGTCAGCTTGGTAGGCTATGCACTGCTCTTCACCATCGACCCGACAAACACCTCTATTCTCTACTTTGCCATATTCCTCTGCACGCTTGGCGTAAGTCATCGCCCTCCTCCGTTCCGTCTCCCATCCTTGTTCACAAGTCAAACATTCAAGAGAACGGCTACTGACATCATGTGCCCTCTGTGCCCCATGAAACAGGCCTACCCAAGCACCCCTCTCGGAGCCGCCTGGCTCGTCGCCAACATTCCTGACCTCAATGCCCGCGCTCTGACCAGCGGCGTGTACATTGCCGCCGCCAATTCGGCGGGATTCCTCTCGAGCAACATTTACCTCTCCGCCGAGGCGCCGCGGTACGTCACGAGCCTCCGCGTCAACATCACCATGTGCTGTCTCGGCGCCGCGGCCACGACAGCTTACGGAACCTGGATGCGCTGGGAGAACCGCCGAAGGGATCAGAAGTACGGAGGTGGGGTGGCTGGTGATACTAGCTCTGGGTGATGCTGGCAACGTGGCTGGTCATGACCACCAGATTGAAGAGTCTGCATCCGGGATTGCTAGTTCCCGTGACCCGCGTTTCCGATTTCAGCTGTAGCTTCGTGTTTGATGAAGCTGGGAGCCCATACTTGACGTCGTTCAGGCTTGCCGCACGCTATTTGCGGAGGTCATCAGTGTGAATATCCTGTGCGGTCTCTCCGTTCATTGTATTTACAGCACTAGGCGCGGGACATAACAATACATATTCTAGGCAGCAGCAATTGTAGCAGGCATAAATACAAATGAAAGTGCGCTCGTCGACAACGGGCTCACAACCTGGCCATTTCGCGCAGATCCCATACCGCAGCGAAGGACGCTGCCGCCATCGGATTAAAATTGTTCGCTACTTGCACGATGACCTGGAATGTAGGGCCGGGGACATTATCCCAAAGAACCTTTTCCACATTGTCTGTACGGCACAATTTAGTAATTCAATCCCTCGTTGGATAATTGGGTTTGCACTTACTTGTGTTGTCGAATGTATCCCCGCCATCCTTGCCCATATTTCCATGCCTCTCAACACCCCCTGATCTGACGATTAAGTTCATCGAGTTCTGCAATAGTGCGCCGTGCAGGTCCGGGTACGCCATGGTGACCACAAGGCGTCTCCTGCCTCCACCACGCAGTATCTCAATCTCGGCGCTCTCCCACCTCTGCAATTCGGGAGGTCCGAGCTGCACGAGACCAGGAACGTCGAAGCTTGTTGCATCCCTGTTAGGGTTCGATTCACCTCTCAGACCTCCACCGTCGATGAAAGACCCATTGTGGATCATGGCGATGGAACTGTCGACAATGACTCTGCCGAAGCCTTGCTCATAATCGTACCCAAAGCCCGGGCCGACTATGTTACTGAAGTTGATCGCGCCGTTGACGAGAAGCGCCTTGATCAAAGCGGCACTGGGATGCTTCTTGCCTTGCGTCTTTTCGAGGGCTTCGCGAAGGAGAGCGACGCAGCCGGCGACTAGTGGCGTGGCCATACTGATTGGATTTGATCGTGTTAGTGTTTCTCTGGTTGAGCGTGCAATGATTGGGGCCAAGAACGAGACGAGGAGAAGCTCACCTGGTCCCGCTCAGGAACATCCAATCATTGTCCTTGGAGATCCCCCCGGACTTCCTCTCTGGATCTCCAATAGGTAATGCGCGAGAAGCCGCCGACAAGATAGCCACACCCGGCGCCACCACCTCAGGCTTGATACGCCCATCCGTACCTTTCAGAGGCTTCGTTGGCCCGCGGCTGCTGAACTCTGCCGTGTCGTTGATCCCAGTCGCCGCTTTGGCCCTAGGCTTGTCGTTATACTTCCATGCGTTGTTGGGCCGAGTGGAGCCGCAAGCGCCGACGGTGATGGCGTTCTTCGCAGCGGCCGCGGCACCGATTTGACTGGGGAACTTTTCGCGATTGCCGGTTCGATTCGCATTGTTGCCAGCGGCGAGAAGGATAATGAAGTCTTCGTGGGGTGGGAACTGGCCTTCCAAAGAAGCAGCAGTACTTCCGTACACGAAGCGGTCAATGTTGGTCGCTTGTTCATTGTAGTCAGGTTGACCGTCTACGTCTGACCAACCCTTGGCCCAGGAATTGCTGTGTATACGGATGCCTAGATTATAGGGTTTTGCGAACAAGTCTTTGGACAGATCTGCGGGCACTCCGAGCTGTCTGGGCTCCGGCTTGGCAATGGACTGAACCATGATCTGTGAAGCAGGCGCGGTGCCTTGGACTGGGATCTCGCCATGGTCTGGGTCCTTGTAGATACCACTACCACAAACAGACGCGCACACGTGCGTGCCGTGGCCATGTGTGTCACTCGCATCATCCACTTTGTGAAGGGACTCTATAGCGAAGATGCGGTTCTCAAAAGCAGGGTGGCACTCGGTGTCTGATGGACCCGTGCTCTTCTTGCCACGGTCGATGCCTGTGTCCGCGATGCAGACTATCTGTCCTTCGCCTTGGTAAGTCGAGGATGACATGGCCATGCCACCATCGCCGGCCATCATGAGCAAGGTGCCCCGAGCTTTGTCATTGGCAATCTCATCGGCGTGGACTCTCTCAATTCTGTTGATGCTGTCGAGCTTGGCTAGTGCCTCGAGCTTCTCCTGGTTTACAACCAGTCGGATCTTCGCCTCGCTAACGTGGAGCTCGTCGATGCTTACCCCGGCGGCTTTGGCAACATATCTGGCGAGCTCCTCCGCGGTGACATTGGGCTTGTGGTGCAGTATGCAGTCGACTTCGTAGTGGTCTTCATCCTTCTCGGTCTCCACAGCTGACTTGGGTGCATCCGTGGTCTTGAGCTCGCGCAGGTAGCTAAAAGTCTTGGTCAATAATACATCCGCCGGGCAACATTTCTCTCGAAAAGGCTTGCTCACATGATGGCACTTTGGACGTAAGTCTTTCGTTCCAGGACCCCAAGATCCTTTGGCTCGTACCGGCATAGGTAGGTCCGCTCGCCGACATATTCAAGAAACTCGACACCGAATTTGGCCAACTCGACCTTTTCTAGTGCACTGAAAGTCTCATTCTTGCTTTGAAGCAGTATGAAGTTCGTCCCTGCCGCATCTCGTGGTATGTGGGATGGGATGTCTCCTGGCACAACCTTGTTGCCGTTGACCAGGATCGGGTCTGACATGATGGGGCGGGGCGTCCACTACGGATGTGGTCGGAAGGGGATGACAACAAGGCTTGAGGGCTGCAGAAGACCCAAGTCAGATACGGACCGAGGGGGACATGAGATCTGGGAATGGTCGTCAATCGGTTCTGTTTCGCAATATAGACGGCGATTATGTCCTTGTTGGTCCCCTGTCCAACCACATTCCCCCCAAGGAGCATGGACCTCCAAAAGAGGTCGCCACCTGCGCGCTAAGGGGGAAGGATGCTTCCAGGCCTGAGGTCTTCTGGCCTGCTGAAAGCTGAATTTCAGGCTAGTTGAGCATTGGGGACCCACGATCCGGGCCGCCCCGCCCCGTCCCCGGACGCGTGGAACTTTCCGTCCGCCCAGCCAGCCACAAAACGGCCATCACTGCTGGATCTGGCAATCCCCACATTCTATGTCGTGAACAATGGACCCGCGCTGGCGGTAGATCGGTCCAGGCACGCTTGCGGGTAAAGGCTTTGTTCATTCAGCCACTTAAGACGCAGCGTTTGGTCGCACTGTCATCTAGAGCGACCAGGAGCATTCCAGCTGAACATGCACACACTATTGATCACAAGTACAGCCAGGAGAGGCAGTTCATAGGTCCGGAAGGGGTCGTGGAACAGCCAGGCATATGGCTGGCCCAGCGCTAGAGCGGGCTACCTCCGCACCGTCCCTAACAGCTCGGCTATGTGGCTGTGAACTGCCACGATCTAGAATCGCGTTCGTGCAAGCATGGGATTTCAGGGCCTAGGCGCTAGAATAGATGTGCGCTTCATCGTCGGCAGTACTTGGCTTCTGGGGCCGTTCGCCATGGTGCAAAGTACCCCGAAACCTTGGCGTAAACCCTAGTCGAGTCTCTGCAGTTATCGTGCCTGGGGCACGCTAGGTTTTCGTGGGAAACCATACACGAATTCGTTTCTACAGAATGGTTTCTACAGAATATCGCGTGACTGTCAGGCGGTGAAGAGAGTCAAAATCACGCATTGAGAGGATTGGAGAGATTCGCGACTGCAAGCTAGGTGAGGGCAGCCGTATCTTCCCCACGATCGGCATGAGCTATACTGGCAAGCTTGCCCTGCTACATGGTTTGGGAAAGAGGCTTGGGGCGTGTCCTCATTCCATAATGCTGCGACGTGTACCCAACGTCAGTGTTCGGTGACGAGTAGTGGCCGGAACAAAGACATGGTCACCCAGTTTCACACAGGTTCAGGTCCGCATTTGCGAGAAGTATCAACAGTAAGTCTAGATTTCAGATATTATGTGCAGAAGGATGCCCAGATATCTCGCCGGGGCGGTCATCAATTGACCTCGCTGTTTGCCGGCGTGGCATCTTGCGCAATCTCAAAGACGCCATCCAGATACTCGCGCACGCCTCCCTGTCCATCCCATGACGCTCCACTGAACCTCAACTTGGCCAAGCCGATACATCTGTCCACTGCATCGCGGCATCCAATCAACTGGTCCCACTGATCCAGATCACGCAAGTCCGACGGGTTCGGCACCCCATCGCTACCGTGATCGTAGTGGGCGTGTTGGTGATCATCTTGGCCATGATAAGTGTGGAAGTTCTTAATTGGCCCCCAGCGATCAGTGACCCCAGGTCGGAAAGTAAGGGGGTCTGTTTGTGTACTTCCTGTCAGTCATGTTCGCAGGTCGCTCGAGTGAACCACAGATTGTTGATACATACCTTGGCTAATTATGTCCCCGCCGTTTATCGGCACTCTGCGTGTATGGCCGATGGCGAAAGAGTCCTGGATGACGTGGAACATGCTGCCCAGCGCGCGGCGGCGGATGTCGAGATTGGAGAAGGTCGACTTGGGTGCGAGCATGTAGCTGAGAGGGTGGAATCGGGGCGGCAGAGAACCACCCATTGTTCCCGCAGGGGGAGCAAGTAATTGATCCAGCTTTGTATCCTTTGGCTTGGTATCAGGAGTGATGCCGTCCTCCCCTTTTGAAAGCTTGTACATGACCTCCATCCATGTCATGATTTTGCGCTTCGTCTCGTGCGGCGACTCCCCTATTTTTGAGGCCATGCAATGGAGAAACTGCAAGTCGCCATAGTGGGATCGTCCAATGGGATTGCGCCAGCGCTCACCGTGCAGCGGTTGGTCCCATTGAGATTTGGCATTACGATACTCATTCCACCATTGCAAGCCCCATGCATATGAGTGATTCTCGGAAGAAGTATCATCGAACAGCAGGCCAGCGGGGTCATCGTTCCAGATGACACCACGAACAAATTCCCAGTCCCCATTAGTTGCAGACTTGAGGGAGCGGGTGGAGGAAACTCCTGAGGCATCGACGGACATGAGTGCAGAAAGTGTGATGGACTCGTGGATAGGCTGGTTATACACTCCACCTATGGACCCAGCTACAGCCATTGCTGTTTCGTCCTCTTCGGCTGGCTTGTCCGATTCCGATCCACGATTCTTGCGAGCCTCCGCATAGAAGTCAGCGATGGCTGAGTCTTCGGCTTCTAGGTAGGACGGCTCTACCATGGTCGAACTCATGGTGTAAAATGTGCAGTGGAGTATGAAAGAACTTGGATGATTGGCGTCGCGCGTGTGTAATGTGAAAGCGAATGAGAATTTGCAGGTGGACAATACGGGCGTCGTGTCGGCTTGTATATATGGGATCTGCAGTGCCAGGTGGGAAGACTTATCTGGGCCATCACATCCGCTTTGCACTCCAAACGTGAATCAAGGCCAGTCAGTACAGTCAAAGCGAGTCCTCAATTGGAGCCAAAACCTCTGACAAGGCCTGGCAACAAAGCATTATCGTGGCGCTCTTAACACTGTATACTTTCATCGATTGTATACGGATCTAGACCTTCGCTCGCACTATTGCGCCCCTCCGATCTGTATGTGCCTGCACCCCATGCAGTCGTAATCAGCTTGGCTGAACTTGGACTCAGCTGTCGTGAAGGGCGCCACATGTAGTAGCGCAGTCTCAACCTACTACCGAGTTCAGCTGCCTCCAACGGCCTAGCCAAGCCTAGACCAGTCCGCACGGGGCTGGTTCGGGCCGCGCCGCCAAATGTGGAATGGGCTATCCCGTACTCGTGCTGCAAGCTGCACGCTTGACCACGGTCATAAGTGGAGTTCACCATGCAAGCCGCGCGAAAGAATACTTGGACGAAGGCTGCAAAGAATCCGGCCCAGTCCGGCCACTCCGCGTGTGAGCAATAAATTTACTGATTGGTGTGGTCGAGACTGAAATGTGACTTTCAGCGCTGCATAACATGCATTAGAATGTACAGAACGACGCAGGAATGGAAAGCACGGCTGTCTTGCGCTGTCTATAAAAGACCCCCAATTCCCCGTACTTTGAGCTACAAAGCCGACTTATTCATTCATCAACCGTTCTCACAATCAAAATCATCTCCTCTTTCAACTCCAAGAAGCACCTGAACCGTCCTCCATACACATATATCAGCCCCTCTATCAGTCTTGATCATTCCCAAAATGGCGACGATTAATGAAACCGCTCAAAATGTTCCCGACAGTACCGAGGGAGGCTGGCAAGAGCTCACCAACAACAACGGCGAGAAGTTCATGGTCAAGGCCGAGAACTATGATATCTCCGCCCAGAGCGACAACGATGCCGTGGCAGCCAGTGGGCCTCCATTCGACAACTTACGCGTCAACTGGAACCCCAACAATGAGGGTGTCACGACTGAGGAGGAGCAGGAAATCTCCGGCATTACCTACTGGAAGTTGCAGAAGTCACCGTGGTGGAACACAGTCTATCAGTGGCAGTTGACCGTATCAACCCGGGATACCTACCACTACTACTTCACTGATGCTTCCGGTCACGTTGAAGACCTCAATGTGTATCAGAACGCTGGCACCCACTGGATCTCATGGAACTCCCCTAACCCGGAGGTCGTGATGATCTCTGGTCGATGATAATGTTAAATATCGGGGACAGAGACGGTCAATGCACAGAGTTTGGCCTAGAGAAGGTCGTGTTTAATGTATACAAAGTTAAAACGAGTACTTTCAATGTCTTGCAGAATATTTCAACACCCACAGAGTCAATGAAACAAGTGTTTTTTCCTAGTAAACCATAACTGGGGTGAACAACCACAATAATCGAGTTCATAACGGGGTCTTCAACTTGCCAATACACGTAAATACAGTTGGAAGAATCATCGATATGTTTACCAGAAGTACCAAGACTAGAAACAGGTGGAATAAAAATGGATCAAAACTGCCATAACAAATGTCTGTTGATCGTACTGGAACTTGTGGCAATATCAACGCCGTGGCAAACACATCGAGGATCAAGCCGAAGGTCGACTGTGCCCTGTCCGCGGAGATAGTCAGCGTAGCAGAGAATGTACTTGGCACACTTGTATTAATAATAACAATCGGAGCCGCTGTAATATCCGCACTAGGTGGCAATATTTCAATGGATTGCGTACTAGGAAGTATTGCTGGGCACTTCTCAACAAGGCTAGTTAGGGTGTAGTAAGGGTGACATGAACTACAGGATATATAGAGCGAACACGACCCGCCCTGTTTACCCTGGAACGGACTCCGTCGTCCCAGCTACGGTAACGCAGATTGTCCTTGTTCCCTTTGACCTGCGAGGTCTTACATACCATGACTTCAGCATAGTCTCGTGTTGCGGGCCGTATACAACCATCCACTCTAAAGATGCAGCATCTGGCTCCGCTGTCGCTCGCTCAACCTTTTTCGCTTTCCAGATGTCGTCACGCATACTCATAAGCCAGGGGTGAACAGCTATAAATTTTGCTGGAGTGTTAGCTTGGCAAGTATGGGCGGGGGCTCGAAGAATTGTTCTGAACTTACTGCTTATATAGTCCTTGACAGTTACGAAATCATTGCCAGGAGAAGGTACTTCTGTTATTTTCAGTTCAGATTTCCCCACCGGCCGGTCCTCTCCACAACTACATCGGATAAGACACTTTGTATCATCAGTGCAAATATAGTCGGGGGCTCCCGTTTCCCAGATGCTCGGATCCACGGCGCTATTACTGCCAAGGTCCCCATAGCGGACCCATCCCCCATCATCGCTTTCACAGTTGTCGTCGTGGAATTCCCTATGCGTCCAAACCCAATTACATTCCAGCATTTCGAGGTCCAGGCTGGAAGCATTGATAGACGAGACCTTGGGTTCGGTCAAGGGCAAGTGTGCAATCTCGTGCCATGTGCCGCCGCCAGCGTCGCCATCGGGGACTGATGGGTCATCGCCTTGTTGCCCCTCCTCGGCAGGCGTGAAGAATGGTTCGACGTCCTCTTCGACCCACTTGACGCGCGCGACGGAAACGCACTCGGGGAAGTCGCCACGGAAATGCCAGAAGAGGCGCCAGGTGTGTGGTGCAAATCGGGGAATGGGAGGTCGGGCGAGAAATTCCTCTACCGTGGAGCCTGGAGCTTGGTCGTGTCGGTTGTAGAGCTCTTCCCACGAGGGATACGGAGGCTGGTCTTCTTGTTGGTCTGCCATCGCGTGCGCTGTGGCTTATATCTGGCTGCTTGTTGACATGTATGCTTGAGTGCAAAGAGAACGGAAGGGACAGTGGCATTTGACAAGAGATACATGGCTTTCAGGGAGGAGGCCGAGTTCTTTTGTACTTGAGTATGCCCCACTGTAGCCCCGACCTTTCAGGCAGACACGCACTATGCTCCATATATTTCTAGAGTCCCCTGTCATGTCTGTAAAAGCTTGTATCGCTTGACTGGTGGTGGTTGCCCCCAGGGGCTGAATTAGCACGTGCCCCTCTACAGGTCTCTCATGATGGACAGCTCGTCTACCTGGGCAACGTTTGTAGGTCACACCAGGCCAGGATAGCCCGATCTCGCAGTAGTCCGTCGTCGCGCGGCTCATACGGCGTGGACATTTGCGATACTCGGAGCTAGTAACAGCGCTTTATTTTTCCGTTCGCATTATCCATGCTTGAAAAGTCTGTTATATGCCCTGCTCGGCTCAACTGCGCATTACCAGAGGCGCCAGGAGTGTGCATGATGAGACCTCTTGTAGATATCTATGAGACCATCTATAGCGAGGACGATCTCAGCAAAATCGAGCAGATGTGCTAGAGTCGTAGCGAGAAGGGTACGCCATGACCCTACCTCTTCGTCTGTTTGTCTACAATACAGGTTACTCAAACGCAGGTCCCAATGCTTCCAATCCGGCGCAATGCTGATCTAAAAGCGGGCCTTTCCCAAGCGTTGTCCATGTTCAATATTCAACGTGCTCATCACGAGCGCCGTCACTTCGTCTGCCACACCCCAACTAATCTCGAAGCCTCGTCCGCCGGCACCATACGCATGGACAACAGGCCGGGTCTTCTTCCCGGACTGGGTGTCCGCCGCAAACATGGGCTGGTGCTCAACCTCGATCCTCATCCCGCCTTCCCGCGTTGGCCTCCGGCCCACGACATCCATTATGACCCGCGAGCCCGCCAGACCCTCCGCCACGACCTTATTCCCCAGAGCCACGGAGGCGGACGCGAGCAGCTGATCGCGCCTGCCCGTAGCTGGCTCCACCCGCCAGTCTCGAACCTCCTTGGTGCCACCTACGATAGTCCCGCCCCCGAGGAAGCGGGGGATGATGAACGTCCAGGCCCCGTCACGGTGCTGGCGCGTGACGGTCTCTCCGTTGCCCGTCCAGCTGGTCAGAACTGTCTGGCCCCGAGTTGGAAAGCACTCTGGGTCGCCGAACCCAGTCCCACTGGCATTGACGACGAGGTCTACCGTGTCCTGTGATGACAATGATGACGACGAGCCCGGGAACAGGTCGAACGCCTCGTCTACGCTTTGTAGCTGCCGTCTTTCCAGCGCAACGCCGCCCTCGCTTAGGAACTTGCGCAGCAAGCTGGCACAATATACCGGCGGATTTATGCAATACGTCTGGTACTCGAAGCCAAAGCCAACGCCCAGTGGCAGCTCGAATGTATCGTGGCCGCATCGGCGCGACCCGGACAGCCGCCTGTAGCCGGTCAGCCCTGTCTCTGCCTCGAACGAGGTCTTTGTCTGTGCCCGGTATGCCTCGCTCGGCGCCTCGAGAAACTCCCGGCCCGTGCACCGCGTGACGCCGAGCATCCAAGCCTGCGGCTGGTGAGCCAGGCTGCCAGAACAGCCTTGGTCGAAGTGCCGGACTGTGTCTTTGAGCCACGCCGCTTCGCAACGCAGCTGTGGCGTGTCCCCCGGGATGGGCCTTACGTGGGCGCCAGCCCACATCGATGCGTAGTTGACTGACGGCGGAGAGTCGGATGGCGCCCCTGCCACGGCCTGGGGGAACTCTGCGGCCACAATGACGACTTGATATCGGGTCCCCCCTTGCTGCTGTTGCTGCTGCTGCTGCTGAGCAAGACGTGTCTGGATGCTCAGAGCGCAGCTGAGACCTATAACACCGGCGCTGTGGAGTGGTCGGGGTAAGTTAGCATGCCAGAGTTTTGCCACGGTTGCCAGGGATCGGGATCATCACTCAGGGGAGATTGGCCTACCCAATGACGACTACTTTTCTGTCCATGGTCTGCCGTGCCGTTCCGATCGTAGTCAATTGGGCGAGAGGTATCAGCTGTCTTGGGCGAAAGAAAGGAGAACAGATACTCTGTTTCACTTATTGGTTGACCAGACTGTGGAAGCTGAACGTAAGATCAGTAAGTACCCAGATGGAAGACTGAAGCCGCCTAGGGACATTCATATATGGCGGCTTTCCAGCTCGCGGAGCGCAGATAATTTGTCTTTGACATAGAGGTCATGGCGTATTCGACGACTGTGATGTCGGCTTGTAGCCGGAGGTCGGCGCTTGGCCGCCACAGCCGATGAGCCAAAGCATAACTCATCGGAATTGCCGACGATGGGCATCCGATGCCACCCGACAGCTGCCATTGGACTTGCTGCGCACTAGAAGTTTGTTGCATTTGATTCGACCGGGTTTTCAGCTGCTTGTCATTGTCGGAAAGGGGAATATCGGCAGGGCAATGAAGTTGGCACGCAAAGTGCACAGGAGCAAGGCATACGAAGCACACATGAACATTAGACAAAACTTGTGCTCAAACGATCGGAGGGAAGCTGTTCCATCCGCGATGCAATCGCCTTTCACGCATATGCAGAGAGTCATATGGAATAAACATCAATTGACTGAAGTCACAACTAATTCGACCACTTCATACGCGAGAAGCGTCTGGATATCGCCACCATTCCCCTGCCGTTCATATCACCTACGATGCCTCCTGGGGCCGGATGATGACCTTGACGCCCGAGACACCCGCCTTGTTCAATTGCATGCCATCCTCCGCAGCCTTCAGCCCACCGGGCAGCACTTTGACGCGGTTGGGCACAAATTCGCCCGTGGCCATCCACTCACCGAGCTTCTCGTACATTGGCTCCGTGACGTAGCGATAGTCCGGGTAGTATCCCAACGCGTAGATGCCACGCACGGGAACCTCGCGGCCGCTGCCCTCGGCCGCCTTGCCCGCAGCAACGGCCTTCTCGTCTGCATTGTCGACAGAGACGACCAGCGCCTCGGGCGTGACCTTCTTGGCCCCCTGCACGATCTTGACGCCCAGGAGCTGCGACTCGTCCAGGCTGACACAGTCGTACACCCAGTCCAGCTCCAGCTCGTCGCCCACGGCGGCGATATAGTCCTGCACGCCTCCCTGTGTCTTGCGGTCCAGCACGACGTGCGCGCCCAGGGTCTTGAGAAACTCGGCGTTGGCGGCGCTCGCGCTGGTCACGATGCGCGAGTACCCAGACAGCCGGGCGAACTGGATGGCGTACTGGCCGACCGAGGTGCTCCCGCCCAGCACGACCACCGCCTTGCCCTTGCCGGCCTGGCTGCCCCCTCCCTCGGCCGCCGACCAGGGCGCGGGCGTCAGGCTCCGGCCGGTGGAGTGGTAGATGGCGACGGCGGCGGTGACGCTGCACAGGCTCACGCCCGCGGCCTCGTCGTCGGTTACGTTGGCGGGCGTCTTGCCAACCACGTGCGCGGGCACGCGGCAGTATTGCTGGAACGTGCACATCTCGTACTTGCCCACCAGGCCCTGGAAGAAGACGCGCTCCCCCGGCTGGAACTTGCTGGTGAAGTTGTCCCCGACCTCGACGACCTCGCCCGCGGCGTCGGAGCCCATGATGATCGGCCACGAGGGCAGGAAGGCCCCGCTGTCCCGCAGCTTCCAGTCGACCGGGTTGATGGCGGTCGCGGTGATGCGGATGGTCAGGTCGTCGGCTGAGAGCGGGGAGGTGAAGGAGTGCTCGCCCACGCGCACGGGGGCGCCGGGCGAGTCGTTGAACGCGGCTGCGAAGGTTGCGGGGACGGCCATCTTTGTGTTGGTGTTGAAGGTGGTGTATGTCAAGTTGTAAAGCAAGGTGTGAAGGCTATATTCCTGCTCTGTGGGCTGCTGATGGTGATAGAAGGGCAAGACAAAGCCCCTCGATGCGGGTGTTGGAGCACCACCTAATATAGAGTTCTTCAGACCACAGCTAGGAGTATGAAAATGCAAATCAAGTATGCAGCTCCATGCGGAGGTTTACCAATCAAGCTTGACCCCCCTCATCGTGTAACCCCCATCACATAACCAACCCTGTGGCGGGTCTAGTGCGCATTTGTCTGCAGGTTTGTGACCCGCGCTGTGCGCAGATTGGTCAGGACGCATGATTCAATCAAACTCATGTTGGAAAGGCTGCCTTGTTTTGACCAAAACGAGACTGGCGAGAGTTCCTTACGACGTGGTCCGGGGCACAAAGATACCGGAATTAGACGGACTTAGAGTATATGTGGGGAAAGCAGTTACGTGAGGCCTGGCACCATTTGGAATTTGACGATGGCACGACCCCCTGCAACTTGGGGACTCTACTAACAATTGATTCGCAGATAAATGGGCCTGTCTGGCATGCTGACCAATCTTGCTCTCGAGATACTTATCAATTACTAGTTACATCCAGTGAGCTGGAACCTCCACAAGTCAGGAGATTAGCGGCTTGGTGGAGCTCCGTGCTGTCTTCGAATTCCAAATGGTGCCTGGTTACGTGATGGCGGTGACGTGATTGCGGTTACGTGACGCTGCCCAAACTGAGTGATTGCCACCCAGGGGCTATCTGTCCCAACCCCAGATGCCCTACGTCAAGTAGTGTGATAGCCATTTCTTAATTTAAGCATCATTCCCATTAGGTTCCACGGCAGCGGAATAAGGAGACTTACCTAGACTAGAGGCATACAGAGTGGCAGCTCTCCAAAGCCCAAAGGGGGCCAGGGTTAGAATGCAGGCGCATGGGCCAAGCCGTCCCTCAGCACCACTAAAGGTCGCTCCAGAACACAGGGCTGCGCCTGTCTCCTCTCTGGTGCCTGGAGAACACGCTAGGCAGCAGCATGGTCGCACTCCGCAAGAAAGAGCTCATGGAAATGATCATGACGCCCCAGAGCTACTCGCTTCCAGCCCGTGAGATAAACATTGCTGACATGAAGAAATATTGCAGTTGCTCGGCATACCAAAATGCCGAGGTGTGAGCGGCGCTGCTTTGAAGTGGGTGGTAGGATTCCCATCCTGATGCCACAGAGAATGCGCTGCTGGCTTTGGCGGGTGTTTGGTCAAGGGGCTCCTGGTGATCGTGTGCGCAGCACTGCAACGAGCTGCACCACAAGTACCGTGATAGTTGTTGTCAATGGCAAGCTCTCGCCGTCCATTTTGTCCTTTCCTTTTTTGGAGTGCAAATAGAACCAACGTGTCTGCCCGATGATTGTCGCCAGGTTTAGTGCCGGACTCTCTGCCTGTTAGTGACGATGACTGTCGACGGCGCAGTTGAAAGACCAAAACAAATGCAGCAATGCATGGCATGGATCGATATGCAGGCGTCGTATCACTGGACCCAATCACAACGTATGCGCCCGGGGCGCCATGCTAAGCTTTTCTCCCCGGCCAAGCCGCCCATCCTGGACTCTTGGGTAGAACAATCGGAAGGGCACGCTGACGATCGGCCCACCAGAGCCGCACCCGCTAACAGCCAGGCTAGCCCCAAAAAAGATTTCAAGCCTGCCATGCCCTTCGCCCATCGGGGCCATTCTCGCGTCGGAATTGCGCCAACTGCCGATGACGGCAGCACCGCACCGACCTCCCCTGAATCCCGTGCCGAGGCACAACTCGCCACCGTCACTCCATTGAAGGGATCCAACTGCTGGCACATGCCACGGCTCGCCATCATCCAGACATCGCCAGCAAACATCAGCGCACAGTCGTTCGCGTCGCGACATTCGCGATGTTCGCGCTGTCCCGCAGACCCAGTTGTTGCTGGGGCTTTTTGAAATACTGCCCACACCGGCGGATCCGAGCTAGAGTCTACAATGACGTAGCCAAGAGATAGACTGATTTTATAAAACAATCTGGCATGGTGCACTTTCTCAACATGCAGCGGTTTCCTCACCTCGTTTGGACTCAGACATCATACCTCTGCATAAATAAACAACCATGACTTGGACCGTTCCAAAAGACTACGAAAACCGGCCGATCGTCGTCCTCGGCGCCGGCGTCCTGGGCCGGAGAATCGCCGCCTGCTTCGCCGGAGCCGGGTGGCACGTCATCATCTTCGACCCGTCCGACAAGTCCAGGCAGGCCGCCGTCGACTACATCCGCGACAACATCTCCACGTACCTGGGTATCTCCCACGGCCGGCAAGGAACGTGGGAGGCGACGGCGGACATGGCCGCCGCGGTCAAGAACGCCTGGCTCGTCTTCGAGGCCGTCCCGGAGGTCCTGTCCCTCAAGATCGACACCTTCCACCAGCTCGAGCAGCTCGCGCCGGGGGACTGCATACTGGCGTCCAACAGCTCCTCGTACAAGTCGAGCGAGCTCCTGGACAAAGTCACGGACGCGACCAAGCAGCGCGTGCTCAACACGCACTACATGATGCCCCCACAGGTACGTTGGAGGGAGGGGGGGGCGCCTTTATTACTTTGTACCGAAGCGTATGGATTTGCTGACAATGACTTTGCGTGTGCTATCCAGGCTTTGATTGTCGAGCTCATGACGAGCGGTTCCACGGCGGAGGCCATCTTCCCGTTCCTATCGCAGGAGCTGACCAAGGTCGGGCTGAAGCCCTTTATCGTTCAGCGAGAGTCCTCAGGTTTTATTTTCAACCGCATCTGGGCGGCCATCAAGCGCGAGGTGTTGGCGGTCATTGCCGAGGGCGTGGCGGATCCCTTGACCATCGACAAGATCTGGATGGACCTGTACCAGTCCCCCGTGGGGCCGTGTGTGATGATGGGGTAAGTCGATGGTACCACGCGTGATAAATCTCCCCCTGCTGCAATGTACCACAAGCTAACTTTGGTCTTCTGAATAGTAAATTTCGTCTTTCTTCTCGTAACACAGCATTGAGGACATGCTAACACACCACCACCAACAGACAGCGTCGGTCTCGATACCGTCGAGCACATTGAGCAGAACTATGTCCAGAAGCGCAACCTGCCAACCACAACCTTAGATTGGCTGCACGACAACTACATCGCGCAGGGCAAGCTGGGCAACAAGTCGGAAAAGGGCGGGCTGTACCCCCCGGCGCCGGAGGGCGAGCAGACGCAGCTGCTCGTGCTCAACATCTACCAGGGCGCCACGCCGGACGAGCTCGCGCCCCAGCAGAAGATGTCGAGCGGGCAGATCCTGCAGGTCGGGCTGGCGGACAAGAAGAGCGCGCGGCCGACGGCGCTCGTCACGGGCCAGGCGATCCCCGACGGGATCGCGGTACACGGCGACCGGATGTACTGGACGGCCATGGGAGTTCCCGGGGACAACGACGGCGCTGTGTACTCGGCCCGGCTGCGGGACGGGGGCGACATCCGGACCGTGATACCCGTGGGAAAAGTGCACACGCCGAAGCAGCTGCATATCGATGCTGTGAGTGGTAAAATCTACTTTTGCGACCGCGAGGGGCTGCGCGTGCACCGGTGCGACCTGGACGGCTCGCGGCACGAGATCCTAGTGCAGACCGGCGACTGGGAGACGGAGCCGGACAAGGTCGCCGACCCGAGGAACTGGCCCGTCGGGATCGCCGTGTCGAGCAGGCTGGGAAGGATGTTCTGGACGCAGAAGGGCCCGTCCAAGGGCTTCCAGGGGCGCATCTTCTCGGCCCCGCTCGAGCTGCCCCCGGACAGCACGCCGTCGACCCGCGAGGACATTGAGCTGGTTGCCAGCGGCCTGCCGGAGCCGATCGACCTGGCTATCGACGAGGATGGCGAGGAGGTGGTGCTGTACTGGACGGACCGCGGGGAGATCCCCTTTGGCAACACGCTCAGCAGGAAGACAATCACCACCAACACCAAAACCACGGATGGACGGGTCCCCGAGGCAGAGGCCAAGCTGGGCCGCGAGATCCTGGCCCAGGGGTTTGGCGAGGCGATCGGGCTGTGCCTGGACAAGGCGCGGAGGCGGGTGTATGTCGCGGACATGGCGGGCCGGCTGTGGGACTGCCCGATGGACGCGCCGGGGCCCAAGGAGAAGATATACGAGTCTTCGGGGCATGCGTACACGGGCATTGCCATGTATCAGTCGTAGGTTGTGCCGCAGAACCGGGGCCAGCAATGGGCTCATTTCATGCCTTTTGTTGCAAATTATTGGCTTTCAATTTTTTATTTTTTTTCTTGTTTCATTGTTTAGCAAGGAGTCGCATCGGAGAGGAGTTGGTGAGTAAAATACATTATAGACTTGTGATCAAATAAATTAATTATCAAACTAGGCAAGTTAGAAGTCATAATTAAAACATGATTTGAAAAACTGTGCATGATGCTTTCCATTCCTTATATATTGGAGCGACGTCACCACCACGTGTCGCCTTTGGCACAGGTTGTTGCTCTCAGGGTTTCACTGGGTGTATGAAAAGCATTCTCTTGGACGGGAAAGTGGCGATGGCGTACTTTGACGGCTGGAAGGATGAGGCTCGCACATAAGAGCAATGATTGGTACAAGCCACAGCCAGGGTATGGCGCCCCCGATGACTCAGCACCTGTCTGGATGCAAACGCGCCCAACCCAGCCACAACAGTCGAAGTACGCGTCCCCGCTTGCGTCAAGTGACCTCACAGCTTCTTCCATCACACACGACACACTCACACGACACCATTGGGAAGAACCAGGGACAAGACACGCCAGCCAGCCACATGGCAGCATCCCAGCACATGCGGCTGCCCATGCCCATGCCGATGCCCGCCCCGGCCCCGGCCCCGGCCGCATCCTCATCCTCGGCATCCACACCACCATCACCGGCCAGCAATCACAGATACCATGATGCCCGTGACGAGGATGAGGAGGACGATGAGGACGACGACATGCAGGATGACAATGACGACGACGACGACGAGGACACCGAGGCACTGGAGGCACTGCTCTCGGGGCGGCCCAAGATGGTGAGCAAGGGCACACAGATTGGCGGCGTGGACCAGGCCACGCAGACGGACCTGCCGTGTCTGCGATGCCTTCACGGCCCGCCCCAGCACCATCTTCCTCCCGGCCAGGTCTATCACCCGCAGTACTATCCAAACTACTACCAGCAGCCATACCCTTATCCCCCACCTCCGCCCCCGGTCCTCGTCCAGCACCCGCCGCCCAATCCACGCCAGCCTCCGTACCCTGCGGCTCCTCCTCCGGTATTGCAACCTGCATCTCAGCCTCATCTTCAGCCTCAACCTCATCCTCAGGTTCAGCCTCAACCTCATCCTCAGGTTCAACCACCACCGGCGACCAACCAAGGCCATGTGCGCCCCGACTGGCGCCACTATCAGCCCCCAGCACCAGTCCAGCCGGCCGTCCAGCCGGCCGTCCAGCCACCCGGCCCTCCTCAGCCATCTACTCACCACCATCACCACCACCTTCCAGGCCCTCCTGCTCCTCCTCCTCCTTCCGCTCACCAGCAGCCTCTCCCCTCTATCCATGACCGGCCTCCCCGACCTCCGCAGGACCCTTCCACTCTGCCTGTAGCCATCGTTCAGCCCGCCCGCCGCGGCAGACCACCCAAGGCCGCCGAGTACGTCCCTCCGCGAGCTGTGCGGGCCCCGTCCCCTCTCCCCGGCCCGCCCTCCTGGGACAAGATGGTCCTGCGCCGGGCCTGGCCCAACCTCGAGGACGCCGAGAACGACATCAAGAACTTTGCCGAGTTCCTCGGCTTCGCCCTCATCCGCCGCCGCTCCGGCAACCGGGACCCGGACACGGGCCGGCCCACCCGCATCCACTACTGCTGCCACCTCGACGCCGCGCGGAAGCCCCCGATCGACCCGGCCGACCGCAAGCGCAAGCGCGAGTCGGCCTTTAGCGTGGCCAAACGCCAGGACGCCTGCCCCTGGCAGATCTGCCTCAAGTGGAACAAGCGCCGGGGCAACCAGCCGCACCTGTTCCAGCAGTGGCACCTGGTCTGGACCGGCAGCGAGGACAACCCCGTCTCCTGCCAGCACAACCACGAGATGGACCCGGACCCGGCCAACATACCCGCCAACCGCCGCCGGCACATGACGCAGGAGATCCGCGACGAGGTCGCCGCCCTGCTCGAGGCCGGCGGCATGTCGAGCAGCGGCATCTGCGAGGTCATGCAGAAGCGACACCCCAGGATCGCCTTTAACAAGTCCATGATTGATAACATGCGGCGCACGGAGATCCTCAGGCGGCAGGAGGCGGGCAAGGTGGCGGCGGCTACCAGGGAGGGACAGCAGCAGCAGCAGCAGCAGGCGGCCGCAGCAGGGGGGATGCGGAGGGAGATGACGATGATGGTGTTGAGGATGAGGATGATGGCGGTGGGGGTGCGGGAGAGCAGCTCCAAGCAGAGGCTTCCAGGACTCGATGATACGGGAAAGTCGCTCACAAGGGGACGATGACTCCTACGACATTACCCTAAGAACGCTGGATGAATATATCCTGTTCATGTTACGAGGGATTGGCACTCCCTCGACCCAAAAAGTGTATTGGTCTTGAAAGGTATCTGGACAGCACTTCTTTTGTACTCATCCGGGCCGGCAACAACCCTGTACGAACATTGATGAATCCAAGGTGCCCCAGGCTAAAATCTCCACTGTGATAAGTATCTTTCTTTCCTCACTCCCCTACATCGGACCCCAGCACGTCGGAACCGCCTCGAGCACGACCTCGACACAGCCAGCGGCAGCGGCACCGGCCTGCGTCCCAGAAAACACGTCATTACTGCTGCCAGAGAAGCACCAGCGCGAGGCACCAGTCTCGGGCACACTACACACCAGGGTCGACTGGGTACCCTCGAGCGCGCAGGTCAGCGCGTGCGTCGAGTCCCGCACGTCTCTGGACAGCATGACCGCGCCCAGCTCTACCCCCGTGTCTGGCGTGATTGCCTGGGGCCCAAAGATGTTCTTGAGCCTCCAGCTCTGGATGTTGAAGGTGGGAGCCATGGACGTGCCCGGGTTCAGGTACAGCAGGCTGGTGCCACGCATGCTCAGGTATTGACCTGTCAAGGGGCTGCCGGCCTTGACCCGGACGAAGAATTCCCGGCAGCAACTAACGCCGCCTCCACCTCCCCCTCCCCCTCCGCCGCCGCCGCCGCCGCTCCCTGGGCTCATGGTGGAGGCCGGGGGTCGGGAGATGCAATCAGAGGGCGTGGCAGCAGCAGCGGTACTGGCAGTGGTAGTGGTCGTCGTGGTGAGGGTCACGGGCTCGACAACCGTGTCTGTGGCGGCAAAGCTCGTCAGAGTCTGGACCTCGGTCGTCGGCACGGTCGTCGTCTCCGTCACGGTAGGAACATCGGCAGTCACGACGACGACAGTCTCGAACGTGCTGACCACGGTCGAGGTCCGCGTTTGCTGCTTCGTCGCGGTGGCTGTCACGACCGCGGGGGTTTCGGTGACGGTGATGGTCGTCGTGACCGCCGGCGATCCTGCGGCTGTCATGGTGCTCGCGGCGGACACGCCCAGGCATGAGCAAGCTGATTGATATGCAGGCGCCGTCCAGAAGCCGCAGATATTGGCGTAGAGGGGAATCTCAGTCGCTGAGGTGACGGTTGGACATTTGCCAGGTGTAAGGGAGGAGGAGGAGGAAGCCACGGCACGAGCACCGATGGCGGGGGTGGTTGTTGTGGTTGCGATGACGAGCGTAGGGGATGACGAGGTTCTGTAACATATTCATCAGTCTCATTGTCCGTAATAGAACGGCACCTGGCTTATGTCTTACGTCGTTACCGTCTGCTGCAGTGTGGTCAAGACTGTCGTGGCAGAAGACTCCGTGACAACAATTGTCGTCGACGGCGAGGTTGTGTTAGAGGTCGGCACGGTAGTGGCTCGGTATTCGATTGTCGTGCCGGTATTTGTGAAGGTGATCGTGGTGGTCTGTGGGACCAGCGTCACAGTAGCCGTGTCAGTCACTGTCTCGGCACACAGGGTCACCGTGTCGGCGAGGAACGAGGAGCAGTCGCTACGGGCCGCAGCGAGACCAACAGGGGGCCTGAGGACGCCTTGGAGGCCTTTGCTCAGCTGGGTATAATTGTTAGCTTGCGTAACATGGCGCGACTGTCTGGAAAACGGCGACTCTTACGCCTTTCAGGCAGACTTCTGTAGCGGGACACGGGACACGTATCAAAGGCTCTTGTGTTGAGCCCCGGAACGTGGGCAAAAGCTGTCTGGATGCCCAGCCCCAGGAGGAGCGTGCATATGCTGATCGGTCGCATTCTGTGCAATAAAAGGCTTTGGTAAAAAGTTGCAGGACTTCCCTGTGAGCTTTACGATAGAACACAACTGTCAACGGGCATGTTGGTCCACTTATAGATACATCACTGCCCTGATTACCGCGCTCGGCCAGGACCATAGGCATATTCATCCACGCAGCGCCGCAAACATCATTAGTGGCCAGCCAGCCACACACTCCAGCTCTGATTCAATATAGACCGGATACAGCACGAGGCCCGATGCTAGCCAGGAACAGCAGCCACTCTTCCCGTCCGCCGTGGAGCCTCAATCAGGGGTATATCCGAGCTTAATTCAGCTGGCCCAGTCTGATCTTTGACAGATGCAAGTCAAAACAGTCTGATTTCATCCTCAGCCGAGCTGTTTCTCCCCGAGGCGTTCTTGGCGACAGACTATAGAGTCTGGCTTTTTGCAGGAATGATCTCGACTCAATGTGTGCGGGTCTCACCGTGGTTGGTGGGCAGCACTTGATGGTGTGCCAAAGGCGCCGCATTGGTGAAAACCATGCCATTATGGAACCTTGTAAGCAAATGCACCACATACTCAAGCCTGCATTTGCACAATATCGGAGCTCCCTGTCTGGGAAACCGGCGTGCATGAGCCTGAAAAGGCCCATACCATGAGGACCTCTCCAGTGGTGATCTCCCTTGTGCAGCTGTCGTGGTCAGACGCGAATCACAACGTATACAGCAGCCCGAGCAAGGAACGACCAATAGTCTGCGATTACCAGCAGCTGATTTTGTGGTATCTGCGTAATGCGTAGAGGCATTCGTCGGCCCCGGTGGTGGTCGGAAGTAGACGCTGACAACATGCGAGGGTGAGCTGATGGTGGTTGTGGAACTGGCCGCCGCCAACGACCACGATCACGCCACCGGGATTGCCGCATAATCACAAGACACCACGTTGCCACTGTTATAACTATGCACAACTGCACACCTCTCAGCGTCGCGTCTCGGTCAAGAAAACTCCTTCGTCATACTTGAGAACCAAGCCTAGGGTCCCAGCTTCTATGCCATCTTATGGTAAAATCCGCTGAATATAGTTTACGAACGTGCACTCACCCAATCGCACAATCCTATATGCCGTAGATCACCTCAACTCGCCAGCTCAACAACACACCTACTGTTCAACAGTCCGCCACTCTCACCAACGACGACATGCTCCCAACGCCGCACCTCCGGGTCATCCAGACGGGCTACAGCCAAGCCCCACGTCTGCCATTCAAGGACAAGCTGCGCCTGCTCAAGAAGCACACCCCCCTCGAGGCCGTCCCGCTGCTGTTTGTGTGTGGCTTCATGCTCTCTGTGGCCGTGGCTACGGCACAGCGTCGACTTGGGACGGATGTCAATCTGCGGCTGTCGAGGCAGAATCGATTGCGAGAGGAGTGATGAGGGGAAGGATCAGACGGATATGTGGTTACTGGTGGTAGTGATATATTAACGTGTGAGCAGGAAGAGTAGGAATGAAGACGCAGATCTACGACCGAGCTTCATCTCCCTTCGTGTACAGTGAGGATGGTCAAGAGACCTGGTGCCAGCTTATTCTTAGGAATAGAATAATATTGTACAAAAGTCCCTCTCGGTGTTTTTGCAGCAGCTAGCTCACTACACCTCCTCTAATTATTATTCGAAGCTGTTCATCGTATATATCTGGACAAATTCGCAGATCGAGCTTGGCGCAATGACTCAAGGCGTTGCAGGGGATATCAGACTCGATTCCCTTTGGCCATAATGGCCACCATCAGCACCCGTATCCAGCCTCGGCACCAGGCGTGTCGAATCCGGCGAGACGTCTCCCGCACGGCTTCCACCAGCTCTCCCCGGCCGCAGGGATCTACGCTCAGGCACTCCAGTGACGGAGAAGTCTTCGACGATCCGTAATCTGCCGCTCTTGCTCCTCGCGATCTCGGTGCCCGGCAGTTCCGCGACAGGTGCCAGGGACGAGGCGGCGGGGGGCCCGGCAGCAGGTCCGGCGGCATCACCAGCCGCACCTTTGTAGCCCGGAGGGCCGATCTCGGTTCCGGCAAGCTCGGGCGTTGTACCGTCTGTGGCGGCACCGCCGCTGTTACTCGACACGACCATGCTTGCCGTAGAGGGCGTGGCCGCGGAGCTGCTCCTCGTGGTCGTCCTGGTTGCCGGCGTGCCCGCACCATCACCACCACTGGCCCTTCCCATCGCCCCCAGATTGCGACTTCCAGCAGGCGACGAGTCGCTGTTCGACCCGCCCGTGGTTCGAGACACATCGTCCGCATTCCACGGCGTCGCACCACCACCAACATCACCGGCCCCGCGAGTCAGCCCTCGCCGCGACGACCCAGCATTGAATACGGGCCCATCCAGCACCGAGTCCGCGCGGTGGTGCTCCTTGTTCTTGCTCGTGTCGGCGACCGCGAATCCGGCGCCGATCCACTTTCTGCGCTGGCGGAACACGCAGAACACGACGAGCGCGATGACCAGCAACCCGGCGAGCACGGAGCCTACGGCGATGCCCGCGATCTGGCCGGTGCTGAGGCCGCTGTCGCTGCTGCTGCCACTGCTGCTTCCGCCGTCGTCGTTGCTGGAACCCGTGTTGCCCTCGCGGGACGGAATGGTGACGATGTTCTCCTCGGCGCCTTCCTGCCAGGTACACGCTGACACGTTGAAAACTTTGCGTTCGTAGTCGGCCGAGAGATAACTGTTCCCAAAAAAGAAAGGAATTAGCAAGTAAGTCAGTCGATCCGCTGCGATGTTCAAGCTATCACCGAGGCATAGAAAATGCACCCAATGAAATTAGAGAGACAGAGAACTCACGCTTCCTGCAAGAAGGTCCTCCCCAGTGTATACTGCGTCTCGTTGGCGGCCCTCTTGAGCGGGAAATATCTCGCACTTGCATTTCCCTCTCCGCTAACAAGCGGATTCTCCGCGACGAGGTCAAACGCCGCGTACGGCAGGCGTATCGCCACCCCCTCCCCGCCGCCCTTGACATCCGATATGCGGAAAGTGACCTGCGCGTTCTCGTCCAGCAGGGTCTCGTGGTGCGAGTCGTTGACCAGGTACAGCCCGCTCTCCCCGTCGAGGGTCAGGCCGAATGCGGCCTCGAACGCCTCGCATGCGGTCTGGGGCAGCCATATGTGCGGGTCGGTCGAGTCGATGTAGATGTCGATGGGCGAGCCGAGGAGCTGGTCCGTGGACGAGGAGCCGGAGTAGCTTATCGACTGGAGCACTACGACTAGGTCCCGGGTCACGTCTCCGGCCATGCTGAAGGATGCGCTGTTCGGGGTGAAGCGCGAGGTGTCGTAGCCGGAGAAGATGAGCTGGCCGTAGACTTGCTTGAGGCCTGTGATAACCGAGAGGGTCAACGGGAAGACTGTTAGTGGGTGTTTGTGGGTTTGGCTGGTGGTGCTGTAGCGAGAGGGGGGCGAGGGAGTGGACTTACGGTATCCTGCACCGGCAGTGTAGCTCCAGCTCAGGCTTGGGATCTTATTTTGCTCTTTGAGTGTCGTCAGGAGCGACGGAGACGAATAGTTGCCGAGGGTGGTGAAGTTGACTGGCTGCCCGTTGAGGCCGAGGATCCCACTGTGATCGTTGAGTCAGTCTTAGCTCGAGCTCAGTATCGCATGACAGTTAACAGGAAACTCACAGGTAAAACGGCGATGGTGTCGCAATGCCAGCGACAGTCTGGTTCTCAAAGCTCGGCCCGTACAGCCCGAGTCCCAGCGTCTCCAGGCCAAACTGTGCCCGCTGGACATAGCCCAAGTTCGCCTCGAGCCCAACGCCATTGCCGTTGATCCCGTGCAGACCGACATCCGTCCAGCTGGACGACTCGTTGATGTTGAAGAGCCCGCCGCGTGACACTGCACAGTCTGGCGGCATCGTCCCGAAAACCGCCTCGGAGCACCCGTCACTGTCGAGCGCGACCATGGTCTGTGGGGACGCCGTCGACACGAGCACCCGGATGTACTGTTCTGGCGTGCCGACGCGGATGTCAAACGTGCTCCATGGTCCGTCGTTGCCTTCGCTGTACAGCACGGAAATTAGTGAGCTTCCACACTGGGGAGATGAAAATAGATGAACTCTCAATACTCACAAATACTGGCTTGGCGGTATGAGCAGCGCGCCGCCGTCATCTGCCACACATCGCAACGATAGCGCTGCAATTGCGCATATTGATATCCCGAGCTTCATCGTAGCAGAGACGTACGTGAAGACAGGCAGTAGAGTTGACTGCACCAATGCAGAGAGAGGTATGATCATCAGTTATGGCTGATGATAGCCTCACCAACGAGCACTTCGTCATGATACTATTGACAGTGCAACACAACGTGGGTGGGGTGAAGATCCTGCTTTGCGCGCCCGGGGGCAGCAGACCCGTTCAATCGGGTACACCACACATTACACCTGCAGATCCTGGTTTTCTTCTTCAGTGGCCTGCCGAGGTGTGGCAGCGCAGCGCATTGCACTGCCCGTGCCGTGATGGGCTATGACGATTCCCAAGGTCGTATCCAAGCGTGACGAGCAGGGCTGATCTCCAATTGCGAATCTCGATACCTCCGGCTCTGTGAGCTCGGTAGCAGACTCTTTGGCTGGTAGCGCAGTAACATTGGCCCTGTCCTCGCACCGCTTAGGTCGAACGAGTAATATTAGCTACTCCAACAACACGCCGCTGCATTAGCTCCGGACGCACGCGAGGCGGCGGTGATGGACGACGTCACTCCGGGGGCGGACCCCTGCCCTATACTGGAGTTGCGGCCAATCGGCGAGATAGCGATGCTGGCAGCAATAGCACAAACCCCTGACCCAGAATACAGAGCGCGCTGGGGCAACCCACCTGCAAGGTCCCTACAGTAGTGTTCTGACGTGTATCCACACAGCACCAGCCGCGATGACCGCATGTCGACGAAATTACTGCGCTTGGCGCAGCAGATCGGCGGCTGGGGTCTGGCCTTCCGCTCGCGATGCCGGTAAACAATGCGCACGTTGGGCAATGGCACTTTGTTACGGAGCGTACCGAGGAGGAAGAAGAAGACTCCCACACCGTACGGCCCGGAAAGGGTTTGGCTTGAGCGTTGACCTTGATTTCTGGGGTTTGTTTGTCATTTTCTCTGGGTGCAGGCTGACATTGATAAACAGAGGTGTCTCCTGCAGACGGATGCCGCGAGTTTAGCCTATGTGTTTCCTGCATCCTGTCCTTCTGCACCAACACTCGTTGTAGTTAAACCTCTCTCGCTTTGCACACTCGCTTTGTGGACAATAGCCCGTCATGTTGTGGAACTGTGCAGCTTTTGTGTCCGCCGCCCTGCTTGTCTCTCAGGCACAGGCTGGGCAACGTGAGTAGCAGACACTTTTCCTGCCGTTGTTGCTTGATCTGGTCTAATACTTATGACCTCTTTCAGCCGAACACGATCCGGAAACGACATGCGAGTCGGACACTGCCACCCACAGCAGTTATGTGACGACGACATACAAGACCAAGACTGACTACAGCACCACGACGCACCTGGTCGAGGTCACGGTGCCGTATGCGGTCAACTCGACAGTCACGAGCATCAAGACAAAGGTCGTCGAGTCGTACATCACAGAGTGCATCACGACGACTCTGTACTTTACCGACCTCGTCACCAACACCAAGACCGGCACTGCGTACGAGACCAACACCCTGACCGACAGCGTGACCGTGACAGACACAGACTCTGTGACCATCACGGGCACTGCATACGCGACAATCACGGAGACGGACACCACGACCGCGACGGTGCCGACGACGACTTACACGACCGAGACCATATTCTCAACGACTTTCAACCCTTGCCCGACACAATGCAGCGTGTAAGTGTATCTGAATCTTTACTTTGATGAGCGTAATGCTGATATCTCATGACAGATCTGCCGAGACAGTGAACCTGTACTTCTGGCCGAGTGACCGGCCACACTCGTACCCCAGCACCTGGGTCGACGAGTCGCTCGACTACACCTTGTAAGCTCGCATTCCATTCTCCTCCTCCTCCTCCTCCTCCTCCAACCTCCTAGCGGCCCAACGCACCCGAGACTCACACGATTCAATCCCCCAGCACCTACCCATCCGTGTACATGCTTGTGCCCACGGCCGCGGGAGTCAACAACGCCTCGCAGCTGCTGGGCCCGCAGACGACCAACTGGATCATCCCGCTCGACCTAACCGAGGTGTCGACGATTGTGGGCTCCACGGCGACGGTGCAGCTCGAGCTGAGCGACCTCAGCACCGACTGCCCCAAGTCGGTCGCGCCCTCGGCCATTGCCACCATGGCGCCCGACCCGCACTGCAACCCCATCCTCGCCGCCCCCAGCGAGGTCAGCTCCTGGGCATACCCGTGCAACGCGTGCGGGCAGTTCGGCCTGTTCGACCCGCCCTACGCCGCGCCCACGCTTACAGGGCCACTGGTCGAGCCGACGGCTACCACGACGACGTCCGAGGTTGTGATCGTCCCGACCGAGACGACCGAAGTGTCCTCGTCGACGCTGGACGTCCCGCCCGTGCCGCTGCCGATGGTGACAGAGGCGTCGACGATCCCACTGCCCTCGTTCACGGATATCCCACCTGCCCCGATGCCTACTGTCTCCAGCATCCCGCCTGTCCCAATGCCTACGGTCTCGAGCAGCATCCCTCCGGCTCCGATGCCGACTGTCTCGAGCATCCCCCCGATCTCGCTGCCATCGGTGACCGAGTCTACCACGCAGCCTATTCCTACGGCTGGCGCGGCTAATGTTGGGGTGGCGATGGGGTCGCTATTGTCGGTCTTTTTGATTGCTCTGGCTTTGTAAATGATGTAATGTGTAATGAGTTCCCAGAATAGGATACACTTTTAATTTTATCTCAATATCCTCAGAAAATGTCACGATGGTTCTTGATCTTGGATCATTTAAGACTTGCTGCCTCTGCTTGGTTGAGTACAGTCCATTGGCTATCACCAAGATGCACAGAGTGTTGAGATTCGGTTGAGGCTGCGATCCACTCCTATATTCAGGGTGTGCATAAATATATATATATTGGGGCTCTTTCCTCTCCCTCTTGCAAGGCTTAGATTGAATGAGCAAGACACTATTTCAACCCCGAGAGCACACTCTTTGGGCAGCAAAAAGACTGGAATGCAGAACGTGACTCGACATGTTAAGCAATTCGCTATCTAAACGAGCAAAAAGACTGATATGCGAGAGCAGACATTGCAAGACGAATAATCAACTCCCACAAGCACGCGATGAACTGTTCATGGTGACCCCGATCCTTCGTCCCACCCTTCGTCCCGACGGCCCCATACTATTTCCACAGCACACCTCGGGGGATGATGCCTGATGTGGTGTGGAGCCCAGGGAAGTGTGCCCTGTCTCGTATGGATGGATGGATGCCTGCTGGGCCCGTCCCCTTTTCCCCACACGGCACGCGTCTTGGCTACATCCTGCAACTCGCTTGCCAAGCTTCACGCCACATTGTTCTGTGGTGTGGTGCCGTGAATCAGATACAGTAGTCTGCCCGTGTTGATTTACTGACAACCTGGCCACGCCTTCCTTTTAAACTCTACAAATCCTCCTCATTACTGTCTCCCCAACTAATCCGGCAGTCTTCAACCACTCGGATCAAAACTGACCGCAAGTCTTGTCTTCCCCCCCATAACCCCCCCACTCATCACAACGATGCCGCTCCTCAGCCTCCCCGCCGAGATCCTGCGGCACATTGTTAACGACGCGCGGCCCGACGGCTTCGAGGCCGCCATGCTGTCGTGCAAGCACCTGCACAGCGCGGGCCGGGACTACCTCGCCGAGCACAACGCGTGCAAGGCGCGCTTCCACACGCTCGAGCTGCGCGCGGACGGCGGCCAGGACTACGTCAGGGACCTGGCCTCGGACCTGGCCGACTGCGTCTACGGGGTCGTGCGGCACCCGCACATCGGCTGGTTCGTGCGGAGCCTGGTCGTCCGCGACCGGTCGGGGACGGGGCGGTACCCGCGGGACGAGGGCATGCGCTATCGGGGCGGAGGCTTGGCGTGGCTGCACGAGGAGGCGGGCCGGAACCCGTGTCCGGAGAGCGCCGGCCGCTTGGTGAGGCGCTGCCTGGCGCGGAACCCGTGGATCAAGGCGGTCGGTGCGGATGCGGGCAAGTGGGCGAGGACTCTTGCTCGCTACTTGTCGCCGGCCATCAGCAGGAAGGATGTTCGTCCAGACGTGGGAGACTCTGAAGACGACGACGACGACGACAACAACAACAACAACGGGGAGCCAGACTCGGAGCCGGAAGCGGCCGAGGTGCTCGCCATCGTCGTCCTCCTCACATACCTCCCGCAACTCCGCCACCTCTCCCTGGGGCGGCCCCTCGACCTGTCCGGGTCCCCCGTCGAGACCGACGACGACGTCATGTCCCTGCTCGAGCTCATGTCCGCCCGCATCGGCACCGCCAGCCCGGACACGATCCTCTCCCGCCGCGACAACAACATGAACCCGATGGACAAGAAGCGCCTCCGGCTCACCCGGGGCCTCACGACCTCGCCGCTCGAGCACCTGTGCGAGTTCCACCACGTCCCGCGGGCGCCCGACTATAACGGCCGGGTCAACACTCGGTCCCTCGACGCGTTCCTGACGTCCCCACACATCCGCGTCTTCCGCGCGACCAACCTGGTCGCCGCGGATGACGGGTACACGGGGATACCCTACCTGTGGCCGGGCTGCGTCGAGGCGGTGGACGAGGCCGCCTCGCTCGTGTCGTTCCGCCAGTGGGGCGGAATCGAGACGCTCGAGCTCGTCGACTGCTGCATGGACGCCGAGGGGATCGGGCGGATCGTGGAGCGCATGCCCCGCCTGAAAGTGCTGCGGTACTGGCACGAGGTCAAGTGGCACGGGTGCCAGCTTGAGTGGGCGGCGGGCTTGTTCGTCGAAGCGGTTGAGAATGCGCGTGCTCTGGTCATTGACGAGCCGCTGTATCAAGAGCGACGGCGGCTGCAGCAGGGGCTCCGTCATGGTGCAACTACGACGACGACGACGACAACGGGAGCGGGAGCGGGACCGGCGAGGGGGCAGACGTCGTTGTCGTCGTCGCTGCTGGTTGCAAGGCAGATTACGGATCTGGCTATCGGGATTGAGGGGTTCTTCGGGGAGACGGCCGTCGCGGTGGGCTCGCTGCGCGGGTTCCCGGCCGCGAAGAGGATCGCCGTGGACGTGGGCGTGTTTCTCGGGCCCGATCCTGCGACGGGTGAGGTCCGGACCATGGTGACCACGCCGGCTCGCGATCAGGACTTTGCCGTCTGGGATGTCACGACGGCCCTGCCGGCGCTGGTCGACCTGCTGCCAGAGAGTGTCGAGGAGTTCGAGTTTGCCCTCAGCTGGGGTGCCCGCAGGGATCCCCCGGTGTCTTGGCCGGATCTGTGGAGGGGGTTCAAGGAGCGCAGGGCGGAGAAGCTGCCGAATCTCAAGACGGTCAGGATAGTCGAGCAGATCGGCCGTGCACATTCGCAAACTGCGGAGCCGGCAAGACTGGAGTTGGAGAGACTGGCGAGGGACGGCGTGGACAAGACTCGCAGGGTCGCCGAGGAAGTGGGCGCGGAATATCTGTATGGCACTAGCCAGAGACCGACCTGGAGGACGGAATTTGAGGAGAGAGTGTGGACACGGTCGGATTGAGCCAGAAGCTATGTGCTGATATCCACCCGCTCCAATACAAGGGAAATTTTGTGACGGTGAATCATCCGCGGTACCCTTGCGATTAAAAAGAAATGTAAAGAACGGGAGGGCAGGTAGTCAGGAATCTCGTTTCGAAGTCACAGCTGTCGAATTGAAACAAATTTTGAGTGAGTAATGATTCACTCAAAAGTCTAAGTCGAAATCTATCTAATCTAATCTCATGCTGTAGTGATGTACAATGTCTATTTGTAAATGTTTCATATGCTTAGTTAGCCCGCTATGATGATGAACTTCAGCAAGAGCAAAGTGGTTTGTCTATCTTGAAATAAGGCTTTGGGAAACGAATTACGATTCCAACCACGAGAAGAATAAGAAGAAAAACAAGCATCCCCATTGTACAAACACCCTTAGAGCTCCATGATGGCCATGCCCTGGGCCCGGCCCGTGACACCCATCGCGCCAAGATCCATAACCTGCACCTGCTTGCCGGCCTTGGCGTCGACGACGACCACCGCGGTAGCAGTCTCGTTGTTGCCGGGTGCGAGCGCGTAGACCATGCTGCCCATCGCACGCAGGTCAATCATGCCCGACTGCTTGTTGGCACTGAGGTCCAGCACACGCAGAATGGAGGCGTCCTCGACCGACATCTCGACAAGGCGGTTGACGAGCACGTCGGTGACAAAGGCCGTCTTGGTGGCGGGGGAAAAGGTCGTCCAGCACGTCGCCGCCTGGCCGTCAACAACGCCACGGGCCTTGGTCGTCGTGGTGCCGTCAGCCGCGACCGAGAGGACTGCCGCGCCAAAGGACGCGTCGGTCGCGAACAGGTCGGTGGTGCCGGGCAAGATGGTCGTGCCGAAGAGCACCAGAGTGTTGTCCGGAGAAGACTGCTTGCCCTGAGCGCTGACGCTGGCGGCCGTGTTGCCCTGCGCAGCCGTGACGGGGAACGCGGCCACGAAGCCCGTCTTGCCGGGGGTTCCTGGATCGCCCTTGACGATCGCAAAGAGCGTGTTCTGATCCTCGGAGAAGAGGACCTGAGAGACGGTGTTGGTTGGACCAACCGGAGGCGTCGTCTGGCCCAGGTCGATGGGCCGGAGAGCGTCCATCGCGCCGATGCCGCTGGTCTCGTCAAAGGGGGCACAGGACACGCCAGCAATAGCTCCGGTGGCTGCCGCGCACACGATCTTGTGCTTGGCAGAGGCGGCGACAGTGTTGAGGAACTCGCCAGGCACCTTGGCAGGCATGCCAACCATGACGAGCTTGGTCGGGTCGGCGCCGTCGATCGAGAACATGCTGACATCGGAGGTTCCGGCGTTGACGGCGAACAGGTTCTGCGAGGAGGGGAAACAGCGTGATTAGTTGAAAAATCCTCGGACACGTTAGCTGTAGAGTTCTCACCTGTCCAGCAACCGTCAGTGCAGATTGCCCGACCAGAGGATCCGCCGTGGCGGACATGTTGGTGGCGCTGCTGATGCTCGCAGAGCCGCAGCCTCCAGTCGCTACCATCTTGCCCTTGGACAGCATGCCGTTCTTCTCAACGCCCAGAGAGACCACATAGTTGGCCTGGCCGTTGGTTGTCAGATACACAGCTCCTCCGAGCTGACTCTTGCACTTGCCGCCTGACCCCTGTCGGTTGCTGGGAGCGGCAGAGGCTGGGCTGGCGACGAGCAGGCCAGAGAGGATGGCGACAGTGGATTGGAAACGCATGATGGGCTTTGGTGATGTCGAGCGAAGGTTTCGATGTGTGAGAGCCGATTCGTCAGAAGGAAACGAAGAATTGAATAAAGAGTCGTGAAGAGATGGATGACGAGGAGAAGATGAAGGATACGGAAAGAGTAGGAGAGTTAGGAGAGTAGGAGACTATGAGAGTAGGAAAGTAGCTTGGATTGGTGAATTTCAACATGGTGATTACTGCGTCTACGGCATCTTCTTTATACATCTCATCTTCAAAGTCGATTCGGACGAATCGGTCGGCTTGAGATGACCCTTGTTTCGAGATGTGCCCCTGCGGAGCCGCGATCTCGTCAACGAAATTTCCCAAAGGGGAAACACGGCTCCTGGGCTGCCAAGACGAGACAAGCATAGGGCTGCCCCACAGCGGCCTGGGGGCCCTAAAGTGGACTCTGATTCCTGACGGCCTTTGGAATCAAGCCGGCCACAAGGGGCATAGCGCAGACCTACGGCGTCAGCTCCGGGCCCGGGGAGGCTCAGCTGTGGCTCGGCCGATGTTTGAGCGGGGCCCTTCTGACACGGCCCTGGGGCACGACTCAAACACGCTGCCCAAGGGGTCCAGGCCCAGGGGTTGAAGTGGACGAAGGCGGCGGCTGAGTGCCTCTTGACCAACTGCTGCACTCTAGTCATCCCAGGATCCCCATCGCTCCGCCCCAACATGCCAGGTTTCACAATACCGACCAGCGCTCCCGACGACGGCGACCAGGGTCTTCTTTTAACCACCACCACAAGCATAAGCACTGATCGGGGTGGCGGCTTCGAGAAGAAAACGTCACACACACCTCTGTCAAACTTTAGTCCGGGCCACCCATCTCGTTTCGTCTACCCACCGGATTACTCTATCACTCGCAACAATGGCACCCCCGAGCCCCATCTTCCGCATCTTTAATCCGAACAAGAAGAGCAAAGAGGAACAGGCCGAGCAAAGGCGCGAGCAGCTCCGCCGGGCCCAAAAGTCAGTCAGTCCCTGATCAGCACTATTCTGATTACCTGGGGTGGGTTATCAGACCAAGATGGTGTTTTGGCTGACCTTCTGCCTTTCTCGCGGTCCCCGCCAACAGCACATATCGCCAGCGCAAGGTCCGCTACGTCAAGGAGCTCGAGGGCGCCCTGTCCAAGTCGCAGCAGCGCGAGCACCAGCTCGCAGCCCAGCTCGACAACCTCCAGCGCGCCTGCGAGCACCACGGCATCACCGTGTCGCCTTCGGGCCTGTCGCCCAGCCCGCCCCCGCAGACGCACGCGTCAGCCAGTCTTTATGGGGTCACACCGGCAACCCGGGTCTGTGACGTCGATCAGGCCACGCTCGGCATGACGTTTGTGCTCAAGTTAGTAATCGTCCTGGCTTTCTTTTTCCTTGGCTGGCGGGGGTCCCAATATTTCAGCACTCTTTCGCGCATGCGGTCGTGCTTGGCGCCTAATTTGTTCGTTTCCATTGCAGGATAGAAGAGCCATGCTTGCACCACGTCCACGGCGATCCCAAGAAGCCCGACGAGCCATCAGGCCATGCCATGACCGCTACGGCTCACCTGCTCACCCTCCAGCAGGAGCAGCAGCAGCAGCAGCAGCAGCCCATCGAGCAATACTGCTCTCCGTCCCCACCCTCGCACAGGTTCCACTCCCGCTTCATCAAGCCCTCGCCCGGGTCCAGCACAAACGTCTCCTCGACCGGCTCCTCGCCCTCGTCGTCGTCATGGTCGTCCCCACTGCTGTCCTCTGCCACAGGTGATACTCCGCCAGCGGTGATCCTGGACCGGCTCCTCGCGCTCGCGCCAGACGTTGTTGCAGACGAGGCCAGCAGTAGCGACGGCAGTGGTGGCAGTAGTGGTGCTGGAAGCGGTCTCACCCCGATCCAGGCTTGGGATCAGATCCGCCGACAGCCAGTGCTGGGTAGTCTGAGCCTGGGGGCTATCATGGGACTGGCGGAGAAGCTGAAGGACGAGGTGAAATGTCACGGGTACGTTCTTCTTTCTTCCCTCCCTGTTTTGTGCCAAGGTCTGGTGAGAGCAGGGGCCAATGATGCGCGACCCAGAGCACGGGCCTCTGCATGTTGACGCACAGAAGAAACCCTGCACCTGATGTACATGTGCTGACTTGGTGCTGTCCTTCAGCTTCGGCGCAGTGGTCGACTTCCACGTCTTCGAGAAGCTTGTTGTCGAGTTCATGACGTCGCAGATCTCGTTCGCAACTGCCTAAGCCAGTCGACTAGTACATATGCCTTGTGCGATTTTCGATTCACGAGAAGTCCAACCTCTTCGACCGGGCAAACCCATTGACAGAACAAACTACGGCCAGGCAGTTCTAAGCAGCTGTCGCCTGGAGAAGCCGAGTGGCGCACAGAATGCAAGGCAAGGTGCTTGAACGCTCGTAGCACAGACATTCTGAGACCGGCAGGCCCAATCTCTGAGAGCTGTAGCAATAGTTTGGAAGGGACAGACACATATAACCATTTGTGCAGAGCTCATGAGTTCCTGAGAGTTGGGGATGCCATAGTTTCCTGACGCTTCATCTGTGGTGAAGCCTACCCTGCTTGTCTAGATCAACCCGCCATTTTCTTCGATAGAATTCTTTTCCATAGACACAGTTTCAATTCCTCGAAGTCCCTTCCCCACCAGCTTCTGTCAAACATTAGCAGGGTCCATCACCCTGGCCCCTATTGCCACCAACACTGCTACCTACGACATGCCAGGAGGCGCCACTATCCCCGCTGGTGCCCATGCAGCCTTGCAAGACCTGGCCACTGCGTTCGGACGAACCTTATCACATCAGAACCCTTGGGAACGGTCCGAGCACCACGGAATGTCCTTGTGGGTTTGCCGACATGTGCAGCTGACTGCTCGCCATGACCCCGACCCACTGTCTCCTTGCAATAATTGCTCTTTCGCTAGCACGCGAAAACTTATCAATCCTATTTTCTGGTCCCATTGTGGGACATGCCACCCCACAGCTCTCGTTCAGACGTGCGGTAGTTCTAGGCGGCTCCAATGACCCCTGCATCCCTGCTCGGCCGACTTCAGTCGGTGCCAACAGCATGATAGTCGTCCGAAGGCGGCAGCCTCAGGTCCAGATCAACATTACTCGCACGTCGTAAGCCTTCCTCAGCGATATCGCCAAGCTGGTTATACGGGCCTGGGCTTGCGAAGCCCACAAATGTGGCTTCTAGCGGGGAGACAGGGATCCTGTGATCATGTAGAGCGCCGACAAGAGACAGAGAGCCCCTGCGGCCCTGCAAGGGTAATATTGTGCGTGGTGGAGTCTCCTGCTGTACGGTGTTGTGTGCAGGGTCTAGTGGTCCGGACCTTGGGGTTGAACCCGGCTGCAGCGAATGCATGATCAGCCCGGGCGCAGAAGCAGGGCCCGGAGGCAGTAGAGACGAGCGAGATCCTCGTTTCGACAACCGTCGGGACTCTCTGTACTTCTTGTTGCCGTGCAAGTCTGCCGAGTCATTGCCGTCGTCATCCGACCCGCGTGCGGGTGGGTTGGCCAGGACGTGGATCTGGGAGAGCAAGTGTTGGTAGAACTTGGGCATCGTTGGTAGGCAGCCGCAGAAGATGAAGAGGTTGGCTTCGACAAGTCTGCTTGAGCAAAAAGTAAAACAGTGTGTCTGTCAACATGACTGCATGCAGCAGAGGAGGCAGCACAAGGCAAGCGGGGGGGGAGACTGACATGCAGAGGACCAGGCGCCAGATGTCCCACGTCGGATCTGTGCTGTCAAAGAGCTGCCACGTGTAGATAGCACGGGTGATGGATGTAACGAGAGTCCTGGCAGGGAAACCCCAGTCAGCGAGAGATAGAAAGAGGCAGGTGCTAGCGAGGAGGAAAGGGGGGAAGCAGCTGACATTGAAGTGAGGAAGAAGACCGCCAAGATTGCCACCTTCTGCATGCCCCTGACCTGCAGCGCGAGGACCGTGCTAGCCGGGACGACCATACACAGGATGTCTGTAGCCACATTGCCAATGGCAAAGGCGAGGTGTAACCCGCGGCGACTAAGGCAGACTGCCCCTCCAGCTTCGAAAGACGGCTCCCAGCTCGTCGCCACCGGTCTGCAAGTCAAGATGAACATGAGCAGCAAGATGGCGGTGTGCAAGGCCACGATAGCCATCATCAGCCATACTGTGCGCTTGAACCGCCGTTGTGGGGAAAGAGGCAGGTAGAATGCGAGTGAGGAGAGTTTCGCAAAGGCTGCGCATAGCAGATAGACCGGTGTGATGGCAAAGGTTCCCTGTTGCTCCGCATCGACAACCCGTGGTTAGACTCGAGTCCAAAGCAGGTTCCATCGGCTGAACTCACTGTTGTGAAAAATGAGAACTTTTCGGCAGTTGTGTCGGACATGTGAACGATTGCCGCACGTTTTGCGACCATGACTGCATGCGACCATGAGTCAGACAACTTCTATAGTCTAGATGTCTGTATAGTCTAGATATGCAGAAGAGGGAGGGGCCATCGCTGCTGAGGGCTGTCTCACCGACGAGTGTCACTTGTGTGCCCACCGACAGAGCCTGGTCACATCGCATGAAGATCAGCGTGTTGTACTAATATCTTGCTTTGAAATAGAGAAATAGAAATAGACATACCCATGAGAGCATGATCAAGACTGCAGCCAAGCCAGTGATTAGTGCCTATGCATCGCCCCGAAGCGGAAGGAATCCCGGTGCTCACCGTCGTCTAGACCGGTCTTCTTCAGTACCCGAACCTTGACATACATCCTAAGCCCAAGAAAAACCAGGGCCAGCAGACTGCCAAGGCCGAACAATGCATACGCGCCGCTGGCGATGGTCTGCTGCTGGCTCTGATCCTCGGCGGACGGCATCGACACTACTGAAGATGGCGGCAACGTCGGGCCGCGACCCACCAGCGTGGCGATATTGATGACCGCGTGCAAGGACGAAGGTTATCAAAGGGCAAGTCGGGAGAGAAGCCGCTGTGGGTATAGCTTGGGGTTATTGGCCGGTGTGTGGTAGGCTGACGCCCGACGACGGCGAGGGTCGAGAAGGTCCAAATACACGAGCCCAAGGCGACGCGAGGAATGCGATGGTAAGCACTCAGCTTTGGTGCGACTTGTAGCCATTCCAAGGACCGTGATGCTTGTTCGTGATATGCGCCGTCCTGGACGATGATTGGCGTAGCGTTGGCATGGGCTGGCAGAAGCCGCCAACATGATGTTTGCAATTGCCTAGTTTTCGGTGGGAGCTACTGGGAGCCAAGGGGCGGGAACGTTTGCTGCGCCAGCCAACACCCCGACCGAGGCCCAGTCCCGTGCCAACCAGGTGTTGAGCTGGCATGCCCTGCGATGTGTGACCAAGCTATGTCTGGATGCCGTACATGTGCATCGTGGTGTCTTGTACAAATAGTCAATTGGTGGGCTCTGCCGCCTGTATGGCTGAGGAATTCCATGGCGCTGATTACAAAGTATCGTTCCAGAGGGATGAATCTGAAGATGCCAGTCAATTCTACCAGACGCTGGATTCACATTGGGAGTTTTCGCCTAGATCAGTGCCCAGTCTCTTGCGAGGCTGTGCGTCGTTCTCATCAATGTAGTTGCTCCGGGTCAGGCTGTCCAATCAGCAGGAGGGGGATCGGCCACGCACAATCGCCTGGACTGGCTTACGGCATGATTGGGTGAGGATGACCTAGAATTTCTGCGTAGGTCGACCTTGGCTTGGTAATTATCGCGGGGAAGGTATGCCTTCCACCGTGTAAGCAGGTCTTGAGCGATGGGCGGAGATGGCCGGCGCCTCAATGCAACCACACTACGTCAGCGATGCCAAGTCCCGGGGATGTGTAAGCACCCAAAAGTCTTGGCCCTCCAGATTGCCCTTTTGGGAAGGCAGGCGAGGTGGACCCTGAATCGCATCCATCACCTGTCAGGCATGATACCGTCTTGGTATTGCATGCAAGCAGAGTGGACCTCCTGCGATGGCGTGCATCCGCCTACATCAGCGCATCCTCTACGAACATGAGAAAGTCCTCAGTGAAGCAACAGATCCGTTGATGCCTCGGCATGCTAGAGAGCAAGAAGCGCGGTTGCGGGTAGTCGAGGGGTGTTCTCTGGTGGCAATGCCCATCGTGGCCGCCGCTGAACGCATATATAAAGAGGCCCTGAGCTGCCTGTTTTCGACATGGAAAGTCAACAAAGCATCCCAAACAAGCACCTTGAAGCAGAACAATTCCAAGCCTCCATCAATTCAGAACTGTCATCGCTCGTCAGATCAAAGATGCTCATCTCCATGCTGCTCATTCCTCTGGCAGGTCTTGCAACTGCCTGGGAGCAGATCGACAAGGATAAAGCGGTTCGTCTGTCCTCCAGATTGTGCTGAAGCCTCTCGCTCATCCGCTCCCCCTAGCTGCTTGCCATTGTTGATATTCAGGTCGGCCTGTTCTCCGCGGTCCGCGACTTTGATCCGGTCACCTTCCGCAACGCGATCTACGGCCATGCCGAGCTTGCCAAACTATTTGATCTCCCTGTTGTCATGACCACCTCGGTCCAGCACGGTTAGTCCCTCGTCACTTACGTGTTTTCGTCCTAGACGATCCGGTCACGCCAGCAGTTAACTTTTGTGGCGCCACACAGGACCCAACGGGCCCCTCCCCAATGACATGGTGGCCATGTTCCCGGACGCCGTCGTCATTGAGCGACCGGGCGAGATCAATGCTTGGGACAACGCCGAGTTCCGCGCAGCTGTCGAGGCAACCGGCAGAAAGCAAATCATTATTGCCGGTATCATGACCGATGTCTGTAAGTAGCACCTGTGCCACCATTGCTCCCAAGCCAAGGATATATGACAACAGCCTGACAGAGGTATCCTCGTTCCCACAGGCACCGCATTCCTGGCTCTTTCCCTCCGCGAGGCGGGCTACTCCGTCTGGGCCAACGCTGAGGCCTCGGGAACCGTGAGCCCGCTCGTCCGAGACATTTCCAACGACCGCATGGCCCGCGCAGGCGTCCACGTCGTCTCCTTCTTCGCCATTCTCAGCGACCTCCTGCGCGACTGGCGCACCGAAGCTGGGCCTAAGATACTGCCCTTCCTCGACAAGTACATGCCCGCCGGCGGCTTCGTCGCGCGCGCCCACCTGGGTGCTATTAAGAACGGGACTATTGTTCCTGGTGAGGAAGGGCTTTGACTGGCTCCAGGGAATCGTCCGCGCGATTAGGGAGTAGGGCAGTAGGGTAGTGGGGGGAAGTTGGGAGAAGTAAGCTCGGTAGGAATGGGTGAAGCTTCCCTCGAGCTTGCTGATTCACAAGAAGGGCATTCGGAGAATGTTGCAGGCGAGCTAAGGGCGTGGATGGGCCGGGAAAAGCAATCGCTCTCTATAGACCAAACACAGTTGGGTCAGCGAAGACGATGATGAGAAATCGGTGGCAGGTCGACGGTCGTGATTGAGAGACTTCCCCCGCATGAAGGCTGGGGCACATCGATAGTTGCCCATATTTTCCAAATCTACAGCCTGCCACAGCTTTGAAGATGACTTAAATTGAAGAAATGAGCAGATGGGTGACTATCCTACTGTCGATGGCGCAAGACTCGGTCCTTCGGTAGATTGAAACTGCAGCCTCCGAGGTCTCGACCCTTCCCCGCCAGGACTGTTAAGAAGAAAATTCAGGATGTCCTCGCCTACTCCGTTAGAGACCTTGGCGTATGTTTCCGCAAGGATCCTGGCACCCGGCTCGTGTAGACCATCATCAGGTGCCCTGCAACCAATGATGATCTTTGAGTGCGTCGCTGGGAGAACGAAGTTCTTGTGGTGAAACTTGAGCCAATTGAAGCAAAAGTAGCACGCGGGCTTGCTGCACCCAATGTACCTGTCATTTCCCAGGAAGACCATTTTGTCCCGGCTGAACCGATCCGCAACCTGCAATTCGGCGTGCACTCGCGTGATGGTGGACTGGCCTTTTCTTGCCATCTCCGACCGGAGAGTTACCCTCATAAGCGGCGAGTCCCGCTCGACGATTGCGTGGAGTGCGCTGAGGTTGTGGTACTGGTTATGGGACGCTTTGCATATGTCCCAGACGATGTCATAGGGCTTGAAGATCTCTGCGCTCATTCGAAGCCGGACTTCGCTCGGCGCGTGAACTGTCCGGATTTCAGTGATGTTCCGTAGTGCTGGGTCTAGACGTGCCGCCTCAACAACAACATGCGATTTCGCGCGAGTCGCCGCGAGGCCGTGGATGAAGTGCCTCAGCTTCTCGAAATCTTGATCGGGGTCGCCAACTTGCTCTCCAGCTGTCAGAATATCCGATATGTCTTTTGGCTTCATATTGTGGCAGAAATCAACGAAAGTGGCGGCGTCTTGGTTCTTGGGCTCCGAGAGTCTTTTGAGGATCCTGCGGACATGGAGAACTATCTCGCAAATGACTGTGAGCACGCAGTACGAGTCCTCATGGCGCAGGTGGCAATCCTTACCTAGTGCATCGGGTCCAACTGTGTCGTCGCGTTCGAGCAGGATTCTCAGCTGCATTCTGCATGCCGTAGCATGATGTTTTACACCCTGCTGATATGTCTCGATCCTTGGTGCACACTTTGTCACAGCCTGTCTGAAGATCCACTCTTCGAGTCCTTGAAAGTGAGGTTGTTGCAGCCCTCGAAGTAGCGTTTCAGCATACGCCTTCACGTCTTGACTGATTCCTTCATTGGCGGCCAGCCAAAGAAAGTTGCTGTGCTCAAGTTGCTCTAATGCAGCAGCAGTCACAGTGGCCCCGCCCTTTTCAACATCACACAGGTAGGCGAAAGCATCAAGAAAGTCCCTTCGATGCGTCCGTCCAGCATTTTTTGTTGCCTCTCGTGCCTTGGGTGCGTCTTGATATTCTGTAAGTGCACTGAAGAGGACGAGCCGCAAGGAGAGCTGCTCCTTCGCGGACAGTAGGGAAGCTTCCACACTGTCAGGGATACGACGATTTTCCGCCGTAAGCGATGGTTTGCTTGCTTCGTAACGCTCATTGGTGTTTTGTTGTGATGGCGGCAGCATCGCACGCGGCATTCTTGGTAATGTGGCCATCGCCATCGTACTGCTCAACTTCCTGACAGCTCATGCAATGGTTGTACACTTTCAGCCTCAAGAAGATGGGATCGGGATTGAAGTCTTGGAATCAGAAGAAAGTGATTGAGGCGGGGAAGAAGAGCATCGAATGTTCCCTTGTGAGGCAGGCGCTCTCTTCAAGGCGTTCGACCAACAAGTTGGGGCGCAGTAAGGCGGCTGCATAACTGCAGCCTCTATCACACCAACGTGCAGACATGATTGGACGCCACTACAGAACCTCAGCTAGACATTCGGCCCCAGCATTTGCAACCCATCCTGTTATCTGATCACTCGCGATCAGGCTGCAATGCACGCTATCTTTCTTCTCATTGGAGAATGTCGCAAAGAATGGATTCAATCTCCGAGGCGCTTCCAGCAGTACGAGACACCGCGAATGCAGCGGGGTGGAAAATTGATCATTCCTTCTTGGAGCCAACCAGCGTCAGGTGGGCACTGACTCTGGAATCAAACTCATCCTGCCATCTCTGGAAATTACTTGTGAAACCCATGTGATCAGCACCGGCCTCTTCGATGGCAAGTCGCGCCAGGGTGGCCAGCCTTTCCCGCTCGGCCGGGTCTGAGAGATACTGCCCTACCACGTGTACCAGCTCCCCGTGCACAGTGAATTTCCTGAGCAGGGGCAGCTTGAAAGCTCTCTCCGCCCCAAAACCCTGCAGGAGGTTCACCCACTCCATGCCAAACGTCCCCTTGACGTGTAAATCGAGCTCTTCGATGCTTGGGGGCAGGACATCCACGAGTCTTGGAAGGTGGCCATCCTTCGTCCGGTCCCACTTCTCGAACCCCGGCTGCGTGGGTGGCGATGGCGACTTGCCTGATCTTCGCTCTCCCGAGGCGGGATTCGGGCCAAAGAAGATATCTGCATCAACTTCCAGGCGTTTCAGTGCCGTGAACTCGTGGAGAGACCAGACGCCAGTCGGGTATGTATTGCTCATGTGATCCACGGCTATACCCAAGTCGTTTATCTGGTCTCCGAGCCGCTGCGTCTGGGAATTGCTCCTGCTGCTAAGAACCCCATCACTGTCCACCTGCTTACCTGGGCTGTCTTCAGGCACCAAGGCAGGGACACGAGGACACGCCCTCGCCACCGTCTTCAGGAACCCGTCGACGTCCCAGTCATGTCCAATGAGGACCTCCTTGACCATGTGCGAGTACCTTAGCGTCTTCAAGAACGGCATGCGGCTTAGCAGCTGGCCTATAGCGCCCGGGGCGATAGCGCTGGCCGCGAGCTCGAGGCGCTCGATGCCGCTGTAGGGATGTGTTTCTCGCCACACCACCGACGCGAGAGGAGCAGGGTCCCCGTCGTACTCGCCGCTGGCGACCAGACAGGATGCGAACATACTCTTGACGCGCGGGGATGCCCAGGCAGCATCGAGGACTTGTGCGTCGGCCATGCACTCGGTCGAATGCTCGAGGTCGAGGCGGACCTCCCGCAAGTTGTTCAGCGGGGAAACGAGGTGGCTGCAGGCCCGCAGCCGGGCCTTGTCCTTCTCCGACACTGGGCACGCTATGCCTTTGTCCTCAAGCTGGCACACAGGGTGCTCAGCATGGTCTCGCTTTGCCTGATACCCTTCTTCGTCGTTGATGCGTGTCGTCATGAGCTGGAGAACTCGATGGCTGTCTCTATTCGTCGTGTCCCTATAGGGCACCGCCATTAGCTCGATATTGCTGCAGCCGACAGTAAGAATCGCAATGTGGTTCAACCGGGACAGCAGCAGAACGAGGAGGTGGTGAATAATCCTCTCGGCGTCCTCCTCTTCGATTTCTGGGATGGGTGTTTCCTCATCGTCGTCGTCATCGTCGTCGTCACCTTCATCTCCGCCATAATACAGCTTCCTGAACTGCGGCACGTCTTCTATCCTGGCTTCCGAGCGGGCTGCAGCCGCCTGAAACCACGGCGAGGCAAGCTCCAGGTCCGCAACCAGGCGTGCACCGTCCGCCCGGGTCCGGCCCTTCGCCTGCGCCCGGATCCACGCCAGCCCTTCGTCCTCGAAAGCAGGGTCCGGCTCGTCCAGATCCTCCGGTTCCCTGTTATAATCGACCGTCAAAGAGTGGACGTATTGCGCGATCTCTGGGTGCGCGGCGATGCCAAGGGCATAATCGGCCAAGTCTTGGACCAGCCGCGAACAGTCCTCCCACGGCGCACAGATGAGGACGTTCCGGAAGAGTCGCCTGTACTTGTTGTGCTGCGCAATCAGGGCTGAGCTACTGTTATGGACGGTCCTGCAGGTGAGCATGAGGTTCTCAAAGGTGTCGGCGTCTGTGCTCGTGCTGATCAGCCGGATGAGCTCCGTGGGAAGGTGGAGAAGCGGTGACGAGGAGCACATCATGGCGCTGATAAGGGAGCAGGCTTTCGAGCTTGACTGTGCTACTTTGGAAGTAAAAGATTGTGCGATACCGAGTCTGGGTTGTCTGGATCGTCTTTTTGTGCCTGCTCAAGACTTTGGAGAGACTGCTGCCTGGAAGGATTCACAATTCACACGATCGTTAATCCCTGCGAGGAGCTGGCTGGCCGGGGATTCTGGAAAGCCGTGTGGGGCGCGCGGGCGGAAGGTCTGTGATTCAAACCGTGAGCCCAAGAGTCGACTCAGGGGGAGAACCGGAGGCCACACACCACGAGCATAAGAGACATCGATTATTGCTGTGCTGGTGAGTTGTTGATCACGCACTGTTAAACTTGGCCCTTTGGATTCTTGTTCTCTGTCTGCTGAAAACCGAGCTGACAAATGTGGGGAGGCCTGTGTCTGGAGAAGTTCACGCAGCTGGATATCCATACGAGGCAGCAGAGCGGCAGGGACCCTTGCTAGCCTTGTGTGGGACATGTGGAGCTCGGGGTCCGGGTTCCGACTTGGAAAATAGTAGTAGGCTGTACACGACGAGCTCAAAATAGATCGGTTATTGCTGTGCTGGTACAGTCGGATTCGAAATCGGTGTCCGTCTTGGTCATGCAAAAATGGTTCTGCGCACGGATCCTCTGATCTTGGCATCCCACCTTAAACGGTGGAGAAAGGGGAGACCCTGCGAAAAGGTGGCGTAAACGACAGCCAATTCGTGCTCCATCGTCAGTATTGGCTTGACATAGCTTCTCGCTTATTGCATAGATGGAGGTATTACATCATGAGAAAAAACACGGTTCTGCAACAAATAAAGATTACGCAACCAAACATTTCCACCCGTGTTTGATCATGTCGACCGGCCGAACTTGGAAGCTATCACTTCATCACTTGAACTAGTCACTCAATTGACGAGAATGGTATCTCTTCCAAGAGACACAGCAACACCATGAGACGAACGATCTTCGACAGTTGTGATATTGCTTAAGCTTTGCCTACCTTCGCAGAACAGCAACCCCGAAGCCCCACCAGTCGGTTGATGCCGGTGGATAACCATTAGAGTTGGCTCCAGGATCAAGACTGCAACAAACGATATTTTGAGTGCAGCGATTCTAAGCTCAAGAGCGCCTTGAGTCTGTACCCCAAGCTTGCTGGTCGTGGCAGATTGGGCACTCATTTCGCCATGCCACGAGGCCAAAGAAACATACTTGATACTTCCATACAGATGTCTCATTGGCCCTTTTCCTTTGCGCCGATGGCATCCAGGGCAGTCATAGAGACTTGCACTTGTAGTCCAACCAAGACCACGTTTGCAGCCAGTCCAAAGACAGAGCTGATTGTCTTTGTCGCGTACAGGTAGGTAGGAATAGATGTCGCCGATAAGATGATGCTAGTTGCCACAAGCAGACCCAGCACACGTGCAGGCAATCGCCGAAATCTGATGATCGACCGCCGTAAAGGTAGCACGAGAAAGAGCACGGAGAAGACCTGGCTCATACAGCTGCATAGCAGCCACCAGAAATCTGCATCCTCAAGGCTTCCTGGTTCATCGGACTGCTGCGAGGACTTCACTGCCACTGCAGCAAAAGCAAGTAGGACCAGGCCTGAGATCAAGGCGAGTTGATGGAAGTTACGAGCTAAGCTGTCGCTTGGGGGTAAGACACTTGGCTTGATCGCGGAATTCTGTCAGTTTATTGAATGCAGTTGGGAAAATCTTATCATAGTCAGTTGCAATTCGCATCAGGGAGGCTCACCGTGGTATCCTGCCTGGAAATCTTTGCGTTCTGCTCGTTGCGCTCGTGAACTTTGCCGCTGGAGAGAAAGTTCTTGTAGACTCCAACATTCGTGATTCTCTCCATACGAGCTTTCCTGGGCAGAAGTTAGCACTCTGGCGAGCAGATTGGGTTTGAGGACATAGAAACAGTACCACCGGTCCATGTGCGCGTCACGTGTGAAATAATCATTGCCGCAATTGTTGTAGAACGTCCACAGCCTCTCCACGGCTAAAGCGCGCACACAGATCCCCAGAATGGTCCCCTCGTCTATCTCGCGAACCTGTGACTTTATCAAATGTTCCAGAAGATCTGCTGCTCTCTTCACAGCCGATTTTAGCTTTTGCGCGTCCTGATAGATTCTATAGTCGTCCTGGGAGCGACTGATGAGAAACGGGATATTGTCCCAGAGTTCACCAAATCTCTTGTCTTTGAGGTAGGAGGCGGAGACACTCTTGCCTTCGACACGGAAGCCCCATAGATCGCTGACAAGTTGCGAGACTGGGCCGTGCCAAGCCAAGGAGAGCTTATCGTCCTTCATCTCCGTAATCTCCAAAACCGACATCGTTCTTTGTTCGGAGTGTCCAGCAGCACTGTACAAGCCTTCGAGGACGCTGCAGTACTCTGATGGGCTCTGCTGCAGTTCCTTGGCTCGAATGGCATGTCTGTACAAACCCTCCTCCGTGACGGTGTCGAGAGAGGTCGATCTTAGCGTCAGGACATCGCCGCCGGCGCGCCGTATTTCGTACATGCCTTTGGCCATCTTTGTCGCATATCAGCTATCCAATATTGATATTGCAAACTTCTCTGCTTCAAGATGCGTTGAGTGGCCACATACCAACGAGACGCACAGTGCATCAGCTTCAACGACCGTCCTGGCCAGCTTCATCATCTCTCGATCTTTGTTGAACGCCACATCGTCTGGAGTTGGGTTGTCTGCCACAATTCTCAAGTCCCGCGACTGAGAAGAGGGTGTCCCTGTGAAAGGTGGATCAGGCTCAGGAACAGGCAGAGAAGAGTAGGAAACCAGGTGCCGGTGCTTACACCATCCTGCGATGCGCGATCGCATCATGTTGAATTGGATTGGCTTCGGAGTGCGTAAAGCAGAAATACTTGGGAAGGACCCCAATCTTTTCGGTGGAATGTGTCAACTTCGCAATTAATCTAAGTGACAAGTCAGTCTGCCTTGGTCGACTTGATTGTGGCGCAGCTTGTAGCCTCAACCTGCATGTAGGTTGCATCAGGCGGCAATCGTGAGCAGTCATTCGTCCAGGCCTCCAAGGCAAGCTGCGCACTGGAGTACTTTACCAAGAAGCTCCGCCTCGTTGTGTGCCGCACAGATGCTGCCCCAACATCCTCGATAAACGCATATAACAACACTGCCACTATGCAGCTCTGCTCAATTGGGTCCGGCTGCTTTATCAAGAATCACCGACTCAAAGGACGAGATATTTGCATGATGCAGTCATCGCCGCGCTTCCTGGCGACAGGTTCGAGAGCTGCATGATCACGAGTTTACAAGACTTCTCAAGGGAAATGTGTAAATGACAACCACGATGCTTAAACACAGAAGGTACTTTATTCTTACTAAAATCCAGAAACCGCGGGTCTTCATGGCAACGCTGCAGCGGACAATCTCGCCAAAATGGTCCCTCCAATCCGCGGTCTTGCACCGCTCCTTCACTTAGAGTGCGCACCCTCTCCGAATGCTCGCAATAAAGCGACAATCTGTGAATGGCCATTCTTCGCCGCTGCATCAAGTGCTGTTGAACCATACCGGTCTGTAGCAGTGTACTGAGTATCGCGATTGCTGCCGAGTAGAGTACAAACGACTCCGGGGTGTCCGAGCTTTGAGGGAAGAAAGAGAGGAGTACGGCCGAATCGATCCGGTTCATTGATGTCCGCTCCTTTCCCTAAGAGAAGCTTCACAATTATGGCGTGGCCTTGAGATGAGGCGGCCAGAAGTGCGTTGCCAAACAGGCCGCCCTGTGCGTCTACGTCCGCCTCCTTCTCTAAAAGAAGCCTAACAACCTCAGCGTGGCCGTGGTATGCGCCACTTGAAGAACATTGCCATATCCGCCTTGTGCGTCGAAGTCCGCCTCCTTCTCCAAAAGAAGCCTGACAGCCTCGACGTGGCCTCGAGCTGCGGCGGTCTGGAGAGTCGTGCCGTGGAAGCTGCCCTGTGCGTTGACGTCCGCCGTTCGCCTGGGTTAGATGTGGCCTCGGATTCCTTTTCGATGTTCATCGTAGCACGACGTGAGCATTAGAAACCAACTTTAACCATGAGGAACATGTCTATGCGGCTCAATATTCCGCGCAACTTAGGTCGCGAGTTGAGAACGGCACAAGAGCCGTGAATGCGCTGTTGGAAACCATGAAACTAGTTGTCGAACCCTTCGCGAGGCAGGGGCCAAGGGCAAGAAAGCAATATTAGGTCCCACAAGCCCGGCCTCCGCTACGCCTGGACCAAAACTAGTCGAAAAGTCATTCAGGATAGAACACCTCCGAAAACCCCGACAGATTCGAACTCAGACTGCAGAGTCGTGGTTTGATTCCAAAAAAAAAAAAAAAAAAAAGGGGGGGAGCTTGTAATAACCTTGACAGTCCTCACACGGGTTCCTCCCCAGGCATCATCCTGTATATGCAACAAATGGAGATTGGGACAATCCGATGTGCAGCCTGAAATGGCTTTCGTGAATGCCCCCACCTACCTCTAAGCCGCCTTGTCCGTGGCCCCACTCACATGAGCCTTGCGGAGACATGGCGGGCTGTGCGCAGAAAAGATTGCGTTCAGCGAAAGTGGACACCGATTTCGAATTCGACTGTAAGAAGTGGCTCAAGTACTGTTTGGCATTTGTTGAATGACCGGTTGTTCACAAGCACTCCGCGGCGAACATCAGCATCACTTTGACGACTTAGTCACTCTCGTCTACAGGTGGTCCCTTTCCAGCTTAGCACGAGAGTCAAGACGGCGTTAGACTTGAGGAATAGCTCTATGGAAGGCGTTGCGGCTTTGTCAAGATGTCCTTGTATATTCTGTGGTCTTCTATGACTTCTGAAAAGTATGTACAAGACGGAAGCCATGGAACCAATCCTCCAAGAAAAGAAAGTCTATCGTTCTCCAAGCAAAGTCTGGCGAAAACATTCCCCTGTCAAGAAGTGAAAGTATGTACGAAAGCGAATGGAACGAGATTGTGCGTTGACAAATCTCTCTATCTCTAATTTTTCAATCATCACATGGCTCGTTGATGAAAGGACAACCCTCTCTAGCCAAGCAGCTTAAGCGTAGTAGGCGCGGCCGACCTTGGTGACGGTAGGCTCCTCGACCTCGGGCTCGACAGCACTAGCCTCGATGGCAGCCTGCTGGATGAAGTAGTCGCGGACGATGGTGGGGATGGCCGGGCCGGGAGCAGTTCCCTCGGGCTCCTGGGGAGGCGTGGGGGTGACATAGGTGATGTCCTCCTCGGCGACGGCACGGCTCCAGAACGAGCTCTCGGGCTGGCACAGGTCGAGCCACATGTCGCCGGTGTCGGCAGGGCACCACTTGGTGTTGGGGTCGTCCGGGTGCTGGTAGCTGTCGAGGCAGACCTTGCCGGCCTGGCACCGGATCTTGACGCAGGTGCCCTGGCCCTCGCCGTTGCCGGTCGGCGATACCTTGACGTTGTCGTTGAAGAAGGGAGTGCCGACGAGGCCGTTGCCCTTGCCGTCGAGGTCGCTGAGATCCCAGTACAGGCCGCCGTACTGGCCAGTTGCCATGGCGTACTCGTACTGGAGGATGCCGTTCACGCCCTCCTTGGAAATCTTGACGCTGACGCCGTTGCCGCTGGTGATCCAGTTGAAGGCGGTGGTGGCGCCACTCGAAATGGTCCACGGCTTGCTGCCGTCGCGGATGCATCTGCTGTCGGTGCCGTAGTCGCAGCCGCCGTTGTGCGAGAGGACAACAGTGACCTTGCTGCTGCAGTAGCTGTGGATCTTGAGGCTGCCAGCAGATGCGCCGGTGGCCATGGCGGCCAGGAGAGCGCCGAGAGCGAGCTTGGTAGAAGACATTGCTACTGTTGTTGTTGTTGTTGGATAAGGAGTGGCTGGTGACTTAAAGTCTAAATGAGGGAAGGAATGTGTGGATGCTGAAGAGGTGAGGCTCTGTGTGCTGATGAGAGGAGGAGTATTAATCGTTTTTCGGCGGAGGATCCAGACATTCTTATACTCTTCTTCATGATGTTGTTTCCGGGCTCTTGTTGTGCTGAATGGGTGGGAGCTCGACGTCCTACCAAGTTGTCTCTCGGAGGGCTTGACCGTCTCGTCTGAGGCCTGACGTGCTGGAGAGTGTGAAGCGATGTTACCTCGTCACGAAGACTAACCAAAGATGCAACCCTGTCACCCAAGATTATACAGATGTCTCGCGCTCCGCACCAATATCTCTCTTCACCTTGGTGGAATACCGGCCGTCACAGTCTACCCACTAGTTCAGATGTCAAGCTGTACCTGCGTTTCTGACGCATCACTCAGGGGTAATGCGACTCTGAGGCGAATCCGGTGCAACCTGTAGCCCCTGGGCCTCCAAGCCTGCAATCAAGGCCAATATGCTCAGCTCGCTTAGCGCATCTTCGATATGCAGGACCACAGCTGAAATTGCCCTGTTTCTGTTTCCCGCAGACGCCAGAGACTCATGACTGATGGCCGAAAAGGGACTCCGCCAAGGCCGCCTGGCCCGAACGAGGACGGGCGCTGACAGTCTTGTCGCCGAACAGGGGTTTGCCCCGGGGTCCAGGATGTAACGTGTGTGCACGCCGTTACCTTTTCCGCAATGTCGGAACCTGGCATAGCTGTGACAGCTGTACCTCCCCCTGGGACGACGTCATGCTCGATTGCGTTAAGCCTCGACTCGGCTCCGAAGTAGCGGTAGGGGGCCGCGGGGAACTATACGGGTGCCTCGTCCTTAGCTTTTACTGCAACGTGCCAGCTTGGGTCCGCCCAATACTCTGGTCCGGCGATATCGCCGACCTGAGCGCTGCAGACCAACCAAGTCTTGCCGTGCGCGAGAGTTAGTCAGGAGCCAATGATGAGTAACGACTCTTTCCACGGACATGCCGTGAGGCATTTCCTCCCAAGGAATCATTTATTGTCCCGGTCGAGCTGTGAGGTGATGAAATCGGGGGCAAGGTGAGAGGACTGCACCCACTCACCGATCCTTGCAAGCCACGTTCCTGTAAATGGACGCTTAGCCTATTCTGGACCCTTGCCAGCTTACGACGACGGCGTCGGTTACAGTCCTTGGGGAGCTCAACTGCCACCGAACACTTTCTGCTCATTCCGCTGGTACACGCCATCATACTGCTCCCGACTTCTGTGTCAAAATGCCATCAGCTCGCCTTGTGGCTTATACGACAAACCACGTTACTCATCCCTCAAGACAACCAAACATGCTGTATCGAGGTAGCCGTCAGACTCAAGCCACTCGGGATCTTTACCACTGCTGACGCGGCTACCTGGCGCTCACTCAGCACAACAGAGATCCCCAAATCGACACTTACATGCGTAAGACTCTGAATAATCTAGCACGTGTGGGAACTACGGATCGCTGGATCTGCCCTACCATCGCCAAGTCGGCTCCCTGGTCATTATTACCATACCAACAGAGTCGTGGCACGTTAACCTTGCAACCTACTGACCATCACCGGCTGCCTCCCATAACCAGCCTACAGGCTCAACGGCTCTTACCCGGGCTCATGCTCTTCAGCTTTCGCGCGCCCTCTCCAAGACGACCTTGGCAACACTCTGATTTGGCCCAGCCCAGTGCCTCCCCGCCCACACAACCCACGCGCCCACAGCACCCAAGATGACAGTCAAGAAGATCGGCCCGCAATAGTTCATCGACACCGCCGTGACCGGCACCGCGGTCGGAAAGGGCAGCCATACCATCACGTACAGCGTGTACACGAGCGCAAAGACGTTCAGGGGAGTGCCGAGCCTGCCTGTACTCCACGCGGACACCGGCATGCCCATGGTGAGCCGCGCGTGCAGAATGACGGAGAGGACAACGGCGTAGCTGAAGTATATCGCGAGGGAGGAGAGAGAAGTCACGGCGCCCAGCGCGACGTAAGTGTCTGCCCCGATGTTGAGTAGCGAGAGCAGCGTGACGATTGTGCAGGTCAGGAGAACAGCGCGCTGGGGCACGCGGGTCTTGCTGTCGACGTGGCCGAAGAGGCTTGGCACTGTTTTAAGGAACGGTGGTGTGTTAGTATTCAGGTTTGTCAGAAAGAGACGGAGATCGAAATAGGGAAGCAGTTCTTTGTCGTGTCTTGACTACAGGGGGGGAGACTCACAGCCACCGTCTCTGGCCCAGGCCCAAGTAATGCGCGTTGTGGAGGAGAACACTGACATGGCGCAGAAGAAGCCCGTTATCACGACGCCCGCGGCGATAACGGTGGCCACCGCTGGGGATCCAGTGGAAGTGACCACAAGATACACGAAAGGATTGGATGCATTCAACATGTCCTCCAGTGGCGGCATGGTGATCTGAGACAGTGTTCTGGTGTCAGCACTGATGGCATAAGATGATGGCTGCCACTTTCCCGTGCGGCGGGTGGTGGTAGGATACAGAAGCTGAAAGACACATACGATGTAGGTAATGACCATGAAAAGGCCTAAGACCTGATTGGCCACAATGGACCAGAACATGGCCCGTGGAGCAGAACGCGTTGCATCTTTGGCTTCTTCACCCATGTGCGTCACACTTTCGAATCCTGACTCAATTGCAGAGTGTCAGTATAAGGAGCAATCGAAAGCGGACCGCATGGCACCGGCAGTTGATAACCGCGAGAAGCCAGTGTGTGCAGACGTACCAATGAACATCCATACTTGAGTGAGCATCCCAACGTTCCAGGAGATGAAATTGTCCCAGCCCGCGACATTCGACGTTATGAGCATAAAGCTAGGGTCGTTTCGTGGGGACATTATCCACAGCACGACAACGGTGATGAAGAAGAAGCAGATGTTGAGAAGGCCGGCAGCGAGCTCGAACCAGGGCACCGCACGAAAGAACCACACGTTGACCGTGGTGAGGAAAAGCAGCGCTGCCATCACCATGAGCGTCGTATGCCAGCCGCCGTTCTCATAGTCCGGGTAATGGATCTGGATAGTGGCCTTGAGGACGACGGCAGAATTATTGAGGGAGGATGCCAGGCACGAGACGTAGCCCATCCAAGTCGCCCAGCCCTGCATCCACGTAAGGAACAGCTTGTACTTTGGAGTCGCAAAGTAGAAGGTCCAGTAGTATTGCGCGCCTGCCATTGGCAGGATCGAGGCGCATTCGGCAAGACAGGCGGCCTGTGCGAGGACTCCGATCGCGATCAAGATGAAGTTGAACAAGTATGCAGCCGGCCCGCCATTGACGAGGGCGAAGTACATGTTTCTGTGTCGCAAGAAACCCATCTGTCAGCAAGTAGTATCGCGGGGCAGGGTCAATTTCTCCACATACGTTCCCATGGCTTGCCATGTCACGAAATACATGAACGAGAAGCTGAAGAGCTGTGCCGGAGTAAACAGACGTCGCGTACGAGTCTGCTTTTCGACAGACTCCACTGGGCCGCGCAGATCTCGTGGAGGCGCGGCATCGGCAACCTGCACTGTCATCTCGAATTTTTCGCTGTCCATTATGCCCGACCAGAGAGGTGAATTCGCCCTCGAGCAGCGCTGAGGAGGCGCGGGCAAGTATTGTGGCAAATCCTAGGGAATCGTGGTCTGAGCTCCCTACAATATCTGGTGGGAAAGACCAAGGCGAGGATTCTGGGCAGCCTGAGCCTCTTATGCAGAAGACCGAGGCAGGTCCATGGTTGGGGATGGGCCAGAGGTACCTGCCACAGACCATTGCCAAGAAAGACGCAAAAAGACCGCGTAGCAACGCATAGATGCACCAGGATAGGTCATTCCAAACTGTAAGATGCTCAAGCAAATCGTTCCGCGGTCGAGGAACCTGCAGGCATGCCCAGAACCAACATGACAGGGTGACGGGTGGCAATACAACCTCAGGTAGCAATTGAGGACCCTATGGAATTCTCCCAGTTCGCACCATCTGCTGCGCATGAGAATCTCAGCGCAATCGCAGTAGTCATCGCCTGCCAGTGCCAAAAGAAAGCTTTCCCAGGCATAAGCTTTGTAAACAGGGACATGTTGGCCGTACGCGAAGGAAGTCGATGCAGAATGAGTGGCCGCTCTTTTCATGAGCTTGCCAGGGTAGCCTTGCCATCTCCAGGGTCTCGTTGCTCGCTGTCGAGCGGGAGTGCCGCGATTGGTGCTCATGGGCATATATATGGACCCATTGCAACACAGGGTCTCGCATCAGTCCATGTTGGCTGTGTCGTTTCACAGGTGGGTCAGTAATCAGGCATCGTCTAGTCGGCAGGCCTCATCTTGGATTTGTACCAAACCATGGCTGATGTGATCTGGCGAACATGTCCGAGTACTCTTATACAATGATAGATTGGTTCAAATCAATACGGCCGATTCTCATCGAGAAGTACGATCAATAACTTCAGACAGGAGACGAAATGAAAGACGATAATTCGCGTCTTGAAATACTTATCACTCGCGAAGGTCTGTTGCATTTTCCTTGCATTACCCAGCGCCCCCGCTCTCTCGGCCAGAACCCATTACTGTGGCAGGGATGAGATCAGCTTCAATATGTCATCAATCAGGAGCGACTCCTTGGAGAAACCCTTGACTGTCTGGTCAATCATAACCCTTGCCAACCCGTGCAACGGGACCACTGGCAATTTGCTGGCCTCCGCCCTGCGCTTCAGCTCCTCAGTCATAGGCTTGTCTTCGTCAACAATGAGCGCAGTCTTGATGAATCGGGGTTCAATCTCTGTGCGGTTCTGATGCTCCGCTGCAATTGCGATGATGCTGTTCTCAACCTCGCCCTGGCATCAATTATCAGCAGTGCGTCTTGCCACGTGTGCCTAGCGCTAGGAACGCACTTTCAACAGACCATGCTCGGGCAGGAAAGGAGGGGTCTTGGTCTGATCTCTCTCGGCTGCGATGCCGCTCATGTAGACGAAGCGAAAGGGCTGCGCGGGATGAGCCGCGATCATGGCGTTGAGGCCCGCGACGGTGCAGTCATGCGTGACTCTTCGCACCTCGTCCCACGTGTAGTTTTTCGACGCTGCCGGAGTGATGCCGACGGTCCTAAGGTATTGAAGCATACTCAGCAAGAAGACTCCCCATATGAGGATTGGGGGAGGCCAATCAGTGGCCTACGAACCAGATACAAGCACCCGCTCCGGCAAAGTGCGCTCGGACGTTGTCCGGGTAGTCGTCATAGTCCTTGATGAGGACGCTGACGAGTTTCGTGCGGTCGCTGGGCGTGTCCGTGCAGTCAGTTGCCACGACCTGGCTGCGAGAGAGGGCGACAACGGTGGTGATGCGAGGGTCCCGAAGGCTTGCGCGCAAGACAGCCGTGCCGACAAAGCCGGTGGCTCCAGTTATGATCAGCTTCATGGTTTTGATTTTCCTTGCTCTTGGTAGCTTATTGATAAAGAATTCTGGAGTAATTTGTGTGATCTTTGGGTGCGAGACATAAAGTTTGGAGACATGCAAAAAACCGAACTAATGCAGCAACAGAAGTTTTCCCTCGCACGGTGAGATCCTCTCACGTACAGGAGTAACTATGGCCGAGTATCTCCGCTACTAGCGAAATCAGTACATCATTCAGATTTGATAGGGTATTTCGGCGAAGGACTACGGATTTATCGTGAGTATGTAAGCCTTGTATTAAATTCAAGTACCACTTCAAGGATGGATACCCGTATAGGAAGTAAATAAATCCGATTAACTCCGCTACTCGCGATGGTGACACCTTGCTTGGCTTCGATAGGGGATATCGGCTATTTATCACGGATTTATCGCAAGGCACTGCGCCGTGTATTAGACTTCGGGGCCATTTCAAAGCAAGGGAGGCGCAGGGATCCGTGCAAAGATCATCATTGATTACAAACTGGCCATGCCTGGCGCTTCAGGACTGATTTGCACATGACTTCATGACTGGTCTCTCTGTAAATCATTTGCCGATGTGCTCCACCGTCGTGATAGTCTTACTGCCGACGGAGCGCAGCGGGTCAACCCGGTCCATCACATACTGATCCTGGTAATGCTGCTTCCGCTTGTTCATCATGACCTCGATCTCATCCATCTCCACAGTCGAGCTGCTCTCCTGGCGCAGGCGATACACGCTGCCGTCCCGCTCATCCCCACGCGCACCACTCAGCCCAGCCGCAAAGGCGGAGCCGTCGTCGTCGTCGTCGTCCACCCGCTGCGGCGGGTTCCGCGGGTTGTCCCTGGATTCGCTCGTGACCCGCACCTCGCGGATCACCATGATGTTGCCAATGTGCTTGGACAGCTGCGGCCAGAAGATGGGCACGCTGGCACACACGGCGGCGCAGTCGACCTCCATGAGCGCGAGCAGGATCCCTATCCCGGAGTACCACGTCGGGTCGAACACGGGCTTGGTGGCGACCTCGGTCTGGATGATGACGGCGAGCCGCCACGCCGCGAAGATGATGCAGATGCCGCCCAGGCTGAAGATGCCCAGCAGCCGCAGGCGCTGGATCCGGGTGGTGCCGGACTTCCAGAAGAGCCGCAGGGGGATGAACAGTAGCAGGAAGTCGAGCGACATGTTGATGCCAGTGTGGGACTCGTACGTCGCGACCAGCTCCGGGACGTGCATGGACGAGAAGCCGTAGCAGGTGTCGTCGAGCTGGAGGGACCAGTACTTGCTGGGCGTCGTGCAGGGGATCCACGACATGAGAGAGTATGCGAGCCCCCACAGCGCGGTGAAGACGGTGACGCAGATGGTGAAGCGATATATCGGCGTTCCGCGGTCGAACATGCGCAGGTATTGTAGCAGCAGGGCCAGCTTGACCAGTGCCGTGGAGGTCGTGTAGGCACCTGAGATTATGTAGAAGTTCTGGTAGGCAGCGCAAGAGGTGCGGCGTTAGTGAGACGTTCACGGCTTTGCACAAAATGTGCTGTTCTTTTCGGCTGCGGCAGTTGCCTGGTCCCTAACATCGTGGGGAGAAGGAGGCTCACCATGAGGAAGCCTTTCATTTCGTCAGGCTTGAGAAGCAGGAAGTGCTGTCCTAGGCCAGTACCCGTCGCTATGAATACAGGTCTGGTCAACAGGGTCTTCTTCACAACCCGAGAGGCGAGAGAACATTCTAATTTACCTCGAATCACAGCTATAGTGGCGGCAGTCGAGAGAAGCTAGTAGATAAGACGAACGATTAGCAAAACGGTAGAACAAGACGGCATTGGAACACCTATACTCACAGTATGAAGGAAAATGCACAGGTCGTCCCACCATGGCGAGCGAATAACGAAGAAGCGCGTGTAGAGTCGGCTCAGCACGCATACCCATGCAGTCACCTATCTCACATGGTTGAGATATCAGCTGGAAATTCTCTATGCACACATGGCGACCGGCCTGCATACGTACCAAGCACGCGACAGGCAGGCCAATCAACGTCGACTTCTCATTCGACCATGGCTTCGGCTCGTGCAGATTCGTGACCCCGACAAAGTCAAAAACCGTGGACATATTGCGTCTCTGTATCCGCAGCGAGAGGTCGTTGATGGTCGAAAGGAAGCTCGGGAGCTTTCATGCCCAGAGCAGAAGTCGAGGATAAGAAAGGGCCAGGGCGTGTCCTGCACTATCCCCACTGGCGATAATAGTTGGGAGCAGGATTCGGGTCGTCCACGAATAGTTGGAGAGGTTCGTCTCGATTCTCACGCCGTGGTCGGCATGTCTCGTGCAAGTCTGCCAAATCCGCCCAATGCAGATGTTGCGGTGCAGTGTGGTGGCATACGTAGTCCCATGCGGCCGGCTACTGATATAGCTTGTCGTATCCTTGAGACCAGCGAGTCTGGTAAGGCAGGCAGCAATCTCGCGAGAAGCGGATCAGCTGTCTCGAGAAGGATCAGGAGGAGCAGCTCTCAAGGCCGGCAAGTGTGGTTCAGGACGCAGGGCATCAGATATGTACACCCCGGCGCACCGCCGCCCTCGAGCTGATTTGCACCTTGTCGCGGACGTACGAGAACCAGGGGAGACTGCCCAGCGCCGGGCCATGATACCCCTCAGCCAAGTAGTCGGCTCCGCGACGAAGTGGGCGGAACCGCGCAGCTTGGCGCAAAACAGTCTGCCATCCCCTGTCCCGTGTGACAGGTTACGATGTAGCCTGGGTTCTGGCGCCGCCCAGCGCGTGTGCTATGCAGGGGTCAGCACGTCAGAGTGCCCACACACGCTTGAAAGCTCGACAGAGAACATGATATGTGACGATAGTGGGCGCGGCGTGGTAGCCGGCTCCCGTTAGTCCCAGCTAGCGAGCCAGTGGGCGGGTTCTCGGGCCTCAAGGATCGCTGAGGCCATAGCGCAGTGCTGGAGCTAGGCCCTCTTGCTGCGGAGCATGACTCTGTCCTTGTGTTCGCTGCGTCCTGAATTGGAAACGCACAGTAACTCTTATGGGGATGCAAGGGGAGTGGGGATGTTGTGTAGCGATGCAATTGCACTCTGTCGCAGTCAGCAGATCTTCCCGGGCGTACCAGGCGGAACCCAGATTAAATGCAGGTGTTTTCGGGGTCATAAACCCCCTCTCACCAATATCGCTATTATATGCTGTAGGCCCATGAAATGTAATTAATGCGGGAGAACAGGTTGATCTTGGTTGGTCCCTTGCAGCCACAGCTGCAGTTGACTCGTGCTCGCTGCTGTTAGCGTATCACTTGCAGCTGCCCCTGCCACATCCCGCTGCAATGCTTCCCCAGGGGAAGCCGCCCAGCGAATCAACGCGGTCACAGCTACGCCACGGCTGATTGCCAGTGCGCTAGAACAAAAAGGACAAGCTGTTCGTGGCCAGGGAGAGCAAAAGCAATTCTGAGCTCGCTCACATACTGCGTAGAAACAGGGGACGGCAGGCACAGTTTCCCTCACGGGACAGCTTGGACATCCATGCACGAGATGGAAATGCACGGAATTGTGTTCAAATATGCCCCGGCTTGTTTTCTCCGTAGCTCCTCTCCTGAGAGTGAAGGAAGCGTGGGATCGTCAGCAAGGGTCTTGACTTGGTCAACGTGCGGGCCTTGAAAACAGGACGCTCAGACATTTGTGTAAGAGCAAGAAGCCAATCACAAACGAGCTTCTCGACTCACATCGGATGCTAGGAGGAGATATGCCTGCCGCAGGGCAAGGATACTACAAAGATCCCCTCTGGACGGTTTTTCGGCCTTGAATGTTCAGCCTACGGCCATTACCAAGCAAGTCACAGACAGCCGCGCGCACGAGCCATGCAGGCCCGTCCCTAGTGCTGCAGCCAAGCACAGCGCCACTCCAGCATCTCGCGTGGCTTCAACAAGGACCAGGGCAAAAGTGGATAGCTTATGTCGATCCCACGAGGTCCGAGCATGTCGTGGGAGCTCCCTCGAGGAGAACAGTACATGGCGCTCGCCGACCAGTCCCACGCGTGCTGTCCACAGAGTGGAGGAAGAGCCCGATTCACGCGCGGGTAGGGAAAGGATGCTTCCGGGTTGAAGCTTAGTGGGGCCGCAACACCCTGTCCACTGAGCGAGTTGATGGGCACCGCCACGGATCTGCTCGCCGGAGGATTATAGTGTTGCTTGCAGGTCCGGGTGCCGGAGATGAGATGAATACATGATCTTGGGAGTCAGGAGAAGCGTGCAGACGACAAGCTCACGCGCATGTTCTGAGAACGACGGATCGGGCTGGAGAGTGAGCAGGGGGGATGGTAATCTTGGATGCATGCAGGTCGAGTCCAGTGTCGCAGATTGACGATTGTGGCTGCGACTAGTTCTGCTTGATAAATGGTACAGTGGATCTGTGGTAACTTTGCTCAAGTATTCCTTCCCGAGAGAAGTTCTCGGACGAGTCGATGAAACATGGCTACATCTCACAATTGCACTCGTGTCAGAATAGTTGTCAGTGTTCCTCTGATCATTCAAGACAACCAGGTGGCGACGCAATATGACGAGGTTCTTCCTCCCATGTCACGCGAAGGCAGGTTCATGACCCTGCCGTGGAGCAACTCTTCTTCGCCTGCCCCCAAATTCAAGAGTTGCCAGAGTGATGGAGGAGTCCGCAATCGGGTAACAGTAGCCCATCTTGAAACAATCCGAAACATGCGGCCTTTAGAAATGTAAGCCAGGAGGGCCATCGTCAGCGTTTCCCCCTGGTAACATTCATGACTAGCAGCTTGACAAAGATCGATACTACGGCCTGAACAGTCTCAGATCGACCGCCTCGCCCATGGCAACATAGCCAGCCGGGTTCAAGTGCAGGTGGTCCCCAACGTCGTACCTGACGTCCAGCTGATCTTGAGCATTCGGGTCCCGCACGACCTGGTCAAAGTCTACCACGCCATCAAACCGCCCGCTCTCCCGGATCCACTTGTTGACGCGCTGCCTCGTCTTCTCCCGCTCCGGATCACCGTACACCTGGCCCGGACCCGTGAATGGGGTGATCGTCGCGCCAAACACCTTGATCCCAAACCGCTGCAGGCGGGTAATCATCTGGTCGTACGCGGCAATCACGCGCGTGCCGGTCGCCTGCTGCGTTGCGGCATCCGTCGCGGCGGTGCCGATGTCGTTGACCCCCTCGAAGATGATGGCGTACTTGACGCCCGGCTGCGCGAGCACGTCGCGGTCGATACGCCCCAGGGCGTTGGGGCCCAGGCCGTCCTGCAGGATGCGGTTGCCGCCCGCGGCCTGGTTGAGCACGGCAATGTTGCGCGTCGCCGGGTCCTTTTGCATGCGGGACACCAGGATGTCGGGCCAGCGGTTGTTCTGGTTGGTCGTGCTGCCGCGGCCATCGGTGATGCTGTCGCCAACAATCGCCAGTGCCGATGCTCCCGGGACAGAGGCCTCGGCTTCCAGTCCAGACACAAAATACCAGTGGTCCGTGCGGGTGACGGTGTTTGAAGACGAGTTGACAAAGTCTGCGGTGGAGATCTGGTTGCCAAACGTGATGTACGAGGTTGTGCGGCTACCAGGGTGGGCGGTGATGGACTCGGACGGCTGGCCCCTGGCGAAGTAGAGCGACACGGTGACGATGGACTCGGCTTTGACGGGGAAGTCGATCGTATCGGACAGCACAAGAGCGCCGTTGGGGACCTCGTAGCCTGGCTGTCCTGAAAAGGACAGTGTCTTGAGGCTCTTGGTGTCAATGGCAGACGTGCCGGCCGAGCCGTTGGCAGGGAACGCGATCGAGGCCGCCGTTATGGGAAGAGACGAGCCCCCGAAGGCATTGGAGATCTGGAGGCGGAGCTTCGAAGCCGTCTGTGTCACCTTGAAAGTTTGTCTGAGGGTGGCATTGTAGAACTTGCTGCCACTATCGTTCTATACGACTCGGTCATTAGCTGCGAGCCTGCTGGGACAATTGTCTCGTCTGGAGGACTCACGAATGGAGCAGGCGGGAGGTTTGCAGGTTCGCAGAGTTGCGGCATCGTCGCAAAGATGGACACCCATCGTTTGCTGGGACCCCCTGCGCCGCTGGGATGGAGATCTTGAGCAGCAGCGAGGCATGTGAAAACGCCTAGCAAGAGGAGCAGGGTGCTGAATATAGGCGCCATGGTGCTGGTTGGTCCTCGACGTGACTCTACGTACACATGAAGCACTGGACACGCCCAGCTGCACGGACTGGACGATCGCCGCATTTATTTAAAGGAGTCCCAGGCGAGATCCATCGATCTCCCTATCCACCAACCACTGTTTTCCCGTCGCCCACAATTGCCGATGCCTCGTGCAGGAATTTGTGTGGAGCGCTTTGGGTCCCGAGATCGTGGGGTCCCCACGATCAAGGGGCGCTTTAGCCTAAATCTGCCGGATTGCTACCGCCGATCTCTCGGCACTTGATGTTCCTCTACTGAGAATGTGTTACTACAATCAGGCTAGAATCTCTGCGAGACCAGGGAACAGCCGCGTATACATCAATCAGGCATTTTCCACCAATCGGCCCTGCATCTCGCCTGGTACCCCCCCTTGCGCGCCCACATTCACTGGCATCTCTGCCTCCTCCTCATCGGATGATCTCGTTCCTGCATCTCCACCATCATTGCGTCAGCCGATCAATCCTCCCCAGCAGGAACTCGAGCTGCCGAAACGCCGCAGAGGGCGTGTTCTGGGGAGCCATGTGCCCAGCCCCCCACTGCTTCACCCACGTCAGACCACGCTCGCTATGTGTGATGCCCATCTCGCCATAGCCTGACAGGGGCTCCGCAACAAAAGTGAACCCGTCCTCGTAGGGCACGTAGAATTTGTCCTCCGGCTCTGACTGGAAGCCCTGCGCGCCGCCCCAGGTCATGTTCTGCACCACCAGCCGCGTGCCGATTTCTGGAATGACAAAGTCGAGCGCGCCGTTCACCAGCACGCTGCGCCGCGAGCGCTCAATCACGCGCGGGTACACCTCCCACGCAGACGGGGCGGACGTGTCCAGCTCGTCCAGTGGGCCGTCGCGGCACGACTTCCACTCCTGCAGTGGCGCGTTGATTGCTCGCTGCACTTCGGTCCGGTTGAACCAGGCGCCCCGGCTGTCGCCGCCGCCGGCGCTGGATATGACGTTGGACAAGTAAGGGCAGGCGGAGGTGATGCGATAGTAGTCGAAGCACGGCGAGACGTCCCACATTGCATATACAGCGTCGAACCAGAGGTTTTGGCATTCGTCTGTGGCCAACGGCACGGGAGGAAAGGGTCCCGGGGGCGGGTAGGCCAGGTATTTCTCCAGATACGCCCTGAAGCCGCACGACTCATACCGGGCGTGGAAGTCTGCCGCCACACTGTCGCTCAAGGTGAAGATGCCGGGCCACTGGTCCATGAACGGCACGGCTACGACCTGCCGCTCCACGGCCCCTTGGCCAATAGACGCCGCGTACAACAGGGTCCCCTGGACGTCGAAGTAGTCGGTGTCGTTGGCCGTGAACATGGCGTCCGCAATGTATGGCACGTAGTGGCCCGCGTAGCTCTCGCCCGTGATGTAGACTTTCTTGCCGTGCAGGTCGAACGTGTCAACCAAGTTCTTCCAGAAGGAGAGGAACTCTGCGGCCAGCTGCTCCTCGCTCGTGGCCGTGGGCACGCCCTGGGTGAAGCCTGTTCCGACGGGCTGTTCGATCCAGATCTATTCTCGTTTGGTGTCAATCATCTTGCTTGCAGGTCGTTGTTACACGGCAACAGGTAAGGGGCTAGTCCGTACCATGTTCGTCAACCTCGACCAACTCCAGGCATTCGGAATTGCCCGCTCGGTCCCTGGCAGCCATAAAAAGGGCCCGTTCTCCTGGAGCAATCCGAGCAGAGAACTGCAGTATGGCCCGCCGTTGAGCCATATCGTGATAGTGTCCTTGCCTGCCTCGTCGTCGGTCGGGAACAGCCAGAAGTACAGCTGGTCGCCGGTCCCGTTGGTGTAGCCACCGTTTCTAGCGATTGGCATCAAGCCGGCATAGGACTCGCCCACGTCAAAGTCGATATCGGGCAGCGCGCTGCCATCGACAATGTATTCTAGTGGGAGGTATCAAAGTCTTAGTCGCACTTTTGGAAAGAGCAAACAAGAATTCGGGCTTACTTGATGTTTTGTTGTTCTGAGGCATCAAGGTCTTCCCGCTCTCACTGCGGAGACTCGGGTTCACAATCGCGTTTGTCCATCTGTAAGACGGCGGCTCAGGCAAAGTACTGCCAAACTTTCTACCGTGGGCGCCTTTTGGAGCAGCCAGGCTGGCCAGCGTAGGCAGGAGCACTCCCGAGAGGCGCATTTTTGCGATTGACTGGTTTAACACAACGCACAGCACATGCAACGGTGTGAAATCTGGAAAGAAATCAGGCAGCAGACGCAGAGATGATGGCGGCGTCTCTGTACAGCCCTATATACCTTCCAAGAATAGGTCAATTTGAGATGAATCTACCAGACTTGAATGACTGGACAAGGAAGGTGGTCCAACGGCCCTGGCATACAGCAGATCCTTGCCGCCTGGACGTGCATTGTGTCAGCCCATTTGTAAAAGTGCACAATGCGGGGAACTAAGGTAGAGCATTGGTGTTCAAAGATAGTGGCAAGATTTTATCCAGTGTCAATAGCAGTAGGACAAAATCAGACCGGTGATTCGCTTGTGGATTGAGTCTGCCATGGCGTTGGAAGTCCTTATTTGTTGAGTGCGTAGCCCATGGACTACCCCAGTGGTTTGCCTCACGAGGTGATATGTGTGCCACCCTTGTCGGAGCAGAATTGTGACCAAGGTTAGGATATAAACACCTGCCCCATTCGCCAATGCATGCTGTCAGCACGGATGCACTTCGACTGCGATTGGGCAGGCATCATTGCGTGGTTCGTTAAGGCTGAGCTTCTCCAAGGTAAGCTTTTCCAAGGTTATCTGGAGCCTTATCTTACTGGCACGCTTTGCCAGGGGGCAATTGTGGCACAGTTTATACGAACGCGCCCGTCTGCCAACTTGTGGGACAATTTGAGTGGAATTGTCGAGCAGAGGGAAGCGGGATTCTGCACAGGGTACGGTCGAAGCTGCGCGACACCCGGATATATATCTGAGCAGTGCTGGAAGGTGAATACAGTTGACAGTAGTTCCGCGCGGGTCTTGAGACCAACGAAGAATGGAGCTTGGTTCTTTACATGCAATCAGGCGAAAGCAAGTTTCCTCAACCCATTTGATTACATGGAAGGGAGTCTTTTCCTAAATGAACCTGGGCCTTGCCGACGGATGAATATTGAAGAATCCTTGAGACGATGCACGAGCCTTTGAGGACGCTATACTTGGCGCGAGCCAGAAATCAGAAGACTTGAACTTAGTATGAGCATTAGGCCTGGTCCAATTTGATGCGAATTTGCATACACTGTGTCAATCATGTACGACTGTGGGACCAAGAATATCAGGAACTGTACTCGCTCTCCTGCATACAAGCTTAGTTCTGCCAAAGAAGCAACTTTGAGAATCGGCACGCCCAGCATTACGCGATTTTGCGCTTGTAGTCTCAGTCTAGAGATATCAGTGTCTTTCCAATGCTTCAAGCGATGTGTCGAAGCAAGGAGTCGTTGCATTTATTTGCTTTTCCCGTCTTGCCATGGTGAGAAGAGATCGTGCCGCTGTGTCAAGCCAGGGTGAACCTCCACAGTATCGTGGGCTGTGTTGGGCTGGAGTAGTGTCGCAGATTGTTCACCCAATGCTTTGTTTAGTCTTGAAGATTGTTCCCGTACTTCCACCAAGCAGGATCGTAATCGGAGCCATATTCTTTGTCGGATTTCGCGCATGTCACGATATTGGCCTTCCCTTTGAGAAATTTCCATAGCGCTCGACAATAGTCTAGCAGCGTGTTATGGAAAAGACCTGACATGAATATGTGCAATACACTGAATTGCGTGTTTTGCAATCGAAGCGCTAGAAATAAAAGGCAGTCTTTCCTGCATGCTGGACCAACACGTGGAACTAGTATCGTGATGTCCGATTGAGCGCCACTGCCGATATTCGGCTCCGCTACTACAATCGTCGAGAGGCACATAGCGTGCGTGGGCCCCTGGACTAGAACGAATACAGTAGCCAACCAAAGCACGCCACATCCGAAGCCTCCTCCTCCCCGTGCCCAGAAAAGCCGGGGTCGAAGACGAAAGGGGGAAAAGGACATATCCTGGGGAGAGAGAGGGGGGAGAGAGAGCGTGAGAAACCCATCGGCCCGGCCGCCGTTGTTTATGGGTTGCGTTTCCGACTTACGGCATAAGGTAACGTAACATGGGACCACCCACCCTATCGCCAAAGGACGACTCGCGCACGGTGCGGAGCCGCCGCTGGCTGGGCGGGTGGCGGGGACCGAGAAACCCTGATTGCCTATCTCGCGCGTGCTGACGATCACTATCACCCCACACTAGATAGTCGAGATATGCCACATTGGGTCACCGATGGAGCGATAAACCCAGCTGTAGTTAGAGGTGTGTCAGATTTCAAGGCGGACAGGAAGAGCGTGCAATGATAGTTACGAAAGAGCAACTGTTGCAATACGCGCAGTTTGACTTTGAGTCCCAGCTCTTGTGATTGGCGTGTCCTGGCAGGTCATAGCAACGCTAGTCGAAGGGGAATGTACTGATTTTGAATTTATTCGGTAGCTTCTATGCAGGTCTTTAGGGGTCCAGAAATCCAGGGATCCAGAGGCACAAGCGTGCCATCCATCTACACCCCTGCACAAGCATGTCTGCATGTCACGACACCCCCAGCCCCGTAGTCGTTCCAGGCCAAAAACCGAAGGTCTGCCATGCGATTCCGCCGTGAATGATGATACTAAGCTGGGCAAAAAGTTTGCGTGACTTCCCACGCACGCAAAAAGCCCTTACAAGAACCAGCGGAACTCGGGCACGCTCGGCCCGTCTCTGAGCCGCTGCGTCGGCACGTCCGCCGCGGTGGTCTTCTTGCCGCCGTCGCGCCTGTTCCTCCTCGCGTTGTCAAACACCATGAACCCGCCGAGCAGGCCCGCAATCAGGCAGCCGCAGGCGCCGAAGCACGCCGTCGTGATGAGCGCTGTCATGTACTTGGGCTTCTCTTTGTCCAGGAAGATGTTGCTCGCCACGAGGCCCATGATGTTGGCCATGGGCACGCCCACGCTGGTCAGGACGAGGCGGCGGCCCTCGTGGGCAATGTTGTTGTTGTACCAGGTCGACAGCAGGACCGAGGGGGCCGAGGTTCCCCAGACCATCATGAAGCACGCGTAGTACGCCAGCTGGATCTGGGCCTGCACGTCCTGGATCGCCGCGTAGATGATGAAGCCGATAAAGGTGAAGGCGAAGCCGAGCATGATGAAGGGGAACCGGATGCGCAGCAGATCGGAGCTGAAGGCGAGGATCAGAAGCATGGCGGCACCACCCACATTAGGGGCCACTGTTTAGGTTTCGCGGGTCAGCATTCGCCAGACACTATCGGGCGGAAAGGGCAATGCACGTACCAGTGTACAAGTTGGTCTTGATCGGGTCGTATCCCAGCCGCTGGACAATCTGCGGCAGGAACAGCGAGACACCCTGGAGCGGCACGCCGAGGCAGATCTCGATCAGCAGGAAGCCGTAGGTCGTCGGCTGCTTGAAGATCTGCAGCGAGTCCTTGAAGCTGAACTCCTCCTGGACCACGGACGACGAGTCGACCTGCATGCGGTGGAACGCGAGGGCCTTCTCCTCCTCGTTCAGGAACTTGGCCTCGGCGGCGCTGCGGGGCAGGTACCAGAACGCGAAGATGGAGAAGAGCACCGAGCACGAGCCCTCGATGATGAAGAGGTACCGCCAGACGAGGAGCGAGGACTTGATTTGGAACACGCCAAAGGAGAGCAAGCCACTCTGTTTAAAAGGTCAGCGAGTAGGTCCCCAAGGCCGGTCAACTTTTCCCTAAAGGTGACACCGGAGACTTACGAAAGCGTTGGCGATGTTGCTAGCTGCGTAAAACATTGCCAGGCGTCTGGCGAGCTCGCCGCGACGGTAAAAGGTCGTCAGGTAGTAGATGACGAGCGGGAAGAATCCGGACTCGGCCATGCCCAGGAAGAAGCGCAGGGCAAAGATACCACCGAAGTTGGTCGCACAGGCCGCCAGCAGAGTCATGGAGCCGAAAGTGAACATGAGAATCGGCAGGACGCGCGCTGGGCCGTACTTCTTGCCGAGGATGGCGACGGGCGGCGCGAAGAGGACGTAGGGGACGAAGAAGATGGACACGAGGAGGTTGTACTGTCCAGGCGCGAAGTGGAGGTCTGGCGCGCCTTGTCGTTAGCAGATGACGGGGAAACCGGCAGTCGCCATGATTGAAAATGGAGGAGCTTACCATTGCTGAGTCCGACCGTCTGGGCATTTCCCAAGTTGCCCTTGTCGAGCGCATTGAAGAGGTCTGCAGAACACAATGTAATGTGAGCGAGCGGTGTTCCGAAATGAGCTCCTGATTCTGACGAGAGAGAGAAGCGTACACATGACTGCCAGCACGGGCATGAGACGAACGTCGAACTTGCGGCATAGCTGGCGCTCGGCAATGTGGTCGACGACGCGCGCCGTCTCGGCTATCTCGGTGTCGACGGGGACATCGTTGATGCTGCCGGTCTCCTTGTCGTCCTTGGTGTCCATTGCTGCGTGATTTGGCGGTCGCTAGCAGTAGTGACGCTGTTCTGGCAGAGCCAAACAATATGTTGCAAGGTCGCTTGTCTGCCTTGAGGGGAGGGACCGGTGGGGAACGACGTGACACGACCACGGCAAGCGAGCATCGCGGTGGTTATGTACGTTGCTGATCCCTGGGCTGCATGGCTCGAGCGCCAACGAACTCCTGGAGGTGTGGCATGCGAGAGCCAGCGCCCGGGCAGGGGTCCTGTGAGATAGTGCGTCATCCTGTGTCCGACAAATACCTTGCAGTCATGATAAGTTACGAGTCGCGGGAACGTGGTGCTGTACTAATTAGTACCGGACCATAGATACCACCAGAGTTTCGGCGACTCCGCTTCCCAGGTCTGGGGTCGAGATAAGCCAGACCCATGGCGGTGGGTGGCACGCCGCAGATCCACCCCCGTGCGTGGTCGCCTGGCGGACACGGTGCCAAGTTCTGGGGAAAAAGACGGAATCCCGCCAGCGCCTCCAGACCAGGGGCGGGCACCCACAGAAACACAGACAAGGGATGGGCTCCCGGCCATGCCCGGTATGCCTAAAGCAGGCACCCGGAACGCGGATCCTGCCGGTATCGGGCGAGCAGACCCGGACTCTGGCACTGACGGCGGACACGGACAATGCAATGCCATGCCATTGATCGCCAACGTTGGACGACACGCGGGGAAATGAAACAGCTCTTTGAAGTTGACCAGTGCTGTTGTTCCTCTTGAAGTCATTCTCTATAGCCTCGCTCTAGCATCCAGCTGTCCTCCTCGACGACGACGACGACAACAACATTTCCCATCGCCCACCATGGCCAGCCCGCAACCGCCGTACCCTCTGCACCCCACGGCCGCCGCCCGCATCAACCCGGAATACGCGGCCTTCTACAACGCCCACATCATCGACAAGCAGCAGGTCCACCTCCAGCCCGTCGCCGCCTCGCGCACAAGCGGCACCCTCATCCCCGGCAGCGGGCCCCTACAGAAGGTCGCGTCGACAAAGGACTACACGTTCGCCCGGAAGGAGTCCGCGGGGCCGGACGTCGCAGTACGGTGCTTCACGCCCGAGGGAGACAGGCCGGAGAAGGGATGGCCGGTGTGCGTGTACTTTCACGGCGGCGGGTGGGTGCTCGGCACGATTGCCACGGAGAATGTGATTGCCTCGCATCTCTGCGCCAGGGGCAAGTGTGTGGTTGTCAGCGTGGACTACCGCCTCGCGCCCGAGGACCCGTTCCCGGCGGCTGTGGAGGATGCCTGGGAGGGCGTTCTCTGGACCATCGGGGAGGGAAAGGAGTTGCTGGGCCTCGATACATCCAAGATGGCAACTGGTGAGTGTGCACAGAATCCGATTATTCGAGTTATACTATACTGCACCAAACATTCAAGGCTGACCTGATAATTCTCCGAACAAATAGGCGGCTCCTCAGCCGGCGGTAACCTGGCCGCCATCATGACGCAGCGCGCCGCGGACCGCGGCTCTCCAAAGTTCTCGCTGCAGCTCCTCTCGGTGCCCGTCATGGACAACACGGCCGACACAACCAACAACGAGTCGTGGAACGAGAACCAGCACTCGCCGGCGCTGCCGGCGCCCAAGATGCTGTGGTACCGGAACCACTACCTGCCGAACAAGGAGGACTGGGCGCACCCGGAGGCCAGCCCGCTGTTCTGGAAGGGCGACTTTGGGAAGCTGCCGCCGGCGTGCTTCGTGGTGGGCGAGCTGGACGTGCTGAGGAGCGAGGGGGAGCAGTTTGCGGACAAGCTGAGGGAAAAGGGCGTCAAGGTCGAGTTGAACCTGATGAAGGGCCAGCCGCATCCGTTTATCGCGATGGACGGGGTGCTCGAGGACGGGGCGCGGGCGATTACGCTGTTCTGCGACGCGCTCTACAAGACAATGTACGAGACGTGGTAGGAAGGACAGGTCCCGAACGATGTGAGCCAGATACCCAAGCTTGGGTCGGCCAGGCAGCCGACAACGTAGTGGCGGCCACGTGTAATCAGACCTCGCTCGACGCCACCGCACTTGATAAAGAAGCTTGGTCCAGCCTCTCAACATTACCAAAGCCGTGGTGGCCGATTTTTGGATCTGGGAAGTGTGCCTCAGGTTGGATGCAGGCAGGTGTGAGGGAAGCGTGATGGGGGCGTGATGGACGTCGAGGAGCGGGAGGGGCCCACCACTTGTGGGTCGGGTTGTGACTGCCGCTTTAGACGACCAGTGCGCGTGCCTTCCGCCTCATGTCAGTGCAGTGATGAGAGAGATGGCGAACACCTCGACTTCTCGCGTCGTGTTTCCCGTTCTTTTCGATAGCACAATCAAGGAGCACAATCAGAAAGCCCACCATGACGGACGTCAGTGTCAACTTCGACGGCCAGCTCGTTGTCACTGCCATGATGCCCCCTGCCTATGTCCCGCCGCCCGAGCCGATACCGCGCGAATGCCGTCAGTCCATCTCCACCTGCGCAGCACCGGTCCCGCCTCTGCTCGGTCACTGACTGACTGCTTGCTCTCTAGAGTTTGAATATCTATTCTACGGAGAGAATCAGCCCTCCGGTACGCACGCGTTGTCTGTTCCTCGTCCATCCATGGCTTCGGGACTGACATGATGAACTCCAGACGTTCAAGCCGCCCCTCCTTCGCCCGTCAAGCCCTAGAGCGCGCTGGACGAGCAGAGGATGATAAAGGCCCTGCCGAACACCCCCGAGAACGCCGTGAGTCCACAATGATCAATCCCTGATGCTGTCCAAACGCTGATTGCTGACTAATTTCACACAGGTCAGGAAAGGCTGGACCCTCAACGGCGTCCCCGTCAAGGTCGCCTGCGACTACTGTGGCTGGATGAGTATCTCCTCGGGTCATCCCGACAAGCTGCTCGGCGACCACCTCAACAATGGTGGCTGCGCGGCCTTGGTACGCCACCCGAAATGATAAGAAGCTTGCGCGCTTTATTACAACAAAACACCCTTTTTGGCTCCATCGTCACCAAAAAGGCGCATTACTATTTCTGGGTGGGGGTTGCCAGCGCCACGTCAAAAGACAGTTGCGCACTAGATGTTCTAGACCTTCCACAGGATTACTGATAATTGCCCCACGGTGCATTCCAATACCAAGTGAATCTAGATAAGAAGACCACACGTTTCCGGTCGACAAACCATGCATGTGCATTTATTGTCATCATCAATCCCGTATCATTATTGCTCAGCCGATCATTTCAACTAACAGCTAGACTCTACTGTCTGTACCTATCGCCAAACACATCAGGACTACCTCCATCAGTGACATTCCTACCCCCTGTAACTAGTGTCCTCCAACCAGCGGCATCTGATAACCCTGCCCCGTCTGATACACCTGGCCCGTCTGGCCGTAGACGTTCTGGTACTTGCGCTCGCCCGTCATCTGCGGCCACTGCTCGAGGGTTAGCTCGTCGCCCGTGAGGGTAAAGTTCCACGTCGTCTGCGTCGGCACGTCGACCAGCAGGCTGTACTCGCCCGGGTAGAGCACCAGGTTGCCCTGCTCGTCGTGGCGGCCCAGGCTGCCGAGCGTGAGGTTCAGCTGGGCCGTGGCACAACCGCCGCCGGGGGGGATGGCAAAGAGCCGCTCGTAGGCGACGAGCCTCTTGATGGGTCGGGGTTCCGGCCCGTGCGCGCCGGCTATGAAGCCCAGCTTGACAAAGTCCGAGGTGACGCTGCCGGTGTTGTTGACGGTGACGGGCACCGTCTGGAAGGGGCACAGGTCCTTGTACGCCTCGGAGCAGGCGTCCGCCAGGCTGGGGATGGCCCAGCGGGTCTGCGTGGGCGCGCCGGCGGCATCAATGGTCGCGGTGAAGTTGGTGTAGTGCAGACCAAAGCCGAAATCGACGACCGACGCGTTGTACCACATGTATGTGCGCCCCGGGTTGCCCGTGGTGGCGTTGGGGCGAAGGCTCATGTCGGTCATGGGCACCTGGTTGACATAGTCCTCCGGGTACTGCGTGACGGGCAGCCGGCCGGCCGGGGCGGTCTTGCCGGTGAGGATGTTGGCAATCGCGTCGCCGCCGCTCTGGCCTGGGAAGCCGGCCCAGAGGATGGCGCTGACGTTGGGGTGGTTGAGGAACGGCGTGTCGTCGAGCTGGTCGCCCATCTGCAGCAGGATAAAGGGCTTGCCGAGGCCGGCCAGCTGGGTCATAATATCACGACGTTCCCCTGACCAGCGAATAAGATCACGGTCGTCGGACTCGCCGCTGTTGGAGCCGTCCACGTAGACAATGATATCGGAGGCGTTGGCCGCACGCAGGGCCGGCGGGTAGCCGTCGGTCGTTGGGTCGCCGGGGCTGCCCGAATAGAGCGCGTTGACATTGGGAAGGTCGCGGATGCCCATGTATGGTGAGCGCAGAAAAGGGGCAACGCCCGCATAGTTGCCCTGGAGAGTCGTCGTGGCGTTGGCCCAGCCTCCTATCACGGCTATAGTCGTGTTGCGGTCAGTCGGGAGTTGAAGCGGCAGCACCCCGTCGTTTTTGATGAGCACAATGCCCTCCTCGGCCGCCCGCAGCGCCAGGTCCTGACTACTCTTGGTATTAACGTCGGCATAAGTCAGGGCACGGTATGGCTGTCCCGCGGGAGGGTCGAACATGCCCAGGCGGATCTGAGCCGAGTACAGGCGGATCAGGGCCCGGTCGATGGCCGTGTCGTTGAAGAGCCCTTGCTGGTACGCCTCGGGCAGGTGTAGAGCGTAGTAGGTGCCGCAGTCAAGATCAGTGCCGGCGACAAGGGCATCGGCGGCCGCTCCTGCGCGGGTCGACGAGTGGTTGTGTGGGCTGTAGATGTTCTGGATGCTGTCGCAATCGGACGTGACATAGAAGTTCTCGTCGGTCCAGTTCCAGTGCTTGCGCAGCACGTCTTGCAGGATGTAGCTGTCGGCACAGGTTGGCACGCCGTTGAGCGCGTTGTACGAGCACATGATGGAGGCGACGCGGGCGTCACGAGCGCATGCCTGGAATGGCTGCATAAAGTACTCGTTGAGCTCCTGCGGGCTGATGACGGCGTTAAAGCCATAGCGCTCGTTACCAAGCCAATTTTCAATATCGTAGCCGGCAAAGTGCTTGCACGTGGCCACCACCTTGACGTACTGGTCCCCAATCTGGCCCTGCAGGCCCCGGATCAGGGCCTTGACGTACGACTTGATGTGGAACGTGTCCTCGCCTGGCGTCTCTTGGCCGCGGCCCCAGCGTGGGTCACGATACGGGTTAATGTTGGGAGTCTGCCACAGGGTACATATCTGTTAGCAAATCTAGCTCATCTTCGGCCTCTTTCTCACATCGGAGTAGCGACGAACCCAGTAGTCGAGTCCTGACCGGTTGGCATTGTTGAAGGCGCGAGCCTCGGTGCTCACTACCGTGGCCACCGCCTCGATCAGCGCATCGTTAAACGCTGCTCCCATGAGGATTGGTTGGGGGAAGGAAGTGGCCGACGAGTAGTCCATCGACGCGTTCTTGTTGAAGTTGACGCCCGGGCTCGACGCTACACCGTGCAGAGCCTCCTCTGCGAGAACGACATCATATCAGCATCTGCTCAAAAGTGTAGCTCTCCTCCTGCAATTTGAATACTCACGCCACCACTCATAGCTTGGCAGTCCGAGACGCGGCACACCAGGCGAGGTGTTGATGACCAAGTTGAACTTCTCCTCGTTGGTGAAGGCAGCCACGAGTGCCGCCGCTCGGTCTGCCACGCTCGCCCCGGTGTTGCAGACTGTGTTGTTCGAGAGCGGCCCATTTGCGCAGTCGGGAAACAGGTGGCCAGCGGCCGCCGCTCCCGAGACCAGCAGACTCGCGCTCCACAAGGTCTTGATCGCCATCTTTTGTGTGGATAGGCTCTTGTCAGCGTCTCAAAATGTAGATGTTGTGGTTCAACGAGCTGTCGGCGAAGCTGATCCCAAGCTTTATATGCCCGGTCCGACGTCGCTACGTTGCTTGCTCGCCTCGTTGTCACCCACACCGGCGGCCCCTGGTCTGCTTGTCACCGGCCGCCGAGCGTCCCTGTGCTTGGGCTCGAAGTCGCAGCAGATTCGCTCAGACCTTGTCTGATCTCAGTAATGATTTGCAGCTTCTGAGCTGCTGCTGCTGTACTCTGGAGGCCTCGGAACCCGGCTGAATATGCCAAGAGATTTAACCGGTAGACAACGTCCACACCGCAGACAGGGCCCTAACGTCGTAGATGTGTAAAAGGCCCGAGTTCGCTTCTGCGCTAGCAAGTTCCTCTCGGGTGGCTGGTGTGCTACGTTAAGCTCGGTAAGAAAAAGGTTTGCAGCGAGCTGCAGTCTATGACGACGCGTACCCCAAACCCAATTCAGCCTGAAGTTTATGCCGTGGTGCGAGTGCGGAGGTGTGGGGAAGAAGAACTTGGGGCAGCCCGCCAGAAAAAGAAAGACCGGTGGAGAAGCTTTTCGTCCTGCTTGATGGCCTGGGCTCTTCCCGCGGAGGACTGCCCAATCATGCGATGCCGGCAAGGCAGAGGTGTAATACCTGTCTTGAGACCAGCCGCTCATACTTGCCGTGACAGTTCGGCTGGGGCCGCTTTAGCGCGAATGACAGTGCCTTCATATCCGGGCCTGCCGGGCAAGAAGCTACGGGCACAGTGATGTGTTCCGTCGTCACTCCTGTTCTGGATAATGACGCGAACGGGCAGCTTCCAGGATAGCCAAGACCAGGGGTCTCGGGAAGTTCCTCTTTGTTGGTACCTGGGATCATTGCCACATAGGTAGCTCACGAGTCCCCACAACCGGCACTTCGCACCTTGATGACCCTTGCCGTGGCCTCGCCCAACCACGATACTGCCCGCATCTACTCCCACATGGGCTTCACTTGGGCTTGGAAATAACTGCAACGGCCATGTCGGGCATGCTACTATTCACGTAATTCAGGCACAATGAACAAGCCCAACAGGCACAGTCATTAAAGTTGTGCCTGACGATTCTAAATCATGTTGCGAGTAACACTACCCATGCTTGGACAGGGATTCGTGCTTCGCACACCGCTTGTTGACCTTATTTCCAAATATTGAAGCATTTCATAGCAACAAAGCTTGAATCGCGGCTCAAGAGCTCTAGTAGGACCCTATCCTGTGTCCAGTATCCGGACTACAGCATTTTGTACACCTGGCGAGTTGTGCTCCTGCCCTGAAATCTCTTGCATAATCCTACAGCGCGGGTTTGTCCGCCTTTTATTATGGCCAGTAGTAGCAGGTCTGATCACTGCGGTGCTGGAATCCGTCTCGTGCAGGAACTTTGACTTCACCAAGCTGCTGACGACAACCCTATCAATGGCTGGGCTACCGAATATCGTGGCCCATCTACGCTACTCCTGCAGCGGGATGGCCAAATGCATGTCACAGGGAAAGGGGGCAATGTCGAGACGCAGCTGCGGCATCTGACGAATTCACATATGGCCTATGAAGTCTTGAGCGCAGAGATATCCTCTCGTTTCTCGGGATCCCGGGCTCCCCGCTAGGCTCTCGATGACACGGGCCGATCGTAGCAGGCATGACGATCCCCTCTGCTATGTCTATGCAATGTATACGCAGCTACGGAAGATCCATGTATCTGACCGTCTCGGCCAAGTCGCTCGCACGCGATGCTAACCACGAACCGTCGTGGTTGTCAAACTCCCATGGCTCGACGTGTGCCGGGGCAAGGTCATTTTGCGGTTCCGAGCACGAGGACGGGGACGGGACCGTGTCCTGGCCAGTGTTCAGGTTGCGCTCGAGCAGATATCGCAGCATCCAGCCGTCCAAACGATGTGTGTTCTTTGGTGAAGAAGATCTTGACGACCAGAGGACGCAGGTGTTTTGGAACGTCACCAGCCGGGAGACCTGCCGTGGAGAAGAGAGCCAATGTCAGAACGGGTTTCACGTTGGCTCTGAAGAAGCACATTTGCAGGAGGGCGGAACGTGACGGTTGCAGCAGCACAGGAAGGAATGAAAAGGGAGGCCAGTACGCACCATGGCAGAAGTAGCTGGCCAGTACCTCCGCAGCTCCATCAGCGCCTCAAAGTTGGCCTGGAGCGCGTCCCGTGCAGCCTCAAGCTCAGTGGCGTCCCCAAAGAGCAGCGTGTGCAAGAGGACCGAGGATGACACGGTCGCCAGGTGCCCGATCATCGGGAAGATAGGCTCGCAGTCCCTGAGCTGCCGTGCACGGCGCAGGAGAGAGCTGAATGCGGAAGCGTTGTGTTTGCACCGTTCGACGTAGACTTTGTAGGATTCCGGGGACGTTGTATCCTCCTCCTCCTTCTTGTGCTGGTGCCTTTTCCTCGGTCGATTGCGGGCTTGGGTGTCATTGCTGCCTTCGAGGAATCGAAAGTACAGCAGCGTGGCGAAGTAGTGGTATGCCATATGCATGAGCACGAACGAGGCACCCGAGCCACGTTCCTGGTGACGATGGATATTGTCCATGCTCATTTCGTAGCCCGGTGGCAGCCCTTGCTTCCAATCCTCGAGCCGGCCAGAGAGAACTTCTACCTCCCGGTCCAGCTCGGTAGTCGTGGCTCCGCCGGCGGCCACCCGCCGGTTCAAGTCCTGTATCAGCTCAAACAGCGTGCTAAGCCGTATTTTCTGCGCAAAGGGACCGGGCCTGCAGGCCTGGCCCTGTGGCGGGGCCGGATGGTTCACTGGCAGCGTCAGGAAATCGGCCTCGTCCATGGGCAGATCGATAACAATGGGCTGGTGCTTGATAGGGCTGAGCACGCCCAGGCCCGAGACACACCAGTTGTCGGACAGGTAGAGCGTCCACCATGCTCTTCTCCTCATCTCGGCCACGACCAGCGGGGTGGATCTCTGGGTGTCGAGGGAGTTGAGCCGGAGGACATCAGCCATGGCTGAGGCGATGCCTGGAAACAAGCGTGATTGTCAGCTTCCAACATGTCTCGTAAGTGAGGAACGGAACAAATCACTGACGGTGATACAGCGCCTCAGCCGCGTTTGACGAATCAATGCACACGGTCTTTATCAGGATGCAGGCCTGTACGTGTTCGAGGCAGACGTCCTCGATGCCGAGCTGCAGGAGGCGCTTCGCTTCGGCCACCAATCGCGGTTCGCGGGCTCGCGTGTCCGGGTTGGCGGAGTACCGGCACCCGATGGCACATATTGCGTACAGCAGGCATCGTTTCAGGGTGCCTCCCTGGACTTGTGATCGCAGCGTCGCAGGGTGGAAGAGGCTGTGCGGACGGCCATTGTTGATCTTGCTGAGGTAGAGCTCAACCATTTCCATCGCCGTGCCCGGGGAGAGCTCAAGGGGTACAGGGGAGGGTTCTTGTCCCTGGCTGTGCTGGGCTTGCGGATTGGTCGCTTCCACTGTTATCTGTGATGCCAACTCAGCAACCGGTGGGATTCTGGCGTGGGCCTTTGGGAGTAGTGGCGGTGGCTGGCCATGCGGACGGGGCTGTTGGTGTCGTATGTCGCCCTCACATGCCAGACGCCTGCTCCGGCACGTTTCGCAGGGTTCGCCGGGCCCGTTCCGCCTGCATCGTCTCTTTGTCTCGCGACACTGTCGGCATGAGCGTGCGAGTCTCATCGCATATACCGTCCAGCTTGCTGCTTGGTCAGCACAGCACCCAGTCATGCAGGAGGGGCCAGGTCCTCGATGGCGACAAGTTCCACGTGCTGGTGCACGGTCCACAACTTGAGGGCAAGCTGATATAGCGAAATCCGGCTCGGAACAACGGAAGAGCGCTCATGACGCGCGGAGTCAGACAGGATGTTCCATAGCGACTGGGTTCGGCCGGCTTAAGTCAGCGCGGACAGGCAGGTCGGGGGACGGCCGGAGTTGCGGGATTGGAGTCTTGTGATTGGATGCTTACTCCGCCAGACTCGGTGTCTAGCGCTGCAGGCGACCCCTGCGACCTCTTTATTGCTCATTCGGTGCTGCCCATGATTCTAAACTTGCCTTGCACAGGCGTGCCAGGAGCAAAACAGAGATATTATGGCTAGAACATTATTTGGTGAGCCCCGGGCGAAAGTGATGGCCCATGAGATACTCAGGCAGCCTTCCTGATGATATAAAAAGCGTTCACTGCCCAGGTTGAAGTCTCCATCTCGCTTGAATCAGTCTCCTTCACGAAACAGCCCAAGACCGCAAAACATCCTTACAAATCAGTATACACCCTCACAACAATGTCTTCCCTCTTCAACCTCATAACTGTCGGCAGCAAGAGCAGTGGCAACTTCACCCTGGACAACAGAATCGTCATGGGCGCGCTGACACGAAACCGCTGCGTGGACGACCTGAAGCCCGGTCCTGCACAAGTTCGGCACTATGCCGAGCGTGCCCGGTACGGCGCGGGTCTCATCATCTCAGAGGCCACCTTGGTCGACTGGTCCGGGACATTGTGGCCCAACGCGCCCGTCATGATTAACGAGGACCACGCCGCGGCGTGGCGCAATGTGGTGGATGCCGTGCACGCTGCCGGCGGCAGGATGTACCTTCAGGCTCTGCATGTGGGTATGCTACTCCTTGATGGCCCCTATCCGCGCGATTTGCGTCTGCTCATGCTCAAATTTTTTCTCGTGATAGGTCGGGTGCAGAATGATCAGGACCCCTTGATGCAGAGGACTGGCACGCGGGTCCTGGCGCCATCCAATATCCCCGTTACCGGCGGAAAATATCGCCATATTCCTGGGGATCCGGTCCGTTTTCACATTGCCTTTCTGGAATCTTATACTTGACTAACAGTCGGGATACAATCAAAGGGTCACACAAGAAACTTGAAGGTCATCGACGACCCAAGAACAATTCTGGAGACGTACCGCAACTCCATCACGTTGGCCAAATCAGCCGGCTTCGACGGCGTCGAGCTCCATGCTGGGGGGTAGGCATTCGAAAGAAAGTTGATGCACACAGATAAACACGACCATGTTGACTTTTCATTCCTTGTGTCCGCAGCGGTTATCTTCCCCACCAATTTCTGAATGCGTAACTATTAGCCCTATCTAATCATACCCCGTCATTGACTCCCGTGCCTGATCAATTTCTCTGCTTTTCCGAGCAAATAGCAGCAGCAACCATCGCACTGACGCCTACGGCGGCTCCGTCGCGAACCGGTGCCGATTCCTCCTCGAGCTGGTCGACGTGGCCAGCCAAGTCTACGACTCGTGCCCCGAGCGCATCTGCGTGAAGATCACCCCGGCAGGGGTCTACAACGACTCCATCACCACCTACGACGAAATGCAGGCCACGTACGGCTACCTCATCCCGGAGCTGCTCAAGCGCAAGATCGGGATCGTGTGCATCTCGCGCCACGGGGCACACTTTGACGCCGACCTCATCGCGACGTCGGGCGTCGCTGGCCGGCCGAAACTGGACAAGTTTGCGTTACCAGACGGGTACGATCCCGTGCTGGACTTTGGCAGGCTGGTCAAGTTTGAGGGCAGCCCGACCTTGTTGATGGCGAATCAGGGGTATACACCCGAGGAGGGGGCGAGGCTTGTGGCGGAGGGCAAGATCGACTTGTTCCAGATCGGGAGGGCGTTCATATACAATCCGGTGAGGCTGTCTCCTTTTCTCCTCGTCCTTTCTGCCACCGCAGTGAAGTGTGACGCTGAATGGCTAATGCGCGTGTAGGACCTCGTCGCACGTATCAGGCACGGCGTCCCGCTTGCCACCAACGGCAGGGGTAGCTCGGTCGCATACGGGCCCTTTGAGACGCCGGACGAGAACTACAATGACTGGCCGGTTGCGACGGAGGTTCCGGCCCCGGAGAATGTGGCAGAGGTCTAATAACAGCACGCATGTTAGCACTGTTGATTCAACCCAAGGAAAAAGCCATGCGCTTCATATGTTGCCGTGCTGATTTTCTGATTCTTTGACAACGTTCGAGCCTTTTTTCCCGTTTCGTGTATAATCACCATTTTCATGGGCGCGTCCACGACAAGTTAATCCGATCGCTGGTTCCTTTGCGGGAAGAGCAGAGAGCAGTTGACAGGACAACTCGAGTCCCCCTAAAAGCCGCCTGCCGTGGGCTCGCTCTGTAGCCGCGCCGATCGGGCAGTGTCGTCTCGACCAGGCTTGCACGACGCGGGGCTGCCTGCATGACTGTCAGCCGCCCCCAAATGATAGCCACCATGCCCCTCTCTCCTCTTTGCACTTCCCAAACAGTCTGGCAGCACACTTCATTCAACTAGCATCTCAAAGAAACATCCGCCACTGTGCTCTGCGACGTTTGCATAAATGCTTTGGAAGGGATGTGGGACCCCACGCGAACTCCGCGGCTCGGTCTCGTCAAAGACTTCCCTCGAAGTTTTGCTGTAAGCAGCCCATTGCGCGGCATCGCCACCATTGCCAAATCATCGGACCTAACTCTGTGGTACAGGCTGAAGACTATGTACCCGGCCTGCCTTTCGTGTTTGGGCATCACAAGGACGAGCAGTCATGGGAGGCTTCGCGCAGGCAGGGTTGTACCATCTGTGCCCCGCATTGTAGGGCCAGTGCGTGGGCGGCAGGCTCTCTCAAGAAGATGGGGTTCTTCTCCGTCTTCCATCTTGCTTTACACAGACTTGACCACGGCGAAGGTCCGAGGGTGGTTCTTAATTTGGACAGTCGTATAGCATGCACACTGATCCCATTCCAGGGTATGTCAGTTCCAAGGTCATCTTCATTCGTGAACATATGCCAACAAACGACCATGGTATATAAATCGTTGACGATCAAGCGTTGCATTCCGCTTCAGACTGTTTGTCTAGCCCAGGTTTCAATTTCAACATCGGCGACGAAACCGGCGACGAGCGCACTTGGAGGACAATAGAAAACTGGTTGGCTCGGTGTCGAACCACCCACGGCAACTGCGCCCGGGACCATCGGCGGTCTGCGGCGTCGAAATCATTCCGGCCGACACGGCTTCTCGAGCTTACAACAGACCACAAATATCGGCTTGTGATGGGAGACCATTGCCAGCCTGCCCTCCAATATGCAGCACTCAGCCATTGCTGGGGTCAGCAAGACACGGCGAGCCTTCTGATGCTGGCACAGTCCACAGCCCCTTCTCTACAGAATGGTCAGCCGATCTCTTCGCTGCCGAAAACATTCCGGGACGCCAGTGTTGTGGCACGAAGGTTGGGGGTCAACTATCTGTGGATAGATCGACTCTGCATCTTCCAGGACGATGCTTCAGACTGGCAGCGGGAGGCTGCCACCATGTGCGATGTCTACCGGCACGCCTACTTCAGCATCGCCGCGCTTGGGGCCAGAAACAGCGATGGGGGTGCTTCTTTCGGCGGCATCCGGAGCAGCTCCTGCCCACGCTTGTGCAATTGAAGCTCGGAGAGCGACAACGTCAAACGAGCTTTGTGACCAGTAGCGACATTGAACGTGCTTGGTTGGGCTTATTCAGGGGAGAGCCCCTGATACAAAGGTCTTGGGTGGTTCAAGAGCGTGTTTTGGCAGCAAGGACAATATACTTCGGGTCTCAACAGGTCTACTGGGAATGCCATGGCTTCACTGGCACCGAGATACTTCCAGAGATACCCCTCTCGCGAATCCAAGGGCTTTACCAAGGACTCGTCCTCCATAAGAGAACAGAGGATGCTTCATCGGCGCCTTGGAAGCTGTTGCTGGACAGACACTATGGGACGCATGTGCACGGCTCCCACGCCGCGCTCTACACCCAGTGGCGAGAAATCGCGCAAGACTACACAAAAAAGCAGTTGACCTTCCCAGGGGATAAGCTCGTGGCCATCTCGGGGCTGGCCAAGGAGATCCGGGCCAGGCTCCACGATAGCATCCCACGTCCGTACAGGTATCTGGCTGGCCATTGGGAGAGCGACATCATCAACTCTCTGGGATGGTTCAGTGTGTTGGGGGCCACGCGGTCTCCTTCTTACAGAGCACCATCATGGTCATGGGCATCGATGGACGGGTTTATTATAGTGCCTCAATTTATCCCAGAACCTAGGGATCATCTTTTAACCACGCGCTATCTGTCCGCGAAGATAGAGCTGGAGAATCCACACGATGACACGGGAGCAATCAAATATGCAGCGCTTAAGATCATTGGTCCTTGCGCTGCATTGATAGCCGGCAAGAAGGATCACGGCTGGAAGGTCAAGCGCATCGAAAGCCTGAACAGAAAAGTCCACGCACCAACTCTCCCAGCAGAAGATGGAGACTCGAGAGCAATCATCCGGTTCGACCAGGCCACTGACCTTTGGAAGAAGTCTCTGCTGCTCTGGTTGAGTGTCGAGCATCGTACGGACTCCTGTTATCTTGGTGTCGGCCTTGTCCTGGTAAGAGCCAACCCAGGCACATTTCGCAGGGTTGGTCTTTGCGAGAAAGAATTCAGATCTATGGACGAAGCCGCTATGTTCAGCAAAAATTTCGATCGCAGGTGTATTGTCATCGTCTGATACTGCACAAGGCGCCATATGGTCGCAAGTTGTTGTCGGCGACAGCTATCGACACGGAACGCTACCGTGTTATTTACAAGCTTGAGTGAGATAGTGGCTAGTGACAAGGATGCTTCAGCGGGCCTGCGCTAGGTTCACTGAGTCTTGCACTTGCCGGCTGGAAGATTTGCGAGCAGCTGACATCATCCAAAGAGCACGCCCAAGATGGGGAACGACTGGTTTTGAGATCGCGTTCGTGATCAAGGTCTGCATTACTGTCTCCCTGATGCCTCCTCATCGGGATCACTCCTGTAACGCCACAACAGGTTGATCCCATACTCCAGCTGACGTGCCAGCCTGTGCTGGTGTCGAGATCTTGACGTGCTCCTATTCGCGTTCGGATTGAATGGACCCCGTCCCTTCACTGGACCAATTGGAGTGCTGCCCGAGCTAGGATCAAGACCGCGTTGGCATGTTTGTTGGTTGGCCAGGTCTCACATGAGTCACATTGGTCAAGCTCACAAGAACTGTGTTCCGCAGGACCGAGGCCACCAATGGTGGACTGCAGATCTCTGAAAATGCACAGGCCGCGAAAGACGGCTGGAACCAACAGCCAACGCCACTTGCGGTCGAATCCTCCGTAGCACATCGACAGCCCGGTATCAGGAATCTGCGACTGCAGAGCGCTCGATGCACCATCAGCCCTGACGCAGGACCTCCTCGACAGCACCAACGCGTGCGAGCGGCGCGCCCTCGACCAGCCCCTAGCCACGGCTGTCCACCTGGCAGATCTGAATGGCGACGGCCGCGCAGAGTACCTTTGGGTCGACGCCGGGGGCGCGGTCACCGCTTTTCTGATCCTCGGCAGCTCGCAGGGAGGAATTGACGCGGGCAAGGTCAACTGGCTGCCGCAGTGTCATTGCGACGGGTGTCGGAGGCGACCGGTGCAGCGTCCACTTTGCCGATCTCAACGGCGACGGGCGTGCCGAGTATCTCTGGGTCCACGAGGACAGCAGCGTCGACTGCTGGCTGAACCTCGGTGGGCCAAACGACGACCCGGACGCAGCCAAGGTCGGCTGGCTCCCCAAGGGCCAGATCGCGGCGGGCATCGGCCGAGACGGCGCGGGCGTGCGGTTCGCCGACCTCAACGGTGACGGCCGCGCTGAGTATCTATACGTGAACACGGACGGTTCAGTCGAGGCGTATCTTAACCTCGGCGGGCCGGACAATGGGCCCAACGCGGCCAAGGTCAGCTGGCTGCCATAGGGCACCATCGCCACGGGCGTCGGCATAGGGAGGGCAAATGCAAATGTCGTCTTTGCCGACGTCAACGGCGACGGGCGGGCTGATTACGTCGCCGTCTCGCGCGAGAACGGCAGTGCCCAGCTGTTGCTCAACCGGGCCTGACAATGGGCCCAATGCTGCAAAGGTGGTCTGGTACCACACGGAACTATCGCCACGGGCATCGGCGAGAGTGGCATGGGTATGCAGATGGCTGACCTCATCGGCGATGGCAGGGCCGAGTACGTAGATATTAAGCTTGACACATCGGCAATGCCCGTCTGGCTTAATGGATGCTGATACTTGCCCTTTTGTCTGAACGAGAGAGTAGGGGATTAAGCATGACGTCGCTTTCATATTCATTCGGATTCAGCGGCTCACACGGGAGCCTTTGCCGTCACGATGGGTCTCCAATGTTGAGCGCGCCTGCTCTCAAGCTCCTTGTAGGCTATCAGGCCATAAAATTTTCACATTGAGTCTGATACAGCCTCTGTTCAGCTTTTTCTCCAGGAGGTAACTGAAAATCCATCCTTGAATCTGAGCATCATTACTAGTCCGTAGAGAAGGACTAGGCAATTGTAAACAGCTCCGCCGTGTGATCATTACCTGAATGGTAAAAAGCCTCTCCATGCATCACACCATCCACATAGCACTCCCCGACAAGATGGAATATTCCCGCGGTCGGAGACTCGGTCAGAATATACGGCACGGAACCACCATACAAAACAACCACAATGTCTCCAACTTGTGCCATGTAGGGACACAGCCCAACCAAGCCTCTCCCCATGTCGAACACGGGTTTCCCGTAACACGGGAACCACTCTCCTCGACGCAACCCGTCATTGGAGCCGTGCATGTCCAGAGCTGACTGGTGGCACGCAACGTGACCCCTGACGTCTGGAATTAGACGATTATGAAACGAGTAATCCCGAAGCTTTGGCCCCTTCCATGTGCTCGCCTCACCGTTGGCGTCAAAAATGTGACAGAAGGCGTCCCACATGCCGGAAGATAAGCCATCATGCCAGGGTCGTGTAGCAAGAATACTTCCAATGCGCATTCCTCTGAGAGAGAGCATCTGCAAAGGGGAAGACGCTGTGACGGGACCAACCTCGACAATCCGGCCGCCGCTGGCGTCGTAGGAGAGCTTTTGATGGCTACCAAGGACTCCTTGGATCCACTGAGGCCGGCCTGCATGCCAGAAACTCCAAGATGCGTGACATTGTGGCACCTGGGCCGTTGCTCCGTGAGAAGCGCTGGTGTTGGATATATCGAGCCAGGTGCGCCTGTGCTGCGTATGAATAGCTGACAGGATGCGGAGAGACTTGTGATGGCCTATCCACCATTGCGTGAAATCTGCGTAGACTTGCTCCACGCTCTTGGTGTAGTCTGGCCGAATCAGTACGGGTAGGTTCTGGACATCTCTTGTTTCGTCGCCGAAAATGAGCAGTGCGAAGATCTTATCTCGAGGATCTGTAGCCTGCATATCGAGCGCGCTAACAAGAACAGTCAAAATGTCCATCCGCGGCGCCGGCAGGGAATGATAGGGATAGTTCCTCTGTATCTCAAATATGTCGTGCCATATTCTTGAGATCATATTACTGGCAACACCATGATCGTACCGGAGGCAATACTGACTTTGTAGAATGGTTGCCCAGGACAGTCTTTCGGAACCGCAATGGACAAGTATTCGACGATTCTTTTCGATGTCCGTTGCATTTATTGGCGAGTTCCAGACCTCTTGCAAAACCCAAACTCGAGTGAACCATGGCCGTTTGAAGATCCTGTCATTTGACATAGAAATCGTTTCGCCATTTGATATAACACCATGAAGGTAACGGCAGTGTCTCAATCGATGTTCGCCTGAAAGATTCGTTGATTCGTTCGTGTCGTACATTACTGCAATTTGTCGCAGTACTGACATGTCCTCTTCCGTGTCTGTGTCCAAATCACCTAGCCAGACGATGACATTGGTAGCTGAAGCATAAATCTGACTCATGAGCATGACTTGGCTCGCGCGCTCTGCGAGATCGCTCTGATTAATGCAGATTTGGTCGACCCAGAGAGATCTTTGATGCAAGGAAAGTCTCATAGACCGCAACGCCGAGAAAAGATCATCACCAATGCGAAGCTTGACAGAGACCTCGCGGTCGTCAATTCTATCAATGATGATCTCTTTGTTGTATTGGTCTGAACCCCAACAGTACGACAACGCGTCGTATCCAATTCGTGCCTGGCTTACAAGGTCTCCAGTGTGCAGCGAGGCCCTCAAAGTGCTGCCGCTGCTCTCATCCTCTGGTGCGATCCTAAGGATCCGTATCTCCTTGCGAGTCGGGTCGAGTGGTTTGTAGAACAAGGACTGACTGCTGTTCAATATGGCACCAGACGTTGCGCTTAGGCCTTCCGGAAATACGCGCAATGGTTGCATTTCAGTCCAGACCTCAATCTGTGCATGCACAACAAAGTTCACCCAGGCTGGGTAGAGGGCCCTTGGAAATAGGTGAATGGTGTCGCCAGGCTGAGCCGTCCTCAACCAGGCGCCATAGATGCTTGCGGGCGTAAATGAACCTCTTGAAACCCGATCCGGTCCGTCATCGCGATAGTCCCAGACGATTTCGTGTGTTCTTGGCTGGAGATTGCCTGGAATGTTTCGCTGAACTTCGCACCGATCAATGCGTTCGCGTCCTGACGAATCCATCAGAGTAACTTCAAACCACGTCCAGCTGTTGGAGTAGGAGCCGGGCTCACGTGGGGGTCCATCACAGAATCCCTGGTCGTGCGACTCTATCGTAATGGCTATGCGCCTTAGTGCTACCTGTTGGCTGCGATCAGGTCTAGGGAGCGCGATAGATAGATAGGGTATCTGAGGACAATCGCGGCAAGCCGCAATGTGGTCCGCCCTGCGTTGTGTATGGTATATCCATGAAGGGTCGACTTTGTGGATCACTTCCATCATGTCAAAGTGAGAGAGTGGATGGTTGCAGATGACTGTGGGAGGCTGCATAACCTCAACGTGTTCCCTCATGTGGGTAACAAGACTGTACATATAAGCACATTTATCCGTGCTTATTAATAAAGTCGCACTTCTATGTCGGGCTGCAGATGCACAGCCTTATGGACCGGAATAACTGCAAAAGTGATTGGTCAGACCCCGCACAGGTGCATTGTCATCATCTGAGACCGCCCAAGGCGCATATGGTCGCAACTTATCGTCGCCGGCGACAGCCTTCGGCACGGAATGCTACCGTGGCATCCACAAGCTTGGATGGGACAGCGATTCGTCCGTACAGCTAGCAGTGGATACGCAATGTAGTCGCTATTTCGCCCTTCAAAACTGTACTGTGTATGTTGAAGCCGATGACCCCTCGTCAGACGAGGAGGTTGGCCTCACATATATAGAAAACGCTTCGAAGATACTATGAGTTCCAACTAACAAAGCTTAATTACTACTATCTAGCTAAGTAAACCCTCACAAGCTCCAATTCTATAGACTTTAAAGTAGCTCTAGCTAGATATAGTTGCCGGCCTAGTGGTAGGCCAATTATATGCTCCAGCTCATGGACGATATGGAAATAGTTAACGGATGGGAGCTGGAGCGTATATGCAGCAGCATGCCAGGCCGCTATTTGCTGTTGCCGCACCTGCTGCATATTGGGACGTCGCCAAAAACGTTGAGTCGAAAACGAAACCTGTGAACCTGTCACGCTTGATGGATGTTCGCCTGGTCTGGATGAATGGATTAAGGCGACCTAGTCTCCGTCAGGATCGACAACGGCCGACTGAAGCATTACCTTTCTGTGGGCGCGGTAGTTTCTTCACTGGTTCCATGAACGGCTATTTGGGGACCGTTTGGCGCCGCTTTGGCAGCTGCGGGCCGGGGAAACGCTTGCTCGAGAAGGCTTAGCGGGTGGTTGGCGTCAGGTGTGAAGAGACTCCGGAAGTAGCTGGCCTCGTTCTGAAGGCACATTTTTCCCTAGCATCTCCACTACCACAGGGAATGCTCACAGCTTTGTGACAAGTGTAGACTCTGTAAGGACCAGCAAGGCCCCTTGGACGGTCTCATTCTGGCCAAGACTTCCATCCCGCATCAAAGAAACGCAAATACCGGCTTGGCCACTTCGGCAAAGCTGAAACCCATGATGTGGGACGGCTGTTGGGCCAGACTGCGAATGCCTACTCTTTGATTGTCACATACAAAACTGGGCTGGGGGGCCAGCTGCGAGGACAGATCTGGGCATTCCCTAGGCTCGAAGGTTGTCTGGTTTGTCTACCAGCAGGTAACAGCATCTGACCACAAGGCAAATTCAGACTTTTCTTGACGGGCAGTCTGTAGTACCCGCCCCGATTCCTGAAGAATGCCGCTCGACAAACAACGTCTTTGTTGGCGACGTCCTGTGCGGAGATGTGTTCCAGGGATACCATATGCCTCAAATGCACTGGCATGAAGCCCGCCGTGTTTATCACAGGCATGTAGCTCCGAGGACCAAAGGAACCGGGCAAGAACATCCTTGCCGGCCACATCTTGACGGTTAGAGTGGATCGATGAGCCTCGCGCTCGCCTTGTCATGAGTCTCAGCAAGTATCATTTGGTGGGCCAACATTCTTGGCCTGGAATGGGCGGGCATGTTGGGAGGCGGGCTAGGCTGTCCCGTGGTCATTTCCATGCTGGCGGCAGGTGTTGGTTTGAATGGCAAGCGCCAACATGAAGGCTTCCCGGCTCCCCGGCTGCCTGCGTCAAAGCATCTCACATTTGACTTTGCTGGGAACAGGGATCGGTCACATAAGCGCGCCCTGTTCTACGTGAGGAACAAAGCATGTATTGCGTTTGATACAGGCAGGTTCGTCAGAAGTGTTGATTGCTTCCTCAGCAGCATACCGGGGCCCATGCATGTGGTAGATGATTATGGCAAAAGGCGCAGTCCAACGCGTGTCCCGGCAGTGCATGCCGCTCAAAGCTTTTCAGTGGAATGTAAATAGTGACATGTCTTGTGTGTATCAACAGACGCTTTCATGGGCAGGGCTGACCACGAGTTCTCTTTGTGCATCGAGTTGATAGGTGATTTCTTCATTTGACTCTAGTCTTGTGTACTCCTGAGCCGCAGTCCTCTCCTCGAACGAACAAAAACAGCAAGTGGCGCCTGAACACGAGCTCATCCAGCAATGAAGTTGGTTCGCTGCCTTTGACCTCCATGAGACCTACGAGCCATCATCCACTACCATTCCAAGTCACGACCAAGCTTGAAGAACGCACAATCAAATATTGAGCATCGGGATCACTACTTTCTTTGATCTCATCTCATTGCTGATAACCCACTCCCGTCACGAGGAATGATCGAGTTGGCGACTCTGTCCAGTGACCTTCACTGGGAATGGTGGTCACGAAATCGTCTGGCAAAGAATTAAACTAAGGGAGCATAGCTCAGAGACCACAGGGATGAGACAACAAAGAATGAATACGTCGATGGCTCTACCATTTTGCCATCACGGTACATGAACAAAGAAGCGGGATTATGTATATCATCCAGCGTCCCAAACGCTAGAAATGAGCGGAATACGACATTGACAAGCCGATCCCGAGCATCTGATTGACTTGCTAACGTCCAGCAATATTCTGATTGATCGCCCATCATGTCGGTAATGAAGGCTATCAAATTTGTCTTCCGGAAAGAGGTTCCGCGGGTTGACCACAAAGCACTCCAACTACTCGCATACCAAGCGGCATGTCAAGCCAAATTCGAGGACGCCCATCTCACGAAAGAGGACAAGCAAATCACGAAGATCTTTGTGCGGTAAGACTCTCAAGCGTTGGAAATCAGACCTGGCTACGACATTCTGCTATGAGGCTAATTGCGCACGCGACTGGAACAGAGCCGGTTTCCATTTCTCCACTATGATAGGCGGAGAGGTGCAAATTGACAAGAGAGGGGAGCACTTCACCTTTTCTTTCAAGACGCGCTATCTTGAGCGACAAGGGGAGCATCTGACATCCCACGGCTACGTCAAAAACAAAACCCAGCGGAAGGAACTGGACGAGCCAATCTTTGCCAGGGCCATCAGGAAGGACAGCGATCTGAAGTGGGGTGATGAGCGAGTGTGGCCTGATGGGGATAGGGGTCTGGTGGTGGTGCCTTGGGAGGAAGACTGAGGCTGACGCCAAATGCCGAGTTTGTGTAGTGGAATGGGTGATGCTTGCAGTTGGCTATGCGGGAGGTGGGGAGTAAGGCAGGGAACGCACGGTCACTGGGATAGGGCCACCGCCCACGGCAGGCTGGTGTCGGCAGGTGCCGTGGACGGGAAAGTCAGCGGTGTGTAGAGGGCTATTTGTTGGTTGGTTTGGTGTTGGTCTTGCTTGGCTTGCTTGTTTCTGCGCGCATTTTTTCTTTCCTAGTCTTGTTGGCTCTCTCTTGTGGGGCTTCGCCACGCGCCTTCACAATACACTCGTTTAACACATCTGCATTCCATCTGGCTGTCCAGCCGCCTCATATGTGACTAGCTGTGTTCAAATAACCAACTATGGCTTGCCGACTCTACTCGTTCCCTCGCATGCTCTTGCGCAGGCCACACATGCCGAAGCGCGCCATGGCCAGACACAGCAGCAACAGCAGCGGCAACGCCAACTCCGACCTGTACCTCCACCCATACCTGCTTGACGAGTGCGAGTCACCGCGCCACTACAGACCGGGCGGCTATCATCCCGTCGTCATCGGCGACACCTTCCAGTGCGGTCGCTACCGTGTTGTCCACAAGCTTGGATGGGGTGGCGGCTCGACGGTTTGGATGGCAAGGGACACGCAACGTGGCCGGCATGTCGCCCTTAAGATCTGCACTGCGCAAGATGAAGCCCATGACATTTCGCAAGAGGAAAAAGCTGCCGTCAAACAGTTGGCTGAAGCCTCCCAGTCACCTTCTGCCTCACAGGGCGTCGGCCGCCATCTCTTTTCGTTGCCCCTAGACAGCTTCAGCATCGACGGGCCCAACGGCAAGCACCACTGCCTCGTGTTCAGCTTGCATCGATGCTCCCTCCGCCTCGCCCTGTACGAGGGAGCACACCTCCGACTCGAGCCAGCCAGGTCGCTGGCTGCACAGCTAGCAGTCGCCGTTGCGTACCTCCACAGCATGGGCATCGTCCACGGCGATCTCCATGTCGGCAACCTCATGATCGGAATGGACTCCAGTAGAAATCCAAGCATAGATTCACTCTCAACGGACCAAATCTATGAACAGTTCGGCGCGCCCAAGCCTGAGCTGTTCCCAGGCGGCGGCGGCGGCAGCCAGCCCACGCACATGTACCCGTTTATCTGGCTCGGCAAAGGCGCCAAAGACTGGACAACCAAGGAAACACGGCTCGTCATCGCTGACCTGGGCACCTCCTTTCTTCCATCAAAGCACATTCGTACATGGTCCGGAACCCCATTGGGCGTCCGACCTCCCGAGTTACACTTCCTTTCCGCCGGCACGCCTCTCGGGCTACCATCTGACATTTGGACCTTGGGGTGTACCCTGTTTCACATCCTAAGCAGCTGCAGCCTCATGGGTAGCTACTTCTGGAGGCCGAGCAACATGATCGATGTGGCCATGCACATGTTGGGGCCCTTGCCGCAGGCGTGGTGGGACCGCTGGGGGGTCCTGCCTTCGGGTGACGAGCAGGAAGACGAGCTCGCGCAAGAACGGCGTGCCGGATGGCTGGACAACGGCGTCCCGCTGCCGCACAAGCCGGGCTACCAATTGACACTCGATGAGCGCTTTGAGAGTTGCGTACAGGAAAACCGTCGCCTGGAGTGGTTCGTCGAGGGGCTGAGCGACGTGGAGAAGGCGGCTGAGCAGATGAGCGATGACGAGCGGGACGCGCTGCTCGAGATGATCCGCGCGGTTCTACGCTTCAATCCTAGTGAGCGCCTCACTGCTAGCGAGATCTTGGACACCCGATGGATGCGAGAGTATGGACTGCCCGCAGCTGAGAAGACCTGGGGTCGGCCAATATGGCCTTGACATTCCCAAGAATATGGGCTGCCCCTTTAAAGGCGCAGAGTCATGATCTTGAGAACACAACTTTGATCCGATAGATAGAACAATCACCACTCGAGTTTTCTTTTGACTCACGCCTCTCGATCATCATCCCCAATGACACACAAAGATCAAATGCTTCTCGGTTGTGACTTTATTGCTTACGGCTCCTCTCCTGCTCCATCATGACTCCCACTCCTCGTTCCTCCATCAGCCAAGCCTCGAGACCTTGTCAAAGGCAGCAACCCCCGTGCCCTCCTCCACCTTGGCCTCGATGATACCATAGATTGGCAGCTCCGCCAGCCTCTCGGCAATGTGGTGCAGCGTCGGCAGCGACTTCCAGGCGCCCTTGTCAAAGGCGACGCTCGCCTCGCCCGACCGCAGCGCCGTCTTGATATCCCGCGGCCCCACGGCCATGCCATTCTCAATGACCACGGGATACTCGGCGTCGGCCTCCCCGGGCGTCCCCACCGCGGGCACGTACCGGTACACCAGCAGCTTCTCGTTCGGTCCCGCGCTGCTGCTGGCGCCGTTAGGAGGGCCACCCGCGCCAGGAGGACCACCTGCCGGATGACCGTTCACAGCCAGCGGTGCAGCAGCAGGGGGAGGCACAGCCGAGGGATCGAATGGCTGAAGCCCAGACGCGCTGACATCGACAAACTTATGTCCACGCCAGCTACATACCGTCCTCACGCTCGAGCCATCTCTCGTGACCACAACATCCGCAAAGACCTTGGGCATCCCCAGCTCCTCGCGTCCCGTGGTGATCGGATCGGCCGCAGACTCGAACAGGACAGGCAGGAAGGTGCCCACGGTGGGAGGGCCAGGCACGCCAGGCTTCTGGTACTTGACCCCGTGCACGTACAGCCCGAACACGTTGTACCCCGTCCCGCCGAGCCAGGCGAGGTTGTCGAGCTCGATGGTGATGAAACTCGCCTGGGCGACGGACCCGGGTGCCGCAAAGGAGAAGTCTGTGTTGTTGGGGAGCAGGCCGCGGAGGTAAGTCGCGGAGGTCTTGAAGCGGACGGTCGTGGTTGTGACTTTGGGTGGTGGTGGCGAGGAGGACGGGTCAGATGGGTTAGAGAGGTATGGGTTCTGGCGTGGGCTGATCATGGGACCAAAGGAGACGGGCAGGCGCATGTGGACGGGCCCGTTGCGCGTGGCGAGGAGCTTGCGGAGGGCTGCGGTCGAGTTGTGCCACTCGTCGTGGCCATAGTTGTAGGCAGTAAACTTGAACACTGCGGAAGGAGGAGCGCGAGTGAGCAAAAAATGAAAAAAGACCACATTTCTGGGGAGCGCGATGCCGAATATCGACTTACTGTCAAAGTTCTTGCGGGCCTCCTCGTCCATGTCCTCGCCCATCATTCGCGAGATCTCCTGAATCCGGTGCGCTCGCTCATCACGGAGCTTCTGGTAGAGGGCAAGACGCTCAGGAATATCCTCAGGGGTGACGCCTAATGGCAAGAGAGCCGACAGGGCGACGGCATCTTCCATGGCGACTCCCGCTATGTCACTCGGTTAGTACTTGATCGTTACCACAGTATCCTCACTCTGGAGCGATCATACCTCCTTGTCCCTGGTCTATACGTCACACTTGTTAGTGAAAGGCACACTGGATATGCCCTGCAGGACGAGCGTCGGACTTACGTGGCAGGAATGGGTGGGCGGCGTCGCCGAGAAGCACGGCCTTGCCATTGTACCAGTTCTTTATCCGCTCCATGTCGAACAGTGTCCAGGCCTTGACAGACTCGCCGTCGACGAGGCTCAGCAGGGCCTGGACCGCAGGCGGGAAGTCTTTGTACGTCGCCAGCAGGGCATCCTTGCTGCCTCCTCGACTCCAGTCTGGTCGTATTCCCGTACACATCAGCCATGGTCCACAAAATCACGTCGGATCGTGGTTCAAAACATCAACTCACCCTCGCCCTTGGCGGACGACTCCTCGCTCGGGTGGATCGCGACAAAGTTCATCATCGTGTTCCTGTTACACGGGTACATGATGAGGCGCCGGTTGCCACCGATCCACAAATTCATGATGCCCTCCCTGCGCGTGAACGGCTCTGCTTCGGGCACGGCGCGGATCTTGTCATGTGGCACGAGGAACCGGAACGCGCTCTTTCCCGAGCCGCGCGGCTTGATGTGCTCGCCGGCAACGACCTTGCGGGTGACGGACTGAAGCGAAGGACGGTGAGTTAAAAGTCGGAATAGGTGATGATCGCGGGAATGATGCGGAGGAGGAAGCAAACTTACGCTGACGCCGTCAGCACCGATGATCAGGTCACCAGAGGCCGTGGTACCATCTTCGAACGTGATAGTGCCGGCCTCGGCGTCGACTTGCATTACGCGGCATCCCGTCTTGAGAATGGCGGGCTTGTTGGGCCCTTTGGCGCCGGTCGCGAGGTCTTGGAGGGCTGTGTGCAAGCCCACGCGATGAGTAAGGACCCACGGCTGTCAAAAGCGTATCCGGGTCAGTCAATGGTGATTCCAGGCTTTGCAAATTGCATATCTGGTTCCTTACGTGCTGCCACAGACCTGCCCCTCGGGAGGTGTCGATGTCGGCCTTGATGTTGCCGTGGACGTCCCATTCCGTCACCTAAACTTGCAGTCACTCGTGAAGGTCAGCGACTAAGCGCACTTGTTGAACCCCGCCAGAGTAAGTGGACTCGGCCGCTCGCAAACTCACCCCTTTGACTGGGTTGGCGCCAATGTCCTCGGGCACGAGTCCAAAACGCTTGAGCAGGCCGTATGCGTTTGGCGCGATGTGGACAGCCGCGCTCGTCTCTTGGGCGAGCTGAGTGCGCTCAAAGATCTGGTTCGGTAGAGTTAGCATCAGTTCGCGACGCTTAGGGATAACGTAGCGCGCCACTCACTGTGATGTCGTGGCCCTGGTGTCGGAGCACGGTGGCAGCCATAAGGCCGCCGATACCTGCAAGTCATCCTGTCAGCGAGCAGAACTGCAACGTAGCTTACTCTGATGGCAAATACGTACCGCCGCCCACGACCAGGACCTTGAGAGGCTTATCCGTGGTCGCCATGTCGTGCTTCTCGGGAGTGTATGCAGGCACCGACAGGGATCTGAATCAAAAAGTGCGAGAAGTCAGATTGCAGAGAGGAGAAGACTGGTGTGGCCACTCTGACGATTGGATTTATTGGGAATAAGCTTTCACGGCAAAGATCTTGCACACAGCTCACAGGCACATTCAATGGGGATAAAGAGGCGCCGCCAGTCGGGCCGCTTAGCACCGTGCCGCCGATACGTTTCCCCGCAACGCCACCTCGAGAGCGGCCGTATCGGCATCTGTATCGCCCAGGCTCTCGATCTAGATGCACAGAGCGGCTCCTCGTGACTGTCTCAGGTCAACTTGGTTGCCCGTGACCAGAGTACTGCCACGGTGTTGTTGCACTCGGGACGTCGGCCCCGCGCGGGCGAGTTGGGGAAAGTGGAGGAGAACTGCTAGTGGGGGAGTCGGAGAAGAAGAGGAGAAAGAGGGGTCCATCCCCTGTAGCTCGAGCGCGAGCCGAAGAGTCGGAAGGAGTAGCTCTGGCCCGTGCCGAAGCTCGACTGAGGGGTCCTCTGGACTTTTTGGGACTTAGACAAGGCACCCGCATTCCGTCATTGTCGTTGCTGCCAAGTTCCTCCTTGATCATTTTGATTTCACTTCTGGCTTATTCACATCTCTGTGCTCAGTTGTCCTCACCTTACTTCTTGTGTGTCATTGCTTAATCGGAGACTTCAACCCACACAAGCGATCAGCAGCCATCGCCATGCCCAACGAGATTCGCGACCTGCGCGTCGTGGACGAGACATCCTTCCCCTACGTCTTGGAGAAGGACGTCTCGGTGCCACTCAAAGGCCGTCGTGGCGTCGTCCGCTGCAATGTCTACCGGCCCAAGACTTCCGAGCCCGTGCCTGTACTCGTGACATATGGTCCTTATGGCAAGGACATCTGGTACCAGGAGTATGTCATCATTCCCCGCATGAATGATGCATCGTTGAATTTGAAGTCCGAAGAATGAGCTGACACAGTGTTTGTCGTCCCGTAGCTTCCACCCCAAGTCCTTCTCCGAAGTCAACCCCGAGCACAAGTCTGCCCACGCCGCCTGGGAGACGCCCGACCCCGGCTTCTGGACGGCCGCCGGCTATGCTGTAGTCCGCGCCGACGAGCGCGGCCTGGGCCAATCGCCCGGCCTGCTCGACACCATGTCACGCGGCACCTCAGAGGCCTTCTTTGACGTGGTCGAGTGGTCCTCGGAGCAGTCCTGGTCGACGGGCAAGGTCGGCCTGTTGGGCATCTCGTACTACGCGGGCTCCCAGTGGCGCGTGGCCGCACGCCAGCCCAAGGGCCTCTCCGCCATCGTCCCCTGGGAGGGCATGTCGGATTACTACCGCGACCGGTGCCGGCACGGCGGCATCCTGTCGGACGGCTTCATCCGCTTCTGGTGGAACCGGCAGGTCATTACGAACCAGTACGGCCGTCCGGGCCGCAACGCGAACAAATGGGGTCCCGACACGATCGAGGGCGACCTGCCCGAAGAGGAGCTCGCCGCGAACCGGCAGGACCAGACGATCGACAACGCGCAGAACCGCTTCCGCGACGACGCCTACTATGCCAGCAAGGAGTACGACATGGGGGACATCCAGGTGCCCCTGCTCAGCGTCGGCAACTGGGGCGGCATCCTGCTGCACCTGCGCGGCAACATCGAGGGCTACGTCCACGCGGGCAGCAGGTTCAAGTACCTGCGCATGATCACGGGCCGCCACGACCTGCCCTTCTACTACAAGGAGGAGGTCGAGATCCAGCGCAGCTTCCTGGACGCGTTCCTCAAGGGCGAGGACCGCGTGGGCTGGTCCCAGGAGGGCAAGGTCGCGCCCGTCTCGCTGGTGCTGAGGAAAGGCAATGTCGGCTTCAACGACGCCGAGGCCGAAAAGGTGTACGAGCGCCGCGAGGAGACTGCCTGGCCCATCCCCCGGACGCAGTACACGCCTTTCTACCTTACGCCCGACCTGGGCCTTTCTGCCACCGACAAGCCCAAGCCCACCGACACGAAGCGCAAGGTCTCGTACCGGGCCCTGGGCACGATGAAGGACCAGAAGTTTGTCCAGTTCTCGACAGCCCCCTTTGAGGAGGAGACGGAAATCACGGGCCACGTCGTGGCACACCTCAACGTCTCGGTCACCCCGGATCCGGACGGGCCCACGCCCAGCGACATCGACCTGTTCGTCACGCTGCGCTACTTTGGCCCCGACGGGAAGGAGATCTTCTACACGGGCACGGCGGGCGACCCCGTCCCGCTGACAAAAGGGTGGCTGCGCGTGTCCCTGCGCAAGGTCAACACCGAGAGCCCCAAGCACAGGGCATACCTCCCACACCGGGACTACGCGAGCAGCGACGTGCAAAAGGTCGTACAGGGCGACATCTACGGCGTCGACATTGAGGTGTGGCCTACGCAGGTCGTCGCCGAGAAGGGCGGGCGCATCGTGTTCGAGGTCGCGTCGGGCGATACCCAGGGCAGCGGCATCTTTACGCACGAGGACAAGAACGACCGGTCGCCAGAGGTGTTCCAGGGCGTCAACAATATCTGCTTTGGCGGCGGTCTGGAGAACTATGTCACGCTGCCAGTCATTCCGAAGGCGTAGATCGGGCACGATGTTGGCGAGCCATGTTTGTAATTAGCATAGAGAATAGAAGAGCACGTGACATTTGAAAACACGTGTATTGGTCTTGGGGACATTCTTTGCGGTTGTGAAACTTGCGTCACTGCCAACGTAGGTCTTTATTTGAAAAGCAAAAATTAAAACAGGTCTAGTTATCATGTCTCATCCCCAATCTTTTGCACATTCATCATTGATTACAGGATGGACCTTGACTCTCAAATGATGAAACAAAGCATGCAAAACTCTTTATGCCATCCAGCTAGAACACAACATGCAGTGACAGGTCAATGTGACAGGGTCAAGATGAGCAAGGCGCTAGGATATTACACTATCGACAGGCAAAGCAAAACAACCAAATCTAGTCGGCAAGCCTATGCCGCCGCCGTAGCCAGCGTCTTCGGCCACGAGCCAATGGTAAACTGGCTGTTGCACATGTTTGTCAACTCCCACGTCTCGGCCTTCAGCTCGCCATAAGACCCGGTATCCTCCTCGTCACCAGCCGCCCCCGCCACGAACAGGGCCGCCATGAAGTGGTCGTCGGTGCCGTGCGCATCCCGGTACTGCGGGTGCTTCATGAGCCGCGTCATGGCCCTCCGCAGCTGGGGCCCCGAGTTGTTGGCCATGACGTCCTCGACCGACTGGCGGAACTCGAGGGCCCAGGGCTCCGGCGGGACCTCCTGCGCAAAGTTGTCCGAGTAGCGCAGCATGGGGCGCCAGCGGTTGCGCCAGAGGTTGTGAACGGCGCCACCGGAGCCGATGATGAGGTAGCCCTCCTTGCGCAGGTCGCGGACGGCGTCGCCGACGCGCATGTGCAGGTGGGGGTCGAAGCGGAAGTTCATCGAGATGAGCACCGTGGGCGGGCAACCTGCGGGGAACATGCGGATGAGGATGAGGTAGGTGTCGTGGATCCACTCAAAGTTTGGGTTCTCGTTGGCCTCGATGCCCGCGGCGCGCAGGAGGGCGATGCACTTGTGGGCGCCCTCGATGTCGGGCACGAGCTTGTAGTCGGCGTACTTGGACGGGTGGACGTAGGCGACGGGCGACTTGCCCGGGTTGACCGTCGTGGCGACTTCGACGCCCTCGCCGAGCGCGTCCCAGTGGGCGCCCATCATGACGACGCCCTTGATGTTGTTGGCGAGGGCCGCGTCGCCGGCCTTTTTCCAATAGTCGGCCGCCTCCGACTCCTCGCCCAGCATCATGGTGGAGCCATGTGAGAAGAAGTGCACAGGTGTGAGGGGAGCTGCGGAGGTGGAAACAGAGAGTCAGTCTTTGTGTTTTTGTGTCTTTGGTGGCGGCGTGTGTGTGCCTGGCCGGGGCTCTTGTCAAAATCAACTTACCCATGATGTGTATGTCTCTGTGATGGCGGGCTTTGGGTCTAACGATACCAGTGCCTTTGGAGTTGGTTGCTGGTGGATACTGGCTGGCGGTTGAGAGACAGGCCAGGGGATCTAAAGATGGCAAGACGAGCTGCTTGAAGGGCTGTCGATTGGGAATCTACGCGTGTCCGACCTGGCATACATCCGTGCGGCGTTGCAGAACAGCCATGGAGAAATCCCCAGGTGGCAATGCAGGCCCAACCGAGCGCCCGGCAGGAACGGAGCTGGTGGGTGTGTCGCATCTCGGGAGGTGGAGGAGGGGACTCGGCCCAGAGTGGAGAGCGGAGCTCATGAGTTGCCGTGCCCCGATGCTGGGTGTTTACGTCAGCAGCCGCGGAGACCCCACACCCGTGTTCCAGGCCTTCGGCGGCGCTAATCCTGAAATGGCCCTGGTCTGGGGCACTAGTGGCTCCCATAATTTCAGCAGGTGGAGCTTCCCCCGCAGCGGCCCCAGACCCCCCAGACGGGAACCCCAGAGGCCCGGCCAGATCTGCCCCAGACCCGGCGCCCTTCGTTCCCCTCGTGCCAGTTACCCCTCGCGGTTTGTTCCCCCAGGCCACACCAAACACACAGGACCCTGCGTGTCTCTTTTTCCTGCTGCTGCCCTGCTCCTCCACCTCCTCCACATCCCTTCTCCCTCTCCCTCCCTCTGCTCCTGCGACTCCTCCACCGCGACCGCGACCACGTCTCGCCAGCCTCGCACCACCATCTGGCGATGCTCGTCTGAGCGTCCGGCCCGGCATGGACCCCTCGCTGGCCTCTGACCCGTCCTCCATTGTCGCTGCCACCGACTCTGCTCCTGCGGCGCCTGCCCCGGGGCCGCTCTTCCAGTGCGGCACCTGCAAGAAGAAGTACAAGCGAGTCGACCACCTTGCCCGCCACGTCCGCTCTCGTATGTCTATGTCTTTGCCGTTGTCTTATCTCGGCTATCTTGTGGCTGTCCCGTCAAGGCATTGTTGATGTGCAGATAGACCCGTGTAGAAAAACAATGCGATGCTAATTGTACAATCCCGTCTCCAGACACCCAGTCCAAGCCCTACCCATGCCGCATCTGCTCCAAGTCATTCGGCCGAGCGTAAGTACCTTTTTTGCCCTCACTCAAATGTCTTATCTCTTCATCGCGATCGCCCATCACGCCCTCCACCACCGGCCCCAACCGAGCCTAGCTAACTCTAGGGCGTGGCTGTCCCCCTTCCTCGTAGTGACCTTCTCAAGCGCCATGTGGCTGCCCATGACGTCCAAGACCGCGGAGACAGCCTAGGTGCTGTCAATGGCCGCCGTGCCTCTGCTGGGCCTGGCCGAGTCTCGACTGCCTGCAAGACCTGTGCCTCGTGCCACCTCCGGTGCTCTGAGGAAAAGCCCTGTCGTCGCTGTGTAGATCGCGGCCTCGATTGTGTCTGGTCTATCCCGCCTGGCCTGGACGACATAGACGGCGTTGACCAGACGCAGCAACAACAGCACGGCGGCCCACGGGCTGACAGCAGGTCGCCTCGCCCGCAGCATGCCGACCACGAGATCGAGGTCGATACCATGGCTGCAAAGACAAACATGAGCCCGCCGCTACCAGGCATCCTACCTCCACATCATGACCACCAGATGGGGGACGGCAGAGGCCTTCTCTCTGCAACGACCCCGAGACACTCGATCGATGCAATGCATGCCAGCAACAACTCTCTCGACGGCCTGTCATGGCAGCAGCGCCTCCCTCCTCCCCCTCCTCCACCACCTCCTGCTCCGGCAATGGCTCCGCCCGTCCTCGACCAGGGCCCCGACATGCACAATGGAGGCCCTTACCACCACCAGGATCACCCGGGTGAGCCAGGGATGGGCTTCATGACGACGCCGTACTTCTCGAATGGCTTCTTCGACATCAGCGGCGCATCCGGGACCTGGACGCCCATGGGCGCTGCTGGCCACATGAACATGGGAGCCAGCATGGACCTCGACGACATCGACCTGCATTTTCTCAACTCGTACAACACCAACCTGCCCTTTGAGATTGCCAGCGACAGCGGCACGAACCACACGCCGCAGGCCCTGCCGGACAACCCGCCGAGCGCCAGCGCCAGTGCCGACCTGGGCGGCGGCAGCCAGCACGCGAGCCGGATCCCCAGCAGCAACGCGTTCCGCAACTCGTACTGGAAGTTCCAGCCCAACGCACACGACCACGCCAGCGCCGAGGAGCACAACCTGTCGCTGCCCGCAGACAAGGACGGCCAGACCTCGACGACGGCGGCGTCCAAGATTGCCGTCTCGCGCCGGCTCACGACTAAGCCGCTCAGCCTCAACGCGCGCGACAAGATCCTGACCCTGGTCGTGGACAACTGCCGGCCCGAGAACCTGAGCCGGGCGGTCGCCTCGTTCCCGTCGATCGAGCTGCTCGATGCCCTGATACACTACTACGTGTCGTCGGTGGTGGTGCGCGCCGACTCGTTCATACACCTCCCGTCCTTCAACCCCAACGACAAGAAGGCCGAGCTCCTCGCTGCCATGGCCGCGGCTGGTGCGGTCTTGACGTCGGACCCAGCGCTCATCAAGCTGGGCTCCGCGATCCAGGAGTGCGTACGAGGAGCTGTGCCAAAACATGTAAGCTGATTCTTCTCAGTCCTTATCCTACAAACGACTAACAAACATCTTCAGTGGGAAAGAGACAACTCGACCACACGCGACCTCGAGCTCTCCCAGGCGTGGATGATCAGCCTCGAGACGGCCATCTGGAGCGGGCACAGCCGCAAGGTCGAGATTGCCGAGAGCTTCATGCAGCCGCTGCTGACGATGCTGCGGCGCAACGCGCGGTTCCGGCCTTCCGGGTACACCGAGGTGAGGCTGTGGCGGGACGACGAGGGCGCCACGCTCGAGCACAAGTGGAGGGACTGGGTCGCGCAGGAGTCGTTCAAGCGCCTCGCGTTCCGCATGTTCCAGCACGACACGGACTCGTCGCTCGCGCTCATGATCAACCCGCTCGTCTCGTACGCCGAGGTGGTCGTCGAGCTGCCCTGCTCGGGCGAGCTGTGGTCCGCGTCCAACAAAGACCGCTGGAAGACGGCTTTCCTGCCTACCCAGCAGCAGCACCAACATCAACAGCAACAACAACATACTTCCCCACCAAATGGCCTTTCTGCTCCTGCTTCTTCTGCCGTAGCCAACAACAACAATAACCACAGCAACACTGCCTCCTCCTCCTCCTCGGCCCTCACCATCGCCGACTGCATCGACAACCCGACATGGCACCTCCCGACCGACGTACTCACCGCGTCCATGGCGTACCTGTCGGTCGTCTGGCGCCTGGCCTGGGAATACCTGCAGCTCGCGTCGCTGCAGAAGCGGTCCCGCCCCCAGCGCTGGAACAGCTACCTGCTCTTCTCGCGGCACGAGGAGCTCGTCAAGCTCCTGGCCCGCTTCCGCCTGTCCCTCGACGACGTGCCCGCCTCGGTCAGCCACTCGCACTGCATGACGGTGCTCATGCGCGCCGAGCACATAGCCCTGCACATCCACGCGCCCTTTGAGGACATCCTGCGGTTCGCGGGCATGGAGGGGGCCGAGCAGAGCCGGCTCGCGTACGACGCCGTCGTGCTCGAGTGGATGCGCTCCGAGGGGGCGCGCAAGGCCGTCTGGCATGCCGGGCAGATCCTGCGGTGCGCGAGGACGGCGTCGCGCATGCGCGTCCAGGGGCCCCTGGCCGTGATTGTGTTCCATGCTAGCCTCGTGCTGTGGGTGTATGGCATGATGTACGCGGAGAGTCTGGGCGATGGTGGTGGTGCTGGTGAGCGGGTGGGAGGGTTGAATCACAACAACAACAACAGCAGCAGTGCTGGTGGTGGCGGTGGCGGCGGAGGGAGTAATGGCGACTTGAGCATGTACGGTAGCACGCCGGCTTCACATCACCAGCATCAACAACAGCAGCAGCACAGCCAGATCAGTGAGGATCTGCGGCTGCGGCCCCTGGTCCTGGTCGATGACGACGAGAGCGGCGCAGTCCAGCGGTTCATCCAGTTTGACCGCGGGGCGCCGGCGATACAGAAGCGGGTGGCCGACTTTGCCAACAGCAGCAACAGCAGCAGCGGTGAGACGGCAGGCCCGCCGACCCAGCGCATCTCGCTGTTCGAGCCGGACGGCGTGATGGAGGCCATCATCGACATACTGTCCCAGAACCACCCGCCAAAGTCTAAACCGCCGCTCGTGGAGAACTTGATACAGGTCCTCACGGAGCTGGCGAGGTCGGCGCCCCCGTCGGCGGCACGGTCAGAGCAGTCGAGGGGATAATGTAGGAATGTAGGAAAGGAAGGAAAAGTTCCAATGATATCCTGATTTGGTTTGCACGATATCACGAATCACTTTGCTCACGCATGGCCGGTGGTAGTAGTTCATCCTTTGGGTCTCAGGGTCCACTGTGTTATGTTTTCATGATCCTCTCTCTCTGTCTAGTCTACAACGTGTGCCTTGTACATAGCAGCCTAGGAATTAAGAAGAAAACCGGGACAAAAGAGCTCTCAACCATCCTCACAACAGCCGTGCCTTGGCCGTCCGGAACGCATACCATCCCACCCAGCCCGTGCACGACAGCACCACGCTCAGCAGGATCACCCCGCCCGTGACGATGCCCTGCTCGAAGAAGCCCAGCGCGAGCCTGTTCTTGAGCCTCTTAACTGGCGGCAGGGCCTTGGGGTCGAGCACGACGGCCGTCGAGTGCGGGTTGCTCATGATCGAGGCGATTGTTTTTGACAGCACTGTGGGGACAATGTGCTGGGGCTTGGGGAGGGAGAAGAGGATGGTCGGATAGGGCGTGGAGAGGGCGACATTGTACGAGGTCGTGGCGGGTGTCATGGGGCCGACTTTGGAGGTGAACGCAGGATTAGCATTGGACGGCCCAGGTGGAGATTGGGACTGGTTGGTCGAGACGGAAAAGGGTTGCTTACATAGTATCTGTAGAGGGATCTGGTTGACAAAGACGATGCTCGTATCCACAAACTGGCCAATGTACTTCGCCGGGTCTGGCTTACTGAAAACGTATGTTGCAGCTAGTGTGCCGTGTCTGTTTTTTTTTAATCTCCTTGTCAGCACCTGGTCCACATTATTTTGATGTCAAAACAACTGACCTTGGCGCAGTGTCAATCGCATCGTCCATGCTCGTCACCGAGTGCAGCACCAAGCACGGCTCCGAGATCTTGCTCCTGAGCACCACCGACTGACGGCTGCTCACATCGACAATCGTGGCCTCGGGGTTAGACGAGATGATTGTGGCCGATCCCTCCTCGACCGCCTTGGCTGCGACGCTCGACTTGCCGCTGCCCGCCGGCTTCCTGCCCTTCTTACTCGCAGTGATGGAGTCGGCCGTAAACCGCGCGGAGCTGGCGGAGAGGGCGATGATGAGGTCCCGCTTCACCCACTCGTTGACCAGGACCAGGTCAGGCGCGTACGGGCTGCGTCCGCCGAGGCTGAAGCGGGCAGCGACCAGGGCGTCGGCCGCTGCTTGCACGTCTGCGTCCCGCTCGACAATGGCGACTGTGCGGGCCGATGGGTCGGAGGAGAGTGTCGGCGTCCTGGAGGTTGTGGGAGAAGAAGAGGACAGTGTGCTGCCATTTTGGACGACCCGTAGGTGCCGGTGGCCGATATCCTCGCTGTCCAGCTCATCGTGCACCACGGCGAACACGTCCTTGTCGAGCGCGGCGGCGACAATTTGGAACACCAAGGCGGGAGTCTGTAGGAGCGAGTTGCCCTTCATCTGGACTATGACGGTGTTGCCCTCTGCGATGGCGGGGGCCAGGGCAGAGACGAGGCTGTACAGAAACGCATGGGGCGCGGGCTCCTCGATGATGACAACGCCATAGGGCTGTCTGCCGCTGGCAAAGTCCTGCCCCCGGGCGATCGAATACTCGTCCTTGAGGGCTTGCTCGGGGTTCACGGCCGTGCTGATCTCACCCAGCAGGCGCAAGGCGAGGCGGGTCTCGAGTCGGACGTCGACAGAGTGGTAGTCGGGGTTGTCGTTGCTGATGGCCGCCTCGATGCGGGCAGTCTCCCTGGACAGGGCGTCGTGGAGGTTCTTGAGCTGGGTCTGGCGGTAGATGGGGTTGGCGAGGCGTCCATCAACGGCGGCCGCCCGGACCTTGCTCAGTTGGGGGCTGGGCATGGTGATGTCGTGGCAGGCGAGGTGTGTGAAAAGAGCTGGGCGTGCTGCAATGGTCACTTGGGGTATAGTGCTAAGACGGAAGCCGAGAAAGAAACCAGGAAAGAAGAGCAAAAGAGGGCGCCGATGGGAGTTCTTGGTGGTTTGCCCCGGCAGATAAGCAAAGCAGTCCACACGAGAGGGCAGACACAATCGCGACCCCGGAGCTTGCAGTGATGCGGATGTACTTGCGCAAAGTCCTACAGGCGAATAGGAAGAAGGGGACAGCCGTAGGAGGCAAGAAATCCCGTGTGGACGCGTGGGAAGAGGGATTCGAAGCTCGGCGACGGCAGCTACAAGCTCCGTCTCGGGTGGATAACTCGACCAGCGGCCGCGGGTGAGAGTTGGTGTCTAATTGTTGGGGGCTGTGGCGGACCGGCCGGCCTGGATGGTTGGAGTCGAGGGGTCTGTCTGACTGCCACACCTTGAGCCATGCGGGCCAGGGGTCGTCTCCTCCACATCCCGATGGGGAGGTTGTGTTCTCCGCAGGGGCCTTTTGGCCCTGTAAGGTCAGAGGTTAATTCGGCCCACTCGGGACACACGGTCGACCTGGCCAGGCCCACCACCACCACCTTGTGCCGAGGACCCCGTCCGTCACGCGGGATCCTCTTCGGTTCGGCTGGGTTCTTGAGTCGCTCGCCTGCCCACCCTGGGCCGCCCTGCCAGTCCTGCTGTCCTCTTCACGTGGACAATCTGACGCTCATCGACGACGAGATAGCGACAGCGAGGCCAAGACTCAGGACATACCGAACGACGAGGCCATCACGAACCATCTCACCTCTCAAGGTCAAAAGGAAGGCGATACATCCACAGCTCCTCCACAGCCACAAAAACTCTCAAAGCCATGTCCGCCACCACCACCGTCGTCGAGACCCGCACCGCCAGGACGGTTCTCGACGACTACGCACTCCACCACTCTGGCGGCGGCGGCATCAAGCCCACGCCCACGACTGCAGACATTGAGAGCATCAACACGTCATCATCAGCATCCACGGCGGGCGACGTCGAGGCCCCCGTGCCTTGGGACCACTCGCACCGCCGTGTGCCGCCGTACCGGCCCATCAACCGTGAGCGCGACCAGTCCGGGATCCGCGTGTACCAGAACAACATTGAGCGGACTTTTATCACCACCATGTTCACCGGTGTCTTTTTGAATTCAGTACGTTCATCTTATCTCTTGGGGTATCTCCAGGAGCACGGCACTAACGAAATGACAGGCGACGGCCAAGGCAGCGCGGATTGCGTTTGGTGACAAGTTCCGTAACGTGCCTGTGGGAGGAGAGATGTAGATAGATCCGAGCGAAATGAATGCTTGTTTATCTGATTGCCAATATTTGCTCCTTCGCCTTGGTATGCTTGCTTCTATATAACCCTGCACGTGTAGTTGAGAGGACACAAAATACAACACTGGGAGCGTGTCAGTTCCATTCAAGGCCAGACGCGTTTCTCGTGCGCAACAGTTCGGAAATGCCGATACCGAACGGCCATTGGTATTGTTTTAACTTGTTGTATATTCTGCTTGGTCGCTCTTCATGCATGCAAGCTCCACTACAATACTAGAACACGCTGTGCAGATTGCTCATCTTCGCAAAAAAGCAAGCACCAAGCCTCTATGACGAGTCCGCCACGCCGTGCATCCCGCCCAGATCCTCCTTGACCTCCTTGCCGGCCACGGCGAACGGCTCGACGGGCTGGAGGATGTACAGCATGCGACCCCACTCGGTGTCGCTCATGTTGCGCCACGCGTGCATCGTCGCGCGCTGGACACAGATGTCGCCGCGCTTCATCGGCCGCGTCTCGCCCGAGTCGAGGACGAGCTCGATATTGCCCTCGAGCACGACGCCATAGTCGAGACTGAGCGTCTTGTGCATCGGCGACGTCGCTCCGGGAGGCATGTCGACGTACCGCAGCACCGTGCCGCTGTTGACGACAAGCCCCGGCGGCTGCTTGAGGAATTCGGTGTAGACATTAAGGTCGGCCTTGTCGGCCAGCTTGGCGGGGAAGGAAGACGTGACGTAGCACTGCGCAAAGGCCGCGTCCCCGGCCCGCAGCTCGTAGAAGGGGGCGTCCGCAGGGACAGTCGTGTCGACGACTGCAAGACCCTCGTCGTTGGTGGTGGTGATGTACCGCTTGGGCAGGTCGAGCTTGCCGTGTAACGCCATGGTGGGAGATGTGTCTGCTTCTAATCTGCGCGGAAGATTCGAGGTGGTGCGAGTGATGGTAGTAAATACTCCCAAGGGGTGACAGTAGAGTTTCTGTAAGCTGACAGATTGACGCAAGTGGCTTGGAACGCGAAGGATAAAACAGCAGAGAAAAAGAGATTATGTGAGCCAGTAGAAAAGAACAGAACCACGGCATTCCCCTCTATCCCCTCATCACCCAGAGTGGGATCACGAGTGAGGGGATCATCATACCGGCCGTAGTTTGCCCCGAGCGAGTTCGGGATGTGGGCTTGGACCGGCCACTGCGGATGTAGCTCCGCACGGGACAAGGGATACTGGAGTGGTTCGCAGGAGCAGGTTGCGGGGGGCCTTTGGAGCGCGAGAGCGAGCTCCCCCACGAAAAACCCCTGGAGCCCCTCCACTACTCCTCATTGCGTTCCCTACCGAGCCGGGTCGGCGATGCTTTCCCCCGCCAGCCGATGACGACGTCGGCCTTTAATTCAGCCCGATCTGTAGGGTGAGCGTGGCAGTATGCCTCTTGCGAAAGATCGTATTCTTGTTTGTCGACTTGTAATCTTGTCCAGTGATCGTCAGCTTTCTATTCCTTAGTGCGCAAGCTTCGTTTGGCCACATCCGCACGAAACCATAACAGAAGGACAATGTCGGACCCCAACTACGCCTCCCACTTTTCAGAGCGCAACATTCCCTTTGGAATCGGCTCTTCCGCTCAGTTCACAAGTCCGCAGGCCGTCACGCGCCTGGAAAACACCGTCATCTCTCTGAGTGCTCTGCACAGGCATGGCTTTTTCAAGGACATTGCGGCGGCACAACTGCCCGAGAGCGCCCTCAACAGCTCCACCCTGAACGAGTTCGCTGCTCTGCCCAAGAGCACGCACAGAGCCGTCCAGGCTGCCATCCGCGAGGCGTACACGCAAAAGGGCTTTGACGCGTTCCCAGAAGAAGCAAAGGAGAACCTGGGCCATGTGAAGCTGCACTTGCCAGTACAGATCGGCGACTTTACAGGTATGTTTGACCTCCAAAGCCCCAAGCTTACAACACTAACGCCAACGGAAATCACCAGACTTTTCCTGCAGTCTCGAACACGTCAAGAACGCAGGCCGCATCGTCGTCAACAACCCCAATCCACCGCCCGCCTTCTTCCAGTTGCCCGTCGGCTACCAGGGCCGCTGCAGCTCCATCCTCGTCTCGGGCACCGAGATCGAGCGGCCTATCGGCCAGTTCCGCTCGCGACCATCTCCGGGCTCGAACGAACCCCCCACGATCCTCTGCGGGCCGTCCAGAGCGGTCGACTACGAGGTCGAGCTCGCGGCCATCGTGGGCAAGCCTCTGCCCATGCGGAAGCGGCTCAACGCAAAGGACGCGGAGGAGCACATCTTTGGCTATGCGCTCTTCAACGACTGGAGTGGTAAGTTTCCAGCTCTCATGCCAGCTTTGAACTTCGTCGAGAGTCCGTGCTGATTCTTTCTTGTCCGCCTGTACAGCCCGCGACATCCAAGGGCTGGAAATGGTGCCCCTTGGACCTCTGAACGGCAAGTCCTTTGGCACCTCCATCTCCCCATGGATCGTCACCCTCGACGCCCTGCAGCCCTACAAGGCCGCCGTGCCGCAGCCCGCCCACGCACCCGGCGGCATCCCAGCGTACCTCCAGGACCCGGACAACTCGTCCCACGACATCACGATCCAGGTCGAGGTTCTCTCCGGCAGCAGCGCGACGGTCACGGGCACGACCAAAGTGCAGACCATGTACTGGACGCCCAAGCAGATGCTGGCCCACCTCGCTAGCAGCGGCAGTGCCCTACGAACGGGCGACGTCGCGGCGACCGGCACGGTCAGTGGTGAGACACGAGAGAGCTTGGGCAGTCTGTTGGAGGTGACCAAGGGTGGCACGGATCCTATAAAGCTGGTGGATGGCACCGAGAGGGGTTACTTGCAAGACGGGGACTCGGTCCGGCTGGTCGGCTGGGCTGGTAGTAAAGATAGCGGCGTCGGATTCGGCGAGTGTATCGGTGAGCTGCTTGCCGCGAGGCCTTTATGATGCCTCCCATGGGCTTCGAATTCCTAGCATATGCATTCACCTCCTCCAAGCGCTGAGCAGAAGTCTTGGAATCGACACTGGATGGGAGCATCACTCTGTGCATACACCAGAGACAGCACCAATGATCTAGAACTGATCGCATTCTAAAAGGAGAGATATAAAGATCCATGCTCGTTCTATGTACCATGCTCAGCTAGTGATAGGCCCTTGTGACCCCGACATCGGGGCCAGCCCGATACCCCTGTCCCACTCCCCAGCCGCAGTCGGCCCTCAAGAATTCTTGCGATACGTGTTGTACATGGTAATCATGCGCTGCCGCTGGCCCTCGGTGAACTGGGTGTAGCATGCGTCCGTCGAGTAGTCCATGTAGTTGTGGATGGGGTCGAGTCCAGGGCTGCTCGGGCACGAGTCTCTGCCCTCTGGACAGCCGACGGTGGCGCTGATCTGCTGTGGCGTGTCGGCCACAAAGTCGCCCGTGCCGGCACAGTTCTGTCCCTCAAAGGTATGCAGCAGGCCAAACCAGTGCCCGACCTCGTGCACGGCCGTCAGGCCAAGGTTGTAGCCGGTGTACGCGCCTCCAGGGACCGATGCACCGTCGATCGAGCACCCATCCCGGATGAACTTCTTGGAGCCTGGCTTGGGCGGGCCGCGGGGGAAGTAGCAGTAGCCGAGGTTGTCGTCCTTGAGGCGCTTCTGGAAGTAGATGTTGAGCGTCTTGTAGTCCCCCTTGCGTAGCGCCGCCTTCATCCTCTTGGTCTTCTTGTCGACTGCCCAGCGCTTGTTAATGGTCCAGTCGGTGCCCTTGAGGTTGAACTGGATCCCGTACGGCTGGTACGCCGCGTTCATCACCTGCAGCTGCTTCGTCATGGCCGCCTGCGGGATGTAGCCATCGGATTCGTTCTTGCTGAGTGCCACAACATGGAAATATGTGTCGACCACAAGCGTAGCCGCTGTGTCCACTATCCCCATGGCTGCATTGGCCGCCTCGATGACCGACGCGTTCCGGTGCATCTCTGCAATCTCTTTGTCGCCAAAACTGCCGCAACTGCGTGCTGGCTGACCGGGTGCGACGGCTGCCGTGGCACCGGCTGCCAGCGCCAGTATGGTGGCTAATCTTCGTATCATGATGTCGGCTAGATACTGACTGACTATCGGTGTAACAGAACGCTTTGTTGGAGAGGGTTTCATTCGGGCCTCCAGCGACGGTTTGCAGTGAGATACTGCTCCTTTATGAGCACAAACGCACACCCGGTGAAGTGGTCTCAAGATCCCCATTGTGGCTGGTCCTTCATTCTTTGCAAAGGTGGCAGCCTCGTTTATGTCTCAGTTTTTTGCCTCCCTTTTCGTCCGCCTCAGCGTGGAATGAAACACTCCATAATTTCAACCCACCACACCGAGAATGTCTCAGGCTAGGACCACATGTTCCCACGCTAATTGCAGGATGTGAGAAACTATTATTACACGGATCAAAGCTCGAACGGCCCAGTCAGTCATCTACATGCCAGGACTTTAGCCCCGAAGTGCTGGGACTCGTGAAGCGCCATCCCTCGTCACTTCAGCTTCTCGCCAAGTTATTTTATCTTCGAAATAGACGCCCAAGTCATTTGAGACAATGTGTTGTCAAAGTCATGAGGGTAAAACTTTGAGCTTGACCAGAGCCAACTAGCCTCGATGAGATAGAGGCCACCTGTCATGTCGGCGCGGCCATGGCACTTCGCAGTGGTCGCCTTCCACGTGGTCTGTGCACGATGTTTCCAACTCCAGGCCGGTCGACATCAATGTCCTGACATCCGAGACAACCAATTCTGCACTGCTTGGTGTTTCCAATCACTAGAGGTCAACTTCTGCTACATCGGTATTTCTGAATCCATCGAACAGGCACCAGGTCGAAGCGGTGTATGAAGGGGGCATGACGTGCGCGGCAACAAGAGCTGAGCATTAAAACATCGTCCCCACTGTCCACAGCGTCGAATGACCACAGGCACTGCCCGTAGTGCCCCTCAATTTGAAACAAGAGACATGAGGCTGTCGACGATTCATAGCAGAACGTCACTCGCTACTAATCACTGGCCAGAGGGCAGCTTGCGTGTGGTAGCCATCCCACTTTGTCTCAATTCAGAATTATGTCTTTGGTGTGACCCCCTCATGGGCGAGCGCTGATACCATAGACGCAAGACTGCATCTAGCTGACCTTTAGAATGATGGGCGAAATTTTATACCACGTCGTGCATCCTCGGCCAACATGTTAAAAGATCCTCTTATGATCACCACAGCAGTCGATCAGAATTACCAAACAATGATGTTCCTGAGTCAAAAGCTTGAATCCTAGAGCTGATTTAGCTATTCAACGAGGAGAGGGGTGGTTTCCATTTCTTTTTGGAATACTTTTAAGTATGGTTTAATGAAATGTTAATTCGTGCGAATAAAATTAGACAATTCGGATTTAGTTTATCAGCTGTATCTGATTCGAGATCGTAATACACCGTAAATCTTAACAAAAACATTGGTAACGTCTGCAAAGACGCGGAGGGATGAAGTGACTCGCCGATCGGTTCCTCGTACTGAGCTGGATAGTATCGAGTCAGATGTTTCTGGCAGCAGCCGCATAAGTTATGCAGACTATGCATAAAGCTGATCCAGTATGCATTCCAACCCCGCTTATGGCGCCACGTGGGGCACAACTACTCCCGCACAAGTGGAACCTGATGTTTCTATGCCAAGGTCACATGGCCGCCTCGCCCATATCGTCATCCCCGGATGTTTTGGTACCTAACTATAGCTTGACCTGTTCATTGACTAATTGAGCGCTTATCGCTGTGATCCCAGGGAGTGGATGTTGGAAGTGTTTAGCAGCGTTGATCCCTTGCTGCCTGAGTCCACCAGAAATCATCGAAAAAGGCAGCAGCTCTGTATGTATGCAGCGAAGTATTCTTCGATGGTTTCAAAGCCCTAATAAGGACCAAGGGTACTATATATGGAACGACATTTGAAACCGAATTGATGACAGCTCTTTCGTGTCTCGACTGCCTCCGAGTCATCAACGCGACTAGTTGTCGCACACTGGCTGATCTTCACTCACCATCCAAAAGCGTCGTTATATCATCACATGGCCAAATTGGTTTCAGTGAATGGTGACTACTGGTGGACAAAGCGTATGATATGTTGAGAGAATCTAAGCGCCAGTCCGGCATTCCACTGCATGCGTGTGGCCCCGGCCGACGATGGTCTTCACGGCCTGTCAGCGCCATTGCCAGCAAGAGCGTGATGAGGTACATGCTGAACGGGTAGCGTAGCCGAGGGCCATGTCTCGGTTAGGAGGCACAACGCCAGACGACGGTTCGGCACCAGTACCTACAGTTGGGTCTCCTTCATCCTCGTGAGCCACCTTCGCGATAAAAAGCATCGTTGGTCGTCTCACGGTGCCACGTGAATCACCCCAGCCAGGTCTGCAAGTCACCAGAAGACGTTGCATTCCGTGGCTCTGTCAGCCGCCCTGCAGCCAACAGACACTACATAAGCCGTAGATGAGGGGCAGCCATACAAGGGCAAAAGACAGGGCTCGAGCGTGGCCATGCCAGTTGTCCGTCCACCTTGGCGTCTTGACATTTCTGCGACCCTCTCACCCACCAAGAACAAAGACCGCGATCGGGCGCTATGTCGATGCGCACAAGCACCGAACAAGAGATGGGTGTTCCTTCAGATATGGCTTCTCCATCTGATCAGGGGCCCAGGTTATCCCTGGAGGCACTGCCCTCGGAGCTCGTGATCATGATTTCCGATCAGCTACCGCTCCTCGCTCGGCCGTCGCTGGCAGCTGTCAATCGCAGGTTCCACGCGGTGCTTCACCCCGTCATTGCTGGCCAAGCTCTTGCGACGTTCCCGTACCTGCTCATCTGGGCGGCCAGCCAGGGCTTTGTAGGCCTCGTCCAGACTCTGCTCGATGGCGGCGCGGACCCCAATGCCGTCTTTACCACCAAGCACAGTGGAGATCCCAATACCCAGTGCTTGCATCACTTCTGGTGGCCCGCGCCACACCCGCAGTACGGCCCGCCTCCCCATGCCGCGTTCCAAGGGCCGATATACTCGCCCCTGTGCACTGTGCTCCATCATCGACAGTGGCTCCGCGCGGCCCGGGACCAGACTATACAGGTGCGGCGGCGTGCTCGGGAACCACCTGAGCCTCACTTCCTGGTCCAGCCCCGAGGCCTTCACCGAGGCTCGCTGCCACCACGGCGACCGTGGGTCTCCTCGGGCGTCCTCACTTGCCTGCCGAGATCCGCGGCTGTCGACCCCTTCGACTTCCTTTCGGCGATGGCACAGACGACATGGTGGTCCGCGTTGCATCTTGCTGTAGCCTGCCGCCACGAGGACGTTGTTAGACTACTCGTCCGCCATGGAGCTCGGATCGACGCATCTTACCGTGGACTGTGTCGCTGCATTCCCGGCGCCGATCCTTCCCCGGACCCCCCGACGGTGACTGACCGGGTATCCTGGCTTCTCGGTGGATGCTGGACGGCATTGCATTTGGCTCTGTGTCTCCAACACGAGGACATGGCTCTCCTCCTGCTCTCTCTCGGCGCAGCGACTGCTGTCTCGCTTACGGTTCCAAACCATACTGCACTCGACTCCGCAGTGGTCACCAACAGCCGAAAAGTCTTGCGGGAGCTTCTTCTTGTCGAATCGCCCAAAGACGACGGCCTCCGTCTCGCGCGTGGCGGCTTGGGCGTTCTCTCCCTGTCAGTCACGCAGTCCACCAGCATAGAGACCACGCGCCTCCTTCTCTCCCGCGGCTTTTCAGCGACGGCATTAGAGCAAGACGGCCGGACCGCCTTGCATGTAGCCTGTGTATATCGACAGCACGACAGTGCCAAAGAGCTGATTCGCGCAGGCGCCGACGTCAACGCAGTCTGGACCGTGCCAACCATAAGAGCTCGGCCGGTCCCACAACAGTCCTTCAAGCCTTTGGACATTGTGTGCCTCGACGCGCCTGCGTACAATTTCGCGAGCTCGCCTGTCTTTGGTCGTGGGTCGCTTGCGGCTGGAGAAGAGCCCCAAACAGACCCGGTTGGGCTGGCTGCCGACCTCATCGGCCATGGCGCGAATGTCCACCCCGAGCTCCCCTGTGAACACTCGCCCATGGTCCTCGCTGCAAGTGCCTGCATGCCGGAGCTTTTGAGGCTCTTGGCCGAGTCCGGTGCTCGCGTCAATGACGTGGATGCTAGCGGCTTCACCCCGTTGTTGGGCGTCGCGAAGCCGCTGGCGCTTCTTGGTCCTGGTCGGCCACCACACAGGCTACTGACTGTCCGCTGGCTTCTCGACCACGGCGCAGACCCGAATTACCAAGAACCCTCTACAGGACACACCGCGCTGTGGAAAGTCTGCCAGAGTCCATTCATTACATCCAGAGATACCTTGGACGTGGCACGTGCGCTCCTGGACGCCGGCGCGGATCCAAATCTGGTGGCAACCTCTGGCGAGTCGGCGTTTTCAATGGCCCTCGAGGAGCGCAATGTCGAGCTCTGCCGCCTCCTTGTCAGCCGCGGTGCTGACGTCTCGGCCCCTACAATCAACTATCGAAGGCTGTTCCGGGATCTCCTGGCCACTATGCGCAACCATAAGCTCCACAGGGGCAGAGACAGAAGCAATTCACGACATAACCGCATCGAATTTGGCGTCCAGGGCCGGATCCAGGAGTGTCTGAGCTTTGCGAACCTGCTGTTTGATATCGACAGGAACAAGACGATTCTGAACGATCCCCACCTCTTCTGGCGCAGCGCAAAGTACCCAGCACATCGCGTCGCCCTTGCTTTTCTGGCAAAGGGGGAGCCCAATCTGAGATACTGCCCTCCCCGGGACGCATTAAGGACATGTCTACACAACGTCCTGGACGCACAGTCGTCCCGTATTGTGTACGACTATGAGCTGGAGCTCGTGCAGGAGTTGATAAAACGAGGTGTGGACGTGAATCAAGGACACCCAATCCTCCAGGGCTTTGCTCGCTTCAAGTGGACCGCGGTAAGGTTGCTGTTCTCAGCTGGAGCCAGAATACCGCTGGGTCGCAGCAGACAAGCTCTCCGGTTCCTAATCAGTCTATCCTACACCATGCCGATAGGAGATATCCTCCGCCTGGTGCTTGCTGACTTGCACCGGAGCTTTCTTGACCTCCCAAGGGCCCAGCACCGTCCGCCGACTGGAGCTGGGCCACTTCGAGATGAAGAGCCCGTCAGCTTGGATGACCCACCCGAGAACACTTCTGTGTGGCAGAGGCTTCTCGACAGAACGCTTCTCAGAGCATGCAAGGCTCCGCAGGTCCAGGCCATTGCTGCACTCCTAGATGCTGGGGCCAACGTCAACGCAGGCGGCCACACATCCACTTCGCTGTCGGATGACAACGTGACGCCACTGTCTACCTTGATCAAGTCCGCCCACAAGCGGGAGCGCGATAGTCAGAGGTACCAATCACTTGAGGTCGTTGCAGATCAGTTTTTCGACACTTTCAAATTGCTCTGTGCACGCGGTGCTGCGCTGGTGATGCCGCCGCCGGACCAGGGTCATTCCTCGTCCCGCAAGCCGCCACGGGAGATCGTGCCCTACATCCCGCACTGGGCGGGCCCAAGGCCAAAGCCGGATCGGTCGCTCGTCACCACTGTCACGGAGGGCTGGCCGAGCTCTGCGTTCTGCGCAGCCGTTGTCGATAGATGTGACTTTGTTCTTGGGGATAAGTCTGAGGACGACTCGACATCCATCAAGGTCATCTTCCGCGACTTTGTGCCCGATGAAGTGCTGAATATCTGGCGGCAATCTGCCAGAAGACACCGGCGAGAAAGTTCTAGCTCAGGATCGAGTTCTGGGAGCAACGACCATGATGATGGGAGCGATGACAACGAGGAGGAAGAGGACGAGGAAGAGGGAGTTGGGGCCGACGGAGTCGATTCACAGGATGAGGAGGAAACTCGGCAAGCTGGCCAAGACAGCCCTTCCGCTGACGATGACGGAGATGGATGGGCCGCTACCGACTCCGAGCACTCCTGGCATTCAATGTCCCACTTTGATACGTCTGGCTCGTCGTCTAGGTCCAGCTCGGCGTCTCGTGCAAGCGGATCTGGCAGTGACAGTGAGATCGTCTGAGTGGCGGATTGAATAACGCGGACCCCCGGGCAGCTTGTCACATAAAGAACTGATCTCTTGTCACGTATCGCCCAGTCACAAGTGTGTCATGATTGCGGAGTTTCGACCGCAAACATACCAGCGATGAGGAAGCTGCTGGTCCACACCTTCCGCCAAGGCCGAAAGACTCCGTTTCTGGATTCGACATATGCTGTAGTAGAATCCGGTCGCTGCATTTCCTCGCTCTTGTCGACTTCACACAAATTCCGGCGGCATAGCCCCTAAAATTCGCCAAAGGAGGCATTGTTTTTTATAGGTCACGAGGCCTAGGTAATACCTCCCTCCGGTACTGTTATCACCAGGACTAGATACTCGTCGTACTGTGGGCAAGCCTTGCTGATACGAAGGGAGCATTGCATGATAAGGCGGCTCCCTGTTAGTACCGCGGAGTCTTTTAGGTCAGGGACTTTTTCAGAGAAGATCTATTATGACCAGTATAAGCGGGGTTATCTGTATTCCCGAATTGCGCCTTGCGAATTCCACCTCGCTCAACCTTAAGTCCGTAGTCGTATCATTGCTTTGTGATCCAATGATGAGTAGGCGACTAGTCCAGCAAGGGCGTAGAACAGGGTTGCGGACTTAGTGGAGCCCGAGTGGCGTTCTGTTCAGCCTCATGTCACAACCTGATTGGGCCATTTCGGAGACAGGTGTGGAAGCTGCTTCCTAAGACTGGTACGCGATGGTTAAGTCCTGACGCAGCCTGTCCTGCACCTTGTCGTCAAGATCTGTGCGCGGCCACCAGTTTTAATGAAGCATGAGCATTCTATCACCATCGTGGACGAAAGTTTCGGGAAGGATACCAATTAGGGCATGGAGATGCATAAATAGCCAGTGAATTAGCAGGAGCAGTCACGAGCATCTCGAACCGAACTCAAGAGCCAGCACAGCAATAATCACCACACGTCCCGGATGACAAAGGAATTCAGCCATATCATCATCGCCATCATGCAGATCAAGTTGCTCCACGTTTTGTTCGCAGGCGCTTCTGCGGCGACTCTTATCCCTCAGGGTGGTGCTCGTTTCAATGACGCGTGCCTTCCTCGACTTCCGTCGCGAATTGTTGCCCGGCTCGGTCATCAACCCTCGTTCCTTGAGAATCTTGCCTTCCGAGACAACGGGGACCTTTTGGTGACCCAAAACCATCCGAAGCCCCAGATCTACACCATCAAGCAGCCGTGGTTGAAGAACGCGAGGCTGACCCTGCTGCACGAATTCCAAGACACGGACGGCGCTGCTGGAGTGGTACAAGTTGCCCCGGACCATTTTGTCGTGGCCGCGGCCAAGTGGAACGGGTTCAACCCAGTGCCTGCGAGCGCGACACTGCAGTTTATCAGACTGGCAAAGAATGGCAGTGTCGCAGAGACAGGCTTCGTCGGCCGATACCCAGAGCTAGGGCTCTTCAACGGTCTTGCGCGTCTGGGGGACTATCAGAACAGCATTCTAGCTGCCGACTCTGCTCTTGGCGTCATCCACAAGTTCAGCCCACTCACTGGCGATCATCACGTGGTCGTCGACGTGCCGGAACTCAAGGCCACCGATCCCAGCGCACCAGTCCCAATCGGCGTCAACGGCATCAAGCTGCACGACTCGCACCTGTACTGGACCAACTCGAACACGGCCAGCATCTTCCGGCTCGCCATCACCGAGGACGGATTGCCTGCCAAGAGCGCAAAGGTGGAGCTTGTCTCTTGCGTGCCTGACGGGCTTGCAATCGACGACTTTGCCATCGACGTGCGGGGCAACATCTGGGTTGCAGCCGTCATCAATAATGAGGGCGTCGTGGTCCGGCCAGACGGGTCCACAGTCAGCGCTGTAGGATCAGCTGGTGAGATGACCGTCGCCAGTGGCACGGCACTGGCATTTGGGAACACTGCCGCGGACAGCCACATCTTGTACGCCACTACCGCTGGCGGGCTTCCCGCTCCAGTGAACGGGACAGTGATAGAGCCCGGAAAAGTGGTGGCTATTGACGCTACTGCATTCCTTTGCTTAGTGTGTGATGTCGGAAGATTGGCAATTGGGCCTCTCCCTAGGCTGGATCTTTAAACGAAGGGATTGATACTGGAGGGACTGTCAGGTGCACCGAGCAACACAGCGATGAGAAGCGGCGGGGTACTAGACTCCCAGTCCCCGATGCCAGTATACAAGCTACAGGAATAACAGCCAGATGAATCGCATCTGCTCAAGAGCCCACAAAACAAATCACTTTAAGCTTGACGCGCCGAGAAGCTTGGCATGTTGCGGTGCGGAGAGCCCGGAACCCTAGCGCTCCAATAAAAGCACCCGCCAAGAGCCCATCGCCAGAATAGGAACGGAACATCTCCCCATCGTGGAAGGTTGTTCACGAGATTCGGGGAAATAAAGACAGGTCTTGGTCGCCATGCATCACAAAAGCCAATGTGACACAGTCGTGTTCCATCGGAGGATATTATCCCGCCGCGCGAACCCTTTACACCTATGAAATCATGCCTTTTAAGAGGAGGGAACGTGGGTCCCTTTCTTCCCAGCCCGGACTGGGACGTCTATAAGAACGTTCCCACAGCAAGACCACTTGTGCTGGTCGACACACCGAAACGGACTCACTGTTGTACTCACCTGCTGCAAACATGGGTCTCCTGTCTAGCATCACGGCCTGCCTTGCCCTGGCAACATCTGCGCTCGCGGCATGCGGAGATGGCACTCCCAATGCCCGAGTCACTGGCAGCACCGGTGCATATGTAGCGACAGTCGGATCCACCACTGTATACTCTGGCTCCGACTACCGCCTTGCCATCCAGACCGCCCTCGACCGCATCTCCTCTGGCCAGCGACTCTCCGTCATCGCATCGGGAAGCATTGGCGCCAACACTATCAGCATCTCGAGCGGCAAGATCTTTGAGGGCTGCGGAACCATCAACGTGGGCAACAAGTCTGGCCGCGGGGCCATCGAGTCCCTCGGCACGAGCAACGTGCAGATCCCATACCTCACCATGACGGGCAATCCGTACTTTGGCCTGCGGTTCTACGGCACGTCTGGCCTGTCCCTAGGAATCATCACCATGAACCTCAGCGGTGGCCTGGGGATCCGGTTCGACCGGGACAACGCGGGCAGCACCAACGTGAGGATGGACACTATCAGCGTCACCGGCGCCGGCAGCCACGCGGTCGAGACGTGGAACATTGACGGCCTGACCATCAACAAGGTCATTGCGCGCAACGTGGGCGAGTGCGGGCTGCTCCTGCAGACCACGACCAACGCCCGCGTGGGCCTGGTCGACGGCAACAATGTCGCCGCCGGTAACGGCTACGCGACGTTCCGCATGGCCAACCGCAACGGCCGCCGGGCGGATGGGAGCTATGCCACCAACGTCTATGTGGACTCGGTCGTCTCGCGTGGTGGCGGCCGCGGCATCTTCTGCGTGTCCGAGTCGGGCGGTGCCGAGATTGCCAAGGTCGACCTGGCCAGCAACGGCAACAATGCGATCCTCATTGAGAACTGCTACGGCGTCAACATCAAGAGCGGTACGGTCAACGGCGGCGGCGAGATCCGGATCGCTGCCCGCAGCGAGTTTGCCAACACTCGCGACATCAGCATCTCCCTGACCGCCAACAATGTGGCGGTGCGCGAGTCGCCTTGTGGCAGCAACATCAGGTGGAACATTGCTGGTAATGCTTCCAAGAACATCTGCTGAAGCTTCCTGGGCCTCGAGCGATAGTGCTCACTCGGTATTTTCTTTGTTTCAAAAGCCTCAAGTACATACCAATCCGCAAATCGAGCCTCCGATATCGAAAAAGTTGAACAACCTAAATATGGTACTTCAATTTGACCCCACTGATGATCTTGCCCGATGTGAACTGTGCCCAGTGACCAAAAGCAACCAGAGAAGTCTCCGGTGCTGCCAGAGTCGTGCCAATTGCCCTGCTTCAAGATGGCCACGGCATCCCACTCTGTCTACAACCTACATGTCCTTTGGCCAAGTGACCCACTCGCTCTCGTAGCGCTTGCTGGGATCGCGCAGGCACGGGAAGCTGAGCTTGTCACCGTCGGGGATGCCGTGGCCGAGGCCGTCGGTGCCGAGGACCTCGGCCTCCTTGGGGTTGCATACTGGGATCCGGATCGTGCCGGGGGCGGTGATGTCGTTCTCCCAGAGCGAGTCAAAGTCCTCCTTGTTGCTTGGGTCGGCGACTCCCTCGTTCCCGTCCATCAAGTTCAGCTTGCCGTTGCGCTTCCACGTGTTGACGGCGCTGTAGTATACCATGTTTTGTCAGCTATTGTGGTCTCTCATGTTTTGTACGGCACAGCATCAGCGGCAGGCGGCCGCGAGTCGGCCCTACTCACCCTCTTACGAGATCCTCAACAGTCACGCCACCCCATCTGTCTTCCTTCTGCACAATCTTGTCCAGGCCCGGCAGGCCAAAGAGCGGTGCCCATGACGGGTCTGGGTGGTTACACCAGTCCCAGTACTCGGGCGAGCAGTTGGGCCCGTCGTTGTCACGGTCGTACGTCCCGGCGAGAATGTAGTTGTGGTCGTCGATGCACACCCTGCCGTGCTTGTAGTCATACTTGTTGTCCTTGCTGCTGTCGAAGAACTGGCCAGCGCCAATGTCACGGCTGCAGTCCGGGCCGAAGTCGAGAACCGCCGGATACTGCGTGTAGGGCTGGCGCATCTTCCACACGGATGGGATGGCCGCGGCGTAAAAGGCGCGCTCTGCCGCCTTCTGCTCGAGAAAGGCCTTGGTGTGGTCGACGTTGGAGTCGGTGCTGCCCGCCTGGCCCGAGAGGCTGCCCGGCACCATCTGGCCCTTGCCCATGATGGTGACGAGCTGCTTGATGTGCTCGGAACTGCCGTCGAACAGCTCGACAACGAGTTGGTCGACCTGGTTGATCCAGGCATCGATTAGCTTGTCGTACAGCAGGCTGAACGTCACCTCCTTGATCGTGTTCTGCGCGATGACGCGCTTGCTGATGTCGAAGCCGGCCATGACGAGTGCCTGAGAAGAGTCTTTTGCAAGATCGAGGGACAGCGACTTGTCCTTGAAGAAGGGCATTTCCTTCATGACTACATATTTGGCACGTTAGAATCAAGACTGGTAATTGCTTCAACCTTGCGGCAGGGACCCCATCACGTGAAGCTTACATCCTTTCCAGAACAGAGTTCCTAGTGCCGTTGACGGGATCTGGAGAATGGTGAACAATATCGCCAGTCCAAGAGGGTAGTTTGGCCTCTGGCCGTTGGGCGCGAAGGTGCCGATGAACTCGGCCTTGTTGTTCTGCACCTGCTGTGCAGCTGCTTTGAGCGAAGCCGAGTAGTTCTTAATCATGGCGTGGACCTGTGCCAGCGAGTTCCAGACAATGTACGAGCAGGCACCCGTGACGCCGGAGGGATGATCGCCGCTGCTGGCATGCGTCTCGCACTTGGCATCGGGATTGCAGTTGTCGACCAGGGCCAGGTTCTTGCAGCCCGTGCCTTCGACCTGGTGGAAGAACTGCGAGAGGGAGTCGCTAAAGGTCGCGTTCTTGGCTGGGCCGTCGCACAACTTCCACCGCATGAGGGCATCGTCGAGGGCATGTCCACAGTCAAGATTGTCCCAGCGCGCAGCGGGCGTGTACTTGGTCCAGAGGCGCACCTCCTCGGCCTGGCAGTCCTTGGTGACCCAAGTACCCGTCCGCGCCTCGAGGTCGCATGTCACAGCCTCGCCTTTCTTGACAATGTTATTCTTGATCTGGCCCCAGGTGAGCCGGATGTCGCCGTCGGGTCCCAGCCCTGGCGGGGCGTTGAACTGGTCCAGGTCCACGGCCCAGTTGGTCGTGCCGCCTAGATTGAACCCCTTGTACTGGTTGGTGCGTTTTGTGCGCACGGCCTCGTTCATGTATGCCACCCAGTTATTGTTGTCGTACACCATCATGTTGCTGTCGCTCTCCTCGTCGTACCACATGTCAGCTCCCCGCTTTCTTCCCGATGCGTACTCGCCGATCTCGGCGTTGCTGATGTAGCCCTTGGTCGCCGTGCAGCGGCCAGGAGTAGCCTGCGAACCGTCTTCGCCCGCGTGGCCGACGAACAGACACTGCGGGCCACGGCATGACGGGTCAGCCATGCGGAAGCTGCGGCCGTAGCTGGTGACGCCCACGATGACCTTGCTGGACGGCACGCCGGCCTTGGTGATCAGGGCCAGGGCGTAGTTGGTTTCGGTGATGTTGACTTGGCTGCGGAGGCAGCTGCCCTGGGGACAGCCCGGGGACGCCCACTTGCTCCCAGCATCCCACTGGCCGTGCAGGTCGTAGGTCATGTACACAATGTAGTCGACAATCTTGCCGATGCCCTTGATCGGGAAGTTACGCAGGTACCAGTATGACGCGGGGGCGGCGATCGAGACGCTCTTGTTGCCGAGCTTGGCCTTGAGAAGCGTCAGGAAGGCTGCGTAAGAAACGCCCTCGTTCTTGTCATCAGGAGGCGGAGTGCCGGGGATGTCGTCGGCCTATTGGAATGAGGAAGAATCGTTAGCGAGCCCAGGGAGATGGGGCTTGACAACGAGCAAATGGTCAAGGAAAGCAGACGTACTCCAGGATACTCCCAGTCAATGTCCACACCGTCGAGCCCGTTGTCGTTGACGAACTTGGCCAAGCTGCTTGCGAGCTTGTCCCGATTGGCAGGCTTGACGCCGTTGCGAAAGATGGAGTAATACTTGCGGTCGTTGGAGAAGACCCACCCTCCGAACGAGATGATCTTTTTGATGCCGGTCATCTTCTTGAACTCCTTGAACTGGTACTCCTGGTAGGCATCCTCAAAGTACACCTCAAAGTCATTGGTGAGCATGCCAAACGCGAAGTGGACATGGGTGTACGACTTGTCAATCTGCGAGACGTCCATGTTGAGGCATTCACGGTTCAAGTTGAAGGCCTCAAAGTAGCCGAGCTTGATGAACTGGGCAGGAGCGGAGCCCTTGACAATATCCAAGCCGCAGTTAGAGATGCAGCCGTTAGTCTCGGGCTTGGCCGTACCCGGAGCACCATCGCCCCGGGTGTCTATGCAGAAGTCATCAGAGAGACCGCATTGTCCCCACTGAGTTGAGTTGGGTGTTAGTCAAAGGTTCGTGAGAGCTTGATATTGCCGCCGAGAAAGAACTCACAATGTTGCAGCAGACGTTGAGGGGGCAAGGATTCATCTCTGCAATGTCGGAGCCGTCGGTGGGAGGCTCGGAGCCGGGCTTTTGCGGACCGCAGATGGCGTTCGGGATAGACTGCGGGAATGGAGGCGAGCCCTTGCTGAGACACATGACGACGCCAACGAACAGGCGGTTGCAGCCAGCCCATCCTGCTCACGATACGTTAGCTGACTGAATTCTACTCTTGATCTTTGAGACAGTCCACGAACCCCATGTTTTCTTGTTCATATTCTCGAGATCGTCCACTTTAAGTGAGTTGGCAGCCGCGATGGCAGAGCACGTATCGTCCTGCTTGGTCGTGTACGTGGCACAGCTGCCGTCCGGGTTGGGTTTTGGCGTGAAATCGGGCATCGACCCCGATGAGCAGCAGACGTGCTGCCCCTTCATGAGCGTCGAGCACAGGTTCTTGTCCGTGTTGTACTTGTCAAAATCGCTTGCTGAAATGCCGCACTTGGCTGCGAGCGAATCACAGCCGTCGCCGTTGTCGACCGAAATCGCTCTGCAGTCAGCACGGGCATGGAGCAGGTAACCACTACTGCCGCGAAGGTGGCGGGCGAGGTGCTCCGTGGTGTTGCTAGGAACTGTCGAGTTGCTGGGCACCAGGGGCAGTACGGTCCGACCCACCACAGTTGTCGAGTTGAGCTCGATTGAGGTTCCAAAGCTGGCCGTGTCGACGCATGACGCATTTGCCCAGGTATTGACCATTTTCTGGACCACTGTGAGGTCAAGGGTGGAGGCAACGACAACGCCAAATGTCTGGTCGACCGTCTTGTCCTCACCGCAGACCTGCAGGAGCGCGCTGCTGTCTGCACCTAGACCACTTTCCCTGACCTTGTCGATGAGAGGACTGATGAGCTTGTCGGCAGCGCTCGAGCTCAACAGGCTCTGGCCAACAAAGACACCAACCGTGGCGCCGTTGTATGCGGAGAACATTGCCGTCTTGTTCCAGCCGGCCTGGCCAGTGCGGCCGAGATATGCCCGTATCTCCTCAAGAGGTGTCACCGCGCGGACGGCGGTCCGCTGAGCACTCGAGGAGTTCGTCCAAGCGAGAAGTGGGGTGACCTCGACAGTCTCGTCCGCCGCCGCGGCGACCAAGACTTTCGGTTGGTAGTAGTAGTATGTGCCCCAAGCATCGCAGACGCGGAACGGTTGCTGCTCGTCTGCTGGAACGCCGAGAGTCATGTCGATGAGGATGGGCCGAGGGCAATAAAACGTCTCAGCAAGACTCTGTCGAACATCCCAGGCCGCGGGGTCGACGCCGGATTCAGCACACATGCGGGGGCATGTTTCTTTTGGCTCTTGGGCGAGCGTGCTACCAATGAGCACGCTCGCCAGGAGATAGTAGTCGTGGAGTCGCATGTCTATGCTCCTGCTGGCGACTGCGAAAGCTAAAGGTGGCCTGAGAATACAGACCAAACCTGGAGTGGCCGCGGTGCGATTGCACTTGCAAGAAAGTATTGCCGTTCTTAAATGTGAACTTTATATCTGCTATAGTTTGTTTTCGTTGAACGCGGTGCCAGCGAGCTTGCTTTCCTAAGTTGTCTATTACTAGCATGTATTCCTAACACGATGACCGCGATGATCCTCAACAATGATCAGGAGTTTGATGTAACGATCCAGTCATATCATTTTGGAACATGCATTATCTAGCACCGGTCTTGGCCGGAATGAGGGCTGTTAACGACACAACCTTAGATATATCTCACGTGTCTGGAACTCTTGGCAAACATCCTGATCTATCCCAGAAAGAGTGCGCATCGAACAGGTGATTGGCCCTTCATGCCAGCACGTGGGTGGTATCATACCCAGAGCCACCCACGAAGGATTTACTCAAACAGGGTATATCATGCAGCCGTCAGCCACAGACACTCGCACGGTGAATAATCCAACAGAACTCGCGGCGCATGCATACCAACCGACTCTGGGTGGAGCAAAGGCCTTTGTCTCTTTCCATAACCAAGTTGGGTGGACCATAAGAGTCCTGGACACTGTGCTGGCGTCGCTTTAGCTTATTTTCGGTATTGACCCGCTACGCAAAAGAGTTTGCCGCCTTTATTGCCTCGACCCTGGTCGTTCTTGGCGCAAGAATCAGCTTTTTCGAACCACCAGTGATTGCTGCGGAGTCTTGCAAAGAGCAGCGTTGTACTTTGATATGTCTTTGGTCTCGAGTGCGATCGAACTATCTCGTTCAGAGGAGTGTACTATACCTGTTCACCGGGCTCAGCAATCGTTTTCACTCTTGGTGCCGGCTTCCGCCTGAACAGTTTGCAGACCCCAGCCGGGGACGATCATGATCCTGGCCTCGTAAGGACTTCCTTGTGGCTCAGTGTCACCTCATGTTCGCAATACAAGCTTATACAAGCACGCTCGGCGGTTGCTTAAGCTTGTCCCTTGCAGTGATGCGAGATCCTTTGAGCCGGGGGCCAGTGGATATAGTCTCGCGGCAGTCGTTGTTGACCAACCCAGGGCCCACGTGCTCTCCAACCCCTGAACCCCCATCCACCATGATTGCTCCACCAAGACACAGCAGACGAGAAGCACTGGGCAACGAATAATTACAAGCCACTTCACAACAAGGAGAAATTCCCTTTTCTGCTACCGGTGCTGTTACAAACCGCGCCAGACCCCAGTGAATGAGACCTGGACTTATATTTACGGGCTCTGGATGCAACGTCCCAACAACTGTCTGGCCCCCGTAACGATCCTTAGCTAACGAACCCATATCCTCCTAAATTGGTGCAGACTTTTCTTCATGCCAAGATATCCAACACGAAGTAGCTACCCATTCTGTTAGGTACGGTCCATGATGGCACATGTGTAACCCTCTTCTGCTCGTCTCGTGAGCCCACGTGCAACGTTCAAATGGACTCTCCTAATTGATGAATGCAACCTTGTGTGGCTGTACCTGTGCGAGTTGCCGCTCGTCATCAGCTGTACCTTGCATGGTTACGCTTGTTCTTGAGCTGGCACTACTTGGAGAAAAAATATATATATAACACGGTTTGGGCAAGGAGAAGACCCAGGAGTCTGGTAACTGCAGCACGAGCCCTTGAGTCTGCCTGAGCCACTTTCCATACTCAGTCCGGCTCCTGGAGTTCCATCACTGTCTCGCCCACCTTTGACCTCTCCTTAACAAAATGATGAAAATCACATACCTTGGCGCCGTTGCCGCGGCGATTGGTGCTTGCAGTGCAGCCCTCGTCCCCCTTCAGGCCCGGGGATCCTGCAGTTTTGAGTGGACGGCGTCTGCCGGCGACACATGCACGAGCATAGCCAACGACTGGGGCATCAGCAAGACGCAGTTCCAACTTTGGAACGTCGTTGACTGCAGCAAGCCCCTCCAGGCCGGCAAGGAATATTGCCTCCTTTGGACCGGCGACAACCCGCCTGGGGCCGGCCAGACCACCGGGCCGTCGCCAACCTCGACCACAGCCAAGCCGACCTCCACGACAACCAGCACACGGGCGTCTTCGACAACTGCCCCTACTGATGGTCCTGTCACGCCCTCTCCGACCCAGGATGGCATTGCGTCTGGATGTGAGTATCTTCACGACCATCTTACCTCACCTACTTCGTTTCAAGCGCTAATCAGAGAGCTCCTATAACAATCAGGCCAGAAGTACCACAAGGCCGTCTCTGGTGACACCTGCCAGGGCATTGTCAACAAGTACGGCGGTTTGACCCTGCAACAATTCTATGCCTGGAACCCGGCAGTAGGCACCTCTTGTGCCAGCCTATGGCTCGACTACTACTACTGTGTCGGCGTATCTGGCACGCCTACTGGTCCCACGACAACATCCACCAGCAAGTCCGCCCAGCCATCGCCGACCAGCAACGCTCCCGGTCCCGTCCAAGACGGCATCGCCTCGGACTGCCAGCGCTACCACCTCGTCAAGTCCGGGGACGGCTGCCAGAAGATTGTGGACCAGTACAAGTCCTTCACGCTCCAGCAGTTCTACTCGTGGAACCCGGCGGTCGGCAGCAGCTGCTCTGGCCTCTGGCTTGACTATTACGTCTGCATTGGTGTCTCTGGGACGACGACGCCCGGCACGCCTCAACAGCCCTCGACGCCCAGCCCCGTGCAGGAAGGAATCAATGCCAAGTGTATGTTGCCGAGAGGGTTCTGACATGACTGAGCGATAGGCAATGCTGACAATAACCTCCCTGATGTCTAGGCAACAAGTACCACGAGGTTGTGTCTGGCGACTACTGCCAGAAGATCGCCGACCAGTACAAGATCTCGCTCAGCACCTTGTAAGCTCCCCTTGCCACACCCCCCAGCTCAGCACATATTCCCATGTAGTTTGTCTAATTTCACTCGCGCTCTAGTTACTCGTGGAACCCTGCCGTTGGAACTAGCTGCAGTGCTCTCTGGCTTGGCTACCACGTCTGTGTCGGCTCTGCTTGAGATATCATGTGGCTAAGGTGTCTCAACGGATGACAGTCGTAACTTGTATATCTTTATTTCTGCCGTGCGCATGTTACAAAGAGCCGAAGTCGGGTAACACCTTCTAGAGAATCCACAGCCACTTGCTATTCCACTTTGCTGTAGAGGCCATGGTGTAGTGCAGATGATCTTTTATCGCCATCCCCATACCGTCGAAATTTTGTCTGTAACCGTGCGCAGCCTCGACCGTTTCCCACCGACTTTGTCCCCATCCTCTACTCGAGCATTGTCTAGCGCGTCCAATTCCTCGAGACCCGTGTGAAGGTCCACGTCCTGGGGACTAATCAGCCAGGCCTCACCCCACACTGTGGCCTTGTGTCCGAAATACAGCAGGAAGAAGATCGGGAGGCACAGGTACGAGGTCAGGAAGCCCGCGGTCGTGAACCCGCCGGGGAAGAAGTTGTTGAAGCCGTTGAGCAGCGCCATGATGACCACCATTGCGAGCGCGAACCACGCCCCGTACGGCTGTAGCACGCTGCGGTAGGGCAGGCTGCTGCTGTGGACGCCCTGCGCATCGCAGGCCTTGCGGAAGCGGATGTACACCACGCAGCAGCAGATCCAGCTGATGTAGCCCGCCATGTTCATAAAAGAGACGAGCCACATGAAGACGACGCTTGAGGAGTTGCTCACGTTCATGTATGCCAGCAGGCCGACCAGGGAGGGCGCGGCGACCGCGTAGTACGGCACGCCCCAGCGGTTGCAGCGCGTGAAGAGTGCCGGAGCTTGGCCGACTAGCGCCATCGAGTATAGTGCTCGGCTGGACATGAAGAGGAGCGCGTTGCCCGAGGACCATGCTGATGTGATGATGGCCGCGTTGATGACGCTGTCGAGGCCGCGGATGCCGGCGTTCTTGATGCCCAGAACCCAGGGGGATGCAGCGGCGCCCACGCCGTGGCTGGTCAGGGCTGGATCGCGGCTGTCGCAGATGATGCTGATGGCAATTGCGCCGAGGCCGTAGAAGGTGATGAGCCGCCAGGCAAAGTGTTTTGTTGTCGTCGGGAGATCTTTGCGAGGGTTCTTCATCTCGCCCGAGGCAGAAACCACAAATTCGGGACCGAATAGGAAGCTGAATGCAGCGTTGCAGAATGCAAATATAAAGGCACAGACCTGGCCTGCCTTGCCTTCTACGAGGTACTCGTGTGCGGGCTCCTGGCCCCAGTAGCGGAAGTAGAGTGGCTGACGATCTGGCCCACCTCCAAAGAACAAGACAACCGATAAGACCAGCAGTCCCAGAATTGCGAAGACTTTGATCGACGCGAACCAAAAGTCAGACTCGGCGTAGTACTTGACTGGCAGGAAATTGAGCGCCACAATGACAACTAGCATGATCGTGATCCACACCGCTGTTGGGACCGTGTTGGGCCAGTAATTGATGACAATGGCTGCGGCGGTGATTTCATACGCGACAGCTATAGCCCAGATGTAACAGTAGAGCCAGCCCATTGCGAAACCGAGGCTCTTGGAGACGAAGCGTGTCCCGTAGTAAGGGACTGAGGCGCCCCGAACTGGCAGGTATGCGTTGAATTCGGTCGTAGCCGTAACGACACAGAAACAGATGAAGCAGACAACCACGAAGGCCGACACGAGCAGAGCCGGGCCAGCCACTGCGAGGATCGAGCCGGTTCCAACAAAGAGACCAGTGCCAATAACACCCCCGATGGCCATCATCTGCGCTTGTCGAGAGTTGATGTCATGTTTGGGGCGATACTTGTCGACCACGAGTCCCTCGACGCCTCCTTCGAGCGTTTCGATCGAGTCGTTGACGTTGCGTGACACGCCATCGCCGGTCGCCTTCTCCATATCGGCGTTGAGGTAGTAGTGACTAGCCCGTCAAATTGATGCGACTGCTGGCGCGAAGGGAAGATAGACAGAAGAGTTGAGAGGTGCTAAGAAGGGCGCAAGATCAATGAGCTCACGATGCCCAAGTCGCCAAGATACACCATCGCAAGGCCCAGGCTGGGTCTCGCCTTAAATCAGTTCAAGCTCTATGACCAGAGAAGATAAGCATCAGTGCTTACATGCCTCAAGCTGTGCGGGGGGATCCCCATGCAATGGTAGCATCGCGGGGTCGGGGATCTGCAGCCGACGGACCTGCCAAATGGGGAGCTCGTATGGCATCAGCATTGCGATAAGCATTTGTTGAAGAATACGGCATGGGCCGCTCTGAGCACAGCGCAACCTGCGCCCTTTTGACTGCCTGCCTGCCCCAGGAGAAGAGACAGCCCCGGGTGCGTTGGAACACGACACAGCTGTCCGTCCGTACCAAGAAGAAGTCTGGAAACATGTCCCAACGAGCTTCGCATTTCGGTATTATCAACAGTCTTGCTTGTCTTAGGGTTGCATTGGTTCTGTCTCCATCCCTGCCAAAAGCCTACTGCTTTGGATTGCCCCCACCTGATATGACCTGATCGAATGATGGCCGCCCTGTCATACGCGTCCACCATGCGCTGACTGAAGGACGACCCTCCACCAGATGTCCGTAACCACACACGAAAAGCCGCTGGATCAATGAGACATAATAGATATCCGCCAGGCTGAGCTCGCTGCCCGCCATGTACTCCGAGTGCTGAAGGATCCGTTCCGCCACGTCAAAGAAGGTCTCGAGCGCTTGCACCGACTGCGCGACGACGGCCTCGTCCGCCGGCAAGCCCATGAACTTCTTGGCAAACTTTTCGAAGCCGATTTTGCCGGCGGGCTCTGCGAAATAGCTGCTCTCGATGCAAAGGGCTTGCTCGAAGAGTGCTGTGTTCTTGTGGTCCGATGCGGCTGGTAGCAGCGGGAAAGAATACCGCTGGGCGAGGTGCTTGCAGATTGCACGGCTCTCAAAGAGGGTGAAGCCGTCCGGAAAGACCACGGAGGGCACCTTGCCCCACGGATGACGGGCCATATTATCAGGCGACTTGAGGCCGTCAGCTACTGGTGAAAAGAACAAAACAAATCTGCGCAATGCAGCTGTAGATCCAGGGTGCACTCACTTTCTGTTCGCCCTTGGCGAGGTCGAGCAAGACCAGATCGTAGTCTGTGAAGCCTCCCTCGGCCAGGGTCAAGCGGACACGGTCCGTGTTGGAGGACCCTCGGGCGCCGTACAGGGTGAATGCTGGCATGTTGTGCAACCGAGTCAGAGTGTGCAAGAACTTCCGATGGATGGTCATATGCGTTGAGCTGTGTGTCTCGACTCAGCCTGTGCCTCTGCTTCTCTTTTACCTTATACTGGTGAAGCATAGATATATAGATATATATATACACAAACTGTCTCCCAGCAAGCTGCCGTAGAGACGTGGAGACCCCGAAATGATTCCCAGCTGCTCGTGTGGGCCAGGACAGCTCGCACCGTGATTGGACGGCTCGCTCTTGATCCCAAACTCGGCGATAGAGTCTCGCGCTAAGGTGGCCCCCCTTGCCTGCCGCTGTCCCTGTCTCGTGGCTCGGGTTCTCGCCTCTCTTTGTCATCCTGCCTTCCACACAATCCACTCGGACGTAAAGCAGACCTTGCCATGGCTCCTCGGCTCAAAGTAAAGACCGGATGCGTCACATGCAGGTAGGTAGCAGCCACTCCTCGGCCCAGAAACAGGCCGTATGGATCAGCGAGCTAATCAAGCTGGCCAGGATCCGCAAGGTCAAGTGCGACGAGGCCAAGCCGGCATGCAGGCGATGCACGGGTACCAGCCGCCGGTGCGATGGCTACGCGTCGCCGTTCCGAGCGGTCTTGCAGCATCCGGTTCCCCGGAGCACACCGGCCGCCGACACGCAGGGGCTGAGCCGCTGCTTCTCGACCAAGACGGTGCACAACGTCGACCTGGGCTGCGAGGCGCAGGCCACAGCCATCCTCGGCGCCTGCCGGGCAGACCGGGCGCTGCAGCACGCCGTGCTGTCGCTGCGGGTGCTCCACGACCAGTATGAACGCGGCTACAACCGGGGGTTGAGCGTACAGCAGTACCACGACGACAAGCTTGGCATCGAGCACTACAGCCTGGCACTGCGTGGCCTCGCCTCCAGGCTGTCTCTCAAGAGCAGCACGGACTCGGTGGCCTCGGCCCTGCTGTGCTGCCAGCTCTTCATCAGCATCGAGCAGGCGCGGCAGGACTACCGGGCCATGGTGCTGCACATGCTCCGCGGGCTGGCCATTATGCACGAGCACGCGGCCAGGCCATCACTGATGGACGAGAAGCACCTCAGACCAGCAGCACGGCCTCCGCTCCCAATGCTGGACCTCTTCCTGATCAAGCTGTTCAGCGCCCCTTGCAAGTTCGCAGAAAAGGCGTCTCCCGCTGCGAGCCCCATCAGCGAGGCATCATCCTGCACAGGCTCGAGTGTGGCAGGCCCGGCCATCAATCGCGGGCCTCGGCATATTTCTCCAGACACGCGAGGTGAACTTGTCCGCTTGGCTGCGCAGGTCGCGCAGTTGCTCCAGCAAGTGTCCTTGGCCAAGTCCGCGCAGGCGGCGCGATGCCTTCGCCATGCCAAAGCGGAGCTGCTCAAGAGTCTCGACTTGTGGGCTCCGAGCCCGACATCTACGCCGGGGGACTACACTGGACACCCGGAGCCCTTAACTGTCTTGTTCATGAGACTGTTCCACGCTCTTTTGCAAGTCATCCTCTTGCCAGTGCTCGAGTTGTGTCCCCACGATAATGTTGCGCTGGTGGCTGCACGCGCAAGGCTGGAGGCGCTGGCGAGCATCATCACTGACCAGGTGCAGGACTACTCGGTGTCCAAGAGTCCCGACAAGGCCCCGGACCTGGCCCCAGCCAGGTTGGTCGGGGCCGAGCAGCGCCTCACTTCGTCTGAGAGCTTGTTCCCTTGACAGGCAATCCGTGGTGCGGGGTTATGTCAGCCGTAAGCTCCCTGTGGACTCGGACGGAGGCTTCGGCCGGTGGGGTGGCTGGTGGAATTCCGCCGGGCGGGAGATGAACAAGAATGGGACCCCCGGCTGCCAGCCCTCGCCCCATTCAGAAAATAATGCGAGCGGACCAATCATCAGTCGAGGCTCACAAGGCCTCACGATCACGAAGATGATGTATAAAGAAGCACGACAACAACAACACATGTCTTCAAGATTTTATTTGGGGCTACCAGAACTGACGACTCATTTCACCACGTTCCTCACCGCTCTTCTTCCACGTCGATATTTGTTACCCACTAGACAACTATGCATTTCCTTCTCTTGGGAGCTACAGGCCGCACCGGCAAGCTCGTCGTCTCCGAGGCACTGTCGCAAGGTCACACGGCCGTGGCCCTGGTCCGCAACGCTGCCGCCCTCAGCTCAAAACAAGGTCTCACCGTCGTCCAAGGCTCACCCCTTGTCAAGGACGACATTTCCAAGTGCCTCGTCGCCGCCCCTGGGGGGGCTCGCGTCGACGCGGCCATCATCACCCTCAACACGGTCAGAGCGTCCGACAGCCCTTTCGCCGCTCCCCTCTCGCCCCCGCGCCTGCTGGCAGACTCGTGCGCCAACGCCTGCGCCGTCCTCCAGGAGGCCGGCATTTCTCGCATCGTCATCATGTCCACCGCCGGGGCTGGAGACTCGTGGCAGGGTCTTCCGTGGCTGAGCCGGGCGTTCATGGGCTGGACAAACATCAAATATGCCCTTGCCGACCACAACCTCGTCGAAGAGAAGGTCCGGCGTACTGGGATGGACTGGACGTTGGTCAGGCCGGTCAAACTCGACTATGAGGCAGAAAAGGATTCCGGGTCCCTCGAGGAGCTCGGACAGGTCGGAAAGGGCGTCCGGGTATCTGACACGGCGAATACCGCGCGCGTTGCTAGGTTTCTCATCGAGACCGCGGTTCAGGGTCGCTTCATAAAGAGTGCCGTGGTTATCAGAGATGCAGCTTAAGGACATACAGTGTGTCATGCTCGTACGCTTGTCGAGACTCGTGTTTTCTCGCTTTTAGATCTTCGATTAAGGATAATTGGGATCATGATCAGGATCCAAACACTAATAATACATGTTCTTGTTCACGGTCCGATTTCCTGTGGGCGCCGTATCTTTGTACCCACCCCCTTATCACTAGCGCCGCCACTGGCAGGCCATGGCTCGGTTGGGCACTGCCGTTGATGCAACAACAGAACCTTGGGCTCTATCTTCCAGCAAGTGTCAATGTCAGCCTCTGAGTTTGGTATCTTGAGCTACGGCTTGCAGAGGCGGCGCAGCTCTGGATCTTGCCCAGGCCAAATCCTCATCATGTCTCATGCGTGATACGGAGTTATAAGTTGCCTTGTTCGCAATCGTCAACCTGGGACTCTTCTACCAGTGCCAAAGGCTCAACTCCGTTGCTGTTCACCAATCTCATCGATCGATATATTCAGAGTTTGGGAGCCATGTCGGCAACCAGCATTGCGGCTCCCGTGGACGAGAAGAAGAGCGACTCCGCTAGTCGCTCTGTGAACTATGCCGTCTGCAAAGGCGGGCCCGCCACAGTCGGAGGTGTCGCAGCTGACCGCTATGTAAGCCAAACTGACCAGTACTACTGCGCTCAAGCTGCAATCATGTGGGCTATCGCTCAGGCTGTCGGAGAGATGGGAACTTACCTCCCCATTGATGGTACTTTCATCACATACGTCGAATCCTGTCTCTTCCAGAACGTATCGAAATGATGCAGCGCCAGCTCATGAAAGCTAATTATCCCTTATGCCGACTCCAGGTGGGCCAATCGCTACGTCAACGGCCACGTCGGCTTCACCATGGGATGGGACTTCTATTATACCAAGACTGTCATCTGCTGTGCTCAAATCTCCGCCACTACCGGCATGGTTCAGTGTGAGTCGAGCTACTCGCTCTCCCAATGAGATTGCACTGTGGTTCTGTAGGGTAGAGTTATGATAAACACCCCTTATTAATCTAGACTGGGATCCCAGCATCAATCCCGCAATCATCGTGTTCGCCAACCTCGTCCTTTCTTTTCTCCTCAAGGTTGGTGGACCCAGCCGATACGGAGAGTTCGAGGTCTGGTTTTTTATCCTCAAGATCTTCCGCGTCCAGGTAACACTTCAAGCGGAGTTAAACTTTCATAAGTAGTTCGTGAATTTTGAGTTCAATAGCTGAAATAAATGCCGCGTCCTTAAGCCACGTGCCAATATCCCACCAATAATGGAGTTCTATCTAGCGTGGAGTACAAGTTGAAAGGACGGGTAGATCGAAATATTATTACTGAAAGAGAGACAAGAAGGATATAAAAGAGTCAAGACACAGTCAACAATCACCCTGCGTGATGCCAGGCCCAGGTATTGTCGGGTAGCTGCTAGGTCGCTGGGTCCCAGGCTCTAGATCTGCATACCTTCATTCACAGACAGCCAAGTAGGCTTGACGCCATCGCAGCTGTCACCAGGATCGACTCTGTTCCAAGAAATTAGCTGCGAACCACCGAAATGAATGGACAAGCTCAAGAAAGAAATCATGGGACGTACCTGTAGCTCCACTTATCTCCAGACTCCTTTCTTCCTCCGCGTCCACATTCATTGACAATCTCATTCAGATACGCCTTGCAAGCCGAGTTGCTCAAGTCCTTTCCAGCGCCATTACGATCGAATTCGAGGAGGAGGTATCTCTTGACTGGCTGACCGGCTCCGTTCCCTACATCTTCCATCCTGTAACACCACTTCCAAACTTGGTTCGCATTGTAGTATCCGTCGGCGTGTTCGCAGTATTTTGGGATGAAATAGCGCGCGTGGTTCTTGTTGAGGTCTGCTCCGTCGCCGTAACAACCTGCGGAGACTATGGATATGGTGGTGGTCAGACTGGTGATGAGGATGGAGAGCCGCATGATTGTGGTTGATCGATGGTAGTGAGGAAAAGAGAAGTTTTATAGAACATGTAAGTGTTGGATGAGTCTGAGAGTATGATCTTGTGCTTTGTGTCTTTCTATCGACGGAAGTCTATAAGGCTTTATACTTTTCTCCGTAATCCTTCCACTTCGAGATATCTTACTAACTGGTGAAGTCTCGGCGTAATCCTCAGCTATGTACCGTCAACTACCCCTTTAGGAACCTACCCTTTTGGGAAGGATTTTGGCCAAGCATTGGTTCCGGGTAGTGCACGATTTGACTAGTCTCTTTGCAAACCAATTTGCAATAAAAATAGATGTTACTTAGTGTGATGTAAAGTCGATTCGTTCAGAGCATGCCTTCGGGCGCCAACTAGTATCATTTCGAATTGCCCTTTTAGGAAAGTTACTGGCCAAGCCCCAGAGGCGGTCGTTTACTACCTAGGTAGCCACTTATCAGGCGACAGCTTATACTTGCATGCTTCATCATTCTCGCATGGAAATAGCAGTAGGAATTTCAGAGAACACCCCTCTTGTTCACAATTTAGCTACAGCAGTGCCCACAATCAGTGTCCATAAACAACTTAATTGAGATAACTCCCGCACGGGCCACACCAACCCAGTTGTGGCTCAACACTGTGCAAATGAAGCTCAGCACTATGTACCGTCCGCAAAATCTCCAAACCCCTCCATTTCTGGCTTCCCTTGATTTGCTTTATGCTCCAGCGACCCGCCGAGCAGGCTGCCGTCCATGAATGATGCGGCACAGAGGTGTGCGATGGCGAGCACATGGCCGGAGCGCATTGGGCGATTTGGAACGTAGAGGAGTGGCGGCGGCACCGCGACGTCCTTCTGCTCATGCTGGGCTGCGGCTGTTGTTGTCCTGGCAGCCATATCACTTATGGCTTGTAACGACAGGGTGTCAAAGTGCCATCAGTTACTCGACTGCAGGACTACTGCAGCTTAGGATGGACCCAGCAGGCATAGATGTTTCGAGAGATGGTGAGGGGTAGATGCCACACGTTGAAGTTGACTGAGCCGCTTCAAAGCAGTTCTGTAATCTGCAAGTGGCAGCTTTTTAGCGCAGGAGGTGGCTAAAGTCTTTTCAGACCCTGAGAAACCGGAATGAATTAAGCAACTTTCCCCGCTGGATATCTCTATATGTTCAACACAATACAGACACAAAGGGTCGCAGCACTCCGTGGTCGTGGTGCCACTAAGTTAAACCTTGTGAACGTGACGTGCTAGGCGCCGATCCAACTAATTCCCAGATGCCCTAAGCAAACTTGATCGATAAAAGAGGTCGGTCAGTGTGTTCTTGCGATATTACTTCGCGCGTCGCACCGTATAAGCGCTAGAAAGGCTATAGTGCTCGGCATAAGCGGAACCGATTCTTCTGCGCGGCCATGACTAAGTCGTAATTGGCTTACGCGCCGCATTAACCAATGAAAATCACCCGTCACTAAAACCCTGATCATAAACACCAGGCTGATCCTGCACTTGACATGCCTGTTTCTTGGGATTGGTTCCATGGTGCTGAGGTCAGACCGGAATCGCCATCCTTCATCCAAGGTCGCCCCTGGCATCTCTGTGCGCCGAGTATAAGCACCTATGAGCTGAATGGAACGTTTCCAATATTACGAAATAGCCCGTGACTACCTCGTCAGTTTGGTCCATCATGGCAGCCTGGGCGAATCTCCTGCTACAATCCAGATCCCACGACCCATGCATGCTCGAGCGAGTTCCAACTCACCCAGCCGCTTAGCTTGTACAGTCTTTCGTAGCCTTGTCACTAAGAGCACCGTATTTCTTGATCCAGTTTCTGATTGACCTCCTCGATATTGCTGTGTCTCCAGAAGCTTCCTCGTATCCCAACAACTTTACCATCAAAACCCTTCTCCGCACTCGGCGAGGTTCATGGTCCAACATGCTCTGATCCTACTAAGACACGCACTAACTCGGCTAAACACTGTAGGCCTCCGTGTTTCTATCAAATCACGATGAGCACTTCTTATGTGCTAATTATCCAGGGCAAATATTTCGTGCCGAGACCACCAGAGGTGTTGGCGTTTACGACCGATCCTACGGAGCTTGCCGAAGGTAACGCTCCATTTTCTTACTTCGTTCTCCACTTGCCTGGGTATAAATGTTCCCAGTAAAGTGTACGTATGCCGGCAGACACCAGGAAAATAACCGGCAACCTGCACTCTAACAGCATTCATCATGCCTTCGCTTAATCTTCGCTCGAAGTCTGCTCTGGCTGTAGCCTTTGTCCTTGCCATTGCCCTAGCGGTAAAGGCCGTCCCGTAGCAACAACCGAGGGCGACTGCTGTCCCAAGACAGGACGTGTCTCTACTTGACGCCCAACCCAGCTTAACCTGCCCTTTGACCCTAATACGAACGTAGAGCATGCCTGGTGGTTCAGCAATGACAGCTCTGTCGCATGTGCTAATATGCCAGACTACTGGGGGATCGCCTGCAAAACTCCTCAACTTGGTAGGTTGCACCACCTGGTTAATACCCTGCCATGGAGTGTGATGCTCGCTGTACTATAGAACCTGTCCATTACCCCCCAGTGTGGTAATTTCGTTACGGGCCGATCATATTGCGTCGAGGCGTCGGCGTCCTCGCCTCCGCCATCGACCATAAGCACCACCTCGACTCCCACCGGTCTTGCTAATGGCATCGAGACGGCACTAGCTACTAATAGCTACTCAGCCTCGCATGGGTTTTGTCTATGGGACTCGGAAGCATCATAGGCTGGGGGTTACTTATTCTGTACTCGGGCGAGTCGGTACTTCTCCTTGCCACCGCCAACGATGGCGTTTTCGAGCATTAAATGCGCATCCTTTGGGGATTGACTCCAGTGGCTTCCTCCCCGGCAGGACGATTCGGTATGGCTGGCTGGCTTTTACGGAGTACACTGGCTGGTCACGATTATGTCTCTCATGCCTTTTGGCATTGGCATGATTGGCGTTTTTCTGCCCCTGACAACGTATATTGTGGATAGCTATCCCGTATATGCTGCATCGGCCATCGCTTCAAACACGTCGCTCAAGAGCCTGGCTGGCACGCTGCTCCCGCTAGCCGGCCCGCAAATGTACGAGAGTCTAGGCCTGGGCTGGGGAAATACCGTGCTTGGTCTTATTTGTTTCATCATGTTACCGCTGACGTTTTACTTCTACAAGGTTGGAGGTCGGCTGCGAAAGGGAGATAGATTCATCGTCTGAACGGCAGTCACGCTATCAATTTTGAATGCGAATAACCTCTTTCGCCACAGGTGTCTGACGGTGCTGGTACATTACTCCCTTCTAATCCAAGCTGAAGTCGCAAATGGCCGCCCGCGTCAAGAGGCAAGCTCTCCATCGACAGAAATCAAGTGCTTCGGTCATGACGACAGCAAGGATCGCGCTGTGGAGGCCCTCTATCCTGACGAGAAGCTGATGTTCTTGCTGACGCTGGGGCCGAAGGGCTGGTCCTCCATTCCAATCCATTTGAGGTGGGGATGAGGGTACGAGACGAGAAGGCGGGGAACGGCGGTTTGTTCCGGGACCTTGAGATTCCTCAAGAGGCACTACGTGAGATTGCGGCCTGAACGCTGGCGGGCTTCATTGACATGAAGCAGTGGGTGGGCAACGGGTTGCGCATGGTCACCAGGGCCATGACTAGCTGCAATTGACGGGATGGCAGTTGTGACCAGATTCTGATTGTCAGCTCGCCATCTTCGAATCCAATTTTTACCTTGTGCAACCATAAAAAACAATTGTCATCATGTTGTTGGTTGTTGCGGCCCAATAAATGTGGCGTCAGCCGAACGGCAGTTTTAGGATGAGCGCCAAACGACAGGGAAGCACCAACACCACTGATCTGACGCCAAACCTCGCCCCGGGCCGTGGTCAAGTGCCGTGGCCTTGTGCCGTATCGCGGCCCGGCTGTGTTGCCTCTGGGCCGGTGCCGCCCTCATCCACGCACTGAGTGTTGGGCGGCAAGCTCGCAGGCGGTCTAAATGGCCACGGGGGAGGTTCCTCTGCGGCGTGTTAGCCCTCGGCATCATTTGAAACTAATACTCGCTGCAGGGCACGAGTTTGCGGACAATGAAGCGACGTGGCGATATGCAAATCTTGCACCATCACTGCCTTGAACTACTCTGAAGGGCGTCGGATGGTTACAGCCCTGGGAATCAAACAAAGGCGCAGTCGACATACATGGGGCCGAACCATGCAGATCTGCAAAAGAGTATCTTGGCGCCGGTCTCGCTGGGACGCCCATGTTATGTGGTTGAAATGGGGCAACCCCAGCTGCCTCATAGCCACCGTCCCCAGGTGCAGTCAGAAATGCACAAGCGGAGCCTCGTACAGTCCAGAACGCGGCCAAGGCGGTGTTTGAAGGCGCGGGGAGGACTGCTAGCGTCATCACAGGAGCCCCTTCTATCTGAGCCATTATATCAAGGCAATTGCTACACCGGCGTGAACGAATGGCTACACCGGCGTCACTCTTACACAGGCGTCACTTCCATGGCCTCTGATTCGCTCTTTTTTCCTTCGACCCACAGGTACATCGGCGCAAAGGCGGTGAAGCCAGCTCCCTTAACAAGTCCCTCAGCTTCGGTAAAGAACCAATAGGGTCAACCCAGGTCTAAATCGAGCTCATAACAAGATCTGCAGAACAAGACCAATTCAAGTATGCTCTAGATGCCAGCTCTCCATATCGCTATCCTCTCACTACTATCGAGGGAAGTACCTCCTCGTCGCTGTCAAGCAGCTCCCACTGACTCCTTCGCCTACGAATGCTAGGCTGCGTCTGCCGCCCGCTGGCACGTACTCCTGTAGTTCTTCCAGCTCCAAGAACAACTGACCGGCTGCGCGTTTGGCGCTGGGATGGGGTACTGGCCTGGTTACTAGCCTGGCTGCTGGTCTGTTGGCTCACTTCCAGTGGAGGCCTAGCTAGCGTTGACTTGTTGAGACTTCCCGGTGGTCGACCACGTCTGCGCCGTGGTGACTTGCTTGCTGGTTTGTTGGCTGGCTGGCTACTGGGCTGGCTGCTTGCCCCGATGGCTAGCCGCGCTGGAACAACCTGCGTGGTGTTCTTAGGTCTGCCCCGGAGAGCAGTGGCGATCTTAGGGTCGAGGATTCGTCGGTATGGATCTCGAGAGGATGGCTCTCGTAGGCGCCACCGAGGATGGACCTCCCATTTGGTGAAAGGCGTGCCACTTCCCAGCTTTGAGTAGATTGTGTGACAGCAGGGGATTCCAAGTTCGGTCGAAACCGAGCATTCCTCGCCGCAATCCCCGAGAGGGTCAGGAAACGGATTCTTTCCTGTCGGCATTGCTTTCCTTGCCAGCCGATATTGTTTCGTGATCAGTCCGAGACCCTTCGAAGAGAGCGCTATTCGGAGTTCGCCAAGATACTCCGAGCTGGACCCCATATACTCTCGTGCGGTAAGTACCTCATCCGCTGCGCAGGCATCGTTGAAATCCCGCTCTTGGTCCTTCATCATGTCCTGCATAGCCTCAAAAAGGCGATAAAGATTGCTCATACCATTCAGAAGATAGCTCTTGATGTTGTTGTTGCTTGCTTCTGTACCAGAGGTGACACGGACCCCGAAATTGCGATACTTCCGGATGAAACAGCGGGCCCATTGGGCCCTGACGGGCATGTAGGTTCCATGGAGATACCGCAGGATAGCTCGCTGGTCATCAAACTCCTTACAGAGGTTTGCCCATGCCTCGTCGTGGGCCTCCTCCGTCTCAGCAAATAAGACGAGCTTCCACATGATGAGAACTCCTCGATAGTTATGAGGGATAGCCTCGGTTATTGGCGTGTGAACCAACTCTCGGTCTTGAGGGGTTAGTTGAGCTTGTGGCTGCGGGGTAGTTGCCTCTCCGTCGCTGGTACCAGGGCTACTTCTGCTGCTGCTGCGGGCGTTAACCCACCTCTGCTTTGACTTAAGCAGGATGTTCGAATTGATGTGGTGGATGCACAGCTGCTGCTGTACATCGGGGAACTGGTCGTTCAATGCGGCTTTCATCTGGTCGTCGAAATCGGTGACGATCACATCCGGTCGCCGGATGGAGTGCTGCTCTGCTAGCTGTCGAATGCTCTCGGAGAGGAATTGGAACCCTTCTCTCCTCTCGTTATCTATCAGACCGAAGGCAGCGTTATAGACAGAGCCAAGGCATGTCTGTCCCGTTGCTTGGAATAAGGGAAGCTTGAAGCGGTTCGTGTTATATGTGTTGTCGAAGCTGATCACCTCGGGGAACCGCTTCCACATCTGGAGGCAGTAAGGAAATGTCCAGACAAGGCCAACAAGACGGTTTGGCTCATCGTCTCCCCACTTAACGAGATAGGGAACCTTCATCTCGTCAAGCAGCTTGATCAGTGCTGCAGTAGGAGTATGGCCATCCAGCTTGTCTCGGTTGATACGAGATCTGGCGTTATAGATGTCTTTCCGTGTAAAGGATGATTCGGGATGCTGCTCCTGGACGATAGCACGTACGTCACGGGCCCGAATTCCGACCCGACGGCTTGTCGATTCGACCGTTGTCCTGATAGGCTCGGTGAGTCTCCGATGGGAGGGATGAGCAGATGGCCCGATGCTGCGGCCGTGGTTATGCTGGCTGTGTTCGGGCTTCGAGTGTTGTCGTAAGAGCCACTTCCCCTCTTCTAACGCCTCGGCAACAACCATCCATTTACATCCACACTTTCGAGACTTCCGTCGTCGAAGTCCTGCGCCTTGACTAGGGGCTGGTTCTCCGAATCGATCGCATTGAAAAGTGTACCGGATCCTCCGACCCTTATATGAATGTGCATTTCGTCGAACAATACCGAAGCCATTAGCCTTCGCGAAAGTATTCACCCACTCGAACAGGACTTCGGCTGACGGCGCTGGGTCGCCTGGGATAGCTGGGTTCGGGATCCCGTCAGGGACAGGCGATGACGAGAGGTCGGGCAAGGGCGGTGAAGCTATAGTCGGAGAGTGCCTGTCTCGGGGAGGCGAGTAGGGCGGAGGTGATTCGAGTGCATCTGAACTAAGCGGCGAGTAACCCCATCTCTCACGCCATTGGCGGACTTGTTCGTATGACCGGACGAGCTCGAGGGTTAGTCTCCGGTGTGTCCCAATCACCTCGCGTACTAGCTTGAGAACAGAATGAAACTCGGCCTTGGTGGGAGAGGGATGCTCTTGTACTGATTGCGGTGGAGAGGAGCGAGGTAGTTGGTCCGTTTCTGGGCCTGGTATAGGGATTCTAACTCGTTGGGACCGTCTTCCTTGGGATGGGAAATCGTTCGAAAGGTGAATCTCTTGATCGAATCGTAGCCCCCATGGTGGCTCGTTCAGCCCGCGCGATCCACGGGGCCGTGGCGCGGTCGTCAACGTCTCTGGATATGAGGCGAAAAGATTATAGAGTGCTTCATCGTCGCCGACGCCGTAGTGTCGGCCAATGCTCGTGCCTGTGCTATTAGAGGAAGGTGGTCTTGAACTATCAGATTGGTCCTGCCGCTGTCGTTTTCGAGGCCGGAATTGATAGCTTCGTCGTCGTTGGTTGCTTAGGGAGCTAGATGGAGACTCGGGCTGGGACATGACGGCCTCGATCGCGATAGGGAGTGTCGCACGCACGGTGAGAAGATGAGTAAAAGAGTACTTGATTCGACTATGAAAGAAGGAAAGAAGGGTCTCATTTCGGGCAGAAAGTAAAGACCTGCTTTGCGATGCCGATTCTAGATGAGGCTGTTGGCGCGATCTGATACAGCCTGTGTTCGAGTTTTGGTCTCAGCAGGGGTCCAACACACCTCACTCCAGCCCTGTGACCTTAACAAATACCGTATCTTTCGCGAAAATCATTCTAAGTAGGCTCGACATGCGGCAAAGAGGTAATTAGTGTAGTAGCTAGCTGGTGAAGAGCTTCCATAAGGCGCGTCGATCGTTGCGGTGGAGAGGTAAGCCCGAGGTACAACGGGCGCTGTTGGCAGAATCTAAATGCACTAACAAAAAGGGATGGACCAATCAAAGGCCGTAAAAGCGACGCCTGTATAAGAGTGACGCCGGTGTAGCCATTCGTTCACGCCGGTGTAGCAATTGCCTATATCAAATGAAAGCCAATCTCAATTGTCTACTGCTCCAGGACGTCTCGCTGGTGATGACGCCAGTGACGAGACTAGGGCCGCGTTCCAGCACTCGGCGACCTGCTCGCGATCGTGGCTGTCGTCATGTGAGACTCCCCCTTGACATGAGCAGGCTGGCATGCGACTATGTTGCTCGCGATGACGGCGGCACGGCAAAGATCGGTGAGCCCGCAAGAACTTTCCTCGAACTCGACCTCATCTGCACGCCCAAAAGGCGGGAGCACCTTACGCGATGAGTATAAAGGTTGCTCAATCCCTAGGGCTCTTCAAAATATACCCGCTCAGCAAGACACGCTGATTCACCAACAACCAAGAATCACACTAGAACTATAGAGTACATTAGCACACCCGCCATCACGTCTGGTGCATCCGTGGCTAACAAATATAGCTCAGCAAAACACTCACGCATCATCCTCATCATCATCAACATGCTCGCCACCTACACGATCCAGACTTTGAGTCTGCTCTGCGCCCTTGTGATGGCCGCTCCCGCGCCGGCTGCCGCTACTGCCGCGGGACCGACCCTGTCCAACGTCACGGCGAGCGAGCTCGGTCTCGCGGCACGCGACGGAGACGAAGACGGGGCCGTCTCGGTGGCAGCAGACCTTGCCAGAATCCAGTACTATACCGACAACGGCTGCACCAAATACAACGTCGGCTTCACCATCAGCACCGGCCGCTGCTGGAACTACGCATACACGGGAACTCACTCGGCCAACGCCGTCTCGTCGCCCGGCGGCCCCCTCGACGGATTCTTCTGCAACTACTATACCTCCAAGGACTGCACGGGGGCCACTCACCGCGTGTCCAAGGATGGCTGTGTCAACGATCTCATCAAGTACGAGAGTGTGTTTTGCGAGCTTTGGCCAGCGTGGGAGTAGTAGAACGAAGGGCTCGGGGGTGAGGAAGGGAGGAGCAGCAGCAAGGAAGGCTGCGAACACAGCTGGGGCGGGCAGGGGAGTCTAGGGCAGCACCAGAGCCACCCTTTCTTTTCGATTCACGACACTCTTTAGGCAACACTTTGTTAGTGGAAATAAAAAGGCCACTCCACTATGACACGCCGGTGCTGGGGTGTTTACCTTGAGACCACGAGTGTGGATATGGTTGCCAGTAAGGACGCCCTCCGAATCTATCTGCTATTATTCCTTTTGCAGATTGCGTGTCATGGCGAGTTCACCAGGATTGTCAGAGAAAACCACAAAGAAAATATATCTCGTCTTTAGACTATTGTTGACATACATCCTGGCATGAGCGCTGCTTCGTACCAAAGCAACATGCCCTTCTCTCAGGCCATTATGACCACTTTCCGAACCCGCTCTGGCAGCCAGTACCACCATGATCTATGGAAGAATCACACCATCCATACTGCGAGAAACAGTCGCCAAGTCCCGAGCAGATGCAGGTAAACCCTTGCGTACCACCGCAAGTGCCATCGCTGCTCGGCGGCTTGTCCGCAACCGGGCAGATACCAAACTCTGGCAGACAGTTGGCGCCGCAGTGGTCACCCGTGTCACCACACCATCCACTCGAAGAGCAGCAGTCGCCAAAGCCGGAGCCCGCGCAGGTGTACCCCAACGAAAAGGGCCACCTCACGCTAGCGTCGTTCGCCATGGACGGCATCGTCAGGGCCCGCGCCGAGGTGCTCGGCCAGGACGCGAGCTACAAGCCGCGCAAGGACGAGTTCAAATACTGATCGTCTAACGGGTCGCACGCCTATGCTCACCCAGCAGTCATGGACGCCAACTTCCGGGACTTTTACAAGAACGTAGACGTACCCGAGAACGAGGCTAGGTGGAAGAGGACCAAGACCTACAGTAAAGGCACGCCCGACGAGGCGACCCTATCAATAGAACTATCCGAAGATACGAGCAGTTTCGACAAGGAGCTATACCTCAACGTATTTAATAACATCATCCACGGCTGCGACCCTAAGAGGGAGGACAATCCGATAACCTGGAAGTTTGGCGGCAAGTGGGTGCGCGGCGAGTATACGTACGGCGTCGACATCAAGCGTACCAACCGCGTCTAGCCCCCATACAAGGCCCCAGTCGGAGAATGCAGGAGCCAGTATAAATTCTTCCTTAACTCCATCTTCATCCACGGCGGTAGCTGGGCTACTGCCGACTATGGCCAGGAAACGCTGAAGAAGCGGGCGGGCGCCTGCATTGGGTCCACCCCTACCTCGTGGAAGTTTTAGTACTATAACCAGCCGGACAAGAACGGAAACGAGTGGTCTACAAGCTTCAATACCCCAGTCTTTACCCGCTCCAGGTGCTTCAGCAGCAACACGGTCGCGAGGGAATCTGGAGGGTTTGTCGATGGCTGTGGTGGCACTGGTTAAGTCTACGATAGGGACTGAGAATCTAATGCATTCGTTGTCACTGAGACAGGGTTTTCAAGCAAGATCCTAGATTGTAGATCGCCTCATACAGCTGCTCTGGCAAATTTAGCTACGACTCATAATTCATCCATTTCCCACTTGTCTCATGGGGCACTGCTCTGCTGCATGTGACTTGGCAGGCTGCCTATGCTGAGTTCGTGAATGAGTCTCGTCCGATTTGAGCCTTTACTGCTGTCGTCTTGTTTTTCTGAAGTATGAAGTAGATTTCTTCTTTCTGAGTAAACGTAGGCTATGGACGCTGCAGAAATCTCCATGGTTCCGGAAATAGTGTCTTATTCGCCACGACTCAAAGACCGTAGCCCATCAGCGATAGCGTGGTTGAGCCATGCCGATTCCTTTATGAAGCATATATAATTATCTGGGTCGTTAATAACGAGCTGACTCTTTTCGATGATAGACAGTATGGAAGCCATGATGCAATAGGCCCTAGACAGGGGTGTTCTTTTTCTTTTTCGGCGCGGTGGGGCCTAGCACAGGGTAGGAGGTGGCGGAGCGACTTTTACGAGAGGGATTTACTTGAGCTGAAGGGCATGGCGTAATCAGAGAAAGGTTGTACCAAAGGAAATGTACAAGAACCTGTTGAAAATGAGAGCTCACTTATGCGTTCTCGGTCGTACCAGATTAGGGATAGTGGTAAAAACGACAACCACGCCAAGTCTTTATGAAATGCCGCCAAATCCCGCAGGAATAATAGCACGTTCTCGATTTCGTTGAAGACGTGGGCCACCTCTCGCTCGCGTTTTCTGGACATTTCAACCCACCCCACCCTTGACAGGTTTCATGGCAGCAGTAGTAGGGGAGAACGACTGTACCTACAGATGAAGGCAGAAAGCTGCACTGGACGCGGAGCCTATCAGTCAAGACAACAAGGTGCAGATGACGAGGGACCTGGCATTGGCCGCATCCAAACTGCGTCGGAACCAAGGGTCGCATGCGGGCCCACACCACCGTGCATTAGCCAGGTTGAGCTTATTCAAAAACAAAAAGCCTGGAGATGGGCTTGATCGGCCAGATCAACTAGTAGGTTAGCATCCTTTCTGGTATGGTGCCTCGGGCTTTCCAGCCAGTGTATATTACTACCTGGCTGAGCCCGGATCTTGAAGTCAGATGCCTGGGAATTCATCCCGCGGCCTAGGGCCCTGTTGATACAGATGTGAAAGAAAATGGAAACAACATGGTACGTGGTGGGATTCCAGAGCAGACCCAGGTGAGACAATCACCAAGGACAGGCGGCACGGAGACGACCACATTGGTCACAACAGGGAATGGACGGTTTAGCCTGAGTGGGAGCGGTGACGGTGGCACCGTGGCGTATGCCCCTCATCTCATGGGGTTAGGACATTGTGCCTTGTCGCAGTGGAATACACATCACATACGGTGGCATGGTACATATTGAGCAGAGCCTGAAAATCAAATGTTGGCCTTCCTCAGAAAGACATATTTTTCACCGCCCGGTCATCTTAACCCAAGTCCGATATACTGGCTGATACACTAAGCCAAGACTGCAGCCGGTGAATGCAATAGCCCTTTGTGCCCCTCACAATGTGAGACATTCATCACGGCGGGGTCTGGGGAAGTCGGGGCTTGCGCAATACTCAGCCTCATTACGTGATAGAAACCGATCTGGGCTCGTCTGCCCCTGCATGTCTCAGTCAACTATCCCTGATCACCATTCCCGTCTTCTTGCATGATGCGCGCGGGACGCCTGCATACCCGCTCCCGTGACGGCTGCCTGCTATCCCTTGCCAGGTGCAAGCCATCCCGTCTGAAGACTTTGCCCCAGGTGGCAATTGCCGGTGAAGAAAGAGGCAGGGCCTTACCAGCCCACTTCTCCGCGCTGACTATGTAAATCATACTTTTCTGCATACGCCTACCGAGTGTCAAAATCGAACAATGTATTGCTCAAGCAGGAATGGTTATGCAGTCTCAGATGACTGGTGTGGATGCCACTCTAAGCGTCCGAGTGGTTAAGCACACCGCTAGGGAATTTCAGTCTACGTAATCAGGGTCCAGCCAGGTCAGCCTCTGCTCCATGTCGTGCTGTCCCTCATCAGACACTGATTCGTCGATTTTAAAACACGGGATTGGACTCCGACTGTCGATGAGCACACCTGCATCACCAAAGTCCCGATCGAGTCTCACTTGCAGACGGCCTGATGTACCAAGGCGCAGATGCATTTTCCGTTCAGGGACCGACGCCTGGCCGGAGCTCCTGTCACATGAGGGAATTGCGAGTGTGTATCGTATGTGCATTCAGTGAGTCGTCGACAGGCTTCGGCGCAGGAATGCAATGGGGAGGGAGTCTCAGCACTGGACAAGCAGAGTGTGGAAGAGACACTCGTGAGGTGACCGCACGTGTATATAAGTCTCGATCTTTCTGTGTTGTTCTCACCTTCTAGTTCAGCATCAGTCTCAAGCACTTCTTCCACAACACCCTATCACCACAATCATAATCCGTCGTCTTTCCCGACAACTCCCCAATTTGTTCAAAGATGCCTCAGTTCAAGGATGGCTCCGTTCTTGCCTTCATCAACTATGGCTCTGGCACTTGTCTCGACCTGACTGCTAGTAGGCTCACCCCTTCTTCAATTGGGAGTGATCCAAATTTGTGGTCCATACAAATTACTGACAGGTTCTGTGCTTGAACAGGCGACCCTAAGAGCGGCAACCCCGTCATCGGCTACAACTACAATGCAACCAGCAACCAGCACTGGAAGCTCGTCAAGGTGCCCTACAGCGGGGCCAAGGTCTGGCCTGTGTACTTCCTGATCAACCAGGCCACTGGCAGTAAGTATTTTCTTACAACACTGTCTCCCTGACATTTTGCTCTTGATTGCCAAACGCTCTTTACTGATCATCCTATCTTTCGGCAAACAGCTGCTCTTGATCTCTACAACGGTGGACAAGAAAATGGCACCCAGATCACCGGCTGGGCCAACGGGCCTGCCAGCAAGACCAACCCCCACCAGCTGTGGCGCCTGGTCACCGCTGACGCCAACTCTGACGTCGTCATGTAAGTAGAAGTTCACCTGGGAACTGACGCATTGCCGTAATGAATCGAGAGCAACGACTAACACGAGCGATCTTGTAATACATTAGGATCCAGAACATCGGCACCGGCACTTACGTCGACTTGTACCTTGGCGGCAGCCAGAATTCGTAAGTTACCTATAGATTCGTTCAGTTCCTGCCACACCATCTCTCGAGAAAGTTATCCCTGCGTAGCGCCTGCACCTATGCTGATCACACCTTTCCCCTCACGTAGGACGAAGATCACTGGCTGGGCCGGCAACCTTGCCGAGGAGAACACCCACCAGTTGTGGAAGGTCAAGGTTATCTCCAACTAGACACTGGCTCGCGAAGCAATCCTGTCATGTCCGGACCCTTTCGCCAGATGGAGTATGGTTGTCTATAGTTCGGAATGGGTGAGGCGGAAGCCAGACTAGTGAAGTAGCTCATGAAAATGGCAGAATTCCTCATCAGGGTTGTTTCATTATATGACCATCACTGAGCTGCAACGCAATTTCAGCCTGAAAACGTGACATGAATTCCTGTTGCACACAAAGGAAGCGTGTATCCCACACTCGGAGATTCTGACTACCCGTCCTCACGCTTCTCAATGGTCAGCTGAATCTCTAGAGCAAAAGAAACCTATGATGCTCGGACGATGCCCTCTGGGTGAAGCGACGCAGTGCCTGGACATGTGCGTCCTTGGCAAAGAGCGGTAAACCACGTTAATTCATCTTTCGCGGGAAAGCATATAACCATGATATAGGCCTTCGCGATGGACCATTCTCTGCCTGCGATGCATACGAGTTCTGATCCAGCTGCTGCCCTACTCCATGGAACAAAACATTGCCCGGAGAAATAGGAGACGTTCAGCTCAGCAAGAGGCAAGAGTGCTGGATTGGAATGGACCGCAGCTGCGTTTCCGCTGCAGAATGTGGACGTGTTGCCAGGCACGGAAAAGTGTGTAGTCCATGTGACCGATCGAGCGATGAATTGTGGGTGTCTGAGAACTCAAGCTCTCCACGCTCGCGACGTCCTCCTGTAGTACGGAGTATAAGATAGCAAAGCCAGAGCCAGTGAAAGGGCCGCCCCAATGCAAGGGGAGCCGGCTTAGAGCCTGCAGGATCGCGTGTATGGGCCCACAGTAACAAGTCCATTTTGGTGTGTTCTATATTGGGAGGGCTGGAAACGGCCCCGGGCCTGGAACTAGGCCACGACCCTGCTACTAAAGGAGTCGCTTCATCCCCCAAATCAGATGTCGACATTTATGCACGCAACCGCCACCATGGCAAAGAGGAGAGATCGGACGAAAGAGAACTTCGCGAAGTTGTGCAAGTCAGGTGCAGCACGATTTAATAAGCTGCGTCAGAAGTATGACGCGCGCATCTATCTTTAAGTGCAATGGAGAGGAAGGTATTATGAGTATACCTCCGATAAGGATCTTCGCTGGCTGAAGATCGGCGATAAACTTGAAACGATTTACCCATTGCCTGTTTAATGGACGCTATTAATATTGTAATGAATAGCGATATACCCGAGAGCTCTTTACTAGATGAAGATCCTGACAGGTTGAATAGCTTGTGCGATAACTAGAATGCCCTAACCTCGTTACGCGTAGATGGAGAGCAGCCGGACGAGGTGGAACGAAGCACGGCCCTGTGCTAGGAGCTTAGCAATGAGGACAATAGATATCAATAATGCTTGCCTCTTGGATTGCCGTTTTCAACCCACCCCAGCGTGATTTATCGCTCTCTCGTCCCTACTCGGTCCCTCCTATCTTTGCTGAATAGGGTCGTCCGTTCTTTAATTTAAGACGCATGTCGGTGTTTACAGGAGCAAGCTGCGGGCAGCAGGTCAGTGGCCTCCAGTTTTACAATGATGTTACACGAGTTTAGTGTGCGTGTGGCTACCCTCTGACTCCACCTTTGCTGGACCACCTTTTGCCGGACTATGATGTGACTCACATAACTAAATAGTCACGTGAATTGATTATTACTTTGATGCTTTTCGAGCGTCTCGTTTTCATTAGGTGTAAAGGATATGGGCACTTACATTACTGTCGTGAAGCGGCAATCTCAAGAGATGTATATAGCGATAAATAGGAGTTAATACTATAAGTTACAAGTCTCGTGGTCACTTTTTGAGGGCTCTATGCCGCAGTCTTCTGCGGCTACTTGGCTTGTTCTGTAGTGTTCGAGTGCATACTACCAGGCACAGGTCATTGCCGGCTGTCTAGCTTAGGCAGTTCGGCTGGGGCGTACGCTAGATACGGCCATTTAGCTGGCGTAGTTCGGCGGAAGATTATGCAAGGAAAATGGTGTAAGGAAAGTTCCGTAAGCAAAGTTCTGTAAGGAACGTAGGGATTGTGTAAGGAAAGCTGCGTAAAGAAGGTTGCGTAAGGAAAGTTATGTAAGGGAAGCTCCACAAGGAGTGCAGGGATTGTGTAAGGAAAGTTGTGTAAGGAAATTAGTGTAAGGAAAAAGCCGTAGGAGTGTAAGGATTGTGTAAGAAAAGTGTTGATGCGAGTTTCCGACCCCCTGTATGACGGCTGGGGAGAAGCCCGTAGGTGTCCGCCAGGTAAGCCAAGCGGTTATCCGAATCTATACCGACGGGAGCGGCATCAATGGTCACGTTGGTGCGGCCGCTGTCGCCCCAGCATTAGAGAGTCAGCGCTAGCCCGTCCTGGGCCATGGGCGGCGCGAGAACCAATCGCCAGCGTTGGGGGATTGTCCGCCTCCGAGGCGAACAGAAGCATCTCGGATTGAATGCGACCAGACGACGCAGGCGCTTAGGCAGCCATGGCATGCAAGTCAAGCTACATATATTTCAGCTGTGAAAGCGACCTTTTCCATGCCAACTGTGTTCTAGTGTTCTTTGTTCCCGTCTTGGCACCCAATCTGCACCATCACGGGAGCATCGTGTACTTGAGCCAATCCACCCCTCAGCTCAGCTTCTACTTCCACCGTAGCCAGTCACCAGACGCCCGACCCTATGGTCCAGCAACTTCACGTCGTGATTGTCGGCGCTGGGCCCGCCGGGCTGGCCGCAGCCCTGGCACTGACGCGCCAACCACCGCCAGACGTGCGGGTGCGCGTCACCATCCTCGAGCTCCGGCCCGCGCCGGGCACGCTGGGCGGTGCGATCAACATGACGCCCCTCGCGCTCAGGTACCTCGACTCGCTGGGCTGCGGCGCCAATGTCAGAGGGGCCGGCTCGAACACCAGCGTCCTGGACATGCTGTCGCTGCGGACGGGCAGCATCATCGCCGGGCTGTGGCCGAACGCGGGCAACATGCGGGTCGGCAGGCAGACGATTGTCGAGTCGATGCTAGACGCGCTGGCCGAGCAGCCGAGCGAGGGTCTCGCCATACGCTTCGGCGTCACTGTGAAGACGATCGAGCATGTGGGCGACGACGACGGCGATGGCTGCGTGCGAGTGTACCTCCACGACGCCGCGAGCAGCCGCGACGAGACGCTCGAGGGCGACGTGCTCCTCGGGTGCGACGGCATCCACTCGTTCGTGCGGAGCAGCTTCGTCGAGCCCGGCCGCGAGAAGATGTTCTCTGGCCGCGTCGGCGCGTACGGCTACGTCGACGTCACAACGCCCGGCGACGCCGAGCTCGTCAGGGCCGACGGCGCGCCTGCCGTCGGCGACACCACCATGATATCAGGGCGGGCCGGGCACCTCCTCGTCACGTTCTTCGACAAGCCGCGCGCGCGGCTGTACCTGGCCGCGGTCCTGCACCGGGCGCAGGACCGTAAGTCGGAGGAGGCGAGGGAGGGGTGGAGGGTGGTCGGGAGCGACAAGCAGGGCCTGAAGAGGGATATCCTGGCGCTGTTCTCCGGAGGGCAGGTCAAGGGGCTCGAGGGCCTGCTCGACCGCTGCGAGGAGTGGTACTTCTTCCCGGTGTACATGCTCCCGCCCAGGGGCGTGTGGTCCAAGGGCAGGGTTCTGCTCCTGGGCGACGCGGCTCATGCGGTGCGTTTATGACCCCCTCTTCTCACTGTCGATTACAGGATGCAGGAAGCAGGACGCAGGACGCTGACCTTGTTGGGAATAGATGCCGCCGCAGGGCGAGAGCACCGGCATCGCCATCGAGGACGGCGTGCTGTTCGCCCATGTCTTCAGCAGATGTGCTACCCGAAGCGTCCGGCGGCTGATGAGTGATTACGAGGCGCTCCGGAGGGAGCAGGTCGAGAAGGTGTACAGCCAGACGGTGTGGAGCTGGAAGCAGGGGGGCACGACGGCGAGCTGGCTCGGCAATGTAGTCATGGAGTGGCTTACGACGGCGGTTGTGTACGTGATGAACTGGAGACAGGGTGATCATTTTGCAAGGGACGTGACCAAGATGGAGCTGCCGGAGTGACGGACGTCCTGGGGGAGTGGGTGGTGGGGGTTTACTGGTAGCGATAGCGTGGGATGAATACCAGGTTTGTTTGCCCTTTCTCTTCGTCGCTCCATCTATGATGGTGCCTTTGGAACTGGCAGACACACGAGTTTGTAGGGTCATGTTTAAGTTATACGGCCGACCTTACTACTTCCCTATGGCGAGCATTGTGCCTGGAGCGGGAAACAGGGGTAAAAAGCCGAAAGACGTTGCTTTGGTAACAGTTGGGTCAAAAGGGAGGAGAGAAGCGAAGTGAAGAATATGACGTGAGTTTTGGGAACACGGTGTTACTCGCCCGACCGAGTGATGGTATGATTTTGCCCAGCATATCGTAGCCTCAAGGACGTGACCCTTGGCGGGGTAAGAAACGAGGCCATCCGATCTATTTTTAGCAGGGACAGAAAAGATTACGTTCATAGATATGCACTTCTTAATCTTAGCGACGAAGAGCAATGCTGCTCTTAGACCCCCGATCCCGCTGCCGGCAACGAGCACCTTGAGCGGGTGGGCATTGCCATCTTGGCCAATGTGTTCTTGTTTATGCGAGTGCGACCATTTTTAGCGAATGTTAAGGCGCAGCTGTGGAATCTCGCAGCTGTAGCAAACGCTGTGCCTAACCGGTGGTCTGAGATCCGTGAGAAGATTCCGAGGCTATGGACGATGTGATACAACACCCTACACATCGCGTATCCGATCGGTGTTCAATGCCTGGTCATCGTGTGACAGCGTCACATGCTGCGCTTTCGGACTGCAACTCATTGCGCGTATCTATGGCCACGGTGTAATTGTGCGCATGTCCTTCTCGGATCGCAAAGAAAAATCTCTCGTCGTCGCAGCATCCACGCTTTCCATCAAATCGCCGCGGTACCGTGGAAGGTAAGCCCGAACCTCCATCGGAAGCAGCGCTACCCTGACCACAGCAACGATATCGCCCGCCCGGAACCCTCGACGTAGCTACTATTAGGTTATACTCCCGTACGACCCTAGTCGGTATAGGAGCACGTAGTGGGAGAATGCCTACAGTGCTGCAACATTTACAGAGTTGAGGGCCTGGCGCCAAGAATGGCGTCGTGCAATAGCTGACAGGATTGGGTAGCTCGTGCCAGCTACAGTACCCCTTCTTCGCATTGTAATGTGGGTGGCTCCTGAACTCGGGATTGGTTCGCACAGACAAGAGCCCGCTCTTATCCTTGACGAATACCTTTACGCCTTCTCTTTGTGATCGATTTGATTGAGCTTCTTCAACTTGCAGCACAGCAAGGAACGCCGTGAGTCACTGCTCATATAATACTGCGCCATGAGTTCAACCATGTTATGATACTGTACTGTTGGATTGATCGAGCATTCTTGTAGCATGCTCCTCGACGTTAGGCCTTGGCCCGTCCGCATAGACCCAATGAGGCTTTCGACCGTATAATAACCACTCTCCTCCACACACGTGGCAAAGTCGTCCTCCTCAGTCATAAGATTGAAGCAAGGTTGGCAAAAGTAGTGGTCTTTGGATCATCAGTAACTGAATGCGGAGGTTGAATAGAGTGGGTTCATTTGGGTACTGACCGCACTCTGTCCTACAGCTGGCTGGCTTCTCTTCGCACGCGGTACATAGAGTATCGCTCTCGCGGTTGGCCGAAGGCTCCTGACCGTCGCCTTGAGAACCTGCGCTGCCCTGGCAGTCTTTCATGGCCTGGTCTATATGCTGTCCCGTCGGTATGTTGGAGAAAGTCCGAGGCCCTGGCTGATTATCCCGAGTCGTTTTGTGATGAGCAGAATTCTTAGCTATAGATTTGTCAGATCTTTTGCAAGCCCTTGGGCGGTGTTTGGGCCTTCGTGAACATTGAGATCGAGTTCCGTGATGATGCGTAGCTCTAGATCCCGTAACTTCTTGCTGGATTTGGTGGAATGGCTTGCTCTTCATTGTGGGCTGGCGTAGTGACGCTTCTCTGGAGCTTTGCGAATTCTTGGATGAGAAACTTAGGATCTCTCGTTGCGACATCGTGGTGGTCCTCGTAGGTGATACTGAGGAAGCAATACGGTACGCGAGGACTGGCCTCAACGACTTTTCATATAGGTGCCGAGCTGGGATGCGCCGTTCGAATCTTGAGGTGCAGGGCTGCCTCCGTGCCGTTATCCTGGGAGAGCGCGAACCACTTAAGGCCAATGGCCATGTTCAGAGCAATGGGACCTGATAGAGATGGCGGTTGCGACCCGGTCTACTTGCGACATTGGCCCCTGAGCGTTGCGTGAGAAGGGCTTTGGCGGTGCAAAGACGATTGTGCAGCAGCACTTACATGCGATCCAAAGTCTCACAAATATGTGAATCCGCGATGCCCTGCACCAGCACGTTCAGTATTGACTTGGCTGTATTCGGGCATGACATCGCTTCAATCGTTCAATGTAGGTAGCTGGACAGTGTGAGAAACATTCAACGTCCTGAGTGCCGTTCTGGACGACACCCATGCCTCTCAGCAACAATGGTCGATCAGAGCTTTCAGGACAATTGCGAGCTCCCGCATTCGCGATGCAAACTTCCGCATGGGGCGAAAGCTGATGACGGGCCACTCCTTGCACTATCACAACGATGCCTAAGATCGAGAGGGTCTCCCACCCCTCTCAAGGACGACTGCAAGTGCGGCTGCGAGGCGGTCCTTGATTCTCCATTGCATCTCCCGATGGATCCGCCGCCCAGCCATTACGCTGCCAGGCCGGCGTAGTTAGATCCAAGGGACCATACGACGCGTCTGAATCTATCCGGACGCCCAAAGCACCACCAAGCGTTGTGTACCATGCCTTGAATGCAGCCGAAAGCCTTCTCCTGGATCTTGATCCCACTCAGCCCTCGGCTGCTGCGAAGCCATGGTGGTGATTTCCCGGTCGTCGACTCGGACTTTATCGTTCTCCATCTATTAAGTCACTCCTTAGATCGACTTGTGCCCTACCTGACCATCATTCCCAGGGGAACTTGCCTACTGTATTATTCCACGGGTGATTTAGTCTACATCCCCGGGTTCCACACGCCCCACATGTCCGACAGCATCCCTGCACATCGTGAAGTCTCTCTCATTCTCTTCATAGACATGTCATGTCCTACGAAACGTCTGTGCGCATTAGAGGTACGCGTTATTCCAACCCCCTTTTCCGCGGATTTAGTCTTAGTTCGTTACCCCAGATTTCCCTTCTTTTCCCAGTAACCCACGATCCACCGACAATCCACAATACTAATAGCAGTAGAACAGCCTGTAGTATTACGATGCGATGCGGAACCACGTACCGACCAACTCAGCAACGACGCCGGAAGGCCACAAGGATCCCGACCCCGTTTTCACATACCTTCAGCTTTACGCCGATCCAACATACAATGTCCTGATCTGCCGTAGACCCGATTGTCGACACGCGATTTCCCCACATGGAGCCCAGGTCACCGCACACCTATGGAATAAGCACAGTATCCCTCTAGCCGAGCGCTTAGGACTTCCAGAGCATATACGCGATCACTACTCTTCAGGCTTCCGCAATCCTACAGAGGCAGCTCTGCCGCCGTCTAGTTCCAGGCCCCATCCGCATCTCCAGACCTACGATGGCTTCAGCTGCCGCAAATGCGTCTTCTTGACAATAAGCTTCCATGAGCTTACGAGGCATATCTCGCAGAGCCACCTCGACGGGCAAACCGCGACCCGACCGCGGATTGGCCTACTCTACGACGATGTCTACCTACAGTCTTGGGGAGGCGGCCCGAATCGACGATATTGGACTGTAACCGATGCAGATGGGAAAACAGGTCGTCTAGTCCCTGGCCGCGTAGCAAAACAACCCCCCCCCCCCCGAGACGCCCGAACGACCTGTTTTCTCGGAGTACGATTCGACAAGGAAAGACCTAAACGATAGACGGACTGCTATCTCTCAGAGCAAGCCATGGCTAGACCGGACGGGATGGCAGCAGATCTTCGAGGGCGCCAACTGTGCAGTTCTGAAGGCCCTCACAGCTATACCCTGCAATCCACCCACAAGACTCCTTCACCTTGGAAGAGGACTATATCCTACAACCACTCCCTACATTAGTATTCGAGCAGACGAGATAAAGATATCCGGGCTCGTTACTATGGTCGACTGGGTACTTTTTCACTGTGAGCAGACAGCCCGCGAAACTTCTCGTGCAGTCCTCTGCTGGTTCCGAAGCCTCCACCCAGACAAGATCTATCCCAAGCCATTTACACTAGTATCGGCAAGATCGAGCCGACAGAAGTATCTCAAGACCTTCCAGCGTTTCATCGCCTTCATCTTCCGTACCTACCGCCTACTAAGCTTCCAACGACAAGATCTTCTCCCCGTCCGATTTAATTCGGAGCAGCAGCAGCTACTTGGTACTATCTGGCCCTACGAAGCTTGGAACGAGGAACAGCTCCTTCGGTGGATCCTAGCTGGAAAGCCCGCTCGTCAGCTGCGGCCGACAGCTAAGGAAGAACGGTCTACTCTAACACCGAGTAATAGGGAACAGAAACAGTCCGTCTCAAAACCCTTAGCCAAACGTCTGTCGAGAAAACGCTCGTTTACCTCCTATCGGCAAGACACCAAGTCGGACTCCCAACGAGATACTACTAAGATACGTAGGGACGACGAAGACGACGAGAACGACGAAGACGGCGAGAACGACGAGGACGACGAGGACGATAATAAGAGCGGCCACTCCGACGAAGATGTCAGCGACTCGGAGCTCAGCGACGGATAAAGCGACGGACAAAGCGAGACAACAGACAAGGTCCAAGACGCAAGTACACTGCAGAATCAAGTGATCGTCCTCAGCCCAGCACTGAGCCAGCTTCTCGAATTGCTATTCAAGCTGTGTATTACATTCTGTACCGAAGACTTCGCCGACGGCTATCCCAGCTCAACCCATCTCGTGTACTTCAGTGGTATTCTTAGCATCAACCCAGACGGCAGAGGCTTTCGCACAGCAAAGCTTTATACACCATTCCTTTCAGCCTTGATCTACAACCAGCGACTTCTCTTCCTAGAATATGCCCTACCTCTTCGAGCATATGAGCATATCGGGATTCCCCGGCGACCGCGACATCGGCAATTCGAGCGGCTCGATACAGTACGGCATAGGTATATGCTTACTAAGTCGATGACGCCCCTGACCGAAATGCTAAGCCTTCGTGACTACGGAAGAGTGATCGCTAGGACAGACACCCCGTCATTCTTTCTCCACTGGAGCGACGATCTCCAAACGGTATCATACGGGGACTCATTTACCATCACTATGGACACCTTCCGACAGTTATCAGAGCACTTCATCGGGCACGCAGAGGAGCGCTGCGAGCAGCTCATGCTTGGTCTCCAGGTGGACGTTCATCTTGAGAGAGTCAAAGACGACCTCGTTAATGCGAAAGATGGGTTCAGTTTCATCAGCCACCCGCATAACAAACTGTCCCACGCCTATGCCCAGCTACTTAAACAGGCCTGCACTCCGCATTCCGGACTGTTCGACGAGAGCCACGGGACATGGAAAGCTACCGCAGTCGCCCGCTACTAGAAGATAGCAGAGAGGCTGCTCGAGTTCCTTGCAGGTTGTTTCCATACGACAAGCGGCCAGACTGGTCGGTCATCGGAGCTCTTCAGCCTTACATACTAGAACAGCGCTTTCGGCGAACGCGGACTATACATCCACAATGGCTCAGTCATGACGCTCATACGGCATCACAAAGCAAAGCGTTCAACCAATCGAGAATTCAACGTTGTACGCTTCCTTCCTCTCCGAGTCGGCCGGGTTATATTTCGATACCTTGTCTACATCCGTCCTTTCCTTACAACGCTTGGTAAAGAGCCGGTCTCCAGCCAGAGATCGTTATCAGGGCATATTGTCTCGCCGCCCCTACTCTTCAGCTCGGGAGTAGACAGATCAAAGCCTTGGGACGCGTCAAAGCTCGCGGCTATCTTTAAGAAGGCGACATCCGTCTGCTGGGATACCTGTGTTAATCCTCAGATATACCGACAAATCGCTATTGGTATTACCGAGAAGCACGTCATCGAGATTGCTACGCCATTCAACCGGTATGACGACCTTGGCCCGAATGCGAGCATCAATGCCGTCTTTGCCTGGCAGAGCAGCCATCGCCCTATTCAGCGCGCAACTACATACGGACTCGATGGAGCTTTCCCTTCGCAACTTCAGCCAGCCCTTATCCGCATCTATGAGTGGGCGTCCTTTCGCTGGCACGAGTTCTTACATCAACCGAGTCGACGAATGCCTCCAAACACCCGCTCGTCGTACGACGAGCTACGACCACTTGTTAGTAAGCAGCAGGACTGCCCTCAGCTGGAGGGTTTGCAAGACCAAGACCTAGGAAGACAATATTGAGACTGAAGCGACAGTACGAGCGATGATCCGTCCACCAACCCGTCCACCAATTCAACCGGTTGATAAACTGGTTTATATCGACACGACCCGCAACGTTACTATCTGTCTCCTCTGCCGGCTGGGAATTAAACCAGGTAACGGTACTGTTGTACATTTCCGGGGCAGACATAGTATGAAGGGAGATGAGCTACAGGACATTCGCAGAATTTGTTTCCAACCTACGCTTGTCGATCCGTTTAGCATTCCGGTCCCGGACGACAATACTTCACTATTGGACTATTTACCGATCTTGAGAGGGTTTAGCTGTACAGGTTGCCGCTTCCTAACAATCTCTAATAAGAACATACGTAAGCACTGGAGAGCGACGCATTGGAAGGGGATACAGTTTGACGTGGTACCCGACGATATATATAGCACTGTACAGTTACAGAGCTTCGGGGTACACTCGCGTGCTCAGTACTGGATAGTTAAGAGCGATATTGAGGGAGAAGATACTATAGAGTAAGAGTAGTTTAGAAGGATAGTAGAGATAGTAGAATCAAAGTTTCATTACGCTATTTGTATAACTTAAGTTCACGTTATATAAAGCAGAGAGTAAAGCACGGTCGTCGCTACAACCCGGAGTCGAACCGAGGACTCCGCTTATAAGGAGACGGCGTATAAGGAGGCAAAAGAGAGAGAGCAAGCCCCGAGCTTCACGCGGCGGCAGCAGAATGAAACTGAAAGCATGCAAGTGACCCGGCCCGGAGTTGAACCGGGGATTCTGCCAGGCAATTGCCAGCAGCGTCGTACCGCTTGACCACCGGGTCTTTTTGTTCTGGGAGACTGGCTGCTTATTTGGACATATAGGGTCACGAAGTGGCGGGCTGGCGGAGTGGCAGAGTAGTAGAGTGGCAGAGTGGCAGGTGTACGGTAGAATCACAGGTGAAGGTTGCCACAGCGCTTCACTGCTGATCTGGGGTACGCCCATGGCAGAAATGGCAGACTGGCAGAGTGGCAGGTATACGGCAGAGTGGTAGGTGTATGCCAGAATCACAGGCGAAGGTTGGCGCGCCGCTTCATTGCTGCTCTAGGGTGCGTGTATAGCAGAGTGGCCGACTGGCGGAGTGGGCAGAAATCGAAGGATGATTGTACTAGCCGTGGAATTAATGCCAGAATTGAGGGAATATATAGGAAGAAGTAAGAGGCTTCGAGACAGGACTATCAAGGCTGCGGCGAAGCCATATGCAACTTAGCGGACATGGTATAAGCTGTACGAGGTGCATAGGCAGGGTTATATACCTACAGTCAGCCAGTAGAATGTAAGCGGGCCGGGTAAGTTACAGAAGACAGGAGGGGCCGAGAGCACTAGCAGACGATAACCGAGACAGGCATGGGCAGGGATATGAAGTAGGAAAAGCAGATTTGACCCGACGCCACGGAGGCGGCCTGGAAACGAGGGGTAATTGCCCGAGTCGTGTAATACTTACTTAAGATAAGCTGTCCAGAGTAGCTAACACAGGAGGCAGAGGTTATAGTATGTATGGAGGTAGGAGGGATAATATGAGCGAGCTGAATTTAAATAGTAATTTAATCAGTTGCAGGATTATAACCTAAAAACAAGTGCTTCGTAGGGTTCGGCAGAGACAGCAGAGACGGCAGAGGCAGTAGAACTGTACTCAGATGACAGGGCTGGCCAAGCAGCGGCTAAGCCATAAATAGCTTGGGAAGGCTTATATTCGCCTGGTAGGCGCAACGGTAGAAAGAGGTCGCCTGTAACACTATTATAGAGCAGGAGATACTCAATCTACTTGGTGTGTGGCTTACTTGGTTGTGCAGCTTAACTGCTTGTGTGGCTTACTTGCTTGTATGTCTTACTTGCTTATAGATTGCGTGGTTGCGGGGTGGACAGGGGGGCAAGGAGGGGGATACAGTAAAGCTTCGTTGGCTGCAGAGAGAGGGTCCTGGTCCAAACGGCTATATCTCAGCCCTCTCACAACCTAGGAGCAATCCAGCATGCCGCCGCTTCTCCACCTTATTTACTCTCGTCCCAAGTAACAACTCTTGTCATGGAGGCCGATGGTTCAGTGGCTACGGAGTCATCCGCACATATCGAACGATTACCCGATGAACTCTTACTTCGGATCTTCGCTCACACTCTGCTCACTATCGAGCAGCTGTGCATGGTCAACGCTGATCGCGGTGCGGACTTGCGACAGATAAGCCGGCTTTGCTTAGTTTCGTCTCATTTTCGAACTGTCGCTCAGCCACTCATCTATCAAACACTCCAGTTCACGCAGACTGATCCTCTCTGCGATGGATACCAGTTCAGCTCTAGCCAGGAATTTACCTACCTGCGCCGCCGCCCGGATGAAATCCAGATTGTCCGTCACTTGGTGCTGAAGGGAACACCCTTACCTGTAGCGCGCCTCCTCGAAGCCTTCGAGGACCCGGCGATCCAGTCACAGATTCAGCAGACCTACTCGACCAGCTTCTGTACCTTTCTCGACAGCCTGATCGTCGAAGCGAGAGAAGTCACAACAACCTGGCCCCATAGTGTCGATGTTTCCAGATATCGAGGGCACTATGTACTCTCCTATGACCTCCTCGCCATCTGGTTACTCACCCTAGCAGACCAGGTCGAGTTTGCATCGTTGCGCGTCGTTGCAGATAGCCACGGTTCACTCCTTGCACGATTCTTCTCCTTCTGTGGACGTGCTCTCGGCACGGCCGATCGAGGCCTGCAGGCACGACTACCTTCTCCCCTCTCGCGTCTCCATACGCTTGAGCTTACTCCTATGGAGAACGATATTGGGACCGTGAGCAATGCTGCAGTCTCGGCATTTCTTTCGTTCCAAGGCCTCGTGAGCTGCTACACGTCGTATCTCAGCTGGGGCAGAGGAAGCTCGGCACCATCTAACCCAGGGGCACCATCCCGACCCTGGCCGATTGCGCCTCATATCCAGCACCTCGAGCTCAGATCCGCTGCTTTCCCGGGCACGCCGCGAAACCCTAAGAGCAGTAGTCTAGTGATCCGCGATCTCGTCCTGAGGGAACTCGGCTCTGACCTGAGGAGCCTTGTCGTAGACGTGGATCCTAAGGATGCGGATGCGTACGACGAGTATCCCCGCGCTAGGATGGACTTCGGTCCACTCGGCGAGGCGATCAGGACATACGGGACCGGACTACGCCGCTTCGAGCTCCAGCTATACAAGACAGCGGCCGGCCAGTTTGAGGAACGAGACAGCGGGGTGCTAGGTAACCTACGGGCGGCAAACATCAAACTCGAGTGGCTCAGTGCACCCATGTCGAGGCTGACATACTTTGAGCACCCTAAGGACGGCGTCGGGGCTTACCCAGGGGATCACGACAAAGCATACATCCCACCAGACTTCGCGGATCTAGGGGACTACCTACCCCCCAGCCTGCGATACTTTTGGACGAGTATCCCTAACCCTCGCTTCTATAACCCAGTACCTCATCATGATCTGAGCCACGACCTAGGTTCATTGCTCGCCAGTGCCGAGGCTAAGCTGCCACAACTTGAGTGGGTGCTCGTCCACGCGCCGTACCCCAACTGCCAGCTACGCCATGGTTACAGGACTTATCAGTACTGGGCAGAGGAGACGATGGGCCCCTTCCACTACCTATATCGTCGACGGCAGGGCCCAGGGTGTCGTAACACGCTAGGGCCTAAGCAGCACCCACCAGAGTGGAAGCAAGCTATCAAGCATGAGATCGCGATGAGCTTCGAATAGCACAACCAACCTGTCATATAGGACAGGCTCGGACTCAAGTCACGTTTTGGTAAAGATACTTCCAGCGAGGCATCAAGCACTCCTTGATATATAGTATAAAGCCGCCTAGAGAAGCCTTCTTTCCTACTGGTGTCCTGGCCGCAGTAGACCCGTCAGTCTATCACACTTAAGAATATTATATAGGACTACGCGAGCTGTCGTTAGCAAGAGCGATTAGTGAATCAGGTCTTCGAAGTAGGGATTTACCCACCCCGTGCGCGGAGGCATCCTGACCATCATTCCGCGCCCGGGTTGCCCTACTGTAATATTCATCGCCGGATTGCTCTCACTTTTCGCGCTTCCCTGGTGGGCAGGGGGCGGCGGCGCTCGGGCCATTGAGTTCATTCCGGTACCCCAGGTTGAGTTCATTCCGGCCAGCCAAAAGGCAATGAATACGCACCTGCTGAATTGCATCATGCCGGAGCGGGCCGGGCTCAAGTGCTTGTCCTCCGAAGAAACTCTAGCGTCGAATCAGCGAGGAGGATGCGCTCCGGAAATATAGTAGTAGAGACATCGCACCGGTCGGGATCCTCCAAGGAGACAACCAGCTGGCGCGTGACGCGCGAATCGCCGCCTCGTTCCCTGCTACTGGAGATAAAAGCCTCAAGCTTGACCCTTTGGCTGTGAAGGAGCTGAAAGATCTACTCATGCCCAACAGTGAAACCGGGCTGCACGGCGACAAGTGTAAATCCCATAACAAGTACAGCTGGCTCGGAGATATGTGCGAGAACTCGCCCAATCCATCCCTCGTAGGGGCGGTCGACATCCTAATCAGAGACAAGACTCCTATTCCCGAGCACGAGGAGCACACGCACGCCATGGTCGTCCTGGCATAAGTGCCGGCTAGCGCTCTGTTCGCCCACATATTCCTGAACGACTACTACAATGGTGTGGTCGATGTCTTCTACTACGCACCTGGAATGCGCAGCGAAAAACCGCCGGTCGAACTCGAAAGGGATCAAGAGTGGGATGGTCCGGAAAATGGCGATCACGGACCGAAGATCTTTGTGTCGACAACGGGCTGCCGCTCCGCCGCGGTGGAACTCACCAGGGCGAACTACATGATCCTCTTTGATGTACCGTACATGAAGAGAAATTCAGGCTCTGAGATGCTGCTTTCGACGAGGTCAGCTTTGCGACACCTGCTACGAAATCATCGACCTCGAATGTGCAATTGGGCGGTGTCCTGTTTCTGGTGAGCGTTGTTGGGCCAAAGGGCATATCATGTAGAGAGTCAACGTGACTGCCTAGCAGGCAGGGAGTCTACCAGTAGACAACGGTTCAGTCATTGCCGAGCAGGCTACAACCAGTTATTGTACTGCTGCCTCGCAGGCAGCAGTACATCCATCATATATTTAGTTCATCTCCATTCCACTCCTTTAGATAGAGAAAGGGGCAGGCATTACTTCAATTCACGATGGTTCTCATCCTTGATGTCTCCATTATGCCAGATTGACAACAGGCCAAGTCCAGGCTTACTTTTCCACGTGGCAATGTGACAGCCAGTTATGATGTTCGATTATAGTAGCAGGTAAGCCACACAGTGTAAACGCGATGGTGACCACAACCGGCCTGTAAGCAAGTGTTGACACTCCAAGCTCTGTCTTTCCAGGTTCCGAACAGAATAGGATACGACTCCTGAATCAAACGCCAAAGTGAACATAAGGAACCCAGAGCGGCCGCCTCGCCTCCGACCCGGGTCTCAATTCGGCGTCCCTTTCCGCTTTCGACAGGTATGACTTTCCGCGCCCGGCATCCTCGCCGTCCACCCAATGGTCTCGGAGCGTCCTCATCGCCCAGTGAAGCCCCCGGCTTACGGTTTCATCCTTTATCCCCTCATCCCGGAGGACCTTATATGTCATTCTCGCCATATCCACACATAACTCGTTATCGACGCTCCAAAGCGTGCCCACCACGTGACGGAATCCCGCCAGCTGGCAAGCATTAGCAAGATGGATGCTTTCGTCAACAGACCCCTCATGCAGGATCTGACCAGTCCCGCATGCCGAGAGGTAGGCGAGGAATGGCGGATTCGAGGTAAGGTTGGTCTCTAGGAGACTCGCCACCGTGAATGGCTCCCGATCCCAATCGTCGAGGAGCAGCTGGCTCTGTAGCGGTTCTTCGGGATGCGTGCTGCCGTGGCCAGCAAAGTGGAACATCCTGCAGGCCTCTAAGGCCGACGAGACGTCGGTCTTGTGCGGTCGAGGCCGGTCGTGCGGCAATCCCATCGACTCGCAAACAGCTACTACCGCATCGACCTCGTCGCTCGCATGTTTCAGCGGTGCCTGTTTTGGCGTTTTCGGCATGGCAACGACAACGGCGTTTCGGGTCTCTCCGGCTGCAAGCGCTTGCTGTGGCCGTCGCCGACTATGTATGATCGCCTTGACGGACGAGGCGTACGATGAGACGACTCTGTCGACCGCCGTCTCGCCGGTGCGCCTTAGATGGTGTCCCGCTGCATGGAGTGGAAACCGGGTCAGTGGGCCGGTGGGGACCCACCACACGTGCGGCCACTGACTGTCCGAAGGAGGTCCAGCAAAGCCTAGAGCATTAAGAATGGGACAGACGATGGCATCCCAGAGCCACCCAAGCGTGTCAAGAGTTCTAAGTTCCCGGGCATGGTCGTTGAGCGCCTCTCGCGAGAGGTTTGGCAGCTTTAGCAATCGGACGCCGGACTGCTCAACGAGCAAGGCATCGCAGCGATACGAGCTCACATTCAGGACGACAATTGGGCCGGGCCGTGCAGCCTCTAGAATATCGACTTCCGACGCGGAGAGCAGGAATCGCTCAAATCTGGACTTGGACCGGATTGTTTCAAGGAGACGGGCAAGCCGGGGTCCAGCGTCGCGGCGCCAGTCGCCTTCCGTCTCTGCGGCCGCAGTGGGGTGCTCGGCTGTAGCGAGGGAGTCCGCCGGCAGCGGCGCGTCTAGTTGATCTCGCAGGTCGATAAAGGAACGCGCCAGGTCCGGATGCGCGCGTTCGAGAGCGGCAAGGTCGGATTGCTCGAAGAGAGCTCCCGCTATGACACCACGACCAGTCTCAAGCAGTTCGATAGCAGCAGCAGGGCCTCTGTTGGCATGAAGAGCAATGGCTGCCGCATCCGACGACAGTCCGACAACGGCGGAGAGGAGGTGCGTCTTGTCTGAGTTCTGCAGAGAACGGGGCGTCAGTAAGGGAATCAAGTTGATTGTTGTTTTGGCGATGGCGTATGCGTGTCGATCTTGAAGTATGCCTGAGGATGACAGAAGACGACGTCCAGCTGCGACATGCAAGCTCACCGCGGAGGCGGATTGATGCAAAGCAGCGACGAAGCATTCCTTGGCGTCCTCGAGGTCAGCCATGGCTCCCATCCGCGAGTATCGGTTGCTTAGATGAGCTCCGAGGTTGTTCGCAAGCATAGCCCCGTCCAGATGATCTGACGGGATGGCATCGATGGCTTCTCGTCCTACTCGGACAGCTTCCTCGATGTCTGCCATCTCTCCAGTCTGTGAGTATCTGTTTCCTAGATGCAGTCCGAGACTGTTCAAGTACAAAGCTCGGCTTGGATGATCTAGCGGTGTTGCATTGATAGCTTCTCGTCCTACTCGAATGGCTTCCTCGAGGTCTGCCATCTCTCCAGTCCCTGAGTATCTATTGCCTAGATGATGTCCAAGGCTGTTTAAGAACATGGCCCAGTCTGGATGATTTGACGGGGTGGCATCGATGGCTTCTCGTCCTACTCGGACAGCTTCCTCGATGTCTGTCATCCCTCTAGTCCGTGAGTATCTGTTTCCTAGACGATTTCCAAGGTTATATAAGAACATAGGCCGGCCCGGATGATCAAGAGGGGTGGTATCGATGGCTTCTCGTATCACGCGAATGGCTTCCTCAAGGTCTGTCATCGCTTTAGTCCGTGAGTATCTCTCGCTTAGGCGGCCTCCGAGGCTGCTCAGGAACATAGCCCGGCTTGGATGGTCTGACGGGGTAGTATCGATGGCTTCCCGTATCGCCCGAATGGCTTCCTCAAGGTCCGCCATCGCTCCAGTTCGTAAGTATCTATTGCCTAGATGAGTTCCGAGGTTGTTCAGCCGTCCAGCCCGGTCTGGATGACCTCGCGCAGTAGCATCGATGGCTGCTCGCCCGACTCGGATTGCTTCCTCGAGGTCTGACATCGCTCCAGCCCGTGAGTATTTGTTGGCTAGATGAGTTCCGAGGTTGTTTAGCCATCCAGCCTGGTTCGGATGGTCCGACGGGGCGGTGTCGATGGCTTCACGTGTCACGCGGATCGCCTCCTCGAGGTCCGTCATCTCTCCAGTCCGTGAGTACCTGTGTCCTAGACGATTTCCAAGGTTATTTAAGAACATAGCCCGGCTTGGATGATTTGGCGGCGTGGTATCGATAATTTCTTGTCCTGTTCGGATTGCTTCCTCAAGGTCTGCCATCGCTCCAGTCCGTGAGTACCTGTTTCCTAGATAAGTTCCGAGATTATTCGTGAGCATAGCCCGGTCTGGATGATCTGACGGGGCGGAATCAATGGCTTCTCGTCCTACTCGGATTGCTTCCTCGAGGTCGGCCATCGCTCCAGTTCGTAAGTACCTGTCGCGTAGACGAATTCCAAGGTTGTTTAGCCGTCCAGGCCGGTCTGGATGATCGAGTGTGGTAGCATCGATAGCTTCTCGTCCTACTCTGATAGCTTCCTCGAAGTCTGCTATTGCTCCAGTCCGAAAGTATCTGTCGCCTAGACGAAATCCGAGGTTATTTAAGAGTATAGGCCGGTTCGGATGGACTAGGGGGGTAGCATTGATAGCTTCACGTGTCACACGAATGGCTTCCTCGAGATCTGCTATCGCTCTAGTCCGTGAGTATCTGTCGCCTAGACGATTTCCGAGGTTGTTCAACCATCCAGCTCGGTCTGGGTCATCCGGCGCGAGAGTATCGATAGCTTCTCGTCCTACTCGGATCGCTTCCTCGAGGTGTGCCATCTCTGCGGTCCGCGGGTACCTATCACCTAGAGGACTGGCTATTCAGGTAATTCGAGCCCGAAGTCTTTGTCAGGGAGGAAACTTACCCACCTGTCTTCGAAGTTTTAAAACCTAGAATATAATCGGTTCTGATGGCGAATTATGGTGGAAGGTGCATCATTGCCTTCGACCTCTGCCTCTGCCTAGAATCACGGCCGAGCCACGCACCCACTGCGGCGAGCTTTCACATGCTTAATTGCCATAAGGAACTCCTGGCGCTTAATACTGTGCAAGTTTCGTGGCTTGGCGCACCAGCTTTCAGCTGGCAGAACTTGACTTTGTCGTAACCCCCCTTTGGAGAAACTGACCTTCTTGGGTGGAGCTCTCCAGTCATAGCAGCGTCATGGCTCGTATCAAGACTTTCAGCTGACGCAAGCCTCCAAAGTTAGATTTATGACTCGCAAATCCACTAGTGCAGGGTAGCCACATGCTCTAACCTGGTACAATTGTTCATCACCTTCTGTGCTCGGACTTAGACATGCATGTGGGCGTCGCGGTGGAATATCTCCGTCAAAATCCTGTTTGTCCGTCATCCTTAAGGTTCCATGGCTAGATGCGGGAAATGGTTCACTACCTTGGAAGCTCAGACACCATCAAGTCGTGGATTGAGACTCCGCCGCCGCCCGAAAACATGCAAATAATAAGGGCTCCACTGCTATCTGCTTAGCAGGAGACAGAGACCACCAGTAGTGCATCATGACCTCCCAAACCTCCCCAAAGCGATTTGCCTTGCTCGTCGGCATCGACCTGTATTTGAACGACGGCTCAAGAAAGAACAAAAGTGGAGAACCACTCTTTCTCGGAAAACTCCGAGGTTGTGTCAACGATGTCTGGGCGGTCGCAGAGTTGCTTCGAATGAATTCCAACTGACGAAGCCTCGCATCCTCACTTCTCCCCCGACCTCGTCCAGCTTCACGTGTCCCACTGAGCCGACAGAGCTGTCCGATCGTCGACCCACGTTCGACAATATCAAGAGGGAATTCGACACCGTGGCCGAGCAGGCTGATGCTGGTGATCTCTTCTTTTTCCAATTCTCTGGGCATGGGGCACGGCTGCGACCGACAGAAAACTCGCCCCCCGGGGAGCTGCCAGAACCATCCCTGATGACGATGGACTTTTGCTGCGGAAAACCCGCAGTGAGAGGATGGCAACTGAACGAGTGGCTGAAAAAGCTCAATGAGAAGAAGATTCGGACCATTGTCATACTCGACAGCTGCCACTCTGGTGGCGCCTGGAGGACTGGCGAAAGCTTTCGAACTCCAAAAGGCTGGACGGACGTCCCCAATCTTCCTGCCGATGAAGAGGCCATCACAGAGACCGCTGCCACATCGGGCACCCGCGATGGCGAGTTGGAAAAGTCCTGGTCCATCAACCCTGACGGATTCACGCTGATGGCAGCCTGCGAAAGTGATCAGCTGGCCGCAGAAAAGACTGTCAACAGCGCACCTTACGGCGCATTCACCCATGGACTCTTGGCGTGCCTCGGGCAGAACCGACCAAGCGAGGCAATTGTGACTTATCGGAATCTGCGCGACCAGATAGTCAAGCGAGTCAACGGACAGACTCCTCGGGTGTACGGTCGAGACAGGCTGGTATTCTTCGGATATGAGGAACCATTCTTGCCAACACCCATCGTCGTGGGACTTGAAGGAGATAGGATTTATCTTCCCATCGGAAAAGTTCATGGTGTTCGAGAGAGATCCGAATTCACAACTTATCCGCCTACGGCGCACGCAGCGTTTTCGGTGGATCAAGTCGACGACTTCGAATGCAGTGCTTTGGCTCCATCCGCCCTCCACGCGACTTTACAACGACACCACTATCGGATCGTTCCGTGTCGGTGGAGTTTGGGAGACGACATTCTCCAGGTGCTTGTCCATCCTAGCCTGGAGAGTGAATTCAAGGAGGTGCTGCATGCGGCACTTCAGGATAGGATTGTTGGAGATATCCAGATCACCGAACTCAACGACAGCTACGGACCCGACTCCGACGCGTTCAGGGTGACAAAACGTGACAATGACGGCATAGACCTCGCCGGGTCTCCGTCTTTGACCGGGTACAAAGGTCCAGTGCGCGGGTTAGACCTCACCGACGTCAACATCGCTCAGCGGGCCACAAAATCTGCCGTTGCTTTGACTCACTTGACCCGGTTCAGACAAATCCTCAACCTCAGTGGCAACGCGTCTCAGCAGCTTGGACCGTTCGAGCTGACTCTGAAGCCAAAGATTTCCGGAGGCAACCTCTCAGGTGGCCAGGGAATAGAGTTCGTGTTCAGGAATACAACCGAATCTCAGCTTCACTTCACGGTCTTAGTGCTCAGTTCTGGATTTCATGTGAAGCAGCTTTACCCTTCGCAGGATATTCCCGAATCGGTGGAACCAGGCACCAAGGTTCCGTTCTCCTTTAACATAACGATACCTGACCCGCTCAACGGTCATGGAGAGCAGCGAGACATAATCCGTACAGTTGTCACGAGAGGCATGCAGCTTTCCTGGAAGAGCCTGGAACTGCCTGACATCTGGAATGCTGATCAGTTGTCCAACAAGCGTAGTGACAGAGGCGCGAATTTGCTGTCTGAGTGTACCGTGTGGGTCAAGGACAACGTTATATTAACAACAAAACAAGGTGAAGGAGATGAGGTCTACTGGATGTCACACTTAGATGGTTAATCGGACAATGTCTCTTCTCTTGCCTCCGTTCGTCGATGGAAGCTTCGGCCTCTTGCATCGTTCGTAGGCGCGAATCGCGTCTGATCAAGATGCTTGTTGCCTTTGTGGTTGCTCCAGCTTCTGCGTCGCGACTCTTAGGCGTACTCATCGTTCAGGCGCGACCAGCCGATTCCCTTCGTGAAGTAGGACGGTCCTGCAGAAAGTGGGATACTTTACGAGTGATCGTTCACCCCCGGTGCCAGAATATACGTGGCCCTGCAGGTCAGAGTGGCGAGGTGCACACAATGCGAATATGCATAAAGTCCAAAGTACCGCTGCGCTTTGCGTGACAAAGCGCAGCGCAACAGGGAGGTTTACTGCGAGGAGCGGGTGGGGCCGTAGACAGGGAGGTACTGTTGGTGGCTATAACACATGATAATCCCAGCAATCTGCATGCGGCTCCTATTTTGCAGATTTCAACAGGTACCTACCATAGTAGGCTGGAAGGAAGCTTACGATCCCCAGTTTCTGCGAGATCACTGGGGAAGCGGCGTACGGAGTTTGCCGGATACGAGGAAGCACATAAACTTTGTTGCGCATGTCTGATCACCGTGCCGTCGCCTGTGATCCTCGCCCATGCATTCGCGCGGGAACTTACCATCACAAAGAGTTTTTGGACCTGTAGAGGCAAAGCTTGCCAGGTCTGGCGAGGTCACCTTCCACAAACACCATGCCGAAAGACATTCCAAAAGACATTCCACGGAGGCGCCCGCATGCCTTCGGCCAGCCCAAGTGCGCTCGCAGGAATTAACGACGAATGCACCAGGGTAGAGTAAGTTGGAGACCGTTGACTCATGGATTCTTGAAGTCACAAATCAACAGAAACTCGCGGGCACCTTCCGGCATAGCACACGCTGACCTGTCAACTTAAAGACTTGAGATGAGCCAAGACGCAGGTTTTGTCAGCCGAAAGTTGTCACATAGCACAATGCGGGGCCAAGTCACCAAGATGTGTAGTCAGCATCCGGAATACATACCGCGAGCTGGCCTATCAGCTGAAAGTCTTAAGACGAGCCATGACGCTGCGTATGGCGAGAGGGCTTCCAAAGAGTGTTTACGACGAAGGTGGGTTCTGCGCTAGCTGAAAGCTGAGTGCGCCAAGCGATGAAGATGACCAAGCAGCATTGAGTGCCAGCAGTGGCTAATGGCAATTAAGCATGCTCGCCGCAGTGGGCGCGTGGCTCGGCCGTGATTCTAGGTAGCGGGTCAGGTCGAATAGGAGTGGCAAACCGGTCGCGGTTTGCGCAAAGAAGCCTTGAGGAACGACGTTGGATATTGGCTGATCATGAATAGAGGCAGAAGAACATTATTATCACACTTCAGATGAGTTCAGAATTTGAATTCTGCTCCGTCGGCGGAGAAATGGCTTGCAGTAGTGCTGGTGGGTCCGTTGGCGACATGTGCATATATCTACGGAGGCACTACCGTAACAACTCAGTAAACTCGGGCAAGAAGCGCGCCCTATAAAAGGCACAGACTAGGGGGATTGGCCAATTAGATTAGGAGCTTATGCCGATCTGCCCCAGAGAACAGCACGTGCAACCAATTAGATCAGGACTTTCTGACATTTCTGCGGTTAACAGTGGAAATATGCACTAAATGTGGGGGCGCTACTTGCCCGAGTTTATCTTGCAACGTCACAACAAGAAGCAACCAGAGCCTGAAATGTGGAGAAAATGAGGGGGTTGTGAGACAAACATGATGAAACCTTAAAAGGCGCGATGATCGAGTCAGCCTGCCACCTTTCCTGTACACGTGAACAGTGTATGTTTGCGGAGGAGGCTCGAAGCACTGAGCAACGCGATGGTCAGGGAGGCAGAAATCTGGGACTGGTTCGATGGATGGATGCGTAGGGCTGACACTGTAACTGAAAAATGAAAAAAGAAGCAAAATAATTACGCGTCAAAAAATGGGGGAAGACATGACGCCCACTCATTCATAATCGTGAAGGGTCGAGGTGGGGAAAACCATTATCAGACGAGAAAGGTCGGAGGAAACCATATGAAATGATGCGACTGAAAGCCAGGGCAGATGGCAAAAGGAACAAATCAAAGACAGCATAGGCACGTGACCAAAGACGACCAATGAGGGGACCAGGTTCGGGGAGGCGGGGGAGAGGCCCCCTAAGAGCCTTTTCGTCTCTTCGTTCCTCAAGGCAAGGAAATGATGCATCTTCCACTATCCTTCGACGCCAGGAACGATTTTATTCTGGGGTTTAAAGCTTTGGAGATAGGTGGATAAGTTTCCTTCCTGCCAAAGACTTCACACCCGAATTACCTAAACAGCCAGTTCTCTAGGTGACAGGTTCTCACGGACCGCAGAGATGTCAGACCACGAGGAGGCGATCCTCGTGACACGAGAAGCCACCGATGCCAACCTTCCACATGATCCGGACCGGGCTGGATGGCTGAACAACCTCGGAGTTCGTCTACGAGAATTCTTGAGCAACCTCGGAAATCGCCTGACCATCATTCAGCCTGGTAGTGACTGTCATTACCAGGGGTAAGTTGGGGTAAGCCCATAGTTAAGGGTGGGTTGGGTAAACCCCTGTCGGGTCGAGTGACAGTCATTACCATGACGGTCATTACCACAGGGGTGCAGCCGCACCTGAGACCCCTGATTTGTGTCTGAAGCTAACCTTAACCCTCAGCTAACCCTGTGTGCTGTGCCGTGTCTGCTGCCCTCTCATTAAACAACCCATGACATATGGCGCGGCCTGGACGCGCTCGCCAACCCTGACGGCGGAAAAGGTATCGCAATGAACTAGATAATAACGCGTAGAATAGAAAATACACACCTTATGCATACAATATTTCACTCCTCAATCTAACACTCCAGTCGTGATTAAAGGACTATCTATCCTAGCGATGGCGATACACTTCGAGGCGGACGCTGGTCGCACCGGTGGGCAGGTCGGACTGCTGAGCTGGCCTACGTCAGACGCGAGTAGTAGCCAAGAGCATCGCGTCCTCCTCTGCGTCTCGTGTAGAGTTGGGATACGACCAGACGACGGCATACGACTGCACTTCTGGCGGACGCACCGTCTCAAGGGCGACGCACTCGGCTATATTATCGACTATAGCTACGCCGCCTCGCCAATTGCGAACCCGTACACCGTACCAGTACCAGCCGACGGATCACTATCCATAGACCAGCTGCCGGTCTTAAATGGCTTCAGCTGCTTGGAGTGCCGCTTCCTAACGACGAGCCGGAAGCTAATTAGGGTCCACCGCTCGCAGTCAGGTCACGGTAGTAACTGGAAGGAAGTACGGCTGCAGACCTTATCACCAGGGAGCCACGCTCGGTACTGGGTAGTTAAGGAAGGAACGCGCGGCATACTAGGCTTGGGCACACCTACCGCAACCTCCTCACAGCACGCCTTACTCGAGCGGGTTACGAGGTACGAAGAGAATCTAGCTACGGAGCTGGAGGAGACGCGGCGGACGGTAGACAGCCGGCAGGGAGCCGACTTCAAGTCGACGTGGGTCGACGAGATGGGCTGGGCAAGGCACCTAGCCGGCAGCGACTTTGGCGAGCACTTCTAAGCAGGTCGGAACGTTCTTACGGCGACGGAGCGCGCCAGGCTACGCTGCGAGGCGGATATCTCCGAGCAGAAGCGCCTTCTCCGGCTCGGAGCTAGTTTTGACCGGCTTATTATGAGAGGAATCGAACGGACAGGTCAGGTGCCAAAGGAGGTACTCCGGTACCTAGCTAGTGTGGACCCCGACCGCCCGGCCGGTGGCCCGTTCAGGACGGAGAACGGCCAGGACACGAAGGATCGATATCAGGCCTACTGGAAGCGCTACCTCTACTATTGCGTCCGGACTGGGCGATTCGGCCGAGACGAGGCTGTAGAGAAGTTTCGGATACGATTCAACGATGCCTAGTGGGCTGCAATGAAGGAGATTATTCGGCAACTCGATAGTAGCGATCCGAGCGTCCAGGATAACGATAGTGACGACGCCTCCCTAGCTTCGTCGACCTATATCGGGTCTGAAGAGGCTGCGACTCTAGGGCACGGGCTCGTGGAAGGGGGGGAGGACCTGGCCGAGGACCCGCTCGACGAGCCCGTTATGGCCTTCTGCGTCGAGTCGTTACAGCAGAAGGTCGCCGTCCACCTATTCAGCAACCCGCTCCTGCACTTCACGGTCGTACTCGGGATTAGCAGTAGCCGTAAGACCTACGCCTGGCGGCCAGCGACCGAGTTTACACCTCTTATAGCTGGGCTCGTCTGGTGTGCCCGTCTGATCCTACTAGAGTATATATTCGCGGGTTCAGAAGCCGGCGAAGATATCGACGAGGAAGCTATCGAGCACTTCCGCGCGCAGCATCGCGACTGGCTTACTGACGGCTCGTTCTCGCCCTTTAGCGCGATGATTCGGATAATGACGTACGGCAAGGGCTTCCGGAAAAAGGAAGGCGGTACACCACGGCTGATGTGGGAGGATAATAAGGAGGCGATACGATACCTCGGTAATCGCATCCCGCTTAATGACTTCCGGGTAATGGCAGCAAGTATTGTGACAGACGCGGAGGAGCTCCTAGACCAGCTCATGTTCAGGGAGTGGATTCCGCTAAGCCAGGTCGTCGTGCTCCGCAGAATCAAGGATAGCCTCAGCTTCGAGGGACCTGGGGCGTCATTCGCTACGCACGAAGATAATAGCTGGCTAGAGCCAGGCTTCCGCAGGCTCATCGGCCCATGTGCCACGCAGCTCTGGGATGACGAGGCGGGAATGTTCCGTGCGGCGAAGGTTCAGCAGTGGCTCGGCCAACTCCAGTCCTTCCGCCAGGCCTTACTTGTCAGCACACATACGTGGGGAGGCCAGCCGGGGAGAGGGCCGGAAATTATAACGATCCGGCACTGCGACACCCAGGACATGCTCCGCAATGTCTTTATATTCGACGGCCAGGTAATGCTGGTGACGGACCGCGATAAGGGCAAGGCAATCCGCGGGATTGGCCGAAAGGTTGCCCGTTTCTTACCAGACACCGTTGGGCGACTGATGGTCGCCTATATTCTATGGCTACTGCCGTTCGAGAGACTCCTACTCACGGAGACGAAGGCACAGGAGCTATCGAAGCCGCTCGACGCCTGGCTCTGGAAGGATAGCCGCAAGGGGATCTGGACGACGACGGAGCTCAGCACCAAGCTGGCGGCAGTGACGACAGAGCATATCGGGGTCAAACTGGGTGTGGCTGACTACCGCCACGTCGCGATCGAGCTTGGCCGGCATATCCGAGGGCTAGTCGTCCAGCAGCTAGAGGTTGATATGGGCGACGAGGCCGACTGGGATAACCCGCAGAGCTTTGAAGACGGGCTCACTGGGGAGGCGCGCCGCCAGAATAAGGTGGAGTACGTCTGGGACTTGCAGGCCACGCACGGCAGCGCGGTCGCGCGTCAGCATTATGCAGTTAACGTCCAGTTTCCCAATCAGCTACAGCCGCAGATGGTAGCCAATTATCGGGAGATCAGTCGGTTATGGCACCAGTTTCTCAGTTTCAACACCCAGAGCACGGCAGGGACCGAGACAAGTAGTGGCGCAGGAACAGGGTCCCCGTTCCGAACGCCGGCGAAGCGTTCACTCGGCCAGACCGGGCTCGGGAACAGTACCAGCTCCCAGACTCTCGACTGGGCCGCGAGACGAGCTATAGTCGCAGAGAAGATCACACGAGTCCGCGGAGACGATAGCAGCCCACTCGCCGCGCGTACAGGCGCGAAGCTTGATGACGGGCTACGAAGGCTACTGGGCCCCGGCGCTAGCTGGAGATCAGACGAGCAACGAGAGGCGATGCAGCAAATTCTAGCGCTCGGGGGAAACCAGGTTCTGATCGTCGTACTGCCGACTGGAGCCGGTAAGAGCGTCTTATTCATGCTACCCGCGATCCAGAGCATGAATGCAGGCGTTAGCATTGTAGTAGTTCCATTCGTGGCACTGACCATCATTCACAGGCAGTTTCTGTCCAGTTGGCGCGTTTCTGCCATTAGAACAGGGGGTGGGCGCTCGGGCTATTGTATTCATTCTGAACCCTAAGTGCGCCATAGTAAGATTGGCACTTGGACATAAACTTACAGTGGGCAGGGATGCTAACCCCCAGGGACCAGCCGCCCCCCCGGCCACTTAGGCTACCCCAATTCCGCTATAAGGTTCAGGTAAGTGAAGGAGAGAGCTGGGGTTCGCACGGCAGACCCCGGACGGGAAAAAGGAAGGGTGAGAGGCACGCGACGACGCGTTGTCGCAGCTGAGGCATAGGGGAGAAAAGGGGAGAGCTCATCATTAGGCTAGACAGGTAGATAGACATAATATAAGAAATATAACAATACTTACGACCATACTTCATTTACGTCATTCGAGCTCTACTGTACAGCGGTAACCGAGGTACTACTAACCAAACCGTCCAGACACGAAACGCGACAGCGACTGCAGCGAGACCAGCACCGCAGCCGGGCAACGTTAGGAAGCAGAGAAGACCATCACGACGACGCCGGAGCGCCCCCGTCGGAAATCAAAGTGTATCTCCACGAGGAGTCGCGCGTACTTATATGTACGGTATGTAAGGCTGGCATCCAGCCCGGGCCCGGCATTGAGTCCCACTTTCGGCGGAGGCACGGCGCAAAAGCAGATGTTTGTGCGCTTCTTGCGGCCGTGGGCGCGGTCGGTGGACCAGCTGAAGATGGTGAAAGGGCGCGTGCAGATCTTGCACTCGGCACCGTAGTCCTCCTTGAGCATCTTGACGTAGGGGTTGTCGGGCAGGCACGTCTCGCAGACCGAGGGGAAGTCGGTCGACTCCCAGCCGGACCGGTTGAGGTCCTGCTTGATCTGAGGCGGCATGGTGGGCTGCTGGCGCCGGCGAAGGCAGCCGGGCTTGTTGTTCGCTGGTGTTTGTGCTGCGACCTGACGCGACTGCCAGAGTGGAAGCGCAAGGCTGGATCGTGAGGATGCGAGATGCAAGAGTCCCTGTGGGGACGGCCGTCTCCAAAAGTCATGTCGGCGCGCGCGAAAGCAGGGCCTGGGCGGTTTTCTGGAAGGCTGCAGATGCCTGGTGGCGCACGCTGGGTCTTATCGGCTTATCAATCATGCTTGGTGGCGTAGGCATGCCCCACACGTCATTTGTGGCTGGTTGGTAGGCTCCATTTGGACACAAGAATCCGGACAGCTGGTGCCAAGGTGCTAATCGTTGCTAGAAGCAGGGCAGTGATGTACGAGGAGGTGTAATTAGCTAAAATAATACAGTGTCCCCTTTATCTGCCGACTTTCATTGGTTTTTCAGGAAATAATTGTTAGTAGCCGGAAACCAGTTTGGTGTGTGGCTGTCCGGATTCTTCTGTCCACATGAAGGTAGGGCGGCCCTGCACGCAATCCAGCGTCGAGTTCGTTGTCCCCAAGCACCAACTCCTCACGCTGACAATTCCAAGATAAAACTCGAGCCAGCAAGGTCACATCCATACTGGGCGCGAGGTCCTCCACGCGGCATGGAGGCAGCACGTAGGTTTCCGTATGCAGACCACAATCACGAGGCCGTGTGTTGTGTCAGCGTGTCGTGGCCGCCGGTGTTATCACCACTAGTCTTACAGCACACCCTTGCAGTGACATTCAGCTCGGCTGACACGTTCATCAGCATATGCACCACCGTCACCACGAGCAAATGCCGCCTCGCCTCCCTGCAGCACGGCCAGTGGGGGTCGGGTCGGATGAATTGAAAAACTGCTGAGCCGAAGCCGAACGAACGCGGCTGGTCCCTCCCCATCCCGCCTGGGTTGTCAGCCGCCCTTTGCTCCACACGAGAGTTTGCGGAGCCAGCTTGGCGGCGTTCTTTGAGTCAACCTCAGCTGCCGGGGGCCAGTCTCCGCGTTGTATAAGACGAGCTGAGTCCGCAACGTCAGTCCAGTGTCCTACTCTATATCTGCAGATAAAGATCACGCCCTGCAATCATCCAGCTTGCCCAGCTCCCGCCGTGAATCTCTGCAAAAAAGTAGACAAAATCCAAGACACACCACCAATGGCTCAAGCAAATACCTCCGCGGCACGCCTCGCCGCCCTGCACGCCCCCGGCAACCCGCTCGTCCTGCCCAACGTCTGGGACACAACCTCTCTCGAGACCATCACTTCCATCAACAAAGAGCCCTCCTCCTCCTCCTCCTCCTCTGCTGATTCTCCCGGAGAGGGCCCGCTCAAAGCCATAGCCACCGCGTCCTACGCCATCGCTAAGTCCCTCGGCATCCAGGACGCCGAGCTTACTTTCGCCCAGAACCTAGCCCGGATCCAGGAGCTCGCCCCCCTCGTGCACAACGCCGGGCTCCCGCTGTCCGTGGACATCCAGGACGGCTACGGGTCCAAGATTGAGGAGTGCGTTGCCGCGGTGGTCAAGGCCGGTGCAGTCGGGGCGAATATCGAGGACGTGGTCCTTGCTTCTGATGATGTCGAGGGAGGAGCCGGGGCCGGAGGAGTAGGAGTAGGAGGACACAAGGGGGGCGAGTTCTACGGCGTCGAGGAGCAGGCGTCCCGGATCCGCAGCGCCATCAGGGCCGCGGAGCAGGCGGGTTGTCCTGGGTTTGTCGTCAATGCGCGGCACGACGGCTTCTTCTTGCAAGGGGCCACGGGTAAGAGTGACGAAGAGGTGATGGCGGAGGCGGTGACGAGGGGCAAGGCGTACCTTGATGCTGGGGCTACAACTGTGTTCTTCTGGGGCGGCTCGGGCAGAGGGCTGCGGACGCATGAGGTTCAGACGCTGGTCAAGGAGTTGGGTGGGAGGGTGGCTGTCATGTTGGGTGCAAAAGGGAGGCTGAGTGTCAAGGAGCTGGCGGACATTGGGGTCGCGAGGATCAGTGTTGGGCCGAGTCTGAGCTTCTTGAGTCCCGGGGATGTCAAAGGCGTTGCGATGAGGATTTTGGGCGGCGGTGCGTTGGTAGAGTAGGTGTTGACACTTTTTGCACATGAATGGTACTGCCTGAGGCGAGCAAAAGTGGAAAAGCGAGAGAACTATCCTGCCTGCTATGAATATCTAATAGAATATGTTGTGAGTGCAAAAGACACAACGCTGAGCTCGGTATGGCCTCTGCCTCTGCAGTCCTCTAGGACAGAGCGCCATCGCCCTTTAGAGCACATCGCACGCTCAGGTCAGGTCAATAACCTCCGGAATGGGTTTCCCAGCTGGCTTTTGTCCTCCATTGGCCGCAGCCCCGTTTCCCGGCTCGTCCTCCACTGCGCCATCCAGAAAGGCTAGCTCAGTCAGAACATGGTGGAACGAAGGATGCTGGCTTAGAGGGCCAATGACCCTCTCCAGGATTGCGGCTCGAAAGCTTGCATCGTCCAGATCGATACATGCCGCATACGCGTCTTTGATCTCCGCAATGTACAGTGTGGCGAAAGGATCGAGCCGATAGCTCTCTAGCACTGGTGAGCCCCAGACCATGACATTGTCAACCCGGTCGATCCGCGTGCCGATGTGTTTGGCTGTATTCCGCTTGGGCAGCAGGCAGAACTGGTTTTGGAGGATATCGTTACACGCCGCAGCGTCCATGGTCCGAGCCTCATGGTCGAAGAACGCCATCGGGTGTCTGTCCGACCATGTGCGACGGTGGGCCTGTCGCAGCCATTGGACAACACGTTGGACGATATTACTATATGCTCTGAGCGGTGGATTTCCGAGGCCCGGTTCAGCCTCCGGTTCGTGAGCATACACCGGAAAGATGCTTGGGGAGGAATCCCCGGAGAATACGTCGGTCTCGGCGATCGTTCGAAGGATATAGTCAAAGACTAATTCGAGCCCTAGCCTTGATTAGCTCACTATGATCTAAGGACCTTCTGAAAACTTACGATCATCAAGCAGAGCGTCACGCAGTACTTACCATTGGCACGGGAGGCGGATGTTGTGTCCATATCTCTTCGGCCGCGCCGGTTCTAGTGATCCAATCGGTAAGCCTCTTCGCGGAGATTGGAGTAGTGTAAGTGATGGTTCGTTAATCAGCAAGAGTGCAGGACGCGTCAAGATCCTGATCCACGGCGTCGCCGTTGGGAGACGTGTGCGAGCATTAAGCAAGACTAGAGGAGTTGCACTTGCCATTAAGCGGAGTCGGTCACAGTGGGTGAAATCAGGTACAAGCATAATGTCAGCCTACGAATCTGCCTGCATGAGGCTGGACTGCTGCAAGTATAAGGGTCCCTGACGGACCAGGATCTGCGTAGCGCTGCATGTCGCCAGATGACCTGTTATGTCCTTTGCACCAGTCCTGGTTCTGGACCATGCCCTGTGTATGAGATTTGGAAGATGATGCATGCTTGAGCGAACCAGGAATTTGAGGGAAGAAATCGCTATAATGTAGCTGCCCTATTTGTCACGGCTGGTATTACTTATTCTCGACAGCTAAGGTGCAGAAAGTGTTGAACAGTAACGATGCGCTATGATTTCGATGCTGTATTTAAGCAGGCTCACTTGCTTTGACCGCGTCACTCCCGTCTGCTCTATGCTTTTTGGTGCCGTTGGCAACTTCCAGGTTCTGCATGTCTTGAGATATACTACTGAACGGACACGTCCTACTAGCCGGCCTGGGTATGCTCGAAGAGTGGTGAGCCGAGCTCTTGCTAGTAACCTCCTTATCGCTAACCTCCTCGAGGACTTTCTTGCTGTCGAAATACCCCTCCGCTTTAACTATTGGGTGATCCTTGTTCAAGTTCTTCCCTAGCCCTTCCCCATCTTCCGCCTGGTGGTGCTGTTGCTGAAACTCCTCCCTATTACGAACATGCTACTTCGCTATAAGATCGTTCTGGATCCAGATAACTTTGCCCAGGGCCTTCATAATCGCAATCTTGCGGGATAGACTTAACCGCGGATGCGACAAGATGGCCTCGGTCATAACCTCGTGGATTAGCGCTATCGTGGCGCCCAGGTGGATGTACTCGACGTGCAGCGGGTGCTCGCGGCCTAAGCCGACGTGCATTATGCCGACCTTGTTGTAGTACTTCCAGTACTTGAGCCTGCTGGGGTCCGAGCATAGCTTGGCCAGGTACGCCCGGAGAAAGGCCTTGCGGTGCAGCACCTGCGGCGAGTCCTCGGTCGGGCTTGCGTCCAGGTCGCCCTCGAAGCTCGTGGAGCGCGTGGTGAAGGCCCGCGCCGTAATGTCGTACTGTAGGAGCTTCTTATAGACGATGTTGACGACGGCGGGGATCAGGATTTTGACGTATTTCGAGGCGTAGATCAGGGCCTCGATGTTATCTACGGCGGCCGGAGTGGTTAGTGTGCTGCGTTACGAGGCTCTTGTGACGAGCGGGAGCGCCTTACCGCTGCTATATCACGGGTGACGTTGTCCATATTGTGATCGGTAACGAGGACCTGATAAGTGATTTCGGGGTTGTCATATCTCCGGGGGTATTTCATAGTCTGCGGAATTAGCAGCGAGAAGCCAAGTCGGTGGTTCTGGTGGCGACGAGTACGCGCGGGCAGTAGCGTGTATGCTACACTCTACGTGCTGCGTTTGCCATCTCTGACGAGATCCGGCCCGAGGCCGTCGCGGTTGTCCGAGCTCTGCGTGCATAGGGTAAGGAAGTGTACATGCTGACAGGCGACAACGCTATCACGGCACGGGCTATCACCGCGAGAGTTAGCATTGACGCCGATAACCGCGTAATCGCCGGCGTCAAGCCAACCGACAAGGCGCGCTATATCATGCAGCTCAGGGACCTGACGACGGGCGCGCAAAAGGGTAAGCGTTGCATTGCGATGGTCGGCGACGGCATCAACGACGCGCCGGCACTAGCGGCGGCGGACATTGGCATTGCCATTGGGTCGGGGACGGACGTGGCTATCGCCGCGGCCGACTTTGTCCTCGTGGGTGGCCACCTGGCAGGAGTTGTGACGCTGCTTGCGCTGAGCCGCAAGATCTTCTAGCGGATCGGCTTTAACTTTGGCTGGGCTGCGGTCTACAATATAACGGCGGTGCCTGTGGCCGCGGGCTGCCTGTACTGGATCGTGTCGAACGGGGAGCATGTGCGGCTCGACCCGGTATGGGCGAGCCTGGCGATGGCGCTGAGCAGCATCAGCGTTATTACCAGCTCGCTGCTGCTCAAGGCGCCGTGGTACCTGGGCGGGTTCAGGGTACGGAAGCTGGCTGAAGCCTGATTGTGCTGTTACGGATCGTGGATTGAATTTAATTTAATAGCATCATATATTAGCAAAGCTTTACGCACGGCATAATATCCAATCATTATTTCTTTTAGTGTTGCTCGAACAAGGAGCTCGATTCTCGGTAAGACATATATGCAGCATTGCTTACGATGGAGATGCTCACTACGCCGCCCGTAGGGTCATCTCCAGCAGCTGCACTTTCCATTAGCGGGCTTAGGGAATACCTAACCCTGCTTTTTATCAGGGGCCGGTAAGTTCCGCGCCTAGGCGGGGTAGTGCCTGGGCTGGGCCGGGCCAGCGAGGCCTGGTACTAGGGGCACGGACTCGGTGCCAGACTGAAAGCTTATTATCTCGCCCGGTATAGAACTTGTGTCCCGTCCCGTCCTACTCCGCCCTCTCTCGGGGGCCGGCTACCACCCGTAGGTGGGAGATGGGGATGATTGTGTTAAGTAGTGGACGGTAGCATGTGCTATTGATAAGTAAGTCGCTCCTGTACGACGATGAAGAATAGTTCTTCTTAGCACAGGCGAAAATGAGGGACGGCACATAGTGGTCCTCGATCGAAACCCAGGCTTAAGGAAGCTAAGCCCGGCTGGAGGGAGCCGAGCATCCCTATTATTATACGAACTTTTTTTTTCTTTGCTCTCGGCTGACTAGCGGCGGCGCGGACGGGGCCGAGTCTGTAGCATAGCAACCCCCTCCGTTTTTTCTCTAGGTACTTTAAGTAATTAGTCCCTGAGGTACCCGGCCGCGCCCAGACACTCATGGCGTACGGAGTAAGTTACAGGCGGGCGGAGCAGGCATACGGCGGCCGTACGGGCAGCACGGTCTTCCGGGCTAAGCGGGTTATTAATCCAGCCGAGCGCTAAGTTAGTTACCATATTATAATCAATCGCCCACCCCAAGGTAGGGTCGTGGTAGCGGTGCCTTTTAGCCTCCACCCGTCTGCGTCCGCCGCCGCTATCGAGTCTAAGTTAAGCTCTGCGACGCAGCTAAGGAAATTCAGCCGAGTTCTAGCGATGTGTCTCTCCGGCCCTCTAGCAGCTCTGATCCTTGCGCGTTGCCGGGGTGGTCCCCCTACTAACTGACGCCTGAGATATCCCGTGCCTGCCGCTAAGGTGCCGGGGTGGGGTGTGCCTGATTAGTGGTACTACACCTAGAGTACGAGGAGTTACTGGTGTGAGTGGTCGAAAAGAGTAAGATGAGCATGGTTCACACAGATATATATATACACTAGCAGCAGGCTTATTACTGCGTGCAATTAGAATTCCATGGTGGCGCCGCTCCTGCCCCTGCTCCTCCTCTCTAGAGTTGATTTGTTCCTTTTTAAAAAAGGGTCTGGTCTATAGCCGTCGCTCGCCTCCCCCCTAGGCTTCGACGTGTGAGACTTTTCCTCTTGCCGTTGTTCTGTCGTCTGCGCGACTTTAGGTTTTAGTTATCGCTTAGGCCTTCTAAGGGTACTTTAGCTTTGTTTACGCTAGGGCTGTTGTTGGTATTTAGTATTTGGTATTTTTCGTTATTCGCTTAGGAAACGGGACTTTCCGCCTTTGCTAACGGATCCGGTTCTGAATTTCGGTTCGTTCATCTGAGAGCGAGAATCGCAGCTACTCTTGCGTTAGCATTCCTGCTATACTGAGTCTTTACTCTCCAACTATACTTCGAATCCACACCTAGGGAATTACGAGTAAACGAGTAAAAGAACGTAAAGCAAAGGAAAGCAAAAGGAAAACGACACAGATATAAAAAAAGAAAAAAAAAGATGGGTGTCCTGCTAGGCCCCGCGTACGCCAAGCACCTGCTGCTCGCCGGCGTGCTGGTCTTCTCCGCGACCTGGTTCTTCCTCGTACATACGGAGCACGGGAGCAGTACGTTGTCGTCGCTGAAGGGCAGCGTGGGCGGCGCTGTAGGGCACGGGTAGGGAGGGGGAAGTAGAGATGGCGTGGGGAGCGTGTATAATAACACGTTTGGTGTAAGTTCTTCTCGTTTTACTTGCGCCGTAGCGCTGGAAACTGGGTATGATAGGGGTTCTTCCTACGGAACTGCTGAAAAGTTATAGGATAATGATAGATTTGCTGACATCTGTCCCTCCTTAATCAAACCGACAGTTCTAAAAAGTCTTCGCCATCGGCCTGGCCGACCGCACCGATAAGTGCGATGCGCTCAGCCTTATATCCGCCGTCACGGGCTTCACGATAACCTGGATCGACGGGGTCCGCGGGTCGACCGTCCCGGACAAGGCCCTGCCCATCGGCTGGGACCGGAAGGGCGGTATGTCCGATACTAACCTGGGCTCGTAGCGAGGGCATATGAATACGATGCGGCGCATCGTCGACGAGGGCATCACGTCCGCGCTTATTATGGAGGACGACATGGACTGGGACGTCTCCCTGAAGGACCGGCTCGCCGACTTTGCGGGCGTGAGTAGAGAGTTCCAGAAGGAAGGGAGCTGGTTTGTGGAACCCGCTAGCCATAACGCCTCGATCCCCGGCCCCGCGAGCAAGAGCCCTTATAGGCAGGACTGGGATATGTTGTGGATCGGCTCGTGCGCGTCGACGTTTGGCAACCTGCTGCCCGAGCACCTCCAGATCCCCGCCGAGATGCGCGACGACCGCTAGGTCCTGATCGGCGGGGACGCCAGCGTCCCGCCGCGGCACTACCGCGTGGGTAACGCGGGCTGGAAGTGGGACGAGTACCCGGACAACACGCGCGTCGTATACGTGCCCGGGGACAACATCTGCAGCTTCGCGTACGCGCTGAGCCACACGGGGGCCAAGAGGGCGCTCGAGTATATGAGCCTCGAGGGCTAGCATAAGCCGTTCGACAACCACCTGAGCGACCTCTGCCGGCTGCGGGCTAACGGGATGCGCTGCGTCAGTGTCGTGCCGAGCCTGTTTGTGCACCACCGGCCGCGGGGCAGGGTCAGCGGGGACTCGGATATCAACAATGGTGGCGGGGATGAGTTTAGGGAGGTCGGGACGACGGAGAATGTGCTGTACAGCACGAGGCTGAACCTCGCGAGGTTGCTGAAGGGGGAGAAGCCGGTGAAGCAGTGGGATGATTAAGCGAGGGAGAAGTCGGGTAGTTGTTATTCATCGGCGTTCACGGCTAGTGCTGAGTTTGATATAAAGGAAGCCTTTTAAGGCGACAGACGGCTGGGTGTATTCGATTGTACGTAAGAGGCATTGTTTCGCGCTGGCGTTTGGGAGTTCGAAACACGTCCCGGGGAACTCTGAAACACGCTGATTTTCCTAATCCTTCGTAACTGTGCGCTATATATATAAGACTCTGTAGTCCTGGAATAGTGTTCGCTTTTAAGTAATAGCATAGGACAGTGGAATAATCCGGTCGGGTATAACCATTCGGGGGTTCTCCTTATTAGCGTTCTTGGACTTATGGTTTATTGCTTAGCTCAGAATGTACTGGTGTGGTCTCCGAAGCCTGAGAAGCTCGATATCTCTATTGCACGAAATTTTGATTCCCACGTGGAGTTTTAGATTTAAGATAGGAATGAACAGCAACATTAAGATACGCGACTTCTTAACTTCTCATAAGCGCGACCGGTGTTTCGAGTCTTACGTACTTTGTTGTAGTGCCCAGCCTCCCGAAAGTCGCACGGGGAGGCCGTACTTGAGGTTTTCACTCCTCATCCTCACGTTTACATTTGTCCTCAAAGCTGTCATTATCACAATAAGACCGGTCCTATCGAGATGGCTCTCTACAGTTCTAGTTGTTTACCAATAGGCTCCGCGTTTCGCAACTCAAGTGCTTCCCACAATGGCTCAGTAGTCGACTACGTTAGGAATTAGTAACCCTCGCTTGCGGTGTTATACTGCTTATTGCAAGGTTTTGTTTTTATCCCTTTGGCATAACGTAATCCACAAGTGGGTGAATCACACAAGTGGATGAATCAGTCCCCCGCCACTTTCGTACAGGCTGTCTTCTTTCCCCCTTTTCTCCACCGATAATTATAGTACGACAATCAAATGAAAGCGATTTAGTTCTCGCGCTAAATGCGCTTCAATCGAACCCAGAATTGAGCGTACGAAAGGCTGCACAGATCTATAATGTATCCTTCTCAACCCTCCAACGACGACAACACGGCCGACCTGCGCAACAAGATATCCGACCACCTTGCCAGAAATTGACCTCGTACGAAGAGGACAGTATCGTACGATATATAATCGACCTAGATTCGCGATCGTTTCCACCGCGGTTAGGTGGTGTTCGAGAAATGGCGGATCGACTCCTCCGCGTGCGCGACGCGCCACGCGTCGGAACGAACTGGGCCTCAAACTTCGTACGACGACGACCAGAGCTCCGTACGCGTTTTAATCGAAGAATCGACTACCAGAGAGTCCTCTGCGAAGATCCAGACGCGTATCGCGCGTGGTTTAAGCTCGTACAAAACATAATCGCGAAATACGGGATCCACGATGACGACATCTATAACTTCGACGAAACGGGCTTCGCGATAGGTAAAATCTCCGCCGAAACTGTCGTTACAACCTCCGATCGACGTGGGAAGCCAAGAGCTGTACAACAAGGGAATCAGGAATGGGTTACAGTAATCTAGGGTATCGCGTCGTACGGCTATTTAATCCCGCCGTATATCATCTTCGCCGGGAAGGTCCACCTCGACTCCTGGACCGCAAATAGCCCCCTACCGCCCGACTAGGTAATCGCGCTTTCAGAGAACGGTTGGACGACGAACGAGAGAGGCCTAGAGTGGGTAAAACACTTCGATTTCCATACGAAGAGTCGTACGAAGGGTACCTACCGCCTCCTTATCCTCGACGGCTACGAGAGCTACTATTCGGTCGATTTCGAGCTCTACTGTAAGGAATAGAACATTGTGACGCTCTGTATGCCTGCTCACTCGTCGCATAAGCTCCAGCCTCTCGATGTTAGGTGCTTTAGACCTCTGAAACGGGCGTACGGTAAAGAAATCGAAGGTCTAATGCGGGCGTACGTAACCCACGTTTCAAAGGAGGACTTCCTCCCAGCCTTTTATAAGGTGTACAACGCTGCAATGACTAAATCAAACATCCAGGCAGGCTTTAGAGCGACAGGCCTAGTACCGTACGACCTGAATTATGTGATTTTACAGCTAGATGTGAAGTTTCATACGCCGACACCGCTAGGTTCCTCTGCTGGACTACCACCCCCATGGGTTTTAAAGACGCCGAACAACCTAATTAAGACCGAATCGTAGACGAAGTATATTGAAAATCGCATCGTACGACACTAGAATAGCTTACCGTCGTCCATTGTTGAGAGCGTACGGCAGCTGAGAAAAGGAGTTATGATGATGGTACACGAGCAGGACCTTATGCGCTAAGAGCTCGCTGAACTTCGAGATGCAAACGACCGCCTCAGCCGCCGTCGTCGTACGAAAAGAAAGCAGCTGTAGAAAGGAGGGTCCCTCACGATTGATCAGGTAAAGGATTTGAAGGCTCAAATCGATGCGACGCAGCAGTTAATAGCGGAAACGAGTCAGAAGAGTGGTCGTACGAGGAGGCCCGAAACGCGCGCGCGACGCTGTGGCGTCTGCGGGGAGCCCGGCCATAATGCGCGTACCTGTCAGAAAGTTGAGTCTACCTCTGAAGAAGAGGATTCCGAATAGTTTGAATTGATTTGAGGCGTTATGGTTGAATTGACTTATATATTGTCGTACGAGTACCCGATAACTGATTCATCCACTTGTGTGATTCACCCACTTGTGGATTACGTTAAGCCTCTCGAATTAGATTCCCGGAAAAACCTAAAACATGTATTTCGAATATAGGACATTATCGACTTGAGATTCCCGTGATAAGAACGTTGCTTTGCACAAACCCTAATATCGCGCGCGTATGTGTATATGTATAAGGCAAAACTATATCCGAGTATTTAGAAATTGGCAGAGGCTTATTATCGCAGGACAAAACTAAGAGGTCGTGAGCTCTACATAAGAACTGCCGTAGCGATAGAGCTTTTCATTCAGTATCGCTATTGAAAAAGACATTATTGCTCCGCGTTCCGTTACGCTAAATCAATATATCAACAGTTGCTCACAGAATTTCCGTCTGTTATAATCACGCGACTACGATAGGCTACTACTTCGTATCCTAATCCAATAAAGTCCGTAGACTCCCTCACGCTAAACTCTTCCGGACATAAGCGACCAATTCCTATAACACGACGCTCTCATTTCCGACTGTATCATTACCACCGCCACCGCTACCAGCGTTAACGTCTCGACCTTCACCGTCCTCGCCATAGCCTAGATAGTACAGAATGCTATGTCCGTTATTGTCCCTCGCGCGGGGATCCGCGCTTAGGTCGAGCAGGCGGTGAGCTACCAACGCGCTCGCGTCCTGGTGACTCGTGTCGTTCGTGCGGCTCTTCTTGCCCGCCATGTGTGCGGCGATGAGCAGCGGCGTCATGCCCAGCGGGTTCCGCACCTCGAGACCATCGTCATCGCCACCGACAGCGACGCGGGCTAGCAGGAGCTTTACCGCCAGGGAGTCGACCTTCTGGCTCAGGACGTAGTACAGCACCGTTATGCCGTTTTCGTACCGGGCGTTGGAATCCGCTCCGTGGTCCAGTAGCATCTCCACAATGGTCTGGTAGTTGTCGTTGTTATATGTCTGCAGACAGGCAAAGTGCAGAGGGTACATAAGCGGGTCTAGGACGACGTTAATCGAGAGGGGAGGCGTGTATCTCCAGGGCTCCTGCTCCGCGTCGCCTCCGAGGCTGTAGCTCGTGCCACTTGCCCAGTAGTCGAGAGGTACGCGGTCCTGTCTGAAGCGAGTGTTGGGATCGGTATGACCGAGTGGCGGTGATAAGAGTAGGCTTAGTAGTACCGTGTCGCTGCGGCGTATCGCTTCAATTAAGGTAGGCTGGGTAACGGGGGTACCCCGTTCGAGAAAGAGCTTTACGAGAGCGAGGTCGCGAGTAAAGACGGAGATATAGTCTGAACCACCATCCTATATCGGTTCAATGTCCGTATGGACACTATTACCTACTACTCTGCAGAGACAAGTCTGGCCCATACGATTAGCGGCGGTGCTATCCGCGCCGAGGGCTACGAGTCTCTCAACTAGGGTCCTATTAAAGTCGGCGCGCCCGACGCAGTTAAGGGCGTAGTGTAATAATGTGTAGCTGTCCCGGTCTTATATATTAATGTTCGCGCCATGCCCGACCAAATACGGCAGAGCAAGTGCAGCTTTCTACTAGGTAGGGTTGCTGCTTCTGCCTAGCGGATCGTTGTTATTACGGAACAAGCGATAGAGGACCCCATGCCCCTTAGCATCGGCGGCGTTAACGTTAAGCTTAAAGTCGTCCATAAGAACCTATAGTACGTATATGTTCGGCTCTTAGTGGTCGATCGCCGAGAAGAGAAGTATGTCGTGATCGTACTGCATATGGACCTTGATGGCGTCCTTTAAGAGACGTAGCATGTCTGCAAACCCTTCTGAGATAAGTAGACGAACGATCGCGGAGATATCTCCAATGTCTCGGCTAGATATATCCGAGACAATTTCTACTAGAAGCTGCTTAGCTGAAGTATATTCTCGAAGTTGCATTAGTCTTATGAACCGCATATTCGCAGGAATCTCTGGGTTCTCGGTCTTAAGACGGTCTGCGATTCTGTGCTGCTAAGGTCTAAAAGTGCCTATATTGGCTTCCTGGCTCGTCTTATAGGTTCTATAAAGGTTATGCTTGGTCAGAAAGTTGGTGCGTGTACGGGACAGCGTCCCTAGGGCGTACGCTGCCTGGCTGGCATTAGCCAACTTAATCGCCTGGTCGATTAGGATAATGTTTGCAGGCTTCGATATCTTAAGTAGGGATAAGACCATTTCGTCAATTCGCCAAGGCGTTAAGCCTCTTAGTCTTGTGGCACTTTTTAACCTACGTAGTTGGCTCTCCGTCTCGCATAACGCTAGTATATACTAGCATAAGCTCTCGAACAGGTGGGAGTCGCCGTCTGTCGAGCCGTATCTTATATCGGCCCTAGCTTCGAGCAGTAAGCCAAATATGCTTGGACTGCCGGCGAGGCAAGTATAATAGATCGCCGTTCGTTGCCTAGCATCTTAAGTATTGACAAACGCCCTAAGCGTGACTGCAGCGCTGTATCCAGGCGGACTGTTGCCGACCTGTTGTTTTTCACGGCTGGCCTCAACGGCTTGAAGAAGCATGCTAACAACGTTGCCGTCCGCGTCTTGTACCGCGTAATGAAGTGGTGTGCGTCCCTCTTTGTTAGGTCTCGCTAGGTCTGCACCAGACTCGAGTAGCCTCCGGATGTGATACGCGGACGTGGCGACGGCGAGGTGGAGAGGCGTAATCCCGTCTACGTTAGCCGCGTTGACACGGCTCGGCGCAGCATTACTAGCACGGTTCAGCTGCTCTAGAAGGACGTTAAGGGCTAGCGTCTGGCCGGGACGGTCCAGGTTGATATTGTCCAACACGTCGGGGCGAATGTTGCTGAGGACGTGGAGGGGCGTGCGACTAGCATCGTTTGCCGGCGTCGCGTCAACGCCGCTGGCGATCAGCTCCTCTATCATTCTGACCGTGCTGCTGCCGCTATGGATTGACACTGCGTGATGCTAGAGCGTGTTGCTACCGTTAAGGACGAGCCGGGCCGGGTCTAGTCCCTCCCGTAACAGAGTTTTGAAAGCTCCAATGTCGCGTTTCTCTACCGCGGCCAGGGCTATGGCAGCCCTGTCGTGGAACACGCCGTCGTCTGCTATGGTCGGATGTGCTACTGTGTGAGTGGCTGCGCTGGCTGGACGAGACATTGCTGGCTAGCGGGAGCGGCGGAAGTGGCGTGATAAGGTACTTACTTGACTTTAGGTAATATGGTGATAGCGTCGTCTGTAGGAACCATGTATAACCCTGCTGCCTATAGGACGCCCCCCCCCCCCCCCCCCCCACAATATGTACTGCATGTTAAATTTTGCTCGTGACCTTTCTAATCCTTACTGATTTAAGTATATTCCTAGGACCGTATAAGCACAGCCTATGGCCGCAGCTGTAACCTCGCCCATAGAGGATCGCTCCCGGGCAACGTTGTATACCTGGAGACCCTAGGTCGACCCTACCGTTAGCTTATTCCTGCTGCCTAATGGAGACCGCCGAGCGAGGCTGTGGCCTAGCTGGTATACGGACGGAGCAGGGATGTTGACTGGGTATCCCTATGGTTGTAGTAAGATAACCTCCTATCCCCTTCTGGAAACTAGTAGTGTCGCAGTCCAACAAAATGCCGAGCTTTATAGGCGTCGACCAAGCTTTTAGCAACCTTGGCTACAGAAGAGTAATAAAAGCTTAGTAGGACATCTTAAACATTGGTAGCAGTTGATATACTCGAACCGCACGCTACCTTATGATTAGTTCCTCGGATGTCTTTTTTTTTTTTTTTTTTTTTTTTTTTTTTCTTATTAGGGACCATCGGTTCACTAGGGTGGCTGACATTGGCGTTAGTCGAATACTGTTGGTCGCAATGGGGGCCTCGGGGCTCTATCGCCGATGGCCCTGTGAAGTGTAATTCCGGTGGATTTCTCCGTACGAAGGTGACATCTGGTGTTCAGGGACGGTTATACTATTGGACAAGATTATATACTATATCAGCAACACTGGATCCCTCGACAGTGCTAGCCGTCCATGAGGCTCCGCTCTATTGCAAACCCAGCTCGGCTCCGGACGCGAAGGATAACTATTATGACTTGCCCTACAGGACTATATTCGCTGGATATATAACGGTACTCTTCTAACAGTCCCCTATATAGCTGTCTATGGAGTCCTGCTTAGAGCGCTTTCTCATCTAACGCTGTTGTTCAGACAGAGGCTTGGATCCTAGTGTAGTAACTCTGTCCAGTCCTATCACGATGAGACTGGACGGGCGCCTTGCCGCGGTGCTGGTGGTTACTGCCTGGGACCTTATCGTCCCTGCCTAGGTATAGTCCGCCGGCGCCTCTAACAACGCTACTAACCATCTCGTATTCTTTCCTAACCTGCTCTAACCTGAGACTACATCGTCCAGAGCCTACTGTCCTATAGTATGTGACGCTGCTGGACCGACTAGCTTTTCCTAGTCTCGGATCCTCTTACTTGAGGAACTCGAAAGATGCGATTACATAGTTATCTTCGAGGCCATGCTGCGGTTCCCCCTGTCCTCGCCCGACCGCCTAATAGTCCTCAAGGTATGTACCTCGTAGATAACCGACGCCGAGGCGGCTCCCGGTGCCTTTGGCCCGCTGGCACTGTCTAACGCCGATGTGGTTAATACGATAGCATAAGTCCAGACCGGCTGGAGTGGCCGCCCAGCTTCCCAGCGCGCGACGTCTAACATAGTTAACGCGGCACTGAAGCTTAAGCACTAGGTAGCGCAGAAACCGGACAACCGCCTGACCGCTATCTTTGCAAAGTCTGGCAAGGCCGTCGTCGGACTTTATGCGGGCACCTAGGTTTACAGATCTACGCTTGCCTCTCTTATGCGAGACTTTGTTCACCGTATCAACGACTTAGAGGTGGACATGCCTTCGCGCCTGACTATGTAGGTCTGCGGCCCGACCGGCGAGCGCTCGGCTATAGCGGTGTTTGGAGCTATCGTAGATACCGACGGAGATATATAGGGCGTCTATAAGGCGCTTAGTGGCTGGGTTGATAGCGAGTGCGTCGAGGGTTTCGACGGTAGTAGTATCGCCCAGAACCAGACAATGGCGCTTATCTCTGCGGTACCCCTTACTCAAGACTCCGTTACCGGCCTAGTTGTGAACGAGACGTAGATAAACAGTATAGGCCTACTGAGCCGCCATCACTGGTACGCCAATGCTATCCAAGCTTACCAGCCTCTGCAGTAAAAGAGGAAACGCGCAGGTTCCTGTCGCGTGGCTAAGGTCGACTTTGGTAACAGCTGCTGGTCCATCGCTTAGGAGAAGTGCGGTATTTCACTAGAGAAGCTATACGCCTTTAATGGTATCGATGATTCATACTGTAGCAGTATGGCGACGGGGGATGAGATGTGTTGTTCTGAAGGAGGCGGCTAGGTCCTAAGTAAGTTAAGAGATAAACCCTTGGAGCAATCGAGACTGCTATCCATACCCATCCCTGCGAAATCGCGTAATTGCTCGAGGCTAACTAGGCGGATCACTAGTAATGGCTGCCGATGACGAATGCAAATATACCGTTATCGAAGAGAACGATCGCTGCCTAGCTATTGCAAAGCGTTGCAACGTCTTGTTGAATAAGCTTGTGCAGTTTAATGGTGGCGACCAGACAGCGTTCTGTAATAACTTGAAACCCAAAACCGCAGCTTGCTGTACTACTAGTAAGAAGCCAGACTTCAAGCCCAAACCGCAAGAGAATGGCGACTGTGCTGTGCACGAGGTTAAGAAGGACGACGGCTGTTGGGCCATCGCTGATAAGTATCACCTTAACTAGATAGAGCTCCACCAGCTTAATGTCGGCAAGACCTAGGGCTGGGCGGGCTGCGGCGCTCTTCTGGCTGATTAGAAGATCTGTATCAGCGAAGGGCGGCCTCCTATGCTAGTCCAGGTGCAAAACGTCACTTGTGGCCTACAGGTCATAGGTACGCAACGACCTCAAGAGGGCATTAAGATTGCTGATCTGAATCCCTGTCCGCTGAAAGTTTGCTGCTCAGGATGGGGATATTGTAGTCTTGTAAGTACAGAGGAGTTGAAAATGAGGCTATATTACGAACTACGCTCACCATAGCTATTTACAGACTGACGACTTCTGCACGGATATAAGCATCGACAACACTCCTGGAACATATGAGCCGAATACGAACGGTTGCATCTCTAACTGCGGCAAGATCGAGATTATTAACAACAACACGCTACCGGAGAACTTTATTCGAGTAGGATACTTTGAGGCCTGGAATAGTAACCGTCCTTGTCTCAATATGGACGTCACGGAAGTAAAAGACCCGATCACGTATATTCACTTTGCATTCGGTTATATCAACGAAGACTTCGTCCCTAGTACTGACCCGGAAGTTACCGAGCAATGGGTTAAGTTCCTGGGAATGTTAGGTCCGAAGAAGATTATTTCATTTGGAGGTTGGGTATTCTCTAACGAGCCGGTAAGCACCCCAAGTTAAGCCTCTGCTCTTATATATGCCAGCCGGCGTTGACGAAAAGGACTAATTAGGGAACATTATATATAATGCGACAGGGCGTTAAACCTGCGAATAGACAGAAGTTCGCCGATAACATTATTAAGTTTGTTATTGATAACAAGCTCGACGGCGTCGACTTTGATTGGGAGTACCCTAGCGCTGATGATATTGAGGGCTCCGATCCGGGTACTAAAGAAGATGGTATTAACTATCTGAAGTTCTTGACAACAGTCCGTAATGGTTTGCTAAAGGAGAAGTCCTTGGCTATTGCCGCGCCGGCCTCCTACTGGTACCTGCGCTACTTTCCGATTGACCAGATAGCTAAGATCCTTAGCTATATCGTTTATATAACGTACGATTTGCACGGTAAGTCCGTCCGCAGCCTTATTGCATGTACGGGAGCTGACACCAATTAGGGTAATGGGATGCTGGTAGCAAGTGGGTGTGACGGCCAACCAACAGGGGATGTTTGTTACGGGCGCGAAAGAGCCCAAACAACTAGGCCACAGGATCAGGCCAAGGGCGAGGGCGGATCATGTGGCAGCACCGTCACAGGTTTCTTATGTAAGCACGATAAGGGACGATAAGGAAGGTACGTACCGGTCATGCATATCTGCATGACCGACGCCGTGCCAAGAAGGATGGTCACCAATATCTGCATGACCATCAGGACCAGATTCATGACCTGGCCGCGACCATCGGGCTCAGAGTCATGACCACGATGAAGGACAAAGGATATATAGAGTACGGAGGATCTCCTTGTAGACAGTCATTACCTTTGTACTTCAGCGATCAATCTAAGTATCAGTTTCACCCACACTTGAACTAGTCACTCAATTGCCGAGACTGGTATCTCTTCCAAGAGACACGAACGACAACCCAGAGAGAGAACGACAGCAGAGTGTTAGTTGTTATTGTACAGGCTTTACCTATCTTGCAGAACAGCAACCCCAGCGCCCTGCCAGACGGTTGACCCCGGAGGCAGGATCGTGACAGTGGGCTAGGTGAGTTTTTGATCTTGTCGATCCTGCTAATGTCTGTTATAAACTGGACAAAGATGTCACTAATAAGGCTCCCAACGCCAGCACCGGTTGTGCTAATAGCGATTGTCTGCGGTTACACGTCAACATTACGGAGACGATTAACTCGCTTATAATAATTACGCGAGCCGGCGTGTCCTCGACCAAGGTTATCGTGGGTATTATAAGCTATGGACGTAGCTTTAAGATGGCAGACGCGAACTGCTGGGGGCTATCGTGTCTATACCTTGGCTCGCGTAATAACTCGCCTACTCAACCCGGAAAGTGCACTAACATAGGCGGCTATATTACGAACGGCGAGATTGACGAGATTATTAAGCGCAAGGCCACACCGATTAAGCAGATATTTAACAAGGAGTCTAACTCTAACATCCTTATCTATAACAATGTGGAGTACGTTGGCTATATAAGCTAGGAGAGTAAGGACCGCCGTGTCCAGAAGTATAAGGGCCTTAATTTTGGCGGCGGTAAGATAACGAGAACCCTTCCCGCAATACTAACTTGTCTATTCGAACGTAGCTGACCCCTCTGACCCTTAGCGACCGATTGGGCCGTGGATCTTATGGGAGACACTTCGCCGGGATCTAACGACGACGACGTGGTCTACATCGGCACGCCTGTCTACACGTATCCGTCTATAGGATGCACTGCCCCTTGCACCATTGTGCTGGCCCCGAGCCCGCTGGATTCCAAGACTGTTATCTCGATTTCCCTATACATAACATTACTGCAAGTTGGCACGACCACGACGACAATCACCGTTAAGGTGCCGGCTCAGACACTTACCGAAGTCCCTTTCTATAACGTCCCGATCCCCTCCAATGTTGGGAATCAGACGGTGGTTCAGCCGTACCCCTCGATCACACTGCCTCCTACCAGTGTGCCAGTTACGTGGGTAAGTAAGGGCACGACTCTGACGACCACGAGGACAATCTTTCCTCCACCGTGGCCACAAGTCACGCAGGGACCTCCCGGATCCTGGAGCAACACTGGCTCGCCTTCCAATATTCCCACGACGATAGACGACCCAGTTCCCGACCCTCCAGAGCCTACCGTTCCATTTCCAACGTGGACAGACTAGTACAAGATCCCATAGCAGATCGAGCCCGTAACGGAACCGCCGCAGGACGACGACGACGATGACGACGACGATGACGATGATTTCTTCTTCATCCTATGTGATCTATGGTTCTTTTCGGTATGTATAGCTGCTCGATGTCGAAGTTTTGGTCAAGAGCTGGGGTGAGCTAACATATCTCTAATCCCTCTAGACTTATATCAAGATCGATAAGTTTCAGATTAAGGGATGGAAATAGCGCATCCTAGAGGGTATCATTGGACCGTATGTACCACAGCGCTGCAACGGCCCGGTCAATGACCATCCTCTAAAGAATTTCTGCTAACCACGTCACCAACTTGCAGGGGACCTCCTCCGCCCGGGCTTATTCCGTGGCCAACTGGATGGAACTGGAAAGGACCACGTCTGCCGCCTTGGCCTAAGCTCAAGTAAGTGTTTCCACGTTTACATCACTTCTCTCTAAGTAACGGTTCCTGATATCTTAGTGTCAACCATATAGGATCGGTCCAAAGTCTAAGCCGGAGGTCATCCCTAAGAAGCCAGCGCGCTGCGAGACGAAATCAGCCTCTATATGCATGACTACTACTTCCTACGGCCTCGAAGATAAGGGTACAACTACAATCACTATTACCTTACGCGTAATCGAGACGTGCGTAACCATCTATAGCTGCGCAGTTTCTGACTACGACGAGGCGACGGCAACGGATAACACTACTTGTTCTCTTAGCCGGAGGACGGCCCTAGTAGCACTTGTTCATAGCACCACTGCTACCCCTAGCCCTAATGCACTACAGCCGACGGTGACCAGTAGCCCTGAGCTCGTCCACAAGTCTTTGGACATCCGGTCAGATGCCCTTATCCATCTAAGCCGACGTGTCGACGAGAATAACCCGGCCGCCTAGGGCGACGATATCAGGCTCACGACCGAGTGGTTCTATAGCAGGAACGATGTTATCATCTTTGCTAAAAGTATATGGGACTTTAATAGTGACACTAAGGCGCTGGCCGACCGACTGGAAAAGTTGAAAAACGGACAGACACGGGTGAAAGTCGTGAGGGCACAGTCCACTAAGAGGGAACTTACGGCATTCTGGTACGTCTCAGGGCTGCCCACGGGCCTGCACGCCAAGCTGTTACAGATGAAAGCGGTAGGCCATACCACATGAACCCCTTTTTGCCTGGCACTGGACATTCCTAACAATGATTGCTCCAGGCTGAGGTAATATACGACCCGTCGAGCTTCCGAACGAGGGCATGGTATCCCGGCACTGGCATGGATATCATACAAGCACGAAGTGTAGATGACGATGAGGAAGACTTAATCGCCGGGGAAGAAGAAGAAGAGCCGGTCGCAGGCCCTAGGATCGCAAAGAGGCTAGTAACTCAGTACACGGACTGGGCCAACTCCCACATCTCAACCCCTCCCGAAGCGGACGACTAGGCCACCAACACCGACTTCACCGTCAATCCAGGCGCGAGCTAGGACAACTCCCTGCACAAGTACTATTTCCACGAGTCGGCGGGCCAACAACAATACATATATGTTATTAAGTCGTGCGTCGACACGAAGCATCCCGAGTTCATTAGCATCCGGGTGGCTAGTCCTCTTAAGACGCAGAACTGGGGCCTCGGGTATACTGACGACTACGTCCACGGCACTGCTGTCTCTGCCCTTGCGGTGGGCCAGAACCTCGGCGTAGCACGCAGGGCGATCCTAGTGCCGGTGCACATAGGCACTGCCTTTGAGCGTAACTCGGACCCGGCCGAGCGTTACCTCGAGGTACTTGTTCTCGTGCTCGACAACATCCTGGACACTAACATCCCTAAGGAGGGTAAAGCCGTCGTTAGCATGTCGTGGCAGATCGGAGCTGGAAGCGTGCCTAAGGACTACGGGCGGGTTATGCGGACCGTTCTCGAGGAGATTGCGAGCGAGGGCGTCGTCCTCGTCGCAGCTTCTGGTAATGGGCGCAAGAAAGGATTCAACTCGGACGGCGGCTACCCCCAGCGCGTTATAGGCCAGGGCCATCTTACTGAGTCGTCTCTGGTCGTCGGAGCTACAGACGGCGCCGCACGCCTGGCAGGAATTAGTGAGCGCTTCAGCGATAACAAACTGAACCGCATCATCCACGCCCCTGGCGATAAGCTCAAGGTAGTAGTCGCCGGCGGCTCGCATAAATGGAGCTCTGGCACATCGTACTCGGCGCTAAAGGTAGCTGGTCTTGTGGCCTACTACCGCGGGCTGCCTTCGCGCTAGAAGGACTAGCTTACGGTCGCGAGCAGCGCTAAGCGGCTGGTCAAACTGTTTGAGAGATCCCTTATCATCGACGACGGCCCGTGGAAGGACTAGAACCCGGGTGCCGTCAGCCCTAAGTTCATCTAGAACGGATAGGTGCTCGAACAGTTGTGTCTCCTCAACGGCCAAGACCTCCGGTATAAGGGTAAGCTGGTGTGTCCAAGCATCCCAGATGACCTCACAACTTGTCCGCTGGTGAACCGCCGCTCCGGCGCTGACGCGAGCTAGTTCGATCGGCGGGCGTGTGAGCCGCCCCTAGACAGCCCCGGCGATGGTAACGACGGAGACGGCAGCGGAAGCGGCGGTAGCGGACAGATTGGTGATATCCCTATGCCTCCGCCCATTACCTGGAAGCTAGGCCCGGCCCTGCCTACATACGAGCGTAACTGCGGCACCCATTGTGAGGGCTACTACTATAGCCCTACACCGACTGGCTCTCCTCTAGACTTTTCCGAGCCGAGCCCGCCTCCCTAGGAGCCTGATGACCCTCCGGATGACCCCGACGACCCGCCCGGAGGCGGTGGTGATCCGGGTCCGCTAACATTCTACCTGATGGACGTGACGTATGTTACCGAGCTCGAAACTGGATGGTACGGACAGGCCACTAAGTTATCCAATTGGGGCAACTGTGATGTAATGGACGTGCCGGCTGACAAGCTCGACGGGGCTAAAGGTGACTGGCCCACGTACCCTTGGCCGGAGAAAGAGTTTACCGGCGAGCTCTGCGACAAGAAGCTGAGGTATAAGCGTAAGGATCCTGGCGACTACGACGTCTTCGACCGGGATTCTGGTAAGCAAGTTAGCATCTGTACTAAAGCGCCTGAAGTGGATGCCAAGATCTGTGGCATCTAGATCCAGAGCATATATAACCGGGTTTACTAGTGTACCGGTGCTTGCTAAGTGGTGTTGGGGTGGTTGGGCGACGAGACAAAATTCTTTTTGAGATTTGAAGCTTTCTTATATGGTTGGGGAGACTTGCTGTTTAATGTGGAGGAGGGAATAGGTTGGCTGGGTGTACTGGGGGATCTGATGATTAGTTTACTCAATTTCATACTAACGTTGAGGCGAGGTTTTAAACAGTGAAGAAATAGCAGTTATTGCAAGTGCCTATACGATATCGGTATTCTAGATCTAAAAGCCCTCCTAGCTCTCCTCGTATATGGCAGGAGTATAAACACTTGTTCCCGCAACTCGGTTATGGCCGATACGGTGGCCAGGTCTCCGTCCGTACGGGACTACGTATGTCGAGTTTACTAAACTCGTTTTCCAATGTCTCTGAATACGGCACGATGATGCCACTTGTTACGTCACCCTGAGACCTGGGTTCATCGGATGTAAGAGGTGGGTGGACGGTGACCTTTAATGTCTTCTTAAACTTCTCCAGGCGCTTGCCTCCAACCCGAACGTAGTATGTGACCTTGAACATATATTCCCGCTATATATCTACGGGCGTGACAGAGCTGGGCACGTTGTTGAGAACCGAGCTGAGCGCGATGACTTGTGTCCAATCATTGTCCGGGTTCATCTGGGCGCCTGATGTTTGTGGGTGTCCGGATGCGTATGACGAATCGCTCAATGTCGTAGACGACGATTCTCGTGACGATCGTGTGCCTGTGCCTATACTGTTTCCATTCGCAGCTGTACCTGACGCGAAGATGGTACTCCCGTCGCCCTTAAATTCGACCGTTTTCTCAGAGACAACCCCATCGTCCTCGACAGACCGCTAAGCTGACGTAGACTTTACCTGCACCAGCCCCTTCACCTGCACCTTGACGCCCATCAGCTCGACCCGCACCCGGTCCATGTCCCGCGCCGTAGACCTCCTCTTAGAGGGCACGATCCTGATCTGCAGCACGAGCGGCTGGGAGCGGTGCACGTCGCTCGAGCACGAGACGTGGCAGTCGTACGAGTATAGCCGGCTGAACGAGCCGAGTAGCCTATCCCGCAGACTGGCCCTTTTCTTGCGCCTCCTGCTCCTATTCCCGCTTCCACTCCCGCCGCTGTCGTTGTCGTCGTCGTTGTCGTCGTCGTCCTCCTCGTTAATAAGCGGCAGCGCCCTATCCTTGAACATGAACTACGCGCTACCCGTCTACATCGCGCCACCCACGGCTCTGCGCAGCGGCGCGAGCTCGTAGAGCACTAGTGTGCCCTTGAAGTCCGCGGATACTGGGAAGCCGCCGCGCACGCTCTGGTCGTCGACCTTAACGTCTTGTCCGCCGGGGAAGGTTATGCTGGCTGCTACCTCGTACCGCACGCGGACGTCGCCGAGGGGATTAGTGGTAAACGTTGATAGCGGGAGCGGCTGGTCTGAGACCGTGTTGAATGCTACGTGGTTTTGACATGGTTGTTGCGGGAAGGAGAGCTCAAAGGAGAAGTTGACCGTCTGGGTGGTGGTGGTGGTGGTGGTGGTATTGGTAGGTATAGCCGAAGCGAGGCGTACAATGCCGTCGGACAAAAGAAGCTGCCGGAGGAACAGCGGCACGCGGTCCTCGAAGAACTCTTGGCTATCGAGGTCCCAGCGCTTCACATCTAGCCGGCCCTGCAGGGTGACCATGACGTTGACCCGGCCGTGGAACTCCTCGGTAATGCGCCGTATGTGCGACGAGGTGGGATTAGTGCTGTTGGTGTTATGAGCACCGGCGTCGTCGGCTTTATAGCGATAGTCTAGCTGCACGTGGCCCTTGACTGGGTCGTCCGGGCCGCAGTGCACATGTCCTGGGTTCGCGAGGAGAGCTCGGGCTGTGACTATGCCGTAGCCCATGGCTTGCTGCTATGTACGCTGTCCTGAGTTCCTATCCGTTTCCGCTACTTGTAGCTGATGTGAAAGGACCTGTCGCAGGGGGGAATGTACGTAAAGAAGGTTTGAGATGGTATATCTATAGTCTGTCGCGGTCTCGCACCTGGGAAACGTCGAAATTATGCACTCCACACTTGCACTTTGGCGGCCCTTGTTATTTTAGGCGCTCTTGCGACTTGGCATCTCCTGGTTCTGCCCCAGAGTTGTCCATAATAGGAGAGTGGTTCATAAGCGGGCTTAGACATCGCGGCGACCTGCCAAGACTCGGTGCAGGGGTGCAGGGGTGGCGCCTCACACGCTCAGGTCTCCGAGTGGAGCGGCCAAGGCTTGGTCCCTGGGCTTTCCAAGTACAAGAGTGCTAGGACGGGCTTGGGGACTGCGTTTGCCATACTGGCAGGGCGCCAGCCGGAAACCGACAGTTGTGTAGCCTCGGGCAGGATGTGAGGTGGTACGGGCCTCTACAACCCAATGGTATCAGAATATGATTGTAGGATTTGGTAAGTATATTACCTAGCCTGGGGCTCGGAACACGTTTCTTGCTGAGGCAAGGTACAAGTCAGAACGATATCATTCTCTTGAAACTAAGGCTCGAAAACTACGATTATATGATCACACACAATATAATCACACGCAATCTAATCACACTCGCCCAGCGCCAGGTATGGTGACCACAGAACTCGAAGCCAGAGTGTTCCCACCAATGACGGGGTCGTCTTGAATGTAGAACAAATGGAAAGTCCTCATAGGGTTGATTGAGCTATTCAAACACGAGTGCAAACGAGAGCTCGCCGTCGTAGGACTTATGTAGGTCACAAACCCTGCTCTCATGTGTCAGCCCGCCAGGGCCTTCCATTCATATCCGCTGCATGTGGGTAGAGCTCAGAGGAGCAGTGGACATGACAAGTCAATTGTTGCGTAACTATAAACTCCCACGGCTATGAGATGAACAGCCAAGCTTTGAAAATGAGGTCAAACCGTGTCGGCACATTAGTATCGTAATGACGTTTGGAAAAGAAAAAAGTACCCAAATTAACGTCCCGCCATGTTACACAGTGCCTGCCGAGAAACGAGCGACATCTAGGAAATCGACACCATCTCAATCAGCCATACCTGTGCACCTAGTCTCGTGCTCCGAGCAGCTGTCCATAACCCACCCCTTTCATTTGCGCAGTGGCTCGACACCGCTTAATTCCACCGAAGTGGTACTTGTGAAGTCTCAAGGACACGCGCCAGCAGCGGTACAGGCAAGGACTAGATGGTTCATGTTTAGTATTGCAGCACTAATGCACTCATCGGCATTGACAGGACTTACGGTAACTAACACGAGAAGTCGTCAGCAATGATCGTTCTAGAGAAGTTCATTACAAGACAATTAGAGAAATCACTGTTCCAAAAGACTTACAGAGGATACAGCTCCCACTGCCCGCCGGCACCAATGATGCAAATATAGATGCACGTAGTATACTCGGTCGGATCGCGCGCCTCGAGCTCGCTGTTGCCGTTACCAGCAGCAGCCGCGGCGTTACTTGCTGCTCCGAAAACGCCCACGACGTCGGCAGCGACGGCCGCCTCGAACTGCGCGGCCTCTTGGACTGAAGCCTCGGCGACGACAATGGTGGCCGAGTCCGGCGTGGTCGTGATGAGCCCGCCGGACTGAGTCTCGAGGAAGGCGACCTGCTCCGGGGTGAAGTGGACCACCTGGCCGGCCGTCAGGCCCGGCAGCACAACGTCGGCAGGGACGGTGAAGTCCGCGCCGCCGTCGTTGGGGATTGCGGACGCGGTGGCCGTCTGGATACCCAGGGGCAGGAGGCAGGCAAGGAGTTTGGGAGTGTTAAACATCATGGTGAGAGCGGGAAATTTGAAGTGTATATGCCGTTAGAAGTGCGTAGTTGTTTGTTTGTCTTTGAGCAGTGGTAAACCAAGCTCTCGTAGGCACCGAAAGTATATTTATACATAAGGAATTCCTACTGCTGCCTCTATCTTAACCGAAGCTGGCTCGCTTCAGTTTGCCTCTTTAAGCCCGGCTTCAGGTTATTGGCGCGGATTGTAGGACTTGCCAAACATGGGGAGATAGCAGCATGGTAGCATCGCCCAATGGGTGACTGAGTCAGCAACTCTTACTGATTGTGCCAGTGTCCTACAATTGGAGATTCACGGTAGCTACCGCAGACGAAAGCTTTTCCATGCGATGCAGCCACGAGGTGGGGATGGAGTCGGATCCCTGCTGATAATTCGTTGCTAGCGTGAACGGGCTGAACAACCCCATATGCGCTGGCGCTATTATCTGCTATTATCTTTCGCCGTAAGAGGAGTTACGTGCCTTTTCCATCTTCTTGCTTTTGGAGCTAGGACAGGTCGGCCGAGAGATTCCAAGAGCTGAAGAACTCGAGGCTCATTCATCCACAGTGGCTAAGACATATGTGTGGACTCCTGCTATGATGCCAGGCCTTAAGGCTGAGGGCCAGGATGATATGCTGACGCCATATCTACATTCTGGCTATGGATTTTAACCGAGAAGAAAGGAGACATCATACGAGACGCCATAAGGAAACATGAAAGGCGCTCTGAAAGGCAGTGGCGTTGAGCCTCTGCCTCCTTCCCGGGAGTCATACCGTAGTCCGATCGTGCTTAAGGACAACCATATAAGGCCCGGTTGCCGCCAGCCTGACCTCCGAGAAGAGTATACTCGGCAACCAGAACGACGCAATATCCCAGAAAACACATCCTCTTTAACTCAGTCATATCCTCGGAGATCATGTATACCTCAACCCTGACCAGCTTCCTCGCCCTGACTGCCATTGCAGCAGGTGCTGCTATCGACACCACCGCTCACGCAGACATTGAGACCCGCCAGGTCGGAGCTACTCCAGGGTTCTGTAGCGCGAGTCGGAACTGGTGTGTCACTGTATGTCCTCCTCGAGCTTGCAGCGGGAAGTTGTGGAATGCCGCCCTGGTCCGTGGGAGTCGTACGCGGACCTTGTTGACGCCGCATCTCATTTCATGCAGACTACCCGGACCTACCCGTGCACCGTGGGTCGATGCGTAAGTTTCTTGTCTACCTGCCGTTGTGCTCCAACGTGTGGGCGTGAGCGATTGACCAAAGTTTTCCGGGAACTTAGACAAAGGATCAGAACTCGGTTAGTACTTGCCATTTCCGAGAGCCCATTGGCAATAAGAATATTGGCTCTTATCAGTCTCTCCAGGAATCCCAAGTAAAAGTTCTATGCTAATCTGATGTCCTAGTGTGCTATCATCGTAAGTAGCGGGCCCAAACACCTGAGACGGCAACCGTGGAGTTTCAGAGACGGCAAGCCAATAATTTGACCCTGCCCTGAGCTCTGGACACCCATATCGGTCCTTTCAACCGAGTACGCTTTTACTAATCGACGAGTCGCGATCACGATGTCTTTGTATAGAGCGGTGTAAGTCACACACTCAAAGGCCCTTGGCAGGGCTGGCATCAACTCATATAGCACGACTAATGTATCGGCTACAGTACGGGATTACGGCAGCCAGGTGCGATTAGCTTGTCCAATCATGAGTAGACGTCGGCCGCAACAGCAGAGACGGGGCAGCAAATTGACCGGATGCCGGGTGTCGGCTTGGTGGAGGATTTCTCTATGACCGTCGAGCGTATCCATAAGGCGACCTCGAGGTTGTCCAGCCATACTTTTCGTGTAGCAAGACGAGAAATTCTGAACATCCGGACGAAGGTTTCCTGCTGCTTGAAAGTTTTCTTCTTGATGTGGAATTTCCCAGGGTTGTTATTCAGACGGACCTCGATTATGGAAGGACAAGGGCGAATACGGCGCACACCTGATGAACACGAGCCGTTTTCTAACTGTTGTCCTGTGATGAGCACAACGATGCAAAACTTGCAAATGTTATCCTGTGCTATGAACCAATGAAAGTCAAGGGAAAGGAACCCCCTCACATCCCTTGTGAGTTTTAGGCCAAAGGGTCAAATGTAACGCTCTCGGCTTCTCAAGCCAAATGCGTCTTGCATTCAGAAGGTGATGGCAGGAAACCGGCCCCATTCCGCGATCTCTTGGCAGTGCACTGCCGCCCACCCCATCGCCGAGAATGGGGCCATTGCGCGAAGAGACATCTTACCCTCGACGTTATACCAGCCCTGCGCCCCACAGTGAAGTTCTATACTTGGCGGCTCAGGGCTGCAGTCGTATAGTTACTGAGGATGCGTCCTCACGGTCCGGCACGTGCACTCTTGTCCGGTCGTATATCCCGCCGTAAGCAGAGCCACACGCCTCTAAGACAAGTCAGCTGGGCTTCGAGCTTCAGTCTCTTGCATCTTCCGCCTCTTGACTTGCAGCCTGTCTCCTCGCGACGCACGGGTGCCCATATAGTCGGTAACCAACATGCCCTCCGGCGGCTCCCTGGGCACGCTGCGGCCCGTAGCCATCCTCCACGACCCGACCCGCGTCCACTGCGGCCCAGACGACCCGGTCCAGGGCTACGTGCAGCTCAGCTACATCCCGAGCCGCCAGATGCCGCACGACACGCAGCTCTTCAGCCCGTGCAGGATCTTCCTCACGCTGCGCGGCCGTCTCAAGGTCACCGTCGAGCCGGGCCGCCGCCGCAGCACGCAGCACTCCCTCAGCAACCGCACCGCGCGCGCCCGCGTCCCGCTCTTCTCGACGCCCGAGCTGCTCGTCCACGAGGGACCCGTGCAGCTCAGCGCCAGCCAGGCCTGCAACTACCCCTTCTCCCTGTCCTTCCCCGGCGGCGATGCGACCACCATCCCGGACCATGTCGTCGCCATGTGCGCCCCCTGGGACCCCGCGGACGACATGTTCAGCATGGCACCCCGCCAGCCGCTCCCGCCGACCATGAGCATGCAGCGGGACGAGATTGCGGGCTTCGCGGACCACGTGGGCGCGCAGTATGAGCTCGCCACGCGCGTCGAGATGCCCGGGATCGACGTCGAGTTCAGCTACAACCTGATCGACTCCGGGCTAAACAACAAGCTTGCGCGGGTTGGTGGCGGCGTGTCGGCGTGGCGCGGGACCAAAGTGCTGTACGAGCGGCCGCGCGTGGACAGGCCGGTGCCGGTTGACCTGAAGCATGGTAACGGGTGGCTGTTCGTCAAGGACCGCGACCTGGTGCATGCTTGCGATGCTGCAGCTGCCGCCGCCGCCGCCAATGACTCAGCATCGTCCGGGGAGGAGGAGGAGGAGGAGGAGGAGGAGGAGGAGCGGGGTTCCGGGCGAAGACGTCGGCTCTGCTCAAGGGGTCGCTTGCTTGGCGGCCGCTGTGTGTGATCGGGTGGCAGATTAGCTGCGCCAAGGACGTCCACAGGGGCCAGCCCCTGCTCGTCCAGGTCCGCGTGCAGCCGTCCGAGAGCAAGTCGACGACGCTCGTGATGCCGGCCATCGAGCTTGTCAAGGTCACCGTGGCAGTGGAGACGCGTGTCCAGGCGAGAGTGTTCGCCGAGGCTCGCGGGCAGCTCGAGTTCGATAAGAACGAGCCCGCTGCCGAGGAGACTGTCTTCGTTTGCAAAGTTGGGCCGCAGAACGACCAGTCAAGCCCAGCAGACGGGAGGGAAGGCAATGGGAAGTCCAAGGGTGAAAGCGCAATGGGCAATGGACTGTTCAGCGCGGACAACGACTGGACACATGTGCTGACGTTCCTGACAATCACCAGAAATCTCGGCAGCTCTTTTACGTCGCCCTGTATCCGGCGGACCTACATGTTCAGGGTCAAGAGCCTTGTGCGCATCGCCGGGATCGACCGCCACGAGCAGTTCGAACAGCCATTGCCAATAACGGTACACACGCCACTGTCCGAGCATAGCGGCGCTAGTGCCGGCAGCTTGAGGACGACGCATGATGGGATTGGTGCTCATGCCACTGGAGTGCACAGAGCCGAGACCCTGCCGCAGTATGAGCCATAAAGGCTATATCCAAATCAGACAATTCGGACATAGCCGACCCGTCTAGCGCCATGTTTGAATAGCTTTGATAGCCAATCACTGAACGGCAACATCCACTACAAAGAATTCCGAACAATTCTTAAGAACATTCGAACTGCCGGAACGTCTATAGTCTATCCTCGTTGCTGCACACGAGATATTCTGGAGACACGACCTTGCCGTCCTGCCCCCTTGCCCGCTTTACGTCAAAACGTAACCCCCATCGATCAACACATCACTACCGGTAGTATATGTCGACGAATCACTCGCCAGGTACAAAAACAGCCCCTTGATCTCCTTGACGTGCCCCTTGATCTCCTTGACGTGCCCCTGCCGCCCCAGCACCGCAAGACGATACGCCTCGTTCAGCGCCGCGGGGCCCGCACCCATCTTGGTGTCGAAGAAGCCCGGAGAGACGATGTTGACGCGCGCGAAATCGCGCCACTCGCGGGCGAGAGACTTGCCAAACTGCGTGACGAAAGCTTTTGTGCCGTTGTACACGGGCTGGTCGACGGGGACGTTGACAATGTGCCCGCTGATGCTGGCCGTGATGATCAGGTTACCCGTGCCTTGGCGCTTGAAGATCTCGCCGACGTATTTGGCGCAGTAGACGACGCCGTCGACTGAATTATGGTGTAGGGAATGTTAGCTAGTTGCCCTGTGTGCTCCGACGGCCATACGCGGGCACGAATGGCAATGATGGGATTAAGAAACATACCGTTCACGGAGAGCTGCTTCTTGTACTCGTCCAGTGTCTGCTCCAGGATCGGCTTGGAGATGGACATTCCTGATTGGTGCCTGTTAGCGCATGCATGACCAACAATACTGAGATGCGCGTTATGAGACTGGAATGGGTGGTAAAACTTGCCTGCGTTGGCAGCGAAAATGTCTATCCTGCTAAAGTCCTCGGCGACCTGCGCAATCGTCGCCCGCACGGCCTCGGCGTCAGAGACTATACATGGTTCGACGCGGTCAGCCAACATTCCCCAGAGCACTGTACCCACGACCCCTCCCCCCAGAGATATATATACGCACCGTCGACCTGATACGCCTTCGTCTTGACCCCGTGCTCCTTGGCCAGCGCGGCAGCGCGCTCCTCCGCAGCGGCCTTGTTGCTGTTATACAGCAGCGCGACCTCGGCGCCTGCTTCCGCGTACGCGTCGGCGACCGCTCCGCCGATGCCCTCGGCCGCGCCCGTCACGGCGGCGACCTTGCCCGTGAGCTTGAACTGCTCGAGCACGTTTGTCGGGGTGTCGGGGAAGGGCCGCGGGAAGCCCTCGCGCTCGGCGGCGCAGTCTTGGATGGACATGGACATGTTGGTCGGGAGGTTGGTGACAGCGGTCGCGATTGCAACTTTGGTGAGGGTTGTCGCTGTGGAAGTGGTGAGCTGAGGAAGGTTGGGTTTCGAAGTCGAGGAAGAGTTGGAGCTTAAGAGTGGCAGAGGAGAAGCAGGCGGTGCGGCGCAGCAATGCTGCCCCGGAGCACGACAAAGACGCCGCGAAGAAGTGGCGGGATAGAACGTGCTGAAACGGGGTCTATCCGCAGTTGGAATGCAGCAGGAAACTCCGCCCCCGGATGGCCAGAGACTCTTTGAGCCACCTCAAGATCAACAACAATGGCGGTGTGTGCAACTCAGATTATGGCTTCAAGGTGGTCAAGAAAGCCAGCGGTGCAACGCCGTCTGGGTCTCGGGCTGAGATGGGCGTACCCGGCTCAAATCTTCCGGGCCACCGAGAGGGCTCGGTGCCGTGGGGAGCTCTTGTGTGGCTCGTGGCAAGATCGGCTCGCTGCCCCAGTGCTCACGCGATCTCCTCTTCCTGTAACGATGTTAAACCTTTTGTACCCATGCAAGCAACAACGTCAAGTCTGCCGTTCTAGCTGCGCGGCGGAGTGTCGTGTTCTGCACTGGAGGGCCTGCACATCTTAGTCCTTGTAGGTAGCACCGAGATGAGGTGATTGGGTAGATTGGTGAAGGTGGGTGGTGGGATGCGTGGTCGGTCGCTCGGAGCGCGGCGGCGCGCCGTGACATGTCACGAACTTGTGGCCCGTAGAAGGTGGCTCTACTAGTGTCTATGAGTTACGGTTTCTTCCTTTTTTTTGTTTTCTGTACACACTTCCTTCCTTCCCTCTTATACTAGGGTTCATCGTACAGCACCAGGGCATGTACCATTCCTATATCAAATCCTACTCGCCTAAGGTATCAATTCTCCTGCCCAGTGGTCGATCTATCCCGGAGTTATTGAGGTTACTAGCAGCTTCCCAGGAGTTATCTTCGCTCGGATATTCCCGCCATTTGAGGAGGTACTCCATGATCTTCCGCTGGCGTGTTCTGCTCCGGTTCCATTCTCATTTCCGAAGTAAAAACGCGGATATCATGACAAGATCACAACGAAGCTTGGTACCCTCTGATGCCCGAGCTTTCGCCCCTAAATGGAAAGATACAGGCAGACTGACAATGAGAATTCTAAGTGGATCGTGTGCCCATAGCTAGGAGCTATGCATCTTTGCCGTCGACCATCGACGCGAGTCATCCGTGTGGATAACCACAGCGCCGCCTTTGACGGCAGTATGTTACTAACTATTTGCTTTGTTAAAAGGTACAGAAGAAATTCACTATAACGTAATCCATAAATGGATGAATCATATAACGTAATCCACAAGTGGGTGAATCACACAAGTGGATGAATCAGTCCCCCGCCACTTTCGTACAGGCTGTCTTCTTTCCCCCTTTTCTCCACCAATAATTATGGTACGACAATCAAATAAAAGCGATTTAGTTCTCGCGCTAAATGCGCTTCAATCGAACCCAGAATTGAGCGTACGAAAGGCTGCACAGATCTATAATGTATCCTTCTCAACCCTCCAACGTCGACAACACGGCCGACCTGCGCAACAAGATATCCGACCACCTTGCCAGAAATTGACCTCGTACGAAGAGGACAGTATCGTACGATATATAATCGACCTAGATTCGCGATCGTTTCCACCGCGGTTAGGTGGTGTTCGAGAAATGGCGGATCGACTCCTCCGCGTGCGCGACGCGCCACGCGTCGGAACGAACTGGGCCTCAAACTTCGTACGACGACGATCAGAGCTCCGTACGCGTTTTAATCGAAGAATCGACTACCAGAGAGTCCTCTGCGAAGATCCAGACGCGTATCGCGCGTGGTTTGGGCTCGTACAAAACATAATCGCGAAATACGGGATCCACGATGACGATATCTACAACTTCGACGAAACGGGCTTCGCAATGGGTAAAATCTCCGCCGAAACTGTCGTTACAACCTCCGATCGACGCGGGAGGCCAAGAGCCGTACAACAAGGGAATCAGGAATGGGTTACAGTAATCCAGGGTATCGCGTCGTACGGCTATTCGATCCCGCCGTATATTATCTTCGTAGGGAAGGTCCACCTCGACTCCTGGACCGCGAATAGCCCTCTACCGGCCAACTGGGTAATCGCGCTTTCAGAGAACGGTTGGACGACGAACGAGAGAGGCCTAGAGTGGGTAAAACACTTCGATTTCCATACAAAGAGTCGTACGAAGGGCCCACTGCCTCCTTATCCTCGACGGCCACGAGAGCCACCATTCCGTCGATTTCGAGCTCTACTGTAAGGAACAGAATATTGTTACGCTCTGTATGCCTGCTCATTCGTCGCATAAGCTCCAGCCTCTCGATGTTGGGTGTTTTGGACCTCTGAAACGGGCGTACGGTAAAGAAATCGAAGGTCTAATGCGGGCGCACGTAACCCACGTTTCAAAGGAGGACTTCCTCCCAGCCTTTTATAAGGCGTACGACGCTGCAATGACCAAATCAAACATCCAGGCAGGCTTCAGAGCGACAGGCCTAGTACCGTACGACCCGAATTATGTGATTTCGCAGCTAGATGTGAAGTTTCATTCGCCGACACCGCCAGGTTCCTCTGCTGGACTACCACCCCCATGGGTTTCAAAGACGCCGAACAACCCAATTGAGACCGAATCGCAGACGAAGTATATTGAAAATCGTATCGTACGACACCAGAATAGCTCTCCGTCGTCCATTGTTCAGGGCCTACGACAGCTAGGAAAAGGAGTTATAATGATGGTGCACGAGCAGGACCTTATGCGCCAAGAAATCGCCGAACTTCGAGATGCAAACGACCGCCTCAGCCGCCGTCGTCGTACGAAAAGAAAGCAGCTACAGAAAGGAGGGTCCCTCACAATTGATCAGGCAAAGGATTTGAAGGCTCAAATCGATGCGACGCAGCAGTTAATAGCGGAAACGAGTCAAAATAGTGGTCGTACGAGGAGGCCCGAAACGCGCGCGCGACGATGTGGCGTCTGCGGCGAGCCCGGGCATAATGCTCGTACGTGTCAGAAAGTTATATCTGCCTCTGAAGAAGAGGATTCCGAATAGTTTGAATTGATTTGAGGCGTTATGGTTGAATTGACTTATATATTGTCGTACGAGTACCCGATAACTGATTCATCCACTTGTGTGATTCACCCACTTGTGGATTACGTTATCGGGTACTCGTACGATAATATATAAGTTAATTTAACGTAATCCACGGGTGAGTGAGCCACACGGGTTAGTGCGCCACCTTTCAAGTACTCGTACGATAATGTATAAGATAATTTAACCATAACGCCTTAAATTAACGTTCGTTATCAGTGAGTGGCCCATATCAGCGAGTGGCCCACCCTCATACTACCCTAGAACAACCCGCCTCAATTGCAACACATCAACACTAACAACCAACTATTATTACATCGGAAACAGCTGGATCTGATGCTTCTACAGCCTCCTGGCAAGTGCGTACATTATGGCCAGGCTTGCCGCACACACCACAGCAGCGAACCCTCGAAGGGCCCCCCCTTGTACCACTACCATCCAGCTGCGTTTCTTATACTCCCTCTCCACCCACGGCCCCCTGGCCTAGTGCCTCCTGTGCACCCTGTATAGTAAGTGATCCTCTAAGCTGCACACGTGTTCTTTTGGCTCTCCGGCGCTTGCTTAGTGCCTCGTTGGCCTTGCGGAGTGAAGCGTTCTCTGACTCGAGGATGGCCACCCGGTGCATCACAGCCATTGTACCCTTGGTAAGCTGGTCAACAGCAGCTAACATCGAAGTCGGGGAGCTGTTTTGATGGCTGGTAATACGAGTCTTGATGAGCGTTGACTGCGAGTTGGCTTCTCGGGGGTTATGGGGTGTCTGGAAGACCTAAGGTTGTATAGTGCTAGGCCGTGAGGTCGGGGGTGTCGGTGTACGAAGCTTAACATCTAGCTTAGAGAGCACCCTGTCTGGGTCGTACGGTACAAGGCCAGCACCTGCAAAGCCACCCTGTATATTCTTCTCTGCTATAGAGGCAAAGAAGGCCTCGCGAAAGGAACAGAGGAACTCGAGCTTGCTCATATAGTTGATGTGCATGCGCATTAAGTCCTCGACTTGGCGACCGTACGCCCGCTTCAGTGGCCCAAAGCAGCCAATATCGAGTGGCTGGAGGAGGTGGGATGAATGTGGAGGCATGCAGAGCGTGATGATATTGTTCTGCTGGCAATGGAGCTCGAATTCGGTCGAGTGGTGGCTCTCGTGGCCGTCGAGGATCAATAACCGGTATTTGCCTTTCGTACGAGGTGCTGTATGGAAGTCGAAGTGCTTGATCCAATCTAGGCCTACCGCATTGGTAGTCCAACCATTATCGGTGGTTGCGATGCGCCAGTCGGCCGGGAGGTTGCACTCGGTATACCAGTTCGCGAGGTGGTACTGTGCGGCCAAGATGATGAAGGGGGGGATGGCCCAGCCGAGGGCATTGACTCCCTGGATCACTGTTGCCCATTCGCGGTTGCCAGGCTGGGCCAGCTTTGCCTTGCTACGGCCATCCGAGGTCGTAACTACCATACCCGCGAAGATGATGCCCATCATGAACCCAGTCTCGTCGAAGTTGTAGATATCGTCATCCACAATACCGTACTTGGCCTTGACGTTCCGAACAAGGGCAAACCACTCGCCAATGACCTTTGGATCCTCACACTTGGCCCTCTGGTAGTCGTATCTACGCGTATAACGCGTACGGAGCTCTGGCTGGCGTTTGACAAATCGATGGGCCCAGAGTTGACCGACAGGAGGCGCGTCGCGTACGCGTAGCAGTTGGTTGGCCATATCTTCCACACCACACAATCTAGGTGGAAAAGCTCGCGTAGATAGCTCAACAATATATTGAACAATAGCTTCTTCTTCTGACTGAGTAAGCTTCTTCGACTTGGGCGTACTGTCGCATCGTGCAGGCTTGCCGTCGCGTCGTCGCCCTAGAGTCTTACGGGCGACCCCGTAAATCTCAGCAGCGGCTCGCACGCTTAGATTTTTGTCGTTTTGAAGAGCCCCGAGGGCCAAGATTATCTGGGCTTCCTTTGAAGTAGATGGCATATTGGGCGACTGAGAAAATTAGGTGTTGAGAGCGAAGGTGTCGCGTCGCGTAGAAAGTGGGCCACTCGCTGATATGGGCCACTCACTGATAATGTACGTTAAGTGAAGATGATGAAGCTTCTCCTTGTAACAGCGTGGCAGACACGCTTGCATGTAATGAGCAACAGATGAAAACCCTCATCATTGCACCTTATCCACTTCGATTCGCTGGTGAGATTATCATAGAGCTCTACAAACTTGAAGTGTCTAGCGTCGATGGGGAGGATTCGGGTGGTAAACCTGGCGTTGAAGATTTCGCTGTCAGCGAAGAAGTTCCTCTGGACCACTGGCACGAGCACTACTGGATGGACTTTTAGTGGCGCTCCCTGTTTCAAAGTGTTCTATACAACGTCATATGAATAGCCTGTCATGGTTAGATTTGAATTTCAAATTATTTCCGTGGTCTCACGCCGGATCGGAACTCCCTGACGCCTGCTGAGAAGCCTGAGTTGTCCGCAAGACACTACGAAAACTGACCTGAATCCCACCAGGTGTCGACTCTATTGCACGCTAGTTCCCATACAGTCCCATTAAACTCTTCTTTTCTTTCTTTGAAGTTGTAGTCAGAAGCATGAGCGATACGGAGCGAGAAGTATGGAGAACCCGAGTTCAAAGATTTTCATTATCAATGAAACTGCTTATATTGTGCCTCATGGTAAGCGCGTTCGTCTTACGGCGGCTTCATTGTGAGGTTCCTATTCAGACTCTCATTAAGACCTGGAAAGACTTTTCGGATTATTTTCCACGGGATTGTTGATGTTCAAGTTTGTAGGGGTCACTGCGCGATGACGGTGGGGCACATCTCGTCATTATGACTCGCATCCAGCAATGGACACCGGTCCAAGAATAAGTCGTTCTGCCAATCGCGTGTTGGGGAAAGACCTAATATGATGCCCATCCCGGTCCCTGCATGCTGCATTGGTTCACTCTTGTCAAGATATCGCCATATTCCGAGCTCGCCGAGCACAACTCTGCCTCGGATTCCCGCTTTCTCGAAACATGCGCACACCTCTCCCATACCCGATCGCCTTGGAGAGACTCCACCACGCCGCCCAGGATGCGCGTGAAGCCGTGGAGGCTGAAGATGTCCACATCACTGACTGCTTGGGACGTGTTGCTGCCAAGGACCATCAAAGCCCCTTCTCGACTCCACGATTCGATTCTTCGGCAATGGATGGTTATGCTGTCATTTCCGATGCCACCAAGTCCGCAACCTTGGAGAATCCAGTAGCGTTTGCAATCAAGAAGACCATTCAGGCTGGCGATCACGAGCCATATCTGCTCACAGTTGACCCTATCGATGATATGCCGCCATGCGTGCGGGTCATGACTGGCGCACCCTTCCCAGTACTGGACGACATGAAGGATGGGAAATCATTCGACGCTTGTGTCAAGTGGGAATATACAGCACAGCAGCCGGGCGCTCGAAGTGACATAATGTTAATCACAAAGCCTGTTCCCGGGGGCACGAACAAGAGGTACGCAGGGCAAGATATCAAGCAAGGGGATGTCGTCCTCAGTGCTGGGACAGCCATTCGATCTACCCACGTCATATGTCTGGCATCTATAGGTATCACCACTGTTCATGTGGTCAGGAGACCGCGATGCGGTATCTGGTCAACCGGCAAAGAACTCCTCACAACTCAAGGTCCAATTCCAGACGTGAATGGACCTTATCTATCCGTAGCAACGCGGGAATTAGGAGCGGACACGCGGTTTCTGGGTATCTTACCGGACGAAAGAAGCGTCTTGAGACAGGAAATAGAGATTGCTCCGTTCCGAGGGCCATAGGATGTCTTGCTAACAAGCGGTGGAGTGTCAGGGGGAAAGTACGACTTTGTGCGGGAGGTACTAGAAACTCTCGGAGCGACGATTGTTTTCCATAGATTGAACATTCGCCCTGGACATTCTGTTCTCTTTGCTACCTTCCAAAGGCAGACTGGTCAAGGGTTGACAGCATTCTTCGGACTTCCAGGCAACCCAGGCGCGGCAGCTGCATGCTTCAGGTTTCTCGTTGTGCCGTACATGAGGCGGCTTATGGGTCAGGATATCGAAACACCGCTTTCTGTGTGCTTGGAGCCAGGTACGGCAAGACTTCCTTGTGCAAGGCGCTCTCAAAAGCATACGAAATGCTCTTCCAGCACACTGGACCGATTTCATCATGGTATTCTCGGTCGATCAGCAGTGGGAACAATGACAGTAAAGCCAACAAGCGACCAGAGTCCAACGAAGCTTAATCCTTACTCGTCCGTCAATTGCTGGATTCATTTCAAGACTGAGCAAGATAGCGAAGAAGGAACTCTTGTGGATTGCTACCCGACAACAAGTTGCAATATCACTAGAGAAGTATAAATTGAGTATTTCATAATACACGGCATTGACAGTGCAACGTTCCCGCTTCCTTACTGCTCAAGCATAAACACTGCTGCGTGTATCTACATGACCAATGGCATCATGCTTCGCAATTTACGAAAGCCTTATCCCAGTCCTCCTTTCGGTTCACGTTGTAAAGCCACTCCTCCCCTACTGGCACATCGAGCATTGTGCCTCCAAGTTCTTTGATCGTCCGACTGGGTCCGCTTGTGCCCGCCTCCACATTCCTTGCGAGCCGCTCAAGAGCTTGCGGGCTCCAGATGCTGATGAGAGGTTCAGGGAAATAGGCGGAATGCGGAAGCAGGTGACTGGTGGCACGTACGCGGTGCATAGATGCTGGATGGCGTCGACTGTCAGTCGAGGGTAATCGCAAGCGACTACAAGCCACGTCTCCCGCGGTCGAAGTCTCCAAGCCGCCAAAAGGCCGTTTGCGGGGCCGCCAGATTCCTTGACTTCCTTATGGTCGTCTAAAGGCGATTCTTCGTCCCATATAACTCCAAGTTCCAGACCTGCTGCCGAGGTCATATGAGGGCTGCAGACCGTGTTACGGAGCTCGTCGTCCATAGGGGAGTCTGACGCAAGGGAAATGTAGATTTGGGGATATCGTTGGACAGGCTTCGTGAATCAGCTCGAAATGGAACTTGTACAAGGGACGCCCATCTGGTAGCTTGAGAAGGTGCTTGGGGAGGCCCATGCGGGTCGACCTGCCTCCTGCCAAGACCACAGCGGCCGTTGGCCCGCTATTCGTAAGGCTATTATGCATCTGAAGCTTTAAAGAGGTCACGCAGCGTTGCCCGTATCCAGGTCGCGGCGGTTGGAAAAGACCACGGAGGTTGACTGTCATAAGAGGGCCATATCTTGCATTCATAATTCCGACTGGCACACTCCTGACGTCATAACGTCAGCCCTACGTGATGGTTATCCAGTCTCCTGGATTTAGGCCTTGGCAAATGTGTATCATTGTTTCGGAAATCTGAACAATAGCAACAGAGGCGTCTACATTGTGCTAACGATCGTGAGACCTTGCAATAACACTCCCATCACTACCCTGTCGCGATATGAAAAGGCGTATTTCGACTGCTCGAGAGCCGGGATTACGTACACCTCTCATGCCGTCGGCGGCGTGGGGACAAGCAAGGTCTGTGGGCTGCGCAGCTTGAGCTGCTGCATGATCCAAGCCTGCGTCCGCTTGATCTCATCTATACATAGACTGACAGCAGCTGCAAAGTCCTTATCCCAGAGCGCCTAGCTTGCGGGAAGCAAGGCCAACATACCCCCCTGCACGTGTGCTACAAAGACATGCAGAGACTGAAGCACTTCGAGTGTGTCGTAGTCGGGACGCCCGCTCTTGCGGATACGCGCTGGTCGTTTGAAGAAGAGGAAGTCGGCAAGCTCTCCTGCCCCCCTCTTGCCAAACTCGTCGTCCTCGTGGTACTTGTTAATGCAAGGTTCCAGAGCATCCTTCATTCTGGTGGCTATTCGGCTCAAGACGTGCACACCTCCCTCAATCTCGAGATCGTGGAGAAGATCTGGAAGCAAGTGATCGTAGATGTCAATAAGCCTTATCACAGCATGATACGTTTCTCCGAGCCATAACTCCAATTGTCGCTGCTGCTTTCTTTCCCCCGGGTCGTCTGGTCGGCTGCCTGACGCCTCTGCAAGGTGCTTGCTACGACGTTTTCAGTGTCATGATTGCAGTGGGTTTCATATACTGCTACATTGAGCTATACACAGCCACGCCTCAAACAGAAAAGACTTCTGGAAATCAACGAGCATCACTCGTGCGACTCGACCAGCTGGAGAGTAGAGTCGCGGTTGGCAACTGGATCAACAACGGAGCGGAAAGCTTACTCCACCTCACAGGAGTTGGCTTGCTGAGCGGCCCGGATGCTTGTGTCCGGTTCTTGCGGGACATCGAGAAGAGCTTGCTGTCGCAGATAGCCTGGGCCGGAATATGTCGCGCCCTCGCAGGAAGCTTTGCACAGCTGCGGCGTGGGGAGACACCCACAAGACTGTCGACGGATCCCATTTAGTAGGAGGGCAACGCCGGGGGACGTGGGAGAACACGACATAGCTGTAGCCTGGTCTAACTTTTCTTCTCACGGTTTAGACTGAAGAGGCACTGATCTCGCGGTACGTAAACTGCACAACAAGGAAGCTCTCCAACACCTAGAAGTTCCTGAAAATATCAAGTATCAAGCCATATTGTTGACATCTAGCTAAGTGGCGGCTCACAGTGCACTTGCATCTACCCCCCCCCCCCCCCCCCCTTCAGCACAGACACGGAAGGTGGATAGTCTGATAGTTGCTGCAAGTCTTCCCACTGGGCGTGGCACTGCCTGTCTGCAGGTACAGCTGCCAGTAGCTGCCGTCCAGTTTGCAAGCCAGAAAGTTCAATTCTGGCAAGTACGCACGGGGTTATTATTGCCCTTTCCTGAATCGTACGAGGTGACACAACAACTTACGACGACCCCAAGTACTTCCTTGCGTTGTGATGATTGTATCGCCCTCGAGCCCCCACGCCTTGGTCGACGCAGTCGTCCCAAAGGTTAGCGTCTTGTATGAAGTGCTGTCATTGCCGACATTGAGGTACAGCGTCGTGTTTGCGCTTTGGATAGTGCCTCCAATGTTGAAGTATTCTGCTGATGATTCTGGACCCAGGACTGCGGTGCTCTTGTCCTGGGGGTATTCCTGAAGGTAGAAGTGGTGCACTGGATCGCTGACACCGCGGATCTTTTCGGGCTTGGCGAGAGCGGCGCCCAACACGGAGGCGACCGTGATGGAGGTTGTGAGACGCATCTTGTAATTTTGTTGAAGGGTGATGTGCCACTTCCGAAAAAGCTAACGAGGTTGGGGCTTGCCAAGAGGCGACGAGTCCATGGCTTTTATACAAGCATACGCCACAAGAATATTCTGCTGACCGGCACACGATTCCGAACGGACCGTCACGGTGCAGCTCGTCCAATTGAGACGAGCTAGGGGCCAATGGAACAGGCCCGCTTAATTGTTATGCAAGCGCTACGAACTTGAAATTTGGCAGATGCGCACAGAATGTCCGGAGAAGTGTAGTTGGGGGTTGGCGATCATCTGTCTTCAGCTACGCTTTGGTGTCGATGAGCAGGAACCAGGTTCCGATCCGCCCAATATGGCTAGACCAGCCATAGATTGACATGCAGTGGGCGGCGGTGGCGGTGGCAGACGCTCCGTGTCCAGGAACAGCCCAGGCCCTGACCTTTGCTTGGAAGCTTCCTGTGTGCATGCGCCTTCAACACTTTTTGAACCACGCTGCCAAGCTGCGGATTGCGACTCAGGCTTTGAATGTTTCATGTCATTATGGGATAGTGGACATGTCGATCGATACATGCTCTTTGCCTTTGTAGGAAATTAATCTACCATTCAGTGTTCACTCTTGTGATATCAGTCGTACAGAAAGTCTATATGAAATGCAAAGCCACATCTGCCGAACTCCAGACCGCCATGAGTTGAGTGTAATCCCCAAAATATCCGTTACCATGCATGATGCCTCCGAGACTCCCAAACCCTCCCTCTTATTATGCAACACACATCTCCTGTCGCTATTATGATAGTCGTTTTCAATCCCTCTAAGCACCGCCAGATGCCTTCTTAACAGCCTCCGGGTTGAGCCGCTGCCACTTGCTGAACAGGCTGACCACAAAGGCAAGGCCGACAGACGCAGTGGCAATGGCAAAGGTCACCCGGATGCCGGCCATGTATGCCTGGAGGATACCGGGCACCTGGTCGGCTGGGAATGTTATACGAATCTGCGTGGCGCCGGTAGCGATGAGCTGGTGGGGGTTGACCTCAGGTGCGTACCGCGGCAGATTGGCGAGGAGCTCGTTGACGAAAGCGGATTGGGCACCAGAGAGGAGAAAGGCTCCACCGACGGTTTGGAAGACTGTGCATCAAGACGTCAGTGACTATTATGCAGAAGAGGTATAATATGGAGGGATGTAGGACAGGGGAAACTTACACATGAGCAAGGCAGTAGTGACGGCCAAGTCCTCGACGGCCGCGTTGCCCTGGGCGTGAATCATGGGGATCTGGAAGGCAATACCGAAGGCAGCGCCAGCGAGGATCTGGAAGCCGATCCACCTGCCCGCACCAGTGCCGATGTCGAGTGTGTACATGAGGCCAGCGCTGATCGTGGCGACCGCAGCATTACCAACCATAAGAGGCGTAGCAATGCCCGTCTTCGAGATGAAGGCGCCTGAGAAGATTGTGCCAAAGGTGACGGCCACAATGATGGGGATGTTGCGGACCCCAGACATGGTGGGGGACACATCGTCGATGCTCTGGAAGTAGACGGGCAGGTAGTAGATGATAATGAAGTAGGACGAAGCAAAGAGGAAGGCGTAGAGGGCATTGACCCAGACAGTCCTCTTCATAACCAGACGCGGGATAATCATGGACCGCTCGCCATTGTAGACCTCCCACAAAGCGAAGACGATGAGAATGGCGCCAAAGCCAACGAGGAGACCAATGACGGTAGCCGAGTTCCATGAATCACTCTGACCGCCGTACTGCATAGCCAGGATGTAGGCAATAATGGCACCCATGATGAGGATTGTGCCGAGTGGGTCCATCTGGATGAGCTTCTCCCGCAGGGGCGCGTCCACAGGCTTGGACTTGCTTGGGGTCGTGAAGAAGAAGGTGATAACGGCGGCGGAGAAACCACCAATGGGCAGGTTGATGTAGAAACACCAACGCCACGAGACGTGGTCGGTGAAAGCACCGCCGATCAGAGGACCGACGACAGAGGCAATGCCGTACGAAGCACCAATGATGCCAGTAAACATAGGACGCCTCACAGGGGAAGCGGAAAACGCGATAAGTGTGTAGCAGCCAGAGCCGAGGCCAGCAGCGCCGACTCCGGCAATGGCACGGCCCACGATCAAGGCGGTCGAGTTGGGTGCGACACCGCAGATGAGACTACCGACCTCGAAGATGAACATTGCTGCGAGGAAGGTGATTTTGAGAGGGAAGTACTTATATGCCTTGCCCCATGCCGACTGAAAACCGCCCACAGTCATGAAGAAGGCTGAGCCGTACCAGGCAACTTCGGAGAGGCCGCGGAACTCGTCTGTGATCTTCGGGATGGCTGTGGCTACAATGGTCTTTGCAAATATCTTAGCTTATATCCAGTTGGTACGACGGCAAGTCGTTGCTCTTAGGCTGCCCGGTGCACAGGAGGGGCGGCTCGGCTTACCATATCGAGCGCTACCAGGAACATGGCCATGCCTAGGGCAACAACAATGAAAACCAGAGGCATGCCGGAAGGGTACTCGTCATCGTCATTGGCGGCAGGAACATTGTCGATGGTTGCCTTCTCCTCGTCTGTAGTGCTCTCGGTGCTAGTGTGGTAGTTGTCATCTGTTAGTGGGAGAGTGGCTGGCCTGGCGTCTAGTAACGCGCGATCCGAAGATGCTGCCATTGTGATTGCTCAATCGAGGTGGATTGTAGTAGTGGTGTCGGTTGCTGATCTTGTCACTACACAGTGTGACTTGGGCCTGTGCGAATGAGTTTGGCGTATGACGCTAGTCAGGATGCAAGCTGCCAGGGCTTTTAAGCTTGATTGCTCGAATATGATACGGAATGAAACAAGACACAGCATCCCGAAGACGTGCCATCGTTATATAGAAGACGGGGCACATCTGAGACCACTGCACATGTTCAGCGCCAAGCCTGCCTTCCCAAGAGAGGCCCCGGGGTTTAGCGGACGTGGCGGCCGAGCAGCCAGGCGTTAGGGTGATGGGCCACGGCACGCCCGCGGGCAAGTCAATGACTGTCTCGGTGACTTAATCAACGTGTGAGCGCAGCCAATCACTACACGTCCCGGGCGGTGTCCAAGACTCGAGCCTTACGTCTCGGCGGAGCCTCCCTGCAGGTAGGGTGCCGGTCCCAGGTGCAAGGGCTTATGTGAGCATAACGCGCGATCCGTACCCATTCGGGCCTAATTGGTGATTATGAGGCATTCACGCACGCCAGTTGTCGTGGGTGCGGGCTGCCATAGGCCGAAAAGCAAGACGCTACTAGCCAAGTGGAAGTCAGTTATCTCTCGGCGACATTCTGTTGAGCCATAATGAGCAACCCTCACTCAGGTTCGGTCAGTTTCTGCGCCTAAACGAGTGGGGCTACTATGCCAGCAATCTGCTGCAAAGCTTGTTCCTTGGGGGGGAGTCACCGGCTGGCTCAGCCTCTGCCGGAGCCTTCGTCCGCGGGCCTGTTCGGCCGAATCGTCCGCGCCTTGCAAAGTCTGCTGTCAGCACCACCAAACAGGGACGGGGGCGGTTGGCCCGATCGAGAGCAGGGATTCCAGCTAGTTGTCACACTTTAGATAACGCACGCTTGGCCAGAACCGGTGGGACGCGCCTGTGAAGATGTATTGCGTGCCACGACGATTTAGGCTCCCAATCCTCCAGGAGTCAATCGCTAATGCGGCCAGTCGTGCTGAGTAGCCGCCCGTCTTTTGAAAGCAAAGGGATCGACACAGGTAAGCACAACGGCTTGGCAGGCCAGCTCACTCTTGTCAATAAGCGAAAAGGTCCGCGAGCGCGGTCAAATGCCACGGCCGCCCAGATAACGTGCGTAGCTCTGACGAGAGCGGACTGCCACGCCGGAGACAAGTTGCTTTTTTCTTCGTTATGCCCGTTGTGGTGGCCGGGCTGCACAGGGATGCGGCGTTACTCGACCGAGATGAGGTACATAGGAATGCTGCCAATCTTTTGCGGCGTACATGCGACACAATCATTTGCCCAGGATGACGCCAAGAGATTCTGGCTGCCTGGAGCCCCGGCGCATAGAGAGAATGCTGTGGTTGTTATGTCCGTATTCCCTAAAGATGATGCTAGGGGCAGCTTCTGTTCTGCAGCTTACCAATCGGCTGTGTGCCACAAAGTAAGACCGGGCAATTCCTCTTTCCGTGGCCGAGCTGAACCCGGACCATTGTCTTCTCCGTCAGTGCATAGAGAACCCTGTCTACTTCACTGCTTGAGTCTTTTCAAGGCAATCACAAACGACAAAATCACTGTCTATATAATTGACTACATATCTCGCCCAGTATGTATTAAATGCTCAAACTCAGCAAACTGTTTCCGACCTAGAAAATCCTTCAAAATGAGTCCACCCGTCATCGTCTTTGGTGCTACTGGTCACGTGGGCTCGGCGGCTGCCATAGCAGCCGAGCAGCACGGCGTGTCAGTGGTTCTCGCCCTACGTGACATCTCCAAGCCAATTCCGGGTCTTAGCTCGGAGGAGGAAAAGGCTCGCAACTTTCAGAGAGTTTCAGCGGACCTGACCAAGCCTGAGACGGTGGAAGCTGCTGTACGCACCACTGGGGCAAAACATGCGTTCATCTACCTGATCCACGGCGATACAGGTTACGGCAAGGCTGCAATCGAGGCCCTCAAGACTGCCGGCATCGAGTTTGTCGTGCTTCTGAGCACCGCCATGGTCCAGGGGGACATTACCAAGATCACCCCGGAAACCTATGTCCGATACGCGCATGCGCAGTATGAGATCCAGCTCGCAACAATATTCGGTCGCGGCGCATACGTCGCTCTCCGGCCTGCCTTCTTCAACACCAACGTGCGCTGGTGGACAGCTATGATCGCCGAGGGCGAGGTCAGGATTCCTTACCCGGATACCATACTAGATTGGCTTGCGCCAGAGGATATCGGCAAGGCCGCGGCCACATTGCTCGTCCAGGGACCTGAGGCTTTGCCTAGTGGCGTCGAAGGGCCGGAGACCGCCATCACCCTCTGCGGACCCAAACTCTTGTCAATCCGGGACGCTATTGGCATTTTCGGCAAGGTTCTCTCACGAGACATCAAAATTACGCAGATCGACGCGACCGAAGGCGTGTATAACTTGGTCAAGATTGGAGTACCCGAAGTTGTAGCGCAGCAGCTGGTCAAAGAATTTCTGGAAATCGCTAAGTCTGACGTGTCCGTTATAAGCGAGACAATCGCTGAAGGGGGCTACGAGAAGGCGGTGGCCAACCTGCACAAGTATGCGCCGCCGGTCTTTGGCCTGGAAGAATGGGCTATCAAGAACAGAGCGCTGTTTAGCTCTTGATTCCTAAACGTACCTTTTTGTATTACATAACAAGACTTAACAAGAGTGGTCAATTGTTTCGGACTGTTATGTTTAATGAGAGACTGGAAGCATTCGTACTAATTAATAGAACGTCCCATTGTGCAATGTCTTCACACAACCATCGTTATAAAGTCGATCCAGTTCGTTCGATTCAATGGTTCCTATCCATTCTCGAGAACCATAGAATTTGAGCCATGGATAGTATCTGCCTCCGAAGATGGAGCGTGAAAACGTTTGTTAATCATGAACGCTAGTGAAAACTAACCGTGTATGATGCAGATACATCGTATATAGGAAACGGCCCATTCCGGATTGGAGCACTCTTTCTCGGTTGTCTCTTTTGCATATGCATGTCTTAAGTTTCTTTAGGCTATCGACTCTGCGAATATCTAGTCGGAGCTTTCGGGCTTTATACAATGTTTGAGGATCTCCAGGGACTTAGACGGCGATAAAATGGTCACATCATAGCATGATAGCGGAAAGAGCGTCTACGAGGCAGTATAGGGAAATCGGTGCAGCATGTAATGGAGCGCAGTAACGAATTGCCCTGTTAAAGAGAGATACGGCGACTTGGGCGTACCAGCAATTAAGTGCACCACTGTAGTAGTTGCACTAATAGAAAGCCCAACCCTCTTATATTTTTAGGTTGTTATTCTTAAATCAAATGGCCTTTATGCATCGCCCGACTCTGCGCCTGTGAGAATGTCCACGGGTAAAAGGGAGGAGGGTGGCATAACACCTCCAGGCGCATGTTCCATTCCACTAATCCCCGAGCTTTTATAGGGTCTCATTGATCGATCTGGGATCATTACAGGTATATGAGAGCTAGTGGCACACGTGGAGGGAGGGAGAGTTCCTAGGACGAAGTGCATCCTGGCGTTATGGAGTGGCGGACACGAGGGGCTTGTGTCAGATGAATCATGGAACAGATACAATCATTTGTGGGCCTGTATAACGGAATTCTAAGGTACCCGTTACCTGCATGACCACTAACGTAGTTCACGTTGATCGTCATCTCCCAGGTGTGCGACAAGATAACATAAGGGGGGATATCCTTTTGGCAAAGCGTAGCTCGCCACCAGTAAGTGTGAGGGGACGCATGGTCAGGCGCGGATGCTGCGAGGCATCAAGGTTTACGGAGCAGTGACATTACTTCGCGATCGCTTTAAGCGATGCGACCTAAAAGAAAAAGCCTGGCCAGCCTAAATTCGGGGGCTGGCTACCCCGCCTCATACATCTGGACAAGGCTCCGGAGGCGCAGTCCAGCCCTTCAAGACAGCACTCTCAGATATTCAGCCGCTAGGCAGAAGTGTTGCATGGGGACATCACTAATTGTTAAGGGAAAACTGTGTTAGTCAGCAGACAATGGCCCACTCATTTTGGGTGTTGTATTGTCCATCAGGAGCCCCTGCAGCCCCATAGATCCTTCCTTCTCGCCAGACAAAAATGCATGGGCTGTGTGGTCAGGCCGGGCATAACAGAAGGGCTCAGCGAGCTCATTGAAGGCGGAGGGGTGGAGAAGTACATATCATTCATGTTCTTTTGTGCCGGCGGCTGGGGTGAGACAGGCGCGCCATTCATCAAGGAACCCAGCACCGCTCAAGTCCATAGAGTAAGGATTGGGCATCTGGGGAGGACCCATGATTCCTGGTTGCCACATGGAGCTTGTACCAGCGGTTACGACCGGGTTGTTGGCACCGGATCCGTCCAGCATAACGTCGCTGATGCCCCACTGGCTGGCATTGCTCACTGCCGACGGAGATGAACCGTCGACAGCATTTTCGCTGACATTATTAAACGACATCTGGTGCTCGAAACCAGTCAGCCAGTCGAAGCTGTCGCCATCCCGTTATGTGGCCGACATATCCGTCATTGGGCCAAAGGGAGAGGTAGGATCAATGGACATGGAATGGGGCGACTCATTATAGTGCAGCGCGTTCGGGTTGATTGTTGAACCCTGCTGACCAAACAAGAGTCCCTCAATGTCAAAATCGTGCGTGAAAGCCATGGGAGGAGCGGTCCGGAGATTGGCATCGCTATTAAAGTCCATGCCATTGATCACATGCGTGTCCAACCGTAGCAGTCCATGGCTCATACCCCGATAGCCCATATCGAGGACATCCCGACAAACTGATCCATGTTGTGTAGGGGCAGACCGACGAGGCTCTGATGCCTGCTATGGGTGGGCATGGGATTTCGCGCAACCTGTGCAGTATGCTTACAAGGCGGTCGACAAGGGGCTTTACGTTCAATGGCATGGCCTCGTCTCGGTCAACTCACAACTTCAGAGTCAATCGACAGGGAGTTGCAGCTTCCTGCTTTCGGTGTGACGGAGCCAATCGATTGAGGCCACTTGAGGCACAGGCGACGATCGCGATTGGCGAGCTGATAACGAGGCTCGTCCGAGACTGGTGAATGCAGCAGGATGATAACAATGGGACGTCTCAGCTGAAACCGTTAGGGCCACCTCTGCAGCTGCTTCAGCCGGACGCTTCACGTGGCAAGCAGGTGGTGTAGGTTCTCATAGCTGCGTTGCACGTGTCAAGTGCCCACCCTTGCGATGCCGGCCAGGCTGACCAGGCCTGTAGCAATGTACGAGCTGGATGCTGTTGGCAGCAAGCGCCCAGCTCCACAGATCACTGCTAAAGTAGACGTGATGGCACATGGTCACAGTTGGAATGCAGCATGCTTGACTGTCTAATGCTCAGAGTATGGTTCGCAATTATTAGCTCGTAAAGGGAGTCCGCGGAGAATGAAGAGTTAAGAAAGTGAAGAGCGACAAAGATCATTCTGCCACCGCTCTGCGAAGTGGCGTTCATGCTCAGAGCCTGTTCCACGTCGTGCCTCACAATGCCCTGGTGGCCATCGACCCAAAAACGAAGATGTCAGGATCCTGGCGCGCCTTCGAACTGGGTCGGAGCCAATGCTGCCAGCCTCGTTGTGGGCTGGCAAGTCACTCACCGAGGCTGCACCAAAGACAGCACGTTGTGGGTCTGCCCAACCCATGTAGGAGGCATGCATCAGCCAGCCCCTGCGCGCCAGGGTTCCACGCATGCGGCCGAGGGCCAATCGCATGTTATTGGACTCCGTAGCTTGAGAACAAGGCCATGCTGAGGATCACAAATCTCGATGCTACCCGTGCACCGACAGCACACAATATGACTCTGCCTCTCGTGCAGTGACCGCCTAGATACAAGTCCGCTGCCCGCACGGGGGGAGATGCTGAGTCTGCAAGTTGCGCACAGCTGGTGCTAGGTTGAAAGCCCGGCGAGCAGAACATGCCGTGGTCGATATGCAGGCACGATGTCTGCTCTTGCCGCATAGGGTCTCCGACAGTGCAACAAGGCACTTACTATGGCGAATGGTGTAATGTTCACAAGCTGGGAAGACTCTCGCTGCAGCCGTGGAAGGTCAACCTCGTCGACCAGTCCGATGCGGGTCGATGGAGCTGCGAAGGCTGAGGAGTGATGCTGGGAGGCGGTGGCAGGGTCGTTGTGACAATCATTAGGTCCTATGCCGCACACTGACCTGCACGGCCTCCCATACCCATGTAGACCCTTCTATGGACAGTGAAACGGCCTCTCTGATGACATATGTACTGCATTTCTATACTGCCTGTTGTGACGTCTTGTTGGAGCCCACCTCGTAGCCCCCCCCCATGCCATAATGCACAACTGCACAAGAGATTGCCGCTGTTCCCACCAGTGCCTCTAGCCCGTGATACTCAACTGCCAGGTCAAGCGCTAGACTATTCTCATAACCTCACCCCATGCGAGTAGCATAAAACACCTTATTCACATGAACGATCGTTGGGACAGCTACCCGCCACTATGGAACCACGCTAGACCTATCAGAACAGCTGCATAAGGCTCTCAAACAGCCTCGCTATGTTGTAGGCCAAGTCCGGCTGACGCTTGCAAGCGTGCTGTTGGGCCTCGGATTTCCGAGGGAAGTCTATGGGTAGCCGGGACATCAGATCTCACCCATAGGATGGACGGCTGAGCCGGCAGATTATCAAGCGGCGGTGCATCGCTATGTGCGGAGGTGGTGCCAATAATACAGCAATGGGCTGGAGTTGTGTGGCACGTGCTATCGAAAGAAGAAAATTCGCCCCTTATAAGCCGGCCGGCCCATCCCAGCCCAGTCTTGTCCTTTGAACACAGAAGACCAAGACGTCCAGAGCTTACGGAACGAAGCCATAGCACAAACCGCAACACTACAAAGAGTAATCGTTCATCGCAACGCAACCTTCGTTTAGAATGAACAACCAGCAGAAAGGCGACCAGCAGAAGGGCGACCAGCAGAAGGGCGAACCGAAGGAGATCCCAGACATTCGGAAAGCTGTAACGTAAATGCATAGCGAGTGGGCCAGCATAGCGAGTGGGCCACCTCCATCACTTCGCTAGAATTCCATCTTCTAACACATCTTACTCAACAACCAGCTATGGAGACGCCTTCTAAAGATAACCAATTGAATCTCGCTCTTCAAGCTATGGACCGTGATCCTTCCCTTTCTATACGCCGCGCAGCTGCAATCTACAACGTCTCTCGAACAACGCTTACCCGCCGCTATAAGGGGACGCCTTCTCGACGCGATAGCCTACCAAATTCGATGAAATTAACAGAGCTAGAGGAGCAGACGATTGTCGACTATATTCTCGACTTGGATGCGCGAGCATATCCTCCTCGGCTAAGTGAGCTTGGAGAAATGGCGAATCGACTGCTCGATAAGCGGCCTGCGCCACGCGTCGGTCCACGATGGGCGTCAAACTTCGTTAAGCGACAACCACAGCTCCAGATGCGTTTCTTTCGCAAGTACGACTACAAGAGAGCCCAATGCGAGGATCCCGACGCGATAAAGGCGTGGTTTCGGCATGTGCGGAACGTAGTCGCGAAAAACGGCGTAGCGGACTCCGATATCTACAACTTCGACGAGACAGGCTTTCAGATGGGCGTTATCGCGACCGGGATGGTCGTTACAAACGCGCAAATACGGTCGAACGTTAAGATGAAGCAACCAGGTAATCGGGAATGGGTTACGGTAATCCAGGGCGTTAGCGCGACTGGATTCTACGTCCCGCCGTTCGTAGTATTTGCCGGCAAATATCACTTCTCGACCTGGTACCAAGATAACGCGATTCCTCGCGACTGGAGAATCGTAACATCCGCAAACGGCTGGACTACAAACGAAATTGGTCTAGATTAGATTCGACATTTCGATCAGCACACAAAGTCGCGAACAAAAGGCGGTTATCGCCTCCTCGTCCTCGACGGCCACGAAAGTCACCACTCGGTCGAATTCGAGCTCTACTGTAAGGACAACAACATTATTACGCTCTGTATGCCTCCTCACTCGTCTCATATACTCCAGCCTCTCGATGTTGGCTGTTTTGGTCCGCTGAAGAAAGCATACGGTCGGCAAATTGAGCTTAAGATGAAGGCGGGTACAACGCATATCAGCAAGGAGGACTTCCTCCCCTCGTTTTTAGCGGCATTCCAGCAGACAATGACGGAAAAAAACATCCAGGGAGGCTTCAGAGGGGCGGGACTTGTACCCTATGACCCTGAAGCCGTTTTATCCAAGCTCGATGTGAAGTTCAAGACGCCAACACCCTCGAGGACGCCTCGGACGTCACCGGAGCCATGGACTTCCCGAACGCCCACCACCGCTATGGAAGCCCGTTCACAATCTAATTTCATCAAACGTCGGATCTCTCGTCACCAGGGAAGCTCTCCAACGTCAATTATTGAGGCAGTTGAGCAGTTCACGAAGGGAGCAAAGG